TGTCTCTTGCTGCGGTCGTTCACCTACGGACGGCCGTCGGCGGATCGGACGGCGGTGGCGGCGGCGGCGGCGAGGTCAGTTCAGGGTCTATGGCACTTTCCGCCGGCGTAGCGGGGCCTCTAGACGGTAAAGAGGCTTTGTATGACCGGTCATTGACTCTATAGGTCNGGGGGTAGGGACGGGNGGTGGTTTGTTGCAAGGACTCACCTGACCATTCTGCTTTTTCAAAAATGTCATTTACACCAAAACAACTTCGGTCCTCCTTAGGTCCTATTATATGGCTAGGCACGTCTGCGTAAAACGGTCAAGTTGAAAAATTGTCTGTAGAGTTAAAAATAGTGCAGTCCTGGCACACTTGGATAAGTAGAAACTCTGTTGCAATATGGTAAGGTTCTGTTGCAGATGGGTCTGTAACAGACTGCAACAAGTTAGGGGATAACAAGGTTAACTTGGCTTTTTAACGTCTTAGCAAAGCAGGATGTTATGGACAGATTGCACCCGTAGATACTCTTCTTCTCTTTAATTACTTACCACGCCATATACTGTCGGCCTGCTTTCGTTAGCAAAGGTCGTGTCTCCGCCTTTAGTTGATTCTACAGGCTCTAGGATTACTTCCCTACGCTAGCTAGAGTATTTCATGCACCCGTTGCACGACGTATTTTAATTTGTAGAATGTAATCTAAACAAAAAGTCGTCCTAGCTAGATTGCTTGTTGAATTCAAATCTAGTTAATACCTAGCTTAGCGGCAAAGGTTTGGGATTAGAGAACGGCTACCTTAATCCTTAGGATATATGGCGCTGCATGAGGATAAACCGCGCCTTTAACTTTGTTCGCTCTTGTCTCTAGGCAGTGTTACCTAGGAAGCCGCGCCTAGCACAACCCACTTCAAATTAGCTTATTGATCATTAGGCTTCCCTACTGCTTCATTTCCTTATCCGCCTGCGCTTAGATCCTTTCCTACCCGCAAGCGACAATCATCTAAGATCTCGTCTAGCTACGGCTTTACCTAGCCTTAATCACTGTTGCAACTCCTTGCCCCTGCAAGTGCGGCTTCTAAACATAAGAGGAGGATGTTTTTGTTGTAGATAGTTGGCCGCATATACTTGTAGTTTCTTTTGAGTCAAATAACAAGCAAGGATGCGAGCGGTACAATTAAGATCTCTAGGTCAATTCTAGGGTTCTGCAGTCCGTTTCATCCGCTCTCGTTCAAACAGCTCATTATACTGTTGTGGCTTTGCTCCATACCTTAGGCCTAGGCAAATCTGCTTACATGACAGCATCAATCTACATTAGCGGTAAAACATGGGTTCACTTTAACGGCAACATGTCTCCTCCGGTTAGGCTTTAGGAGGAAGAACATTACCTAGCTTCTATAACCTATTGTGTAATGGCTTTGTACAAAGAGAGCGAATGATATAGAGGGAAGAAGCACGGAGTTTGAAATCAGTCTAGTTAGTTGAAAATAGTGCAGTCCTGGCACACTTGGAGGAGTTGCAACTCTGTCGCAATAAGGTAAGATTCTGTTGCAGATAGGTCTGCAACAGATTACAACAAGTGAGGGGATGACAAGATTAGCTTGTCATCCTAACGCCTTGGCAGAGCAGGATATTCTAGACAGATTGCGCCCGTAGATACTCTTCTTCTCTTCAATCAATCAATCACTACGCCATATACTGTTGGCCCGCTTTCGTTAACAAAGGTCGCGTCTCCACCTTCGGTTAATTCTACAGGCTCCAGGGTTACTTCCCTACACCAGCTAGAGTATTTCATGCACCGTTGCACGACTTATTTCAACTTAGTTAGGACAACTTTCATAAGGTTTGAGTCGTATAAAGATAAACTAATACTGTCATTAAATCATAGATCTTCGGTGCCAATTTGTCTTAAGCAATTCCTCTTCCTCGTCGCCTTATTATTTTCTTTAGCAATCTGTCATCATTGTAGCAATCTGCTAGACCCGGCCTTCTCTACCCTTCCATCACTTAGAATCCTTCTTGCCCTTTGCCTTCTACTTAGCTAGTTGACATTCCTGGCACAACCACTTTTCCTGGTTCTTGAACTAGAACAACTTCCTAACGGTGTCGGCGTCGTAGTTACTACACTCTACGTAAGCATCGTGGCTTGGTCTCGATTCTAGACAAACTACGAGCGGGCGTCGTAAACGGTTCGTACACACCTAGGCGCGGAGCGTCTCGTGCCAATTGCCGCGGATCTAACCGTTGTCCTCCATAGCGTTAGTACACTAGGACACAGTGCAAGTCGTGTCGGCTTTCGTGATGTCGTGGTAGCTTCTTGACCTGATAATGGGCTGTAGGATGCCATCGTTGGTGTCTGCCGAGTACTTGCAGGCCTAACAAATCCACTGAAGAGTCGTGGCGTTGAAGTAGTGTTGCCCTGCATGGAAATAATTGCCGCAGCTTTCTACTAGACAACTGACACGGTTCAGGTCCGATTCGAACCGTGGTCCTTGGCTCGCGCCAAGCTAAACCACCTATTTAGCCTCTTCGAGCCTCGCGCTCCTTCTTCTTTCCTCGTCCTATAGCTTGTTAATTCAATGTCATCAACTGCGCATCAGTCCTTGTCATTCTATAGGACCAATACTGACCACGATCCGTGTCAATGGCCATCGCACGCGCGCATCTATCGCATCGCTTTAGGCCAATTCGACCGACGGTGCCACGCAAGTATTCCCTTCGGAACCACAGTCACCAGAACCAGAGCCACACGGTAAGTCTCATTACAAGCACCTTAGAGAGCTCCGAGTCCTCGCACCTGCTTCCAACAAGCGCTGCGCGTCACTTTGAACTCGCCCTCCTCAGAACCATCGAAACCATCGAACTGCGCCAGCCAGAGCGCCATCCTCAGAACCATTGACCACGAGGCAGCATCTCGTCAACTGCGGCACCTTGCGCACAACAACACTCACGAGCTGCGCGCTTCACTTCCTCTTAGATCCATCGCACAACAAGCCTCTCCAAGAGCCTTTCAAGACCACGCGCTCGCGCCTCTTCAAGAGTTCCTCAGATCCACCGAACCAAGACCCCTTCTACACGCATCATCGAGACCTGGATCCGTCGCCAAAATGACCGATTCATCGCTTCTCGGCGCTCTCGAAGACCTCCACATCGACGGCCACGACCGTCGCGCCCTTCACCCATTTGAACGCACCAATTACAAGAGCCAATTGGCCACCACAAAGAGCCCTTCTTAGAGCCCTCAGAACCAGACCCTTCTTCAAGACCCTCGCACCAACAACGACGAGCTCGCTCAGCTGCGCGCGCAGCTCGCAATTCGCGACCGCCAGCTCGATCAGCTCAAACTCTAACTCCAGCTCCGCGGTGCTTCGCGCTCATCGAGCCGCCGCTCTAAGTTGAGCTCTCGTTCACCTTCACCTTCGCCTCTACGCCTCCAAGGCCGTCGCCCTTCGCCCTCGCCTCATTAGGCCGCTCGCCGCGCCTCCTCGCCTTCGCCAGTCCGCGTTCCTGATCCACCTGAGTTCGACAACAAGATCCCCTTCGCTCCATGGCTCGTCAAGATGAAGCTTAAGCTCAACATGGAACTGTCTCACGTCAACGAACAAACCAAGATGGACTACATCCTCTCGCGCACCTCCGGCTCCGTCTTCGAGCGCCTCCTCGTCCGCGTCCCTGGCCACGGCCACGACCACGGCCGTCGCCCTGATCTCGTGTTCAAAGACTCCGCGGATTGCCTCTACCAATTCAATGAGTGGTACAGCGATCGCCATCGCGAGTCTCGTGCTTACACCGACTTCGAGCTCCTCCGCCAACGCGCCGACGAGTCGTTCGGAGACTTCTACACACGCTTCCAAGACCTCGTCGGCTACCTTAACCTTCCAGAGAGCCTCCTTGTTCTTAAGCTCAAATACAAGCTCAACGACCGCTTCGGTTACTACATCAACGACGGCAAAATCTACGCCTCCGTGCGCGAACTCGTTGACCGTGGTGACCGCCTCGATGCTGACATCCACCTTCTTCCCGACGACCCCTACACTACTGACGACGACCACGACCACGACTTAGGCTCCGAGGCCTCTCACGACTCGCACGAATCTCACGACTTCGTGGCGTCTGCGTTGGAGGCCTGCTGCTTTAGCTGGTATGCGTCCTCTATGGTCTATGGGCGAGATCCGTGTCGCTTCTCGTACGCCCATTGTCTGTCATTGTAGCGGTATGTTTCGCTGACGACAAGGGTTTCGTCCACACGCTGTTAATGGACAACGCGGAATTGCTAGGAGCGAAGGCTTGGTTCACATCAAAGATGTCATAGGACGGAAGCTTCGTGATGCGGGAAGCTAGGCAATCCTCGGTATCCATCTGAAGACCGAATCTACAGATCATCATGGACTCGACGAGTGTAAACAACGCAGGTTCGGTGTCTTTGCCAGGTGCTTCCCATGAGACGAGTCCAATGGCGTCACAGTCTAGCTCTTCGAGAAGCTGGTAGAAGGGTAAATTTCTTTCTGGCCGGGTGCTGCGTGCAGTTTCATGGGTGTTCGTCCTTGTCTTGATACCACCCTTGTTCTTTCTCCACTTACCACTATACATGATCCATTTGCGTTCGGCACGTCTGCCGCGACTTGATCTTCTTAAACTAGCAACGGTTTGCAAAGGCAGAGCGATTAGTGATGTTTGCTTGAAGGTCGAGGGGCAACCAATAACAAGGTGTAAACCCCGCTTGCCCTAGGTTGGTCCGACAACAAGTTATGGTTTCTACATGACGGCATTCTAGTCGAGCCAAGTACACCTTATGCTCACTGGCAAAATGGTGTTTATAGAACGTGACATCCGCACCATGAGTGAAAGAGCATCTGCAATGATTTAAATCATTTCAGTAGGTGGTCACATCTCCATGATCATTGGCGAGCGTTCTAGTGAAACGTATGGTCAGATCATCCTTCTAGCATCTCTATGGCCAGAGGCAGTCCGTCAGGCAGTTTGGCACAAGAACAGATCTCCTTTAAAGGCCCTCAAACTCAAGAAGACTCTATAGGAAAGCTCTCTATGACGCTAAACCCGAATTAGGCAGAGAAAGAGTCTAGAGGAGCGGAACTTATGTTACTGTACCACCGGAGAAAAGAACTGCTCAAACCTTCACTAAGCTTTACGCCAGAAGAGCTACTAGTGCCTGTTTTGTTGGTCGTGAGAGTGAATCGTATGGAGGCATCTAACGTCTAAGCATCCACCGTCTAAGCATCCACCGTCTAAGCATCCACCGTCTAAGCATCCACCGTCTAAGCATCCACCGTCTAAGCATCCACCGTCTNTCCACCGTCTAAGCATCCACCGTCTAAGCATCCACCGTCTAAGCATCCACCGTCTAAGCATCCACCGTCTAAGCATCCACCGTCTAAGCATCCACTGTCTAAGCATCCACCGTCTAAGCATCCACTAACTGCAAATACGTAACCTAAGCTTCATGAACAACAAAATCCTGTGTTGCATAAGCATCCTTACACTTACCTACCTAAAGGTTCTTGTTGTCGATTCCGAGAGCCCCGCGCGGATGATGAAGCTTTAGATGCTAAGCAGCAACCTGCACCCATCGAATCAAAGGTTTTCAGTAGTCGTGGAGTTTAGATGGTAGCGAAGAGAAAGCGGCAAGCCATCACTAAATCGCCTACCGACGACGGAAACAAGAGATTAAGGACTTCTAAATATCTTAATTAGTTCGGGGTTGCTAGTCAATTCGTTGAAGAACCGGCATATCCTCTCCTTTCAGATCTTGACAGCTTAGACGAATACAAACCAGTTTCCGAGCCGGATTCCGTATCTGATCAGAAGCGACACATGTCACTGGATCCTCCTACAAAACCTACTACACAATAGCTGTGTTTGTCTTTGCGGCCACCGATACCTAAGCAGAAACAACAACCATCATCTATCTAAAGCACTTCTTTAAACTTTAAGGATAAAACATCAAGACTAGTGAATCGAAAGCTGCATCGAGAAGGTCACCAATCTAATGATGAAGATGTGCCCTAGTCTGATTTTGAGGTTGACAGTTACGAGGCAAATGCCTGTAGTCAACATTTCAAGCAAGGTATCAAGTGCGAGTGGATCGAAAGCAGCAAGAAGTGCTGGCAATGCGAAAGGTACAGAAGGCCATGAACTGCTCGCATGCCAACTAACGTCTAGGCTTCCTCTAGATTCGACCTTCGCAACAAAAAAGGCGAAAGATAGACAATCGAAGGTCAGCTGCCAGAAAACGAGTAATGCGGCGCGTGTGTAAAGAATCGAACGCGATGTTTTCGAACAGAAGGAAGGACGTAGTGCGACACTTGCCACAAGCATAGAGATATCGTGAAACCAAATTACTGGTGCCTCTAAGATTGAGTGCTCGAGACATCGTCCCATGCGCAGACTCGTGCAAGAAATGACAGTCTCAAAGACGTAGAAGCAACGGCAAGGACCCTTGCAACTAGTTCACTGAAAGGATCGTTGCCTACCAGTACAAGGTTCCTTTTGAAGATCAATATCATCGGTGCAGGACGGGAAAACACACACGTGATCACGACAAGCCATGCAGAAATGTCAATGGTGGACACACCTGTGTTCCTTCTGCCCTCGAAGTGATTGCTATAGAAAGTATATCGTCCACCAAATGAGAGTCCGCATGAAGCGGGCCCGGACAGAACATGTAGGCTCTGCATCAAAGCAGGTCGCGACTGTGTTCGATCAAAATCAGGCGAACCATGCTGGAACTGTGTAGGAGATAGTCAGATCCATAATTGCATCGTCGATCGTGAGGACGCTATCATTCACCGTTACAGCATCGCACCTTACTTCATTGACGGAAGTGATAACGTTGCTCGACATTTGAATATTGAGCCATATTGGAATCATCACAGAGAAGGGCCATACAATCTTCTGAAGGGACAAACCACAAATCGGCTTACGTCGAAGTCGGAGTCGAGCTCAGATTCAAAAGGTCCCACTGCACCTCTTCCTAGTCAGGATCGTCGGCCTACTAACCTGAAGAAGCACTCTTAAGGAGATTATGACGACGACCAGGCCTTCTAACATGTCAAGAGCTGCAGAACCGAATACCTCCCCGTGTGCTAAATTTTGTCACTGACACTGCTGTCATCGATCCATACTCTACTATCACTCTCTGCTATATCTACAAACCTTGACAAACAACGCCCGCACCCCTTTCTTTCTTCGCCCATCGGCATCGTACCTTGCTGCATCGCTACTTCAACTACAACACTGTCTAGCGGATCGAAAGGTGGTATTAGAATGCAAACGTTGTACCTCTAGGTCTCGACTCATCTAACGAAACTCTTATGAAGCTTACGTCTTCACCCGAGAAAGCGAAAGGCTTTCGGGTGTTCCTACCGAGTCGAGTGTACGTTAAGGACAGTGATGGCATTGCCCTTCTCCAGATAAGACAATCAAGATGGAGGGGAAGATGGGTACATAGACTAAACGTACTTATTGAAACTGGCTACAAGCTGGCCGGGACTTCCGCTTCGGCTACATACAGAGTGACGGCCTTTTAGAGATTGAAGTTTGACGTGACTATAGACAACTTGGCCAGCGATGGCAAGCCGGTCACTCTTAAGATACATCAGCAGAGGGCGATGAAGTATGAGCTTGATACAACAGAAATTCTCGTAGTCCTGGCCTCAAGAATCAGATGGATAAATGGAGAAGTATCGCAATGCCCTGTCCGCGGGCTGTGCTCTAGCGATGGGGTGGATCTTGTGTCAAATCGTGTAAGTACTTGGTGGTAGCTGACATTGTGATAGACGTAGTCGCGCTCCATGTATTCTTGAATCACGTTTCGGCCGGCTGCACACTCTTGACCCCCGACGGAGAAGGATTGGTTTTGTTGTAAGGCAAATTTGCAGTCGACGGGGATGACGGTGCGTGAGATGTTGACCAAGCGAGGTGAGAAAAGCATATGGGCGATCTCGTGACCAGAGTAGCTGCGCTCAGCGATGAGCTTGTTCATCAGCTTCGCAGTTGAAAATGGGAATGGGCGTGAGCTTGAAACTTTGGGTAGCACGGAGCATGTCCTAGTATTGAGGATCTCTTACTCCATCCTTGGTACAGTACTCAGAGAGGTGATTGAGCAGAGCTTGAAGGGAGGTGCGAGGAGTGATGTCAGTGTTGGCCAGCCGTCCAAGGCTTATGGTTCTGTTGTAACGGTTGAGGAGAGGGTCGTTACACTCAGGGTAGAACATGAGATGAGCGGCACTTCTCTGAGGGTTCTTGATGACAACAGGTTGATCCTTGATCTCTGAGATCGTGAGAAAGGTGGGAGCGGCGACTGACAATTCCGGTTCTCTTGTTCTCACAAAGGCAGTAGGTATTGCTGCACTTCTGAAGCTGGGCACGCCGGTGGAGTTGAGCCAGGTTTGAATAGTCTAGACCTTGTTGTTCGTGACGGAGAAGCATAGGAGGTTGTTCATCGGGAGGGGCCTAGCGAAAGCACTCAGGGTTGTCAGCAGAAACGTGGATGCCCCATTGTTGAGCCAAGAGAGCAATGTTGTTCAAGTCTAGCTCAGGTTGGCCTTCAATTCAGACAAAGCCATACCTATGTGGTGAGCTACGAGCTTGCAATTAGTAACGGTCAAAGTAGTCGACAACGCGGGACTTGGGCGTGATGGCGTTTTCCATGAAGACAGTGAAGCGATGACGTAGCGGTATGCGGCAATTTGGGCTTTGTCGTGGATGTTGTCTCGTGCAATCTTGATCTTGCCACCAGTGTTGGCAGCCTTCCATTCTTCGTAGCGAGGCATGTGGCGCATAAGGGAGTCCTACCAGCAGTCAGCGGCACTGAAGGCCAAGTGACAAGAAGAGGGCGGGGACACCAAGGGCTCTAACCATGGCCTCAAGTTTTGGACGTTGGCCGTTCCAGAAGAGGTGAGTACCGGTGAGAGTGCCAGACCATGACTCCATTGTCTTTTGCCGTTGTTGTGTCTTTGACATAAGCTCTCATTCATCTCATGATCTAACTCAATCTGGCGAACACGAGAAGCATTGATTCTTTGTCTTCCTTTGATGCTTGTCCAGCCATCTTTGTTCACCAACACCACTGATAGCAAAGCCCTTGTTTGTTTAACAGTGACAAAGGAAAATTCTCTTTGAAGATGCTCTTGAGAAAATGTACTTAATCACCGCACGCTTCCACTTTCCGTCAACATTATCAGTGAATCAATCAAACTTGACAGGACTCAAGACCACCCAACCACGAAACCAGACAACCTCAACATAATTCTATCAAGATGCTCGACACAATCACTTACTTGCTCTGTGAGCGCTCAGTTGGTTCCCTCATTATCCTCATCGACATCGCCATCTTCCTCTGGTATTTCGTCCTCGTCCCTCTCTCCCCTTCTTGTACCCTCTGTAACAAGAAGACTTCAACAGTCTCTCTCCCTTGCGGTAACTGCTTCTACTGCCCTTCCTGCCTCAACTCTCACGTCGCCCACTCTTGTGCTGACCCCTCTCGCTGGCCGATCCGCTGCTGCACAACTCAACAGATCCCTCTCCGCTTCATCTCTCAACACCTCACTGCTAGTAACCTCTCTCTTGCTGCAAGAAGAATTGGCAGCTGGGGTGTTCCTGCCTCTCAAACGCTTTATTGTGCTGACCCTGCTTGTACCACGCCTATTGCTGCTAACACTCTGTTTCCTGGAAGGTGGGTCACTTGTGGAAACTGTCATTCGCTGACTTGTACTAGATGTAGATCATTTGGTCACGTTGATGAGTGTAGAAGTGACCACTGTACTATTACCTAAGCGCCCTTCCTTGATTGCAACTGGAGATCTGCCCAGGACTTGCTATCCTGCCTATCCTTACGATTGATGTCTGTGACACGGTCTGCAAAACTCCTAGATTGCCTTTTGCGACGTCTTTGACAGAGCTCGCCGCTCTCCTACTCTGCTATCTTTACAATGGCGTTTTTGGAGTCTAATAATGTCATATTTTGTCCTTATCAAACATTTGCCCCATTGCCTGTGACTAAAATTATGGTTTCTGCCTCTATAGATCTATACGTCGTGATAAGATGAATGAAACCCGAGCTCTCAATGTTATATACCCATTACCAAGCCGGCATTTTCTCAAATGGGCTATAATAACCCAGATATCTTGTAACAAACGTGTGCGGGCTTTGGCTGATTGAGTGCAGAACAAAACACATCATTGATGCATCTAGACATCTCCACCGATGTTCAACAGTAAAAGTCTCTAGTGAATTAATGTCGGTGATGACAATCATTCTGATAGAAGAGCATGTCTTTACACGTAAAAAGAAAGAGATGAAAGATGTGGTTCGAGTTGATCTGTTCAAGAAGAAGCAACCAACATATACTATTCGTTCACAGCAGGCAGACCAGATTATATATGGAAGAGGGCGTTGCTAGAGACAGTGACCATCGTCATCATCATTCTTCTATACAACATTGCCAACCGTCATGCCTCCTTGAGTTTGATCAGGGTTTCCCATGTCGAAGAACTCATCTAGCTGCACAGTACATCATGCGCTCAACGAAGAATCAGCGTGTAGATGCTTTTGAAGGTTACTGTTTAGTCCATGAAATTCCATGCTCTGGAAGTGCAGGTGGAGGACGAAGTGTGATAATAGGAGAAGTACCTCTCTTGCGCTTGGTACCTTACGAACCACCGCAGCATGCAGGGCACTGCTTGGTAGGAGAACGGTCAGCGAATCTGTGGACGAAACCACTCGAAGGCTTGGTTACACCGCACTTTAAACACGCTCGGTTGCATTCGGGCAAGTCGACAGCGTCGGGGGTAGGGGCAGGTCGAGAGAAGGGCGGTTCGGAGCATTGCCTCCCCTACTAGGAGTAGCAAGAATATCGGCCATGCAAGTAAAGCAAGCATCCTTTAGGATCGTAGGTCCGAGTCATGGTCTGCGCGTTGACGAAGTGTCATATGTTCTTCTGTAACCACAGAGCCTTTTCAGGCATGAATTGGCGACGGAGATTATGGTGCAGAAAGTCTGTAACCGTAGTCACTGACATTGTTCGCAAGAGTCGAGACGCAGACTTTTTGAGAAGTTGAACAATAGCGTGAAGTACCAAGGCAAGAGTTGATCAAGTTGATTGATTTTTGTTACTTTTATCTACTCATCAATTCATATACAATGCGTCAATTATACAATAGTTGAATATAGTTCTTTTCCCCTTACAAAACCACCAACTCCACGCTCTCTCGAATAAAACATAAGCTAGATTTTGTTGTCCGCCTTTTCTCTTGCATGCCTTTTAGAACTGTTTTTCTCCTTGCTCTTTCCGTCCCGCCTCAATCAAACACAACCTTCCGAGTCTTCCTTGTCATCTTGTTTCCAAGGTGCCGCTCTGAACGAGAAGACAAACCAATTTCCAAAGCTCTCTGTCGCCGATCCCTACCATACAATGCTCTCTTCCGACGTCCGAACGACGACTAGCACAGACTCTGTCCTTCATTCCTGCTTTAGAGCCCGCGGCGCGTGTTGTGCCTATCGTTTTCGACAATTCAGCAAGAGATTCGTGCCTATCGTTAAGGGAATCCAGAGAAGAGTATCCTACCTAGCATCCTCGCAGGTCAGATGATTTGCTGCTCAGGTGGGCAGTGTACCTTCCTCCTCCTCGAGGTCGCTGTCCTCGTCGAGATCGGCGCCGTGTTCGTCGTCGGTCCATCCGGATTGGTAGCCTTCGCTAGCTTCTTCGGCCTCGTCGGAAATGTCTCTATCATACTCTTGTGCTTCTTCCGCTAACAAGTCTCCAGCGTAGCCTTGCAACTCGTCTATCGATACACCTCCCACCTCATAAGTTGTGTCGCCTGGGAGCTTCCACTCAGTGTCTCCGAATGCCTTGGGACCGTTTTTGCATTGCTTGGGTTTGTTGGCGTCGTAGCCGTTATTGTTCGGTCTATCGCAACCTACAAACTTGAATTTGCGGTATTTGCAACGCTTGAAAGGATGGGTCGCTTTTTTGTGTTGGTTCTCCGGAAATTTGTTTGTCCAATTGACACTCGTGTCGCGCTTGCAATGGTTTCCACGTGTCTTGCGGCTTCTCTTGCAGGTTTTCCAGTAGTCACCAGACTGGTACAGGCCGGTAACGTTCAAAAACTGGAACATGGTATCGGGATCGTTGCCCGTCCAGGAATTGGGGCTTCTGGACCCTAGACTTGAAATCTGGCTCTCACTATTACTGCGCGACCACGGAAGAGCCGCCGCCATGCAAGGGAAGTTACGGCCGCGTTTTGTGTTGATGGCAGATATGGCCTGGCCACCGGGCGAATAGAGGATTGGAAGATTGAACAAACCATGTGCTATGCCGCCATCTTTAATTTGGTTGGCGCTGAAGAAATTGTCGACCATATCGGCCTGCTCAGCTTCCCCATCGACGTTGTAGCCATGGTATCGCGAATACACATAAGATGCCCGCACAACGTCCTCTAATGTGAAGCCGGTGAATTCCTTGAGAAATTGGTAGCCGAGGGGTCCTCTAATGAGACATGATCCGGGGGTGCCCTCGCGAATGTGTGTTTTTGTAAACACATAGAAGACGTAATCGGGCACCTCATCTAAACAAACTCGCAAAGGCCGGTAGCCTCGCTTGTCACTTGCGCAGCCGCCTTTAGCATCTGCCATGACGATGTATGTCCTCTCGGTGTTCCAGATGTTGGAGATATAGGAAGCTGTCCACACATTGCGAAGCTGTTTGTTCTGTTCGGGTGTGTAAACAGTAGTCGTATTGACGTATCTACCAGTCTCGACCATTTGAGCGAGGCTTGATTCGCTTGAATTTGGGGAAGAATATTCGCCGCCAAGGAAAGAAAGCATTTGTTGGTCGAACGTGTCTGTTACTAGCTCATGGTTCTTCTTTTGAGCTTTACCAAGCAAAGCCGACATCTTGGAGACATAGTCTTTACCCTCCATGAAGTCTGATCCAAAGGATATAGCGGCAACAGCGGCGCTACCGATGAGGCCGGTTTGAGCGGCAAAGACAGTCATTGACGCCTTTGAAACCGTCAAGAGGCCGAGTATTGCTATCGACTCTCCGGCTGCACCAGCGGTCAAGACGGTTGCGATGGCAGAAGCAAGCAGTGCAATCGTAATGACGATGTGGCTCACGATCTTCCAGTGCTGATCATGGTCCGCTTTGTGTTGTTCGATATTCTTTCCGTCCGAGAATTTTTCCATGAGAGTTGCAAGATCACCTCTGACTTCCAGCCATGCCTTTTCATTGGCTTCCTTGATTTCGAAAGCCATGTTGTGGTAGTTTGAGACGGATTCCAAGGTCCAGTAAGCGTTGAACTGGTCGTCCGGATCTTGGGTATCGTCGACAAATCGACAGGAGACGGGAGAGCACGACTTAGAGAGCTTGCAATCGATGACTGACTCTGCCATGTCGGGGGCCCATTTGTGATGGAACCAACTCCAGAAGCGTTTGTCGGCGCCGGAGAGATTTGAGTTTTTCCACTCATCATATTGACCCTGGGCCCAAGGGCCAACAGTCTCTTTGGCATCCTTAGGTTTTAACGCGCCTTCTTCGCGAATCCTGTCGCAAAGACCAGAGTTACCGGCTAATGCCAGGGCACACGAGGAGCAAATGACGGTTGTAACAATGGGAACACGCATGTTGCGTGCAGTTGGTTGTGCAGATGTCGAGTATGGTTGAACGCGCAAGATCTTTGTATCTTACAATGTTGCAGGGTGTAGCGAGGACTAAATAGTCAAATGGTCGCTCAACAGACAAATGCAGGGGCCGTATAGGCACACTGAAGCTTGTACCTAGGATCCATACTGCTAATGGCCGTTGTTGATCGATCTGCAGTAGACGAAACAAGACATCAACAGGATGCCGCTGATCTCTTTCAAAAGGTGGGTGGAGCACTGGTGGAGAAGCGGATGACGAGAGACTCAAGTTTGGAAGCCGGCCGACACAGACTTCTTTCAGTGGCTCGGTGACTCGGGACGTGGCAGAAAGAGTAAAGAAAATCAGCGCGTTGCTATTGCTGTCGCTGCATTGAGTTCAATAACCACCTCTTCGCAAGCCCATTGACTCTGTGTAGCCGTCGTCAGGGTCTGACATCGAAAGGTAGATATCAATAGTTGGAGGGTTGTGAGCTGATGCTGTAAAGGCAACTCCACGTGAGTCCTAAAGCTTCTCGGGAACAAGAGTTGCAGATCCAGAAGGCTTCGGGGGATGGGTCGCCCAAGCAGGAAACCCGAAGCATGAAGCATTATCCCTCGTTAATGATCGTCAAAGCCAGAGGAACAATGAGCTTGTTTTGAGGATAGACGTTGCGTTCAACGGCTCAATGCAAGTGGATGAATGTCAGATCTCCATCGTGAAGCGGGGAAGAGTTGTCCATCAGAAGCGGAGACGGCGCCGCATTCCAGTGAATAGCTTGTTGCAGATGGTACGACAAACCAAACTGCCTTGATGCTTTTGTCACACGAGAGGAGAAGTGGACTTGTTGGGGGTCTTCGGTCTCGTATTCATCCTCCGTCGGTCGAAAGATGCCTTCGGGGGACTGGGAAGACGTCATGGTTGAGGGAAAACGCGGTTCGTTTGATGGTGCAACATTTCCGGAAGCATATTCAAAAAAACGCGTTGCCATTTTCTTTCCGCGGTTGGGTGGGTGGCACGATCAAGCATACCGTGGAGGCAGTATGAGAATCCTTGGACAAGATAGTCACGTTTCACCCGTCAATCGCGAAATCAAGAAACAGCTCCGATGATTTGAGACTGAATAAAATGGGGACGATGCTTCGCGCTTCATACTTTGCAGCTAGAGATGTTCATGGATGGATATGGGCTGGATAAGGCTCTCTATCCAATCTAGTCCAATTGCTAATGGATAGACTGGATATTGTCTAGTCTATCCATAGATAATCCATAGATAGAGATGGATAAGTTACCGGATCGGGTAATTCAAGGGGTCGATTCAAGAGTTGGTTTTTAGGCGAGCTAGTAGAGCCTTTAGGGTGGTCAGATATAGCCTTAGGTCGACTTCAGAAAACTTTGATTTTACTTATTTAAGCATTATAACCTCTAGCAACTTAGCTACCTCGTCGTCGTCGTTCTCCCCTTATATAGTTGTTATTTCCTCCTCTATCTAAGAGGCGAAGACTGCTATAGTCACTATGTCGCCCTTTAGCTAATTCTTTAAACACTAGGTCTCTATAATACTGTCGTCTTTAAGTAGCCCTCGGTGCGGTCGGACTATAAGGCCGGCGGAGCTAAAGGTCCTCTCTAGATCATCTAACATTGCAGGTATTATAAAGATGTCGATAGCGAGGCGCGAGAGGCGAGGCTACTAAGAACTTGCGTGTTTAGAAGTCTAGTACTTAAGAGGTCGATATATGTCCTTTACTTGCGCGCGCTCGATCTATATAGCGTACTTATTAAGTTCCACCTCTTACTCTAACTCGTTATCCTTATCGTCACTCTAGAGAAGGTTTAGTTAATCGGTGCGCTACTATAGCTAAGCTTAAGCTCGAGTTAGTCGTTACGGTAGAGGGAAAGTTAAATAAGGCTACTAGAGAGCGCGTATACGGTTATTAGCGGCCGTAAGCTAGTCCTCTCGATAGTACTACTTCTTCTTTAACTAAGACTAGTTATAGCGAGGGTAGAGGATAAGGGCTACGACGTACGCTGCTAAGAGGTTAGTCTTCGTATAATACTTTATAAGCTTGCCCCATCTAAGGTTAATGTTAGTATAGAGGATCTGCCGGTCGCGACGAGGGTCTACTTCCTCTAGTATTTTAAGAGGTCCTTAAGAGGGATAGGCTTACGAGGTGTCTTATAAAGGCGTAGGGAGTGCCTCGAAGGGTGCGCGTGTAGAAGGGGTAGTTATAGTCGTGTTTCGAGATAGTCGCTTCCTCTAACCCGACTTTATACTAGACTTGCCTAACTTTGTACTAGGTTTGCCTAACTTTGGACTAGAATTGCCCGGTATCGTACTCGGAAGTTCCGGATCAAATGTAGGCCTTTATAATGGATCTTAAGACTCTTTAATGGTAACGTTAAGTGTTTCTAATGGTAGAAGGACCTTATAATAAGCTCGGAGACTCTCGAAGAAGGTAAGTAGACCCTTAAAGCATAGGATAACCTGCTAGATAGATCTATAGCTACTACCGTCGCTATGGCCTTATAAGCGCTAAGTTGCTTGCTTAAGTAGCTTAAGCAGCTTTATAAGCTCTATAATCATTGACTAGTCATTAGCAGTTAAGTAATCATCGATAATAGCTAGTTGTTCTAGTAGCTTTTAGGAGCGAGTTCCGCCATCATAATTCGCCTTAAGCTTGTACCACTTCCGGAGCTCCTTATCTAGCATTCCTTTAATAGGCCCTCGCTGCTCGATAGCACGCTTAAATAAGTTAAAAGCAGAGTTCTAGCGCGTAGTATTGTTACGGATGAGCTCGTACATTAGTAGGCCGAGCCTTAGCTACTACTCGTAGAGACGCTCTCGGTTAGTAGAGGAACGACAGATCTATATAATAACGTTGTGCAATTTGCTAGGGGGGCCTCGCTTTCTAAACATTTAAAGGACCTTAAGAGCAATAGCATCGGCATTAGTGTCGACTAAGCTATCGTCCTCGGGCTCTACCGCCTTCTTGTCCTAACCCTATAGCATAACTTTAGCGATAAGATTAATGATATGACCGGCGCACCGCAGTCGCCTTTTGTTATAGCTAAACTAAAGGCGTATAGCAAGCTCTTCTATATAGGTGTTGTTCGGATAAGCGTTATCTAATACGAAGTAGCCGATGCGATCCGAGGTAATCCTAAAGCTATTAAAAACTTCTATAATTCCTATAGCAATATTGACGCCAGAGTAAGGGCTAACCTAACGAGGTAATGCTAGCAGTAGACTCTTATATTTGCCCTTATAAAGGAAGTAGATGTAGATGCTATAGAAGGCGACCATCTTACGCGAGGTCTAGATGTTAAAGGAGCAATAAATCTTGCTTTAGCTAGTGTCGATAGCTTGCTATATAAGTGGCAAAGAATTATGATATCTAGTCTTAATCTAGCGCCGGATAGTGATGCGTCCTAGCATGTAGTTAAAGCGCTCTACTGCAGGTTGTAGATAGCTAAGTAAGGCTCTAAACTGTAAGGAATCGACCGCTTAGAAGGCTTAATTATCGTGTATAACCTAAGTGATTAAGAGGCTTCGGAATTCTGCTAGATTAAAGCGTGTATAATACTTGTTAACGGCCTCTATAAAAGTCGGTTGCTCTGCAACTACCTACGTAATAGTTCTCTTAAGTGTTTCCTTCTCTTATATAATGCTATGCTTCGACTTAAGGTGCGCATAGATGCTTATAGTTCCGGTGCTAGAAGGGAAGGGTTTAAGGCTATAGGATCTTTTAACATAGCAGCGTCGATAGAGCTAATAGATCTTATCGGTATCGTAGTTAGCGATGCGCTAACTATGGTCCTAGATAGGGCTATTACCTTTGCCTTTGCTACCTAGTGTAGGACCCTATCGTCTAGTAATGCGGCTCTAGTCTACGTCCTTATAATAGTCGAGAAATGGTAGTAGATCGGAGGGCGTTATGTCGGCGACATTGCTCTAAATTCGAGAGTCTCCCGATGTAAGGGTAGTTCTTATAGAGTCTTCGCTTACGAATAAGGACGGTATAGAGGAGGGTATAGAGGAGGAGGACTAGGGTTAAGATAGCTAAGATAGCTAAGAAAAGAGGTCCCGAATGGTAAATTATAATATCTCGACGCGCGAATCGCAACTTTTAGAGCGACGGATAGGGGCGGCCATTGCGAAGGCATTTATAATCTAATTTTAATGGTTAGAGCGTGAAATAGCAGGGAATTGTCCAATTCAAACGTTAGGAAAAGCTAATAGCTTAAGTAGAGCTTGTGGTTGTAGTGTTTAGAGGTGGCGCGTGTTTGTTAACAAAAAGGGAAGTTTAAAGCTAGAGTTAGATAGATGTTGTGATTCAACTTTGGGGGACGGTTGTCTCCGGGTTATCTAATCTATCTGATGTTTCCTAATTGGGCTAGCATCTGGCCTAATGGGGTAACTCCGGGGCGTCTCCAGCCAATCTAATGGATCTATGGATATGCCCAATGGGTATCCACCCGTTTATCCATCCATGGATAAACGTTGGATAGGAACGATAGATCCAATCCATTGATATCCACTGGATGATATCCAGTGGACTGGATATGGACATCCATCCATGAACATCTCTGTTTGCAGCATAACATGGAGGTCTGGCGCAACTGACAAGGTCCCAAGTGCACGACCGCGCAATGCTGAGAGAAGGCTGAATCTGGGCTCCTGCCTCAAGGGCCTTGTCCCGAAATCTCAAGCTCTTGATGGATTTCTTGATTTATCTGGAAAGGATCTTGCATTGTCGTGGCTACATTTGGAAGGGATGGCTGATCTCTGAGATAGCGCATGTCTGCATTTCGTATCACTCTCGCATCAGGGGCATCTTTCGTCTACAAGAACATGGATTTGAGGGCACAGTCTTCCGGCGATCGCTTCATGGCAGGCCATCCATACTTTTCTATTTTTTGTACATCGTCGTTGCAGTCGAGTATAACACAACACCACCTATTGCTATCACTACACCAAGCGCGCTGTATCCGCTGATACCATTACCACTCCAGATCCAGCCGAGTGTCACAATGGTGACGGTCTTGGAGTGACCAACCACGGTACTGGCTACTGGGCCAGCTCCGGCGATGATGGCAAATTGGGAAAGATTGAGGAGACATGCGCATAGACCGCTCTGTTTTGTGTCAGCCTGTGCACGGAAGGTTTCCAGCAGGCGGCGCCTACCATCATGATCATGACCCATCGGTATAGCGGTACTTCACCGAACACTGGCAGGGTGTCCACGAAGGGAATCAGATACACGAGCAGTACGGCGCCAAGCAAAGATTGGTTGTGAAGCAACTGTAAGCTCGACATCTGGAGTTTCTGATGGTAGTAGCCGATCCAGCAAGTGTAGATTCCGCTCATGAGAACGCCGCTCAAAGCAAACACGACACCATAGAAGCTTGTGCCTTTCGTCGAAGCGGCAGGTCTGACATCAAAATATGTCACCATAGCCACACCCACGCAGACGGGCACCAGAGCGCAGACGGCCTGTCGCGGGATGGTCTTTTGATACAAGACGTAGTTGAGTAGCGCAGTAATGGGTGTCAAAAGCACTCGGGCTGTCTGATAGAAGGTGATGGACGAGTATGCAAGAGAGAGGTTGGGAAGAATGACATTCAAGCACATGGCACCCGCCAGTGGCAGTATGTCTCTCAGAGCTGCTCTCTTCCTTTCGAAGAACTCAAATCTTGCTGAAGACACCGTGTGCAGGGTGAGGAAAGTGACGATGAAGTGAAAAGTCGCAAAGGAAACCTGGGCGCCACGGAAAGAAGGATCATCGAAGATGGATTTGTTGATGAAAACAATAGCTGTCGTAGCGATGATGTTGATGGCGATCCAGAGCAGAAGTTTCGATGGTCGTTTTGCCGGCGTGGGCGCGTCTCTGCCCTCTTCGTCCAGCTGTTCTTTCTCGTCCAACAGTCCTTCATCTTCCTGGTCATACATTTCAATTTCGGCATCGTGCTCAAAAAATGCGGGGTCTTCGATTCTAGCAGGTGTAGCTGTCGTCTCGTGTATGGCAGCCATCGTCAAGGAATATGTTTACCAGAGGAAGAAGGAAAAATGAGTAAATGAAGGGTACTACCTGCTTCTCAGAACGGAGCTCGAACGCCCGCATAATTCCAGTGGGACGCGACACGAGGGCGCTGTTGCAATTTGCGAAATACTGTTTAGTCTACGAAGGGAGAGATGTCGAATCCAAAGGAGGCGGGGTGTGGAATTCAAGCTCGTCAATTCATTCCTTGCGAACAGTTCCTGTCACAGGTATGTGATCAAAACGGCAAGGGGCTCTTTGAACGTGAATCATTTGTTGTTTGCGCCCAGTCTATCGACGGGAAACTTCTCGAAAACAACGAGGTGCGTCCTCCGAGATTGCGAGAATTGTTACCATTGGTGTTCTCTAGCACCGCATGCCGCTGCCAATGCATGGGGCTCTCAAGGCTGTGGATAATGAGTTTGCTTCTCAACTTTTCGCTTTGTCAAGTCTCGGAAGTTCGCACAGGTTTGTATACTGACCGACGCTGGCCAGAGCATGATGTTGAGTACGCAATGTGTGCCTAAACATTGTCTCTGTCGGGTTTCGAACATGATTCAGCCTCTGATTCATGTCAACATGTCAGGCTCATGCATCTCTACACCTCCCTTGTTGCCTTGAACCCTGTCACACCTATATTTCCTTCTCTCCCCACACCCCATTGATTCTTCTCCTGGTTCTCCACCAACCTGCGCTTCAAACTGATTTCCATGGTTCTTCTACCCTTTTTCCGTCCCTTGAGTCCATCATCATTCCAATCGTAATACAAAGCCCATCTCGGATGGCCCTGCTCATTCCTGTACATTTCCTCCTCGACGGCCAAGAATCCCTCCCATTCATTCAAGGTTATACTCGAATCGATGAATTCGTCCGTCCAGTCCCACGGGCCAACCTTTTTAGTTATACTGCCTGATCGGTTTGAATACTTGAGCTCGAAAGTCTCATTGTCCACGTAGATCCAGTTGAGCATCGGCGGGTCTTTTTGAATAGTTGTGACCAACCCTCGCTCAGCAGGAGATCGGTCTTCATCTGGATACATGAGGTAAAATCCAGTGAATGGATGCGAGTCTTCTCGTCTGGGCAAGCCAGTCGCTCGATTCTTGGCTTCGATCCAGAGTTTGTTGTCGCGGACAACAACTATACTGTCGTGTAGAAGTTCGCCACGCCCTCGTGACCGTGAACCCTCGTCTTCTATGACCACGTCTATGTAGAATTTAGTCGTCCGTGATTCCGGGTTTGCGTTTGCGGCTTTTTCGTTTTCTTTTTGCTGGTGGGAGACTCCTTGTGCTACCCCGGTCACGACGCCGACGCCTGTTGCGGCCGCGACGGGCAGGGAGATGCCCAGGCCCATGATTACGTCGAACACCATCTTGAATGATTGATTGGTCGTGTGGTCGAATCTGTGATTGGAAGTACTGCGTGATAGGAGTGTAGGACCAGTTGATCTCGATATCTGCGGTTGATGCGAGATTCTGAGCGACGTCACCAACGTGGAAACATGAATTCTTGGCGAGATTTCCAGGTTTCTGAATGTGGGGTATGGATGGGTCGCCGAACAACACACCCTGATCGATGTAAGGTTGCTTGCGCGACTTGGCAAGACGCGTGTTGTTTGATACAGAGAACATCATGGTTCAGTAGCGAGGACCGACAACGCGAGCAAAGACCAGAGTCTGGCAAACCCTGTGATCATGGAAAGCGAATCATCACAAAACGTCTTGGATGTCGCTGAGAAGCCGAATTTTGGAAGTCGTGCTCAAATCGCAACACCAGCTCACTGCAGATGTGGGGTGTCACAGTCGCAATCGAAAGAGCGCAACATCTTGTTTGTCATCAATGTCATAACATTTCATTCCTGGTCTATAGTAACGCCATGTCCCGTGGTATCGTGCATACAATTCTTTTGCTTTACCAAGCCTCCCACTTCTGGCCGCCCATTGCGATCAGACGGTTGAACAACTCGTCTCTCAAGGGCAGTGCAGTGATGGTGAAGACTTCGCCCGTCTTGCTCACAATCTCCATACCATCAGCAACCTCACGATCGAGGGCCCAACCAACAACCAACTTGGCCTTCCAGCCGAGTCCACCGACCTTCTTCAACTCCTTGATGTCGGCAACTGGCACGGTCCAGACTGGGTGTAGCTCTTCCTCGCGGCCAATAGAGCCCTGGTCGGCAACCTTCTTGTCAAGAGTAAAGGCGACATAAGGAATAGCAGTCTTGGTTGAGATGATCGTGTGACCCTTCTTGCCGTGGAATCTGCAGGCAAAGTCGACAGGGCCATCGATGTTGTAGTCCTTCGTCTTGGGAACAGCACCGAGGCGTTGCTTGGAGGGCTCGCTTCCAGCCTTTGCCTTGAGTCTGTCGGCGCCCAGAGTCGTCTCCACAGTGCCCTTGACGGTGCTTTTGAAGAAAGAGATGAGCTTGTGGCCCTTCTTTCCGTGCTTGCTGTCTTTGCTGTGGTCAATGTCGGCACCAGCCGTCTCGTGGGCAGTGGTAGGGTCGTGTGCCATGGCTTCGTCGAGTTCTTCCTGGGTAGCGTTAAGTGGCCAATCGGCACCAGTGGCACGCAAGTGCTCATCGGTGATCTCGACGGGCTGGTCTGGTGGAGGGTCTTTGCTGTGGGGTGGTGGAGGAAGGGGTGCCTTGTTTGCCTCGCCGATGCGAAGAACGGTGATGGTGAGCTGTGCATTAGTGGGGACTCCCTTGAGCAGAGTGTTGCGGATCTCGAGCAGTTTCTGCCAGTGAGGGAAGGTACGGTTAAGCCATCTCAAACCGGGCTGAATGACTGGGTCGCCGAAGAAGCCGAAGCCAATGCCGAAGGTGACACCCTTGGTGAACATGTAGGCCGAAGTCAAGAGGGAAACAGCAACCAACGGTACAACGACAGCAGCCAGACGCAGGCGGTAGAGCTCGCGAGGGAAGGGGGGAGTAGGCGACAGAGCATTTGCGAAGCGCTCCCAGGTGTCGGCAACATCGGCAAGACCGTGCATGATAGGCCTCATCTTGCTCCACATAGCCGTCTCCATGGGTACCTTTGTCTTGTCGTGTGTAGGGGCGGCTGCCTTTCCTTCGGCAGACGTCTTTGCGGTGCTTGCACTCATGGCAATGGCGGTAGGATCAGGGATGCTGTCGGCCACACCGGCTTGACCAGGTGGAGGCTCCGTCTGCGGGTGCTTTCCGCTCGCACTGGCAAGAGCGACGGATGCAATGCTGTTGACGAAGTTGCTGGCTTCGGCCTCTGCGGCTTCACCCTTGTGTTTTTCTGGAGCACCAGTAGCTGTGTCGGTACTGCCTAGCACGCCGGCCTTTGGCTTTTGCACGCCGCCAGTCTTAGCGTCGACGAGAGCGAGTGGAGCGGGAGGGAACATAACGTCGCGTGAGGGAGGGTATACGATGAGGACGACGAGGGTGACGGTGAATAGCGGGACGAGCATGTCCAAGAGCCAGGCGACGAAGTAGGCGGCAGCGAAGTAGGCGGTGCGGTTGCGTTCGCGCCATGATCTCAGACGGCCGACCTGCTTGATGAAGCCCATCATGCCCAGACCGACCGTCATGTACAAGCGCTCGATGGTAGCACGCAGCTTGTCGGGCGAGAATTCGTCTTCATCGGCAATGTTGAGGTCGAGGTTTCCGGGAACGGGGTAGGGATACTCTTTGACGTGGTACATTTGCTGTGCATCATGTTAGACCGAAGGCAGAATTGTGGCAGAGCTGGGAGGGAATCGCCTTATTGAAGCGACGGACCAAGACCCAGAGCTCCTCGTTGTCCATACCGCCGACGAGAGGAGCGGGGATCTTTGAAGGAGGCTCGTTCCACCCTAGGTCCTTGACTTCGGCATTGTGAGAGAGCTGGGCGACACCCTTCTCGTCGTGGTCGGCTTGGGCGAGGGCATGGCTGGCGGTCGCTTCTTCGGTCAAGTTCTGAGCGGCCTGTGTGGATGTGGCTGTCTGTGTGGTGAGTGTCTGAGACTGGCGTTGCTCGATGGGGTCATTGATGGGGTGGTTGACGGGATGGAGGTCTTCGTAGACGACTCCCCTGCCTGTCGTCTCCTGCGACATGTTGATTGCTGGTGCTGTGCGGTGGAGAAAGGTCACAGGGCCAGACTGTGGAGCTGGTCCGAAGAAGATTGAGCTGCGCAAGCATGACGAAAAGGCAATCTCAATCCCTGCCGCCGACCGTTTCCCAACTCCACGTGCGCTGCGTCATGGACGGCCTGTCATTCAGGGTTTCCGTCTCTGAGAGTTTGGGGAAACTCTTGGCAATGACGATCCTCGTTCACCGTCTCGTCTGCGGCTGAAGAGCCTCGCGTTCGAGTTTAAGACCCTTTGAACAACAGTATCACGGAGTATAGAGGCAGTTGCATATTACGAAGAGTATGAACGTTTGTTTGGTAAGCGACGGAAGACCATCGAGCTGATTACATATTAACATTCTTGCGTCTGACCTTCTGTCATGACTGCGTGGTACAACATTCGCCATGGCTTTGACGACTGCCATCCGAATCGCTTCTAACTACTGGACTTCTTTGCCAATTTCAATCCCTCTCCTTCAATTGTTGCATCTCCAAATCCCGGTCAACGTCTCTCACGCTGACCGTCTGTCTCGGACCTGGACTGAGTTTTCCCCAACTGCTTGCGTCGGATCTGCTGTCGACGCTGTTCAGAACACCCAGTCTGTCTCTTGGTGTTGACTTGGACGTGAGCTGTGAGGGCGACCATTGAGGTGTGTCACTTGGCTTGCGGAGGGTCGAGTCGGCCGTGCTGGAATCTACGAGGAATTTGCGGTGGAAGTCGTGCCCTCGGGCGGCTTTGGAAGGAGAAGCGGCGTGAGAGGACGCCCAGAGAGATGTCAAAGGCAGCGAGATGCACGTGGCAGTCAAGATGTTGGACCCGATGTTGGGGATGTTTTCGGCATTGATGAACTGGATAAGCGAAAATATTGCTGTGAGCAAGAACTTGTCAGCTATGCATCAGAAGAAACGAGGCAGACGGGAAATGTACCTGGAATAATCATTGTCTGGAAACCGCCAATGAAGATGATCTGCATGCTGCCAAACTGCTTCATTCCCAGCTTGCGGCGTTCACGAAGCGACCACCCCAGCTTGGTGCAGAATATGGCGCTGAAGAAGCAAATGCTGATGGTCAATGTGATGTCTTTTGCTTTGGCTAGCCAAGTCGTGCTGCTGCAGAATTCGTCTGGATGGAAGATGCACTTGACTGAAATGGCCGACTGGGCGATGCGAAATCCCATGGCGACAACGGCGACGAACGCGGAGATGGCCAAGATGGACATCTTTTGCCATGTCTTCAGCGTCACACTGACCACATGAACCTGAAGTACCAGAGAAACTTCGATGCAGATGGAGACGAGCGTGAGAAAGACAGAGACCGCGGCAGTCAAGCGATAAGCTGCTGGAGTCGCCACGCCATAATCGCCTACCAGAACAGGATAGATGTCCCAGAAGCTGCTCGTTACGACGCAGCATTGCAATATGGCGAGGATGATATTGAAGAACAGGGCGGCTGTGTTGAAGAGGAACACTGGCGAGCGTCGCTTGTCGTGTTTGGAGAGGAGCATCAGGACAAGGAAGAGAATCAGGCAGGCGCCGAATTGGACGGCCGGGATAATGCCATGAACGACCGCATCCTTGATCAAGGTGTCGACATACCACAGAGGAAACTGGCTGTCTTGTCCGTGACGATCGGTGATGGTGATGTACTGCTCGTAGACCTGCGACTTGGTGGCTACGAACTCTGATGAGGCCTCCATCTGGGATCCAGCTGTTGAGTTGATCATGATTGCCATGGAGTTTTGCTTGAAAGGATGTGATGAATGAGAGGTGTGGAGAGAACTACTTGGAAGAAGAAGAATGGAGACGAGTCTACGCTGGGAGAAGAAGCACTCGGCAGCGGACAGGGACAATCCTACAGCGACAATCCAAGAAGAATCCGAGCCGAAGAATATCAGGCAATTTCGAGAATTGTCCAGCAGCAGATTATTCTTGAACAATGCGCGAAGAAAGACCAAGCCACTCGCAAAAGGAGAAATAGAGAACAATACAAAGGATGAGGATGTGACAAATCAAGAAAGAGAGTCCACCCAGAACCAGCCTAGACCATATGTCTTGGACATGGTGTAAACTTGGGCTTGACTCTAAAGACGGCAATGCGATTGGGAGAGGGTAGTCGTGTGGTTTGAAATGGCCCCGGTGAAAGTGTTTTTGTGATGTCTGGATGAAAAAATGTGCGACATGCATTTTGTGAAAGGTGTTTCTGTCTCAGGTGAAGGGCGGCTTAGTATTGTTCTTCGACTGCCATCTCATTTTTGAGGATATGAACTTGATGCCTTGACTGTGGCTGCGATCGCGTATTGTTCCATGTTCTAATTGAGTATATTGAACTGAGCCGCCAGACTCATGTGGTTCCATGACTTGCGCTGCTGTAATCTGCAGGGCAAACGCGTTGGATGTTTGGCAGAAGTGCTGTTGACATACGCGTTGGCATGCGAGTTGGGAACCTCGTTCCCTCTTTGTTCCAGACAACCAAGCCATCTAATGGTGGAATGCCATCTTGATGGCTACGATGGTAATGCTTCTGTGCTGCCGAACGTCCACTTGATCATCAAGAACCCATGATACTGTAGATTCAGCCCCTCACCAATGGAAGAGCATCCATGGGTATCATATCCTCGAACTTAAAATTTCCAAGATTCCGTACAGAGATGGAGCGGAATCCAAACACAAAAAGCAAAAGGAATGTAGCGAGTAGGATTCGAACCTACGATCTTCTTGATCCCCATAATACCCTTATAGGCAAACTGCAGGATGCAGGAGCCAGGTCCGGTGACGCTTGTGTTTGCAAGGCCGTATTGGCAAGACGTCCTGACCACTAGACTATCGCTACTTTCATGCTTGATCTCCAATCTCTAGTCAGCTATGACTACTTCATCACATTTGTCCCACGAGTTCATTATCCAGACTCATCGTGTCTGGCGTCGAACTGGAACCTCTAGTCTCGCGGCCTGCTGCACGGGGACCAAACTGTATACTCTGCCTATTGCGGCGAGGGCCGATATCCCTCATGTACTGAGCCCTGCAGGCACCCCGACAAACCCTCGCGAAATTGCTTCTGTTCTCTGCCACCGTCAGCTTCATCGTTACAGCTTAGCCATCGGTGGTTCACAATTTGGCTGGTAACTTAGACATCACAAGGGGTGTTCATTTGACTTGGTTATTGATGAGTGCTCTCAATTCAGTCTTCTCCTCGTAGTCTTCTAGATTCCTTCCTCGGACGACTGCTACGTCGTGGCATCTCCATGTCTTCATCTTCATCGTCCTCCTCGATTAGATGTTGCTCTTCTCTCCTCTTTTCCACGACGTATGTGCTGCTTCCTATTCTCGAAGAAGGGGCGGACTTTCTCGCAAACTTGGTCGTCGGTGGCTTAGTAGAGCTGTTCATTGGGATGGGTCTTCGATCTGCCATTTTTCTGGCAGAAGATCTGATGTCCGTTGGTCTCTTGAGCGCATGAGGTCTCGATTTTCGAGACGGAGATCCGGTCGGTCTCTCGGACGAAGACAGCCTTTGTCTTGATGTTCTTATACGCTTAATAGGACGATCGTTTTCACTGTCTTCGCTCTCGTCATTGGTATCGGCGTTGTATGTTTGGTCCACTGTCTGGTTTCGAGGGATTTCGACTCTGACTTCCGGCTGTGATTGGTAGCTCTTTCTCGATGGCCTAATCTTGGTCGTTGCGGCGGTTCCATCTTGACTGCTTTTGGTGTTGTTCTTTCCCTTTGCTCTTTTCGCTTTCTCTTCATCACCGTAAAGCTTCTCGTGGTAGCTTTCCCCGTAGTTGAAGAACAGCTCTTCGCCAACATGAATCCCCCTACTAGCATACATGCCAATGCGGTGCGCCGTGTTACAGAGCATAACCCTTGGTCTGACATTCTGCAGCTCAGGTGTAGCAGCATGATTGATAAAGCGGATTTTGTTTCCCATTCGTTGCGAATCGATTGTCTGGTCTGCAGTTAAGGGTGTTAGCAAGGATTAGGGTATTCTGCTCCAATGACCATTTACCTTTGTTCAAATCAAAAATATAGCTGAGCTTTTGGAAGTCGTAGACAGCGCCTCTTCTCTCTGTTTCATCTCGAGTAATAACCTCTCCTGTGTACTCGCCGATGAACTCGCCTTTAGCGATTGTCTCTCCGGCGTACAGGCCAAATCCATGAACAAGGGACCGACCAAGTAGTGTTCTTTTAGGGATGCCCCTCTGGATTGCGACATTCTGACATCTACGTTTCAGCAGGCTTTCGTCATCTCTGTTGTTCGGATTCAAGATGATGTGGGCTTCGCAAGGGTCGCAGAGGTCTACATCACACTCTCTGTTCATCAAGAAACAGTCGCAGTCCTCTGGCGAACAGCATTTCGCTCGTCTAGCGCACTTGCAACCTGGGAACCGACGGGCACACTTCTTCGAACATGCGCACGTCTTTTCGCAACAGATGTTAGCTTCAAAGCAAGTGCAACGTGCATCCTCGCAGGTAGTCCCGGGGTGGCAGCAAGGGAAGAATGGTCCTCGTTTTGTGTGATCCCAGGTAATGCTGTTCGCTTCGTTCATCCACCAGTTAAAAGGTTTTGGTTTTCGAGACTGAGCGCGACCTGATGTCTTATCGTGCGCCAGAGGATTTCCATTGGAATCGACTGGCCCTGTGACTCCTTCCTTGAAGTTGACTCTCGGCGGATAATCGATGTCTTGAGCGTCGACAGAATCGACATCGTCTTCATCGCTATCTGATTGGTCGGGGTGCTTTTCGTAGATGGTGCCATGATGAGGGCAGTCGTGCAATTGACAAATTCTGCAGGCGATACTGGCGTAAGTCTTTGCGGTTTCGACGGTAGCTAGGCCTTCGATCATGTTACTGGTCGGAAATTTGGCGTATTTCCGTGCGATCTGCCAGGGACTAAAAGCTGTTTGTGTCCAGAAAGCGTGGCATGCGAGGGCAGCGACCCAGAGTTTGTCGTCTCCCAGTTCCGGGATGCTAGATGCGACTGAGACCCATCTATCGCTCTCACGGTTGAAATCATCCTCGCAAAACTCTGCTTTAGCACTCAACATAGTGCGTACCAGGTCGCGGTCTTCTGCATAACTTGAAAGCCTCGATAGAAGGCCATCGGGTCCTTCCGATGCTTCGAGGAGGTACTTTAGAACATCATCCATTGGGCACTCGAGCTCCCCGATGAACTCTTCAAAGTATGGACCATAAGTGGCTGCCTGTTGCGAGATGAGAACTTTTCGGGGGCGGTCTTCCACGATTACATCAAACCTTTCGCGAATTGTTCCATCATCGTCAGTCTCTTCGCCAAAGTAGGGCCAGACTTGAAGTTGTTTGGTGTTGGTGCCGAGAACGTTTTGCGCAATTCTTGTGTAGTGGGTGTAATTTGGCACTTCACCAGAGTCTCCTTTGCATGATGAGACACTGGCCTTGACAATTATCGATCTTGAAGAGGGCGGGAATGTCCTACCACGAAGCACAACGGTCCGGGGGTTCTTCGAAGGCTTGACCTGCGTAAAAGGATTTGTGTTGTGCATGATGGTGCCAGACGTGTCGAAAACGTTTCTCGGGGGCTGATATGTTCTAGCCTTTGCGATCCAGTTGGCGGTCAGATCCTCGTAGTCCTCGTCCATGTCTTCTAGGATTAGTTCTAGGATAATCATGTAGTACTCGAGATCCAATATGTCCCTTGACGTTGGGCGTGGGGATTCATCCTCGGAGGAATCTGCTCAGACTGTTAGCAACGAACCAAGAGGTCTTAAGATATCTATTCACCTGAGTAATCGTCCGAAGATTCAATCATATCATTCGATGATCGGCTTTTGCGAGAAGGCGATGGCTCGCTGTAATTATGGGGCAGCCAATTCTTGTGGGCTGGTGAGAGATTTGGTGAAAGCTCAATCGTCTCTGCAGGGGAATGTTATTATTGAGCAAATGTTGCGGTTTCTGATGTTCTCACCTCTGATTGTCTCGCCGTCGATGGTTTGGAGGGCTGGTGGAGATGATGGCGGATTCCTAGATGGCGACATCTCACCGGACGATGAGGAGGATGACGAAGAAGATGTTGCCGACGCTTGTTTGTTACTGGTAGTCACTGAAGTACTGGATGCTAGTCGAACGCGTGGACTTGGAGCAAGTTCAGAGCTGGACTCAGAGCCAGAATCAGAACTGGACTCAGAGCTAGGTTCTTCTGTGCTGGGAGTGATGAAATCCGCAGAGCGAATTCTCATCATTGCGGTTGTGATTGGCTTGCTGCTCCTTCACAAGGAAGGTGCAAGCCAAGCTTTCAATAAAGAAGGTGCGAACAAAGCAATTGACCTCTTGAGTCTCTGTACCAACTTTTGGTGACGGATTGGTTCACATCTCAGACATTAATGAGGTCCGAAAACGCGCGCTTGTCTGAGGTGCTCTTTACAATACCGGTAGCATTACTATCGGAAGAAAATATCTACAGAAGAGTAGCTCGTGCGATACACCTCGATTTGCCCGCCAGGGATGGGTTCGAGCGGACTTGCAGTCGCGACTTTAAGGACGCACAAATGACCCGTGCGCACATTTGTACTGTTTTTACACTGTTTTCATACTGTTTCCACGGTTGCACCAATCCTCTACTCATGCCAAGACCGGACGCGTGCGTCTTCGGCACAGACCATCAAAGTCGTTGCTGTCGTGACCCTGTTTTCGAGAAAGAACATCACCTCGGCGCTGATATGTTGTGAGATAGAGTACGTGTGACCCTCTGGTCTGTTGTCAAGGACGCCTGTGACAGGTATGTACTATCCATCAGCCGTCGGCTGGTAAGTAGCCTTCTAGCTTCGAAGCATGAATTGATGGGTGCGTAGGTCGGACAAAATCCAACACAGCTCAGTAGACACGACCAGCATGGTGGATGTTCGGTTCGTCGCAGTTCAATGCATGTCTATTATAGGTATAACCATGAGCTGATTGAAGCCTTGTCCGTTAGGTAGCTTCGATGCCATTTTAAAGGTCGGAATCTTGCATTTGATGGTTCGCAGTGCCTTCTTGCGAGTTCGGGGAGATTGCCGCATTCTGCTTTTGTGCAAAGACCGCATGCCGTGGGTGCGTACAGAGGCCGTCTAGCTTCCCCTTGCTCTTTGGTCTGCACTCAACGTCGCAAGAGCATGCAGCAGCAGAACAAAAAGATGACGGACCACATGTCGCACGTGAAGAACGGTCGAACAAAAATTGTCGCAGCCGTGAATCGAACACGGGGCTCGTGCATGGCAAGCACGAATTTTACCACTAAACCACTGCGACTTTGATACAGCCCACGAGACTGTGTTAAAATATAACAGTCTGATGTCCTGTGAAGAAATTGGTGCTGTCAAGGACTCTTCGAGTAGATATGCGATGCTTGTTTCTCGAACCCGGCGTTGAGACTTCGCCCAACTGGCGTTTGGCAGTGTCAATTCCCTACCTGTTCAAGACCACGAACTTCTTCCTTCTTCCTTCTTGCACTGCGTCTCCGTACTGCCATGACCATCGCGCTGACGGTGTGCGCGGAACCCGTGGGCGTATCGCTCGCTTCGGAACTCGGAATAGTAAAACTCGATTGGAATCGGGAAGCCGTTGACCCCGCGCAATTGCCAAGGCGACATGATTCGGACAGATGGTTGCGCAAGGTCGTGTAACTGTTGAGCACACGACGGCGAGGACAGAGGTGGCGGCAGAGATACAAGATTCGACAACCGTAAGGCGTGCTTCAAGCAGAGATTATTCGAGATAACATGGCGTGGGCTGATTGCATGGATGTTGCGTGCTCGAGAAGTGATTGGAATGCAATCAGAATGCAAGCGTTCCAGACGTCCGAAAGCGCGTCGAGGGCGTGGTCATCAAAGTGACGTTAAGACGAGCAAGGGCCTCTTCGTTGTTCGCGTGCTTTGACGTTTGATTCCAGACAAACCATGACACGAGGGATATAACCTATACAAGAGCCTTTATCGCAGCCGCCATCTCCCTTCTCAAAGACGCACGCCATTCCCACAGCAGCTGCCATCATACCCATCTACCGCGAGATCGCCATTACAATCCACGACCTTGTCGACGTGCTGCTTCCCCGCACTCGCGTCATCAGGCAGCGGCGACTCTGATAGGACGATTATCGCGCAAGAGACAGTCGTCGAGCACGCCATCCTCTGGCCGTGGGCAGGACAGGCCGCCGGGCAAGCATTATCAACTCGACCCTTACGAGGCCCGCATCGGGAAGGCGCGCCGTCATGAATTATATACTCGTCTACTCGCTGTCTCTGCTGCTGTACCAAGGCCTTTGCACCGCAGAAGAACACCGCCTGCGACACTACCTCGACCTGCTCTCCAAGCCCATCAACCGCCTCGATCTCTCTCAGAACACGGCCCGCCACGCAAACAACCACCGCCATGGCTCCGACCGCCGTCCAATCGCCGCTTGACGTCCCCTCGTCCGCCTACACCTACCACAACCCCTCGTCCAAAGTCTTCCCCGACGGTGTCAAGACTGCCGGCCAATTCGATCCCCTCTACGACCAGCTTGCCCCGTACTCTGCCTTCCCCAAGGAAATCACCGGCCCTACAGTATGGCAAGCTGGAGAATACAAGAACAACCCCGAACGGTGGACACACCCCTTCAGCGACGACGAGATTGCAGAGATCAGCAAAGCCGCCGACGACTTCATCGCCTCCAACACACCGCTGACCGGCATCACCAAGGAAAAGTTCCCCTTGCCCTCTGCCACCGGCCGCCTGCTGCACTCGCTGCGTCACGAACTGCTCAATGGTAAAGGTTTCATCCTCTTCAAGGGCTTCCCTACCGAGAAGTGGGGCCTGCACAAGTCGGCCGTCGCCTACATGGGCCTGGGCACATACCTGGGCTACTTTGTGAGCCAGAACAGCCGTGGCCACGTCTTGGGTCACGTCAAGGACGTTGGCGAGGACAGCAGCCAGATTGACAAGGTGCGCATCTACCGCACAAACGCCCGGCAATTCTTCCACGCCGACGACAGCGACATCGTCGGCCTCCTCTGCATTGCTCGCGCTCTTGAGGGTGGTGAGTCTGACCTCGTGTCAAGCCATGCCGTATGGAATGCCTTGCAGAAGGAGAACCCCGACGTGGCCGAGCTGCTCACCCAGCCCATCTGGTACTTTGACCGCAAGGGCGAGAAGTCGGTCGGTCAGCAAGATTGGATCCGCACGTCTGTCTTCTACCTCGAGCCCAAGCCCAATGGTCGTGTCTACTCCAAGTGGGACCCTTACTACGTCAAGTCTCTCACTCGCTTCAGTGACGCTGGCGCCATTCCTCCGCTCTCGGCCGAGCAACTCCGCGCTGCTCAGATCCTCGAAGACACTTGCGTACGTCTGTCTCTGCACATGATCCTCGAGATTGGTGACATACAGTTCTTGAGCAACGAACACGTTCTGCACGCTCGTACCGCCTACAAGGACCACGCTCCTCCATTGCCCAGACGCCATCTCATGAGACTTTGGCTCGCCACCCCCGACAGCGAAGGCGGCTGGACGCTACCTTTCGAGGACAGCTCCCACAGGAAGCGCGGCGGTATTCAAGTCAACGACAACCCCCCTGTCGCTCCTCTTGACGCCGAGTAATGACTCTAATGATTGACATGTCATCAACTGTATATACCATTTGTAGTAGAGATTAAAATGCTGGAGTTTAGGTTTTCGCTCATTAAACTCTGTTGATTGTGCAAGTCCTTGCGCCATGCTCACGCGACAAGTGCCTGCTCAAGACGATTGGGCTTTCTCGGCCTCGAGCTGCTTGAGCCTTGCAACGAGCTTCTCGCGAAGGTAGGGGCTAAGGCCAAGACTGTGATCATGTCAGTAACTGCTTGTCGATTGGAGGCTTCCTTTGGTTGTACTCACATGCCCTCCCGCGTGACGCATCTGTATGTTCCACTCTCCTGATAGCTGCCGTTCTCACCCACAAAGTTGCCAGCACCGTCAACCTCGAGACTGCCGAATATGTCCTCAGGCCAAGCGACACGACCATAGTCGGGAGGATTTCTCTGATCGCTGACGTGGATGTGACCTCCTCTTCCCGCACCTCCGGCACCACCCTGAGAAGACGCACCTCCAGCTCCATCGCCGCCAGTGCCGCCTCCACCGCCGTATCCCGTGCGTCTCTTGCTGCGCTTGCTGTGTGATTGTGCGAAGAAGACACCGCCTGAACCCAAGGATGATCCTGCCGTGCTGGCGTATGCCTGTGCCTGAGCAATGACCTCTGGATCGGTCGTCGCATGTTCGCGTATCACAGATTGGAGGATTTTCATAAAGGATTGGTTCTCGCGTAATGAGTCGGGCGTGGGAGGGATTTGTGATGTGACGCCGATGGCGAGCGAGCCGGTAGGGGGCGATGTAGGCAGGAAGGAGAGGACATTGACCGAAGGCGATTGCTTGTGGACATACTAGGACGTCGTTAGTTGGATGCGTTGATCGACTGCTGGGTGAAACGTACAATGTGCGAGTTGTTAGGGAGGGTGGAGATGGAGCGGCGGCATGCTGAGAAGAGCGTCGACACCAGCGGCCGTCTGGATTGTGTGAGGATCATCTTGTTTTTGTGCAGGTTATATTTGGTCGAGAACAACTAAACAAATGAGAGCTTCACACAGGTGCTTCCATTGTCGCATCGGTCGGACAATCGTGGTGGGTGCTCCGACCGCGAACTGTAGATGTCATCATCCAATCTCAGCTTGTTCACCAAGTAAACACCAGATATATCATCTGCAGTGTCGTCGATGTGTAAGGTGTTCCACGATTATGTCAAATCAATAGGAACACAACTGATAGCCAGATAACTGTTTTGGTGACCGACAGCGAAGTACTTGTTGACGGATAACCGTGATTGATGCTTGTAGCAGGGTCACCACCACAGGATCTGATAAGATTACGTGATGACCATCTAAGCCTGCGACAAAGGACACGGAACTTTTGTCTCCGAGCGACAGATTGACAAAGCGTTTGCGCAGTGCACATCCATAATCCCTCACTTTCACCTCCGCAGCATTGTACTCAGACGCCTGCTATATTGACCCTTCATCTTATTCGTCACATATCCACGCTGGAGCTGCGACAGGTCTGGCCACCGCCGTTGCCCTTGGAAAGTGGTCTAGCCTACAGCTGATCACGAAAGAAGTCATTATCAATTGATCATGGTGATTCGTGATATGATCGATTCAGCTTGTCAGAGTTGGAAGCGACGTGGTTGAGCTTCGGATACCACCGTGATGTCACCAACACTCGTTAACCATACTAGTTGACTGCTCATGGAAAAGGTATTTACATTCCTCACTCTTGGAGAATAGACCGTCCATGTGAGACTCGAGGAATGCAATGTAGGTTCATTCCAATATCATTCCCTATACCCCATGTTTTGATGTCTCATCAATGCAGGAATGCCACTCTGGCTCGTGAGAAAAGACAAGATGTGGCTTGCTCCATCTTCAATCCGCTTGCCGTACTTTGCCCACACTCCTTATCGCTATCATGTTTGGACCCTCATTCGTATCTTGTCTCTTACCCTTGTCGGCTTTCTTGGGTGAGGCTACTGCAGCTCTTCACCCTTTCAGACATGAAGCTGTCGAAGTGCGCCGCAGACAAGTTGGAGGCGGCGAGGACACTCCTTTCCAAAGTAGCGCTGCAGGCTCGGTGCTGACTTACATCACCCCTTCTCCTGGTGGTTCGCCAATTCCTGTCACTCAGCAAAGTCAGCTCGTGTCGTCAAATGTTCCTATCTTCACGCTGTGCGCGCTCCCACCAGAAGCCTTCTTCCCCATCACGGCAACGCCCACTCAGACCACCGCGCCATACAAGAACTATTCCATCTCTATACCACCTGGTCCGGGAACATGTACGACAATTTACAGCCCGACTGTGACAATGGTATGCGCTACCGTCTTGACTGGTATTGACCGCATGTACTCGGTGACCCAATGTGGACAAGACATTACCTTCTCAAGCGATTTCGGTTATGTGCTGGCCACACCTAGTCCTACCTTGAGAACCGCTACCGACTCCAGCGGTACAGCTGCGCTCATTACTCCCGCCCCTACTGTTCAAGCTCTCACTACATACTATGTTGCACCCTGGGCAGAGCTCACCAGTGCGGGTCCCCCTACAAATGTGGATAGAAAAATATGCGCAACATATGCAAATGGCACCGAGGAATGCGTTGTGGAATACTACGTATGGAAGACCAGTCTCGTCACTATTCCGACATCTACAGTAACATCTATCAACTTGACAACAACTGTGGCTGGACCGTCGCAGATCATTGTGGAGACATTCGTGGCCAATATTACGGAGATACTCACCACTTTCTCCATGTCTACTACTATGGAGTTGACTTGGTCTGTCGAAACCGAAACCACAAACATTGCTACGAGACCGACAGCCTCCACTGGTCCGACTGTCACTCAGACATACACTGTGAATCAGACCTCGCTCTCTACTGTGTAAGACAATGATACATGCTAATGTTTTCCGAATTCACCTGGGCTAACACGTATACAGCCGAACGACAAGTACGTCTACACGCCTAGTTACTCGGACCATCTACATATCAGGTGGGACGATTACCACCACAGTGCCCACTTTGCATCCCACGGCCGAAGCAATGGTCACGTGAGTCGTTGCACCCTGTTCTTGCTATGCATTCACTAATCGTCCTGCGCTCTAGTCCGTCAATAGTGACGCTTCCTTCTCCGTCTCTTGATGTAGCAAGTATTCTCGGCATCGATGACTGACGATGAACGTGGTTGGAATCTTTTGACTGTTCAGTATCTGCTTGTTTCATAAGAATCATGTTCCTCAAACCCGTTCTGCGTACTGCAACCTTACATCTTCATGTCGGAAATTGAGGATAGTGTGGCGTTTCCAAGTGAGCTTTATTGTCTTGTTTCGCTCACCAATGTTCATGGTCTTTCATTTGATAACAATTATTGTCGACAGAGTATATGAACTTTTTTCCACGCGCTCTGGCAAATTTCATGATACACCGGCTCAGTCTGTTCTTGCAGATGGCTTTCATTCAATAAAGTCGAATCTCAGATCGAGCCGTCTCATCTAATGGTTACAGCGGTACCAATCCTCGGAGCATGGCATCATCACCACGCAGACTTGACTCAGAGCTCATGAGCATTGTCTCGGATCACACAAAGCACTTCAAAGACTTTGTACAACAATGGTCCTGGAAACTCGCTTTGTTTCATATCATGATACAAAGCAAGTCAAAGAAGAAACAACAACAAACCCATTCAGCTTCTTTGATCTCAGATCTCAATCAAAGACCGTTGTTTAGCACTGTCCATGATCATCACCACTCTGATATAAGTCTCCTTCCATCCGAGCTCTGGAGCACTGTAGAAATCAGAAAAACATATCAAAACAACTGACATCTCTCAGCACAAATCAACAACCATGTCTGAACAGCCCTGGATGAAAATGACCGAATTTCCTAATAAAGAGGAACGAGCAAGGATGCGAGGTCCTCGCAAGCCGAGAACATTACGTGTTGACATCCAAGCCACTCAACCCGTTCAACCCGCTAAGCCCGCTTACTCTACATGTCTGAACGACATGCAAAACTTCGACAAGTTCTGGGACGCAGCACCACTCGGTGTTCGGTACGACGTCAACAAGCCCCTCCCTCCTCTTCCCGATCAAAAGGATCAAAAGACCCACTCACGTAGAGGTAGCAGATGTGAAACACCTAGGACCCCCATGGACAAGGCAGCTCATTGGGTCAAAGAAAAGGTCTTTACACCTATGAAGGAGCTTTTCCACCCTCTCGAGGCTACAGAGATGATAACTCCCCGTGAGACGCAGACTATGAGCGGCCGGACTTCTTCCCACAAAGTCCGTGTGATGGAGCAGGAATCACCACCGCGCTCGCGAGATTCGTATGCTTGCCTTGCCGAGTCGAACATCAAACCTCAAGCTGACACTGACAGGCAATCAAAATCTAGGCCGAGCGTTGATCGCCAGCCTAATACTCCAAGACACTCCCGCAAACCTTCTGGGGTTTCCCAAAGACCCACCATGTTCTCCCACAAATCCCATGCATCCGAGAGCTCAATGTCCAACAGTGTTCGAGCTGCGCTCGAGACCAGTGTCGGCACCGCAAAGGATGTCGGACATCGATTGGGAATTGGCCACGAGTCTGGACGATTGGTCTTTTCTGATACAGCACCATCTGGTATGATGGATCCTTGTAGCGTTTGTGGTAAAGAACCGAAAGGTGTTTTGTATCATGGAAAGTGTCGTGACTGTAAGTTCAAATAAGTGTTCTTCCCTCTTTACTAACCACATGTCTTTCTCATATGCACACACACACACCACGCTCATCTACTCTAATCATTAATACACATATTGACAAAAACTTCTCTTCCGTTCCCCTGTTCCCCCCTTGACAGATCTACTGTTATCGTGATATGCTAATTGGCTTTCTAGATGACCAACCCGTTGATAAAATTTTCCCGAACGGAGCTGCACCACCACTCGATGATGATCCAGTTTCCGACCCTTCGGCCTCTTGCAGAACCTAGAATACTCTACAGCCCAGCTGTATAAATACAGCAAGCTTTACTGCGAGTCCCCTGTTTGCCAGATGAATGTCTTGCCTCCTTTGGCACGCTTCTTGACTATATATTGCGAGGTACAACACTGTTTCTGCTTGAAGTCAAACAGATCGCAGAGGCTAGAGGACCAATAACGAGTTATTACTACCTGTTGTGGGTGGACCAAGAAGAAGTGAATTAGAAGACTCAAAACAGGAGCACAAAGTATCAAAAGGACATTTCATCTCATTCATCTTCCCATCTAAGCTCGGGAACTCTTCCAGGGAGAAAAGGGGGGTATATACACAAAGTAAGGGAAGAAGCGGCTACAGCAATTGCTCAGTGCAAGAACTGCTTGAACCAGTAAACAGCAGAGTTCTTTGCTCTCTCCAGACCCTCCTTTTGCTTGGGGTCGCTCTGGTCACCACGAGTGGCGAAACCGTGGACCAGACCGGGGTAGTAGTCGTAATTGAAAGGAACGTTCAATCCGGGCAAAGTCTTGAGGGTAAACTCCTTGAGCTCGGGAGTGAACATGGGATCGGTCTCGGGCGAGATGAACTGCACCGGAACACCGATGTTTGCAATCTCCGACTCCTCAAGCAGAGAAGGGTGGGCGACAGCAGCGGAATCGATCAGAGGCTCGTCCTTGCTGCCCAGACGCAAGACAGCCCAGGCACCGTAGCAGAAACCAATGGCGCCGACTTTCTTGTATTGAGACTTGAGCTCCTTTGCGTTTGCGAGGATTTCAGGGTAGCGGATTTCCTTGCTGTTGCGGCCGATGAAGGCCATGACGTCGAATTTCTCGCGCTTCTCGGGGTTCGAAAGGGCGTCTTCGTCGACGACTTCGCCATCGAAGCTGTGCGTGTTGGTGTTAGTAACAAGCAGTGGCGGGGTAGATGTGGATGGCAAGGCAAGAACACATACTAGTCGGGGACGTAGACGGTCACATTGGCTTCCTTTGCGTAGTGGTCGGCCAACAGACGGATGTTGGGCAGCTTCCAGCCAAAGACGTCGCAGACGATGAGGACGGCGGCATCCTTGTTGTCGCCGGTGACGTAGGCCTGGTTCTTGCCGAGGGACGTCTCCTTGCCGGTCGATGTACCGTTCCACTTGAATCCAGATTTGCAGCACTCGGACATGTTGATGTTGATTTGGTGGATGTGAGAGATGGGTGGAGAAGGGGAAAAGGGTCAATTGGGCGGGCGAGGGGCACGGCTATGATTTATATATTGTATCGTTGATTGAGGGCCTTACAAATCTATTCGACCCGTCTCGGAGCTTCATAGCTAGGTGGGGCAAAGATTCGCTCTGAAACCTTTTGGGCTCGGACTTTGATCGGCATACCTTGAAGATTGACAGGGCCGGAACCGGGCCTGTCTGGTTACAGCACACAACTAACCGGCGAGTCAGTCATAGCCATGTCGTTCAAGTAAATCCGGACCGTTATCTCCGTATGAGCTTCCCTTCTTCGACCGTTAACTCCGTATCAGCTTCCCTTCTTCGACTGTTGTTCTAGTACGCCGCGATGCTTTTGACAGTCCATGGCTGACTGGAATGCACAGTCCTTCCTGGCTGTACACCATTCCCTGGCCCTAGGTCAGTTATATCATGGACGATTGCTCTACTCATCACTGTCAAAAGGTCATTGACCTTCTGCAAACACGATGTCTGAATGCAGCTTGAACGGAAAGGCTAGCGACCTCGGCTTCGTTCAAGACTTGGAGAATAGCTTGAGCACCAATAGAAGACGATAAACGTTGTTGTTCCGAGACAGCTGATATGTTATGAAATTCAAAGGGCTCAAGCGCCAAGGGGCTCACGACTTCTGATTTGAAGAATGCATTTTTCATATGAGTACAGAGAAGCTATTGCTCAGGCATCACAATCTCATGTCCGTTCTTCTCTGCCACGTTCATGGCGACCAAGAATCTGCTAACCATGTTGTATGTTGCCACTGTCGCCGTTATCTCCATAATGCCAGTGTTGTCCAAGAATTTCCTTAGCGCATCAAAGACCTCGTCGTCGACGTCGACGTTCTTGGTGACCTGGTCTGTATAGCACAAAACTGCCCACTCCTTATCGCTGAATATCTCCTGCTCTTCCTTGGTCCTGGATCTACTGCCGGGTGGTACTACTGCAGCGGTACGAACAAGTTCCAATGATGCTCTAGGTAGTCCACCCTTGAGTGCTAGTGGTGCGTGCGAGTTCCACTCGAATGTTGCCTTGTTGAGCACTGCGATGCGGCTTACCGCCATCTCCATAAGACCGGGGTCAAGTGAAGTCTTTGATCGTACTGCTCCGAGCAAGCTGTTCCAGCCGTCGGCGATGGCCGTATTGTGTAGTAGTGCTAGGTCGAGGGGAAGGAGAGGACGGGGCTTTCTTCGCTCTGTAATGCGCTCGTAGACTGCTTTGGTCTGCTCCGACGCATCGGCTGCCGGTTCGGTAGGTGCGTATGGGATGCGCATGTTTGATCGAGTCGTCGACTTGTAGCTTCTTATAAAACGTAGTGTAAGGTTTGGGAGACGACAAGCGAAGGACATGGTTTAACAAGGGTACAACTTGGCTTTATAGTATGGCTACTCTGCTTGACGTGGGGTCGTCTTCTCCGAAGTATCCCGACCTCGGAGACCCCACATTCAAGGTGTTCCCATCGTCTGCCGCGGCCTTCTACCGAAATCTAGTCTCGCCAAAGCAACAACTCAATCTTCTGGTCAATCTTGTACAAAACCCTTTTCTCATGTTCCGGAGACTGCAAGGTAGAAACCTGAGTTCGTTCAAAACCCAGATACCAATTCTCGAAAAGCGCGGCTTTTCCACTTCCCATCGACGCACAATGCTTCACCACTTGATGGTAGGAACATGGACCCCTCCAGGCGCCATTTTCACTTTCCAATTCGACGACGAGGCTTTGACCCTGAAAATGATCAAGAGGACCGAGATCCCAAAGGATGAGCCTATCTCTTGGATGACTTTCGACGTACGTCAGGACGAATCGCGAACAGCACTGACATGGAGATTCTGAATTAACATAGTCATAACAGCACACAAGAAAGACAATCTATGGAGCTGCCATGAAAAAGTGGAACAGTTTCAGTGTCAAGAGTCCCACTGAGATTGAGCACACTGCCTCGTTCCCAATGGAACACGATCCCAAAGCTTCTCAGGCAGACACAAAGACTCGTGCCATCTTCGTTTTGGCAGGCAAGAAGCCTCCGTACAACGTATACGGTAACCCTTTTTACGACCACGCCGGTTCCGGAAATGTCTTCTCCGTGAATGAGAACGGAGCCCTGGCGAAGAACACTCAGAACTACGACTATTGCCCTCAAACAGCTATCCACGGTATGGTCTTTGATGCTTCAGAAACTTACCTCTACTCGGCCGATATGTGGGCCAACAAGGTTTGGTGCCACAAGAAGGACCCAGAGACTGGACATATGACCACTGTTGGAAGTGTTGATGCTCCCGCGCCTGGTGACCATCCTCGTTGGGTTGAGATTGCTCCAAGTGGAAAACATCTCTATGCTTTGATGGAAGGTGGTAACAGACTTGGAGTTTACTCGATAGACCCAGAGACTCACATGCCTGTCTACACAAACAAGATCTATCCTCTTGTCCCTCCTGGTAAGAATTCTCTACACAATTTTGTGCTGAATCACAATACTGACGCGTTGTACAGGTCACCAGGAAATCTACCCCAAGATGTACCGCTCAGATGTCGTGTTCAGGTCTCAAAGCGGCAAATACCTCTTTGCAACATCGCGATCGAACTCTCCCGATCTGACAGGATACATCGCAGCGTTCAAGCTCAATGAGTCTGGTGATATCGAGCGCCAGATCTGTCTCAATCCTACACCCACCAGTGGTGGACATTCCAACGCCGTTAGCCCTTGCCCCTGGAGTGATGAGTGGCTGGCTTTGACCGATGATGAAAAGGGCTTCATCGAGATCTACAGGTGGAACGAAGAGTTCCTTGGCCGTGTTGCTCATTGCGATGTCAAGGAGCCTGGTTTTGGTATGAACGCTATCTGGTACGACTAGAAAAACATAAATGCATACACATCCATCCTCTCTTGAGCAGCCATTACATTGTTGTTGCTCATATACAGCCTTTACCATCTGGGATTTTACACGCGATGTTCGGTATCTAGCTGATGTGGTGCACGTGTATAGCGTTGGAATCATTGAGGAAACACGCTCAGAAAGAATGAAGAATCAAGTATAAGAAACAAATATGTTATCTTGACGGGGTAAACACAGTCAAGCGTGGAGTGACAGCACAGAGTGATACAACGAGAGGCAGGCGATATGGAAAGGAAGAAAACTTTTGATCGTGGCTAGGACTATTGACCGTAGCATACCTACATTCGAGCATCTCAAACGGTAGAAACCTTGGGCTCGGCAAAAGGGGTATCAGGTCTCTCAGCGTGGATGGATCTGACAGTTGTGGTGGCCTTTGCTCTGAGGGCCTCACGAATGTCCTCGAGACTTCTGTGTTCCCAGCCTTGGAAGCCGGTGGCGCTGAGAGGATGGAGCACACGGTTGTTAGAGGCATGGGCCCAGTCCTCGACACGAGGTGGGGGCGTACTGGTCATGACATCGATATCGGCAGCCAGCTCACGGCAGTAGTCGTCCAGGGGGAGGTCGTTGACGTCGTTGCCAAAGGGATTCTCGATTTCAGTGCCGCTGGGAGAGAGTTAGTAAACATGGTATGCGGAAGGAGATAAGACGTACATCTTAGAGAGACCAAGGATGATGTAGGCGGCAAGCATGGTGCCAGGAATGGTGACCCAATGGAGGTAGTTGTAGAGCTGAAAGGGCAGAACAAGAACATAGGCCCAGGTGATTTGCGAGATGGAGATGGTGTAGGCGATTGGCAGTGGTGTGTTGAGGACACGCTCGGTACCGGTGAGGACGTCTGCGAGCGAGCCGATGTTGTTCATGGCCCAAGTCTGATGGATGGGGCCCGTCATGGTCTTCTCCTGGAAGACATGCTCCATGTATGACGACAGGTACGTCAAGATTTCGAGCGGCGGGTTGCCCAGGTTGTCGTTGGCGCGCTTGATCAGCTTGCGAGGGTTGGACTCGGCAAAGGACACGCCCAAGTATTCGCCGGCAGACTTCCAAGGTGTAGGCTTTCTCTTGCGCAGAGCGGCTTGGTCGGCCGTGCCAGCCATGAGATCGAGATGGGCGACCAATGGCTCCAGATCGGGGTACTCGATGGCGGGCTCGAAGCGCAGGCGATGCTTGAGAGCAACAGCAAAGGCATTGAGGAGGTTGAGGGCGCTGAGCTTGGCCAGCAAGTCTTGTTTTCCCAGCTCTTCCGACACACTGTGTCTCTCCTCGACGTGGACCCAGATCAGACGAGCCAGATTGCGAGAGGTGAGCATCAGCTGCGACCAGTACTTGCGTCCGTCGTTGTAGCGCTCATAGGCTGTTGACGAGCGGAACGACAGAGCCAGACCGACAACAAAACCCAGCACGGTCAAGAGGAGCGAGTTGATGCCCAGGTGGACGCGTGTGAACTTTGAGATTGTGGTGATGGCGGTTGCCCAGCCGCCGATGAACAGCAGCGGGAGGAGCATCTTGGGCAGGACGCTGCCGTGCAGGCGCATGAAGAAGGGCAGCTTGGAGTGACGGGCCATGTCGCGAGGGCCGGCGAAGTAGTCCTCCATCTCCAGGTGGTGCGGCTGCGGCTTGCGTGATGAGGCGTGGAATCCTTGGGCCTTCCATGTCGCCTCACGCGAGACATTAACTGAGGGTGATCCGGTAGACATGGTGGCCGTCGTGCTTCCTGCGAATTCGGATGAAGCCATGGCGATTGATTCTTTGGTTGGCGGCTGCACTGTGTCGCTTCAGCAGAATAACTAGGTGGATGGGGAAAAGAGCCAAGGTCGGGCAAGTGAACAAAGACACGGGAGAGAAAGGAATGTAGGATCAAGTCAGCGAGTGAGCATACGCAATTGATGAAAGAGCGAAGTGCCTGGTCGATTTACATGACAACAAAGAAGTCGATGTGTTTCATGATATATCGGCATGCATCAATCACAGCGCCACGGGGTCAAGGCTCTCGAGCGAATACGAATACAGCGCAGGCATGGAACAAATCGGTCGAGGCTGCGCGTGCGTTGCATCACTTTGTTTGAGGCTGTGCAATGCAAGAAAAGAAAACTCATCAAATGCGTCCCCTGAGAGAACACGCCAGCTGCAGACTGTGCAGAGGTGACAGTGCCGATCCCTCCGCCTGTTCGAATCGGCCATCCGGGGTTGGAGACACGCGACATGTCGGCTGTACCCGCTCCATCATGAAACCGTCAAGGGGAAACTCGTTCAATTCTTCTGTTTCAAATCTCCGACCAGTGTCCTTTAGCATGGTATACTGCTGGTAGAATGTTACTGAAGACGCCCGATAAATGCTGCTACTTCTTCAATCTTAGGGAGTTCCGAATTGAACACGGCATCAAACACGAGCTCGTCTCGGCGTCAGCCTCAACATTTCCCCTGACTCGCCGAGCAAAAAGCTTCTCTTGTGTCATCGTTTCGTCCTCGTCCTCGTCATCGCTTACATACCAAAACATACCTACCAAGCCAACGACGCATCCCATCTCTTAACGACGAACCTCATTACCGACAGCCTCGTAGACGGTCGAAACGCTCAACCATCTCGACAGCCGCAGCAACAGCCTGTGATCTGCACCTCCCTACGCACTACACCACAAAACGCTCTCCCTTTATTCCCTGTGACGCCCGTCAGAGCCCACTCCATCGCCAAAAGAAGATCATGGCAAATGCAGAAAAGAAGGATACAAAGCATACAAACACATGCTGAGGGTGACAGCTGTCTGCCTTTTGCACACTTCTCGACCCTCAACCTCAATGCCATGGACAACCACATTGCCTTGCCTGTGAACCAGCATCAGAAAACTGTTCAAGTTCATTCACTCGTTGACCATGTGCATGAGCTGACAGTCGAAGAACACGGAGCAGACGTGGGGCAGATGTGGGACTTATGGGGAGACATGTTGCTTGCACCAAACTCCGGTCCATAAATCGTGTACCTCATCTGTGTCTTCTGTATCTCCAATAGAAGCACGGCATAAGGTTTGTCGAAACACTGGAGATCATTGCACTTACGCGGTTCGTAGAGAGGCGTCTCCTCAAAGTCCAGTAGGACATTGAGAGCATACATGATCGAATACCGAAATAGCATCGCAGTTTGCCCTTGCGCTCGTGGCTTCGAAAGAAATTTGTGCCTCTAATTTGACAGGTATAAATAGACAATTGACACGCTTCTACTCTTCAGCACAGTCTCAGCGCGTTCATCTTCTCGTGGGTCAATGCCACTACACTATTGGACCTCAACAAATGTTTCAAAGACATGACGACTCTGATTTAAAGCATGCTCTGGAAAGGCGGACGAGACACATGCCGGGCTCCGCGATTTATTTGCCAAAGGCCAAACCTGAAGGACGACTGAAGCAAGCCCTCGAATCAGACCCTGAAAAGGCAAATCTTGGCGACCTTCGGCAGAACCTTCCCGGCCATCCGCTCCTTTTTCCCCAGACCAATGGATCCACTCCAAAGGCCTCGACCAAGCTATTCACCTCCTGTTGCCAGTGCACCCTCTGTCATATCCGGCAAACATTGGCTCTATTAAATTTGGAAATCATGGATTCTTCTATCCCATCCTTCCTTCTTTGCCCGCTTTAGTGCTCTTTCCTTATATCTGGCGTGGCTGGCTTCCAACCGTTGACCTTGTAATTCCTGCTTTTGAAGTTGTACCTGTGTGTTACTCCATGCCCGTCTATACTTGCTTTGATATCTAGTCCTCTGTCCGCTGTGAGTATATTCTTTAAAAGACCCTATATGTTGGACAATGGTTTTTAATCAAACCTCAATGGCAGGATCAAGCAATCGATTCTCAACATGCTGTTCGACGACAAGATACAACCTTACTCGCTGGAGTCGCGCCAGGACTACGATATCGTCGAGCTGGCCGATTTCGAAGATGAATCTCCTGTCTGGACATGGTGCCGGACACGTCTACCACACTTGATTGGCACGCCACTTTCAATATTATCATGGGCCTTCTCGCTCCGCTTCTTGTTACTGCTCTGGCGCTCTCTCCTGAGTGGCGGCAAGCCAGGGGTCGTTGCTTCATGCTACTTCATCACGCAAGTGTCACTATTAAGTAAGTCAAGCAAAGGATGTTTACGTTGCAGCCATGGCTGACAAATCCACAGTTGCACGAGTGGCAGACGATGGCTGGCGGTTCCTCTGCACAAATCCCCGTTCGCGACCCAGACTTCGACTTATCGGCCAATCTGTTCCCCGTGCAGATGTCATCGTTACCACATGCGGCGAAGAGATTGATGTTGTCATGGACACCGTCAGAGCAGCGTGTGATCTCGACTATCCTGCTGACAGATACAGGGTGCTGATTGCTGATGATGCTGCAAACCCGGACCTGGAGATGCAGATCGCAGCTCTCGCAACCAAGACTCCTGTGACTTTGCTATACTACGCAAGACAAATCAAAGGCGGTATGAAGGCCGGTAACATGAACTCTGCACTCAATTATCTACACAGTCTCGGTGGAGCTGAGTATTGCACGTTTTGTGATGTCGACATGGTCTTTGAGCCAGAGTTCCTCCGAGCCACTCTCCCTCTTCTTGTTAGCGACGATGAAGTTGGAGTTGCAGTCGTCCCGCAGGTAAGACTCCAGGTTTAGTCCCAGTGTCTGCTGACTCCGCGCTAATGTTCCTCCTCCAGAGATTCTACAATGTGCCGACCAACGATCCGCTCTATCAAAGTCTTAACGTGGATGGCAAGTTTGACGAGATTCAGCGCGACAGCATGAACTGTGCATGGGTCACAGGCCCAGGCGTTGTTTTCCGTTGCAGGGCAGTCAGAGACATCGGAGGCTTCCCGGAGAATGCTCTTGCTGAAGACATCATGACCGGCTTCACACTTCAAGGCCGAGGATGGAAAGTCGTCTACTGCCGTGAAGAGCTCCAATTTGGACTCGTTCCGGACACCTTCAAGGCTCATGTCACGCAAAGAATGAAATGGGTAAGTTTTTGAAACCAGCTTTTGGCTTGCAAGCTTTTGCTAACATTCTACAGTTTGTCGGACGTCTTCGCAACTCTCGCAGATTGAACTGCGCTATAGCGTCGCCACTAGTCGCAGGCATGACTTGGAAGCAGCGCATTTCCGCAATCTGCCATTGCGCTTCGCCTATCGCATCCATGATGAACAGACCACTCTGCTCCTGGATCATCCTCTTACTCATTGCTTCCGGACAACCACTCATTACCGCCAAGTCTGACCAACTGCAATCGATTCTCTTCGTCTACTTCCTTTCCAAAATAACAGCTCACGCGGAGGAGTTGCTCGCAAGCACAAGTTGCGGATATCTAGCACTCCGCCGCAGGATTGAAGGAATGCACTGGCTACACACACATCTCTTCTTCGCTCTCGCCAAAGAATTGGTTCCGAAGTCACTCGCCGGATCCCGTATCGGATTCATACCAACAGCACTGGCAGAATCCAAAATTCAGGAGCGCCACACCGATCGACGTCCCGGACTCCTCAGACGATTGCGAGTCATGTTCCTTTACCAAGAGTTATGGTACCACGTCGTTGTCGTGCTGGCCGCAGCAATGATCTTCAGTTTCGCGCTTGTCAAGTCCAATAACGAAGGAAGTTTGCGATACCTTCTTACGCACTTGCTGGTGCCAGGAGCCGCATGGAGCAGTCACTTTGCTTCGTTGCGACCAATCGCATACGCCTTGTGGCCACCAACCATGCCGGAAAGACGCGAGCTGATGACACGCGAATATGCCAAACCACGACCAGAGGCGAAGGTGAATGAAGATCATCTTCAGTTGCACTTGGAGGAGAGCTCTGATGGCTCCACATTCGAGGTTTGGCGACCAAGAGCAGAACAGAAGCTCGAATTCTGGGATGCTTGGGCAATTTTACCGGAGATCCCACGTCATATTAGTTTGTTGTTTTGGGTCGCTGTCGGCTTGAGACTGTGGCAGTGATTGTTTTTTTTTCATTTTTATAGACGGCTATACAGAGCAATTCTGGAGTCATGGATGCTGGAGCTGAGACATTATCGAACGTCAAACATACATTGAAACTCTTGACAGTGCTCCAGGATTGTACATCCATTCAGCTCACGCAACCGGGCCTCGATGACTTCTTCTTGCCACTAACCTCTGGCGATATCTGCCCAGCTAACCTCACGGTGGTGGAAGCCAGCTTGTCAAAATGCACAGTGTTTTTGCAGTCTACCGACTGGAGATCATTGCCCACCTTCAATCGGGAGCACTATTGCCTCCCTCCTCATTGTGCTCCCTTGCATCTCACCACTCTCGTTGACTTCGATATCTTTGTATCCAAACTTGCGGTACAGAAAGTTGCCTGCCGGGGACGCCTCGACCCATGAAGGCAAGAACAACTGATCCGCGAGATCACTTCCCCACTGCAACATCATGGATCCGATACCTCTGCGTTGATAGTCCGGATCCGTAAAGCAAATATGCAACTCTGCCAATCTCATCATCAGCAAAACGTCTCTAAAAAGCCAGCTATGATTCAAGGAACACAGGAAGAGGTAGATAAACTCACGACAATAAGGCTCAGTAAATAAACTCTTCCTCACCCCCATGATCCCCGTAATAACACCTTTTACCTTGTTCAATTTCTCCTCATCACACTCCAACCATGCCCATCCCAGATCCTCCTCTGCCAATTCATGCTTCGGCACACTTCCCATGTGCACTCTCCAATTACTCGCACCCACTATCTTGCCTGTCTTCTTTTCTTCAACTTTCACCCACACGTCGCTGGCATTTGTGTGTAGGGTTTTCTGGTAGAATGAGGAGAGGTAAGCGTGACCGTCGGGGGTGTCGGGCCCCATGAAGATTTCGCGGAGGTGAGGGTCGGTGAAGGTTTTGAATTCCAGTGCGACGATGGAGTCGAAGTCATGAGGGGTGTGGGCGCGGGTAAGGATGAATGGGCCGCTGCTGTCTTCTATTGATGTCGTTGCCATGGGTTTGAGGTGTTTTTATCAAAGATTGATGTTTCGTTTGTGAGGAAGGGCAGGCAAGTTTGTTGCTGGAAAGGCCGCTGTGCAGTTATTCGAGTCAAAGTAGTTGAGGGGATGAACGTAGCAATATATCCTGCTTTATCAGTTCGCGCATCCAACACCCGAGAGGCTTCCGAATGACGTGGCACAGCATGATCGAATCCTTTGTTCTGCATACGGATACATAATGGCATATTGGCGAGATATAGACACCATCGACAACGCAAAGAGAGATACAAAGGTCAATCGCACCTTCGTAAATTTAAGCCTAGTGAATCTGAAAAAGGAAAGTATAATCAAATAGTGACTGCCTTGCTGGATTGCGCTTAGGGTTGTTCCAAGATTGGCCGGCAAGCGCATCCTTCCCGGAATGCGGCTCGAGCCTGCGTACTGCATTTATATGAAGCCGCTAGAGGTGCATGGAGGTGATTGCATCAATACTGATGTTCCCGGACGCAGACTGGATGTCAACATGACTAACTATCAAAAGGCAAGATGTTTTTGATTTTCGGATACTCGTCATTCATATCTGCGCTCTGATACCAAAAGTAAGCTAGATGGCCAGTTGAACGAGGCTATGGCACTGGCACTCTGGCATGCTGGACGCCCCTTATCAGATGGTTCAGAAAGTTGACTTCTGATTATTCATACGTCTCCTTCTCCTGCTCGACTTCAATTGCTGACAAGCAAAGGGAAAGAAAATACATGGTCATGTCGCGCACGGTAAGCGCTTGCCGCACACAATGCCAACCACTCATGCTTTCTATGGACGTCCCACCCTGTTGAGAATGACGTTAACGATGACAATCGATGATTGTTTTGCTTTCGCTTTCTTGATGATCGCAGTCTTGCTCAGCAGCGTGTTGCCTTGGCTCTCAATGAGGAATTTAAGTCGATTCGAAGGTGTCGTGGTAATCGCGGAGGAGAAAGAAGACGCCTACGAGCTCCAGTTCCCGTGTGGGCAACGGCGTGCATATATGCCAGTGAGATTAATGATGACATTGACACGACAAAAGACAATTCTGAAGGTCTCGCTTCCTCGGTGCTCAGCATTGAGTTCACTCTCATTAGGTCGTCAACGGAGAGGAACCCATATGAGGCTAGCAGTCGTGGCGTTGGCGAATGGAGGGGGTTCAATCATGCAGAGCGAGAGACAAGAACAATGTGAATGGCAATCAGGTCTCGGCCTGTGATTGGGGAACTGTACATGGCATTGTTCCAACACCATGATGCCCTGAGGCTAGTCATAGAAGCTCACAGAGTGATTGACATCAACGATCAAGCATAATGTGCTTGATTAAGTTGGACGAGTAGAGCTCAAATGAGTTGGAGGTGAGGCAACGTGAGCAGTGACCGGATGAGCAAAAGTGAGGCGAATAATGATACGCCAGGCAGCAGCAAAATAAGCAGAGGCGAGCCGAGCAAGCAGTACACAAAGCTTCTGCGAGAGGCAAGGACAACGATGACGAGTGAATTGGGAATGTCTGACGCTTCTATGTCGCGAAATATGGCGGCAACGGGCAGAGATGATGTCCTTCGAGGAAGACAGAGGAGCAAGGCCTCGTATAAAGTTGGCGAGGCCTGGCAAGCAGTGGCGATCAACTGTGCAGTGAGCAGTATCAAGTGCAGCGCATCTGGTCAGTGACACGAGCAGTGGAAGCAGAGCAACGGCAAAATGCGCTGCGCTTGAGACTGCGGGTAACACTGAGCGAGCAGTGAAGAGATGAGTACATGACTCTTCTGCGAGAGGCAAGGACTCCAACGAAACCGAAGAACGATAGATCTGAAGTCTGATGCCGAACTCCGAGTGAGGTTCTTTGACTCCATACTTCTCAAGACATGTCGATGTCCATCGTGACTGAAAGGGGCCTCCGAGGTTGATGCACCTAAGTGCAAATCTTTGGCGAGGCGAAGGTTTAGACGCCGAAACCAATGTGGTGTCTTTGGCTAATTCTGTATAAGCGCCACAATGATTCACTTACTAAGAGTATCGGCGCCATCGGGAGTGTCGGGGGCACGTCTCTTTCTACCTCTGGTGGGTGTAATTGGGTACCTAGTTAACGCCGTAATTTAGATTTTTTGAAGAAAATACCATTACCTTAGTTGAACTTACTGAGTGGTTTCTTCTTGTTCTGTCATCACGACATCGTCGCCTTCAGGGACAACGGGGGGGTCGGCGTTTTCCATGGTTCAAATCTTGTTGCTCAGAATCTATTAAAGGTTTAAACGTTAAGGGGCCAGCTCTGTGGGAAAGAGCTGAAACTTTTATGTGGCCACCACATAACTGGATGGGTTGGGACCCCTGTAGGCCTCTTCCTCCTCCACGAGGGTATTAAATTCTTAAAACGCGGGTACTTCATCAACGAAAGTTGCTGTCGAAACCGTGGATGCAGTGGCAGTAGTAGTCTAGGTTTAATCGGAGTTCAAGTCGATGTTCTGTAATATTATTTCCGCATCGTTCCCGGTCACTGCACCGTTGACAGGCTTATGTATCATCTGCTCATTGGTCGAGTATGTAGTGAGACCTGCTGGTCCTGCTCATAGTCCTCGTTGGGTTTGTTCGATACGAAAATGCGTCCGTTAGTGGTTTGCATAGCATCGAGACCGGGAATTTCTTGGTCGGCTAGTGTGTTGCTTTGAAATTCGGACGGAAAGTCTTGATATTCGATATTCCAGGTATCGTTCAATACTGGGGGAACTTTTCCAGAATTTTGTACACGCCACGGAAGAAAACAGTTTCCTTCGCGCGGTGGGCCTTGCCTATTCCACGCTCGAGCTAGAACAGTGTCTTGAAAGGGGCCCAGTGATCTGTACCTCTTAGCACAGATCTGTTCCCTGTCCCTGAACCTTTTTTGCGGCGATCGCGGGTGGTGTAATAGTTTTCTTGCTTTCATTCGCATTCGAACCAAACTTTCCCTCACAGCATGAAGAAGGGCATACACTGCATATACTTCATGGGGACGTAATGTCGGTGCTGCGTCGCTCAGTATTGGCGGGAGCTGCTATCTAGGTCGACGGAAGGAGAACCAGGTCATGGGTTGCGGGACGTGACTGGGATTGAATGACAGGTTGACGAGGAACAGAAGGCTCCTTTCCTGGTGCACTGTTGACCATGTTTCGTATGCACATCCAACAGCGCCGTTGTTGCGATGTATGGTCAAGTTTTAGAGCTGCCAGGCAAGTATATAACGAAGGTGATAACAGCGAAGCAGCCACTCTGACATTGTCGTTGATCTTCATTCTCGACAGCCGGATATTATATACCACATGACGATCATGGACGTTGCTTCACTCTTGCGGTGTATGGTTCAGTTGTAGAGCTCCCAGATGGATAGAACACGAAGGTGACAAAAGGCGAAGCAACCGCTCTGGTGTGGTCATAAATCTTCACTCTCAACAGCCGAATATATAGCAACACTGACGATGAACGTTGCTCCGTTCTTGCAGTGTATGGTTCTGTCGTAGAGCTGCCAGACAAACATATAATCCAGGAGATGGTGATGGCGATTCCAAATTCAAGCAAGCGAGAGAAGCACTGATACATCCAGACGCTTCAGATGTCGAAAGTGATGGAAGCGTGTTGGAAATTTGCTGGTTTCGACAAGGATGTGAAAGGAAGTTACGACGGAAGTGGAAGGAAGCCGTCAATCACCTGCAGAAGACAATAAGCAGAAAGTCAAGCAAGCAAAAGATCGGAAGTGATACATCAATGAGAAGCGATGTTTCCGTGAAGCACTGTCAGACAAGCAAGCATTGTCATCAAAGGTCTGGAAGAAAGAAAGATGAGAAGTCAGGATGTAATGATGATGTTTGTAGATCTTGCCCCTCCTTTGCAGCTGGAGAGCTCCTACCTCCGCAGATCCAGAAGCTGTCAGCGAACGACGCTTCAACACAAAGAAGCCCATGCAGCTGCCCCTCCGCTGTTGCCTACGTCTCAAAAACCGTCTCAACATCCTTCCACTCGCCCTTGTCCCTGCACTCCCAATACCCGTTCTTCCCTGTACTCAATCTCCAAACCTCCTCATCGCCTTCCTCGCCTTTGACAATCTCAAAGAACCTAGGTTTCCACTCTACACCATGAGATTCCAAGACCTTCCTGCGTGCTCTTTGTCTTTCCTCAAGTCTAGCTTTCAAAGCTTCCGCTTCATCTGTTTTGCCATCTTCTAGAGCACGCTGATCGGGTCGAAGTCGTGAATCAGTGGAAGAAATTGCTTTCTTGTCGATTTCGTCGAGTTGGTTCAAACAAGCAGCAAAAGAAGTGTAGCCGTAGACTTTAGGTGCGTTGGGGACGAGAGGGCCAGCAGTCCAGATAGTTTCGCCAGTGTCAGTGCGTTGTAGGCTCTCGGTCCATTTACCAACCAACATGGAAGAAAGTGGTGACGAAGAGGTAGTATCATAGAATTGTGTAGTGACTTCCTCAGATCTGCCGGAGAAGAGTCCACCAGCCTTGAACGTGGCAACGGCTTTGGCACCAGTGGTTTCATTGACGATAGTCATGCTTTCTACAGGCTCAACGTATTTTTCGCCCGCAATGACATTGCGCAAGAAACATGTCGCCAGTGTCCAAGAGTATTTTTCGCCATTCACGTTGTGCAGAATAAGTCTTACTTTGCCTTCCGTATTCAACTCAGCACTCTTGCCCCAGAATTTCTGCGTGGGTTGTTGAGACTGAGAAAGTGACCATGCGGAGTCCAAAGCGTCGGCCTGGAAGGCCATGCGAACGGGTCGATGGCACACTTTTTCGGACACAAATCGGAAGCCGAGATCGGAGCGGACGAGTTCGTAGGTCTCGCCGAGCATGGGGTTGAATGGTTTGCGAATGGCTCTCTCCTTGACGCGGTTGCTGGCGAAGTTAGAGATGGCAAAGGCGGCGACGTAGATTAGACGATCGAGTGACTTGTCAGGCGAAGATAGCGATGAAGCTTTGTGTAGTAGATCGACAGACTCGAAAGGTTCGGCGAGACGTTGAAGAGCAGAGAGCGGCTCGTTGGCAGTGACAGGCATGCTGACAGTACTAAGGTCTTTTCCAGCATTCTTTCTAAGGAAGCCGATCAACGACGGAGGAGGCTGTTTTGGTGGAGATATGGTCGATCTGTAAGTGACCTTTGGCAGGGCGGATGTCAATGGTGTAGGTTTGGTAGGGAAGAGAGAAGTTTCCGAAGGAGCTCCAGCCGTATCGTTTGAGAGTTCGGTGGCATCTCCAACATCACTGCTAGTGTCAGAATCGCCGCCGTTAGAAGTGACATCCTGGAAGTCTTGATCATCGTCTTCCCTGGTAGCCTCGCTCGATCTTCTGATAGACAGGAGCTGAGAGGGAACATCTTCGGCGTCGAAGAATTCTTGCGATGACACCGAATCGATAGACATGCGTGAAGCAGCAGGAGCAAGCAAGTTGGGATTGATGGGCATACGGCGAGCCTTGGATTCAGCAAGCAGAGCAGAGAAGTCATTGACCACATTATCCAGATCACGAAGAAGAGCCAGGCAACGTTCGTGAGTCTCTTGCATAGTGATAGAGGCAGTGATGGGTTGCTTGTTGGAGTAATTCGGCACAGGAGAAGTCGGATGAGAAGTCGAAGGCGAGCCAGAACCGTCAGGAACAGTGAGTTGTTGACCCGAAGTCTTGCGCATGAACATGGCAGGCGAAGCGCTGTTGCTAGCCGCACTAGGCTTGCGTTTCCAGAATGGGAGTCTCTCAGAAGGAGCAGAAACAGAAGCTGTGTCGCTTTCTGCAAAGAATGGGTTGGCAAATGATTCGACCGAGGAAGCACTAGGTGATGCTGCTGCTACAACAGATGGCGAAATTTTGACGTCGGTATCCTGTGCCAGGCGTCTCAAAGCATCGCGAGAGCCAGAAATCCTGCTGACAATCTCTTCTGCACGCTCCCACTCAACTGAGGTGACTGCGTCCGAAGCGCCGGGGAAAGGATTTCTTCCTTGGGTAAACACAGCCGGAGTCGAAGGACCAGAAACAGCAGTAGCCGAAGCACGTTCAAGCACCTCCCTCCACTCCTCGAAATCCTTGTTGTTACCAGCACGAAGATGCCAGACCTCGGCACCAGAATCGACAGAGAACTCGCGAGTCTTTGAATCAGCACCAACAGCGACCAGCGACAGAGGTACAGCTCCACGCAAAGCCGAAGCGTGGCTATTGCGATAATACGACAGAGTGCCCGAAGTAAAGTCGAGCGAGAAGAAACGGCGAGCATAACCCTGGCCCTTCTTTCTGCGTCGCTTGTACAGCGTACCGGTGTGGATATCATGCGGCGCCAGCGACTTGTGGAATGAACTCCTCTGCCCTTTCGCGGCTTGTGTATTATTCTCCAATTCTTTCCCCAAGCTCTCGACGGATGCGCCAGGCGAAGGCGCAATCCTCGGACTGCATTTCAGATTCGGCGTACTCGGTTGCGCTTTGAGCTGAGCTCTCGATTTCGGTGGAGCGTTTGTCGGATGCGTCATGAGCACGAGAGTCGCAGTCTTGGACACGGTTTTGCTGAAGGTGTTGTCAAAGACCAAGCCATACATGCCTCCCTGCCCAGGCGCGACATCATACGTGCCCACTCTGACCTTATCAGCCTCGCAATTGCCAATCCACTCGACACAGCGCAAGCCGATGTTGTGCAGCTTTTCCATGACGGTGCTAGCCTCGTGCTTGGCCACCGAGCCTCTTCTCTTCTTTCCCTCACTTGCGGCATCGTCATTGCTGTGGGCGCTAGGTGGTGGTTCCAGTGTTGCCGAGGACGAGGTGGGCATGCCAGGAGCGAGTCCATTCTTTGTGCCGGGATGCTTGAAGATGCCGAAGTTGATGCTTTTCTTGTGCGGCTGTACGCTCCAGCCTATTGAATGTCCTTCGTTGACGTGGACCCATCGCACAATGTAGCTCTACCATAAACACATCCCAAGTCAGCAACAGTATACGCTTTCGGTTCGGTCCGGACGCAACTCACCCTCGAATGAATCTGTAAATCCTCCATGATGGCCTTGTGTTTCCGTTCACTCCAGATCAGCGAGCTTGCGAGTTGCAGCGAGGTTTCGAGCCGTAGTGAATATCCAGAGTGCACATCAGAGTAAAGGGAACAGGTGGTCGCAGGAAGAATACGGTAGTTGGCAGTGCACCGGTGAAGCAAGCTGACACGAGCGGGAATCCAGGGATGAGGAACAAAGTTATGTCAGCTCCCGTTCCAAACAACGGCCCTTCTTGATCCCCCGACCTTCCGGATCTCACGATTGCCGAGTCCGACTTGTGAGTCGAGACGACCGGTTTTCAATAAGCTTGCAAAGGCAGAATGACTACAAGTAGTATCTCTTGCGATGCGACAAGACATATATAAGCTGTGTCCTTCCTCGCAAGAGCTGCTCTTTCTAAACGACACCGTGTTCGTGGTGAACCTATACGGAGAATACGCTCGTTCGATTTGTCCCTGTTTTCCCCCCACGTTTCGCAACAACCGGGTCTGTGACGTCGCCAAGCCGTTATCTTATTGCCGATGCTTGCATACCTAGATGTGCATGATTTGTGCTGCCTATGCGCTCGTGCCTCTCCAGCCATCTTCTATTCATGTGTTGCCATTCATTTATGATTGGACCTGCCTCCAAGATCGATCCTGTTCCTGCGACGACTTTGCGCCTCCAGCTCGCAGACTTGAGCGGCTTGGGTTGCAACGTATTCGGTGCGTAGCTGAAACGCGCGGCCTCTTCCATTTATTCTCGTGTGCGTATCGGTGAAGTGATAGCGTATACGGCCTTATGATACGGTGAAGCTGGTGGGTGTTTGGAACACGAGGCTTCCAAGCCATATCAGCCATCTTGATCATTGGTAAAGACACAACTTCCAACACGAGCAGATACGTAGGTAGGTAATCATAATCTCATATCCATATCTAAATCTATATCTATATCCAGCCATGTAGGCTCCATCTATAGTGTAATACCTCCAAGTCTATTCTTTCTGGCCCATCTATTTGACATCCCTATCCTTGTAAATCTTTTCCTCCTCAATATCAACACGGTCAACATGTTGAGCATGAGGATCAGCTTTATATTCCTCCGCAACGGCCAACTCCACATCTTTTCTTCTTTGCTCGGGCGTCACGGCTCCGAAAAGAATATCCATCTCTTCCAAACTGCGGCCCGTAGTGTCTTTCAAGAAGACGAAAATGAAAGCGCCCATGGCCGTGCAAAAGACGCCAAACATGATGAAAGTGCGCCAGCCGATGCTGTTGATGGCCGCGGGTGTGACCTTTGTGACGACGAAATTAAAAAGCCACTGAGCTGGATGTTAGCATGAGTTGGTTCGGATGAGAGATGGAGTAAGACAAACCTGAGTAGCAGAGGCCAGACCCACACCGTATGCTCTTAGTCTGGTCGGGAAGATCTCTGCGACATAGACCCAAGGCACGGGTCCCCAAGAAGCAGAATATCCGATAACGTAAAGGTAGATCATAACGACCATGGCTATGGACGCAGAGCTAACAGAGGTAGCATCTGGGTCAGGGGGGAAAGACACGAGGACAGCGCCGATGATGAACATCATGATGGCCATCCACCAGGCTCCAACAACCAATGGCCACTTTCTGCCGAAGCGCTCGATACCGACGATGAGGAAAATTCCGGTTGCGATGACCTTGACAGTACCATAGATACCAGTAGCGAAGAGCGACGAGCTAGACGACGATAGGCCAATTGACGCAAAGATCTGCGGAGCATAGTATCCTATGCTGTTGGTACCTGACCATTGTTGCCAGAACATAATACAGAAAGCAAGGCCGAAACGCTCACGGTATCCAGGCTTCAGACACTCCTTCCAGCTGAGGCCTTCAGTAGCCAAGAACTCCTCTTCGACAGACGCCCGAATCTCAGCAAGCTCCTGGAGAACTTCTGGGTCGTCGGTAGGAACACAGCGGATATATGCCAATGAAGCCAAAGCCTCATCGTGACGGTCATTTTTCGCTAACCAACGAGGCGACTCCTTGAGGAACCAAAGACCGCAGAACATGATACCGGAAGGGACCAATTGCAAAGCGACAGGAACGCGCCATTGCATAGTGGTGGGCGCGATGTTCCTCTTCACTCCATAGCAAAGCCAGTAACTGAACATGACTCCCAAAACGAGGAATTCCTGAAAGAGACCAGAAATTCTACCCCGAACGTCGGGAGGGCAGTTTTCGGAAACGAAGACAGGTGTGATGGCACTCATGCCACCAATACCCAGACCGGCGATAACACGACCACCATAGATGGTGCCAATAGCATGCGAAGACCCAGTCTGAACAGCAGCTCCGATCATGAAGATGACGTCGAAGATCATGAGCGAGTAGCGACGACCCAGGCGTTCATTCAACCAAGGTGCAGCCAAAGCACCAAAGAAGCATCCAGCCGTAAGCAGCGATACCACGTTCGAGGAAATCTCGGCGTTCTTGCTGCTTGAGAATCCAGTTGTAGAGGCGGCCATTCCGAAATCTTTCTTGAAGCTTTCCAGTTCCAGGACCGATCCCATGACACCAGTGTCGTATCCGAAGAGGAAGGATCCCTGTAGTGAAAGGTTAGCGGAAGTGTCGTGAAGGAGGGTGTAGAGAAACCCACCATGTAGGCCACCAGGGTCAACAGGTAGACCCTTCTGTTCTTGAAAAACGCGTTCGCCATATTGTGCTGTGATGTGATGTCGAAGACTCTGCGTAGCCAGAGAGATGGAGAGAAAAAGAGAGGTGTAGCCCAAGGGGGGACGAAAGATACTTAAACCACTTGCGGTCGCCGAACCACCCATTAAGTCCGTTGAGGGCTAACTTACCGGTCCATGGGTAAGGCGTTCGCCGCCCTCCCTGTGCCTCTCCAGACGACCTCCATCAACTCTCCACAAGAAGCGGAGAAAAGCCCATGGAGAATTTCCCGTCTGCTGTGTGGGTCAAGTCTTTCTCCAGATCTGCGATGTGGATACCATTTTTCCGTTGCGAAAAGGTCCGTGTGATGTCAAAGGACTGTGAACGACAAGACGTCCATTCTACCGAGCGAAGAAGCGTCAGCTCATCGAGCAAGATGGAAGAGTCGGCATTCCTACCTCAAGACAATCAGTCCAAACTTATATCAGTATCCTTGGCTTGCATGTTCCAAAGGCTTGCAGGAGTCGTGGTGGCGGTAAAGTTTGTTACCACATCGGCCTTGGCTTCCGAGTCATGTTTCAACCGAAGCCATTACCAACAACGACCAATCATTATTGATGGATCAAACATCTTGCTTCTCACCAAAAGATGTCGAGCATGACAATGGCGTCTGTGGCGGACGGACTTGCAGTAGATCAAGCCAAATGGCTGAATGTTGCAGATATGCTTACCAAGATATCGTATCAGGGCTCGGATTTTGAGTGACAGCGGAAGGCCGCAGCTTCGGCAGTGGCACAAGGTCGTCGAATGAGGGCAGCGACAGAGACTGTGTGTCTACTCGATTCTAAAGATCACGTTGGCTTCTGTATCTCGCAAAAGTCGAGCTTGGGCATAACGCGTGGTACGAATCCGAGGATCTTGGTCATTGAAGCAGTGGAGTGGAGATGAGCAATTTGAATCGATAAGTTGCAATGTTCAAAGACGACTGTCGTCAACGAACGATGATCGAATGATCGCAAAGATATGATGGTGGTCTAGAGAGTTTCTGAATAGACAATTGATAAGTAACAAAATAATGGACGGTAATTGTGATGCCTTGTTGGTGGAAAGAAAGCAAAAACAGGGTCGCCTGCGCATCATGGCGGAACTTCGGGTAAGAATCCACATCAGAACTTCCGCTGTGTCGCGCTCGCAAGGCACAATGATTTCCGAACTCGAGCGAGTCATATGGGGGAGCCCAGAAGGTGATCACTCCTCCGTCATGGCATCTGAGTATGATTGTCGAATACCCTGGTGATTTGCCAGCACCACTCGAATATGTACAAGCCAGCTGTGGCAGACGAGGTCAAACGAGCTATCGACATCTCGACCAGAGACAAGGCTAACGTTACGATGCTTATGATATCGCTCAAGTCTAGACTTATCGCGCTGGCAGGCGTCTAGGATTATCAAGACCCTCTGGCGGATGCTGGACCTGACGACCTTGTGTGTGGCATTCGTGGTGTGCCGTGCGTTTCGTGACAGCAACAGGACTTGCGGATCTGGAGATTGATGCTAGCAAAGTAATGTCGATTTACCTTGCCGAACCTAATTCAATATGCTCGACCCAGGAAAAGACTGCGAAGTAGGGTCTTGTTGTCGTCATCCATCAAGGGTGGATGTGAGCTACTGGTGGCGTTTACTGCCAGCCCCAATCCCTGCATAACAACATGTTTCGGCGCTGCCAAAACCATACAGCCAGCCTTCACTGGATTCTCCTGCAACGCCAAGCCCCCTCCCACTTCATGACATATTCCAATCAATCCGCACCAAATCCATAATCCGCTGAGTTGGTGTAACGGCTATAACCTTCTCAAGATTCCAATCAAAACCCTGGTTCGAATCTCCGCCGTGTAGTCTTAATTTGGTAACCCTCAAATCCAAGCCTGATGACCGTCATCAGGTGATATTGATCATGGAGAATTGGAAGTGGTTTTCCCAGAGCGAAAGCTCTGGTTTTTTGCTGTTTGAGTTGCTGGCAAGTTTTGTTTTCCTTCTCGCCATCAATTCTTCTTTTTGAAGAAAAGTGATTAATCGCAAACAACAACAAAGGGTTTTGGAAGAGGGGTTTGCTGTCTTCCAATAGCTTCTCGACAAGACTCAATACCCTGCTACTCTTCAGCCCTTCGACGACTTTGTCGACTGGTTTGTCTTCTTTTCAGAAAGTTGGTTCTGTCCTTGGCCTGGACTCCTCACTTCAGCTTTCAATGACCTCGGAGTATCTTCCAGAAAAGACTGCACTCCTTTCACTGCTGGCATCCCTTCGAACGATCAAACAACACAGAGCACACACATCTAATTCACTTCAAGAACCATACCAAAAGCCGACCATGGCGTTCGTCTACAAACCATCAGACAGGCCCTTTCTCCGCGTAGCTGCCGAAACCGGAGCAGCTGTCGCTCGGCTCAAATCGGCGCGCCTCGTGACGCCATCGCTCGTGGAAGCGTCGCCCAGAATTTGGACAGTCGCGGTGCTATCAGCAAGAACGGAGACCGTAACATTAGAGACAATGGCAGAAGAGATGACGGACAGAACGGCAGAGATGGTAGAGGTTATGGCAGAAACGACAGAGGCGCACGATGGTAAGCACCTGCTGATCAATTGGTCAGGAGCCGCGGCATCTCAAAATGCGCAAAGACTTGATCAATACCATCCAAAATTCAAGAACATCACATCAACATGAGTGATCTGACCCCCGACCAAGTGAGTTTGTAGAGCATGTTCAGAGCACATGTCATTGACCAAAACCAGAAGCACAAATTCAGGGCCGCAGTCGATGGTCTGACACCCGACCAAATCAAAGTCATCATCCAGGAAGAGAGCGTCAAGATTGAGAACGGTAAGTCCACGCGTGTTCCGATTCATGCATTGCCAAGCTGATGAGCATTTTCCAGGCTCCTACACCGCCGCCTCGCCTACCGTCATCTCACCTGCCGCCACCTCGCCTGCCGTCACCTTGCTCGCCGTCGCATCGCTCGCCGCCGCTTCAGCCTTGATGGACGACCCTGACGCCGCCCGCTTGAAGCTAGGAAACCTGGTCAAGGAGATCATCGCCGTCCAAGCCACTGTCACCAAGCTCAAGGGTGCCGGCGAGCAGGCAACCAGGGGTCTCGAAGAGGCGAGAAAGTCAATGACTCATGCTGAGTTGATGGTGCAAAAGTCCATGGAGGAGCTCAAGGGCGTCGGCGACGCCCTCGAACGTGCCAACACGATCGCCGGAGACCTGAAGGTCGTTCACGCCCGCATGGCTGACGACATGTCCCCTTCGGCCCGCACCTCCGCCCGCGCTTTCGTGACCCCTCGTGGAGTCGCCTCTCGCCCTACCAGCGTCTCGGACCAGATCCTGGGCTCTCCTCCCAATACCTGGCAGCGTAACCCCTTCCAGTAAAGGATCGACAAAGCCTCTTGCTCTGCAGCTCTACGTCAGCAAGAAAGAGCGATACGCACACGTTTAATGAATTTCAAACATTCTCCGATTCTATTATACATCGCTTTGTGCCTAAACCATTTTTCCATCGTGCTCAATGTCTACATATACTCTCTTGTATAGCAGTCTCGCTACCTTGCCCTTTCTGATCAACGGGTTGAATGTTCTGCCGCTGATCACCGAGCATGTGGTCTTCATTCCATCGCAGAGAAGCCATCTGTAACCTGTGGGCCTGTTCTTTTGCTCTGAGCACTGCACGCGGTTGGCAGCCACCCAGTGATTGTTCTCGGGCCCAGCGATGTAGACGAGAGCTACGCATTCGTAGAACACGTGGCGAGTCGAGCCTTGGATCGTTTCGAATGCAAGATCGAAACCATCCAACACTTCCCTCCAGTCGTTGAGATCCGGGAGGGTGTCGGGCTCTTTGATGTTGAGCGCGACGCAAAGAATGTGAGGGGGCCGGTCGACGAAGACGGTTTTTTGCTGCAAGGGAAGATCCTCATTACACGTCTTGCATGTAAAGAATCGGTGTCTGGGTCGCTGGATCCCCTTCTCCTCGAAATGCGCGTTGACGAGTTGCGCGACTGTCATTCTTGGCTCGGACGTGTTGACCAGCTCAAGGCTGTTGACGGAGATATCTTGCGGTGTCTGGTAGAAATTTGTTTCGCCGCAAGCGCCGCATACCTTCTTCTTCGCAGTATTAAAAGATACGCTAGGGATGCTAGCAGCTCCATGTGTCCACAGATCTCCCGGATTAGCCTCCTCACCGACTCCAACATGTGATCGGGCTGCAATTTATGCCAAGATAAAATGAGAGGCCGGCAGGTCCTACAGATCTTTTGATGGTAAGAGCAATGTACAAACGATTTGACACTCTCACTCCTACCTTTGAGTACTCTCATGATTTTGTCTGCCCTCTGACAATGCCATGTTTGGACACCCATCGAGACAATAAAAGGGGCGTTTGTTTTGCTTGATGGTATGCCGTAAGTGACTAACGTAGACGTAGCCGCAAAGAAATTGACCCGGCACCGAACTCCCTCTCGCCTGTAAGGCCTTGCAACCATGGCTGCAAAAAGGCAGGATGCTTTTGATGATCAAGTACATGTCCATTAAGAGCGGTACTGCCCCTTGATCTCTTTGGACTTACATTAAATACCAAAAATCATTGTGCCTTTTGACTGCTATGTTGTAAGGAGCCTTTGCTAAGCTGAGAGCTCGGTTCTGGTGCATTTCCTGTGCCCCTATACTAACGTTAAACTTGGCCGTTATGCGCAGACGTGCCTAACCATACGATAGGACCTGAAGAAGGTTTATGCGCAATGCATGATGCATCGAGCACGAGCCCCACGAGCCCATGCCGGACAAGCACACTGTGGCTCAGAGATACCTTGCCCAGGTAAACAACATCATCTCCGTCGGAGAAGCACTCGTCCAGACCGATCACGTGTCGGAGTCTGGAATCATCTACCTGCGTAAGGCTCTAGACTCGGTCTACGATGTCCTCCAAGACAACGCTATCGAGCTGGGTGCGCCATCTACTGCCTCGGATGTCGCGAAGATCGTAACTACCATCAGAAAGTAGCAGAAGACGGAGTCAGGAGCAAAAGCCACCAAGAACGATGGTGACACCGAGGACGAGGAGTCTGAGGTCGAGGAGGAGTCGATCAAGACGACCAAGAGAAAGTTCCGAGGCGATACCAAGTGCCTCTTGGAAAAGGCAACTGTCTGGCCGCCTACTACTGGAGGTGCCGACAACGACTGGGCGACGAAGCTCGCCAACTACATGAGATCGGTTGGTGACGGCGTCACCAGCATCCCATCCAGAGCTCTTCAGGAGCTGTTGCTTTTGAGCTGGTCCGGTCAAGGCCTCGACAACGTGCAGAGCCTGGCCCACGAGACTCGCGAGAACGCCGCCACCATCCAGTCCACCCTGGCTCTCAACGTCGTGGGCAAGGAGCGCACAACCTCCGATTTCTCAGACATGGCTTCGGCCATCACCCGCATGCTACAGATCCGCACTGCCGGGGTGCTCTCCCAGATTGACTCAATCGTCGTGCATGCCGTAGCCGCACGTGTCATGGAATCAACAATCGGCGAGATCGGCGCTCGCAGCGGTCCGCTGTTCAAAGCTTACAAAGAGGCCACTAGCGTTGAAGACCATTCATACGGCAACGAGGGCACGAGAGATTCTTACCGTCTCTTCGTCATCGAGAAAGCTATTCCGGTCGTGTAAGACCTCCCCGTGTGCAGAACTTTGTCACGCGCATGCTGTAGAAATGCACAATGTTTTTGACATCGGTCCGGCCGTCCGTAGAGAGTTCCTGACTGTAACACTCTCAGTGGAGGGCTACACTGATCTTAAAAACATTGTGCATTTCTACACTCCAAACGGCCCTAGGCGTGGCCGTGAGATAGCTAGACGTGACAGATTTTAGCACACGGGGAGGGAGGAGTACGAGGGTGCGCCTCCGCGGCAGCTCTAGCTTCCAACAGTGTGTGAGGTACAGACCTTCATCGCATCAAATATCTATGGTAGTATTTTTGCTCACCAACACTCCTCTCCCTCAACTTCAAACCTTACCATCCCTAATTCTGATCTAGCATAATGCACGTCTCGTATGACCTTCTTCCATTCCATCGGCATCTTGACCCTGGTTTTTAGCCACTCAACATCTCCCAAACTCTCATACAACACCCTCTCCGCTCTTACCAACCTCTTTTCCACCTTTACTAACGCCCTCGCCCACTCTTTGTGTTCCTCTAACCTCTCCTTGAGCTTAGGTCTACCAGCCAAATACTTGGGTGTCGCCAGAACCCGAAACTTTTGCAACGCAAAATGTCTCGCTAGCCATGTATCGTGTAAATCGTTGTAACTCGTATACGTCAACTGAATCGCCACTCTGATCCTCGCCACCACTCGAATCGCAAGATCAAAGGTGAACCCAGCATGACAAGAGACACATTTGCAAAACACAAGATCTTTTTCATCTGGTTCGGCGGCAGCAACGGCGGTAGCTATAGGGAGGCCTTCGTCCAGGTAGTGGTATGTAATTTCTGCTGTGGTGATAGGGGTAGGAGGAAGTGTTTCATTGAGCTGAGATGATATTTGGGCGTTCTGCTTATGGTTCTCGCATTCTTCGATACAAAGGAGGTTATGGTGGCCGCATTGGTAGGAGTAAAGTGCGTATTGACACATTATTTGCTTGTGAAGAGATGAATGATGGCAAGGTCTGACGATCGTCCTTTTTGTACGATTGCGAAATAAAGGCTGCATGGGACAAAAGGGAGTAGCGAAACATAATTTAGCGGTTGGCAAATTTGGTGGTGTGAAAGATCATTTTGAATTCCCGGTTTGAGATATGTTTCTTCAACACTGAGATGATTCTGGATCTTGGATACAAAGACAAGGAAACGAAGACTAGCATCATTGGATGTCTGCACCGGCCTTAAGACTGACACAAGCCTTTCTCGAGCTTTGAGACCATCCTTAGTTCCGAGACAAGATCTTACAGAGTCTCACAAAGAAAGTCAAGCGAGCGAAATCGAAGGTCAACCATCTCAAATACCCCATTGACTGCAGTTTGCATAATAAATCATAGCCAACTCAACTCGAACTAAATGAGCTTCCCAAACGACTCTTCTCCAAACCTCTATTGTTTTGATCTGCTTCTCTAAGCGAGCCTTATACAAGGCTACAAGCGAGCACTTTATCAATCTCATCAATGCCTTCTGCGGGGCTCAGGGTCTGCTGTATTGCCCGTCGAGGAGACTGTGCTTATGGACAACGTTTCGCGAAAGTTACGGCACTGTTCCCTCTGATCTAATCATGTTCTCAAAAGGCAGGGTATTCCCGTGAGGGCAACAGATGTATTGTGCTACGAATTATTCAATCATTTATCATCTTTATCGTAGATCATTCATCTACTCGGCGACAAATGTACCCTTTGGTGGGATCGTCACCTTGCCTCTTGCCTCCTTAGTCCGCCATTGAATCGCCTGGAGGAGATGGTAGAGGACCTGCAATGTTGGCATTGGCACACCTAAAGCAGTACCGACTCTTAGAGGTTCTCCTACGATGTTCTCAAACTCTGTAAAATTGCCCTATAGTTCGGTTAGCCTCCACGGGTTACCAGAGGGGAAACATGTTGACCGACCTTTCTGATATCGCCTAGCATTGATGGGGGAAGATACATCGTCAAAGGATCGATGTTGATCATGAAGTCGCAGACATCAGGAGGAAGTTCCACGCCAACTGCTTTCGCTGCGGCTCTAATCTCTTCCATAGCAGGCTTGACAAGACCATCAATTGCACCGTCTGCAAGTCGGATACGACCAGTGTCCAATCCGGTAAGAGCGCAAATCGAGTTCAAGCAAGCGTTGTAGACCAACTTTCGCCATCTCGCAAAGTTGACGTCCAACTGTAGTTCGCAGTCGGTCTTTCCACCTGCAGAGTAAATTCGGACAAAGTCCCTTGCTGCGGCTTCCTCGTCCTTTGCTGATAGATTGGGATTATGGAAGGGTCCAATCAATACTCGGTCGTTGTCATCATGCTCGATCACACCAGGTTCGGTTTCATGTGATCCAATCATACTCACACCTGAGAGGACGATGTTGTTGGGGAATGCATCAAAAATTGGCTTCTCGATGTTCAACCCATTTTGAATGAGAACAATAACTGTGCGTCCAGGCTGAACAGCAGGAGCAATGAGTTCTGTCAGAGCAGGTGGGCAGTCAGGCTGATTCTTTGTGGTGCAGACAATGTAGTCGAACTGTTTCTCCGATGCCTTTGGAACATGGTCGATGACTGCGGACTTTAGCATGATTCACAGTCAACAGCACAGATGACGAGACTGACCCTCAGTTGGCCGCCATCCTTTCAAGGTTCCATGATCACAAGATGCAATTTCGAAACCTCTCTCCTTGACTGCTTTGAAATTCGATCTCAATACTGCTGTGACTTCGGCGTGACCACCAACTTCGAGGTTTAGAGCTGCGATCGTGCCGACTCCACCGCTACCGAACAAAAGAACTTTGGATTTGTCGGTGTGCATTTTGGATTATGAGACAAGAAATGGAATTGTGTATTTCTCTTTCAATTGAAGACGAACGAAATGTTTGAGGACAACTATCTATATCAAGCTTGAGTAACATCACGAGAGATGTCGTTTAGAGATACATATCCCTATCGCGGCCAAGTCGATCCCTAAAAAGAGCAGGTGTTGGCCGAGGAGAGAGGAGGACACCGTGCACGATTCGGCCAAAGGAAACAAGCTTTACGCCGACGACCAGGATGGGGAGAATTTCGACACGCCGTCTTGTCCGAAGACGCCGATCTCACTAGGAGAAAAGCCTTTCTGAGCCTTGACCTTTTGCGCAAAGTTCGCAAAGAACGCAAGTCTAGCTCTAAAGAACGTCAGTGCTGCGAAATCATGCTGCTTTTGCTCTATGTCGAGTGTCTCATGTTCTCGGACAATATCGCGGACTGTCGGTTTTGAGCTTCCAATTTGCCGTTGAGTCGATGCCCCCCCGAAGCACTGCACCTTTACTCCGAGTAGCAGTTCACCGGTATGAGCAAAACGACAGGTCTTCGGCCTTCGTGGCCTCGAATATTTTCCTATCTGGTGACTCGGTCTTGCCTTCTCTTTTTTGCAACTTTCACAGCAAATCACAAGAAAGCATGAGTCCGCGATCAAACGCGTGTTCTACCTGCCGTTCGCGCAAGGTCAAGTGTGATAGAAGTCTACCAAGATGCTCGGCCTGCAGGCGATTGAACCTGGATTGTGTACAACAAGGCGCTGTCCAAGGATTAATATGGCTGGATCCGGGAGTCCCTAATAAAACAACATCACGGAAATGCAGCACAGAGTCGCCGGAAAGAGAGATGGGTCTTCGTAGGAAACCGCTCTTCTCGGGTGAGTGATGAGAGTCAAATATTGTTCAATTCTCAAACTAACCAGATTCTAGACCGCGAACGTATTGCGGAGTGCTCCAGAATGACACGGCAAATATCCGACAACCAAGTAGAGGGACTTCTTTTGCAATTGGATACTCAGGCCGAAACACTGGATTACGATGCGCCACTCAACCATGGTCCTTTTGGAGTTTTCTCTGTGAACAAACCGAAATCGCCATCGCTATCGCCTTCATCTCCGCCTGTACCCGAGCCTGAAGCTCTTTCGATCATCAACTCGCTGCCAGAGGACGATTGGTACGGCATTGACTTCATGAATGTCGAGCAATCTTCGCACGACTTCCAACCTCTGATGATGAAGAGTCCTCTTCCTCTTTCCTGGGCCACTCCCTCACCAATGTTAAACTTCGGTGACGGCATGGATGAAGCTTTCAACATGAACCTTGACGGAACTGAAGACCCATCTGGTATCACCGATCTGACCAGATTCTTCCCTCTCAGCCCTCGTTTGCCTACGCCCGTTACTTTGACATTTTCCCAGGACGTGGCTGGAATGGCGCCTGGAGTTATGCGCACCTTGCTCGATCACTATCAAACTTCAATGATGTCGTGCTTTACACCGCTGCATCACGAGAAGCCACCATGGAAAATTCTACATTTGCCTTGTGCTATTTCTGCTTATGGAGAGCTGTCACTTCTCGGGGACTCAAACAACGCTAAGATGACATTGCTGTTTGCCGTTCTTGCTATGAGCGCCTTCAATCTGAAGCACTTGCAAACAGATCCTATGGAGGCGGACAACTGGCAATCTATCGCAGAATCCTATCGCGAGAAGGCAAAGTCGCGACTGAAGACTTGCCTCCGTGAGCAAAGTGAAGAAAAAAAGAAGTCGAAGTACAAGGAGGTGTTAATGGCCCTGACCAGCATGGTTACAGTCTGCGTGGTCAGCGGTCAGATGCAAGAAGCAAGATGCTACCTTCTAGATGCGGAACGATTCATCTACATGCAAAGCCTGAAGAAGCCCAAGCAGTCGCGAAAAGTCAACATGCTGCACAGCATCTACCTCTACCTAAGGATTATCGAGGAAAGCACATTTACTCCAGTTGAGGATGCCCAGCCATTCTTGGCCGACCAATCTTACGCAGTAACGAGAGAGACACCGAGCGAAATGTGCCGCTACCCTTCTCTCTGGACTGACCGCCTAAAGCTGGGCTCGGAGCTGGACTCTCAGGATATGGCAGACCTTGAGACACGACTGGTGAAGTTTCCTGTGGATCAAGATGAACCCACTATGTTCGAGCAAATCTATGGGATCCCTGAATCACTTTTTCGATTGATCTCGCACGCAACTCACCTCGCCGACGAGGTCCGAAGGAGTCGCTCTACTTACCCTGGTGGCATGTCCCCAGAGGTCGCCCAAAGAGCTAAGATTATCGAAAGCAAGATTTGCAACTGGAAGAACCCCTACAGACTGCTGGCTGAAAAGCAAACTCTGATCGTATATGGACCTGCAGAACGCTCCGACAAGATCGAAGTGCGAACGGATCTGCTCTTCAACTTCCTCGAGGCCATGCATTCCGCTTTGATCATCTACTTCTACCGCAGAGTTAGAGACACTAACGCGATTGCACTACAACATTGGGTCGGGAAGACGATTCACAACCTCCTTGAGCACGAGAAGAAGAAGAACAAATACGGCGATACATCCGCCTACGTCGCATGGCCAGGTTTCATCGCAGCTTGCGAGGCCTTGGATCCCATGCACCGTGAGCAAATTTCGGCCTTCATGTTCAGAGCTGGCAGACAGTCTGGCATGGGCATGTTTGACACCGCTAGCGATGTGGCAACAAAAGTCTGGGCCGCAAGAGAGGACACTGGATCTCTTGACGTGTCGTGGAGTGATATACTAGCCACCAGCAAAAACGGCTTGATTGTCACATGAAAAGGATGGATGTGTGAAGGAACTTTATGACTGCTACGATTTGCTTCTTATGAACTTACGAATTTATCAAAAGCTCAATACCTAATTTTGAATACTTTTTTCCCTCTACTTTTCGCGTACCCTTGTCTTCTGATCAATTTAGTAGGTGACTGGCCAGCATGACTTTCCTATCTTCTGTGAACTTGCGTGGCTCGCTCGTTCGCAAATGAGGGCAGTACGATAGGCAACCGACCTGCTTAGAAGTCGACATTACGTCATGCGACAAATTTCTTCGACCTAGACATCTGCTACGGTATGGTATGCTGATGTTTGGGAGTCGGATTCTATGTTGAAATGGTTATCGGAATGGTCCTGTATCAGGTGCTTGGCACGCAAGTCTTGGAAGCCGACACCCTCGCCCTATAAATCTCAACCCAGTCCGCCCAATGCCTGCTTGATTCTCATATCAACAGCAACGGTCAATGCATACACCGTCGCTAGCGTCGGTACATCCATCCCGTATTCTCTCGCTTTCCTCATCGGCGTCCCCAGAATTACATCGACCTCCAACCGCCTGCCTTCTCTTGCATCAACTTGCATGCTACTTTCTATTCCTGGCATTCCCTGTATCCTTTCCATCAGGATATCAACAAGTCCGTACTCGAGCGCAACTCCAGATCTACGTGCCACGCCTATCACTTCCCGCATCAAGCGTTTTGTGACGGAGACGCTTTCCTTTGACGAAGAAAGCCATTGTTGTGTATCCTGCATTGTCAGTGTCGTCAAAGGATTCCAAGCCACCTTTTATCGTCAGCAATATCTACCATGCTTGATCAAGAATGACTTACATTCCAAACGACCTTCTCCCACCTCTTCACTTGTATATCAGTGGAGATCGTATACGGCGTCCCACCAGCTCTCAACATAGCCGCAAAGCCCTCTAATCTTGCTTCCTCTACCTCAGCGTCGATTCTCGGATTTGGATACAGTCCGATATCTGTATGCTCAGATGCTGTATGTCGTATCACTCCCGGCGAATCTTGTGTCGCGCCCACCCATATCTGTTATCTATCAGCATCACTTCACATCTCCTCCTCAATCAGAGACAAAGAAAAGAGAAGGGTATAACTCACCACACAGCTCACAATGCTGCAATAAGGAAAAGCATTCCGAAACGGCTCTTCATTTCCCACCCCATTCTGCAAAATCACAAATGTGGTGTCCATGTTCGCTACTGATCTAAAGTCATTGGGGTCTAAGCCTGGTAAGATTGCTTTGTGGGCGCAGATGATGTAGTCGTAGGTTATTGCGATTTTGTGTGGGCAACTTAGGACTGCATATTTCATCAATAACGACTCCAGGAGGTCAGGGAACAAGCTTACCTCTGTCAAAATGTACGGTATGCGAGCCGTGGTTTAGTGTGTGTATTGTCATGCCCTGAGATGAGCGTCAACCAAAAGTGACCACTTCGGCAATTGGTTGATCGGGAAGCTTACATTCTTCTTCACGACTTCAAGATTTGACCTCGCAACCACACTCAACTCCACACTCGAATCCCGACTCAGAATGAATGCGTAGAAACCTCCTATACTACATCCGCATCGCACCCTCTTGTCAGCCCATTATCTCCACAACCATCTCCGCAGCTCGGGGGGGTGCTGATGATGCTTACGCGCCAAGTCCATACAGCAGAACTTTTGTCTTCCTCGGTTCCGTCATTGCGATTGCCATTTCTGCAGGGTGAGATTTGGTTGATTTGGGAAAGCAGCGAAATGTTTTGGCATGTCACTTTCATCTTTGTTGGACCCATCCAAAGGTGAGCACGTGTTTGCGGAAAGTGGGCCCAGTGCATTTTACGGAAAACATTCTTCTTCGGGTATAGTTTAGTTTGTCTATCCTTTCTGATTGTTCTCTTTCCTACAAGGCGGGACTCGATCTTTGGCACCTGGTATATTACGAAGCAGAAGTCAGTTCGCATCTTGGAAATTGACACTGGAGTGTCGCTGGCGGATTCTCATTTGTGGAAGAGGGCAAGATGCACCCCGTCTCGAGTCATTTGCTGAACCCTGAAATTTCACTGCACCCCGCACGTTCTCCCGCTTGACGGAAGACTTGCCGGCAACCCTTTTTTCTTCACAACGACAACAAGCTCAAATTCGGAAGGGGCACTCTTCAAAAAACACAGTTATCGTGAATTAAAATTCAGAGATCTAAATACATCTTGGAAAGACCTCACTTCGCCAAAGTGACACCCCACTCCTTCGCCCAAGCCTTCACAAACTTGGCCACCATGCCGGACTCGATCAAATCTGGAATCGTGGCCATGGTTCCGCTATCCTTACACGTCTGAACAGTCTCATAACGACCCGCACTCTTCATTGGCGCATCCTCGGCAACATTTCCATATCTCCCGGCAAAGAAGTCCGTCAACTTGACAGGCGGATTGGTCTCTGGATTTTGATCGCCTGCACGCAGTCGCTGAACCCATTCTTTAGGCGATACTTCATCAAAATCCAGGCCAGCTTTGTGGAGAGCGGGAAGTATGTCGCGGGTCCAGTGATACACTGTCGGGTTCTGTATGTTGTAGACGAGGGTGTTATCTTTCAAACGGGCTTCTGGGATTGGCTGGGCAATACCAGAGAGTTCTGCAACGACGGATGCTGCAAGGTCAACTGGCAGCCAAGAGAGCTCTTCGTTGTGCGTTGGGAGAGCCTCGATAGTGGTGGCTGTCTGGATCATCAAAGCGATGGCCTCAGTCGTGTTCCATTGTCCTCGCTCGCTGTCACCAGCGATCTGGCCGAGTCGCAAGACTCTAGCGTATATTCCGGTGCTCTCCATGGCGTTTTGAACAATGCGTTCAGTCACGAGCTTTGATCTGCCATAGCCTGTTCCTTGAGCATATTCAAGCTGCGGCACAGAACCTTCTTTGATGCTCTGATCAAGTGGCGTTCCTGCTGCTGATGAGACAGAAGAGCAGAAGAAGAACTTTGCAGGCTTGGGTGTCTTGGTTGACAGACATAGCTGGATCAGGTTATGCGCTCCCTTGATGTGCTGGTCTTCGAAACTCTTGACGCCGAGATTGAAGTTGACAGCCCAGGCACTGTGTATTACATGGGTGAGCTGAGACTGTAACTTCTCTAGAGTATCACTATCCAAGCCGAGATCGGTTTTGCTTAGATCACCCAGGATGGGTACAATCTTGGCTGTCTCGGACTCGGTGAGAGACAGACCGCGTGAGCTGAGCGCGTCGGAGATCCTCTGAAATGCCTGAGGGACGGAAGATGCTCGCACAATCGCCCATACAGCTGACACATTCTCTTGCCTGACGAGCTTTGTCAAAATGTGTATGCCGACTGTGCCAGTAGCTCCGGTGAGAAGAATGACGTTCTTGCCGTCTGTGGACGCCTCACTTGGTACATGCTCTTTGAAGTTAGAGTACTTTGTGATGAGCTGATCCATAACAGCAATTTCATCCTCTTGATCCTTGCTCTCGCCGGTCCTTAAAGAGTGGAGATGCAGAGCAAGCCCTCTGATGTTGGCCGTCTCATACAACACATTTCGGCTAAGAGATGCGTGGTTGCCTCCAAGATCAATCTGTTTCTTGATGCTTGACCACATTCTTGTCGACTGCAGACTGTCAATGCCAGCTTGGTAAAAGTCGGTGTCAAGCTCCAGTGCAACGCCTAGCTCTTCCTTGAACTCTTTCAGGAGCCACTTCTCAAGCTCAGGAACCTCGAGAGTCATATCACCGATTTGGCCGTTCTCAAAGTCGCTGTAGACCTGTTCAATCTCATCCTTGAATTGTTCGTAGATTTTGGCCCTGATGAAGGTACCCTTGTCGGTCTTTGGATATTCAGTGTCTGCTGCGACGAGCACGATGAGTTCCTTCGGTACACGAGAGAAGCTTTCCGCTCTAGCGTTGGCATCTTCGACTGCAGGCCAGACTGCCTGGAAGAATTCGTCATCAGACATATCCTTTGCATCGGAAGAGCGGAAGACGATAACACCGGGTACGCTTCGACCAATTCCAAACACTGCAGCCTCCTGAACCAGTCGGTCTTGACGAATACGACCCTCAAGTGGTAACGGCAAAACCTTCTCGCCATTCACAAGCGTCAAGCGATCATCAAGTCTGCTCAGGTACTTCCAAAGGTTAGATCTTGTCGGATGAGGTGCGAACAAATCTCGAGATCGGAAAGAGTTGGGAGGATCGTCAGAGTTGACTGCAACACGAGTCTTCAGGCTCTCTAGGGCAACACACTCGAACACACCAGGTGCTATCTCGTCCATTAGAACATGTTCCGATACAGGAGGATTGAGGCGGCAGTAGTTCCACTCCTTGTCTTCTGGCGACCTGAAGGAAGTCATGATGCGACCAATCTCAGTGCAGCCATAATTCTGCACCAGATTGACACCCTTGCTCACCAGCAGGTCTCCTACATCATCCGGACAGCCACTGCCAGCATACAATACAAGCTTCACTTTCGCTAGCTCTTTGATGCCTTCCTCAGTCTCGCATAGCAGCTTTAGCAGGTAAGGTACGCAGTTAAAAATCTCGGGCTTGAGGTGTTGCAATTGGGCTGTCAAGCCTTGTCGAGTATGCGGTATCGTGTAGTTGCAAAGGTAAAGCGGCTTCTTCGAGTAGATGGTCCTGAACATTTCATAGAATCCTTGACTGTGGAAGAGCGGAGATGCTAGGAAAGCACGCATGCCAAAGTTTTGCGTAAATGTCGCAAGACACTGGGCATGTCGAAGGTAGATTGGCTTCGGAAAACCTGTAGATCCTGAGGAGTGGATCACCACAGCAATCTTGTTGGTCTCTTTGGTAGGGTTGTATTGGCGTCGGAAAGTAGGTGCTTTGACACCGACATAATCTGTGCGCTGCAAAAGAGACAAACGAGTGAGAGGTCTTTCCGTCACCACGTCATCAACAATGGTCTTGAAGACGTCTGTGGAGATCAAGATGGAGCAATTCACCATGCTCATCAATCGAGCGTAAGCTGGAGCGGCCAGTCTGGTCGAGAGTAAGAGTGCTCCATAGCCTAGTCGTAGAAGTCCAAGGAGGGTAACAACCATGTCCAGTCCTGAAATACATAGCATGCCAACAATAGGCGACTCGTCTAGGTTTGAGTCCTATTAGCCATCAGTGGGCGTTTTCCAAAGTCAGGTCGCACTGGTATTACCGCAGGCTTTAGGCCCATCTCTTGCAGTCGAGCTGCCGCCGCATCTGCAAATCTGCTGATATCGCGAGCGGAATGCTCCTCGAAATCAGTAAGGCCAGTCACAGGTGCTCCAATCAGTGTGAAGTCTTCCGGCTCTGCAGCATGAGACCTGATCAAATCATCTATCGTGAATAGCGAGTCGTGGCTCTTTAGCCGCAACTTCCCGAAGGATGTCGGGTCAAACTTTGTCTTGGTTTGTATAGTAGTAGACATGTCGTCCGTTGTGTTTAGCGAGTGATCATTTGCCATGCCTGGAGAAGGAGATGGAGTACATATAGTTCATGATGAATTCTAGCAAGAGTGGAAGTCATGATGCTTTTCCGATGATGACGGCGGATAAATCAGGAAGATGTGGCGGAAACAGCGAAGTTGTTCGACGAACCAATCAAAGTTCTGCCATATCCGGCAGAGGCGGGGTTAAGCGGGGCTCTGTTTCTCCGCAATGTGTCAAAGCCAAGCGCTCAGCTTCTCATCACCCTGGTCGCAACAGATTACATCCAACTCGAGTCAAAAGCCGGGCAACCCTGGTCGAGTTTTGGATTTGATCCTCGATCCAGTCTACTCTATCCACCTGACACTGTCGCGAGAGCCAAGGCTACAGAATCATCGTTCTGCCCTTGTATGCTTAACGTGATGCTTCAATGTCCGTATGAGCGTTGGTGGAAATATTTAGTATGATCTAGTAATTCATGAAAAGAAAACGCTACGTGATGCAATTGATTCCCAAAAGTCCGAGATATTAGGTCCTAATGAACACCCAAATCCTGTTGTGGTATCCAAATGCTAAAGTTGAAAAGTCCTGAATGTCCTTTTTGTCCAAAGAGAACACCAATGCAAAACCAATTCGCCTAATGAGAAAATACAAGTCCGAAAAAACCAGTCACGAAAAGATGAAAAACGCTCAAAGCACTTTGGGCTTCATCCACTCGGAAGTGCCGACACCGAGGTTCAATCCGTTGCGTGCCCACCATTTTCTGACCTCCATGCCTTTTGGGCCTTCGACACCATCCTCCAAGGCTTCTTCGACATCGCAGGTCTTGTACTCTACTCTCAATCCACTCTGCTTCCACCATTCGAGTACGTTGACATGTCCCATCTTTGTGGCTCCAACAAGGACTTGGTTGTCAAAGATCATTTTAGAGCCCTTGACTGCATGCCAGACTTTCAACACTTCCACATGTCCATGCGTACTCGCCAGTTTGGCGACAGCATCCTCATGAGGGAAAGGAATACCCGAGTTGACCCACCAACGTACTACATCTGCATTACCAGATTGTGATGCATAGCAGATTGACTTGCCGGGCTTTAGGCGGATTGGTTTGGTGTCATCGTCAGGACTTGAGGCGTGATGATGGCGTTGAGAAATATTGCGCCACCACTCCAGGACGGCGATGTGGCCGGCTGAACTGGCTTGCTCGAGGGCGGCTTCGGTGAAGACAAGAGTGAGACCGGATTTCTGCCACCAGCCCAGGACATCAATGAAACCTTGTCGAGATGCGCCATCCAAAGTCTCAGCTGTATATTTCTTGTTCAAGAACCAGGCGGAAGTGTTCCAGTAATCCAGAACTTCGACACGACCAAAGACAGAGGAAGCCTTGTCCGGGAGGAAAGTGCCATCGAAGGTGGCCCAGAAGAGATCTTTGTGACTTGACTCGAGATAAGAGAGGACAGAGGTCATACTAAAACGCATGATGAGCTTGATGCAAAGTCGTGATAGCCATCGTGGGACAGAATTATCAGCGATAAACTTCTTGATACTAGACAGGTTGCCAGTAAGCAGCGTCCATTCCAGTTGCTCCATATATGTTGTCGGACCTCTAGGACTGGCATGTTGTTGCCATTCTGCAGGTGGCTCGAGATTTGTATAAATGTGTAGTGTTTTGGCGAGCTCCCAGTCACTAGTGGCGTCAATGATCATGGACCACAACTCGGGCGGCAAGACAGTACGTGACTTCTTGGAGCTTGTCTTGAAAGTTGATGAGGCGTTCGGTGTCACATGAACACCATGTCCAATGTTTATCAGATCGACTTGGTTCCGAGCTGTGTCGACGACTTCATCCAGAGCATCCCAGCATGTCACTTTCTTCTTGTCGTTCTCAAAGGTCCATAGCAAGGGCTGCAAGACTTGTATCCAGTTCCACTTCCTCTTTATCTTGGTGAGCTGCTTTTTCGTCATGGGGTTCTCCCACATCAGACTCGACATGCCGGGTACCATGACGATCTTCTTGGAAACGTTCCAGCTTCGCAAGATCTCGAGTACGAGGTTGTCCGTGTCTCCATGCAACATCTTGGCCAAGTTGTTGGCATCGATGGGCGCCAGAACCAGCAGGTCAGCCCATTGACACAAGTCGAACGCCTCTTTCTCAATTTCGACGACGTCGCCGCTCGATCTCAGTTGGGTGCGCGACACGTTCGGTACGGCAAGACAGTTGCTGGACGCAGCGATGAGGTCGGCTCCATGGGCTCCAGGATCCAGGACGGCTCTGACAGAGCACTCGGGCAATGATACGAGTTGAGGTAATAGTTTGTTGATGATTGGTGCGTCGGTACATCCAGTCGACGCCACGACAACATTCAGCGGGCGAGGTGTCATGCCCGCCGCCGTCTGTATCTCGGGCACTGTGATGGCGCTTCGTGCCATCTTGATTCGAGTAGTAGGAAAGTCGAGGTTTCGAGAAAATACATGCGTCTCTCTAAAAGGGCAGAGGCGCATACAGTCGGCCTTTTCTTTATTATTCCTTCCGTGACGTAGGGAACGTCAATTGTCACGAGCTTCTCGCAGAACGGTGTCGTCGTTTTAGTCAAGTACTCGCTTGGCTGCTTGATCAGGTTATTCGCATGCTGCTTGTGCTCCCTTGTGCTCGAATCGTCCAGCGACTAAGTGCATGTACTTGTACGGAGATCTGAAGAAGAAAAATTAGGCTCGTTGCTTCGTCGCGGTAGCCGCTTGAGGCTCTTCATGACCGCCATTTCGACGACCAATCGTGAGCCAAGACCCCGACTGTCTCCGATCTTGCCCGATCTGATTGGTCCCTGCTTTTTCCCCACAACGACATCGTGATTTGCTTCATACTGCACAACGACCATATCGACTGTCGCAACGTGAACATCAGGCACATGATTATCCAGAAGCGGATTGGGAACTTGTCTAGCGTCTGCATGAACGCCGTGATGATGAATGCGGACTGAGCGGTAGCAATGCCCATTTAGCAGACCTTGGCTTGTACGAGAAGTCAGTAAGAAAACATTACCCACCTGTTGCTCACTCGGCTGCTGTCATTGTTGCGAGCCCTCCGAACATTAAAAGCCACACGCTTCATGGGTCGGGGAATATATCGGGTCTTCGATTTCACACAAATTACTTTGCCAGGAGAGAGATCTTTAGGGTGTGTTTTCACTTGAGACCGTTGCGTTCTCACGCTGATGGATGGGTTGCATGTCTTCATCCCCGCTTGGATCCAAGATGGGGCTACAACTCATCAGTGAACCCGTCTGCGTGTATACTCTGATACACATCCGGCTTCGTAGATAACCTCCCATTGCGCTTGATCACAATTTCGATCTGGCAATGCCCTGCTGCTCACTGTTTTGGCATCAAGAAGTTTGCCTCTTGTAACAAGGTTGCCACACACGCGCAACTCCCTGATCTGAATTGCTTGACAATTGAGTCTGAGAGAAAGCCATATAGCAGTGCAAAAAGGAAGCTGCCCCCAACCCTGGATCGAACCCCCAGCCTCAATCCTCTACCACAACAACACCTTCCACGCACTCCCCCAAAAGCAGACACGCACCTCACACATTCACTGCGCAGTGCATCTCACGCATGACCAAAAGCATGACCAAAAGCAATACAGCAAAAAGAGAACCCTGTCGCCTTTAATTTCAGTCTACTTAGCAGGGATGCCATGCTAGCTCGATCCGGATGGTTTGCCTCAGACGGCAGACCGTTCTGGCACCTAACATCTTTTGCGGTTTAATTGGCGCTCTACTCGTTGCGCCAAACTCCCTTTCTTTTCTGGTTGGAGTGATGGGGCAGGAATGAGATATATAGGCTTGGTGAAAGGCATGGTGGGGCTTGGCGTGTTTTTTGTCCCAAATCATGATTTTCTCTCCTTCACTGGTGTTGGTGTTGTGGACTTCTTCGAAAGAGGTAGAGGTATGATGGTTCTCGATATATATTGCGAGTAGAGGGCATTTTGTTCTCTCGAAGCATGGGCCCAGCAATACTAAGCACATCCATCACTGCAGTCTCATGATGTCCAATCTCCTCTTGTTGGTCCAGGCATTAAACATCAAGACTACAAATAGGTTGGTTCTCCGAGGATTTGAGATTGGCATTTCGTTCAGCCGAGAGCAACGAGCATACTGATCAAACAATCACAGAGGACACAGGTTGAGAAACAAAGACTTTTTCATTCGTTGGTGAAGTAGGGGGTATCAATACATAAAGTCATTCCATCTATCTGGTGCAAAGTGTTGTTGAGTTAAATCGTGATAAGTCATGCTGAGCGTGTCGTAAAAAAGAGAAGGAAAAGGTCGTAGAAGATGCGTCGTAAGATGTGTTTTTGAGTCGTGTGTGCTTGCCACCATCGAGCCGAACAGTGAGGACAAACTGACAAGAGAAGAGAAGGAGGGTAGAAACAGACAACAGACTCAATCAGTGCCCATGCCAGCATCATCTTGATGCAGTGCAAGAAGCATCTTGGCAGCATTGACCTCTCTAGCCCTGAAGCGGCCAACACCAGGCACATCGATCTTTCTCTTCTTGCTTATTCTAGTGCTGCTGTCAACTACCACTTCGCCCTCACTGTCTTCATCCTCCTTCTCGCTTGACGATGCAACATACTCGGGGTCTTCGCCATCAGAACCAGAGTCGGTGGCAGGAGATGCGGTGACAGAAGCAATCGGCGAAGACGACGAGGGCATGGAATTGGAAGAGCGACGACGCTTGCGGATACCAGCAGACTGGGTGGGAACAGTGTGGCCAGAAGCAGAAGTGGGAGTGACGAGAAGGTTTTGCATGTCTCTTGGAAGCTTTGCGGTGCCAACGTAGCCGACACAAGGAGTAGGAGTGCCGTTGTCGCTGTTGGGAGGATTGTTGACTGTGGCCCAGCGGACTGTGGGAGAGATGCGGGTCTTAGGAGATACCGAGGGCGAGTCAGGGATGGTGCGGCGTGGACGGATCGTGTCGGTGACGATGGCGGCGTTCTCGTCGTCGCTGTGGAAGGGACTGCCGAGGTGGACGGTATCGATGCGAGGGCGTGTAGGGCGAGCACGGAGACGCTTAGGCTCAGGAAGTGGCATGGGTGCTGAACGAGGGATGGGAAGCGCTGAGCCAGAGAGCAAGTGGCTGGAGATAGGAATGCAGCGGTTGGTGTCATCACCAGCACGCCAGCCCTCTGCCTCACGAGCACAAATACGGACGACTTCTGGATCGATGGTGAATCTTGCGTATGAGGGATGGTTCGGAGGGAAACAGTCTCTGATGAAGCTGGGCCCGAAGATGGGAGTGAGAGCCCAGCGGAGGTTCCAGCAGAAGGTAGCGCAGACGGCACGAGCACATCCGTATGGCATCCAGTAACCCTGAGCTGCGATGGCACCGCCAGTGATGCTGAAGGATAACTCGCGAAGGCCATTGTTGAGGCTGAGCACTTTGTTGGGTTGAGTCTTGGGATAGTTGCATGCTTTGAAGAAAGGAGTGATGCGCACAAGGCCGATCTGATAGTCCCACATGACGGTGTAAGTTTTGTTCGGCTCGTCGGGCAGACTGAAAGTGTACTGAAAGACTGGAACGAGTCAGTATGGATAGTGCAGCTTCCTAGGCAGGTGAGACTCACGCTCAAAGGCCTCACGACCGGTCTTGTCCGAGAAAGCCTTCTTCTCGCTGTTATAGGGGATGTGACGGACGAAATCACGGATCAGACCTTGATCCCCGCCATTAGGGAAGATGCGAAAGCGGTGGTGCTGCTCTGCCAGCTCTTGTCGTTCTCTCTTGCTGAGCATGGCACACCTATCGCTGACCTCGAACGGGGCGTAGTTGACCTCGCCTCGAGCTGGGTTGCGATTGAACACGGGAGCATCCTTGGCGATCTTCTGGCGAAGGCCTGTTGCGGCTCCACCGGATCGGGCGATTTGTGGTGGAGGACTGGACGTGATAGAAGATGCTTGACTGGTCGGTGCGGGGGTGAGAGGCGGGCTCAAGGACGAGAATGGGGGCAAGATGCCTGGAGATGGTGGAGCGTTGAGGAGAGATGATATCTTGATCATGTTGTGCCTGCCTTCTGATCCCATGGCTGAGTCGAGCTGTGTAGAGTTGAATGATGTTGGACTCAGTGTGTACGGATGTTGAGCTGAGTTCAAGTAGCTCAATTGTGTGTTCAGACGAGGAGGCGATGGGCGGTGAGTATATGCGAGTGCTCGACGCCTTATCAAGTCTAAAGGATGCTTGCAGTATGTATCAAAGACAGGCTCCGGTGGCCATGATGAACAAGCAACGTCCATCGTTACTGCCGATGCCTCTTTCTTCCAGTCTTTTCTTTGCCAGCCCCTGCTACCGTTCTTTGTAGATTGCCGATGGTCGACTTGCTCTGCACTGATCTTTTGCTGGTCTTCACTTTTTGGCTGTTACTATAAGAGAAGGGTTTCATTCATGTCGGTCTGCACCTCGTATGCCGGACTCCGGTTGATTGCGTTCAAGTGGGATGTATGTCTCAGTGACTTCGCATGACCGGGCAACGCTGCTTTCTCTTTTCTGCTTTGGGGGACCTCCGTTTGCACACCGAATTTTGCCTGAAAGGGTGCTGTCTAAGATGGTCAACGGAAGATCAAAGCGCCGCCGAGGTTTTGTGGTTGGTCGCCAAGCTGCTTCTCCAAAGTCGTGTAATGGAAACCGACTGCTTAGAGATTGCCAGATGTTCGAGGCGGGATACAGGTGTGTAAGTCGTCGTCGCAGAACTTGTGAAGAGACAACTGCGTCCAAAGACATCCACCCAGCGGGATCATACTCCTGATATACTTTGCATGCACCAAATATTACCTATACGATTTTATGCCGTTCCTGCGGCAAGACTTCAGGTTTGACTGCAAGCTGCCATGACGCCTATGGGTCTTGCATATGCAGACTGCCGATAAAACGCTCTTGGACACACGCCACACCCCTTCCCCTTCAAGCTTGCCATATTCTGCGGCAACGGTAACAAATCAGCACTCGCCTGTAAGAGGAGTGTGATCTTCCTCGAGGGAGAGAAAATCAATTGCAATCTCGTAGGCTGGGGGATCAAGCGGTCAGAAATAACTGGGGTGAGGTGATCAAACTTGGGTGGAAGATCTCAATCGTAGGCATCCCAAGGCGATTGCGTTTCGGCGTAGATCATGATGTATGGACGAGCCTGTTCCTGCGCCCTGACATGTTGTGTAGCAATCAACCAACGATCTCGAACAGCCAAACCCACCACGACACGGAGGAGCAGCAGGGATGTTCGGCACACAAGCACAATGTCATATATGTCTGTTGATGCCGGCTCTGGGGCTCTAGGCATTACAAGAAGGAGACAGGTCTTGACATGGGGGGATACTTTCGTACGACCAAGCACATTTTCTGTTCTATCTTGCCCAGAACAAAACCCGGGTCAATTTTGTTGAATGCCGGACGAACCGGGGAGTTTTGAGGGTTACGGTTGAACATCGTGTAGGACGTTTCAGGGTTGCTTGAGGCTGTACGACAAGCCTGTCAAGAGTCAAGAGTCAAGAGAAGCCCCTCTCCGCGTGTAGTTCATGCGTCGGATTCGGGCTGTATAACAGTGGCACAAGAGCTGCATTGTGCAGTGCGCTAACCTGGAACAGCCGCTCTTCGATGAGGAATACTCGATTGAGCAGCCTCTTGGGAGGCGGACGACGGGTATGTTTCTTGCATAGAGCCATCCTCCGTACTATTACGAGCCAGTGTTGAACTTCGTTGATGCTGTATATCGACCTCAGCGCTACTCGGACTACGGGTGTTCTTCCGGTTCGTGAATCTCGATCCCGTTCTGGGGGTTCTCAGACACATTTGCAGCAGGTTTTGACGAGGAAGCCGCCCAACCATTCTCTGTGTATCACTACGCATTGAGGCCAGACAAAAACCTGCGTTTGGTCGAAATCTCTTCGAGTCTCGTCGAGTTGAAATTTGAACCTGTCAGTTTCCCCCTTTGCGGCTTACTGACCAGTGTCCATCAGGCCATAGCAAGTGGACGCCGACAAGTCGTCCCTGCCGTCCCTTGTCGCCCGGGCTCCCGCGCGTGACGGGTGCAGTGTAACGCGACTATTGACCCCTGCGGTTGCTTCAACTTCAACCTGGCTTGGTTGTTTTGACGTGCAGATTGCAGTCGGACGACGGCGTGCAGTGATATGAGCTGCATAGTGACAGGAAGACGATTGCGTCTTTGCAAAGAGATCTGTCCGAGATCTTGCGGTGGAGGAAACTCGGGACTTGGAAGGAGCGGTACTCCCTCGCTCGTAGAAAAGACCCCGCACGTTCGGAAGAGCCAAGCAAAGCGGGATGCGCATCAAGGAACAAGCGTTTCCACCTTTCCGCGACATGTCAATCGTGTCAATCTTTCCAACTTTCCCAAAGCACTCGTCCAGCTTATCGCATCTCGCTCGTTTCTTTTTCTCGATAGCCAGTTCGAAGGAAGAATCCAGATCCATTTTCCCATCGACACCAACTTTTCCTCCTCGATCGATTCGTGTATACCTCTCTAGGTGAAACGCGGCGGCTTGCGACACCTTCTCTCCTGATCACGAAGCCCACTCCGCTGCTCCTTCTCACAAAGCGTCTCAGCTACGTGCTTCACTCGGCGCTCAACGCACATCATCAACCATGTCACAGGCTCAGATCCAACCGTGTAGGTACAAGACTGGCAAGACTCTCGGCGCTGGATCATACAGTGTCGTCAAGGAGTGTGTGCACATCGACACTGGTCGCTACTATGCCGCCAAGGTCATCAACAAGCGCCTGATGGCCGGCCGTGAGCACATGGTGCGCAACGAGATCGCCGTCTTGAAGCGCGTGTCAATGGGCCATCAGAACATCCTGACTCTGGTCGACTATTTCGAGACCATGAACAACCTCTACCTGGTCACCGACTTGGCCCTCGGCGGAGAGCTGTTCGACCGTATCTGTCGCAAGGGTTCCTACTACGAGAGTGATGCCGCCGATCTCATCCGTGCCACCCTTTCTGCCGTCGCATACCTCCACGACCACGGCATCGTACATCGCGACCTCAAGCCCGAAAACTTGCTGTTCCGCACCCCCGAAGACAATGCCGACTTGATGATTGCCGACTTTGGTCTGTCCCGTATTATGGACGAGGAACAATTCCACGTCTTGACAACAACATGCGGCACTCCCGGATACATGGCGCCCGAGATCTTCAACAAGAGCGGTCACGGCAAGCCTGTGTAAGTGATTTCTCTTCTTCTGCCTTGTCCCATGCACCTGCTAACAATTCTCCAGCGACGTCTGGGCCATCGGTGTCATTACCTACTTCCTCCTCTGCGGTTACACCCCCTTCGACCGCGACAGCAACCTCGAAGAGATGCAGGCCATCCTCGTCGCTGATTACTCCTTCACTCCCCTCGAATACTGGCGCGGTGTGTCGCTATCCGCCAGAGCCTTCATCAAGCGCTGCTTGACCATCGACCCAACAAAACGCATGACGTCGCACGAGGCCTTGAGCCATGAATGGATCGCTGGTCCCGCACAAGGAAGAGGCAACGAGGATCTGTTGCCCACAGTCAAGAAGAATTTCAACGCCAGAAGAACACTACACAAGGCTATCGACACCGTTCGCGCCATCAACCAACTCCGAGCTGGAGGTGGCATGGGTATCATGGATGGTGCTCAGTCTCAGCGTCCTGAACGTGTCGATACTGCCGCGCCCAGAGACAAGGACGGCGACGTCAACATGGACTCAAAGGCAAATGGTCAAACTGCCACTGCCGCCTGATGATATGATTTGCTTCTTTGTGCATCGAGCATCGAGCATCACTCTTTTTTTCTGGCTCATAGCGATTCCTCTGCTTCCATTCGGGACTAGCAGACCGTGGATATTTATCTGTATACCCCTCCACATCTGCAGACAGCATGCGACTTTTCTTCTATCATTTATATCATACGGCCAGTTATTGCAATCAAAATACATCTTATCTTTGTATCACGGCCGAGTTTTATCTGGACCGAATCCATTTTTCTTGGCGTACTGTAAGACTGTCTGACACGTCCCGCCCCTTGTTTCATATACCACTCTATCGGTACTATATGCAATCAACGCATACTCCAGTGGGAGGCCTATATCAAGGACCCCTACCCCACTTGAGTTGTTGATCATATGTACCCTTCTCTCAGCCGTCTGCTCCTCTCTCCATTCAGTCTCATAGATATTTTTTACCCACTACCGCGGAAAACAATGGCTGAACAAAGGACTTGTCTGATCATTGGTGCCACGACTGGCATCGGCAAAGAAACTGCTGAGCGTCTTGCGAAGAAGGGTTGGAACGTCATTGTCACTGGTAGAAACGAGAAGAAGGGCAATGAGGTTGGTATCAAGTCTTGTTCACAAGTATAATTTTCACTAACCGATACTCCCAGGTCGTGGCCACTATTTCTCAAGCCGGCGGTAGCGCTTCCTTCCACGCAGTAGACGTCACATCCCACCAGTCCGTCATCGCTCTCCATGCCTACGTCGCCGAAACCCATGCTCGTCTCGATGCCGTTGTGAATAACGCTGGCATGTCGAGCACTTTCCAGGCTTTCCACGATACCCCAACCGAAGACATGGATCTCATGTACAACATCAACCAAAGAGGAACCTTCTGGTGCATGCAGGAGCAAATCAAGATTATGCTCAAGCAACAGAAACTCGGTGACGCTGGCAAGAAAGGCACGATTGTTAACATGGCAAGCATGTCGGGTCTCATCGGTGTGCCATATGCTGCTCCCTACTCTTCGACCAAACATGCTGTTCGTAAACCCTCATCTTACCATGAAATCGTCCCAGCTGCTGACAACTCAACCAGATCATCGGCCTCACCAAATCAACAGCCTTGGAGTACGCACATGAAGGCATTCACATCTCCGCCGTCGCTCCCGGTGTCATCGACTCGGGAATGCCGGTACTGGAAGAGAGTTACAACGGTGGCGCATACACGAGAGAACAAGCTGCTGCTATGCATCCCCTGAACAGACTTGGCACTTGTGCAGACGTCGCCAAAGCTGTTGATTTCTTGTTGGAGAATGACTTCATCACTGGTGGGGTGATTAGTGTTGATGGAGGTATCACTGCAAGGTAGAGACTGCAGGCTAGAGTTGATGTAGGAGCATAACGCACCGAGCCCAGCGAGAGGAAAGCGAAGGTGGCAGCAGCAGCAATGAGTAATACAAGTCAGGTACCGATTTTGCTACTCACTTTCGGCTCCTGATTGTCACCGGCTTCAAGTGTTGGAGTTAAGCATTTCAGCAAATCTATCCCCCAATTTAGCTTCCATTGGATATCAACATCGAATCCAGGCCTCCTTAGATCAACATGTCAGCAACACAACCTATTCATTCAGGTTTCGAAGCTTCTGCTGTCATGTGATGTGAACGAGGCAACTAGGAATGTCAGGTGTTACAAATGGGGGCGGCATGGCTCGATCGGGAACAAGGCCCTTCCACAAAGGGAAGAAGCAAACAGAACAAAGCTCAGACTCTCTATGCATAGTCACTGCAACACATCCAACCGATCCAGACCTTCCAGCCTCTCCAAACTCCTCAGCACGCAACCTTTACGCTGTCCAATTCCTCCATACGGTTATCGCCGGTATGGCTGAGCAGGCGCATATCGTTGCTAGGATCGCGGCGCTTGACCAAGGAAGTTTCAAGGATGTAACCAAGCAAGCGTTCCAGCTTATTGCTAGCTGTTACGAAAAGGATGAGTTTGTCGAATGCATCGAAGGCGCACAACACATCCTGGATACCTACCCCCTCAACACTCAAATGCGACTGAAGGTCTACATCTATATGGCGATGTCAACCAAAGAGCCAGCAAGGCGCGGACGACTTCGCGATCTGGCCGAGATTGCTTATGCAGCTATCATTACAGATTTACCTGCTGGAAAGTCCCCCGGCAACAATTTGATCAATGCCCGCAAAGAGCTAGACGCACTTACAGCCGGCCTCCTCAGAGACGAGTCGTCCAGCGGCAAGCCCGATGATACTGCAACCTCGGACTTGATCATCTTCGAAGATCTTCCTCCCCGCGGAACAGAGGCAGAGACTTCGGGCACGAAAGGCGGCCAAATCTTCATCACCCCCGGTGTTCTCCCTCACCGTAGCATCGGAGCTATGCATGGAGTATGTCTGATGAGTTGTATGGCATGGTGGAATGATGGCTGATACTGTCTAGATTCTGGACAAGTATGAACCTCGACAAGAAAAACCCCAAGAGAAGAAGGTCTGCCACATATTCTCTCTAATTCATCACTGCATTCACTAACCACTGTCTGTAATCCAGGGCTTGTTCTCGGCCATGAGAAACCCGATGGCAAGGAAGAAAACCGCGAGCGCTCGATTCGTTGAGCCAGACCCCGACGAGAACGACCAAGAGTCTCCAAGACCCCGTGTTCGTTTCAATGCCTCCGACGCGCTACCGGGCACGCAGCTCCAGCCGCCCAACCAGCCCCCGCCTAGCATTCGGCCACCACCTACGACCCAGGGCAGGTTCGACTCGCTCCTTGGAAAGGCTGGATTTGCAAGAGGCACAGTCTCCTCCAAGCTCAAGGCAGCTGAGAGCCTCGAAGTTAGCAAGAGGTCTGCGAGATCCCTGTCCAGAATGACAGGCGCGAACCAGTCGACTGTCAGCCTTGCAGCCTCCACTTCCGCGAGAGGTAACGCTACCAAACCATCTGGTCAAATGGCTACCAGTAGGTCCCACCCAGCCCTCCCCACTGGGGATGGCTCGCTTGCAAGAAGACCCTCTCACAAGCACAACGAATCATCCGGCACAATTGGACGTGGTCATGCGAGACATAACTCGGAAATTTCCAAGGGCTCTAGTAATGACCACAAGCAAGACTCTTCTGGCGTAAACACTGGAACTATCCGCCGCAAGTACGTAGCCGACTTGACCATGGAAGCATGTCTGAGTGTACGATGAAGCTGACTATGTGCCCAGTGCCAGCATGAGAAGGAAGCAGGAGAAGCAGGACGAGGAGAAATCAAAGACACTCAGATTCAGATAAATGCCGACTGTAACATCTCGCCAAAGGCCGAAACTCACTTGCAACCCACCGATTCCTGCCTCGAACACACCGACCAGTACTAAGATGTGCGGAGAAGCCAGCGTGAGACTCAGAAAATGGTCCGATGCTACACGCAAGGTTTCAGAAAAGCTCTCCACTCATTGTCTCGACGAAGCCTACGGACCAGCATCAAGGGATGCTTTCTGGCGAGCCCAAGAGACCCAGTCTCAGACATCTCACTGGTAACAACGTCTGATGTGGTGAGCGTGGGCAACGAGAACAGTGCTTAGAGAAGAGCACAAGAGCAGGCAATGCCGGACGCGAGGCTAGTTGGGTCGATGTGCGACGAAAGTACAAGATCTGGGAGGGTTCTGAGCACCACAGCGCCTTACTTGAATCTGAAATAGAAGGCGTTCATAGCTCTAATTACAACCATTCAAAACCTCTCATGTCGTTCATCCGCCCTTCTGCAATGCGTTTGTGATCAGTAATGTCTTCATGGTGTGGTACGGTTTTTCGCTGACTTTGGCGCTCATATTAGTCGTGTCGTTCGAAGGGGAATTGTGTTGGGACGATTAAAGACTTGTCTTGACAGTTTCATATCTAGACCCTCGCATATAAGAATCATAGTCCTGGTCTGGTGGTAAGGCTGAGTATTGTCTCTTCAATCGAGTCTTGGTTATCCATCCGAGCTACGAGTTGTCCACTGTAGCCGCCAGAGTCTGAGCGGTTGGCGCTCAACCGAGGTGTGTAGTAACCACTTATGATAAATGGCGGGTGATATTGATCTTTGGTTATCGATGTAAATCATTCTGTAAAGAGTGATCCGACGCAGATTGCATGCCATAACCCAATCTGAGGCGGAACCGAGGAGTTTTCGAGAAGGTGTCTTGCGCCTGCGAGAGATTCGTCTATCGCCTGGGTTTCGTAACAGTCGGCGATTAGTTTAAAGGCCTTCCGGAGGACGTCCAAGACGTTACAACTCATAGCAGAGTTGCCCTCACGGGATCAGATAGAATGCGGAGATGTTTGAGAGAGATTGATAGTATCTATGCTCCACCTTCGAAGTTCGAGCTTCACACGTTACATTGCGGAAGTATGAGTGTGATTATCTAATATTTGTTCTCGGCAAAGTCAATCAAGTCACCTTGTACCTATGCTTTCAGACAGACCTGAATATCGATATCATGAGTGCGAACGACTGATAGCTCAGAGAGTTTGGCCAAGTGATCAGCGGCCTATATACACCGCTTGTCAACACTCTATTAGTCACCAACTGCACTGTCGACATACTACAAAATATTTAGAGATTTGTAGCGCAATTCGACGCCTTGTGTTCATGGTTTCTACTGTTACTGCATGAGTAAGCACCATGATGAGAAGACTGCAAACTTCCAATATCACGTTGCAGTCCCTAACTGTACTTCCAAATTTCAGTTCGAATACCCACCCATAGCCAAATCTCTAGCCTTTATTGCCTGGCGGATCTCCTCTTCATAGACTGTGTCTTTATCCAACTGTTGCTGCAGTCGTTGGTTCTCTTGTCGTAGATCACGGACCATCCCTTCCAGAGATCTGATCTGCTCCTGAGGATCATCGCTGAAGTCTATCATCTCAGTGTCAAGATGTTGAGCGGCCCGAGCGGCGTCGATAAGCCCTGAGATGCGATCATCCTTCTCAAGGAGCTCTACGCGCAGCTGCCTCACAAGAACGTCACGGGATTGCTCGCCCTCAAAGGCGGCTAGCCGTTCTTGAAGACGAGAAATCTCCAAATCCTTGTCTTCCAGAGGATCGATTCCAGATTCGAAATTCTCGGACTCATCAGGAATCCACACGACATTGCAACGACTCAAAAAGACCAAGTCGCTACCGGTAGATGAAAGACGCTGCTGCCATATTTGCTCTGCTGTGTTTGGCTCTGCGAGGGCCTCGTCTTCATCGGTCAAGAAGTCCCAATGACCCTTGCCTGGTGGCTGCACAGTTGGATTGAGGTACTGATCTTCAGGCCACCATACCAACACAGGTATGTTCGTCAGGTAACTCTTTCGTCAGGTAACTCTCCAAGATCTCGAGCATCGCGGTATTGGTTTGGCGGTTCTCGCCTGCATCGAGCCTGTTCGTGAACAGCTCAACAAGACTGTCGTATGAATCGGTGTCAAGAGCTGCTTTGACCCAAACGATGTTTATTCGACTGTGACGGGCTGCGAGGCCGGTGAAGCGTGCGGTCCAGAGCTCACTGGCCGTCATATAGGGGTATTGAACCTGCGCCTCTTTCACATCCCGCTCAGTGAGGTACGCCCAACGGCCATCACCTGCAGGTTGCTCACGAGGATTCAAGAATGCCGCATCAGGCCAAAATACCACGACCGGAAGGTCCAACGATATGTTGGCATCGCCTTCCAGACGTTTCAAGGCGAGCGGCCAAGCTTCGGAGTGACCTAGCTTCTTCGCTTGCCATGCGTCGAGGCTGTTCTGGCTTGGGTCGAGGAATGCCCATTCACCATCGCCTTCTGGTAGCTCTGTAGGATTGATGACTGCTCTAGCGAGTGTAGCTTCCTGAATGAGTTGCTGACGGTCGACCGTCGAGGTTGGCGGTCGAGTTGAATCGAATGGCGCAGATTGCGAAGACCCCTGTGCAGACCCAGAGGCAGTTGTATTCAGATCAGGAGGAAAAAGGGGTTTTCCTTTGGAGGCAGAATGATCAGAGACTCCCTTATCATGCAAAGATTCCACAGAGTGTGAATGAGAAGGGTGCAGATCGTTAGGCAGTGGAATCGTGCAGGCTATATCAATAGCCATCATGTCTTCTTCTTCCTGACTATCCGGGATCACCGTGTCCGCTGGGAAGCGAGACGCTGGAGACGTTGGAGACTCCACGGTGTGACAGGCTCGACAAAGAAGACGATTGTCTCTCGTGAGAGTCAACAATATGCATAAGAATGGGAGAGAGCATCTCATACATGCGTGCTCTCTGTGAGTCTTTTCGCTTGCATTGCGACAAGAACAGTGACTCTGCTTCACGTCTTCGATAGACACTTCTCCACGATCGATGCTGTCCGACGCTTCCATCATGGCCAGTATGGTATTAAGCAGACTCTTTCCGGCCACAAGAGCATTAAGACCCTGCTGCTGGACATGCGCAGCTAAAATGCGTTCGAGTGTTCGAAAGCGACATGTAAGCGCAGATGATGCTGCAGTGCGGGTCTTCATGTGCTCTCCACTGATCATACTCTCGGCATTGGCGTACAGGATACGAGCCACGTTGATGCTGGGCTCGAGACTAAAATAGCTGTGCTGAGATCGAGGCCCAGCAGTAAGATAGAAGCTACCTCCATTGAAGCTTCCACTAGTCCTTTGGAGTGTCAAGTCATCGAAGTAGTTGCCGATCGTTTCATCGAACGAGTCTCGTAGCTGCTCTGTTGTACCACATAGCCCTACGCGCGAATAGAGGGACCACCGGATTATATTCCAGCCGGCTTCAAAATCGCGACTGCCATCGCCGTGTAGAGGTAGAGCGTCTTCCGCAAACCAGAATCCATCTGGAATTCGGAGGGCGGTATCATCCAGTATAGCATCGCTACGTATCGCGTTGAGCTGAACGCCGACTGTTTCAGTGTGCCTGGTCTTCTCCAAGTCTGTGTTGATGCATAAAAACCGTATGCTTGCTTGCAGAAGAGTCGTGGTCGTCCCCGCTGCCGAACGAATCTTCGAACCGTAAACATCTCGGCTCTCGCCTTCACCGATCCAGTCCGAATGAAGCAACCCGAGATCGATATCATGCCGCCAGATCATCAGAGATGTAATTTCAACGAATGTAACTATGTGAGGCAATGCCCTCGCACCCCGGGTAGGAGCGTTCCACTCGCTCAATGGGAGTGGTAAAGGAACTCTGTTCATGATGCGACAGGCAATACGTCCGAGCTGCCGAGCAGCTTCCTCGTCTCTACAGATAGAGGTATCAAGTGCACAATTCTCAGGCACTGCTGCACTGCTGGCCCGCCGAGGGTTGGCTGCGCGAGGCTTGAGTTTGTACAGTTGTACACTTGGACCCTCAGATTCATTGATGTCGTGCACAATGACTTTGAAAGCGGTAACTTCGTTGTCTTCTTCTGCTCTTTGAACTTGGTAGCTCGAGACTTCCTCGATGCGAAAATCTCGAGGTCTGCCAGAGACGTTGGTGTAAATGCCGAGATCGAGCACATGCTTCGCGCGTGGGCGGCTAGGGTCGTAAGTAAAGCCGTGAGGCCTTTCACATAGGCCATCTTTGACCAGTCTTACGAAGGCTTCGACGTTGGGTGATTTTTTGTTTGGGAGGATTCGGTACGGATCGAGTATTGCCGCTTGGTTAAGAGCTTGCAGTGCTGCAGTTTCTGGCTGGGAGTCTGGGTCTCGATTGGGGGGTACTTCCGGTGCATGATGTGTAGGTGCAGCTTTTCGGCGAAGGACATCGCTGTCGCCGTCGCCGTCGCCGTCGCCGGTAGTGGTTTGGGCTTGTTCGGACTCATCTTCCGGATAGTAGGTCACCTCTGTCTTCTTCCGGTTTGCTTGATTGGTAGCTGAAGCCATGGTTTTTTGATTCGAATTGCGATCTACGACGAGACTGGATGCGGTGTAGTATTGGCGGAGTTCTTGGTTAAAAATTGATGTGACGCTGGGTGTTGGCGGAGCAGAAGGTACCAGAAGCCAGCGGGTCTATCGGCCTCAGGCAGAGACACCTCTTGAATGGGACGCGATGGGCTGTGGCTTTAGTGAGACAAAGTGACCAGAGCCTTCACATGAATAAGGAAGGTTCTGGATAGTGCTACAGGGGAAGGTGTCGCCTGCTTGGCCTTGGTGGACTTTGTTTGCTTGGTTTGTGAAAGCGGACGGATACGTACAGCAGTGCCCCTCAGCTACGAATCTCAATCCCATACCACGCCAGGTTTTCTGCAAACATGGCAGAGAACCACGCCAAAAACCCTATGGACATGACCGCAGCCGCAAAGATCGCTTATCACAAGCACGTAAGAACTCAGATGGCAGCTGCAAAGGCACTCTACGAGTCCGGAAATGTCAACCTGACCATCACTGTCCTGGAAAATTTGCTTGAGACGACGCATTGCAGCTTGATTGTACGACTGAAGGCGCAAATCATGCTGGCCCTGTCACATGAGCTCTGGGCCTTTGCCGAAAAACACAGACTCCTGGCCGAGAGTCTCTGGAACCACATCAGATACATCGAGCCTGTTGGCGAGGACCAGTTCATCGAGACGACACTGGAAGAAACACGTCAGACTTTGGACAAACTCCGAACTTTACAAGAGGAAAAGCAGCCGCTCGACGACGAGTACGACCCAGATGACACAGAGGGTCCCAGTACAGCACCCGAGGAACCCCTGCTGGAGCTGGGTAGAGGAGATCTTAGAGGCCACATTCAAGCCCTCGAAGCCGAGGTCCCATTCAGACCAGGACAAGCAGCCTTGAAGCTTTCTGCAATGTATCAAGGTGTGGCAGTTCATACCACACCGGAGTACGACAATGCAGTCAAGTCAGGCGACATGGAAGCAGCAGATTCGTTCTTCTGGGAGATGCTCAAGAAGGCATTCCTAGAGGGAGAAGCAACGGCAAAGAGGCGTGTTGAACAAGTGAGTAGAGTACGCAGTAGCATGCTCCTGTTTCTTGTCGCTGACGCTGACACATCGCAAAGCCTGCAACGGCGCCAAGCCAAGGGAAGCCCGGACTTGCACAAACTCCGAACACTCCGAGCAGCAAGAAGAAACGTCAATGGTTCACTCAAAAAGCCGGTCAAGTTGCGACTTCCGCTAGGAATCTCAGTCCATGGCACGCCCCGTCTGCCGACGCGATATCCGAATCACCAAGCACCCACTTGTCCCCTTCTCCTCGGCGCAGCTTTGAGAGTCCAACCGCACGCCGTGCAACCGCCGCTCGCCCAAACGACCATGCCATAAATCCCAATCTCCAGAAACCCCCTTCACGTTCGTTCAGTGCCAAACTCGCCGCAATCACAAGTTCGGGCGGAAGGAAGAAAGTCAAGGATACCGAGGGCAGCCCGGACAAGAAGGAGCAGGACACGGAACGTGAAATTGAGCCTCCAAAGTTCGTATTTCCCATCAGGAAGAAAGAGGAAAAGGAAATTGTTGCACCCTGGGATACCGACGAATGAGCCTTGTACCAATTCCGAATCACGTATGCCTACTGTGCCAGCTTAGTCGCAGGTACTTGAGTAGACCAGATCAAAAGAACAAATTCCATCTCTCACTTGAGGCATCTTTGCCGCATCATCTCTTCACCTCTTCTGCTGTCCGACACTTGTTTTACTTGCTAGAGCAGCGATCACCGACACCTTGGCGAGCCCTTCATGTAGACTCAGAATCCTGCCGACCAGTTTGACTTTGTGGATAGATTGGTCATGTCAGAGCAGTCAGTATTCTCTTTCTACTCTGATCTCGAGCTGTGCTTCCAACAGCAAATCCCCACAGAGACGTCGTAATTACCGGGACCACTTCATGCGCTAATGCAGAATCTTACAGTCCTCGACTCCGTACACCTGCTTCTGTATGTACTTATGCCTGCATCGGTTAAATAGCACCGCGAATTTAGGGAATTGCATATTCAAGGGTTCCACCGATAGATGAAATAAGTTCGTCTGCAAGCCTCTCGGGTGTTGTTGCATGGTTTCGCCTTGGCAAAATGTGCAGGTAATTTTACGGTACCACAACACACATTGCAGGCGCTAAGAACACGCCACAACGTGATAGTAAAGAAAGAGTTATTATGGTCACAACAAGAATGATGAACGTGTGCTGGAGTCTCGAGCGGCACGAAAGGACGAGCAGATTGCGTAAATACCTTGGCTTTATAGGCAACAGCACAAGCATCTCTATTTGGTCAACCATGATAGCGCTGGCGCAACATCATGCATCTCAGCAGAGAGCATATGCAGCGAACTCACCCACTCACCGTACTCACCAATCGGCATATCATCTGCTAGACCTGCAGCTAACTCCATATGCCAGGGTGGGAATTGAGGATTGATCGGCGAAAGAAACAGACCAATGTGAAATGAGGATCCATACCCAACATATCAAAGCATTGAATTCACGCCATCATCTCTGCAGATTCTGGCCGATCTGCTGACAGTAAGCATGCAATTCTCCGCTCTGTCTCAAGCCCTCGGAGCTCTACGAATTTATTGACATGCGTGCGACCACTTAAAGCGTCACGTTCATTTAGGGGATAAACCTGTAAGCTGCAGCAAGAATTTATTGACATGCGTGCGACCACTTAAAGTGTCACGTTCATTTAAGGGATAAACCTGTAAGCTGCCGCAAAATGTGCACCTGAGGAACATATTATCAGCTCAGCGGAACGACCTGGTCGTGGGCTATAACCATCCGTCTGTACCCGCCAGGCATCTCCTCTTGATCACATCCATCCTTTCACTCGTCTGCCTTCTGTGGTCGTCATAACTCCCTCGCACTGTGCTATACCATCTTCTGCTACTCTTGCTGCCAGCCCGCAGCTTATCGATCCTTCTATTTGCTTTCTTTTGTCTATCACCGCCGCGTGCTACCTATTATCTTCTCTTGCTGTCATCTGCTCTTGCTGTCATCTGCTCTTGCTATCATCTTCTCTTGCTGTCATCTTCTCTTGCTGTCATCTTCTCTTGCNTATCAAGTTTGTGCCGTCTCCTGGCCGTATGAGGCATGTGACTGCTCTACCTCGATACTGCGAAACACGAAATGGACATAATTGGATTCGGAATTTCCAGACTGTCCAGGTGACGCCAGAGATGTGTCAAAGAGAGGATGGCGAAACTCGGGTGTTCAAATTACTTGTCTGCGACCAGAATGATCCAGATCCACACCGCGAGATCGTCCATTTGTTCACTTTGAGAGCCCAGTCCAGGCAAGGGTCTCGAGCAGAGAATTGTTTAGTGGATCTCACCATATGCCGCAACAAGTCTGAAGCGCTGGCTCTCGCTGACGTCGCATGCGACGTATTGAACAAAACCCCCGGGACACTCCCTCTCGAAAGGTGGAACGCTCCTTACGGTCAAGGTCATTCATCAGTCGTCCAATTCGTCGAGATCGTCACATTGATGACATGGAAGCCGGATCTGGATTTCAACAAAATTCACTCTGACTGGATTGGCCACGATCGAAGTGCAGCGTACATCTCTCAGATGCGTTCTTCTCTCAAACCCGAGCTTCGCGACCATCTATACGCATCTCCTAATTTTCTGTGTGTCTTGAGCGATCGCACTCGGGCAGGAGATTCTTTTGATGACCTTCGCGTAAGACCTGGTGATGTCAATGTCAGCGTCGTCAAAAGAGATTGCAATATTCCACAAGGCTTCTGGTTTGCTCAAAGCACCACTCCAGACTATGCTGTGAAGGACGAAGCGTCAGACAGTGCTTCTTGGCAACTCTTACGCTGGATCTACTGGTCACTTGCTGGGTTCTGCGGGACTGCAACGCAACTCCGAGAAATGATTGATGATTTGTCGCGACCATTTCTGCTTCCTCATGTCGGAAGGAAGGAATATAGAGAGCATGGAGTGCTGAATGGCAAGGCTTTGTTCACAGCACCACGAATAGCCAGCCATCACATTTACTTCGTGGCCTCTGCAGAACTTTCATCCTATATTTCTATGAAAGATGGATCGGCACCCTCTCCGAGGACATTCCGCCCGAGGACAAACTCAAACAGTACAATTATGCTTGCGTATATTCATCAGCGAGGTATTGATGCACTTGCTTCCGGAAAGCTTCTCCAGAATGTTATGCTGGCGGTCATGCAGGCCGCGGATAAGGTCAACCGCAGAGATTTTACCGAAACCGATGCCATTGCAAATCATTGTGACCCTCAACAACACCCATCTAACGACAGAGTTTGTATGTCTTGCGGCACTGTCCGCTCTTATCACGACATGTACTGTCATTCTAGAAACCGTGCTCTCCTCTGCGCGGGGTGCAGAGGAAACAACGACCCTTTCATGTTTGTACTCGTTGCACCCGTGGAATATCAATTCCGCCGGCTGATATGGCACATGTATGAGGCCGACGAGACACACGGACCCGTTCAATGGAAGAGGCCTGACATGCAAGCAAGTATGGAGCAACAATTCAATATCAGTACCTACAGATGGCGTAATGCTTATGGGAATCATGACTTCGACGTTCACAATGCAGTCTACAACGATGATTTCTCCGGTGGTCGTACGAACAAACACCCTTTACGGCCCAGTCCAGACCGGTTGTTGCCGGCATATGTATCAGCAAACACTCCACACGGTCCCCATCTACATCATCCTGATAACGTTGCTATGACGTTCCAAGCTCTGAATTACGCCAGAGGTACAGACATTCTCCATATGGTTCCATGGTACAAAAGGATGCTTTCTCTGAGAGAATTGGTGGCCGATCGGCCCTGTCAAGTAGACTATCACGAAGAGATTCAAGGCCAGTGTGTAGCTTTCGAAAGAGCTGCAGACAATGCTCTCCTGATCAAGTCCTCGCTCCCAAATGGTAACAGTGCCAGGCTGAAGAACATCAGAGACGACTTCGGAGAGATATGGGCACCAAAGTACAAATCTGGAGTTTTGGATTCGGTGATCAGGTCACGTTTCTTGACCAGGCGTCATCGCATCAGTTTCACGCCTCGTAGACGTCGTCGCGGGATTGTGGCACCATTTCCGGACTTCAGGATGTGGAACGAGAAAGAATTGACCAATATCAAAGGTCTGATCGAACAGGCTCACCAACCAAGATACAACCCTCACAACCTAGAGCTTCCCACCGGCAATGACGGATCTCCTCTATTTTTTCGTAAGAACACCACGCCAGATGACTCTTGCTGGGAGTTTCTTTTCTGGGAGATGCGGGCACGGCTATGGACCTGGTGGCATGAATGCGACAGCGACAACGATACTCAGGAATCCCCCACCACCATACTGATCTTCTTCGTCATGCAATGGCTCAAGTACAGCGGTAAATGTCATATCTTCGGTTTCAAATTCGTACCCTTTGCCGGCCATACTCAGGTATACTCCTTTGGCCGAGGGCTGCACACGTTTGATCGGGACGGGAAACTGATCAGAGACATCATGCCGGGTGAGCCGTTATCAACGGGCTTCATCACAACCCAACCCACAGATATCGATATCGATTGGGTGCCAGAGTATTGCACCGCAATGCTGGAATCGTGGAAAGCCAATGCCTTGAGACACGAGTATCCTGTCGCCGTATTGCACCTTTGTCTCGACGCTGTCAGGATGACTGTGGACGATAGAGATACCGAGTATTTTGATGCTCCCAAGGAAGCGTCAGAATATCCCGTCGTCACTTTTCCAAGATCGTGGAAGCACACAACGTCGGAAGATCGCCTTTCCTATGTCAGCCACGGCGCCGACAAAGACGATGATGCGTTGATGGATGACGAAGTCTCCTCGCTTATTCTCGGTGGTCGTATCAACTACGATGACGACGATGAAAACGATGAAGATGAGTATGGAGATGAGTATGAAGATGAAGATGAAGATGAAGATGAAGATGAAGATGAAGATGAAGATGAAGATGACGAAGATGAAGACAATGAAAAAGACAATGAGGGGGAGGAAGTGGCTGTGTCCAGCGACTCTAGATCCTTGTATGAGCGACAAAGGGCTATCGCAAGTGCCAAAGTGCGAGGCTGCATCGTGAACCCTCCTGTTGTGCCAAAGGTGGAGGGAACTTTCACGTTCTTGGAGACTGGAGTCGACGATCTTGCCGCAAGGATGATGGGTTACGATGACGGCAGGGCAGTCATCGAGGCTCGTGCGAATGGCCATCTCAAAGGTCTCGAATTTGGTGTCTCGGTCAAGATTCAGCCCTTTGTTATATTCCAACCCCATCCCAGTTATCTCAACCCTACTACACAACCTCTCACGACCGGCAAATGGTTGTATCTTACACCTGACGACAAGGCAACTGCTCATCGCTATTTTGCAAAGTACCAACGACATTCCTTCACTGACCATGCCGCCCCCACTGCTGAAGAAATTTGGGAACTTCGACGTTCGGGCCATGCAGACTCCAGGACCAAGACTGCTATCAGGGGGATCAATATCGCTTGGGCTACACTCACTCATGACAACGACCTCGCTCCAGCTTTCACGCAACAGGACTTCTCCTCCATCGGCACGGGAAATCCGGAGCTGGAACTCCCACTACCTAACACTAATCCACTCGAACCACTGCGACAAACGCAGACTGGCCGAGCCAATAGCGCGATACCTGGAAACATGTCACCATTCTCCGACACATCAAACACCGCACTCTACCTGGAGCATAATAGATGGAGTCCTGCTGCACCTGTTATTACTGTGCCTCTTGCTCGATTGCAGTTCGAGGAAGATTCGGAAGATGAAGAGTCTCTCAGCCAGAACGACTCAGTGAGCGTTCACACCCCGGATGCGCTTCGCCGCAACCGCACGTTGAAGGCAGAGCTGGCAGAAGCTTTGGAGCGGCACCGGTCAGAACGCCGTGGACAGCGAGAGCAGCGAGAATAGTGGTACACCGAGGACATTGGGGATGTTGAGGACATTGAGGACATTGAGGACGTTAAGGACGGCTAGATGGGAGCAGAAGGTGCAAAGAAGTACAGTGTGGTCAGTGATCGATCGTAAATGATAATTTCGTGACAATTAACATGATAACGATTTATAATCTTTTCCAGACGAGTTGATTGGTTGATAATGAAAGCGGTGATGATAATTGTCATGATGATCACTCGAACATCGAACAGGTTCATCCCCATGACAGCAGGGTCGCCCTAGTAGAATCGGATAAGATGCGGAGATCCTCCACAACAATTTCGCTATACCACTAAATTTATGGCTTCAAAACCTGATCGTCGTAGTTTTGCCCCGCCAATGAACCGATGGATGTTTATACTTAATGTGTGCTAATTTTCAGTGAATTTAGAACACTTGCTTATTGTCGTTAGCATTACCTTGTTGTCGCCTACGTATAACTGATTGTCATAATCGTGATTGATTGATCATGTAAAATCTGGTAATTGATTGATGATGGGATCATTATCAATCATTATTAATTACTGACCACACTGAAGAAGTATTCATCATTTAGCTTTCATAATCAACTTGACAATCAATACTTTGAAGCTATTCACTCCAATTCCAATCTTGCATATGGCGCGCCTGTGTGCACGCGAGAAAAGTTATCTGTGTCGATAGAACAACATTTAGCACATGCATGTTGTTAATGGTTGGCGTGGTTGTCGTCTTGCTAATCTTCAAGTCGGATGCGTGATAACTGTCGGTCCGAATTAGCTCTGCATGTTAATAATTAACCCTCCCCATGTGCTAAACTTTGTCACGCGCACCCTGTAGAAATGCACAATGTTTTTAAGATTAATGCAGCCGTCCACTGAGAGTGTGATATTTAGCGCCTCTCTGCGGACGACTAGAGAGATCTTGAAAACATTGTGCATTTCTACAGACTGAATAACCCCGGGCATGGCCGTAGGAGATGGCTAGAAGTGACAGAATTGGGCACACGAGGAGGAGGACGCGGTCCGGATAGCCAAGCACTGTCCACTCACCTCGGCGGTCGCGTTGCTCAAAGCGGCGTTTTCAACCGGATCGTCTGCCGAAGTACTGCCGGTCTCCAATTGGTCTTGAGCGAGCTCATCGAGTTGGACGCGCGCGGCCTGAAGGAATGACTGGACATCGGCCGGCATATCTGCGCCAAAGAACTCCTTTTGCTCTCGCCAAAGCTGTTCGGCCTCTTCGCGACGAGATATGGCCCAGCTGGGAAAGTCGGTCACCGACGCAATCAAGAGACAAGTTCTCAGCTTGACGAGAGGTGACATGTGCTTGTAGTTGTGCAAGATGTCTTCCAGGGCATTCACATAACCGGGCATATCACCGTAGTCATACAGTTCGTCGGCTCCAGCGCACTCATCGCGAACCTCATCCAGCTGCTCCTCCTCTTCTTCGGTATCGTCATCCGAAAGCATCGAGTCATTGCTGGGGAGAACGAGGGACTGTGGCAGGGTTGGGCGAAAGGTGGGTGGGTTGTCGAGCTGATACGCGGACAAGATGTCCAGTTCTTTGCGTGTACCTTCGAGATCCACGTCAGGCCTGCTGCTGAGGTAGGGTGTTCCGCAAACGCTTGTATACAGCCTCTCTGCTCGTAGGCGATATTCCTCGGCATACGGCCAGTTGTTGGATGATGCGCTGATAACAATGCACAACTTTAAGCACAAGTAAGGTGGGATCGAGTAGTTTTCGAGAAGGTGTCTTGCGCCTGCGAGAGATTCGTCCATCATCTCGGCTTCGTAACAGTCGGCGATTAGTTTGAAGGCCTTTCGGAGGACGTCCGCGACGTTAGTCTGATCCAAGGCGATGATGGCCTCCACGATCTGGAGCTTGGGCTGGTCCATGATGATGGTGCAGTTTTGGAAAGGCAACTTCCAGAAATTCCAGAAATTCCAAAGTTGGTAAATTCGACGTGTACGTCCTGCGCCACATCCCGACACGGTGGTACCAGCAAACAACACTGGCGTCTGTGTTCCTTCCATTTCTAGTCTGTTTCTTCCCATTCTAGTTTATTCCTTTGCTTGTCACTGTGCCGCTCTCGCGTCATCTTCTGTTTCTTTTCTGCTAATCTACCAATATCTCCTCAACCATAGCCATTCAAACACTGACCGTGTCTCGAGGGAACGCGCCATGGCAATGCCTCCTACCAACCGTGGGCATCTTAAGCGTGATGCTACAGAGGGCCCCAACGATCCCAGCCAACCGAAGAAGCGCATGCTGTTCGCTCTTAACACTCGTGGCCTTGGACCTCTGAACCCTCCCTCTAGCCCGCCAAACGAAGATTCCCACAACCTCAACCGATTCCGCGCCGCAAGAGATCGAGGTCTCAATGTCAAGATCACTGATAAGAGGTACAACTATGAGCCGGATCACATAGGGATGCGCCACATCATGGAGCTGGACGATCATGGCGGCAGAAACCACCAGCTCTTGGAAAATCATCTCAAACTCTATCCGATCACTCGAAAAATCATGGGCAAAGACGGCCTCCCCGTCAAGACTCGCAATGGAAAACACAAGACCGTGGAAGTCATGGCGTGGAAGATTGTGGTAAAGGACATGAACCACCTCGCCAGTCCCGCTCTGCGTCCTTTCCGGATTCCCGTGCATGGTGTTATTGGAAGCACCAGAGTCACTAGGATCAGAGACGGAGTAAAGGTGATAGATCGCGAACACACCTTTCACTTCGGCGAAGACTGCTGCTTGACCGAGGACATCTGTCCCACCATTGAGCAAGCACGCAACCTGGGCAATATCGTGTGCAAGATGCTCAACAAATACCCTCACGATCTGTTCAAGGATGTCAAAGAATGGGATCAGATGAAAGGCGGGTGTCTCAAAATGAGCAGAGTCCTGATCGAGGTTGCATCGCTTGTTTACTGGAACCCAAGAATCGACTTTGCAAGTTTTCCATTCGATTGGTGCCATCACAGTACCGACCACGTAGGTCTCTACCACTCTCCTTTGTTCGGATCGGATGCAAATTCAAGGATTTTTGCGTTCTATCCCAACAAGGATGATCGCTTTCGGCGCGCCTTGCGCATGAAACCAGAAGACATGGACGCACCCGCCATCCACGAGTTTCTTGACAAACGCATGCCCGACAATTTCTGGTTCAGTGGTGACTGGGAGTCAGATACGTTGACCGAAGCAGGTCAAGCTTGTCTTCGACTCAAGGGTTACATCGTCTATGCCACAGTTGGTATGTGCACGGATGTTGATCAAATGCGGAAGTTTGTCGACGACCTCAGAGATCGATTCTTATTGCAGCCGAAGAAGAGCCAATCGCAAGCGCTCCATTACCAAAACATGTACACAACTACGACATTTACCGATACTGGTCATGCCGTCATAGACTGGTCCGAGCAGGTCTACAAGAAGCTTTCACCAACAAATCTGGTTAGAGACCTCACCGCCACCACCGGTGACTCATTACTGGCAGCTGAGTTCTACGAAATGGATAGTAGCTTACATGCCTGGGCCTTGGAACAAGGTCTAGTGGCACTGAAACAATTCCACGACCTTCTCAATGCTATTCAGACCGTTTTGTCGGCCGCAGACAAGGTCAACACCGGCCAAGTCAGTTTGGAACGCGTGAAGGAGAATTACTGTCATTGCAACACTGAACAGCTTCGCCGAGAGACATATCACGTCTGTATGGACTGTAACGATACTTATACATGCTCTACGATGAGGATCGACCCCATGGGACAATTCCTGTGTAGAGACTGTGTCCTCAACTCGGCTTTTGTTGAAGAAGGTCTCTTCGTAGACACTCGGTCACTCCATGGTGTAGCCTTTGCTACACTCGATACTCAAGCAACCCTGGGTGTTCTGTTTGACGAAGTCATTATTAGAAAGCGTCAAAGGCTGCTGGATGCTTTCCTTGAAAGAGGCGCTGTCGTCAATCCGAGCGAGCGGCCCGATTTTGCCGGTTCATTCATGTTCCTACAAGAGGATGTTGACAAGCCCGCAGCACAGGGTTTCGGTTATGTAGATGCGGAAGATGTGTTTCAGGGGAAAGCTACAGACGACAAGATTCCACAGGAGCAACTTCCTAACACAAAACCTATCATCCTATACTTCCCTGCGGTCCCGAAGCGAGCCCGTGTTCATCGCGTTGAAATGAACCGCGAAGATCTTTTCGACGAGGCTCATGATGATCCGAACGTAATTGTCAACCCTAGATGCATACCCCAAGGCCTTGGTACTTTCACCTATCTTCAACCTGGAGAGCTTCAACTGGATGAGCGAGAAGCAAGAAAGCTGGGGCTTGAAGATGCTCGAGCCACCACAGATGCTCGCATCGCTGCTTACCTCAAGACCGATAGCAAGACCGAGTACCCTTTTGGCGAGATCCCTACAGTGCTTTGGACTGCCATCGAAGGTTCGATCAACCCTAGATTTGAGCCGGAAGGTCCTGGTCACTGGAGATATCTGACTTTCGATGATGCGGAGAAGGCTCACAAGTCACAAGGTCGAAAGTTGACAGCAGCTGAGTACTATGATGGACAAAGTTGGCAGAAGGAGTCAAAGCCAGCCAGAGTCGTTTGGGTGCCTCTTGATCCTATGGTGGAATTGGTCGAGAAGTGTAACTCCCTTCAGCAGTGCCTTGTTGAGTGTCTTGAGGAGAATGCCGCGTCTGCTGTCGCTGCTGACCCGGACTCCGACCCCATGGATTTGATCCCGAACAACAGCATTGAACTGGACAGCCTCATGTACCGACTGGAAGATGTTACCAAGAAGTTGGCTAATCTGCCGTCTGATACACAAAGTGTGGCTCATCCCAACATGGCAACAAGTGACGTCCTCCTTACTATGAGGGATCAAGCTGAAGTGATAGCACGTTTGAGAAGAGGTGTTCGTCACATCTCAACGATTTCAACTGTCTCACATCCACCGACGCCTACAGAGCTCGAGCAGCTGCGTGTAGATAACGCAAAACTTGTTGGGGACAACGCACGACACCTGGAAACAATCGATCGCTACAGAAAGAACGAGCGTCATGCCTCGACTGCTAGTACCGTCTCGAACTCGGACGAGCAGCTTCTGTCAGACCAACAGCGTATTGATGAGCTGCTTCGCGAGAAGGAGGAATTTGCTACGGCTCATGAGGCACAGTTGGTAGCCAACGAGGACGCACTGTTGAAAAGGTTCTATGCAATCATTGATCAGATGACCGGCGAGCAGGCTATTGCAGCGGATGCGACCATAGCCCATGACTCCACTCCTATTCAAGTCCATCAGCTTCGGGACCAACTTGAGGCAAGCAGGCAGGAGAATGGAAGGCTCAAACTAGCTTTACTGCGGGACCAGACGTTCGCCGAGGCGGTTCGCAGGGCACAGGCAAAACATGACTCCAGAACTTAGATCAAGCCCTCTAGGTATTGTCGTAAGGTATGTTTATTTCTTGGCAACATCAACCTGCGCTCTTGCCATTGTTGAATGGTTCGGTAATAACGATGTACAGCTTTGAACACATGTGGAGCGAGAGAAAGCAGGTTTCCAGTAGATGTCTCGAGCCTGCAAGTGAGTCTGCCATGATACAAAGACAGACGGTCAGGGAAGATTTTGCAGTGAGGGTATCTCATATAGCAGTAGATATCCACTAAACGAGACTTTGACGTTATTGGTTTCGCCCAGATCAGAAGGCCTCTTCTCAGACCATACTCCTCACCACATCCATTACCCTCCGATATTGCTGGTCGGCGCTCACGAAAGAGTACAGGGGTCTCGAGATATGAGGCAATGCTCTTGGAGGAAAGGATCGTTGCACAAACGCTTCACAAGTATTGATAACAAACCATGGTCCATAAATCTTGTGCATTTCCACAGCTGCTTGGTCAAGAGAAGGCTCTGGAGATTCAACATGGGCAGAACAAGATCGGTTTCGACGACAAGCACATGATCATTGAGAGTGGCGGTATTTCATACTGTAATATCTTTGGAAAGATGACTCGGTTCTAGAAACATACTACCTCTTTATTGATGTTCAAGAGACGCGTATTGGAAGCTGTGAGTGGAGCTCAACGGTGGACATGCAATTGGTTTGAACTTGCATGCGATCTGAGGTTTCCATCCTGCAAGTGGAGTAGGCTGCGATGAAGGCCGGTTTAGTGGATGCATAGGACTTGATGCTCAATGGAGGTGCTGAAATCTGTAGTGCAACTGCGAGAGAGAGAGGGATAAGTATAAGGCATATGTACAGCACCGCATAGGTAAAACTCACAACAAAAGGAGTGTGTCTGGGCCAAATTGCCTGTCTCTGTTTTTCTTTCTCCATTGTTTTATCGATTCCATTCCTTCCTGTTCCCCCTTGTCTCTTCATTTTCTCCAGAGATTGGCAGTGTGGTGCGAGGGCGACAAGTGACAGGGTGTTTGCTTGCTCGTTGCTTGAGGTTATAAGGCACGCGGGAGGAGCTTTTTGAAACTGTGTACCGCATTAGTGTTTTACCACATCGACCTGAACGCATCTACTCACCAGAGGCTCAGTGTCCAACGACTAATTAGGAAGATGGACCCAAGAACCCTTCTGGGCGGAGTTAGTAGAGGTGTCAGACTTGGGATCAGGACCCTCAAGATCAGGCATGTTGCCAGAGAGGTTGCAGCAGCACCAAGACCATTAGGGACGCGGACGTGATCGCCGAGTTGAATTTGCAAGCAGTAACTTTCCTACTTCGGCGTGAGGTTAACGAAATTGGCGGAATCAGAGTACGTGGTTCGCTGCTCAACAACCGTAAAATGCTAACGCACACTAGTTTGACGTGACTGAAGAGATGCAGAGAGAAGGGTACATATGATCAACAACTTAAGTGAAGTAAGGGTCCTTAACATAGGCCTCCCACTGGTGGAATGGTCAGAACATTTAGACATAGTTATGCTCTGCTCATCCTCACCTTGAGGCGGCACCGAGGCGTTGGCGACCTATAAAAGCTAGCACCATCGTTGAGAAGGTGTGGGCGTCCATACTTTTGGCGCGATGGTAAAACCCCCTCTCCAGCGTCTTCAAGAATCAAGAGCCTTTGCCCCTCTCCACAGTTCAGCCTTACCAGCCGCTTTCGAGCGTGCAGCGCCGTTGTTCCGCGACGATGACCACTCAACGTCTGAAACGCACAACGTCATGACGGGCAGAAACGTACATCTCAGCCTGGCACGTCGCTCGTGTTATGATATTGGAAAGACTCCAGAATTGTACTGATTGGTTGTCGCAATTTTAACAGAATTAGGTCTTCAACAATATTGCGAGTCCTAATTTTAGGCAATACGACGAATTGACTTTGCTTTGTGCCGAAATTTGGAGAAGCGACCCGCCCCAGGGCTTGGCTTTCGTGTGGTTTCCACATCCGCGAGATGAAGATCATGCAGGATCCGCGGGAACCTGTCGATTTTCAGGTACCCGACACAGCCGAAAGTGACAATGCGCAGGGTCGCGAGAAGCTTCGTTTCAGCTGAGAATGTGATGCATCTTGGATGGAAATTCATGAATAGATTAAAGAAGATGTAGAGAGTTGTTGTTGTCAGGCAGCTTCATCTCAAAAGTCTGGACCTTCTACATCCGACTTTCCCTGTCAATGTAGGTTCGTCGCAGATTAAGATATGATCACAGGGCAAGTACGATCTTTTACTGGTAGTGGCAAGAACTAAGGACGCTTGGCAAGCCATCGTGCACTGTTAGTCTGGTACTCGAATTCATATAACCTGGACAGGTTGCACCGTGGGTTGTTTCCAAGTCTCTTTTCCATCCATTCGTTGTTTTCTATTGTCGAAGTGATTCCATCTCAAAGAACAATTCTTTATCTCTTCTTTTTCGCCGTTTCTCGGCATCCATTCGTTACACTAACGCCATGAGGTCGTTCGTACCCGTTCTCATCGGTCTCGCAACGGTCGCCGTTGCTCAGAACTCCACCACCGACTGCATCACAGCCTTCTCGAGCTGCTACGATTTCGGAAGTTCGAACGGCAATGTTTGTTCCTCTCAGGCTTCGACATGCAAGGACAAGTGCGCCATGAACCAGAGCAATTGCTTGAGCAGCGGTACTTCCAAGGCTGTCTGTTCGTCCGCATACGATGCTTGTGTTGGTGCGACATCTTCCTCTGTGGTTTCTCTGGATTGTCTTGCCTCGGTCATCCCCTGTTACACTGGAGATGGTTCTGTCGACAACACCTGCGACAGCAAGATCGGCAACTGCAAGACCGCCTGTAGCGCCTTAACAGATATCTGCAACTCTACCGAAAACGACAACAGCGAGTTGTGTCAATCTAAGCTCACCCAGTGTTTGGGTGCCGACAAGGCTACCGCCCCTTCGACCAGCTGCATAGAAGTTGCTGAGAACGCCTACCTCAACGGTACAGCTGACAACCAATCTGGAAGTCTCATTGCCCAATGTAAACAAACTTGGTATGTTGGTCTCCTGTCTAGAAGAAGCTTAGCTAACGGAAGCCAGTGGTGTCCTCAAGGATGCTTGTCTTGCCGGCGGAGATGATTCCGTTGCTGCGGGCTGTGACTCTGCATACCTCAGCTGTCTTGGATCAGATAAGCTCGAGGGACAGACGTCAAAGATCAACTGCGTTGAAGTAAGCACTTCTTTATCCGTGGCACACGACTCCGATTTACTAATTTGTCAAGGCCGCTCAAACTTGCTACGAATCAGACTCTTCGGACAACGAATGCGCTCGTCAGACGGCTCAATGCAAAGACATTTGCTCGAATATTTACAATACTTGCAACTCTAGTGGAGACAACTCAACCGATGCTGGCTGTTTGAACTGGTACTCGCAGTGTGTTGGTGCAACAACTGCTTCTTCCAACAGCTCTATCGATTGTGTCTCTCAACAGGAGCAGTGCTACCTCGACGATTCAGAGTTGAACCAATGTGACGCGGATAATGCGCAGTGTTTGTATTCACCACATTTCTCCGTCACACAGCAGCTAACGATGACATAGGCAAGGATGTGTGCAGTCGTGAGTTCAGTACTTGCCTTAGCACTGGAGATGATAGCGTCAAGGGACAATGCGAGGTAAGTGCAGCTGAAACCCACTTTTGGCCACAATTTGGGATATCATGCTCATTTATATCAACAGGACTTTTACCTCAGCTGCCTCGGGAGCTCGAAGCTGCAGAAGCCTAAGGTCGACTGCGTAGCTGAGAACGATGTAAGTGCCATCAAGAAGGTAGATTCCCATATCCTAATAACCAAAATAGGCTTGCTACCTTTCCGGTGAATTTTCGGACGCAGAATGTGACGCCAAAAATGGTAAGAGTTGATATCACCCTTTATACGTTTGTATGTGGCTAACGTGCTTTAAAGCTGTATGCAAGACAGTTTGCAGTAGAGTATGAAAATACCACCGTTCTCTGTGAGAGATTGACACTGACTCTGCCTTAGTCCCAAGACACCTGTCTGTCCGGAAACTCATCCAGCGTCGTTGAGGGTTGCAACACACATTATTCTCAATGCCTTGGGTCTGCCGATGTTACCCCCGTCTCGCCCGTCTCTTGCGTCGAGATCGCCACCGACTGTTTCCTCTCGGGTGATGGTAAGTCAAAAATCTCGTGCCATGCGCTCTACATCTGTTCTAACATACTCAAGCATCAAACAACTGTTCGGCAATTACGGCTACCTGCAAATCTTCATGCTCAAGAGTAAGCGACCCTAGAGTATAGAGGTTGAGTGGTGTTGTTGGATATCAACTTTGTCAGAAGAAATTTGATAATTTCTCGGATCGGGGTACCAACAACAACCATTGCGCCACTATACTTCCTAAACATTTGAAGTACATTCACTGACGTTGCTTTAGTCCCAAGACACCTGCCTGAGCTCTGGTGATGAGTCTGTCAAGCCTGCTTGCCAAAAGGTACGAACTTGCCCCTGAAAACAAATATGGAAATTTTCGATGCGAACATGACATACTAACCTGAGTTCCAGCACTACGATACTTGCTTGGGAGCTACCCCTGAAGCCGAGAAAGCTGCTTCGTCCATCAACTGTGTGCAGCGCTACACCTCTTGCTTCTCATCGGGCATCGAGGAGAATACATGCTCTGCTGCCAATGCTGATTGTTCGTCATGTCCATCTACCCATTGTAACCACTGCTAACCCTCTGTAGGCAAGAACACGTGCAGTCAGCTACTCGATTCATGCAACAGCTCCGGCGACAACTCTACCGCTTCTCAGTGCCAGGGGTAAGTCACTATATTACGATACCAATCGACAGTCAGCTAACAGCCCCGAAGAGTGTACAACTCTTGCCTAGGAAGCATCGCCACCAGCCTCGTCGACTACAAGCCTCTCGACTGCGCAGGCAGAAGCAAGCTTTGTGCCTCCAACGGAACTGCAAGCAATGAATGTGACCGCGAGAATGCCTCTTGTACCAATGCATGCGCAACGACACTTGATACCTGCCTCGTCTCCGGCTCCTCCGACACTGCTGCATGCAACCACCTGTACATGATGTGCCTCGATTCTTCGTCATACACCGTTACCAGCATCCCCGCATCCCTGAAGCCTACCAGCAGCCGCGCCAGCCTGTCCATCATCCCCTCTGCCAACGCCACCACCAAGGCCACCGGTATCTCCGCTGCTCTGACTACTGGCCCTGCATCTGGTGCCATCTCCACTGGTGGTGCCTTCGTTTCTGGACCTTACAACAACGGCAGCTCCTCCACCGCTGACGCCCAGTCTGGTGCCGTTTCAGTTGCCACTTCCACCGAGAGCACTGTCTACGTTACCGATGTTGTCAAGACCACCGTCACTACCTGCCCTGTTGGATTCACGTAAGATTTCCCTTCTATACATTTATAAATTCTTCTAACATTTCACAGTCTCACCACTGCTGGCTCGACCACCGTCTTGGCCACTCCCTCAGTGATTACCACCTCAGTCACTGTCAAGAGCACCATCTCAACCACTGTCGCCCACACTGTTACCGTTCCTGCCGCTGGAAACAACGCCATCCCTTCGTCCAAGGTCACTCCTTCGGTCGAGAGCACCGTCTACGTCACTGATGTCGTCAAGTCAACTGTTACAACCTGCCCTGTAGGCCAGACGTAAGGTCTTCCTTTTCTGTGATTTGAAGAACATTTTTAACATTTCATAGCGTCACCGCATCTGGCTCAACCACTGTCCTGACAGCACCTTCCGTGATGACTTCTCAGATCACTGTCAAGAGCACCGTCTCCACTGTCATTACTCACACCGCTGTTGTTCCTCAGTCTTCCCCTGTCAGCCCTGAGCAGACTACCCCTGCCTCTTTCGCCGGACACGTCGCAGTTCCTTCAACCGTCACCCTCTACAGCACCAAGGAGGTTACCATTACCAGCTGTGCCGCAGATGTGACTAACTGCCCCGCCAAGGTTTCGACCACTCTCTTCCCTACTGCCATCACAGTCACTAGCGTTTGGTCCCGCACTCAGTCTACCTCTGCCGCTTCTTCGCCCGCTGGTTCCGCTCCTGCTGGTTCCGCTCCTGCTGGCTCTTCCCCTGCCGGTTCTTCTCCCGTCAGCCCCGAGACCACCTCGGCCCCCGTCACCGTCCCTTCGACCATGTTCTACTACAGCACTGCCGTCGTCACTGTGACTAGCTGCGCCGAGGGTGTTGAGAACTGCCCCGCGCGTTCGACTGTTGTCAAGACTTCCGTCGTTCCCACCGGATATGCCGTTACCAGCGTCATCTCTTCGGCCTGGACTCCTGAGGCTTACACCAGCCCTTCTGCCGGTGTTCCCGAGAACTCGGCTCCCGTCGCCTCGGTCCCTGTCTCTTCTGCTCCTGTCGCTGCCGTCCCTACCACCGCTCCTTTCGCCGTTAACAACAGCACTATGATGTCTGTCGGTCCTACTGGAACTGGTATGGTCGGTACTGGCTCTGGCAGCAAGGCCACCTCCACCTTCTCGCCTTCTCAGTACACCGGAGCCGCCAACAAGGCCGGTGTTGCTGGTCTGGCTGGTGTCGCTGCTTTCGCCGCTTTCCTTCTGTAAGAAGTGCTAATAATCTCGCAAGAGATCTGTTGATTTGAGGCGCTGCATTTATCATTCTCTACCACTATATTTTCCTTTTTCTATTTTCCATCTTTTGTATATACGACTTATTATTCTCTAGCCTAATACACCAGGCTCTTTTGTATAAAACGCCAGTTTGACCTCTAAAATATGCTCTTCCATTGTTGCCTTCTATTCATACTGCGATATGTATGTACCAAAAGCGGGCAAGTGCAACCCCGCACGGACGTCGAAACTAGGCTCCAAGTCATTATCGCGACTACCACTTCGATCCTTCCTTGATACTTAGCATCTTGTCGTTCTGTACGCGAGACATCCGACCAAATTCATCGCAACATTCTACCCGCCGAAGATTCCAGGCAAAGCGAGAGTGCGGCGGCTGATGCATCTATCACAAATCAGGCGCTTACGGCGGCGCGTCGAGCGATGATGCTGATTGACGAGACCAAACTCATTACCGATGCAGTATGGACATGATGACGACGCTCAGGTAGCTTGCATACACATGCGTCTGCATGTTCAAGGCCGGTGGTAATTTGGTGGTGCTATCAAGCTCGAGATACACAGTCTGGAAGCCTTACAGGACATCCAGCGGTTAACTTCGCATCTTGTTCATATGTCTGCGACTCTTATCAGTTCGGTTCACACACTGAACCAAACCGTCGGGCTTGTCCGACCACATAATACCTCTCCTCAACTGGATATAGCTGGCGAGCACTCCCAGTATTTGCTTTCGCCTTGCGACACCTGTCTCATACCTTCGCTTCATTGTCGACCGTCAGATAATTGGACAACCGGTTCAATATGATCTCTCTATTCCTGTTCACCCTGTTCTGCTTTGGAGCTTATGCAAGTGTTCCACGCTCACTCAATTTCGACACCACCGTTGGTCCTGATGGTGAGCATGACGATAAGGTTTTACTTGAAGTGGACTTGACTGACTGAAACCAATCAGGCCCTTGGAATGCCTTGATTCAAGCCGTATCTTGGCCTGAAAGAGTAAGCTCTATGAATAATCATCTCGAGACGATTTGCTGATCATCGTGATCAAGAACGTCACTCTGCTCCCTTCGTTGACGAAGACCAACCTATTCGTACATTCAGACGCTTGCTCTGATCCTCGCAGCGCTTGCCCTCAGTCAGAGACCAGCCTTTGGACCGGATTGGCAGGTACATGGTCTTGGATGAACAGTACTCTATTCGACGCTTCAACCTGGGACCCCTCGCTCAAGCCATTGAATTTGTCCGGTCAAGCAAGCTACATCAGCGATAGGATTACATTGAAAGGTCCAGGGGATGGCAATCCCTACCTTGATTTCACTGCCAACGCTGTCGACCAAGACATCAACGTCAACTATCCCTCGGCGGACGCATGGTACACTCTGAACACAGGCTTCTTCTCGCTGTATGGAGAAGATAAACATGTTGACTACGTATCAGTCAATGGAAGCGATATTTCGCTTAACACTACTTTACCGTTGGCATGCTCACAAGACGCCATCCCTTCTTCCTTCTACGGTCTGCATCTCGGCTCTGCTTCGTCCAAGACTCCGGTGCCAGGAAGTCTAGTACTTGGTGGGTACGATAAGTCAAGGTGTCTTACAACCCCAATAGTCTCAGATACAGACACTTTCGTCTTGACAGATATAAATATTGGTGTTGCAGACGGTGCCTCGCCTTTCCCTGCAGATACACGCCTACCGGTGCGCAACCTACTCGACAGTGGTGGATCAGGGAAATTGAGAATCTACCCCAATCCAGGTGTACCATATCTTTATCTACCTTCAGAAACTTGCAACACGATTTCGGAGCATCTGCCCGTAACATTCAACAAGACTTTGGGTCTCTATCTCTGGAACACGTCGGCACCGTCATTTGAAGATATCATGACTTCACCCTCCTACCTCTCCTTCAACTTCAGCACAGACTCCTCCACAAGCACGGTTTACATACCCTTCGCACTCTTGAACTTGACCCTGGAATGGCCTCTCGTGGACTTCCCAACTCAATTCTTCCCTTGCTCGCCATACGAACCTTCGGATGGTAGATATCATCTTGGTCGTGCATTTCTGCAAGGGGCTTTTATGGCCCAAGATTGGAAATCCGGCAAGTTGATGCTTGCTCAAGCGCCAGGACCGGACTTGGCAGATGTGTCTCTGGTCACGATCTCTTCTAATGACACTTCAGTATCTCCAATGGTCAAGGCGCCGTCTTGGAACGTCACTTGGGCATCTAAGCTGAAGGCTTTAGAGCGCGGAACGGCTTCTACTCCATTGGGGGGAAACACCGCCACTACCGGTGCGTCTCATTTGTCCTCTGGGTCCATAGCAGGTATTGTAGTTGGCATTGTTGGTGGGTTGTCGTTGCTCGCGGGGTTGATCTGGGCATGGCACCGACGACAAAAGGCAGCATCCGTCCGAAATGACGACGAGAAGAGATATTCAAGGCACTGGGAATTAGACGAATCAAATTCTGGGTCTTCGTCACTGCCTTCAGAGGTATGGGCGCCAGGGAAGCATGGGCTAACGATGAGTCCTGTCGAGATGGATGCGGCCGATGTTAACGAACTGGATGGCGGATCGATGCAGACTGATAAATGGAACGAAGGTCGGAAGTGAAATCTAATTTGTTCCGGCTCTCGTACGCGCAAGTCAGAGTCCCACAGCTCAACACAAAACCAATCTCTCAGCTTCATGTCCCTTGCCTCTTTACGGCTTAGTCTTCCACGTCAGAAGGTCGCATTCAAAAACCTTCCATTGTGCTTATGCGCCTCAGAAGCAAATTGGCGCCGCACGCCATCCAGTAACGATTCTCTATCTCAGCGGCTCGCTGTAAAGGCTAGGTGTCTTCCAACCTCTCTCAAAAACACTATGCCACACTTAACAACCTCCCGCACTGGCATATCCTGAACCGACATCTCCTAACCCGACTTCCTCCGAACCGCTGTTCTCTGAATCGACATTTCATGGATTTGCCTCTCCTGTACTTGTAGCAGAACCTGTAGTGGAAAAAAAGGAGAGCGAACACGACAAGATACAAGAGGAAAAGAAAATAAGAAAGACAGCCCAAAAGGAGAGACGACGCGTTGGAAAAGAAGCGAAGCGACGTAGGTCACAGACAGAAAAGGGCCAGCACCTGATGGTAAAAAGGGAGAAAGGAGTAGGAGCATGAAGAGTAACGACAGGGGGCGCGCGAGGAAGGAGATAGAGAGGATTCGGTTAAGGGAGGAGAAAGAGTATAGAGAGAAGGAAGAGACAAGGCAACAGAAGAAGTCGGCAAGGAAACACAAGAATCTAGCAACAAAAGACGATAATATTGCGAATCAAAGGCCACAAGTCCTCACTGAACCACAAGGCAGTTAGAATGATCGAGATGTCAGAAGAAAAAATGCCAAAACATTGGGCCCTGCCGGTATTCGAAACCGGGACCTCCCCCATAAAGACTGACTTTGGAAGCCAGGTATAACCCGAAGGGGGAATCGTACCACTAGACCACAGGGCCTCAATTATGGAACAATGGGAAATTATTCGGTGTATGAATTACTCTTGCATCCTACTGGCGGGGCTTAGTATGCTTGAGTGCGCGGCGGTTCTTCGAAGGATCGTCCAGACTTCGTACTCACTCGAGTCATCAAGCGACTCCAACAACGCGTAACTACACGCAACGCAAGATTGAAGTCGACCACTTCGAAATTCGCCAGCGTCACTTTCGCATGAGTGAAGCAAAAAGAGAATTCAATCCATCGCCACCATTCCCCTCGTCTCCTTTCGCTGGACCCTGACCTTATGCGTTGGCTTCGGCGTCGGCTTTTGCAAAGTGCCGAGCATCCGACGCTCAAGCTTTCCTTGGCATCAAAAAAATTCTTCGTCCCATTTTTCCACCTCAACCATTTCGAGAGGTGTAAGAATGCAAAAAAGAAACAGACAGCGTGTTTGTATAGGAATAGCCGAAGGCGGGGCTCGAACCCGCGACCTTGAGGTTGAACTTTATCGATTGATAAGAGCCACACGCTCTACCGATTGAGCTACCCCGGCAGGTCTGATGATCTAGTTCACTGTGTGAACTGGCTGCTGACTGATGGAAGCTGGATGCAACTTGTGGGTATATGTACTCTTGAGGTATCGCTTAACCCTGGTTATGACCTTGTCGACATCTCTCGAAAGATTGAGAAGCAGATATGCCCCTTAAGACTTTCTACCAACATCGCTAAAGCAAAGTGTGCACTCGATTGTGTCTCTCGGCGTACTGTAAGCAGTTCACTGAAATCATGTCCTTTGACCACTGTGTTCACTCGTTTGCAACTACGTCAAGCCTGGAGTCTTTGTCCAAACACAATTTTGACATGACATTGTCCTTCTGGCACTTCAAAGACATCAAGAGATCATCCTATCTATAGCAACACCATGCTTCGACTGCTGCCTGAGCTCAGATAGCCTCTATTCGTCTCTTTCTCTCATGCAGAGGATATTTTCACTTTGAGCAGGGTGTCACCAGCAGCCAGATTCGCAGTTCAACACACCAAGAATCAGAAATTCTGCTACTCAATAATCAAGACTGCGCGTGTCTGGGGCCATCTCAGAGTCCTGGATGATCACTTACTCCCTGCAGAGCACTGGCTGTGGCGGATCGGATACAATATCAACAAAAATGGAACTTGATCGAATTCAGGGGTTTTGCTTTGACAACACACATCACCTTCGAATGGAGGATGTAGCAAAGAGAGCGTGGGTCCGCACAGCTGGGTAGTACTGCAGGTCTATGTTGATATTAGGTTATCGCTGACCATTCCAGAATCAGAGAGTCAGAGAATAGATTGTTTGGCAAATTCGGGTTTTCTTCGACAAAAAGATTTTATCCTTCACCATACAACAGAGCATGTACAAAGAGCACCTGGAGAGTTTGACACTACTGCAGGAGCCAGGCTGCTACAAGTCATTAGCAGACTATTTAAGATCGTACGATGGTGGTATGGTTGGATTATGTATACATTATGAGCAAGAAGCAATTACAAAAGCAATTTCGTATCAGTCGTGAGACGCGTCTTTGTCTACAGTATCACCTCAGTCCAGGGGAAAGGTTCTCCACGTTCCCTTATCTCAGCAACTTCTCCACATCACCCAGTCTTGATGTCTTGTTACGACCTCTCTTGCTGTCCTTCTCCTGGAAGGCCATCATCATGAGCTTACGTTTCTCCGCTTGGATATCAAGAGTACGCTCTTCGATACTGCCTTCCATGACAAGACGGAAGACACTAGTCTTCTTCTTCTGTCCTAGACGGTGCACACGATCAACAGCCTGATCTTCAATAGCAGGAGCCCACCAGCTGTCAGATAGGATGACCTGGTTGGCGGCAACGAGGTTCAAACCAACGCTGCACACACCCAGACTGGCCAACATGATTGTACAGTCAGGGTCTTCCTCGAGTGCGTGCAATGCTTTGTCACGAAGTCCGGCTGACATGGTACCGTCAAGGCGGCAGTATTTGAAGCCCTCACGATCCAGTCTAGCTTGGACGATATCGAGGAATTTGGTCTATCAGAACCCCGTTAGCAGATGCGCAATTTCGACATTCTCAGAACGACATACCCATTGAGAAAAGACGACAGTCTTGTTGCTTGTACCCTTGGAGGCCTTGAGGATGTCGATGAGCGCTTCAAGCTTTGTGCTGCTAGCATCAAAGTCGATTGACTCATCCTTGGCCTCATCACCAAAGTCATTGGTTGGTTGCACAAGGATTGAGTTGTCCTTGAGCTCTGCACGACACATGGGACACTTCTTTTGTGTCTCAATGACACGCTCAATACACTCCCTACCGAACACATGAGCGCAAGGAGTGATGACAGGACTGTGTAGATCATCAAGGCAGATCGGACATTCTTCCTGCGATTGAATGCTCAATGATAGCACATCTTGCAGAGCCTTGAGATTTTCCGGAGTCAATTCGACAACCTTCTGCTTCTGGATCTGCTCCATGAGATTGGTTACACGCTCAGAACACATCTGCCAATGGTTGCAGACTTGACGGAGACGAAGAAGAATCTGGAAAGGCGCGTTAGTGAATATATTCGACGGTTGCAGGTGAAACACAACAACATACCTCCAACAGATAGCGATATGTTTCTGACGCCTTTTGACCCTCGACCTTGCGGTAGGACGACAAGGTACCCTGAGCTTCTTGGAACAACGCCATATATCTCTCCTTTTCCTTGTCTGCAAACTGAATACGATGAACGAACTCAGACAGTTCAGGCAGCTTGAGATCAATAAACTTCATCTCCTTGCGACGGCGCAAGCAGAATGCTGACATGATTGCCTGGAGAAGTGCCGTCGCACTCGAATCATTCGCCTTGATTGGACGAACAAGCACACTGTTGAACACTTCCAGCTTCTCCATGCCTCCAGTAATTCCAATAAAGCGGAGCAAGGAGTACAGGTCCTTGAGTGAGTTAATGATAGGCGTACCGGTCAATACCCAGCGTGAGCGCGCAATTACCGCGGTGACAGCACTGGCACCTTTGCTGCTTGGGTTGCGAATGTTGTGCCCTTCATCGAGGATGACACGTCTCCAGCGGACAGAATACAAGCCTTTGGACTTGGGTGGCTGTCCGCCTGAAGCCCAGTCACTTGCAAGAGTCTGATAGGTGGTAATGACGACATCGTACTGAGAAAAGTCTTCAGGACTCATCGATTTCTTTCCTGCCCCGTGGTAGGTGTATACGCGTAATGGCTGGTCCTTGCGTACATGCCTTGCAATCTGGTGTTGGTCACTTGTCAGCGTTCAACATTCGTAAACATTCTACAAGTAACTCACCTGATCACTCCAGTTTGACATGACCGACAAAGGTGCAACGATCAAGGTAGCACCGAGTTCGCCTTGCTGACTCGGCGAAAAGTCTTCGAGATCTGACACCAAGAGTGAGATCATCTCCAGCGTCTTTCCAAGACCCATGTCATCAGCAAGGATACCGCCACTGGCAAGAACAGGCTCTTTGTCCTTAATGGAGAAGTTGGTTGCAATGTTTGTGAACGCGTTAGGGTAGCGCTCATGTCTACGCCAGAGTTGTACAAACTCTTTGGAACCCTTGGCAGGAACCTTGGGGTTCTCCTTGTCAAGCATCCATGCCAGTGCTTGTAGCTGGTATGGAAGCATATTTGTAGCAAGACGTACAGGTTGCTTGGCTTTGGGCATGGCTGCAAGGTCATCTTCGGATGTACCGAATTGTTCAGCGGCACGGCTGACATCTCTTGGGTTGAAGCGTTCACTACCACTGATAATGTCTTGCATAGTCTGCTCCTGCGAGCTAGCACCAAGACCAGGTGCTTGGGACGATTTGAATTGAGAGTTGGCGGCAATCTTTCTTTCGGCCGTTTGCTGCATCTTTTTCTGGTCGCGCTCGAACCTACTAATGTCCTGAGTGGGTAACCTGTCAACCATCATGCGTTCGCGTACTTCTTCGCTCAAAGGTGAGCTCAAAGGAGGTCCGAAGAGGTTCATTGTGATGGGACAGTCGTATTGACCGATTTCTCCAGAAAGCGATCCTTCCAGAAGAAGCCAGCCGTTGTCGATGTACTTTGCGAGTTTGGCTGCCATGTTTCTGAAAATTGACTGTTCAGTATACTGCTCGGAGATCTTGGCAGTATTTTCGCGGTCTGCTGCTTACCGTCCAATGTGACCGATTTGTTCGTTCATCATGTTATCAATTCGTACTTGGAGAGATTAGTATACGACCTGCAATAAGTTGTACCTTGATGACTTACTGGCATTGGGATCATACGGGTTGCTTGGTTCTCGCTTGATGGTAATTCTCTCTCCTACAGTCGCAAAACCTGTGTAGAATCGAACACCAACGATTTTGGTGTCCACAGTACCATATTTCTGGTATTGTTCGTAAGCTGCAGGAACGTTCTGGGAAGATGCTACATTCTCGAAGATGTCATTGTCTTCTTCTTGAAGCCAAGCATCGCGTTCAGCCTGGCTGTGCTGAGTTGGCGGAGTCCACGGTGGAACATAAGCTGAGCGATTTCCTTGCGAAGGGCTGGGTTGAGTCCATGAAGGGGTACGACCATACTGTCTGCTTCTAGCAGCAGAAGAACTTGGGCCGGCCGAGCTCTGTGAATGTGTAGGTGTTCGCGTAGAAGAAGTGCGCGGCGTCTTCGGAGCCGGACGCGTCTCGGCGCTGTCGCCGGTGAGGTCAATCACGTCGCTAGAACGTTTACGCTTAGAGGCATCAGAAGGTTGCCCTTGCTTTCCTCCGTTAGGCGCCATCCAAGGAATGGATCTAGGCATCTTGCACAATTCCTTGTACGCAGATTGTGCCGATTGTCGAACGCGATGGGATAAAAGTTGGTGTCGCGCGGAGGGCGGGCCCGAGAGCTTCACAATTGTTGAAGCCAAGAAGCACACCCAGACTCGGATACCCCGCACTAGTCTGTATAAGGAAAGAAGGCTGTGTGAGTAGCACGATGGAACATTATTGGTAATTCTGATCAACTCTCTATATACATGCATATGCTGTGCAAAGATCAAGCCGCACCCCTGGTGGTTGGTATCATTCGAGAAAAGAAAGGAAGAAAAAAGGAAAGGTCGTGATGTCAAATCAGTACCGAGCCCGCGGTGGCCAGCCCACACTCCGAACTCCGTCCAAACTCCCGCTTTTAGTGAAAACAAATGCTTATGTTCAAACGCCTTGCACAGATGCAGCAGCGATCAAACCCATCAAAGCCGAGCTGTGAGTTGATGCATCGGCCTTATCGAATGGTCCGGACCATTTGAGACCAAGACGATTCTGCGAGTCGCGGTCGTTCTTCCAGATGCTTTGGGCATTGATCTCGAGGAACTGCTTCAGGCCATGGTCTGAAGTGGCAGTGTACAGCTGCGAAATTTGTTGCATGAATATGCCCTTGAACTGCGATACATCGCCTCCACATCCTTTCTCGCAAGTTTCGTGCAAGATACCGTTGCTGTCGGTGAGTTGATAGATGGCAGCATACGCTATATCTTTGGCGGTGTGAATGTATGAATCGTCGAAGCTTGCTTTGGAAAGCTCAACGAGTCCTCCGAGAATGACACCTTGATTATAGGACCAGACAGTGTAACCGTTGTTCTTGCAAGAGCCGTCCAGTCCGTCGTTGATGGTCTTGTTCTCATTGATCATTCCAGACTGCTCGAACCATTTCCATTCCTTAACCGCCCAGTTGAGATACTTGATATCCCACGTCCGACGAGCAAGGTGAGCAGCGACGCTTAGAAACAACTCGTTGGCTATGGCGTTGACGTATGTCTTGTCTTTATCCCACCAGATTCCGCCATTGCACTTTGTTGTCCAGCCTTTGGCCATGTCGTCGAAGAGCTGTTCTGCAGCGTCGAGGTAGAGTTGGTTATGTGTCAAGTCGTATGCTTTGATCCATAGCAAAGCCCACCAGCCTTCGTCGTCGTAGAAGTCACTTTTCGTTGTCATGACATCCTTGTTGATCTCAAAAGTGTTGTGGAGTGTGTCAAGGAAGTCGGATTTTGGGTCGACCGCTTGCATCTCGGCAAGAGCAGTAAGACACTCGGCACTGTTCCACCAGCCTGTGCCATTGAACACTCCGGTATCCTGGTTGTACCAGTGCATCAAAGCATCGGAGCCGGACTTTGCGTGAGAGAGATAGTCGTAAGCATGAGTGCCTTGGGAGAAGAGAGCGGTGCCGAAGAGCGGTAAAAAGTAATTGGACAGCCGGACCATGATTGAATTTGTAGTATTTTGTGTTGAGATACAGAGACAATGGAGAGCGAGTGTTTGAGGAGGTTAAGTATGCGCCTGGGAAGATTCTTATAACTTGTTTCGAGGGAATCGAAGGAGTGACATAGCTGTGTGGTCCGGCCCAGCCACACTATTCTGGTCAGTTTGACGATCAACACAATGGCGGTCGACCAAAAATAAAGAAGCTATAGCAACATTAGGCGGTGCTTCACACAGATAGTTCGCCTTGGCTGTTACAGCATACCTGATTCTGAAATGGTTCGCGCAGGTGAGACGGTGACAGCCGGCTAGCAAGATTCGAAGGACAAGGCATGGCTTAGGCTGTTCCAGGCGACTTTCCGACTCGACGTAGGTACTTGCTGGCCGTCACTTGGAATCAGTCCACCGATAGTCGAACATCGTATTTTTCTGTACTGCAAGTCTGCAATAGACCTTGTGATGGTTCCAAGTGGCTTGGTTGATGCATTTCTGACCCACATGGTATGCTGTGTCTCCATGATTCAGTCCCTCGAATGCTTTGACTCGATTTCTGCTACGACGTGCCCACTGCCGAAAGGACCGGTAGATCATCCAAAACCATGGAGGGCGACCCTCAGCGGGACAGCCAAATTCGAAGCGACGGAGAGCGGAGAGCAGAGTCAGTGCACTCGTTGTCCGAATGCGTCCAAGGCAGTCCTATTGCAATCCCGGCACACAGATCCGTTGTCGCAAAAGGCGCGATGTTGCCATCGCCTGTTTTTTGAAACACGCAAAAGAGACAAGGCGATAGTGAGATGCGATGCGATAAGATGTTCTGATGGCAGTGCTCAGCAGCTTACTATCTGTCATCACCGCAGCGCGTCATGAGGTTGGGCCATTGCGTGTGCGACGTAGATCAATTTCAGATCGTGCTCCTGCTAGATTGGTGATGTCTATCGGTTCATGGGAAGCACCATGGGTATGTTCACAAAACCGCACGTCGAGCAAGCATTTTGTGTCTTTTAAAAATAGGTCGGCTTCAAAGTGGCTCGGGCGAGTTTTGGTTCAGGAGAAATATTGGAGAGCAAGATGAAACCGCCAAGTCCTTGGATGCTTGAAGGTGAGGCTCTTCAACCCGGCAGGATCTCGGAAACAACCGCAGCTCTGCCTCAACTCTTCTGCGATGTCTGAATATCGTCTTTATGAACAGCAGTCAGATGTAGCCTCGACTGTATGCATGATCCTGCAACAATGCAGTGATACACATTACCCAACCGCATGGTGGCATCGGACAACGGCAGAAGCATGTGGACTTACCAGGTACTTTACTGGCTTCCTGCATTCTGCACGACTTGCACGAGGAACAGTCCGATCACCGAGTACTGGGAATTCAAAGTTACCTGACTTTTTGCTTATTGTGTGTAACATGGTCAGGCTGTCGTACTATCTGCAGAATCCCAAAATCTCTTGCAACTTCTATCCGGGTTGTGCTAATGGCCATTAATTTACTCTAAGGCGAGTACTGCAAGACTGATGCGTGTAATATAGTCCAACACAACGAAGCACATCACATCAACAGCACCAGTTGATCAGGTCTCGTGGTCTAGCGGTATGATACTCGCTTAGGGAGATTAGCTTCTGCTCTTCTTGAAAACTCTAAGCCAATTGCGAGTGGTCCCGGGTTCGATTCCCGGCGAGACCCCTTCTTTTGCTTGCTGTGGCATCGTTTTTGGTTGCAGAATGGAGTCTGGTGGAGTTTTGGAATATCTTGAGATTTTTGGTTCTGATGTGGGAATTTTGGGGTCCTGAGAAGGTAGAGAATCCTGAAAGCACCCGGCGTTGAGCGTACGGCGTGACTGGTCCTTGGCGCGGCATAATGTTGTTGCCATACTATGGAACACAGGAAAACAGGAGAAAGAGAACTTAGTCTCCCTCGAGAAAGGAATATTTGTTCATCAATGTTCAGGCTAGAAGGTGCAACGCGGATTCGAGAGCCTGACTTCAACTAGCCTTTCACCTCCTCCCCGTGTGCTAGATTCTGACACTTCGACTCTCAGGCCGCTGCGATGCGCATTGTTCTATACATCAAAATGCATAATGATTTTAGGGAAGAGGACGCCATCTACAGAGAGCGACTAACTATTCAACGCCCTCTCCTTGAACCCAGCTCTACATTCGAAGCTCATCGTGCATTTCAACAGCAGTACTAGTGACAAACTTTGTAGCACACGGGGAGGCTTCATTTATGAAGTTTGGCAGAAAACAACATGTCGTTAACACTAAGGATTCGCAACATTACTGCTTAACCGTTCGTTCATTCCTGTCTATTTCCTTAATGGTGTAAATGACGAGCATAAATTTCGATCACGGCTAACGCAAGCACTTGGATTCATGTTGGTGTATGAGAGTTGGTAATAGTAAATTGACAAGTTTAACATTAACAAAAAGTGGTAGAAGATACAATATATACACGAAAAAGCCCACAAAGTAAAGTCGTCTCAGAAAAATGTTGACTGGGACAAAAGAGAGTAAGAAGTGAAAAAAGAGGAGAGCGATATCAGGTGGGACAACAGATATCGCTTCCAAGACCTTGATATAAGGCAAAGAATAGAAGAGTTACCGTGGTCTCGTCAACCGAGAAGCACCACCACATCAACAATCGACGGACATGATGTGATGCAAGGCAGAAGAACGGCGGCATGAAAGTGCAGATTTGGCCTCCAAATGGCGACGAGAAATCCGATGTTAGATACAGCTTGCGCGAGCGCGGCTCAGCATTTGAAAATTGGACGTCGAGTTTGAGAGAGGTTGGAAAACTCTCTTAACGTCGCAAGTGGTGAAAGTAACGCGTCTAGTTGGAGAAGACGAAGTAAGCAGTTCCAGAGGATACGGAAACCTTTTAACAATGTCAGTAAAGAATCAAGGGCAAAATCGTATAAGCTGAACTTACAGTGCATCCAGAGGAGGAACTGCAAGAGTCGTAGTTCTTGCCACTGCAGTACTGTCCATTCTGGTATCTGCAGTAACCGTTCATGTTGTCACCCTCAATGGTGATGGTGAAGTCGAGCTTTTCGTTGGTGGTAGGAGCGTTCTGGAAGATTGCGAGCCATGCAGCACCGTTGGAGTAGCCGACACCAAGGTTGAGAGGAGCGTAGTTGCCCCAAGGGTTGGCAGAAGAACCCCATTGGCAGCCGTCTTCGGCGGAGACACCGGCAGGGTTGACGTAGTACTGAGCAGAGGTGGTCTTGCCAGTCCATTCGTAGTAGGTGGCATCGGGACAGGTCAGGTTAGCAACGCTGCCAGGGTTGGCAGTGACGGGAACAGTCTCGCTCTCGGTACCGGGGTAGTCGGTACGGCAGACAGCGGCGCTGGTGGACATCTCGTTGCGAACAAGAACAGTAACCTCAGAGGAACCAGTGATACAAAGGGTCTTGTAGTTGGGGTTGGTCTTGTGGAGCTTGCCGTTCTTGCAGAGAAGTCCACCGACAGACTGACCGGTCAAGCCCTGGGTAGTGGGCCAGTGGGCCTTTTGGTAACCAGCAGGGCAGGCGTACGAGCAGTACATGCCCTCGGAGCAGCAGTTGGTGCCACCGCAGTTTGACTTGGTAACGGTCTCAATGTTGGTGAGTCCAAGAAGGGAGCTTCCAGAGCCAGGGGATTGGATACCGGTCCAGCCACCGAGGCCGAGGTAGTTGAGAGAAACAGCACCGTAGTCCGAAGGGAAGTCGGAGCAGTCAATCTCACCATCGGGGAAGGTGGTGTCAAGACCAGCTGCGGAGGAAGAGGCGGCAGACGAGGTTGCGCTCTGCTTGGAAGACGAAACACTGGTGCTGGTCGAGAAGCTGGTCGAGCTGGACGAGGATGAATAGCTAGACGAGGTCGAGGTGAGGAAGGTGGTGCTGGCGGCAGCAACGGCAGACGAGGTAGAAGCAACGACCGAGGACGAGGGGTCGGCCAGGGAGGGAGCACCGTTGGCCCAGACGAGGGTGCCGTTCTTGATACCCTCGAGAACATCGTTCTCGGAGATGATGTTGCCATTGAGCGAGTACATGACGACCGTGGGTCCAGCGACGAAGACGTCGACGTTCTCGGTTGCGGTGGCATCATCACGCTTCATCTCCTGGTGGTGCTGGTGGTGAGCATGGTGGTTGTGGCGAGGCACGGCGGCGGCCAGGCCAAAGGCGGCCGAGAGAATGACGAGTGAAGACTTCATTGTCGGTCAGGTTAAGAATGCGATCCGGAGTAGTTGGTGTAAGGTGACTTTTCGGGGAAGGAATGCGATAATCGAGGCGGTTCGGTTTAAGCGAGTGACTGTCGTAGGGCTCCAAAAGAGTGGATAGAAGCAAAGGCTTCTGCTGGGATGTTGGTGATGACCGGGTGTCGAGTGTTGAATGCTACAGCATGTAGGTGGGCGGCGCAAAGGTCGAAAGGAAGGAGGAGGGCGAAGTGGAAAGGACGACCCGAACTATGTAAAATGATCCTGCCCGTTGTACTTTGGAGGCTTGCCGTAAAGGAGTCAAGTTCGCGTGCCTGCCAAGGCAATCTCGCGCCAGTGAGCCTACCTCACACTATTCCGCGCCGTCGTCAACCATGGCGTGTGTTGTAAACTGCTGCCGGAAGTCTAGAATGCTACTGCCGTCCGACTCTGGCAGGTCCATTTCAATCACCAGATGCTCATTCACCCGAGTATCTTGATTCTTTACACTTCGCGGTCCCTGTTCCAGCCTCTTTAAAGCAATGGACAATCACCCAATCTCGTCTGGTAGCCATCTCATCTGGCAGCTCAATGGCGCCAACAACGATTTGTCGGCCAGGAAATGGCAACACTCATGAACCGAGGACAACCAAAATTCGTCAAATTTCCCCATGCATGTTTGTTGGTCCGGCCGTTAGCGGTGCAAAAGCCAATGATCGACCGTCAACACACAGACTCTCTTGATTCGCGCAAGGTCCCACCCATTTTTGTTCCTTACCCTGCAGCTCGTGCAGCTCTTATGCGAACATGCAAATCGCCCTTGACACTCCGAACCTTCCGCCATGCAGACAACCGAAGCGTCTTCACACGTTGAGAAAGCATGTGACCAGCCAAGGACGGTGCCGTGGTCGATACTCGGGCCTATGAATTCTCATGTTTGTTGAGAGCGCCTACAAGGAATGCGAGTCCCTTGGCGCCGGGTACATGGAGGCATGCGACCGAAAGAACAACAAAAACAACAACTGAACCGTCGTCCTCGAAGATGCTGGCTCCTGGGCGTTTCGTGAGGGGAAACAATGCTGCTTGTGGACGTTGCAATCTCCCAATTCCTGCCGTCCTTTCCATCTGATCTTGCCGCTCGGATAAGATTAGGGCTACGACTACAAATATGCTCGCAATGTCATGTCTCTATATAATGGTCTGGGGAAACGTGTATAGCAATCTATACATGCCATAGCCGCGTCATTGTCTGGCCTCTGGTGGTGCGAATCCCTCGCATCATCTCATGTTCGAGATTGACGCACGTCTGATCATTGATCGATATCCTGAGATTATCGTATTGAGCACATTTCGCAGTAGTAACGTCGTGTTGAGCATGTTTCAAGCTCTTAGCGTCTCAGAAGGCTTTCAAAGTGGACACTACGATGACCAGGAGAGTGGCTAAACAGTGCTATCTGTAGTCAACGAGAGTGGAAGTGATTCGGCATCTCTTGTCAGTACCAGTCTTTGGTCAGGACTGTAAGACCTGGGTGTACGACCAAACATTCTGTCCGGATTTGCCAAAACCTTCGGCGAGAGTTTTTGAGCGACAGTGTTAGCGACAGGCGCGGCTGTCGGGCCGAACGAAAGTTAACCTCGTAGTCGACTTCCGATGCTCTGAGACAGTAGGTGGGTCAAGGCGATAGTAACTTTAGGCGAGCGAATCTGCTCCACTCGACATAAAATTGTGCGCTGGGTGATCTTTGGTTGGCAACACTGATATCGAAATCGTGAAGAACCACATACATGTACTCTCTAGCTACTTGACTGTATGTACTTTGTGATCTGCGCCGACAGATGGTCCTTTGGTGAGAGCGGCTTAGGAAAGCTCGATGTTTGGATCCTTGAGATGTCTGTTTGCCGCCAGCATAACCCTGGTTGTCAAGCATACATGCTCTAGCAACATGGGTATGGAATCTATCTGCGTTTCTCTCATGCTAGAAGACTTCGAGTCTACGTAACTATACACTCTGCATTTTGTTTACTTTATATGTGTCATGCTTGCCGATTTGAGCTAAGCTTATTCAAGTCGTGGTTTTCTTCCCACATTCTCATACTTGTGAGCCGCAGTCTCGAAGAAGCGATCGGAAAAACAATAAAATACACCATATATTCGAGAGTTCAGGGCGGATATAATTGCAAAACCGTCAACATATGCATCAGCACTGGATGATCCATCCGCAGGCATATGGATCCAGATAGAAGACGGTAGAGAGCACAAAAAGAACTCTCAGCATTCTCAAATGCTGATTCCCTCGAAACTGGTGTCACCCTGGCAGTAACGGCTAAAGATGCAATATGCCAAGACAGCATTTTTGTGGATCTTCCTATTCCTCTCTTGCAGAAACAACTCAAAACTGTCTGAACAGCAGTAGACAGTGTACAGAGCAAAAAATATCGCGTGCAATGGGTGACATTGTGCGAAAGAGCGAGTTTCGGGCAAAAGTTCAAAAAGATGCATCGCCCGACCAGAGGCTCGAACTCTGAACCTTGAGATCTCTAAGATAAAAGTCTCACGCGCTGACCAATTGTGCCAGCCGGGCAAAGATAAGATGATACATCTTAGCTGTAATATATCTCTCACAAACCTCACACCACTCGCAATGCCACCGTTCGCACGCATCAAATTTCTGGGATGGACTTGTGAATTATGACCGCAAAACCTCAAGACTGCATCGTTCGATTCTGACTTATACTCTGCCGGTAGGAAGAGAGGTGAAAGCAGTTGGAGCTAAAATTAGACCCCACCGAGTGTTGATGCGTTGGCTGGAGGATTCGTGACACAAAAGGAAGGCGGGGATGTATGTCGACACCTTCCCCTCTCGGCACGTCAGATCCTCCTCGATCTTATAAGCAGCTGATGTACCAAAGTCGTCTTTTACACCACCTCTTTAGAATCCGAGTTCGCGCATATTTCACATACTTACCTGACTGCACAAATATTCCTCGCAACCTTCGGCGATATGACGTTCTACCAAGCACTAGAGTTCCATGATGGCGAGAAGTTGATGCAAAAGAAGCTGCACGTACCAGGACTTGACAACCCTACTGTACCGATGCTATCACCCCAAGCGGCGAATATGCTCCAACGAGCTCCATTACTGGCGTTCGGCACGTTGGACCCGGAAGGACGACCTTGGACAACTGTATGGGGAGGCAACACCGGGTTTTCGAAACCACTCGGTAACAACATGATTGGGATCCGGACGTCTGTTGCGGCGAAGCTGGACCCCGTGGTAGAATTTCTGGTAGGTTCAGACGCCAAGGGTGAAGTAGTGAAGGAAGAGGGAGAAGGAAGGTTGCTTAGCGGACTGGCCATAGACTTAGGAACGAGGAAGAGAGTCAAACTTGCAGGCAAGATGGTGGCGGGTATGCTTGGTAGCGAAGACAGCGACGAGAGCATGGAGAATGTTCAGCAGGGAGTGCTACAGCTCGTCGCACATATCGATGAGAGCCTGGGTTTGTACAGGTCATTTGTGAACCACAAAGCGAAGGACTGACGAGATGCTAGGCAACTGTCCAAAGTATCTCAACAAGCGAGATATACATCCGGCAGCTACTGATCCCAAGCTCGTTTCCGACTCTGCGACGTTGGATCAAAAAGCCATGGATCTGATCCACAAGGTAGATCTCATGTTTCTCAGCACGAACAGCGGATCTCACATGGACACAAACCACAGAGGTGGTTCTCCAGGCTTCATACGATGTTTGCCTCAAGAAGGCGGTAACACACAATTTGTCTACCCAGAGTATTCTGGCAATCGGTTGTATCAGAGCTTAGGAAACATGATTCTGGAACCCAAAGCTGGCTTCTGTTTTCCAGACTTCGAGACGGGCGACTGTCTCTTCGTGACCGGAACCACAGAGATACTCTTCGGAAAGGACGCCGCAGAGATCATGCCCCGCTCAAATTTGGCAGTCCGAGTAACAATCACTGCAGCGAGACATGTAGCATCCGTACTCCCATTCCGAGGAGACACTGGTGAATTCTCTCCGTACAATCCGGTTGTGAGGTACCTTGCCACTGAGCAGGCTGCTTCAAGAGCAGATACCTTGAATCAAAACCAGATCACAGCAAAACTTCTCGAACAGACAACACTCACTCCGACAATCTCGCGATTTCGATTTAGCCTGTCAAACGCCGCCACCTTCAAAGCCGGTCAGTATGTTACCATTGACGCTTCCGAGCACCTGGACTTTGGTTACAGTCACATGCGAGACGACGACCCCCGCAGTTTGAACGACGACTTCGTCCGCACCTTCACCGTATCATCGCCGCCTGGTCTGCCACCCCATCCAAGCAAACGCCTCGCAGATGACGAGTTTGAGATCACAATACGCAAAGTCGGTGTCGTAACCGATCTTCTGTTTAAACATGGATTGAAAAAGGGAGCAGAGTTTGAGGTTGGGATCAAAGGTTTCGGAGGAGAGTTTGTGGTAGAGCAGACTGAGGAAAAGCCAGTCGTTGCATTCATCGCTGCTGGTGTAGGCATTACGCCATTGATGCCTTGCCTGACTTCGCTAGAATTGGGGTCGCTCCGGTTGCTCTGGACGTTACGTGCGGCAGATATCGGCCTTGCGCTCGATATGATCGAGAACGCGCAGGAACTGGCTCGAAGTCTCACTCTGTTCGTCACTGGAATGGATTTCGCATCCGATGATGATAAAAGATCGCTCAAGAACGTTGAGGAACATGGTGTGCGGATTGAGTATCGGCGTATGGAGAAAGGCGATCTCGAGCGGTTGATACCAGAGGTCAGAAGATGGTATATCTGTACAGGCACGGGCCAGAGAAGTGCTGTCTTGCAGTGGTTGAGCGGTCAAGAAGTGCTTTATGAAGATTACAACTTCTGAATTAGCAGGGAGAAACATTCAAATAAATCATTGCTCATCCCAGACTTTCCAGACCAAACGCTCTCCACTGACCGTACCACTTCTCATGATATCTAGGGCCTTCTGTGCTCTAGTCAGAAGATCATCACCCTGAATCTCCCTGTACTGATTAGGTTGAACCGCACCCTGGGCCAACATGCCACCCAAGATCTCTGGCATAAGATTATCTCGCAAGAATGCGTTCTGCAAAATGGCAAGTTAGCAAAATCGGAGTTGAAACCGGCAGGACACTTACGGCTTCGTATGCATAGACTGCCACGCCTTGAACCTTGACATTCGTTGCCCACTCGGCCTCGCCTTGAACGTCGAATGAGATGGCCAGTTCAGTCTCTGGCTGCTGCGGGTCCGGACTGCTGACGACGACGGGGAGTAAGGCCGCAACCGTCGAGCCGGACTTTGTGACAATCTTTGATAGCGGGATCAAAGACCCGGTCTTCGAGTCCACGCAATCAAAGGCGCGAATGCTTGCAGAACTGTCTTGTTCGCTGAGGATGCTTCGGATAGTATTAATAGCCGTGGCAGTATCCCGATAGTCCACCACATGCCTGGCCCCAAGTGATAGTAGCTTGTCTTGATGCTTAGGCGAAGCTACAGCAATGACATTGGTGTAGCCCCAGTGCTTCAAGATTTGAAGAGCATATTGGCCGACTGAGGCTGCCGCGCCCCAGATGATGATAGGGGATTGTGCGTCCTCCGATGTCTCACGATTCACAAGAGGCCATGGTAATTTGACCCCAAGTTTCTCGGACAGAGTGAAGTAGGCTGTGCAGAAGTTGTTCGGCAAGGTCGATGCAGCGGCAGACGAAACATGAGCAGGGATCTATAGAGTCAGTGGAAGTTCCTGTATTATCCATGACGGGAGTCATACCTGGGCAAAGAGGTGCTCAGGTGCTGTCACAAAAACTTGCTGCGTCTTCTCCTGTTCGCTGTGGAATACAAAACCGCATACTCGATCGCCAATCTTGAATTTTTCGATGCCTTCTCCAATCTCGACAACGGTTCCGGATATGCTGTCACCAAGTCCATGAGGGTATTGGTTGATCATCAAGCCGGCGTCAACTTGATAAACATCCAGTGGTGCTTCCGGAACCCATTCCACACGGACACGAATCTCGTTTGCCTTGGGCGTGATGGTCGGAACTTGAGCGATGGTCAATGGCTGCTTTAGGTCGACCACCTGGATAGCTGAGTGAGAGGCCATCTTTGATTTTGTAGAATGTTCGTTGTTTGCTTGTTGATTGAGGCACCATGGGCTCTTCGAATATTTATTTCGTCAGTTGTGCAGAACCATCTAGACAACAGATATCTGCTTAGTTATGTTTCGGCCGAAGCTTTGACCAAAGAAGTTTGTCGGTCTTTGATTGTGAAAGAGTAAAGTCCGGGTCGCTTTATCGCATAATTTTCTCATACAAAGGTTGTCAGTAAGTGGATGTAAACCGGTCGATGTGAGGTTGGGGGTGTTGGTGAAACATCCTCTGGGATCTTCCCAAAGCTGCACGTTTTCTTGGGCATTGCATATGCGACACCCTGAGGGAGCAACGATGTATCTGTTGAAGTGTACCTCGTTGGTGATGTCGTCTCTTGAAAGCCTTATGGCGCTGTGATCAGAAATCTCTTAGCCACAAAATGTTTATGTGGCACGTTGAGGACCACGCGAAGTGCAACCTAAGTCGCATCGACTCTGACTGCGAGACTTACTTTCAGGCTCTAGTGCATCTAAGTTGTAACATGCTCCAACTCTGCACTGCAAGAAAGTTAATGGATTGAGATCAATGCCGGTTCCTGGAAAGTAGATTTTCAAGACGACCGCCATCAATCAGCAAGCTGATGCTCCAGCGATGGCGAGATGTGGCTCTGGTGTTGTCTATTGTGTGATCTCAATACTAAAGTATCTTTGAACTTGTAGTAAAAGTGGTGGTCTAGATGAGTGAATTCAGAAGGACGAGACCTCAGACCTCGCAAGAAGTCGCAGTGTTGTCGATCAGAAGAGGAAAATGGTGACATGTTCCATTGAGACGTTGGGCAGAAGTCGTCAGATCTACGAAAGCGAACGCAGTTTGACACGGAGGTCAGTCTCCGCACCGAGTCAGCAATTAATGACACCGGGGTATCTGGAGATAATTGATTGACGAGGAGGATTGACGGTGAGAGCCAAACCCTACATCTGTGAATCTAGGGTCCTGTTCGGTCACAGCAGTAAGGTCGCACAATTCAGACCGTCGCGGTATGTGCCTTTATCTGGCAAGAAACCATTGCGGACGACACCCCCTAGTTGAGTTGCGTACCAACCTTTGTATCCATCGCATTGCGTGACGCTTGCAATGAGATTGCGGATTTAGCAGGATCCATCGCGCAAGCAGACCAGCTACTTCGGTCTCGCTCTCGGTCCTGCATTATCCTAAAAGGATGTTACCAATCCCTGATAACGAACGCACGAAAGATAGAAAGATAGCAAATCTGAGAGGAACGAGTAGTGTGCGTCGTGCAAGGACACGCTTACGTTCTGTATCAGCTCCCATCATTACGCATGAGATGGCCAAGGCCCTAAACCCCAACAAGAATCATTCCACGACGACACGCTTGCCCTTTGTATAAGAGCGCCGATTAGTTATCATTCTGCGACCGTTTAGATTGCTGGTGCGCTCAGCATAGCCTTCTCGTACGAGACCCTCCCGGCACGGCAAGTGACATTCGCGATGCGATGCGCTGGCTGGCTGGAGATGCTGGACCAGCCCGAGACGCGGCTCTTTCGTACGTAGCATCAAGTAAAGTTCGCGATGGTAATATGTCCAGCTTCGTTGTTACAAGCTCGAGTCGGGTTGCTACCGGGTAGGTGAGGTAGTATTTACGAACTCCTCGCTCCTTCCTTTTTCCATATCTTTCCCTTCTTTCGACTTGCGTCAACTGTTACTTCGATAACCATCCAGCTTCTACCACGTCTGAAGACCACAACTCGGCCCTGAGGGAATATATCGTTGCCTTATCTTCTGCATCGACCGAAGCTCATAATCCGTCCAAGATGACACGAGATAGCCCTGTCTTCGGCGAAAGACTGCTGCCCACACTCATCGACGAGATCGCCACAACTACTCCGAACCGTGTCTATGCTTCAATTCCTAGAGACGATGCCGACATGTCCAATGGATTCAGAGATGTTACATATGCCGATTTCGCACGAGCGATCGATGAATTCGCATTCTGGCTGGTTTCAGCACTTGGAAGAGCCGATGGCACTTTTCCGACGTTCGCATACTTTGGTCCTAGGGATCTCGGATATGCTGTTGTAGTGGTAGCAGCAGCGAAGGTGGGCAGGAAGGTTTTGCTTGCTTCTCACCTTGCTTCGCCGGCCGCTCATTTGTTTCTCCTTGAATCACTCTCCTGTACAGATGTGGTATACGCCACAGAAATGGTGGCCTTGGCACAAGCACTTGGTTCGAGATACACGGCAGCAAGATACGTCAATGTGGAATCTCCTGGAACTAGTCTGGCCTGCGTGAAGTCTTCCTCCGTTTGGAAACGCTACGAGTACACGAAATCCTACTCGAAAGCACGTTTGGATCCTGTCATGGTGGTGCATACATCTGGAACGACAGGAATGCCCAAGCCCGTCATCTGGACTCATGATATGCTGGCTTGCGTGGACAGATTACACACTCTTCCGGGCAGTGCAGCGACGCAGGTGTCTGGTCAAAGCATCTATTGTGCACTACCTGTATTTCACACATCTGGCGTGACAGCCAGTCTACTCACACCCGTCTACCTCAACACGATCATCATCCTTGGACCCGCTGAAATTCGACCAGACAAGAACATTGTACTCGATGTACTACAGAATGCACCAGTCAGCGCGGCATCCTTCCCACCCAGCCTCTTGGAAGAACTAATCGCCGACCCCACATCCCGCAAGACACTCAAAGACCTCAAGAAGATTGTGTATGGAGGAGCCCCAGTAGCAGCTTGGGCGACCCGCATCATAGCTTCGGAGTTCAACGGCACAGTATCCTCAGCTCTCGGCAGCACGGAAGGAGGACTATGGCTCACCGGCGCTTCACCCGATCCAGCAGATCAAGGCTACTTCATGATCCACCCATTCATGTCTCCCGACTTCCAACACACAGACGCAGACCTATACGAGCTGGTAGTAAAACGCACTCCACAATCCGAAACATACACAAATTTCTTCCGCTGCATCGACAGCACGCCACCAAACCTAGCAGCACATTTAGGGTTCGACCACGAGAGTCCCATCACAGAGTTCCGAACAAAAGATCTCTTTTCACCACATCCAAACAAACCAGGACTCTGGCGATACAGATGCAGAAAGGACGATCTGGTGTTACTAAGTGGCGAAGTCAAAATGTACGCCGGCGCAATCGAAGAGGCCATTTCCGCACACCCGGCAATCGCAGCCGTAGTGGTAGGCGGTCAAAACCGTACACGACCATTTTTGCTCGTCGAGCCCGCCACACTTTTGGGTACAGATGAGAAGAAAGCGGCATTTGTGGATAGCATCTGGCCAGCAGTGGAAGCAGAGAACGAGAAACACTTCGAAGCTGCGAGATTGCAAAGGGAGTTGGTGGTTGTGGTTGGAGCTGAGAAGAAGATGATCAGGACGGCCAAGGGAAGTGTGGACCGCAAGGCAACATTATCTGTTTTTGAGGGGGAGATAGATGAGCTCTACAAGGTTTAGCAAAGTTAATGATAGACGTTTATGCCTTCATGTAGCAGCAGAGCCAAGGTCTCGCCATGAACTGGGGGGCGACAATGGTGAACTATGAGAAGAGCTTGTTGGGTGAGAACTGAGGTTAGCACAGTCACTGGATGAAAGATCGAAAGATGAGTGGGCAAGATTCGTGGTTCGGTGGGATGGTGTTATTCTTCCATTTACCCTTCCTTCTTGTAAGCCAACGCCGCGCGCCATGCATCAAAAGCCGTGCCTGATATGATTAAAATACAACCATCTTCTTTCCCTCATCTCCGCTGAAGGGGAGGAGATATTCCTTCGTCGTGAACACATGTAAAAACCGCAAAAGAGACAAACTGGACTCTCTAATCTCTCTTCAGAGGCAGATATCTCTCTTCAATTCCGTTCTTTGTGATGATCATCAACTGCAGACCGTCACCAACCTCAATGTGTCTCTCAGTGGCACTGGTGAAAGCGTCCACGACAATCTCTTCAACGTCCTTTTGAGGCAGGGGTTCAGGAACGCGGGGTTGCAGGGCGTGGCCCTCGCCGGAGCCGGGAATGTACTGGTTCTTGAAGTTGACCTGGTTGTCGAGGAAAGGCATGATCAAGCTCGAGGCAGCACCAGCGGCACGGCACTGTTCTCTTTCGTAGCTGCCTACAGGGTCGTAGGAGTAAAGGGCACCCTTGCCGTCGGCATCGATTCCACCAAGAATGGCGTGGACGTAGTAGGGGAAGAAACGCTTGTTGTAGAGGATGTGGGATAGACGCTGGGCGCAGGCGGAAACGGTCATGGGCTTGTTGTGGCGGTAGTGGTACATCTTGACGATGGTGTCGAGTTGCTCGGCCAGAGCATTGCCATCGGCGGCGAAACCAACGACGGACAGAACAATGCGGGCGCCCTCCTTCTCAGGGCCCTCGCCGCCGATGCGGAACAGCTTAGGGGCGTAGCGGGTGTTGATGTTGTAGCCGGAGGTGTGGCGGGTGTCACCAGCCATGATGGTGAAATCGGCACCTGAGATGCCGAGAGTGCTACCACCGTTGTCGGTGTATCTGCGATGAGGGTTAGAAGATAGCTAGATGGCGCAAATTATGGTGTAGGCGTACGGGTAGAAACCAGCATGTTGGCGAGGACCCGAGTTGACAGTGACTTGGGGCGCTTGCGAGAAGGAGTAGCCAGGCTGGCCGTTGGGAATGGCGACTGTCACTGAGGAGGCCATGGTTGTTGATGTGATGGGGCGGATGAAAAGTCGATGTTTCGTGGATGATTGTCAAGCTAGCTAGCTGTATGCTTCGTGCTTGGTGCTTCGTTCACCTCCGGAGCCTGGAGTGACGATGTTGGACGGCCTGCCCGTTCGCTCTTGGCAAAACTCCCGACCCGCCGCTCCGATGACGATCGCAAAAGATGGTTAAAATTTGGTTGATTGTTTGCATCAACTTGTCGAGGATAATTCAATTGCAAAGTATCTGTAGCTATTTCCTGCTTCAGAGATGAACAGTCTGCTGGAAGACCTAATTGTCCATCCTCAACACAAATTAGAAAAAGGTTGCGGTAGCACAATAGTAAGAAAGTGGCATGTTGTGTAAAGCAATCGACTGCCCCACGTGTATGCAGTTTCCGTTTCTCATCAGTCATAATACCGCGAGCCTCTCAATTGCGCCTTCCTCAATCACAACCCTCTCCCACTGATCTCTTCCTTACTGTACACGTCTCTCGCTCACCATGGATCTCGTCAACCAGTATGTCAAAGCGACTCTGCTTATTGTATCAACGCCGTCCTGACGCGACTTTCTCAGCCTCACCGACCGTCTCTTGTTCGCCGTGCCCAAGAGTATTTGACCCCTCATTGCCCCTCCATACTTGTCGCAATCCTCTGACTCTTTCGAACAGAGGGCCGTCTTCACCAAGCATGTATCGAACTTCTCCACGGTTCCGACATCCAGTTCCACAGACACTCGCGCCTCGACATTGCCCTCGTTAAGAACTTCCCCATCGCTCTCGTCTTCCTGCCCGCCGCCGACATCCCTACTTTCGTCTCAGAGGGTCGCGTTGACCTCGGTATCACTGGTCGCGACCAGGTCGCCGAGTACGAAGTCACTGAGCCCCCGACCGAGTCCACTGGTGTTGAAGAGGTTCTCGACCTGGACTTTGGCCGCTGCAAGCTTCAGATCCAAGTTCCCGAGAAGGGCGATTTCCAAGACCCAAAGTCTTTGGTCGGAAAGAACATCGTCACCAGCTTCACCAACCTCGCCGAGGTTTACTTCAGAGAGCTCGAGGGCAAGAAGGCAGGAGAGAAGTTGAGCACCCACATCAAGTATGTCGGTGGCAGTGTCGAGGCCGCTTGCGCGCTGGGCGTTGCAGACGGCATTGTCGACCTTGTTGGTGAGTTTGTCTATATGCTTGATTGACAGATTAGCGCTGATGTGGTACAGAATCCGGCGAGACTATGCGCGCAGCAGGCCTCAAGGCCATCTCGACTGTCCTCGAGACAACTGCTATTTTGATCCGCTCAAAGAAGCCCTCCAACCCTGACCTTGTCAACCTTATCGCAACAAGAATCCGTGGTGTCATCAGTAAGTCCTACCTTTCTGCTGTTGAAATTACAATTGCTAATCTCGTCGACCAGCCGCACAAAAGTTCGTTCTCTGCACTTACAACGTCCAGCGCAGCAACCTCGACCAAGCAGCCAAGATCACTCCTGGCAAGCGGGCACCCACCGTCAACAGCCTGGAAGAGGATGGCTGGGTCGCCGTCTCTGCCATGGTTGAGCGCAAGAAGATTGCCAACGCTATGGACGAGTTGACCGCCATTGGCGCCTGCGACATTCTTGTTACCAAGATCGAGAACTCGAGAACCATCTAGACGAGTTCGAGTCATGTTCTGTGTGGATGCATCATTACAAGTTAAGAATGGGAAAAGTCTCGTAGGAGTTATATCAGGGATATACACATGGGACAAGACCCACGAATAGAACGAAATCAAGTCATTTCATAATCAACATCCCATCATCTTTGTACCGGGTACAGAGCAGACATCAAGATGAAGTATGGAGCATGTCAAGAGGAAAAAAGGATAGGATTTTTTGAGACGGATAGCCCTAACGCTGAACGCAGCAGTAAACACCAAACTATGCCAGAAAAAGAAGCAACGACAACCTGATGCCTTGCAAATAGGTCGAAAAACAAAGATGGGATATAATTTGTGAGAAGAAAGACGTCAAGAAGAACGGAATCACTCGCTCTCCTCGGCAGCAACCTCCTCCTTGTGCTTCTTTGACTTTTTCTTCTTCTTTTCCGAAACCTCTTCCTCTCCATCCTCGTCGTGCTTCCTCTTCTTCTTTTCCTTCTTCTCCTTCTTCTCCTTTTTCTTTTGCTCCTCCTCTCCGGGCTCGTCGGGAGCAATGTAATCTTGTTGTCTGGCCTGTCTCTTCTCCTCCATCTTTTCGCGCATGGCGTCTTCCCTCCTTTGCTTTTCCTGTCTTTCCTTTGCTTGCTTGGACAAGAAGTACTCTCCACTCTCGATTTGCAAATCGACCTTGCTCTTCTCCTGTGCGGGCGGGAAAGGTGTGTAGGTCTTCTTGGTCTTGTCCGTGACATTGTGGGGGACGCGGCGTTTGCTCAAGTTGCGCTTCTTGAAATGAGGGAGGAAGCGATCCCAGTTTTCATTCGCCAGTTCCGGGTCCTTTGCCAATTCGCGCTTGATCATGAGTTCTTTGATGTGGTAGATTGGGTGGATGTTGTTCATGCAGTCCATGATTACGCGGCGCACTTCTTTTAATCCTTTGTAGCCTCCCATGGCCGAAACCGTGTTTCCTTGTACCAGGATGTAGCAGGATGTGAGGAGTTCGAGGGCTTTGAGGGTGCTGCCGTTGGGACCGAGGATACGTTGTCTTCTCTTGACGAAGCGCTCCTTGTTGCGCACCAGTCCTCTGATCTTGATGACGTCGCAAGCCATATCGTCCTGGAGGATCTTGACGGCTTGGGGCGCGGGAACGCTACGGGAGAGCAGCTTGATGAGGTCGCGAGCCTTCAGGACGGCGGCCGGGTCGTATGTCTTTCGTGTCGTCTTGACGGTCATGCTACCCTCGACCAAATCCAGAGTACAGGCGACTCCCATCTTTTCCAGCGAGCGCGTGATCAGCGGCCATGATGCCTTGAGGTAGGTTTCGCGGTATTTGGGGAAGAGGACGGAGAAGGAGGATTCCTCGCTGAAGGTGCCGCCCAGGTTGTCTTCGGGCTTGAATTCTTCGATCTGCGGGTTAGAGAAAGTCAGTCGTTGGTTTTTCTCGCAATCATATGATATGAAAGACAGAAAGAACTCACCTGCCACTTGTCGATATCTTCCGTATCCCACGGCTTTTCTACGTTATGTGTTGAAGGCATCTTTGCGGATGTGTGCAGTGAATGGCGGTAGGGAAAGGACGATCCTAGAATATTTTGTCGCCGCAAATTCCAGAAAGCAATCCATCGATCTGCGCTCGGCCTTGGCGTGTCAAAACCTGGGGAAATCACTTTCTACGGCCTCACCCCCGAAGCATCAGGACCATCGCCGCAATTGCTTGTTGAACACAATATTTCACCTGTTGGATGGGAGATAGAAATCTGCGAAGTCAAAGAAAACAGATGGCTCATGAAAAACTTTGCATAGGTATCTCTATTACCCTCTGCGCCTCTCCTCATTGTCCGAAATACTCCATGCTCCCTGTATATTTTGTGGTATACCTCTTCCGACTGTCTTTTTGTATTCTCGTCCTTCCAGCTTCGGCCTAAACTGCCATCACAATCGAGCTCTTCGAATCATGTGTGGTATATTTAAAGGTCGAACAGCTTCTTGAGCTCAGCGGCTGTGTCCTCGGGGCTCTTGACGCTGTGGCCGACGGTACGAGAGTCCTCGTAGATCTCGTAGTCGTTACCGCCCTGGTATGTCTTGTCACCGAAGAAGTGGATGGTTGTGTACTCGGTGCCGAACTGCTTCTCGGCCTCGACGTGCTGCAAGCAGTATGTCTTGTCCCAACCTCTGGGGAAGACGTCGAATGAGATTTGACCGCCAATCGAGTAGCTGCGAATAGTGTTAGTCGCAATTCCAGCAGGTCGTAGATGGCAAATAGGACTCACGTAAGACCAAGGTCGGGGAAAGCGGCTCTGATGTCCTCGACAAACTTCTTGCGAATGCCGTGCTCGAGGTCGTACTTCTCGTACTCGTTACGCTCCTCAATGCTGGCGTTACGACCGATGGGGCTGACGTTGATCATGCCGTTGCGGAACTCGATGAAGGTACCGCGCTTCTTGGGGATCTCGAGGTCGGCAATGTAGTGCAAGATGAACTTGACGAGCTTCTGGTAGGGCTCCTCGCCGATCCACTTGATGAAAGAGGATGATGCGAGCGGTACGCCCATGCGGTATGCGGTCAGACCATTCTCGGCGAAGCAGAAGTCAAAGAGGCTGGTGACGGGGACTGAAGCGGTGCCGAGCTGTTCTTGTTGCTTGACGAGATCGCTGCCACCAACGAAGCCAATGGCAACCTTGTGACGGAGCTGCGACAGGAGTTCGAGCATCTCGGGGGAAACCGTCTAGACCCATGTCAGTATAGCTGCTTGCGCACCTCTTCACGAAGACGGAGACTCACTCTACGGGCAGGAGTAAGGGTGCCATCGACGTCGAACAGGCAGATGGTGTTCTTGACCGGACGCTGGTCGAGCGCCGGGATGACTGATGCTGCTACGGCTGCCATTGTGTCTGATGTGTATGCGAGAGGTGTCGAGGGAGCTGTAGAAGATGGGAGGACTGCTTTTTTGATTGCGATTCAGGGGTAAAGCTCCTTCAGCTTTTCGAGTCTCGATCAATGGACCAGGAGGACCCTGCTTGAACACGTTGTGGGGTGGAATGCGAGGGGTGATTGCGCACTGACTGAATTTCAAAGTCAATCCGATCTGTCTTTTTGCTTGTGATCTTCCTCCTTCTTATACACTGCTATACCATATCCCAAGAACAGGTGTCTGCAATCCTTTCTCTTATACGTGTCCAATATCTCGATGTTTCGTGCGCGTCATTCAACCTTGGCGACTCAGCCTACATGCAACGAAGACTTCAAACGGCCAGTAATGATCAACCACCTGTACTTTTCGCATTCCGACTCTGTACTGGGTGACTCACAACCACGCGTCCTCATTACACATGTTTCATCAAAGGACACTGTTGCTCTATGGCTCTGATGCGATGCATGTACTGCCGAACATTACCAGCACTTCTGAAGTTGCTTGACCAGGTGTCCATTTTCAACTTCGAGGTCAACGTGTTCAGTTGTGTGGATTGAAAATCGGTCGTCTTTGAAGAAACACCATGAGGCAATGTCTTTATATTTTGACCTGAGTAAGGTAGAAAATATATTGTGTATTCGAGTAGTGGAGACGAGTACGTATGGTGTCTGGGACATCACGAGCACTCATCTTAGACCTATCAATGTGGCACAATCGGTTTGACAAGTAGAGGAAAGGAGGTAGTCGATGGAAGGTGCAGGTAACAAGACTCTCCAGCGTTCCTTCCTCTGTACGCCTGCGTCGCCGAATAGAGTGGTAGAGAGGCGGCAGGTGCTGATGCTTCTGCACAATTCTATCAGGACGGAAGCCTTGCAAACTTCTACGCAAACGCTCCTCTCTCTATCTCTGAACTCGGAGCAAGTTTGTGCATCCGCACAGCCAAGTGAACAGCCTCAGCAATCCCGGCGGACCTTTCCACTCCGTAATCACGTCCACTCGACATGTGAAGAAGAAAACAAACAGAAAACCCACGCAAATCAAAACATTGCAAATTTCTCATCTACCTTCTTTCGCAACAACATCTCCCAGCTCGCGCACCTCATCGAATCCGCCATCCAGCCATCACCAACAATGTCCGACAGAGCAGACTTTCTCGCTGGCATCGCCGCCAGTGGCTGTGGTTCTATTTTTGGAATCGAGGGAGACGACTTTGGCTCATTCGACTCTCCCTACCCCGACCCATCCCCTCCTGCCGGCTTTCATGACGACCTTGACCACAGCATGTCGGATGACGATTCCATCTCCTGTGATGGAAGTTCAGAGTCCAGTGTTCCTGTCAAAGCCACAAAGCCAAGCAAGGGCAAGAAATCCAAGTTGTCAAAGGCGTTGAGAAAGGCTCAAAAGAGCGACAAGAAGAAGGAACAGAGGATGTTGATGGCGAGAAAGAGGCATGAGGTGAAGATGAAGAGAAGAATCTTGGCCTCTAACCACCTCTCGGAGGAATCGAAGAACAACCTCGAACGCATCGCAAACCAGGCGCGCATCGAGTTTGGTGGAGATGTGGAAAAGAAGACCGAGCATCTTGAATGGGCGGTGAAGACTCTCAACACTGCCGGCTATGCTTACTACATCAACCTCATGGGTATCGACAAGGAGATGCAACTCGAGCTGATTCTCCTACAGCGCAAGGAGAAGCCAATGAAAGCAAAGACCCTTGCAATGATGCAGCTCAACCTGACCAAGAAAGAGAAGATGACCCTGTATAGGGAGACGGACAAGAAGGGACTCACGCGCCGCCAACAAAGACAGCTCAAAGCCACCGGAACTTTCGAACTGCCCTACATCCGCCCGTCGCGCAAGGAACGCCCCACCGCACAACTCCTGGCCTCGCAGGCAAGAAAAGACAAGTTCAAGGAGATGGTCCGATTGAGCAATCAGAAGGTCAGCCTCGACCAGGAAACACAGAAACAGTTTCACGCATGGGCTAGACTGCAATTGGGCAAGAAATGGATCCCCAAGTTCAACGCACTGTTTCCCGTTCGTTGATGGATAACGACTTCCGATAAATCTTCGCAGAAACCATCAGCTCAGTCTCAGTAGACTTCGGAAACTGTGATGTCGATGGAGCAAGTCTGCAAGAGAGTCATTCTTCAGACAGTCCTCCAAGAGCAACATGTGAGTCTGATAGGAGACGGTGTATACCGGACAAGACTGACCACAAAATATAGCATTCCACACAACAGATTCAAAAGCATCAAAAACACTTCCTTCCCACGAGTCGTATCGCTGTCCTTGCTTTCCTATAGCAGAGTTAATAGTAATCGAGTTCCACTTCAGCATAATCCATGAAGCAGCAATAAGTGACTGCACGCTAGACTTAGATTGCAATTCGGAAGAACCACGCCTGATTGTCAGACCTGCCTCCTTGGCCAGTAGAACGTCTACTGCGATGACCAGTCTTCTTGGTGTCAATAGACATATGCTCCAATAGCCCAGTGATTTTCTCGGGTGACGCATCCCTGAAAGTGTCCTCGGCCTTCTTCATGGTCAGATCAAAACTCTTGCTGACGAATCTAGACATTGAGCCGATCCAATCGACATGAGAGCCTTTAGCAAAGGGGGGCAAATGCAAGACGGAGAGTACTACGCCTCTGCTCCACGACCTTCTCTCTCATTTCTACCACAATGGCAATTCTTGCTTCCATGCCATCCTTGCTCTTGATACCAGACTGCATGAAACTAGCGGCGACGTATTCATACGGCTTCGGGTAGGTGCGGCCATCTGAACTCCCTCTCGCCTGTAATGCCTTGCAACCTTGCCTGCAAAAAGGCAGGATGTTTTTGATGATCAAGGACTTGTCCATTGAGAGCGATACTTGCCTCTTGATCTCTTCGGACCTGCATAAGAGCCTGAAAATCATTGTGCCTTTTGACTGCTATATCACAAGGGGACTTCGCTAGGCTGAGAGCTCGGTTCTGGTACAATTCACGTGCCCCTTTTGCTCCATGAGAATTGGGTGGGTTCTTCGTTTTGTTCCTTAAGGTGAGAGAGAGAGAGCTAGCGTGGATGGAGTTTTTGTGTTTCCGTTTCGTCCATTTTTTTTCTTTACACAAAAAGATGTTCACTGATTCCAGCGAAGAAGTTACCATCACCATGCATCGACAAAAAACTGACTGATAGTAGACAAGCAGACAGGTGCAGCAATTTCGCATTTGTCGCTAGAACTCGCCATCCTGCCATCCAATTCCAAATTTTTGAGATCTATTATTTACAGAAATTTGGTTTTCTTCCAACAAAGACCTCCTTGGCTCAAGAGTCGGCAGGACGCTGTAATGAACAGACGTCCAAAGCCCTCCCTCTACGTAAGCTCAAGTGTCCGGGGATCGACTCCCCGCGTTGGAATGGGTTTCCGACTAAAAGCTGATTTGCCTGTGGGTGTGTTTCTTCTTTGAACCGGTCTAGGAAACATGAATTAAGCGAAACGGTGACAAGTCTGGTCCAGCACTGCTGTCGGACGATCCGCGTAAGGGGATGGGCATCCTTTTGCTCTAGTGGAATTGGGTAGGGGTTTTTATATTTGGACAGTCCAAAGGAGGGCTGCATGTACTTATCCTTTTGGGAAGAATTTGAATATAGCACAGTTCTAACACAGAGACCGTAAGCAGGCTTTCTTTTTGAGTGCATGTGCGTTGATGTGTATAGGTAGGCACCCACTGACCGTCGAGCGCAAGAACGGGGACTCTGTTCGTCCTTGCTCTCAGAAGCAACTATAGAGGCTCCAAGATTGGACTTAGAGAATAGAAGGATTCAAATATGACAAAGTAGAACATTCTTAGTTTGCTCTTCAAAGCTGAATTTCTGTTTGGAGAATGGGAAACAGACACAGCTTCCCACAATTACCAGAAGCCGATATCAAATCAAGAAGTCACATCCAGCCCCCCTTTCCCATTCAAGATCAACGCCCGAGTAACCTTTACAATCATCCAAACTCTTCGTCATCCCAACAACAAGCAGCGGTAGTCTAGTGGTCAAGACGTCTTGTAAAAATCGTCTTGCAAACACAAGCTTGATTGTGTAGCTAACCCTCACTATGTGATCATGACACTGCATATATCTCAAGAAGATCGTAGGTTCGATTCCTACTCGCTGCAGTTGTCTTTTTGCTCGTCCTGGTGTGTGAGACCACCAAGTATGGAGCAGAAGAGGCCATGAGGAAACAATTGTAAGAAGAATGTATGCATGCTCAGGGACGTGAAGGGGACAGGAGATTCAATGACCTGATGGTGACGGTCTTTCTTACTTCGCTACATTCTCTTCTTCATCTTTTGAAGATTTGCTTCAAACCGTCCGAAACAAAAAGCGAGGAATTCGAAATATTGATGGGGGTATAAATCAACCTCGCCGCATCCCAACAACGAACGGCATAACTTTTTTGGCCCACATTCTACCTGGGCTGATTAACTTGCACCTTCTTATCTTCACCGCAGCTAACGATACCCCAAGCTTCATCCCACTGCACACCAAACACCTTGATGCCTTCACCACCAACGGGCTTCTTCTCTCCTTGACCATCACGCTCGAGCACGAAAATGCTTTCGCCAGTCATACCGCCCTCGGCTACACCGCCTGCGTTTCCAGCTTTTGCGTTACGGACGTCCCAGACGCGGACGCTGCCGTCGTGGCCACCGGATGCGAAGACGAAGCCGTTGTCTGGAGAAGGTGCGAGTGAGACTACGGCGTTGTTGTGACCGCGGAGTGTCATGGCGACGATTGCAGTTGCGGAAGCGCGAGGGTCGATGAGGGAGATGTGACGGGCGGTAGTTCCTGCAGCGACCAGATTCAATTGCGGTAGAGCGGCGACTGAGACCAGAGGGTGCGAGGTTGCGCGTGTGTCGACGCAGCTGTGGGTTGCGAGATCCCAGGTCTTGAGTGTGTGGTCCCAGGAGGTGGAGTAGGCTACTGTGGCATCGTCGGGCTTGAAAGTGACGTCTGAGACGGGTGCATTGTGGCCGGCCAGGAGAGAAAGTGCGCCACGTTGAGGCACGGTGACGGATGGTTTCCTTCGCTTGGATGAGGGGTTGGGGAGGAGATGTGCGGGTGCTGAAGGGTTGCTCTTGATGTCGCTGCTGAAGATACCGACGGTGTGATCTTGCGAAGCGGTCAAGATGCGCTGGGAGGGGGTGTGTACGGCCAATCTGTCCACGGATGCGGTGTGTCCTAGCAGCTCGACCTTGGGCGTGATCTCTCTGTCGTTGTAGTTCCAGATTCTGACGCTGCGATCCACGCTTGACGAGACCAAACGCGAGTGATCCAAGAACTTCACGCTCTTGACTGGTCCGCTGTGTCCACCATCTCCACTTGTTGCCAAAACCTCTTTGCTCTGGTTCCAAAGTCTTAAAAGTCCATCGTAACTCGCCGATACCAAACGCTCGTTTCCTACTCCAGAAGCACCAAAGTTCTTGCCTGCCCATCTACCAGCTGCTGATGTGGCTGAGAGAAGATCGACACTGCTGACCCAGTCGTCATGTTCGAAGGAGGCGACGTGCGACGGCGGTACAAGAGCGCGTACATATTCGACATTCAAGGTGGTTTCGGCGGAGATGCCGTTAGCAGTCAGGAATTCATCGATCGAGGTTCGCAGGAATTGGCCGTTGATCAAGAACTCAAAGGGGACGGGTTGTTCGGTTGCGAGCAGATTGTTCACGAGAGTCGAGAGCTGGTATCTACGGAGCTCTGCGAAGCTAGTCAGTCAAACAGATCCTCGTTGCAACATGTTGCTGCTCTGGCGCAAAAGCGCGCCTTTAAGGTGTTACTGACCAGTAGAGACGAGAATGGGGCCACTGCTCTCCTCGGGCAATTCAATATCCGGACTCCTGGTAGTGAGCTGGATTCTAACTTGCGACGTCGACATTTTGTTGTGTATGGGGGTGTTGTGTGTTTATGCGACTGTTCCATCTCGAAAAAAGTTCATGCATGTGAAGAAATTCTGCCGGGCTTGGGCTTACCGCCTTGGACACTTTGTGCGACTTGTGCTTGATTGAAGCTTGCACAACTTCGAGGATATCAACTATCGAACTTTATGGTTTCGCGAAATCATAACCTCTCCAGGAATCATATCATACCCCTGCTTAGATCGCATGGGAGTATCAGTCACAAGTATGAGATCTATGCAGTCCAGAATGTCTGATATTTCCGTAGCTTTATTGCTATCTGCCTGCACCACAAAGACTATCATTGCAAAAGCATAGCACTTAATTCAACAGCATGTTCATGGTCTCGTCAACTTTGACGTAGTCACACGAGTATATGATCTACCGCAATGATGTGTGCGGTTAGGATAACATTCTTCCCAGAGTTCTGAATTGACGACTCTGTCGATCGCGGGACTATATTGCCTCTCCTCGCACCACGACCTTGTAGAAGTCGGCCGTCCTAAGCTGTCTTCAAGGATGTATCCATGCTGCTCACCAAACATGACTTCATTAAGAGCAGAATTGATACGTAAGGCCATTCAAGGACAAATTTTGTGCTGCGGTACCAACGATCCTTCATTCGAAGCGTCCTTGAAACCTTTGGCGAGCAGCTGCAGTCCATCAATCTGGAGATCATTATGCGTATCCAATAGTCCTGCAGAGACGAGCAAATATGAGAAGAAAGTTCCCATAATCGATAGATTGTTGTGTGAATTGCATTTCGATTGGAGATCGAATACGTGGACAGAGGTGTATTGCCAGACTAGCAGCGTGGTGTTTTGACTCCATTCTTTGACTTACTTGACATTTTGGGATGATCAATATCCGTTGGCAATGCAAGACTTCTCATTTCAAGCAATTACAACCGTGTTGCTGCCTCGGGCTTCAAAGTGGCAATATGTGGAGGATCTATGACCATTAGATCTGAAAGTCTAACAAGAGCCGCAATTTTGTAAACATCTGATCGTAAAGTTTCGAGCGGGATATGTGTGGTCTAGTAGAAACATGCAAGCATATCGAATTTTCCGGGCTCATAGTACAGACGACAAAGAAAAAAAAGTGAAGATAGAAAAGCGGAGGGGGTCCACCCTTGCGTTCTACTCTAGGACGCAAAGATGCTGTACAGGACCAGAATTTTCTCTCCCAATGGGCAAACCTCGCCTGGAGACTGGCATTTGACGCTTATCGTCATCCGTCAGCTCTCAAGCAATCGCCTAGATTTTCCCTCTAATATAATTACCAGACTCCTGTCGTGCGAGTCGTTTACTTGAGGTACTCCTTGCCGTCAATCTTCACCTCGGCGCGGGGAGATGAAGGGTTACGGACAGCCTTGGTGGTGGGAGGGTTGTACACGAGCTTTCTGGTCTTGACGACAGTCCACTTGTATCTGTAGCATAAAATCAGTATTTGTGGTAATCACAATTTTGGTGTTGTTCGCGACTCACCTCTTAACCCAGACAGAGAGAGCGAAGAGAGTACCAGCAACAGCCATGACCTTCCAGCCCATCTTCTTGCGGTCGTCCATTTCGGGCTCGGCAGTCCAGTTCAAGAACTCGACAACATCCTTGGCCATCTGCGAGGTAGTGGCGGGGGTCTTGTCGTCGTACTCAACGAGACCGTCGTAGAGGACACGAGCCATGGCAATACCGGTACCGGGGAAGTAAGGGTTGAAGTTGAGACCCTCCTGGACAACAGCGCCAGCTGGGGGCTCCTCAGGGTAACCAGTCAGAAGAGAGAAGATGTAGTTGCAGCCACCGTGACGGGCCTTGACAATGAGCGAAAGATCCGGGGGGAGGGCACCGTTGTTGGCAGCACGGGCGGCCTCGTCGTTCTTGTAAGGGCTGGGGAGGTAGTCGGAAAGCTTTCCTGGGCGCTTCTCGATCTCGCCCTCATCGTTGGGCTCGGTGTCGAATTCGTTCTCCTCGGCAAGGGCCTTAGCCTCGTCGACAGTCATGAAGTTGCCGACAAGGTTGCGGTAGGCAATGCGCTTCATCGAGTGGCAAGAAGCGCAAACCTCCTGGTAGACCTGGAAACCTCTGCGGAGAGACTGGTGGTCGAAGGTCTTGTAGAGCTTCTCGTGCTCCCAAGGGTACTTGGTGGCGTGAAGACTGTTGGGCCAATGGTCAGCGCTGGGTGGTCGAGTGTGTATGGAGTCGGTGGGCAACATACCCCTCTTCGGCGGGGGTCATGGCGTGGGCATCACGACCGAACTGGTAGTAGTACCATGCGGCGGAACCGACGGCGAAGGCGGTGGCAGCAGAGGCAGTGGCGGTGGTGGCCCACTGCGATGACTCGGCACCAGAGGAGGAAGAAGCAGCGCGCTGGAAGAATTGAGACGTCAGCTCGGCATGATTCAACGGGCAATTCAAGATTCGGCATCGATTGGAGGTATAGACGTGTTTCTGGAGTGGTTGCGTACCGTGGACTGGCGGGTTGCGGTGTTGCGAGCAGCGGCGGCGAGGCGCGCGGATCGCAGGCTGGATCTGGCCAACATGGTCTGCGATTGACTGTGTCGGGAGAGAGGGGAGAGGGTGGTTGGAGGTGCGTGTCGAACAACTGAGGTCGATGTCGCCGCAGGGCAGGAGCGATGAGAAGAAGCCGGAATTCGTGCTAAGACCTAATCTGGAGCATTTGATTGGCTCTTGCCGTTTCTTGCCGGAGAGAAGCAGCCTGCCATTTCGACTGGCCACGAGCTTCGACTTTTGGCCACCTTCACACTGCTCCCAGAATTTGTGAGTTTCCGTGACTTTGCACGTCACAGCAAGAGCCCGTAAGACTCATAGCCAATTTGCCCGACCAAGCCTTTGCGCACCCCTCAACACCTCCCCCGAGTCCACACGCGCATCCACCGCAATCATGGCCTCGAACGGCGAATACCCCCAGGACGACTCGCCGCCCGCTTCCCCCACTTTGAACCCCCAGCAGGACCAGTCTGAGTCGGAAGATGAGATTCCTGAGCAGAAGCCCAAGTCGGCATTGAAGAAGTCTGCTCCCGCACCCGCCGTCCAGAAGCCCTTCATCGCCGAGCAGCCCGACCCGTCAACCATCGATGTCAAGGCCCTCAACCCTCTGTCGCCCGAGATCATTTCGCGCCAGGCCACCATCAACATTGGTACCATCGGTCATGTCGCTCACGGAAAGTCAACAGTCGTCAAGGCCATCTCTGGTGTCCAGACTGTCCGTTTCAAGAACGAGTTGGAGAGAAACATCACCATCAAGCTCGGTTACGCCAACGCAAAGATCTACAAGTGCGACAACGAGGAGTGCCCGCGCCCCACTTGCTACAGGAGTTATAAGAGTGACAAGGAGGTCGACCCTCCATGTGAGAGAGAAGGATGCGCTGGTACATACCGTCTGCTTAGACATGTCTCGTGAGTTTTGCACACAGCATTACTAACCAGCTGTATCTGACAACCCATAGCTTCGTCGACTGCCCTGGTCACGACATTCTCATGAGCACCATGTTGTCTGGCGCCGCTGTCATGGACGCCGCCCTCCTCCTCATCGCCGGAAACGAAACCTGCCCTCAGCCCCAAACCTCTGAGCATTTGGCCGCCATTGAGATCATGAAGCTGAACCACATCATCATTCTCCAAAACAAGGTCGACCTCATGCGCGAGGAGGCCGCTGGCCAACACCACGAGTCTATTTTGAAGTTTATTCGTGGTACCGTCGCCGATGGCAGCCCCATCATCCCCATCTCCGCCCAGTTGAAGTTCAACATCGACGCTATCAACGAGTATCTCGTCTCCAAGATTCCCGTCCCCCCGAGAGATTTCACCGCCGCCCCTCACATGATCGTCATCAGATCATTCGATGTCAACAAGCCTGGTGCCGAGATTGAGGACCTGAAGGGTGGAGTTGCTGGTGGCAGTATCCTGACTGGTGTATTGAAGCTTGGTGATGAGATTGAGATCAGACCCGGAATTGTCAGCAAGGACGAGCAGGGCAAGATTCAGTGCAAGCCCATCTTCTCCAGAGTTGTTTCGCTGTTTGCTGAGAACAACGATCTTAAGTTCGCTGTTCCTGGTGGTCTTATTGGTGTTGGTACTCGTGTCGACCCCACTCTCTGCCGTGCCGATCGTCTGGTCGGTTTCGTCCTTGGTCTCCGTGGCCAGCTCCCCGCCATCTACACTGAGATTGAGGTCAACTACTTCCTGCTCCGCCGTCTGCTCGGTGTCAAGACTGCCGATGGCAAACAAGCCAAGGTTGCCAAGCTCGCAAAGAACGAAGTCCTCATGGTTAACATTGGTTCTACCGCCACTGGTGCTAAGGTCGTCGCCGTCAAGGCCGATGCCGCCAGACTTCAACTCACCAGCCCTGCCTGTACCGAGATTGGCGAGAAGGTCGCTCTTTCCCGCAGAATCGAGAAGCATTGGCGTCTTATTGGATGGTAAGTGATTATCTGCTATGATTCATTGAATCTGTACTAATTTCGAACAGGGCCACCATCCTTGCCGGTTCTACTCTCGAGCCCACCATCGAGTGAACAACGACTGGTTGATATATCACCAACGAAACACACCGATACCCATTTAAGCGAGATCGCCAATTCAGATCTTGTGGGTACGACACGTAGAGGATTCAATGTGAAGAGGACGATCAAAAGTTGGATTTGCATGAACGCACAACGCTTTTCTGAATGTGCGAGGCGCGCTTGTGCGGGATGCATGCTTGTCTGTGGGCATTAGATTTGGGGGTGTTTTTTTTATGGCGCTGAGGACGAGAAGGGATGAGTGTTTCTTTTTCTTATCTTTCCATCCACGGATCTATCCCTGGCTATTCACCCCCTATTGCATGACACCGAAGAAAATACACAGTTTTATGACAGCACGCATTTCCTTGACTCCTTGAAAGATGTTGACGATGCTTGTAGAGTGATTGATGGCCACAGTACTAAAAGTAGGATTGCCCCCTGTCGTTCCGGGCATCTCATCACTATCCACAACCAGCAAAAGTACCTAACATGCCTACCGTCAAGGATCGAACACACCACCTCCTGAAAACACTGTAAACAAAAAGCCGGAGCCGCAGCTCCTACTACTCCCGGCTTCGCACAGCCGTATGTTACGGCTGCCCGGTGGTCAGGGGATCTCCCACTACGCCAAACGTGAGTTTGTGTCTTACAAGTGGGATATTAGGTGAGCGATCTTGTGGGTATATATGAGTTGGTGAGGGAAGTGAAGGGTTGATTTGTGATGGTCTGTTCTGACCATCTGATTCCGACTATACTGTTCGTCGGCACATTCTACCCTCGTGCTGCACTTTTCTTGCTTACTTTCTCTTGTTCTGCGTGTTCGCCTTCAGGGGTGCCTTCTTTTCTCCCAACCTCGAGGTTCATCTTCCAGGAGAAGCAGTCACGGCCTGCCACTTTGTGACGAATAGGCCTGTCTCTCAGAAGATCACAAACGCGTGTGGAGCAGCAAATACCATCGTTGCCAATGTCAGTCAAACTCTGTCGACGCAGAGCTCTCTGATCACACACCATCGTATTGCTGGAAGCTAGCCGCGTCTTCCCACCATCCCTCAAAAGAGCCTTCCTTCTCATTCTCTTGGCGTTCGCGCGCTTGCACGATACTGGTCCTCCCTCTTCTCTACCAAATCTCGTATCAAGCTCAAGTATTCATCGAATCGCAACTATCGTCAATCAATATGGCTGCCTCTCTCGACAGCCTTCCCATGGAAATCATCCTGAATGTCGGCGAGATTCTCTTTGATGTTAGCAATCGCAACTATTGGAACTGCGTGCTTCCCTTCAGCAATACGAGTAGGAGATACAGAGCCATTCTACTACCACAGGTCTGCCGAAACGTGGAGATTATCGCACACAGTACCAATCAGCTTAGGCGAAATCTCCGTTGTCTTGAGGACACACTCGAGGCTTACAACGTCATCAGCTGTCCTCGTAGTATGACCATTGTCCTCATGGATCCCTTGGAGCTATACAACCCGAATGGAGAAGACCGGTTCAATCTTGACCTCGTTATCGAATTCATGATGAAGCTACCGAAGTTGCATAGATCGAGGTCAGCCTCTCTTCGTATACGTGCTTATTAGGTTATTTCGCTCGATCCTTAGAACAATGGAAAGGGTGTAGTGGTATGCTCCACCAGATAGGACCGAGCGACGAATACGTGCGGTGGAGTGACCTTCCGGATTCCAAGCAACTTTGATACTTTTCTTCTCCAAGCGGTGAGCATCATACTGCGAAGATCTCTTCGCATTGACTCATGATATGCAGTTGACAGCGGCGACCGCAACTACTTCCTCCCGAGTGGGTCTAGGAGATCACCCACTGTCCCTTCCATCTTAGTTTTGCTGATCCACGTGGCTCAACACGTGCAAGATTATACACCGCCGGAAGGAGCGAATCTCAAGCCTGTAGCAGTTGCTATCAAACATCTGTTGACATCAGTCAACCGTCCCACCAACATCAACATCATTGCCATCAACGTTAGTGAATCATTCTAACATCATCAACTATCAGCAAAACATTCCGACTACACCGACATCATGGCAGACTTGATAGACATCTTGAGCAAGCATTTCTCATCCATCAACTTGTATTGTCGCCCCAGGCGAGAGCCATTCATGCCCTTCAGAATCATGGCGGGCCAGGAGCTAGTCTTACCCATCGAAAACAACGTGGGCCAGGACCTTGTTCAAAGACACTCGTCACATGTCAGCTCGTCTTTGCCCAGACCAGTTCTGCCGGCAACCAGGGTTCCATTCGACTTACTCCCGCCAGAGATCATCCTCTTGATCTACGACGCTATCAAGGAAATCACACCCGAAGATTTATTTCGTCGCCAGACCTTCGCCAGACTCAGTGGTACAAGCAAAACATGCAGAGAGTGGGCCTTGATCTATCTCTTCGACCAGTTCACCTTCCGTGCACCATATTCAAACGGTCTCGGCCTCAGACCTCAAGATCCCGCACCGATGCTACTCAGGGACTACAACCTTTTTCGTCGCATCCGGAAAGTGAAGATCTTTATCGACAGTCGTATCATAATCACGAAGAGCATGGCCGGGATCATCGCCGACTTCATGAGCAACTTCGGAGACCTGGAAGAACTTGATATTGAAGGCACTATGTCATTTGACTTGTTTTTGGCTTTGTTGCCGTTGACGAAGACTGCTCAGCAACAGTTTGCTCAAGCTGCTGGACCTTATTCTTTGAGTTGGAGTCGTCTCAGCAGATGATTCCTATGTCACGGAGAACACGGAAGGAAAGGCACCGAGCAAGATCCCGATTGCATCAAGCACCACAACAACCCTCATTATGTCTATCACAACAAAACACAACAGTCACTAATTCATTCGAAAGACACGACGACCTACTTCATCACAGAAACAAGATCAGAGATAACATCAGTCGAAGATCAGATGGGCTTCTACGGCGGAAGCTATGATATTACATCGACATGAGCACAGCAGGAAAGACACATTGCTATTCAGATTCTGTATTGTTGTCAGTAAGGGGAGTTTACCATCACTTTGTCAAACAAATCATCCATATTCCAGCCTGATTGAAACCAAACCACATACCTCTGACATGCTTGTGTATTGATCTTTCCAGGATGATAAGAGTCATCATATCGAACCACCAACTTCTGCCATACTTATGGCTGACCAAATACACGATGGGTTTCGAATCAGAGTTGTTCCATTGAGAGTTCGCTAGAAGACCCATATCTCTGGCAGGTCGCTCCGGTCTTGAAAACATCTCGTCTCTCTTCGGCTGGAAAATACCAGCAGGCATGATGGCCGAAGAAGCGCAAAACAGGACCAGCAGTAAGTTTGTCGGCAAAGAAAAGCTGACAATGCATGAGGGAAGGTTTGTACTCGCATGGTATTGAAGTTGGGCGTGTCTGACCGGTAATTCTTGCTTCTCTCACATACTGAATTGAGTCGATTGAGTGCTGAAACTACCGTGATGACATTGACACTGCATTTTATCTTTCAAGTCAGGTCAAGTAGATGGATAAAGGCAGGCAAAGAGATGATCAAACCCACTCCTTCTCCTCAAGCATACACATAGCAAAACGGCCCTTCAACCGTACTCATCACATCCCCCATCGTGACATTCTTCCCCCTCCCAGCCCACCCGATACTAATATTCGTCTCCCTAGTCGTATTCTCACTAGGTGGCGTATTCAAAAACGTATTCGTCCCCATAATAGCATCTTTTCCATAAATCCTGTTTTCGGGATCCAGCATTTGCCAAGCTGTCCATACCAGATCAATCATACTGTGATGGAGGTAGAATGCAGGATCGCCTGGGGATGTAAATACATCGCGGCCTGGGTCGCCGCCCATGGCGTAATGGCCACCACCGTGGATACCGATGATGCCTGTGCCGGGAATCCCTTGCATTTGCATTTGGAAGTCGTAGACGTTTTGTGGTGAGAGGATGTTATCGACGATGGCGGTGGAGTTTGCGAAACGCGTGTTTATTTCATCGGTGAGATCGCGTTTTAGGCAGCGTGGGTTATAGGATAGAGGACCTGAGGGGCTGATGGAGGTGATGTTACCTGGGATTGTCAGGGCTGCGGGACCGAGGTTTACGGTCATGTTTTTAAAGGGCCCAGTTGTGATACAGCCGCCACCGGTGCCGACTGGAAGGTAAATTTCTGGAAGACCGTTGCCGCCGAGGACGACGGAGAGGTTGGTTTGGTCGATGTGAGCGCCATTGCCGCTCATGCTTGTCTTGCTGCCGTCCCAGACTGGGCTCTTTTCCATTCCTGATGCGGCAGAGAGACCCCAGTTCCAGTAAGGTTGGGTGCCTTGGTAGCCGCATTCGTTACGAAGTGCTTGTTCGTATTCCCAGAGGAAGTAGCGGTGCCAGCCGAGAAAGTTGCCTGTGTAGTGTATTTGAAGTGTTTGGTCGATGTGAGTGGCTACCCAATCATCATAACGAGATTTTGCTCCAGGAGCCCATGATGCTGGAGATTTGGCAGTCTTGTTCTGGAGACAGAGGACTGCATCTGTGTATGCAATACGTTCTCTGGGCGAGAGTGTGCTCCACTCTTTGCGCACTTGGACATTGCCGGGTTTGCAGGTCGAACTGAAAGGCTTCTTGTGCGATTTGACGGCGTATGTAGCATGAGATACTAGGATCTTGAGTTGTTCTTGAGCAATTGATGTGTCGCTTGAAGCTGATTTTGGTAAAGGATCGTGAGGAGAAGCCTGTGCGCTAGCCAACAAGGCAGCGAAAGCCAATATGGAGGTAGTCTTCATTGTAGAGATGCACGAGAGCTTACCATATTCGATAACTCAAACATGATGAGAACAGACTATACCTTTATACTTCGCCTGAAAATCATACACTGTGTTTCCAGCATTTCGCCAGTCCGTACTGATCGAGCAATTTAGCCGTGCCATACTGCAATGCGCATGCCTTGTATGCAAAGCGTTCTGAGTTTGCATGGTGGCATAAGAGTGTTGAACTGATAGGTCGTTATAGATCCCGATACACGGCATGCTGCAGGAGGAACAACGCGAAGGATTTCTGGAGATGTCGATATTAATTGTTCAGACCGCCTCGACCAGCCTCTTTTCCCAGCCGAGGCAGAGATGCGAGACGATCAGCATGAAGAAGTGCTGTCCCTGTCGGCATCCTGGAATGGATCTACCGGTCAGAGAAGGAAGATGAAAAGACGAGCAATCTTTGCCGAACACGTTCCTGTGGATGCTCATTCTTCGAGATCAGGCTCGAAGTCCGCATGTCAATAGCCTGTTCTCGCTGATGCATCCGGCCTCCAATTTCTCACGGCATTGACCTGTGGTTTCACTGAGATGGCGGAAAGGACATAGAGACACAACAGAACTTGCAATCATCAATGTTTCGATAAGTTGATGGTAGAGGCGAAAGGCCGTGAAACAAACTGAGTGGTTGGTTCCTACTTTTTGTGGTCAGTGTGTGCGGGCCGTCATGATTGTCTTTTTTGGGGAAACGTCTTGTCGATCACTTCCAACCACACTCCATGTTTGCTTCGTTTCTCTGCCTTGTGAAATTATCATCTCGACCATGAGTATCACTTTTTCTTGCCCTACGTAGTTCTTGGTGACCAGCCTCAACAACTACAGATGGACAGATCATGGTAAACGAGCGTACTTAGGTCCTCAGCGCTGGTGTATCATAATGCGAGCTGTTTGACGAGTTCATCCTCACTTTCCGTTTCCTGGTTAGGAAACACATGTTTTGTGGGTTCGAACGCGGCAAATCAGTCAGCTCATGATACCCTATACGCTCAGGAATGATAACATGAATAACCGAGCAACTTCGCATGAGAAGCAGAACCGAACAGAGACTAGGGACACAACGACTGCAGGCCATGGCGAGTGATGTTTAATCAGAAGGCGACGTCAGCGCAGATTGAGAAGACACGCTCTAAAGAACGAGTGCGAATTCCAAACCATCATCATCAACATATTATATACGATGCGGGCCATCACCTCTTCACCACCATCGCCTTGCCGGCGGTGGTGGCCCAGTGGTACTGAGCCAACTTGTTGTTGGCACCTACCCCTGAGGACGCCTGTTCGATTCCCGCCATTACCAACAACCATTAGAGCCGTGACGCTCCACCCCTCGCCAACCGAAACGAAACCAGTGGTTTCTTTCTCCCTTCCAACGGGCTCTCTACGACTGAGCCTTAGTAGAAGGGATTTGTTTTGCCAATCTGTATTCTAGCTTTGAATCTGTCTGCCACACATCACTACCCTCTACCCTCAAACGTCTTTTGAAGCATTCTTATGTTACATCCTGCGAGATGGATGTAGGCAAACTTTCTGCGCACACTCTCGGACATCATCGTGTATACATCCGGCCAGGCGAGAGAACCATTCCACTGGAGTAAACGGTTCTGACACGTTGCTTCGATATATAATGAGGATTCAAGCACGACGCATGACACACCATCTATCTTGGGGTTCACGCACTCTCCTCACACGCAGCGCACGATGTGAGCAAGATCAGGCCTTCATCGCTAGCAGATGGTCTCAGATATACCGGATGAGTAATTGACCTATCGTACAGATATAGCTCAAACTTGCTCATAGTTGAGACATCGCACACACAAGATTCGACCGACTTTCCGATTTCTACAGCATCACTCACAAAAAGTCAGAGTCATATTCTTCCTCTTCCGAATTTTCCAGCATCCTATTTCCTCTCTTATAGCTCATCTTCAACCCATCCTTGTCGTTCTCCGACAAGCTCGTCAGCTTCAGCATGCCATCCTCCTCCCCTCTCGACCCAAAGGCGACTATCTTCGTCTCTGAGGTTCCTAGCAAACCTGCCGGTAAACTCAACCCCAAGGCTGCGGTGTTCGTACCTGCTCCCAAGGCTCCCGTCTTTGAACAGGTTCGACAGCAAAACATAGTTCAAGGACTCCTCCAACAGTTCCAGACTCCCCACAGACACTATGTCTACCACCGATAGCTTTGTCGACCACCGACTCGACCAGTCTTTCGAGTTGATGATCGCGGCCAAAACCTCACCTACCGGTTTCTTTTCCTTACCCATCTAGTTACGAATCAATATCTACAAACCAGTCGTCGATAAAGAAGAGTACGAAATCCATGAAGTTGGGATACCCCCTTTTCTCCGTACTCGACTCCAAATCACCCGCGAATTCTACCAGCTTTGCAGGTTGCAGATTGTCCTTGTCAAGCAAAAGAAAAGCGACAAAAAACGAAAAAGATTCTTAAAGGATATCGAAAACATCAAAAGACATGGCCCTTGTTATGACAGACGCGATTTCTTCGTCCACATCCGGATCGAAGAATGGTGCAGCCGTGCAGCTTTGTATCAAAAAACATCATGGTTCAGCCGTGCAGATCTCAGTCCAACAAGAGCAATCCGTCCACAAGGGAAAAAATGTAATGGCTGCAAAATCATGTCAGAATCAAGCTGGTTTCCTCTGGCTCTACTTATTCTTCAACTCACGGGTCTTATAACGATGTTTATTTTTGGAATATGTTTGGGTGCGTTGAATGCACTTCCCTCTGGTTTACAAAGGCCCTTGCCTGTTGAATTTTGTACGGATCACAGAGCTGGCATTGTGGTTTGTGGTAAAGCTGCTATTATTGCTGAAGAGATGTTGATGGAGTATAGAGTATACGGCCTTCACATCATTTCGTGTCAACAGGAATGGTCGCCTTTGCCTTTTCCCTTCGCTTCTTTTAGATTTTAGAATACAATGTTTTTTGTTCATCGCACACTTGCCGAAGAATCAAAGAAACCTAATTTGGGCATTGCACTTGATGTGAGAAAATAAAGTTTTGGGATAGACGTTTTTGATGACGATGTGGTGGTGATGCCTCGGAGCTTTTGGAGCAAGACAGCCGAGAAAGCAACTCGGGCTTGGCAATTGTGCTCTCCCCCTCCATCGTCAAGTCCTCATAGACATACGCACTCTCTCTTCCACTCTCAGTTGCTCTGATCATTCAATCATGGCAGAAGTACGCCAGCGAGCCAAAGCGGCAGATCCTACAGTCGCACCAGCAGAACCCACCTCCGCAAAGACCACTAAACCGAAGAAGTCGGGCTTCAGCTTCACAGATGTGTTGCGAGTGCTAGGAGGTATCCTCCTCCTCAACTGCACATTAAGTTATTTCGTCACCTCCTCCTCCTTGACATGGGGTTGGCGACCCTGGTACTCTAAACCCGGTGTCGTAGCATCTTGGCTGGTATACCTCCCCACCTCACCCCCGCTACTACCCCTCCAAACCCTGTTAGCACAAATGCTGATATGAGAGGCTTACAGAGAGGACCACTCTACCTCACCGATGAGGAGTTATCAGCCTACGACGGCAAAGACGCCAGCAAACCCGTCTACATTGCTCTCAACGGCACAATCTACGACGTCACCGCCGGCCGCCACGTCTACGGTCCCGGCGGCAGTTATAATTTCTTCGCCGGCCGCGACGCAACCCGTGCGTTTATAACCGGTTGTTTCCAAGAAGACTTGACGCCAGATACCCGTGGTGCAGAGCTTACCTACATCCCCATCGACGACGATGTCGACGAGAATGGAGAATTGAAGAGAGTAGGGGGAAGGAAGGGAGTTACAAAGGCGGAGTTGAAGAAGAGAAAGGAGAGGGAGACTAGGTTGGCGAGGAAGAGGGTGCATGATACCATTGAGGGGTGGAGTAGGATGTTCAAGGGTGAGGCGGGGAAGAATTATTTCGAGGTTGGCAAGGTTAAGAGGGAGGAGGGGTGGTTGGAGAGGTTGCCGAGAAGGGAGCTTTGTGAACAGGCGCAGAAGCAGAGACCTAAGCGTAAGGATTGAGAGTCCTGATTTGTTCTGAGATTGGCTTGTTCTGGACATGGCAGTGAAAGAGAACATGATGTAATTTTGTACAGATATACAGTGTATAGGGAAAATGTAAATAGTAGTACACGATCAACGCTTGACCCAGGCGGGCATCTTGCGAGCCTTGAGCTTTCCAGGCTTCTTTCTCTCGACACGACGAGGATCTCTTGTGACGACGCCAGCTGGGAAGCAAAGTCAGTATTGCAGTAGTAAGCAGTTCATAGTATAGGCTCAACATACCTCTCCTCAATGCAGGCTTGAGCAACGGCTCGTGCACCATCAAAGCTTTCGACACGGCCAGGGCAATGGCATCAGCCTGACCAGTAGTACCACCTCCTCTTGCAACGCACCAGACGTTGTACTTGTCCATGCGCTCAGTGACCTTGAGAGCCCAAAGAGCACTCTCACGGTCGTGAAGACGGCCAAATGCCTGAGTCAAGGGCTTGCCATTGATCAGACATTCACCCTCACCCTCGACAAGGTATGCCACAGCGTTACTGCTCTTTCTTCTGCCAACGCCTCTAGCGCGGCCGTACTCGTCAACAACACCAGGCTTGGGCTGGTTGTGGAAAGGCTGAACATCACGCATGTAGCGTCTGAGAGCGTAGGCGACCTCGTCCGGCATGAGGTTGGGGTGAATGTAGTTCAATCGTTGCAAGACTTGCAGAATCTTTGTGTAACGAGCGGCCTTGACGGGCTCGTTGCTTCCCATCTTGTACTGTGCCAATGTCTTCCATGCGATACGAGGAGCATGTCCAGTGGGCAGAACTGGCAGAGTCTGGTACTTGCGCAGCAGGTTCTCCAGGTTCAGCAAGTCGTCGGTGAAGTCGGGCTTGCCAGTGAAGTATGAGGGCGAGGCGGGGATGATGCGCAGACGGTCCATCATGGCGGCGTAGGCAGCGATGCTTCGGCCACCCTCCATGTCATCGTCCTCAGCAGTCTCCTCGGCAGCAGCATCTCTCTTATTCGAAAAGTCGATCGGGGGAGCGGCGCGAACGTCACCTAGCGGTTGGTCTGATGTTGTCGAAGCCAGACGACGGAATTGTGGTTGTGATACGGGGAATCTTCTTGTGGCAGGTTGGCGAAATGAGGCGATTGCGGCGCGCAGGCCTGACCGCAGTGCACCGAGCTCCATGATTGTAGACCTAAGACTACGCCGGGAATATGTCGCTGTCGCTGGGCGATGGACTGTCGCTGCTGCCGCCGTCTGAACTTCTTGCCGGACGGGAACTTCCGGCAAAATTGGGCAGTTACCCCGAGTTCAACGCCGCCGCTCTTATTTTTCACATCCTCATCCATCCCCTCTGTGTAGCTTCTCAATCTTCAGTTGCACATACCCCTCACAATGTCTTCTTTCGGAAAGCTCTACACCTACCCGGTATGCTTGCAGGCGGTCAATCAGCACTTGGAACTGTTTCGACTGACTTTTTCCGCAGGGTAACCCCCGTACCACCGCCCTGCTGGCCGTCGCAAAGGCCAACAGCCTCAACCTTGACATCGTTCACACCGAGCCTGCCAAGGGTGTCGAGACTGAGTACCTCAAGCTCAACAAGCTCGGCAAGGTTCCCACCTTCGAGGGTGCCGACGGCTACGTCCTCACCGAGTGCATTGCCATTGCCATCTACCGTACGTTGCCAATTCCTACAGCCGCACACTTCCCCTCCCCTGCAATGATGAGACATATTATCAAACAGTTATCCCTGTCTGAAGACTATTGTTGAGAATTATTTTTGATCTGAATGCACCTTTACCCCTCACTTTTGCACAAAACATGCTGCCCAATCTATTTGCGACAGTGGGCTGACCGCAATTCGCATACAGTCACCTCCCAGAACGAGAAGACCACTCTCCTCGGCAAGACCAAGCAGGACTACGCCTCCATCCTCAGATGGATGTCCTTTGCCAACACTGAGGTCCTCACCGCCCTCGGTGGCTGGTTCCGCCCTCTGATCGGCCGTGACCCCTACAACAAGAAGTCCGTCGACACCGCCCAGGAGGCCACCGCCAAGGCTGTCGGTGCCCTTGAGGACCACTTCCTCGTCAACACCTACCTCGTTGGTGAGCGCCTCACTCTTGCCGACATCTTCGCTGCCGGCATCATCTCCCGCGGCTTCCAGTACTTCTTCGACAAGGAGTGGCGCAGCAACAACCCCAACGTCACCCGTTGGTTCGAGACTGTCACCAACCAGTCCATCTACTCTGACGTTGCCGAGAAGCTCGAGTTCATTGAGAAGGCCATCCCCAACCAGCCCCCCAAGAAGGAGGCCGCCCCCAAGGCTGAAAAGCCTAAGGAGGCCCCCAAGCCCAAGGCTGCTGCCCCCAAGGACGACGATGAGGAGGAGGCCCCTGCCGCCCCCAAGGCCAAGCACCCCATCGAGGCTCTCGGCCGCCCCACCTTCCAGATTGACGAGCTCAAGCGCAAGTACTCTAACGAGGAGACCCGCGAGGTCGCCCTTCCCTGGTTCTGGGAGAACGTCAACTTCGAGGAGTACTCCCTCTGGAGAATGGACTACAAGTACAACGACGAGCTTACCCTCACCTTCATGAGCAACAACCAGATCGGTGGTTTCTTCACCCGTCTTGAGGCTTCCCGCAAGTACATCTTCGGTGCCGCTTCCGTCTACGGTAGCTCCAACGACTCTCTCATCCGTGGTGCCTTCCTTGTCCGTGGCCAGGAGGCTCTCCCCGCCTTCGACGTCGCTCCCGATGTCGAGTCTTACGAGTTCAAGAAGCTCGACCCCAAGAACCCCGAGGACAAGAAGTTCGTCGAGGCCATGTGGGCCTGGGACGAACCTGCTCAGCCTGAGGGCAAGGAGTGGGCAGATGGTAAGGTGTTCAAGTAGCTTACTCGCCATTGGGTTTAAAAGAAGGAAGAGAGTGTAAACGAGATAATGAAAGGACATCAAATGGCATGGTATGAAAAAAAAANAAAGGACATCAAATGTGTTGTGAAGCCCAAAAAAAATTCGTGGCAGAGACTTTATCTCTCCTCGGCGCTTCAGACACCTGCGTGAATACACATCAATTCGAGCAAGCTCGAAGTGATCTGTCTTCATATACGCCGTCACATAACATGGGTAACAACATTGGGATGTCGTTCCACTCCGACTCGAACCATCGTCCTTGGCGTTGCCAAGCCTTCCCGTCAACTTCGTTTCGTCCCCACCTCTCTTTCTTTTACTCTTCTCCTTCGCCGCGTCGAATCGCTTCTCAGCGCGCTCGATTGTCTCCGGCATTCTCAGGATGCCTGATGAAGTCCAAAAAAATCCTCACATGATCAGGAGAGCTAGGGAGCTTAATCTCCGGCCTTTATTGTTCAAGGTGGACTGAGAATGATAACAGACGATTTCGACTCTGGTGATCGCTTCTAGCAATCTTCCATCCTCTTTCACAAGCAACTCGCCCATTCCTTCTGGTCTCTGTTACTATACTTTCATCTTCCCGCATTTTGCTTTGACCGCTGAGAGGAGGTGATAACCCTTTCTACGTTTTCCTCAGCCTCTCTGTGTTGCTCAACCACATTCTGTGTTCCAGCTTTCACTACATGTTGTAGCGAAAGGGTCCGGACCAACAACCACGAGCCAGATCATTCATCATCATCATCAGAATCCTGGTCATCATCCGATACAGCGCCATTTGATACAACTTCTGAGCCCACGTCAGAGCCAGGAGGAGACCCCCACCACCACCACCAGCTGTTTTCTACAGGCTCCTCCTCAACGTTGAAATCGAGATGGTATAGTCCAGCCCGTTCACTTATCAGGAATAAATCTTCTTGCAGCTCGCATGAATCTTCTTCCTCCATGGTGTAGACCTTTACGACAGAGAGATCGCAGAACTCTGGCACATCTTTGAATGTACTAAGAAGTGTGTTCAGGTGCGGCAGTATGTGGAACACTATCCTTCGTATGATGAGTGATTGGATACCTGGTGGTAACAGCTCATGAAGATATGGCGGGTCGCCATCATGGGTCAAGAGGTCCAGATCAATCTCGAGATAGCGCAACTTCGCAAACGTACGTAGGTCCAAGAACACTTCGTTGGCGTACTCAGGCATCATCAACACCAGACGCGCGAGCGTACCTGACATTCCTTGTAGAGCATTGAGGAATCCGGCTCTGACGATTGGGATTTCATGTTCGGGATTAAAGGCAAAGCTGGTATCGATTTCGAGTGTTTGCAGTGCTTTGAATGTGCCAAGAAAGGCCTCAAGACCACGCCAACCGATCTTACAGTGCTCAAGCTGCAGATGACGGAGGTTGTTTGACGGGATTTCCGAGAATTGGGTTGGTTCGTTGTGAAAAAGGTTTCCAACCAAAAATTCTCCAGTGAATGCTGTGAGGGTAGGCAGTGACAGGAGACTCACACAGCTTCTCAAGTCGACCGGGAACATTGCGGGAGACTTCACAGTGAGGGTGGTGAGGAAGGAAAGAATCGGAGTAGGCTGTCGTATTAGCGAGTGTGACTCGGCAGGTTCTTTCGACAGCATTCCGCATGCAGTTTTGAGGACGTAAGGCTGAGGTATAGGGTCGAGAATGGTGTTGCACAATGTTTGGACGAAGTAGCCAACAGAAGGTTGGTCTGGTTCGAGGTGCACCTCGAGTACAGTAGGCACAAGAGTTAACAAGAGTGCGATCTCTGCTCCCTCCTCACCATCTTGTAGACTCTTCTCCCACGATCTTCTGAAGCTGATGTCTAGACGATCAAACCCTCGATATCTCTTCAGCGCATCCACAAACATGCTGCTCGTGGTTGATGGCAATGGTAGTTTCTGATATAGCTGTCGGAGGCAGCTTGGAAGCAAGCTGGCCTCGTAGATCTTGTTGAGGCGTAGATCTTTGACTTCAACAGCGAGATCCGGGCGACTGATCAGCGTACGCAAGAATCGTTCAAGTCTCGTTTCCTTCCGAGCAGCGCGAAAACTACGTTGGTCGCGCTGATAGTACTTGTGCAACCACTCAGAGTCTGGCTTGAGCAGTCGAAACTGAGCGCTGACGGTTTTTGGCTTGACAAAACCGCTGTATAGCAGCGGCTGAGCAATCGCCCGAATCTGCTCTGACACAAGACACAGGTTGATAAGATCTTGCTGTGCGGTGTTGGAACAGTCGTTGTCGTCACAGCAAACCTCGGGATCATCGCACTCGGAAGTGGTATTCGGGCTGTTGATGTATCCAACGACCTGGAACCATATTTCGTTCGGAAGGTGTGCCATCGTGAGATGAGTGTAAAGTTCAAGTCATCAACCGAGGCGAGTGAGTGGAGTAGTCAAAATTTGAGAGAAGGTCGAGCGGTGCGTATAGGTCGATAGACAAGTGTTTGGTGAGGGTAGTTTGGCGGAGTGTGTTTCGCGTTGGCGAAGGGGAAAGTGATTCTTTCGGGAGTGCTGTCGAGAAGTTGGTTGATGGAGACTGTCCGTTACTCGATGGTGGGACCGTGTAGGCGAGAGGTTGACGCGATGCAATGGTTCTTTGGGTGATGGAAGCACGTTGCCAGGAGACACTAAGCGATGTTCGGTGGGAAAGCCCAGGGACGAGTTGTGGTATGGGATGTGACGCGGCAGTCGCAGTGACAACAATGACACGGTGCGAAGGAAAGAAAACCAACAGACAACGAATGAGGAAAGCAGGACAGAGAAACGCAACCAACTCGCTTGGCGTTGTTGAGGTTGCCTGTTGTCAGCTGGAGGAAATCGAACCCTCGTGACTTCCTTTCGTGGTGCAATAGCATGCGCCCATCAGCGATTGATACAATGATTACACATCTAAAATTCAAAACAAACAACGACACTGGATATGAGATCATTCACTATGAGTGGATTGGCCTCTGTATACTTACCAAAAAGCCGTTATTGCATTTATGCCTTTCTTGTTATCCTTCTTTTACTCTGCGGCGAAGGTGTCCGGAACAGAACTGACATTAGCGCACTTGCACCAGTGCGATGTTCCTCGCCTACTTCAATCTTCTTCTCGTTTGCTTTCATGTTCCTCCTTGTCGGCTTTCATTTTCTCGTCTGCGTATTCCCTCTTTCTTGCCAAACAATCACCTCTTTTTCTCTTCCAGTTACCCTTTTTACTTCATCTGCTTCTTGCTGCTCCAATCTGTTTGTCTGCTAGATCTGAGTCTCTGGCCAGATGACAAAATTGACCAATCCTTGTATCTATCTAGTGAACGATTCAATGTGTTGGTTTTTGGAAGTTTACGCTATGTATCTTGGGAGTTCAGTCACTTAGATAATGCTTCCAAGTTCGGCCATCGATTGACGTGTAATCGCTGGCAGCTTCCAGGAAGTCCACAAAATGTAGAAGTTGAAGCTTCTTGACATGCCTAACTCGCATGTCGAGATTGGCGATACGGTCATCTTCTTCCCGAGACTTCACAACGTTGTCCCTTTGTTCGGACTTGGTCTTTTGATAACACTTCGAGTCTCACACTTCCATTGCAGGATGTTGTGGTTCCAACTAGCCGTGTTGGTCGGCGTTTCCGCGTAGGAAGTTTTAATACATCTTTCAGTTGGCCGATGATGTAGAGGAAACAAACTTGCCTCGTTTCGAATTGCCGAAATTGTTCGCCTGTGGAAGTACTGAAAAGCTGCTCGAAATTGACCAGAGACCTTGCGAAGCTGCCATTCAAAGGCACGAGTATCTGAGCCGAATTAGTTATCTGAGGATGGCACAAAGGGGCACTTAAGAAGGACATTGTGCCAGGACCTACTCTATTCCCAGCTCCATGTTGTTAAAATGCAGTTAATCTAAATGATTGTACTTTGTGCTTACTCTGTACAATCATACAAATGACAAGACGATGCAAGCGGCCTCGTAGAGGGATGACTCAAAACAAACATCAAGGAGAAAATCGTGGTAACGTCCTCCCTGTGTAGTAACCTTCGTCAGGTCAACTCCCATTGCAGTGATGTGTGACCAATCCACCCATCGAAATGCACAATGATTTTGAGCGACAGCACATCATCCACAGAGAGCGAGGGTTGGAGGCCTTCTCTTTGGACCTAGCTCTACTTTCGAAAATCATCGTGCATAGCAGCAACGTCAGGTTCCATGCAAGCCGAGTTTCTTTGTTTGCAAGGAGTTTGGGCCTTTTAAACCCCTATATCTTCTCCAAAAACGATCAATTTTCTCACATTTCATCTTTCCTGGAGCGAGAGGCAGGGATTACTACACGCAAGGTTTCACCGTCATCTTCACCGGATCTCAGTTATCCTTCACTCAACCTCAGGCATCTTTCACTCGCCAGCTAAAACAAGTTCCTCTGGAGCTCCCTCATCGTCTAATTCTCCCCCTCTCATCATCTCATCCTCCCACAGATCCTCCGTTCCCCAGCCAAGATGGAGTCCGCCCAAATGATCACAGATCCTTCATACCAAGGAGCTTCGGCAGAGACCATCGCCACAAAAACGTTCCAATACTGGAAGCGCACTCTGAAGCAGCATGGCTTGAACACTTCTCTTCTATGGCCTCAAGATTTCCAATGGCTGCTCCCAGGGCCCGGAACTACTCAACAGCAGCTGGACATCTTCTGCGCCCTACGCGATCATCCACTTAGCAGACCCAACAGTGATCTGATGCGTATCGTTCAGCTTGAGCCATCAACACAGAATTCACCTCCGACTCCTCCAGGACATCATTTTTACATCCGCTCGTGGCAGTTCACTCAAGACCAGCTCGAGAAAGTGATCAGATTCCTGTGTAGGCAGGATATCTTACTCTCAGAAGCCACACACTGGGAGAACACTTCGATCATCTACAACAACAAGACTCAGCCCTGCACATACACCATTCGATATGTAGACATGGTTTCTGGACCTCAGAGACCCACCGACCGGCACACCAAGGACTTCGCTGCAGACGAACGAGCACCAGGAGTACTTCTTGAGTTTTTGGCAGCAGTTGAACAACTCTTCCCGGAAGTCGCTGCGGCTGTTGAACTACACCTAGTGAAGCAAGCATCAGTGGACGGATTTGAATCGTCTTCACTTGCTGAGGAGATTGAACGTGTCCTGATCGAATACCTTGGTCATCCATCTCTCCTTAATCGCCCACAAGGCGGTGACTATGTGAGCTTCGTCCCGTTTTATGACGACGTCGACCTTTTCAGGAAGCTTCACACTCACTACTTCACCGGCTTTCTCAGTGGTGCCAGCGATATTGCCATCAACCCGCGCATGACAACTGCTCTCTCCGACCACTTCGAAGAAATCCAGGCATTTTCAAATTCTTATCCATCTCATACTGGTACGGTCCAACATCACTTCTCAGATGGAATCCGCAAAGCAGCTATGAAGAGCGCCGAGCCGATGTTGTACCACGGCACAGCCATCCTTATCTTGTTGGGCAAAGGCATTACCTATGAACAGTATCTTGGAGAGAAGACATTCTTCGAGAGCAATGCTCGGTCAGCTTACTTGGTGCATGACTTTCTCTCAAGACTCGCAGGAACAGAAGAGATCAACACGAGCCCAGGTGCATCGTGGAATCCTAAGGCGTTCAACACTCATCATGTTGCCTTCGCGGATTTCTGGCCTTGGCTGTGGCATTCACGCACAACTCTAATTGATGCGATTCGCTTCACCCAGCAGTATTTGAGCATCGTACGTCCTTTGATCGTCGCCACCTGGAGCCGACCAGTCACTTCTATCGTACGAGCCAACTTCCAGAATGAGGGCGGCATGACCCATGGTTTGAGTCTGTTGGCAGTGGTCGGCGAGATCACAATCCAATACCATGGCTCTCAAGACGACGACGATAGCGCTTTCCTAGCCATTCCTCACATCCACCCAGGCTTCGAGAAATACGTCGATGCCAGTCTTCACCAAATCCTCCTCAGATTCATGGACCTCACTTGGCAAATGACCATACATCTCGCCGACGAAGCCCGAAAGCTTTTGGAAGAGGACCACGCCCAGAAAATTACCAGAACTAGGAAGGCTCATTGCATGGAGATTATCGAGCGAATTGAACACCAACGTGCATCGGACCCTGACATGCGTGCTTTCATGCAAAACTTCCGACAAGCCAGCGAGGATTTGCGAGGTGGATGGATCAGCATGCATCCCCCACCCGAGGTTGAAGATTACAGACCCCTGCCAAACGAGAACGGTCGAGCAAGAATTGTGGCAATCGGCCGTGCTGAAGGACATCCACACTCAGGCCAACGCGCGCAGCAGCTCGAAACTCTCTGGTCTCAGAGAGTAGACAATCTCTCATACTCCGGCGGAAAGTACAAGCAGAAATGGATGGATGATTTCTTGGGCTTGGAGAGAGGCCAGCAGATGTTTCCTCCGTTCCGCGACTAGGATGCATGAAGGTCAGTACCTCGGACGGATGTTCCTGGGTTTCAGACGGCAGTGAGACGGGGATGGCTAGAGGCTTTGACAGTCCGGCATTCGGAGGGAGGTCGTATTAAGCTGCAGTTCATAGATCGAGAAGAAGCTCATCAATGCAGAAAAATCTGGCAACGTATATCATCATTTCCAAACCACAAGAATGAAAGACTTGCAGGTGCTCGATGTTGACTTCAATGATGAGGGATTTCGTTTCGCTCGTTGGCTTTAGGATGATAGCTTTGCCATAAAGTTTAAGTTCAATATGAACACCAAGGTTATTCCTGAGCGATTACAGGAAGTCAGGCCGCTCTCATACACCGGATTTGGTATTGACATTGTCGACGTTGGCGGCAATGCAATCGGACGTTCCGCTGACACCGACTTGATTCCGGACGCCAACATTCTTTGCACTCGTTTCAGTCGTCAAGCCTAGGCTCAAGACCTCTGAGACATGTGTATTGCTATACACAAAGCCCATGAACTTGTTGCTTGGAGACTTGAGCGGCCTACTGTAGTTCAATAAAATGGAGTCAAGGGCCTTGCGCCAATATCCGCAGCGGCCAGAACAGAGATTCCATTGCAGAACCGTCCACCCAGATCTCTGGACACGCTCTATCTGCTTGACAGATTTCTTCTGGGACGCTTTCCGCTAGGTGGTACGTTCCGCTCAGCTTCCAAGGTACGTAAGCCAGGCTCGACCGAGGACCTGCAAACCTTTGTCGCATTTGTCAAGCGTCCTGAATACATCGGTCATCCTTGGGATTCTTTCTGGGTATCCTGCTTTGACAACGACTACAGATGGGACAACAAAATCATCGGAAAGAACTTGGCGGTACTGAGAAGCGTGCGAACCGTGTCCACTCACACGCGTCAAGGTGCCGGGAAGATCGCTGAGACATCTTACATCCTTGGTCCTCCTGGAACTTCCGGTGCGGAGAAGAAAGAGGGGAAGGGAAAAGAAAAGAGGAAGAAGCGTGCTGCGTCTTCTGACGACGAGGCTGGGGGCTTGGAGAAACCAGTTTCGAGCAAGTCGAGGCCTCCTAGGTCCAAATATGCCCCTACCGAAGAGCCGGACAAGAAACGAGAGGCTAAGAAGAGAGGTAGTGGCAACTCGGCTGCGCCCTTATCAGCTGACTTCTTAGACCCGCCTGCTAGTGGACGCAAATCTCGAAAGCTTGTTAGGGAGGAATAATTGAAGTATAGCTGTAGGATTGTACAATTGCGACATTTTCAGGGGCAGCCTCCGTTGAGAGCGTGATAGTTAGCGCCTCTCTGCGGACGACTAGAGTGATGTTGAAAACATTGTGCATTTTTACAGGCCGAATAACTCTAGACATGGCCGTGGGGGATGGCTAGAAGTGACAAAATTTAGCACAAGGGGAGGGGGGGGGNGGGAGGTGGGAGGATGAAGATGAAGAGTTTGATTCGGAAGCTTGCTATGTAGGGGACAACCCAAGGAGTGTTGATTCAGACGATGAGTCCGACGGCGGTTTCAATTCTGGTCAAACCATGGTTTCATTGTTTTGGAGTCGGTCATGTCGCACCATCGTGTCTCGCTATAATGATATTACTTGCTACCTCATGAGTCGTGCTTGATTCTCGTTCATTGCCTCCATGAACGTTCTTCCACAGCTTTCACCAGCCTTCCAGATCATGCCAGTGCTCGACGTAGAGCTCCTCGTCCCACAGTTCCAAGGTCACTCCAGCTTCAACGGCAAAACCTTGCAATGCGCTGGTATTGCCAGAATCGTCCTTCAGCCATTCACTATCGACAGGGCCATTTGCTAGAACGTCACCGTTTGGACTTACAACGATACTTCCCATTTCGACCAAATTGCCCTGTGCGTCCACTGTGTGGTCTTCTGGCCATGCGAATCCGAGCTTCAAGGTTTTGAGGTGAGAGAAGCGTGAAGGGACTGCTTGAAGAAGAGTGATGGCTGACTTGATGACGGTCTCGTAGTAGCTTCTCCGCAGGCAGAGATGTTCGAGGCCGTGAGGTAGAAGCGTAGTGATATCAGGTGGTTGACTGTTCATGTTTCCAAGTAGAGCTTTCATTTCGAGTTCGAGGTGACGCAATTGTGTAAAAGTGTGAAGATCCAAGACTCTATCAAAGACGTACTCGGGCATGGCGAGAACGAGGTATTGTAGAGTTCCGGATACTTTGTTCAAGGCGTTCTGAAATTTGCTCTGGTATTGGGATGTGATGGTAAGCCAACGCTTCACTCGATCGTATGGTATATGCGGATTCGTGACGAAGTGTGAATTGATCTCCAAGGTCTCTAGGCTCGAGCTCGTTTTGAGTAGTATCTCGAGAAATGGGCCATCAGTCACGCTGTATTCGAGCTTCAGGTGACGAAGGTGGTTCGGTGGGGTGGTGTTGTAATGGAACCGCATGCCGTGTGCCGTGAAAGATCGCAGTGTCGGTAGCGTTAGCAGCGGTATGCAGTCCGGCATACTGACCAGACTTTCTTGAATACTGGGAGGTCGGACGTTGGAAACTTCGAGGTGCGAAAACACTGGTGCATGATCGGTGGAGAGATCATGAAATGCCCATGCTCTGTAGCTCGCGGTCGATTTGAAGAGTAGCGATACGCAGAATCCACGCCGGCCTGGGTCGGAGTCGCTCGCTTCCAGATCTAGAGAGCGTATGTTGGGTAGAATTGCCAGCAACAATGCAAGTTCTGCCTCTTCTTGGCCTGTCTTGAGGCATTGAGCCCACAGAAGATGTGCGGGATATCTATGGCGTGACGGACCTGTAACATCTCTTAATGCGAGAACGAAGTCCTCGCCAAGCACAGGATCAAATAGTGACTTCCCAACCAAGCCAAAACCAGGTCCTCTTGAATGACAAAAATAATAATGATCGATGCGGACGTGTTTGACGTTACAGGCAAGGTGAGGTTGTTGTATCAAAGTCCGCAGAAACTTTTCGAGACGTGTGTTCTGCCTAATCTGGAGCGAAATTTTCATCAATGAAATCTCAAAGTTGTTGACGAAGTCTTTCTCCGCCAGTCGAGGGCTGCCGAACTTGATGAATGTACGATACAAGGCCGGCTGTGCGATTGCATGATGTGCTTTTGATACGAGGCAGAGGCTTGCGAGCGCATGTTGTTTGACTTTGTAGTCTTCGAGGTCTTGAAGGTGATGGGAAGGGGTGAGATGTACGACAATTCGTAGCCAGATCTCGTCGAGAAGCTGTGCCATTCTCGATGCCGTTGACAGACGTAAGGCTAGGCGCGAGGTTTTCTGCTTTTATACATTGCGATGAAAATTATTGATCCTGCTTTTGCGAGTGAAAGCCAAATTGTCTCGGAGCACGTTGCTGTCTTAGACATGGACAAAACTTTGGTCAATGGTGCTTGCAGGCAACGAATCCGGAAAGCTCGGCATCAGACAAGACTGAGAAGTGCATCGAGGACATGGATATGCTTTTTGCAATGAGGTCAACCCTGCGAGGTATCAAATAGCAACAGCCAATGCCAGACACGATATTGATTGGAGGACAAATGTACCTATGGAGGTCAAAAATTTGGAACATTCCATTACTCACGCGACTCATTATTCCCTAGCCCTGCCCCTTTCCGAAACTCCAAAGAGTGTTTTGATTCTGTCGTTCTAATAAGCGGTATAAGCTGGCGGTGTATACTTGAACACTGGCTTCGCAGGCACAGCAAGACCAGCCTCCAGATCACCAGGTCCTCCATTCGCTTCCTGTAAGCTGGCCGCTCGACGTTCACGTTCTGCCTTCTCGGCGGCGAAGCGGTTCATATCTGCTTGCATGCCTCTGGTGTATAGGCGTGGTATGAACCACCAGACGAAGGCCAAACAAATGACACATAGCCCGGCGAGGACTCCGACAGGAATGGCCCATGATGGTGTACCCATGATGATGTTTGGTAATGATCGTGTGCAGAGGACCAAGTTGAGGTGTAATGCGATGGTTAAATGAGGCGAGACGGATGAAACTGAGGCGTCAAAGAAGCTTTGCTCGGCGAGAGAAGCTTTGGCTGGTCAGTATGGGTCTTGAGAGGTGTGTAGACGTGGTGGTGCGACTGACTTTATTCAGTCCTCTATTCTCACTGCTTTTGTTTCGGATCTGAGTACTTTTGCAGCTTGGCCAGCTTCCAGTGTCAACGAGTTTGGAAAGAGTAACAGAAGTTGGCAGGCTGGTAGACTCTTGGGATGCGTCCCAGGAAAGAGGATGCCTATATTGTTACAGGCAGACCTACCAACTAGAAGCGGGGTCAGCCACCACGTTGTAAGTATCGGTACTTACAAGCGTAGGATTGATCTTCATTTCACCGTCCATGGTCAGACTTGTTGGTGTTGAGAAACATAATCGCGCGCGCTCTCATGGAAGCGCTGATTGAAGCGCTTGAATCGGAATAGTTGCTTTCCTGTCGTGCGTTTACTATAGGAATTGCTGTAGGCAGATGGTGCACTGAGTAAGGTATAACAAGAAACAAGCATCAGTCAAGCATTTCACCGTTGTGGGTAGACAAGGCTGAGACAAGTCTTGGTCATATGCTAGCGATGCTAAGTCGAATGTGTGATGTGCGATGAAGCGTGATTGGAGCATCGCACTTGCCCAATGACCCCCAAGTACTGTACGTTTTGAGCAGTGTCTGTATTGGCCGAGCGACATCAAGGGGGATGTCAGCGGTACAAGGGCGATGAGCCGTGTTATCCGATGTGGCTTTCAATAATTGTCTGAAAAACTTCGCAGTGTCGGCCGGTAAGTTTATTCTTGGAGGACAATCGCTGTCGTCCGGATCGATTGAAATGAAGCTGACTGCTCTAGGTGATTGAGGGTGAGGTGTGTTCCATCTCTGAAAACACGGCATTGACGCGCTCCGTCATCGGAGTTTTGTCCACCAAACGCTTTGGCCCTTCACTCGATCGCAATTGACCCGGGCCTTTGATCAATGACTGCGGCCTATCCACAAGCAGTTGCGACAAATCGATCTGCTGTGTAGCATATGGCAAATCAGTCCAAGTCATTGATCAAGACAAGCGCTTTGCCAGGCTCGTCTAACCATTCTGTTCGAGACAGGAAAGTACGATAGGATGAAGGCATAGTACGTACGGAGCGGCCTAGGGTATTCGAGCCGCAGAAGCTTGTTCGGCGCCATGTCCAGGACGTCGAGTAAACCGGCTTGGGTTGTGAAGCGACTTCCTCCATGCTTGTTTTGCATGGAACAGCAGGAAGGTGCAACTAACCTTCACAGACAGCGAATGCGATGGACATGATTCGTGAACTCGTCTCGACCGACGACCGACCCACCTTCATCCTCGACAACGCAACGCCTGCTCAAATCATCTTCAAAAACGCGGCTTTCGACAACTTCGTCGCTGCTTTGGCACCGAACACGCCATTGTTCGAACCATGGCTTCCCAGCGTGTCGACAATGGCGGCGCGTGCTGTGTCCAATCCGACCTTCATGGGCGTCTTTGGTGGCAGGCATTGGACTGGAAAGAGCTTGGATTGTGGATGGACTGTCGTCTTTTGCAAGAAAGCCTCATGGACAACTTCGGCGCATAAGCCTTCGTGCAACCATGGCCTCGATACTCCTTCGCCGTCGCGGAATCATGGCAACATGGCTTCAGCAGAACCACACATCACGCACCAGCTCATAGACTGGACTATCAACCCTTCTCTCGCTGTCGACCCATGGACGAGATACCTTGTTAATGACTATCCATGGCAGAGCACGGCTATTGGTCCCATCGTCTTTTGGCCGTCACTACTGCGCTCCCATGCTGTATCCATCATGTCAAATCCCCAGCCTCGATGCATTTTCTGGGGAAGTGACTTCAAGATGATCTATAATGGAGCATGGGTCCGTCGCTTAGGAGAGATGCATGGGACAGCCCTGGGAAATCCAGTCGCACAGGGAGGTCAGGGGCTACATGACTACCACTACCAGCAGATCAGACACACAATGAAACATGGCATGGCCGCGACCGTTCGCGACGTCGAACTTCTTTTGCCAGTCGCTGATGGCCGTATGGAAGAGACGTATCATAACTCTGTCTTTACGCCCATCACCCAAGATGACGGCTACTGTGCTGGATTCATGTTTGAGTACGAAGACACTACACCTACCGTTTACAAGACAAATAGAGATAATGTCATCGCCAACATCACTCAGCGTGTTTCCAGGGCCGAAAGCCTTGATGCACTCTGGTCCATTTTCGTAGACGCGCTACACACGAAATCAGACGATGTAAGCTACGCCATGCTCTATACCGTCGATCGTCAAGCACCTATCACAGGCCCTTCAGATGATCATCTCGCATCTCGTGTCTACAGTCTTCATACAGCTCGCGGTATTGACACGTCTCGCTTTGGACCCACCGCGTCGACAGACCTGGAGTCGGTCTTCTCTTCCCTCGAAGACAACATTATATTGCTTGAATCGCGAGGCTCAACGCTACCGTCTGGACTATCCGTCGACACACCACGTGGCCTCGTCTTTTCAGCATATGTGATACCTGTAACCAGTAATCTCGGCGCTCATCTTGCACATGTCGTCATCGGTATGAATCCAAGGAGGCCCATTGACGAGAATCGCACATTTGTCACCTCTCTTCAAGACCTGTTCGTGCGCTCTGTTGCGGTTGTCTGTCTCCCCGAAGAGCGACGCATGGTGGAAGATGCCAACTTTGCTCTTCTTGATCAGCTCCGCCTCACCAGAGTCAAAGCGGAGAAAAATGCCGAGACCTTCGAGCGCATGGGTCGAAATGCACCGGCTGGCATGTTCATATATGACGGAGAAGGCAATGCAACCTACGCTAACGATGCATGCCTTAAGCTGTTCGGTATGACCAGCGCTGAGTGGTTTGATGCCTCGGCGCGCTCATCCGCATTTAGGCGCGTTCTCTCTGAGCAAGATCATAATTACTCGCAAGGACGTTTACAAACTCTTTTCACCGGGGCGATGTCCATAGACTATTCCTTCCAAGTCAAGCAAGATTTGAAGACTGTCTGGGTTGAAGGTATTGCTTTTGCAGAGCGCGATGAGACTGGGAACCTTGTCTCTGTTCAAGGCTGGGTGTCAGACGTATCGCATCGCAAATTCGCTGAGTCAATCAAGGATGAGCGATTGCAGGAAGCTCTGGCGAACAAAGAAGCAGCCGACAGATTTGTTGACATGGTGTCGCATGAGGTCCGCAACCCACTGTCGAGCATGCTGTTGCTTGTCGAGACCATCTTGAGCGTCCTCCCATCGGAAGCCAGTACTCTGACCACTCTAGCACCAGAGGATGTTGCTACAATTCTTTCGGCTGCGCAGACAATTGCCCTTTGTATTCACCATCAGAAGAACATTGTTAATGATGTTCTAGAGCTGTCCAAGCTGGATTCGAACCTAATGGAGCTCTCCTTCGAAAGTTCCAGGCCACTGGAATTTCTTGAGAAAAACTTACAAATGTTCAGTGCCGACCTCGTTGCAGCAAATATTGAAAGTATTGTGCAGCTCCTTCCAAGCTATCAAGAAACTCTGGTAGGTGCCGTCCTAATGGACTCTAGCAAAATGACCCAAGTTCTGGTGAACCTCTTGACCAACGCGATCAAATTTACAAGAGATACAAAGTCCAACACTCGAAAGATCACAATCTCTCTGGGCGCTTCTTCAAGTAGACCCACAGGGTCTGAGCTGGGAGTACATCTTGTGCCACTACGAGACACCTCCAAAGCCAAAGTCGACGCCCAGCTGCTTGGAACACATGAGGCCGATGCATTATTCTTGCATTGTAGTGTTGCCGATACCGGTTGTGGCCTCACGCCGAAGGAGATAAGCCATCTCTTTGAACGATTTTCACAGGCATCGCCTAAAACGCATAAACAATACGGAGGTTCTGGCTTGGGTCTGTTCATTGCAAGGGAGCTAATTGAGTTGCACTCTGGTCAGATTGGCGTCAAAGGTGAACCGGACGTTGGAAGCACTTTCACATTCTACATCAAAGTATATCGCGAGCCAGCCACGACAGCTAAGAGCGAAATTGTTCAGCCGGAAGCAAACGAAAGAGGCACGACCAGGAGAAAGTCCTCAACACAACCGTCTGGACGGAAAGCCACCTTCTCTATCAAAAATCTCCACATTCACTTAGTCGAGGACAACCTAATCACTTTGAAGGTGATGAAACTCCAGCTCTTGAAGGCAGGCTGCAAATTCCTCACAACAAGCGAAAATGGACAGCAAGCGCTCGACGACCTGGCAACATCAGAACTTGATGCGAGGAGAGACTCGGAGCCAGTTTCGATTATCTTGCTAGATTGCGAAATGCCCATCATGGATGGCCTGACTTGTGCACGGCGGATACGAGAGCTGGAACGTATTGGAGATCTTACACGTCACATTCCAATCATCGCTATCACCGCCAACGCACGCCCACAACAAATTAACAATGCTATTGATGCCGGGATGGACGAGGTTGTGGTAAGTTATGATGGACTGCTATCGTAGTTTGGTAATGTATGTGCTGACTTTCGTTTTAGACCAAGCCATTTGATATGGTCGATCTGGTTGACCGTGTTGAAGCATTGATTCGAAAATGGCCCTCGCGTTCAGATGATAGAGGCGTAGCCACACCAGCTGGCTGATCGCGACGCCCGCACTATCGTTCACTCGAAGTAACATCTTCTGAGAACATGTATTTGGATTGACTACGCCCTGGGCAGGTGCAGAGGCATGGCCTAAGAAGCTGTTCGCGCCACTGTTTTCTGAGGCTGACCACAGCGGTGCACTGCTTTAAAACTTGTTACGGCAACCTGCAATATCGGTACTGGCAGTCAGGACTACGCTGACAGGATTGCCAGAGCCGGCTCCAAAACTTGCTGGAAATGCTCGACGCGTCTGACGCCTTCGATATGTCGAGGCATGTCAGATTTGATCGCTCTTGCTCGCTCGTTGATAATGGTTTTGGCTGGTCGTGTAGTGCCAGCACGACGCGGTCTTGAAATCCTGCAGTGTAATCAGTGTAATGCGGTGTAAATGGGTGATAATTTTGACCCGCTATGTAGTGCTGTCGTCTATAATGTCCAAAAATTCCTTCATGGCAGTCCAGATGAGCCTTGGGCTTCCTCTCTCTCAATCTGCCTTTTTAATCGCAGCAGCAGTATGGACAAATGCGCGATCAAGTAACACCTCTACAGTAACGCTTGTCTTTACCAGCGCGCACTGTAACCCTTTCTCGAATAACGTTGGGCTGGAAAACGAAGTCGTCGCGCGACGCGTGTTCGCTTTCAAAAAGAGATGGCGGGCTTGACAGCTGTGATCTCGGTGCCACCCTGCACATTCACACTCCAAAACACATTGACAAGCTAGGAGAAAAAGATCATTGTCGCATAGTATGTGATAGGGCAAGATTCACACAGGCAAAATGAAATGCAAAACATACAGCAGCAGGGATTCCCACGTGGTCACCCACCGTAGTACTAATCTGCCGTTCAACTGCTTATGTATGGCAGAGCGGACGGGATGCCCAGTTTTCAGCTGACTGTGGCCGTATGTGCTTATTTCTCGAATCTTGTGTCTTATCAAGCTTTGCACGGCTGCCATGAAACTAGACCCTCTTACTCGTCGCACACTTTCAGATTGGTGTGGAATTATTGTGATACCTCTACATAGCTATGGGAACTGCTTGTCTTGTCTATACTCTACATTACCCATCCGTATTACATAGTGTAGATGATTGGTTTCGAGATGACACTGCATCACACACTTTCACATCGTCTTTTCCGAGAACCATTAGACAAAACTTAAAACTAGACATTGAGAGCCGATAATGCACCAAAAACCGCCAAGTCTGCTCGAAATAGGAGCTTTGGTAGTACAAGATGCGTCAGGAACGAGACTTCGGGTGGCAGATGTTATGGTGAATGCTTAATGTTGTTGTCGTTGATATTTTGCATCGTCATGGGTACAACCCTGTCCTGCGGCATCGGACCCTAGACTTGACTCGTGTGAGCCGACCAGAATCACTAGCTGGCTCGCGGTGACAATCATACAATCACAACGCGCTCGCTAACCTACAACGAACAGACGTGTTACCTTGTCCAGGTGAAACCTTCCAACTTGTGCGACAGAGCATTTTGATGATTTGAGGGTCATAGGCCATACTGAACGCGTAAATGACAGCCATCAGGTTCTCGGCGCTGCGACCAAGTAGGTACTTCATACACGAGTTAATCTCCGATCCTTCGCGTGGTGTTTGATGCACATATCCACATTTTACTCCCTTCCTTCTAATCAGCAAGTGTTCAAAAACCTCCACGTCAGAGGAAAGCTCGACGGTCACAACAGCGACACTGATGCAGCAAAGCCAAGGATGGCTTTCTTCCAACGAATAACGCGATCACGCACCAAGGCCGTTGCAAGCTCGGTCGAGGCAGACAACAAGAATGTCCTATCTCGTCCCAGTCTGGAGAAGTTGCCCCTAGAAGTACTCCGGATGATCTGCGAGTACGTTGACAGCCCAGGAGCCCCTGGTCTTTGTGCGCTGTCACAAGCCAGCAAACACTGTCTCGCTGCGACGTCAAAGTCGCTCTGTCGTGAAATCAGATTCGACGTAACCAGTCGCAGAAAGCTTCAGCAGGATGTGAGTCTCTGCAGCACGCTTCTTGACAGCCGGTCAAGTTGGGTTCACGTACGCCGCGTCTCGGTCGAGGGAAGTATGCCAGAACAAGAGCATGAACCCGAAATCGTCAAAAGAGGCCTCCGTCCCAGAAGACAACCAACAAAGCAACATATAGGATCGCGTGGGTACTACGGCCCTCGGCGCACCCAGCAGAGATATCTGGAGAACACCCAAGACGACAACGCGTGGAAACCATTGGCAAAACTGCTGGAGGACATACCTGCTTTGACCGACATCATCTTCAATTCTCCCGACCAAGTTCCACCTTGTCTCCTGCAGACGCTTCATTCGCATATCCCGTCTTGTCGATTGCACGTGAAACATTTTCAGCTTCACATTTTGGAAGATTCTGATTTGGACCATCATGAGCGAGCACTGGTGACTTCGCCGTCTCTTCATGCAGCTACGTTCAAGTTCTTACATTGGGTGCGTGGCCCTATACCAAGGGCCGAATACGAGCACAGTGAACTAGTTTCTTTCCAATGGCTGGTGGCGGGCGCGGCTCCAAATCTACGCGAAATACGATTAGCGAATTACACAGGCGTGCCAACGGGCTTCATACCGTCCATGGATGAGCCCGGATGTAAGTCAGTCTTCCTGCATGTCGATAACCTATCAAAACCGGGAAGGATGGCACCTTTGACGACGTTCTCATTTGGCAGCAGAGATCACCGCCATTTAAATCGGTACGATCTGGATGTTTGGAGCAACTACGTCGACTACTCTGCCTTGCGCGCTCTCGAACTTGCAAAGGAGAAAAGAATTGATGCACTTAGTTGGGCAACGACCAACTGTTCTTTCACATCTCTAGAGACACTTGTGCTCATCATCGAATGGAAGGACAGCCACGAACTGGACATTATCAAGCAAACCGAGGTCGACGACTTTGTGCGCAGCCTTCCCCCCCTCAAAGACCTCAAGATTGATGGTGCTGTTGGTCCAAGTACTTTTCGAGCTATCGTTCAACGTCATGCTTCGACGCTTAAACGACTATGGATGGGAAACGTGGAGACGTGGCCTAGAGAGGAGGTCACTTCGTGTTTCACTGGAGTCCTGCAAGAACACCCTCTGCTTCAGCTTGAGGACTTGACTCTGGCCATCCGGCGATCCAAGGGCGATGAGAACGAAGTCGCAATATACAAGACTCTCGGATCCTTGCCCCGCCTTCAGACCTTAGACTTGACTCTCGACTGTGCGGACGAATCTATTCTTCCTCATGTTGTGGGACCTGACACGTCTTTTCTAGGACGGGCTGTCGGTAAGGATGTCACTGATAACGATGAAGCCATGGAGCTTACTCAAGATCTTTCATCTGATGATTTCCATCGGCAGACCTTCAAAGACTTACAAACGGCCGACGGTACTCATCTTAGCTATGGCCACATTCGAGATGCATTCATCAACAGCGCACTAGATGAAAAACTAGCTCGTGCTATCCACCAAATCATGATTGCCACCAAAGGCCCTCGCTCGCTGCCATTACAGCGTCTGAAACTTGGGACAAGAGGCGGCTGCCAGTTTGGTAGCATTGACTCAGGAGTGTTAGCAGGCGTATGCGATTACATGGGTCGAGCGGTGCTAGTCGAATGCAGTCTCCCAGGCAGTGGTCTCACGCGGCTTTCGGTAACACAAGTGGAAGATTCACGTGACTCTTACCACCCTTCCTTCTACAATTTCGCATACACCAGAGACGGGCCGCCTACTGAATTGGATTCGCAAACCGAGGCGGTCTTCCGGCGACTATGGCCAGTCAAGTCAAGAGTTGGAGGCAGTTGGCAGAAGGAGTGGCATAGTCTGCCTCTCGCCGAGCCTGCAATTACAAGAATGTAACACTTGAAAGCTCAATATCTTCCACATTATCGTAGATAACTACCGCTGCGATTATGCTCGGCTGTATGCGCATATAAGCTGCTATATAGCAGTTGTAGTTCGGTTATGACACGCTGACTTCGTAAATCCTGCGCTGTGCAGCGTTGTCACCCTGTCCAGATCACGCAGTAAGCAGTAAGCTCATGCCAACGTAACCTTCTCATATTCATCTTTCCTCTCCATATGCAAATTGAAATCACTGTCAACACATTGAGCTATCATACAGACGTTTTTAGGTGTCTCGTGGACGCGTCGCTGTGTGTCGTCACAATTGGCTGCCGACCCCACGGACTTGTGGCGGCGGCAAGGCTTCTGCAATGACCTTGCGGCGCCGGCAGAGATTTCGCATGAGCTGAGTGATGTCTGTGTGCCTCGTACGACCCAAAAACAAGAGTGTGTCCGTGTATTCCTGCGGAGGTGGAGGTGGAATTGCTTAATTCGAGTGCAAGTCGTCAGTCAAAGGTGCGGCTCTGAAATCTCTTGGCTGGTGTTTCTCCAGACGATGACTTCATGATGCGTATCTCACCCGATCGGGCAACTCAAGTGGATTATTACATCCTCAACGCGCTCTTTCCTGCGTGTCGTGAAATCATGGCGTGTGTTTGGTGTTGCTAGATAACTTTTCCCTGCTACATTCTACTTCGTACCTTCTGATTAACACGTACCTTGATTCGCTGGAAATACAATCGACTGTTTCGCTAGTGACACGAATCAGTCATGGCTGCCACGTACTTCACGTGCACTCTTGGACAGGCACAGTCTCTAGGCCTGACCAACTCCAAATTCAAGAACATCAACCAGTTCATCGACTCTCAGGCAGAAGCCATACCCAGCCAGCCAGCTGTTGGCTTCGCAATTCCCTCCACCTCGGATTCTCAATGGAAGAGCAATATCTGGACTTTCTCGGATCTGCAAGAGGGTTCTAAAAAGGTTGCGTCTCTGCTGCAGAAGACACATGGAGAACTTTTATCGAAATCAGACACGGTTGCATTAATATGCCCGAGCACTCCCGAGTTTCTCTTTACATGGCTTGCTCTCATGCGCCTTGGTCATCCTGTTCTTCTGGTCGCACCTCAATGTCAGCCAGCAGCAATCGCTCATTTGTGCAAGACATGCCAAACTACGGTCATTTTCCACGACGAGACGTATGCAGATCAGTCCAACGAGGCCGCAAACGTAGCTCGCGATGACAGCGGAGAACTTCATGCCATCGAATTACCATTCTCCAAGGGCCACTCGTTGTCAAATATTATGACACAGGAAGCTGTTGGCTCTACAAACTTCCCTGATGTCAAGGACTCTGACGTTGCCTACCTTCATCATACCTCTGGAACATCTTCCGGCGTACCCAAGCCGATCCCGCAAACACATCGTGCAGGCGCAGGTGTTCTTCCTTCATTCCCTGATGGAAGGCAGAGTGCTTCATTCACTACAACCCCACTGTACCACGGAGGTGTGGCAGATGCTTTCAGAACATGGACAAGTGGCGCACTCATCTGGCTCTTCCCTGGTAAGGGCATACCGATCACTGCAGCCAATGTCATCAAATGCTTGAGTGCAGCAGGAGAGAGCACAAAGCAAGGACTTCCCCCTGTCAAGTATTTCTCCTCTGTACCATATGTGCTACAAATGATGGAAGCAGATGAACAAGGCTTCAAATACCTCCAGAACATGGACATTGTTGGTGTCGGTGGTGCTGCCCTGCCAGATGAAGTAGGCGATCGCATGGTTGGTAAGGGTATCAACTTGATATCAAGATTTGGCAGTGCAGAATGTGGCTTCCTCATGTCATCTCACCGCGACTACTCCAAGGACAAAGCATGGCAGTACTTGCGCAGCGACGAAGGAGCCGAGTTCCTTACTTTCGAGAAGAACGAGGATGATCTTGCTGAGTTGGTCATTAAGCCAGGCTGGCCGCACATGGTACGCTATCCATGATCCACCGAGCAACGTCCCAGCTGACAAGATATCTACAGGCCAAGAAGAATCGTGATGATGGATCTTTTGCCACAGCCGACCTCTTTGCCCCTCACGACACAATATCGAACGCCTGGAGGTACCACTCTCGCGCAGACTCTCAACTCACATTGATCACCGGAAAGAAGTTTGACCCTGCTCCACTGGAGGGCGCCATTGCCACTGTAGATCTTCTAGATGATGTCTTGATCTTTGGTAACGCACAACCGTTCCCAGGTGCCTTGCTGTTCCGCTCAAAAACGGCAAAAGATATTCCAGACGACGAGCTCATCCAGAAGATCTGGCCAGCCATTGAGAAACTCAACTCAGAGAGCCAGGATCACGCGCGCATACCGAAGAAGATGCTGGTTGCCATGCCAGTAATTGATCAGCCATTGGAAAAGAGCAGCAAAGGCACTCTCCTTCGAGGCGTTGTAGAGGCCCGCTTTGCTCAAGACATCGACAAGGCCTATACGAACATGGGCTCTTTCAACGTCGGTGACGTGCCTGATGAGAAGGTTTCCAATGTCATCATAGAGATGATAGAGTCCATCGTCCCGAAGAAGGCGAAACTGGACGAGAACACAGACCTGTTCTCTTATGGCGTCGACTCAGTCGCCGGTATTCAGATAAGATATGGCCTTCGACAACTGCTCCCAGAATCGACCAAACAGTTGCCGCTCAACGTGATAGAGGATTGCGGCACGGTGAAGCGATTGAGCGAGTATGTCGTCAAGCAGCGTCATGGCGAAGAGCTTACCGACGAGGAGGATGAACACAAACTCATGCTTCAACTCGTCGACCAGTATTCCAACTTTGATAACAGAAGCCCGTCGTCGTCCACAAACGGGCAGGGTCATAGCGAAACCGACAAAGGAGATGTTATCGTCTTGACGGGTGCAACGGGAGCTTTAGGGGCTCATCTCCTGAATCTCTACCGCAAACTCGACTCTGTCAAAAAGGTCTACTGCCTCGTCCGAGGAGCTGAACATCATGCCTCTGTTGAACGCGTCAACAAGGCTCTCGAACAGAGAGGTCTTGGTGGCCTGAAAACCGGTCACGAGAAGGTCGAAGTCCTTCAAGCGTCACTCGGCGATGATCACCTGGGACTCTCCAGTGGAGATTACGAACGGATTGCACAAGAGGTTTCGATTGTTATGCACGTGGCATGGAGTGTCAATTTTCGCATGCGTTTACGCAGCTTTGCAAAGGACAACATTGCGAGTAAGTCATCCCCCCAATCCACCAATGCATGAGTGTGTGTGATCAGCCCGTTTCGAAGTCTCCACCTGCATATCAGAAGACCTGGTCATATGTGCATAGATGCTAAGAGTGCTATTCTTGCATTCTATGCTCCCAGAAACCAGGTTTTTCTAAATTGCAATTAGATGAATTCGCTGCAGGGCTGCATCACCACAAGAATAGCAAAACAGACAGACCATCTGCTGACCGGGGTGCACAATGTAGGTGTGACAAATCTCATCAATCTGGCATTAAGGTCCGGCAGATCTGAGCCCGCTAGATTCGCATATTGCTCAAGCGTAGCAAGTGTCATGTCCTACAGCAAAGGAGTCTCGATCCCAGAGAGAATTATCGACGACCCGGAAGCCGCAAGCACCCTGGGCTATTCCCGCAGTAAGTGGGTCGCCGAGCAGATATGCAGCAGGGCGAACGAGCACACCCAACTCCAGGGTCGCATAGCCATATTCAGAGTCGGCCAACTCTCAGGGGACACTCAAAGCGGCATCTGGAATATCAGCGAGGCCTGGCCGATGATGCTGAGCAGTGTCAAATTATCCGGTGCACTGCCGAACCTCGATAAGGAAACATTGGACTGGCTGCCAGTGGACCTTGCTGCCGTGGCCTTGATGCAAGGCATAGCAAGCGTAGACGGGAGCGGAGACGGCGCGCATGTCCTGCATGTGCTAAACGAGCATCGCCGACCTACGTGGCCCACAATGTTGCAATGGCTCAAGAAACGACGTGCCTTTGACATTGTGGACCCGCCAAAGTGGGTAGCGCGACTTGAAGATATGCAGGAAAGAGACGGCGTCGATCACCCCGCATATAAACTTCTAGACCATTGGAAGAGGGCTTATGCCCCTGAGCACGAATCGGAGGCTCAGGATTCGGCGCCGACCGTCTTGCCTTTTGACATGGCAAGAACCAAAGACGCAATTGCCGTGCTGAGAGACGTCAGTCCTGTGGATGAGCAGTATTTTGCCAAGATTTGGGACTGGATCGACAGAACCATGTAGATGTCTGGCCATTATCAAGATATCATCGCTGTGATAATAGATGTAGATCTATAGATTGTCGATACTGATTTGCACATAGACTCTCTGAGTATCGCGTGAATGTGACCCCCCTCTTCGCATAACTTTGCTCTATTGATTTGAGCTATTTGTTGAGAAGGATGGTAAACATACTCTCGTGATTGTGCCCATGCAATACCAGTGTGAGCGAGATGAGAAACGTTGACGACGATGAACTCTTCCCCCTGGATTGAAATTTGGCAGGTATAGACAGAACGTCCAGGCCTCGGTAGGAAGGACTCGGTATAGGAGTGGTATGGGGATGGAGTATAACGTCTGGTGGCTTGACATGAGGAGGTGAGGGATCGGTTGGGGGTAGGACTGAACGATTTGAGAAAAGGTCCTTCTAACCAAGCCTCTTCGAGCCTGTCCTGTCAAGGCCTTACAGGGCAGGAGACAAGGCTGCATGAGCCGAAGAGCCAGCCAGGTACTGGTACTTGCTTCCGAGTGTTAAGCGTTTGGAGTGGGGACATCCTTTTTGCAGTAGACCATTGTAGACAGGAGCCCGGATCTGGGTAGTTTTTGCCTTGCGCAAGTGGCCTACATGACGCTAGCAAAGTGTCTCCTGTCGAAGCGGAGCCGTCACTGTCAATGTCAAGGGGGCACTGAATGAATGGAAGCGTGGTGCGGCAAGAGGCAGCGCCCGCTGTCCCGCGATAAGGGATAAGACATCGGTTCGCTTGGCGATCTGGCTTGGAAGTCTGCACGAGCACGCCGCCTTCACGCCTTCACGTGCTTTCGCACCGCCGTCGTGTGGCTTGCAACGATGCCATGCGGGCTGAAAGTCCGTCGAGGACGCGGTCGGCGAGTTTGTCGACGGGAAGCGTGGAGCTAGAAGAAGACTAAGCAGGTTCCCCGGTCTTGGTGGGGCGATTATGAAAAGATGGCACTAGACCTCTTCAAAGCCACAAGCATACTGTATCGCACAGTGAAATTCCCAATTCGAAAATGCCGCTGATATTTCTGGCCCGAGAGTGAACAAGTTGTGGTGTATCTTTTTCAAAAACTGGAGAAAGAAGCGAGAAAGGCAGAATAGACGAGCTCCCTTCTCTTTCTGGCTTGTCTGGCTTACCCTTGTGGTTCCTGCGTCGCGTACCTGCATGAGCCACAGAATCTCACACACAAGGTGACACTCCCAGGATCCCACAACCTGGAGCATGACGTAGTGAGGTCGGAAGGTTATGAAGATCAGGTCGGAGCCGTACCGCCGATTTAGGCGTGCTAAAACCACAGACTGAGTCAATCCCCAGGTGTGCACCCGTTCAGGCAGTTATGACTGTCGATTGTCTCAATCTGCTGCATAGTCAAGATAGTTGTGCAGTCAAAGCACTCTAACACATTCCCAATTCGAGGACGTTGCGGGCTGACAATTAGAGGAAGAATACACTATGATAGCGAGGGAACTCGAGAAGGGGCATAGCGTGTATAGCTTAATCTTGCCATCGGCGATGGCTGCAGAGGCCCTCGGGAGGCGTTACCCCGTTGGAACAAGTACGATCACCAGGATATGGAAGCTTTTGCCGTAGATCTGAGTCTGCCCGCCTTTGGACACGCGAGTTGGAGAGAGCAGGAGTTCCACGGTAAAAGTCAATGGGAGACATACCGAGCGGTTGAAGCGATTTAGGGAAAGCAACCGAGAGTGTTGTTGAAAAGTTTATGAAGCGCATGCTCCGAGCAAAACTCCAGGCGTATATACTCGTACCTGATATGCCGTTGGCTCGCCAGGGATCATTTCCACAGGGCAGAAGAACCGAGGACTTGAACTGCGTCGGGGACCGGGCGCACACACAGCAGGGTCTGCAGAAATTAACGATCGACGTTGGAAGGGTCAGCAGCAGGGTCTGTAGGGATGAAGAAGGTCGAACGGAATTTCTTCCAATTGCCCAGCCAATAAACTAGGCTAGAGAGGCTATCAATTTGATTGTGATGTAAATTGCTGTGTCTCTGTGGAAGCTTTCGAGAATGGCCAGCTTGAAAAGCAGCATGAAACACTGGGCCAGAGACGTAGAGTGAAGGCGGGGAAGCTGACGACCAATCAGAAGCATTAGGGAAATCACTACACCTGATCATCACGTTTCAGAATGTATTCCGATTGTCGCCGTCTACGTAACCTCAACCACGTGAGAGTACATTTGCTATCAATTGCAGCCAAGATGACAGGTAAGCCGTATATGATGTATTACTATATTAACTATATGCGATATAGCCATTTTGATTGGCGAGTAAGACCTCGTAAATCAGACGAGAAAGCCGCAGTGCGGCTGCGCCATTGGACAACAGGCTAATCACAATCACAATCACTGCACCCGAACTTGGACGAAAGCGCTCACACTCGTGTCAGCTCCGACAAATCCGAGGGCAGAGACAGGCAAGTACCTACTGCAGCAGGTACAGTACATCTGACAAGTCGGTAATTTCATCTTGTATACGGCCGAGTCATTGACGATTGCAAGATGATCATTTGCATGACGGAAATATCATACGCACACGGATTGCACGCCACCAGCAAGTTGCAACTGGGCATATCGCCGTCTAGCCGTCCACATGTGAGAGCGTTTGCTGTGAACGAACGAGACGCGATAACAGGTGAGCGGACATGTATCTACCCAGGCTGGCCAACGGGCAACGGACGAGCATCATGACCAGGACCTTGATACGAGGAGACGGTTTGCATAGTCAGCCGGCAAGACGTGTTTGTTGACGATGCAGACTAGCCATGTATAACAGTTATGATAAATGTGTCGATCGTGCCAGGAAATGCAGCGCCCAGATTTGGACATGCGGTTCTGAGACGGTCTGCAGGGCACCCGAGCGAATGCACGTGGACGACCAGGCTTCACGATGGACAAGTTGAGGTGCAGTAGTCGGGTCGTTAGCATAGACAACCTTAGGTTAGCTGGCGTGATGGCCGTTCCCAGCAGAAAAAACAAGAGTCGACGACGGATAGGAATAGACTCGACGCGGCGCCACAAGGCGTCGAGCGGCAAGCTGGCGTGTTAGCGTCGGGATCAAGGCACAGACAGGCGCCTTTGTCCTCGCACAGGGCAGGGCAGTAACGCGTTCTGAGGAGGCAGAGGGTGCAGGTATGTGCACAACACAGACTCAATCGACCGGTGCAGATGGGCGTGGCCTTTGTCAGTTGGTACCCACCAAGCCTCGGACGGCTTCCCCATCCGCCATGATTGCACCGGCCCTGCGGCCAGTTTCGAGTTTGGACGATCAGTACTTGTATGCTCTGCTCCCCCGGTCATAAACAGCTCGTTTCAACCATCAATTCGACCCGGCCATTCCCTCATTGCTTTTGCCATCAACCCGTTGGACGTACCATTCTTTTTCGCTGCTCATCAGACGTCACTTGCACACGATAGCATCTTATACATAACCCAGCACACCACCACTTCCCAATCCGTCTTCTCATATCTCTTCTGAAACCGACTCGCTCTCTGCAATCAAACGCAAATCCCAATTTACCCACCACTTTCTCAAATTCTTTCGGGTAAGCGTCGTGTCGAAGCCACCACCGCCTCTTGGACCCTCGAGGCTAACCGAAATTGATCAGACCCAATGGAACACCAATATATGACCCAGGCTCCCATGCAGTCGCCCATGTACTACTACACACCTGAGAAGCAGCAACTTCGCTACAACTCGCACATGGCCCCCCAGAACATGGACTACTTCTCTCAACCTATTTCATCTCACGTCTTGTACTCTCAACACAGCCCTGCCATCTACCAGCAACAACCCCAGTACATCTCGCAAGCCATGCTTACTCCTGCTGCCTCTCCTCGCCCTCAACACCAGAAGCCTACCATCATGCTCCAGCAAGAGATGATGTCGTTCGACTCGGACTGCTACGGCCCTGCCACCCCTACCCTGTCTGCCACCAGCTTCAACTCGGCCGACAGCCCTCAGTCCAACTACCACATGATGCCCACACCCGCCAACGAGCTTGCCATGAACCCCTTCGACACCATCAAGAACTGCGAAGACGACATGTTTGGTGAGTGGACTCAATCCACATCTCCACCTTTGACTCCAGGTACGTGTTCCATTGAGAGGGCAATTTCCCTTTGAGTTTTGGTTTCATCCAATTATAGAGCCTTGGCTGACTCGCTAGCTGAAGTGTACCTGCATCCCGCATCGGCATTTGCCGAGAACAGCAGCTATCTCCTGAGCAACTCTGCCTGCCCATCATTGTCACCCTCGCCGTCGCCCATCCCGCGCTCCGCCATCAACGACGCCAGTGTTTGCGACCCCCGCACTTTGACGGTGCCGAGCAACGCTTTCCCCTGCCTGCCAACACTCTGCGCCGGCGATGACGAGGAGCACAAGATAATCCTCAAGGGTGACCACTTCACTCCTTCCAAGACTTTCGACGCATGCGAGCTGGTGCCTACCAACCACGGCTTCCCCACATTTGAGCCTCTTTTCGAGCTTGACGTCGAGGACGATTTCTGCAACTCCAAGCGCCAGCGCATCGACTCTCAATACTCCCCTGAGACCTCCTTCTGCTTCACCGACGCCAGCTTCTCCGACGAGGACTTGACCTTCTCCCCTTGCCAGTCCGAGTTCTCCTTCACCTCAGCCTCCGCCATCGACATGACTCCTATTCGCGCCTCCAAGAGATCGGCCAAGGCTCCTCAGTCGTACTCCGCTGCCGCTCACTCTTCATCCAGCCAGCCCCAGCAGGTTCCCAGCAACGCCCCTGCCTCCTCTTCCTCATCCGCATCTGGCGATGACCACTCCCACTCTCACGCCTCGTCGTCCTCGACTACCCGCCGCGGTCGCAAGCAGTCCCTCACCGAGGACCCCTCCAAGACCTTTGTCTGCACTCTCTGCTCGCGCCGCTTCCGTCGCCAAGAGCACCTCAAGCGCCACTACCGTTCCCTTCACACTCACGACAAGCCTTTCGAGTGCACCGACTGTGGCAAGAAGTTCAGCCGTAGCGACAACCTCAGCCAGCACCAGCGCACCCACGGCGCCGGCACCGTTGTCATGGGAGTCATGACCAACGACATGACCTCTCAGATGGCAGTCAACGTTCCTGATGTTGGATCGGGTGTCCTCCGCCCCAAGAGCGAGACCCCTGATGCCACCGAGCTCGGCGCCATGCTCTTCGACCACGCCGCCGCAGTCGCCGGCTCCAGCAGCAGCAGCCAGTCTGGCTACGACTCCGCCGAGGAGGCTGGCTTCCAGCAGAAGAAGAGAAAGCGCGATGAGTAGATTCTCTCGCCCAGAATCCTTTCTCTTTCTGACGTTTGATGCCTAACGACCCTCATGCCAACCCTCTTCTTTTGTTCGCTGCTGCTTCTAGACTTGTACTCTACGCACGGTGCTGTCTCTCTGGATGAGAGCACAAAAGTCACATCACTCTGGCGCTTCCAGCCGCAAAGCGAGCCTGCTTTTTGCTTTTCTTCACTTCATGTCTATCTTTATACACCTTCCTGTGGCAAGGTTGCTTCTTTATCCTCAGCCCTCTGAGGCTTTTTCTGTACTGTACAGCGAATATCTGCATTTGCATGGATGGGAGCTCTGGGAAAACGGTCTTTTGCTCTTTTTTAGCTATCTCGCAATCACAATGTCAAGCCCAACAGCGGCCTCTGATCAAGTTTCTGAACAATTCTTCTCTACCTTGTCCAAATTTCATCATATCCGTGCTTCATGTCTCTGATTATGCTTTTTTGCCTTTGCAAGCTTCCCAAAATCGACCTTGCACCAGCTACGTTTCAGGACTTTGCGGAGAACCATCATCTTTCAACCAAGATTTCGCACGAATCTCCAAATCTCCTCTTGGCCGAATTCAGCGGCCCCACTCACATCTTTCCCTTGAAGATAATCACTCTTGACTCTTGCCATACGCGGCAGTTGCAGTGAGATGCGGAACATGACTCTGGAATGATCAACACAGTCCAGAGCGTACGTAGCACTTTGGATAGAGTAATCATCATTTCCCTCTGCCAATGCTTTTACGTCCCGCAAGACCAAGTGGATACCTACTGCAAGATCTCTTTTCCCCCATTCGAACCGGTACTTGAAAAGCTCCGAGGGAACCCGTAAGGCTGCTAGACAGGTATACTTGGCCGCACTCGACCGGCGGGATGCAGCAAACAGGGCAAGGACTTTTTTTGCTTCAAAGCTGCACACGCAAGGTCCCTGACTAAGAATCGAGTGAGTACTATCGCATACTTTTTCTTTGCGTTGGACGAAAAACTCGCCGCGACTGCCGCGTTGAGGGTGCGAAAGAAGCGGGCGGCTCCTCTATTCGGATGCAACAAGCGAGAAATAACAAGATCGCGGATAGCAATGCGAGATCCACTCCCGCCTTTTTTTGCATCGATGAGAATGCACCAACAGCTACCAACCTCCTTCAGGGGTGGCTCGCTCAACAATGGAATAGAATAGACGAACAACACCACGCAGGAGGTCTAGAAGGAGGAAGCACTGATATTGCTCGCTACACCTATATCAAAAGAGTAGGCAAATCGTAGATGTCATTGCAGGATAAGAGAAGCGAAGAATCGATTTGCCATGCATGCCATGGCCTTCTTGCTGGAGTTTAACTCCGAGGCTGGGCATGAGCAGCTTTTTTTTGAAACCCCACAGTCTTTTGCTGAGCCAGACTTCTTGAGTCTTGACTCGCTGGTGCTGGTGCTTGTGCTCGCTCGCCGCAAATGTCCATGCCAAATCGTCGTGCCGTGTTTGCGACCAAAGAAATGCATTTTTCTTTTCTTTCTTCTTATTCCAGGGCAGAGAGGGCTCTCAGAGCTAAAGCGGATGATTTGCAGAGGGACCGCGACGAGCCGAAGCTCTTTACCGTGGCTCTGCTCCTCGCTCGACCAAGAATCTTGCGCCATACTCAAAAGATCTTCCGATCCGTGGTGTGAGATTGCAATTTTATCTCAACCACCACTGCTGCTCTTCTTGACAGATTTTACTCTTTCAGCTACGTTTCAGCGAATTATGGTCGTACCTTGCCTGGCATACTTGCTGGCAAAACACACTACCACGAATGTACCTTTAGAAAAGGTTACATGGCTTAGTGGGTTAGTAGTGGGTAGGGCTGATTTGACGGCTTTCGAGATTGTGGGTGTTGGTGTAGATTGCAGGATATCTGCATGTCATCATACCTTTGCTAAGGCACGACGACGTCAAGTCAAGATCCATATCTGCACAGCAAGTATCCACCACGTATCCCAATTGCCAGAAGGAAATTACTCGCCAGCAAAGGAAATAAGAAGAAGAAAAAAAAACACACATGCAAGGTACGGAGTCAGGTCACCGGAAGGAAAAGAAACCTGGGACTTGGGATACGTGTACCTCCTCCGACTACTGCAAGAGATTGATGAAGAAAGAATACACAGCTACATGCAGCAGATCTCAAGATCTGTGGAAATATTGGTATGACAGCTGTCTTTGACAAAGCGACAAGTCGCCACATGTTGGAAGGATTCTTTCCCTCTTCATTCTGTTGCACTGCATGTATTTCATACATGTACCTATACCTCGGAGCCTCAAGAAGGATTCGCAGTGCTTCGAAGGATTTTCTTCGTATGCAGGTCTGCTTCAGCCTCAGGTACGTGTTCTTCCACGCTCGCTTACATTGCAAAAATCCTCCTTCCGAACTTCCCAAGTCCAGAATACCAAGTTTGTTGGTGCTCAATTCAGATCATCAGCTGGACTGGTAGAAAGACGTTGGTGTAGCAAGATAAGACAATCTACACATCCAACAGGTCTGCTGCTTGCTATACACAGCCACCACGCGTCCAAGACTGCCTATCCAAGAAACGTGTACTCGAATATGCGAGTATAACGGTCTCTTTTATGTGACCCTTCCTGCCATGCATACATTTTCAAGTCTTCTGACCCTTATGCGCCAACCAACCAACCACGAGTCCTTTTACGCCATCACCAGAAGGATCCGTGGCGAATAGCAAAATCGAGAAATCACCATTCGATTGATCTGGGAAATGGTAGAAGTACGTATCTTTTTTGTCTACCAGGCACAAGGTACATACCACTTCGGATTGGTGTGTGGTTTTCCTTGGTGCATTTTTTTCCCTTCCACCCCCGGAACGCGTTCCAGGTCCCCGAGTGAGTAGCGGGATAGACGGCTTTGCTCGGCGTGGAGCGACCAAGACGACTACCCATCTCAGCTACCAGCTACGCAGAAATCCTTCTCGGTCTTTGCGTTAATTGGAATGTAGTTAGACCTTCATCGCGATCTTGGTGTATGCGCCGACGGCCCTCTACGGCCACTCCGGGCTTTGTAGATTTGTGGTAGACTTGGGTAGATTTGTGAGTGGATTTGGTGAAGGGCCAAGAGACTTGGGGTGAAAGCGGTTACACGCTTGCCATCCAAGGAATCCTTCAGCAAGTATTTTGGATGGACTCTGGAGAGATTCGGCCAAGAGCGAGCCGTCTTGCCCCGTAGACACAGCTCTGGAATCTCTTGCATATCAGAACATCCTACTCATGCAGCCTTACGGAAACAATAATGGCTCGTTCTATTCTAATGGACGTTGTGGGCTTGAGGGGCCATGGAAAAAAATCCTCAGGATATCGATCGTGTCGGTTGAGTATCAGGGGCTTTTACTCGAGTAGACGCGACGAAAGAGACGGGATGTGTTAGTTGAGGTTGAGCTGTACAGTTGACAATAGTGTACAAGTGGATGCTAACAGTGGAGTTCAGAACGCCAGATATCAAGTGATACATACATATGTCCCACTAACAAAGATCAATCAATATAGGGCCGCTTGCTCAAGTATAAGCTTCTGCACTCCACAATCCGCAGAGATATATTTTTGGCTCATCGTAACTGTCCTCACGCGTTTTTTTTTGGGTAGTAGCAGCGACAGGAGTTGCTTTGCGTGATTTTCTCTCTGTCGCAATTGCTAACCGCGAGACATTTTGTCGTTGCATGGGGATGTCTTAGATCCATACCCCACGAGAAGGACCGGGTAGCGATTGCGAATTGTGGGTTCGTCGCGAGTGATGATCGGCAACCACGCAACTTTTCGTACCTGTAAGGAGATAAGACATTCATAACGTGCCTGCGGACAAGGGTGGTGTTTGGTCCGACATCTGTCCAACAGTGCAAACGGTACAGTGGGGTGTTTCTTTGCTTGAGCGTAAGAGTAACACCACACACGAAGGATTGATCGTCGTCGCAAGCAGTATGGAGGTGGCTCCAGACACGCGCAACGGGCCTAGAGACTCGTCTTGCTTTCTCTTGGAAGATGTCACTGGTGGTGAGTTATGTGGAGAAGAACCTCGTAGCTGGAAAAAGTGTCAATTGCGCCTTTTCGTGTGGAGTGGAGTTCCTGATTGGCGTTCATTTGCTTGTCGTTCATGCCGTCAATCGTGAGAGGCTGAAAGCCACCTCTTTGCTGTTTGTGTACGGACGTAAGGGCAGTGCAAAGAGCGTCCCATGGGGAAGGAGAGTTGTGGACAGGCACGGGACGATCCATCTTAGTTCTTTCTTGGAAGTGCACATCAATTGCGAATTATTTGATTGCTTGTCGTGCAGTAGTTTAGGTGGATCTGGATGGTAGTGAATTTGGCATGTATTTGGAGTGAGCGAAGGATGTTAGGTAGAGAGACGGACTCGACCGACATCTTGGTGAGGTTACTGTGAAGCTAATCCCGATCCTGTGCATAGATCTGTCGATCCCGATCGACGACTTTGTTCGATTCGCGCAATAGATGTCCAGAAACTCAGCTGTGATGGTCGAGAATGGCGTATCTTACCGAATTCAGCAAAAAAAGAAGATTGATCTGTTGTTGGTGAGTATGGACGGCACAAAAATCGAAGAAGGACAAAATAGAAGAGATGCAAAAAAGTCCACGTGCGTTGATTACCTTATGCAGCATATGCAGACCCTTGTACATGCCGTGAATAGCTTTTCCTTGTGCCCTTCTTTCGTTTCTGAAACAAGAAGCACACCTAAATTGACTTTCACGCTCCCTGCATAAAAACATCCTTGGGAACCGCTCGAACCCTCGTTCGGAGTTGGTGACCCTCTCTCCTCTTTCGCTTCATCTAATTGACTTTATGCCTTATCCAAGATTTGATATTTATCTTTGGTTCGGTCTATGCAGGGCGGCCTGTCCAACCAGAGACTAGTGCGTCCCTCTTTTGTTTTCTCCTTGCATGCCTCGACTCCTGCCTGTCCGTTTACCCTGCATATATGCTATTCCCTTTTGGATAAGGTATCATGGGCATAAAAATATGGTCAAGCATTTCTCCACGGGATCTTCGGCAGGAGATGCCATGAGGTTACGATAAGCGATGGGGCACTGCCGAAAGCCAGATCACATACATCCACACGTGATATCAGTGGCTGTTCTTGAGGCGACACCCCATTGGGAAGGTAGGCGAAAGAGGGTCCGTGGGGAGGGTGAAAGGCTGCAGATACTTTGGGACCTGTGGGATCTTGTCCTATACCAAGCCCTTCGCCGAGAACTGTCAATCAGTCAGACCGAGGAAAGTATATCCTTCTTCCAATCGTTGAGCTCTCGTAAGATGTGGAGGTACGCGAGAAGGTGAAGGAAGAGAAAACGAGAAAGGGGGTTCAAGCGAATCAGGATCGATAAGATCGAACTCCTCTTTCTCGTCTTTGACATGCAAACCCACCATGGTCTTCTGGAACGAGTTACGCGGAAAGCTTGAGCATCACTGAATGGTGTAGCTTTTCGACCCTCATTGTGCACTTGCCTAACCAAACGCGTGCGGTCCGAGATCGTCTTAGCATGCCGAAGAATCGATTTCCATTCTCACGACGAGCCCGCGATATCCCGTGATTTGCAGCCGCTTGTTTAAACTTCAGCCTCTGCATTCAGAGAACAAAAGTCACAATGGTGCAAGAAGAGTCCGGTGCAAAAGACGGTGCAAAGACGTAAGCATCCCGCATAGCATAAACGTTCGAGGCACAACTCTATTCTATCATTGTTGTGAAACGGCGATTGTTATGAAACGGTGCAGATAAACAAAACAAGCATAAGTGAGACGCGTTCGGTTGGACGGGTTTGTGCGTTATACGGCTGAAGGGTCGAGGGAAATTGACAGTTCGAATGTCGTTATGTTCGTTTATGCCATCATCCACCGCCCCGTCATGGTTCCCGTGTGCATATCAACTTCTCGTACCTGGCTAGCAAACATAGTTGAGACATAACCCGCGTGCGAATGAGGATATGCGAAAACGTGCAAAACGACATGCATGATCCCATGGATTGTGGATTTCTGATCCCTCACCTTCTTCTTCTGTATTACTCAACAATAGAGACGCGCTGTATGGATGTGGAACTCTGGCTACTGCGAGCCATCGATGATCGAAACTGTCAATAGATGGAGAGTCAGAACACAAGCCACCGCTTCTCTCACCTCTATACCCCTGCTTCTAAACAGACAAGGGTTGTGCATTGTGAATTTACTATCAAAAAGTTTATGCTTCGGTCCTGGAAGCTCAAAGACCTCGAAAGTGATGTGGGAAAGACTAGACGGTTCACGAAAAGGTTTAAATTGTCATAGTTCGTTATACAGCAAGGTTATACTTCACGGTCCCACCGGCGACCTGGAATAGTAATCACAGCCGGCGAGCATGAATTTTTGTCCTTGCGTCTTATGCTTTTCTCCATGAAAGATTTCGGCGACATCGGATGAAATAATGCGTGCTCTGGCTAATAACGTAACTCTCAACCTTGAGCCAGATCAGATCTTCGACGACCTCGCCCGGGCCCCAGAAAGTCTGGAGTTGAGCTCCTTCTTCCAAGACGGCATTTGATTGTCGCAGGCGGCAGGCCTGGTGATTGACTTCTAGGGTTCGCGGCAGTGCTTGCGATATGTTCATGCGAGGAGAGAGAGGGCGGGAGCGCCGAACAGCTGATGGACGAGAGTTTGTGGAGAGGGAGGAGTTACACGAGGAAGGTCTGGGTATCAGAGTGTACGAGTACGGTAGCGTACATGGCTCAAATTGCGGAGACTGGTCTACTCGCCCTGCTCGTCGCCAATCTTCTCGAGTTTGCCCATGGCCCTCTTCTCGCCCGTCTCGCCGATAACCTTGATACGGTCGACCCTTGTCTTCTCACCATCGCCGTCTCCATCGACGACAAAGATGACCAGACTCGACACGTTCTGGAACTTGACAAAGCGCAAGTCGATTCTGGCGGTGCCAGTCTTGGCATCCCAGTCGGACTCTTGGATGACAATCTCCTGAGTTGAGGGAATTGACTCGGCCTCGTCAAAGGACAGAACGTTTGACTTGTTTGTGTAGAGCTTCAATGTGCGGGGACGGACAATGTCATCATCACCCTCTGGTGGGAAGGAGGTGATGTGAAGACCGTGGACCTTGAGCGAACTCTGGAAAGGAATGTACATCATGAGTTGATCATCAGTATCACTCTCGATCCAGTCCTTGTCTCCAGACGACTTTGCTTTTGAGAGAGCGGCGGGCTGGGCTGTGTTGAAGACGGCACGGGCGCCGCCAGCTTCAGAATCGACATTGAGGAAGTCAAGGTTGAGCAGATCCACACTGTCGGTGATGTCTGAGTAGCCGCGGGGTAGGGATGCGCCGATCCATGTGCCAGACGAGGATGAGGAGGCAGCATCGGCCGAAGAGGACTCGGCTTCAGAAGCCAGAGACTTGACAGCAGCATCGAGGGCCTTGGGGTCGGCGCCTCTAATGCGCTGAGTCTCGCGACCGTTCTTGAAGACCATGAAGGTGGGCATGGCGGTGATGTTGTACGTCTGAGCAATGTCGCGCTGATTGTCTGTGTTGACCTTGGTGAAGGTGATCTGGTTGGTGCGAGAGAGCTGGTTGGCGAGCTGCTCATAGAAGGGGGCGATGGCCTTGCATGGGCCGCACCAGTCGGCGTAGACTACAGTGCGAGTTAGTATACCGCTGATGTGGGACATGGTAGGGCGGGACACATACAGTCGGTGACGACAATGCGCGACGACGACAATAGCGAGCTGAACTGCTGCGGCGATTCGATGTGCACGATCTTTGACGACATGATTGTTGATTGTTGTGTTGATGAGATGCAACGATTTTGTTGGTTGCTATTGCTATCCAAGATGGATGGCGGGGCAAATCAGCATCGAGCGTCACAGAAGGTCGGCGAAACGTCACTGTCAGCGGTCAAAGGCAGCAGCTCGTCGAGCTTGACAAGCAACAACCATGACTTCCACCACCGCCACTTCTCGCACGACTCCTCTGCAAGGTCTGGCTCTTTCCCGCAGTGAGCGCATCCTCGTCGTCGCTCTTTCCTACACTTGGTGCCTCCCTTTGTTCCTGTCCTTTGGCCAACGCTTCTGGAATTGGGCCCGTTCGCGCCAAACAAACCCACGTCCTCAATAATTACAACCACCAAACCCCATCGCCAGCTGTTTCTCTCAATCACTCATCCATAATCATGGCCTCCCACGTCGTTGTCTTGGATGCCGCCTTCAAGCGCGCCCAAATCAAGGTCACTCCCGCCACTTCTCTACGCACCGTCCTCGAACAGGCATGCACCAAGTTCGGCCTCGATCCCGACCAATACGTCCTCAAGACCGCAAAGGAAAAGCTCGTCGATCTCTCCTACCCCTTCCGTCTCTCCGGTCTCGTCTCAGGCGCAAAACTTCAGCTCGTCCAAGCCTCGCGCTCTCCCTCCGTCGTCAAAGTCGCACTACAACTACCCGAAGAGGACAATTCGCTTCGTCTGGAAGACAACTTCCCCAGCAATACCCCTCTATGGCTCATACTGCGCAAGTTTGAGGATGGCGTCGCTGGAAGTTCCACCAAGCTCAACCTCACCGAACGAAGCGCTCCCAGCTCAGACACTGGCAGCGGCTACCTCTGCTATCTGAAGCCTTGCCTGAATATCGGAGGCAGTGCAAGAGATATATCCGACTTTCTCGATCTACAGAAGTCTCTCGCTCAGTTGGGCTACAACCGTGGCAGTGTTTTGATCAAGCTGTCATTCAAGAACGAAGGCGAGCGCATGGAAGAGGCAAAGGCCCGTGTCACAGAATACCTACAAGCTCTTGCACCTACGAGTACAAGCGAGGCACAGACTGTGTCTTCGCACGGTGCTCACGCCGCTGCCGACGGTCAACTTTCCTCAGTACCTGATGCAGACGCAGACAATTCCGCTGTGCCACGCGAAGACGAGGCTGCTCAGGACCCATCAGGGGACACCGTCATGTCTCCCGCCCCTGATCTCACCCCTGAAGAACAACCCGCACAAGATGATACTGTAATTGCATCATCTTCTACAACACAAATGCCCTCAACTGAAAGTCAATTCCCTTCTCTGAACCCTGGCATCTCAGTCTACGCAGCCCCGTCCGACGACACTCCATTTGCTGCAAGACAGGCTTACAATGAGGCCGATTACCAACCTTCAGTCGAACATGCCCACGCTCATCAAGCCAGTCTCTTGAAGCAAGGCCGAAACACACGCCTGCCATCAGACAAAGAGATTGCAGCCAAGAGCGCAAACAAAGCAGCTGCACTTGACGACATCAAGACCGTGAATCTGCGCATCCGCTTTCCCGACATGATGCAAGTACAATGGCAAGCCACCCAATCCGATACATCTGCTTCTCTCTACGAGAAGGTCAGGGAGATGCTGGATGACCCATCGATCAAATTCAGGCTGCAAATAACTGGTTTTCAAATGAAAGCCATTGTCTTTGATCCCATAAGTCAACAAAGAATTATCAAAGATTTGGGCATCAAGGTTCCTTCGCTCGTCAACTTCGTGTGGGATGAAAGCGTGGACAATGAAACTCGTGGCCGACCTCTACTGAAACAGGCTTTGCGTAGCCAGGCAAAGGAGTTGGAAGTCAAGGAGCCTGTTCCGCAGGAGGAAGCCAAACCAGTGCCCGCGCCCAAGGCCGAAGAGCCCAAGAAGAAGGCTTCGCTCACCAGAGAGGAAAGGGAGAACAAGATGCTCAAGATGTTGGGCTTCGGCAAGAAGAAGTAGAACGCAGCGCATCAAATCGCAAGCGAGCTAGTACGTTCTTTAATGACTGAAATGAACAATCGCACTTTTAGATTCGTCAAGCAGTATCCTCGAGGCGTTTCTACTCATTCGTGTAACGAAATGCCATGCTGGTGCGTTCAGGATTCATCACACTGTCCGCACGCGTCTGATCATTCGACACCGTAGTTTTGAATCCTGCCCATTGTATTTGATTTGACAAGCGATACTAAGAAACATCTCACTGATACAAACAGAGTGGGATAAGGAGGTGCAGTTTCAATAAGAAGGAAAGAGCGACTCACAGGAGAGAAAGGAAGTGCCATCGCTCTTGCTAGTCGTCAGGCTTTGAGAAGCCTTCCCCATCATCTCATCCTTCATCCACATGAGACTCTACCACTGACTTGTCGTTCAAGCGCATCTGGACCGCTCCCTCTCTATCACACATCTACATAAATGTCTCCTAGTAGCCTCCAAGACATTCTTGCACCGTCCGCAGGATAATGAACGAACACAAAGATCATTCTGACTCCATTGACAGACCTTCGATGACCGATCAAACTGTTGACGACTAAGACAAGGGCATGATGAGCAGAAGTCTTACTTACATACACCGATAGGAAGTATAAGATCAGCGAAAGCCGCTTGACTCTCTGCCCCAAGCACTCTCAAAACACTTCAGCATGGTTCACTTCCCGAATGAGATCTGGCTCGAGATCGTACAAAATATTGTCCCCGACGCCAATCTTCAAGACCTTGAAGACTACAAGACTAGACAATGTGCACTTGCAAGCCTCTGTCTCATATCGAGACAGCTCTACCCAATCGCACAGCCAGCTCTGTATGGGAACTATATCAAATTCGCCTCACCTTGGCCCGAAGAAAGATGTCTTGCAAACGAGACCCAACATCAAGTCGACGGAAACGATTCGCCCTACAGAAAAAACACACAACTCGAAAACTTCCTTCGCACTCTGATCGAACGACCTGATCTCACCGCCGCTGTTGTGAATCTTCGAATCGATCGCTACAATGACAAAGAAAACTCATATTCTCGTTATCGAAAGGTCGAAGTGTTGCCATTGAATTCTACACTTTCTGAAAATTTTGAGTCTGCGATCGAGGTTTTCATAGGTCCATCGACTGAGCCTTCGAGTCTGTTGGATGGACATATTTCGACTAGAGATTGTTGGAAGGGTGAACTGCGGGCTGGCGTAGAAGGAGCCGAAGTCGCGCTGTTGTTGGCCATTCTACCAAATGTGAAATTTCTTGATCTTGAGGTATCGGGGGAACCAACGACCTCTCTGGGTTCCTTTGTGCGGGTGCTCTGTGAGGCTATTTCCGAGTACAGGGCATGGGCGCATGAGGACACGGAAGAGCAAAACAAGAAAGACAAGCATGGAGATGAGGATGGCGAGAAGAAGGGAGCAGAAGACAAGAATCAGAAGAATGAGGTCGGAGATCCGAGACGAGAGGAGGAAAAAGAGGTGTGTTCTTGTGGAGGGTTTTGGTGTCCATCCCACGATCCTCCACCGGTCCTCAAACACCTTGAATGCTTGAGCGTTCGGGCTTTTGATACTCAAAACAGGTGCGGATTCAATCTCCAAGAATGCGTACCTCTCTTGACCATACCGACGCTCGTCTCGTTCAGAGGTTATGGCCTGAACTACGAGTACTACATGTATAACGTCAGAGAAACCAAATCACCGCTACCTCTGGACCATCTCCGCTCTTTGAAGCTCGAGTACAGTCAGCTGGATGGTAGACTTTTCACAGGTCTCCTTGGTGGAACACGTCTCCAACTACAAACGCTCATCATTGATACCTATGGCGTTTTGGACTCAAGGGTCGATGAGTCTCGTTTTCATGAACGACTACAACAAGCACTCGTGACTATGGCCAGTACATTGGAACACCTGGTCTTTGTCACGCCCGAAGACACAATGTCAATGTTGAATCTCCAGAAGCTCACCCGACTACGCTACCTCGAACTGGGAATCGCAAGCTTAGTGGGAAGAAAGATATTTGTGCCGCACCCTCAATGCATCACAACGCGTCTGCCCCAAAATCTCCAACATCTCTGTTTACGTAGAGCGGACGACGAGGTCTGGGAGCCAGCCACCGCTCTGATCAAAGCAAAACTCACGTCACTTGACTTCGCGGAGCTAAAGGTAATAGAGATCAGGTTTGTGTGGTCAGAAGACGAAAAAGCAGAGAACCACAGCAATAGCGTGACAAGTAGCTCTTCAAAAGAAGAAGAAGCAATCATGGACAGCGGAGTGGCAGACGAGTCAAGTTACCTAGGCATATTGCAGGCACCTGCAAACGAAGCTGGAGTAGAAATCAAGATACTCACCAATGAACCGCCCATTGAGGTTGAGGTTGATGGTTGGTGTGATTCTGATGAGCATTGGGGCTGTGACTAAGGAGAAGGAAAGCCGATGAAGATGGAAGCACAAGAGACGGCAACAGGCGAATAAGTATTCATGCCGAAGAGGTAGAAATTGAAATGTTCATCCATGACTACTCCGTATACAAACGGCAATTGCCAATCGATCAATACTAGACCATACAACTTCTCGTACCCCTTGTTGAAAAAGTCTATGCGACCGATCTCCCAGTATCAAAGCCTGGTGGCGGCCCTTCCTTCTTACGCCATCTTTAGTTGTTCTCTTTTACCCTTGATCGCTCCTTCCTCACGTGTCTTGATCACACCTTCTTCATTCCGCTTGATCGCTCTTTCCTGATCTTGCCTTGATCGTACTTTCTTCATTTCCTTGATCACGGAACATCAGAGATAGACAGCAGAGAAAAATTTACTGCAAACATCCACATGGCTCAATTGATTTGTATTTTTTTCTGCACAGTGATTTTGATAGATTTTTGATTGCAATGGATGACGGAAAGTGTGTATCCAGCTATTGGTTTAACTCCAAGAAATCCTTGAAATGTTTTAGACATGAACACATCTACTTGCGTGTATGACGACGGCTAGTCGTAGTGGGCTTAGCAGCAGGAGCGATGGTATCTGTACGACTGGCTCTAGGGCGAAGACGCGATGTCATATCCTCATCTAGAGAGCGAGCGACCGGATAACAGAGAAGTAACCAATTTTACGAGATTTCCTGCCATGTTTTCTTCAACACATTAGTCTTGGACGTCGATGGTAGTGTCCTGTACACAACATCACAAGGTCATCAGCCCGGCAGTGCTATTTATCGAGACCTGAGCTCTTGGCTTCCGACTCGCTGTCCCATGTCCGCGAAAGGCCTTATGTCTGACGTTGCTCTCCGTCAACGTGTATTTGGTGTCCGCCCGCTCCTTGTGGTAATTGGTCTGCATTGGTACATAACCGACCAGGTCTCCTCACCCGGCGGCATGGGGGCGAAAAGGACAACTGTAGCGGCGAGTGTTATCGTGTATATGTCGAGGGAAATATGACAGAATAAATTAACAGGATGGAATGGGGATTTTGCACTTCTCTCAAGACTGACTGTGTTGCAGAGATGGAAAGAGCGTGGATGTAGAAACCATCACTGGCAACAGCAAGATCGAGATATTGATGTGTGGACAAGATGTGCAGTGTCTCTTTGTATTGTCCTCTCGTTGCTTTGTAAGACTGCAAAAGCCGATGGCTTAAAGTATGAATCGACAACCACCAGTGGAAAGGTCGACCAAGTTTACTGAGAGGGTGGTACCTCAGTAAAAAGGTGGAAGGTGCGGCTGGTTAGTGAGGAACAATGTAGTTATCAGAAGAGGAAGGAACGACCAAGCGGTGAGATGAGCGATGGCGCAGAGCATATGCTAGAGGGGGAAAGAGTGACCGCTGCAACGGGGGTGGTGCAAACGATTTGACGTGGAAAGCGTTGTATCAAACCAGAATATCAAGCAAGAAACATTGATCAAGCGCAGATAGATCCGAGCGAGCAGGCGGCGGGCCTACGGGTACCGAGCGTATAAGAGATTGGTCGTCGTCGAGAGCAGAGGCAGTGTGTTGATGAGGGTGCTGGGTGAACGGATCGAGTCTTGGTAAACATTGCCGTTGCACTTGGATATCTGTGGTAAATGCCGAGCTAAAAGATCATGATGTCGAAGTACGGCTTGTGCTGGAGCATGGGTCGGGCGTGTAGTGTGGAAGTGGGCGGCGAGGTAAGTCGAGATTACCATGATGATATCGCGATGTTGCTGTGATTGATCGTGAGATCCTTCCAGTGTGAAGTCGAGAGGACCAGGACGAGAAACTGTTCTAATTGATCAGTAGGTCAGAAGCACCTTGATGTAGCGCACAGTCAGCAGTACAGGTCACCGAGAGCAAAGAGTAGCCAGGAGATGTAGAAAATCATGAACGGAGCGGGACCAATATTTCTCATTTTCATTTCGAGAAGATAGTCTTGCTTTTTTCCTTCATCCACCCCAGCAACGAGCAGCGTGCGGGTGCACTACCGTCATGATGATCATCAAGCAGTGTCTCCTTTCGCTTTTGGGGTATTCGGAAAAAAGGAACATGGTTTGCCCATTGCACATAGCATTGCGTGCCCGTAAAAAGTAAGAACTAACTCCTCATTTTGACTTTACAACCAGCGATCACCCAGGTTGGCAAGTTTAGTGACCAGCGCGACGGGACTCGGCGATGTAGTTGGTCATCTCGTCGACCTTTCTCTTTGCGCGGCCGAAGGTACCTAGCTGTGGTGGGTGTTAGCGAGGATGTTTCCAGGTGGTGATGGAGTTGGTGGAGGCGTACTCTTCTCTTTGCGAGCTTGCGGGCACGCTTGTCCTTGGAGTTGCGGAGAAGTTCAACAACGCGGCGCTCGTAGGGGGCGAGACTTTGAGACTGTTAGTTTGATGTTCATTGAGGTAGGGTCGGCGTAGGTCGAAGAGATTTTCTCGATCTGCGGAGGAATGAAACGTACCCGGCAACCTCCTTGACGATGTCGCGGACGAAAGCGGTGCGCTTGCTGAGGTGACCCTTGGTGCGCGAGACACGGGGGGCGGGCTGGCGGGGGGTGACCTTCTGTAGAGAGGAAAGGCATGTCAGTGCATTGCTCTTGTGTAACGATTGCTCCATCAGGTGTCGAAGTGGGGTGTGCGTTGGTCGTCGATGCGAAGGCGGTGATGTGTGCATGTCCATATCTCCAATCTTTCCATTCCAGCCCTTGTCGTTGTGTGTCGTGCTTGTCGGTTCAGAAAATTCTCATCGTCCTCCTCTTGTTCGCATTCGCATCGTCGACGGCGGCGGCAGGTGCAATGTCTCCAGGGCAATCAGGGTATAGGGATCAACGTACGTGGCCGGCGTTCAAGCCGCGAGCGAGGCCGCTCTTCTGCTTGACTTCCTTGGGCATGTTTGCTGTGGTGTTAGTCGACGACGTCCGCTACCAGGAAAGAGAGGGCAGAAATCGAGACAAGGCGGAGGGAGCTTGCGAATTTCTTCGGCTAAACTCCGCGTGCGATTTGTGTGTGTGCGCCGCCCCCAACGCCAAGCTTTCGCTTTTCTGGCCTCGGTCCCTGGGATCTCTGAGCATGCAGTGAAGCTCACAGCACGGCTTGCGACCCTGACTGCCACTTTTGCTTCCGCCAAACTCTCACGGATGGCTGCTTCCCGAGTGCATACAAATGCCAGCCTCGACTTTGCTGTGCTCCTTCCTGCTCTTTGAGGCAAGGCCTTCACTTGCGAACAAGTCCTTCCCAGTCCGTCGCATCCTCACTTTAAATATAGCTAGCAATCAATTTCAGTGCCAATCGGCTTCTTGATCAATCTTCGCCCTGTCAGCCACAACCGTCTTACATTCAGCCTCTTGACACTAGAAGAGCAACTGCATGTATCCTCCCTCCTCTATTTTTTCTGCTCTGCATGTCTCTCTGTACCATAGCGACTTATAAATCATGAATCCCAACATGCTTCACCCTTCGGCCGATGACCATTATGTATCGCAATTTCCCCCATGTAAGCGTTGATCTCCATCTCCAGCCGCGCAATGACTCCGAGAGATGCCGTAAGGCGCCTATGACGTTTTTGCTGTTATTCAGTTGGTGGCTTTGGAACCTCTGACGCTGCCTTTGCCTTTTTTCCGCATCATCTAAAACCAGGCCTTCCCATCCAACTTGGGTCGTGCCCTTTTATCACTGCCACCTGGAATTGCGACGACTTGTTCACTGCCACGCTACCTACCTCTTGCTCGCTGCGATATTTCCTAGTGCTGCATCTCCCTGCGTAACAGATTCTCCGCGCAACGGTCCCAGCCACAAACCAACAGTTCTCATAACCTTCACGCGACCACCTCAATTCTTTACGAAAACACAACACCTCTTCGACCACGATCGAGTAAACATAGAATCTCACAAACATGTTCGGCGTATCATATTGGATCCTACCCATTTTCGCAGCATGTTGCTGGCTAGGTATGTTAATACCACGCTCGACAATCGCGACGACCAAAACTGACTCGTGCGACTACAGGCACCCTCTTGGGTATGCTGGGAACTTGGATTGCCCAGGGCTCACCCAGATATGTTAGCATGGAACCTGGACAGAAAATCGCATACATCTCGGACATTGGTGCACAAGGGCTCCAACCTCTCTTCATCGCTGGTTCTGCCGTTACTGTCGTCGTGTTTGATTGCGTCTTCATCTCGGAGCGTTGGCTGCGACACCAGGGCCGTCTTGCCCACAACACCTCGAATGTTCAGAAGGGCTTGTCCATTGGCGCTTGTCTCTTCGCCCTTGCCGGTGCTGCTGGTCTAATCACATTGACCATTCTTGATACTGTCAACCACCCCAGGGCTCATGACATCGGTCTTGGTATTTTCATGTATGTTCACCCGGTACCACACTTTCTGCACCACGGCTGACCATCTTGACAGCATCGGTTACATCATCTCGGCCATTTTCGCATGCGCTGAATACCAACGTCTGGGTATCCACTTCCGCCAGTACCGCGTCCTACGTGCTTCCTTCTGGATCAAGCTGGCTTTCATCTTTGTTGAGATTGCTCTTGCTATCGGTATGTTCCATTCGTTTATGGTCCTTCGAGTGCGTTTCACTAACATTCGTAGCTTTCGTCGCTCTCGGTAGACATAACAGTCAGCGCAACAAAGCTGCCATCCTCGAATGGGTCATATCGCTTGTTTACATCATCTACGTCGGACACTACTGCATGGACTTCTTCCCTGCCGTCCATAGCAAGGACAACCGCTTCCCTTCTGTCGAGGAGATGATCGAGAACGGCGGTAACGGCCCCTCCTACTCTGGCGGTCCCACCTTCTCCGACCACGCCTCGTACGCAAGCGAGAACCCCATGCGCAATGGCCAGACCGTCGAACCCAGCAGAAACTTCTAAGCTGCTCGACTTCAAGATTCAAGATGCGAAATATACTAGTACTAATAAACTAACCTTCTTCATGTATTTTTATTGAGTTATGACGACGACAACGAGTGGCGTTTGCATGTAATGTCAAAAGGATTCCAGGAATATGACAGGGTGGACATACGGTCAGGGATGGGTCAGCATGGCTCTTGGTTATCGTCTTTTTTTTTTCGAAAGTTCTGCTCGCGTTCAAAACAGCGAGTCATCTCTTTCGCTGGACGCATTTTCTTTTCCTTCTTTTTCGCTCTGTACGAACAGATTACAATATTATATGAGCTATAGATGATATCAAACACTTTACACACCTTGCGTCCTCTCATTCTGTCTTCGTTGGTATGTTGGTACTGTGAAACAGGTTCGATACTGAATGAAGGTCGACTATCGGGATGTTTGGATCACGAGATTCACATGAGACTTGAAGTCGACCAACGATCACACACCAATCTGCGTCAGTACTCGATCTCGGAAACTTCATGGCTCCAGACACAGCAGCAGTCACTAAGAATTCCATCTCTCACGCCGCTACGAGGCTATCGGATTCACCACGGAAATAATAGGACAGGGTGGTACTGCAAGCATGTGGACTTGGTCGAAATTGAAAATGATTTATGGGTATCTTGTAACATGAGCAAGCACAAGATAATGCTCGCTTTTCTGGGTCTTTGTTTCTTCGTGCTGCCTTCCTAATCCAGACCACCGAACGAGCCCATGCTCTTGCCTCCGGACTTGTCCTTGCCCTTTGATCGCTTTCTCTTCTTTCTGCGCTTGCGACCAGTCTCTTCTTCATCGCTGCTGTCATCGCTGCCCATGTCGCTGTCATCATCCTTGTCGCTGTCTGCATCGCTGCCCTCTGCTTCTCTCTTAAGATCGCCATCCACGTAGGCGTGTTGGTCTTCATCCACCATCTCGTGCCACACCTTGATGGTGCTGCCACCTGCTGTGATGAGTCTGCCTGCGACATCAAAGTCCAAGCTGACGACACCCTCCACTTCGTCGTGTGTGATCTCTGAGATGACCTTGTTGGGGCCGAGCTTGACGAAGCGAACTTTGCCGTCGCCCATGCCTACTGCGAGGACCTTGCCTCCTGGACCCACGCCTGGAGGAAGCACGCGAATCACGTCTAGACTCTCTCCACCACCGGGACTGCGGTCTACTGTGATGCGCTCGTCTTGGTCGTCCCAAACACCACGTTCCCAAAGTGTGAGCACACCATCTCCGCCACCGACGACGAGCTTCTCGCCCTTTGATGAGCTGGTCTTGCGAGCAGGGAGGCCAGACACGAAACATGAGGATAGCAGAATCTCTTCTTGGTCTTCGCTGCGGACCAGGACACCGCGACGCAGATCTGTTACACTGAGGGTGGTTCCACCAGTTGTGACCCATTGTTTGCTGTAACCAGATGTGCTGGTCTCTGAGGCAGGAAGTGGTGTCAAGGAGGAGATGTAGTCTTCGTGAGGGTGATGTGTTTGCGAAGGACGAGTAGAGGAGAAGGTAGAGAAGTTGGCTTCGCGGGTATCGTAGAGGTGGAGAGCAGAGCTGTCGGTTGCGAGGAGGAATGTTTGAGGACTGAGAATGTGGAGGATCGAGGGCTCGTCAATGTCGTCGGTTGCGCTTGGGCTTGTCAGTCAACTGTTAAGAACTTCCAGCAGAAGAAAACTCACGGGTCGTGGGGAATGGCGATCTTGGTGACAACCTTACCGGTGACACTGTCGGCGCCCTTGACAATGCCGTCGGTACCAGCACTGAACAGAGTGCTTCCATCCAGACTGTAGCCCAAACTTCTGCAGCTGCCCTTGTGTCTGCGCGTACGCCATGCTGCTTCGACTTGTCCTCTTCCGGTTGCTGCTGCCTCTGCCTCGGCATCATCTTCATCATCACCCTCAACTGGTGGCAGTCTCAGAGTCGCGACATGACCGGAGCTAAGTCCCACGGCCACCAAGGGGTTTGTCGGGTGAAGAGCCTGCGCGAACAGCTCCGACGAGAGTGGAAGCGTGCATATCGTGTCAAACATGGCGATCGATCCTTCCCGCCAATGCTGGCAGTGACAATTCAATGTCGCAAATGCGCTTTTTTGGAAACTGCTATTTTTTCTCGAATCGCTTCGGGTTAGCGTCGGCTTTTAGCATGGACTTACCCCAGTGTATGACATCGTCCTCGGTTGTTCCTTCGTGGCCCCCCCTCAAGTCGACAGGAACCATTCGTCGGGGGGAACTTCTTCTTCGTTGCTTGCGAGATCCACTCTTTTCTTGCCAATTAGCTTCCTTTTGATTCCTGGGTTATGATGTCGACATATTCTTAGTGCTGCTCTGTACACAACAACTTCTCCTCCTAGGTACATCTTTGCTTTTCCTCAACCATCAATGTCATTTACCTGAGTCTTGCCTCTTCCTGTGCTTCATTCTCCTTTGCCTGAACCGTCGATATCTATCACCTGAATATTGCCTCTGCTGTGCTTCATCATCATTCATCTCAATCCTACAATTATCACTCACCTGAACCTTGCCTCTCTTGTTTATTCAATACCCTTCACCTTAACCATCAGCCACTCACCGAGACTCTCTCCCTTCTTCCTACCCAGTCCTCTCACTCTCACTGGAACTCCTCGAGTTCACATCTCTGGAGTGATTGAGTGACTGCGTCTTGCACCCCTCCAAACCATTGACTTAACTCATCCCCTCCACCTCAAACCAACCTCCCCTCTCACACCTCAACCCAACCTCCTCTTCCTCCTTCTCAAACCAACTTCCCCTTCCACCACTCTTCTACAACCTTCCTTGCTTACACATCATTTCCACAACCACTCACCATGAAGAAGAAACAGAATCAAATCACGTTTGGCTTCTGCGACGTCAACACTGGACAGCGAGTCTATCCAGCTCTCACCGACTTGCCTGACAAGCTTCCTCCTGCTCAACAACTATACACCTCGGACGACAACATGTACGCCGCAATCACTTGCTCGCCACCAATTGGACAGTCAACAGCTATTCCCAAGAATCAAACCTCCGTGAGTACTCCCCAACCATATACAAAGTCCTCTCATGCTGAATTCGTACCAGGTCCCATTCTCTGTGTTGCTAGAGACTACAGCTTCATCCTTGGGTACATATCTTCAGTCTCTGCCTGCATTCACATACTGATTCAGACCATACAGTGAAGGAAGATGATATCAAGGTCTCAATCTGGCACAATCACAAGAGCCAGCATGATTGGTCTGAACTTGCTCTCACCGCATCCAGCGATCACGATGATGTTGTGAGTTGTCGAGTGGAAACGCTTGTATACCATGAGCTTACATTTCTAGCTCCTCGTAAACTCCAAGTCTCAAATCGCCCGCCGATGGTACACTGGAGATCTTCCTGGTAGACCTGATGATTTGAGATCTGTCTCCTTCACCGTCAAGTTCCAGATCGGAAGCGACTCGGGTTGGAAATGGATCAAAGACCAAAGCGGTCTGGATGACGGCCACCTTCATTATCAACAATCACATGAAGGTCTAGGCTTCCCTGGATACTTCCGTGGAACCAGCTCCGACCTCAACATTCGCAAGACAAGTGCCGATACTCCTGACACTAAACTATATTCTATCACAACGTCTGTCGAGCCAGCAAAAGGCAACGATTCTGGATACAGCAGATACATTCTGGGTACACCAAAGGACTTTACCCGCTGGTTCTCGTTGGTGCGTCTTTGGTCCCCCTGGCTTGCACCTCGTCAGGGTAGGGACAAGTTTCACTTGGACAAGGATGCAGTTCTGGCAGCATTCCTTCGCCATGATGGAGCCCATGTTGTCTGCCTTGCTATCAGTGGTGTTGAAGATGTTCTCACTGTCTTCCAACATGACGATGATGGCAATGTGGTCATTCACGCTCGCAACGATCGTGAAACCGAGGGCACAAGTCATGTGGTTGTCGCTATTGCAAACACTTTCGAGATTGCCAATGCAGCAGTCATGTACCATGCAAGAAAGATCGTCGGAGGTTATGAATCAGCAACAGGCCAAGTCGAAGTCGAAACCAAGGCTCTAATGGAGAAGAACGTCAAGGCCGAATGGCTAGAGGAGTGGTATGACGGCTTCACCTACTGCACCTGGAATGGATTGGGTCAGAAACTCACTGTGGACAAAATCAACGAGGCTCTGGAATCACTCAAGAACGCAGGCATCATCATCGAGAACCTGATCATTGATGACAACTGGCAGTCTTTGACAGAAGGCAAGACACAGATGGAGCGCGGCTGGACCGATTTCGACGCGAACAAGGAGGGCTTCCCGCAAGGACTCAAACACGCTGTCACTGATATTCGCAAGAAGCACCCGAACATCAACCACATTGCGGTTTGGCACGCCATTCTGGGCTACTGGGGTGGTGTCGCTGAAGGTCACAACATTGCAAAGAACTACAAGACTACGACTGTGCAGAAAGAGCCAGGAGTTGCAGAAGGCGAGATGCTGGTTGTCGACGGTTCTGACGCTCAACGCATGTACAACGACTTCTATGCTTTCCTAGATGACTGCGGCATCACTGGAGTCAAGACTGATGCTCAATTCTTCCTCGACATGATCGTTGACGCACCTGACCGTAGGAGTCTGATCACCGAATATCAAGATGCCTGGACAATTGCCCATCTCCGTCACTTTGGCTCGAGGGCCATCTCGTGCATGTCTCAATCTCCTCAACTGCTCTTCCACTCTCAGCTCCCGACCAACAAGCCACGACTTCTGGTCCGCAACTCAGACGACTTCTTCCCTGAGGTGCCTGCCTCTCACCCCTGGCACGTCTTCTGCAATGCTCACAACTCCCTACTCACTCAGCACCTCAACGTGATTCCCGATTGGGACATGTTCCAGACATCGCACGAATGGGCTTCATTCCACGGCGCCGCTCGTTGTGTGTCTGGCGGACCTATCTACTTTACAGATTATCCCGGCAAGCATGACATCAAACTCATCAACCAAATGACAGCCCGCACTACTCGTGGAAAGACAGTCATCCTGCGTCCGCACAACGTAGGTAAGAGTACAAACGCCTATGCTGGCTACGAAGACCACTCTCTCCTCAAAGTACACACCTACCACGGCTATGCACGTACCGGAACCGCATACGTCGGCGTCTTCAATTGCACACAACGCCCACTATCCGAGCTCATCCCTCTGTCTACCTTCGCGGGCGCCGAGGAAGGCAAGTACATCATCAGAGCCTTCACCACCAGTGCCATCAGCAAACCCATGTCTCTGGGCGAGAAGAAAGCTCTAGTCGGCGTCGAGATCGATGTCGGTGGCTGGGAAATCCTCTCCGCCCACCCCGTCCACGAACATACTCTTCACCGTGGCGGCGCCATCGCCGTAGCCTCTCTCGGCCTTCTCGGCAAAATGACCGGCGCCGCCGCCATCGAAAGCAGTGATGTCTATGTGGACGGTCAAGGTCGTCTCCGCTACTCTGTTCTCCTCAAGGCTCTGGGCGTTCTCGGTTTCTGGATCGGCGACTTGGTTAAGAAATGGAGTGTCGAGAAAGACATGCTGGTGTTGATCTTCGGCAAACAGATCCCTGAGGGATGTGTCAGTGTCGAGGGAGACGTGCTCAAGATTGATGTCGACAAGGCTTGGAAGGAGACTGGACAGAAGGCCGGATGGTCCAATGAGATTGAAGTGGAGCTTTTCATTTCGTAACTTTTCTCCTCTCTCTCTGATAACTAATTGGAAAGGAAGACTTGGGCAGAATGCTGGGCAGGACTGGGCAGGACTGGTCGAATGAGATCGAAGTCGACTCTTGTATTTGCGTAGAACTCTCTTCTCTGGTTAACTTAAAACATAACCTACATGATAACGAAATTGAAATCTCCTCTCTTGTTAATTATTTTGTTGCTTTTCGCCTTTTATCTTCTTCCTCATGATGTGTACTTGATGGAAAAGCAAAGTAATTGGGTATAATGCTACAAAACAATTGGGCTCCAGCCATGACAGACGAGCATAGTAAGGAAGCAAAGCAAAAGACCCGGAACCGATGGCTGAGAGAGGCAGGAAAACAGTGCCTTCTTCACTCAATCTCATCTTCATCCTCCATTTTCCCCTTGCCCTTTCCAGTGACAACGAGCTTTCCATGACTCTTTCCTTCTATCTTTGTCTCCTCATCCGCGAATGTGTAGGTGGGCAATCCCTTCTTCATCTTTCTCATTGTGTTCAGAGATTCTTCCTCTTCGCCATCACCGTCACCGTCTTCTCCTTCTCCACTCTTGTCTCCGAACTTTCTCTTCTTTCTGCGCTCGGTGCATGCCTGACGCTTACGGCGCACCTTTTCCAAGCCAGGGTGAGGACGTTGGAGGGGAGTGAGACCGGCATCGAGTTCGCGTTGTTTACGGTGGTTCTCGCGTTCGCCGACGGTGAAGACTTTGTTGTAGAGGGTGAGTTGGGCTGCGTTGTAGGTTTGTTCGTCTATTGAATATGATGCATTAGTGGACCGTCATCTCTGCCGCCTGAGAGGGGGGTTGAATAGGGGCTTGTGAAAATGCAAGATGTTTTTCGGAATGGCTGAGATGTCCAGTGAGAGTCGATGGGTAGAGTGGCTCTCACTGGACAATCGCAGTTACTCGAAAAGCATCTTGCATTTTGATGGTGTGGTTTTGCACAGTGCTGTGGAAGGGGGGAGGACAAAACTTACCAACATCACCGTTGCTCAAGTCCACGACTCCCTTCTTTGTGACACCACGGCGAAACTTGCCCTCGGCATACGACTGCATGATGGCAACCAGTGCCTCAACATTGATGGGTCTTGCGCGCAGGCACTTGTAAACGGCAGATTGCTCTCTGGTCAGACCGCCGGCGTCCTTGCTTCTCCAATGATCGCCCGAGAGGTCGATGGTTTTGGCACACTCGTTGAGGAAGGAGCCGAAGAAGAGTGCATCTTGGTTTGCCAGCCATTGTTTGATGTTTGCGGTGTCGGAGGGGGTGCACCATAGGATGCAGGTGTCGTCGAGGTATGGAAAGGGCTGCTGAGGTAATGATGAGGACGCCATGTTGTTTTTGTGTGTGTGGTTGTTTTGATGGAGATTTAGATGTTGGTAGAAGTTTGTTGTAAAAGAGAGAAAGGACTTGATTTTGTAGACAATCTACGCCAGGGTGTGATAGCGAGGAATGGTACGGTTGGCTGTCACTTCTAAGTGAGAGTCCAAAGTCGTCACTTGCCTTCTACGAGAGTCGCTCTGTATAGCAACGTGACAATACTTTGCTGTGCCTATTGCAGGACTATTGTCATACAAGAAGATCGCTGGTACTGTCTTGTAATGGCCTACTGACTCACCGTCGCCGTCGCTATAGTCTCAGTCGCCTCCCCGTGATATGTCTCGTGAAAGTGTATGTGCAAAAAGAATTCAATCATCAAGCGAGTCGAACCCTGGCTCCACGGTACCAAAAAAGCCAGCCAGCCCCCAACACAACACCGCCCTCTCCTCCCAATATCAAAAGAAGATAGCAACCGCCACCACACCTTCCAGCTCAGGTGCAAAAAAGTGGTGGTTCGAAGGCTGCTTGGCGCGAGTAGTCTTGTTCAGATTCTTCGCCACTCCAAGAGGGCTTCTGGTGTGATGGCCGCTGGCGCCGGTAGTCTTGTTCAGGGTCTCGGCAGCTCCAGGGCGGATCACAGAGGCGGTTTGCCGATTGCGCTAAACAACCCGTTCTTCCTCTGGAAAGCGATGCCAGTTTCAAGCAATATAAACCACCAATTCAAAAGCCTTGGCGAGCAAGTCTTGCCAGTAATTCTGATTGTTTGCTTTGCGGCGCAGGTCGAGATGGCTGCTATCTACAGAAGCCACTCATCTTGCATGCTGTCGTAATCCACATACCACTCCCAGCTCTTGCAGTTTGTCCAGATCGTAAATCTCCTGAGATGCTACGCTGGCCCGGCGAGGTTGGTATGGCATGATAGCATAGCCATGGCGTATACAGAAGAGTCGAGATCCCCAGGAAGCCACCAAACTCCAGAGATATTTCTGTCCACTACATCCCTGATTCAAGCATAGCGACCGCAGAGTACAGTAGCGAGACAGAAGGCTCCAGTGTAACACAGTCTGCAGTCCTGAGATAGAATCCAGATGTCCTACTTTCAATGTGCTGTTTTCCAGAGTAAGTATCCTCGAGCTCAAACAGGGTGGTTCGATGAAGTTTTTCTTCCTAGTCTTTCTATCAAATCCTTTCAGCTATGTCGACTGCTGAAGAAGGAGTGTTGAGAGTCACTCTCAACCTCCATCATCCAGAACCTAGGCTCCAAAATCCATGTTCATGGCCTTTTTTCTCCAGAAATCCAGTCTCTTACTTTCCAGTACAAAGTCACAACATCGTATATCAAAGTTGCAGCAGTTATACCCAACAAAAATGGTAGCAATGACTGTATGATAACAGAATATGCATGAAGTGTAGTTGAGCAGAGTCAGAAAGCTTGCCCGTCCGTGCACAAACTCCACTTCCTTCCTTCCTCCCTTTGCTCTTTCCTCTTGTTGCTGACCACCTCCTACTAATTCTACATGATACGAGCATATTTGTCTTATTCTTCATACTTCATAATGGCCAAACCACAATATCAAGCCTAAACATAAGACACTTTTCTGCACCAAGAGCACTAGGTTCGAGTTATTTTATCAATGATGCTCATGGCTGTTCGAGAATCCCAGCACTGGAATACAGAAGAGAGAGTGAGGTTCTACAATAGATAGGCAAATCAAATCGTTTGACTGACTTGTTCGCGCTAAAAATGCTCATAAGTTGTGTTTCATTGTTTCTGAGATGTAGCATGTTTTCATCATCCTTGAATTGTACATTTCCACAGGTGATGGTATGCTTTGACGCCAGGCAAGAGAATGCTAGGTGGTATTACGATAGTAGTAGCTTTGCGGCTCATTCGCATGTTAGATAGTCGGACAGTCAAGCAATTACCATCAAGGTCATGTTCACAAGCAAGTCACATTTCACAGAAGCAAGCAAGCACAATTCGATCAGAAAGAATGCATTCTAATTTCTCGATCTTGTGTGTAAACTTTTGCAGAATAACAATCATGGGGTGGTGGTGGAGTAATTCTTTCGGGGGTGAGGCTGCTGGTATAAAAGTAGAGAAGAATGAAGAAAAAAAGCGTCAACGCTGCAGATTCCAAAGAAATGCCAGGTTTACTTTCGTATCATGTGCCACCAGAAGGTTCTTTTGATGTGGTTGTGGTTGTGTTGTTTTTCATTGATGGAAGAAAGCAAAAAACCCATTCCTTCTCCCCAGAGTCATTAGGTCAATATCAGCCATGGACGCGCGCAGATGCGGTCTGCCCCTTGTGTAATCCGCCGCGATTCATGTTTCCTCCGCGAGTGCATTTTGATAATGACGGGAGGGCGCGTCGTTGGGATTTTGAACGATGAGAAATTCGATTATTGAGAGATCGAACTCTGAATCCTTTTTGGCGAAATCGCTTAAAGGTCGGCATCGTCCTCGTCGGGGAGGGGCATGTTGGAGGCGGCTTCCATCTCCTGCTGGTACTGCTTGAGAACGGCCTCGTCGACCTGGACCTCAGGAGGAGCAAGGGCGGGGGCAGCGACGAAGTCCTGGGACAGATGTTAGCGACACGCGACAGTTGGAGGGAGGCTGATTCCAAACGTACAAGGGTCTGGTTGCCGACAAGCTTTCTTGCGAGCCACAGGAAGGGCTTCTCGAAGTTGTAGTTGGACTTGGCAGAGATGTCGTAGTACTGGAGGTTCTTCTTGCGGTGGAAGGTGATGGTCTTGGCCTTGACCTTGCGCTCCTTGACATCGACCTTGTTACCGCAGAGAACAATAGGGATGTTCTCGCAGACACGGACAAGATCACCTGTAGGTGGGGCGCGTTAGCGGGGCTGGAATTCTTGGGATCGCGAAAAAAGGCGGGGCTGGGAGGTCGCCAGAGGGAGAGAGCTTACGGTGCCAGTTGGGAACGTTCTTGTAGGTGATACGCGAGGTGACATCGAACATGATGATACCGCACTGGCCGTTGATGTAGTAACCATCACGGAGACCACCGAACTTCTCCTGACCTGCGGTGTCCCAAACATCGAACTGGATCTGGCCGAGGTTCTGTCACAGGCGTTAGCTGTCGGCGCGTTTCATCGATCGGCGAGGGGGAGAATCGTACGGTGGTGAAACCAAGAGGGTGAACTTCGACACCGAGAGTGGCGATGTACTTCTTCTCGAACTCTCCAGTCAAGTGACGCTTGACGAAAGTGGTCTGTTTCGGGGTGTCCAGTTAGCTGAGTCGTTCGTAGAGGATGGGAAACGGTTCCACGATGCGCCGGTCGATGGACAAAGCGAGATGGAGAGGAGGAGATGAACGTGCCTTTCCGGTACCGCCGTCGCCAACGAGGACGAGCTTGAAGGTGGGAACTTCAGCCATTGTTGTGTGAGTCGGTTTAGTTTCAAGTAAATCGACAAGACTACAATAGAGTTAGAATCTGACAGAGGTGGAGATGATGAAGCTGGTGGCAGGACTGACGGAAAATGGGGGTATAGACGAGTGGATGGTGTTGGGAGATGGTTGTTTTGAAGGCGAGGGTCGAAAACTTGCAGCATCGATTTCAAGAGGCACGTGCACCTTCCCGCCAAGACATAAACACTCGCTCTCACTCTTTCCCGATCAACGCATGCATCGGTGCATCGTACCTTCTTCATCGGAGCTTTCGCCCATTATCCAGCCATCGCTCTCACACCGGCTCGCTTTTCCTGGCTCACATCCTGCTTGATACATCATGACTCTTTCTTTCACGCTGTCTTACTGGCCTGTCTTTACAAAGCCCAACAGGCAGATGCTCAAGCTGCATTGTGATGTCAGTGTTGTGTTTTCACGTTTCGATCCTCAACCCTGTCTTGAAAAAGTATCCATGTCTTGATTTCTAAGCATTAGGCTGTAATGCTGGATTTATGCCAGCCGGAGTATACCATCCTTCCAAGACCGGCAAGAAAGCCGTGAATGCTGTCATAGGTTGCAGCTCTCACTGCCTTACTGTCTTTCCGCCTATATGCTGTCGCTGTCGCTGCCGCATGTCTCTTGCTAGCAGCTGTCTCATCTCCATATAATCTCGTCGTCTTGTCGCACTTTGGGTATCATTCTCGCAGTCTCGCAGCTTGTGTTTTCTTTAGGCCGCAGCCTTGTTGGCTTTCTGCCCTCACAGAGGCAACAGATGACAGCCCAACATTCCTCTGCCACCCCAATTGTGTCGTGGCGTGAGTTGCACCTCCAACCTCTGCTCAGCAGCACCGGTCGCAGCAGGTCTAATAATCTTGACCGTAATAGCCACACCCTCATTCTGCTGCACCGTCTGTGCCACCTTGCTCAACTTGTCATGATTCATCCAATCCACATCCCCAAATCTTGTAATCTTGTCGCCGGGCTTGAGACCTGCTGTGGCTGCTGGGGACGAAGCGACCACGCTGTTGACTTTGGCGAAAGGTGCTTCCAATGCGACACGTGAGTTTCGTGTGGCTTCAGCTGTTTGGGCTGCGGGTTGTGATGTTGAGACTGCCGCGGGTGCTGGGGGTTGAGGTGGTGCTGCAGCAGCGTTCTCCCAGTGTTCGTGCATGGCCTTCTCGATACGCGCCATCAACTCTTTGTAGTCGTTCTTCAAGGGAATGATGCGGGCGCGAGTGGTGCGAATTTGGGCAATGTCGAGATCGGGGCGAGGGTAGCCATCAAAGGTGGTCAGAGGGGTGCTCATGTTGACTCCATGCTGCGATTATACTTGTCAGTCGGACGAAGCGCTGTCTACAAGATAAAATAGCAGAACTCACACTGTCCAAAACGGAGCCCAGCGCCGACAACTCGCTCCATACGCGATCCTTCTGAGCGATGAGCTCTGGCAGCGACAACTTCTCCCTTCCGTCGCCATTTGTCTGTGTGCTGTTGGGGCCTGACGCCACGGTCGGCGCATGTATATTGTCCATTCTGAGGCCCATTGAAATTGTTGCGAGTTGTGAGAGATGATGAAAGTTTGTTTGCCTTGATGGCGGGGCAAATGTTACAAGTGTGGAGATACCTTTTGCCCCTCACTTGCTAGAGTTGGTCAAGAGCTTGGGCCAGTCACTCTCATTGTGATCATCTAGAGTACAATAACGTAAAATGCAGAGGTATAGGAGTCGAACAAGAACTGAGCTCTCAGCTCGCTAGGTTGTCTTCAAAAACAACCATCAAAAGGCAAGGTGATTTCCCACGTAGATGCAATGTCCAGAGGGAGCAAGAAGGTGTACGCGCTCTCAGCGGACAGCTACTCGAGCATCAGAAACAGGTTGCATTTTGACAGCAAATTCGACGTGAGAGCCACCTATTGAAGTCACCCTAGAAGACCCAATCCTCTCATGAACCTCACTTCGTCGGCCTGACTTTGCAGTGCTCGTCCCAATGTCTCTCGGTATTGCTTCTCGGCATCCCTTCTCTCCCTCTGCTCCGTGGTTTCCACAATCGTCTCCTTTTCTTCACGTGTGTATAGCGTATTGTGACCGAAGCCCAGAACGCCTATCCGACCATCACCAGTCTTGAGCACCAGTTCTGATTGGTTCGCGTCGGCCCTCTTACTGGACCATGAGCCCCCTGAAGGCCGAAGAGGGATCATCTTCTGTACTATGTCTCCCTGCGATGGCTCGTCCGGCCCCTGTGCTGTGCTTTGTGCTTGATTGAAACACGGCGGATCTACGGCCTCGTTGATGTTATAGCTGCGTATAGCTGTCATGCCATCTCGTTCAACCCACTTCAGATTGCCATCGCCGTCGCTGAATACCGTAGAGTATCCGTGTGCTGCGACCGACAACAGTCGTGTCGAAGCAGCTGTCTGGCGGTTGCGGTAGCTTTCTGTGATTACTGAGCCCGAAGACGAGGGTGCAAGTCCATAGAATTCGAGACTACCTTTGCCTTTGTACTCGCCTGCTGCCAATATGGTCGATTCATGAGCAGTCTTGGCCGCATATACATCGGCGATTGTGACTGTTGGGTTCTGAAGCAAGTCCAGAGAGCGTGGGACATATGGACGAGGCGTTTCAGCAATGCAGGATATGCGTCCTCCCGAGTGTACTGTCCCAAGAATTCTTGGAAAGAAGCGGCGATCATAGTTCAGAAGGTGAGTAAACCTGCCTGCAATCCAGATAGATTCATCTTCCGCTCTGTCAAGAATGGACAGCGGACCAGGTTGCGATAACGAGGCATGGGTTGCCGAGGGTCCACCAATAATTTCGCATCGTAAGGATGGATCCACAGCTGACTTCGACTTGTTGCGCGGATCGTGGATATGGATGGTCCAGTTCGTGCCTACGACAAGACTCGAATCGCGGGACTGCGATAGAGCTGCGACTGGGAAGGGAAAGATTTCTTGCGAGACGACTTGGAGTGTAGCAAGATCTACCTCGACCAATGTGCTATTCTGGGCAAAGTATCCTCGGCCTCGATTATTGTCGATACTCACAGACTCTACAGCGCCTGTCTCGGTCATGATTGCCCTGATCTCTTCGCGAGACTGACCTGCACGGCATCCGCCTGAAAGAAGGCCGGGAGAACTCTTGCCGACAATACGACCTTGTGACAAGTCAGAGTCGGTGTCTCTGGGTCGCACGTCCCATATGCAAACACTACCATCGTCCAAAGATGCAGCGAGATGCTCGGGGTTACTATCCGAATCTTGGATCAAGCCAAGTCCGGTAGCTTCTGGAGGATCATCTCCTGGCATGGAGAGCCATCCAATACTGATTGGAGCATGACGGTGAATATACTCATCGTAGAAGCTGATATTTTCATGACCGTACGAAGGATCCCAATTAGCCAAAGCACGCTGTGTCTCTGCTACTGCAGAAAGCCTTGGACCATCATCTGGGTCTGAAGGCTGTGAAGGCTGCCCTGAAAGTTGGTTGAAGGCAGATCTCAAGGTATGAAGCTGAGTGTTGGTAGGATCGACTCGCTGACGTTTACGTCTGGACTCGGCTCGTGAAGCGTCAAAGCATTCCAGTTTCCAAAGGTTATCATCTCGGCAGAGGTCTAGAAAGCGACGAGATAGATATTGGCATGTAACAAGATCATGGACTTCCAAGACTATACAGTATTAGTACCAAGATCGATTACCAAGATGCCTTGAGCGAATACAGGAAAGTACTTGAAGAACTATCTCATCCGGTAGCTTGTTCATGTCTCGGTGGCGTGTCGAAGCCCAAATCCGAATACGAGCTCGCAATGACCACGGGCAGCAACAATTTGATCAAACGTAGCGGAAACAGATCAAATTGATGCAACTTGAAAACTGAGCCTTGTGGGTAGGATGTTTAGAGGACTCGGTGGACGTCAGCGGGGTGAAACAAAGCGTGGAGGGCCGTCATGTCGATCGGCAACGGACTTGAGTCATTGACCGACCGAGCACAAGAAAGTTGAGAGCGACAAGCAATAGTCAGTCGTACACAAACCAGACACAATGTCAGACCAAAAGATGCCTCTCGAACCGCCGCCGGCCTATGATGCCGATTCCGAACACACTCCCCTCGTCGCCGGCGCACCCGCTCCAGTCCGCCAGCAAATCGCCCGCGCCCCTCTGCCCCTTGAGCTCCCAGCATTGCAAGCCCTCCGTGGCAAGAGAGTCATCCTCGCATCTGCCTCGCCGAGACGCAAGCAGCTGCTCAACCAGATCGGCCTGAGAGACCTCGAGATCATCCCCTGCACAGTCCCCGAAGACTTCAGCAAAACTCTCGCTCCTTTCGAATACGTCCTGCAGACAGCAGAACAAAAATGCACAACCATCTACCGTCAAGAAATCGACTCCGAAAAGGGCGAGCCTGCGCTGGTCATTGCCGCTGACACGGTCGTCGTGAGTCCCATGGGAGACATTCTGGAGAAGCCGAGAAGTGAGAGAGAGCACATTGCAGTCCTCAAGGGCTTGAGGAACAGCGGCTGGCACAAGGTCTACACCGCCGTCGTATGTATGGCTCCGCTAGAGAGTGCTATGGACCCCGGTTATGCTTTGAAGAGACACGTCGAGGAGACCAACGTCAAGTTCGACTCCGCAGGTAATTCACAACACACATCACCTCTGTCTGGTGTACATTGTGCTGACCATGTCTGCAGTATCCGACGAACTCATCCTCGCATATGTCAAGACCCGTGAAGGCGCCGACAAGGCTGGTGGCTACGGTATCCAAGGCATGGGTGCAATCCTCGTTGAGAAGATCGACGGTTCGTATGACAACGTCGTCGGCTTACCACTCAATGCCACCATGAAGCTCATGGGCAAGGTATTGAACCCTGAGATTGAGGCCGATGACGACGACGAAGCAGAGGAGGACTGATCGTACCACCATAAATGCCAACCTTCTTTCTTGCTCATGCGCCGCCTCCACATTTCCTCCCTTCGACACTCAACATTTACAACAATACCCACAGGCATGCATAACAGTTCATCAAGCATATGTCTTTCTCCTGAGATGCATACGGCATTTTCGCTCGTCGCGCTCCTCAGCTATTAGGACATAGCTGTACAAGTGCAAAGCTGTTATCCGCTCTCATGAATGGTATGAGCATCATGGGATCCAAAACTCACTCAATCTTTCGACCGGTGACGCCCGAATTCAAAGGTACGCGTGTGCGTTTCCAAATCTTTCGAAAATGGGCTCTCTTATCTGTAACTATATCAAAGCTGTTTCCCTGCGTCTCTCTTCAGAGAAACACTTCAGACACCGCGGAGATGAGGAACACAGCCATCATCAGTCTGGGCTATGCTCTCGCAGGCCTGAGTGTCGTGCAGGCCACGAGCTTCGTGACCGTCACCAAAACCGTTATCAAGGATACTTTGGTTGGCAGTGTCAACTCCGCTCCTCTTACCTCAACATTGGACCGCAGATCCTTTGTGGAACCCACCACAGTCTTGACGCTAAAGACAAAGGATGAAGCTTTCGTCTTCACGACAAGACTCGCTTTCGACGGTCTCGAAGGGCCTGGCCACTACCCCACGCCTGAGGATTGCCATCCTATACTAACACCCACCGGGTGGGAAGTGGAACAAGAGGACACACCACCCAATGCCATGTCAACCGAAGCATCAGACCCAGAGTCCGGTGAACATTCCACTCTCGACAGCGCAAAGGGCACCAGAGCCATAGCAGCCCGCTCCCCATCCGACGACCCCGAGGACAACCCCGACGACGACGCCCCTCACTGGCCGAAAACCATCGCCCTCCCCACAAGATCAGCCATGTATGAAGGACCCACCCGCGACGTCCGCGCCACCGTCCCCATCGCACCGCCGCCGCCCAAAATCACCATCCTCCCCACCGCCATCCCCACCGACTGGCCCCACCCCATCGGCCCCGACCAAGACCCCGCCGACCCCGGCCGCCCCGTCAAAATTCCGGTAATCTACAATTCGGATTATGAAGATCCCGAATCCAAGACGGTGGCGTGGACGGCTCATCATTATTGTGATGTTTTCCCGCATCCGATGTCGTTGTGTACGAATGAGGCTTGGATCAAGGAACATCAGTTGCACACTACGCCGCCGTCCGAGGCTGCGTTGGTGCAGAGGGCGGAGGCGACGCCTGATCATTATTGTGATCTTTTCGCGCATCCGATGTCGTTGTGTACGAATGAGGCTTGGATCAAGGAACATCAGTTGCCCACGGCCAAGGCTCCGTTGGTACAGAGGGCGGAGGCGACGCCTTCTGCTGTTGATGCTGGGGTGATGACCGGGAGTGTGGTTATCTCTCCTGCTACTGTTACTGCTGCATCTACTGCGACGGCTTATTGATAGGGTTTGAGGATGTGGGTTTTCTGATAGTGGAGTTGGCAGGATGTTCAAATAGTGAAAAAGAAAAGAAGAAAAAAGAAATAGGAGAGATATGCTTTTATCACAATTATTGTTTGAACCTCACACATACACATATACGAGACATGACGAGGAAAAAGGTATGGAAAGTAAGCGATGCTGTATGTAATATCCATATTGGCACCACTCTCGAAGCAGGGTATATGTCTATCTTTCCCATGTTTGTATATTCCACGTCTATTGGCCATCGACCTTTGGTTTGGCGAGTTTGTCCACCAACTCCTTGTTCTCTTCCCAATCGGGACGAGGGATCTCAAAGCCCTCTGTAACACGTGCGTAGGTGATACCTCCCAATCTAGCAATAGGCTTGAGAATCTAAAGCACCAAGAATGTCAGTCATCATATTTCATTCACAAGAGCAGACGTGTGCACTTACAGCAGGATCAATCAGGTTCTTGTCTTCATTGATAGCGTCTTCTCTCGCCCAAAATCTGACGCCCTCGACCACGGCCAATACGCCAGTCTTTTTGCCAGGGGTAGCTCTGCTCTCGAATTCTTGCGTGTTCATCAACTTGCACTCGGCGGAGAAGATGGCTTCCTTGACTCTGCTGGCTTTTACCTGCGAACAAGGTGCAGGAGTCAAGCCGCTCAATGCCCATTCGGAAACACCATAAGGCGCATTGATACTCGTCGAGTTGGCGGCTTCGATGAAGTGCTCCGAGATCATGTTGATAACGCACTCGCCAGTCTCGGTGAGGTTCTTGAGCGAGTCTTTGGCGTTATCCATACCACCTGCATAACCAATGATAAAGACAGGAGGGTCGTGGTTGACGATTTGTGTATAGCTGAAGGGAGCCAAGTTTGTAGAACTTCCATCTTTACTCCTCGTGCTGACGAAACCAACCGGTCTTGGGATGATGGCAGAGATGAGCAACTTGTAGTTGAAAACAGCAGGGCGACCTTCAGCATAAGGGTCAATCTCGACGTGTTCCTTTTTCAGGCACTCGCCATTGTCGTTCGCGCCGTCGCCGAGCTTCCAGTCGGGGTTGCGGATCTTGGTGTAGTGGAATTTATTCTCTTCTGGCCAGTCTGGGCGGGAGCCTTCGACGGACTTGAAGTCGCCGTGGGGGTTGCGTTTTACTTGCTTCTCGCTGTCGTATTTGTGGTGTTCCATCTCTTTCGCAGTGGGGTTGTGTTGGTGTTGTTCTTTGTCTGAAGACATGGTGGCGGTTGGACGGAGGCTTTCGTATGAGTGGGATGTGTGGAAGTCGTGAGATGGGGGGAAGTCGAGGTCAATTGAATTCGAGGTCGAGCTGGATAGCACGGCTTGTATGATTTGAGTGTCTTGATTAGAAAGCGCTGTTGAGTTCCGTCGTCATCGACGACCTCGGCTGGAAGAGCGGCAGTGGCTCCATGGACGCGGAACTCTTCCGCTGTGCTTCTCAACCCAAGCTTTCCTTTCTACCAACCCAGCATCGTGCAAGTGATCGCGCCCTCTGGTAATTCCTTGTCTGCCGAGGAAGCGTTCCTCGAAGATAGTCCTGAGCGTTGTAGGAAGTCGCCCAGACACCGGCGCATCCACGCGGCGCTACATTTTCGAGCTCTCCATGTCAATACCGCACAAGATTACTCGAGCAACATGGCGCAATATAACAGCTTCGTTGACAAGGTAGCTTCCTTATCAGATCTGGGAACTCATCTGACGTGAAATGTCCTCATTCGACCAGTCGTTACTTATCAAGCTAGGTAAGCTCCCAAGCAAAAGGCAATGTTAGGTATGATTGCAGCATGAGCACATTGTGACGCGAGGCATGATAGCTCGCTCTGTGTCACCACAAATCAAGTAGGAAAATGCAAAGTCGAAAACAGCAACCACCCATTCTTGATCTGTTCAATAACGCACCAAGTCGCATCTATATATTCCTACGCAGAGGTCTTGCCACAGCTATTCTGCATCATCACTATGTCTCCGTACGTGCGCTTTTCGATACCCCTTCGCCCACTCTACAAAGTCATTCAACCACGACAACTTTTCTGCCACCAAAGAGAAACTTACCGACGTGTCAGTACTTTGCCTTGCTTCACCCTCGACGATAAAGTCTGCGTCGTGACTGGGTAAGGATACAATCTAGTCTGGAAGCAGTAAGTATGTCTGTTGACAGCAAATTAGCGCGTCTCAAGGTCTCGGTCAACAGATCCTCGCAGCTTTCTGTCTCTCTGGAGGCCATGGCGCAGTCGTCGACCTCTCACTAGACAGTGCACAAAAGTCCATTGAAACCATCAACGCCGAAGTCAAAGAAAAGGGTCTTCCTCCCGCAAAACTCCACCCTTACGAGTGCAACACAGCAGACGAACAAGGCGTCAAGAAAACCTGGAATCAAATCGTCAAAGATTTCGGCAAAGTCGATGTCCTATGCACCAACGCCGGAATCACCGGTGGAGTCCCAGCCGAAGACTACGACTTCAATGATTGGAAAGGCATGTTGGATGTCAATGTCAACGGCACTTTTCTCTTCGCCAAACAAGCTGGTCAACATATGATCGAGAAACACATCAAAGGCTCAATAATCATGGTCTCGAGTATGTCGGGTGTAATCGTTAATCGCCCTCAGAAACAGTCCGCCTACAATACAGTAATATCATCCCCTGTCCACGCCACTCTTTCCATCGTTTTGCTAAACATCCCTCACTCTTCTTAGTCAAAAGCGGCAGTCGTCCAAATGATGAAATCAATGGCCAGCGAATGGGGCGAACACGGTATCCGCGTCAACGCAATCTCTCCGGGGTACATCCAAACCGCCGCCAACGAGGGTGAGGAAATGGAGAAACTGAGTAAAGAATGGGTCAAGGATATTCCGCTGCATAGGATTGCTAAGCCCGAGGAGTTTAGAGGGACGGCGGTGTATATGGCGAGTGATGCTAGTAGCTATCTTACTGGAGCGCAGATTGTGGTTGATGGCGGGTATACTGTTTGGTAACTTCTCTCACTCGAGAGGACAAGTGAGATATAGAGCCATTCACTGTAGCATTGCAATCTGCTTGAGACAAGTTGGCAAACATGATGACTCTCATAAATCACGCAAGACAAAAAGGTTCAGACGTTCTGTGCTCTGTTCACTTGTCTCCTCTACCATACTTCTATCTCTTCTTATAACCTCTCCATACTATGTTTCCCCAATATCGGCGCCTCATCATGTGAAACGATATATTCCGTATGCCTGACGATACCCAAATCATCATGACCACCATCACTCACACTCTCCCCTTCACCCCAATACCTGTTACCTCCCCCCACAGCGACAGTCGTCCTCCCTTCCCCACCTTGCCTCAATCGCAATGGCCCCTCTTCCACCTCTTCATCATCAAAACTAGGCGTCTTGACATGAAACCTATGTCCCGTCCCCGTCCCTGTCCCCGTTGCCCCTGTAGTCATCTGACTCCTATAACCCCCTTTGATCCCAGTCCCAGTCCCACCACCACCACTACTCCCCCCCACAGCAGATAGATTATATGACTCAGCGGCGCCGGGCATATGACCCATTCCGAAGCCAGTGCTAAAGCCATCGGTGAAATTTTTGGAGGTCGTGAGGGTGCAGGATATCAAGGCGTAGGTTAATTCGATGGCCATGAGGATTGTTACCAAAGTGCTCGCGAGGGATATATCAACGGGTTGAGGGGAAGAAGAAGAGGCGAGGTGAGAGGTGTAGGTTTGGCGGATTATGGAGAGGGGGATCGTGCTGTGGAGGATGTTAACTCTGGCTGGACGAGAGGGAGGAGGAACAGTGGGGCAAACTTACGGAAGGCGTGTCCAGAAGGTTATCACGATCATGAGTTTACGCTTCTGTGGCATCTGTAGAGACCAGACTAGATGGACGGGAAGGACCAGCAGAATAATTTCGGAAATTACATCCAATGCTGTCATGACTTGCCATCTGGCTTCCTCGCCAGGGCAGGAGTCGATGTTTCCGGCGATGTTCCAGTAGTAGCCTGAGGATGAAGGACAACCTGCTGATACAATGATGGCGCTGGCAATTCCAAGGATAGAGTATAGAGCTATCAAGACGACGTGAAGGCGTGGATTGCGAGTTTTTGATTGGATGCGCATGAGGAAGACCAGGGCGGCGATCTTCGCGATGTATAGGGCGAGAATGAAAGTGACTGCACTTGCTACTGCAGTCTATGATGCATGTTGTTAGCCTCTAAAATTCGTGATAGCCGAAACTGGAATATCGCAGCAACATACAGAGCTCAATTGACTAATGTTGTTCCTGATCATATCATATGGCTTCCCCAGACCAGCTGTGAGACATGCATATGATGTTGCGAAATGTACCATGGCGGCAATGGTAGCAAAGATAACGACGACATCATCAGCACCGAAGCTGCTTCTCCGCAGATGTATTCGAACACAGGTAAAGATCAGCGTATATGTCAGGCAGATGCTGATGGCGACATTTAGGGAATCCGCATATCCAAGATGATGGACCAGCCCTGATTCGTCAGTGGGCATGCTTCGACTCTCCTAGATCTGAGACATATGACAAGTACAGGTAGGGCTGAGAGTGAGGACAGAGGGAACAAAAGAAGGTATATGAAGGTCACCGGTAGTGTTACGGTATAGGAAAATTGGCGAGTGAAAGGAGCCCACAAATAATTCGTCTCAAGCAGAGTAACCCAAGATGAAGGAATGATAGACACCACACACCACTTTACCTTGTTCTTCTAGCACACATGCGATGACCATCGAACGGCAGTGCATAGACTCGGCACTTTGGCGCCTCGCTACGGATCACCCTTCTTGCCCTTCCGCCTGGGCGAAAAGAAACAAGTTTGAGTGTGAGTAATGGCATCCGCTCGACTAGGTGTGTGCGGACAATTCTCTGCCCCGCCGCAGAGGCCAGAATCTGGTGAGATCGTTGGAGGTTTGGAGCACATGTAGTTCAGGGGAGCGATACTATAGGAAGCACGGACATCCGATTTTGACGCGGTCAGAAGCAATGACCATGTTCTTGATGTTCAGTTAGCTTGCGTCTCGTGATATGGAAGGTGTACGAATTCTTCCTTGACGAGTTGTGGAAAGCTTATTGAAAAGATGCCAGGAAGTGATTGGTGGCATTGATGCCGTGTGCTGTTTGCAAGTGTGGATTGAAAGACGGATATATGGAGTTGCCGGATGCCTTTGGCGTTAATGTGGAAGCGTGCGGTAGAGCATCCAGCCGTGTCTGTGTTTCATCCTTGTTGTGTGCTGCAGGCCATCGTCTTCCAGCTTCATCAAAGATGATCGTCGCCAAAGTAGCGTAGACTAATCTATGGGTCCTCGCGTACTTATTTTGCAGGGCTTTTCCTTGATCGATGCGTAGTCGTATACTCCAAAAGGGTTGTGCATCATCTTGCAATGTTCGAAGGAATGTTGCGCGCGTAAAGAGTGAACAAGGTGTTATTCTCGGTCAAGCATTTCAAGAAAAACAAGCAGGCGCTTCGGACCTGGCCGCCCGGCACGAGCTTGGCGAACGACTCTCGCGACATGTTGCTTGGCTTGAACAACTTCATCTACTTTTCTTCATTTTTGCAATCAATCAGAGTCGAATAAGCTCCAGAATTTCGCTTGTTGCAGCTTCGGCCGGATCCTTCGTTACAATGCGCATCTCGCTTAGGGTTGCACAATGCTTGACCGATTCTTAGCTTTCGGCAAGTACTTCGGAAGGATGCTTGTTTGGACGTCCCAACCTGTCGTTCGGCGGCTTCCAACTCCACTGTAATTCTCCGTGCCAACCAAGAACTGTACTGTTCCTCCCACAAGAAGTCGAAACCATGAATGCAGGCAAGGAGGCAAGATACCTGGTTGCTGGACCCTGCATACGGCATTCTAGCGAGTGGCCACACATTGCAGCCGCTTCAGCCTCCGATATTGCTTCAACTCACCGCACGGCCGAGGCGTCGCACGCGGACAACAAGCCGACGGGAAAATCACTTTCGTTATTCGACGATCAAGCTGAAAGACCAGGGCCCGTCCCCAGGCAGTCGATGTCTAGGGGATGAAGCGCCCCGCTTAGTTGAGTTGCTAGTTTTATACAAGCAGCCTCAAGATTGGTGAAAAGGTAAAGACAACCCGAGACTGCCGAAGCATTATTTGATGAGCACGGAAGAATCACTCCACTGCTCATTCTAGGTTGCTCATACTCTGTTTCGGCCCCCACAGTTGTAATTGGCATTACACCACCATGCGAGATGTAGCGAACCACGAGTTCTCGCCAGCCGTCTAGTACGTACGCCGTCCAGCTCATTCGAAATTAACCCCGGGTGCCTGCTAGAGAAGCAGCCATTCGAATGATCGCCTTCCAATGGTGCAGACTCGTGGACCTGCATGGTTCGCGACCGAGCACGGTGCACGCTGTCCATGCGTTCTGCTACCGAGAGAACCACTCCTTTGGAACGAGCATGCCTATTGAATAAAAGTCTTCGGCAAGCCACACTTGTCTAGTTTCTACCTCTTTTTTTTGTTTCAGTCTTTTCTCATATCTTTAACAGCACTGTCTTAGTAGCCATGTCTGTGACTGGTAAGCCTACTCACAGGCTCTCTTTTGAGGAGGTACCATCGGAGAATGGCACTCTACCCGAGATCAAGAAGGGTACTGATGCCGATGCTGCCGACATGACGAGAATGGGAAAGAAGCAGGTATTGAGAGTATGTGTTGTGCCCCTCCGGTACCACTGATGTACCATTCTAACAACGTAATACAGAGAGAGTTCCGTTTTATCTCCATTGTTGGATTTATCTGTATTCTGCAATCTACTTGGGAGGGCGCTCTTTTATCCAATGGTCAATCACTATACAATGGAGGCTTGGCCGGAACTGTATGGACCTTCATCGTTACCTGGATTTTCACACTTTGCATGATCGCATCGATGGCTGAACTCGCGTCGATGGCGCCGACTGCTGGCGGTCAGGTACGTAACTTCGCAAACTCTTTATCAATACGCTCTCCTAGGACTAACTTGACACAAAGTACCACTGGGTCAGTGAATTCGCACCTCCATCGCTTGAGAAGCCACTGTCCTACATGGTCGGATGGAGCAGTTGGCTCGGTTGGGTTTCTGGTATTCCTTCCTGCGCACAATTCCTCGCCTATCAGGTCGAAGGCCTTGTTCTTATCAACAACCCTGATGCAGACCTTGGAGCACTCTGGCAAGTCGGTCTTCTGCTTTTCGCTTTCTTGTTCGTCACCTTTGGCTTCAACATCTTCTTGTCGCACAAGCTTCCGCTTGCTGAAGGCATTATCCTTGTGCTCCACGTCCTGGCCTTTTTCGCCTACCTCATCGTTTTCTGGGTCATGGCTGATGTCGGCTCGGCTAAGAACGTGTTCACAGAATTCTCCAATGGCGGTGGCTGGAGCAGCCAAGGTGTCTCTTGCCTTGTGGGTCTTGTGACTCCCATCTGGTGTTTCATTGGCCCTGATGCTGGTGCTCATATGAGCGAAGAGTTGCGCGATGCTTCTCGAGTCCTGCCCAAGGCTATGATGTGGGCGACTGTCATCAACGGTGCCCTCGGCTGCGTGATGATCATCAGTTTCTGCTTTGCCGCTGGCGACAACCTGGACGGCATTCTGAACACTGGCACCGGTATCCCAGTTGTACAGTTGCTTTACAACGTCACCAACTCAAAAGCTGGCACATCAGTCCTCATCGTCGTCCTTTTGATTCTCCAATACTTCTCCGCCATCACCACCATCGCTTCTTCCTCGCGCCAGACCTGGGCTTTTGCCAGAGACCGCGGCTTCCCTTTCAGCGAATGGCTCAGCCGTGTCGACCCTCGCTGGGATGTTCCCGTCAACTCTCTGCTGCTCTGTCTTGTTGTCTCCCTCATCCTCGGCGCCATCAACTTTGGCTCAGAAACTGCCCTCGATGCCATCATGTCAGTTTCAAACTCAGCCCTGTTGTTCAGTTACATCATGTGTATCGGCTGCGTTCGTCTGAAGCGTTGGCGTGGACAGCCTCTATTGCCTCGTCGCTTCGATCTTGGCAGATGGGGTGCTCCTCTCAATGACGCCGCTTTGGCTTTCTTGGTTGTGGCTTTCATCTTCTCTTTCTTCCCTGAAGATGTCAATCCTGATGCTCCGGATATGAACTGGGCTATCGTTATTTGGGGTGCTATGTGGGTTTTGGCTGGTGCCTATTACTACTTTGGCGGCTCCAAGAAGTATGTCAGCCCTGGCAGTCTTGTTAAGAACATGTAGTATAATCTTTGGTTTGTTACGTAGTAAAGTCGTAATTCTCATAATCCTTGCAACATCACGGCCGTGAATATATCGTTGGTGACTGATTTCAATACCAGGAATCGCAAACGAGGTGGGAGGATTGGTCACCCGCGGTTTCGGGAATTGGATGCTCCGGTTCTGAATTTGATGCTCATCATGGAGCAACCACTGGTCCAGAGAGACCCTTGGATGATATCGGAGATCAGAGTATACCGTTCTACGCGAAACACATGTATTTGATACGGTTGGAGGCTAATAGGACTGTGAGATTCCCAACCCTTTCGTCAAATTCTGGTCAGCAGGGGCACCCTGTCAAGTGCGAATCCGTACAGACATTGCGAACTGAGCAGTACCACCTGGAGAGCAGCACTGCTTGTAATGATGTCTACATACAACGCCGTAGCCGTGATTTGACTTTCTCTATAGCATGAATAATCATGAATAGATGTTGTTTATTGATTTCGTGGAGTTCGTAGCGTCTATTCGCTGGACTCGGCGTACTTTGCGTACATCAGATCATACAGCTTGAGCTCGTTGATGGCATCCTCAGCGCTAGTCTTGATCTCCTTGTCATTGACCAGGCAGTCATGCATATCTTGGAACTCAGTTGCAAAAGCATCTTCAAAAGAGCTGATGATCTCCCTGGTCTGGACTTCGCCAGCATCATTTACTTCTTGAACCCTGACCATGACAGGCTTCTGTGTCTTGATGTAAGGAGAATCGTAGAAGATGGTGACGCGTTTGTTCTCGCCATACACGGCGAGATGAGCATCGAACTCCGGCACGCCATCGATGCCGGATTCGTAGGTCACGAAGAACGGATCGCCTGACTTGTTGCGGCACTTGAAGATGGCGGAGTAGAAAGGTTCGTTAACGGTGACGGCCGTAACGTCTTCGGGGAAGCCGAGAGATTCTCTCATGAGGGACAGGTCGTGGCTACCCAGACTGCCCAGGAAACGAGCATATTTCACTTGTTCGGGAGTAGGTTCAGAGCCGAAAGCTTCATGTAGGAGAGCATCAACTCTCTTATTACGCTCTTCTCCTGCCGATGGTGGGAAATCTGTGTTTTTGACAGGGAATGTACCACTTTGTGATGTGAACTTTCCATTTGCTAAAGATCTGTCAGCATAACTGCTTCCGGACAAATAAAGCCGTTGAGGGTAGATGGATTTCGACTTACGTCCTGAGAAGTCACGGGATCTTGCGTAGAGGATCTTGGGAATTGACTCGAGCTCGCGCTTGAACGCGTCTGTGAAAGAGCGGCTATGGCGTCTCATGTATCCCACCCATACGCGACCTTTTGACTTCTTTTCAGCATCGATGATGCGCTGAGCAGACTGCATGGAAAGAGTGATGGGCTTCTCGATGAACACATTCTTCTGTGCCTCCAGGGCCGAGATGGCGTATGGTTCATGGAACTCATCAGAGACAGAGATGAAGACTACGTCCACGTTGGAGCTGTTGAAGATCTCCTCCGGGTCGGTTGTCGCCTTTGAGATATGGTACTTCGAGGCGCAATGCTCAGCATTCTTGATAGGTGATGCTTGTCAGTCATGCTCTGATATATATTCAAGAATGAGAGAAGCCAACCTTCTTCGACAGATCACAGATGGCTGTGATCTCGTAGAGGTGTGATAGCTGGGAAAGAGTGGGCAGATGGATGATCTGGGTCACTGATATATATTGTCAATGCTGACAGGCCGCGGACAGCGTCGCTTTCAGTGCGTACCTTCTCCAGCACCAATGATACCAATGCGCAAACGTTTTGATGAGTCAGTCATGTTCGGTAGATAGAAAGTTGCAGTTGAGTTTCGAGTCGAGTTCTCGCCAGCAAGATGACCGTTGTAAGAGTGTTCAAAGATGGTGCCCGTTTGTGTTGAGCAACGAGGCTGGAAAAGAGTTGCGGGTCACTGACGCACATAGCACGATTGTCTTGGAAGCCCTATGTTTCGTTTCCCTGACTCGCTGGACTGCTCCTTCGAACGTCTTATATCGAAAGCAACGGCACCTAGATTTCTCAAGCCACTCATCTTCGTACTGCACGATCAAGCCCTGCGAACAATTTGTGGACTTCCCATTGCATTCGGGTAGCAGAATGAGAGACAAAGTTAATGGTCGAAAGTCTCTACAGAAAGTCTTGCTTGAAGCCTGCCAAGAGTCAGATGGCGGCCAACACTTTTGGCCACGTCATGACTACAATCACGATCAAAATTGTCTTCGTGATGTGTTGATGACGCCAAGCTTCAGAATCAGAATCAAGCATCAGAATCAACACACATGCTCTCTTATATCTCTGCAACTCGACATTACATGATTGGATCTCTCGGCCATTCTTTGAGGGGTGTATCTTTATATCTGAACAATTGCTCCAATACTGCCGAAGCTTTGCGGCACTTTCGGAATGCCCGTACAGTTATTCGCGATCGTTTTCAAAGACAAACGTTGTGCCTACCCGCAGTCTCGACCGAGCGGCTCTACACACTCGGAGATGCCCTCCATCAGCCCTGCTCTGTAATTGGCCAAAGGGAAAGGAAGTCGCTGCGAGAGCAAACGTAGACGCCAATAACCTATCCTAGGTTAGCATGCCGAGAGGTAGAAGTCAACGCCCTCGATTGCCGTGCGACTATGCAATCCACAGTCATAACGCCTTACCAGATCTAGACGTCGTTGTCAAGTCTTGAGAAACTGCCTAGACTGATTGACACTTGTAGGCCCAGAAACTAGCCGTCCAGCAACAGAACAGACCGTGGTTCCTTCTGTACCCGTTATGATTATTGACCTAGCCCTCAAGGATTCTTCTGTTGCCTCTATGAGCAGCAGAGAGAATGAGGCGTTATCATGTCTTATATGTGCCATTGCTTCCCGGATGTGGAGGTCTAGGAGGTATTCTGCATAGTCCTTATAGGACCTTGGCCACCCTTTGTCTTTTGCCTGTTTTCTGTGTTGTGTGGGTTGCTGCTTTCCATCTTGATTTTCGTTCATTTAGTTCTTAGCGGCTTTGAGCCGACTACAGTCAGGCAAGATGCGTCTCTCCTTTGCTCTTCCAGCACTCCTTCTCACTCCTTTCGCCTACGCCAAGGCAACTACCGCAGTCGAGACTACAAGTAAGTGCCAGCGATCGTTTACTACGGGCAAATTGTTGATATGGATAGCTTGCTCTGCCACCGACCTCAAAACCTTCAACGGCGATGTTCAGTATGGAGAAGCTTTCTGCGAATTCTGGCTCATCATCAGCCGCAGCACCTCTCCTCTTCCCAATCTCTCCGCCAGCGCTCTGACGAATGTCTGCAACTGTGTCGTCAGCGGCCAGTCTTCGACTAGCACCACATCTACTCATTCTGTGATCAGAGGAGCAAAACTCGTCTCTACCAGCTCAAAGTCCTCAACCACCAAGAAGAGTACTGCCAAAGTCTCGAAGAGAGCCGTCACTACCAGCAAGAAGACAGCTAGCACAAAGCTAGCTTGCGTGAGCAAGGACGTTACTGCCGTACAAGACGACATCACTTACACCATTCCTTTCTGTAACTGGTGGGCCGAAGCCTCGCGAACCAATTCTCCTGTTCCTGGTCTCTCTGCATCTCAGGTGACAAATGCTTGTAAATGCATCCTCAGTTCAGCATCGAGCACATCGAGCACCAAATCATCGGCAGTCAAAACGACTTCGTCCTCAGTAAAGTCGTCGGCCAAGTCATCAAGCACGAGCAGTAAGAAGACATCGTCGACCAAGTCATCAAGCACGAGCAGTAAGAAGACATCGTCGTCCGTGAAGAGTTCCGCAACTGCCAAAACTTCGACTGCCAAGACCTCTAGCACGAAGAGCTCGATCACAGCTACGCGCGGCAAGGTCTCTTCTACTTCTTCCAGCAAGAGCTCCTCATCAAAGATAGCCAGCTCTCCTTCCTCTTCGAAGGTCTCGTCCAGCATCCCTTCAACAAAGTCTAGTTCATCGACGTCCACCTCGAAATCCTTGATGCCGAGCATCACTAGGACTAGAGGTGGCGCCATTGTTCAGACCAGTTCAGCCGCCTCATCGAAAAGTTCAGCCAGTGCACCTGGCGCGAATGCGGCCGCAGCGCAATCTTCGTCAGTCAGCTCCGCAGGCGTCCAATCCTCTTCGACAAACATCCAATTATCGACCTCATCTGTCGGAGTGCAGTCGTCCTCTTCGTCATCGTCATCGTCTAGTACAAAAACTGTTGTCACTCGTACCAGAGGTATGGCAATTGTCGTTCCTGCAAGTTCCTCAGTCAACCAGGCGGGTCCTGCCGTGGAATCGCACGCAGCTTCAAGCAGCTCAACCGAGACACAGGCTTCATCGAGCGGCTCAAATGGACAGGCCTCTCAAGCCGCGAACTCCGGCTCTGGTAACTTAGGATCTTCCTCGGGCACACAGACTGCGACTACTCATGGTTCAGATTCGCAAGCTTCTTCGTCACAAAGTGGGGCGACCACCACATCGACAACCAGTCAGGCTCGCGTCCGCGGTAGCAAGATTCCCACCACCGCCGATATCTCGCAATCAGCATCGGTTGTTCAAGCATCTTCTGCCTCGCGCACATCCGGCTCGTCATCTCTTGGATCTGAGTCGATCTCGGCCTCCGTTAGCACCGCACCCGCTTCCTCTATGCCTGCCAGCTTCTTCCTTTACATGACTGGCTCCCAATCGAAGCTACAGAGCGAGAATGGGGACGGATCAACAAACGACAATGGGCGTCTTGGGTTCGACCTTGGAGACTCTGCAACATCGCAGCAATTCTCCTTCGATCCCATCACCAACCACGTTCTGTTCGGCGACTACGTTTTGTCCGTTTCCAAGCGTTACACCATGAGCCCTGACACATCCGAGAGTACTGCGACCTACTACAACGTTTTCGAAAGCACTGCGGACAGCGACGACTCAGTCCCTCTGACTTGTTCGTTCGACCCTAAATTTGGCATGGCTTGTACTGCCGAGATGGATGGCCAGAGCCTCAGCCAGATGTCCGTTGTCACTGTCGACAACGCTTTCTACCTTGTGATGCGCGCTGCTTCCGTTCAGAACAGCGATGTCGACATGGATGACATCAAACTCTATGCCGCACCTGCTTCAAGTGCAAGTTCTTCGTCAAGCGCAGCTTCGTCTGTTGTCAGTGCTGCATCGAGCAATGGCGGTCTTACTGCATCATCGTCAGCGGGTTCCTCCGCCGCTGAGAGCGTTTTCAGTGGACAATCTTCGCTTACTGTCTCCAGCACCAATGTTTATGGAGCATCATCTTCTCAATCATTATCAACCGGAGATATCGCCCAAGCAGCTAGCTTGTCTACCCACAGTTTGTCTAATCCATCCATCACAAGCTCTACCCAAGACATCCATGGTCCGTCGACTGTGTCTATTGTTTCAGCAACCGCTTCGCCCTCGACCAAGATATCCGAGTCTGCTCCTGTTGGCGATGCAACTCCAAGTCAACTTTCGTCGAGCTCAGATTCGACTTCTCAATCCACCGTTCCCGGATTGACTCGCTCTGCTAGTGATGCAGATTCAACGAGCTTGGCTGGTCCCTCTTCAATCGCTGCCGAGATGAGTAGCTCTATTGAATTGTCATCCAAGGCGACACCGGTCACTTCTGTCATGGCAGAGTTTTCGTCTGGCACCGCTGTTGAGACAATCTCCTCAGCAGACACCCCCGGATCGACATCCGCTCTGGATAGTAAGATGACTTCCGCATCAACGTCTGCTACACCAACTTCGCTGCAGTCTACAGATGACGTCAATGCTGCCGCTTCTCCGTCAAACACCGGCAATGCTCTGTCATCTGGAAACTTGAGCAGTAGCCCAACAACAAGCTCTGACGTCGTATCGTCCAGCAGCCCGACTGCCGTCGTCCAAAGCCGGGAACCTGGCGTCTATGCTTCAAACTCAGGCACCTCTGCCGATACCACAGCTCTGCAAAGCAACGGTACAGCCCTTGGTTTCAACTGGGGCTGGGAAAGTGTGCAACTGCGTGTCGACAACGCTGGATGGTTGGTGGATTCCGCTGGCAAATACCAAGTGGTTCAGCACGACGGTACATCAACACTGGACATGCTCTCAGGTTTTGTCTCTACACAGTCTGAACAGAACGTCCTTGGCTACGCTTACATCGGCCCCTGTAGCCTTGACTCGAACAATGACCTGTCATGCAAGTTCACCGAATCCGGTGCTCAGACCAAGACGGATATTGACTTCTTCCTTGTTGCTGGAGATAAGCCAAGCTCTTGGGTCTTGTATGCTGGTTGGAACGATCATATGCATCACGATGTTGATCTTCAGATTGTTGCACCCACTCAAGATCCAGCGTCCACTGCAATGGTCTCAAGGGCTAGTCCTGTACCTACTGCTGATGCATCGACTATCGGCGCTGTTGACGCCACCTCGTCTCCCATCACAGTCGATGTCTCCTCCACGTTGCAGACCGCAATGCCTACTCCTGCAGACGTTGAGTCGTTCAGCTCGGGTATCCAAATTACAGTTTCTAGCTCAGACATCATAACTACCGATGCCTCTGCAACATCTGCTGTTCAATCCGTTGATGCCTCTCAGACTGCTGATTCGGGATCTGTTTCTGCCACACCATCAGTGACTGGTGCTCAATCAGCCGAGGCAAGCCCTTCAAGCTCAGGAAACACCGATATTGGCATCGATGATGATGAGTCCGACGATGAGAACGCCTCTGAACAGACCGCCGCCAGTAGCTCTGCATCCGATGCAGTCTCTACTGATACTTCGCAGTCTACAGTAGTCTCTTCTGCCGATGCTTCTCAGACGGTTGAACCCGAATCGATTTCTGCCACCTCGCCAGTCGCTGCCTCCCAGACCACTGAGGCAATCACCCCAGACTCGGGAAGCACTACTATTGGCTTTGGAGACGACGACGACGACTCTACCGACGGCAGTCTCTCAGGCTCAGATGGCGAAAACGGCCCAGGAGAGACCTCCGCTGGTGCAAACTCTAGCGATGACTCGTCCAATGGCAATCAAAGTACTATGCCGACTTCATCTGAGACAGTATCATCTACCGTATCTGTGACCGATCCTACGGCTGCTACTGATGTGCCTGCTCGTTTCTACCTCTACGCAACCAATTCTTCGTCGTCTGCCGATGAGACTAGTCTTGAGACTGAGAACAACTCTGGCTTCGTGGGTTTCAACATGGCTGACGGCACGTACACCATTCGCAACTACACCTTCGACTCGACCTCTGGGTATGTCTACGATGGCGAGACTTCAAACATGTTGGTTACGTGGCCGGGACATGGAAACAACATCTTGCTCGCCACTTCTGGGGAGCAGACAACTTCTGGTTACGTGCCCATTACTTGTACGGTCAATTTCGACGATACATTGTCTTGTTCCTACCAGCAGACTGGTATTACCTACTCTGGTTTCTACATGGAAACTCAAGGCTCCAGTCAGTACCTAAATATCGGCCCTACGGGTTCGGACTCATCTTCTACTGGGTCCAACTCAGCAAGCGGCCAAGTTGGTTCAACTGAGAATTCCGGGTCCTCATCGGGAGCTACTTTGAGCGCTTCTGCTGATTCTTCCGCAAGCACGCCCGTCGTTTCGTCTTCTAGTCCAAGGCAAACTGTTGTTCTGAGACTTTCCACGAGCCCGAAGACTGAGCAAGTCTCGTCTTCCATCGATGAGGGTGTTTCTTCCACTTCTAACGAGTCAAGTACCGGTAGCCTCACGACATCCGCCATTTCGAGTAGCGAGGAGGCCTTCTCAACCCAGTCCTTCACTACTCCTGCATCGAACAACGCAGTCACTACTGTTGAATCGCAAAGCCCCTCAGCCACGATTCCGCTTACTAGTACCGATATCGAGACAACTTCGTCTGCGACTGATACTGCTGTGAGTCAGATCTCGAGCGAAGATGCAGCAGCGCCCTCGCTTGTCCCGAGCAGCTCTGCTAGTGTCCCTGTCTCGCAAGATGGCACTGAAATTGAGTCGACCTCTGCGTTTTCCTACTCCTCCACCGATATGTCTAGTGATATACCTGATGTCGCAAGCAATACTGCCACGCAAAGCAGCGAGATCTCTTCGAGCCCTGCTTCGGCCTCTGCTAGCGCTACTCTCGCTCCTATTCCATTTTACATCAGAGATGCCGGAAATGAATTTGTTGCCGTGTCTCAAGGCCAAGACGGTGTGGCTAGCTACGTATCTGGCCAAGGATCTGCTACACAGTTCTACATCGATCCTGATACCGGTTATCTCGTCGAGTGGGGCTTCAGCAATGTGTACGCCGCTAACAGAGGTCCCAGTGACGTGCCTGAGCTTGTCTACTTCAGCACTGTGATCGATTCGCACACCTATATCACATGCTCTCAAAACGCTCGCTCAGGATCATTGGAGTGTCAATCCAACAATGTTTCCCAACAGGCCATGACTTGCAACAACGATGGCAAGCTCTACTTCGCCCCTACTGTTCCATCGCAGTGTTCTTGGGTACCTCTGAACTATGTGTCTACCTCAAGTACCGATGTAAACAACAATGTGGCCGTCTCAAGCAACAGCGTTCCTGCAAGTGTATCTGTGTCTGCTACTAGCGATGCATTCCTCGCAAGCCAATCCGCATCATCCAGCGAGACAGCCTTGACAAGCGATATGGCATCCACAACTCAGAGTGCTAGCAGCTTTGAGTCTACCTCTCAGAGCTCCTCAGAGTCGCTTACAACGAGTGCCGATTTCAGCGACACGACGTCAAAGACTGAGAGTGCCAGCAGCTCCGAGTCCACCTCTGGATCGTTCGAAGCTACCTCTCAATCATCTTCAGAGTCGCTTCCTACCACCAGTGTTATCAGCAGCGGCATGGAATCCACAATTGAGAGTGTCAGCAGCTCCGAGTCTAGCTCCGACTCACCTGAAGCTACTCCCACTTCTCAGTCTTCCTCGGAGTCGCCTACTTCGAGTGTCATTTCCAGCGACATGGTTTCCACAACCGATAGTGCCAGCAGCTCCGAATCTACCTCTCAATCATCTTCAGAGTGGATGTCTACAAATGGTGTTTCGATGACCACCAGCTCCGATGTGCCATCTGTTACCTCTTCAGAAGATGCGTCTCAGACGGAGACGATCAATGACTCTAGTAGTATTTCTGTCCCACGAAGCGTCACTGGTCAAGACTCCACGACATCGAGCGAGACGGCCACGAGCTCGGTCGTTGAAAGCCAGACAACTTCTATCACACCCACGTCTACAGAGGATGCCCCGACTAAACCGGTACAAGTCGCTTCATCGACATCTGCCGCAGCTACTTCTGGACTGCCTCTGGCTAATTTGTGTCCTGCTGCTGATTACCAAAACATCACAGATTCTTACAGCAACAATTACACTGTTCGCTGCTTCTCCGATTCTACGGTAAACTCGTACTCGAGCGCTCAAGCTGCAAATAACTATCTCGATTGTATGACTGCTTGTGACGATGCCTCTATCAATGGCTGCACAGGTTTCACTTATGTAGGCAGTGCCAATGGTGATGCTAGTGGTATTTGTTACCTCAAGACGTCATCAGGAAGCTTCACGACTGCTGGTGCCAACTATATCTCGGCTCAGTTGTCTTCCGTCAACGCCACGAGATTTGATAGCTCGAACAGCGCCAGTCCCTCAGGTACTCTCGCATCAGGCTCTCCGGCTGCCGCGTCTTCTGCTGTCCACAGCTCTCAAGATGCAAGTTCAAGCGCCAGCATGAGCTCTCCGACCGCCTCCGAAGTTTCTGTCTCCATGAGCACCGACAGCAGTGCCACAACTCAGAGCGTTGACACGAACGGAAACCTTGCTGCTGGCGGCATCAACAGTAGCTCTGAATCGGCATTCAGCACCCCGGCCAGTGCTTCAGCATCTATGACCGCAAGCTTTGATGCCCAAGTCACTTCCACAAGCAGTGAATTCTCGTCCTCTGCTTTCAGCACCAGTGCCTCTGACCTAGCCCAATCGACCGAGTCAGCATATTCAACTTTGACCTCATCTACAAGCAGCGGATCAAGCTCTATCGCTTCAAGCACTTCCGCGTCAGCATCTGATTCGTCCTCAAGTCTGAGTAACAATGATAACGCCTCGACCTCTACTATTGATCGCAATGCAAACCACGTCTCTGTTCCGGCTTCTGGTTCCAACCAAGGTGGATTGGCGGCTTCAGCCACATCGATCGACAATTCCATGGCATCCAGCACCTCCAGTATCTCTTCAAACAGTGCTTCCTCAGCGTCAGACAGTGCCTCGTACTCGGCTGGCATGGCAAGCCCCACCTGGGCTCCCTCAACATCATCTGGTCAGAGCGTTTCTGCCTCTTCGAGCGTTGTCTTCGCCTCATCCAGCAGCATCCTTGCTTCTTCGGACAGCATGTTCTCCTCCTCGAGCAGCGCTGTTGCTTCTTCGAGCAGTGTCTTTTCCTCGTCGAGCAGTGTCCTTCCTTTCTCGAGCAGCGTCTTGACTTCCTCTAGTAGCGTTCCTGCGTCCTCGAGTAGCGTACCTGTCACTTCGAGTAGCATACCTGCCTCTTCGAGCAGTGTCTCTGCTTCAAGCAGTACCTCCGCGCCCTCGAGCAGTATCTCACTATCCTCGAGCAGTGTTTCGGCATCTTCGAGCAGTGCTCAAGGCTTCCCGTCGAGTGTTAGTGCCTCAGCAGGGTCTTCCCCCTCCAGTAGTTCCGTTAGCTCTTCAGCCTTCTCAAGCAGTACCCTGAGCGCTTCATCTCCGAGTGTCTCCGCAAGTCACAGCCAATCTGTCAGCTCCGCTAGCTCATCTATCACCAGTAGTTCAGCAAGCGCAAGCTCGTCATCATCAATCACGGCAAGCTATAGCTCATACAACTCTGTATCGGCCGCTATGTCTATCATTGAAGCCTCGAGTTACCAGCCATTCTGCTCTACCTACCTCGGTTACAGCTCATCGACCGCGACCGTCACTTCCACTAGCACTTACAACGATGTGTCCACGACCACGACTACCACGACGTCTCTCGTTGCACAGACCAAGCAGTACAGAAAGCGTGATGTTGAGCAGCCAAGCGGCACTTGCGACTGCGAGAATCATGATCATCAACCTAGAGCTACAAGCGAAATCGCTTCTACAACCATTCTTCGTCGTAGAAGCGGGTCCTACACCGAGATGCCAACAACCCAGCTCCAGCGTCGTGCTACCTCTGCTAGCTCAGCCGTTTCGAACACTACTCCAACCCCTCTCAGAACATTCTCATCGACCGATCTCAGCTCAGCATGTAGTTCAGAGGTCACTTCTCCTGCAGTTTCCACAAGCACGATTATGAGGACTGTCACAGCATCGAGCACATCGACGGTAACGAAGACAGCAACCTCGACAACCGTCATCTCTGTGGCCTCGAGCGCGCCAACTGGTGTAGTCGGTTACATGTCCTTCAGAAATCCCGTCAACACTGGCGGACAGTTCGCTTTGTCAGACCCTGCTACTCACATGACGGACAACTACTATGCCAACAGTACTCGCGAGACCTTCATCGTGACAAACACCAGTCAGCTGTACTCCGTCACCAACAACGCCTATTACTATTATCAGACTCCTGCTGGAAACGACAAGCTTTACTGGAGTACAAACAATGCCACTGGTACTACCAATTGGCTGCAGAACGCCACCACCTCAGATGGATATACCCAACTTCTTATGGTGGATACTCGATACACGGCTCGCACTTACTACAAGTTCTGCTTGAAGACAGTCGCATCTGGCGATGGTAACTCCGCTACCGGTCTGCACGTCTACTACTTCAACCAGACTGCGACGTTCCCTACCAACTGTGTTGGCACACAGCTCTGGTTCGCACCTTCTTAGTCGAAGTTCTAAGTTCGCTGCCTTTCGCTCATTCTCTCATTATTACCTACACCATTTCTCTATGTTTATCACACTTATTGTCGCTAAAGACAATCACGCCGGACGGGCAAAGACATTTCGCAGGCTATATCTTGTGGATCAATGATTCGAATCTTTTTGTTTAATTTTTAGTATATAGTTCAACTCCAACTATAGCATAGAATCCAAATCAAAGCATAGTTATTCCACCATCACCCAGCTCTTCAAAACATTGCGTCTCCTGATGTGTGTATCGCCGCCGTCGGAATTTTTCTACATGATCGAGCATCTTATGATCTTGACAACGACTTCGCCAGACAAAAAATGTCAAGCCGATTTCTCCTTCCTGTTCTATCACCGTTCATTTGCCGCAACAGCAGCTGCTCATTCTCATTTCAAAAAAAATCAAGGCAAGTCCAAGCGTGAGAGCGCGGAGTAAAGCCCCTTCCTCCCTTCTCCTCTCAAACAAAGCCAAAACCCGAGTCATGTACTGACCCCAAACAGCAATAGCCTTTTCTCCAATCCATCTCTCGAAGAAGCGAAAAGAAAAATCGCAACGGTTTATGAACGGCTGGAAATTTGGAACGCCAGAAAAAACGTCGAAGATGTGTTTTCCAACGTCGAACTTTTCTTCTTGGATAATAATATACAGAAGAAGGGAAATGGAAAGTGGTAACGGTGTTTATGATGTTGAGTCATCTGTTTGATATGGGAGGGGTTTCGCGGGTCCCTCGGTCCGGTCGCGAGATGGGAAGGTCGGCTTTCTTGCCGTGTGGATGCGGATGATTGAGATGGTGAAGGAGGGACTTTTGATGTGTCTCGGAATTATTGGAGGTGATATGACGGTCTACTCGAGGTGTATGGTGTGTTATTGTATCAGTTATCAGAGCATTGAAGGCGTTATGAAAGATAAAAAGAGAAGTTTTGAAGGTGTTGTGGAAAATAAAGATAAGTTTTGATAGTCTAATGAAAAAATGATGCATGCTGTTTTTCTACATTAAGTTTAAATCGCTATTTGGATGGTGGTGTTCCCGTTTTTGTTTCCCTCCGTTGCCGTGGTTCAGGGTATATGCATATGCAATTCGTCAATTCGTAGAGAGGAGAGATGCAAGGTTGATCCAATCCAGCGGGCCAAATCTCCCAGAGCTCGGGTGATTAAGTTCTATTTGGGGCAGGTTGGATATCAAATCCAACCAGCTTTGACGCCTTTGCTCACACGCCAGTCTGTGTTGTAATCGCCCTTTTCGACATCGGGGTCTGAGCCTTGTCGGCGAGGCATCACTTGGATTTCAGGGACGTGGTCTTCGCCTTCGGAGCCTTCTTCGATGTCCCAGCTTGATGCGCCGTGGCCATCGCGATTGGCTAGCATGGTTCGCTGGCTTGAAGCCCGAGAACATGATCTGTTGGGTCCTCGTGCTGGTGTTGAGGAGTTTGATGCAGGTATGCTAGTGGCAGGATAGTGGTCGCTTGACTCGGATTCGCTGTCATCGCTTGCACGTCCATCAACAGTGACGAAGTGCATTGGGATCTTGTCACCTTCGTCTCGGGTAGACTTCTTGCGATTTTGCTGGGAGATGACGGTGGATCGGGTAATGGTTGTGTCCTGTAGCTTGGTACCATGGCTGCCGCTGCCAGTAACAGTACTGATCATCTCAGTGACGTGATGCATCATTGGGGCGAAAAGAGGCTTGAGTGCTGGTGCACATCCGCAGAGAATGGCCAAATCGATCTCAACTGTGGCGCAGATGTACAAAGGCATTGAGTCCCAAGTTTCGTCGTAAGTGTCCATAAGAGTTCTCCAGATGTAGTAAGTGCGTACAACGCCAGCGACTGTGACGACAAGTCCCAAAGAAAGCAAGATCGAGACTCCGATTCTTTGCCTCAAGGGCATGTTGAGTCCCATGATGATAGGGATAGGTAGCAGAGTGACCAAGAGGTCCGAGATACAGTTGAGCACTCCGGCAACTAGGGTTACCGGACCTTCGTCCAGACATCTGGCATTCTTCATCACAGGGAACACCCAGTATGCTTCAACTGGTCTGTACAATTGTTAGCTACGTCTTAGAAAAGGAAGAGTTATGAACATACGTGCAGAGGAAGACTGCAAGAATAACAAAAGCAACGCCGATGGCAACGTTGTATGCAAATGTTGCCCAGAGAACCCATTTAAATAGACTGTAACCAGTATCTTTGATGAGGCGGAAGTAGAAACAAATGAGAGATGCGCGAGCGAATGTAGCGGCGAGTGTGAACAAAAGCTTGGAAAGAAAGGCTACGATGGAAGCGGATTGGAACATGGTGAACTCGACATCCCATAGATGGCGGTTCCACTGGTATCGAACGTTGGCGAGAATAACAACAATGCCAAGGGCAAGACCAAAGACCTATGCGCAGCGATCAGCTCTGGTGTCTAGTCACAATGCTTCAGCGAGTCTTACATATGCGATTGCCATGTTGAAGTCGTCCCACCCCAAGCGCCCTTTATTTCTGAATCGACCGTAGAGACGCAGAGGCACAGCCAAGCTGATCAGCGTCATGAAGATGACATTGACAATGACGAGTGGGAGTCCTTGTGTTTTGGGGTGTTCGTAGTTCGGTGTTGGCCAGTTGACCAGAACTGAGGTCGGCGGTAACTGCATCTTGCGACTGGTGTGGGTGTACAAGCTTCTCAATCAATTACCATAGCCTTTCGGCAGCGAAGAGGGAGGAAGCAAGAAAGAGAGAGCGGAACGAAAGAGAAGATATAGATAGATGATGGAGGGGAACGAAAAGTAAGGATCTGCAAGGTGAGGTGGCCTTACATCTTAATAGTCCAGAGCCATGAACTCTCACAGCGGAAGACCACTGCCGCGTCGAGGTTTTTGGTTAAGGTTAGATATCGCACAGACCGTAACACCAGCTACGGATGATCCCATCGTGGGGTCAAGATGAGAACGGATATATCAAAGGTCAAAGCACCACAAAATCGCTTGTCCAGAGATGTGATTGGCCTGCGATTAAGTGATACCGCGGTCGTCCAGCAGTCAGACGTGAGCCGGCCCTACAACGCAAGGGCCTTGCGTGGGGCGGCACTGCTTTGGGAGATCTGCTCGTTACACCACGTCCTGGACTACCATCTGCAGGGCATGGCGTTGGCGGCTACGGAGAACGCTTCAGCCAGGGAGAAACACCCAAGAAAAGCTTGATTCTCCCTTGCTGCTGGAAAAGAACAGTGACGACTCAAGACGAGCAGTTTTCGGCGAGTGTCCTGTACGTAAGACAGGTCTGACATGGAGGGAGATTCCGCTTCTGGTCGACCGTTTCTCATGGGCGCGATGCACGTACAGCGTCGTCGAGTCCTGCGACAGCAGTCATGGCTGGTGTACCGCAAGCCTCAATGCTGCGCGCCGTCGGCACGCCCCCGACGGAGATCGACATTGTCAAACGATACACAAACAGCATTTCCTTGATTGTTTCGCAGAGGGTTGCTTAACAGGTAAAATGATATGTCCCTTGTGATATCTGATGAGAGTGTTGGCTTGTCGTCTCTCAAGCGGAGGAAACTCAGATCCGAGATCTCTTCCCATCTGCCGGGACGTTTTCAATGTAAAACAAAGTAAAATAAATGAAGCATCGTCACCACGTGCGCCCGCAAAGCCGTGAAGAACACCCGGCTGGAAATTCCATCTTCAATAGTGTTCTGTCATTCCCAGCTCACAAAATTGCAGCTTCCTGCTGGTATCGCGAAAATGACTTCCGCTCGACATGGAAAAGTCTCACAATTTGCCAGTCCGAGGACCGTTTCTATGGTTCAACATCGCAAGGACTTCTCAAAAGCTTGAAATGAGTCGTCGACGGAAGGACCAAGCGAAGATGACTGCATGATTCATGGCAATCGATTTCAGTGCGGGGCTGAGTAATCGACCATCAACCACACAGGAAGCGAGTCATGTCCATTTCTCGATCACCGCCAGGATCTTGGACCTCGCACCTCTAAGCACAACATTCATTTGGAGCGCACTCCGATCACGACTCTGCATAACTGTCCCAAGTACCAGGCTATCCTTGATAGCTCGCAATTCTCTCGTTCTGAAATCTGGACTACGCCCTTCGGATCCAGGCACCTTTTGTTCATATCGGCTCAGTGCGGACGAGTACTGCTGAGGTTTCACACCGTTCAGCACCGGCAACTATGCTACACCTGGGATGATTGTTGGGTCATTATGGCTGTTACAATGTTATCGGAATCATTGGAAAAAGAGGAGCTGAGACTTCAAGGCCACTGATTCAGCCTTGCGATCAGCACGCATGATGCTAGTACACCAGATTTGTTGCCCAACGCCCTAGGTTACAGCCGGACCCAGCTCCACGTGGTATGAACGGATTTCGGCCTTTTAAGCTCCACGAACGACAACAGGGCGAACGTAGATATGTCCGTGGATGGAAAACATGTTGGTTGCGACACCTCGGCATCGAGGGGTCGGGTGCAACAGACCACATGTGTGATATGCTGTGGACTGCTTCACGAAGCTTTGTGTCTAGCACTTCTGCTTGCCAGTTCTTCATCGAAACCATGCTTGAATCTTCTAGATGAACACTCGCCGTAGACCCTATCGTGGTCTTCCTGTTTGTCCGGTACCACGTCACGGCATTTGCACGGAGCTACGTCGGGTGTCTATCTTCCCTCGCAGCGAGTACGAGGCTATAGATACCGCTGGACTATTAATCCTTTCGGGTAGCATTCGTTTGTTCCACATGCCAATATTCTCAACTGATGCATTCCACTCCACGTGGCGTGGTTCCTATGGCATATGGAAGGACTATGTTTGTGCCACTTGACAAGGCTCTTGCGTTGGTCCGCAGACATCTAGACCCGTCCTATGCCTTGAAGTATAAGACCCCACTCCGAACAAGCATTTGGGTGTAGATCTTCCGCGTGGTTCCTCGCTTTCGCAAACGAGCCGTGTTCCGCCACATGACTCTCCATACCATGAGCAGCTTTCGATCGGAAGGACGTAGATCACGTTTCCGTTGTGCTTCTCTTTTGTTTGGGAACTACAGCTCTCGCGCTGGTTCCGGCTATCCTTCTCGTTGAGACTTACGCACGTAGTCTGCTATCAGCTCCTCCAACCAGGCCGCGTACCCCCTACTGCTTACTCGTTGTGGCATCGATAGTCGGCGATAGCGGCAATATTGTCAAGCTTTAAATCGATCCGGCTCTAAGGAAGTTGCCACGGGGTCGAGTGATGAGAGATCTGTATCTTCAAGACATTCGCGCTACCCTTTTTCCATGGCCGCCCTCTATGAGGAGCTTCCTGGCGCGGTACAACCCATAGCTTGAAGCTGTGAGCGCAAGTATCATTTCGATTCGAGTCAGCCAACAACTGCAGACCCTTCATTAGTTCACTTCATGAAGGTTTTCATGAAGGAGGTATATGTTGAAACTTGTTTGGTCGCCTTGTTTCGTGTGCTTATGCCGAGTCAGGGTCATGCAGCCAAGCGCTTCGGCCATCTCATGAATCCTGCTTTCGTTCTCGTCCCTTCGCTCCTAGATTATACCACATCTTCAAGGATTTGAAGCGCGCTATTGAACTCATTGAATGTATGTATCAGGTGTTGTGAAGGGCTGAGGATGGCCGAGATAACAATCACGTCGGTCAAATGATCGTCAGCACGCACGCAAGATAGAAAACTTACCTGCTTGTTCTTGATTGACCGGTAAGCAAAATCGCGAGCAAAATTATGAAGAAGGTGACTGCGCAACTTCACAGCATATCAGCAAGTACATTGGATGCATTTCACGCTGTATTCGCAATAATCCAGGAGTTGCAGATTCATCACGTGGAGCGTTGGAAATGATAGAGGAAGGCGCCATCCTCAATCTCTACCATGCACATTTCGAGACGGTAACCCAACTTGAGATCGCTCTTTCTATTCTCCATCATCTTCCCTAATTCGACATCCTCGATTTCATGGCGCCCAACGCTACAACCAACCGAGCTTGACAACTGAACACTTCTCGTTAGAAATACATCTTCAACAACATCTTACACCTTCGACATTTCATCAATCATTGTCTTTCACACTGAGCGCAAACAACAATTCAACGCCGACAAGATGCTCCAGCTTCCCAATGAGCTTCTCTTCCGCATCGCCGACTTCACTTGCAAAGCCGATCTTCCATCTCTTCGAGCCACCTGCAAGCATCTGGAACAGCTCACTCGCAAACGTTTCGCCGCTGCCTACATCACAGCTGCCCGCTCTCCCGCCTCTTTTGTAGGCCTTGACCGGCTTGATCGGATCGTCTCTCATTCACATTCCAGCGCAGTCATACAGGGTTGGATGGCCGTTGGCGACGTGCCGGCCCACTTGGGATTTGAGGGTTTTGAGACACCCTTGCGTGAGATCTTCCAGAAGATGACACAACATGCATGTGGTCTGGATATTGGTATCGTTCTTCCGACCGGTTCTGAACAAAGTCACTACTGTGGCGATGATCTCGGGAAGCATAACAGGACAATGAACTTTGGGATCATGATGCTGGGTGCACTGCCCAACCTCTCTCACGTCCGCTCGTTCAGCATTGATGCCCGGCATAGCTCAGAAAATGGCTCGATGTTGGTACTGGATCTCAGGCGTGTCGTTCAGGGCGTGTTGTCATCGCAAGCTCCGGGTGCGACCCACGACTTTATTATACGTCTGCATGACCGAGCTACGTTTTGCACAACCTGGTCAGAAATGTCTGTCACTAAGGATAAAACTTGTCTCACATTCAAAGGCGTCCACCATCGTAGAGTTCTACCTAAAATGGTCGAGACTTGGAAATACTTAATCACAGCCAAGGAACTGCACGTTATCGATTGCACAATCTCCAATGCAGAGTTGCGAAGCTTGACCAAATCAGTTTCGAACCCAGGCTGGCATCTGGACTTCGAAGATATCCTCTTCCGAACCCACAGTGACCGGCTCTTCCGAACCCACAATGATGACCGGAATCTTTTCGTTCACCATCTTCAAGAAGCTCTCCTACACTGGTCCCAGGGTCTTCACTCTTGCCGCCTCACGAACTTCAGATCCTACGAGAATGGCTCAAAGCTCATCAAGGACTTCGAAGCCACCGGGATCGACAACATCCGTGAGCACACTCAAAGCAGAGATTTCCTTGAGTATGAGAGTGAAGAAGATAACGTAGATGAGTAGAATGGAGGAGATGGCGAGAGGGAAGATAATGGAGACACAATGAAGAAATGAAAGAGGCAGAAAGAGGACGATGGAGGAGAACATGCGTAGGCTTTTCACAGGCTCTTAGGGGCACGGCCGGCGAACGATGTACCATTAATACAAGAAGACTCAGACGAAGGCGTAATTCATACCAGTACATTTGGCAATGTTTGCACTCAAGTGATTCACGCAAAAGAGGCTCACTCGAGAGACTTGGATTTGTTCAGCGCCAGCTTTGATACAACAACGCTTCTTCCTCTCTACACACAAATCAGCCGATCAATCTGCATCATCATAACGCGCTCTACAAGCATACACATTTGACCATCTCAACAATGTCTGCCCACTACAACCCTCCAGGCGAAATCCGCGAGCTACAGCCCCGACTGATCATAAAATTCCTCATCGCACAAGTCAACTTCCCCCACGCCAGAGGAATCGGAGTAACCACCATCGCAAAATGGATGAAGGTCATGGATACCCGCCACTCGGACAACAAGCTGAACAAATTGAGCGGCCCTATCCTCAGATATTTGTGCGCCGCAGCCAGCCCTCCCATCACTGAGACTGAGCAGAGCGCTTACATCGCCGAGCATGGCGAGAATCAGGATGATCCGGTGCTCGATTTCGCTTATAGGCGTGGTCGTGGACGTCCCGTCAGGGAGATGAAGAGGCGTCGCAATAAGAAGAGGAATGCGGCGAGAAAGAAGAGGGTCAAGAAGGAGACTCGTGGTGAGGATGGAAGTGAGGATGTCAATGACAATGGTGATGGAGAGTCTGGATTTGCTGGTCTTCCCGACAACCACGGTCATGTTGATGGTCACGAGGAAGGTGAACCTTTGCTGACAGGAGACGATTGCATCTCTTTGCTCGACGATGCCGAGCTAACGGTCCTAGAGCCCAGCGCTACTACCTCTCCCTCTCTTACTTCTAGAATGGACAAGGAGGAGACCGGAGAATAGGCTAAGCCGGCTAATCAGGTTGAGAGGGTAGCCAAGGAGGATGAGAAGAAAGCCAAAGAAGAAATCAAGGCACAGGAGGAGATAAAGGCTTCCAGAAAGGTTGTGAAGGCAGCGAGAAAGGAGAAGAGAACGAAGAAGAGAAAGGCGTCCGAAACCTCGGATTTGGTGATGAGCGCGCTTTGACACTGTTTTTTCACAAGATCTTGTTCCCAAGTCCCCTGTCGCTTCTTTCTTTACAAGGTCCTTTTCGCAGGCCGAGTTCAGCAATTTCTTTGTAGCCATTTTCTGAGTCCAGAATTAGAGCTGAGGTCCAAAGAAACAAGGCCAGACGCTCGCTTTCTGATGCACAACAAGGTTCTACTCAAAAATGATCGTAACTTCTGATGGGTGTATCACCGTGTGCCGCTACGATAAAGAGTTGGTATGACAAGGTTCAGCGTACAGGAGGTTAGACGACTGAGAAATGATTGTAGAAGGATGTGCTGGTCAATGTAGCCATTGTTTATCTACAAGGCTAGATATATCTGCCATTATCAAGAATTAGACAGCAGACTCTATGCTAAAATACCCTTAGCAGCATTGATAACATCCTGCACAAGCTTCTCAGCATGAGCATAAGTGGTACCCTGAGTATGACCAGGAGGAGTGAATGGCAGACTGGAAGAGTCAATGACTCTCAATCCAGTGACACCATAGACTCTAGCTTTAGAATCGACAACTGCCATAGTGTTGTTCGATCTACCCATGGCGCAAAGAGCAGAGCAGTGGTGAATAGCGGCCAAGCCTTCCTCCTGAATCCACTTCAAGATCTCTGCGTCGGTTTGGACGGAAGGTCCTGGGGACACTTCGCCTTGATAGGCGCCTAGGGCTTGAGCGATTTGACGTCCGCGACGGAAGCCAGCGACGGCCAATTCTTGGTCCTCCTTGGTCGTGATCCAGTTGGGCGAAATGATGGGAGCGACATCGTTGCTAGCGCTTTGGATGGTCATGTTGCCACGGCTGGTAGATGCAGTCATCAAGACAGCGAGAGCACCAACATCATGAGAACCTGAGCCTGAGCTAGAGAGCGAAGTACCAGTGTTTGAAATGACAAATTCGAACTCGGGCCAGTCAGCAGGGAATGCGGCAAAGGCGTCCTTTGTTGATTGGGAGAAGTTTGTGCGGAGCTCGCTAGGGATCTTTTCCCAGCCCCAGAAGTCTTCACCGATGTTGCTCAGAGGGCCTGATCCGTTTGCAAGGAGTTGCGTCATTGCCTCGTCCAAAGCAGGGCCAGGTTCAGCGATGCGGCTCGATGATACGGTGGAGATGTTGAACGAGGGACCGCCGAGGTTGGCAGTGTCCCAGCTGTTCTGGCCAACGCCTTCAAGGGCAGAGATCACAGGTATGTTGAACTGTTCCAGGGTAGAGCGAGGCCCAACGCCTGATACCATCAAAAGCTGGGGCGAGTGGTATGCACCAGCCGAGAGAATGACTTCCTTGCGTGCGGTAAGAGTGAAAGGCTTGATACCGTCTACCGTGACATTTACGCCAGTAGCACGCTTCTGACCGTCGAACAAAATGTTGCGTGCCATACATGATTGGTAGATGGTCAGAAGGGGAGACTTCGCGATAGCAGGAGACAAAAGTCCGCTCTCTGCGGAGCTTCTCAAGCCAGTAACAGGATCAATCGTGCTAGGGAAATAACCATATCCAGTCAGATTACCAGAATTAAAGTCGTGGTTTGCCTCGAAGCCGAGAGATTCGAACGCTGCAGGTCCGTACGAGGAGATAGCATTTGCGTAGTTGCCGTATGAAAGCTCAACACCGCTTCCAGGGATGTCGTAGCCCGTCAGAGTGTAGTTCACTGTGGCATTTTCAGGTCTGACTTCGTCGTTGGGGAGGTTGAAGTGATATGATCGCTTGAAGAAGGGATCCATGTTCTCGAAAAGATAGGCATCGTCGCCTACATGGTCGGCAAATGCTTTGTAAGAACCAGCGGTGGATCTTTAATTAGCATGTCAGTAGAGTCCACATCATACATTCTTCAGGGCGAGTACCTATGATAAATCATTTGGTTCCGCTCCGAACTGCCACCAAGACATTTTCCTTGTGCGTAGTGATATCTTCTACCATTTCCACCAGCCTGTGGTAACGTTGCCAGACCCCAATCAATCAAAGGCTGCCAATCATCGACATCTGCTCCCGCAAACTGCTCAGAGTAGTAAGGTATTTGACTCCAGTTTGTGTTTGAAAGCTCGGCGAAAGATCCGGCCTCAATGACTGCAATGGTCTGATTGGGCAACTGCTCAGAAAGACGAGTGGCAATCACTGAGCCAGCAAGTCCACCACCGACAATCACATAGTCGTATGTAGCGTTGGCGCCAGGCAAGCCGAACGAAGAACCAGTCAGCCTGCCATTGCTTAAAACTTGTGTAAATACAGGAGCAGCGGATGCCAATGTAGAGGCGACCAGTGGTAACGCGGCAAAAGAAAAGGCGACCATATTTCCTGTTGGTTTGAATATATGAACTGCTGAAATCTCATGGGAGATCAATCTTTATAATTACTCGAGTACATAGTACTCAGACCTACTTTGAACCTAAACTCTGGGCAGGTGCCGTTAACATGTTGATCTTATCAACCAGACCAACATGGTGCTTTGACTCGATGGAGTATGGCTGGTACAACTCCGTGACGGTATGCCTTGTACGGGGCAGCGGGCGAGCGGACTTTTGATGTCATCCCTACATGACAGCATGCTTGTTTGAAGCTTGTCCATCAACGTTTGCGGAGTGTCGTGGATGAACACGTTGAGGAACGATCCTTCCCTTGTGCATAGCGAGATTCGTGAGCCATTTGGCGACGATATCCACATGGTCTGCGGAAAAGGCGTCCGTAATGACTGTCGTGGTGATGTCTAAGTTTGAACCTCTCAAATTTGGCTGTAGAGTGACGCAAGGTGTTGTGCATAAGCCAGAAAGGGAAAGACGTCTGCGCGGTTAGCGGCTTATCAACGGGTGATCGCTGTCTTGGGACATTTTCTATCTTGTGCTTTTGCGCTTTGGGTGCTTTGCACGCACGATCAAAGCAAAAGAAGAATCGGTAGTCAAGGTTCACAAACCACATATGGCAGAACCATCTACTTAGAAAACAATTAAGTCGCTCTCGAGGGAACAAAAGGAATGCAAAACATACAGCAGCAGGGATTCCCACGTGGTCACCCACCGTAGTACTAATCTGCCGTTCAACTGCTTATGTATGGCAGAGCGGACGGGATGCCCAGTTTTCAGCTGACTGTGGCCGTATGTGCTAGGATATCAAAATTGTAAAGTAATGTCTCGTTGCGGCAAGATAGGACAAGGCGGTGAACGTGTCATGACACTCATCTTAGACCCTCACCGAGGCCGGACGTGGGGCTTAGTGGGGTCCCTGCTCGCCCAAACGTCTCGAACCTCTTGCGCAGTTATATTGCGGCGGGGCAGGACACCCAAGCAGCGAATAATTTTCCCCTCTCCCTTTCCCTTGTTTCTTTGGAGTACACATACACACCACAAAAATGTCTACCGCTAAGAGAAGCCCCCCTTTCAGAGCTGAGCACGTTGGCTCGTTGCTCCGTCCTGATGAGCTTGTTCAGAAGCGTTATGCTGTTGCCGCTGGCAAGGCTGATGCTGCGGAGTTGAAGCCTATTGAGGACAAGTCTGTCACTGAGGTTGTCAAGCTCCAGAAGGACTGTGGTTTCCATGCTTACTCTAGTGGAGAGTACACCAGGTATGTGTTGTATCTCTTTGATTCAATTAATGTTCCATGATCACCTCGTTGTAACTCGTCTTGCTTCAATGCTTGATTTCAAGAGATTGTTTCCATTTCTGCTTCAATTTCCATCAATCTCACGAGAAACATGTTTTGAATCAACTTGTAATCAACCATTGAATACAAAACACTAACCTGACATGAACAAAGACACATGTTCTGGGGTACTTTCTTCGAAGAGCTTCACGGTATGGAAGACCGCCAACTCGGCGTCCTCAAGGGTTACGACGCCTCCATGTTCCGCGACTACGCACCCGACGTAAAGTCCTTCCTCGAAGCAAAGGAAATCCCTAACGCCGTCACCGTCTGCGTTGACAAAATCCGCCACCCTGGCCACACCAGCAACGCCCGCGAGCTCGAAGTCATGAAAGCCAACGTCCCCGAAGACGAATGGAAGAACATCAAAATCACCGTCATTTCACCCTCATGGTACCATTTCCGCTACCGCGCCGGAAGAGCTTTCCCCAAGGAAGTCTACGCGACCGATGAAGAGTATTTCGAGGACGTGGCCAAAGCCTACCAAGTCGAACTGAAACTCCTCCACGAAGCCGGCATCAGAAACGTGCAAATCGACGACCCAAATCTCGCCTACTTCTGCTCTGAAGCCATGCTGTCGGGCTGGAAAGCCGACTCGGGCAACACGAAAACCGCAGACGAAATGTTCGACGCCTATGTCAAATTCTACAACGCTTGCTTTGAACGTCCTGCAGATATGCATCTGGGCATCCATTTGTGCAGAGGAAACTACATGGGCAGTCGTCATTTCAGCGAAGGCGCTTACGACAACATCGCTTCTAAATTATTCAAGGATCTCAACGTCGACACCTACTACCTCGAATACGACACCGCACGCGCCGGTGGTTTCGAGCCCTTGAAGCACCTGCCCAAGAACAAGAACGTCATTTTGGGTGTCGTCACCAGCAAATTCCCCGAGTTGGAGGACAAGGAGAAGATGGTGGAGAGAGTGTACCAGGCTGCCGATTTCATTGCCGAGGGTAATGGACAGAGCAGAGAGGAGGCTCTGCAGCGTGTGGGTGTTTCGCCTCAGTGCGGTTTCGCTTCTCACGCTGAGGGTAACTCGTTGGGTTATGAGGATATGCGCAAGAAGTTGCAGTTGGTCAGAGGTATCGCTGACCAGGTCTGGCCTAGCCAGCCTTGAGACGAGTTAATCTGTCTTTCTGCACTTTTCCCTTCCTCATTCTCACATTTGCATTAAGAAGATCTCACTTGGAGGCTTCACAATTTCTTGGTAACCACGTTTTTGGTGGACACATTGCATATTTTCTCTTGATCACACATAACGGCTATTCAACAAGCACAGTCGAAGAAACGACTATATCACGACATACACAAAAACAAAAATTGAAACATAATCTCAACATCCCGTTTACAAAGATCTCCAATCCTACAAACCCTACTCTACATCCATACTTTCCATCCAGAACATACACCTCAACATCCCAAAAAACACATCTTTCTTACAAATCTCCAAAATCCCACCACTCATTAAACATCCTTCCGGAGTTCTGATCCAAAAACTCCGTGATGGCGGCAAGATTTTGATCGTTGAAGGCCATGTAATTCGGGTCCGCAGGGGTGGACGGGAATTGCGCAACCCCCGGCATAAACGTAGGTTGTTGAGGCGTTCCTACAGCAGCCGCCAAAGAGTTACTAGTCGCGGTCGCAGGGGTGGGCAAAGAAGGTCTGGCGAATGATGATGGGCCTGTGGAGGTATGGAAACCATCTGCTGGAGTGATGTTTTGGACTGTGGACGGAGTGGGGCGGATCATGGAGGCTGCGTCGCGAGTGAGGGTGTCGTTGGAGGGGATGGCGAAGGAAGGGCTGAAGAGGGAGGAAGTGGAGGTGAGAGAGCGGGAGGGGGAGTGGAAGATGAGGATGTCCCAGAGGAGGTCTTGTTTTGTGCCGCTGGAGGCGGAGGGTTGAGGGCTTGTGGAGCGGCGAGAGGTATCCATTGCTTCGAGTCGGTCTAGTGCTTTCCTCTGTGCGTTGTGTCAGTTTCGTGTATGGAGGTTGACTTAGGAAGGAAGCGTGATGCTTACCATGCGCTCGACATTCTTCAGCAAACATGATAGCTCACCGAGCTCTTGTCGACCTTTGAACAGTCCCTTCTCGGCGTTCTGCCGTAAGCTCTGTATCTCTGCATTGCGATAGTGGATAAACACCGTGTTTGCGACAGAGATACAGTAAGCCACAAATGGATCCGAGATGTTGACCTCCTTCTCCTCGAGCAGATCCAATAATCGAATGATCCAATTCGAATGTACAACGACCTGATCAGAAGATGATTGACTGAACGTCCTTGGACATCTGCCAGCAGCAGCGATTCGTAGTGAGATCAGGAAAGGATGATTGAGTAACATGTGAATCGTATGATACATGAACTGATTCACCAACCAACAACTCCAGAATGCCCAGTTTTGCTCAATGGCATCTTTGGAGTGCTGTGTCATTTTCGTCCTATCGAAGCGATATTCTGGATAAAAGTTGGACTCCAGCTCCAGAAGCTCTGCTTGAATTGCTGCATAGTCTGATTGCTGTTGCCATGGCGGGTGCGGGAGAACGCCATTCTTGGTGTCGGTGACATACTTGGCAGCCTTCTTGAATATGTCAAACATTGGTAGTGTGTTGATGATGATACCAGGTACGGGACCGTCTGCTACGATATTTTGCGACGACGGTGAGACGAGCTCTCCTTTGGAAGTGGCGTTGGGGCTGACTGGTTTGAACGAAGCATGATATGTGATGCTTTTTGCGCCTAACGTCAGTGTCCGGAGATTGAACATGTTCTCCATGATGGCAATACTCCAGAAGCAACGCCTGCGTTCTTCAAGTTCGACTGAGTTATTGATTACAACTTGCGGGTCAAGAAGACCAGACGTCTGAGCAAGAGAGATGGCATTGACGAGAAACAGGTGTGATCGCTGTCCGTTGTCGTCTAAAATTGTCAGTCACATAGCAGATCAAAAAATGGCGCCAACTTACTTGTGAAGTCTAGGAACGATAGCAAGACAAACGCTTGTATCGTACTCAACCTGACATCTCCAGCAAGCACTCTGCCCAATGCCAACTCTCGAGCACGGTGAGCATTGGCTTCACACCAGTCGTCAACCTCTTGACCTCGTGCATTAAGACGGCCAGCCATAGCTAGAATAGCGAACTGGAGTTCTGACCCTCTCGACATGTAGTCTTTTTCCAGGTTAGGGTGGAACAATGGAATAGGTTGACAGTTCCATTTTCTTAATAGAATGGGCACTGCTACCTCCAGCCGACTGGGCTCCTGAGGTATCTGTAGTCCAGAGGGAGTGGTACCATCGGGTATGTCGAGAGACCGTCTTCTCGATGTTGGCACTACACTAGGTGATGGTCGAGAGCTATCAGCATGAGATTCCAGTGGTGTCCGCGGTAGTATTGTGGGTGGTGTTCCAGGTCTTTCATCACGTCAGCGTTGCTTCGTCTATCCACGTGTGCGTGTATTACGAACATGGCTTTCAGCAGAGATTCAAGCCTATTTTCCAACTCTGAGAAGCGAGCATTCTATGCATAGAGTCAGTACCATGCACAGCTAATACGCTTTTGGTAGGCGAAGTAGCTTGACTCCAATGCGACAACGTGTCTAGATAGGCATGACACTTGTACATACCATTCTCCTCTCAATCGCCGCAGACCTAATCTCAGGCATGGAGCCATCATCCGCATAAATACACGTCTGCTTCAACCGTGTACACAGCGAACATGCCGGCTTCTCCCCAGGACATCTCGACTTCTTGCGCCTGTGCTCAACAAAACGTCAATATCAATCAACGACACGTACAATTGAGCGTACGGTATTAGGCAGGGGGATTATACACGTACCGACAGGCTTCACAAGCTTGAGACACGCGCTTAGGGGGCCGCCCGCTCTCCGGCGTTTGCTGCTGCTGCAGTGCATTGTTCTCCATACCTATTGGATGATGTTGAGGGTTGCAGAGGCCGGGACACCGGACCGTCCTTGTGTTGCTGTGCGCGGGGGTGGACGGGTGTCGGCGGCGTGTGGGAAGAAGCTGCCACGCGGCTATCATCCGTGCCAAGAAGAACTCTTTCCCTCTCAACGCGGGCCGTGTTCCGTGCTCTATACGACTGTTATCGCGACATTTTATCGGATCAGGGCATAGATGGCAGGGAAGAGGTTGAGATTTGAAGGATGTGATTCGTTGGTGAGTTCGAATGGTATCATGATACACGAACAGCTATATGGAAAATGTCCCAACCATGGCAGGGAGACGGGTAGCATCCGAAGGATTGAGATATCAAGATATCTTTTCTTCTCTGAGTTGATTGTAGAAGTATATTGTACCATTTTATAACCATCGGACTATTCTTCTTGGTGACTCTTGAGCGTCTGAAATCTGATTGTCTTGCTCATATAATATCACAAGCTTCGAAGCCTGACCTAAGGCTCATCAACACAAGATGGATTCATCGGATAGGTCGCAATCAACGACAGAAGCATACGAGACCGAAACCAAAGAAATGCACGAAACCACTTGGAGCTCGACAAGTTCATCGAACGCTTCCCTCAGATCGATCAAAAGAGAGGAAAGCCCAGATAGCCAAAACGACCATACCGTAGCTTTTGCCGACCTCGAGCCTACCGCGTCCAGAAGTATTCCACCTCCACCGCGGTCGCAGTCTACTTTCTTCGACCCGGGTTTTGAGATCAAGTGGGAGGAGAATGATGTCGAGAACCCTAAGAACTGGTCGGTCTGGAGGAAGGCGCATACCATCTTCGCTTGTACAGTAGCAAGTTGTACAGTGTAAGCATTCCGGAGAGATTGAACCGGACCAGCGCTAACATCGAACAGTGTGTTGTACTCGTCTGCGTATACCTCTGGTATCTCGGGCGCGCATAGCATGACGGCAGAGCTCGACGTATCTAATTCGACAGTATCTCTGCTAGGCCTCACAACATATCTGTTCGGTATGGCCGCCGGGAGCATGATCTGGGCTCCGCTAAGTGTTAGTGACTACACACCACCTCTATCGATTGTCGCTAACTCGTTTTAGGAAATGCTCGGACGTCGACCGGTCTACATCGCAACGCTTTTCGCCTTTATGTTTTTCATCCTGCCTTGCGCCCTTGCAAAGAATGTAGGGACAATCCTCGTATGTCGCTTCTTCGCTGCAATGGTTGGATGCTCGGTTGTGTCGAACTCGCCCGGTACGATCAACGATGTCTCGACAGACAAGCATAGGGCCTTCACCTTCAGTATCTGGTGCATTGGACTCATGAATGGGCCCGTCATAGGACCCTTGGTCGGCGGCTTTGTGTTCGACAACCTGGGCTGGAGGTGGATCCATTGGCTCACGCTCATCTTGGCTGGTGTCTCGTTTCTCCTGATGGCAACCGTGCCTGAGACCTATGGCCCAACTCTTCTGAGACGCCGCACGGAGAAGAAGAGAAAGGAGACTGGCGATGTGCAGTGGTGGAGCAAGCATGATGAGAAGCGAGCATTTTGGCCTTTGCTTGGAGCATCGCTCTGGAGACCGATTTATCTCACCGCGTCTGAGCCAATTCTTTGGTTCTGGGATCTCTACATCTTGATCATCTACTCGATGAACTGTAAGTACAGCCTGAAGTTGGTTTTCTCTGCATGGTGCTGACATGTAGACAGACTTGACGTTTGTCATCTATCCAAGAGTGTTTGAAGGGCTCCGTGGATGGTCGACTGGGCAGACTGGACTCTCATACCTCGGTATCGGTGTTGGCAACGTACTGGTGATTGCATGCGAGCCACTGCTCAGAAAGATGGTCCAGCGAAAGAAGCTCGATGCTCATGGTAAACCAACACCCGAGTCGCCAGTATTCATCGTGTGCATCGGCGCATGCTTGGTGCCCATTGGCGGACTGGTGTTTGCCTGGACCTGCACACCAGACGTGCACTACATCTGGCCTATCCTTTCTGGTATCCCATTCGGAGCAGGCACGACAGCGACATTCATCTATGGATCCAACTACATAGGACGTAGTTATGGCATGTATGCAGCTTCAGCCATGGCTGGAAATGTTTTGACAAGAACGATCGCAGGTGGAACATTGCCTCTCGCTGGAGCAGCCATGTACAATGCATTGGGGCCTCACTGGCAAGGAACACTTCTTGGTCTGCTGGAAGTGTTGATTGTTCCTATCCCGTTTGTCTTTTACAAGTACGGTCATCTGATCCGACTCAAGTCCAAGTTCATCAGCAGAATGGAGCAAGAGGCCAAAGGTGGAGAAAAGGGAGGGGCATAAAATGGATAGACCATAGACTTAGACTTAGACCTGGTAGATGACTTGCAACGAAGTAATGAGAACTATTTAAGATAAACAAGGAAAGAACGACCGAGATCAAGTGGTGCCTGCTGTGGGAGTGGAGAAAGACGATTGAGTTTGGAGACATGTCAAGCTCATTCGAGCAGTGACAACCCCGCAAAGTTTCAAGACAAGACAAAGCGCTTGCTCCGTCACTTTTCTGATCAACACACTCGAGTCCGAACAGTGGCCGCGCATACCAACCAATTCTTACAACGAACGCAACAAAGACTCGGAATATTCACATGGCGGAACCGAAGCCCAAACGATCATTATTCAAACGTCCAACGTGGGCGGCGGCTGCCACTCCCGCCGCCGCATCAGCCTCACCAGACGCTCCAACGAAGCCCGAAGAAGCGACCGACATCTTCAGTCACTCGAACACTTTTGGAGAAATCGTAGAAGACCGTCAGCGCCAGCGCCGTAAGAAGAGTGACAAGGACATCCTCAGGCGAAGTAAAACGAATGAAGTCAAGGATGAAGAGCCGCGAGCTGGCAAGCGCCGGCGCATAAGCGATGAGGATGGCACAGAGCTTTCGACCAAGACCAGCAACAAGGACACAAAGAGCAAGACCAAGGACACGGAAAGGAGGGTATCGACACAATCAAATGGCGCATCAGAAAGCTTTGCGATAGCTACTACACCACAAAAGTCCAAACCGCGACAGGAAGCTGTGATAGAACTGCTGGACACTGATGACGACAATGAACCTGTCAGCTTCAGCAATGGCCTGCAAAGCTTCACGCCTTCGAACGCTACAAGCCTTGAGCCCACACCTGTAGCAGATCCAAATCCAGACGATGATCCAGATGCCGTATATTACTCCGACCCGGAAATGCGCGAGTTCGCTCGCAAGGCCCGTGAAAAGCGGCGACAACAAGAGCGAGAGCAGAGTGAAACTGGTGCACATGACCCGACCGTGAAACTCCTCATCACTTCACCTCTACCCGACACGCAACCTCTGATTGTGTCACGGAAGCTTTCACAAAATCTCCAACAAGTCCGCGAAGCCTGGATCGGCAAGCAAGATCTACTGGACCCTTCGACCGCGAGTCGCATCTTCTTCACCTTCAAACTACGGAAAGTCTACGATGTAACTACCGTCCGCAGCCTAGGTATCAAGGTGGACTCCTATGGCCGTATCATGACCAACGGACCCTTCGCCAATACCGACGACGATCATGCTGAGAAGATACACATTGAAGCTGTGACGGAAGAAGCATGGCAAGAGCTCAAGGACAAAAAGGCGGCGCCAAAACAGAACAAGTACCTCAATAATGCTGCGTTTGCGGAGAACAGAGGCCTCAGTGCAGAGGGTACGCCTGCTGTGGATGGTGAGGCTGCTGTTGAGGAGCCTTTGATCAAGGTTACGTTGAAAGCAAGGGGTCACTCTGATATCAAGATCAAAGTGCGGCCGGTGAGTAACCATCTATCTACACATCTAAGTTACGAACATCTACTAATCTCGAATACAGAGCACGACATTTATGAAGATGATCAACGCAGCTCGACGAAGTTTCAAGCTTGATCCGGACAGACAATTACATCTCGAATTCGATGGAGAAAAGTTAGAGCCGCCGGAAGGTCTTGTCAAAGATACCGACATCTCGGACATGGATTGTATTGATGTTCATATCAAATAAAGGGGAGGTGTGTGTTCTCGGACAAAGCGTGGTGTTCAAAGCAGACTGGTCGATCTGTGTTTTTCCTCTATTCTCGAGCGATGGCGCAAGGTGTGTTTAAGGCGCAATTATGGGATATCTCTCAACCAAAGGGAGAAGGACTTCATCTTCTGATGTTGAATGAATCAAGTCGTTTGCTGATATATGTTTCTGTTTTGCATTTCTTTCCTTCCTTCATTTCGACATGCAGACCAGACCGTGATATGTTCCTTCGAGCGATGGTTGGGTATCTTCGCTTGCATCTCTTTCTTGCCCGCTTGCCGGGTGCCTACTGTTGGTTTTGACGTAGACGCGCATTTTGTCATCTCAGACTATGCTCCGCACCCAAAGCGTCTTGTTGTCCCAGCTCCTTGCTCATCCTCTTGCCATATATCCATATGCTCTTGTTCAACCCGTCTTGCTCCCTTGGTCCCCCAGCCCTCCGTCAACCTCTAAGGGCACTTCAAGCCATCTTCTTCTTTCCTCTTGCTCAAACCCAATCTCTACACCAAATGAGACGGCAACAAGAAATTCGCAATCCCCTCCTTGACAGCATATTCATGACCACAATGTCCACAGACCAATTTTCCATTAGCCACACTCGTTTCCACCAACAATGCATGTAGATCCTTCAGCGTTTGTGTGGGCTCATTACTCCCATCCTTCTCCATCAAATCTTCAGGGTTGGGTGGTTGTTCCGGTAGAGTGGGTAGACCGAGCTATTCAAATCCCCTCACACGTCAGTATAAATTTCTCTTCTTTCTCACATCCAAGAAAAAGTGGTAAGGGGGAATGGTTTCAAACTAACCTCATCGCCCAAACTCCTGACGGCCTTCCACTCGAGACGGGGCAGAACATTGACCAGAAACTCCGGGTTCAATTCCATCTCCACGCGTTCCAACTCTGCGTCGCGGGGGTGTAGAGGGAAAGCCGCCGGTTCTTGTTTGCAAGCTTTGCGGGCGCAGGTCAAAAAGTTGAGGGTGAGGAGTTTCATTGTCGCGGGAAGAAACAATCAAGGGTCGAGAGATTTGTTGTGTGAGGGAGAGGGTTTGGTAGATTGGTTTCGGCGAGGTGGGGAGGAAGTGGTGTGTGATGCGACGAGTTTATTCAGGCTGTGAAAGTGGCAGAGTTGAGGGATTGACGGTGACGATGGTTTGCAAGATTGCGGAGAGGAAAAAAGATGCATGGGACGGGCGGCTTTTGCGGCGTTTAGGATGAGCACACATGCATGTGACAGCTACTCTCTCACTCTTTCATGGACAGTGAAACTCGGGATACCATTGACACAATATTATCATGATCACCGATTTTGTTGCACTAGGCATTTCATAGCTATCATGAATGATAAAAACCTAAGATTGAACGGAAAAATACACATTCGCCTGGCTTCGCTCCAACTCCGCTACTCATCCCCATTCCCGCTATGCTTGAAAAGTATGAGAAATGATTTGGTTCCAAAAAGCTATGCATGAGGGAGATACAGTTGCAGAGTGAAAAGGTAACTCCGATCTATCTGCTCCTCTCCGGTAGTTCATCAACAATGCGTTATCATTGCGTGGGTATTCTATGTCGTTGAGTGGTATGGTGTCGTGTGGCTTGTGTGTGTGTTGTTTTTCATTAACTCAGAGGTCGTCTCGGTATTCGAATTGCTTTATTTTGCTCTTGAGTGCGCAACTCCGTCATGGTGGGGATTTCATTATCTCATCTCTTTCTCCTGCCTGAATCACGATCTACACCCTCATCCTCCTCTGGTACAGCGGGTGTTCTTCGATCATGTCGCTTTGATCTTCTTTTTCTGCCAAAGTCGATGTTGCTCGCAGAGTCGTCTGGTGCCAATTCAGATCTTCCATCGTCGAAGATCGATTGTTGTTCATCATCCCATGGTCCACCAGGTGTGCCAATTCTCACTCCTATATCAGACGCCATGGAACCTCTGCGCGCCTTAGCAGCCATTGCGAGTCCGGCACTACGCTCGCGTAGTCTCTGTCTAACAGCCTCAGCTTGTCTGTGCAGAACTTCAAATTGGTCTTCCAAGGCCTCCATGCCACGATAGATCTCACGCTCCATTTGGGCAAGAACAGCAATCTCGGTCTCTTCATCCATTTGGACGGGAGCTGGAGCACCGCCAGGCATACCAGGAGCCGGTGTTGTACCTCGAGAAGGAAACAGGTTGGCTGTGTGGTCTGGAGACATGACGTTGCGTAGAGGCGAAAAAGGTGTTGTGTTCCGGGATGGCACACCTCCACTGAAAGGGGTCGTTGTACGAGACATAGGCCCCATGGTTGATCCGTAGGCTGCGGATGGTGGTACTGTCTCTGCACCACTCCACAGGAAGCCATCAAATCGACCAGACACTAGGATATCCCACTCACCAGCACTCACTGCGGCAAGCGTGGCGAGCATACTGTGCAGCTGCAGATTGTTGAGCAGATAGATAGTACATTCTGGATCTCTTGGCAGTTGTGGCAAACGATACAGACGTTGCAGAGCTGCAGCAGTCTTGGCCAATACTTCGTTCTTCGGTTCGTTAGCAGGAGTTGGTGCTCGAGAAGAAGGTATAGTCGAAAGTCCTTTCATGAGAGCCGTGAATAGCGGTCGTCGCTCGGGCTCAATATGCGTGAGGACGGCAAATGTCAAAGTTTCGTCATCAACTTCTTGCGGAGGACTCGAGGGCGCATCCGGCTGTCTCACGAGCCAATCCTGGACTGATCGCTTGGTTTTGGCATTCTGTTTGATGTAGTGAGCACGATACTCATCCGGGACATCAGGATCCAGTTTTTGCATGGGTTCTACACCAGAGAGGTTGAAGCCAGCGCTTTCGGATGACAGAGAAAAAGGAGGCCACTGTGGTAGTTCTCTGCGACCAGCAACATATTCCAATATCTCGCCCCAGCTAATGCCCGTGTCTTCGTCGTCGGACAAGGTTGTCTGGGCAATTCTCAAGCACAAGACACACTGACAGCGCTCGTGTGAGATGCTGCGAGCAAACACGGCTTCAAGACGGTCCAGCAATCTCCTAGCGACGGAGCGATATCCTGTAGCTACTGCGAGAGATCCACTCTTGGACAGAACCTTTGCAATATCCTCAAGACGACCACTCACAGGAGCAAAGACATGTTGGACGTCGACTGCAGAAGGTATGCGCGGCGATTGATATTGTGCGTAGGATTGAACAGGCTGGTTGTTGGCTGATGGAACAATGGACTTTGATATCAAGTACGGCAATCCGCCATTCTGCAGCAGATAATCAACGCGAGGGGTATCATGGAAAACCATCGGTGGAGGCGGTGGCGGTGGGGGCATAGCCACAGAGTCTGGATGGGCAGACCGAGGAGAGTAACCAACGGGGAACGCATCGATTCCAGGGGTAGATTTTGGCCTTTGGACAAATGAAGGGAAAGTCTGATCTTGCGGTGTGGGAGTTCGTGGTGAGGAGTCTGGTCGTGATTGAGGAGAATAGTGTTGTCCGACAGAAACAGGTGGAGGGCGTGAAGGGGGCTTGCGCTCAGGAGCAACCGAAGTGGCTTGTGAATCAACAGTTGTCTGGCTGACATTTGAAGCGGGCTGAGAAGGGGCCTTGTTGTACTTGGTCGAGCCAGTACTTGGAGCAGAAGTCTCAGACACACTTGATGGGGATGGCCGGCGACTGCTTGCTGCAGAACCCGTCATGTTAACCCGCAGACCGTTGTCCATACTTCTTCTAGAATTGAGACCGGCTTCCGACTTGACTCTGTCTGTGTGTTTTCTCATGTTCCCTCCACTCTTTGCTCTTCTCAGATCCGGATCATCGGCGGTCAATGGTGGGCTCGGTGGAACACGCGAGGGGTTGTCGGCCATATCTGCTGGAGTGCGAGGTCTTTGGTCGTGCACATCGGTGGCACTCTCCGAGCCTGGTGCGACGGCTTCCCTGCTATGTGCTTTTGAAAAGTTGGGATAAGATTGCGGTCGCTTGTCGCCGATTGACGAGCGTCGCTCCATCTCTGGAATCAACATGGTGACCTTTTTCGATGACCGTTCGGACAGGGTTGATTTGTCCGGGCGTGAAGGGCTGTATTCCCTGCTTGCGTCGCTGCGTCTGCGGGTGGTCGTCTTTCTGGCCGATGACTTATGGCGCTCCTTGGTATCCTTGTCCCTGGAAGCCGGTTTGGGCGAATCGCGGTCGTAAGATTTCTTGCGCCGACGAGGCTCTTCTTCGCGAGAAGATGGCATCCTGAATGATTATTGCTCTAAAGGCAGGAGCGACCGGGAGCTTGAACTTCTGCTGAGAAGCAGCTACCCTGATGAGCTATCTCCACTCGCGTGAGACAGAATCAAGTTGGGCAGAATTGGCGGCGGCTAAAACAATGCGCGCCCTTGTCACTTTAGACGCGCCAGCGCAATCCACATGCAACAGTGCCTGACATGATTACACTGTTGGATCGATTACTTCCACCGCGAGCCCCTCGTCATTGCAGAAGAGGCTGGTGACCGCCAGATTCCTCCATCGATAAATTAAAGCCAGGACCGTTTTGAGGTCTGACTCCCGCTCCGCCCCGACCCTCTCCAAGTTCGCGGGACCCTGACGTTGCCGTTTGGCGTCTTGGTCTTGCTGCATCGCTGCATTGGACGGATTTCCTTCATGTTGATTACATTGCAGAACAGGATGCTTGAAACGGAAGATTTAGGTGGAAGAATGCTGCAACGTTGCTGATGGCTGCTTAGAGGCTCTGAGAAACGCAAATCTGTGATGTTTGATACACAACGCCAGGGTTGCTCTGCTGGCAAGATCTCATGAGCACATCACTCAAGTGTATGCCTCTACTGGAGATCTCATAGCCTATCTGCTTCCTGGGCGAACTTCTCTATACATTTTCAATCGAAAGCATGTGTTTAGGATGGAGAAGATACGTCGGGGTCTTGAAACACAGGTCGAATGCCAACTGAAGCCTTGTATTGAACCAAACTTGACGAGCAACGGCCAAACCTTTTCGGCGACACAACGATGTCATGGAACCTAGAAACATCACTTTACAACATCTATTGATGAGAGGCCATTGGTGCACTATGAAGCCACACAGAGAACTCACAATTGTCCAAGGAGGAACCAAAATTGATATCACAGGATATCAGCCGGTCGATCAGCTCTTCGGGTGGCAAAGCACGTGGATTGTAGCTCAAGTCGCATGGTCTTATTCCCGTGACATGTGAGGCTCTTTCAACACGACAATTGACCAACGCAGCGACAGCAAAGACAGACTCGAAGATGGCAGAAACAGCAGGTCAAAACTGTTGAGAAGATCCGAGTCAGATTATGGCATACAGCGGCGAAGTGACCAAATGGCAAGACAAAACGGAGGAGGATCCCCCGGGCAGCGAAAAGCGCTAGCCAATGAGATGACGGAGGCTGATGCGAGCTGCCCCGCCGATTGCGGGCGTAGGATGGACACAAGAAAAAAGCTATCGCTCGTCAATCACTCATTTTCCTTAGCCAGTTCTTTGTTTCGACAGAATCTGGTATACACATCTTCGCAATGGCTTCCAACAACTCGCAAAAGATTGGTAAGATGCAGGAATGAGAGATACCCCGACGCCGAGAGGCATGCGCTCACGCAAAGCTCAGCCATCTTGTCCGTCTACGACAAGACCGGTCTGCTCGACCTGGCCAAAGGTCTGGTCAAGAACAATGTCCGCCTTCTCGCCTCTGGCGGCACCGCCAAGATGATCCGTGAGGCCAACTTCCCCGTCGAGTGAGTACTGGAAGACATGCGACTCGATTGGACAAGGCTGATCCCAGCGCAGAGATGTTTCGGCCATCACCAAGGCTCCCGAGATGCTCGGTGGCCGTGTCAAGACCCTCCACCCCTCAGTACACGCCGGTATCCTCGCCCGCGACCTTGCCTCGGACGAGAAGGACTTGGCCGAGCAGAACATCAACAAGGTCGACTACGTTATCTGCAACCTGTACCCCTTCAAGGACACTGTCGCCAAGATCAACGTCACCATCCCCGAGGCCGTCGAGGAGATTGACATCGGTGGTGTTACTCTGATCCGTGCCGCCGCAAAGAACCACTCGCGTGTCACCATCCTCTCAGACCCCAACGACTACCATGACTTCCTTTCCGAACTCGAGAAGGGCGATGTCACCGATGCCACCCGCCAGATGTTCGCCCTTAAGGCCTTCGAGCACACCGCCGACTACGACACTGCCATCTCCGAGTTCTTCCGCAAGAAGTACGCTGGTAACGGCAACCAGCACGTCTCGCTCCGTTACGGTACCAACCCTCACCAGAAGTCGGCCGCTGCCTTCATGAAGGACCAGAAGCTGCCCTTCAAGGTTCTGTGCGGTGCTCCCGGCTACGTCAACTTGCTTGATGCTCTCAACGCCTGGCCCCTTGTCAAGGAGCTCAGCGCTGCTCTCAAGTTCCCCGCTGCTGCCAGCTTCAAGCACGTCTCGCCCGCTGGTGCCGCCATTGGTGTCCCCCTCAACGAGGTCGAGCGCAAGGTTTACATGGTCGACGACATCGAGGGTATCGAGAGCTCCGGTCTCGCCCAGGCCTACGCCAGAGCCCGTGGTGCCGACCGCATGTCCAGCTTCGGTGACATGATCGCCTTGTCGCACGAGGTTGACATCCCCACTGCTAAGATCATCTCCCGTGAGGTCTCTGACGGTGTCATCGCTCCTTCATACACCAAGGAGGCTCTTGAGATCCTCGGTAAGAAGAAGGGTGGTCGCTACCTCGTCCTCCAGATGGACCCTGAATTCGAGCCCGCTGCTCAGGAGTACCGTACCGTCTACGGCATCAACCTGACCCAAGGCCGCAACGACGCCCACATCACCCCTACCGACAGCTTCGGCACTGTCATCACCCCCAAGGACTCTGCCGCTCTCCCCGAGTCTGCTCTCCGCGATCTGACTGTCGCCACCATTGCCCTCAAGTACACTCAGTCCAACTCTGTCTGCTACGCTCTCAACGGCCAAGTCATTGGTCTTGGTGCTGGTCAGCAGAGCCGTATCCACTGCACACGTCTTGCCGGTGACAAGGCCGACAATTGGTTCATGCGCTTCCACGAGCGTGCCCTCAACATCAAGTGGAAGAAGGGCACCAAGCGTCCCGACAAGAGCAACGCCATTGACATGCTCTGCAGTGGTGTCCTCCCTGCCTCAGACGAGGAGAAGCACGAGTACGAGAAGATGTTCGAGGAGGTCCCCACTCCCTTCTCTGCTGAGGAGCGCCAGGCCTGGTTGTCCAAGCTCTCCCAGGTCGCCGTCAGCTCCGACGCTTTCTTCCCCTTCATCGACAACGTTTTCCGCGCTGCTCGCTCAGGTGTCAAGTACATTGCTGCCCCTACCGGCAGCCAGAACGACCAAGCCGTCTTCACCACTGCTGAGAAGTTGAACATCACTTTCGTTGAGCAGTCCACCCGTCTGTTCCACCACTAGATTTGACCTCTTTTGGGCTCGAGAAAGTTAGACGCTTCAACGCAACTGTCTGTAAGGACCTCGCTTGGGATTTAGAAGGTGTACATGTGGGAAAGGAAAAAAGCAGGGAGTGTTTCCCTTTTTACATGTTTTTGATGTTAGTGAGCTATAACAGCTCCCCATCTATATTATGACGAGACGAATAACAATAACCACAATTCAACGTTTTGGAAAAGAATTACCATCCTTGATCATTTTTGTGCATGTCCACATCTCCATCAAGGTATTCACAAAAAAGTGCTAGGTTTTGCGAAGAATCGCTGACGTCACAAATGGTATGTGGAGGCATGACATTACCGCTGTTCACCAAAGTGCTTCCACTTTCTCCAACAATTGGAGTACTCCAGTAGCATTGAACTATACCTTGACAAGCATTAAAACAACACTGCTCCCCACACTCCGGTCTCTGAATCACTTTCGCATACACGTTCTTCTTGCTCTGCATCAATCGACCTGTATTCACAATGCCAGCACTCAAAGGTCAACTAGTCCTCCTAGTACGCTACAAACCTACCTTGAAGCCTCAACGCGCAGTTTTCTAATCATGATCATAGACCGGAGCTTCCATGGGTATCGGTGCAGCAATTGCTCGCTCACTAGCTGCATCAGGAGCGAATCTCGCACTCTTCTCTCGCTCAGATGATAAACTGCAAGCATTGGCTGAAGAGATCAAGTCAGCTCATGAAGGAGTCAAGGTCACTTACAGAGCAGTTGATGTAGGGGACCATGAGGCTGTCGATAACGCAGTGGCTTCTGTGGTTAAAGAGATGGGTGAGATTGATGTATTGATAAACAATGTAAGTTCTTGCACCACCCCACCGATTTCAAAGAACAGACAAGAAAGATGGATGGATCGAAGGTGCTAATCAAACAACAGGCCGGACTCGCCCTAGGCGCGCCCAACGCCTTCCCAGATCTCAAAATCACCGACATCATCACCATGAACAACACAAACATCAACGGCTACATGTTCGTCACCTACAGCGTGCTAAACCACTCCATGCGCACCCCCTCCCGCCACACAGGCACAATCCTCAACATCACTTCCACCACCGCCCTCGAAGCCCCTCCCTTCCCCGGCGAGGCTGTATACCATGCCAACAAAGCTTGCCAAGAGGGCTTCACCAACGCCCTCAGAAACGAGCTCTGTGGTACTGATATCAGGGTCTTGGCACTCAGGCCTGGAGTCGTGGGGACGCATTTCCATAGACAGAGGGTTGGGTTTGATGATGGTATGTATGATGATTTTATGGATGGGTATAGGCCTTTGGTTCCGGAGGATGTTGCGGAGTCGGCGATTTATATGCTTAATGCACCTATGAGTGTTTCGATAAAGGCGCTGGATGTCGTGCCGTCTGGTAAGTTGTCCCCTGAGAAAGATGAGTGTTTGGATGTCTACTAATGATCCGTGTGCTTGCAGCTCAGAGATCTCTTACTGTTTTCGACAGAGAGTGGAGTAAGCGTAACGAGAAGAAGGATGCAATCTAGAACTACTTATACAGACATGTCGATCAGGGAGTAGTCAAAGGAAGCCAAAGCAAGCACACCGTCTTCAACTCATCTTCAACACACACCCTCACAGAACCCCCACACTGGCCTGTGGTTCCAAAATAACCCCATCGTTCCTCCTCAATTCATATCATCCACCCTAATGCCTATCACCCTACTTCCATCACATCCGAACACCCACCTCTCGTAAAATCGATCGCCCGAACGTTATTAACACCTTTGCCAGGATAGGAAATCATGAATCGGCGCTTTGGCTGAGTGGTTATAGCGATAGACTAGAAATCTATTTCCTTCGGGAGCAAGAGTTCGAATCTCTTAGGCGTCGTCCACGAACATCTTTTTTTTGTTTTTCATTGCCAATTGTTTTCGTTTGTTCCTCGTACCGTTGTGACACTACTGGATGATGTATTCGTTTATGTCGCATCATTCGATTTTGTCCGTCAGATTGGAAAGCCGAGTGCTGGTAATCGTCGACTACAACAGGTCTTAACAAGACAAATGGCAACGGGGTAATCATTTTGAAAAAGTCGAGAGTTTTTGTATAATCCTTTCTATTCTAAAAGGCCAACTCCTCTGCAAGTAAAGACTAATATATGTACATCAAAAACACCCCATGGTTTACCCTCCACGCCCTTACTATGCCACAGAAAAACAGAACGAAGTAGTGACATGACTTTTTGTTGTTGTTACATGGCCCAGCCATCAAAAGTATCGTACAAATTCCCACTTTTCTTTCTTTCCCTAATCGTTCATTATACAGATTTTCGTCGCTCGCTTATTTCTTGTTTCTCTCGGCCTGGTACTTTTCGTGCTTGGCGATAAGCTCCTTTTGCAATTGCATGGGTGCTGGTGAGTAGTGGCTGAACTCCATGGAGAATTCACCCTTACCCTGTGTGGCTGCTCTCAATTGAGTGGAGAAACCGAACATGGAGTTCAGACTGCAATCGGCGTAGAGGGTGAAGTCATCAGGGCCAATCTCGGTATCAGAGATGACGGCATTGCGCTTGTTGAGCAGACCGACAATGTTACCCTGGAATTCGTTGGGTGCGGTGATGGTGGTCTTCATCAAGGGCTCGAGAACTTGAGGTTGGGCGGCGAGGAAAGCCTTGCGGAAGGCTTGTTGAGTGGCGTTACGGAAAGACATTTCGGACGAATCGGTCATGTGAGTGGCACCATCGTTGATGACCATGCTGGCACCCAAGACGCGGTGACCAAGCAGAGGACCCTTCTCACAAGAAGCGTAGAAACCCTTCTCACAAGCAAGCAAGTACTTCTCACTGATAGTTCCACCAGTGATTTGCTGCTCGAAGTGGTTGTCGGAGATTTGACCAGTGGGCTCCATCCATCCAACGACACGAGCGTAATCACCAGCACCACCAGTCTGCTTCTTGAGAATGTGGTCGAAGGGAATCTTCGATTGGATGGTCTCACGGTAGGCGACTTGAGGCTGACCGACAATGCAGTCGACGTTGTACTCACGGCGCATGCGCTCGACATAAATGTCGAGATGCAATTCACCCATACCGGAGATGATGGTCTCCTGGGACTCGGTATCGACGTGGACACGGAAGGTAGGGTCCTCACGCTGGAAACGTGACATGGCCTTGCTGAAGTTGGGGGTGTCTTTGGTCTGCTTGGGCTTGATGGAGAGCGAGATGACAGCGTCGGGAACGAACATGGAAGTCATGGTGTAGCCGAGGGTACCATCAGTGAATGTGTCACCGGAAGCGCAGTCAACACCGAACACAGCACAGATTTCACCGGCGTGGATCTCGTTGACCTCCTCCATCTCGTTGGAGTGCATACGCACAATTCTGGGGATCTTGACCTTCTTGTCGTTACGGGCGTTGTAGACAACTTGTCCCTTCTTGATGGTACCTTGGTAGACACGAATGTAGGTGAGTTGACCGAAGTTGCTCTCTTCCAGCTTGAAGGCAAGACCGACGAAAGGCAGCTCTTGGTAAGAGACCATCTTGACAGGAGCCTCCTTGCGCTTCTTGTCAAGAGCGATGTTCTCGACCTCAGAGGGGTTGGGAAGGTAATCGCAGACGGCGTCAAGCATGGGCTGAACGGACTTGTCGGCAAGAGCGGAACCCATCATGACGGGAGAGAACTTGAGAGAGATGGTGGCACGTCTGATGGCGGCCTTGATCTGAGGAATGGTAGGCTCCTGCTCGTCGAGGAACATCTCGGCGATCTCATCGTCAACATCAGCAAGAGTCTCAACAAGCATCTTGCGTCTCTCCTCGGCAACCTGCTTGACTTCGGCAGGGATCTCGTCAGACTCGACGATGATTTCACCCTTGTCGCCCTGGTTGTAGATGGCCTTCATGCGGACAATGTCGACAACACCCTTGAACTCATCCTCAGCACCGATGGGAACCTGAATCATGGCGGCGGGGATGCGCAGCTTCTTGTTGATCATGTCGCAAACACGGAAGGGGTTGGCACCCATGCGGTCCATCTTGTTGATGAAGGAGATACGGGGGACGTTGTAGCGGCGCATTTGGCGGTCGACGGTCTGGGTCTGAGATTGAACACCACTGACGGCACACAGAATCATGACGGCACCGTCGAGGACACGCAGAGCGCGCTCGACCTCGATGGTGAAATCGATATGGCCGGGCGTGTCGATCAAGTTGATGTGGTACTTCTCCTCGGTTCCCTTCTCACGGTCGACCTTCACCCAGTCACAGAAGGTGGCAGCCGACTGAATGGTGATACCCTTTTCACGCTCCAAGTCCATGCTGTCCATCTTTGCACCGACCGAGTCCTTGCCACGAACTTCGTGAATCGACTTGATACGGCCGGTGTAGTATAGAACACGCTCGGTGGCGGTTGTCTTTCCACTGTCAATGTGGGCAGCGATACCAATGTTACGGAGCTTGTCCAGACGGGCGGCCTCCTTGGGGTTCAGGTTGTTGACGATGTCGGTCTGCGAGAGCGAGCTGGGGTCCTGCATGGCGTGGTCGAGCCTGTATAGGTGTTAGTCTTGACCCCTGCTATACTCTGACGACTAGATTACATACACAGCAGCGGCAGTACCGCTCTGAAGTCTCCTGGGTTGCCATGCGCTCGTCCTCTCGGTGATGGTTGCGTTCTGGGAGCGCAACAGAGCGGGTGAGGCCCAACGTGAGACAGAATAGTTTCTGCGGCAAGCATTGCGCGAAGCAACCTCGAGCGATCGCAATGCGCTGCTCTGCGCCCTGGCAACTCCGTATACCCTCATCTTGTCCTGATGGCCTGCAGATGGAATCTCCGCTTGGCGTGGCGGCTCTGTACACCTGCACTTTTTCTGGTCATCATTGTCAACGGGAACTGCCGTCCTCCGCCTTCTTTCCCGCATGAGTCTCTTCCCCGCAACTTCCTTTCCAGTCGACCTCTCTATGTTCCCGTTTTACAGACATATGATCTTGTTTCTCTCAAGCCAAGTCGTAATGGCGAATTCTGAACGGGAGAATGATCATGTCGAATTGTTGCTACGAGGCAATCCATGAGCCTTTCTGATGCGTAAATCCTACATGCCAAGTGCTTAGCAGATCGAAGGAAGGAACAAAGACCAAGCTTTCCTATGTACATCGCAGGATCAATCGTTTGATTGGCCGGCTCGAAAACGCTGGCTATTGCAGCCCCTTGATGCCAGGCAACAGTTTAAGAGACTGGGGATTGTTGTTGCCTTGTGTTGTGAATGGCTCCGAGCCTGACATGGAATCTTAAATTCTGATCAGAAAAGCTTGCCAATGGTCTTTCGAATGCTCCCGAGCAACCTGACATGCGCTGCCATCAGGAATTGACACAAACGCTCGAAGGTTCTCAGATCATCACCGAAATCACCCATTGACTCTCTGGACAACGATTATCTTTTCGAGTCGAGGAATACAGAGGAAACTTTCGACAACAGCTCTATATCACCCAGACTGTTATTCAGACTCAATTTCAAGCTTGGAAGCTGCAGATTCAGCATGGGTAAAGGCTTGGTGAAGACCAACGAGAAAGAGAAACGTCAAGATGCAAAACAGCCAGGTCGCACACCAAAGATCTCCGATTACTTCAGGGTCTTCTCTTACGCGACGAAATTGGATTTCTGTGTTTATGCAATTGCCTCTCTTGCATCCATCGGAGCTGGCGTGACACTACCTCTCATGAATGTCGTCTTTGGACAGCTCACTGGACAATTCACAAATTACTACGCTGAATCATCCGCCATGTCTCGTGATGACTTTGACCGTATACTGAATCGCCAGGCATTGTACATCATGGCTCTTTTTCTCGGCCGCTGGATTCTAAACACCGTCAACAAATATTGCTTCAGGATGATTGGCATCCGTCTGTCATCAGCCATACGACTCCGTTACTTGCAAGCACTATTCGCACAATCGATTCATGTCATTGACTCCATGCCCCCTGGAGCACCCGCCACTGCCATAACCGCAACAACGAACACACTGCAGCTTGGTATCTCTGAACGTCTGGGTACCATGCTGGTGTACTTGACGACGATCATGTCCGCGATTATCATCGCTTTCGTCTGGAGTTGGGATCTAGCCTTGGTAACATCTTCATTGATCTTATACACTTTGGTCGTGGTTTCGGTCATCTTGCCATTCATCGTGAAGAGTCAGACGGCGACTCTTAAAGCTGAAGCAGAAGGGACCTCCATCGCGAGTGAGGCTCTTGGAGGCATTCGCTTAGTGTTGGCTTGTGGTGGTCAAAGCCATATCTTGTCTCGTTATGAAACTTGGGTGCAAGAGGCTCATAAGCAAGCACAGAAAACCGCACCGCTCATTGGTGCGCAACTTGGTCTAGTATACTTCGGAATTTTCGGCGCCTTTGGACTCAGTTTCTGGTACGGAAGCCAGAAGTACATTGCTAATAGTATCGAGAACTCTGGTGTGGTCATCATTGTGCTAATGTCAGTCATGATGATAATCACTTCTCTAGGGTTCATATCGACGCCACTCATAGCCATCAGCAAAGCCATGGTTGCTGCTTGTGAACTACTCACGGTCATTGATGCGCCGCTGCCTCCCTCGGGCTCTCTCCAACCAGACATCAGTTCTGAGGATGTGATATTCGATAATGTCAACTTTGAATATCCTAGCCGTCCTGGCGTTAAGGTCCTGAACGCGCTCAATCTTCGACTGAAGTCAGGTCAAAACACCGCTCTCGTGGGTTCTTCCGGCTCGGGAAAAAGTACAATCGTTGGACTGCTCGAGCGCTGGTATTCTCTGAGAGATCAACACATGCTGGAGCAAGTAGTCGTTGCCAAAACGCCCGGAGACTCCAAAGACACAGCGAGCGAAGCGCTTGACGAGCAGCCAGATGCACCTGTAAAACCAACCTTGTCTGGCTCTATCACTATTGCAGGAAATAACCTCGAAGATCTTGACCTCAAATGGTGGCGGGCTCAAATTGGAATAGTTCAGCAGGAGCCATTCCTTTTCAACGATACAATCTTTGGCAACGTTGCAAATGGTCTGATCGGAACCAAGTGGGAAGACGAGTCTGAAGCACAAAAACTTGAACTGGTCCGCGAGGCTTGTCACGAAGCTTACGCTCATGATTTCATCGATCGACTTCCGGATGGTTACAACACGAAAGTCGGCGACGGTGGTGTCAAGTTGTCAGGTGGTCAAAAACAGCGTATCGCCATTGCACGAAGCATAGTGAAGAAGCCCCGGATCATTATCTTCGACGAAGCCACCAGTGCCGTTGATGCCAAGAGCGAGAAGATAATCCAGCTTGCCCTCGACAGAATCGCATCAAGTCGCACGACCATCACTATCGCTCATCGGCTCTCGACTATCCGGAAAGCCGACCACATAGTCGTCCTAAAACAGGGACAAGTGATCGAGCAAGGCACACACGAAAGTCTTACCAAGGATACGTCAAGCGCTTACAGTGCCTTGATCCGAGCTCAGTCACTGCACACAACTGCTGCTGAAACACGCGAGCCAGATACATCATTCTTGAAGGCAGACGCAGCGACCGAAAAGGCAGGAGGACATAGTATACAGACTACGACTCTGGATCACCTTAACACGTTGAAGAAGAATCCAGTCTTTGAGTCCCAAAGCCTATTTCACAGTTTCAAGGAGCTTCTGCTCAACCAGCGAACACATTGGCTTGCTCTTTTGGGAATCATTCTGTCTGCTATGGCAGTCGCAGCCGCCACACCGATCCAAGCCTGGCTCTTTGCAAAAGTTCTTGGTGTCTTTCTGCTAAGTGGCGACGATGCTAAGAGAAGAGCTGACTTTTGGGGTTTGATGTGGTTGGTTCTAGCCGCAGGCTCCGGTATTGCGAACCTCTTCGAAGGATGGATCGGTCTGCGTGTCCAGGCTTCTGTTAGTGCGGTGTACAAGAAACAGTACTTCACGGATATGCTTTACCAAAGACTAAGCTTTTTTGACAAGGACACTAACTCGCACGGCACACTGAGCTCGCGTATTGCAAGCGATGCGAAGTTGTTAGAGGAAGTGTTCGGCCTCAATCTTGCAGCTGCCTTGTCTGGAGCGTTCAATGTTGTGGGTTGCATTATCATCTCCCTCGTATTTGCGTGGAAGCTTGGCCTGGTAGCTTTGTTCGTCACAATGCCGATAATGCTCGGAAGTGGATTCTGGAAATACCGACATGAAGTACGATTTGATCAGATGAACTCAAAGGTCTTCGAAGACAGCTCGCAGTTCGCTACAGAAGCAATAGGAGCCATCAGAACGGTCTCTGCGTTGACCATGGAGAACACCATTACCGGGCGTTATTCGAGACTTCTAGATGGTCATGTTCAAGCAGCACATCGCAAGGCTTTGTGGACATCTGGTCTTTACGGCTTCGTCGACAGTGCTGGTCTTGGTTGCCAGGCTCTTATATTCTGGTATGGTGGCAGACTGCTTGCTAGCGGTGAGTACGGCTTTGAAGCCTTCTTTGTCTGCTACATGGCTATGATACAGGGCGCAGAGGCAGCAAGCCAAGTCCTTAGCGTTGCTCCTAATACTGCTCAAGCGACTGCTGCTGCAAACCGCATCTTTGAGATACAAAGCTCTGCCGATCAAGAACGTGCTGGATCAAGCGACAAGAAGAGCATTCCTGATACAGATGGTCGGGTGCGTGTAGAGCTTCGAGATGTGTTCTTCAAATACCCTACGCGCGATGTACAAGTGTTTGAAGATTTGAACATCAGTATCGAGAAGGGTCAGTATGCAGCGTTTGTCGGACCATCCGGCTGCGGCAAGACAACCATCATCTCTCTCTTGGAAAGATTCTACGATTTGGGTCAAGAACAAGGCGCTATACTTTGCAACGGTGTCAACATCAATGACATGAACGTCTATGACTACCGTCGGAATCTATCTCTTGTAGCGCAAGAACCTACCATGTTCAGAGGCACTGTTCGCGACAACATTCTCTTCGGCATCTCCGACCCCAGCTCCGTACCAGATGAGAAGATCCATCAGGTCTGCCGCGATGCCTTGATACACGACTTCATCACCTCTTTACCTCAAGGATACGATACTGACGTCGGTCAAAAAGGCGTGGCCATGTCGGGAGGTCAGAAACAGCGCATCGCTATAGCACGAGCCCTGATCCGTGACCCGAAGCTTCTTCTGCTCGACGAAGCAACATCAGCACTTGACTCAGAGTCCGAAAAGATTGTTCAGACAGCATTTGAGAGGGCACGCAAAGGAAGAACTATGATTGCTGTTGCTCATCGGCTTTCCACTATCCAGAGTGCTGATGTCATCTTCGTGTTCGACGATGGTAAAGTCGTGGAGAAGGGGAGCCATGCTGAACTTGTAACGAAACGAGGTGTTTATTGGGAAATGGTATGTGTTGTTCTTTTCTCAGCATATTCGTAAGCTAACATGTCACAGTGTCAGAACCAAGCTCTGGACTAGTGCGCCCCATGAGCTTGGGTAATCTCAACTTCATGTACAACACGTTAGCGAATCTCTGCTTCTTACTTTCTACATCATCTCTATAATGACGCCACAGACTAGAGATAGTTATCAAAAAAATGTCTTTGAGAAGGTTGACAGTGGCTCTCCTTCATCAGAATATTATCGTGCTCTGTTTCAGCCTAAGAACGAGGTTTCAACGCTGGAAGTGGGGTACTAGACGTCCCAAATATGACTTGCTGTATACTAAGCGATCTCAGGATCCGGTGTCCAGGTCCACATGTTCAAACCAATCTTCTTCCCTGAGATCACCGGCATACCCGCGTGTCTCAGAGCCGGATGCGGAGTCTCACTGTGAGGTATAAGATTATACCAATAAATCGCATTTCCAGCCATCGGTTTGAACGAAACACCCTTCTCCATCGGCTCCTCGCAATCAATAAATTCACACCACTCAACTCCTCTCGGCCTTTTCAAATCAGGAAAATTAGTCCCTCCTCCTGTACAATTCGCTGCCAAGTATACAAAGAAGGTAGACAGTCGGTTCCCTTGCATACTGTGTTTTGCAACTTCTTCCGGAAAAGAATCGTGATGATGGTTATAGTGGCCTCCGAGCTCGTATTTGAGTACTTTGAGCGGTTCCACATCTCCTGCGTTGTCGAAGCCCTGGAACCTTTTTGCTCGTGCGCGTATGGTTTTGACGATTGGTTCGGAGATGTTGGGGGATGCCCAGTTGGAGTCGCGTACTTCTTTTACGACTTTGCCTTCGTTGCCATCGTTGGACCAGATTTCTGAGGGTTTGAAGGAGCCTTCGCTGTTAAGAGGTAGGGTGTAAGTGTGCGTTTAGGTCAATAAGAGAAGATGGGAAGTACTGACACTAGTTTGATGAGACTTGAGGCCTCCTCTGCAGTGACAAAGTTCTGGATATACAACACCAGTGGATCTACGGACACGATTGACACTCGATGCTCGTCAACTCGAGATGAGCCGATGGGTGTCGCCGCTTGAGAAAGTTGTGTCTGCTTTCCGTAGAAGATGTTAGAAGACCATAGCACTGGTAAACTTTGGTACTGCTGAATGATTCGAGATGACAGCAATCCAAGGAGGACGCCTCCCAGTAGGAGAAAGGTCAAACGTCTTGCGCTCATATCGAACAACAAGCTGACAAGTATACAATGCCGCCGAGACTATGCTTACTTGGCTCTATTCTTAACACTTCAGCCGGAAGAAACGGGTAGATGGATCGATTGTGCTATTGAAGTTCAGAAGCAAGCATTCCATGAAAAAGCACGGCCGATTTGACAGACTCTTTGTTCTCTTGTGATTATGACATCCCTCTCTCCAAGATCAAGCATATACAATGATGCATTGACCAATGAGCATACCAGCTGCTTTATTGAGACCCGAATTCGTGGTTCCAATCCGCCTCCTCTCAACGACCAGTGATAGGCACCAAACCACATACCAAAATGCACAGTTGAATAGCTGCGAGACGACTGTCCAGTGAGAGTCAGTAGAGACCGCTATCTCTCTGGACAAATCACGTTTTCCAAAATGCTTTGTGCCTTTTGATGGCTACTGGTCGCTACTAGTATGCTTCTTGAAGTAGCGTGTATGTTGCTCTACTCAATTGAGTCCTTGCGGGCACTTATCAAATACTTTGAATGGACGTTTTTGTGAACTTAATAATAAGGAAGGAAAGACTCATCTTCGGAGCGAGTGGTTCGGATTGAAATTTACGGCCCGTGCGCAATCATAACTTCACCTCCTTCATTCTTTCCTGATTTCTTCTTGAGGTGATACACTGAACCAACATCAACTCACACGGACCACAGAATGTCGTTCTGACTGAGAGTACTGCGACCTAAGCATGAGATTCTCTCGGCTGCATTTCTCCTTACCACCCCTAATGAGGCCTATCGCAAGCCATCGAAAGGCAAGATGATTTTCGATTTGGTGCGAACTTCTAGAGAGAGCGTACTGATGAGCTGATATCAGGGGGGCTCTCCAATGCTGGAAATTATTCTGCATCATGACGGTGATCGAGGAGATGCTACAACAGGCTGGAAGCTATTACAACACTACTACTGGATTGCGCATACGGGACGTAAAACTCCCTTCGGAGCTCTTGTACCATGGCTCGAGATACCGTGGTACTGATCGTCAGTATAGCTCATGATCTGCCGATAGCAACCGTGCAGAACGGTAAGTGCGAGAAGTATCTAACAAGGTTACTGGTTATGGGCCATGTGGACCGAAAGGTAGCAGGAAAACTTCACAAAAAGCAAAAGAAATGATGCCTCCAGGAGTCGAACCATGGCTTGTCGGTGAGCAAAAAGTAGACCTTATTAACCACACCAACCAAGGTGAAAGCTTTCCGACAGACAGGGGCGGGTGTGATTGGTCTGATGGAAGTGAGCTAAAGCTTTCAACATATGTACTATCCAAAAGCTGCGAAAAATAGCTTTCTCAAATCTTTTGAGGGAGCCTGATCTAGATCTCACTCAAAGGGCCATGGATTGATTTGGGGCAAAGCGGAAAATCATGGGTATACTACTACAAAAACAAGAAGAAAAGAAACACCACTACTCCAACACATGACAAAGGAGACAAGAAAGAAGAAACAAAGGAAAGAAAACAGAAAAGACAACGCCCCAACCCTTAACGCCCAACGCCCCTTCCCCTTACAAAATCTCATCCTCCTCCTCATCTCCCATCTTCTCATCCTCCTTAGCCCTGGCCAGTGGCAGGTTGCCAAACTGCACCGGCACGACAAGGGAGACTTCCTGGGCCCGCTTACCAGCAGCAGGACCCAGGTCATCCATGACCTCCTCCAGTCTCTCCAACGATAGGGGCTACTCCCCCAGGAAGAAAGAGGCCAGCTCGAGCCCCGAGGGAGTCGGCAGATTGACCTCGCGGGGAGGTGGCGGCACCCAAAGACGGAGAGGCGGCACAGAGGCCGGAGCAGGTGGTGCCACGAAGGCAGGAAGAGCTTGCTGGTTTGCCATAGTGGCAGGGACCAAGGAGGTGGTCGCGGTGGGGGGTACGGCGAGGGCGCGAGTGCGGTCGGAAAAGACCTTGCGGCGGAGCTCGTTCTTGCCGGCGGTCAGGGTCTCATGGCCTTTGAGTTTGTTAGTGGAATGATCACATTGGGTCTCGACACAGTAGAAGTGGGTGGGAAAAACGGGACCAATGGAGGGCAAGTAAACAGGTCACACAAAAGAAGGGAAGAGGGTAGAAGATAAGAAGGGCGTGATGGGCATGAAAAACCATGAGCTACATGCGCAGGGTAATCGCAGGTGGCTAGGAAGTGTTATGGAAGAGTTGGTGACTTACTGAGACCCCTTCCGAAAGGGAGAAGACCCTTGGTCTTGTAGCGGCCATGGCCGTTGCCCAGGTCGTCCATGGCGTACGCCTTGAAGGCGGCGAGCAGCTCTTCGGCAGGAATTGGCTGCTTGTGCAGCAGCGCGACGATGAACTTGGGGAGCCCTTCGAGAGCGAGGCAGTCTCTCTGGCGAGATCTTTCTAGGGCCTTGTTGGCCGAGTTCATGAAGGAGGCATAAAACTCCTTGTACGACAGCCGCGGCTGCGTAATAAACCACCGAGTGATGATGATGGAGTCATCGACCCAGAGCCACTCGTAGTTCATTGATGCGCTCATAGTGGCGCGCGGGCGAGAGGCAGGAGCGGAAGACATGATGGCGATGATGATCTTGATGGTGGTATGTCTTTTGCTGATGTCTGTCTTGCCAAAACAAAAAAAGGAGGAATTTCAAAAGCGCGCAATATTTACAGTTTTCAGAGCCGGAACCAAACGAAACAAACCATTTGATTCTCCGACACTCTCTTCACTTTGAGGAGTCGGACTTTGGATATTGTTCTTGTTTGCTTGCATTTCGTATTTTCCGGCACCACTCTTCAGCATCTCTCGAAATACCACACACGATACAAAATCATTCTTCGTGCTGACGCAACCCAAAAACTATCACAACCAAGTCAACTTCATCATCAGCATGTCTTCTGCTAACCCTTTCTCAAACATCAACACCGACGTAGAGTTCGTCTGGCTCTGGTGTGACGACAACGCAACTGTCAACAAGTGGTTCATCAACATGCCAAACAGCGGCCACTACCAATGTTTCTACGCCTCGCTCATCAACGCCTGCAACAGAGCCTACGTGAAATCCCTCGACCCAAGCCAAAAGCTGCAAAAGCTTGACCACCTCATGGATGACTGTCTAATGGAAGACCCTATCCCTGCCGACATGATGATCAACTTGCTGAAAAAGTATGATCACTTCATTGGTGGCGGCCAGGCAGGATATAAGCGTAAAGGTCTGGTCAAGTTTGATGAGGACATTCCTGGTAAGACAAAACCGCTCCTCAATCTGATACGCTTAAAAATACTGACCAAATTCTGCACAGAAATGTCTGCCATCGAAGCTGGCGTCGACGAGCTCTACAGACTTATCGAAGCAAGCTGTCACAAATCTCGTACTGGCAAAGTCAACGCCAAAATCAATGGCAAGCAGCACACCAGCATGGACGATGACGATGAGATGCATGGCGAGCAATCTCTGCTTTCTCCCAAGGAGTTGAACGATACGTCATCTGCCACTGCCACTGCCACTGCCACTGCCACTCCTGCCAAGTACCAGCACAAGATGAAGACCCCTGTCAAGTTCGGAGAGCTCGCTGTAGTTGGCGGCAGGAGGGGAAAGAAGGACGAGGACGAGGATGTGGATATGGACATGGGGGCCAACTAGGTTTCTAAGGTCTGCTCCTTCAGCTAGAAAGTGATTTGCAATCAAGGGAAGCTACGTAGAATAAAAACAAAACCTGATGATCACCAGTGGTGATGGAAACTATGAGGAACCAGAGGAGATTGAAGACGCGGATGTCGTTTGTAGAGATTACCGGAATCATCAGTCCGTGGCGGCTTACAATCATGGTCAAGTGGTGCTATTAGTCTAGCAAATGGCGCCTTACTTATAACAGTGCCCGACGGACAAGTAATCAGTGATTGTGAGCATTGTATAGCGGTATCTGTGCACGTGTCTCGCCTGATGTCGTTCAAAAGTGAGAGCCAAAGTGGTCGAGACAAACTCACAACAAACAGTCAGTACATTAACCATCAAACTTGCCTCTTTCTCATAGGACCAATCACAGAGGATGCTCCATTGTTGCGGAAAGCGGCAAGCTAGGTGGATGTGATTACAAAGTCCGAACTCCTTTTTTTGCACACCAACAGTCCACGGTTCGACTCCTGCGCTCACCGGTCAAGAGATAAAGCTTTTTGCCTGAACACCGCAAAAAAGTCAATGAGACCATGATATCCGTTGAGATCTATATATCTAGTCAAGTAAAACGTATAGCAACATACAGTTCTCTCAAGATTACACAACCTTACGATTGTCCTCTTCGTACGGCAGCCACCATAAGATGTTTGCACATGACAACAAACAAGGACAACATGTCTTTGTCATTCGCTGTCCGCCCTGGCCCGTCGATTATGGCATCCTTACCGCATATGTGGTCGCAGTGCGAGGATCAGGTCAGCGCATCGCATTGCCTAGCGCTCGCTCTCGCTCTCCCCATCATACTATCTTCTACATCGTACGCGATTCAAGGATCAAAGACTGTGCACATTGTGAAGCAACATATGAATGATGTCTGATAGAGACAGGTGGTAATCGGAAGGGCTCCCGACCTTCGCTTCCAGCGGTATTCGTAGCCATCAAAAGGCAAGATGATTTCGAGATCGAAGAACTCGTCCCGTGAACGTGGGCAAAGAGAAAGCTCTTCCGAGAACGTTACAGACTGAGGCAGAATCTAGTTCAAGCAGACTATCTCAGCTTCGATCCACAGCAGTGAAACCAACCATCAAAATGCAAGATACTTTCCACATCAGTGCAACTGTCCAGTGAGAGCATAACAAGACATCGCTCTCACTGGACATTTCCTTGATTCCAAAAACTATTCTGCATTTTCACAAGCAGATTGACAGATTCTCTCACCAGCATGAGCTCATTATGGCAAACAATAGGGGCATGGCAAACTTTCATGGATCTCTCCCAGCCCACAGCTTAGTATCAAACTTGCGGTCAAAAGGCACAGTGATTTTCTAGCAGACCAAGTTGTCCAAAGAAAGTCGATGAGCAAGGCTCTCTCACTGGACATCTTGCCAATCTCGAAAAACGTGGTGCATTTTGCAGCTAGTGGGAGGCGTCAGTAGAGTAGCTGGGATAGCGATCAAATCACGTTATATGGTTTATTTTTGAACGTTCGAATGTCGTTTCATTAAATTAAAGAATCAGTGCTACCTCTCTCCTTCTACCTGCAGCGTCTAACAGCGTTTTGTCAGATTGCAAAGTGCTTTTTGTTTACCTCGCTCTGACCAAAGAAGCGATGGATTTTAGTCATGAGTAGGGGCAAAATCATCCTTCTCCAGCATTCATCCCTCCATTATCTCATCCTCTCCTGCCTCGCGCTGGTTTCCTCCCTCCTTTTTGACCTCGAGGTCGAGCATGAGACGGCCAGCATATTCTGCTGAGTTCTCTCCGTACGCATCAGCCCAGAAAGCAGTGTCGATGGTGGCATCTGTGTTGGTGGTGCTTGCTGCAGCTTCTCTGGCCTTTCTCGATCTGTACTCATCGTACTTCCGCTGCTTCTTTTGCTCTTTGGAGAACGGCTCTACCTCGTTGGGGTTCAGGAGGCCTTGCTCACCACGCTGGACCCAGTGCTTGTGACGGGCTTCGATGTCGAAGACATGTTTGTAGAGGAGGTCTCTGGCCTTGCCAGCGGCCTCAGGAGTGTTTCCTGTCACATTGACTGGTCAGCATGGAAGTTTCTGCATTTATGCGGTTGTGTTGTAGGTACCAATTGGTACTTGAGGTGGGTACGTACCATCTGGGTGTACATCGATCAACCCGGAGTAGTGAGGACCAACATCAGATACCAGTTGGAGAACGTTGGCCTTGTACCAGATGAGTTCGTCGAGAATGTCGGTATAGGTCATAGGATAGGTTTCGAGGAACTTGAGCATGCGCTTGTCGTGTGCGCCATATTTGCCGTCGCGCTTTCTGTGGATCACCATGTTGGCATCGTTGATGTAGGTGATGTAGATGTAGGGGTGCTGTATGTGGTCGGCGGCGATCCAATCTCTGATGTGCTCGTTGCCTTGATGGCACCAGAAGTATTGATCGAGTTGGAAGACAGGTGGTTGTGCCATAGTAGTTCTTGGGTAGATCTAGTGGTGGTGCTGGGTTGATGTTGAGGTGCTGCTGCAAAGAGTTGGTGGAGCTCGTTGTGATCGCGGAAACTTGGGCCCAAGAGTTGGACTAAAGAGAGAGGGAGTTGTGGCCGAGGAAGTGCCTTAAGTAGTTGCAGCGGAAGAGGTGCGAGAGCGGCAATCAAGTCCACAGCGGAGTGAATGTGATGCTGGAGTGAATTTGAAGCTGGAGGGAGTACTCTCCAATTTGTGCTCTGATGCGGTGAGAGATTGAAAAGTCAGAGAGCGGACAAGATCGACTGTGAAATACGCATGATGCTCAGCAAATGAATTTGCAACGAGAGAACCCGTCTTTCGCTTAGTCTGCTCACTGCTACCTTCCAGAATGCACTCGTTTGCGTCTCGTCAGATCGCTGATTGTTGACAATGCCAGGCGCTGTCAATGGTAGATGTCGTCGCTTTCACGTTCTCCTTTCTGCTGCACAGCAGTCTATGTAGCTCTGATTGTTATCTGTGTCTTCGTCTGGATAGTCGCAGTCAGTGAGAGTCGGAAGATTGACGCGTTCAACTTGAGCAAAAAGTGGAATCCCTCAGGGGGTCGAACTCGCACCCACCCACGAACAAACAGAGCGAATTCCTTCCACTCTGTCTGCTCAAAAAGGCAACACCTCAAGATCGTACCCCCAACTACATCAGGTTCTCTCTACAAGCAAAAGTCATAGCACAAAAAGGCAAAAGAAAGGATTCTCGGGTCGCCTCAGTCTCCGGTAGTTTGGACTGACTTGACCCGCCCGAATTGTTTCCGTCCACAATCTCAGTTGAGACTGTCTTTCAGCCCACCGCATATGACAGCCGCTCTAACGGTTGTGCCATACGCCCTTTCTTTTGTGCTTTAAATCAATCCCGCTTTGTCTCAATATATAGCTTTGGATTTTGATGGAGGGTCTTGGCACCTTTTTTCCCACCATTGTTTTCCTCTACGTGCCACTCATGTCCTCTGATTGATTGAACGTGTCGAGACTCTTTTTTTGTGCCTTATCAGCTGTCTTGTCAAGATCTTCCAGTCATAACCGTCCTGCTGGTCCAACTTCGTCTTTGATCCCTCTCAATCCGGCAACCCCAACAGATGTGCGCATGCAGCCATCACGAACACCAGGAACTCAACAGATTAGCGGAAATTGCTGCCAGATGCTCGGATGCCAGGAACCAAATGACAGCCAGATACGACATCTTTGAGCCCAAGAAAGAAGGCAATGTTCAGGCCACCACCACTACCAGCTAGCGCAAGTTCGAACACTCCACCAGCTCTCCCATCACTAGTCCGTAGGCCTTGGAGAAGATCGCCAGCGCCGCCACCATCATAGGGGAAAGCAGGCGACGAGATCGATGAGCAAGGTACATGAGATGTCAACAGCAAGGAAGAAAAACCCACACGTATGCACTCTGTTGTCCCAATTTCTTTGCACAACAGTACTGTCAAAGGAAGAATGAGTTACTGACACGTCTTGATAGTGCCTCAACAAGACAGGAAACTCACCACCAATACCGCCGCGCAATGCACGATTGAAGGAGAAGACTTTCGTGGCCGCCGTCTCACTCATCCCACAGAATCAACCCACGTCTTCCTCATCCTCGATTGGAGCACAGACGCCCTCCCTCTCACAACAAGAAGCATACGTACGACCAATCCGCGGGACTCGCGGCACAGAGGCGATGGCAGACACGAAGCCTCAATGGGGATAGTAGTCGGGCAGTCACAATTTTTTTGAAACAGGGAGAGGCAGAGCTTGAGAAGAGGTGAAATTGGACTACCTACAGTAGAAGCACAAATGGATGTTTCTATCTCTTGCGCACGTTCTGTCTACCTGTCGGCGTGGGCGTAGAGGAAGGAGGTGGCATCTTTCTCCGCACGACAGGCATCGATGGTCGGACTGGACGCACTGCACCTACAGGTGTTGAGGCCTTGCCCTTCGACATGGCACCCACAGTATTTCTACTGATGGCCTCGAAGACCAAGGGCCAGACTTCAGGAGCACGGCTTTTCTTCCAGCGCGACTCGACAGGGCGGGCGTAGAAGCGTTGAAGCGACCACCTCATGGGCTTGGGCACTTTGCTAGTCTTGTCGACTGCAGTGACCTGCTCGAGGTTGGCCAGGCGACCGTAGCCTTCAGTGCGTAGCCTCAGCTCTGATACTCGCAAGACTTTTGTTCTGGGCCAGGGGAGCAAGCCTAGAGTTTCGATCTCCATGGCGGTATCCGGAGGCAGCTGTCTCGCCCATGATACCAGGGATTCTTTTGAGCGGCGGGCCCAGGCTGGTGCATCGATGAAGATGTTGGTCACGAAGGGCCTCGTCAGAAGATGGAGGAGGGGGAGGACGGCTGCGGAGATGGTGACGACTGATAGACGAGTTAGCGAACATCTCCAACCACTCAAAGAGCGACTACGCACCGGCAGGGGCCATCCAGATGGGATTGGTCTGGTCTAATGCGACATTTGGAGCAACGACAAGACAAGCGAGCATGGAGAGTCCTAAGCCGCCGAGTTTACTGGTACCAACCATTGCCGTCTCCAGAGTTGGCGAATGGAAGATTTGGAGACGACGTGGATACACTGACACTATCAGTACACGAGCCATCTGTGAAGACCGATATATCGTACAAACTTGTATAGGAGCATCTGCGACAGCCTTGGAGCTCATCCGAGACTGCACCCGGCCATTGAGCGCATGCCTGGCGATATTATGCTGGAGCAAGCTCGCAGCAGCGCCCTGCGAGTTTGCAGCAACTAAGCGACTAAGGAGCCTTGACGGCTGGTGACAGAAGAGGGTCATATCATCATGAACATCAGAACAGAATACAGTAGGTAGAGAAAGTTGTTGACATGAGGTCGGATTTACGGTGCAGGCGGGCCGATCCGAGTTTCATCTGGGGAAGGCGCGATGCCCAGCCTTCAACCCACCTGCCAAATGACAGCATCCTTCTCCACCTGTCATGTCGCGAATCCGTCGTCTGTTTGCGATGCGTCTTGATCACGTTTGTGTGAGCGCATCAAGATGATCATCTCACGAGTAGTCGGTCTCTTGGGGCTGCTTTCTGGTGCCGTCGCATACAAGACCCTCTCGGACGATAGCCTCCGCGACATCGCCGACCCAGGGGACGACTTTGATATCAAAAACGGTGCCTTGTTGGCTCCCATCTTGCAACCGCGAGTACCTGGAACTCCTGGTTCAACGGCCGTGCTAACTCACTTTGTCAACTTCTTCCAAAAGTCGCTTCCGGAATGGGAATTGAGCTTTCAAAACTCGTCATCCAAGACACCACTTTCTGGCAATGATGAAGTGCCCTTTCGCAATCTCATCGCGACAAGAGATCCGCCCTGGGCGCAGCAAGGCCATGTAGGGAGACTAGCACTTGTCGCCCATTACGACAGTAAAATTGACCCGCCAGGCTTCATCGGGGCTATCGACAGTGCCGCTCCATGCGCCATGCTGATGCACGCCGCTAGAAGTCTGGACGCCGCTTTGACAAAGAAGTGGGCTGCTATGGAGAGTGATGGTGAGACGGAACTGGAAGAAGCAGGCGGTATCCAAATCATCTTGCTAGACGGAGAGGAGGCCTTCAAGGTCTGGACGCATGATGACTCGATCTATGGCGCAAGGTACAACGATGAACTTGTTGCTTGACACGTATCAACTGACTCTGATCAGGTCTCTGGCTGAAGAGTGGGAGCAAACGATGCATCCTGCCGCTTCAACTTACCGAACTCCGCTCGACGCTATTGATCTCTTCGTCCTCCTGGACCTGCTTGGTTCCGCCAAACCCACCGTACCGTCCTTCTTCCGAACAACCCACTGGGCCTACTCGAATATGGCAGCCGCCGAAGCAAGATTACGATCTTTGAAACAGCTAGAAACGGCTCCTGCTGATGTCTTCCTTCGCGAAGCTAACAAGAAAGAGACGGACAGATGGCTCGGTGGTGCAATCGAAGATGATCACATACCGTTCCAAGCCAGAGGTGTCGATATCCTCCACATGATTCCTGCACCCTTCCCTGCAGTCTGGCACAAAATGACCGATGACGGAGAACACCTCGACATACCCACGGTCAAAGACTGGGCAAAGATAGTCACCGCTTTCGCCGCCGAGTGGATGGAATTAGATGGCTATCTGTCCCCTCCCAAAAAGAGGAATGCGATGCCGGAATTGGACAGGACGGAGCTGTGAGTAAGCCTTGCTCGCGCGGCATCACGATAGTCTTCACAGCAATTAATCATGAAAATAGACAATCGTCTGGACTGCCCCCATGAACATGCCGCTTTCGGACCCTGTCAACGCCTTACATTCCAGCAATTATACCTACATTCCTCAGTTTTCCCAAACGAGCACCGTACGAATGACGACGTCGAGAGGGCCACCCAGTCTATACCCCACGAAAATGCTTCCTGCCGACATTTCAGATACTCATACTCAAAGAATATAAAGTTATTAGCACGAGTAAATTATCGCAAACATATGCTCCCTGACATGGTAAGTCAAGCTTTTGACAAGATCGAGCATCAAACTGCAGATAGGTCTTCCGTCAAACTGTTTTCTTTGTTCTCGGTGCATGGTCGCATCTTCCATCAGCTACCGTCTTTGATGTTCCCGCATGCGTCTGACTTCCGCTTTCGTGTTCACTGGCCTCCAGCACATTTTGTATATCATCTTTGTCTTGATGTCTTCTCTTCTGTCTTCTTTGCTCTACATCATCTTACATTTCATCCCACCATCGCCCTGTTCTCCGCCACTTCCTCGGTTTCCCAACCGCAATCATGACTTATTCAAGATATGCACCGTATGGAAGGGTGTATCGCCCTGCGAATCAATGGCCAGAAGGCTCACTCGAAAAGAGACTAGCTACGCAGATGGCCACTCAATTGAACAATGGTGCCGCTTGCCTCCTGATGTACAAGTACCCCGGTACAACCTACTTTGACGACATCCGCGATTGGGATGGTGATGCCTCCTACCGCATTGTCACTCCCTCACGATCTAATCCTGGATCTGACACCGAATTTTCTGTGACGGGTCAGGCGAAACCCTCGCCCGAATCTTCGGCCGTCCTGAAACCAACTCAAGAAGAGATTGAGGGCATCTACGACAAAAAGCTTGTTGGACGATTTGCTAACGGTGAACTGTTCACAATCCCCGAAGCCGAAGAAACTGGTGCTATTCCGGTCGTCGACATCCAAGACCCTAACCATTACTTCTACTATGTGCCCGCCTTCTTCGAGCGTCTCACCAACGACGAAAGATTTTTCCAAAGCACGCCTACTTTTATCGCCATGAACAAGGGCGAGATGCCTAGCTTTGTGTTTTGGCAGCGCAGTGATAAATGGCAGCGATACCAACACAAATCTACCGACCCAGTCGTCGATGCCGAGCTTCCCGAGCCAAATCCCGCCACACCACGAAGCGCCTCGAAGTCTCCTGGAAAACAAGCTGCTACGCCACGGAAAGATTCGATGTCCCCTGAAGCAAAGGCCAACACACAGGACGACAGGGCTGTACGATCCCGTGCCCCGTCACCCCAAGAACGTTCTTCTGCACTCGCCGTCAACACCGAGGCAGCTACTCAAGTGTCGAAGAAGCCCGAGGCAGAGGCTGAACTGCAATGGGAGATCTTTGACCCTCGACTCGAAGAGGATCCCATCGAGTTCTTGGACTTTTACAACACTCGCCTAAATGGTTGGCATGCAAACAGATGTAAGTGATAGTAATATCGTGTTTTCGAACAACACTGACAACACAACAACAGCTAGAATGATGTTGCGCGAAGCTGACATCGAACGCGTCAACTATATCAGTCCTTGTCTTGCACACAACCACAAAGAAGTTGTCAAGAACATCACAGCAGAGACCGTCACTGCCTCCGCTCCCGCTACCGCTCCCGCAATTGCGCCATCACCCACCGCTATGGACATCGACTCAACCACTGATACTGTTCCCAAGCCGCCTTCTAAGCCTTGGAGCCAACCTGCACCGATTTCCCATGACGATCCCCACTGGTTAGGATTCCTTCGAAAGCAAAAACAGCGTAGAGATGTCAGAAAGTCTCGTCTTCGCCCCAAGTCTGTTTTCACCTCCGAACACTGCAACACCCCTGGTGTCACGAAGGGTGACGGCAAGAAGGCATTCCTGAGTCGTGAGATGTACAACAACTATTACAGACGTGCATGCAAGGCCCAGAGACTGAACGAAGGACTCTCCAAGTGCTGTGTCGCTTGTGGTCTCAAGTGGACCAGCTGCACCGAGTCAAGACAAGAACACTATAACCGTCATCGCCATGAGAGGTTGTTGTATTACAAGAACATCAAGAATGTCCCCATCCATATCGAGCCAGTGATTCGTGCGGAGTCATTGGACCCGTCAAAGGTTACATTTGTCAGGCATGTTCCCGATCTCAACTGGTTCAGAGAATTGGAGAAGGTCACCCTGGACAACGAGAACGAGCTGCTCCAGCGTGAGCATATTTGCCGTGTCTGCGACAAAGTCATCGACCTTACTGACGAGGATCCTGCCGTCCATTACTACGGACATCAGTGCGAACGCGACGGTTTGCGCAAGTGGCAAGACAACGAGGTACAAAACCCACTGTCTCCCGTCATTGTGACGACAGTCGAAGGATCCTTCCAAGTCCCTACCCAATCTCCACCCGCTCGATCCCACAAGGGATTTTCGCCCAATGCGGACTTTATGCGTCGACACGATGAAATTACCAAGGCTCAAGCCGCAGCACTGTCCGGTAACTTGTCAGCTGCTGCCAAGGCGATTCAAAGGACCGGAACCGTCACGTCTTCGGTGAAACCTGTGGGATCTCTGGCGACTGTGCAATCCAAGAGAGTTGAGAACAAGACGCAACAGGGCGAGACCGAGCCCCTGCAGGCCAATACCCATGCGCAGAAGGTCACAGACTACCTCAACGAGCGTTCCGTTCATGCAAAAAAGGCCGATATTCCCCTTCTGCCAAAGCCCCCTGCCAAATCACCTGCGAATGATAGTATGGAAGTTGACTTCATCTATGAAGACAGCGAAGTCGCACAGTCCCCTCAGGAAGAGGTCGATGACATGGTCGTCGCATCTACCGAAGCTGTGGACGAGCAGGTCAACCTCGATGCCCAAGAGATCAGCGATGAGATTCTCAGAGAGGCCCCCATGATGCCTACTGTATTGATCTCGGATGTGATCGGGTTGGTCTCTGAAATGGTCGAGGAGTGCCTTAAAGCCCCTGATGAGCTCGACATTGGTGGATTGTCTCACAAGGACTACATCAAACAGGGTATCTTCGGATACATTGAGAAGGAACTCGCCAAGAAATCTTCTTCTACTACCTCCGCATCTTTCAAGAGCGCACCTTCTCAGCAGGCTGGTTCTACTCCTGCCTATGTTCCCAAGACACCAGCTCCTACCTCTGCATCTGTTCCCAAAGCATCGCCACCTACCAAAGTGCCCGAAATTGCAACCGAGGACACGGATGCAGTAGAGGATGAGGATAGTATGTCAGACTCATGGGACGAATCACTTGTGCCCGTCAAAAATGACGGCCTTGATATCACACCCAATGAAATAAACATGCAGGAGTTTCTGGACCTCGCCCTCAACTCGGGCTGTTCAGAGAAGAGCGTCGTTCTTGCCAACGCCGATAGCGAAGATGTGTGTAGAGATCTGGTCGATGAATATCGCGCATCGGGCAAGAAGCCTACACCCAGGGTTAAGCGATCCATCATCGCCAAGGTCCAGGCGCATCTCAAGGAGGCTCTTGCGCACGAGCTGATCCGCCAATGCGCCAAGAACGAGACTGAGACTGAGGCTGAGGCTGAGGCTGAGGCTGAGGTTGAGGTTGAGGTTGAGGTTGAGGCTGACGCTGAGCCCAGCAGTGGCCCTGACGATATCGATTCAAAGCCCATCTCACAAACTCGAGGTGATTGCCTTGACTTCCTCTTTGGAGATCTCGGAGTCTCTGAGGCACTGGAGCAAGCAGCATTCGAAGAGGGAGCCGGACTGGCTTTCTTCGAGGCCACTGTACATCGCGCTGCCGAGTTGTGCTATGACATGGTTGAAGAGGCTCGTGAGTCAAGTTCTAAAGACAAACCTGCTGTCGTAAGACGTAGTATCATCAAGGAGGTTCAGAATTTTGTCAAGGCAGAGATCGAGAAGGTCTCGAGCAGCTCTGAGCTTGGTAGCAAGTGGTCGACTGAGGCTGTCGCTAGCAGTGCTCCTGTCGTATCGCCACAGTCTGCTTCTGCCCCTACTTTCGAGAACTATGGTCGTATCTTGAGAGGTTCCGACCCCGCCCTCTATTCCTTGTGGAACGAAGCCTATGAGTGGGGATGCGGACCGAACAATCTGGCAGCCTACCGATCAGAAGCTTTGGATGTGGTCAAAAACCTGATCACCGCTTCTCGCAAATCGGGCATACCACTTTCATCGGAGGATAAGGAGTCTGCTCGACAGAAGGCTTTGGCGCTTTTTAAATTGAGAATCAGCACGGAGAAGGACTGCAGAACGGCAAGTGGACAGAGATTGTATAGTTCTCGTGAGATTCCGCTGCAACCTGCCTCAGCCCCTGCTTCCAATGGTCTCGACATGAGTTACGGCGACCCAGACATCAAATCCTTGTTTGATGAAGCCACCGAGTGGGGTTGCGAAATGACCACTCTGGTAGAACTCGCATCGGAAGCTTTGGATACTGGTCACGAGATGATTAAGGCTATCCGCTCAACCGGCGGAACTCTTACACCAAAGCTCAAAGAGGCTATCCAAGACGAGGTTGTGCAGCATCTCGAGTCGGCCATTGAGAAAGAGAAGCGTCTGAGACTTACCAAGGAGTCCGACGCCGCCAGCACGAAGACGCTGAAGCGCAAGCGTGCCACCACTCTCCCCATCACTCCCGTCTCCAACCGCAAGACCAAGAGCACCCGCGACGTAGATGCCACTTTCCACCCCGACACCCCTGCCCCCTTCGTCTCTGATGAGGTATCCCCTCGCCTGCGCAAAGTATCCCGCAAGAGCGCAGATCCGCTCACAAAGAAGACTGAAGCCAAGAAGAGCAAGACTGTCCGATACGAACCCCAAGTCGTCATCAGCAAAAAGACCACACCCAAGAGCATCATCAGCAAAAAAGCTTCCACCAAGACTGTTCCAAAGTCCACTACCAAGAAAGCCGCTGCTGCTGCCAGCTCTTCAGAGCCAAGACCCAAGCGCAAGGCTGCTGTCGAGGCAGAGAAGAGTTTTGGAAAGACGAAGATTGTGGATTAGAATTGATTCAAGAGGGATGAAATAGTAATGAGGAGGAGGATGAAGTTGTAGAATGATGCATTTCTTCTGTTTATGCATGTTTTGTTCTTTGGATGATTGGGATTGGCGTTTTCTTTTTTCATTTGCGCTATTTATGCAGTTGAATACGAGTTTCTTATTCATTTTATCACTTTTCTTGTTGTGCGTTTGCTCTTGCTCTTATCACTTCTTCTTGTGTTTGTGATTTCGATGCTGTGCGTGCCTTCCCCGATAATCACAACTTGCTCAAATCGTGATGCAGTTTCACTGCTCTCTTCCTTCCGTATGGACCAGCAATGCGATCAGAAACAATCCGTTCTTCGTGGTCTATCCTTTAATGCCCTTGCGTATTTAAAAAGCTCCTGACATCTTCAACACCCTCGATGGTCTTCGTCTTGTTCAAAACTTCTCTCTCCGTAAGGAGATGGAGTGCGTGGGTATTGGTTTACGAGTTACATCCGCGAGGGCGCGGGAGTGATGAGAAGTCTGTCATGGGTTGGACGCGGATGAAATGTCGAGTTGATTGATATAGTTGTAAGCTCTCTGGGGAGAAACGCCGATGGAAAGTGTGTTTTTGTAGAGCCCCATATGGAGTTATCATTCGAAGAGATAAAAATCTGCGTGAGCGCTCAAGATATTTTCCAAGGACTGTGGAAGAGAGGATGACTTTGGGTAAACAGTATCTTCGAGTCCTGGAACGCCATGCCATTGTTTTGCAATCTTCGTCCATTACAACCAGGAGTATCACGTCCTTGGTCTGCTCCTATTTTTCCCCTCTTTGTACGTGCCATGTTTACAAGATATGCATGCGTAGATAAACCTTCTGTCGAACCTATTATCCACTTCTTCAAAACATCTGTTGGGCTTGATGTAGTAGCACACCCAGCAGAGTTTGTGGCCATCATGCTGAGGGCGAGCAATAATCCTGTACTTGTTTACGCTCGACAGCGCGGAGCAGGGCTTGCTTGTGAGATCCACGATATTGTGGAAGTAGTGGTTTGTTTGGCTCAAGTGGATTGATGCGTCGAAGTCGAGCTTTTTGATAATGTAGTTTTGAAGTTCGCCGGGGAGAGTTTGTAGTGTGATCGGCATGTTGCTTGTGTCCATCGTGGTATGATTGAACGAGTGGTGAGATTGAGATTGGAGAGAAGGTCGAAGACTAGAGAGTCTTTATCGATGTTCGAGTGTGCTGCGATGACGTGTCGTTTCGCAGACTAGCTCACAACCAGGAAATACACTCACAACGCACCGCGGCAATCATCTTGTTGAACATGAAAGAACCATTAGATAGATCCAGGCCATCTTGATTCAATATCGGCAGACATGGATTTCAGCACTTTCACTCCCATCGGATTCCGGACTATCCAGTAGATGCCTCCGTTGGGTGCCTTAACCTGGCCTTCACCAAAAGCCCCACTGCTGACACTGCAGTCAAAACAAGAGCGTTTGAGATGGTCGCCACTCAGCACACCTCGTTTCTTCTTGATTTGTTTCTTGACAAAAGCTGTAGAGGGCTTGATGCAGCGGCACTTGTAGCAAACAAAGTGGTTCCGGAATTATCGGCAAAATGAAAGATGGTCGAGTTCTCGGCAGAATCCATAAGGAACAGGCTTGTTCGTGGCGTCAACAGTGCGACGGAAATATCGATTGGTCTTGCTGAGATTGAGGGCTGATGGGAAGTCCATCTCGCCAACAATCTGGTTATGAAGCTCTGCGGGTAGATACAAGAAGTTGGGAGACGTTTTTTCTGCTTGCATGGTCAAGTCGTTTGTTCTGGCGAGACGAGAGTGTGGGAATGCGAGAAGGTCAGGTGTGCGGTGGTCCAAGATACGTTGCTTCCAATCGCCGGAAGATGTCTCGATCACATGCGGAATTTCGGCATGTTGGGCATACAAACTCACTCAAGTGCGGAGGTGTGGTCAAAGCAGGATATACTCTACCTGCACCTCTCCACTAACAGTCTTGAAATCACTCATCCGATAAGACTTCTGTCACTGATGGCCGGTCATCAGGGTTCCACCGTAACAATCTACCGATCAGCCTGCCGAACTGTGCAAGCTCCTGCTGGGTAAAATCAGGAGAGGCATTGCTGTCAAAGTACAACAGATCTAACCATTGACTTAGTTTATAGATTGGACCATCATCCTCGCATGCTTCTATGGTTCATCAGTCCTCAATTCTGTGAGATGGAATTTGTTGCAAGCTTACCCCATTTCGGCATGGCCTTCCATTGTGATTGCCATTTTTCGGGTGGTTCACCGATCAAGTCTGCAATCTGTTGGAGAATGTCCTCCTTGTTTGCCATGAGACTGCTGAACGGCGGCTGTCCAACGACCAGTTCGAACATCTGTTGCTCGGTGAGACGACTATCTAGTACAAGCCTCTGCGGCGCCAACTTACAGTACAGCCTAGTGACCAGCAATCCACTCGAAGATCATATTCGTCCTGAAACAGTACCTCGGGAGCCCGCAAGGCCAGCGGAGTATGTAGGGTTTCCGCTTTGTTGTCCGACATGAACGATTCACCAAAGTCGATGAGTTTCACAGAGCTCTTCTCGAAGTTTGGGTCGTTCGCGGGCAGGCGAGCAGGCCACACTAGGTAATCTGGCATTCCAGGTTCCAGAGGTTCACCGTCTGGACGACTGACAGGACCTACTCTGGGCTTTCCGAGCTTCTTGGATAACTCCTCCTCTGGAAGTAACTTCAACCCTGGTATCATGAATGCGAGATTCCCGGTATGCAGATCTGGTAGCAAGTCAGAACTCTGAAATCTAATGCTGCCACGTAGGAAGCAAGGCCACGAACCTCCATGGCCGATGCCCTGCGCGTGTAAGACCTCCAGTGCCAAAGCTATTTCCTTGCATGCCTTCTTTGCCGTAAATCCAGGGAGTCGATTGCCGGCAAATCGTTGATCGATCACAGTAGCCGCGCTAGGCCCGAGAAGCTCTAAGACAAGACATATGTGCATACCATTAGGTCCAGGATGTTCGAAATTATTTAGTAAGCGTACGATATGCTTGTGGTCGTTCATTGGCGGGACGCTGTTCTCTAACAATCGCCGATGTGTACAAAGCTCGCGATTTATGGAGGACGAGTTTTCAGATGTCACGATTTTCAAAGCGACATTCCGATTCAAGCTCTGGTCTCGTGCTATCCATACTGTCGAAAACCCTCCATAGCCGAGCTTATGCAAGACTTTGTACCTTCCTTTTTTGAAGGCGTCGCCTAGACGTACCGGATGGTAGCCTCCAGATCTGTATCGATGAAGTGGCTCTGCTTCAACGTCACACTTGTATCTGAGATTTGATGTGACGAAGGATCGATGCTGCGACAGGTGGTATGCTCGAGGTTGTAGTGCACGAACTCCGACAGTCTTGAGTGGTCTCAAGCCAAGGTGGATCGATCCCAGAGAGCGACACATCGAGACCAAACAGTCCACTTCCGTATTATCCTGTATTTTTCGATCTCATTGACGGTGGTTTTCCAGATGGAATTCCACATCTCTGCTTCGAGGAGACGCTGGTATCTGCTGTCGCCCGATCAAGCGAGGTTACACAAAGGAGACCGCCAAGACCACCGCGACAGCAACCCAACCTGCGACAGAACACCTCCCAAGCCATCGGACGATATCTTGCACCTGGAAACATATCAGACATACTTTATCGGAGTCCGCACGCCAACATCATGGCAACAAATAAGCCAGGCCCATGTGGCACACGAAACTCCCTCAAACTAACTCAAAGTCCGATGAGCACGTTTCAAAGCCGGTGCGGAGGTGGCTTTACCGATGCGCCAAAATTACGGACGCCCCTACCCATTTTGCAGTGAATTGTTGGCTTCCGGACACAGGCTAGCTTTAAGGTGGTCTATGTTCGAGATTCATTGAGCATGTTTTTCTACCCTAGTGGAATCAATGGGATAAACGTGTCGGATGATGGGGGAGTTTGACGTGAGATTGACTTGAGTGGTGAAACGTGAGGGATTGGGGATATAAAGTTGCCATGTGCTGTTACCTTGATGGTTTGTCTTGTTTTCATATCAATCTGAACCTCTCTCAACATATCGTCCACCTGTCTCACGCTTATTATCCTTTGCAATACCAAAAGCATTCGATTCGCCATCTCATCTATTCAAACTACCACCACAAACTACACAATGTGCGGCGAAACCAACCGACCAGTCCTCGGCGGCACAATCGCAATCCTCAAATCTCTCGGCGAATCCACACTCCCAGATCTCTCTCTTCTCTTCCATCAAGACTCAACCTCTACCACACGAGCAACATTCCAATCTTCTTTGCCAGCGGTATCAGATTTAGACAGTTGTCAGATTGTGATATTGTAAGCACTTTACCACTGCCTTGCCCTTTTCTGTTTTGAACTATGGCTGATAGATATTGCAGCAAAGATGGAGATCTACGAGCAGAAGCACCCGCGACATCGATATTACATGCATTCCCATTGAAGATGACTACGAGAGAGCAATCGTTTAGTTTGCCGAGGAAGTTGGATTTGGGGGTTGGTGGGGAAGGTGTGATTGGGAGAAGAGTTGGGTTGGTGAGGCAAGCACAAGTGCTGAGGCAGGGCATTATTGGATACAATTGATGAAGATTGAGGAAGGAAGATTGAGGAATTGATGATGATGTTCCGATGGCGTTTATGGTGGGATTTTTGCGGAATACTGAATTACGGTCAGGGTCGGAAGTTCGGTGAGCGGTCAGTTCGACATCAGCGTATTCAGCATGCATGGAAGCATTTTCATTTCCTTCGAGACTCATCTGGACGTCCCATGCCTAACTTTTAAGATCCCACGAGTTCGGGAACAAGGAGAAGCTGAGTTCGATGATGGATCGCCCTCATCATCCTCAGTGTTTACCGATGCGGGGTTGGTCACACAGCACGGCGGGGTACCCACTTCTCCAGAGATAAGTTAAAGGTGGCTATCACGGTAAACATGTAAGACTTTTTTTCCTGGATACACAAGTCTCGAATCAGAATCAGTGGCCGGAAATCAGAGAAAGAACAATCTACCATGGCAGGAATCCAATCCCAACTAGACTCCGGAGCAGTACCCGGCCACATTTCCAATGTCTGCCCACCAGGAACAAAACTATGGCTACTCGAATGCGGCTGGCTAGCCTGCGACGAAGGCTTTGTGATCCGCGGCGGTAACACCTCTCTCGCCTCTACAGCCGGTAAACCATTCGAAAACAAACGCCGCAACCTCCCAGTCTACTGCTGCTTGATCTCCCATCCCCACGAAGGTCTTATCCTCTGGGAAACAGGTTGTGGAAAAGACTATCCAGAAGTCTGGGGACCCCAAGTGGCAGATGTGTTCAGTAGAGTCAAGTATGATGAAAAGCATGAGTTGAGAAATGCGATTGCCGCGACTGGCAATAAGATTGAGGATGTCAAAAAGATCATCATCGGACATTTACATCTTGATCATGCTGGAGGATTGGATGAGTTTTTCGGTCGTAAGGATGTTGAAATTTGGGTGCATGATAAAGAATTGAGAAGTGCGTTTTGGAGTGTGGCTACCGGGGCGGATGAGGGTGTTTACCTGAAGCACTATCTCAACCTGGATCTGTGAGTGGGATGAGTTGTGGAGGCCAACATATCTTGCTGACAATATGGACCAGAAACTGGAAGACTTTTGATGACAGAACGATTGACTTTTGTCAAGGTATTACGCTGCACCACTTACCTGGACATACCGACGGCTTGATTGGCATGCAGATCAACTTGCCAGACAGCGGCACCTTCTTTTTCATCTCTGACCATTGCCACGTCATCGAGAATGTGAGTTTGCTTCTTTTAGACTATCAAATACATTGCTGATGTTGAACAGTGGCGAGATGGTATTCCACAAGGTTGGCTTGCTCGAGATCACCCAGCATGGTTCCAGAGCACACAGCGTCTCAAGCGCCTGGAACGAACAACTCGAGGTAGGGTGATTCCGGGACATGACGAAGAGACTTTTTTGGCACTGCAGAAGGAGAAGGATGTTTTTACCTGAACGTGGGAGACTATGAGCTTGCTCTTGTAATGATAAATGCTGTACATATTTCAGACATACGTGTGTAAGGGTATTGAATCGATCGGAGTAATTTTGACATTTGGTGTGGTCTCTAAATGTATGATTCGGCATGACTGGGAGGTTGCCGACCTCTCATGAGCTTTTGTTTCCAACAATGCGACTCTATCTCAGGCCAGCCAATCTACGCTGCTGAACTTCGCCAAGGGCCTTGCTGCCACTCAGGAAGGCGACAGTGCCGATAAGACCAGCGGGAGGCAGGATCTGGAAAAGTGTCCAAGAGGAGTAGTACAGGAAGAAGACGAACTCCATGGCGACAATGCTTCCGAAGAAGAGGGCGTGTGAGACGGGAGCAGCATTCATGGCCTTGGAGAGGTGGCTGAAGTTTGCACCCAGGAACAACCATCCACCGACAAGAGCGGGCAAGCAGGCCAGGATTGCAAGAGTGAAGACGCCAGAGAGGATCGTGGGAGGAGACTTGGGGTCGCTACGGAAGATGTGGTTGATCTCGGATAGCTTGCCGTAACGGAGAGGAGCTTCGGGAGTGCTGAGGGGTACATTGGGGTCGCGGCTGATAGTCAAGTCGAAGGCGTGGGTGTAGTAGGCGTCAGATGAGCCAAACGAGGCGATCAAGAGCTTGGCCTGGATGGGAGCGCTGGCGGTAAGGAATTGGAAGGGGAGGTCCTTTTGCGACTAGACGCGCGTCAGCTGTATTGCACCAATTGTGGGTCGGAAGAATCGTCGCATACCAGCTCGACCTTGGCCTTGCCACTCTCCTTAACATTGAAGACGAATGACTCCTCAAGACCAGTCTTGGGTTCGTGCAGAGTCAAGAAGGCCTGGTGAGGTCTCTTTGCTGTCTTGTCCTCGGTAGTGGTCATGACCAGCTTCAACGAATCGGTAGGGCCAAGCTTGACTTGTTTGTTCAGGCGCGAGACAGGAGAGAGTCTGTTGGATAATGTCAGTAATGGGTTACAATTGTTTCTGTACAGTGGCTACTCACTTCTCCTTGAGGGCACCACCGACTCCAGCACCCTTGCTGGAAATGCTGAGAGTTGCGTCCTCGAAACTCCATGAGGCGGCAGCAGCAGCAAGGCCTGAGCCGAGCGACAGTAGCGGCAGTACAATTGCGCTTGAGAACTTCATTGTCGCTATGCGGGTGTGTTGTGCTTGAACAAGAGTGTCTCTGCTGGTGACGAAGCTCGAGAGCTGGAGCGCCAGGTAGCCTCTCGGCTGACTTGCCCCGTTTGCCGACGCTGCTCGGCTTCTCTCCCAACTTGCGACCACTCAGCGCCCGCCCAGTGCAAAACCACCTTTCATCAATTCTCCATGGGCATATGGTTGCAGCATGCGATTGGAATATATTGCAAGGTAGATCGAGTGCCCGAAGTCTTAGGGTTTACGTACCTGCTAAAAAGGAGCGATATTGCTGAGTCCGAAAGCATGATTGCCTCTTTGGGAAGGCACGATGGAGGCTGAGGCAGAAGCTGCTTCCTTGAGCTGATCGACTTCCTTCTGTAATCGTATGCAAGAAGAATACGACGCTTCTTACCTTCTATACTCCTTATAAGCCATCTACAACGCATCAAACAATCATCATGTCTTCTGTTTGATGCAACAAGCCTGGGCCATCCGCGAGAGTTATAACACCTCAAAGCGTGACGCTGACAGCTTAAACTTTGGCGACTCCCCACTCAGACCTTCCGCTCTTTGCAATCTCCGAATCGAGCAAAAAACGACTCTCCAGAAGATCCTCACAGCCGTATCACAGGACTGAGTACCCTATACATTCCTGACCACCACTCCACATGCCGAGAAGGCACGCCGCTTCCGGCGATGCCTCGCCAGCTTCGCAAGACACCATCAACGTCGCCATGCCACGACAGCATCGCCCACCAACACGCTTGAAACTGAAAGTACGACCCAGGGACCCCGAGCCTGAATCTGATCCAGCAGTACTGCTTTCTCGACCCAAGAGAAAGATCTCGAGACCTGCCAGATATTCTGATAATGTCATCGAGCCTCTCATCAAGAAGCGAAGAACCACCAAAATCCCGAACATGTATCTGGAAAAGTCAACTTCTCCACCACCAAATTCGGGGCCGCCGGTCGGCAACTCATCAGACCCCATACTGCTGACCTCTTCGAAGCCAGTCGATAAAAGCGACTACGACTCTAATGAGGTCCATCCCGCCGGCTATGGTGCCGACTTCCTGAACAACTTCATCGACGACACCCCTCGCTCTTCGCTCTCTGCCTTGGATTCTGTGATTGACTCAGATCGAGGTCATAAGTTGCAGCCCGATCTTCTGCCAGAGTCCGATGCCCTGCCAGATGCTGCCGGCTTGATGTACGACACCTTCACCGACCTCACCAGCGAACCACCGACATTTGCTGTCAAGGAAGTGCAAGACACGGTAGTCCTGTCAAGTTCCTTTTCTCCTCAGCTGGATCAGCTTGACAATGCCGAGGTCTGTGTCAAAAAGCTGCAAAATGCGTGTCATGCATTGGGAGGCTTGAGCATGCCACCTGTTCCACCGCGCAACCACCTTTCAGCCACTCCTGTCGTGAAAGGTAAGTCCAAACATCTTCCAGGCTGAAAAGATCAGCCTTGCTGACATCAACGCAGACAGAGATGACAGTGTTGAGGCTCTGCTGGCTGCCGCTTCTGGATGTGACGAAGCTGAAGCCGAAGCCAGCCACTCGGAAAACTCTCATGATGCTGGTGAGCCGGACGAAGAGATGATACTCCTCATCAATAAGGCTATCGAGATACTGAACTATCACATTGTCAGTATTCGCAAACTCGAGACTCAGACAGCACGCCAGGAAGGTCGACATGCCAAAGGAAAGCGTTACACCAAGGGCCAATATCGCACCGACACAGAACAATTTGTCTTGTCCGCACTCGAGCCTTTGCTGCAGGGTGGGGCCACAAACATCGGCTGCATCATCTCCAGCGAACGCGCGAACCTGTTATGGCATCTGTACTCGCAGTTGATCCACTTTGTCACAGCACCTCACTTCGCTTTGCCCCGGACTTTCAGGATCCTTCAAGAAGCAGCAAATAGTACAGGCACACAACATCATGTCAAATCTCCTGCTGTTGCTCGTGTTTCTTCCAAGAAGCCGTCACAAGTTCTGCCGCGTAAGAAGGGAAAGGCAGCCAAAGTTCCAGTCCCCCACCAATTCCTGTCACACCAGAAGAGTTCGAGTTAGAACCTCGGCTCTCCTGTGTACGAGTCAGTAGATTCGCACAGCTCGAGTCCGGTGCCTCAAGCGAGTCGTCATATTCTGAACTCAGAGCGAAGACGAGCTCCGGCTGTGGTGCCTCGTCGACATGTTCGTGAACACGCGCGTCTTCCCATGTATGCTCACAACCAAGCGTCATACGGACAACAGGCGCCTTACAATCACTTCGTACCTCCTCAATCTCGTCCAATGTTCTTTTCCCAACCTCCACCACCTCAACACCCTGCTAGCCATGGCATGTTCGTACCTGCTGGACCTTACTTCAACACTAAGAGTCGATCAGGCACAGCAGCCTTCGTTCCTGGTTATGGCAACTACCATATGCCCGCAAGGCCCATGTTCGCTCAGCCAAACTTCCAACAGTATCGACGTATGCCACCTTCATTCCACCCCAACAGCTGGATGCCAATGTCCATGCCTATGCCCATGCCCAACTTCGCACCGCCTTCTGTTCAGAACAGTATGCGCCATCAACCATGGGACTGGTAGTCGTACATTTTGCCATGACATTCAAGTAGCAGGACGTCCATGTTCGCCTGTCGGTTACTTCGCTTCTTCTGTTGTCTTTTTATCTCCATGCTTCCGAGATCCAAAGGTTTATTTCACCAAAGATTTATATGCAAGCGGGAAAGGTTCTTATGGAAAGGGAAGGCGTTTTGTGTTTCTCTCTTTTTCTCAGTCTTATACCCTTTTACTTTCTCTCATGTATTTCTTTATTCCCTTTTGCTTGGAGATTGACACAGAGTCACTCTTTTACTCTTGTGAGATCAAGCCATGAAGATGGCTGGCGTCGAGGATGAGATCGGCAATGAAGATTGCCTTAGCTATTGTTACAGTAATATACAGTTTATGTTTGCTCGTTCATTGAAGTATGCACCTTCTTCTCTCGCCTCCTTAATCATCAAGCTGAATACCTTCAACACCCACCACACCTTTAGGACCGAGCTTAGCCACAGCACCACTCCTCAGACCCAACACCCTTTCGATCTCCTCATTACTCATACCCCTCTCATCTCTCATCGTAACCACACTCCTCAACGTACCAACATCCAAGAACCTCCTTCCAGCACTTCCTCTCTTTCCAGCTTCCAAGAATTCTCTTTCCGCCTCACCGGCCAACTCTGCACGCGCTTGTAGCACTCTCAATGCGGGATTCAATCTTTGCGGCGGCGCTGTAGTGTTGGCACCTTGCTGTCCATACGGATTCGGGAAATGCGATGATGGGTGCGCGGCAAATGTCGAGGAAGGCGAAAGTGTAGGATTCGGTTGCACTGCACCTAATTGCCTCAACGAGCGAGCGAAATCAGGATCTGATGCATCGAGGTTGATTTCTGTTTTGCTTTGCGTCAGTCTTGTTCGCCTCTTTGCTTGTGTGGAAAAGATGGAGGGGTTGAAATTGGAAGGGAAGATTCAGATATAAGACTGTAATTTGGACGATTTCGAATCATGCACTTGGGATATCATCATTGCAAGAAGAAGAGTGGAAGATGGCGCAAGAAAAGGTGGGAGGGCAAATACCTTCATTGCGCTGGCCACTTGCGCGGGCTTGAGGGTGGACTGTGGGACCGGGTATGTGGTTTGCTGCTGGTGGCGGAGGGGGTCGGGAAGGCATGTTTGTTGTGCTGGGGTGTGCTGCTGGTGCTGAGGTTGAGGGAGATGGGCGGGTTGGGTATTGGCGGGTTGCTTTTGCTGCGGCATTGGCGGCGCGCGAGGCTGGTTTGGAAGCTGAGGATCCCATGGTTGTGGTGTGCGTATGTGACTAGATTATTACTGGTGATTGGTATGTGGTGTTGAGGAGTTAAGTGTTCGTCGTGAGATGTACGGAAAAGTGTCAAAGGTCGAACATTTGGAGCTCAGAAATCATGACGGAAGAGATGCCAAAACCTGGGGTTGCTCGGGTCCGTGCTTCTTGATGCTTGCGGAGCCTCATTTTCGTTTTCTTCTCACTGCTCTGCGACTGTCATTTGGCCGTGGATGCTGTGCGCTCTTAGACTCATGGTATTGTACATTACGGTGGTATGATACGGGACTTGATTGCAAAGCGTTGACATATAACTCACTCTTGCATGCCAGGCTTGACAAGTCCTCCAATCGTGTGACTACTCGAAGAACATGCCTTGCTCTTTACCAGCCTCCCAGGTCGTCCAAGAAGCCGACATCCAGATACACATGCTCTTTTGACATGACAGTCTGCTTCGACCTTCCTCATCTTCTGACCGACATCGTCCATGCTGCTTGTCAAGAAGGAAGCCGACATCTTTTGCCAACCCCACATCCCGAATATAACTGGCTGGCTAAACTGGCTAAAATGCAATCCACGCGATCGATCAACATGATTCGAGTTTAAACCCGTTTGCTCGTGTCGTAAACTCACTTTTACGGTTTTACCCTCGACCATGGCATCCACGCCAGCCATGCTTCGAATTGTGGCTAAATCTACGTTGTCTAATTCGCCTTCTTCTGCAGCAAGGTCACGCAGGTACTTGCGCCGAATACCCCTCGGCACGGAACGGTATCCCGAGACAATGCAAAGCCTCTAAATGACGTCTTCTCCATCTTACCATCCTTCTGCACCTGTATGCAAGAGTATGGACATGGATTACAAACACATCTCTCCAGACATCGGCAGGCTCCAAAGTGTGGAGTAAGCAGCGACATCGCATTTACCCTGCGGAGAAGATGCGGAGTTTATGTACTGATAAATGCATTGATGCCGAACTAATGTCCTCACAGCCCGGTCATTCATGTTGATCTTGTCCATAGCAAGCAATCGGCTTCGATCCACCGCTGATGGTTCGGTGGCCGGCATCTTTTTCCAATGCGAGAGCGACTCCATGCTCCGCAAGTTAGACCCCACTGGACTAGAGACTTTATCCAAGCTCAAGGTTGGCAGATCCCCATACTCGTTCTTGGAAAGTGACCATCATTCCACCTGAATGTGTTTTTGCAAGTCCGTCATGACTTGGTATATATAGCTGCTCTCCCACCCCATTGACTTTGACTTGAAGCATTCCAGTCTTACCGAGCCATATACACGTCCAATGGCTGCATTACTTTCTCTCACTGCATTGGCGTTGCTTGGAGGCAGTGTCTCTGCCCAAACTTTCCAAGGCACAGCCCAGGGTGGTTTCCCTGACTGTGTCAACGGCCCTCTATCCAACAACACAGTCTGTGACAAGTCTGCAGGTACGGCTCAATTCGCGAGTTCTCTACCTGAATAGCATTTGCTAACAACTCAAAGACCCCATTGCAAGAGCCAGGGCTCTGGTCTCAGCCTTCACAGTCGCCGAGAAGCTCAACCTCACAGGGAACAACAGCCCTGGAGTACCCAGACTTGGTCTGCCTATCTACCAATGGTGGAACGAGGCCTTGCACGGTGTTGCCGAATCTCCTGGTGTGACCTTCAACGCAACTGGAGAGTTCCGCTATGCAACCTCCTTCCCTCAACCTATCACCATGGGCGCGGCTTTCGACGACGAGCTCATCACTGCTGTTGCTGAGATCGTAAGTACTGAGGCAAGAGCCTTCAACAACCACGGTCGTGCTGGTCTCGATTTCTGGACGTGAGTTCACCACTTTCGATATTTTCACTACTTTTCTCTTACTAACTCCCTTAATAGTCCCAACATCAACCCTTACAGAGATCCTAGATGGGGTAGAGGCCAGGAGACGCCGGGCGAGGACAGTTTCCACTTATCCTCATATGTTCACGCCCTCATCTTGGGTCTTCAAGGTGGTGAGGATCCCGAAATCAGAAAAGTCACCGCGACCTGCAAGCATTTCGCTGGTTACGACATCGAGTCATGGAATGGCAACCTCCGCTACCAGAACGATGTTCAGATCAGCCAGCGTGATCTTGTCGAGTACTACCTGCCTTCTTTCCGTTCCTGCGCAAGAGACTCCAATGTCGGAGCTTTCATGTGCACATACAGCGCTTTGAACGGCGTTCCAACCTGCGCCGATCCTTGGCTTTTGAATGATGTTCTTCGCGAGCACTGGGGCTGGACTAACGAGGAGCAGTGGGTCACCAGTGACTGTGATTCTATCCAGAACATTTACCTGCCTCACAACTTCAGCGACACCCGCCAGGGCGCTGCAGCGGCTGCACTCAATGCGGGTACTGACCTCGACTGCGGTACTTACTACCAGCATCACCTTCCCCAGGCTTACAGCGAGGGTCTCATCAACCAGACTACTGTAGACCAGTCCCTGCTCCGTCTGTACACTTCGCTCGTCCGCACTGGCTACTTTGATGGTCCCGACGCCATGTACAGAAACCTGACTTTCTCCGATGTCAGCACTCCTCACGCTCAACAAGTCGCTCTTACTGCTGCTGAAGAGGGTATCGTTCTGCTCAAGAATGACGGTCTTCTTCCTCTCACTGTCACCAACAGCACTAAGATCGCTGTTATTGGAGACTGGGCCAATGCCACTCAACAAATGATCGGTAACTACTTCGGTGTTCCTCCTTACCTTCACAGCCCCCTGTACGCTGCTCAGCAGTCTGGTGCTCAAATCTTCAATGCTGGAGGACCTGGTGGCCAAGGCGATCCTACTACCGACCACTGGCTCCCCATGTGGACTGCTGCTGAGAAGGCTGATATCATCATCTATGCTGGCGGTTTGGATATCAGTGTCGAAGCTGAAGGTATGGATCGCGAGACCATCCACTGGACAGGAGCTCAACTCGATGCTATCGGTGAGCTCGCAAGCTACGGCAAGCCCACCATCGTTGCTCAGATGGGTGACCAGCTCGACAACACTCCTCTTCTCCAAAATTCCAACATCTCTGCTCTGCTGTGGGGTGGCTACCCTGGTCAAGATGGTGGTGTTGCTCTGTTCAACATTATCACCGGAAAGACTGCTCCTGCTGGACGTCTTCCCGTTACTCAATACCCTGCCCACTACGTCGCCGACATCCCCATGACCGATATGACTCTTCGCCCTAACGAGACCACTGGCTCTCCCGGCAGAACCTACAAATGGTACAATGGCACTGCAGTCTTCGAGTTCGGCTACGGAATGCACTACACCAACTTCACCGCCGACGTCAGCCCCATGGCCGCCTCATCTTACGACATCGCAGCCTTGACTTCCAACTGCAATGAAACTTACAAAGACAAGTGCGCTTTCGAAAGCGTTTCTGTTAATGTGCACAACACCGGCAGTGTCAGCTCTGATTACGTTACCCTCGGTTTCCTCGCCGGCCAATTCGGACCTTCGCCTTATCCCAAGAAGTCGCTTGTTAGCTACCAGCGTCTCCACAGCATTGCTGGTGGTGCTTCTGCAACCGCTACTCTGAACTTGACTTTGGGCTCGCTTGCCCGTATTGACGATGTCGGAAACACTGTTCTTTACCCTGGAGATTATGCTTTGATGATCGATACTATGCCTGAGAAGACCATGGTCAACTTCACCTTGACTGGATCGCCTGTTACTCTTGATCTGTGGCCTCAGCCTCCAAGTGGTGGACCTACTATTCCTCCTTCTGATTACTTCTATGGTGGTTATGGAAGCAGGGGCGAGTTCCCTATTGCCGCTACTACTGAGGTTCTTGAGCCTGAGGAGTAGATGGGATGGCGGATGAAAAGTCTTGAGAGACTTGGTAATTAGTTGTGAATATATAGTCAGTAATGAAATATGACTCCTTGTACCTTGATTCGTATATCATCAGTGCTTGCTTGTGAACACCCAATCTATCCACCCAACCCATCCATAATCCTCCCACTGGGTATTTTTCCTCTCAACCACTCGATCATCTCCCTCTCCTCTGCATTAAACTTCTCATCCAATTTCGCTGCTTCGGCTTCAATTTCTTCTCCGAATTCAATTCCCGCATCATCATTATATCCAGTAGCTCTATTCATCTGCTCTAGCTTTCCAGTGTGGTCGAGGATCAACTCTTTGGCTAGCACACAGCGGAGAACTACATCTTTCCAATATTTGTTGGAGCACGATGGATTTCGCGGAGGCACATTGACGAGAGTTCCAGAGGTCCGGGCGAGGAAGTCCCACCTATCCAAGATCAGCTATTAGCAATAAATGTCCAGGAGGGAAGGAATATTCCTACATAAAATACACTTTATTCTTCGACGCAGCTGGGGTATTATATGTCTGATTACGGTTCTGATCCATTGCTGGGTGTGCGTCCATGAGACGGATAAGTGTCTGGTGGACTTTGAAGATGTGGGAGAAGCGGGGTGAGCAGACGGTTGGGCATTGTCTGTTGAGATGGTGGATTGTGAACTCTGCTCGAGTGGTTGTGTCAGGATCGGGACCTGTGTAGATATTCGTTGTAGACATCTTGATTGTTAGTGATTGATATGATACTGTAGGATGGTTGGTATGGACCGAGGTGCAGGAGAGGGTGCTGAGAGGGGAAGCTGAGGGTTGGTAATGCAGCCCCCAGCAGCGCGATTCATAGCAGGCAGCAACTTTTCTCTCAAGTGGGCCAATGAGATGTGCTCAAAGACAAGTACCTTTACCCAGCGCTATATGGATATCAATACCTTCCACTGTCAGCACGTAGATATTCTAGCAGTTTGATGGGCTTGGTGGGAGTCACAGGAATGAGGCTTCAGTACCGAGGAGCGCTTGCTCGCGTGACGTCAAGATCCGCACCCCCTCGACACGACAACAACTCTTTCTCTCTCCTTCCTTGACGCTTTCCGTTTTTCGCTTTGATGGAAGGCTCGAGTGCTTCTTGCATACCACTCATATCTCACTTCTGCCATTGATTATTGGTCATGCAATCGAGCGATCCGCATCCATGAACAGTGTTGCGTTCATGTCAACATGCAGCATGCGTTGGCGAATGAATTGCCGAGACTACAGCGCTTAAAAGATGCCGAATCGATGCTCGATATATGACTGCACTGCAGCGTGTTATGTCGGAAGATGAGCGAAGTTGCTTGGATCAAGGGTCATGATCTCTGCTCTTCTTCCTGACTGCTGTTCTGATCCAACTGCTCACAAGGACATTGAGGCCTGAATGTGGCACATGGATTTTGATCAAGATCTTCCCATTAGCAGATCCTGGCGGCAACCTGGGGTCACAATCGGAAGACGTTGTTGATATGACAAGCGAGAAATGCCATAAAGAGCTGAAGAAATTCGGGACGATGAAGCTGAGATGGGCATTCCGTTGATCATGCTGGCGTATTCGAACATCAGCCTGGTCAGAAGAGACTGGTTCAAAGAGCGACTGATCACTTCACGCAGAGATCAATTCTTGATGCAGATGCGGGTATCCACATTGTCATATGATGGCTTGTCTGATTGGTAACCACGGCAATCAAGCATTCGGTCCCTTCTCCGAAACCGCGAACCCCGTCTGATATTGGCCGGTTTCTGCACCTTCCAAATTATTGTATGCAATCAGGAGCAGAACTGAAGGTGGATTTGGGAGCAAATAGCGTCGTAACTCATTCCCCAAGGCAAAGAATTCTCGTCCTCTTTCCTCCTCCTCCCTCCAGACTCACCCACTCCAAGATACAATGCCTACTATAGAGCTACCGATCCGGTCTGCCATGGTCGCTTCAGACGGCACAGCTCAACAGAAACCCGCTCTGTCAACTCTCCCTACCGAAATCAAGAACGAAATATTCTCGTACCTCTTGCTCGGCAAAAACGTCAAATATTCTACAGGTGGCACAGCTCCAGGACATAGCTATACTTTTCACGTCAGCATCACGCGCACCAACAAGAAATTGCATAAGGAAGCCAACGATTATCTGCGCTCACACAACGAGTTTGCTCTGATTCACCTGAGGTATCCGCGCCTTCTCAGTGGCTTCTCTCCATACATTGCAGTTGGAAAGAAGGTCAAGAACTTTCAAAAGCCTGCTATTGAGATCACTGTGGAAGATTTGGAACCCAAAGCTCAGTGGCCTTACCATGAGCCTGAATTTGGCCGTCCTTCGGATAGAGTATACGTACAGCGTGTGCTTTTTCTCTCCCAAGATCTACCTCACTACACTCGACAAATCCAACTAGAGATCCACGTCTGGCCCTCCTTGCAGATCTATGTTCATCCATCTCGTGGTTCGCGTCCGCTGCAGTACACCCCAGCGGTCGTAAAGAATGACCGCAAGATCGCCTGGAAGATCAATCCTAGTCACCGTACAGATCTCACCCGTGAAGAATGCCGTGCACGTCAAGAACGACTAATCGCTCCAATGGCGGCCGTTATTGGTCACGGTCAAGCCGTTCGTTTCCCTGGAGTCGACGCCGATATTGCTGATCGAGCTATCCGATTCATGACCCCTCGTATTGTCTCCGTCGATGCCGTTGGATGGAATCTCCTCGAACAGATGCGGGCTCAGAAACGCCATCTGGACAATGTCTTGGTTCATGGCTTTGGAGAGCCTCACGACCTTTGCAAGGCTTATGTCATGGTGGCTCAATTGGCACATGAGGCGCGTGCATGGACTCCTTGCTCACCTCAGTATAACACTGCGCTCCTTCTTCACACTCCTTACAGCGGCATAGCACAATCGCGATCTCATCCGTTGTCCTTGATGTCGTTCAGAAACCATGCCGAAGTCAGCTCTCCAAGCGACGTCTGGCTACATGGTGTCGCTACAATCGGTCTCGAATGTCTTCTCAACGCTATGAGCCTTGCTCTCGACACTGGAAATTTCAACCCTCTGCTGAACACAGATGCGGCCAGTATCGTATGGCGCATGAGTACCCAGGCTTGGTGCTTCAAGCCGTTGCGAGAAGAGCTTCTGGACATGGCCCATCATTACGAAGCATGGTCTGAGGTGTTCTCAGATCTCACACAAGACTTCATGGACCAAAATCACTTAGAAGTTGCCATCAGTGATCTGGAGCATGGTGTATCACACGGCCGCACAAATGAGTATGTTCAAGACGACATCAAATGCTTGAAGGAAATCATGAGGGTGAGTGTTCAAAAATCCATGAGCATGTTCAGTACTGACAGGAATCTTTTATTTTCCAGACCGAGCAGTTACCCAAAGACATGTACAAAGACTTTGCCCCTGGACTCAGACGCCGCAAACGTCTCTTCACCGAACCACTGAATCTCGTCCGTCCAAAAGATCTCCATGGCTGGACCTCAGACGCCATTGACAATATGGATCCCAAACTCAGAAGCAGTATCATCAAGCACTCGAACGCTGCAATCAAGAACAAGAAGCCTGTCCCCGTTGAGACAACCAGATCTGAAGGACATGTGATGTTGAGAATCATCAATGGTACACCCTGGACGAATCCGGAAGCAGCTCGATGAGCGTCATAGCTGGTTCGAGCCTAGAACACATGTAGTACGAACGCTAGAGAAGAGGCTCCCCTATGAAAATGGATGGTATCTAAAGGAGAAGTGACATGCCATCAGCGTTGCGTCTCCTAGAAGAAAACGGAAGCATGTGTAGAAGAGCACTAAACTCAAATTTGTTGATCCTCTTGAGACCTTTACATACCAGATTCGAGGGCAAGATTAGAACTGATCGCATTATTTTGCTGTAAAACTCCATTGTGAATCTATCAATTGGACTGAGGCCAACGAAGCAAATCGATTGGCTCTGGCTGCCCCATCACTTCTTTGCAAGCGCCCAGTCTGAGATCCACCAAACAAGCCGCTCACCAACAAAAAAGGCGCAGCTTCCAAGCATCCACTCTTGTTCCTTCCTGTCCACACTTTCTTCTTCTCCGTATCCTCTTCTTCCTGACAACCATACGCCACAAGCATCAACATGGACATCCTCAAACAACTGTTATCCTGCTTCGGCACCGACTACCACGGCCTCGCTAATGACAGTCATACGAGCGACTACCCCACCGACGAGAAAGATGCTGCATTCACCGACGTTCCTTCTACCATCGAGGCACATTGTTCCGCCGACAAGACTGGCGACAAAATCCTCCATCTCATCCTGACTGCCCCTGCACTCAACACACCCGCATCAAACGCCCAGATTCAGGAGATCATCAACTCTGGTCAGCCTGATGCTGTCACCAGTTCTTCGTGGTGGCGTAACGCTGTCATCAAGAGAGTCTACAATGGCTTCAAGGTCCTGGTCGCCAATGTTGAGGAGCATGGAGATACACTCAGCGACGCATTGCGCACTCTGTTCATGGACGCCAAAGCCTTTGCCGACGAGTTCATGACCGAGCATCCTTACATCACTTGCTTCATCGAGCTTGTTGCATTGGCTCTGTTGATCGAGGTCCTGACTCCTGCTCTCCTCGGCGCTCTTGGTTTCTGCGGTGAGGGAGTCCTTGAAGGTGTGTCAGAAGCGGATTATGCTGCCCTTGTACCTCGGCTTACAACTCTACAGGATCCTTCGCTGCTTGGTGGCAATCAACTATTGGCGACGTTCCCTACGGCTCGCTGTTTTCGAAGCTGCAAAGTCTTGCTGCAAGATATGGAAAGAGTCTACCCATCAAGTAGGAAATGAATCGGTGGCTATCACGACTTGCTCAGGAAGAAGCTTGAGGATAAGCAATCCTTATGCTACATCGTCAGTTGGGATGGTAGACAGAGCTTTTTCAGTTCCTGCAGCTTCGAATGCACTTAGCGGTCTCTATAGCATGGCAAATCTCTTCCGGAAGAAGAATATCGTCAATGATGAGTATTCTGCACACGAACCACCATTGATCAAGCCTGTCCCGCTCAATCAATGCTCTTTGACTTTTCTCGTCCTTACCTCTTGTATTAACGATACTTCCATCTATACCAGGAAACCATCGACTGAATTTTTGAGCCTTGATAAGTTGGTCTCAATTCCCGTGCACGAAACGCATCAATGAATTGGGATGGCATCGAATATCTCTGATAGTGATGCTCGCGACTTGGGCGAAAAGGCCTGATAGACTCGAGCCAAGCGTCAACCTCATCGAAGTCGTTCTTTCTCCCTCTCCTGTCATGGTCGTAGCTGCGGAAATGCACAATTTTTTTTTCGGACCAGAGGTTACCTCCACTGAGAGCGTGCCAATCATCGCACTTCTATGAAACCCTCACTCCCACATCAACAACATCGTGCATTGATGCAGCTTGGATGCCTTTCCTTGTAGTCATGGGAGACAAAGAGTGTTAAGCTCGCATAGATCCATGGATCTGCATGGCATGTTCTGGTCATCGTGGCGGCAACTCAGTCAAAGATTCCACCAAGACATATCACGACAGACAAACCTTCTCTGAACGACGTCGAGGATAGCTACGAGAAGTCCAAATTGAAATATCGCCAATACGATGTCATGCAACGCTCAGGAAGAGTCCGCACAGAAGAAGAGGAAGACTGATTCCAAGCCATGAACACTGCTCTGGACCTGATTGGCGACGACTCGACATGTCTGGTCGTGCAAGAACCTGGCATGTCCGCCTCTAGCAATGGATCTGCCTCGCCTGCAACACAAGAGACGGGCACCCCATTAAGGATCCTGGAAACACCACTCACACTCACCATCACACCACATCCTCTTTTTCGTTTGTTTTTTGTCTTTTCCTTCAGTATAACTTCACCCGACTGGCCTTCCGCAAGACCGAGATCCTAGTCACACTGACTGCTCATTGTCTTCGATGAGTTCCGTCAGCCTCTGCTGGGTTGACGCTCTTGTCGGCGCCGTGGTCTCAGTTCATCCTTTTTCTTGCTTTTCATCTCTTCATTATCGCTTGCTCACTGCTAGGGGTCACCATCAAAAGAGCATTAATCAGACGGAATGGTATACGAGGAACGATGATACTCACGGCTCTGGTGGCACAGCTCAACAAAGCCAATCTTTTCATGACGTTATGATCCCCCGTAAGGCCAGAATCTCCGTGCTCATGGCTGCAAGAATGCACAATCATTTTTGGACCAGAGATAGTCTCCACTGAGAGCGTGTCAATCAACACATCTCTGTGGACCGTTGCTCTCACACTGTCAACATCGTGTATTGATGCGGCTCTGGCCGTAAGAATTTGTTTCTTTCGGAAGCGCCTATGCTAACCGCACGATGCAACGCTATCGTACGACTGCGAGTCTTATAGCTGCTAAAGTCGATGATTGTTTCAGGATTCTTAGGATAGCCGTTGCGGCGACCGGAGCAGGCCATACAGATCCATTCTTCTGTGTCTCTAAGACCCGAAGTAGATCCCATCGAGGTTGCGTTCCTTGACCATCCGATGGATGAAGCTTGTAGTGCCGGCGTTGGCATGATCGACACCTCTGAGAAGGAGTTCTCGTTGTCCGGCTCTGCCGACGTACAGCATTGGCCGAGCTTTCTTGTTTCCGTTGGGTGCTCGACGTTGACCGGCAACGACTTTGGCAGGCAGAGCGGACTTGGTTGGGCTCAAGGAGAGCTTCGTTTGGTGCGTGTCCTTGGGGCGCGCCCAGACACAGTATGCGCCTCTGTCTCGTTTCTGAGGATTGAGCTCTGGGTCGGTCGGCTCTGGGTCGGTCGGCTCTGGGTCGGTCTTTGACGCGGCTTTGTCGGCAAGGCTCTCGATATTCGATGACGCTCTGTTCATCTCGGTGATGAGAGCCGTTGGCATCCCCTTGCTGACCAGAGTTGCGAAGTCTGCTAGCTTTGTCTCTGCCATGTAGTCGACAACCTTGGTGTGGTACATGGATGATGGATGCGTTGTTGTTCACAACGGCCCAGAGTTCGGACGCAGAAACCTCCAATCTTGAACGGATATTGGTGGGAGATGGCTTTGTTGAGGAAGGTCTGTCGCTTAGGCATGATGGCGCCGCCGGGCGGTAGCCTGGAGATTGACAGAAAGAACTGGTCGATGAATACCTCGGAAAGTGGTTGCCAGGAAGAATTGAGCCGTTTGCATACCTTTGATCACTCAGATCACTGGAGTGTCCCAAAGTCTGTGGCTGGGTCAGGTTTGACGGTAGTTCCTGATCGAAAAAGCGTGCGTTTCTACGTAAAAGGGGCGATGATGAGCTTCATCGAGCTGCATGTTTGCTGACATCTGCGGAGGTTGAAGCAATGGAGGTTGTGCATGCTCGACGTCGTTTACAGAAGCTTTATTCTGGCAAGGATCGTAGTCTTGGTCAAGAGCAACGGATTCGTAAGTAGGAAGAGCCATGAGGTAGGGTTGCGGATAGACTGGTCGACTGTCTTTTCACGGAGAATATCAAATGCAACTACAAAGACGGTTTCGATGATGAAATGCACAAGAGATGGTGAATCTTTGGTATCTTTCTAAGAAGCGAAGTGGACCGGTTCAAGGTCTTTATCCATGATCATACGATGCAGGAACATACTGGTTTCTACTCTAGCACGATCTGTACCTCTCTCTGCTCATCATCCCACGATAGCTCGAGGATCCTTTTCCAGCATAGAGGATTGGCAGGGTGTTTCTCTTGGAGCGAGCAGACGGCCTTGCGTTGACCCGCAACGACCATGGTAGGTAGGGCGAAAGATAGGCGGCCTTGATGCAGAAGCGATTTGGGATGAGGGGCAAGTTTAGTCTGCTGTGTGGGCTTGATTCGAGCCCAGACAAAGTATGAGCCTCTGTCGCCGGGGTGAGCAGTGAGCTCGTTGTTTGTCTTCGATGCGGCCTTGTTGGCGATCTTCCCCATGCCCGCGGATGGTTTGTCAAGCTCGATCATCAGAGCTGATGGCATGCCTTTAAGAATGACATTTGTGAGCTGCGTGGAGGTGTTGGCGTCGGTATAGTCGACCACTGCTTTGTGATAGAGGTGGGAATTGCGATTGACCAGGCTTCAGATGACTGAGACGATTGCCTCAAGCTTTGTTTAAGCATTGCTTCGTGAAGGCTTGTTCCGTTTCAAGGAGGGATCGGCTGTCGTCGAAGATTGCCTTTTCGGCATGTCGATGAACTGAAGATGAGAGATCCAGAATGTAGAGAGAATACGGGAAGTGATGGGAGCTGCAACGCAGCCACTTGAAGTCGACTTGACTTTGGCAGAGAGTATCAGAGGAAGGAGCATTCTACGCATGAATTTAGCAAATTGTGACACATGCCCCTAGAGTACTCCAGATTCCATTGGGAAAGTACAATCCAAGGTCTGACACCGCTCCACTTGAGTCGTGGTCTCGGCCCCCATGAAGTCGTTCCTTCTCTCTCTCTTGCCATATTCGTAGCTGCGGAAATGCACAATCTATCTGAGATCAGACGTAGCCTCCACTGAGAGCGCGTCAATCATCGCACTTCTGTGGACCGTTACTCCCACGCTAACGACATCGCGCATTGATGCAGCTTGGATATCTTTGATCATGGGAGACAATGGTTGGTGTGTCGTAGACTGGCGGCGACGAGGAGTTTTTTGACCTGATCATGCTCGTGCTTGCACCAAAGATTGTAGCAGCACCAGGTCAGAAGCACTGTGACGTCTGAATTGCTGACGACCACATTCCATGCAGCTGCTGGGCATTGTCGGACGGACAGACTGAAATTTGTCGAGGGTCAAGTCCTTGTAGCAGTGTTGCAGGGCCAATCGTGGCCCTCCTTCCACCTGAGGTTGTTTCTGGTTGCACCCAGATTGTCTGACTCGCTGCCCAGCTCGCCGAGCTGGAGGCTGAAGTCGCAGACGATGACGAGCATGCCGACGGTGAGTGGAAGCTGCGCACAAAGTGAACTTCGGTGCTGATATTGTCACCAGCCGAAGAAGCCCTCAACATGATCTTCGCCACTATGGCATCCAGAATCGAGACCACACTCAAGGCTGCCGTCGTCTCCGGCAGAGTCCGCGTCAACGTCGACGAGATCGTCTCCGAGGGCCACAGTGGTGCCAGCCAGCTGTTGGTTGGCAGAGAGGACGAGGAGGCCGAGGCCAAGGGTGAGAGCACTCCCAAGAAGTCGATTGCCGAGCCCTCGAAGTCCGCTCTCAAGACTCCCACTCTCTCCAAGAAGCGTGAAAGACCCGAGGCCCACTCCACCGGTGACAAGATCACCCTGGAGATCCCGACCGCTAGCTCAATCAAACGCAAGAAGACTGACACCGCCGCCCTCGCCACCCCCACCCGCACCATCCGCACGACTCGCGGCCGTGGTTCCAAGCAGCCCGTCATCAACTTCGAGGCTGACTAGGAGGAGGTCGAAGAGGAGGAGGATGACATTTGAGCTTTCTCTCCGCGTCACCGCCACAACGATTAGGCCTCACTGGGAGGCCTATTAGAAGTATGATCAAACGTTTGCTTCTTCAAGATTCGATCACCATCGTGATATGATATCATGACTTATTCGAGGTGACATCTATTGAGAGTTCGCAAGCCTTCACGCAGCAACGCTCAAACAAAGCTTGAGGCAATCGTCTCAGACATCGCGAACCTGAACGAACAAATGGAAGACTCTCAAGATTTCGAGCCGAATGCCTGCAATAAGGTCTGAAGTCAGAGTACCGCGGATCACTGGGCAACCGTCGCAGTGATTTCTATGATCGGGCTGAGCTCAGAAGAGCTCGCCCATCGTCATCATATGGCGCTTGTGGTCGAGGTGTTTCTCTCATACTGGATGTGTACCTACTCAAAGGCCGCTTCCCCTAGAATCTCTACTTCCATGGAAGCTATGCACTCGAGCATATACGGAGTCGCACCAGCATACGTTCCGCTTAACATGTCTGTACCTAGCACCCCTTACCACGTGGGAGTAAACGTTTAACGCTGCCTCTGCCGACCGGATAATACGTTATCTCAGCAACCGTATCTCGTTGCGGATCTCAGACAACTCTTAAGACACTATTGAGACAGTCGCAGTCGCGTGGAAGATCAAGCATGCTACACATGGTTATCACGAAACGTCGCTGTTTCAAAGCAGTATTCCATTGCTTTGCTAGTACGTAAATGACTTTATGATGCTGTTCTTGCTTGACCAACGTTTCCTTTTTCTTGTTCCTCAGTTTGATCCTTCGTGAATGACCCTGCACAAGACTGTCAACGATCCTGCTCCTTGTCATGTTTATCAGGATAGGGGCTTGTTCAGCAAACATGCAGCTCAATGAAACATTCTTTCATTGAATCTGGGAAATGGAGTGGGACCTGCCCTCCTCTCTTCTCTTTCTCAAGACTAATCCTCAGCAGCTTCTTCGTCAATCTCTTCATTGTCAATCCCTTCGTCGTCAATCTCAGTTAAACTTCCCTAGTGCCCTCGTCATCAAGATCATCCTCATCGGCATCCTCGGAGATGTCGTGCTCTCCAAACATTGATACTGCCTGCAACTCGGCCTCTGGCGGGCCCAATAATTCCGTCAGCGACAATTTGCCTCTTTGTTCCGTGGTCAACTCTTGGGCGCGGATAATGATCTTGGGCATTTCGGTCATCAGACCCTTGTTGGCGGCGTACTTCAAGATCTTCTCAGCCATCTCCGCCACCTTGCGGAGTTGTGGCTCTTTTGTTGCCAAGTTCTCGAGCAAAGGTTTGAGAGTCTTGTGTGATACTTGGTCCAGGGCAGATGCCCATGTTGATCCGCATAGTAAGATCAGGGAGCCTTCACCGAAGGCGTCGACCAGCGATTTGACATTGTTGGCTGTCATTCTTTGTGCCTTGACCAGTCTCGTCTTGCTCTTGATTTCGTCAGCTGGAAGCTTGCTTGTCTTTCCGTATCCGAGTACCTCGAGGTAGTAGTGCGCGAGGAATGTCGAGCGTGTCTCGGGCGTGTCGCGAAGTCGAGCCCCTTGACTACGATTATCCAGGTACAGGCGCGCAAAATCACCCAGTTGCTGTTGCTCGGAGTCGTTGTCGATCTGGTCGAGTTGTCTTTCCAGGTCCCAAAGTGCCTGGCCAAGGTTGCGATATGCGAGTAGTATCATACACTTCGAAAGTGCAGAGCTCTCCATTGCTTCCCACAGTGCTTTGTACTGTATAGCGACACTCCGGGCCTCGTCCTTTGAGTGCCTCAGCTGAGTCTTGGTCTTGGTCGCATTGTTCAGCGCGACGATATCTCTGGTCTCGTAAAGCTTGTTTGCAAGCCTTACGACATCGTCGACGCAGTTGTGGGTAAACATGTGAGTCAGAACGTTGCTGATTCCAGCGACCCATTTTGTATCCTTGTACGTGGTTGTTATGTGCTGCCAGATCATGGGCCAAGTCGATGCCGTGCTGCGAGGAGAGATTCTAACGGCAGCTATTCTCTCTGATGTCGGTGTTGTGTTCCCTTCGTCTGAGTCGGGCTGCTCTTGGACTGCCGCTTTAGTTGTAACAGCCTTCTGCTTTCTCTTGTGTGGTAGAGCTTCTGCAGCTGACTGGACGAGCTCCAGGGCTGCTGGAGCAATACCGCCATCAATGGTTCCATGTTCGTTCTTCTGGTTTCTGCCTATGATGTACAGATTTCTCAAGGCATGTTGCCATCTCAGAGTCTTGTCTTTTAGAGTGGGTCCATTGTCGATAAAGGCCGAAACTGTCGACCAGAACTGCAAGGAAAGAAGGTGGTTAGCATCGAGTAGAAACTTCAAAATCTTCAAAGGACAGTGCTGACCTTTGTGTTCAATCTGTCTGCCGAGACGTCAACCCCGTGAAGGAGATCCGAGGCGGGTTCGCTCTGCAGTACCGGCAATTTCTGTCGTTTGTGACCTTCTTGTTGGTCGACGACATCGTTAGGTCGCTTTGTGGAGCTTCTGGTTGGATACATGATGACTTCCTGGTTGAAGTAACGCTGGTGTGACACTCGACGGCAGAATAGACGCTACAGCTGGGTAGCCGAGCGATTATAATGGCGCTGTCCAAATACGTCTTGCGTGAAACGTAAGGCACGTACAGCAAGAGCGCGATCGTTGAGATCGGTGGGATTAGGCGTCTTCGTGTTTGTGAGATTAGCTTGCGCTAGATAGTTCTTCACTTCCTTGGGGTGTTTGTTGTTGAAGATTTTTGTCTAAACATTGGAAATCCATCTTGCATTTCGATAGTTTTCTTACGACGGAGGTCGGCAAGCTGAGAACACACCGTCCCAAGCCCCTGAATACCCCTGAATCCTTGTCAGCATCGCACGCAACGATCAACATAACATGCAAGTGCAAATAACTTGGAAACGAAATAACGTCTATCAGCATTCTCCATACTGTAACGAGCAATCAAAATCCACTTCAGAGACTAATGCTCTTTGCATCTTCTTTGAACTCTCTTTCCTCGCCCTTGCCTCCAGCAGCGACCTTGTCAGTCATCATGGGCTCGTCATCTCCATACAACAAGGCAGTAAGACCAATGTCCTTTTCAATCCTCTGCTTGAGTGCCAGATCAGCCTGAGCGAATCCAGCATCTCCGAACAGCTCGTCCATTTCTTCCAGTGTAAGACCCTTGGTTTCGGGAAGCATGAAATAGACCCAGAGCGTGGCGAGAACACACATGCAGCCGAAGAAGATGAAAGCACCGAATTGGGAGGTGTCAATGAAGGGCGAGGTCGAGATGCCGACAGCGAAGTTGTTCAGCCAGTTGGCACTGCCACCGAGAGAGACTCCCTTGGCGCGCATGCTGAGTGGGAAAACTTCCGAAACGACAATCCACGAAACGGGACCCCAACTGCATATTTTCGTTAGACAGACAACCTATCGTATCGTTCCGGATCCTGTCTTACCTGAATGCGAAACATCCAATAAACAGCCAGACAAAAACGATGCAGACCCAGCCAGCTGCGAGGTGAGAAGACCAGCTATCCTCGTAAGATCCGACAAGACCAGCGACAATGAAATGACATACTCCCATGCCAATTGCACCAGCCAGTAGGATGGATTTGCGGCCAAACTTGTCAACGTACAATACAGCAGGGATGGTAAGGAGGAATTCGATCACGCCAACGACACCCGTGGCCAATAGTGCGAGTGTGTTTCCTTCGAAACCAAAGTTTCTGAAGACGTAAGGTGCACTAAGCAATTGGAGTCAGTCTTGTCTTGGAAGGGAACCTGCAAAGTGCCTACTAGTAGTTGATAGCGTTGATGCCATTCCACTGCTGAAATGTCATGGTAAGACAGGCAGCCATGGTTCGTCTACGAAGGGAGGGATTGGTGATCAAGGACGCGTAGTCGTGGAAGCCGATGAGGAAGTTACTCTTGAAGCTTCCATCCTGGTACTGCGGGTATTTTGCTCGGGCTGTTTCGACCTCGAAGTCGCGAAGAGCCTTGATCTCGAGGTATTCCACACGCACTCCCATGTCTTCTGTACTCTTATTTCGTAGACGGGCGAGAGTGGTAAGCGCTTCTTCTGCACGGTCTTGGTTCATCAAGTGGCGTGGCGACTCAGGCATAAACAAGAGCATACCACTTCCTAGGATGAGGGCGGGGAGAATCTGGATACAGATGGGTACAAGCCAAGCGGCGGACGACTGACCATCACCGGTACCTCCAATGAAGTTTGTTCCTGCCATTGGTCAATGTCTGATTCGTGTCTATTACCTCTAGTATCCACTTACCATAACCAATCCAGAAAGAGATCATGATTCCAAAAGTAATGGCAAGTTGTTGCACTGCTACCAGACTACCTCTGATCTCAGGGGGTGAAAGTTCGGCATTGTAGAGAGGTACGACCATGGACAGCGATCCAACACCGAGACCGGTAACGAAGCGACCTCCAAGAACGTAGTCTTTGTTGACAGTGCAGGCCTGAACGATGACACCGACAGTGAAAACAACACATGCGATCATCGCGCACCATCGTCGTCCAACGGCATCAGCCAGGTAACCGTTGATAAGCGTACCAACCCAAGCACCGAGTTCGAGGATCGAGGTCAATAGACCTTGGTCGATACCAGTTGTTGCAGCATAACCTTGGGTCTGCAGGATATGTTAGATGAATTCCTGGAGCAATAAAAATATGGATCGAGTGTGATAGTTACCGCTTTGATGAAGGAGTTCATCGTCAAGACCTGAGCGAACATGCCTTGATTGTAGCCATATACAAAGCCACCCAGCGATGCGAAGAAGGCGATACCAGTAGTCTTACCAGAAGCTATGATGCCCTTGATGCCTGATGGGCCAGAGAGACGAGCTCTCGCGGCCGAGACATTGCCTGTTCCTGTCCCTACGGGTGCCATGTTTGGAGAGAGTTGTGGAGGAGGTACGGGGTTGCGAATCTCTCCATGGGGAGTGGAGTGATGAGTCTTTTAATACGTGACAACTCTAGTGGGGCTTATCGATCATGGTCGATCAGCAATGTTGTCTCGAGGGTGACCAGAATCGTTTCTTGCATTTTGCCTGAAGACGATTGATTATCGACAGCACCACCGCATGTTTCGACTTAAGTCCGACTGCACGCGTGCTCCGTAATGACCTGAGCAATGGCACACCGTCAATGCTCCGAGGAGAGTGTGGATAAATCCTCCAAGTTCGCAAGGTCCATTTAGCCAGATGCCGAAACCCCGGAGCTCCAGGTGTGGAGTGCGAAACTGGAGATATGGACGACCCACAAATGTTGAATCCCCCGCCTGGAGATGAGGTTTGTTGTTCGACTTTCATCCTCCGTACTTGCCGGTGTTTGCAATTCAGGATAAAAACTGATAACTTGGCAGATGAAAGTGCCCTCGGGCTTCACGGCAGCGCTTCATGCAGCCTGAAAGCCACCAAACGTTTCCGTGATCCTCCTATTCGTTCAGTCGTGCGGCTGGCATTGCTTGGTATGCAATAAGGCGTTCGGCTTACGATGAATTGTTGCTTGCCGTCGGTGGCGTCTTCAATGTCTCAGGCACTCGCGGTTCTTCGGCAGCGCTGTACTTCGAATATGTAGCAACATGACAACGACATCCGCTCATGACCACCCAGTGTATCGAAGCTCAAAATCGATCGTCCTCGTGTGCGAGAGCCCCCTCGTCGTATTTTGACGAAGTGGTGGGATGGTGAAGGAAGGTGGAAGCGGTGCTTGAAGGATCGATCTACTCCTGCCGACGATCAATGCCGCTTGTGGTCTGAGAGGTTGGGCTTCGCGACTGCAACCTCGGAAACTGTCACATCCGGAACATGGCGACTTCGCGACAAGATTGTTGTTGCCGTTGTGACTTCGTAGTCTTCGAATTATCCCCTAAGGTTGGTCTTGACTTTAGAGAAAAGGTAGGATTGAGGGAGTAAGGTTGGAGCTGAAAACCTCAGGCTTCACTGTCCGTCGCCGAAACCAATGTTGGCACAAATGGCCTGCAGACACTGGCTATCCCGTCTTCAAACGAACTGAGATATAAGAGTATTGGCTGCTTCCATATGATTGTATCATTCTAACACTAGATTTGCTCACAATTCAGACTTGAGGGGAATGTGGACGCCCAAAAAGTAGCATTTCATGGTTGGCAGCAAATGAGAAACACGGCGTTTAATCATTTTCACCTTCGTGCCACAACAGAACAATTGAAATGCTATTTTGACTCGCCTTTGAGATACAACCAGTCTAACAGTACTTCTCAATGCACACGAATGAGAGAATAATGTCGTGATCTTGTAATTTGATGCCTTCTTCGACCACTGTCTGATGTTGGTGGGACCACCCTGGGCGTGCTGCCTCGATCTCACCTTGGCAATGTTTCGATTGATCGAAGTAATGCTTACTTAAGAATGGTTGCTTAATACGAGCATGCATGACAACGTTTGATTTGGATGGGATAAGGAGGGCAAAAAGACCAACACACCTAAAGCCAGGGGATTGACATGATCAGTGAGAAATATACAAATTAATGGAGTATGTACGTTTCCAAAAGGGCTACGGATCAGACCTGCTGCCATGGCCAGAATAAATCATCTTAATCCTCCGTATTCGAGAACCAGCTTCTCGCAATCTTCCCAATACTTCTCTCTTTGGGCAGCTAAACGATCAACGCAAACCCAAGAGCAAGACCTGCGCAAAAAGGGACGGAATAACTCTTTCGGTGAGCACTTCTCGTTACCAGGTCCGACGTAGTAGTATTCAACCCATTGTGCACGGGGCACGAGGAATTGTTTGTTGCAGACAGAGCAGTGCTGCATGCCTAGCTCTTTGCTTTCCTTGACTTTGTCGATTGCTTTGGTGACGGGTGGAGAGGCGTCTTCAGGTAGAAGCGAATCTAACTGTCCGACATATTGAGAGCGAGCACACGCACGAGCACTTAATTCAAATAGAGAGGGTGCCGCAGAGCGTATTGCCGAAGGCGGTGACGGACGTTTGAACGAAGCCGAATATGTTGGTTCGGAATAGGACGCGTTTGATCGGAAGGGCGATCGGACGACTTGACCGTCGATTTCGAAGAAAGATGTGGATGACGAAGCAACATAAGTCGTTTTGGGACTAAGCTCCCTGGAAACGTCGTATAAACGAGCCGCATAGAAACGGTCAAGCAAAGCCTCGTGCGAAGGCTCAGTACTGTCGATGGTAGGGCAGCGCGAGCGTAGACGACGCAGTTCATGCAAGCAGGACTCAAGCTTCGAAGGTACATTTCTGGGCACTGTAGAAGTTGATGGTGGCAGAGGTTGCACAAAAGGGTTCGGGCCCAGAGAAAGCTGGACGAGCTTGTTCTCCACCAATGCGAGGAGTTCGAAAGGGAGGAATGGCAGCTGATTGCCAGCGATGTTCAACTCGTATAGGTTGCGGAGACGGCCAATTGAAGGTGATATCTCAGTCAACGAGTTGGAGCGCAGACTGAGGACAGCCAGATTGCCCAAGTTCCACAGCTCGGATGGTAGCTTCTGCAGGTCGTTTCTGGACAGGAACAGTTTGATACTGGGTGTGAGAGGTGCAAAATGGTCGTCGGTAATCTTTTGGGCGTCGTTGATGGGTACAGGGAGACGGATAAGCTGGTGAAGCGGTCGGAGGGTATCGTTTTCTAGATGGCCAAGGTGCATGTCCCTGTAGCAAGATCTGAGTATATGGCTGAGATGCAAAGGCGGAGACAGTACTCACGAGAGATCGATTGTGTCCTTACACGCGTCGACATACTTGAAGACTATGCTGGCGGCCGCTTCTTGGAATTGGTCTTTGGGTTTGGTCGGAGTGGGAGGGTTCCTCTGGGTGAGAGGGGCGCCCTTTGTCATGTACTCGTTAAAGGTCAAACTCTGCATGCGACGATTGCTACTGCCAATGCTGTCGGTCGAGCTATCAGAGCCCAACCACACGCCGCTGTCGCCCTTCGGCTTGTCGCCTCGTATGCGTGACACAGCCGGAGACTGGGCGTGCTGGTACCAAGGGCCGCGCACATATCTCTTGCGCTTGATTCCTGTGGCCTCAGACTCTTCTGACGCATCCTCGCTGAAGATAGGGTCACTGCTCATGCTGCTATCGTAGTCCCAACGCGCCTGTCGTTTTCGCGATGGGAAAGCGGCCGGAGGCAGCGGCGGCGAGCTCGGCGGATCATTGAACACATGGTCGGGCAGGGACGGCGGCGAGGATGGAAATGACATGGCAGTTGGGAGCAATCCTCAGAATTGCCCAGAGAAAAAAGCAGAAGAAAAGAGAGACCATCTTTCTGTCGCGACGCGCAGACGCTGGGTCGAACGCGATTCGGCGCTAGACCCCGCGTCGTCATACTCCAGACTCCAGAGTCCAGCGCTGACCTAGTCCTGACTGTCATGTGCCGAGGGATAATAGTGGATGGTTGAAACGGCCCCCTCGGCCGCCACCTTGTGCATCCTTTTCCCTCTCTCTGCCGCAACCTCCCCTCAGTTTTGTACATTGACAGTGACATTCGCATACTTCGTGCTCCATCTACCTACGTCCTAGCTGACGACCTCCATTTCTTCTTTCTGAGACTACAACTACATAGCCTCCTTTCTCAAGCCCTCTCGCATGAATCAGCGGTTCGAGGTAACTCATCTCCTGGTACAACCCACCCTTGATATCAAACGCCCATGGCGCTCCTTGATGCCGCTGCTTTGGTGTTCGAATATACCACATGTTGACCAGCTCCTCATCGCCCACGACACGATGACAATGACTCCAATGTTCTGCCCACCATCTCCTCCTCCTCTCCCGAGTCATGATTGGCCATCCTCGCGCATCGAAACCTCCAGCGTCCTCAAACTTTCCGCTTATTCGGTGGTAGAGACCGGCATTGTGACACTCGCAGAGCATCGACTGGTTCTGGCTTTCTCTCAAGCGCTCGAGCTTGTGGCAGTTGCATGCCGGATGGCAGTCTTTTCTCCTTTCTTTCGCCTGTTTTACCTGCAGAGCTGCCCAGTCCCGCAGCGTACGCTGCTGATGTTGTCGGGCCATCTTGAAATTGTTAGAAAATAGCAAGAATCAGTCACGCTCGGCCTTCTTACCTCGATGTCGTTCTGATAGTCTGAAACTACGGCTTGTTGAACCACTCTGGGGCGCAAGACCGCGGATTGCTCGACATTCCATGGCGTCCTCGCTGCAGCGTCTCCAGTGTCTTCCTCATCGTCAAGCTCTTCTGGAACCTGTGGTCCACTTCTGACGGCATCTTGAACCAAAGACCTAGCATTGCAACCGGCAGACTCATTGTCAGCGTCTCTGCTAGGTCCGGAAGAAGGCTCGCCGTTCTCCACGCTGAGTCTGTCAAGGTCTTCAGCATCCGAAGAATGTCCAGCGCTCGAACTATGGGGTAAATCGTCATCTCCGGTCAGATCGATAGGGCATTGAGCATCCGATCCGCAGAGTCCCTCTATACCTTCCAGGCGTTCAGCCCTTGCCCCAGAAGCGTTTTCTATCTGCATCACAGTCAGTCTGATGAGAACAGTGAGGTTTCTGTTGTTCTCTGACCTTTATGGCGCCAAAGTGCATCCACAATCCGGTGTTTTCCTCGTTGCGATGGTGTTCACGGTGTGAGTGTCAGTGCCATACTCGTCGTAACTTCAAAAGGTTCAAAGGGTTGCTTACATGTGTTGCCGTACAGGTGTCTTGAAGCGATTGAACACTTCCTTCTTCCGTTGCGTCTTCACAACGCTTCTGCTCCCGAGGTTGGTCTTCTCCTGAGGTATCAACCTGGATCTAGCCATGGTCGATACTCGATCAGTGAGAGTATCTTCTGATTGATCTGAAAATAATGCAGCAAGGTCCAAGAAGCATCAGAGAGAACAAGCATAAAACGATCGATCACAGTGGACTCTCGTGCTGGCGTGTTCACGAGGATGTGGCTAGCAATCCCAGCCACGCTGTGCCTGTGCGCTCGACATCGGAGGCATGCTCTCGCCTTGTCAAGGTATGGGACCCAGGCATGACGGCGATCAGGGGCCGGTGCTCCCGAGGTTCATGTCATGGAAGTGCCGGATGGACCCTTTCCCTAGAGCCGAAACCGTTGGAGTTGTGTCGCACGTGGCAGCAAAGATGTATTTGCCAGAGGTATGTTTCATACCAGAAACCAAGTCAAGCCAGCGGACTGCTTCAAGTTGAAGCGGGCTGTGATGCGACAGCTAACAGGGACACTGCCGATTTACAAAAATGCCGCAATTTCTCAGTCTGGAATCTGGATGCGACTTTCTCTCTAGCGCATCGGGGTACACCGCAAAAGTTTGTGATTTCGACCAACTAATATATATGGTGCGCATTACAAGCGAGGTATGACGACGCTCGACGAACATGACAGCATTAGATGCATACACATGATGGACAGTTGACAAAATACGTTGTGTGAAGGGTGGCTCCCTTGCAGTTTGCTCTTGACAGACCTTCGTCGAGAATCATCCAGATTCTCCTACCGTAAGTGCATGGTATGGTCGCAAGGCGTGCATCATGGAAAGTCATGAAGCAAAAAGTTTGTAGCATAAAGTGGCCGTGCGCAGGAGTCTGCAACGCTATGATTCTCCCATTCGAACCACCCCGACGATCTGCTATGGCATGTGTCTCATGAACCAACCTCTGCGGTATACCTGTCATTTTCACTTTCCCAGCCATCTCTTTTCTGTTTCTTTGAGCGTGGTAGAAAGCATTGCTGTCCCGCGATTGCGTAGCCATGTCTTCCTATACCGAGTCAAATCGAAAAGCGCGGTCTTCTACTGGCACATTATCTACTCGTGCATCTATCCCATTCCCTTAAGTATCTTTCACCATGCCAGAAGTCGTCACCAGTCTGGATGTGCCTTTTCCTGACAGGGATATCAAATCACAAAGAGGGATGCCGCAGACTGAAGGGCCAATTTTGATCGGGCGATTGTTCCCGGACATCACTAAAGAAGAGGCGTGTGTAAGTCGACCCCCTTTTACTTGTTCCTCAGATATCTGACCATATAAAAGTTATTGCCAACCATTGAATACATTCCACCAGATAATCCCAGCGGCAGGAATATGCAAAACCATCGTAACAGGGTTTACGGGATTGCACATCTGAGGCACGTCGCTCTTGTTTGGATATTCGTTCCCAAGAAAGAGCGATGTCTATTGCTCCCACAAGTGTATGACATAGAGGGACGTCCCTATGAGTATTACCGGGAGATAGCTAGAGACGCGTGGCGTAACTCTCCGCAGAGGCTCGAGGTAGAGGGTGCATTGCGTTCGGTAGAGAGAGATCCGACTGTTGGACCTTCTTCGACTGTGTCTTCAGCTACAATTCCCGCTATGCGTTTAGTTGCTTCATCGACTACCGTCACGGCCACACCTTCAGCTGCTCCCTCAGCTGTATCCTCAGCTGTACCTTCGGTTCAATCCCCAGCAAGAGGAGTCGTCGCACAGACTGCTGCATCCTTGACAGAGACAGAAGCAGCCAGGGGTCTGACACAGACAGGGGTAGAAACACCCTTCCCTCTACCAGAAGCAGAGCCTCAGCCAGTCGTACCTTCAGCACAGAAAGTGCCAAAGCCAGTGAACAGAGGTCGCGTAGTCGTCACCCTCGAGGATGAGAGTGACGATGAAGAAGATGCTGGGGCTTCATCTCACGGCCAGCAACTCATAGTCTCAACACCAACAAAGCGACCGACGGAGGGACCAACAGGTCGACCAGAAAAGCGCGCCAAAAGACGTTCTCCGACCATCTCGACATCTGCAGGTTTATCTTTGCAATCATCCTCGCCTGTTCCATATGCAGCCTCGCATATGAGCTCACCTCTTGCTTCGTCTCGGGGCAGCGGCTACTCGACAGATGCCACTTCAGTTGATGGAAGCCCGCAGAGCCAAAAACTACCACCAACTCCGAACCCGCAGAAGGATGCCGATGTCGTAATGTTCGACCAAGACTTCAGAGTAGAAGACTTTTTGACTCCTGAAGAGATACGAGACAGGTATGTGTGCTATGTTTCAGAACGCATAAGATGGCGACTAATTCTCATAGTATTGCCTCGATCGATGAAGCAACAGCACGGCAGGAAGCAGGGGGCGCGGGACCTGCAAAACCAAGACATATAGGCAAGAGAAAGGAGCAGAGAACGTGGGAGATGGTCGAACGATCGGTGTTGATAGGCCTCGTCAAGCTGGGGCAGCAGGAGCTTGAACGAGTGGGAGTATGGTACGATACATTCATCAACGATCTGCTGGAGATCAAAGGCCTGCTGGTAGCAAGACCCGTCGACCACCCGGATCGGCTGCGTTGGGATGGGCCCATCGACCAGCTCATCAGAATATACATCACTGAGGGTTGAAAGGAGTCCAGAATCTTAGACATAGAGTATGTAGAACAAAAGTTTGTGATTTTGCTCGATTTGCTGGGCTTCTGTATTGGCTTGCTGTGAAAGGTTTCTTTGCATGGTTTTTATTTCCATCTGCTTCGAAGCTCGAAAGTTGGAGTCTGGATGGTGCAAGACTTCGGAATTGTCAACAGGCCGGCCAAGGAAAGGATCACCACGGAACGTCTCGACTCGGATGGGTTTGCTCCATCTATTGAAACCGCTTCCTACTGTAGCTTTCTGCAAAACACACTGGAGTTCGCTCGGTTTGCTCTGCCAAGCTTGAAGATTGGAAGGAGCAGCAAGAGTCTGCGACTTCGGGCCGCTCAAGATGATGGCCGAAGTGTGGGGGCGGGCAGTCGGCGGTTCAATTGGTCAGCAACCTGAGTGGAGGCAAGATGAAATCATATTCGCTGCTTCCCTCTATTCATCGTCTCTGCTTCAAACACAAACAATGGATGCACGTATCGATTCAAGGGCGCCGTCGGTCGAAGGCAACGACAATGCAGACATCAACGCTCCGCTCAAGGCTGCCCCGAAGCTAGTCGCTCCCGAGCCTGGTATCTCTCACTCTCTTATCAGCCCCTCCATTCGCGATCTCATTCTTCACCTTCCTGATCAGCCTCCGGGTCCGCTTGCACTTCTTCCCTTCAAGTCACTGTTTCGAAGTGTCTTCACAATTACTAACCCCCTCTCGCAGAACACTGCCCTGGTCCTGAATCGCAAAGCGCCGGCAAGGGCGATGCTTGCGCCGGCTGTCCAAACCAGCAAATCTGCGCCACCGCTCCCAAAGGTCCCGATCCAGACATTCCCCTCATCACTGCCCGTCTTGCGTCCGTCAAGCACAAGATTCTCGTCCTCAGTGGCAAGGGAGGCGTCGGCAAGTCCACCTTCACCACCATGCTAGGCCATGCCTTCGCCGCCAACCCGGACGCCCAAGTAGGCATCATGGACACGGATATCTGCGGACCCAGTATCCCCAAGATGATGGGAGTTGAACAAGAGACGATCCACGTCAGCAATGCTGGCTGGAGCCCTGTTTGGGTTACCGAGAATTTGGGTGTCATGAGCGTCCAATTCATGTTGCCAAATCGCGATGATGCCGTCATCTGGCGTGGTCCCAAGAAGAATGGCTTGATCAAGCAGTTCCTCAAAGACGTTGAGTGGGGCGAGCTGGATTACCTCGTTGTCGACACTCCTCCTGGAACCAGTGATGAACATTTGAGTGTCAACAGCTTCCTCAAAGAGTCTGGTGTTGATGGTGCTGTTGTTGTCACCACTCCCCAAGAAGTTAGTCTGCTCGATGTACGCAAGGAGATCGACTTCTGTCGCAAAGCAGGCATCAAGATCCTCGGCATTGTCGAGAACATGTCAGGGTTTGTCTGTCCCAAGTGCACACATGAGAGTCAGATCTTCAAGGCCACCACTGGTGGTGCCAGACGTTTGGCTCTGGATATGAATATTCCTTTCCTCGGCGCCGTTCCTCTGGATCCTCGTATTGGTATGGCTTGCGACTTTGGCGAAAGCTTCTTCGACAACTTCCCTGACAGCCCTGCTTGCAAGGCTCTGCGCGATGTCGTTCGCAGAGTTGGCGAAGAGATGGGTGTTGACACAACATACAATGAAGATTGAAGTCTCCGAGAACCAATCGCTCAGAACACTGTCATTCTCTTCGACTTTGCAACAACCCAGAACATCCCGCCACACACTGTTGGCACCAGTGATGTGCTTAACCTGTAAAACCGGGACACGGCCTCCTCAGCTTGATATTCTCTATCTCAGGCTGAAGCACTTCAAGCTCCAAGACGGACCGCGATCACTTCCAATGTTGAAGCTACCGGCAAATCCATTCTGCCTTGATCATTTGATCAGCGTTCAACCAGAAACCCTGGTTGGGGGGACATGCGAGGACGTCCGCACAAGTGAAACATTTTGCATGGCACGTAGGTGCGAGCGACAAGGTAGTCAGCGCTGCCCAGCTAGATGTGGCCCATCAGGACCCAAACACATGGACCGATCCAACATTTGGGACGGAACGACGGAGAAGCAATCAGTGTCAAGTATGCAGCTGTCATCGAGAAACGCAGAAGGAGAGATGGAGAATACATACAAGCTTACCTTCGAGGCACATCGACTGCGCTACTCCCGTACATGTCGATTCCTGATATTACAAGTGAAGAGATCGATACTCGATGACAACCCCTCCAATCTTACGAACCTGTGTTTCCCATGCCTTTTTTTTTGCTCCACAAGATTCTTCCACGCCGTCGTCACCGCAGCCAAGCACATTGGTGCGATTCCCAGGAGTTGATGAACAACATCTTTCCAACGAAAATAGGAGAGGGTCCAGAGCAGTCAGACCAGCTTGATCGTTCCTTTTCATGCTCTATTCTGACAATCAAGCACACGTTTAACAGGTCAAGAAGCGATAGAAAGTTGATATCGAGTAGTTGTATTGCATGCAAAGCCATCGTGTTTTCGGATCAAGCCATTCTATCTACATAGTTGGCATTTCCACCTTTTGCTTGTTCGAAGTTTGACTCCATGTTGAGTAGAAGCAAAGGGTCTACGGGAGGATGCCCCGGCGAAATCATCTCAGCAACTTGTACTGCAGTAAGTGCGATCGAGCAAAAGGACCGCAGCGGCGGACCCGTCCCATCCATCGTGAGTGTGAGATAATCTGTTGAACCTCATCATTCAGAATCGAGTTGGATAGGATCACCTTTTGTTCCAATACTCGATGACTTTCGAGACTTCTTCTTGGGCCGGTCTGCAAGTCCAGAGCGGTTAGGCAAGACAGCCGGCTTGACGTCTTCTTCCTCAGCCTTGCGCTTCTTTTCTGCTCGGACATCTTTCCCCTTCTCCGTGCATTTACCACGACGATGGCATTTGTCACAGTCATCGCACATGTTCCGAGGATTTCCTTCCTTGAAAATATGGCATTTTCCGCATCCGCATGGCTGTCTGTTCTGCTCGTGATGTTTACCGCATGTCTTGCAGCAGATGATGATCTTAGCATCGTTGGCATCGTTGGCATCAGCTGGTGTAGTTGGGTCGGTCCTTGTTGAGATATGGTTGTTCTCAAGGGTCTTGGTTGATGCCCGTGGCTTTTTGTCGGGCTTAGCTGCGATCTCTACTAACGCATCTGGCTGCTGTCTAGCCTTCAAGGTCTCCCTCACGGGCAATGCGTCTGGTCTTCCCAGACTACTGCTGAAGAGCTGGGGCCTTGGAGGAGGAATAAGGTAAGGACATGGTCCTTTGTGTTTCTCTTGACATCGGTTACACCACAAGCACTGACCCACGTGCCAGCTCTTACAGTTGTCACACTTTCGACATTGTTGAACGTGTCGACGGTCGCACTTTTCGCAATAATGGCAAGTGCCGACATGTCTGTGAGGACAGAAGGTGCAAGGCTGGCATATGCCTAGGTGTCTCTTAGCACAGTCGAGGCAAACAGGGATACAATCTCCCGCGTGCTTTCTGTTGCAGCTCTTGCAATCACGAGCAGCGCTCTTGTTCTGCCTTTCAGTCGGAAGAGATGAAGGGAAAGTTGCGGCATTTGACGTGATGGTACCCTTCAGAGGCTGTTTACCAAATGCTTTTGATTGGCCCGACGTTTGCATCTCCCGATCAGCGAAGTTCAAGCCTGGAATGCGAGTTGTCAAGTTGCTGCTCAAACGTGAGTTGGCTGGAGACTGAGAAGCTGGGGTATTCTCTGCTACAACTGGCGGAATGTTTCCAGATATCGGTATTGCACAAGGTGTCGACTTATCAATCAAATCCGCTCGTCCTTTGCCCTTTTGGTGATGTTCAGACTCGCCTGCATCTCCCCGCGAGGTGGTCACTTTCAGATCGCGTTTGGTGTCGGCATCGATAGTATCCACGGTTGGGCGGGAAAAAGATGCGGCCAATACCGCAGCATTTCTGGATGCAGGAAGAAGTGGAATCTCAAGTTCTCGCAAAGGCTTTGTCTCAATATGCAGCGACTGTGGAGTCGAGAGTGCGGTGCCTGTAGGTCTTGGGCTGTGAGATTGTTCGTGTGATGTCTTATCTCTCCGAAAGCCATCGCGTCTGTCGTTTCCTGCCATGAGTTGATCGAATGAGCGAACAGGCATGGTGTAAGATCCAGAATCATATGGACGAGTTTGGGTAACGGTTGGAGAACTTGGGTGGTCAGAGGTGTGGCGAGGGCGCTGCTGGAGGTAGGCCGCATTGGGGGTGGTGTTCAAGGGAGCCGAGGCGAGGGGAGGAGGTGGTGGAGGTGGTAAGTTGACATTTCTCAATAGTGAGGCCCAAAGATGCGGGGGTGGAGGAGGTGGAGGGAGAAATGGCAAGTTGCCGTTCCACATAGAGGGATTCCAAGGTCCTGGAGGGAGAGGAAATGGTGGCAGAAAAGGACGACCAGATCGTGGTATTCCCGGATGTGAAGAAGCACATGAGGAATGTTGGTATGGGCGTTGTGATGGAGCACTGTCCACAGTGATACTTGATTGTGGGAAAGTCAAGTGAGCGAACTGTGAGGGAGTGTGCTGTGCATTCTCTCTAGGTGTCGGCGTTGGCGTAGATGGCAGTGAAAGATATGACGGAACATTTGATGTGGCCGAGGAAGCGGAGATGCTGGCAGGTCTAGAGACACATTGTCTTGTGTCACTGGCTGTATCTCTTGGAAGGGTTGTTCTACGCTGAAGAACTGGAGTTGGTAGTGTTATGCTGGATGTAGTGGCTGGAGGTTGTGCCGCTGGAGCTGGTGGGAGCGACTGATGATTCTGAGATCCTGCTGTCGGGGTTAAATCAACTACTGTTGAGCTTGAGGCTGAAGTGTCAATGCCGCGAACGATCGTTGAAGTAGGTGGGTGCTGAGGCTGTGTGTTGATAGCAGGTCTGGGTACGGTGTTTCGATTCGATGGAAAGCGCTTCCTGGTGGCATGCATTACCCATGAGAACTCGTCATATGGTCTTAGTCCAGACCTAAAGGCTATTCTTGTTAGCTGGACCTTCCGCATTGTGAATACAGGCAGATTAAGAAGCTTACCGTAAGGTGCCAATTGCCAGCACAATGGGTTGCAGAATTTCCATATGGCCCTCAGCTGAGAGTCTGTATGTCTTACTCCAGGAGGCCAGATAGTGAGGCGGGCCTCAGGCTTGCTCAGCCGTGCGTTGTTCTTTCCGAGAACATTGGGCGCCTCGTCGGGATGGTCCCGTATCCAAGTTGTCAGGGCGTATACTCGGCGCACCTCCTCGAAATTCTGTCCTTGTCAGCCTTGGTGCGCGTTAATCAAGGTCGAGAAGAGCCATACCGCTTCTGTGGGAGAATCATAGGGATCAGCAATAATCTCCTGCGGATGAGACACGCCATCAGGAGGACGAGAAGCCATTCTTGCTGGAAACGCGCATTTGGTTGTGCGCAGACAAAGAAACAAAAACAATCAGCGATGGTTGCAGAGAAACTAATTTGTGGAAAGCGCAGACACGCAGACACGGATTTCGAAAAGTGGTTGCAGCTTTGTGCAAAATTGGAGAATTGGAAGGAGCGAGGGAAAACACGAATGAAAGACGACTTCACCACCTTGACACACGAAGGTATTTCGACTACACATGTACATGCTTGGCTATCCATTTTTCCAAATTATGTACCATCAAACAAACGACGCTCTCTGTACGAGCAGCTGCAGTTTTTATGTACCCGTCCGAACACCTTGATGGGCAAATCCTGGAACTTTTCGAGCCCCTCGAAAATCAACAAAAGGTCAACTTGAATTATTGTGTAAAGCATGTTTCTACAAAGATATGAGCTCCTACGATTATGTACACTTTTTACGCTTCCTCTTTAGCCTCATTTTCACCTTTCTTGTTACTCGCACCAAGAGGTGGGCTCTTGATCTCCTTCAGCTCAATTCTATCAGACTTCTTCTGTCGGGATGCATGCTGTCGTAAGCTTCCTGACCATCAGCCCTCTTACTTTTCTCTGGCTTGCGCTTTTCGGTCTTCACAGGCCTAGGCGGTTCCGATTTGGCCTTTGTTCGTGATACCGCTTTAGATTTGCTCTTTGGATGCTGTTGGGAATGTTCGCGGTCATGAGAAGACTTCGCCTTCTTTTTCTTCTTGGAGGTCTCCTTCGGAGTAGTAGTATTCTCCGACTTGGAGCAGACCTTGCGCTCTTCGGTCTTGCGCTTGCTCGATGCCGAAGGACGCTCGTCTACCTTGGCGGAACCCTTCTTGCGCTGCTGGCTGGTCTCTGCATCGGAAGAAGAGTTGTCGTCAGAGTTTCCCTCAACACCCGAAGCAACATCCTCGCGCTTTCGCTTAAGCTTGCCTGCGTTATTGTTCGAGGACGTGCAGCCATCCGACTGTACACTGCGCTCCTGTATTGACTTCTTCTTGACATGGCGAGGAGCATTGGTGTTGACTCTGTCCGGAGACTTGTCACCATGCGATCGCTTCTTTGCGCTGTGGTGTTTGTCCTTAATCTGTTTGTCTCGGCGCTTTGCAGTAGAAGAAGATTGCTTTGGCGCAGACGACGAAACCTCATCATCATCATCGCAACTGGAACAGCTACGGACGGAAGAGTTTCCGTTGTCCAGAAGCTCGACCGGGTCAGGACAACCATCAGAGTCATCAGAGCCATCGGTATCAGAACAAGGTGCGGTCTTGTGCTCAACAGTTCCAACGGTCTGTCGAGATCGAGAATGGCCAACCTGCGGGGACACTGCATTTGTCATGGGTATGTTTGGCGAATAAAGAGGTTGTGGATCCGGATGCGGTGGTAAGAATGGAAGTGCTGATTGACCGAGGGCGTTCATGTGTTCGTGCCATTGATGACCTGGCATAGGCGCAGGCATGTTCAAGGATTGTAGTGGAAAGGGCTGCTGAACTACATCTTTCTGAATCTGTTCCAAAGCATGAATAGACTTGAGTTTTGCCCAGAGCTCATAGTAACGACTAACAATGGGGGCCATTTCCTCGAGAATCAGCTGCCTTGGGCGCGAGTCGGTGTCCAGGATACGATCTTCCCGTAATCCAAGAGATCCAGCCTGTGGCTCGGAGAGGTTGGTTTGTATTCCAGGGAAGCCAGGCTGTGGGATGTGGAAAGGCTGAACGGCGCTCAAACTTTCGTTTGCGGCTTCCATGCCGCAGACATTGGCAGTGGTTTCTCTCTCTTGCTTGACGACGCGCACGTCCGGCTCGTCCTTTATGACGACAGCAAAATCTGTAGAGCTACCGGGCTTGGGATTCTCTTGTGGCATTTGGTTGGGTGGGTTGTGGGTGGGCGGGTCTTGGGGAGTTGATTCTGTTTCGGCCTGCATCTGTCTATCAGAAAGATGCTTTTACACGACCAAAGGATGAGTGGGAATTACCGGAACTGGAAGTGTCACATCTTTGTATTCCCAATAGGGTGTCTTGCGTTCGGAGAATGCATAAGGAGCCAAGTCGTGGCAGTCCTTGTTGTGGTATATCCAGATCCATCGAATTTTCCTCATGGAACACCTGCTTGCCATAGGCCATATATGTTCACGAACAAGTTCTGATCTGAGGTTACGCTTGCCGCTCGAAGCATATGTCAAAGGCACTTGGTCAGCATGACTTTCGTCCCATTCAGCCAGACTGGTCGCTGGTGCCGGCTTTGCGAAAGACTTGATGCAGTCAGCTCTTGCCAACCATGTAATTGCTCTCTGAAACGTACGTTCTTGTGCAAAGGTGCGCGAAATTCTGGGTCGTCTACCCACTGGTGCGGCTTCTTCTTCTTCCAAGTGCGGTGTTTCTTTGGAGGAGCACTTGACATAGTCTTCAAGCTGGCATTTGGCAATGACATGACTCCAGAAACTCCCAATACTATCATAAAGCTGGAAACAATACAGAAGGCGATGGAGATTGTCAAGGTACAAAGGTCTGGCTCGTGAACAATACCTCGACTGACGCGATCGCATCCATATGTAAACAGAAGGACGACATCTTGGTCTCCAGAGCAACCCCTACCTGAAAGAGAAGACAATGCTAATTCGAGGGTGATCCCTGCCTGAGGTCTTCATGCTCGCGTACTACGACTACCAGACGGAGCTTTTGTGGGTCTAGGTGGACTGTGGGCTTTCGCTCATACGCCCGTGCGTTATATAGACCTGTTGATCGGCAACAAGTTACACCCTGAACGAGGAATGCCAGACGACACAAGATGGTAGAGTGATCTCGATTGTGTAGGTTGTCAAGCATGTAATGATCTGGTTGTGTACCGAGAACGCAGCACTTCCTGTGACTGGCGTCCAGGTAAAAAAAGTTGAGCTATCGATAATGACGGAAGATCGGACACGAAATTGACGCGGTCTTCGCGTATTCCGCTCAGAAAAATATATGAGCCTGCAGACCGCATGCTCATAAATTAAATTAGCTCGCAGTAGTCGCATGCACCGACTTGTTGCAGGTCTCGGGAGGCTGGAGGCCGCGATGATTGACGAACATGAGTAGATACGCGTCTTTCATACCAGAACGCGTTCTCCTCGCTGCGACGGCGACATCTTGCACCATACGACAGCATGCAAAACGTGCCAGAGGGATGGGGACGCCACCACAGAAAGGGAGTAAGTCACCCTGTGATCACTTGCGCGACCTTAACTGACCCGGCGAGTCGCATGTGACACCAGGTCGCGACTGGCGACCACACTTGGACATGGTCAAGGATGATTCAAGACCTAGCGGAGAACGAACTGTTTGCGGAGTGATTGCGCCGCCGAAGCCTCGACCTGGGAACACGAAACAAGTTGAGAACTTTTGGAAGCACAGAAACAAGAAGCTGAGGTGCGACAGGGCGGGCATTCCTTTTTCTGAAGACAATTCGCCAACCCCTTCCGAGTCCAAGGATGCCGACGATTACGAGGACTTTCTCAACAATCTTGATATCGACAACCTGACGGACAGCGTGAGGGGCCAGTTCCAGGGCAATGGTCGTTCGTACTGCAACGGTGGAAAAGAGTACAAGAAAATCCGTGAGGGACTCATTGAGTGTGGATCTCTGAGCCGTTGTGGCATCAGAGAACTTGTCGAAGCGCAGATAAGTGGTAGTCATGAATGGATGATGAATTACGATTTTGCAATGGATAGGGACGGCAAGGCCAGTGTGGAGTACTCGGGATCCATGGAGATATACAAGCATCTCTATCTGAGACCGAACAATGTGGACGGCAGATCTCGAAGACCGCTAAACACAAGCAATGGTGCGGACTCCGGCTACAGCTCTGATGGCGAGTCCGCCGACAAGACATCACAGAGGGACCCACCTCAGGCAAGCAATTCCAAACGAAAGGCTCAGACACAGGCTGTTGAGCAAGTCCACAATTCGAAACGGCAGGCCCCTCGAAACCCTCTGGGTGGAAACAAGAGCTCAACCACTAGGAACGCTCACAGGACCGAGCGTCCGACGCATACCGTGTCTGGAGCGAACAGAACGTTCGAATCAGCAAGACAACAGCCGAGCCACCAGATTGTCAGGAACTCTGGCGGACAAAGAACGAGCAACCATCTCCAGGCCAGAGTTAGGCCAGAGCAAGGTAGTTGGTCCCGTGACCGTGGAGAGATGGCGGTCAGAGGGAAGAGAGAGCCCGCACCACCTCCAGGACCCGAAGCAGACGTCAGTGAAGAAGAATGATCGGGATATTCAGGAGAGAATCATGAGAGTATTGTTATATCGTTATCGAAGGCATATCTACAGGTTCCAAACAACGACGCGACCATCTACACCGCTGGTGCTGATTTGGCTGACGGCATCGGGAGAACCGGCGTAAGCGCGGACAGTGCTGATAGAGTTCTGGTGGACAGTCTTGAGCTGCGTGTCATCAACAGCTTTGCCACGGAGGTCCATCTGTCTGAACATATTGAGAGCAGACTCTTCGCGCTGATTGGCAGAGCCGGACTTCGAGGTACTGTCAAGGGATCCGACAAGCGACCATCCGGATGAAGAACCAGAAAAGCGGAAAGGTTCGCAATCCTGAGGGCATGTTAGCTTAGAATATACTAGAGAATAGAAGTCTTGTTTTCTTACATATCCAGCACAAATGATCTCACCCTCAGCGATCCAGAGGAGATCAGCAAAAGGTAGGACTTGAGTACTGATGTTGATGACAGCGTGAGGAGGCTGACCTTCTCCGGCGGGATAGGCGACAGTCATGGTCGAGTCGTGACTAACGAAAGCCACGGCATCTCCGGAGGGACTGAAGGCGACGCTCTTGACCCAGCCTGCGAGGAGACTTGTTAGCTAGTGACTCGTACTATCACAGGGGAAGAGCAGTGAGATCACATACCGGCTGTCTGGTTCAGGAACTCTCCACAGATGGTGTTGAAGGGTAGACGTTCACCCCAAACAGAGGGGGCGGGTCTCTCATCAACACCCTTGATGAAGGCACTGAGGACACGAGCATGGCCATCGGTGCTGCCCAGAGCAACCAAGACACTGTTGGGGTGCCAGCCGACGCTGGTGACGGTGCTGCGGAGGGGCTTCTTCAGGTGCTTGGACACCCACCAATCGTTCTCCTCCTCAAAGTAGCAGACAGCAGCAACCCTAGCACCACTGCCGACAGCGAACTTTGCCTCGTTGGGCGACCATCTCACGCATGTGGCGGCTCTGTTGATGCGAAGAAGGACGAGGGTGGGGCGCCATGAGCCATTCGAGGGCTCCCAGACGTATGCATTGCGGTCCTGAGAGCAAGTGACAATCTTGCCCGAGTTGGGGGCAATGTCGACGCCGGTAATGAGCTTGTCGTGGCCGCGCAGCTCGTCGTTGAGGGTGAAGCGAGAGGCATTGGCCGAGTACAGCTCGACCGTGTTGTCTCTGGCAACAGCGAGTGTCTTGCGATCGGCCGAGAAGGAGTGGTCCGCGATTGGGTGGTTGAAGAGGTGGTGTACTTGAGGAGCGGCCATGGCGGATGGATTGGCAGGAGTTCTCTCTACTGCCTGTAATGTTGGGTATATGTCGAGTGTTTGGATACGGAGTGGAAGGTGGTATCGCTGGTATGCAGCTCCGCAGGCAGTGACGAAGCCGCCAAGATGGCCTCCGCAGCTGCCTCACGCTTTGCGACGCCGATGCCGACGAGACAGACGCTCGCTACCACTTTTTGCGCGACTCGGAAGACATCACCCTCCATACCTTGACCTTCCGGCGTTCGACCATCTTCATCGCATCATCTACAATGGCTTCCAAGGCTGCTCCGGCGACAGGCGCCCGTCCCAATCACACCTTGTACTGCTCAAACTTGCCCGACAAGCTCCAGAAGGATGACCTCAAGCGCGCCTTGTACATGCTCTTCTCCGTCTATGGATCCATCCTCGATATTGTCGCCATGAAGACCAGTAAGATGCGTGGCCAGGCCCACATCTTGTTTCGCGATGTCTCGTCTAGCACGCAAGCCATGCGATCTTTGCAAGGCTTTGAGTTCTTTGGCAAGGAGATGGTATGTTCATTGTCTGCTTTGCCTTGCATTCTGACATCACTGACCATAACTTTCAGAAAATCACATATGCAGCCACAAAGTCTGACACCCTCGCAAAACTTGACGGCACCTACAAGCAGCCCCCTCCACCAGAAGCCCCTGCCGCAGCCCAGCCAAACAGTCTACAGCAGTCAATCTTCTCTGGTGCTCCTGGTGCTTCGACCGCGCCCGGTGCCACTGCCCCGTTGGCCCCACCTCCAACGCTCGACTCTGCCGCCGGTGCGCCTGCCCAGACTGCTGGCGTGAAACGACCAAGGGATGAGAGCGACGATGAGAAAGAAGAGGAGGCCCCTATGGATATGGACGACGAAGCCATGGAAGAGAGTGACTCGGAGTAAATGCGCTCAATCATGCACGGCGCAAGTCTGTGCTCGACACATTCAATCCTACACTTGCTCCAACGATACCCAGCCAAACAAGCATATAATCCTGGATCTGGACACCAGCTGTTCCTGTGGCACACATTGTATCTGCAGTACGACACGGATGTACAAAGTATGCGGGCATGCCAGTGTTGGGATGGTCCTGCCAGTACAAGTCAGCGCGAGAAGCTGGCTCTGCAGCGTATGCAATTACCGTCATTGACAAGGCTCCCATAACGCCCGTTTCGCGCATAGCGTCTTGGAAGTGATGCGGCACGACAAGGTCAAAGAAGTGGGAGACAGGCAGCGGAGGGCTGGCCGTCATGTAGACAACCGGTACTCTGTAGCTGGGAGATAGCAAGACATCATATTGTACAGTGACAATCGTCTCGCTTTGAGGTTGTTTGACTATGGCTTCTTCATCATCGTCTTCGAATGCCTCGACATATGTTTCAAGCTGTTCCTGATGATCGGCGTCAGCGACACAAGCCGAAGCCAAGCGTCGGGTGATGCGCAGGCACGGCGGCTCTCCAGCAAACAGGGCGCTGTCAGGCAGCCGAGCCTGGACGTCTTCGCAAGCCTTGACAAACTCGTCTTCTGTCAGGTAGGGAAAAGCGGAAACCTTTTCCATTGCACATAAATGTCGACCAGTCAAGAGAGATGGCCTTGTCGGGAATTAACAGCGATCGGGTCCGTCTCGTTGCACTCGGGGTCGATAAAGTTATCCGGGGCGCTGCTTTACTTGGCGATTCGATCATAGTTTGGTCGCAAGTGCAGTAGCCAAAAGGTACGAGCTGCATTATTCATCAGATTCACCCTCTCAGCAACCTCCATGTAGCAGCTCCTCAATCATTCGAGTACACGTATCCATCACACTGTATTGTTTTCCTTGCGCCATCCATTCTGAACCACCCTCCATACCGCTCCATCCGCATCGTCATGGCTCATACCACCGAAGACAAGAATCAGCAACAAACTCCACTGAAGAGAGGCAGAGTGTGTCAGCTTGCTACGTCTATGACCACTAAGATGATTTACTGATATACGCCAGGCCTCGACTGATGAAATTGACAATGATTCGCAAAAGAAGCCTCGCATTAATCAGCCCACCCACCTACCATCACCAGACACGCGCGTAGCTTCGAACTCGACCGAGGGCCAGCATGATGCCTCGACTGGCCTCTCACAGCCATCGGATAAGCGTGAATCATCTCCTCCATTCGCTGCTGGTCTGCATTCGCCTCCGTCCGACACCCAGCCTTACAGCCAGTTCTTGCCGCCGCCACCAATCAGCTACGAGGTCGAGGATGAGGAAGCTGAGGGTGTCTGGGGCTACCTTGTGCCACTTGACGGAGTTTCAGAGCCTCTGGTCCTAAGACGCCGGGCAGCTTGTCCTGTACCCCAAACAAAGGTCGGCCGCACCGACGGTAAAAGCGCAGTACCTCGCGATGAATATCTCAACCAAGAAGAGTCGTATGAGAAGGAAAAGGCAGACAAAGGCGTCCCGGCAGGTGGCTACTTGATAGGAAGACATCCCGAATGTGGTCAGTACTATTTCTTGCTCAGCGGAGCCGCCAGAGTGTGAACTGACCATGACCAGACCGCATTATCAAGACACCTACCGTCAGCAACCGCCATTGCTTACTGTTTTGCGAAAACAAGGATGGCGATCAGATTGCTGTTGTCGAAGACCTTTCGGGCAACGGTACATACGTCAACAATGGTATTATCGGTCGAAACAAGCGACGTGATCTTTATGACGGCGACGAGCTTTCAATCCTTGATGTCGCTCGTTTCATCTTCCGATACCCTAGTATCCATGATACCAACGGATTCCGTCAGCAATACTCGATCCAAGGCCAGCTTGGCAAAGGCCATTTCGCTACAGTCTATCTGTGTACTGAGAAGTGCAGCGGAGCTCGTTATGCCGTCAAAAAATTTGAGAAGCGCCGAACGACCACCAACTCTCAAGTTGCAGAGGAGAAGAGCAGAGTTGACGGGTTGCAACAAGAAATCGGCGTGTTGATGGGCGTTTCACATCCCAATGTTCTCTGTCTCAAGGACACGTTTGACGAGAGCGACGGCGTATATCTGGTCCTTGAGCTTGCCCCTGAGGGCGAATTGTTCAACTGGATCGTCGCCAAGCACAAGCTCAGTGAGCCCGAGACCCGTAAGATCTTTGTGCAATTGTTCCAGGGAATTAAGTATCTGGTATGTTGTTCTTCTCCCCCAGCCATGATCGGGCATGACTGACACTTGTACTCCAGCACGAAAGAAATATTGTACACCGTGACATCAAGCCAGAAAACATTCTGCTTATTGACCGCGACCTAAACATCAAAATTGCCGACTTTGGACTTGCCAAGATCATCGGAGAAGAGTCATTCACATCCACCCTTTGCGGCACACCATCGTATGTTGCGCCGGAGATTTTAGAGCAAGGCAATCGTCGCAGATACACAAGAGCAGTCGACGTGTGGTCACTCGGAGTCGTACTGTACATTTGCTTGTGCGGCTTCCCACCATTCAGTGATGAGCTCTATTCTCCAGAAAACCCCTACACGCTAAGCCAGCAGATCAGAATGGGACGTTTCGATTACCCTAGTCCTTACTGGGACAGTGTTGGCGACCCAGCTCTTGACCTTATCGACAAGATGCTCACAGTCGACGTTGAGAAGAGAATCACAATAGACGAATGCCTTGAGCACCCATGGACTACGGGCCGTGTAGACGGAAATATGAGCTTTGGCGCCAGTATGGAAAGCACCGACGGCCTGACAGGAGCCATGGACAAGTTGGACTTTTCTAAAAGAAAGCCGGTCCGAGAGAGGACTCTGCTGAGCTCTATCAACGACGCGACGTTCTTCAAGACACAAGCAACCGAGAAAGACGATCGCGACATCAAGGTATGGGACCAAAACAAAGACCACAACAAGAAGACAAACAACGCCAAAGAAGATGTTCCGGCACACGAACGAGACCCAGATGAGTTTGTCAAGATGGGTGGCAAGGGGGACGAGACACTATACGGAGACGAGGAGGTTGCGAAGGAGAAGGCAAAGAAGGCGGACGTCAAGGCATAAAAGGGGAATGTGGTACGATATCTTTTAGTGTCTCGAACCACGTACAGCAGTGGCGCAGAGCCGTCTAAATGCACAATGCAGTCCAAAGACCACACATTGTTCAGAGAGCCTATTGCAGAGCTGCTTCCAGTGGGCTGTCCCAGCTTTCGAAAAACATTGTGTCTTTTGAACGTCGAATTCTGGCACCTACCGTGGTGGGAACATGCTCGAATTGTTGTTCGGACTCGAATGGGTTGGTTTATTGTGGACATGAGCCCCTGTAAGCTCTCGATGGACACATACCAATACAGGAAAAGACTGTGCAGCATGACAATTAATTTGCTCCCACTGACACAAATTCTAGAAGCAAAAAGTGGTGTTTTCGTGGTGTTTTGATGAAGCCATTGCATGATGACCAGGACCGGGTCATCATGCGTGTTTCGAGTGGCTTTGGCTGGGCAGGGGCGGCGGTCGGCGGAGATGATCAGACCATAATCCCATAATTTCCAGGGTCAACAATAATTGTCTTGTTGTCTGCCCTCCCAATTGGATTCCCCTTCACACTTGAACCTCAGCAACGACCATGGGACTGTTGGCCGCTGTTACTGACGTCGTCTCGGCGCACCTGGGCGACAAGCCTCTGTGGCTCGCCATCTCCATCGTCTCTAGCGCAGCTTTCGCCCTCGCGATTGTGCTCAATGTGCTCTCGCAACTCCTGCCTGTCCGTCGCAAGGGCTCTGAGCCGCCGCTCGTTTTCCACTGGGTGCCCTTCATTGGCAGCACCATCACCTACGGCATTGACCCCTACAAGTTCTTCTTCAACTGCCGCGAGCAGGTCCGTTGCTGCCCATTGAGTCTTGCGCAAACCCACCCAGACTAACCTCCTTTGCTTTTAGTACGGCGATGTGTTCACCTTCATCTTGCTAGGCAAGAAGACGACTGTCTGCCTCGGTACCAAGGGCAACGATTTTATCCTCAACGGCAAGCTCAAGGACGTCAACGCCGAAGAAATCTACAGCCCCCTTACCACTCCCGTCTTCGGTACCGATGTTGTCTACGACTGCCCCAACTCCAAGCTCATGGAGCAGAAGAAGTTTGTCAAGTTCGGCCTGACCACCGAGGCTCTCCGCTCCTACGTTTCCGTCATCGCCGCCGAGACCAAGGACTTCTTCGCAAACTCCAACTGGTTCAAGGGTGATTCCGGCGAGCTGAATGTACCCAAGGCCATGGCCGAGTTGACCATCTACACTGCTAGTCGCTCGCTCCAGGGCAAGGAAGTCCGCGCCAAGTTCGACAGCACCTTCGCCGATCTTTACCACGACCTCGACATGGGCTTCACCCCTATCAACTTCATGCTTCCCTGGGCTCCTCTCCCTCAAAACCGCAAGCGTGACGCTGCTCAACGTAAGATGACGGAAACATACATGGAGATTATCCAGGCTAGACGCGACAGTGGCAAGACACAGCCCGAGGATGGCGAGACGGACATGATCTGGAACCTGATGAACTGCGAGTACAAGACTGGCCAGCAGATCCCGGACAAGGAGATTGCCCACATGATGATTGCCCTGCTCATGGCTGGCCAGCACAGCTCTTCCGCTTCCATCTCATGGATTCTGCTTCGCCTCGCTTCTCGCCCCGACATTGTCGAGGAGTTGCTTGCCGAACAGAAGGCCGTTCTTGGTGCCGACCTCCCCGAGCTGACCTTTGAAGATCTCTCTCGCCTGCCCCTCCACTCTCAGGTTGTCAAGGAGACTCTGCGTCTGCACAGCCCTATTCACAGCATCATGCGCGCCGTCAAGTCGCCTATGCCTGTTGAGGGAACTCCCTACGTTATCCCTACTACCCACGTTCTCCTTGCCGCCCCCGGTGTTACCTCCAAGTCTTCCGAGTACTTCCCCGAGCCCAGCCTGTGGGAGCCGCATCGTTGGGACGCCGAGGCCAGTGAAAAATACACCAGCCTCAAGCCTATCATGGCTGCCAATGTTGAAGACGATGAGAAGACTGATTACGGTTACGGTCTGGTGTCCAAGGGTGCCAGCTCACCTTACCTTCCCTTCGGCGCTGGTAGACATCGCTGCATTGGTGAACAATTTGCTTACGTGCAGTTGCAAACCATTCTGGTGACCATGGTCCAATCATTCAAGTTCCGCAACCTCAAGGGTCGTGAGGGCGTTGTCGACACTGACTACTCGGTAAGTTTGAATTCACCCAGTATAACTCAACTGTTCACTGCTAACTTTCGTCCTTTCACAGTCATTGTTCTCACGTCCCTTGACACCGGCCTCGATTCATTACGAAAGACGAGTCAACGAGAAGGCATAGACAAAACTAAATGGTTCCAGCTTTTGTACAGATTTGTAATTCACGGCATGGTGATAGAGGACAACGTTTTTTTCATGGATAAGAATCAATCACGATATCCCTGGGTGGCATACAACTTGGTTGCGCCCAACGCATTGTTAATTCATAACTCTTCCTTTCTTCTTCCTACATCTTTTGACCTGTTTGTGATGCAGCATAAACGATTCAGTCGTAGGCACCACCATCCCAGCAAATGCCGTTGCCTGTTCAGTAGTAGTTCGAGAAGTAAAAAGCTTGCCAGTGAGTGAGGCTCGGAGTTAGGCGAGCCAAAAGTTTCATCCAATTTGCTTCGCAACAGACAATTTTTTCTCCCCCCTTCTTCATTTTCGCAATCCTCTGCGCATTTGTTTTAAGTGCGGGAACAGCGTTCTGCAACAGCATATTCCATTCAACACACAGACATGTTCGCAGTATTGCGACCGTCGACACCGCGACAAGGCGGTCGTGATTCGCGACGTGGAAGACATCGCTGTGGCCCAGAGAATATGTACACTCAGATTTTCACCGTTGTTATTAATCCCTGTGACGCAGCGGCTAGCGTGTCGTTCTTATAATTGCTCCAGTGGAGCAGATTATGCAATGCGAAAGTCGCGAGTTCGAATCTCGCTAGGGATACTTTTTGGAGTTTTCGGTGGACAAAGGGATGCTCCATTGGATATCTCTTTTTCGTTTGTTCGTTTTGGAGATTCTTTTGGGTGGTTTGTCTGCTTCAAACTTGAGATGACTGTTCTTCGAATTGGTTGGAGCGCATGATTTTGTTTTGCAACTTTTGCGACAGATAGGCTTCATGATTGACCATGTGAAGCCTACGCGTATTGAGCATGAGTATGTACATCGGGTTCATGCATGCATGTACTCTATGACCAATCCTTTGCTTCCATCATCACAGTCATGCCTTAGTCGACCCGTGAGACCAGACTCTCAATTGTGCATGTTTCTTACCTTCACAGCACGAGAGTCTCACCGAGGAGTTGAATCGCCAAAGGCCGATGGATTCTACCTGAAGCAAGTCTATGAAATCCATGCAGTGCTCAGTACCTCGGCACAGAGCATGAACGAACGGCTTGTTGCGAGTCTTATCTATCAAACCAGACACGTGCTGCTGAAAATTGATAGACCATGTGTATGACGGGCTTCCGCGTGAGACCGGCACATTGCGATGTCATCGAATGTCTTTGGAAGGCTTCAGCGTTCAGAAGGCAGCAGCGACCTCTGAGAGCACTCCTTTGTTCTACTGAACCATTTCACTTCTGCCTGGAGCATACAACCAATAGAGAAGCATCCGACAATATATAATAGCCATCGTCCAGAATTCATCAACAAATCGGTCGCAATCTCACGCCTTGGGAGTCGACCGAAGCCGGAGTTAACGTGCGATTTCCCAGTCACTCTGCTGCGGACAAGTGATACTGATTTTTCAGCAAAAGATACGGACGGCGTCCAACCCCTCATCCCGAGTCTCGATCGCATCCATTCACCCAGAAGTTCAGTCATTTCCCACCGCAGACACGACCAATCTCTGCCCTTTATTTTTTGCTTTTCAACCTTCGCCCACTCCCAATCCCATACAACGGCGTCTTTCAGGCAAACCACTCTTGTCCGATTCAACAGTCACTCGCCCACCACGCCATCACCCCGCTGTCTGCCCGGCGCAAAGCCGCGACTGTCGCAAAGGCCGCTTTTTGGATCCCACTTCAACTGTCCCAACAGGACTTGCCAACTCGTCCGACCGCTTCAAACAGCATCTCTGGGACCGCCTGTCCATTCCCGGTCGCTCCGAATCTTCCAAGAGCGCCGCCCATACCACACTCTCTCCAATCTCGTCGCCATGTCGGCCGCGCCTACCGGAACCCTGAACATGAATGAATACACATTTCCTACCGAACGCCTGCAATCACAACTAAGGGATCCTTCAAGGACACCCTTGGTACTTGTGGCTTGTGGTTCTTTCAGCCCAATCACTTTCCTGCATCTGAGAATGTTTGAAATGGCTGCAGATTACGCTCGCTTCAACACAAACTTCGAGGTGGTTGGCGCCTACATCTCTGCCGTCGGTGATGCATACAAGAAGAGCGGTCTTGTCAAGGCCGAGCACAGAATCAACATGTGCAGTCTGGCTGTTGAGCAAAGCAGCTGGATCAGTGGTACGTTTTAGACTTTGTTCAATTACTAACTACCATCTTCTGACTCTATATACACAGTTGACCCCTGGGAGGCTCTCCATGAGGACTACCTTGAGACAGCAAAGGTGCTCGACCATTTCGAGCACGAAATCAACACCACCCGTGGACCTTTCAACACTCCGCAAGGTCCCAAGAAGGCCAAGATTGCCTTGCTCGCTGGTGCGGACTTGATTCAAACCATGTCTGCTCCTGGCGTATGGGCACCCAAGGATATCGACTACATCCTGAGTAACTTCGGAGCCTTCATCATCGAGGTATGTTGTCTTGCCAACCACACTTCTCAATCAACCCAAAGCTAACAACAAGCAGAGAGCCGGTACCGATATCGACGAAGCCTTGTCGACACTGCAACAATGGAAGGACAACATCCATGTTGTACAACAGCTGGTGCAGAATGACATCTCTAGCACGAAGATCCGCCTATTCCGCAAGCGCGACATGAGCATTCGCTACCTGGTCCCGGAGCCCGTCGTAAAGTACATTGAGGAACAGGGACTGTATGATGAGGATGGAGCCAACAGCACGCATGAGGCGCAAAACTCGAAGAAACCTGGTGAGAGCGCAGGCGCTCCTCCGCAGAACATGTAATATTTCCCGTCCTTCTGAAGACGCAAGACCGCAAGATCAACCACCTTTTCAACGCTTTCTCTCTCTGACCTTGAACTTGACGCCCTCCTTGTTGGTGCCTCCGACGGTGTTGTTCATGCGTGCCCGTTGATCCTGGAGTTGCGTCAAAGCGGCAGACAAGTCACGCTCGCGATCCTTGAGCGCTTCGAGATGGTTCTGCAGCACCTCCTGGGCACGCCTCTTCTTCCGTCGCTGCTTGATCTGCTCTTTTGAGAGGCCCTTGGTGTCTTCTTCCTCGCTCTTGCCGTCCTCGCTGCCACTGCCGTTTCCATCCATACCGTCCAGATCATCCAGACCATCAAGGTCACCCAAGTCTGCCAGGTCGTCGAGGTCCAAGTCCATGTCGTCGTCGCTGTCAAACTGCATCTGAGCGTTATCCTCCTCAATCTCCTCGCCATCCTCATCAAACACCTTTCTCTTGCTCAATCCCGATGCATCGACACCGGTAGACATCAACACACTCTGCTTTTCAATCTTCTCCCTCGCACGGCGCGTCTGCTGCAACACAGTTTGTAGATAACCAGCATCCTGCGTCTTCAAGAGCTTCACAACATCCATGCTCATGGGCGTTTGCGAGCCATTCTCCTTCGCTCTGGTGGATTGCTGTACACCCTTCTTTGTCGTTCTGCTGATCATGCCGAACGCGAATTCATCGGGGTTACGTTGGGCTGCTTTTTCCTTGAGCACTTTGAGGCGGCGTTTTTTCTCATTGTGGTCTTTTGCGCGGAGGGTGTAGTCCTGGAGTTATGGTTAGATTTTTTTATTCTAGCTCGTTTTTCTTGTGTATATGATTCTTTTGACACCACCAGACGGATTGTGATTGTGATGATCAAGTGGCAAGAAGGGGGGATGCAAGCAAAACGGACCTTGTGTTTTTCCAAAAGACCCCATTTCTGACGTTCGAGAGGTTGGGCGCGCTCTTTGTGATTGCGCCTCTGTACGGCATTGCGCATGGACGACATGATTGCTGATTTTATGCGATGTGATTACTACTCTCTTGACTGATCGGTTTTGGTATCAGGCGGGTGGATCTGAAGTCGTGATGTTGAAGTGGAAGAGTAGAAAAAAAGTTGTAGCGTCAACGACGGACGGCGAGAGAAAGTTCCTTGAGATGCGGCGGAAATAAAGAAGGGCGAGAAAGCGGAAGAGAAGGCGGAGAAGAAAGGATGGGCTTGGCGGGATTGGAGATGGGATTTTTGGCGAAGATGAAACTGGCGACCCTGTCTTTGAGATCGTGGTTTGGGTTTTGTGGGGATTTGTTTTATCATGGGATAGAGATGGGTTTATGGTAAGTGAGATGCAATATATGGCAAGTGAGATGTGAGTGAACATGTGAGGGTGATGAAGATTATGTATTGCTATGTAATTGCTGGTTCTTCATATTGTGATATAGTTTGGCTTGTGTCTTCTCACACCTCCGTATGGTGTGCGAATTGAGGTGGTGAAAAGTCTGGATTCTCGACGGCACGCTCTGTCTCAAGGAATCATCATCTCGGAGAGACTGCTGAGTCTCGAGCGATCCCATCCCATAGCTGTTTGCTCCGTCCGCTCTGACTCGGCGTCTTCTAGACTGTAGAGCAACAAGCGTGACCATCCGAACGGAATGTGCATGCATAGTGCGTGTACCGGATGTTTTTTGCTGCACTTTACAACCTTGTGCCTGGAGCTGTTGACGTATCTGCAGCGGCGCGTTTGTGCAAGTTGAAGGAATACACTAGGCACGCCCGGAGTCTGAGAAGAGCTGGCTGCTGGCAGTACTGTGTAACTGCATGGCTTCGGCACGTCAATCGGATATGCCGTATAGTCCTGAATCTAGCGTGAGGTTTCCTCTGACCATCACATGGACAGATGTGGTGTTGTGTTGGATCCTGAATGCAGGTGAGGTGTTTTCACAGGTCGGGATCGATATGTTGCTTGAACTTTCTGGCTGCACGATCGGCAGCTCTGTTCTGGAATTGCGATCCATGGAGTTCGAAGATGAAAGGCTTCTGCGGTTCAGTCATCTGGCTGTCGCCGTCGTTATCTTCCTCGACAAAGGGGACTTCGAATCTGAAGACGGTATATTCCTTAGGAACAGCTTGCAAGATATTAGCAGTGCAACCGCATGGACTAGGAAACTGGCATGACATACTCTTGAGCTCATTCTTAAGAGTGATGATCTCCAGAGTAAACTTTGTATCTTTGACGACAATTCCTCTGATCCCAACTCTTCCCACACAGCGACATCTGACGACATCAACCATAGCACCGTGGTAATCCGCACTAGCAAGCAAAGGCCCAACACCAGCAGCATTCACATATCGCGACTTCTCCATCCCCAGTATCTCGCGCATATATGCACACCACAGCTTCCAGATAGGCACATAGATGTCGTACTTTTGCTGCTCTTTCGGAATATCATAGACACCCAGCTCTCTCTTTTGTTTTGCGGTCAAAGGACGAGGCTTTTTCGATTTACGGTTGGCTTTTGCCTTTTCAAGACGGGCTTTTTGGCGCTTGCTACGGGCATCTTCGCGAGGGTCGGGGGAGGATGGTCGGAGGAGAAGAGGACGATTTTGGACCTTTTCGCGGAAGATCTGGGAGCTGATGGAGGGATCGTGGGCGCGGGTGAGGAGGCCAAGAGCAGGATGCTCTTTTTCTGACGATGCCATGACTGATCGAGTGAGATATGTTGGCGCAAGATGTCGAGTTCGGTTGTCGCAAGAAGATCAAGTTTGGTCATCGGCTTGGCATCATCAAGGTGATTGCGGAGCTTCCATTGTCACAACTTTTTTGATCTTGGTCATGACAATCAGACATACACTATACTATCATGGCTCCGACTACTCCTGATCTATCGGCCAGGTATACACTCCTCACGCTGAGTGTCATCTCTTCGAGCAACATCTCCAACCGTACGAAATCCTTGATCGAACACGTCAAATCCACACCGGCCGACAACAAACCTGCCATTGTCGCCCTCCACGCAAAAGCAGCCGTCGCGAACAAGCTCATCAGCATCGTCGAGATCGCAAAGAGAGACCTGAAAGAGGGAGGCCGGAAGATCTACCAATACAACGCCCTCGGCTCAGAATTGATCGAGCTGAAGCCTGCCACCAAGGATGCAGCCAACGACGACGCCGTGAGCGACGAGGAGCCTGCTTTCGAGAAGATTGAGCAAAAGACTACTGTCAGGAATGTGCCGACTATGACCACATATCTGAGTCTGGTACCTGTCAAAGAACTCAAAGACGCCTATGGGTATATCAAGTCTTTCTTTTCTCCCCGTTCCAAATCGCTGACAAGTTTGTCTACAGTGAACAAATCGGATGATACGCCAGCTACAACCCTCCCGCCCTACCGCTACCATTCCAATATTGCACGAAACTTCCTCTGGCCTACTTGTTCATCTCTCGATGCATAACAAGCACACTGGTCGAACATCAGACCGGCAACACCGTCCCAGCCTTCATCAAGGACCCGCTCTCGCGCAGCCTGAATGTCGCGCGTGCAAAATACCGATGAACAGGTCCGCGCTCTATCACCAAGGTAGCTGTGGACCACATCAAATTTGCCCGAGTGCAAGAGGTCACCAAGACGCTTCCGGCACACAACAAATCCCTACACAACTTTTGTATTGCGGATCAACAACGACGGCTGATTGTGGAAGCTGATATGATGTTCATTGGTGGCTAGATATTGTTATCGCTTATCTAGCGAAAGAAGAAAGAACATAATGCTGAGATATCAGCCTTCCTCGGAAATCATCCTAGATCCTTTTTGTCTCATCTGCTGAGTCCGTTCGCCCTAGTAGTCCAGCTCTCCGACAGGCCAGCCATCTGCGTCTCTTCCAACTCCAGATTCCGACGATATTTCTGCGCCTGCGGTAGTCTCAGACTCCTGCTCAATCTTAGGCTCGTGCTGGCGCTGATGCTCGTGCTCATGCTCGTGCTCGTGCTCGACGACATCCTTGACCTCAATCTGGTCTTCTCTTTTCTGCTCGTGCTTGGACGCATCCTCGATCACTTCCTTGACCTCAATATCCTTCTCATCTTGGTCCTTCAGCTCTTTAATCTCGCCATCCTCGGAAGTCTCCTCGCTGTCTGCCTTCTCCGGCTCCTCTTCCTCGACCATGCCTGGAATCGGACGATCACATGGATCACGACCATACTCGACCCTAGAGAAGCGTCTGGACAGCTTGTAGCGAAGTTCGGAATATCCGTCCAGAGCTGCCAACACCGATCTGAACTCCACATGACAAACGCCATGTCTGTCTCTGCAGACGCTAACGATGCGATCATCTCTGCTTGGCCACTGACGAAGAGCGTTGCAAAGATTCGCCAGTGTGATGTCTCTGTGCAAGTCGAAGATGGCCAGGCAACGTGAAACGCCATTGTACATGATGTCGTCGGCGAGAATCTCGTTGATTGGATAAGTAGGTGTTTCCAGAAGTCTGAATTTGGGCCTGCTGCTTTCCTTCACGTAGCTCAAGAAGTTGCGGGCGTCTTTGGCGCGGAGGAAGGTGATCAGCATGCTCTCACTGCCTGTGATTGGTGTAGTGTGCATGTCCTGAATCTTGACGATGATGCCACCGCATACTATGCTTGTGACATCTGCCGTTGTCATTTTTGCTGGGATGTCGCTGACGAGAACGGTTCGGAGGGTGTCTTCGCTGGGTGCTGGATTGTACATGACCAAAGCCTGGTTCCTGCGGAGCTCGGCTGCGTGCTTTTGCTTTGCTGCTTCGATTTCTTCGTCGGTTCTTGTGTCCTCGGGTTCTTCGAGTTCGGCCGCTGTAAAGTCTCTTTCGTCGATTGGGACATCGTGGTCATCGACTTCTGGGAAGGACATCAGATCTCCTGGAACCTCTTGGACTCTGGCTCTCTTTTCGGCTTCGGCTTTGGCCCATTTTGATGCGTTGATGCCATCGATCGTGGGTTCGTTATTCTTGTACCTGTCGGAAAGATTCTCGAGGGAAAGAGGTTTCTGGAACTTTTCTTCGCGTGGTGTGTCTGGGGCTAGTTTCTCTTGTATGTCGTTGTCGACATCTGGATCAGAAGTTTCATGGTTGACACCACTGTTCTCGAATGTGAGAAGAGTGGGTTGTGCTGCATCGCTGTCGTCAACGAGTCTGGGCCCTTTTCTGTTCCGGTTCAGGAACTCATGGCAGTCGGCCCTGTATCCTATGTCGAAGTTCGGGCTGAGGGGGGTGGGAGGTGTGTTTGATGGCAATGTGGTAGGCGGACGCATGGACTGGATCTGAACATCATCGTCATCACAGTCGAGGAGATCTTCTGGTTCGGCTCTATGCTCGCCCTTGAACTCTTCTTTTTGCTCGATCTCATGTCTGAGTCTGAATTCGGGGATGCGGTGTGGTCTCTCGAGTCTTCTACCGCGGGTCTGGTGTTCTTCTGCGACTGGATCTTGAAGATGTCTTTGGTGCTGTCCGGCGAGCTGGAGAGCCATGTAGTTGATACACTGCTTGGCCATTGTATGTTGCTCTCTCTCCAGCTTCAACTCCACCTCCAATGTTATGAGCCTTCTCATCATCTCCATGTCGTGGGCTTTGCCAGGGTCTTTCGTGACGAAGGCCATGTCGGATGAAGACATGTTGTACGGATGAAGCGGAAGCTGTCGTGTTGAATGATCGGGAGGAGGATGTCGAAGCGAGATGTCGAAGAGAGATGTCGAAGAGAGATATCGAGGAGAAGATATAGACAGGGAGAGGGAGGAGTGAAAGTCAATGAGGTATGATTGGTGAGAGAAGGTGAGTGTGAATTGTTCGAGGTAGATGGGAACGGTAAATTCAGCAGCTTTGTGAGGGAAGTTCTAGCAGAATATTACTAGGTCAAGTTAACAGAGTGAACTGTGGAGGTGATACTCTAGTACCAGATATGAGAGAGTCTGTGTGAAGATTGATATACACCCCAATGACTGTAACTGTTGAGGAGCGTAATGTCTGGAAAGTGACTGTGTTTATACTGCACAGCATGGCAATATGCCTCTAGTGTCAGTTAGAAGCTGGCCGCGAAAGATATACTGGCGGCATATTGCGCTAAGAAAACATTTGAACTTCCGTTTTCATGTCCAGGTGCTATGGTGATCCAGACTCCTTCATCCCTGCTTTCCTCAAATCCGAAGACGCTGTGGAAAGAATGCATTGAAGCAGAGTTTCATAGTTTCATCCTTGCCGAATGATGATGCAGACTGTCGAGAAGCACATGGCTGAAGGACATGTAGAGGTATGTATCGAAGGTAGGCGTTCTCAGGATTTATGTCGAACGTGTCGCGGGGTTTCCAAGTTGTTGTGTATTGGAAAGATTACTTGTCAGAGATGAGGTTCTGGACGGGACATCATGGCTTGGATGCCCTTAGCCGGAGCAGAAGGTCATTTTGAATCAACCGCTCAGATGCTTCGCATTGCTTGTATCCCGTATTGGAGCAACACGGTGCAAAGCAGAGAAGAACATCAGGATTGGATGAGATGAATCGATGGCAAAGATTCCCTTGACCGTGCCGACTCGACTTCCTGATGGTTGTTGCATTGTTGGCCCCTCAACCTAACCGTAGCTTCCCGGATCAGTCTCGTGCCTGGCGATGAATTGATCCCATAGCCATGCATATCAAAGAAGGAACGAAGGATGTCAAACACCTCTGTACCGTTGCGGAAAGAACCCCGATCTCGGTCATCGTTCCCCCGCACCTCCACAAGAGATCGGCGCTTCTCCACACAACCATCTTCGGCATCTGCATCATCGCCCTCTCCCATCTGCTTACCACTCGAGCCGTGTTAGCAGGCAAGTGGCATGATAAGCAAAACGTCATTGTCGATATTCTTCAAGCCACTGGCCCACTGCCATCGTTTTTCGAAACCGATAGCGGCCACCTCCAATTGGTGAAGATGAAAAGCACTTCTGCAAGCGGAACCTAAGCAAATAAGAGAACGTATATACAGGAAGGATCATCGGAGGGATGGAAGATCGGCGGTATCTTTTGCAGCAGCACCCGTGCATGAGTATATAACCGTGAGCGTCTGCTGACATTGTTCCTGTTGTTTCTGTTCTTTGTGTCACCATCGCTTTTACCTTTCTCGACCTGCTCAAAGGTTTTCGCAACAATGTCGCATTCGACGAAAAGTATGGATAGTCCTGGTCATCTAGAAGAAAAGGCTGGAGTTTCGAAACTCGAGAACATTGACTCTGGCCTGTATGATCCTGATGCTGGACTCAGCGACGAAGAAAGAGCCGCAATCGTAATACTCCCCTTTCCATACTGGAGTTAACGTAGCGACTGACCAGTTTATGTAACAGGATAAGAAACTCGTTCGAAAGCTAGACTTCAAGCTCATCCCATGGGTCAGTTTTATCGCGATCACACCCATCACGCTATGGCTCACATCAATAACAGCTGTCGTTTCTCTACCTTATCTCCTTCCTCGATCGAACGAACATTGGCAACGCAAAAGTCGATGGTCTAATCGATGACCTACACATGACTCCCGGGCAATACAGCGCCTCCCTATCCATCTTCTTCGTCTCTTATGCCGTCTTCGAACCTTTGACCAATGTCCTGCTCAAGAAATGGTCACCTCGGGTCTTCCTGCCCATAATCATGGTTCTTTGGGGCATCTGCATGGTCACTATGGGCCTGTGTCATAACTTCGCCGGTCTAGCGACCGCAAGATGGTGGTTGGGCTTCGCTGAAGCTGGATTGTTCCCAGGCGTCAACTACTATCTGAGCTGTTGGTACAAGCGCAAGGAATTGGGTATCCGTGCAGCCATATTCTTCTCGGCAGCCGCGCTGGCTGGTTCATTCGGTGGTCTTTTGGCAGCAGGTATTGCGCAAATGAGAGGAGTTGGTGGAAAGGCAGGCTGGGTGAGTACAACGGGCGTTTTGCTTTGAATTAATGCTGACTTTGAATCCAGGCATGGATCTTCATCCTCGAGGGCCTGGTGACTGTGATAGTCGGCATTGTGTCTTACTGGATGGTCCATGATTTCCCAGACCAAGCCACATTCTTGTCACCCGACGATCGTGCTAGAGTAATCAGGAGACTGAAAGAGGACCAGCAAGCAAGTGCCGAGCATGAGGTACGTTCGAAGAATCCTGAAGCCTCCTGATACAGTCTTTGAAGCTTTCTCATGCTAATCCGAATATCGCAGGAATTCAAAATGACCTACTTCTGGCAGAGTGTGACAGACTGGAAGACCTGGTGTTTCGCAGTCATCTACATGGGAGCAGATGGCGCATTGTACGCCTTCTCACTCTTCCTGCCTACCATCATCAGTGCACTTGGATACAGTGGTACTACCGCCAACTTGCTCTCGGTACCACCGTACGCCGCTGCCGCCGTTATGACCGTCGTTATTGGCTATGTTGCCGACAGAACCCAGCAGAGAGGCCTTTGCAACATCTGTGTCTCTCTCATTGGCATTACAGGATTTTGCATGCTCATCGGAAGCCAATCTCCTGGCGTCAAGTATACAGGCACGTTCCTGGGTGCTCTGGGCATTTATCCGTAAGTTCCCAAGCATAGAATGCTGCAAGAGCCACACTGACAATAGCTAGGACGATTGCAAACTCCGTAACGTGGGCGAGCAACAATGTCGAAGGTGCTTACAAGAGAGGTGTGACGATTGGTGTTGTCATCGGATGGGGAAATCTCCAGGTGAGTCTTACGGACATCTCATCAATCGTATTTTCAAAGCTGACTTGACTAGGGTGTCATGTCTTCGAACATTTACCGCACAAAGGATCGACCGGAATTCTATCTCGGCCACGGTGTGGTACTGGCATATCTCACATTGTTCCTGTTCGGTGGAAGCATAGTGACCCACTTCTTACTGGAAGCTGAAAACAAGAAGCGACGAGCCGGCGAGCGCGACCACTGGGTCGAAGGCAAGGACGATGCAGAGATCAGAATGTTGGGCGACAAGAGACCAGACTTCCTTTACGTGACGTAAGCCAGAAAGGCGCGAAGGGAAGTGGCATTCAGGGGGAGACTTCACCGATACCCGATTTTTGGAAGGAACAGATTGAATAGAGCAAGATGCAGTTGCATGCACAAGGAAGTGAAATCGTATAAAGGGGGTATCAAAATCTCGACATCAGTTTCTCCAGACACGGACTTGCTTGTCCTGACCTCCACTGCCTACTCTGTCACCATCGGGACTCCAGTCTACGGCGAAGACTTGGTCTTTATGGCCGGGCAGATCCTCCTTGAGCTTTCCAGTCTTGACATCCCAGACTTTGAGGGTGGTGTCTTTGCTACCACTGACAAGTAGTCTGCTGTCGGCACTGAAAGCGACTTGGTACACAGGTCCAACATGACCCTTGAGGGTGAAAAGGAAGGTTCCATCGGCGGCGTTCCACAGCTTGATAAGATTGTCGAAGCCAGCGGATGCGAGAAGGGTACCGTCGGGCGAGAATGTGACGTGGTTGACTTGTTTTTGGTGACCGAGGAGACGAGTCACGGGTTTTGTTGAAGTCATAGGTGTCCAGAGGTAGATTGTGCAGTCATCACTGGCTGAAACCAGTCTCTCAACAGCCTTTCCACCATTCTTCTGGTTATTAACGCCGGCAGCAACTTCGTAGCGTTCCTTTGCTTTTGCACGCTTCTCTTCTTCTGTTGCGGGCACGCCCTTCTTGCCAGTGTGGTCGTAGAAAGCGGTACGGAGGGCGAAGTCTGTTGAAAGAGCGAGGTGGTTGACCCAGTGGGCGTGCGAGTTGAGCGTGTGAACAAGCGAGCCAGTGTCTGCAGACCAGACCTTGATAGTCTTGTCGTGCGAAGCGGTGTAGATCATACCGGCACCACCCCAGCGCACGCAAGATACGTTGCCCTTGTGGCCGGTCAAAGCCAAGTCAGAGCGCTTGCTAGTGGCATCCCAAATGCGGACTGTGGCGTCTTTCGAAGCGGATGCGATTCGCGGTCTTCCGGCCTGTTGCATATGGTAAGGCTCCCATGAGAGAGATGTGACCCACTTGGTGTGGCCCTTCATGGGTCCACCTAAAGGTTTACCGGTCTGAGGATCCCACAGGCGCACCGTGTTGTCCATGCTACCTGTAGCCAGCAGCTGACCGTTGGGTGAAAAGCTGACAGCAAGAACCCATCCCGTATGCCCAGTAAGCGTGTGCATAGGAGTACCAGTATCGCAGTCCCAGATACGGGCAGTCTTGTCGCCGCTGCCTGTAGCCAAACGCGAGGATGATGATGGAGAGAATTGTGTTGCAAGAATGGCTTCACCGTGTCCGCTGATTGCTGCCGAGCATCTTGTAACTGCTTTTACACGGAAAACTGCTTCTGCTCTACACGGAATGTTGAGCTGTACTTCGGTCGTCGAGTCACCAGAGAGAAATGCTGAAATGATGGCTTGTTGGTCGAAATCGCCAGTGCCGAGAGGGTTGTAGAAGCGGTATGGGAGGCGGTCGCCGGCGTCTTCGCGGCCGAGGAGGGTGTTCAACAGCAGCGACAAGTTCTTGGGCGATAATTCAGACAGCGGTACTGTTACAACAGGTCCTTGTGATTCGCCCGAGTCGGCATCGATGAACTGGATGCGCTGGATGCCGTCGGGCATCTGCTCCGGTTCGACCTGCTCGCGCGAGCGCGCAGCAGCGGCTGTCTTTTGTCGCTTGGACGGAGGAGGTAATTGTGTCGCCATCTCGATTTATTCTCTTGGTGTGTTTTGTGTTTTTCTTCGTCGACTTTCTCAAGAAATTTTGGGACCCTGACGCTGTCCGACATCGCCAAGCCCCGCAAACTCCGGCGGAGAGCTTCAAGCTTCAATCAACGCCCCTTCCTCCTCCTCAGACGCTCACCTTCAATACGATAACACAACAGATAAGATGATGTTGGTGTAAGTACTCAAATTAGCATTACTTGCAATCGCAGATGCTGTAGCTATCATATGTCCCTATGTACGTTCCATGCTCCATGTGCTATACACGCTAAGATAGAAAAGAGAATCAAGTAATTTTGTCCGTCCCATGTTGCAACCTTCCGGAATCCGTCGTCTTGGCCATTATCGTCGTAAGCAAATGCTGCATATGTATTCCATAATCTCTCATCCCGTCGTTCCAATTCTTCACACTCACTTGTCTGACTCCGAGATGGGTGCCGAGATGGTTCCCTCGTTGTCTTCGTCGTCATCTCCGAAGCTGCCTCCATACATGCCAGAGAACAAAGGGTTTGCGATGCTTCCACTAATACCGTATCCATAGTAGTCCCAAGTCGTCAACGGTGCTGGATCGTAGGAGGGCTGGCTGTCATTACCGGCGGGGAATTGATAGTAGCTTTGACCCATCATGCCCAGGTTCAAGCCCATGTTCATGTTCATGTACGTGGGCTCGGCAGCTCTGAACCCCATAGGTGCTGCGGCGACATACATGGGACCTGGTGGGTATCCTGATGTGAGGTGTGCCATGACAGCCGGCTGCTCGAAAGTGGCTTCCATTGTATCGATCATGGTGTCGTCCTGCTCCTCTTCTTCCTCGTCGGGGTAGAAAGAGCCTCTCTTGCGCTTGTTGCGTCCAGCGTCACGAGTGAGCTCATCCTCGGTATGTTGTTCCTCTTGAGTCTCTTGAGCGATAGCAGGAACGGATTGCTGCTTACGACCTCTCTTCTTGGCCTTGGGACGGGCAGTAACATCCTTGCTAGTGTTGGTGTCCATGTCCTTGAGAGAATTTCTGTCCTTTGTAGACTTCTTCTCCTTAGCTGGCTTCTCGACCTTCACGGGCTTCTTGTCTTCGGTGGACTTCTTGCGAGGAGCACGCTTGGCCTTGGGTGGGCGTGGGGGAAGCTCCTCACCCGACAGCAGATCATCTTCCGATTGCAGCTGACCAGAGATGGGTCGGACCTTGCGCAGAGAGCCCGCAGGACTGAACACCATCTCTTCCTTCTGGATTACTTCGGACATGGCGGCAAGACGGTCGTTGACTGAGACATCTTTCTTCTGGTTACGCTTCTTCTTCAACTCCGGAGTTGCGGCGTCGAACAAGCCCATGCCTGGCCAGACGATACCCTTGAGCTTGCTGGTGTCGTCATCGTCGACCTCTCCAGTGTGAGGTGTCTGGGCCTTGGCCTTGTGCTTCGGGGCCATAAGCATCACATTACTCGGGATATGCTGATCCTCTTGATCGACCGAGGTTTCTTCCTGCTTTGATGGGTACAGGAACGGGTGCGCCGCCCAGCTATACATGGGTGCATAGGCAGCGAACGGGGAAGGATAGACGGAAGCAGTGTCGTCAAGGAACATGGACGATGGAATGACGGTAGGTGAGTCGGATTCCTTCTTGATGACCTTTTGCTTAGAATAAGGTTCTGCAGGGTTTCGAGTCAGCAAGGACGAAAGGACTCGAGATGAGCATCGGTAGGTACCATTCTTGATCTTCTGTCTCTTGACATCTTCCTTCTGCTTCATGCGCTTTGACATGAATGCTTCGATGTCATTCTCGGCATACCATATGTCGTAGTGCTCGATGGATTGACGGATGGCTTCATCGGAGCTAGCGCGGACCTTGCCCTTGTAGTAGGTCGACAGATGAGCCTTGCTGCTGATATGGGTAAGGAGATGAGACAGGTCGCTGAAGTGCGGCTGTGATGCACAGATATTGCAGACAAGAGGGATGGTTCTCTGCTGCACCTGAGTGGATGCAGGAGCTAGCAAATCCATCAATGCAAATTCCAAAAGGAGGAGTAAAAGACTGGATGAACGAAGTGAATGGAAGGAGTGAACTGATACCGGGCACCAGTGTTGATTCTGTTGTCGGGACGCACACAACCTCAGGTGTAGAAGGAGGCCTTTTATCGCACGGAAAGAGCCACTCGTGCACCGTCCGGGCGTTCTTAGATCCGGGTTACTGCCGACGACGGCAACATCTTACGCCGGGTATTCTTTGGTGACTCTGACGTACCTGGATCTCTTAAGCAACGACTGTAGTTGCTGGAGCAGTTCTTGATGTCCAATGGTCCTTCCAGTATGTGTGCATCATCCAATACCAACCTTGAATCACAGGAGGGCAAGTCGAAGACAAGTTCGATTCCTCATGATGTCTTTCGCGCGCATTCAGACAATGCGCTGGCTACATGATTTGATCATACAACAACCAATGCAGGAGGTGATAATGGCGTCCAGAAGAGTTGCCTGCCGCTGTGGTTGATGCTCCGAGGTCAGCAAATCCTCGAGTCTGATGCTTCTCGACACAACAACAACGCCTATACAGGCCTACCAAGACGGACGAACTCGATACCTCACAGGACATGGCATTACCTGTACGAGCTGATGGTAGAGTAGAGTCTAGTGCCCTCGGTTTCTTGAGCGTCGCATGAGTAGACATTGATTTCAAAAAATCCTACCACGAGGCGATGTCCCGATCTGTATTGCCGGCATTGAGCCCTTAAGCGAGATATACACGCGTGTATCACGTGGGCTGCTTCAAGATAAACGAAGAGGCCTGAATCCATCCTGGAGCAATTGAGCTTTTTGAAAGTGGGTATGAGGTGAAGCCTCAATTTATCTTTACCATTTCGGCGTTAACACCTCTATCGCCGGCACCTTCAAACCCACCCCGCATGACGTCTGTTCCATCATCCCTCGGTCTTCCGATGCCATTGAATAAATGACACGCTCTTCTGCCTCTCATCAACACACTTGCTAGACACATCACGATCCATTCTACCTAAGCACAACGTCGAACATGGATCTTAGCAACATTCCTGACGAGATGAAAGCCATCCAGGTGGTCGAGGTATCATCCAATTCATGATTGTTAACTCGGGCTATACACTGAAATCAGAATCTAGTTCGATAAGCCATACAAAATCAACACTGTTCCTGTCCCAAAGGATCTGGCGCCGGAAGACATCCTTGTCAAAGTTGGTGTTGCTTCGAATTGCCATACCGACAGCATGGTTCAGCACGGCACTTTTGGAACTAACCTTCCGGTTACAGCTTCGCACGAGGGTGCCGGTACTGTTGTCGCAGTAGGCTCTTCAGTCACAAACTTCAAGCTTGGAGACCGCGTCATGTGCGGACTGCCATACCACCCTTGTGGCCACTGCCAGGATTGCTACGGCCCAGAGACATGGCGACAATACTGCACCAACATTGCAGGACATTCAGGCGTACACAGAGATGGTTTCTTTGCCGAGTACGCCCTCGTAGATTCCAGAACATCAACACCAATTCCCGATGCGGTCACCCTCGAAAGTGCAGCACCACTTGCATGTGCGGGCAGGACCATCTGGAGGGGCGTTTTGGAGGCAGAGCTCAAAAGCGGTGAGTGGATTGCATTCGTCGGCAGTGGTGGTGGTCTGGGCCATCTCGGTGTTCAGATGGCGAAGGCACTTGGTCTGAACGTGATCGGCATCGATGCTCGAGACGAGGGTCTGGCGCTGTCTAAGGAAGCCGGAGCAGATGTGGTCCTTGATGCACGCAAGGGTAAAGACACGGTGGTCCAGGAGGTACAGAAGGTTACTGCAGGCGCTGGAGTTGATGCATCAATCACTCTCAGTGATGCCGATGATGCAGCTGGACTGGCCTGCGCTTTGACAAAGATGCACGGTACCATGGTGCAGATTGCACAGCCGGACAACGTCACGATTCCTTTCGCCGAGTTCATCTTCCGTGACATCAGAGTCAAGGGCTCGTTGCTTTGTTCGCCGGAGCAGAGCGTGAGCATGCTCGAGTGTATCGCCGAGCATGGCATCAAAGTAAAGACCAATCCGTTCCATGGTCTTGACAAGATTGGAGAGTTGGTCGATCTGGTTCACGGAGGAAAGATCAAGGGTAAAGCGATCATTGTGATTGATGAAGAACAAATCAAGAAAGAGAAGGAACTTGGGGCTAAGTTTTGATGTTGTCAAAGATGGACGATACTCTTGCAACAGGTGGATCATTCTTTCGGGAACTTGGAGAGGCTTTCATGTAGAACATTACGAGTCAAGTTTTGAACTACTCACTGAACACAGACAAATAGACGTAAAGGTCGATATGCATTCGCTAATAGCTCAAGCTTCCTGCGCTGAACAAAATGGTGGTAATACAGTGTAAGGTGAAGGTCGGGTCGCTTAAAGCAGGTTCTTGTTCTTCTTTCTGGTGAAGGCTCTCTGGTCCTTCAGCCATCGCCTGTAATCGGCGACGCTGTTGATCTTCTCGCCGTAGTAATCTGGAACGGGGTTGTTGACAGAGGAGCTAGCAGGGTCGGCGCGGAATCTCTTGATGTGCGAATAAAAGTCCTTATCTTTCTGCAGTTGGTAATTTGGTCAGTATACAACGCTTCTATGATTAGAAAGCAGGATGATGGCGTACCCTGGCAAACTCTTTCCTCACGCTTCCCTTCCAGATGTTGAAAAAAGCGGTTCCCAAGAAGGGACCCAACAACCAACCAACAGCACCAACACCCATCAAGCTACCACCAATGACAAACATGGGATCCAGACCAGTCATTTGTGCGCCAATGTTCTCAATCTCGAACTCGGCGAAAGCCGGAACGGCGATGGCGACACTGGCGGCACCACTGAGGGCAGAGGAGCCAAGGTTGATGAAGCGGCGAGAACGGCGAAGCTTGAGAAACTCATCCCATGAGAGCTGTGGTGTTTGCGACTGCGTGGGAGTGGACGAGGTCGAAGCGGCAGATGACGCATGGCGTGAGAGGACGAGGGCCGAGGACAAGGCTTGCGGTCGTTGTGCGGCGTAGAAGACGGATGTGTGGATTGGGCGAGTGAGAGGAGCGGAAGCCCTGAGGATGCTCAGCGGCGCTTGCATCTTTGTCGCAGCCATTGTTGTCTATGTGTATGGGCGGAAACGGACTGATGGAAAGCTGGGAGCACAAGAGCTTCCAACTTCTTCGGTGATGGATTGCGGAGAAGGCAGGCGCGACTCTTGGCGCAGACTTGCCAGGCACAGAACAGGCAAGCGCAAGCTGCGTCGACTGGAAAGAGCAAGACCGACCGACTCTTTTGATCCCTGCCATCCATCCATCAATTCGCAACAACCCGTCGCATCTCTCTGCTGCTTCTCTCGTCGTCGCCGCAGCATTCGCGCACCTTCTCAGGACCACCCACCCTATCATTCACAGTAGTCGCGTCCGCGCGCATCGACCTTCAGCATGGCGGCCGCAAACAAGCAGGGCAAGATGCAGGGCCTGATCAACTACCGCCTTCGCGTTACCATGATGGACGGACGTCAGATGGCCGGCCAGATGCTCGCCTTCGATAAGCATATGAATCTCGTCCTCGCAGACACTGAGGAGTTCCGCCGAGTAAAGCGCAAGCCCACAAAGTCGGCAGCTCCTGGACAGGCAGAGCCTCAGTTCGTCGAGACGGAGGAGAAGCGCACTCTCGGCCTCACCATCGTCCGTGGTGCTCACATTGTCGCCTCTACCGTCGAGGGTCCCCCGCCCGCAGATCCCTCAGCAAGACTGGCCAAGGACGGTCCTGCTGGTCCCGGCGCTCCCACTATGACTGCTGGCCCTGGTATTACTCGTCCTGCCGGCAGAGGTCTTCCCCCAACTGGTCTTACTGGCCCCGCTGCAGGTGTCGGCGGCCCCGCTCCTGGTTTCGGTTTCCCCGGTGCTCCTGGAGGCTTCCCTGGCGCTCCCCCACCAGGCTTCGGTGGTAGAGGCGGTCCTCGTATGTTCTGATGTACCCGTTTCCCCTGAAAATGCTGACATAGCTCGACAGCCGGTTTCCAAGGTCCTCCTCCTGGTTTCCCTGGCGCTCCTGGCGGCGCTCCTCGTAAGTCGACTCGCAACATCATCATGTTTAATGAGCAGAATCGCTAACTCAACAGTAGCTGGTTTCGGTGCACCTCCTGGCTTCCAGCCTCCTCCTGGACAGGGCAGAGGCTTTCCTCCACCAGGCTTCGGTGGTCGTTGAAACTCACCATGACGATATCCGACCGATACGCAACCACAATAAACAAATCAAACGTCCCTGCCCGAGGGGCGGCAAGACGATATACACGTCACGACTCAGGGCGCAGAGATATACCAGCGCTTGGAAACAGGCGAGATTGGCCGGAGCAAGGCAGACGCTCTGTCGAGCGGCGAAGGCAGCTTCATCACTTCCGGGAAAAGGCGCGTGGCGCAAAAGTCACAAAACTGTGTAAAAGAAGTATTTCTGTTCTCATCAAAATCTTTCAATTTCTTCAGATTTCAATATTCTCGAGATGGCTGTGTTGAGTGATGTTATTCAATCCTTTCTGGCTGCTCTGCTCTGCTCGAGCAACATCTAGTGAGATCTACTTCTTCCTTCCCACTTTCAAGTAACACCAGATTTCACGGCGTTCCTTGCACATCTTTCTTCGCTCAGCTCTCGTTATCATGAATCTTCACGGCCAGAAGTAGCAATGCCAATTGACAAGCAGAGGCATGCACAAATTTGAAGCTGGTAAATGCTTGCGACATGATACGTCGATCAACGGTACGATGAGAACGAGAACACTCCTCACAGCTCTCCGTTCCTACATTTTGATCTCTTAAACGGTTTCAGATCATTCTCTGTGACGTGAGAAGTGTGATGATCTATCTATCAACACAAAGACAGGGTGATACCCTTAACCACCAATATCGATCACCCCTTGGAAACACAATGACCATATTCGAGTAGAGTAGATACAAGAGGAGGCAGTGATTAAACGCCGGAGTGTGCTAAATCAAGTAGGTCTGCTCTCATGCACTCTTGAATCAATCTTATATCATCAAGTGTGATATTTCACCCGACATTATACAACCCTGTCTCAATGTTCCAGAGGGGCGAGATGATCACCACTTAAGGCATCAATAAAGCAATGTCAAAAGAAAAAGAGGTTTCATGTCTCATGGTTCCATAAGAAGCGCCATCAACAGCAGTAGCCCACCATTCAAGGCCTCACCTGCTACAGAGTGTCCTATCCTTTTCCTTCTCAGACCACCGTGATCATACAACAAGAAAAGCCTCCTCTGCTTCTTCTCGAGATTTCTCCTTGTTTTATCCACTGCTTTCTTTCTCTTTTGTTTTGGGGATTCTCGCCCTCCCTCCCTTCTCGTCCTCCCAAATTGCCAATCCCAGAAGAAACGCCGAGCAAAAGGAAAACATCGAGGGGGTATATCAACTCGTACATACAAAAATCGAAGAAAGAAAAAAGCAAAAACGGTAAGAAGCAATGGAATGGGATGATGGTGAGGAAGAGGATGAAGAGGAAGAAGAATACCATCAATCCGCATGCATGATAAGAAAAGGTCCAGCCTGTTTTGAATTACTCGTCTCGTGCGAAAGCAGAGCCGTGATGCCTGCACGAGCGATCGGAAGAAAACACAGCAAAACGATCAAGGCTTCTCAGGGGTTGGATGTTGGTCCGCGGTAGAGGGGGCTGGCGTTGAAGCGCATAGGGGACAAGCCGGTAACGTCGGAAGAACTGCGCTTGTTCTTCTTGACTGGTGTGATGAAGGGTTCGTCATTCTCACTTGAATGTGATAGAAGGGTGTGCGATGTGGCGGGACGCTGGACTTCAGGGGTAAAAGATCCATTCGCAGGGGGGTTACTGCTTTCCGAGGATGAGATGGCGCGCTCATTGGCGGCCAGGCTGTCCTGAATGAACTGGGGGTAGGGATGCTTGAGATAGTCGTATTCCTTAACGAGATAGTCATTCTCCGTGACACAGCCAGCCCAGCACAATCGCCAGTTTCCGACCAGAGTGTAGAAGATACGGCCGTCAAGTTTGAGAGATTGGTTGAAGCAACGGTACAAGTTATCCAAAGTCATCTTGTTCTTGTGCTGGTACTCGAGCAGCAGGCTGAGATGACAAGTGATGGCGAAGAGAAGGTAGTAGTTGAAGGGTGGCAGATGCTGAAGCTCACGGCGCAATACCTCCGGGACAAAGCCCTTGTCGGGAACTTCTGTGGGCAGCTGTGAGGTGATGCGTTGCTGTGAATCCTTGGGGAAGATGTCCTCGGGGAGTTCGCGGATCCATTCCTTGAAGAGTGATGCGATGATACTGGCGTCGTACAGTTCCGACTCGTCCAGCAAGTTGATATCAAGCTCTATAGACGCGTCAGTATATCCTGAAGTCTATCAGATCGGACGGAAGAACTCACCTGTGTCGAAGCGTCTCCTCCACTTCCTGACATTGGCGACACCACCGGAAACTCTGTATAGACCTTCCTCTTCGCATTTTCCGTTCAGGTAACTGTGGATGGTCAGCATTTGGCAGCAGTCAAGGACCAGACAGCATACTCAATTGCACGCCAGGGCAAAGCAGGCATCCAGAATTCGGTCTTATCCTTGCAGTCGTCGTATGACTGGGCGATACGTGTAAGACGGGTCTGCTCAATGAGACCCTTGTTGAGAACTTGCACAACATAATCACCATCGTCCGTTACCGGCTGAGGCTTGCCATGGTTACTACCACCTCTAGTGATTTTGCTGAGCAAGCCTTTGCTAGCCTTGGTAAAGCCATCAGTGGCGCGTGACGAGCTCTGGCGGAAGTCAAAAAAGGCCGAAGAGTTGTTGTTCTTGTAAAGATTTCCATCACGATCCTGGCTCTTGTCCTTCTTGGACTTTGATTTGTTGCCAGCGTCGGCATCTGCTCTGTCTTGCGATCTGTCGCGCATGATACCCATAAACTTGCGATTGTTGTCGGGAAGGGGTTTCTGCATAGGAGGCATTTCGATGGCAGGAGTGGACTTGCTATGTACTCCGTGCTTCGATTGCTTGAGTATGGGAGACTTTGCTTTTGACTTGGTGTCTGTCAGGTCGTTGAGCTGATCCTCGGCGCGTAATGACTTTGATCTTCCGAGAACTGGCATGCGCTTCTTGGCTGGTTTAGGCTTCGCGTTATTTGAGCTCAGGTTGGAGGCCGAAGTTGAAGGAATGACTGGCGAGGGTTGGGGGCCAGCGGCAGTGAAAGGACGCTGGCTTTGATCCAACGGTGGTACGGCGGGTACTGTCGCGGCTGTTGGGCATTAGTGTCTGTCGCAGGACATCAAAGCAGTCAGTAAGCGGCGACATCACTCACATGGGCCGTCGTCGTTGTCTTTGGCACGGATAGACAAGGAAGGGGAGGAACCAGGAGCTTTGCGGTATGGGTAGATCCAGGTAGAAACTGAACGAGAACGAGACTCTGGCGGAGGATCGAAGTGAGAGACAGTGCTGTCGTCGGTGATGCGGCCGGCTGAGAGAGAAGGACTATGAGCGGAACGGGAGCTCTGGCGCTCGGGGTCTTCACGTGTGCGAGAGAGGTCGGGCGAGGCGGTGGGTAGAGCGGTCAATTCACTGGGCATACCCAGGCCAAAAACATCTCGTGCATCTAGAGAGGATATGTCGATTCCATGGAGGGAAATGGGGCTGCTCATGTGTTTTGGGCGGGAGTCGGCCAGGGTCGAGGGAGATTTGTGCGCCATGGTCTTTGTCCGGGCGACTACAAGGGCAGTGGGTGGTATTGGGAGCTGCTCCTACTGCTACTTGGTGCGGACTGGTGGTGCACCCATCAACGACCGTGGTGGAGTTGGTGGGCTGCTTTCTCTTTCTTTCGTCGACGCTTTCGACAGGGGGGCTTCGGCTGCACTTGTCCCCGGGAGGTCGACGCGCCTTTGTCTAGCGATGCAGCAATATGCACCAAGCTCTGGCGCCTCGGCAAGAACTGCTGCTGGATGGTATACGGGAGCGAGAGAGACAGACTGATGAAGAGAATGGAGAAAGAAAGTCGGGCGGATTGCGTGGTATGGGATTGAGATGAGATTGGCAAGCTTGTCTCGAGTCGTCGACGCGCGCCCACTCTTCGAGCATTCCGCAACATTCAGGAGTCGCTCGACTCAGGGTCCAATACGGGAGCTGATCCCTCTGATCCCGACTCGACTACGGAGACTCCACGCGAAGCACTTCCACAAACACCAGCCACAGCTTTCTTTGTCAACACCCCGCCGCTGCTCCCTCATACCCGCCGCTGCTGCTCCCTCATACCCGCCGTCGCTTCTATACAGGCACACTCCATCGCACCGCTCTACCTCAACACATGTCGCTCGTCGCAGGCCCCGGCCGTGGAGGCTTCTCTCAACTGCCCGTCGAACTGCAGCTCTGTGCCCAGAAACATGTCGACTACATCCAGTCTCTCGATACGGTCCGCCGTCATTACCCCTCCATCGCCTGTCTGTTGCTGACAGCAGACACAGCGCAAGGATGAACTCGAATACTGGCTTACCGAGCACTTGCGCATGAGTGGCATCTACTGGGGTCTGACTCCACTCTATCTACTTGGTCAGCCTGATGCCTTGCCCAGATCCGCCTTGCTGGACTTTGTTCTGTCTTGCCTTCACGACAACGGTGGCTTTGGTGCTGCCCCTGGCCATGACCCTCACATGCTCTATACCGTCAGTGCTGTTCAGATCCTGGCTACATTGGATGCCTTTGACGACCTAGAGCAAAGACTGCCAGGAGCCAAGCATCGCATAGGTCGCTGTCAGTATTCAACAAACCCCGCACCCGCCATTCTGCTGACAATCCTTAGTCATCGCTAGCCTCCAGAAGCCTGACAACGGCACCTTCGCCGGCGACGAATGGGGCGAGACAGATACCCGCTTTCTCTACGGTGCGTTCAATGCCCTCTCCCTGCTCGGTTTGATGCATCTGGTCGATGTCGAGAAAGCCATAGAACACGTACAGTCTTGCGCGAACTTCGACGGTGGTTACGGAACGGGCCCGGGAGCAGAATCACATTCGGGCCAAGTCTTCACGTGTGTCGGAACCCTCGCTATTGCGAATCGACTAGACCTTGTCGACATTGACAAGCTAGGTGGCTGGCTTAGCGAGAGACAGCTTCCCAATGGCGGCCTCAACGGCAGACCAGAAAAGCTTGAAGATGTGTGCTACAGTTGGTGGGTCGTGAGTAGTCTGGCCATGATTGACAGGGTGCATTGGATCGACCAGACCAAGCTGGCAGAGTTCATATTGAAATGTCAGGATCCAAACATGGGTGGCATTTCGGACAGAGCAGGCGACATGGTCGACGTTTTCCACACACATTTTGGAATCGCCGGCCTTAGTCTGCTGCAGTATCCAGGGCTTTTAGAAATCGACCCTGTCTACTGTATGCCCAGAGATGTGACCAACAGAGTACTTGGCCGGACAAGTAAGTAGCGGAGTAGTTCAACCTCACGAGTCAATGACAACCAATTTCTGGAGAGTGGGTTTTCGGAAGTTACGAACGGTTGGTCAAGGCTTCGGAGTCAGGGTCACTTGAAAGCTAAAACCAAACGGTCGAGATAATGGTCAGATACCAGATACTCCAAACACTTGCACGCTATTTTCCTTAAACAACGCTTGGATATCTGTAGTGTTGTTGCTGGAGAGATGAGGAATCTCTCAGACTTGATATTGGACGATCATGCGTCGCCTAGCGCGATGTAGAGTCCATTAGAGAGTCAGAAAAGAGCTTCCCCTCAAGTAAAAACTCAAAACACATAACCTCGCTAGATCTATCTACTGCCTCAAGGCTTTTGTATAGCAAACAATGACAAGGACAAGGTCTTGTACACCAGACGAGTTAACACGCAGGTGGGTTTATCGGTCTTGCAAACTGCGTTGGACTTACTTGCTGAGAGACAAAAGTGAAAATCAATTTAAAGACGCGTCTCCGCAAAAGAAGGACGTCGCGTACGCGTCTGTTCAATCCGAAGCTCCGTCACTCTTCCCATTTCTTCGACCTCTCCGTACTACGCAGCGGCCGTCTATATCTTATTCATCCAGCAGACCGGCGCTATGCGTCCTCCAAAGATTCGTATCACAGCCCGAGTGCTCAGACCGCCTGAGCAGCCTACGACCTTCTTGCTCGCAGTCGAAGAGGATGCCACCTTCCAGCAGGTCTGGAACGCCATAGAGCAACGTTACAAGGAGAACTATGGCCACGGACGCAAAAAGTAAGCATGGAAAACATGGCGCACCTCGAGTCGGCTAACACTTCTGTACAGAGACTGGTTCTTCAAAAAAATTCAAGACGACAGCGGAGCCGATATCGATATACGCGACACCGTCATCGACATCTTTGGAGCAATTGAAGATCCGCACAAGCGCGTAGTCCAGGTCCAGCAGTTGCCTCTCGGTAGAGATGATACAGTGCCTTTCGATTCCCATCTCCACCCTCCTTTGATACCGCCCACGCCCGAGGAACTAGACGAGATGAACAGAAGACGCTCGGAATTCCGCCGTTATGGTGCTACACTTGACAATCTCGACCCAGATCATCCAGTAGAGTCACACGAAACCCCTGCAGAGAAGCGCATAGATCAAGACGGCTTTGCCATTCCAGCAAGAATCAACCGCCCTTCTGTCAGTCACTTTGCTTCTAGCAGCCAGGTCGCTCCAACTAGCAGCCAGGTAGCTCCGAGCTCGCAGCTCATGTCACAAGACTCGTACGAAGAACATCTCGTCCGCTCTCCTGAACTTGGCTCTCCGCTCAAGGTCCCTCCCTTTGTTCCACACCTTGAGACTCCACCCAGAGCAGCCAACACCGCATCGCAATACTCTACACTCGATGCTGTCCCGAGCGCCCAAAAACCACCTGTTGTGCTTCAAGCCGAGACTGCCACTATCACACCCCCGACCATTGAAACGACACTTGATGTTACCGATCCCATCTCTGAGGACTCTCAGCCACGCCTCAGTAGCACCAACAACCAAATCCCTGCTCGCTCATCCGCATCCAACAAAAGAAAGAGCTTGGACAGCAGTGAAGCCCGCGGAGGCAGCGCTCAGAAATCATCAAGTCTTTGGTCAGAAGAGGAGATAGACTTGGTTATCGAAGGGCTGGCCAAAGGACTTAGTCCTGCCGACATCAAGCAGTATCACCTCCCTGCCCGGACTGTGGAGAGTGTCAGGAAAAAAGCGAAGGCTGTTGGAAAAAAGAATGCTGCGGCCATCGAACAACGCAAAGCTAGTATTGCCGCCACATGGACCGAAGACGAAGAAGCGTACTTCGTTCGTGCTATTCGCGACAATCGTTCCTGGAAAAGCCTCCACGACCTTCGTTTTGTGGACCGATCCGACGACAGCGTCAAATTCCATTTCGTCCAGGTTCGGGAACGCCTGCAAGCAGAGAACAAGGCAAAGATTGCCCAAGCCCGCCACCAGGAGCAGCTACAACGTGGTCAAGCTTCGACTGGCACGAACGAGAAGTTTGCCCCAGATGAGGACGACTTCCTCCTGGCTTGCCGAATTGAGAATGTTGAGATGAAGCGTGTGGCTAAAGAGTTCTTTCCTCTCCGTTCCCCAGGTCAGATTACTAGCAGAGCTAATAATCTGTTCCAAGAAGCCAAACGCGCAGCATCCAAGGCCAACCCCTTGAATCTTAGAAGGTCCCCCTCTGTGGAATTCTTGTTCGAGAATGACGCTGGTACCCTTGACAGGCTTTCAGAGCAGTTGCAGAAAGCTAGAGACTTCAAAAAGAAGTCGAGCGGAGACAGGACTAGAGATGCTGAAGAGGCTTCACGTCAAAGGTCAAAGATCAACAGTGACAAGGAAAGGGCCGATGAGCGAAGGGCGAAAGAAACACGGCAGCTGGAGGTGATTGAGGCTCTTGAGACTTCTAAGAAACAAGATGATCAAGTCAAGCAACGCCGACTCAATGACGACCTGGAGCGCGAAAACGATTACAAACAGCAGCTGGCCGCCTGGACCCAGCAGTCAGCGCTTGATAAAGAGGCCGGCCGCCCAATTCAACCACGTCCGAGCCGTCCACTGGGTAGCGGTATCGGAACCGAGGTTTTGACCACCAATCAGACTCCTCGTCCCTCATCCGACCAGAAAACTAGCACCGAGTACACCCATCCCGGATCAAGCACCAAATCACCTACCGACCACGGCAATAAAAGACGACGATCATCCGTCGTTGAAGTACAAGTGGTTATCCCTTGCACTTCGAAGAAGCAGAAGACCAAAGCCACAGCAGAAGCAACCCCTCAAACTAAGCCGCCCGATGCAAAGGCTGCTAGTACTTCCAAACTCGGAGCAATCTCGACACCAAAGAGGACTGCTCCCTCGGTAGCACAATCTGCTATGGCAAAAATCACGAGCATTCGAGGACCCAGCTTCATGCATGATCAGAAAGTCAATGTACAAGCTTCTGCTATTGATCGGAAATCTGCCTTCGCATTTGCTTCCATCTCTGCCACGCAGCCCACCTCTATGAGATCAACAAAGGATGACGCAAATGACAATCTTCGCAATCTGTCATCGCCAGGCTGGCCTGCAGCTAAGAGCTTGCGCCAGTCGAAATTGCCCTTCCTACGCAATGGCCAGCATGCGCCAAAATCCTCTGCAAGAAAGTCAAAACCTGTTTCCGCAACACCGCGACCACCAATCGATGCTATCGACGACAGTGTGTTCATCTCTTCCGATGAAGAATCGTCATATGATGACAAGGACCTCACGGATGAAGCGCTCCATACAGCCGTTGAAAGATCCGAGGCTATGTACAGCAGCAGCCCTACCAAGAGCCCTCAGAAAAAAGGTACCAAGGGAAGCCCGCATAAACATCAGAAGTTGGCTTCCCCTGGCGCAAGCGCTTTCAGGAGCAGTCCTCCTGTCGCATCCATACCGACGCCCAAAGCTAAGCCTTTGTACGGCAAGGCAGCTCTCGAGTCTATATCACAGGCAAGATTGGCTCGTACGCCAAAAGCACGTCCAACCTCGATCACGAACGGTCATAGCCCAGATCTCAAGCATAATGAAGTTCTCGTTCCATCTTCACAACCTGGTGTTCTAGCAGCGACCCAGGAGGACATAAACCATGCGTACAGCATGCCTGGACTCGAGATGAGTACAGCAGAACCCGATGGGCTCAGTGATCCAGAAGAAGATGCTTTGATGCTTGATGAGGATCAAATCGAACATGCCACCCACTCCACTCCCGTGTTCCCAAGTTCGAGCCCCGAGATTGGAGCGCAAGAAACATTTGACGTTGCTTCGTTCGATGGAGAAGGCGATACGGACATGTTGGCTGCCAATGATACCCCTGGTCAACTCCCTGTTCAAAGACATGACGATGTGCCTCTGCTAGGTGCAGACTTGTGCTCAGAGCAGGGCAAAGGCCCTGCGCGCAATGATCCCAACAATGTGGTCGAGAGTAAGAAGGTGCTCGAAACACATAAACATTCAGATTCAGACGATGTAGAATCTATCAAGTGTTGGCGTAGTGACTCGATTGAACACAGTCTAATCTCGGACTACGACGAGAACTACCGCTCTGATGATGACGACGACGAAATGCCGTTTCCCAAGCCTACGCCTCGAATGTTCGGCCCTTTCAGGATCTCCAATACCAAGCGCACTACACATCTCAATGCTTCTGTCCAGCCCAACAAGGACACTCAACCGACAGACGTTGCACAAAAGGAGAACGTTCTCGGCGAGAAGACAAAAGACATCCTGGATCCTCTTCCAAACACGAGCATGGCACCTGCTACTCAAAGCAAGGATGATCACATTAACCCATTCACGTCACCCACAGCTCGCCCTTCGGAATACTCATCGGACGTCGAAGAAAGTGGTGGAAGGTCGCGCAGAGGCCAAGGACGTAAAGCTAAAAAGAGACGCAGTCGTATCCTTGACGATGCTCATCTGTTCAGACCGCCACCATCAACCGCACCTCCTGACATCTTGACCGGCTTGAGCTCAAGAAAGAAAGGCAAACAGCCCGTGAAGGATAGTCCAGAGAAGAAGCCAGAAAATGCGATCAAGAAAAACCGAGACGCAACTCCGAGACATGAGAAAGCCGCGGACGTGCCTTCAAGCTCCAAGCAAGAGACGACCCTGAAAAAGACACCCAAAGCTTCCAAACCCTCAAAGGAGAAAAGGCGATCGCTGGGCCTGGATGAATCTTTGAAGAACGTGCTGGAAAAGGGTCAAGCTTTTGGATCCCAACCTCAGGCTACTCCCGCTTCTGAAAGGCGCAAAGCGAATAAGCCTGCCTCAACCCAACCTGCCAAGAAGGCTACTCCTGGCGCAATCCCCGATAGAGCAGCATCAAGTCAACCTAATGCCAATACGGCCACGGGCCAGCCTATCAATGCGAGAGCCTTCGATTGGGATAACGCACAGGGCCCCGTTGAACTAATGCGTCAGGCAGACCAGCGTATGCGCGATGCCGCCAATATGCGCCCTGAAGATTTCTGGCGTCAGTCCAATCTGGTTCAAATGAATGAAGAGCAGATCTTGAGCCATATGATTGAGCAAGGCGTCCAACGATCAATGAACCCAGAGCAATGGGCAAGAGACAATCCAATTGCAGCAGCATTGATGACCCCGACAGTTCAAAACGAGCCTGCAACACAGCCCGCTGGAACCTCAGCCGGTCGCATTGCTGCATTGTCAACTCACTCGAATGATGCGGCACCCAGATCAGCGACGCAGCCAGCCATGCAGACTCGCAACCAGGATGATGACGATGACACCTCAATGTCGAGCGACCAGGATGACAGTGATGAGGAAGATGCGGTGGAGGCTATAGAGAATATGGCTAGCAATGTTAGACGAGATGAAGCCAGGCGTGAGGAAGCTAGACGTGCTGAGGCCAGACGTGTTGAGGCTAGGCGTGATGAGGCCAGAAGAAGAGCCGCGGCCGCCTTGCCAAACTGGTAATGGAACACATAGTTTGTAGTGACTTAGTAGTTATTGTATTATAGATAATATGAATAGGCTTCTCCTTATGTCGCCATGTCGATTTATCGCGGGTCAGTCTCTTTGCCTGGGTTGCGTCCAATCCAACCAAAGCTGATTGCGAAGCATATCAGTTAGAACGCACAATATCCGGAATGACAAAAATATGGTCCCGACTGGGCTTTTATTATTCACGCACCGTGCAATACATGTCCAGCTGTGGTCTCACGAGTGTCGGACGTTATAAGCATGCTCGGGAATCGCCTGTTACCTGTACCGCTCGGATTTCCTGTGAGCACAAATGACGAATAATGCTTTCACAATTGTCGGAAGTCGTCAGACTCTTACAGCCGCAAGCCATGCCCAGCTGCTGGTTTCCGGAAGGGAGTTGCTTGCTTGTCCTACCAACCCACGTAAGCTCCAAGAGACTGGAGACCAACACCACTTGGCCAACAGCAAGGTGTGAGAGGGCGCTCATGCAAGCCCCGATCCTATTTCCAAATACAGCTCCCGGTACCCCCCACGCGTTGATCAATATATTCGAATCCGCGCCTTATGGATGCAAGCTGGACGAAGGTTCCGTTAGCTGCATGTGTTTATGCGCGGCCCGATCTGGAAACGTGATACAAGTTATCGCGTGCTGCGGTCGCGCGGTCGCTTACTTCTGGTCAGCTCTTGGGGATTTTTGCAGATCTTGCAGGAAGTCAAATAGACAGAGGGCCCACTGGCATGATTATCATGAGTATTTGAATATCTCATGGAGTCACTGAAAGCTGCTTCAAGATCTACGAATCAAATACCCCGAAAGATGAACGGAGTGGGGAGCCCAGGTGCAACAACACCTCCAAGAGTCTATTTTCGGGAGCAACAGCGGGGAGATCGGCCTCGGCCTTCCTCTCAGCTTACTCTGCGTCTACCTCCAACACTCCAAGTTTGTCGATTCGTCCAATGTCTGTCAACCTAGTTGGTACATGTTTGCTCCGGCTGCCGGGATGTTGCAGTATGCGGGAAGCTCGTGGATGTATTGGCGGGACAGCAGTTCATACTCGCACCCGTGCCCTCCATTATCTTCCTATATCCCCCCAGTATCACCTTACCTCCCCGTCATGTCCAACAGTCTTTTCGCTCGGAGATATAACACCGGTGGTCTCGAGGACTTCCGACCGTACGCCGTGAGATTGAGTCAGGCAGTCCCAATGGTACTTCCCAGATTAGCCACCTAAGTTTCAACTCAGCAACACTCATCTCTCACCATCCTCGCTATGGCGCAACACTCGAGCTTTTGCTCTGCCAATCAAGCCGATGAACAATGTACAGCCAGAAGAAGTGTGTCCATATTCTCCCGACGAGGGACTATCACTCCCAAATTGAAGACATCCTCAATATACGAAGCCATGACGAACATGTCTGCTGCACCCAGCAAAGCAGAATCTCCCAGTAGCCCGAGGAAGAGCTTTTGGATGAGCAAGTTCAAATCATCGAAGAATCAGGAAGGGACGGTGCTACATGCCGTGCCACAGAACTCGGCCGAACGCTCGATGTCGGCCTTGGACATCGCCAGGGCTATCTCTCCGAACGAGGAAATCCTGCAAGCCATCGGGAAGTCCAGTACGATCAACACATCTCCTCCCGCATCTCCTCTGGACAATCGCGAAGTCATCTCTGCGAGTAAACAGCATGGTGTCTTCGACAGCAGAATTGGAGTCTGGCGTGACGGAGTGGTGCTTTGGGATGTGGGCAAGTCACCTAAGAAACTAGAGACTCCGCTTGAGCCTTCAGGAAAAATCACATCATTCTCTTCAGCAACAGACAAAGCACGTCGGCCACGCCTCTCCGTGAGAATACCTGGTAGCAAATTACGACAGATCTTGGGAGAAGAGGCACCTGTCCCTGGCGACAAACCAAGGCAATCGCCGCGGGATGAGGCGCTGATTCATGGCAATAAATTGAGGCAGATACTAGGGGCAGAGGCACCGATCCCTGCATACAAACCCATTCGTGCTGCGCCTGCCATGGTCGCAACCAGGTACTCGACATCGCCTCAGCCATCGAGTCCAAATGAGATGGCCATACACCCAGCCCTTCGCACTACAAGTCCTCTTATTGGAAACAGAAGAAGCGAGGTCAGATCCCTATCGAGCGGCGATAACAGCAGGTCATCAGTATCGAGCAACACCATCTTCCAGGACGATACGTTCGACAATGGTTCTTGCTACAGCAGAAGTTCATCAATGACAAGCGTAGAAGCAGAATCTCCAGACGACCTTGTACAAAATTCGCACTGGAACTATCTGGACGTGCCTAAGAGATCTGTCAGCGCTGCATTCTCCATCACATCTCCGGTACAAGCGGGCATATTTGATGAGGTATCTGCCGACGGACATACCCCTCGTGCGGGCCCTACATTCCAACACCTCCAGATCCCGGCCTTGGACCACCGTGCTCCAAGCCCTACTTTCAGCGAAGCAGTTCATGATCTGCAGAGGCAGTTAAGCACCATTACCGAGGGGACGTCACCAACAGCTTTCGGTGGCAATGCTGTTGGGAAACCCCCGAACTATAATCTTTCGGTCGACAACGTGTCCCGGGCGCCCACCTTGCCTAAGAAATCGCGTAAACGCCAATGGGTACAGCCGGTCGGTGTTGCACACGGCAAGCCTGCACCTGCTTCGATAGATGTCCCAGTCCGCCGCCAGTCAGTTCCTACTAGACAGGAGAACAGGCTCAGCAGCCACGGAGAAGACATTCGCAGAGTTTCAAGCGTTCGTTGCTCTCTATCGCACGATGTTGAGTCTATGTGGCTGTCTTGGAGTGCATCGTCGGTGAAGAAGTCTTCAGCTTCAGCTTTTGAGCAGGAGGTTGTATGTCTACAGATCATGGCCGCCTCGCTGTCCTTCGAGGATTTGGACTCTTTGTCGATGGTCAGCAAGACCGCAAGAAGATTTTACGAAGAGAACAAGCTCCATCTTCTCAAGTCAGTCCTATTCAACGTGTCTCCACCAGCCTGGGAGTTACGAGAGCTCTCACCCTTCCCCTTCGGCCACTTTATGCCTGCCGAATTCCTAGAGGATACTGGAATCACTCCTTCGACTTACATGTCATGTATCAGCCATGATCGTGCTATCGTGCAAGAGCTCAAAGACGTCATCGCCACGAAATGTCAGTCTTTCCTCCGTCCCGAGACAATTTCTTCTCTCATGACGGAAGGTTGCACGAGATCTGAGGACGCCATTTATCGTATTTGGTCGTTCTGCAAAATCTTCGGCTGCGACAGAGGAAGAGATAATGATCTGAAAGGCCAGACCGACTGGCTTAAGGGTGGTATCCTTGCCCATCAGAAAGGCTGCGCTGCTACTCTGAGTTTCAGTCCTGAATTTGAGATGGATGGCATCTTGCTGAATGCACCAGACCACTTTGCAGCTGGAAATAGTTCCGGATTGTCTGCGGAACAGCTGTACGATATGTCCGAGATCTGGGAATGTCTGTACGCATTGATGCAGCCTTATGAAGAAGAGACAAGTAAAGCACAAAGCACTGGTATCTTCCGTCACACCGGTGGCAACTTCATGGATCCCATGGTACAGGCCAGTGTGGTTGAAGAGTGGATAGCTTATATCCTATCACTCGGACCATCGGTCGTACTTGAGCTCGCAAGATTCCAAGATGCGAGCGATGCTGGATTCGACTTTGCTCAATTGAACGATTGGACCGACTGGGCACCACTGCAGTCTGGTATGACTCGCCGCAGATTCTTCCGAGAACCAGTCGCACAACTTTACGAAGAGAGACTACTTGCTACCACGGCTGGCACGCAGACGAAGGACGTCACAAAAACGTTACTTCGGAAGCGTCAGACCGCAGAGATGAACCTTGCTTACCGCCAGATGTCCATGAGCAACAAGAAGAACAAAGTAGTACCATGTACGCTTTATCGACGAGATAGTGCACTCGCACCAGAAGTTCATAGGAAGTCGAGCTCCAGTAGCCCAACAACGCCCTCGTCTCCGAGGCCTTTTTCTCCCGATACCGCACATGGTGGCAGAGTGCAGCCCAATTCTTGGTCGCCGAGAAAAGTGAGCCCTATCATCGAAGACCGGGTTGATACGTTCAACAGATTGAGTATGCTGAGCTTCGAGGGCATGGCCGAAGATACATCAGGATTGGCCATTGGCAGAATTATGGACATTGGTTTCTCAAACGCGCAAGCTAAGGAGGCACTGCGAATAACTGATATGGGGAATGGCTTGAGGGTAGACCGAGCTGTGGACTGGCTGTTGAGGCAAGACCGTTTCTAGTTCTGGTGTCGTGTTATTATTATCACTATTGCGGAGGTTGTTAAATAGACATTTACCTCGAACGAATCACGAATTTCCAACCATCATTTTGAGAGCAACCCTGACCCGTGAATTTCGCCATAGCATTTGCGCAGAGCCGCAAACTAAAATCAACAAAAACATTGTGTGCGCTTTCCCATTCTCGAGATCAATCAACTCACATCACTCTCATGAATCCATCAAATATAATGGGTTCTTCCTCCGATTCGGAGTGGGAGACAGACGATTCTGAGCCTCGCGCTTCAACAAGCAGGAACAATACTCGTCGTACGAACGCTCCTGGACAACGCGACCTGCCCCCTTTCGACATCAGGGATATGTCTCCCTTTGGCGATAGTGCCCTCGGGGATTTCATGTACGGTATGGGAGCCAATGGGTTTGGTTCGATGCTCAGAAACAATGGTGTTCCGCCAATGGGCTTTGATCCTCGTGATTTCTTTGGCAGCGACGACTACTACGAAAATTCCACCGATGACGACGAATTTCCCAATGAACAAGGTTCTTCTGGGGATGGTGGCTCTTCTGAAGACAATCGTCCTCCTGCCAATGAGGTTCCTGCTGACAATGATGATTCTGATGATGATTCTGATGATGACTCTTCTTCTGAAGATTCCGAGGAAGAAGAGTATTGGGCTATGTACAGAGCCGAGGAACAGAAAATGAAGTTGAGAAAACAGCAAGCCAAAGAGGGAACCCGGAAACATTCCTCCATCGGTCCTTCAGATACCTCCGCATCTGGCTCCGCTCCGAAGGATACCAAGCAGACTGAGAGTGCTTCGACTCCTATCGCATCAACTGCCGAGGAGAAATCGACACAAGCTCGCAATCGAGGCAATGATCTGTACCGCAAAGGCTTATTCGATGATGCGACCAAGGCATATTTCGAGGCACTGTCTTTGACCCCCAACGACCCGGCACCACTCTCAAATCTTTCTGCCGTACAGTTCGAGCTGGGTAACTATTCTGGATCGGAGGTCTACGCTGAGAAGGCGCTCAAGCTTTTAGAAGACGAGGAAGACACTAACGTGAAGAAACAAAAACTCTTCGTTCGATTAGCAAAAGCGAAGGTTCTGACTTCTAAGGATGCCGCTCTCGTGGCCACGAAGGTGGAATCTTCTGTTGAAAAGGACAAAATCCTGAAGAGCATGGCTATGAACATTGCAAGCAAGAAATCATCTTCTTGGTCAAAAATCTTGGACGAGCTGTCCATATACAGACCATCATTGTAAGTTGACTGTGGTGCGCTTGAGTATCTGATTCTAACGGAGAATGAATAGGGAAGCAGAGGGAGAGTATTACGCTGTGGGCCATGATCCACCCAACCCGGAGTTGGACAGCAAGATGATTTCATCGAAGGGCGATCTTTCTTGGATGTTCGCAGGTATTGGAGATGCACGAAACTTCTTTGCAACTCTTATACATCTGGACAAGGCCGAGCACGATAAGAAAACCAAGAGGAAATTCCATTTCTCACTCCTTGATTTGAAGGCAGCAGCGATGGCCAAGGTCCTAGTTCTGCTCCACTTGCTCAACCAGATCGGTGATCGCGGTGCTTTGACGTGCTTGGCCTATGTCTTTGGATCAATCATTATGCCAGCTTTTGCCTACGACAAGTTACAGCAAACGGTCACCGCGCTTGTTGACAAATTGCAAGCTGGTAGCCCTGTTGCAGACTGGATATACATTTCAGAGGCTCAGAGAGCTCCACTGTTGCGTCAACTCCGTTCATGGCAACAGCATCTCGATGGGAAGTACGATACAGCCACGTTCCGTCAGCATGGTCTCTTGCAAGCTTCACAGGGAAAGATGGGTCGCTACAGCACCCATGGAGCTGAAGACCATGTTCCGCCTTTCTGTGAGCGCGACGATGTGATATTCTGGACATATGGTATTGTCATGCCGCAAGGCGAACTGGCAGCCAAGCATGAGAAGCAGCTGCTCCGGCTTATCGAGGGTCAGAAATTGAGCCCGAGGGGACCTCCCCTGCCAGATCGAAAGATCACCGATTACATTGACCGGAATTGGAAGCCGAACGTGACCCTTGTCGACATTGACTGGGAGGCTAAGCGCCAAAAGCGAGACTCTAAGGATCCACCCGACTTCACCTTCAACCCGCCCGAATTGGCATTCGTTATGTTCGCATGTCAGGAATTCCTGTTGTTCTGTCCAGATGAACAGCACGCGAGAATTTTCGGACTCTCTAATCTGCTCGAGTATTTCGAGTTGTTCTTCAGGTCCACTATGCTAGCTCTGAAAGAGCTTCGCTCTCGCTTGTGTGTGGAGATTGTCGTAGGTGAGATGAATGACTGTTTGGAGCGCATACACCACGACACTTGGAGCACACGAGGTCAGAAGCAGGGCAAGTTCGACCCGCAACAGTTCCCGAAACTGTACAACCGTGTCCACATGAGTAACATCCCGTGAGTAGTTTGGAGCCTCAGATGTACTTTTCTATGCTAACTTTCTCTAGTGACTATGTGGGTGGTGCGCTCAGCACATTTCTATTCGGCGTGCCCCTTCTGCAGCGCGAGAAGAGTTCTGCACTCAATTCTTGCGTTCTGCTCAACACTCCGGCTTTCAACAACCACGAAGACTACCTCGCTGAGTACACTCTTCTCACGGGCTTGAACAGTGTCGAAAGACACTTTGGCGTTGAGTTGCGAAAAGATTCTTCGTCCCTCAATGGCTGGGGTCGGCCAGGTGTAGTGCTCCATGACTATACCATGTGGACTGTCAGATCACAGGGACCGCCTAAGAAGCTCCCTGCCAACGAGCGTATGTCCCGCGCAGCAGTCGAGAAGTATCTTCAAGCACATTTGCTCAAGATCTGCTTACCTTACCCTCGACCAAAGCTCTCTGCTCACCAAGCTGTGCGTGCACCCTTGAACCTGACCGTGCTCTTCCGGTTGATTTCACATCTTCAAAGTCTTGGATATCCCGCCCATTGGTTCTCGGACATTCTCGGGCAGATGCTTCAAGGAACAGTCTTGACTACCGCAAGAGCTCCCAGACAGTTGGTCACCACTGTAGGAGCGGCTAAGAAGGTGTATTCTTCCATGAACATCAGCGTCAAGCCGTGGCTTGCGGAGCTTACGACTTTGAGTAGTATCTGGAGAGGACTGCTTCCCTTTGGACTGCTCTGCGAAGACGGTCTGGTCCCTGACATCGGGCGTGTTAGCAAATACAGCCTCAAATTCCCCATGTCTAGCGACGACATGCTCAACAGACCACACTTCACAGTCATCTTCTGGAACACCTCCCTTGGTGCAGTCCCAACCAGCTTGAGGTGGCGCCTTCTTGATGATGAGGAAGGGGACCGCAGTCGCAAGGCGATAAAGATCCGTGAAGAGGGCATCCATATTCTAACGACATTCCAGTGGTCATCAGACACTACCACGGCAGCTTTCTGGTTGCAAAGCGATGTCGTGAAGGCAATGCAGAAAGGGGACTGGAAGGCTTACATCTGGAGACTTGACACCTGGCAGCCGGTCACCTCGGGAGTCTCTGTACGCGACCATATCCGCACGCTAGGCAATTGGAACGGAGAGAATATCCCTGACAAGAATGACGAGGAAGAGCTTCCTATCAGATCTGCGTCAAAGGCCTCCACCGAGACCGCAAACATGTCATCTTCGACCCAGGAAACCACACCTTTAGTCCAAGATAAACAGACACCCTCCATCCCCGCCCACATATCCAACGACGTCGATCGCAAGCTGGTAAGAGAATTCCAGATCACTCTCATACGTCTCGTAGCTGCTGCCGACGAGGATGTAAAAGAGCCCGGCCTCCCCGGGTCAGTCAAAAAAGTGCGTCAAGCCTACGTCCGCGCCATCGCCGAATACCGCAAACGTACAGATCCCAGCTTCACACCAGCCAAACCCACCAAATTCGAGGACAGCCCTCTCGGTGAGCTCATCAACGAAGTTCGACAAGTCGAGTGCATGCTTCTTGGTGCTCCTCTGCTTCCTGCCGACTTGAAATGCCAGATGCATGTTGCTAGCCTTGTTGCTGGAACTGTGTCTTCTACGGAGGTGCCTAGTAAAGAGTCCCTGTCGTTTTTGGAGAAGTTTGATCAGCATATCGAAACTAGGAAGAGGTATGATGCTTGGAAGGAGAAGCAGTGGAAGGAGCCAAAGGAGCCGGGACAGGTGAATTCGGATCGTGCTCCCAGTAAGATGTTGGGTTCCATCCGCGAGTTGGACTCCCTGACAACATCACAACTTCCAGGATATTGAGTTGGTGTTTCCAGACGGATAGTCCGACTAGTGGATGATATTTCTCTGGCTACGTGTACTTACCTTGTTGTACAAATAGTCTAGAATTACTGCTCTATCAAGTCTGTCTCTGCCCTTGACAGCGAGCAAGATTGTAACATCAGTTGTGCTGTCCTATCCAATCACTCCCACTTCCAAAATCAAGCGTTTTTGCAAACGTAAATCCAGAGATTCGGGGTTTCTCGCAACAAAGACCTGTTTGGCTCGAGTGGATTTCCGATGCGAAGCGCGGCTTGAACACCCGATACTGCTTCGTAAACTTGCGAACATCCCAAATCGAAATCAATGGTCCGGGGATCGACTCCCTAATGCTGCTCCTCTACTAAAAGCTGTACAATGCCCGCGGGTGTGTTTCTTCGCGGTAGAGGAAACATGAATTAAGCGAAACGGTGACAAGTCTGGCAGAAGTCGGGCGATCCGCGTAAGGAGATGGGCATCCTTTTGCTCTACTGGCGTCGAGATGGATAGGTTCCATTCGTTTTGTGACGGAGCCATGGAGACCGACAAAGGATGATGATGGCGAAGAGCGGAGTTGATTGTAATGCTAGCTGTGCATCTCGTGCGATCGAGTAATGGTTTTTTAAGGATGATTCTGTAAGTGGTGCATTGAAAGATGGTGATGAATGCGGGCACAGTCGATGATCGATATGGTCCGAGGCGGTCGCTGCGAAGAGGTCGCTTCAAGAAGCACATATGTAAATGGTAAATGGTGGTCATAAAGTCGTTATATAAGTACATGCAATAAGGGAAGCAACATCCATTCATCAAACTCCCTCAGCACCGGTAGCTAACTCCGAATGTCCAAGCCAGCGGCCTTCAAAGATCGAAGAGTGGTGTGAATTGTGTATAGTTCCTTCAGATTCGTGTCGTACATCGTTCTTGCTCGCTCGAACATGCAATGGGTATCGTGTTGATTGATTGTTGAAGAAGTTTACTTCTTGGCTTCGGGACCGACACCTCTGACGGCGCTGTAAGATGTATTAGTATGATATGGTTGAAGGTGAAAGTTGATAGTGCTTACGAGTCCCACATCTTGCCGAGCATACCCTTTCCAGGGCCCTGCTCCTCAATGCTTGCGCGGCGGGCAGAGTAGGCAGCGTTGTCGGGGCTGCGCTTCTGAGACAGAAGGTTGTTGAAGAGACCACCGGAAGAGCGACGACGCTCACCATCGAAAGAGGTCTTGGGGGCAGTGTCGGTGGGAGAAGACATGATGTTCGATTGATTGAAGGTTGGTTGGTTGTTGTGGGGAAGTGATATTGATTTATTGATGCTTTGATGAGGAGATATGCTTGATGAAAAAACCAAGAGATGATGGGCGAGGTGCAACAGTCTTATACCTTTCGTGCCACCTCAAGGAGCTTACCTTCAGAGCTCTCGGTCATGTCATCGGAGTCGGAGCTTTGTTCCATTCGTCGTCAGGCCTTTCCTTTGTTTGCTCGACCACTCCCCTGGGTTGTGGTGCTCTCGTGATTCTTGCTGGAGATCGCAGCGCCGGTCAAGCCATCGACACATATTTCGTCGTCATGGTGCTGAACCCAATTCAGCACAACCCAATGGTTATCACCCCTCAGGCCGTTGACTTTAATCCTCTCGCCGAAAAAGGGCTGGCCTCTTTGCAAGCCACCACCAAAGTGGAGGTGAGTTTCGCTCCTTCCCCACGATAAGGCTAGCCGCTAGACTTCTGCGTCACGATCGGGAGTGCGGGGAAGAAGGCTTGTTGATGTCATCGGTCTGGTCCCTGAATCTGTTTCAACCTCTGCCCTTTCCAATTGGTCGCGGCAGCAGGTGAGATCGCTTCCGCTCTTCTTGAGTTGAGCTTATCTCACGACCGCTTTCGATCCGCGTGGATTTTGATACCACAAAAAGATATGCACATGTCAAATCTTGGTGAAACATGCTAACCGACGCAGATGTGGCTTGGGAGAGTTGAGATGGGCATCGACAAGGTTGAGTCTGGATGCCAGCATGTGGATTTGTGCCTTATCGTTGAGTGAAAATCACCTTCGGAGAACGCTCCATGCTCCGATGCAAAGGACATGTGTTTGATGAGTGAGGATCTGACGAGCTTTTCGGCCGGTAAAAGTGGTTCTCCCATGACGAGCTTTGAATATCGGGCTGTGCAGGCCGCTGGAAAGTCGTCGTGATTTGGAGGATGACTTGACTGAGGGCTTGAATCGAAGGCGTCTTGTTTGTCAGAGATAAACACGTCCGTTGATTGACGACCGCTTCTATGGCTGAGACTTCCAACTGCAGAGCTGTCGCGAACAATCATTTGCATGGGCAGCGCAACAACATGACCATTTGCTCCAGTCTTTCGGAGCGGACTTGCCATGTCCCTAGTGACTATTAAAGATGCTTTCTTCTCTGCATCGCTCTTTGAGCAGGAACTGAATAAATTTAGTCCTTGGACCAATGTGAACGACGAATCTCAACCGCAGAAAGGCAGCCTCTTCAGTGCTTGCTCGATATTCCATCACCGAAGATCAGGATTGTCGTTCGACGTGGAATATCATATCAACCGTATCATCATCGCTTCACATCAGTACTTTTCAAATCCGTCTAATGATCAGTTGCCGGTCGTCTTCAATCCCAAGTGCCTGAGTGGTCATGTCGTGTAGGACCTCGTTTGTTTGCATGATGCTCTTCTGGTTGTGAGAATTCGCGGCGGACTCGTGCAGCCAGTGTCGGAATAAGTGAGAAAGAGCAAGCCGTACTCTTTTGTGAGTATCATGTTCGGGTCATGATGGCTCTGGGTATTTCATGCCGATACCGAAAACATGACTCTCATGACCTACAGGCATAATCCGACTCATGTCGCTCATGCCGTTTGTGTAGCATTGATGACAATCATATGGTTCATGATCTGTCGAGTCTGTTCGGTTTTCAAGGCCCGTCGAGTCTGGTTGTTTCTCGGGACTCGCGTGATGCCTCCGTTTCGACCAGAGCCTTGCGCCTGCACGATAACTACTACCACACGACAAGGCTTGTAACAGTTGTGAGATTGCAGGAATGCGGTATGCGATGAATTTGACGGGTTCAAGAAGTTGAGCCGAAGGAGCGAAGGAGAAAACGCCAAGACATTACATGCTTGAGTCAGGGCGATTTACTTCCAAGGGTCCGCGATAACAGGCAACAACCCTCACTTGGTTTTAGCTTTGACCTTTGCGCCAAAACATCCTGGACGTCCCACCGCCGCTCAATTATCGCCTTCTCCATACCAAATCAATCATCGCCGAACATTTCCCTCTTTACCAACAACAGCGCTCTACAGGGCGTGAACCGACAGCAAGATGGGTGGCGATTTGAACTTGAAGAAGTCATGGCACCCCGTGCTCATGTCCAACCAGAAGCGCGTGTGGGAAGAGGAAAAGAAGGCGCTGGATGAGCGCAAGAAGATCGACCAGGTGCTCAAGGAGCGTGCCGAAGAACGTCAAATCCAGGAACTACAGCAAATGCAAGAAGCCGCTGGCGGCAAGAAGCGTGTCGACAGGGTGGACTGGATGTACGGCGGTCCTGCCGATGGTCAAAAGGGAACCACTGAGGAGATGGAGTCATACTTGCTCGGAAAGCGAAGACTGGATGGACTTGTCAAGAGAGATGCAACCGAGGCTATGCAGAAGGCTGCCGCTGTAGGTCCATCGGCCTTGCAAATCGCAAACAACCAGAAGGACACGGCAACAAAAGTCCGCAATGACCCCATGCTGGCCATCAAGCAGCAAGAACAGGCCGCGCTCGAAGCCATGATGAGCGATCCAACCAAGCGCCGTGCCTTGCTCAAGGCCGCTGGCAAGGAAGAGGACGACCCCAAGCGCAGCCATCGCAAACACCGACACAGAGATGATGATCATCGCAGCAAGCGCAGACGCCACGACGACTACAGCGACGATGAAAGACGTCCATCCCACAGACACCGCTCCCACCGAAGCCGTCGCTCACCCTCATACTCTCGCTCACGATCACCCGAGCGTAGAAGAAGAGACGACAGGCGCGATGATAGGCGTGACGATGAAAGACGCTCCTCTCGCAAACACGAATCACACCGTCGTAGTATTTCACGGTCGCCAGACTCGCGCAGACGAAAGTCATACCCCAGCCCTAGACGATCAGATTCCCGTTCACCATCTCGCAAACACAGAGAAAGGGATACCAGACGTCGTTCGCCTTCTCCGGTGCGGTCAAGGACAGACAGAAAATCTCCCTCGCCCAGACGTCGTGCATCACCAAGCTATGAACCATACAGCAACCGTGGTCCTCGACCATCAAGAAACGACAGAGACGACCGACCACCCAGACAATTCAGAGACGACAATCGTCCTTCTAGGCACGAACGCCCAGCTTCTCCAGACCATGAGGCTGAGCGTCTTGCGAAGCTGGCCGCCATGCAATCAAACGCAACAGATCTGGAAGCGGATCGTAAGAAGCGTCTAGCTGAGCTCGAAGAACGCGATCGCAGACAGAAAGAAGAAGACGACAAAAAGAGAAGCGAAAAGGGTAAATTCGTAGGTCAAATCAGAAGCCAGGCCGACATGGGTCAAGGTGGTGGCTTGGGCGCAAGACTCGCTGGCAGGACTGGACTGCAGAGATTAGCTGGGGATGAGTAGACTGCATCTCTATATCTGCGAGGACTTGGATGGATCAAGAAAGAAGTGGTTTGATTTGCATTGCATTATTATTTTGCGTCAGGAAAGCACACCTAAGCAGCATTACCCACAGCCTCTGAGGAATATTATCAACCCACATCCTCTTCACTGTGTCCTTACAAACCCCCTCCGTTCTCCATCTTGTGAGGGTCCCAGTCTCTGAGATATTTCATCCTAGCGCACGCTCGCTTCGGAACACTGACGAAGAGATATGTTACTATAGGCCCCGGCGATCTTTGACCAGAACAATGGATTATGGTGTTGCGAAGGAGCGATACACGGCTCGAAAAAGGGCCTCCCGAATCGGGTCAAAGTCGGTTGTGAGTGGTATGACCCTGATCGCGTATAATACCATCGATATCTTCATGTCTCGGCCTCTTAAGTGTTCTCGACGATCATCAAGGCAGGTATCAAGGGTATATAGCATTGTACACTTGATATCTTCGATGCTAATAGTAAGGTAATGATGATTTGACATGTTGTGGTCGTTTCTGTTATCAATTGTTCAATCTACCGAAGGACAGGAGGTATTCTTAACGTTGATTCTCTCTTCGCAGTCAACGTCGATATCCTTACAAGATCTTACTACAGCAGCGATATCTGGTTCTTCTTCAATACCTCGATTCTTGTAGATCGAGTATACCGATGAAGAAAAAATTTCAGTCCAGCTCAACTCGATTAGAAGTTTTGAGTCTGACATTGGGAAAAGGGTATAAGGTATGGTTAAAGTGGCAAGACCACAACCTCAACACCCCAAATGATTCACAAAAGTCCACATGATGTAAATGACCAATTGCTGCAGGACTTTTTTTCGAGAACAAAGTTCCAAAAAATTATTTCCAGAGAGAAAGTGTTCTGTGCAAAAGAGTTCTCTCGTACTATTTTCCTCGACTCTGATATCCTTGCTTGTGGAATGATGAAGAAAAAAGCAACGATATTGAGGAGGTTCTCTTGTCTGGGAGTGATTAGTGCGATGGCTTATGTGATGAAGAGGATAGGGATGCGACTTAGCTCTGAGTGATATTGGAGGGAAATAGGAACTAGAGATAATGAAAACAAGTCAGTGTTTGTAGCGTGGAAGATGGGATGGGATATGACTCAACTTCCAACTAGCGAACAGAAGCAACAGCAAAAAGTCCATCCAGGAGACAACGTATGCCGAAGCAAAAGAAGAAGAAGGAACAAGCACACATAATGTCTTGACCATCAATGCGTTCTAAGACAAAACCACATAATGTATTGACCATCGACACGAGAAAAAAAAAAAAAGAAGCAATAGCATAATGTATTGACCATTGATGCAACTACTTCCAAAGAAAAGTTCCAAAAATTGTTTCAGAGAGATGTGCTCTGTGCAAAAGAGTCTCTTCTTACTATTTTCTCAAACTCTGAACACCCTTGCTGCGGAAGAATGATGAAAAAGCAAGGGTATTGGAGGAGATGCTCTTGTCTGGGAATGATTCAGTGATTGTGTTCGTTTTGAGATAAAAGAGAAGTAGGATAAGGGGACTTAGCTAAGGGCAAGAAGACAGATTGTGGAAAGAACACACTGGAGAGGTGGGAATGGGTTAGTTACTTTGTTCGCTTTGGAAGATGAGTAGGGAGGAAAGGTGGACTTAGCTCTGGACGAGGGCAGATGTGATGTAGAGAAAGAAGGAAGGAGGGAGAGAGAGCACTAGAAAGTTGCTTATATGGAGAGGCTACGTTGCGTGTTGGCTAAAAGAGTCACAGGAACTGGCTAGGACTAGTGGTAAAGAAACTTGCTCGACTTTTGGTCATAAGCCAATTAGGACACCTCGGCTTAAGCAATGGTATAGAAATATCAATTCATCCTTTTGCAACGACGATGTGATGAAAGCGAGAAGAATAGAACAACAGATGAATAGTTGATGAGAACATCAAGTCACGATGTGTGAGAAAACATGATACGTTGGTAGAAGGAAGTAGGAAGGTGATGTGGGTATAGAAAAGCGTAAATTTTCGATTTGACCAAATGCAGCAGCAGCAGCAGCAGCAGATTCCAGATGCCTGATACCAAGAAGAGGCTGATAAGCTGACGAGTAAAACGCCACTCCATGCAGGCTATCAATTCTATTTCAACAACGAAAGGCGCGAAATGCAAAGAAAATCATGTTGCTTGCCCATCCAATCGTAGTGAAGACCGTTCCACCACCATTATATCCCTTCCTGTAGTTTACAGCCTACGTCCAATGTTTCCGAATGCGACAGCACTGACGAACAACACACTGGCAATCCATGTAGCCACACCCACACTTTCGAGCGTGAATGTGCCAAGCACCAAATCTTGTCCTTTGATGGCATTCGCTGTTGCGTTGGCGACGTTGGAGAAGGTATGGAGGTTTGCGGCGTGAGGGGAGGGTATCAGCTCGGGGTTGATAGAGAGAAGGAGACCGGTGCCAGAAAGTGCAACAGTTGTTGCAAGGATGAAGCAGGGGCCTGTGCGGTCGAGAAGGTACCAGATGGCTGGGTTTGCGAGAGCAAGGGTGAGACTGAGTTGGAGGGGTGATTGCCAGGGAAGACGGCGCTGCGAGATGATTAGTAAAGGATAAGGATGAGTATAGTCTGAGGAAGGTCGACTCACAATAGCAAAGACAATGCCAACAGCAGCACCAATAAATCTGACAATCTCGTTCCAACCGGGAGTCCAGGTCTGGCTGCGATTTTGCGAGTCTTGAGCGCTACGCAAGTTTCCAGAAGTTCTGTACTCCCTCTCGGCCTCGTGTTCACCACTGCCATCACTCATCCAGATAGCGTCAACCCAGGGCAGTGCCTGACCCAAAGCGATACCACTGAAACACCAGTAGGCAATGTACGCCCAAGACTCCGAGGGCATGCCTTCGACCTGAACGGGCACCAGAGTCTGTCTGTCATGCAAATGCGCAATCAACTGTCCATAGGCAATGCCAGCAAGACCCAAGACTACGTTCTTTCCGACCATGGGAACGAACCAGTTCTTGAACGTCTTCTTCTTGGGCTTTTGAACACGCCGTGTCGAGGCTTCAAGCATGCTACCTCTTCTTCTCTTGCTTCTCATCATCAGGGCATCATCAACGTTGCCATCAATGTCAGCCACGTTCATGCCCTTGCTGTCGATAGGCGTCTGGGCACCGGTGCCCCAAGGCGTCTCGTCGCGATCGGGTGCATAGCCAGCCGGAGAGTAGATGCCGAAGAGAGTGGATGTGGTCAGGTTCAGGAATGAGCGGGTGCGAGAGGGAGGGAGGCCTGACTCGTCGCCGGGAGATTGGGGGTCCGGAGTGTCGCGGCCATCGGGCGAGTTACCAGCAGTCGACGACATGGGAGTGAGGTCGAAGGGACGGCGGGGACGAGGACGAAGGAGGGGAGGCGATTGATCCGACATGATGTCTTATTCGTGTCTCGTGTGCTTGCGAGGCTGTCGACGGCTTCTTGCAGGTGACGCACGTGCTGCTGTTTTTGTAGATATTGTTCCGAGATGGAGAAAAGGTGCAAGACGTGTCAATTCGGCTGTAAGCAAGATAAAGCGTCGGACAGAGTCAATTACTGTCAAAGATGCAAGGGAAGGAGCGGATATAAGCAATGCAAGAGGAGAAGAAAGCAATCAACGATTGTGGGCCGATGATGCTGATGCTGCAACTGCCTCTCAGCTTGTGCTTGTGCACGCTCCGAATTGGCATGTGATTGTGATCACCCGTTGACCTGTGCCCCGCGTATCATGACCAGACAGGCCCGTACTGCGTACTCGCAACAATCACCACTTTCTTCGTAATACATCTCGGCATATCAAGTATGAACAATCCAAAGAAATTCAATGGCAATAAACTAAGAGTACATGCAACAACGCCCCTCCATAACTGCCTTTTGTCTGCTGCTGCAAGAATTTCAATCGCTGCAAATGCGATTCTTGTCATCTCGCATCAAAGTCTACAAGCACACCCCTCATCCTCAACAATGCGCTGGAGTGTGCATATCCATGCCGTAGCCCTGCATATGCACCCCATCCGTTGCCAAAGTCCCCGCTTCTATATTACTGTCTTCCGAATTCATCTGAATCCTCCAAATCCTGTGGGTTGGAATCCAGTAGGTTGAGGAATCACGCCGTTCGAGTACGGCACAGGGCTCGGCGCGCTTGCGACAGGTCCTTGGGTAAGCATCAATCGTGATCCTCCGAGGATGGGTGTGTTGTCCTCCTCAGTCTTCTGAACAGTCTCCTTTGACTTGCGCTCCTCATTGTCCTTCTTGAGCTGATCGATGGCCATGGCCTGTTGTGACATGTAGTTGATCATGAAGGGCATGGTGAAGTCGTTCAAGCCGTGGCGCCATGAAAGCTCCATAACAACGTGCAGAGGGATGAGGTCGTAGCAAGCGTAAAGCATACCGACGAAGCACTCACGGCTGCCAATGTCGACAAAGTAGCGGAGGAGCTCCTCGACAACCTCGCCCTTGCCTGACATGGCGGCAGTCTCGATGGCGTCCTTGAAGAGCTTGTCTTGCTTGGACAGAGCAATCGATTTGTCCCATCTCTTGGTCTTGCGGTAGATGTTGGCAGCGATCTGTCTGAAGAAGACGAGATCGTGCTTCTCAAGGCGCTGAGCAAGAGCGACAGCCTCGTAGTTGTCGTAGTTCTCAACAGAGTCGCGAAGAGTCTTGTAGTCCTCCTCCTCGATGAGCAAGTCGTTGATGGCATCGTTGACAGCACGCTTGTTCTGGGTTTGGACGTTGAGAAGGAAGGGCTTGATAAGAGGGATGTTGTCAGACTTCTCGAACATACGCACAACGCGGTTAACGTCAATGCGAGGAGTCAGAGATTGGAGAAGATCGGTAAGGAGGGAGGGTTGCTCCTGGAGGTAGAAGTTGAGGGCCTTGTAGTAAATCTCCAAGTTGGCGACCTTGACAACAGTGTCCTTGAAAGAGTGGTGCTCCCAAGCATCAGCAGCACGCTCCATCATAGCAAGAGCAGCGTTGTCCCATTCATCATAGTGAGCATATAGGAAGACAAGCTCGGGCCACAGGTGAGCCTCCTCGCAAGCGCGGATCATCTTGGGGATATTGATACGGCCCCAGAAGATGCGGAGATGTTCCATGACACGCTCAGGGTGGTACTTAGAGAGGGCAATACCCAACTCGGTGAACATACCCATGTGAGCGCGCTCGAGACCGAGACCAGCTTCCAAAAGCGAAATGAGCTCATCGAAGTAGCCGTTGTACTCGTACTGCTTGACAAGATCCTGAAGCTCCTCAGCGTGCACAATCAAGTTGAGACCGCAAATCTGGGCAAGACGGAACTCCTTTTTGGCAACACAGGCCTCGTTGACCTGCTTCCAGACCTTGATGTTGTTAGCCTTGCGGGCACACTCAACAGCAGCCTGGTAGTCCTCGAGGTGAACAAGGGTGGTGGCAAGCTTGGCCCAGTTGGAGATGCTGGAGAAGAAGATTTTGGCAGCCTCGTGGAAGCCCTCCTCGTAAGCCTTGTCGCCCGAAGCCTCGATATCGGCAACGTTCGAGCTGCGAAGGAAATCCTCCAACTCGTTAAGCTGGTTGGTACGGGCAAAGGAGAAAGCGAGAGCAGTGTCGATGGCAGCTTCGCGCATGGTCTTGCGGGCCATACGGAGGAACTTGATAAGATCCTCATCCTTGCCAGCGTGTGTGGCAATCTCAATGACCTCGTTGTAGTTGGAGGGGTCTTCAGCACGGATGTAAGATGTGACTGAATCGCTGATGCGAAGACCATCGAGCTGAGCCTTAGCGACTCTGCTCCAGACCTCAGGAGTGTCGACCTGGTCGGCGTAGTCTTGGGCACGATCAATGGAAACGACCTAAGAATGAGAGTTAGCAATTGTATCCTGGTAATATGACAAGGAAATGATCAGTGAGCAGGTCTCCCGGGACACGTGCGCAAGCTCTGACAGCTGTCACAATGCACGAACAACGTCTCGTGAAGGACGTGACCAAGGAGAGCATCGATCGGTTGCATCGAGTCGTCGGCTCTCACTGGACACGACCTTGACTGTAATTTGTTTGTGCATTGCGACAGCTATCAGACCCCTTCTCTGGAGCGAGGAAGGACCGTGAGACTGTCTAGAATAGAGGGGTAGGTACTTACGTGCTCAACCAGAACGTTAGTAGCAGCGGTGTGGTTGCCGTGCTTCTTGTAGATCTCGAAAGCCTCCTCGTACATGCCAACCTCAATACATTGGGAGGCAATGTCCTCGGGACTGTACTCGGAAAGGTTCTGAATGTAGTTTCCGACACGAGCACGGTCAGACTTGCAAGCAGTGAGCATAAGCAGGTTCTGGAGGTTAGCGTTGTCGCTGAAGGCGGAGGGCTCAAGAATGATCTTCTCGAGAAGCTCAATCAGCTCAGTGGGCATATCAGCATCGATGAAGGCCTTGACGGCGATCGACACACGCTCAGGGTCTTGCGACTCGGGAACGGCAGTGGCAATAACCTGGTCAACAAGAGAGCGACGGTGCATGTTGTTGGAGCTGAGAACGTAGTTCCAGATCTCCAAGTCCTCACGCTCGAGCAAGTAACGAGCCTGTGCTCTGAACATGGCATTGTCGTTGGTGATCTCAATAAGCTCGAGGTCGTTCTGGCCCTTGCGGTAGGCAATGTAGGCGAGGTTGGGGTCGCGCTTCTCGCAGTATTTACCAACAATCATGGTGTCGTACATATCGTTCTCCTTGAGGAACTTCTCAGGATCGTTGTTGCTGTCAATGTAGATCTTGGCAAGAGCGTTGTAGACAGCTTGCTGTGTGTTGCCAGCTTGAAGAGTGGCTTCCAAGAAAGGCAGCAAGAGCTTCAGGCGGTTTCTGGACTCAACTTCCGAGACAAGCTCATCAATAGGAATGACAGTCGAGTCGACCGAGCCCAACAGGTTCTTGATTATGTTCTCGTCACAGTCGACATCAAGCAGGCCACCGATGACACCAGGAGTTCTGCCAGGGTTGACACGTTGGACGTAGACCTCGATAGACTTGAAGTGCTGGTTCTTGTAGAGGTACAAAACCAAATCGTGAACAAAGTTGAAGCGATCGCAAACGATGATCAAAGGAAGTTGCTCGGTAAGGTTGGCTTCCTTCAAGAAGTTCTTGACCTTCTCGGCGTTAAAGTGGTTAGATTCTCTGCAGACACGTTCCACTTCTTGGATCTGGCCCATTGTTGTGGCGGCTTCAATGTACTTGAAGGTGACCTCCTCATCCTCGCTCAAGTTGACGATACCACCGAGGTAGTAGTAGAGACCCTCGGCAGTTCTGTACTTCTCGAGAAGGGCAATGATGCGGTGAGGACCGAACAGGTCAGAGTACTTCTTCGAAATGTTGATAACGGCGGCGAGATTTTGGCGGATGTTAACCTTCAACATCTCGTCCAAGCACTCCATAGAAAGCTCGAGAGTGAGCTTGCCGAAGAAGTTGACCAAGAACTCCTCAGGAATCTTGTCAGACTGAACAATGACACGCTTGATGGCAGCAGGATCCTCGTAGTGCTCCAGAGCTCTTGTGTACAAACCAGCCTGCTCGCAAAGGGTGGCAACACGAGGACGATCGTAGTGGGTGAACATCTCGTTACCAAGGATAGCATCGGCGACCTGAGGAGCGTTCATCAAGTTCATCTCGATCAGGCGAGTCTGGAGAGGACCGTCCTCTTCTCTGTTTGCGGACAAAACATCGAGACCAAATGCAGTAGCCTGTTGGATCATGCCCTGAGACATGAAGACGTCGAGGACACGGGAAGTGTCGATGAGGTTGGCGTCCTCCTTGGCGAGAGCAGTAGCGAACTCAGCACCCTTCTCAGGGTTGACTCTAACGATGTGCTGGAGGAGAGCGTTGAAGTCCGGTGTGTAGCCAGTCTCCTTGGAGTATGAGAGGATTTGGTCGAAGTTACCGGACTCGGCCATGGCAGCAATAACCTTCTGAGGGCATCCGGCATCCTTGTAAATCTGCATAGCCAGGTTCAGGTCGTGCAGACGAACAATGTCACCGAGCTGCTCAGAGCAACCAAGCTTGCCCTCGCTCATCCACTTCTCAAGAAGGTGCTTGCGGTTTTGCTGAAGAACAGGTCTAGCCAACTCGAGGGTCTCGTGCTGGTTGAGCTTGCCCTTGTCGAGCAACATACCGAAGTATTGGAGGATGACCGAGAGCTGTCCAGGCTGGGCTTGCAGTGCCTTGAAGCGCTCGATGGTCTGAGGTGTGCGGAGGAAGCCATTGGGAGAGTTGGCAGCAGTCTTGGCGGCGTCGGCGTATTGACCGGAAGAAACGAGGTGTTCGAAACGCTGCTGGTAGAGCTGGTCAGCACCGGGAAGACCACCGCGCGAGGCCAGCTTGTAGGCGAGCTCGGCGTTCTCGGAGTTCTGCAACAGGTAAGGAATGACGGTGTTCTCGTCGAGGCTGACAGACAGAACTTGTCCCTTACGGTTGATGCCGACAATACCAGCAGACTCTCCGTCGGGACATGTGGTGAAGACAGTATCGCTCGAGATGCGGTTCATGAAGATGACAGTACCAGTCTCCAAGTCGTACAGGTGGATGAAGCCGTACTTGGTCACCAAGTAGATAACCTTGTACTTCTCCGAGACCTGCATCGAGACAGGGAAGTCGTTGGCGGCTTCTTGCGGGAAGTAGACGTCGACGGCTCTCTTGGGGAAGACGGGATTGCCTTGCTGGTGGTCGATTTCAACAACGTGGAGCTTGGCGCCTGTAGGAGTGCGGTTGCAGAAGGTGAAGACCTTGGTCTCTGCAGGCGCGCCCTCCAATTTGATGGTGCCGAAAGCAGCGGCGTGGCCCTCGATTGCCTGACTGATACCGCGGTCGCGAGAGTAGAGCTGCATATTTCCGACAACGCGACCCTGCTGCGACGAGATGGAAACGACAACCATCCACTTCTCGTCATGGCTGACTCTGTAGTTGATGATCTGGGAGCCCAAGTTGGCGTTGCGGTCGAACATCTTGACAGGAGCGGCCTGACTGGGATCAAAGATGTCCCAGTGGTAGACACTAGTCTCTGTAACCAGACCCAAGCTCTTGTCGCTGTACCACTTCCAGAAAACGACGTCCTCGTTCATGGTGGCCGACTTCAGCTTGGCCTTTGCGCCCAGGTCGAAGATTTGAAGAGTACGCTGTTGGGCGCGGAGAGCGATGATGTCCTTGGTCCAGTGCATGATGGCGTTGTCAGCCTTGATAGGGCGACGAACGACACTGTTGTTGTTCTTGAGGTTGACAATAACAACCTCGGACGAGGCAGTGTCGCAAACGCAGACATAGTTATCTGATTCTAATGTCTACAGATTGTGTGAGCGTTGGTCGGAGGAGGTCATTGGGTGATCGTCTTACACAGGAGTTGAAACCAAATGACTTGGGCTAGAGGATCGAGGTCAGTGATGTGGTGACGGAAGTATGGCGGCGGTTGAACTAACGTCAATGTTGAGCGATGTGAGCTGCGAGCAAATGTCAGTGATGGCCAATTGAATACAGTCGGAGGAATTACCTGTAGCAGCTCGGTGAACTTGATAGGTAAGGGCGCCATGGTTGTGATGTGTAGGCGGCTACCTCATCCGTTGGCTGGATCAGGAGCTTGTGTTGGAGCGTGGAGCCTGGGGGCAATGGCGGCCCAACTATTCGAAGGTCGTGGGTGCGTTCACTTGTAGGTATAAGGAAAGTCGTAAAGACGTCAAGCAAGGAAGCAGTTGCGGCGAGAGAGCGGGAGGGTCGGGAGTGGAATTAATGTGTGAGATTGGCTTGATTGCTGCTTGCTGGACGCTCCAAGCTGGGCGTTGGTGTTGACGACGTATTAAGATCCGGGGCGTCTTGGCGGGAGATGCGACCGATCGCTGTGCACAAACCTGCACAAAGCCAAAAGCAGCAATGCACATCTTTTTTCTCGAAAGAACAATAATTGGGCACCCCTCCACCCCGTCATCCCACCAACTCTCACATTTGACAGTCACACTTTCTCGTCGCAACAAGGACAAGGTTCCACTCGCCGCCCGGCTTTCATCTTACTATCGCATATCTACATTTTCTAATAAACCGCAATCATGGCTGGCAACTGGGGTATGTTTTCACGCCTCGCGCGCGCCGATCAGCTCTTGTACAACAATACTGACTGTCCAACCAGACGACGAGGAGTCTAGTGGCTCTTCCCCCAGCTCTCCCCAAATTATCGCCCGTCGCAGCAAGTTCGACGACGAGGAGGAGGAAGGCGATGTGAGTGCGACAACAGCCATACTTGCTGCCCAACAGTCACTAATCCACCGATCAGGTCCTTGATTCCTGGGATGCCGCCGAGGACTCGGAAGTCGAGAGAGAAAAGGCAAAGAAGGCCGCAGATGCAAAGGCCAAGGCCGAAGAGGAGGCAAAGAAGAACCACAAGTCCAAGAGTCAGAGAATAGAGGAGAGAAGGCAAGAGAACATGCGTAAGAGGCTGGAGGATGCCGACTTTGACAGCGAAGACGACGAGGATGAGGCCGAGCGTAAGGCCAGACTGCGCAGAGAGCAGAAGGAGTCCGACCTTAAGCACGCCGAGGATCTGTTTGAGGGCATCGGCGTCCCTGCCACCCGCAGCAACCCCAAGGCCATTACTGTCGCCGACGAGAAGCAGCCCGGCAACGCCATCGACCTCTCGGCCATGCCTCTGTTCAGCCCCTCCACCAAGGACCAGTTCGCCAAACTCCGTGAGGTCCTGGCTCCTCTTCTGGTACAGAACGCTAGAAAGGCTCAGTACACCCTGTTCATGCAGGAATTCGCCAAGGACATTGTCAAGGAGCTCCCCAGCGACCAGATCAAGAAGATTGCTAGTGGCTTGACCACCCTCTCCAACGAGAAGATGAGGGAAGAGAAGGAAGCAGCTAAGGGAGGCAAGAAGTCAAAGGCAGCCAAGACCAAGACCACTCTCGCGGGTGCTAGAAACCTTGAGACTGATACAACTGCCTACGATGACGGTCTCGACGAGTAAGTTGACTTGACGCTCTGCAGGCGTGTAACGATAGGCTGACCCTAGACAGTGACGACTTCATGTAAACGATGACCGAGGACCGAGGACTGGGAGAAACTCAAGCTTGACTTCGAAAGCACCGGGTTTTCCTTGTGGATAATGGATAGAGAGTACAAGAGGCATTTGAACAGGGCGTACTTCAAGGCATTGAATGCATGCTTCGATATGTTCTTGATTAGCAACATGGGCGTTTCAATTAGCTGTTAGACAAAAGAACTGCATTTTTCCGATCAATCTAGTTTGCAAATCGTACAGGCGTGCCAGAAGTTACGACTTCTACCAGTGGGTTTCCAATCATGATTTGCACTCAAAGGACGCTGTCGAAGTCGTCGAACAGTTCACGGTAAAGCACATGCAAGAGCGGGCCGCAGGGTCTTTGAACTTGTGGGGGCGGCGTGAAACGACGAGATCTCCGAATTTATTTTGTACGCGACTTTTTTTTTGAGCCACTTTCGCAGCAATCATCCACCCTTGTGCCTTTTGTGTAGGTCAACTCGGGTAGCATGGTCTGAATCGCAGTTTCATACAACATCCAATAATCCCGTCAAAATGGCATCCCGTCCCGAGGATCCAATTGCCGCCGCTGCCAAAGTTATTCGCATTATTCACGACAACCATACCGCAGCAAGCAGCTATCTGCACAGTCAAAAAGTCACCACCGGCGCGAACCGTGTCGAGACCAAGACTATCTTACAATGCATGGACCAAGATGAATACACCGATTTGCTCGAGGACCTGGACTCGTCTCAAAAGCTCAGCTTTTTTGACAAAGTAGCTGGTATGAACGAGAGGTCTTATTCTTCTCAACTGGATAAGGAGGCTGCCAAAAAGTACTTTGACGCCTTGAGTCTCGAGAGTATGGGTCTTAGCTTCAAGGATGTTCGCAAGGAAATCAAGAAGGCCCCGGCACCCATCACGACTCCTGCTGCGCCGTCAACTCCCGTTCGCAAACCGGTTGCTCCTTCAGCGCCCATCGCTCCTTCTGCCGCCGTCGCTCCTTCCACTCCCGTCGCTACTAAGTCTGAACCCGTCGTTCCCAAGCCGCAGCCCGTCGTAGAGAAGAAGGTGGAAGCCAAGAAGGCGCCTGCCGTTCCAGTCTCAAAGCCGCAGAAAGAGAAGGAGACCAAGAAGGAGAAAAAGGACAAGAAGAGAAAGAGAGAGGAAGACACTCCCAAGGCAAAACCCACTCTGCCTGATGTCAAACCCATAGGCGGCTCGGACAGAGCATCGAAGAAGCAGAAGATCGATCCTCCTCAGAAGAAGACGGTCGAAGCGCCGACGGATGGCTTGAATGCTACTCAGCGAAAGAGACAAAGGCAAAGAGAGAAGAAGAGACTGCTGATGGAGAAGATTGCAGCGGGCGAATTGCAACCTCTTGACAAGAAAGAGCCTGAGGCGTCTGCTGCACCATTGACTAGCAGCAATGGACAGGCTGACGGAGATGTTGATATGGGGAGCCCTGAGCCCGCACCTGCGGCCGAGATTGCCCCATTGGATAGCACTGTGCCAGCAAATTCTAAGACTAAGAAGGTTAGGAGGAGCAGGCACAAGTCTGAAAAGGCAAAGTCGAAGGCAGCTGAGCCTGAGTCCGAGTCTCTCCCTGTCACTCTCTCTGGATCTGAAGAATTATCTGCATCTCTACAGCCCCCGACGACCGAGACCATCGTGCCTGAAAACGCCGAGGTAGTTGATGGCAACAAGAAGGCACGTAGGAGAACTCGCAAGGTAAAGGCTGGTGAAGCCGCTGAGGTCCCTTCTACAGCCGAGTCGATCCCTGCAATTGACGAGGCTCCTACGCTTGAGTCAACTCTTGTAGCCGATTCAGCTCCTGTAATTGATTCGCCTCCCGCAGTCGAAAACGGAACAGAGCCTGCTGTAGATGAATCGTCAGAGGACGATGGTGATGAGGATGAGGATGAAGAAGCAGCACCAACAGAGGAAGACACCATGCCTGATTTCATTCGCCGTACTACTATGCCAGTGCCGGGCAAGCCGACGATCTCGACGAGCGCTGATAAGGAGCCAACTCCCGAGATCACTCAGGAACACTCTTCAGAAGAAAGCCCTTCGCCTACAACCAGGGAGACCAGTGTTTCTGCGGCCGAGGAGGTGGCAAGTCCTCCCCCTCAGCAGCAAGAGATAATCGAGGACAAGAAGAGCAGCCCTATCGCCACAAAGACAGAACTTTCTAAACCAGTTCCTTCGAGCTTCACCTCAGCTCCAGTACAGCCTTCAAAGAGACCCCAACTTTCGAACTCTTTCAGCAAGCCGCAATCGTCGTTCACCTCAACAAGATCCGGCTCATTCCAATCCGCCAACAACAAGAAGGCCGCGAACGACTCCTTTGCTGAGTTTGCTGCATTTGCTTCTGGCAAGAAGTTAGGCTACGATAGCAGCGACGATGATGACGATGAGAGTAGCAGCAGCAGTAGCGAGAGCGAGGATGAGAAGCCGGCGCTTGTCCAGGCTCGCAAGCCAAGCCCTATACAGCATGTTCCATACCAGGCACCTCCAGTCAGTTCGTCCTCTCAGGCTGAGCCTTCTGCTATGGATGTGGATACCGAGCCTGAAACGACACAAAAACACGAAGACCCTGCAGCTCCTGCCGAGACGATCGATGTCGTCATGACTAACGATCAACAAGATGCTAGTTCTCCTGTCGAATACCACGACTCTCAACCTTCAGCACAAGACGAAGCAGAGGGTTTCGCTGTGCAAGCCCAGGACGACAATGCAGTGACTTTCCAATCTTTCCACCAAACCGCCACGCCACAAGATGCGCCCGCACGTAGCCCTCTTCCTGAGATCCCTAATCCTGAGGATTTGATGGAATTTGGTGGATATCAACCAGCCAGCCCCGAGAAGAACGACGAAGCTACTCCCGCAGCTGAGGAAGAACAAACCAGTGAGCCTGCCAATCGTGAGACCCACGAAGGCCCCGAACTCACAAATTCTCCCCACAGCATCGAATTAGGCACACCATTCGAGAACATCAACAACAGCGTTCAAGAATTGGACAGTCATCCGAACGCAGATGAGCAAGAAAGTTCTTCGGAGGACGAGCAAGCTTCAGTAACTACCCAAGAACCAAACAATCTTGAGGGTGAAGTGGCACAGGCCGAAGGGTTGTCTCAGGTAGCTGGCACAGAAGGACCTGCCTTAGACTCGGATACGGAAGAGCCTGCTGAAGCCTTTTCCACTTCTATGGAAGATTTCCTTGCTGCATGGGAAGAAGAAACCGACAACTTTGAAGAAAGAATTGAACAGCTCCGGCAATTATTGGAAGAAGACGGTGACGGCAGTACAGAAGACAACAAGGATATGTTGGAGAAGTTGATGAACGAAGTCGAGCGTGAAGAAGAAATCTACAAATCAAAGACAGCAGCTGCTAGCAACGCCGTAACAGCTTTACCACAACTGGCTCGCGAACAAATTCAGGAAGTCATTGATCGCGCAGACGCAAGCTTTGAGCAAAGGGTGATGATGGTGAGATCGAGTCTGAGGGAGGAGTACAACGCCGAATCTGCTAGAGGTCAGCTTTCACCGAGCAGAGAGTTGGGCGACGACGAAATGGCGGATGCACCTGAAATGAAGGCCGAGCAGAACACCGGAGACCAGGACGCAAAGGTCGAACCATCAGAAACATCAACTTCTCCCGCGCCATCGTCTCTCGGCTGGTCACCAAGCGAAGACGAAGGTATCACGGAAAGCGCGAAGAAGGAAACGAAGCCCAAAGCACGCAAGTCACGTAAGTCACGTAAGTCGACAGGCGCGACCTCTGAACACTTCACTCCTTCGCCCAAAATCAAGAAGAAGCGTGTCCCGGCCGGCGTTTCTGCCGTCGTGTTCCCCAAGCTTACAGCACCTCGCTTTGGACTGATCCAGGAAAGACTCGCCAACGATCCTTTCCGTCTCTTGATCGCTGTGACTTTCCTTAACAAGACAACTGGCAGAGCTGCAGTGCCTATCTACGAGCAAGTGATGGAGAAGTACCCGACGCCCACAGATCTCGCAGCCGCCGATGTCAGCGACCTCAGCGAAATGATCCACAGTCTAGGCTTCCAGAATCAGCGCGCCAGAAAACTCGTCAAGATTGCCGAAACATGGATTGAGCAACCTCCGCAAAAGGGCAAGCTCTTCCGTACCAGAGATTACCCCAATCATGGCAATGGCCGCCAACTAAAGCCCACAGAAACTGTTGATGAAGACGTCAATGACTGTGCCGAGGTTGGCGCTCTTGAGATTGCTCACATCTATGGCACTGGAGCTTATGCTTGGGACAGCTGGCGTATCTTCTGCCGCGACAATTTCCGCGGCGTAGCAGAAGGCTACAATGGCGAAGGCGTACCCGGCTACAATCCTTCTTCGCAAGCCAAGAGCGAGTCTGACTTTGAGCCAGAGTGGAAGCGTGTTGTACCTTTGGATAAAGAGCTACGTGCATGTCTACGCTGGATGTGGTTACGCGAAGGATGGGAGTGGGATCCTTTGACCGGCAACAAGAAGCCAGCCACTCCCACTCTCATGCGCGAGGCCTCAGATGGTGTAGCTACCTGGGATGAACCCGTCGCCATGAATCCCCATGAGGAGGACACGAAGACCGTCAAGGAAGAACTCGAAGGTCCCAAGGGTCCCGACGCACTTGTTCCTGGCGTGAAGGCTGAAGACACTACACCACCCACCAAGCGCACCAGGAGATCTAGAAACACTCGCGCTGAAAGGAAAGAAGTCACTCCCCCACCAGTCGCTAAAGTCGAAGAAGCAGCTACCCCTGTCGTGCCTGCCAGTACAAGACGTCTGAACGCTGACCCGGAGATCATGACATCGCGTTTGAGACCTCGTGCTGGCCGTACAGATGCGGTTGCTCCTGCTGCCGTGGCTGCCACGCCTAGTCGTCGCCGTGCACGCAAGTAGATGGTAATTTCTATTGCTCTCTTTGTATAGCATTGTCACAAAGATCTCCTGTTACCGTTCTGTTCCATAGAAATCAAATTCCTTTGAACAACCACATCTTTCCAAGAGAACACCATTGATTCGAAGCTCGGTCTAGGCCAAAGTTCTCTTACTCAAACTTGCCATCCGACCCATAACGCCTCTGATGATGACTGTTTCCCACTCCCATCTCTACTTTCCACCATCTCTACCCCGATAAAACCCTTCCATCTCCGCCCTCTGCTCTCTCCAAATACCCTTCAACACTTTATCATGACTCGGATCTGTATCCCAATACTTTGCATGAAAACTCTTCGCTCCACCCCTCCAGTCCTTCTCTGTCGGCCAATTGACATTCCATCCATGCCATAGTGGTTTCCACGGCATATTTCCCTCTCTCCTATGAGCATAGTTGATCAAACTCTGCTCTTGCATGCCCATGTCGAAGCGACCCGGTATACCAAGAACACTGAGATAATAGTTGAACAGCGCTTTCGAGGGTGTGAAGACCGCAAAGCCGAAATTCATATATGTGCCATCAGTAGGGGGAGGATAAGGATGCTCATAACCCCAATAATCCGTATGCGCAGCCATCATGTACGTCCTAGGCATTGCTGCTTCATCATCTCTCATATTCTTCGGATCTTGCAATGTATGCTGCATAATCGTCGCCTCGTCGTAGAAAATCCCATCCAAGCGATCGGTGACCAAATGATCGGAATCGATATAACAGACTTTAGCGAATTGTGTGAGTTCGAAAAGCCGCAGTTTGGTCATCATATCTTTCCAGCGTGGGTCTCCTGGGATAGCCCAACCCGGGGAGATACGAGATACTTCTATCACGATGGCGCCGTCTTTTTCTAGTCTGGCGCGTTTGCGCGGGTGTGTTTCGTCCGTCACGACGACAACGAAAGGGATGGATGCATTTGTGCCCGCGGTGGTGGAGTGCATGAGTTGGTAGCCTAGGACGCGGGTGCTCACGTAGTATCCATCATCGTCGTCGTTTTCGGGTTTGTTTGGATCGATGCCACCGGTAAAGGCGCCGAGGAAGGTGACAAAGGCGACGTTTGGCGTGTGGTTCTTTTTACGGTCGACAAGGACGCCGTTTTTTCGTTGATAGGTGGGCGATGATGGATTGGAGCGGAAGGAGAGGGTCATTAGACACGAGGCGAAGAAGAGAAGGGCAAAGAGCCCCAGCACCTTTGGCGATGAGGCACTTATCTTCGACATTGCTGAAGATGGGTGATCAAGTCACGCAGTAGGCTGATGACGAGAGGAAGGAAAGAGCTGTCAGCATTAGAGGGGTCGTAAATCACGAAGTGTGGCCATATCTTCTCTGAAGCAAGGGTCAAACTCATGTTTCGGCCAAGCTACGCACCTTCCTTGAGAATGTTGCACAAACATCATGAGCAGAAGGAAACAGCTTCGAGAAACAAAATACTCAAGCATAAACATTGAAAATCGTAAGACGTAAATTTGGAGAAAAGACAGTACAACATTGTCGCAATCCTTTGTTGAACGCCCATGCAAGATGTATACTTGAAGACAATGCTCCACCCCAGAAAAATCAATCCTTCAAACGCCATGAACCTCCCAATGCTGTTGATACATAGAGTGTAGGTGGGGGTATAGTTATTACACAAGTTGTCCGGCGAGTCCAATGAATAGTGCTTGTGCGGCCAACTGGATGGTCCATAGACCAACTTTCTTCAATCGTCGAATGCGGGCTCCATCGTCGACGATATCTCGGGCAAAGGCTTCGTACGTCTGTAAATTGTCAGTCTTGATCAAGGGCGATGTGTTAAGAACTGGCTCACCTCTTTCGATAAGTCGTCCAACAACCCGCTGTCGAACACTGTCCAGCTTCCATCGAACTCACTGACTCGCTTGACCACGCGACAGTTGATAGGAATGAACGTTCGTTTCGAGTTGATGTATGCAACGATAGGACGGATCAACGCATTATTGACATATGACAAGTCTCTGGTAAAAATGGGGACGGCAGCCCGGACGTCGTTAAGGTGGACGCGGAGATCCATGACAATGAAGCGTTTGTCTTCTTCGTTCTCGTCTTCTTTTTGAGGTTCGTCATGATGATCGCTTGTGTCGTGCTGATGTGTCGTGTGAAGGTAGTTGTGAGCAACAGTTGCTTCCATGCGATCATAAAAGTCAGACATGACTTTGGCGATCGAACCGTCTTGGTCTGCTGGGAACATGATGTCGGCGACAATGTCCACATTTCCTTCGTGGATCCACGAGAAAGGACCTTCAACGCCCCTATTGAGATGATCGATATTAAGACCATCGATGCGGAGGCGGCTGTGCTTCTTCCAGGCAGAATGATCGCCGTCTTCCTCGTTGATACTTAGCCCGGTATGGCTATGCGTTTGACGAGGATGAATGGTGAAGAGAGAGTCGTCAAAGGAACCAGAGATCATGTTCGCGGACATGAGGTCGTAGAAGAGCCATTGTTTGCGGAAGCGGGGAAGATCGCATGAGAAGATTGAGACTGAGAAGGGGCGGAAATTGTTTGGCTGGTAGACGGTGAGTAGGACATCTGACACTTTGAAGGAGTCGATCTCGAAGTCACCAGTCGTGTGCTCATGTCGGTACGATTTTGGGTCGATTGACGGGTCGCCAGGCAGTATAGAGGTACGGTCGACTACACCGCGTACACCCTTGATCTCGACATCACGAAGCAGACCCTTGCCATTGAACCACTTGGTGAAAGACAAAGTGACGTTGACGGTGTCTATCGAAACCTCATACTGAGTGTAGTTGGTATCTTCGTCTTTCTGTTCCTTGCCAACGGGCTTGCCAGTAGATGCAGCGGCTGCAGCGGCGGCGGCCGCGCTTGCAGAGGAACCTTTGGTGACATTCGAGCTTCCTTGACCCGGACGTCTCGAGACGAAGACGTTCTTGAAGGAGATGACACCGTCGTTCCACTTTGGGACAATGGCAGATTCGAAGACGACCTTGACACCAGAGGATTGGGTCAAGTAGTTGCCGACCCAGCCAGCAAGGGATTCTTGAGCAAAGACGGTGTTCATGGCTAAGATGACAAGTGATACAAATGTGGTTGTACCGAGGATAACCCAGAGGATATGGCCAAACAAGATCCACGAGATGAACGCGCTAATGTCATCCGTGTTGAAAGGACGGGCGCTTTTGATGGAGAACCACTTGAAGCGGATACCAAGCCTTTGCCAGAAACTTGTCGCCGCGGCTAACAACTCTTCCTTGGTCGGGCGGTGCAAGTGTGGGAGACGGTCCATGAGATGATAATGATGGTGTGTTTGTTCCTCGGGACGAGCATCTTGCGGCTGCGCGGGTTGGGGCTGGTCGTGTGACTTGTCATTCTGATCCTTGTCCTGGGGAGCGGAGTGGGAACCATGGCTCTTCGATCTATAGGTGGATGTATGGAAAGTCTCCTCGAGGTGTCGATGCCGTAGAGTCGAAGGGAAGAAGTGGTTGTTGCGTGACGTGTGCGTGTGTCGTTCAAAGGCCTGCGCGCACTCTTGGACGACATTGCGCGGTGCTGTAGTAGGTCGGGCGCACGTAATAATAGAACGAAGGCCGACAGGATGCCTGCTCTCTAGCGACGTGCTATACCATCGCGTCAGAGGGACTGCACCAGATGCCGCAGAGGTTTCGGCGACGCGCCTTAGCCAACTGATGCTGCATGTGGCCGTCGGTGCGGCGGTCGATCGTCCGAGGGAGGAGATGGCGGCAAAAGCATTGCGAGCTACATAGTGACCCATCGTCTACTCTCTGCTACCGACTCAGCATTGTTGAAGTGCCTCGACTGATTTCAAGAACAACGGCACACGCAAGCCATCACCTAGAAAATCGTCATAGAAAATCTTGCTTGGCGTCTGCACTTTCACATGCAAGAGTAAGGCACGGGCTCTTTGTTGTCCCGGACGACTGCGACAACGGCCTCTTCGACATGGTATATCATGTCTTTTCAACATGGACTCCTATGTAGTGTATGAGTATATGTCGAGTAGTGTCTGGCTATTAGATGGACCATGACATCTGGTCTTTACCACAGTGGCTGGTAGGGATTGTGCTGGTCCAAATCATCTTGCGTTCGAAGTTGGTGGTATCGCCGTGTCATGGTTGCTGCTGCAAGCTGCAGGATTTCCATGACAGGAGATATACGACCGTACAACCAAACAAGAGCTACTGGTCTGGCACAGTTGTATCGCCACTGTCGCTAAGAAGGCTTTATCGACATAAGAATATTCTATAGCTCCAGTCCAGTAACCCAGGGCCAGACAGAGATCCGAGCAGGGTGATACCATCAGCCAAAAGAATCAGGTGTGCTTACTAAGCTCTGAGCACAGACCAGCGCAGTTTCTCACCTAAAACTCTCTTCTGCGTCTCCCACTCTTCTTTTCTCCTTCATGAACAACGCAAGCGCGAAAAGCGCATAACACTGACTTTAAAAGCATTTTCGATTTGAGACGCCTCTTCGTGATGGCTCCATGAAAACGAAAACCGTCTGTACAGTGGAGAACAGAGTAGTATAGGGTTATGGGTGACGTTCTCTCCTGCCTTCGGGCTCATGGGGGGAAGGTCAATGACCTTTCGCACATCCTTTTTCTAGATCAAAGGAATTTCTTATCTTGTAGATCTGGAATCCTTTGCGTACCGTGCATGTGTCGTGGCTCCATGGCTTCATGACTCCATGACCATTGGAGATTATGCGCGGTGACCTCTATGGCTGGCTGTAAAAGTCAAATGTCGTTTTTTGAGAGTCATTCATGACTTTTTGGCACGCGCAGGGACGCTCAAGGCACAGCCACGAAGACTCGTCGTTACTCGCGGAGTCGGTCGAAATCTTGAGCAGTCCGGAACAAGTGAACCATGGACCTCGAAATGATATTCTAGCCGTTCGGCAAGGGCTCAGTCGGCTTGATACGCAACCCTCGCATCCCATACGGATGTGGTAACCGCCGCTCCGAGCGTGCCTTCAGAATCCAGTAAATGGTCAGTGATAAGTGGACACTGTGAATGCTGGTGTATCGCTCCGAAGGCGAGTGCTTCGACCTGAGCATCGACAGTTCCACATGACCGTCCTCGGACTTGGAATCCGGTCACTATCGACTGTTCATTACAATAATATCAAGGTTGTGACGAGTCTCACAATTGCTGGTGCACGGCTGCACCGTAACAGCATGTAATCCGTCGATTACCTATTGTCTATGCGCATCATCTACAATTGAAGAAGATGGGAAGGATTCCGGTTCGTCAACGTATAAATGTCGTAGACTTTTCAGCAAAGAGCAGATTCAAACCCAAAGGACGTTTCAGAAGTCGAACCGTTGTAGTTGAAGCTCCAAATTCTAGGCGAGTGCAGGCAAGCAGCGGTCTCCCCCATTCCGACCTCAACCGAAGAATTCTCTTCACCCAAATAAGCCTTTCCGCATGCTGGATCTTCATGAGGCTGTCTTGGTTGGCGCAGTCGAGATCTCATAACGTTCAGCACGAATCTAACACTCGGCTCCTTTGTCCATCGACGAGCCGTCCGCGGGTTTTGGCCCTACCATACTGCTGGGTCATTGGCTGCCGGTACTTCAGGGCCCGGTCCTGCTTACGAGCCCTGAGCGACAATCTCTCACTCGCCATGCGAATCCTCTTGCTGGAGTTGGGCATCCCGTCGATCTGGGATCTGGGGTCCTGCACATTCGTCATGACTTCGTCCTCCACGTTGATTTCCTACAATTCGAACCTGCATGAGTACCTTGGTACCAGCATCTTGTGAAACTCCCCTTCAACCTTACTTCAGATATTCACGAGTTGTGTAAGCTCTCGTGACCCTTGTCCCCCTTCAGGTCTTACTCTCAGATCACACATCGCTTCCATATGCCATCACTAAACATCATTGACGTGGGTGGTGTCCGGCTATTTGGAAAGAACCACATCTGTCGGCCTCCGGAGGCAGATTACGGTTCCGAACGTGCTCTCACCGGGCCGAGAACCACACCTTGTTTTATCTGTGATTATGCCCTACGCCGACGTTTCAGCCTCGAAGATGCACAGGTCCAGCCCGACATGGATGTACATGTGCTGTGTGCACGCAGGGCTCGTGGACATGACTTGGGAGACTTCTCACACCCTAACGACTTTGTCGAACTCTGTGCTCCCCTCCTCGTACGTAAGTAGATCTACAGTATCATTGGTCTCTTAGCGCCTCACATCTCGATATTTTCAGCCTGGGCAGTAGGCGAATAAGGTCCTTCCTTGGCTCAAGGAAATGATGGACAGCATGTACATATTCTGATACCACCCCAACTGCAGCGGGCCCTATTCGGTTTTTTTCTTTGTCAATTACATCTTGCAACATGAGGACCTTTCTATCAGATGATTTCAGGTTGCAGGAGGTGACTCGGGATGACTTGACTATTGCTAGTATATGTTGGGGGTACGATCTGGAGTATGACCTTAACAGAGAACCAATACTGACTCGTTGACAGCTTCACACTCGGTTTTGGTTTCTTGACAACATGGAAAGCTTTGAAGCAAAGCTCGGCTATGTATCAGCGTTATGGCCTTCGTAGGCTAAGCAATGCCTATGTCTGGATGATCTGGTCAGAGATCGCAGTTTGCCTTGCGTTCAGCGTTGTCTGTTGGCTATACCTTAGAGGCATAGTTGCTCCTAGGTAAGAACACGAATCAACCGTATTCCTATTTCGTTCCACTAACCTATGGGTAGTTTTGCATTCTACTTCAGCGTCTTGACTCTGTGGGCTCTGCAAGTTCAGCTCCTTCTCCAGATTATCATCAACCGTGTTGGTGTCTTGATGCTGGACCGCAAGAGAGCAAAGAATCTCAAGTACGGTGTCGCCATTCTCATTACCCTCATCAATATTTCGGTCTACTGTATCTGGGTTCCGGCCAGACTCCAAACCTCCAAGACATACATCAAGCTCAACGATGTATGGGACAGATGCGAGAAAGTCATCTATCTCGTTGTGGATGCAGCTCTCAACTGGTTCTTTGTCCGCGTCGTCCGTCGCAACCTTGTCAAGCCTGGTTTGAAGAAGTATGAGTCTTTGGTTAGATTCAACTTGTACATCATAGGCTTCTCTTTGGCCATGGATGTTCTGATTATCGCCATGATGTCGCTTAAGAACTCCTTCGTCTACAGTAAGTCATGTAGCGTATCGTCTGAGCAATATCATAAAGACTAATACCATTCTAGTGCAATTCCATCCCTTGGCTTACATTGTCAAGCTGAATATTGAGATGACCATGTCGGAACTCATCTCCAAGGTCGCACGAGCCCAGAATAACCCTCATGGTGCTGTCATGCCAAGCACTAGCACTGGCGACCGATCAGGAGGTCGATCCCGTATGACCAGAACAGGAGACGACAAGACTTTGACCCAATCAAAGATTCACGCTTTTACTGGTCGTTCGGAAGATATGGAGATGGGCATTCTCGAGGACTCAGGTCCGCCGCACAACAACCTTCAGACTCAGATTGAAGCAGATAATTCTTCGACAGACGGTTCTGACCGTGATGATGAGTCCATCGACAAGTCAGGTGGATTCGTGGTCCGAAGAAAGCAAGAGTTTCACGTTCGTGTAGAGCAAGCAACGCCATCGCCAAACGCCGATACAGACAGACGTCTACATGATGCGGCGGAATCTTCAAGAGGAGCAGAGCCAAAGGATGTACATTGGAGATCATATTAAGACCACAGCATAGTCAGGTTTTGGTAATAGGTGCACCAGGCCACCGTACACACAAGCAACACGCATTTTTCTTTTGTCAACTTCATGGGATACCCAATTTGAGAGAGAAGTATATACGACAGATAAATGATTGGAACATGTTCGACATAATTTTGACTGAGGCTGTGCCAGGTGAATAATTCTCATAATTTTGAGGCGGCGCTCAATATTTCTAATTGCGGATCTCGAATTATTAGAAAAGTCGTGAGAAACCGCTAAACGACGCCGAGTCAATGGCTTGCATGGATAAACCCCGGTTCCTTCGAGATAAACTATGTGGCTGTCACTGGTTGAAGATCTGCTGCACAACGGCACAAATCTGGGGATAAGCTCTTGCGGACTCGACCGATTGAATAATATGTCGTGATTTGAAGAAGCGGGTGGATGAGGATAGAATTGGCCCGCCAAACTGCCAGTTTGCCAAAAGTTTGGCTCCAGAGTCGAAGCACAACCACAGCGTCGAGACATACCAACAGTTTGTCCGACCTCCCCCACAAACCCTCCCCCTCCATTCTCCCCACCACAAGCCGGCATCATGCCTATCATCGATACTGGCAAGGATCTTTCGGCACTCTTCACACAACAGGTGAAGGAGACGCCCGATGCCATTGCTCTTGAGGACGAGTCAAACACATATTCATACGCCGAGCTCGACCAAATCGTTGAGACTCTCTCTCAACGTCTCCGCAACTACGGCGTCAGTCGCGACACACTGGTCGGTGTGCTACTCCCTCGCAGTGCTGACTATGTGATTGCCTGTCTTGCTTCGCTTCGTGCTGGAGGAGCTTTCCTTGTGCTCGAACTCGCATACCCTCCGGATCTTTTGGCCGACGTCATTGACGACGCTAACCCGGCTGTCGTTATCACCCACAGATCTGAGGTCGGAAAGATCCAAGAAGGCGTTCCAGTCCTCGCCCTTGACGAGGAGACACAAGAAATTAATGGCGACCAAAAAGAGCCAGCTCCGCTACCTGCTGACGATGACCTCGATCGTCTTGCCTTTGTCGCTTACTCGTCAGGTACTACCGGAAAACCCAAGGGTATTGCCAACCCTCACAGAGCACCTGTACTTTCATATGACTTGAGATTTGCCGTCGCCGACCAACAACCTGGAGACCGTGTGGCATGCAATGTCTTCTTCATCTGGGAAATTCTGCGTCCCCTACTACGTGGAGCCACTGTCGTTGCCATTCCTGATGAGGCCAGCTATGACCCCCTTGCCCTTGTTGAATTGCTCGCGACCAAGAAAATTACCGAAACTCTTATGACCCCTACTCTCCTGGCGACCGTCCTCTCCCGTCATCCTGACATTGCTCAACGTCTCCCCGACTTGCGTGTTCTATGGCTTAATGGCGAAGTCGTCACCACCGACCTCGCCCGCAACGCCCTCAAAGCCCTCCCCAAAGCACGCCTACTCAACTGCTACAGTGCTTGTGAAACGCATGAGATTGCCTGCGGTGACATTGGAGAGATGCTCGAACATCTCGATGAGGCTGCCCTTTACTGCCCGGTCGGCCCCTCTCTCGACCCCAAGCACACCTACATCGTCGATGACGCCGGAAACAGAGTTGAAGATGGTGTCAGTGGTGAACTCTTTGTTGGTGGTGACCTCCTGGCTCGCGGATACCTTAATCTGCCCGAAACAACTGCCAAGGCCTTCCTCAGAGATGAATATGACTCTACTGAAGGTGCTCTGATGTACAGAACCGGCGATCTGGCACGTATGCTTCCTTCCGGACTTCTTGAGATCACTGGCCGTGTTGGAGCCATGATCAAGTTGCGTGGTTACTCTGTCGTCCCTGCCAAGGTCGAGAACTCCATTGTCACCCATCTTGCCGTCAGCCAGTGTGCTGTGATCGCTCACGGAGAAGGTCTTGACCGTCAATTAGTTGCATACATCGTGCGTGACAAGGAAGAATCCAAAGATCGTGCCTTCCCTGAGATTCTTGAATCTGGTCATAGTCCTGAAGCCCGCAAAGCACTTTCTGCAGCTTTGGCACAGTACATGCTGCCCTCATTATGGGTTGTGCTTGATGAGCTGCCGCTACACGAGGTATCTGGAAAGGTTGACCTCAAGAAGCTGCCTGCACCCGTTACCACCCCACCAGCCAACGGAACCAAGGCTGCTCAGGCCCAGGATCCTATTGGCGTCAACGATGTTGCCGAAATTTGGGCTGCCACCTTGAACATGCCCCGAAGCCTCATCTCTCCTGCAAGCAACTTCTTTGATCTTGGTGGTCACTCCTTGTCGCTTGCAGACCTTGCTGCAAAGCTCTCAAGAGCTTTCGGCTTCCGTGTCCCCGTCGCTCGTCTCGCGGACCCTCCAACTCTTGCTGGTCATGTTGAGACTGTTCGTGGTGTTAGAGATGGACATGCCGCTGCGGTGCAAGCAGATCTCCCTGCCGTCCTGCGCAAGGATTCCAACCTTGACCACGACATCCAGGCCAACGGAGCCAAATTCTGCCCTCTTAACAAAGCCAATACTGTGCTTCTGACTGGTGCAACTGGTTTCCTGGGTGCTTTCCTTCTGAACGACCTCCTGGAGAACACATCCGCGCAGATTATCTGTCTGGTGCGCTTCAATAACCCTGAAGGCAGCGACTACTCTGCTGGTATTGCAAGACTGAGAAGACATCTTCTCGATCTCGGTCTGTGGCGCGATTCGATCATGGAGCGCGTTGAGATTTTGCCCGGTAACCTTTCCCGTGAGCGTCTCGGTCTTTCTCAGGACCTTTGGAACGATATGGTCTCTAGAGTCCAAGTCATTGTTCACGCTGGTGCTACCGTCAACCTGATCTACCCCTACGCCTCGCTGCGTGGAGCCAACATTGAAGGTACCAGGGAGATTCTGCGCCTAGCTTCCCAGAGCAAGGCTACCGTCCAGTATGTCTCGACAAACGGTGTCTTACCTCCTTCCAAGCACGGCTGGCCCGAATTTGCCATGCTGGATGTAGACTCTGTCCAGGACAAGCTTCTTGACGGCTACGGTCAAACCAAGTGGGTTGCTGAACAACTCGTCCACGAAGCTAGCCGCCGTGGCTTGCCAGTAAAGATCTTGCGTGCAGGAACCATCAGTGGTCACAGTTTGACCGGCTCTGCTAACGCCTGGGATCTGGTATCTGCTTTGATTGTTGAATCAATTCATCTTGGTTTCCACCCTGACGTCGAGGGATGGCGTGCTGAGATGACTCCTGTTGACTTTGTCAGTAAGGCTATCATTCATCTCGCCAACCAATCTCAAGCCAAGCAGCTTGTTTTCCATCTTGGTGATCCTACCCCTGTTGATATGAGCTCTGTCTTCCAAGACCTTGAGAAGCTCGGCTACCCTACCAAGCCTCTGGACTGGGAGGAGTGGGTCACCATGTGGACTGAGAAGAGAGGAAACGTCAGAGGCGGCGATGGTAACTTCACTGTTGATATTCTCCGCAGTGGTATGCCCAGCGTCGAGTTCCTAAGGGGAATTGTCGTTCTTAACAACGAGGCCACAAGACCTTTCCGCTCTGTTGTCGAGCGTCCCAAGGTTGATGCCGTTCTTCTCGAGACATACACTCGCCACTGGTTCGCTAGAGGATGGCTGCCTAGCCCTCCTTCAGGTTTGAGCTCTCTTGGCGGTGCCGCACACATGCCTCGTAGAGGTCCCCTTAGTGGACGTGTCGCTATTGTTACTGGTGCTTCGTCTGGTATTGGTGCTGCCGTTGCTGTCGCACTTGCAAGAGAAGGCTGCCATATCGCTCTCGCTGCCCGCCGCACAGACGCCCTGGAGGCCCTCAAGCGTAGACTCACGGTCCGTGAAGGCAAGGTCATCGTCCGTCAGACCGACGTTACAAACCGCCAGCAGGTCGAAGCTCTTGTGCAAGCTACCGAAGAAGAGCTGGGCCCTGTTGACATACTTGTCTCATGTGCCGGTGTCATGTACTTCACCATGATGGCCAACGCCAAGGTCGACGAATGGGAGCGCACCGTCGATGTCAACTGCAAGGGTCTGTTGAACTGCCTGTCATCCACCGTGCCCGGTATGCTTTCTCGCGGCGCTGGCCACGTCGTTGCCATCTCATCAGATGCCGGCCGCAAGTGCTTCCCTGGTCTTGGTGTCTACTCAGCCAGTAAGGTCTTTGTCGAATTCACCTTGCAAGCTCTTCGTCTCGAGACCGCTGGCAAGGGTCTTCGTGTCACCGGCGTCCAGCCTGGTAACACTCAGACCGACCTCCTCACCATGTCTAGCGACAAGGAGGCCGTCGAGAAGTACGGCGAGCCTTCTGGCGCACAGATCCTGGACCCTGAGGATGTCGCCAACTCGATCGTGTATGCGCTCAAGCAGCCCGCACACGTTGCCGTCAACGAGATTTTGATCGAGCCTCGCGACGAGCCCATCTAAGGAGAGAACTAAAGAGGAGGGAAATGATATTCGCGATCGTTTTTAGCTGGAGGGTGTTTTTCTACGCTGTCATTGTAACACACACACAACATGGTTATCACTAGTTTGCTTGCTTGCTTGCAGGAGTTGACATTTTTTCTTCAGTTTGTAATATATAACAAAACAACAACGACAGTTCTGGGGGTGTTCTTTCTTTATCGTAGTAGTTTTTACTACAAACTTCGTACTAACTGGGTGATAGATAGACCCTACGTCGAGGACCCGACGCGACCATATACCTTTGTGAAGTCCCATTTTATATATACTGACAGCGAGAATGGTTAGTGATTCTGACTGACACTTGTAGTTTCGCCTGCTGAGATTCACATCCGTGACTAAGGTAAAAGATGAGCGCAGATGATAACAGTAGTATCTTACAAGACAGCAGAGGAAGAGAAATACCATCTCATTGAATACTGATTGTCTATAACCAAACCGTATAAGCTCTTCAAGAACTCTTTACACAGCTGTCAGAATGCAAGAGGTTCTTGCTCGTTGGATGACTGGCCAGTGGCCACTGAGGGTGACACTTCCACGTGCTCTCTTCGGACAATCGCATCAACTTGAAAATCACCGTGTATTTTTGAAGGACATTGGAAGAGAGACCCATCGGCCGGCGGAGAGCTCATAAGTCTACGCTGTACAGAGACATACAGTTTCAAGTGGTCTGCGAGCAATATCCGTTCTGAGCGAAACATGCATTAAATCAGCCAACCATCAAACCAGAGGAGGCCGAAGTGATTCCCTTCCGAGTCAAGAAGTGGAAATTGGTATCATACACAATCCCAAGAATGTGAGGCCTCAAAGTGGAGGTGGCAGACTAAGGGCTTGGTTCTTGCAAAGTACCCCTCTCCAAGATCGATCAAGGCTTGGATAGGGGTGTTGGCTGAACCTACAGTCGCAGGAGAGCATACGTACACAAGGTTTTGAGCGGCTAGAGAGACCAGGCCCCACCTAAGGAGAAGGTATGCGTTCTCGATGGACAGTCACGGGAGTCGGCAATGGTATTTGCTGGTCAGATTCCACCCATGGATGCAACTATTCGTCGTGACACCGACGCATCGTATGTCGTATGGCACACACCAGTTTGAGTCAGTCTCATTCGACCATCATCTCTTGTATGATAATTCATTTCTCAAAGAAGGCTCTCATCTCAGCAAGCGTCGGCACTGTCTTAGTATGAGGGCCAGGAAAATGAAGCCGGCTGCTCGGCGCTAGGCATCGGCGGTTACTCGTCTTGGCCGCCTGGAGAGAGCTGAAGATAGAAAATGGTATACGAGCATGCTCGACGTAAGAAAGAGCGGGTTTGCCACAACGTGGATTTCAAAAATAGTCGAGCAGTTGAGGCGAAGAGATACCAAGATAGGTTGTCGGTCGTAAAAGTCGTGATGGTTGACGAGGTCGTCAAGTGCTGCTGAAAATAGAAAAAGCTTTGCCGTCTTGGCTGGAGGCTCTTGCTCTGGATGCGAGCAGCCGGACGGGTTCAAGGCGCATCTCTACGTCAACCGTGAAGAAAGACAGGAAACTGCTGGAAGAAACGGTGATCTCGAGACAGAAGCAAGAAGAGACACGAGGTGAGGAAGGAAACACTACTGGCAGTTCTTGTAGACTATCAGCGCGTCGTCATGTCGATTGCGCGGTTGCCTCGTAGGCAACGACGAACATCGATTGCGGATGGCTGGCCGGTAGATTAGAGTTCGGTTTGCCGGGTGACGGCTTGCGGCTGGCTGGCTGCCAACTGCTGGGACCCTTGTTTCTTGCAGCTCAGCAACCAACCACCTACTTTTTTGAGTCGGTCGGCGGTGTAACATGAAGCGCTCTGCTGCAGGTCCCTGACTCTGGGTGGAACGAATCAATGATGTAGTACTCTACCATAAACAATATCAACGAGACAGGCCGACAGCAAGTGATCGTAAAGCAATGGCCATGATCTCTCCAGATCTTCCTCGGTGACGACCACCTGCCAGCCAGCGAACGGACGAAACGGTGGCAGCAGGTGGCGCAGGCACGCTAGCGAGTATCAGAATATGTGCTTCGCTATTATACGAATAGTCCACCATGAGAATAATCTTTAGCGCTGGCTAGAGGTCGAGTACATAATGGAACGCCGTTCCTCCTTGTTACGGCATTCCTCATCCCACATAGCAATTCTGTTTGTCTGCGCATAATTTCAACCCACATTCCTCTCGATCCAAAAACAATCACATTCATATCATCAGCTCAAAAGGCCAAGACCGAAGCTAGATCTTCCCCTCTCCTTCTCCTCCCTATCGACGGACGTTCATCGACACCGACAACATGCACTTCGCCAGAAACTCCGCCCTCGCTGGGTTGGTTGTCATCCCCCTGGCCGCTGCCCAGACCTACACCACCTGCAACCCTATGGAGAAGACTTGCCCTAACGATGTTGGCCTCGACTCAGCGAGCTTTGCTTGTGACTTCACCAAAGGCAAATCAGCTCTTGCCAGCTGGAGTGCCGCCTCTGGAACTACCCTCACCTACGATGGCACCAAGGGTGCTCAATTCGTCATCAACGGCAAGAACCAGGCACCCACCATCTCGAGCGACTTCTACATCTTCTTCGGCAAGGTCGAGGTCACCATGCAAGCAGCTCCTGGTACCGGTATTGTGAGCAGTATGGTTCTCCAATCCGAGGACCTGGACGAGATTGACTGGGAATGGCTGGGCGGTGACACTACCCAGGCTCAGACCAACTACTTCGGAAAGGGCAACACCACGTCGTACGATCGCGGCACTTACCAGTCTGTCTCGTCACCACAGACTGTCATGCACACCTATGCATTTGACTGGACCAAGGATCAGGTGCAGTGGCTCATCGACGGTGTGGTTGTCCGTACTCTCAAGTACGCCGATGCTGTTGGCGGCAAGAACTTCCCTCAGACTCCCATGCGCCTGAAGTTGGGCAACTGGATTGCTGGCGACCCGGACACCAACGCCAAGGGCACGATCGAATGGGCTGGTGGTGAGACGGACTTCTCCAAGGTCCCCTTCACCATGTACGTCCAGTCGGTCAGCGTCACCAACTACAACCCGGCCAAGGAGTACAACTGGTCCGACAAGACCGGCAGCTACGAGAGCATCAAGCTGATCGATGGTACCTCGTCTGGTTCTTCCAGCTCTTCCTCGTCGTCTTCCTCTTCAAAGTCCGGCAGCAGTGGTTCGGCCTCCAAGAGTGCTACCGCCAGTGTCAAGTCTACTGCCGTCATCTCAAACAGTGCCAACACCGTCGCTCCTACCTCGTCCATCAGCGTTAGAAAAGCTCAGGCCCAGGGCAGCGCCGCTGTTGTCAACAGCTCCAACTCTTCATCAACCTCGACTGCCTCCACTTTGAGCTCTGTTATCAGCAGTGTCAGCGCTAGCGCCACCTCTGCTGCCGCATCCAAGAGCTCATCGCACAGCTCATCTTCTTCTTCGGCCACTTCAAGCCAGCCCGCCGAGCAGACTGCCAACGCTGGTGTTTCCAACACTGTTGCTACTGGCCTCGTCTCTATCATTGGAGCCGCCATGGCCTACTTCATCCTCTAAGGGGTGCTTCAGGCCCTTCTTTGTCTTTTATTATGCATAGCGATGGACACTTTGTCATTCTCTCTCTGGCCGGACCAGATATACCCACTTCTACTAATCAGGGCGGCTTTTTTGAGGTTCAGGATGGTTGTATTAACAAGAAATTGATTACCCACTTTGATAGATAGCACGAATTGAAATAAAGGGACTCGAAGTCTCTGTGTCTTCCAATATTTTACCTTTCCAGTCGCATATCACAATCAGTGAATAGGAGGTGTATTTGAGATGGAACCCAAGAAGGAGGTGGTCGGAAAGGACGGAGATTGTGGTGAGCACGAGCGGGGAGTCGGCAAATGATTCGCCGAAGAAAGATTGAGTTCTGCCTTCTCATCATCGTGCATGCATGTGAAGATGGCGCCGTCCTTAATATTCTCCTCATTCATTGTGCGCTCTCTGCCTTGCAAGCGTATGTTTCCTTACAGCACTATGGCCAGGGACAACCGATAGAGACACAGCAACATCCTAGGACCTTCTCTCCCCTCCCGCTCCCCTGCTTCGGACGTGCTCTCCGTTAACGCCGTCATGCTCGACTTTCTCCATTTTGGTGGCCTAGACAAGCCGAACGGTGGATGGCATTCTCTCATAGGTATAATCACGGCAATAATAGGCAACATCCTCATTTCGTTTGCCTTGAATACACAGCGATACGCGCATATCCGACTTAATCGCCAATACCAACAAGATGAGGAAGAGAGGAAACGAGACAAACGGAGTGCAAACCGCGACTCCCAGCAGGAGCGGATAGCTGAAGAAAGGGAGCAGCAGAACCTCAATGGAAACGGCAGTCATGCTGAAGCCTCAGAATCTGATCCGCTGCTTCCCTCGTCTGCCTCTACCTCGTCCGAGTCGACCATCCGCCCGAACAAGAACTCGACTGCCACGGGACCGAAGTCATACTTAAAGTCTCCGATATGGTGGCTCGGGATTGCGCTCATGACAGTCGGCGAGGCTGGAAACTTCCTCGCCTACGGCTTTGCGCCTGCCTCGGTCGTATCACCACTCGGTGTCGTAGCCTTGGTCTCAAACTGCTTGATCGCGCCTTTGTTGCTGCACGAGCAATTCAGAATAAGAGATGGACTTGGTGTTATAGTCGCTGTTGGTGGTTGTGTTACAGTCGTTCTCAGCGCCAGCGACAACAACCCAAGGCTGGGTCCTGACAAGATTTGGGAGTTGATCTCGACGTGGGAGTTCAAGACGTACTTTGGGATCACCGTCTTCTTGATGCTAGTCTTGATGTCAGTGAGCTCGAGATATGGACACAAGTCTGTCATGATCGATCTTGGACTTGTTGGCTTATTTGGTGAGTGTATTCGGCTCTCTTTCCCTCTGATCACCGACTTACATTTTCTTCAGGTGGTTACACTGCGCTATCGACAAAAGGCGTCGCATCATTGCTGTCCAACACCATCTGGCACGTCGTCACGTTCCCCATCACATACCTACTGGTCGCAGTGCTGGTGACTACAGCCGTTCTGCAGATCAAGTATCTCAACAGAGCTCTTCAGCACTTCGATTCGACGCAGGTCATCCCTGTTCAATTCGTACTCTTCACCCTCTCAGTCATCATTGGCAGCGCGATCCTCTACCGCGACTTCGAACGTACAACGACCGACGACGCCATCAAGTTCTTCGCAGGCTGTGCTCTGACATTCTCAGGAGTCTGGCTCATCACCTCGGGTCGCGGAAAGAGCAGACAACACGACGAGGAAGAAGGATCAGAAGATGGAGAAGCCATTGACCTGTTGGACGAAGAACACAACCAGCCTGAGATCCGCGAACGACACGACAGCAACACCCGCCGTGCATCGCTTCAACCACCCTCCGACCGCCGTCTGAAATCCTCCCATTCAGACGCTCCCTCGTTCGTCATCACCTCCGACGACACACCCTCCCAACCATTCACCTTCGAAGCCTCGTCACCATTGAATGAAAACCCTTGGGCCCTCCCCGCACCCGCCAACATCTCCTCCATCCACCCACGCTCGTCCGCCAGCGTAGCAGCCGAGCAAAATTCAAAGAACCCTCCTCCCATGCACGCTACAACTTCCGCCCCCGTGCTTCCTACAATCGCATCTCAAAAATTGAGCCCGAGACGACCTACAACGCCCAACCGAGGAATTAGTAGTCCCTCGATGGAGCATAGTCCGAATGCACTTTCGCCTTCTCACCAGAGATATAGAAATATCGATGTCAGCGAAGCTACACCAGGACGCTTAAACACTTTGACGCAAATTCTCCCTGGCCCGCTCACAAACACGTTATCTTCATCTTTGTCTGCAATCGTAGCGGATTCACTACGCAAAGGCATCGTGGAGTCGTCACCCTCCAATCGCCGCAGGGTTTCTGGCAGAAGCAGCAGAGCAGAAGTAATGGAAGCGTTGAGGGAAGGCCAAGAAGAGGGTGTATTGCAAAGACCAGGTACAGGGAGTGGGAGGAAGAGGGACAGGAGTTTGAGTGCTACATTGAGCGATATGTTTCATGGGGGAAGGAGGAGTAGAAGTGGGACTCTAGAGGAGGTTCCTGATGAGGAGGAAGCTGTACGGTGATGATGGAAAAAGTGGGATGTTTTGTATGATGTGTATAGTGTTGCTTGGGTTTATGACTGGGATACAGAAACATCTATATCTAATGAAGCATGGCGTTCTTGTGGACAACCAAAAGACCCTGTTTTTGATCTCTTCTGCTTCAGAACGACCAAGTCAAAAGGTGACCCTGCCCATACTTTTGCAGCGCCTGCCGCCGATCATCCAAGTCCAAATGGCCCGTGCTCAGCAACTTCTTTGAGAACAGAAACAGCGACCTTGGTAGACGTCCAAGCAGGCCAAACAGCCGCCCGCACAACGACCATGTCGCTGTCACATTCGCTAGAGCGCCTTTGGCGACCGCTAGCCACCCGTGCGACTCCCTTGACCCAACAATGCCGCCGCTACGCCTCAACAGACATCGCCGACACCATCACCGAACTCGAATCCGGCGGCTCCCTCAGAACTCTGGACGCCGACATTGAAGGTCTCGCCAACGACTTCGACCCCGTGGGCAAAGCGAAGAAGAGAAACAGACAACTACCCGCCAGCAGATACAAGTTCCGTCCCCCCAAGTACTACCGCGGTCCTCTGCATCCTCACCAACCGCCTCCCAACTCGGATCCCGCATCTCGTCTTTTCGAACCCGGTCCGTTCAGTGCGCCTCGTCTTGAGCAGACTTATGCGTCCACTTTTGAGTCCGATCTCATGACTTTGGCGTATACGCATTTCCCTCCTGGGTATCGCGCACCGCCCAAGGCTGCTAGATTGAGAGCTTGGGAGGGCGCATCACCATATTACAAGAACCGTCCTCTGCGTGGACCCAGAGGTTCAGATGTCTTGCGTCTCCTCCGCAAACCGATTACTTTCCGCAACGTCCCCAAGTTGGAGAAAATCACCATTCACACCATGGTCAAAGGCGCACTGGACGACTCCGCACATTTGCACGTCGCAGGCATGATCATGCAGGCCATCTCAAACGTTCGCGTCACAACCCACAAGACGAGAAAGAACGTCGCTGGTTTCGGCCTCAGAGCCGGTCAATATGTTTCCGTCACCGCGGAGTTGAGGGGAGAGGACATGCATCATTTCCTGGCCAAGGTCATCGATATCGTCATGCCCAAGATCAAGGAATGGAAGGGTGTCAAGGGTAGTTCGGGAGATTCAAGTGGTAACCTCTCCTTCGGTTTCACTTCAGAGGAAACCGCGCTGTTCCCCGAGGTGGAAGTCAACTATGACATGTAAGTTTTGACTGCCTCTGCTCGCGAGAGACGTGTGGGAAGTAAGCACGAGACTGACATGTTGTGCTCAACAGGTACCCTCCCAAGATGATCCCCGGTTTCCACGTCACCGTCCACACCACCGCCACAAACGACAGAGATGGCAGACTCTTGCTCGGCACCCTCGGTATCCCCTTCTACGGCAAGCAGATCAACTAAGAGAGAAAGAGAAGGGGTCTTCCTTGGTCTTTGTATTTCAAATATCCTTGTACAATATCCGGTGTTTTTTTTGGGGACTCAGGGGCAAAATGCACAAAAGTAGGAAGAGACAAATGTGTACAATTTCTCCTGTTCATATCTTCGCGATGCAAAGTAAAAATCTTGTACCCGACAGAAAAGGCAGATGATCGTATCAATTCAGCCGCGTGAACTGATGAGCACTTGGCGAGTGGCTGAAGTAAGGATCGGAGACAAGAATCAGACACGCAGACAAGAAACCCCTGTCCTAAGGATCGGTTTGGTATAAGTAACAATTATTTTCGCTGACTACGAACCAGCTCTCAGGTAATGAGTAATCCAAACTTCTCATGTCCTCTCAGGTAATAAACACAGGTAGCATACTTCTCGAATATTCGATTGGCAACGGCATACCAGGTTGAACAACATGTAATCTCTGCCAACACATGGCTCTCAGCATCATCGCTAACCAAGCAGCCTCGACCTGCAACTCTGTTGGTCTCGTTACCCACTCAGTCTTGCCATCCATCTCTGAGCCCGAGGTTGTGGAGAGCGCTTCCAGGATTTCGCCTTCACCGTCCCATTCTGCTCTTACAACGCGAGCCATTTCCGGAAGAGCTGCGAACATGCGCTTCATCTTGTCTGTGTCTGTGGCCGAGGCTTCGATACGTGTCGAGAACGTCAAGTGTTGCGTGACGAGAACGTGGAATCGTCCAGCTTGGATGACTGGGCTCGAGTATAGCATCGACTCACACTCGTTGAAGACGTCCCAGATTGCTTTCGCATCATCTGGCTCGGTCGCCAGCATCTCGCTTTTGAAAGTGAGTTTGGGCGTTTCCCAACTGAAGATGTTGTCACGCTGGGATGCTGGCCGGTTGAAGCGAGCCTTCAGATCAGAGTACAATTCACGCAGTCGTCGAGAGTTTCCTGAAGCGGTGGCTCCTCTGCGATCTACCAGTGCAGTGAGCTGATCATAGAAAGGTCGGAAGACAGTATGGGTCATGCCACGTGCTGAGACGTTCGGCCAGGGAATGATGGGTCGAGTGTGAGTGGAGATGCCGAGGAAGGGTGTGAAGAACGCAACAATGTCATTGACCGATTCCATCCAGTCCTTGTCTCCGGTTTCACTTCGTGTGCGAAGGGCAGCGATCATACTATCAGCAGCTGATGAGTCTGAGAAGAGATTAGGCAGCGTAGAAGAAACGTCACTCAGAGAGCCGATGTGTAAGATCAGATGAGGCAACGCTCTATGGAGATTGAACAGGTCGGTATGTGCCACTCTTCCAAACAGCAGCTCATCGGCTTGACTCAGAGGAGAGGTGCCGTGAAGATGCATATGACCAAGAACATCCGCGTCCAGCTCAGGGTCTCGAAGATAGTGGATGATGATCCCCATACCTCGAATGACGGTCGAAGTAATGACTTGATGATTGCCTTCGGCTTGCAACGTGCCAATGTTTGGCTCGAATTGCTTCCAGCTCATTCCCAGCCGGCGAGTGGTTGCTGCCAGGCCTGAAAGTGTCGTGATGGCTAGTGGTCTCAAGACATCGTCGGGTACAAAATCCCAACTGCGATAGGCTGTCTCTGCACGGCCACATCGAAGCCAGTCGCAATAGGTCATGCGTTTTGCTTCCTGCGGACCGACAGGATCGATGAGTTGTCGTCTGATGTGTTGATCATGCAAGCCCAGGTTGTGTAGCAGATGGACCCAACCTGCTAATTCAGCATTCCAGTCACGATGCTTGTCCGGCGGGTTGGGGTCGAACGTGGTGAGTTCAGGTCGATCGCAGAAGGGTCGAACTGTTCGGGAGCCGTCTTCTCCTCTGACAGGAAGACTAAACTCAACATAGGGAACGCAGTAGAGGCACTCAAATCGAAACTCTCTCCATCGCCATCGCAACCGAGTCTTCGAACCCCAGGGCCCCATGACACCGGGACCACAACGTCGAAAGCCGTCTGCTGTCGCGATATACTGTTGCAAAGTCTGGAAGATTGTTGCCAGGAGAGCAAGTACCCCGACTGCTAGTGCAGCAATCGCGGATGCATTCGTACCGCCATCACCGATGGCTCCAGGCGCTCCCACATCGCCGTCCCCTCCATGGCGCTTGCTGAGAAGGAATGCTGAAAGAGAAAGGGGAGCCATAATGTATAATGCGACGATGTATGAATGATTCGAGGTTGATGACGGACTAAATGATGGAAGCAGTGTCTAGCTGGATCGGTTGATGGCTGGCGTTGCTCAACTCGGGAAGGCGCCTACCTTGATACTTCCTCAACGTGAAACATGCACCCAAGAGAAAGCCGGCGATCATCATCGTAACGCGGATGCACGTGGCGAGTAGAATTCCATTGAGACTGGAAAGGAAAGAGCAATGGTGTTTGTGCGTCAATGATTTCGGTTTCTTTACATACCAACATCGTCATTATCCACAATTAAAATCTATGTTTGCCCTCTATATTGTCCGAAGCAAGGAGAAAAGTGTCATGTACGATTAAACGAAAGTGGGATAACCAGAAGAGAAGAGAGACAGACGCTGGATTCCGCCACAAATCTGTGCAGTGTTTCCAGGGCAAGGCGACTTGCATTGCATGTCGACTGTGAGAATGGCAGATGCAGAGCTGACCTCGTTACCGCACCAGCACTTGGTTGCGTCTGACATACCAGCAACCTTGTAGCCAGAGTCGGCGCATCCTGATGTGCAAGCCTCAATGGTGTTGTTTGAGTTGTCGTAAAGGAGAGTGGAGAGCGCTTGTGCAGTCGTTGGAGCTTGATCGGTCCAGCAGCCTTGATAGGTCAAGCCTCCAGCATACGTGTTGTAGTTGCTTGTGCCAGGAGTGTTGACGAGGCTGGGGTCTGGGAAAGGGTCATCACCCTGTTGCTTGCGAGGGTATCCAAAGTCGTAGGCACGGCTGTTGTCACCGTAGAAGTTGTCGGTGAACAGACGAGCAAGTCCTGCAGCGGAGTGGAACATCTGACCATTATCGTGAGGAGCATCGACCAGGTCAACAGTGTCGCAGTTGGTACCCGAAGGGTCAGGGCAGCTAGGCTGGAACCACTTCATGAAGAAGAAGAAACGCTCATTACGGTCTTGGCCGGTGGTTTGAGGAGCACAGCTGGAAGCGTGGTCTCCAAAGTCTTGAAGAGCACGAGCCCAGGCAATCTGCTTGCTGTCGAAGTTTGCCTTGATGGCGTCAAGACCCTGTGCGACCAAGTTGGCACCGTAGGTCATTCCGTACTCAACAAATTGAGCGAAGCCTTCGCGATAGTCGTTATAGGTAGGGCAATCCGGAATGTTCAGAGGGCGGTAATCGCTGAGCCATGCCCAAGAGTCTCCGTTGGCGATCCACAAAACAACAGGAGATTCTGTATCAAGCTTATCACCGACTGCGGCATAGCGCTGTAGCATTTGTCCGCCCAAAGAGTGTCCAGCAAGGACGATTTGCTTCATGTTGGGGAAGAGGGTCTTGTCGTCAAAGTAGCGAACCAGTTCATCAAGAATGTAGTAACTAGAAGTGTTACGGCTGTTGTGAGGGTATTGGTTGTTTGCACCAGCAGACCATTTTGAGCCAGACCAGACCATTGCGTTTGATGTAGATCCTTGACCAGCCTTGAGACCATCAGTCCAAGGGTATCCGAGGTTCTTGTCATTGCCATTGGGGAAGTATGGGGCCATCACAGCAACACTGTCGCGGTTGACGTTGGTGTCCTGGACCATTGCAAGAGCATTGAGCATCTGCCAAATTTGTCAGCTTTGATCTCTCAACGTGTTCTCATGAAACTTACGTCGTTCTCATAGTTCCAAGGATCTCTCAAAAGACCATGAAGAACAATGACAGCTCTCTGGATCTTACTTTCGACGATACGATTTCCATCGGTACCGTGAGAGTAGTAGTTGATCAAAGTAAGATTGTTGTTCTTGCCACTAGGGTCGTCAATCTTGAAGAAAGCAACCTCTGCATTTGCTGTGGTCGGAAGGTTGGCACTGATAACGTCTCCGGCATACTGCTGTGCAAGTACAATGGGAGTGCTGCACAGCAAAAGGAATGTGGTGAGAAACTGCATTATGGAAAAACGAATGAACGTGCCTATAAAAAGCACAAGAAAAGAGACACAGGAATTAAAAAGGTGAGACAATTGACAGGACTTGACAGAAAGGGTGTCGCTGCTTTATATTGAAGAAGGGAAGAGTGCTCGCATTAGGGCACGCGTACAACCATGTTCGTCCATTTTCCGAGTTGCGATAATTTCGGGTCGGCGTGAAAGTGCATGGATGATCGAAAAGATCTTCATGCATCAACATTAGCTCGTCCACTCACCGGATGCGCTGACTTGTTCCAACTTTCTTCGAAGCCCGCGTGTCATCCAAGGATTTCGCTCCGGAGCCAGGACGTGTCTAGCTGGTTTTGAAATGGGCTACAGCCTCCAGATGGTCGAACCGCCGGGGCATGACGCCGATCTTATATGCTTTGTGGAACCTCGAATCTGTGACGTTGGCAACACTGTACCACGATCGGCGTTTCGCGATCGCAACAGTCTTGCACCGTAGAACTTTTGCAGGATCTGTGTGGTTCCGAACATGCTGGTGACGAATAAACAGACAAAACTGACTCAGTTTCCTACAGCGGGACAGTACAACACCCACACTCGGATGTTTGTTCTCAGCCTTGATGTCGCGTTCTTATCTCCAGTATCCACTTCGGTTCATGATGGAATCGTTGGTATGAGTGCGTTAACCGAATATGTAGTTCATCATTGATCACGCAGATGGGTGTGCGATGACTAGCTATCTTATGAACGATGGCGGAAGTCCTTACTTTGCCGGACTACAGCAGTGACTTCTTGCCAGAGACCTTGCTTTCTAGCCATTCAGCGATTGCACTGTTGACTTCCTGAGGTTTCTCCACAGGGACAAAATGACCTGCCGCGATAGAAACAAATGTCAAATCCTCGCAGAGCTCCTTCTGCGGCTCCGCGAGTGTTGAGCTGACTGTGTCACAGACCGTGTCATATCCAGCTTCGATGAAGAGAACCGGGAACTTCAAGTGCGCATTGTTCTTCTGGTTTTCCAGATTAAAAGCCCGGTTCGCCTTGTGGTTCATATACCAAGCATTGCCAGGCCAGAAGCCAGTCTTTTCCATCGCGGCCACAAGCTCGTCGAGTGTCTCCTTGTCGATAGTAACGTATTCATCAGGAATCATACTAGCAGGTATAGGCTTTTCGGCGCCTCCCATCCAACCTCCATCCTCGACTGTTCGTGACAATGGACCAGGCTTGCCAACGCCCTTAGGATTGCCTTTGGTAAAGCCAGCTTTCAAGAAGCCACGAGGGTCTTTGTCGAACCAGGCTGTAGCTTTCTCGAATTCTTGCTCGTAGTAGGCCTGATAGGACCACTGCCCCCACGGATATTGATCTTCAGGGTAGATATCGCGATTGACATATTTGAGGGCTTCGTCCAGACCAAGTTCAAGGACGCCGTAGGGTACAGTCATGCCACAAGCGGCCTTGAAGACTTCAGGATGAGTTCTTGCGAGAGTCCAGAGGGTACCACATCCCCAGTCGTGCGCAACCCAGATAGCTTGATTGCGTCCGAGATGCTTCAGAAGAGTCAACATGGCTTTGATGACTTGTTCCTGAGCATAGTCGGAGGCGACTTTGCGAGCTGTAGATCCGCCATATCCTGGCATGTCGGGAGCAACAACCTTGAAGCCTCTTTTTGAGAAATCGGTGAGCTGATTGTGCCAGGTCTTGCCAATGCCGGGCCAGCCGTGCATAAAGACCATCAGCTCGCCATCCTCGGGGCCGGCGGTGAGGTAATGCAGCGTCTTGCCGCCGTCTTCGTAGACAAGGTCGTGCTCAGAGAATGAAGGCATATTGTATGATAGTAAAATCGTGTAGAAAACAGAAGGTTTGGCTTGATGTTTTATATATTCGTGTGAACTTCCGAGGTTCGTGTTCAAGCTCGGACATGTCATGCCATGCCCGCATTTCTTTGGTCGCAAGAAGCGACGAGCCTCTAGGCAGCCAGTAAGCAGCGATCATCAACAAACAAGACACTATAATCATATCCTCCAATTGGCATGTGTAAAGCAGGAATTGCCAAGAAGGCGCAGTGTAATTCAGACTGCCCAGAGTCAGCACGGTGGTTTGCAGCCGAGCAATGGGGAAGAGAAGGCAGACTTACACACTTGATTGTTCAGTCAAAATAGCCCAACAAGAGCATACCAAGCCCTGCACCTGCAGGAAGGAAGCTCCAGTGTTTCCATTCTCCGCCTCCGGTGAGTCTTTTCTGCAAGAAGCCGTCGCCGAACGCGACAATCAGATCGCACATTACAACCGAGCCCAAAGTTCTACTGTCGGCGAAACTTCTCACAGCTACGATCATGAGCCCAAGAGCGACGTTTCTCAAGCCATAGAGTTGTATGAGAGCTTCGATGAGGTTCTTCTCTTTGGCAGCGATGACAGATGTATCGACTTCCCAGACGTTGAGCATCACGTAAGGGCGAAGGATGCCGGTGAGTCCAAGCGTGAGCTGGAATACGCCAAATCCAGCGGCCGTGTTGATTGCGAGAGGGGACTGCGACGAGAGACCAAGGTACGACATGATGACTCGAGTACTGTCTTGAGAGGTCGGATTACGAATGTTGAGGGTCAGAAAGTCGTCTCACTCATACTTGAATGCGACAGCTGACCATCCTGAATCCTTCCAAGCGGGCGTCTACGCCAGCTTACTGGCAAGCTAATCAACAAACAACGATCGACCACGACATCACAGCCCGGCATTTCTACTGGTTGTCATTGGAAGCATAGAGGCATCATCGCCTCCTCATGAACAGATGATGCGACAAGTCAACCTGGATATACATGCGACGGAGCGGAATATCGCCGCTCGCGTGGTTTACCACTTCCTGAGGACTGGCCCGAAATACTCACAGCCACGAAATGTTCCGAGACAAGAAGCATCTAAACACTTGCCAGTGGTAATCTACTAATCTCTTAATTTTTAGCATTTTGGAACATGTCTTCAACCCCAGGGACCAAACGCACGTATGAACAGCACGTTACTTGAGAGAGACACAACCCATTTGCCTCTGTCTGAGCAACAGTCTCAAAACGTGCAAGACATGAGGAATTCATGTGTCGACAAGCACCTGCTAACAATAGGTCTCCCATGATATAAAGAGAACTCACTTGCACTTAGCACAGAATCAGACAGCAAGTCCTCCACCAATACAACGATACAACCATCTAACCAAACCGCTACGATGTCTGGCCCTCCGTTCAACTAATCCAATATAAACACCTTTATTTCACATTTTTCTGGAAGCGCAGCAAACAAAAAAAGCCAACTCTTTTCCGGCACTCCAAACAACCAAAATGCTGGTCTCTGGGGCGCCCCTGCGACTGATCAAAGTCGAAGGCAGGGGCTGGGTCTCTTTGACGAGGCTGCTAGTCACAATGGAGGTAGCCCGTTCGGCAACCCTCGTCCTGTGAACAATAACTCTAGCCTCTTCGCAGCACCCGGCCAACCTTCAAACTTGTTCGGTGGCTCCAGCCCCTTCGCTGCCCCTAGCCAACCTTCAAGCCTCTTCGGTCGTCCCGCAAATCACTCAACATCCCCTTATCCCAATCATCGCAACCCACAAGGTGGTATGTTCGCAAGCATGAACCGGCAAACATCAAGACAGGCAAGTAGCCATGGTCTGTTCGGAATCATGAACAACAACTCCTCTGGAAGAGGGTTGTTCGGAAATCAGAATGGCACTGGTCTTTTTGGCGATCCGGCAGAGATAGCAGAGTTAAGTCGGATTTTGGGGTATAATGTTGGAGTGCACGGTCTTCCTAGGGACTGGCGATCTTCTGGCAAACATGGTAATCAGGGGTGATGAGATATTATCGGCATAGGTGTGAGGCTAAAGAATGCATGATAGTTGGTTTAGGTGGTGAGCTGGAGTTATGGCATGCTAGATAGCATTTATTTGATACAAGGATTTTTTCTCGAATCTCTCAAGTCTCTGTACCCGATCAAACCTACATGCAGAATGAGTTGAACAAAATTAAGTCTATGATTTGGAGTCTGAAAAGGTTGCAGAAGCGATATTTCAGCTAGCTTTGAACTCGATTTGTTCTTTCTCACCTTTTGCCCAAAACTTGATTGTCGTGGGAAGATGACTAGGAAATGTATCGATGTTCAGAGGTAACACTGCTAGTACCCATGCATACAGTAAAAGGTAATTTGTGCCTCTTCGGATCTAACCTCCCTGAGTGCTAGAGTTTGTCACATTGACTCTCAAGCCGCAGCGATGCGCATCAACCAACGCATCCAAGTACACGATGATATTGAGCACGTCCTCCGCAGAGAGCGATACTTGGAGGTCTTTTCTTCAATTCGTAGGGTTCCTTCGGCAAGGATTTCCTATGTTTCGGGAATACGGCAGAGTGTTTGCTGTCAGAGAATCAGTCTGTGGACAGAAAGAAAAGTGATAGAAGGGAAGTGGTAAGAGGAGAAGAAAGTGTTCGTAGAAGATGGTAGTGTATTGTTTAGGGTCCTGCCCTTGAATCTAAACCTATGTGTCCCTATGTACAAGCGTGGAGAACAGGCATTTATCTTTTAGACGCATTACAAAAAGTACTCAAAACGCGTATGATCCGAATGCTTAGCACTGTTGGCCAGCAAGAGTCTTCAAAACAGACTGGTAGTGCAGACCAGTAGCAGTAAGCTGAGGAGGCCAAGAGCTGGTCATCAAGTTCCAGACACCGGGAACACCCTCTCCGTTGTTTGCACCATAAGCAAGAACCATGTCATTGCCTTCAAAATACTTGACCATACCGTCGATGAAAGCATTAACAGTAGCTTGGTCACCACACGAACTCCAGTTCTGATCATTGACGCAGGTGAACTCGCTGACCCATACGGGCTTGCCAAACTTGGAGACGTAGTATTCAACGACCTTGATGCCTTCTGCGACGGTAGGCTTGTTGACGTGGATGCTAGTGATGTCCCAGGTGACGCCCTGGGCGGCGAAGTTGGTCAACCATGATTGATCGAGCTGTGTGCACATAGGTGGTGAGCCGAGTGCGATGCCGCGGTTGCGGAGAGGCTTGATCAATTCGTTCCACTTTTGAACACCGACGTTGACGTCGGTGATGTGACTGGAAGACGGGCAGTCGCAATCGGGCTCGTAGAAGCCGAAGAAGACATTCGGGGTTGTCTCGCCGCTTGTCACGTACTCGGTGAAGTTTCCGAGTCTCCACTTGTCGACTGGGCCATCGGGGTTGTTTGTGAGGCATTGATCACCCTTGCCCCAGAGCATAGGTGCACCAACGACGGTGTGATCGGAAGCTTGAATATTTGGTGCAACAGGCTCGTAGTTGCTGTACCAGGAGATGTATGGGACCCATTGTTGCTTGAACATGTCGAGGGTCTCGATGCCAGGGTAACCGGAAAGACCAGCTTTCCAGGCAAGACTCAGTGTCGTCGAGCTTGCAGTTGCGCGTTTGGTCAATGTGGTCGATGCTTTGGCTGAAGCTGAGCACTTGGAGGCTGACTTGACCGAGCTGCTGACGGCTTTGCTTGATGATGAAACCTTGACCGATGATGAGGCCTTGACTGACGATGAGGCCTTGCTCGATGACGAGATTCTGCTTGATGATGAGATCTTGCTCGATGTTGAAACCTTGGAAGATGACTTTGAGCTGGATTTGACCAAGCTGCTAGAGCTCTTTACTGATGTTGTCGGCCGAGTCGAGGTCTTGACACTGCTAGAAGTAGCCTTTGTGGTGACTGCAGTGGTCTTGCTACTGCTATTGCTATGCAGAGCCTGATGGCGTTGGAGACCAAAGCCACGCTCTCCATGGACCGCAGCAGAGCCAAGAGAAGCCAAAGAAAAGGCGGAAAGAATGATAGTGCTCTTCATAGTGAAAAATGAGTGGTATGAGTCTTGCTCAAGATATGGAAATGATCGTATGAAATGGAAGGAATATGTAGAATTAAGGAACCCACAGATGTGCAGCCATGACCAAAGATATAGGCGATCTTGACTGATAGACCACAGGAACGGAAACGTCTTTCTCACTGTTTACAGGAGCCGACTTACTGTTCTGGGAGAATTACTGCTCTGTCAGTACGTTCTGGTCAAGTCGAACGTTGGATTTCCTCAGCTACCAAAACGGCGCGTCGCCACCACGACCGAGGCGGCTCTGTTTCAGAGAATGCGGGATACAGGAGAGACCTGGTTTGACATGTTGAGACATCGATAAAGGTACGTACATCTTGTGGGGTCGAGCGGATGTATTGTTGATTTGAGAAGGAGAATCAAGAGGTGTAAAGTGGAAATCGAGCCCCTTGCAGACTTTATGCGATGCGCTGCATTCGACCAGTAGCTGGCGTTCCTCGACCATATCGCTTCAGATCTGCTACCGGCTCAAGACCTTGAGACTGAATTGGCGGTTCGGCTTGTCGCCCAGTTGTGTTGCGGGTAGACTGGACTGACGCTACCTGTCAGGGTGCCATGGGGCAGCGTCCCTAATGCAATGACCTGTAGTTTGGCGAGCGAACATGTTGGTGGGCCCGTGCAGTTTGCTTGATACAGTTGTTGCATAGCGGGCTTGCGTGCAGTCTCCTTGGTAAGGGTTGAAGAATGACAGAAGTCACAGCTACTGGAAAGTTCACGGCTGTCGGATTGAGATGCATACCATTCAATGTATTTGTCGCAGTCATAAGTACCTTCGTTGGAATTAGCACGACGGCGTCTGACATCTGCTTCCCCCAATCGGTAGATACGACTTTCCCTCGTTGAAGTTGAAGAGTTGAAGAGTTGAATTGTTTGTAGCCGATTTCCTTTGCAGGCCGATTACGTCAAGCACAAGCGGGGACGAAGAAAAATGCAAAGAAAACAAAGAATTCTTTTTTCTTCCTTTTTCCTCCCTTGTTCCTTCCCTCACCAGCACAAATAAATCATCACAAACACTTTTCTCATCCGCAAGCAATTAACAAACAATCGCTCCTTCCCAGATATATTCTCTCCACTTCTGATCGCAAATTTTGTCCATAATTTTGTAGAACACCAGTGCGCAAAAAATCATGAACGACAACGAAAACATGGCTGGAAGCTCGTCCTCCCCAATCAGCTCGGCAGCACCACAAAGCCCTGACATGGGAGACTCTACCAACGGCATCAACTTCACCAACACAAACACAGCAGCATCACCGTCTCTGATATCCCAATCCGCCAAGAAAGGCAGAGGTCGCCCACGTAAATACCACACTGATGCCGAGCGCGAAGAAGCAAAACGCCGCTATCGCGAAAACCACAAGACCAAAGCCGCGACTGGCACGCTGGGCGTGAGCGGTGCTGGAACCACGGCTGCGGACTTTCAAGCCGCTGCTGCTCAACCTCCTGCACCTACGCAGCAGGATGTCGATGAGCTGTGGGAGGCTGTAAGGGGTCTGCAGGACGAAATTGCGGGTTTGAAGATGCAGTTGGCGCAGAGAGATGCCGCTGCTGCGGCCGCTTTGCCGGGCCAGAAGCGTAAGAAGGTCTGAGATGGGAGTTTTGTGAGACGACTTACGGAACCCACGACATTCATCGACAGGGAGTAGAGACCTTCTGAGCACCACAAGGCCATGTTCGAATCAGCTTTTGCGACTGGCTTTCTTAGCGAGCATCATCTAACATCTTGCTGGCTCCCTCGTTGACTCTCCTGCTGGCTATTTATCAAGATCGACCGCCGAGTTCATGGCCAGCTCTGCTGTCAAAACACTCCACTGCTTCTGTTAAACCATGCACCAACGGCCAAGCGCTCCGTTTCTCTTCAATCAGCCTCCTCTACCATCGTTCTTTGCAAATTGGCTGATGACGGATATACGAATTCAGTAGTCCGGAGTAATGATCGAGAAGGGGCAATCAATGGAGAGGCTCTCTTGCCACGCACTAACGACTTATGTTTGTTCCTTTGCCTACACAACCATACAATAAAGCAAAGCTCATTCTTCTGTTCTAATCCAAACCATCTTTGCGATAGACCTTTTGCTCGCTTTGTGCGCTTCGAATTGTGTCCAATGCTATCGAGTATTTTCATCAGTGAGACCCATGCCTTCATCCAGGCATCAGTTAGAAAGTGCAAATCGAGTTTACAGCCGGCGTTGGAGACAGCTCTTCATTTCCTCCTTGATCTTTGTGGCCCGAGTCACAGTGGGGGTCTCTGGGTTTGTGTCAAAAGACAAAGTCACTGTTCTTACAATCGCGATAGACGCATCAACATGCATAGTGTATTAGGCTAATCAGAATATAGTTAGGAAATCGATTATCTTGCATCACTCCCAAGGGTGCTTGACCTCATCTTCAAGAGGCAAGACGCCCTTCCTTTGCATCCAAGTGGCCACGGCATCAGCATCAGCCCAGACTCTCAAGATGTTTCTGCCCACGACTTTGCCAGCATCATGCTCACTGATACCTTGCTTGAGCATCTCCGTCACCAGATCGGGAAACTTCGACACATCTTCGAAGCCCTTCGGTGTGCTCTCAATGCCGTCGAAGTCTGTGCCGATGCCCACGTAGTCGTAGCCGATCATGTCTCCGATGTACTTGATATGCTTGACCACCTGCTGGATGGTTGAAGTCTCGGGGACGAACTCAGGAAGACCAGAAGAGCTGTTTGAGGCACGACAGCTGATGAAATCTGGGTTGGCGTTGATCATGACGATGCCACGAGCGGCCTTGACGTATGGGAGAATGTGGTCAGGAACATTGCGGGGGTGAGGACAGATAGAGTAGGCGCTCGAGTGACTGAAGATTGGTGGGGCGATGCTGCCCTGCCAGCCGTCTTCTCCATGACCAAAGACGTGGGCCATGGTGTTTTGACTCACGTGGCTGAGGTCGACCAGCATGCCGAGTCTGTTCATTTCCTGGATGAGCTTCTTGCCTGCAGGTGAAACGCCGCCCCAGAGAGGAGGTGCAACAACAGTCTGGTTGTCGGAGTTTGAGATCAAAGCTGCATCTGCGTAGGCGTTATGGCAGTTCCAGGTCAAAGTTGCGTAGCGAACTCCTAGCTTATGGTAGAGACGCAGGGTGGAGATTGAGTTACCGATCTGATGAAGACCTTCGATACCCATAGGAGAAATCAGCTTATGCGAGGCAAAGGCACGATGTGCTGCTGCAGAGTCGCCGGCCGGTGAGAAGTATCGAGGGTACATCTCGGAGAGACGGTTGAAGAGGTCAATCTGCTCCAGTGTGGTCTTGACGTATGGAGCATATGCCGCATCAGAGAAGTCTGAGCCATTGGCCGGGCAAGGTACAAAAGCACTCCAGAATGCACCACCAACTTTGCCCTTGTTCATACGCGGGATGTCGACTTGGCCACCGAGACCACCATTCTCCATCTTGTCCGTAAATTCAGGATCATAGATATGGTTGCCATACAAGACTCGCATCAGGATAAGAAGATCATTGTGACCATCTAGTATTTTGGTCAGTCACGAGAGTCCAGGTCGTGCATTGATATATGGTTATGGAGATAAAGAAGCGTGTTGGCATTTTCTTGGGCTGTAGTAGAACATGAGTGGGATGTATGAACAAAGCTTACCGATCAATGGGTTGCGAATGAGTACTCTCTCAGCTGGTGAGTAGACGACATAATCAAGAGGCCAAAAACCAGTAAGGAAGTAGCACCCGGCGAATGACGCGGCAAAGGTGAAGGCAAGAAGGCGTATCGCCGTGATGAGACTGCGAGATTTAGGTTTCGTAGCCTCACGAGGCAATTCACCAAGCAAAGGCTCCTTCTCCATAGTGAGTATAGGCTGACAGTAGACAATTACAATGTCAAGAGGCAGATGGGTAGGAACGATAGATAGCGATATTGGTAAGCGCGTCATGGTTCACCGCCTGCCACGATAGGAAAGTAGGACCGGCAGAATGAGCAACGTCACCAGCCGGAAGCAATTCGGCCGACGCGTCCAAGGAGACAAATAATCTTAGAAGCAGACAACTTCTCGACCAAACATCACCACCGAGCAATTGAGAGTTCACAGTTGCAAGAATGGGCTTCAGAATCTCGTCATATACCCTCATCAAGAGTGTGTCGCTTGCTCACATAACGGCGGCATACCTCTTCCTGTACAAGCCGCATGTGCTTGCTGAGCAGAACATCGTCGTCATTCTGGGAGAGTCGATGCAAGTCGTGAGTACCATTACCTTGAGAATGTCATAGCATTGGCTGATGATAAGAAACACAGCCTGCCACATCGGCTTTCAGCAAACCTACCGAGATCACCGCCCTCGCATCCATCATCCTAGCCTTCCTCGGTGTTAGCGACTTGATCGCAGCCAGCCTTCCCGAACGCTCTTGCCTCGAATACTGGTCCAATGTTCTTCCTTTCCGCCTGTTTATGCTGTTCGCCAGCACCGGATACATCTATCTCACCAGAGGCGACGACACTACCACCTCGACCCTCCGAGCTCTCAAAGGCGACTCCAACCCTCTCGACCTTGTCAAGAACTCATTTATCTTCACCTTCTTATTCATGGAGACGCTGCACTGGTTCTGGGTCTTTGTTGCCATGAAGGAGGACAGACGCGAGTGGATGGTTCGCGAGGCTACCGCACAGCTCCGTGAGGAAGAGGAGAAGAAGTTCAGAATGTAAAGAGCTATGGAAGGAAAAAAAGACCAAGAAGCAGACTACGATAAAATCACACCCGAGGAGCTTATCTTAGACTTTCTGATCACGCCGCATACCCAAAACTGTTCGCTGACTTTGCACCCATCTTTGAACATGGCCCTGTTTGTGGCACACTCGATCTCCCGAAAACGGATTTTGGGGAAACGCAGGCTTCGGTTGCTTCGAGCTAGCGTTTTGAGGCAATTTGTAAGCATGACTACTGCTGTCACCCCAGATGCATCAACCCAATGGCAGAGTAGAGGCAGGCAGGGGAGACAAAGCATCTGTAGGTCAGGTCAAAGGCATCTTCTCGTACCATTGATATGTCACTGTGCATTTCCTCCCGATAAAGAAGACATAGGGGTTTCACCCGAACTGTGTTTGATTCATGTCAACGGTATCTTGAAGCTTCTACCAGTTATCCACTTGGTAAAAGTGGTTCTCTCGCCATACATTCCTTCTCAATAGGTCTCTTCAAACTTCGAATTTCGAATGTCCTAATACCTCACACTCCACCACCCTCATTGACATTTCACCCCTGAACAACCCCAACAGGCCCACCCAACCCCTGAATAACCCTATTCAAACAATCCTTCTTGACCTTCTTGACACTACCTTCAGCATAAAAGTCCCACCCTTGCTCCTTCAACTTCATCCCATGATCCTTCTCCTGCGTATAAAACTTCCACTCCTTTGTTTTGGAACATTCTCCAAACTTCTTTTGTAGTTCCCTGCCACTCTTCTCATCCTTCACAAACCCTTTACCGAAAAAAGTGAATTTCTTACCGTCGAAGGAAAGTTGTGCCGATGGCGTTGTGGTGGTAGAAGATACTGCTTCATTTTGCTTGCCAGATGAAGAGGCAGAGGGAGATGATCTATCCTCGTCGAGCTCAGAAGTCACAGAGATGAGATGTTCCGGTCCATTAGCTGCGTGGATGGCTTTGTTCAAACACAGCACATCGGAAAGAGTTTTATGGTTGAACTCTCCTTGGGCGTAGAATGTCCAATCTTGCTTTTTGATCTCCTTTTTGTCATTTGCGTATTGGAAGTTCCAATCTTTGATCTTGACACCACAGCTTTGGAGGGATTTGTGCAATTTGGTAGCGTCGTGTTTTCCTCTTGCCCAGTCTTTGCCGTAGAGTTGGAATTTGTGGTGGTGTTCGCCGTGGAAGCTTATACTTGCTTCACCTTTGTTGTGGTGGATTGTTGGTTGAGCGGATTTGGAGGATGTTGTGGGAGTCGGAGACGCCTTTAAGCTGGGCGCAGGAGCATCTTCAAGGAGTTTCTTTTCTTGCCTGTTTTTCTTGGCTTCGAGTTTCTTGATTCTGTCCCTTTCGGCCTCTTTTGCGAGTTTCTCTTGTTCGATCTTCTTGAGGCGTGCTTCTTTGGCTTGTTGTTTCTCCTTTTGTTCATGTTCTTCTTTGAGCTTCTTGTCTGAGGAGATCTTCTCTTCGGCATTCTTATGCTCTTCCTCTTTTTTGGCCTTGTTCAATTTCTCCTTGGCTTCTTCGACCTTCTTCTTGGCTTCTTCGATCTTCTTGTTATCGCGGTGACCATCATCTTCCTGAGTGAGATCCCAAAGCCATTTCGTAGCATGCTCGACTCCTTCTTCGAGATTCTTGATAAGATTGACTCCGGCCAGAACACTGGAAGGGTCTGGGATAATTGGGATAATCGGCGGGATCGGAGGGATAACAGGTACCACCGGTGGAGTGACAGGCGGCTCCACAGGAACAGGAACATCGTCCTCGATGGGCCATGGCTCAATGGTTTGCATGGGAGGGAGTTCTTCCTCAGGTGTGCTGTCAATAAATTCAGGGGAAGATTTGGTAATCACCGGTACAAGCACGGGTGTGATGGTTGTAGTGGCCGTGGAAGAAGTTGCGGAAGCAGTCAGTACAGCGACTATACTGACAGACGGCGAGGTAGTTGATGATTTAAAATCTTTCCAGCCGTCGTCAGACCACGAGACAGATGCCGTTGCGGTGGGCTGCCAGTTTTCTGATGAGGTAGTTGCAGTCCAGCCATCCACATCGCCTCTGCGGACCACAGATCTGGCAACAGGAGATCCCATGACGCCGGTGATGGCGACTGCTGCGACTATGATGCTCCAAAAGGGTGCCATGGTATTTAATATCGAAGTTTGTTCGTTTGGTTGGTTGTTATGCTTAAGTTGGGTTTATCAGCTTGTGATTGTACTTTTTCCAAATGGGAAGGATTGGGAATGAAGAGTGTGAGGAAGAAGTTCAGAATTTATGTAAAGTCATGAGAGCATGTTACTCATCGCCACAGCTTCATGGGCGCTTTGAAACTTGAATTGTTGGAAAAAAGTTCTCTAGGTGACTATTGTCTGACTCAGAGGTATACCATTATGCAATACAGACGAGAAGCTTACGGCGGTTTGCTCTTGGGATTTCCAATATCATCGCAACCCGCCAACAACCATTATTGGAAGGAAAGTGAGCTATCAAGACATGTAGTACTTCTGATGTCAGGAAAGTTCATTTGCTCTTACTGGACTCAAGACTCGTCCGTTCTCATTCTGTTTGACTGGCCGAACGCCCGCGCTTGCCTCAAAAGACAGAATTGAAGCACTTAGCAAAGCACGATGCTACTGCGAATCACGTCAAGACGAGTCCCACTTACCCAGCCAGCGCAGGACGCATCTAGGCTACCTCTATAAGCTCAGCCAATTGGTGGAAGATCGCAATGCTCTGCGATCTCCGAACCAGGATTGGTAATTTGCTCACCTCATAGAAGCTATAGCCAACCACAGAACTCTATAGCACATTTAGCAGCTCCACTTATGAAATGTGACATTTTGTCGTCCTACAAGTTGTGATCGCACTGGCTATTTTTGGCTTGGTGATAGGATCTGCTAACTGCTTGAACAACAGCTCCCATGTTGTCTATTGTATTTTGAGCTTGCGGCAATGAGTATACGAACCGCACCATAGCAAATACCCTTCTTGCTCAGCAATAACATAAAAGTCGTGCATTCGTTTAGCTCGTTACATCATATCGACACCAGCAACGAGCAGTTCCAGATTCGATGACTGTTCGCTCTCAAGGGTCGACGACAACACTCGTGATAAATGCGCCATTTTTCTTCTGTTTGCCTCTTCTTCCATCTGCGTGCTTTTGATCGCAGCCACGTCGAGCACGTCTTTCGGAAGTCCAGCAAGTCTTGCGACGTTCAAGCCGTAACTGCGATGTGCAACACCTTCACCGACCTCATACAAGAAAGTGATGTCGGTATGATCGTCACCAACGACCTCTTCAGTAAAGCGCATATGCACATTTCGAAGCTCTCTCGCGTCATATCTTTCCGCTATACGAGAGAGTGCTTGGTAATGGGTGATGAAGAGAGTGAGCGCCTTGGTCTCACGCACCACATAGTCTAAGACAGCTTGTGCGATAGCCACACCATCATGTGTGCTTGTACCACGACCGAGTTCATCCAAAATGATAAGTGAACGAGGTGTAGCTTGCTTCAGAATGTCCGATGTCTCCGACAGTTCCACCATGAAGGTACTCTCACCCTTGAGCATATTGTCGAATGCACCCATACGCGTGAAGATGGCATCCAGTGGTGTCAGCCTTGCGTGCGACGCCGGAACCCAACTTCCTATCTGTGCCATGATACCGATCAAGGCTACTGACCTGACATAAGACGACTTGCCGCCCATGTTCGGTCCAGTGATGAGAAGAGCTCTCTCCTGAGAAGATAGTTCGATGTCATTAGGCACATAAGAATCAAGAAGAAGCTGTTCAACCATCGGATGGCGACCCTCCTTAACCTCAAGACGGACTTCATCAGTGTCTGTGATAAATTCAGGCTTTGTGTATCCTGGTTGACTTGCAATGTCGGCTAGCGAGAGCAGGCAGTCCAGAGTTGCCAATGACTGAATACAATCGCGGAAGGTTTGGTACTTGGCACCAATCTCAGAAAGAAGCTCGGCAAAAGCGGCATCACAGGCGTTGGCGAGAGCCTCCTTGCGCTGATCACGTTCGCGGATGAGCTTGACGACCTCAGGTGTGTGAAATCGCGATACCTTCTTTGTTCCACTGATCTTGACCCATGATGCAGGGACCCTCTGGAGATGTATGTTCTCAATCTCAATCAGGAACTCAATGCCTGATACAGTGACGTATTTGATCTCTCCATTCTTCTTGAGGATCTTCGCCGCTTCCCCACGATGCTCATCCAGGTCATGTTCAACGCATGCGATACCAACCTTATGGTCGGTGATCTCTTCTGTCTCATGTTGGTCGCGAAAGAAAGAGTATTTGTCGTCGTCCTTGGCAGCCTGAAGGTTAATTCTTTCGAGATACGAGATGACATCTTCGGATATCAGCGGCAGTGATGCGATGGCCTCGGCAAGCAATTGTGATTTGAACCCCGAATCTTCCGGCGACTTGACGTGCGAATACTCATTGGAGATAGATTGTAGTGTCTGGAGGACAGATACCAGCTCTGGACGGGCACATTTCTTGTAGTAGATTCTGATCAACGACTTTTCCAGGTCGCCTCTCACATGAGCCAGAAGATTCTTGATACGGTCGGTGGGAATAGCACGATCAGTGTCAAGAAGTTCCTCCACAGCACCAATGCGATGCTGCAACTGTTGTTGGTCTAGTAAAGGACGTCCAACCCACTTTCGGAGGAGACGTTGACCAAAGCGAGTTTTTGTTCGGTTGAGGATGAAGAAGAGGCTGCCCTTCTCAGTGTGATCTGTCTGGTTTTGGTAGATCTCTAGTGACGATAGAGTGTTACCGTTCAGCAACATATGAGACCGTGCACTGAAAGACTGGAAGTTCTTGGTGAGATCGAATACATGCTCAAGACCGTAATCGGTGAGATGAGTGATCATGGCCGAGAGACACATCGTGACTGATTCAGAGAGCTGGTGTACCTTGTCAAGCATGGCAGACTTCTCCTCCGACGTATCATCCGATTGCATCTTGCCAGCGTAAAAGTCAGAAATGTGGGTATAAGCTTGAGCAGCGAACGTCTTTGACTTTTCGGTACGCTCTACTCGTGCGCGATCTCCGAAGACATTTGTCCTACTGCCAGAAAGATGCTCGACCAACTTTTCTGTTGCTTTGGATACAGCACCGACGATGAGAAACTCGCAGGGAGCGATATGAAGAAGGCGGGTTTCAAGTTCGCTTCGCATGAAGCCATCGAAGAAGTCATCGTATATCACGTCACCTGTAGTGGGCTGAACAGCGACGATACCGAGACGCACCTTTTCATCCGTGCCGGAGCCTCCAGCATTCGACTCAGTCAAACAGAGAAGATGGCCAGTCGCGGGAGCACCTCCAGCTGGTGCAGCCACAGGACCATCTAAGCCTTCTATGTCATCAATGTATGTACCCTTGGTGTACAAGTTTGTGAGCTTCCGGACGAAGGGTGTATTGCGGTTGTCACCAGCCTTCTTGAGCGCAGCAGTTTCAAGTTGACGAACAACACCAACCTTGTGTCCGGCCGAGACGAGACGCTTAACATGGACATGCAAGCGATGTGTGGGAAAACTTGCACCAGCGAACTTGTCAAGATGCGCTTCTGAATGATGCTCGTCAAACCTCATCTTTCCCGGTACACACATGATCTGGAGCTCTTTTGCGGCGATGCGAGCATCCTCACCAAAGAAGCGGAATTTGTAACCAACCTCGACAACCAGAAGAGTATCCATGTGCTTTTTCTTGATGTCAATGACTTGTTTCTCCATTGGTGTGAGCTTGCTAGCAGTCTTTCGAGCAGCAGGGCCCTTTCTGCCTTTAGCGGGCTTTGGTACCTCCTCTTCCTCTTCATCCATATCCTCGTCGCCTTCTGGCTGGTCCTCATCAATGAAGTGATTGCGACGTCTTATGTCGGCAAGACTGTCAGGTCGGCCCAGCTTCTTCACAAACTTTTGATGGAGACGTTCCTTCTGTCTACGAATCGCTTCATCGTCCTGATGATCTTGGAGAGGTTGGTCGGGTTGAGAGCTGGAGAAAATATATCTAGCGGTACGATCCGAGACGGGTGCAGCAAGATTGGCTACCGAGGGCTTATGTGGCTGCACTGCATGGCCGGGCAATGATTCGTTCTCAAGTTTGTCGAGACTCGGACGCGTTCGTTTGGGGTCGGGCAAGTCCTCATCCTCGTCGCTGTCCTCTTCGAAGGGACGTTTCGGTTTGGGTGGGCTGCTCTTCGGGGCTGTCTCTCCAGCATCCCTATTTGGCTCAGGCGCATTGGATATTGATGGTCTCTTGGTTACGGATGGCGTAGATGGAGCGGCTTTCTTCGCAGCAGGTTGTTTGGGTGTGAAGAAGCTAGAAATCGACTGCTGCTTCTTGGCCGACGAGTGGGAAGGCGGTGGACTGCTTCTTCCAAAGGCCATAATTGTACGACTCCTTGGACGAGTCTAGACCGTATAACATTGTCGCGATGCAGCAGCGTCACGCATGGAATGTAGGCGCGTCCGAAGAGTCCGTGCGGGAAGCTCAATTTCCACTTTACGCGTCCACGGCGCACTTTACGCGATTCCATCTCGAGTCGCTCCTTCCCATTCATTGAACATCATTGAGCATATCACTTGTATCTTCTTCAATTCACAATCTTATCATCACGGTCGCGCCTCCCGCAAATATCACTAGACATGCCAGCGTCCGTCCTCGGCAAGCGTACCCGGAGTTCAACAAATGGTTAGAGTCACTAACCCTCCACGCGTCTCACGAGACTGACAATATGTATAGCATCAGACGCCGGAATACAAACGAGGGCAAAGCGCCGCGAGACACTGGTGGTGGGAAACGACGAAAACGACAACCCATTCTTCAACCCAGTATCCTCTCCCGTGACACAACCAAAGTCCACTCCTTCGAAACCTGTAACGGCATCGCCGAATAAGATCAGCGCCCATTTTTCTGTTTCGAAGACCAACAAGCCATCATCCATTCCTGCAAAGTCGAGTCCGCTTGCTACACCACAAACACCGAGACATCGCGATGCCCTTGCCTCAAAAATCACCATCACACCCAGACATCAACATCTCATCGCTAGCAATTCCTCGAGTCCTCGCAGCCCATCCACCCCTTCAAACGCCGCCAACAATGTCTACAACCAAGCTCGTCAGATCTTTGCGAGATGTACAGATCCAGGTGTCTTAGTAGGAAGAGAAGAAGAGAAGGAGCAGCTGTCCACGTTCATCTCGGACCGTCTCAACTCTGGCGAAGGTGGATGCCTATACATCTCAGGCCCTCCAGGAACTGGAAAGAGTGCTTTCGTGGGAGATGTCTGTCAAGAGTTCACTTCGGCTGTGAACCAGAGAATGGCCATCTCAACCGTCAACTGCATGAGTATCAAGACAGCTAAAGACCTGGCCAATACCCTGTCAAAAGACCTCGATCTCAACAGTCTGTCTGGACGCGCTGCAGACTTCGACTTCCTGCGAGCCAACTTCTTCGAGCAAGGGAAGAAGTATGTTGTCATTCTGGACGAGATTGACCGCCTTGTGGATCTAGATCTCAAGTTGTTGTACAGCCTCTTCGAATGGTCCATGGAGCCTTCTTCGAGCCTCATTCTTATCGGAATTGCCAACGCCCTTGATCTGACTGACCGATTTCTGCCTCGTCTGAAGTCGCGCAATCTCAAGCCGAATCTCCTGCCATTCATGCCTTATAACGCTCCTCAAATCGCCCACATCATTACATCGAAGCTCAAGTCATTGGACACTTCGCCATCAGACCCCAACTTCATTCCATTCTTACATCCCGCAGCTATTACATTCTGTTCCAAGAAGGTCGCCTCGCAGACTGGCGATCTGAGAAAAGCCTTCGATATTTGTAGAAGAGCTGTCGATATGGTCGAGTCGGAGACAAAGGTCGAGCAAGCACGTATCCGTCTGCAAGAGAGAAGCCCTTCCAAGACACCTCTAAAGGAGAACATGAACCTTGCGTCTCCCGCTGTCAAGTTGGCTGCCTTCCAAAAGTCTGCTCTCAAGGACCCTCGCCAAACCACTCTCTTCTCATCAATCAGCCATCTCACTCTCGAAAATGCACCCAGAGCTACAATCGCTCATGTCGCCAAAGTCACGGCTGCTGTCTTTAGTAACGGCGCATCCCAACGTCTGGCCTCTCTCAACCTGCAGCAGAAAGCTGTACTCTGTGCTCTATCTGCACTTGAGAAGAAGAAGCGCGAGGCACCCAGCGTAGTCACCTTCCCAATGACTCCTTCCAAGCACGCCAACTCTGCACCCACAATTAGACAATTGTATGAAGCCTACAGCACGCTATGCAACCGCGAGAACCTGCTTCACGCACTCACCAGCATTGAGTTCAGAGACGTAGTCAGTGGTCTGGAGACACTTTCTCTTGTATCTGCTGTAGAGGCAAAGGGTGCTTCGTCATTCTCGATGCCATTGACTCCTTCTCGCACACCTAGCAGAAGATCAAAGTCTGGCTTCACTGGCGCGGCTACTGGTGATGATAGACGAATGGCTGCTTGTGTCGGTCATTCTGAGTTGATCTCGGCTCTCAAAGGCCCTGGAAGCGATATTCTCAAAGAGATGATCGAAGGCGATGGCATTGTCGCATAAGATCTGTTTTTTGTTTTGTTCAGACATCTTTGCATGTCCTGTATCTTTGCTTTTACTTTTCTGTTTTTCTTACACATTGTTCCAACATTAGCGATTGCATGGCGCAGGGGGATTATCTTTCTTCATGACCACAAGGTCCAGGTATGAAGTGTATCATGATGTGTTTTGGACGAGGAGGAAAGGGAAAAGACGTATTTTAGCTGGACTGAATGGCTTCTATCACGAAGATGAGAACGAGGAAATAGATAGAGTAGAGTAGAGCTCTTCATGAGCTGAGAAGAAATCACAATGACAATCTTCACAACAAATCATTGCAATTCTTTCCGGACTAGCGATCATGTTGGTACAGACTTGCTAGTCAAGACGGCATTTGATCAAACAACTCACTCTCGGCAGCAGTTTATACCAAAATGCCAGCTGTAAAAATGCATAAAGTATTTGGAGATCCACGCAACTTCCACTGAGAGCCACGCTTGGCCAAGCTCTCTCTGGACATTGTCCGATATAGAACAACTTTGTGTCTTGCTTGCAGCACCATGTACATAGGCAGTGCATAAAGGGGATGCTGTCAAAAGTATGTGTTCCAGAAGGATGGGTATGATTGATACAAAGAAACGCTCATGTATGGAAAAAAAAGAAAGGAAAGAAGCAAACCCCAGCACCCTTTTATTTGTGACTGCCCTTTCTTTACACATGCAGAGCTGGAACCCTCTTCTTCTTTGGCACCTTTCTGGCGGCCTTGAGTTCTGCATCATATGCTTTGTCCGCTTCAGGATCCAACAGCGTACCCTCGATACTGAGGAAGCCGCGCTCGCGCTCTGTACTCGGCGCCGATTCAAAGTCCTTGACTGTGAATTTGACCAATCCTTCCACCTTTTTACCGTCCGCATCGACATAATGGCCACTGCTCTCGTCGCTCTTGTTGCGCAGTCCTCTCATCCAGTCGGTTGAGCTCTTGGTGCCGGCGGTAGCGTTGTGGTTCGGCACCCACTTCCACGTGGTAGGGATTCTCTTTCTGTCCACACCGGCGTTGAAGAAATTCCAGCATACCAGGCCGAGATAGCTCTCGTTTTGCACGGATACGTAGCCCTCGATTACGGCGCCGGGGGTGGGGCGCAAGAGGATGAAGTCGACCGTCAGCCAGACGAAGGAGACTGCGTATTCGTCGATTGATTTGGCGAGGACGGTTGGTGAAGCGTCGGGTGCGTCGCGCGAGGAAGGGACGTCTGAGGGAGAGGCGGAGAGGCGAGGGTTGCTGTAGGAGAGGACGACGCCGCGGAGAGGAGGGTGGTAGGTGAGGAGCAGAGGAGAGATGTGCTCTGCGCAGAGGCCGTCGACGGGGAAGGCGTGGTAGATTGGCGAGAGAGGGAGGTAGAAGGATGAGGTTTGCTTGGTGAATGGTGATGTTGCTGTCGGGTCTGCATCCGCGACTGGCGATTGAATGCGCGGGCGCTTTGGTAGGCTCTCGACTGTGGTGTCTGCTGTCGTCTCTTGCTCGGTATCCTCTTGTTCGTGTCGTCGCTTTTTCGCTGCCGATTTCTCTTCCTTTGTCTTTTTCGTCTTTGCAGACTTTGGCGTGTTGCTCATGGCTTCCGTCGACATTGTTGCTGTTTGGATGTGGTTGCGCGACAATTGCTGTACAAAAATAAAATTCTAATGCGGCTTCATGTGAAACTTTGAAGATGGTTTGGAGAGTTGACGCCGATATCCTATAGAACACACCAGCTTTTCTTCCAAGACGTAGCCTCTCCCAGCTTGGATCATCAAAGTATCGGCTCCATCCAAAGACACAATTGTTTTTCAAAAGGTCTGAAGGTCAACACTGAGAGTGTGATCCAGAGATCTCTCACTGGAGAACGGTTCAAGACCAAATTGTTTCTGTATCGATACAGCCAGTTTTTCGACTATTGCAGTCTCTGAGAGGCCGTGTTTGACACTCCATCGAGCTCCCAAGCTTTTCTGTCCACAATCGAAGCCAAGACTTCTGACCAATCGCGTTCGTTACACATCGAAGTCAATACATATCCTATATCATTCGACCGCATAACATCTCGCAGCAAAACTAACCATGTCTGACAATCTATTGTCATTAGCTGGTTGGTACCTCCTGCCAAACGTGAGTGCTGATTTTCTGTTCCCTCCATCTCTCTACATTTCACATATCAAAACATGGAGCAACTTCCCCTTGAGGGCATCGATTCACTCAGTATAACCATAATATATTCACTCTTGTCATCATTCGGTTTCGTCCTATTTGATCTTGTCAGATCTCTCGCTCCAACCCAATTCTGATGAGAACATTGCTGATTCCGAACGAAATAGCTGGTAACAGGATGGGCGCAATCAGCCTTCTATGCCATTTGGATCCGCGCGGGTGATCCCAAGCCCCAGCCAGGAACACAGGTGTTTGTCAAGCACCGCAAGAGAATCAACATCATAGTCGTCTTGGCATACCTACTCTACACAATCTACGAAGCAGACTTTCAACTCAGAATGGCTGGCAACTTCTACCAAGACCTAGGCGTGGGCCTTGGGATCGACGAAAGAGGACTTCAGAGCCGTTTCAGAAGATTGTGAGTCTTTCCCTGGCCCAAAATTGACAGGTGACGGAAGGCTGATTTGGTGACCTAGAACACTCCTCCATCACCCAGACAAGGTGGCTTCAGACTCCAACCGCAGCATAGCAGAAGCATACTACGTACACCTAAAACTATGCCGTGACATCCTAGTCGACCCAACAAAACGCTTCGCCTACGACCGTCTGGGCCCCGAAATCCTCGCCTGGCAGAAATCTACCACAATCCCCGATTACATGACCGCCGGCATCCGCAACCTCTTCTACTACTACACCGGCACCGCCGGCGTATTGACCATAATCGGCTTCATGGGCTACATCAAACAAGCCGCCTTCTGGCGCTTCCTGGCCCTCGCCTCCTTGGGCGTCTTCGAACTCCACTGTCTAATGTCTCCCGAATTTCCTCGCTTGCTCACAAAGATTGTGAATCCCGTACTCACGCTTATACCCCTACACCCTCAATTCCTACCCTTCCAATTGCTTTCGCTGCTCAGAAAACTCATCTTGACGCTGTTCATCGCATTTTCGCAGATCGGTCCTTTGCTCACGCCTTCAACCCCCGCTCCACCATCAGAAGACCAGATCCAGCAACAACAACTTCAACGTCTTGGTGCTATAGCAGGAGGACTGGAAACCCAAGCGAACATGTTGATGGCGTTGGAAATGACACCCTTCACCGATGAAAGCGACATGAGGGAATTGAGAGAGAGGTTGAAGAGATTCTTGGTGGATAATACCATCAGGAGTAATAAAGAAGTCAGGGATGCCATGGGTGGCGTTTTGGCTCGGAGGAGACAGGGTGTTCCACATGGTGCTGCGGGTACGAGATAGAAATTTTTGTAGGATATGGACCTTTTTTTTCTGTGTTTTGATTCAAGCGTAGTACAACATGGTAGCTGCTGTGAACAAAAAAAAGAATTACTTGCATCGAATGAAAAGCGAAATGACTCTAGATAACGGCGGGCGAGAGGATTGAACACACAGCCAACCGACCTCCTTTGTGCAAGGTTCGAAAAGAAAAAAAGAAAAAAACAACGAGACCGAAATCAACCTGACCGCCAAATACACCGTTCGCCCCGTGAGAAAACGGCAGGTCTAGTCATCGGACACACGAATCTCTTCCTCGTTGATCATGGTAGTGCTGAGGAGTGTATATATACCTCTTTCCCCTTTGTAGTGATCTTATTCTACCGCAAAAGGCACGCTGTCCTTCATCCTAGCAATGCATCAACACATGCAAATGTGGGTTGCGAGATTTATTGTTTCTTTAGATTGGTAGAAATCACTCATCAAGTGCCCAATGGCGCTTTTTATCCGACATCTTTCACGAAATCAAGTGGCGTTTTCGCTTCTTGAAATGGAAAGTTCAAAATGTTTGAAAGTATTGCTTATAATGGTTATCTAGAAAAACTGGAACAGGAAAACACGAGATTTGAGAACTAATGCTAATTATGCTCTACAGCTCCTCATGCTCAATAGGCTTAGCTGGCTCCTCAACCACAACCGAAGGACTGGCAGAAGCAGATTCCGACGCTGTCGAAGACTCACTGCTGCTAGACTTTGCCTTCTTGCTCTTGGTGGCTTTGGGCTTCTTGGAGCTGGAGCTGCGGGTGCTGGCTTTAGGCATCTGCATCTTCTTTGTCACCATGTCCATGAGGGCCTTGTTGAGCTCCTTGGCCTTGGTTTCGATTTCCTTGACGGTGAAGGCGGGGTCCTCGAAGGGTTGGAGCTTGTCTTGCTCGGCGACCTTGGCCTTGATCCACTCGGAAACACTCTCGTATGCCTTGGTGATGGAAGCAAGATCTTCCTCGGTATAAGGCATCAGGCTAGCAGACTCGCTGGGCTTGGCAGATGAAGAAGTTGACGAAGCATCAGGCTCGTCAAGATCGTCCAAGTCGTCGGCAGCGCTGGGGCTGGCAGCGGCTTCAGTGGTCGAGCTGCTCGACAAAGCGGCCTCCGAGGCGGATGAGATCGAAGCAGCAATCTGCTTGCCAATGGCATCAACCATCGACTTGGTCTGATCGAGCGAACTCTGCAGAGACTTAAGGATCTCGGGACGTGCTGATGCCTCTTCTCTGCGCTTCTGTACAGGGTCAACGATGGCCTTGAGGTCAGCAAGCTTGCTCTTGAAGGCTTCAGCTTTGGCAGAGGAGCCCTCGCCGTAAAGCCAGTCGCTAGTGCTGCTGAGTAGAGAGCTCAATTGAGATCTGATGGCTTCGGTAGAGGCACCAACAAAGTCAGTGTTCTCAAGGAGATCTCTAGTACGGTAGGTGTATGCTTCAAGAACGTTCAGAGCCTCCTCCCTTTGGATGCGAGAGATATCTGAACGATCAAAGGCTGCGAGACGGTCCTTCATGGCCTTGATCTCTTCCGGCGCGGGTTGGGCGAGGCCTTTTGGAACGGTGGTGACCTTGACAGGAATGATCTCGGTACGCTTCTTCTTGATGTCAGCCTCAGCAGCGGCAGAACCACTGGCCTTGGCGTTGGCAGTGCTGGAGGACGAGCTGGATGAGGATGAACTAGTCTCAGCCTCGGCCTCTTCGCCTTCCTTAAGGGGCTCTTGTTCACCCTTCTTGGATCCGAAACCAAACAGTCCCTTGACTGAGTCGCCAATGCCACCAGCCTTACCACCCTCGACTTCACAGCTGACGGAAGCAGATACGATCTCAGGAATGCTGTCAATAGGGCTGATGCGAAGCTTGAGCTTAGTCGAGATATCATCCTTAGAACAGCCAAATTTGGTGGTCAGAGCCTCGACGGAAGCAGTCAGATTCTGAGTCTTGACTTCTGTCACTTGGCGGTCAGCACCGTCGACGGTTTGGAACAGAGTGAAAGCGAAATCGTCAAGGTTCTTGACAGTGACTTCCTTGGCAAGTCCAGCTTGCGAGGTAGCGACGAACAGCTTCTGCTGTCTTGCCTTGCCATCCGAGTATGAGATGCCTGCAGGGTAGACAGCGGCTTCAATATCTCTAATTTCCTTGACGCGGAAGCTGGGGCTCAGACCAGCAGCCTTGAAAGCGGCACCAAAAGCAGCCGACTCATCTGAGTTGACGTTGCTACGGACCTCGGTGCTCTTGCCGGTCATGGACTCGAGCTTCTTCTGGACAAAGGGTGTTCTAATAGCACCGCCGTGGAGAATGACAGAGTCAAGATCCTTGAACGACAGCTTAGCAGCATCGAGAGCCTGTTGAACGGGCGCACTGATACGATCGGCGTGGGAGGCGGCCATCTTCTCGAACTCGGCTCTGGTGAGCTTGGTAGCGAAGTCAATGTCCTTGTACAAGCCCTCGAAGCTCGACCTGACGTCGGAGTTGGCACTGAGAACCATTCTTGCGCGCTCGGCTTCACGCCAGATCTTGGAAGCGGTTCTACCGTGACCCTTGACCTCTTCGGCAGTGATGCCAGCCTTGACGGCTTGGGGCTTAGCGACGAAGGCATCGACAAGGTAGTCAACAATAAGTGCGTTGAGTTCGTCTCCTCCAAGTGTCTTATCCCAACCAGCGCCCATGACAGCAACCTCCTGAATAGTCTTGTTGAAACGTCCGATGTCCTTGACGTCCTTGGATGAGAATCTCAGAAGAGTGGCAGTAGTCGAACCAGCACCCATATCGAAGATCAGGTGGTACTCAGGCTTCTCGCCCTTGGTGACGCTGGGGAAAGTGCGCTTGACGGCGTAATCGATACCGACAGCCAGTCCGTCGCTGATGAGACTCATAACGTTGATTCCAGCCAGGTCGGCAGCACGCTCAATAGCGCGTCTCTCGTCGGCTGTCCAGTGTACGGGAACGGTGATGACAGCGTCTGTGACAGAGCTTCCCTTGGACATGGCCTCTGCGTTTGTGCGAATGTTCTTGAGCTCCATGGCGAGCAACTCATCGAGGGTCCATGGCCCTTCGGATGAGCTGAAGGCGCTGGGCTCGAACGAGACAGTTCCCTTCTCTTGGTCGAACTTTGACTTGATGGCGGGATGGCGTGCGTGGTAGTTTTTGATCATCGAGTCGGTGTGGTCGCCGGGCACAAGTCCAAGGAGGGTCTTGAGGTTGGTGAAGACATCGCCAGGGAAGCGACCGCCGAGAGCAAGAGCATCTCCGCCATACAGTCTCTCGGGGTATGAGCCGAATTCAAGGGCGGAACCAGATACAGGCTTGAAACCAACAACGGCAGCCTCTTTGCGCTTGGAGTCTTTGGTGGGGACGATATCGAGGGGTACTCCTGGCTTTACGATTGCTGCTTTGATGTAAGCACCACCGAGGTCAATTCCCAGGACTGCCGACGCTGCAGATGCCGTCGAGGCAAATGCGATAAACAGGAACGCGAATAAGAAGAAGGGAGATGAGAGTCCTCGCATCTTGGCCATGATTGTGAGGCTGAAAGAAGATGGAAGACAGTCGTTAGCTCCTCAAATGTGAATCAGGAGCTGGTCGTGATGGAAAGAAAGATGGCCTTGATTTGAAGTCTAGCACAAGGCAACACTCGACATGACTCTTCCCAAAGTGACAGGTGTTTGGATTATTCTATCCTCAACTTTTCCGAAACGTGGACTGCCACTTGTCTTCCCCGAGCTTGAGCTGGTTCGCCGCAACTGCCTCCGTCACTTTTGCCAAGACCGAACCTGCACTAGCCTTTCACACGGAGAAAGCGCGGCAACAGCCGGCTGCCCACACGCGAATTTGGCAAGCGCTCCCCAGATACACGCACCTGCCTGAAGATTCTTGATCCCTAGTCGACGCCTTTTTCCTTCGCCCTCGCCCAGTTACAGAAGAAGCTATCTCAGCTCATCACACAAGACTTCAAAATGGAATCCGCCAAGGTCCCCGTCAAGCTCGTCAAGGTCACCCGCGTCCTCGGCCGTACCGGTACGTTCACCTAGAACAACCACGACAATCCTCCATCGCACGCCGCAACGACAGAGTACACCGGAAAGAGGAGGACAGCGCACATAGGAAAAGCACACATCGGACAACTCAGACACGGCCATGGAGGATTGCAGACACGACAAGTTAGAGGACAAATTGCTGACGGATTTCTTGCGACACAGGCTCTCGCGGTGGTGTTACCCAGGTCCGCGTTGAGTTCATGGACGACACTACCCGTTCCATCATCCGTAACGTCAAGGGTCCCGGTACGATTCTCTCGCTCTTCTCGCCGCTGTGCGAACGCGCCCACGAATATCGTGACTAACACCGCATCCACAGTCCGTGAGGACGACATCCTCTGCCTGCTCGAGTCCGAGCGTGAGGCCCGCCGTCTCCGATAAGCGACCAACGCATGCCCTCCTTCCACAACCGTCAACCGCAACACTTTCTATTCCGAAGATCGATCGACTGTTCCACCCTCTCGTCGATGTTTACCTCTCTTACCTCAACCCTCTTCTATGATACCGCGGGCTTGGGGAGATGTTGAAGGAGAGTCTCGTTGCGGGCGCAAAAGTGCAAAGTTCTCTGATTACGATAATGTCGCCTGGGGGTCTTTTTTGATGGGTCGGGAGCTGCTGCGTAGTTTCTTCTAGCAAGGAGCCGGACAAGAAAAAAAGGAAATACGAAAACAAAAAGCTTCGCCGACAATTCATATCTTCCTCTTTTTCCAGTCATGTTCTGCGCGTTTGTTGTGCTGACAGGCAAGGATGATTTTATGCGACTACTTTACAAAAGCTATGGGTGTTCTAGGTCTGGGCTCGGTAGGCAATTGATTTCGTTTCATCTCTAACACATTGCATCTGCTTTGCCAACGCATTCTTCTCGGACTCGTATCTCGACTACACTTAGAACCGTACCACGCGACGCTATTCGGCTTGGACACTCTGGACACTTGGCTTCGACCACCTTTTTGTGTCACGAATGCCGAAGCGGATGACACATACCAACTCACCATCACCATTATGGACCTATCGCAGGCAATTATAGTCTCTGCGCGACAGCATGTAAACAGGTGTTCCTGTCATCAAGCCTGAGTGAGTCAGAAGGCTGTAGAAGCTGGTAATGATTTGGCAAAACCAACTCATCATGTGCCAATACCTTGTAAGGATAATGGAACATACCGCGGACTCCCAAACCTATAAGTTTCTCATCTCTCTGCTTCTTCTCCTTTTTTCCTTCATACTCTTCCTCTCTGTTGGTTTTTGAGTGGAGTAGGACCTCATGATCCTCCACAGTTTCTGGTGAGTGGTTTTTGAAGTGACGGCAGTCCTCATACCACCACTGTTCTGTGGCAGGAGTTATGATGTGTTTGAAAACCCTCATACCCTCAGGGAGGGGGTACTAATAGAGGGAGCAAGCCGGGGAAGATGTTCGTCCTCTTAGGAGGCGGCTCTTACGAAGGTCTCTCTCACAAGGCGATCTCAAGGGGCCTTGCGAAAGATACCCTGTTAAAAACTTGATCAAGTTATCAATCTTTGGAACTTTTGCCAGTTTTTGGTGGCTTTCGGGCTCAACATGACTTCTTGTCTCTCTTTTTTTCATCGGCGTTCTGGCTACAAGCTGGGTGCTGAAGAAGATTTGTCGAGACGTTGCTGCTATGTAATGACGGGATTGCAATGTGGCTGTCCCTGACACTACTCTCAGTCTATAACTTGCTGTCTCTTGCGACAAAGCCCTGTCCCCTGTTCAACATGTCGACGGCCTCTCTGACCATGTCTTCGACAATCTCCTTTGCAGGTTTGATATCGCCGATCACACCGGCGACCGTTCCCATCAGATATGGCAAGTCGACATCTTTATCATCGTCCATGTCTTTTTGCATCGGAACGATACCTTGATCGGTCAAGCGCTTTATATCTTCTGGTCTGTCTTCCCACGACTGGATATACTCGTTCATGCGGACGCGAAGTGGTCGACCGCTGACAACTAGTGTTCGCAAAGTGTCCTCGAACTTTGCTGACACCACTGCTTCTTTGTGCAGCTTCGAGCATCCAGCTTCGACACTTGCGACGAATCTGTCGAGATATGGTCAGCTCATCGCGTCTTTGATGCTGATGGGACTCAACACGTACCTTGTGCCAACCCACACACCTGCCGCGCCTTGCATCAACGCCGCCGCCAAACTTCGCCCATTGTATATACCACCTGCCGCGACCACCAAAGCAGGCTCTCCAGTCAACGGACTTTTATACTTACTCGCCGCATCCACCACGGCCGGAATAAGAATGTTTCCAGGAATATCACCCGTATGGCCTCCACCTTCACCTCCTTGCGCACAAACGCAATCCACACCTGCCTCAAGCGCTTTGACAGCATGCTTAGGATGTCCGACCATATTCATGACCAAAATGCCAGCTTCATGCAAGCGATCGATAACTCTCTTCGGCGGCACACCCACTGCACTGATGAACAGTTTCGCACCTTCTTCGATCACCACATCGATCAGTTGATCCAGTTGTCCGTGTGTGTAATCGTGGTTCGTCTTTCGTGCTGAACCTCCTACTTGTGGCAAGGCGAGGTCGACACCAAAAGGTAGGTCTGGCGATGAAAGATGCGCCTTGAGTTCTGTGATGATATCGCGAAGTTGTTGTGGATTGTATCCCAACCCACCAATTGTCCCTAGTCCTCCTGCATTCGAGACGGCGGCAGCAAGAGGACCGGAAGATGTGCGAGCCATTCCTGCCAGCAGGATTGGATATTTGATTCCCAGCAGGGTCGTCAGAGGTGTGGTGAGCGTAGGCATTGCCATGGTGGTGTGGATATCTATTCGATGAAAAACTACAAAGTTTCGAGATGCAGCGATGTACCTACGGAGTTGGCTTATTATGTATTGATATGCAATATACGGCTACCGGTATGGATGAAGGTCAAGTGGTGCGGAGGCTGGAGCGGGGGAGTCGTGCCGAGGCTCGCCTTTGATCGCTGACCAGTCTTGCAGCTCTTTCCTCCTTCCGTCTCGAACTTTTGACTTGATCCATCGGACCGCCATCTTATGTCTGCGCGACTTGAAAATGCGGCGACTACTGACAGATCATGGACATGCTTCAGTAAGATCTGACTGGGCATGACCGCTCACAGAGTACAGCCGCCTGAAGGATCCTTGGCCACCTTCTGTCAAACTCTAACATTCTCCATATGCAAGATAGCTGCAAGATGCAGCTGAGACTCAAGCCATCTCTATTCGACAAATGGTGGTACAGAGATACTTCACAAGTGGTAAGCATGCATGACAGGGTCAACCTGAAGCCCATAAATATAAGCCGGGCCCTCAGGCATGCTTTCAGTACTCTATCAATTGATTTCTCCCTAAGATTCCATTATGGCAGCAGTACAGACTCGCACCTTCCCTACACCAGTGATCACAAGTAGACAGCTTAAGGGCAGCCTCCCCAGGGTCGAGATCGACGAAAACGTGGACTGCTCTGCCGTGGCATCCTCTTGCATTGCCCGACTCGAAAAATTACAGCAAAGCGACCTCACTGACGATGCACTATGGAGAGACTGTCTCAGCATTACTGGAAATCAGCGTACTTTCAGTAGCTCCACCTCCATTCTTGCTGCTTGGAACGAACTCATGCCTAAGTGCAAGCCTCGCAACTTCCGTCTGGTGCCGTACAGCGCTCAGTTCTTTAGACTGGGACCTCAGCCTGCTTGGATAGTGGCTGCCTTCCAATTCGAGACCGATGGAGACCAGGCTGCCGAGTGCTCGGGCTCCTTGAACATGGTTCCTGATGGCAGTGGTGGCTACAAGATTTGGGTCTTTTCTACAATGATGGAAGCTCTCAAGAATGACAGCAACTCTGGCAACCCAGATACCTTCCCTGACCCAACATTTGCACCTGCTACCAGGCTCGAAGATGGAGGCGAGATCGACTGCATCGTGGTCGGAGGTGGTATGGCAGGTCTCTGTGTTGCAGGCAGATTGCACGCCCTACGAGTACCCTACGTCGTCGTCGAACGTAACGCATCGGTCGGAGACAACTGGACCAAGCGATACGACTCTATACACTTGCACTTGTCGAACAGCTACAGCGAGATGCCCTTTCAACGCGTCTATGCCGACAAGCCCTACAATCTCGGCAGTAAAGAGTTGGCAGAAGGCATGCAGAAGTACGTCGATATGCACAACATCCAAGTCTGGCTATCGAGCTCCATGGACCAAGCCCGCTGGGAAGAAGAGACCAAGAGTTGGAACGTGGTCGTCAGTAGACAAGGACAACCCAAGAAGCTCAAAGCCAAGCATCTCGTCATGGCCATAGGCGGCGGTCTCGACGTGCCCAAGTACCCCGAATATCCCAACCGCGACGAGTTCCAAGGCACAGTCATCCACTCTGTCGATTGGAAGAACGCAGATGCCTTCGCAGGCAAGAAAGGCATCATTATCGGCGCTGCCAACAGCGCCTTCGACATTGCTCAGAACATGGTCGATTCTAACCTCTCCGAGATCACCCTCGTTCAACGCAGTATCACCCACGTCATGTCCTCCACAGTCCTTTATCCCATTCAGGATGCCTTGTATAACCCTCAATGCGACCTCGGCATGTCTGACCGCATGACTTTAGTGCCTCCCTATGCGGTTGGTAGATTGATGATCATGGCAGGAGCAGGTGCACTACAAGCTCTTGAACCGAATCGATATGACTACTTGAAAGAGGCTGGATTCCGCTTCCACCAAAGCCCAGATCTGTTTGCCAATCCCGTCGAGAAGTTTGGTGGACACTTACTAGACCATGGAAGCGTTTCCATAATCAAAACCGGCAAAGTACATATCCACTCCCTGCCTCTTCCCCATCTTCCTCCTCTCCACACTTTTTGTCCCAAATTCTAACAAACCCACAGATCAAGATCAAATCAGGCATCCTCCCCACCTCCTACACCCCCACCGGCCTCCTCTTCGACGACGCCACAGAAACCCCCGCCGATGTCATCGTCCTAGCCACAGGATTCAGAAACAACCTCCGCCGCAGTGTCGCTTCCATAATAGGTGATGAGACCGCAGACAAACTAGACGATTTCTTCGGTCTTGATGCCGAGGGTGAGATTAGAGGGTTTGCCAAACCCATTGGACGTGAGTTTGCACATTTCCTTCACCCGTGCCCCACTTCTTCTTTGATTCACGTTCGATACCGTGTGTTGTTCGGAAATGATAGCGGATCTGAGGGATTACGCTGACAAGAGACCAAACAAACAGATCCAGGAATATGGTATTTTGGAGGTGGAACCGCGCATGCGAGATTTGTGTCTAGGTTTTTGGCTCTGCAGATTGCTGCTGATGTTGGAGGAAGGCCTTTTGATGCGTATATGGATACACCTTGACAGAGTTCCTGTCGTGTTTTCACTCGATGGGAAAGGTTTGGACGAACAAATATATGCATTATCTACCGTGTTCGCCGCAGTAATGGCCAATCTCCTGAGAAAATATCATGGCTCATTCGTTATGACATCTGGAACTGCCGTTAATGAACCCATTGCTGTCGAAATGAACGATCTGGTTTCTTTCGTGATCGTGAATTCTGGGAAGCACTCAGTGAAGACCAGGGTCATACCAGCTGCAATGATTTCCAGCAGTTTGTGGACTTTAACTCAGTCAACGCAAGCCAGTCGGGTTTAAGGCTTACTCAGTAGGAGATATTGATGGTCTAGAGGACTCTGGTGAAGCTTAGTTGCCCCAAGACCGTTATACTTTGATATCTTTGAACAGAAAGACGCAACGCCGCGTCTTTTACGAGAACGCGGGAATAGATGGCAGTGTCCGAAGATCTTGTCAAGAGCAGAAAAGACCAAGCTGCAGAAGAACTCTTCATCAGATACTCAGATCCATGCATAGGACGCTGCGTTGCGACAGTATTGCATAGGTACAATCAGGTAAGAGGGACAGCATATGAAGAACAAAAGCATTGATTAAGAATGGTAATTAGGTACAAGCAAGGATGACACTTCATGGTGCATCATGATCTCGAGCAACTCACACTCCCCTTCTCCTTCCTTGGTATGGTTGAAAGCAAGTAGAAGTAACCGTCCATGTCAGTTCATTGATCCATCTCAAATCACTCCTGTACGCTCAAGCGAAGCATCTCAGCCTCTGGGACCATGGTGTAGTAAGCCTTCGTGCGCTTACTGATCTTCTTGGATGGTCTGTAGTTGGTGTCCTTGTCCGTAAGGACAGATCCGACCCTCTTGCGGCCTCTGGGAGCTCTTGAGGGGATGGCCACCAGGGGGCGAGGTTGGTGGATGACACCCACGCCATTGGCAGCGTCTTTGACGCATCCTGGAAACTGATCGCAAGATGCGTGCATGCTGATGTCCGACAATTTTCTCATGGGATCTCTATCAGCTGGTGGAGCGAGTCCCTTGCTGTCCATGGCGCCGTCCATCATCAAGACACCGTGTTCGATGAGTTCGGGAACGATTGCGCTGGCGATCTCTCTGACCTGGTCGCTAGCAATTCTTGTCGTATGTAGCTGACGGGTGGGAAGAGGCGCATGGATGGACTCAGACAGCGGTGCTCCATAGGTGTAGCCTGATGAGAAGTCTGAAGATGTGGTGAAGTCACTGAGGTCGAACTGATCAACAACGGCAAGGTCCTGCTCAAAGAAATGGAATGGAGGAGAGCTAGTGGGGTACGAGAACGGTCCACCGACCCCCGAATTAGCCATAGAAGGAGGCACAAAGTACTCGCTTTCTTGAGAACTGGTGCTCTGGTTGTCGACAGGATAGAACATGGGAGGTATCTGGTTGTGTCTGAAGACATCAGGCTTCTGGAAAAGCTTGCCATTGGGCCATGAGATGCCGGCCTTGCGAAGGATACCTGTGTTGAACATCAGTAAGACAGGACAGTAGATTCAAGTGCACAAGCACTAACTCTGAGGTGCATGCACCCATTTGAAGGTAACGATGTTCTTCTTAGGACGGAAGTGGAGTTTGCCCGAAGCTGCATCTGGGTAGAAGTGACCTTCAGAAAGGCTGACAGTGATGCGTCCCACATTGTCGGCGATGTAAAGATCCTTCTGGTTGCGAATAACTCTGTGGAACGGAGGAAATAGCATCTTGACGGTAGGTGAGTTGTTGACTGTGGCAGGGAAGTTGCCGTCTGGGTTGATTCGCTCGACTCTGTAGCATAATGCATTAGTTTTGCCTAAGTTCAAGTCGATCTGGGATAGCATGACTGACGCAACTGGGATTCCATCTACTGCGACATGCATTGCCAGCGAGATTTGACCGTCTGCATCATTGGGCAACTGCAAGACTGGCCTGGACCACGAGTGTAAGGAGATCTTGAAGGGAGTGCCGCGAGGCAGTGAAGGAATATAGGCATTGAGTGTTGGAGTTACGCCGATTGCTGTTTGACTCGTCAGCTTGATGGTCAAGAAAATGGAGTTCAGGTCTCAGACGATTGGCAACGCCGAAGCATTCTGTGCGAAACTCTTGGATGGGAGTTCCAGACATCTGCGGGAAGAGCAGAATGTCCCAGTTCTCGAAACGCATGATGGAGAATTGAAGTAATACGCTAGTGATGATGCGATGCTTGTCGAAGAAGCAGAATTGATGCGAAAGTGAAAAGTTCACATTCGCGACTATGGTGGATGAGTTGGAAGAAAGAAGTTCTGACTCGAATCGATAAAGATTGATGACCAAGAATGTGTCTGGCAGGGAAGGAGCAACCAACGCTGGACCCTCTTTTGACGTCGATGCAGCGAAGAGGGTCAACCACGAATATTTCGATCAACCTTGAATACTTGATCTTGCCGTTCGTCGAAGATGTCATTTCGACATCTTTTAATCGGCCTTCGTGTACTCGAGGGACACCCTCACTGTTGGCCGTCGAATACAAGCATTTCGACTCCAGCAAACCTTCCTGTCTTCCCTTGAAGATTCCTCCAATGTGTTGGACATGGTAGGAATCTGGAGAGGGGAACCAAGGCCTAATATCATCAAACATTATGAGAATTATCATGTGTCGAAGAACCCACAGAAGACACAAAGGCTCTCGCACGAAGGCCTCAATGGGATGTGTCTTTGCATAAGACTCAGTCGTTTGCTTATCAGAAACCATTGTCCACGACCCTGTTAGCGTTGACTAGCAAAATAGTGGTCTCCCACAGTGGGAGTCACTGTAGTCAAACGACTCAAATGACCCAAACGACCCAAACGACTGTAAACTGTTAGCTCTTTCTCCGGTATGGAATCCAAGTCTCGTTCCTACCAGTCTCGGAGATCTCTCATCCATCGTCATCATCCGACGACCACAAAACGACGCAACTATTATCATTCTTCGCAACCATGACTCGCCACGATGTTCCCAAGGGCCTAGAGGTCCAATACGTCAAGGAGTAGATCTGCGTCTTGTCGTTTACCCCTGGAAATTCACTAATTGTTATGCGTCAGACTTCCCCTCGGCTACTGCTTTCGCTGGAGTCTGTGCAAGCACGTGGTGCTGAGAGATGACATCAACAGACCCGTCAAGACAAACACTTGCGGCCATCAGACCATGTGGACCGTCTTCGTAGACCGTGGTACCTGTCCGATTTGCGAGGAAGCAGAGAGGTACGCATGACAAAGATCTCATCATGTAACCGGAACTCCCAACTCATAACTTTCGACAGACTCGCTGCCGCCACTGGCAGATTCGTCAAGGAAGCAGAGAATGCCTTGTAGATCTTGAATCCACCTCTTCCTCTCTTTCATAACACTGATGCATTCTCATAGCAACACACCCTTCACCATAACCTACAACATGCGCTGCAGGCACATAACCTTCAAAGCACGCGGTGTCCGTGGCGAAGACCCTCTCTACATCATCTCGTCGAACCTGACCTCGACAAAGGACAACCCGCCAAACTCTCTGAGTGGAGGCTTCTGCGAACTGTGCTACCTCAAAGTCACAATGGCCCGTGGTATGAAGGCTTGGTCTTGGGACCAAGCCTTGCTTTCACGCCCCGGACTTTCCAGATTGAAGTGATGAGAAGCACCAGTGGTAATTAATTGGGCTCGCTAGACGGCCACCTCTTCGAACTCTGGCCATGCCGCCGAGATGCAGTCGAATTCTACCCAGTCGAGGAAGGCGTGTCTCGTGCGAGCGAGAGTCTTCGTTTACTCCAATGTTGAGGAGCGGGACAAATGTGGATGACATAGGATATGTCTCTCGCAAGGAAGGAACAATCGGTGCAACTGGATGTTGGGGTATCAATGAGCGTAAATGAAAAACATCTCAACATGATTACCGTTCAATTTGATCGTCAGCCGAAAGTGTTGCAATGAATTCGAGTCTGCTGTCCGAGAGCCGTCCGACCGGTCGTAGATCTCTTTGCCGCCAGACCTTGGGAATGTCTCGATGAGATAAACCACCATGATTGCATTCTGCCCCGGACATGGTCCTGATCGTAAAGAGCAGGCTTGGAGATTATTATCCGTGGCTATGTCCGAAGAAGATGACTGATCGAGACATGTATCACCTCACTGATGATACGGTCGAGAGATCGGATCTCAGTGTAAGAAAATGGCAAGATCGGTGACTTTTTTATCGATTGTAGCCATGAAGCTTGGACTATCTGTCTTACAGAACACCCTCAGCTACATGACTCGACATACTCTGCCTACTGAACATAAGCAGAAAACCGGACATGATCGTTCGTCATGGACTTGCAGGTACCTCGAATGTCTCTGAACGACATGTCAAACGCCGTGTCAACCTCTCAAGATCATCCCCAACAGAAAATTGACAACATTGAAACAAGATCGTAATCAAAACATCTCGAAAGAATCAAAAATCATACCATTTTCGCCCTCCTTTTGGGTAGTAAGAAATTGGGAAACGCAAGGGTAATAGTAAGCCAAGCAAATAACTACATTGGTGTTTGCCATCGGAGGCAAAGCATAGACATTCCTATACTTGCACACAAAAAAACGATGAACCAAGAGAAAGAAAGAGATAAGAAATAGAGAAAAGACTGAACGAGGCCATCATCGAGTTCAGAAAGCGTGCAACTTTTGTAAAAAGAGCCCCATCCATCCTTCGCCGCATGACTGTGTTGAACTCGTGTTGAATAGTAACTGCTGAAAGGACTGACGCCGAGAGGGGGAAAAAGAACAAGGAGGTCGTGAGGGGGCATGCAATAAGCAGGATAGATTCGTCGAAGTAAAGCCAGTCACATGAACCTGTCCAACTCCCGCTAAAAAACCACTCAAGGCTCAAGGAAAAACTGCTTACTGTTGATGGTTAGAGGCGTCTGGCGACCAGAACTGCTGCTGCTGCTGCTGTTGCTGCTGTTGTTGCTGTCCACCCACTTTCATAGGAGCGAAGCCACCGTAGTGTTGAGGAGGCATGCCCATGGAAGGGTAGACCGGAGGTGGGGGAGCAGGACGGTAAGGGGTGCCGGCAGGACCAGAGTTGTTCTGGCTGCGACCCCAGCTGAGGCGGACACGAGAGTTACCGATGGGGTATCCCTGCATCTGGTTGATGGCCATCTCAGCAGCGTGGCGCTGGACGAACTGGACGAAACCGCAGCCCTTGCCAGGAGGAATCTTGACGTATGTTATTTCGCCGAAGCCCTGGAAGAAAGAGCGGAGCTCGTCTTCAGTGACGTAGCCGGAAAGACCACCAACGAAAACAGTGGTGTTGTTGGGGTCGGTGAACTGGTTCATTGGCTGAGGAGCACCGTAGAAGCCAAGCGGAGGAGCGCCCATGCCATACATGCCGACGGGGCCACCGGGCATACCGCCCATGGCACCAGGACCGGCGTGCTGGTTCTTGTTCTTGGGAGTGGCAGTGCTGATGCGCATAGGTCTATTACCGCAGTAAACGCCCTGCATCTCGGTGAGAGCACGCTGTTGGTCTGCCTCATCGGAGAAACGAACGAAACCGTAGCCGCGAGAAAGACCGCTGATTGGGTCGGACATGATCTTGGCCGACTTGCAGCTAGGGAAGCGGTTCTGGAAGATGCTGACGAGGACGTACTCGTTGACTTCAGGGCCGAGATCACCGACGAAGATGGAGTACTCGGGGCCACGGTCGTCGCGGCTGCGGTCAGCAAGGCCACCACCAGAAGCCCAGTTGAGCTTGAAGGGGCGGTTGGAGTTGGGGATAAGAGAGCCGTTAAGCTGGAGGGCCTTGGTGGCAGCGTCGGGAGTTTCAAAGTCGACGAAGCAATATCCAGCATTACTTCTGGCCGAGTGCGGTTAGCGTTGTGTTCCCAAAGATGTCGGCTCGAGTCACTCACCCCGAGAATTTGTCACGGATCATCTTGACGTTGACCTGATAGCCCATGCCAAACCAGACACTTCTGACGAAGTTCTCATCAATCCAAGGCTCGAGCTCGCCCATCCTGCGATTGTCTTAGCTGTGTTCACACGATTTTCTTCTTTCTGAGATTTAACATACCACAAGGTGGTCTTGGGCTCGCCGCCGGACTGGGATCCAGGACCGGGGGCCGATCCAGGTGCGCCTGACGGGGTAGGGGGGAATTGGCCCTGTTGGGACTCGATGGGCTGGCCCATGGGGGGCTGCTGGGGCTGAGCGGCGGGGGCGCCGGCCTCCTCAGGCTGTTGACCCTGGAAAGAGTCGCCAAATTGCTGGAAGCTCATTTTCGAGGTGTTGATGTTGTGGTAAGTGGTGATAGATTAGAAACGCCGAGATCTGTACAGTTATAGTCAGCGATGGGACTCGGCAGTGCGTGTGAAAGTGGAGTGTCGCATACTCACAAATCCTGCGGCGAAGTGAGGAGTAAGAGATGCTTGTCGCGATTGTTAATCGACGCAAGTTATTCGGAAGCTCTATTGAAGCCGAAGATTATGGCGTGGGAAAGACAGGTGAAGAATCGAAGACGGTTCGGTATTGTTCGATGCAATTCCTGAATGGAGACGGTGAAAGCTCAGACGAGTCGTGCTTGGGCCGAAGGAAATGTCCGTTGACGATAATTCACTCGCGAATCTGTCACAACGGTTAGCGCAAATTAGGCGAGGTGTGCGACAATGGGCTGAAGCAAGGTGGAGGACGGTGGTGGTGGCAATTGAAGGGTGGTTGTGACTGGAGTGTGGTGAAAAGCCAGCTCGGCAGCCTCGGCGGGGTCGAGGCTTCGCGGCATCAACGCGACAGCTCCAAAGTGATTGCTAGCTGATGGTGACGATGGCTGGGTTGTGATTCGGGAAGGCGCGCAACAAGGCGGCCGAGATGAGACGTTTGATGGAACACGGAGTTGGACAGATGCAGCTCCTCACGGCGACGCCAATAAGATGGCGAAAGCAGAGTGGTCGTGGAGATCGGCTACCAGGGTGTCGGGAGGAAAGTGATTGTAGAAGAGTAAAAACAAAAGTGACATACCGGCAGCACGGGTGCAAATAGGAGCAGTAGAGGCAAGCAAAGGACGAGACGAAAGACGACGAAAGAACCGCGTAATAGCACAAGGAAAAGATGCTGTTTGCGCGCGCGAAAGGGAGTCGGGAGGAGCTTTGATCGAGCAACGTCGAGACAGAGAGAACTGCCAAGTTGACCGTTGTGCTTGCACGTGACAAGCTAGATCGCTCCTGCCTGACGCAACCTCGAAGATCTGTGGGGTTTGCCCTCCAAAGATAGGGGGCCGGAATTCGGGTTCATCAATCTTTCCATCATTCCAGTCTTTATATTGCTTGCCAAGTACTAGTCACGATTGCGCATTCAGGAGGAGAGACAAGTCCAGTTATCGGGAGGCTTTTCGAAGCACGGGGCTCACCGCACCGCTCCGGGCAACACCATCTCAGTTCAGGATCGAGGAGCTTCAAGCATAGACAAAAAATAAGACTTGGATTCATTCATTCATTCGCTAAATTGACAATCGACCCAGGCCCAGCCGGGCTCCATGCATAAGTTGTAATCACTCGAAATGGATATCTCTCAACGCCATGTCTATGCCTTCTCAGGGATGCCTGTCGCGAGCAACGTCAGTAATCAAATCGCGCAAAGAACAAACTAAAGTATCAAACTCACCAGCAGCCTGCTTGGCCTCGCCGAAAGAGTCTCTGCCACTGGCAAAGACCTTGTCGAAGTCGTACTCGAACCAACGGATATCGGGGCTGAGTCCGGCGAACTTCCACTCGCCATCGACCTTCTTGTACCAGTGCTTGTTGGTGCTGTGGGCGTGGCCCTTGACAGCGACGGTTGATCTCGACTCGTCGGTGTACTTCTGGTGAGGTACACGGAGCTGGTGCCAGCCGATAATCTCAGTGTCCGAAACCTTCTCCCATCTGGTGCCACCAATGAAGTGCTGAGTCTTCAGGAGAGGGTCTCCGAGGACGTTGGGGTCAGATGCCATCTTGACAAACTCCTCGGCGGGCATGGCCTCCCAGATCTTGTCAAGGAAAGAACGGTAGTCGATGATGAGCTCGGGTGCAATGACAGTCTCGAGTCTCTTCCAGTCCTGGCAAGGATTGTCAGCCCCTTTGACCCATACGTCGATTGAAATTCTGCGCATGTGCTCACCTTGGTGTCGTAGCTGTCTGCCCAGTTGAAGCAGGCGGCCATGCAGCCAAGCATTTCTACAGGTTATTAGCATTTCTAATCAAGTCGAACGACCGCGTGCTCGGTACACAGGCCAAGTTGAAGATTGTATGCTTCATCCAACCTGGACGCATATCTGCAAGGGTCGATTATCAGATGCACTTACCCTCGTGTGATGGGTAGTTGGTCATGGTGTTCGTAGCGAATGTGAGATGATGGGAATACTGGAAGACCAGCGACCACAGCGAGGAGTTCTACATCTATATAGCTGCCATCAAGGCACTTTCTTCTCGGGAATTTAAAACATTGGATATGCTGTCTGCCCCACCATGTCCGAACGGAGTTGTTTGAGGGGCCGAAGGCTGTTTCTGTGCGAGCAATCCTCAGGTACCAGAATGCTCATCAACAATTTGCTGATCTCAGGGCTTCTGTGGAGCTTCGCATTCGCATCTTCGAGGCGATGACTGCTCCAACTGACACAATGATGTTTCTGTCTTTCAGTCACGCACAATATTCGATAGAAACGGACACAATACCTCTGCAAAGCAAAGAAGTAGAATGCCAAGATGGTGCTAGAAATCAAGGTGCCGCAGGGCTCCAGCCGGACCGCATTTAGCAGCCCCCGCTTCACGCTTCGGAGTTTTTTTGAATCGCTGTGCGCGTCATGGTGTTGAACGCGAAAGGCCGAGTAGCGAGACGTGAGATGTCGCAGGAATCGTTGGACAAGAATAGATCGGAGAATTCATGTCTGACCTGAGTTTGGACTAACCATCATCTACTAGAAGCAAGAGTCCTGCCCTCATGCATCAAGTCAAGGAGGAGATGGATGCTTGCATGGATGGGCTGGTGGCAGGAAGACGCGCGAGATCATGATGGCAACGGTATCACCCGATCTGGCAATCTGTTGATTTGGGCGTCACAACCAAACAGCAAATTCAGACAAGTCAATCAATGCAAAGCATACAGACCAGATCAAAGACACATTCGATTCACCGTCGTGCACAATGGATCATGACACGTTGAACACAGCGTCAACGTATCTGAACAATCTCCTCCTTGCCCGCGGACTGCTCCGGGACAGCAAGGCACTCGACTTTGCCAAACCGACTCGAGATACACGAGCTCAGATTATCAACCTCGTTCACGATCTCCTACTACGACGCGACAGAGACCAAGAGAACCGCGAGCAGATTGCATTGACACTCCGCACCCTCCGTGCCGATCAAACGCGCAAAGATGGCGACATCGACCGACTACAACTACGCCTCGACACACAGGAGCGCTCCCTACTACAGGCACAGACCGAGGCCAGAAATGCTAAGATCGAAATGCGCAAACTCGAGTCGACCACGAAGGCACTGAATGATCAACTGGGACGACTGAAAGCATCCGTGTCGCAAATCAAAACACAATGTGCCAATGACGTGCGGAAGCGCGACATGCACATTGAGCGTCTCAAGTCACATCTCCAGGGTCAGCAGAGAGGAAACAAGGGTGGTCTTGTCGCACCAAGCATTTCTGTCGGTGGAAGAGGTCCACACTCGTTCAATGCGTCAGTAAGAGACATCTCGGACCCAGAATACAACCTAAAGCAAGAGACGACCGACTTCCTCACACAATTGAGCTCTGGCCTGAGCGATGAAAATGATGCTCTGATTGAGATGATTCGCGGAACATTGACCACGCTGAGAGAATTGCTTGGAATGCCTGATCAGAACTACGACAACACTGTTGGCGACATGGAGAACGAAGATGGCACTCTTGGCTTTGCTCACGGATCCCTCGCCGAAGAGCTAGAGTCGATGCTGGAAATGCTCAAGACCGTCCTGACCAACCCCAATTTCGTCTCGATGGACGAGGTGGAAGCAAGAGACGATGAGATAGCAAGATTGAGAGAAGGTTGGGACCAGATGGAGGCTAGGTGGAGAGACCTGTTATACATGATGAACGGCTGGTGCACACGATTGGAAAAGAGCGGCGATACCATCAACCTCGATGATCTTAGGAAGGGCCTTGGCTTGGGTGTCGGACTCGAAGCTCCTCCTACTGCACAGAAACTGCGCGCAAGCCAACATACGCGCTCCGACAGCGACCGCGATAGTGGTATTCATACCCTGAGCCCAACACCCTCAGAGAGCCACGCAGCTCCACCAAGCACCACAAAGTCGCAAAGAAGCATAGACCCTCCAGAGTTCTTCAACCTCAAACCTCGAGGAGGACAGCGTACGCTCAACAAGATGAGCCACAATGTACAATCACCGCGGAAGGTTGCATTCGCGGTGGATGCCTCGGAAAACATTGATCCAGCCGCATTAACCCCAAGCAACTTCGACACCCCCAGTATCGTCAAAGCTTCTGCAAACAGGTCATCGCTTCCCGTACGCCGGCAGCCAGGCTTTACCCCTTCAAGTGGCTCACATGACAGACTGGTAAGTACTATCACCTATTCGTATCCATACTTGATCTAACGAGGAAACAGCCTTCTCAATCACGCGGCTCTTCACCGCCTCGAAGACCTGTGGATTCACCTTCCGAACACATCGCACAACAAGATGATGAAGAATTGCAGGAGGATGAACAGCCTCGAATGTCGGTCGAAGAAAAGCTGCGTCTTGCACAAGCCGAAGCGGAAGCTGCAGGAGGCACACCGAGCAAAGGTCCCGATGAAGCCTCACAACTCGACCTAGACATCGACGAAGAGATAGGCAAGTTGAGAAGTCCCGCGAAAAAGACCAAGATCCAAGGAAGGCCGAAGCGCAGGAAGAGCACCCTCAGTCCGGAAGAATTGGAAGATCTTCTGGGGCTAGAGTAACGAAAAGAAACGAACACATCACCCATCCTTTTAGTTGAAAGCTTACGGACTGTTTACGACCCCAATGGAATGCCATTATCACATCCATCACTCTTAGCTTGCCGATGTTAAGTCGCTTCGATATTGCACGTGCTCTTGTTTGTCCAGCCTCGTCATGCAGGGAGCAAGGATCGTGAATCTACTCGGTATCGGACGGCAAGTCATCATTTGTCGAGAGTCAGCATACCGTGAACGATGGGCGGTAGGCCGAAGAAACCATGTCGGTGTCATGCAACTCGATTGTGCATGTTCTGCCCATATCGCATTAATGAAGTCGCGGCGGTTGATTGGAACGACGCGTGAATCCTTGGATCCAATCGGCTTCACCACACAACCGCCCTTGATATTGGCTTCCCGTACAGCACCTGCTCGATCTTACGGGTGTGGATGCGTGGATCGAGATGATGTACGGAGAGTAGTGCAGGACAAGTATTGGCAGAAATGGTACTGCAGCAACATAGACATCAACATATTTTCACACCGTCCTATAAGGATCCATGGTTCTATGGTAGGTGTTATAACTTTCAAGCTAAATCGAATGCATAAGGCTCGCAGGTTTGGTTACTACATGCTGAACACGCCCTCTCTCTAGAATGCCAGATCTGGAGTTGAATTCTTCAGTTTGCTCTGATTATCTTACCAACTACCTTGGTGTCACCCAACACGAACATCGCTGCGCGGTAGGAACATAGTGTTGGATGGTCCTTTTCACCCTACGAAAATGATATGAAGAAGCCGAGATAGAGAGATGATTGAGCGTCCTCGACCGCTTTGTATAGCGAAAGACTTAACTGATAGAGACGCTTGTCTTCTTTTCGAACGTGTTGTCAACAGAGTCCGGACAGCATGATGAGCAGGGTAGCGAATACCTCGTGCCGAGAAAGATATTCGAGAGCAAGTCCCAGTATACAGACCGCAATTACGCACCTTCCGCACCTTCTCCACTATGCCATCTACGATACGTGTCACCGTCCCCATCAAACCCTTTCTCCTTCAATGCTTGGCCGATGAGCTCCATCCAAGCCTTTTCGAATCGTTCATCGCTCAACATCATTGACCACCTACGTGTCTGGAGATACACGTACCAGCGTGGAACGTACCCCGCAGCCTCCCAGTCAATTAAACAAGTAACAGAACCGTTTTCATCGATCAGGATGTTGCATGCGGCGAGATCGCAATGAGAGAACACAAAACTACTTTCAACCTTCAGCGGAGAGAAGTAGTCGTTGGCCTCTTTCAAAGATGCCAGCCGGAGGAGCGAAGGGTACAGCGGATCGTACTTTGCTCGAGGTTGCAGCGTGAGATTATCGATTCCATATCCGGACACGGTCTCCATAGAGGGTCTTTGGCTGGTGGCGAGACGTTCTACGTATCCTGCAACCGTTTTTGCGATTGCTTCTTGTTGGGGATCGGTGAGAGATGCCCAACATGAGTCGAGAGTTTGGCCTTTTTCCCGGTCCAACACCATGAAGGATCTGCGATCAGTGGTATCGTTCCAGTAGTGCACCACTGTTGGTACCGGTATTCCTGAGAAGTGGCTTTTCACAAAGTCGATTGTTTCGGCCTCCATTTGCATCTTCTCAAGAGAACTTTTGACTTTCCAGATTTTTCCGGCGAACTCCCACAGCGCTGCGCAGTCGCCAGCACAGTAAAAAGGCTCAAAGCCGCTCGACTGGGGTCGAGCATCTGTAGTTCGCAGACGAAATTCTCTACCCAGCTCGTCGTCCCAACGAGCAATCGCGTCAGTCCGGTCTAAAGAGTCGGCTAGTTCACAAATGTGCTCGCGGCCAACAAGCCATTTGTGCTCTCCAATCTTGGAGATTGAAGATTCGATCGGGGGCTCCAGTTTTCTCTAATTTGTCAGAGATGAATTGTACGATGGATTCGATACTCAGCTCACTCACCTGTCCATATTCCATCATCGTTGGCGAGAGAAAGCAGAGTAGAAGTCAACAAGTTTGAAGTAGTCGACACCTAGAGTTTTGATCACTTATATGAGTACACCGCTTATTTTCGCATATCCACGCTTGAATTGTTGTGAACCTATCAACAAGATTGTTGCCGTTCGTCGGCGCTTGGCTTGCATACCTACTTCTTCCACTCTGTGTCACCATTGGCTTGCTGCATTCTTTGAATATGCGACGCGTCGGGGTGCCCACTATCCTACGGCTGCGAGAACATCATGCCCATAGCAGACAAGGAAGAATGTGATATAATTCTCATCTCATCAGCAGCTGACCTCTGTTACGAGTCCGTTTGGCATGGCGGCACGGTATCGCTGAACAATTGATGTTGAGAAGAGGCTACGATGTGCACGCGCAGGGCAAGAGGGGAAACCGTGCACCAATCGGCTTCATCACACAACCACCCTGGAGTTTCGCTTCCAATCATCACATCTTTGCAAGCGCTGCGACCGAGCAACATGCTTCTATTACCTGCAATCACACATGCGGCTTTCCAATAGTGCCAGGAAGACGATTATGCGAGCTCCCGCCCCGCCTTCTTTTTTTCCTTGTTCGGTGCATTTGCAAGTCATGATTTTCGCTATCCGGCATGGCGTGCGTGGATGTGTGTGCCTTGTGTCCTTGTGTGGTGCGAGGGTAGAACGGTGACTGGCATAAGTATAACTACAATCGCGCTCTCGATTTCTCTTCTTCTTTTCTTTCAGCGAGACCTGTCAAGCCTGGAGCTGACTATTAGTTTTTTATTTTACTCTTTTTCTTCTTTCTTATCCCCTTACTCACTAATCGAGCCTGGTGCTCCTAATCAACAAACTCATACTATCAACTATTTTGCCCATACCACAATCCCCAATAATCACCTTTTTATCTTTTATTCTATTCACTTTTGATCTTTCTTGTCGCTGGTCGGCTTGAAATCACCAAACTAATACTCAGCTCTTCTTGCTCAAAACTGTCAATCTTACCCGGTGCACATATTACCGATCAACTTTCCAAGAAATAATACCAGAGATACAACAATCATAATGGCAGCAGTACAATTGAACTTCACACTCAGGACATCGTCCAACTGCAAGACAGTACATCTTATCGGTTCATGGGATGGCTACAAGAGTCAACTTCCACTTTCTAAGGACTCGGCCAAACAAGGTGGCTGGAAAGGCACATTCAGATTCCAAGGCTCGACACTGAAGCCTGGCTCAAGATACTGGTACTACGTAAGGACGATCTCCCACTTCTAACATGACTATCCTGACAGTTGCACAGTACATCATCGATGGCTACCACGTCTCCCACGACCCAGCCCGTGAATCCACCACCGAGCCCACCACAGGCCGCAAACTCAATATTCTGGATATCCCCTCCAGCAGAGCCACACCAGCAGCTCCAGCACCATCGTCCAAGTCCCACAGCTCAAGCCACAGTAGCCACAAGCACACCCGCCGCACAAGCGAACACATCCCCAAAGGCCGCTCTTTGTCGCCATCCCAAATCAAGTGCCCTCGCCCCAATCGCCCCCACGAGACCCGCACAATCGCCCGCGAACAATACAACGCCTCCTCCGTCGACCGCCTCGCCGCCCACATGTCTCGCGCCAACATCTCTGACTCTGACTCCGACTCCGATTCAGATTCCGACAGCGATGTTCCTTCCCTCACATCATCACGCAGCTCTGCTTCCTCATCACCTTCTTCTGCTACGTCTAGATCTTCATCGGCCAGTTGCTGTACTTGCAACCGCTTCGGCATCACCAGATCTGGAAACAGGGTCAAGCTTGACTGTGGAGGTGACGTTTGCGGATATGAGGATGGTAGTTGTTCGGATGAGAGCGAGGACGAGAGGGAGAAGATGAGGGCTAGAACGACCAGACGCCAGGGTATGGTTGTGCGTCGTTGAGAAATCGCTTGCTTCTACCTCGGATGATCATTGAGGTTCACGCTCCTTTTTTACGACCGGCCATGCCTTTGATGACGAGTCACGTTCATTACGACACACGCCCCGCCATTTACGATTGCCATTGCCAATGCGTTTTTCTGGTTTTTACTTTATTTTCTTTGTCAGAGATGCAGATGTCTGAGCGTTTGTCACTTGAGCTGGTTTCTCTTGTGACACCAACAGACTTTCTGGTACTCTGCAACCCCCTTCTGCGTCGCACGACACACAGGGGGATGACATACTGATGCATCGCAATTCCGAAACATGTTTCTCGAGTTTTGCGACCAGCACTTTCTGAGGTGGAAGAGGCAAAGGGGAAGAGGAGAGAAGAGGAGAGAAGAGGAGAGAAGAGGAGAGAAGAGGAGAGAAGAGGAAGAGGGTCAATGTATGGACGCAAGTGGCCATGAAGATCTTGACTTGTCCTGTGCGAACGAATGTATTCTGCGAAGAAGGCAGAAATGCAAGCAATGTTGATGGCTTTCAATTCAGACAAATGCAATACAAAGCTAATCATCTTGAACATCTCCATCGACTCACAACCACGCACTCCAATTGATGCCTCCCCGTGTGCTAAATTCTGTCACTTCTAGCCGTCTGCCATGCCCATGCCTGGGGTCATTTCGGTCTGTATAAATGCACAATCTTTTCAAGATCGCTCTAGTCGTCCGCAGAGAGGCGCTAACTATCACGCTCTCAATGGAGGCTACCTCTGAAAATGTTACAATCGTGCATTTCTACAGCTCTATGCGTGACAAAGTTGAGCGCACGGGGAGTGCAGCATTATCGGATGTTCAAATGTCAAAATCGTAAATCGCAATGAAGAAAGCTATCATACTCATAAAATCATAAACCCCATCCATGTCCATGTCTATCCACCGCAACTGCTCCTCCCTCCACCGCTCAATCACTGCAAACTCCCCTTTGCATAAACTAAATAATCATTGCCATAACCATCCACATTCCCCGCCGCCTCTTTCCCATCCCACAACATGACACCCCCCAAATTACCCACATAAAGCTGTCTGGCAAGACTGACCTGATGGCCCAACCCAGCACCCTCCACATATCCACTCCCCGCCGCCTCTGTAGCTGCAGCACCGATGAACAATCTAGTCTCATTGTTTGCGGCGGTCAAATCGTCACTCCATGCAGCGAAAGAAGAGGCGAATCCGGAAGAGGAAAGATCGCAGGAGGGATTGTTGTAGAATTGGACAAAGACGAAATCGCAGAGGGCGAGGGTGGAGAGGGGGAGGGAGGTGTCCGGGCGTGGGCATTGTGGTGCGGCGGAGAGGTAGTAAGCTTTACTCCTATCAGAATTGAATAGAGCGCGAAGGGCGTGAGCGAATGTGGTGTATGAGGTTGAATCTTTGCTCTCGTTGTCGAGGTCGAAGCCATCGATGACGATGGATCCGAAGGGGCGAAGAGAGGGATCTAACCCATCGCCCGCACCAAATAGATCCCAGAGATTTTGAGCTAGTTGGATGGCTTCGGTGTCGGAGGTGAATGTGACGTTGGAGTAGTATCCTCCCAGCGACACTAATACTGGTTTTCCTAGTTGTTGGCAAGCTGTGATTTCAGGTGCGAGATCTGTGCAATCTTGCAACCCAGGAGCGTGGAGCTGTTGAGCGCGAGTGCTGCCTTTACAGCTAGGACCGAAGCTTGCGGATGGGAAACCACCATTTGTGAAGAAAGAAGTCACAAAAGCTAACACAACGATATCGACGTTGGAACTCTGACACAAGGCAAGAAGGTCACCCGTTTGCGTTGTGGGAGTTTGACCGTAGTAGACTGCAACGTTGTTTTTGCGCGTGGGTTTGAAGGTATAGGACGTGCTTGTGGGTTTTGGGATGGAGTTTGATGTTGCTAGAGCTTGTGAGTCAGCTGAGGTGATTGTCGTGTTGGTGCTTGGGCTGTCGATGTCTGAGCTGTATATCGCTGGAATTGGTAGAACAGGTGTTGATGATGGCGAGTCAACTTCAGTCGTGTTTGAGAAAGGTACTGGTTGAATGAATGTGGTGACTGGCACTGGAAGGTATGTTGTTCTAGTCAAGGTTCGAGTGACCCGTGATCTTGGAGATGACGAGCTCGGAGTCGAAGTGGATGGAGATGCTGTGTCTGATAAAGAAGAGCAAGGTACAAGCGGACCTGCTCCACCACGACGGCAAGCAGTTGCGGATGGCTCGGTGACGACGTTGCTCGAGGTTTCTGTGGCTGTACTCCAGAATACAGGCACGATGCTAGATGTTGCATTGTCGACAGTCACAGTTGACGATGCTACTCCCGACGCAGATGTAAAGACAGCCAGCAGACTGGATAGTAAAGCTTCTTGCTCATGCAGACGGTCGTTGATTGCCTTGAGGAACTCAAAGACATCCTGCGGCAGATCGGATAAGCCTTCCTGTATGGAGGTCACGGTCTCCATCAGTTCAGCAGCTTCTGTGTCCGGCGTTGAATTCGGTATGCTTTGTAACGAGGTGGTAGTAGCATCGCGACGATCAATTTCGTGTCTGTAAGGACGGTGTATGTGTAGGCATTGCGCAGCGCAAACGATATATACGAGAAATATGAAGACGTGGGATATCTTTAAAGAAAGCATGATAGCGAATGACTCTTTCTGACTATTACCTACCTCATTGAGGCCATCGCGACGAGTATATATCCATCACGCCGAGACAGCCGCCTAGACAGAGGAGGCTGTCGAAGAATGGAATCACCTACCTGCATGGTCACGCAGAAATGCAGAATACTGTAACGAGTGAGGACGTGAAGAAAAGAAGTGGATGGCATTCCTGGCCCGCGTCGCGTGGAGTCGCGTAAAGTAGTAGGAGCAATGGATCATGCAATGAAGAAATTTAGATGATTGGGGTGTCGGCTGACAAGAAGGAATTTGCGTCGCTGACCCGAAAACGGGGAGGCTGTTGGAAACAGATTCCTCGTATGGATTTTTCATGGCACCCGTCGAGACCCGAGGATGATGTATACCTTGCCGCTGCAGAGAAGTCTGTGTGACACGTTGGTCTCTAGCAAGTTCTGGCGAGACATGTTTTGTTCGGGGATCTGATCATCTTGGAAAGGCTGTATGACGATAATCGAGTTGGATTGAGGACAGATGGCCCCCCTTGGTTCTCGGAAGCGCGGATGTCAAATTGGAGGAAGCTATCAAAGGGTGTGATTCGCGTAGCGGTACGGAGAAAGTTCGCTTGCGTCAGAAGTTAGAACAAAGACGCGCGGGTGCAGCTATGGAACCAAGGAGCGCATGGACAACTTACAAGTAGCCATGTAGAGAGGAGGAAACAAGGAAACAACATATACATAATTCACTCTAACGTTTACCATGTCGAGCTTGATTGACAAGTATCGAAATGTAAAAAGTGATAGAGGAAAAGATTAGATGTATTGATTGGGAAGGAGCAGGTCTTGGCAGAAGCTGGTCGAGAACTCACGGCTGGAAGAGGTCAGGAACCATCTCAGCAAGACACCAAGAAGTGGACAACGCCTCACGGAACCGGCAAAAATGCTCGCTCAGCGCACAACGGAGTCAAAGTGCCTGGCACCATCTCTCCCTTCCCCCTTCATCCATCAATCTCCTCTGTACAACCATCACCACCGTCCGATTTCTTGATATACCACTCTCAATATCCAAAACCTGCCCACATTCCGTAAAGCCTGCGAATAATCCACACCACAAATCCATCGAGACAAAGCCACACCGCCGACGACGGGCGCAATCCAAGTCGTCGCCTCCAGCTTTCCCGACCCACCCACCTGCCTCCCATACCATCCACAATGGCAACAACTCCTTCGCAAAAAGCCTCAGCTAAATCGTCTGTCAAACCGAACAAGCTCGTCGTTCTTCGTATAGCTCCCCATCTGTTGAAGAAGTTCAGCCCGCTGTCTGAAGACGTCTCTGAGCCATCGCCCACCGCCTCTCCTGCGCCTGCTTCAACCCCCCTCATCAACGCTCCGGCACCAGAAGCTTCAGAAACAAATGGCACTCCTGTCCCCGGCACCGATGCCACTGCCACAGACAACAACTCCCTAGCTCCTCCCCCAGCTACCAACGGCAAGAGGAAGGGTGTTCCCGGCCCCAAGCCTGGCACAAAACGAACTGCAGCACAGGCTGAAGCAGGTCCAAATGCAAAGCCTAGAGGAAAGCCTGGCCCCAAGAAAAAGCCTCGTCTGTATGTGACTCGTACATTAACCATACCTCATTTCTTTTGTATACTGACACATGAGTCCAGGGCTGACGGAACCATTGACAGAACTGCCGAGGGCACAAAGAAGGGACCATTCGGTGGTGTAGCTCCTATTGCTACCCACAAGCTAGGTCCCAAGGCCAACACCGGAGCCATCAACGCTGGCCTCCGCGCGCTCGATAGATCTGGCAAGCCATGCCGCAGATGGGAGCGCAAGGGTCTCCAGCTTAAGAGCATATCCGGCGTTGCGTGGTCAGTCGGATCGTGGGCTGCACCACTCAAAGACAACTCTTCTTTCAGTGGAGATGTCAAGAGCGAGAACTCGTCGAGCAGCCAAGCCGACAACGTCAGACTCGCGAGCAGCGCAATCCCCAGCGATAGGAGCAATAGCGGTGAAGGGGCCAAGCAGGACAATGCTCTCGAGAGCTCGCCTGCCCCGGTATTGGCCATCGAGGCATGAACGACTTAGACGCTACAGATATGTAAGTCGACACGATCGTCCAGCACTCATACTACAGGCACTGACAGGTCTCAGTCTTATTTTTTCTCTACACAACATCACTTCGATACCCAATATTACGATGTTTCCTGGCGTCATGTATACATACGACCAAGCTTTTTGACAGTAAATCACAAGCATTCAAGCAATGCAACCGATGAGGGTTTCTTTTGTTTTGGGAGCTTCAGCATGGCGTTATGTAGCTCAGAGGATAGCGTGATAGCGATGGCGGTCATGGGTTCTCTTGATCGGAACTATGGAACGGACAGACTGGTGAACGGCGCTATAAGGAGTTCCTCTTGCTACTGTACATTTCATGATAGGATAGCTTTCGACATTTCCGATATACAATACTTCAAAGTTCCCAGCAGTTCCAACAAGTATGCTTCCAGGCTTTGTCGGGTGGTGGCATGTGATACAGACAGGGAGCTCTGACTATCGGGCTTGGCATTACTTATGGCGGAGACGGAGACGGAGACGAACGGAGCGTCATCTTCAGACGCGCGAATGGGCAATGACAAGCTGCAGCAAGTAACAAGGGCGATTGATGCACGACCCTCCAAGCTCACAGCATACACGGCCAGGATAGCTGTATCAGGATCCATAGATAGCACAGCGGAACGTTTGTGTGCAAAGCAAAAACAAAGACATCGCAGAATGCCAGCAGAAGCATCGTCATGATTGCTCGCTCCGTGTTTCTACCTTGATCACCTCGACACCGACACATGCACACGACGCCAACTCGACAGCACGACAAGTCTCCGTCTCAAATACTTCTTCACAGAGCATTATGACCAATCCCTACCCATACTCTCCATCTTATCGTCGCCTAAATCAACCTCTCTCCACATCGTCGTACGCTTCAGTCGCTGCTGGCGCGGGCTCCCAGTCGTCTCCCGCTCGCTTCGGCGCTCTCTCCCACCTTCTCCATCCTGAAGACGACCCTCCGACGCGCAATAACATGTCGTCGACCAAACAGCAAGATCCCTGGCATGCCACTTCTTATCTCTCGACCAAGATGCCCGATCAGGACACCCCGCCATCCCCTCCACTCTTCATCCGCCCCTCATATCTTCGCAACTCGCGCCATGTCGAGAGGCTCGAAACACACCACAACCTAGAAGTCGCCGACTTTGATGAATCGCGCCGACACTCGCTTCCCAACTCCTCCCCTCAAGACCTATCCGCGAACATCGGCAGTGCCACCGTCCACAGATCGAGGAAGAGTATCATTCAAGACTACCTAGTTCGCAATCCTCAAAGGAACAGTGGCCCAAAGAAGCTACCGACATGTTGGAGCGACATAGACAAGTGGCCTGGCCTTGAACTGTCTGCTGGAGGCACCGAGGTCAAGTTCACTGGCTCCACAAAGACAAGCGATGAGGCTGCCTCCATCCGGAGCGACCATCCTATGCCAAGGGAGGTTGGCATATACTACTTTGAGGTTACCGTCCTATCCCGGGGGAAAGAAGGGTACGCTCCCTCGACTGCCATGGACATACTAGATACTAATTGGCTTTCTTCCAGTTTGATTGGTATCGGCTTTTCCGGCCCAAAGGCCAGCCTTAACCGCTTACCAGGCTGGGAGCCCGAATCGTGGGCATATCACGGCGATGACGGCTTCAGCTTCTCATGCACTGCCAGTGGGAAGCCATACGGTCCCAAGTTCGCCGCCTGGGATGTCGTCGGTTGTGGTGTCAACTTCGAGACCGGGAGCGCATTCTTCACCAAGAATGGTGTCTTCTTGGGTCCGTACTTCTGTATTCCTTCTTACTACCCAGTACTAACTCCGTCTCTAGGCGAAGCATTTCATAACGTGAGAGGCGACAAGCTGTACCCATCTGTGGGTATGAAGAAGAACAACGAACACCTTCGAGTGAATTTCGGTAGCGATCCGTTCGTCTACGACATCGACTCTATGATGGAGGTGAGTATATCTATCTGTCCCTATGGTACTATGCTAACGCCATACAGCGTCAAAGGGACAGAGTAAAAGAAGACATCAACAAGACTTCAGTGGACACTTTGGATACTGCCCATGACGAGACGCTATTGATCCAGGAGCTCATAGCGCAATACCTCGCTCATGATGGCTATGTTGAGACTGCCCGTGCCTTTAACAAAGAAGTTCGGGACGAGAGAAAACCTCTATATCTGGACGGGGATACTGTCTCATTATTCGATCCCTCACAGGACATTCATGCCATCAATCGACAAAGTATGTGCTTCCATCGCCTACTCCCTAACGCGCTCACCTTATTATGCTGACTGGTTCTCAGAAATACGTGCAGCCATTCTCGAAGGAGATGTTGACAAAGCGCTGAAGTATACGACCACCTACTACCCACACGTTCTGGAGCGAGATGAGAACAAAGACATTTATTTCAAACTTCGCTGTCGCAAATTCATTGAAATGATGTGCCGGGTAAATGACCTGCAAACAACAGATCCGACTCCCATTGCCCCGAAAGCAGTTGGCAAGCTGCCCCAAAAGATGACAGAGTCGAACGGTGCATCATTCGATCAACAAATGGAGCTCGATGACCAGCTACACCGGGAATCACACGCACCAATCATTCCACCAATGCCTGTCCCATCGCCTTTCAACCCTGAAATACGCTTTGGTGATCTTTCAAAGGACGACAGGATGGATGAAGCACCCGACTCCTTCAGGCCATCGCATTCCACGAACAGCGAAAGCTTGCTCTTCGATGCGCTCGAGTTTGGTCAAGAATTAAAAGAGGAATTTAGCAGCGATCCTCGACCTGCCGTGCGAAAGGCGCTGGACGACACCTTTGCTCTGATTGCCTATCAAGATGCTCGAGAATCTATTGTAGGCGGTCTTATGGAAGGTAAGGGCAGAGTAGAGATTGCTGAAGAGGTCAACAGCGCGATATTAGGCAAGTGATGTATTCCTTTTCATCAGACGTCATCATGCTAACAGAATACAGTGTCACTTGGCAAACCATCGTCTGCCGCTCTGGAAAAAGTCGTCGCTCAAGCAGAGGTCTTGGTAGACATGCTGAGTACGGATGGCGGAGCTGGCGCATTTGTGAACGTACGCAAGGACTGTCTGCAATAAGAGGCGCAAAGTCAGGGCGGGAGACTATATTATTTCGATTCGATCCGGCGTGACGAATACTACGCATTTCAACTGGAGTAAGGAAGGGGAGAACATCTTTCTTTTTTCTTGGAGTGCTGCACGCATGCTCGGCCCTCTTTTTTCTGTACATGTCAGGACATAACACGCCTTCATTCCAGTCAACCAATTTTGCATCTGCGACTAACTACAATTTTCTTTTCGTGTCTTTGAGTTGATTTTACAGGCTTGTATACACGAATGATTCATAACATCAGTCATTGCGCGTCCGCTGATGACTCCAAAACCATGCTGATTCATAATGAACTCAAAGGCAGATATGCGAACATCGCATTCGAGTACAAATACTGCGATCTTCTACAACCAGACCTAAATTTTCCATCCACGATCCGATCCAAAAAATCCAACAACAGATCAACTTCACCGCTTCCGAGCCACACCAACATCCACTGACTACATAGTCCAGTACCTGCAACAACCATGAAGCAAGCTGCAATTTTCGGCTCTGTCCTCGGCTTCGCTGCCTTGGTCGCCGCCGGACCCATCCTCCGTTCTGGTGCAATCAACGCACTCCAGTCATCCGAGAAAGGCCTGAACAAGGAAAACAACTTCGATGATCTCCTCGAGGATTTCGTCGCAACCCTCAACTACCCTGCCGACATGATGAAGGGATCTGTTGGTCTCGAAGACAACTTTTCCAGGGGCGAGTTCCTTGAAGCCGTTACGTTGAAGAACGGAGATGCTTTCGAAGCATACATCGACCACATGGACGATGACGCCGTCCGCAAGGCTCTGGTGAGCGCTGAAATGTACACTGATTTCTACAACGGACCCAAGGGAGCATTCGACAACAAGAACGATTCAGGCATCGCCAAGAGAGACTTCTCAGACTGGTGCCACAACAAGTGCAAGTTCAAGGCTGCGTTCCATTCCAATTCGGACAAGTACTACTGCGGATGCTTTGACGACTGCACCTTTGTTACTGATTTGACTCCCGACTACTGCAAGCAATACAGTTCTGAGACTTCTATTGAAAAGTCCGGTGACAACGAAGCTTACTCTACCATCGAAGCCCGCGATACTGTCAATGTCGTCGATATCGACAATGATAGCGACCTTGACGCCTCTCTCAACGACGACTTCGAACTCGACACTGGCCTTATCAAGAGAAGCGGACTTTCGTGCCACTTCAAGTGCAAGTCGAAGGCAGCCTGGCATCACGATATGGAGGCCTACTACTGCAAGTGCATCACCAAGTGTGAAAAGGATGTCAGCCTTATTCCGGATTGTTGCAAAGCTGCCGAGTCATGCGATGATGAGGAGAGCATGGCCTTGTTCAAGAGATCTATCGACACCACACCCGTCCCTGCCATCGAAGCCGTCGATACTGTCACCCCTGTCGCTAGTATGGATATCAACGAACTCAATGATATCGACAATGACAGCGACCTTGACGCCTCTCTCAACGACGACTTCGAACTCGACACCGGCCTTATCAAGAGAAGCGGACTTTCGTGCCATTTCAAGTGCAAGACAAAGGCAGCATGGCATCGCGATATGGAGGCCTACTACTGCAAGTGCATCAACAAGTGCGAAAAGAATAAAGACTTGATTCCGGACTGCTGCAAGGAGAATACTGAATCATGCAACGATGATGAGTCTGCGATTTCGTCCGACAGTTCAAGAGATCCATCGATTCTGCTGCCGACACCACCAATGCCTCCGATACCTTCAACGCTGCCGACGCCATTGCCAACATCGAAATCTCCCGTACCTTCAACGCCACCGATGCCATTGCCAAAATCGACATCTCCCGCCGACACCAATGCGTCTTCAGGTAGTTTCCAGAAGTGCAACTTCAAGTGCAACTTCAAGGTGTTCTTCAAGAGCAACTATACCCGTGACGAGTGTATGAGCAACTGCCTTGGCTTTGCTTACACCACACCCACACCTCCACCCGGATCCTCGGGAAAAAGTGTCCGGAGGTGCGACTTCAAGTGCGATTTCAAAGTCTTCTTCAAGAGCAACTATAGCTACGACACGTGTATGAGCGACTGCCTTGGCTATGCTTTCACCACACCTCAAGCACCAAAGGTTACCGCCGATGATACTGTTGTCACAGACGAAGCCAACGACAACTTCCTCGAAAAACTTTATGGAGGCGGCAAAGACAAAGACCTCACCAGAAGATCAAGTGCAGGAAAGTCCTTGTATAGATCTGCTAACCCTTGCGACAGTGCAAGTGCAGTTCAGAAGTGCAGAACCAAGGCTGCCTGGCACTGGCACTCCAAGAAGCATTACGATGATTGCATGCACGAGTGCAACATGAAGCACAGTCAAGGAGCTTAGATCACATCTGATGGTCAAGAGACTGGGGAATTACGATAACGAGAAGAGTCGATGCACAAATATTGGAAGGAACACAAAAGGAAGGTATTGAAGAAAGGGATAACTTGGGATGGAGCGATGTTGGAAGAATGTTGAGTTTACTACGGTGATTGGATTTATAGATTGCGTTGATTTGATTGCGAAGGGAGAGGATTATAGATACACCTGAAAATCGGAGAAAAACAGTTTAAAACCCAAAAGAAGAATGGCAATGCTTGTTCTCACTTTCCTCTTCTTGGTGCTATGTTCGCTTGCTTCGATCGTTGCTTCCTTACCATCCTTGAATATGAAATCTTGATGACTGATAGCAACTCCACACACGACTGCACCCATACCTCAAATCACAACATGGATGCGGAAATATGCTTCGATGCTTCTGTCAGAGCATAAAGTTTCGAGCCGTACACGGGACACCAATGCGATACTTTGATGGATCCACACATCAGCCCATGTCAATAGGCATTGTTTATCAACTCGAAGCGGAGTAAGTTGCTACAACACCACAAGGTCACAAATCCCATCATCGCACCACCAAAAATCAACGATGAAGTCACTTACAGGATACATATTGTTTCCGATGCCTCTGGCCCAACAGAGCTTTCGCAACAATTGGACAGTCACAAAGTGGCTATTTACACGACAAATCCCAGGTGCCTCTTTGAAAGATGAAGCTCACATGGCTTTCATGGCTCTTTACCATCATCGCTGCGGCTCTCGTGGTTGCCAAACCTCTTGACAGAGATCCTACCGCTCTGACTACACTCGTCACAAGAAGCATCAACACTGCCACTGTCAATCCCATCGCTGCCAAACCTCTTACATCTCGCTCCGTGGCAGCAGCCTTAGCAAAGGGCCCCTGCGAATCTGCTGGAACAATAACCAAATGCGCACTCAAAGCCACGTAAGCAGATGTTCCCCATCTCCCTACAAGTCTAAGGACATAAACATGAAGACTAACACAGATGACAAAACAGAATTGGGCAGATGGCCATGGAAATGGAAGAAGAACTTCAAGAAATGTATCATGAAGTGTATGAAGAAGCATAAGGAGGCTTATCCTATCCTTCCTCCAAATGGGGCACCTCCGATCATGCCACCTCCGAATCAGCCACCTCCAAATGAGGCACCTCCGAACGATGAGCCCGTAAGCGAAAACGATAGACTTCGGCAAGAGAACGAAAGGCTTGAGGAAGAAAACAGGAACATTTCGGACGAGAAGCTTGAGAAAGACAAGGACAAGCTTGAACGTGAAAAGCTAGAGAAAGAGCACGACAAGCTCCAAGACGAAAACAGACAACTTCTGAACGAGACCAACCCCCCCAAAGAGTTCGACCTGATGTGGGATGAAACCAAAATGTCTTCCATTTCTGCTTCTGCTGCTTCCGTCGGGTCTGCTTTGGCTTCCGCCGCTGCTGCATCTGCTGCTGCTGCCGATGTTCCTGCTGCCGATGTTTCCACAGCCGCTACTACAGACGGTGCTGTTCAATCCACTCCAGCCGTCCCTTCCTCTTCCCCCATAACTGGAGATTTCGAGGATCTGATGGTCATCGCTCAACATTCTATCAAGGCCTCTGCTGCTATTCAATCTGCTGCCGCTGCTACAGCTGTTACTGCTAATCCCCATCCGAACGGCAACAACATCAACGACCGCAGAGCACTCTCTGCAGGATCTACCGCTTTGACCAGTAGGCCCAGGGCTTCTGCCACTACTCAAGCCAGTGAGACTGGAGGGGTTGTCATCTCAAAGGCTAGCAAGACAAGGGCTATCTTGAACCCCACGGATCCCTTTTGTGACCTAATAGGTTTCGATTGTATCCCACGCGTTAACACTGGAGAACCCCCTGCTACTCTGTCTTAGGAGGGATTTCACTGTTTTAACTATACGCTCCTCTTCCTCCGTATGTAGCTTTTCCAATACACAGGCTGCCCCTTCAAAGCTACGTAAGTACACCTTTCCCGGTTACGATTCTCAATACTCTAAACTGTCACTGACCATGAGATGGGAATTCTAGATGGGAAAGCTGGCTTAGACACATCGTTGTCAACTACGAAAGATGTTTGGACAAATATAGATATGCAAAGAGGACATTTTTATGACGAATATGTTTACTAAAGAGGACAAGGCAGATGAGGAAGATGAGGAGTATGATGGTAGTAAGTATCAGATGCGACGTATGGGTTCTGAATGGTCTTTCTTTTATTCTGTCTTATCCTCAAGTATTTTCATATCAGAGAAAAACAAGAAACAAGCAGTATTAGGAGTGATAGCTTGCATAAACAAAACTACGTTAATTTGTAATATCCCGTCAGCACTTCAGGAACCTGAGAAAGTGCAGCAGACCCTTCTTACTACATTTATGTTTCAAACAAAGCTTTAATTAAGATAGAAAGATCGAAAAAAGTGAGAAGAGACCTTATTGAATACTTTGGGTTAAGCTTCAGGAAAGCTACGATAGTATTTGTATGGAGATACAGGCGCGCGTAAATTGACACACAAAAGCATTCTTATATTGATGTGAAGAGTTGATCAGCGCAGCAGGATACATTTCAGTGAGAAATGGCGGAATTCCAAAGGCGATTTGAGTGACAGATTACGTGCAGGAGAGTTTGGGGTTTTGTGGGTGTTGTGAGGTAGTTTTGTGGTGAAGGCGGACTGTCCGAGGACGGCGGATATGAGGTCTTTGATACGTTGAAAAAAAGACCAATCCAGAGATGAGTCTGGGAGTGGAGGGTGTGGATCAAAGGGCTGAAATTTGGCCTGATGACAATAGAGTAGATGGTGCGGGAGAGAAATGGTAGGAAGGAGACAGACTTGAATTGACGAGATGGATGGATGCAAGTCATCGTATGCAGTTGGTCGATATTTCGTGATCGTGATAGTTTGTGGCTCTACTTCTGTAACGATCTAGCATGAGTTTAATAAGGCTTGAATCTGTCCTTCTTCTTGTCCTTGCGCTTCTTTTTCTTGCCGTCAACCTCCATAGCATCTGCTTCGGCGGGTTGTGATTGTGCCTCTTGTGCCCACAGACGGACCTGGCCATCCTCTCCGCAAGTAATGACTCGTTGGTTCTGTGGTTTTGAGTCAGCTTCGATCGATGTCGATGGCGCTCGAGGTATGACTTACGTGATTGTCAATGAGGAAGTCCCGTACGATCTCATCTCCGTGAGCGCCGGGGAAGTCCATGGTGCCTGACATGTCGAAAGACCAGCTGGGGTTCAGGGGGACCAGAGTAAGGCGAGATGAACTGTAACAAGATGAGTAACAATACTGTGCCGCTTACCGGTGTTAAGACTTACGAAGTGTCTCCAGTAGCGATGTAGGCAGAAGGAGAGTTAGGGAAGAGATCGACGACATAGCTGCTCTTCAGCTGTTCTCTGACATCTCCAAACGCTGTGACTGGGAGGGTGGCGTCTTCTGCATCCGTGGGCTTGCTCAGTGTGTATACTGAGAGTTGCTCGTCTGTGCTGACAGCATAGACTTCTTCGGCATTCAAGAAACCGGCACAGTGGACAGCACCATAGTGGTTGAGTACTTGAACTAATGCATCATCCTCATCCGAGATGGTTGTGTCAAAGATCGATACCAACCCATCAGTGGCTCCCGAAAGAAGTGTTTGTTGTTGTGTCGGGTGGAAAGCCACCTGAGTGACGGTATCATTGTGACTCTCGACATATGCCTGAACTGGCTTTGAAGCATTTCGTGTATCCCTGAGTAGCTTTAGTGGGAGCTCATCACGATTCTGAAGGCTCAACCTACCACAAAAGCACGCTAACATCACCAAGTCCTTCCTTGGTGCTTTCAGTGCCGGCAGCAATCAACGTATCACGGCATGCCAGCGCAGAAATTCCAGCTCCGCGGGCTATAGAAACGAGTCATCAGAATGATGGTCAATCAAAATCAGGCAGCATAGCCAGAAACCTACGATCAGTCATCTGTAATCCAGCAGATTTGCCTCGCTCATCCCAGCATCTAACTGTGCCATCTCTTCCTGCAGTCACAAGTCCTTTGCCATCCGATGTCGCTTTTAAGCATGTGATGCTCTGATGAGCTTTCGATACAGTGTGCACAAGCGAGAGGTTTGTAGGATCGAAATAGCGGAGTGAATCATCGGACGAGATGGCAGCACAAAGGCTTGTCGTCCGGGCCAACGAATAGATGTATGTGTCAGCAGGCAGCGATAGTCCTGATGAAGCGAGTTGTTTTGCAATTGTTGGAGACATTTTATTGTTTTGATGATGGTAAAATAAAATCCAAATTTTTGTTCAAGATTCTGGAGAAGTCGTTGTCAAAAGTCTTGGGACTGGAGTCGCGACTCTGCTCTTCCTCCACCATCGACATCTATTTTCTAAAACGGCAGTCACGATCGATCTTGTACCACGAACATTCTGTGTCTCCCATGTTTCTCATCCACTATTGACACGTGAACATGGCAGACTACAATCATAGCAGTCGGTCAACATGACTCGGCAAATGGAGGCAGCAATGGTGGTGTAACCGTCTATCTCACTCCACGATAGAAAGCCCGGTGACAATTGTTGCGACGGCTGCCACCAGACAAAGCACGCCATCGCTCCATCAAAAATGCTCCAGAGGCAGCAGTGCTATACACGTCCTCTCAGCATCGCGGTGAGTAGTTAGGGAAGTCACTGGAAGAGTCAAGCGTGGTCTGTGCGGTTCTGGAGACTCCAGATCTCGGATGAGTCACCGCCCTCTTCCGTGCTATCTCGCGACGTGGGAGTCAACGTGTAGAGTGATTTTTGCAGCCCAAATTTCTGTAGGCTTCCACCAGGTGGCGACGAGCGACTTCGGCATGACTGATAGCTCTGGTCAGAACTTTGGATACATATAAAGCTTAGGTAGTAGTCATGGGAAACACATCCACCTTCCTACAGTCCCTTTCTCTTTCATTCTTGTTTCCTTTCCATCAGTACACACTTTCGACGCCATCGCTCTTCGAAAATGGGAAAGCTACACAACAGACGCCGTACAAGACTGAGAGCAAACAAGGAGGCTCATCATCAGGCAATCCCTATACCACTACTTTCTACTCAAGCCATGCCTACGATTGACCACGACACATCTTTCTGTCATGAGCGTTCAAACTTTCCATCTTCTAACGACAACAAACAATTTCATGTCAACCAGCAACACGAGGTCCTCCATACTCAGTTCTATGGCACAGAGGAGGGTGATGAATCTGGCGATCTCTGTCCTTTGATGCTTCAGGTCGTCCTAGACTTGTTTGATGGAGTTGATTATGAAGACCCATGAGATGATTTTACGATTATGATATTTCACGACCAACACTACCGCCCCAGTCGATAACACGTTACGATAACAAAACCCACGTGCCTTAACAACGGCCGAGCGCGATACAAGAGAGCGTGACTACAACGTCTCCAGGTCAAACGTCTGCCTGCTACAACACGGGCGCGACTGCGAAAACAGGATCTTTGGTGTCCACTTCAGCTCTCAAGTCACGAGCTGTTGAGTATCACGAGTTGGCATGAAGCTCGGACAGGAGGCTCCCAAGAAGAGGCGAAAGAGGCGAAGTCGATAGTCACAAGGACAACTATAGCCGCCACTGCCAACTACGATGGGTCTTTATCGTTGAAAGGCACTTGCTTCGCCTCGTTGCATGCCGTGGCGCTATAGACACGTTTAGTTTCGGGCAGGACTGGGCTGAGCAATGGGATAAGCCCGCGTTGTATGATTTGGTCACACTCGGCTTCAATCTGAGAGATTCGGATCATTGAGATGATCTGCTGTTTGACTTTGGGGATAAGGGAACGACACATGTAGTGTCAGATGATGCGGCTGTTATATCAAGGACATGAATTGTTGCTGAGAGGACCACCCTGTTCTCCATTCGCTGGGCCAACTGTCTGCGGATAGTAACACGGCGTGCCTGTGATTGCTGCGAGAAGGAGTGTGGCAGGTTGATGATATTGTATGTAGTAAACGATGAGATGTTAGTGCTCGCATGGTTTCTGTGCCGTCTTTTCTGAAGATTGTGAATGCTGTGTTGAAAACTTGTGCACCGATGTGACACCTCATAGAAAACGTTTATCAGAAGGGCTCGCTTCAATGTTCTCAAGGTCTGATATGATGCTGTGCTTGTCATGCTCGAGTGTCTTCATGAAAGTTGTCGCATTCGCATCGTCTTGCCATGCTCGCGTATCGGGATTCCGGCTCTCTGTTTTTGACACTCGTACTTGAACAGCCACACCAAGAATGGAAGCTTTCTAGATTAATATTCAACGAGCTTCTTTTCTTGGGTGTGAACAAAGTGAAGTGTTACGCGTCTCTTCTCCTCAGATTCCAGATCGAGATGTTTTCCCCATCTTGAAGACGATCGGAATCCCGGATATGTTTCAGGGGGTCAGTTTGGGAGATTTGAACTTTGTTGGCGGCTCTCGGTCTCGCTTACCGCGCCATCGAATACCTAGCCAAAGCTGGGGGAGATGCCAATTTGGCTCGTTGATGAAATGTAACGACGACTTGTGACCCTACCCACATCTCAAGATATGCTGGTCACAAGGACTTTGGTCTTCACGGGAAAGGTATGCTCATGCTCCAAATACTTCACAATGACATTTGCCTCACAAGGCGCAGCTGCAAGTACATGTCCTTCTGTTTGCATATCGCAATCGTACACGGTCCTCGTTACGGGGTGTACTGATTCCTGGGGGAGGCTTTTCAGCCACGTTCGATCGTGCGTGTGCTTTGGCGGTGCTCGTGCTTCGGCTTTTACGGCCTCAGTTGTAGGGTTGTTCCTTGATGGTATTTTGAGAACGATCAGGCCGTCAACATCACTAGACATAGATCTCGATGATGAGTACAGAAAGTTGGCATGTTGGAAATGGCAGTGCTGTACTGTCGCGGTCTTGGAAGCGCCAAACCCTGTGTATCATTTGCTTCACGGTTGCCTGGAATTTGCTCCGAGGAGGCAGCAAATAGAGAGTTGCCAGAGTCTTGTGCTCTGAGTGACTGACATTGAGCAGGGCGATGTCGACATTATCTGCGATCGTGTCTAACACGGATAGGGATGTCCGTGGGGAAGACTAGGAGTAGGTACAATAGGTAGTTACGGGATGGTGTCCGCTGCATCGTCGTTATTGTTGACAAATTTAAACTTCCACCTTGAGCAGGCGGAGGCTTCATGATGCTGAGACTGACATTGATGACGATGACCAACTTCTTGATCTCTTGTTTCACACTGGCAATTACCATGTAGAGATGGGATTGCCACAGCGAAGGTGATCCGAAGAGAAGAGGCTCAAAGCCACTGTCGCAAGTCTGTCTCGGCTGACAGCCTTGTGGTTGAAAAACATGGCAACCGTTTCTGACTCTCGTTTGACTAGGAGGGAGTTGAGTGGCGTCGAACGGTCACGAGCCGGCTGCCGCGCGCGTTACCACGACATGTTTTCGTGCGTGCTTAGCCGTTGAATCATTCTGGAATACTGCCTTGATAGTCGTTCTGTTGTCTTGACGACTGGTAAATTGAAATAATACGTGATGGTCACGGTACTGCTCGAACATGTGGAAGCCTGCTTGACGAATGCTCCCGGTTATTCGTTGCTGAACGCCGTAGATGGAAGCCGGATACAAGTCCGTGTACAGAGTTCACCCTACCACCTTGTAAACAGGTGTTCGCTGCTTCAAAGATGAAGATCAACACGAAGGGGATGAGTGACTTTTTCGGCGGGCAGGCAGGTCCGATATGGTGGAGCAGCGGTGAAAGTAACAAAAGGGAATAAATGCCCGAGTCATGGCTACAAGCTCTCACTTCGGCGCGAAACGGAGACGGCGCGGCGGAAAAGCGGAGCGTATCAAGACGAAAAGAATACCTTCTGAGGTGTGATCGACATGTGCAAACCTGAACGAAGAACGTCGTTGCAGTGAGCTGTGGCAGTTAGATTTATAAGCTTGGCATACGTGTGCTGGATATTGATGGTTCGGCGCAATTGATGCGATAGTCAAAAGGCTGATGGCCAAACTTCGCGGCGGGCTTGATGACGAAGTTCTGAGAAGCGCCGGTGAGAGGGCTGTTAACGGGACTCTCGCCGGGCAGGTTGCAGTGAGACAAAAGGTTCTTGCAAAGAGCGCATAGCCAAGGGGCAGTTGATTGGGTCAATCTCGCGAGTCGCAGGTGTCAATCTGTGGGATCCAGAGAGGGGACGGCCAAGCCGGCAGCACACATTTCGAGTCCGTAAGAGTGGAGTTGTGCGAGCGAGGGCAAGGAAGCTGACAAGAGACGGTCCTCACTCGGCGGGAGTCGGTGACAGCAATGATGATTGATGATGCGGTGTCGTGGCCTCTTGTTCACGCGGAAGTTTGGGGGCAAACACGAAATGGGAGATCGTCTCAAATTCAGGTTCAATAAATCTTTGGTATTAGACAAGTGGCCGCGGGGAGCATGAATCAGCGGGCTGCGGGTTGGGGTGGTGTTGGTGTGCGCGCAACTCAGGGAAGGAGGGCAGATCTTTATCGGATGCTACTGCGCAGGATGGCAGATCAGCATCAAGTGCCTGTAAGCAGTTTTGGCTGCCACAGACACGAGAGCACCCTTCCGGTCATACAAACACGACTTCCAGACGGCTGCGTGGCCGCAATTGGAAGGGGAATTGCGAATTTCCGCAATCAGCTGACGGAGGCCGTTGGTTCTGTCCATCTGACTGGCCTAGATGGCAGGAAGGCACGCAGACAGGGAGAGCAGCGATTTGGAGCTAAGGGTTCACGGACCCGCATATTATGACGCTGAAGAGACCCTCTTGTTAGCTGTAGCCGAGCTTCTTGCACATCGCTCTTGTCCTTGGGGCACATCCAATTGTCTTTTCTACTCGCGCCGTCTTTTGACAGTTCCACTTCCTTTCTTTGCCCATTTTTCGGCCTGCACCGATTGCGAATACTCGAATACCTCCATCGGGTCTCCAATACCTCTCTCCCACATATCACCCTCAAGGAAGACATGGTGTTTCACGCGCTGCGAACACTCTCTTAGCGCCGCCGTCTCTCCGAAATCCGCCATCTCACTCATCTAATCAAACATCACACCGCTGCAACTTCCGGTACCCATCGTCACTTTTGTCACCCTGGCTACTGTCTGCTCTTCAGCTCGCCGTTGAGCATAGATAGTCAGACACCGTCTACCACCAAGACCTATTCACCACAATATGACATCGCTTGCATACGCACATTACACCGTCGACTCTGCTCCCATCGAGGCCCTCAGCGAGCCTCCGTCGAATCCATCACACTCTCCACCTCTATCGACTACGTCATCTGACGACAACATCCCTACCCGCGGTCGCCTAGACGCACACAGACCCAGACTTGGAAGCCGCAAAAGCAGCGGCACCATGATTATTCCAAGAGACAGCCCGCGTGTCGAAATGGCACCTGGCGAAGAAGAATATGAGCCCGATGATGTCAGAAGCATGAGTCCTAGACGGACCAGCGAGGTCATCGAGAAGTTGGGCGAAGATGCGCGACGCAATCTCATCGAGTATGTTTCAGATTCAGAACCCTGCATATGTATAGTGCTTTGATGCTAACGACATGCTTTTCAGACAAGCCCAAGCCTTGAGAGCAAGTCTGATGGCCATCGTCGATCGTGTCGAGGCTGTCAAGATAGAGCACGAGAAGCTCGAGGGCGGCAACAAATTCCTCCAATCGTGAGTCTTCACCTCCTCGTCACCATCAGTGGCCACAAAACTAACAAACCGGTAGATACATTGGTGAATTAATACAGACCAGCAAGATCACTTCGGCTGCTCCGTCCAAAAAGGGCAAGAGCCGTAATGTGAAGTAACGACACGAACTTTTACTTTCTCAATATTTGTCTTCACTTAGCGGCATTCTATTAAGGCGTATCGGCAAACCCGGATTACCATCGGCATGGGAGGGGGTTACTCGACTGGGCAATTGCAGGATCATCGGCGCATGGTCGGTTTCACGGCGTATGCTATTCGGTGTGTTTTCTTCATTATCATTGTACTTCTGCTTCTCGGAAGATACCAAGGTCAAGGCAAGGGTTGAAAGCTGGCAAGGGGTGCATATTACGCACTGTTACGAGGTCGCCAGAAATGCCTGTAGGCTATTTTCTCCTCGCATGGCCTTATTTATTAACTTCCTGTACTACCAATTCAAACATTATCCTTAATAACTCACCAAAGATCAACCAAGCTGATGCTACATGACACGTAGGTGTGCCCCTGATCGAGTTCTGTATAGTGTCTGCATCCCCAGTGCGACTATTGAGAGTTAAACAGGACGAAGGATGTGGTGGGTCTATCTTCAACTTCTAGAGAATTACCAAAAAGGGTATTGGACGATTAGGTTCAGGGGTCAAGTAGTTCACGGGCTAGATAGGCTTCTCAGCCAGCCGCTCTCTCTTCGTCTTGAAAGTCCCCACGAGGTCTAACAGAGAAGCGTTGCCAAGGCCAAAGAGGGAGCACTTGATAGGGGCGACGGTTTGCGAAAATGATTGCTGAAGAGAAGCGATTGTGCCTTCCTTCGTTAAAGCGCTGTGTCACGCAAACAGGGAAGAAGATCACCGACCGGTCGTTCATTCCTTCTCACCTTCTTCATTGAACTATCACCTGGAGAATACGAAAACCTACTTTGCTGGATAGTCGCGACATGCCGCAAGCACGGACGATGTATGGAGGAGCGGGAGCTCAGGGTAAGCAGATCCATTATCTCAATCACATTTTCTATCGTTATCCATCGCACAGAATTGCTGACGGCAGATGTAGTACGTGATAGAATGGAAACATCTCCGTGAGAAAACTCAATTGACCATGTACAACAGTGTCGCATCATAGCTGTGGTCGTTCTCATATCCCTTGTTGTGGTGACATTGCTGCAATCATTGCAGACGACCCCTAGCATACATGACATTCCACTGTCACTACGTGGGCACAAACTCGGAGGATCTGCTAGACACAACTCGGCTCGATTGAACCGAATCAAAAAAGTGACAGCACTCTTTGGTGAACCGAACTATCTCTACGAAGCCGCTATCGCAACTCACGAACGACACAATGCCCTGCATGGACATCAGATGCAGATTCTACGACAGCGAATCCATGCAAGCTTCCTAGCCAAGCCCGCCTATCTTATGTCCGTTCTCGTAGAAGAACTAAACAAGCCATGGGAAGAGCGTATGCAGTGGCTCGCGTAAGTTGTTCTGTTTTTCGACCTATCAAGATCGGTAAACTGACTTCGCCAGATGGGTTGATCCTGACACTCTTGTATTGAATCAACAGGTGCCAATGGACATATTCTTACCTCCTCCGGAAGAAGAGATCAACCTTATTGCAACTCACGACGATGATGGCTATTTTAATGGTGGCGTCTTCTTTTTGCGAGTTGACACCTGGTCTCTGGAGTTTCTGATACAAGTGCTGGCGGTTCCTCTCACAGACAGAAAGCACCACGTCTCACTCAACAAGGACCATGCGGCGCTCGAACAGATTATGGAGAGTCAAAGGTTCCGCAATCGAGTGACGTATCAGCCCCGAGTCTGGTACAATGCCTTCGACGCCAACAAGACCTATGAAGGTGAAACGGGCGACCTCATGGTACATCTTCTCGACCTTGGTGGAGACAAGTGGGCCAGGATGGACAAGTACTTGGGCAACGTAACGAGCAAAATCAACCCGTACGAGGTACCGCTGGACCAGACACAGTACGAAAAACAGGTCGCAAGTTTTTGGAAGAGAATGAAGGACTCTCGCAAAATTCTCAAGGATGCAAAGGAAAAGGAAAAAGGTCACGACATGATCAAGGAGGCATCGAGGAGATTGAGATTCGCTTTGGATTTTGAGACGGACAATGAAGTGGTGATGAGAGGTGCCTACGATTCGCTGCTCAATGCATTGTATGAGAACAAGTAAGGGGCCAAGTCTTTTTGCATGGTGTACTTCCCTGAAGCGCAGGCGTATTGGAGAAATAGTTTTTAAGCAGCCAAGATACCCAGATAGCAGAGATAATTCTAAAGCAGTCGACATGAATCACAGTCTGAACGAGATGAGTCAAAAAAGGTGACAGCAAAGAATGTCTACTCGAGTAGAGCTTAATGGAAGGTGATGGGCGCCAAGGAGATGCGGGCTTTGGAGTTTCGAGGCGCAAGAAGACACGAATCGCAATTGCTGTTGCATGTGCTCTCTCCAGCTTCAACCAACTCTGTGACTCTCCTTTATTTTTTATTCTACTTAAGAGTCAGGACGCAGCGCGTTTGACCTCGAGCATCGCCCACTTTCCTATCTGTGCTGTATACCAGCAACTGCGACTTTGCACCTAGACCGACTTGGACCCGCGTACAATAGAAAGGCGCCGCCGCCATGTCGACCGAATACAGCTATGACGAGCAGGGCCAGTTCTTCCCTTTCTTCTTCGTGACGGTAGCTGGTCTGGTCACGCTACCAGTGACATACTCTCTACTGAAGCCTAGCAAAGGTATATGCCACTCCCTTGTCAATTCAGGTCTACATACTTACAATAGTTCAGACCTTGAGAACACAGCGACGCGAATCGAGTCGTCCTATACACCCGAACATGCAGACCTCATCGACGCACACCGAAGACGGCAAAAGAGGAGGGAGCGCAAGATCAAGCGCATGATTGTGGCTGGTGTAGGATGGACCACAATCGCCTTGATGGTCTACCTGATGGCTGTAACACAGCGCAGCACACCTAAGATCTGGGATCCCTATGAGATTCTTGGTGTCCCCATGTCATCAACCGAGAAGCAGATCCAGAGCCGCTACCGCAGACTGTCTGTTACCATGCACCCGGACAAGGCTGTGCCTGACGCATCAAAGAACGAGACCGCCGAATCAGTCAATGAGCGCTGGGTCGAGGTCATCAAGGCCTACAAGGCTCTCACCGACGAGGATGTGCGCAGGAACTTTATCGAATACGGAAACCCCGACGGCAAGCAGAGCACCAGCTTTGGTATCGCTCTTCCTCAGTTCTTGATCACCGAGGGTAATGGAAAATACATTCTGATCGTCTACGGAGCCTTGTTGGGAGTCTTGCTTCCATACTTTGTCGGCCGCTGGTGGTACGGATCGCAAAAGGTCACGCGCGAGAAGATTTTGGTCAACAGCGCTGGCAACATGTTCAAGGAGTTCACCGAGCGCATTGACGACCACGGTGTTGTCAACTTGCTCAGTTCCGGCGCAGAGTTCGAGGCTTTGTTGCACGGCCACAAGGCTGATGCTGGAACTGGCCAGCTCGAGAAGCGTCTTCTTTCGGAAGCCCACGTTCTGACTGAGAAGGACCGCCGCTTCTTGCAGGACATGGACGACACGGTTCGTCGCAAGACTCTTGCGCTGCTCTGGGCCTACCTGGCTCGTGTTGAGCTTAATGACCAGACTTTGAACGACGAAAAGTACCAGCTCGCACCTACCGCCCTTACCCTCAACGAAGCCTTTGTCTCCATCTGTCTGGCCTATGGATTCACTAACCCCGTTCTCGCCGCCTACCGCACCTCGCAAAACCTGATCCAAGCCGTCGCTCCCGAATCGCCTCCTCTTCTTCAACTGCCTCACTTCAGCGAGCAAGTCGTCAAGGCCATCGAAGACAAGATCGAGCAGCGTAGTCACTTGACCATCCAATCCTTCATGAACTTCCCCGACGCTCGTCGCCGCGAACTCGCCTCATCTGCCGGTCTTTCCACACCTCAACTCGACACTGCCATCAAGGTTGCCTCTCAGCTGCCCCGCCTCGTCATCGAACGCACCTTCTTCAAGGTCACTGGCGAGAAGCACATCACCCCCAATTCCCTCGTACAATTCGTCGTCAAGGCCCGCTTTATCCCTCCTGGTACTCGCGACATCCCTGATGTCCACCCCTCGGACCTCGAAGACATCGACCCCGACGAGACCGACACCAAGGCCAACGCTCGTCCAGACCCCGCCGAGCAGAAGCAACATCAACCCCCTCTCGCCCACGCTCCCCACTTCTCGCGCGACCACTCTCCCCGCTGGCACCTTTTCCTCGCCGACTCGCGTCAAGGCAAGGTCGCTGTTCCTCCCTTCACCTTCACCACTTTCGACAAGCCCATCTTGGACGCTTCCGGAAAGCCTACTTTCAATGTTCAGACATTGAAGATGCAATTCCAAGCTCCCCCGCAACCTGCACACTACAAGTTCCAGATGCACCTTGCTTGCGACAGTTATATTGGCTTTGACGACAAGAGGGATGTTATCCTGTCTGTTGACGACCCGAGTCAGATCGAAGAGGCAGAGTGGGAGGATGAGGATATTTCCGAACCCGAAGAAGGTGAGTGCCTTGAAATGTACCATATCAGAAAGTCTCATGCTAACACGTCAATTGCAGATACTATTGCGGGACAAATGGCCACCCTTCGTGGTAGTGCTACGAAGAAGGCATCGTCTCCCAAACTCAAGAGCAATGACGACAGTGACGAAGAGAGTGGAACAGACGAAGAGGAAGAGACGGAGAGTGAGACGGACACTGATACCGATACTGATGAAGAGTAGATGTAAAAAATATCCTCCTCTGAACCGCGAATTTTGATAGCATTACCCACACAAATGGCGTTCTTTTTTCTTCTTGCTTTTGCTTCTCTCTTGCAAAACACAAGCTTCTGTAGATCACAGAATCATATCAAACTTTTCAAACATGCCAAACATCTTATATGCTCTGTAGAAGGGAGAATTGTATCTGTGTTGAAATATCAAGTAACCCTGACCCCCAACCCCACACTCCTCGTCTTGAAACATTCAACCCCTCCACTCCCCAAGCACTCCTCCAAAATCCACTCGAACTCCATACCATAAAACTGCTTCCACTTTTTCGTTTTGCCCGGTAACACACCATTCCACTCTCCTCTAGCTCGTTTGGCTTTGCTCTGCATATCGTCCAACGGAATACCACCATCCCATCGTTCCCTCAACATTTCTTTCGTGCTTTCTTTGTATTTCGGGGATGACTTTGTGAGCAGGACGAGGAGATGTGTTCGTGCTTCTGTGAGGGTTTGGAGGTATGCTCCTGTGTTTGGGAGGGAGAAGGTCAGGGTTTGTGGTTGTTTTGCTGAGGAGAGTTTGGAGGATGAGGAGGAGGTAGAAAGGTGGAGGCCGCGGCCACCGCCTCCGTTCAAGTGGACGGCTGAGGAGCCTCCTGTGGCTGCTAGGGTTCCTGTTGCTGCTGTGGACCAGGAGTTTGCTAGGGATGAGGAACCGGGGGAGGATGCTGTGCCCGGGAGGGAGTAAAGGTGGTCGCTTAATGCGCTTGTGGACGTCATGAAGCCGGCTGCGATGAGTTCTGATACTTCTTCTGGGAGAAATAGTGATGCTGGTACGGTGTAGGAGGATGTATTTTCTTCCAGCACTTTTGCGTATTTCTCTTTTAGTGGTTGCGAGAGTGCTTGATTTTGTTGTATTGTGTTTATCCAGTCTTCGACTAGGATAACGCCCTCGCCTATTGCGAATCCACCTTTCCCTCTGCCGGGTATGTTGAGCTTTTTTACGATTCCTGAGTGGACTAGTTTTGCGAGTTCGCGTTCTGTAGTTGTGGTTGAAGCTGATACGGCGTGGAGATGCGCTATTGAGACAATCGGAGGCATGTTCTTCCTAAAGTTCAGGACCTCAGCTATTCGAGTGCTGTTCATGCCTGCTGCGCGATCTGGTATATCGGTCCATGTATGCTGTTGTATGTAGCGAATGAGGGAGACAACATCTTGTGGTACTTTGGACGGTGGTAATGTCGTGACAATTCCTGTGCTGTCAAGAGGCTGGTCGGTACTGCTGATTTCCGATTGCGATCTTTTGACTCCAGCCTGAGGTGTGGTAGTAGCAGCTTTGCGACGAGGATGGTTGCCGAATGGTGAAGAGGCTGATCGCAGTAGTTGTATGGGCGATTTCTTCGGTCGCGATTGTAGTGGCTTGGGGACCCCAGTCGCACTGAAGGACATGGTGATGGTTCGTAAAAGAGTGGCTTTCGTGAGAGGATACTGCTAAGGTGAGTGGTGAATGTCTGCCTTGTGGCAAGAGTGACACGCGGGGTCACATGAGCAGGCGAAGGTGATGAAGAAGTACTTATGTCTGGAATGAAAGCACACGACTGAGATAGACAGACCGAGCTGCTTGTGAAGAAGGAACTACTGAGAGAGATGCGGCTCGCGCGAGAGAAGGCACAACAGCCAATTGTCACTTTGGCTGTTGGGAGAGGAAGAACCACGGAAGGAGGGAGTGTGAAGTGCAGTCGGGATCGACAACTGCCATTGCCGAGAGGCTTTCAAGGCTGCAGATTGGCAACAACCACTCGTCCTTCCCTCAGTCACGAACCTCTCCTTCTTTCCAACAGCAAGAATCAGATGTCCAGTAAATCGTCACACTGATTTCCGTGGTTTCGACTCAGATAGTACGACTCGTTTTGTCTCGCGACGCAATTGTGCCGATGCACCGATACACCGAGCCATCAACCGACCCATGATGACAAGAAATATATTTCCTGCGCCTGAGATATGCACATGGAATTCTCTTCAGGAATACGGAGTACCGGCACCATGAACTTGGCCTCTATTCGCCTTCGGACAGGCTCCTTATACACGGCTTGTCTTCCGGATGAAGACTTTGTTATCAGTATGAGCTCCGTAGCGGGTGGAAGTCCGTGAATACCCGCCTTATCTTGGATATCGTGAAATTTTGTGCACGCCCTACACAGACGCTTCACGCCCAACCCACAATATACACGCCCTGCGCCCTAGGGAGTCTTTCATTAGAGCCTTTCGATCATGGGTTCACAGTTGTCAATGGTTGGTTCAATGAACAAAACCCCTGCTTGTCCCGGGAATATCTCAAGTAGTTCTATATCTCGAAATACACAAACCTAGTTCTGCGGCTGAATACCCCATCAACTTCTGAACATTAAAGCAAAATGGCTCAAATCGACGAGAAGAAGACCATGCGGGAGTCTGTTTACTCGGAAACAGAGAAAGGCTCTGCTTCCTCAAGCCCCGACCTCACACCCACACCATCATCCTGGTCCGAGAAGAGCATACGAGAGCCTCATGAGGAGGGGATCTACGAACCAGAGACACGCCCACAATCTACCGACATTGAGAGAGTAGCGAGCAACGTCCTCAACCGCATCGCATCACGAGTAACGACACATTCTTTGGCCGAACCTGGCCCACCACCGGATGGCGGCTTCAAAGCATGGTTGCAATGCGCCATGGCATGGCTTGTCGTCTTTTGCACTTGGGGATATGTCAATTCATTTGGAACCTTCCAAGCATACTACTCGACCAACCTTGGAGAGACCGCCTCAACGATTTCCTGGATTGGATCGATCCAAGTCTGGGTGCTCTTCTTCCTCGGAACCTTTGCTGGTCGTGCAATGGACGCTGGATACTTCGTACCTACCTTCGCCGTGGGTACCGTTTTCCAGCTTATCGGCATTTTCATGACCTCTCTCTCCACCAAATACTGGCAATTGTTCCTTGCGCAAGGTGTATGCACTGGTATTGGCTCCGGCATTCTCTTCACTCCTGCTATGGCACTTCTCAGCACCTACTTCTCCAGCCACAAGGGTATCGCAGTCGCATTGGCAACCACCGGTAATTCTGCTGGTGGTGCTATCTTCCCATTGATTGCACGTCAACTCCTTCCTCAGATCGGATTCGGCTGGACAATTCGTGTCCTCGGTCTGCTCAACTTGGTTTGTCTATGCACCGCTGGCATTGCCATGAAGCCTAGATTGCCACCTCGCAAGTCTGGTCCTCTGGTCGACACTTCGGCATTCAAGGAGATCGAATACATGCTGTTCAGTATTGGCATGTGCTTTCACGTAAGTTTGAAATCATGCATCTATCATGAGTTTACAGCCATTGAGAAATGTTCAATTTCTTGTCTCAACTTGAGATTACCAATGTTTTCCGCGAAACTTGGTAGCTGCACCAAACTCGTGCTATCGCAACATCCTTTACACACGAACATTACTAACAACAGATGCAGATGGCAAGCTTGTATTTCGTCAATTATTACATCTCTTCTTACGGACGCGATATCCTAGGGTTCTCTTACTCGAACTCGGTCACCCTGCTCATCATCCTCAACGTCGTCGGTATACCAGCTCGCGTTTTGGTTGGTCATCTCGCAGACCGCTACCTTGGCGCTTTGAACACTTTGATTCCAGTTCTGTTCTATGTGAACGTACTCGCGTTCTGCTGGATGGGCGTCAACTCGCAAACCTCTCTTTACGTCTTTGTCTCCTTCTACGGCCTGGGACTGGCATCTTTCCAGTCTCTTATCCCTACCACAGTCGCACGCATGACTAAGGATATCAGCAAAGTTGGCACACGCATGGGCATGGTTTTCACCTTCCTGTCGTTCGCCTCTCTGGTCGGACCTCCCATTGGCGGTGCTCTCGTATCAGCAGGCGGACACACTTATATCTATGCACAAGCTTGGGCTGGTGCTTCAGCCGCTGTCGGAACAGCTCTTGTGGTAGCTTCGAGAGTCTATGCGTTTGGATGGAAGCTGAAGGTCAAGTGCTAGAGGCACATGAAGTTATGACGAACCGACCTCAATCGGACAAAAAGTGATTTTACGAAGCGAAGATATATAGATCATGATGAACAGATAATGAACATAATGTCAACTACATACAACAGACTTCTCGGAGCAGCTTTACAGAGGTTTGTGTTGCGAAAGTACATGGCTTCGGGTGCCCAGAGTCTTGCTTCCGCGTTCCTGAAAGCAGATGATTAGACCACAAAGCGCAGTGAGAGCTCTAGTCAACACCACCATCATCATCGATGGTCAAGGCTGTCTTTACAATGGTATTCTATATCGGATTTAATAGATCGATCTGTACGCATACAACCAAGATGGAAGAAGGAATGTTTGGCTTAGAGCCGAGAAGAGGTGCAAGACACGGGTCTGTTCTTGGCAAGAGCGAAGCCCTCGAACTCGTCGCTCACACATCCTTTCTACCTGAATATGGCTATCCACGTTATCAGTCATGTTATGGTTCCTCTATTTCGTATCGTCGCTATAAGACCAGTCGTCATCTGTGGCTTTACCTGCCATATCTCAGTGTGTAGCGACGCGCACTAGAGCTAATAGCTGATGACGGTGCGACTTTTACCTAGCATGAGCGATGAGTCGACCCGGGAGCCGGTTGCGATATAGTAGCCACTATATCTTACCGCAAGATACCACCAGAATTGACAGGCTTATCAAGACATAGCAAAGCCTCTGCGCCAACCGCCATTAGCGGCTCAGTGCCGCCAAGCGAGATTAGGACACCTGCACATGCATTCACCATGCGTTGCCATTCGTAGAACATGACACGAGACTTCTGCAAGTTCGCGAGATCGAATCTCCTCTTTTCCTTCTTCTCTACGCCACACGAAATCAATAGCCTGAACACTTGCAACTGTGCTAAGCTCAGGGCTCAATAAAGTCCTGCCTTCGCCTCAATCCATACAACTTCTTCTTGCTCTCTGATAGCAAGACATACGCAATATCTTGGTAAGTGGTAATCAAAGTTGGTAGATACAGATGTTTAGTAGCTTATGCTGGCAGCACTTCGTTCGCCTCCTTGTCAGAGCCAGGCAGTAATACCGCATTGACGTTGGAATGCGTTCCGAAAGTCCTGGTCGCACTTCCGTCTTACAGACGAGAATCAACATCAAGTATCAAGAGTCCATTTTCGAAATGGCACAGCACGATGTGATCATTGTCGGCGGTGGCACTGCGGGCTGCGTGTTGGCGAATCGCCTGTCAGAGGACCCCAATGTGTCAGTGCTCGTCCTAGAGGCCGGTGAGGATCGCAGTGACGACGACCGTGTCTATACCCCTGGTCTAGCAGGCAGCGTCTTGGATGACCCCAAGTTCGATTGGCAATATGTTTCGGAGCCATCTCCCAGCATGAGTAACAGACGCATGAAGCACCCCCGTGGGCGCGTCATAGGCGGCAGCAGCGCAATAAACTCACTGGCGATCATCTACCCTTCAGCTGCGGACATTGATGTTTGGGCGGAGCTTGGAAACGACGGTTGGGATTGGAAGACTCTGGCGCCATATTTCCTGAAGTTTCAGACCATTGAGCCGCCAAACGATGAAGTCAAGAAGCAAGTAAACATCATACACAGTGATGAAACTATCCGGAAGTCAAATGGACCAGTTCGAACATCATTCCCATCACAAGTCACAGCACTTCACAAAATTTGGCTCGACACATTTCGCAATTTGGACCTGGAAAACGTAAGCGACCCACTGACTGGACACGCCATCGGCGGGCATACGTCAACCTGCCATATCACTGGAGATCGCTGCGAACGCAGCCATGCAGGAGTGGCATATCTAGATCCCATCCTTGAGCGGAAGAACTTGACGATCATCAGGAACGCAATGGTTCACAGACTGGCGATTGGCAAAGACAGCTCGGGACCAATAGTCCGTGGTGTTTGGTACTCACAGCACGGCATTCTCCATAAAGTTGCAGCCAAGAGAGAAGTCATACTTGCTGCAGGTACATTCAATACGCCACAAATCCTAGAGCTGTCTGGTATCGGCGACCCTATTATCCTCGAGCAGCACGGTATTGACGTTGTCTACGCCAATCCGGCTGTTGGAGATAACCTGCAAGACCACATACGAGCATGGGTCTCGTTCGAGGTCAATGACGACGCTCCAGTACCGAGGCCAACGCCTATTGACAAAGCACGAAGGATGTACGAAGGAAATCGATCTGGGCCTTTGACTCAAAATGGCGCCTTCATGTTCTCTTATACGCCACTTGCGCCATTCTTAGACCCGGAGGGACATGACAAACTAAAGAGTATGCTCGATCGGCATTTGGAAGATGATGGAAGTTGTTCACCATTTTTACGCAAACGCAATGGCTTCATTCGAAAGGCTATCGAATCTGCCGACGAAGCAACCGCCGTATCATTCTTAAGTCGGAAGACTCAAGATGGCTCGAAGGGCGGCAACTTCATCACTTTGAACTCCATGCTGTCTCATCCTTTCTCCGCCGGGAGTGTCCACATTACTTCTACAGATCCTCAGATCAGGCCCAAGATCGACTTTGATTACTACTCGAACCCCATTGATCTGGAGATACATGCCCGACACGTGAAGGTGCTGGAGAAGCTGGCAGAAACAGAACCGCTAGCATCGATCATCAAACCCAGGGGAAGACGGCTTCCCGAGGGCTACCCCACGGATACGATCAACAATGCTAAAGAGGTGGCGCGAGATTTTGCGATGACAAACTACCACCCATGTGGTACATGCGCTCTAGGGGCCGTGGTGGACAGTCGTCTGAATGTGAAAGGTGTCCGAAATTTGAGGGTTGTAGACGCGAGTGTCATTCCCATCATACCCAGGGGAAATATTTTAGCAACCGTGTATGCAGTCACTGAACGTGCTGCCGATATCATTAGCGAGGATTTGGGATTACATAGAAATACGTAGAGGCAAAGCGAGGGTGATGATTGTGCTAGCACGTGGGAGCTGCGGCAGGAGCACCTCTCTGCGTTCTACTCTTGTGCGTCAGCTCTTGGAGAAATTGTCTAATACCAAGACGATCAAGGTCAATTACATCCGATAAATCTCTCCAGTCTGTTCTCTAACTGTTAGTGTGATGAGAGTGCATGGTTTGGGTGTTCGGGTCGTCAGCCTTCGGCAGTGGTTGAAGCGACCGCTTTTCTCAACGTCGCTCGGCCGGATTCCAACCGTTCGATAGTCAACGCAGTTCGCACAGTTACCCGCAGACAAACCACTGATGATGTTGCCTTATGCGTAGTTGTATCTATATGATCTGGTATGTCGTTTTTGTTCTAGGCGGTGACCATGAGTCTTGCACTGCCGGCATAGCGTCGTGCCTTCCCTGTCATCTAGTCCATGACCCCTCTTGAACACCCACTTCTTTGTTTGCTTGCTTCCTCTCATCTTAAATTTCAACTTTCTGTCGCACTTCCCATTGCAAACCATACATTGCGATGCGCCAAACCATCTTATTACTGGCAGTCTCAGTGGCAGCTTCCACTACAGCATCAGCAAAATCCACCACTCACAACGAAACCATTTACAAATACACGTACGACCTCAACACCACATACCAAGGCTGGCCAAACTTCTTCTCCGGCTTCGACTTTGAAGATGATGCGAATCCACCGGGATCAGGATATGCTGCATATGTCAATCAAAGCTATGCGCTATCGAATAACATGATCAGCAATGGAACCAACGGAGCAGTTCGCATAGGAGTCGATCATACAACCACCATCAGCAGTAAAAGCAAAAGTGGCAGAAAAGCAGTCAGACTGAATAGTAAAATGGTCTACAGCTATGGCTTGTTCATAGCAGATTTCACACATATGCCTGGAGGTATCTGTGGAACATGGCCTGCCTTGTAAGTTTCCTTCTCTACTCTCCTCTCAAACCCAAAAAACACTATACTGACAAGCACCAAAGCTGGATGTCCGGCCCCACTTGGCCCATAGGCGGCGAATTAGACATCCTCGAGGGCGTCAACACAAATCCACGCAACAAGATAACCGGCTACACAAATGCCACAGGCTCCTGCACAAACTCCCAAGTCATCATCTCCTCCAACCTCACTTCCACAGATTGCACAGATCTGGAAGACACTGGATGTAGTATGTCATCCTCCTCTACTGCCTCGTATGGCACTGGCTTCAATGCAAACTCAGGCGGCGTCTACGCTACAGAATGGACCCAGCAGACTGGTATACGCGTCTGGTTCTTTCCTCGCAGCTCCATACCCTCTGACATCGTTTCCGGAAAGCCAGAGCCTAGTACCTGGGGCATTCCTGCTGCTGCAATTCCGGCGGAAAGTTGTGATATGAGTACGCATTTCTTCAATATGCAATTGGTGTTGAATACCAATTTCTGCGGTGGTTGGGCGAATAGGACGTGGAAGACTAGTGGATGTAATAGGTATGCGGATACTTGTGAGGAGTTTGTGAGGAGCAACCCTAAGGCTTTTGAGGATGCTTATTGGGAAGGTATGTTTTACTGAGTTCAAATTGTTATAGGAGGGATGATGATGATGATGGCTGACTTTGAGTTGCAGTGAACTATATCAAGAGCTACACTGGCAGAAATGTTAGTAGTGTGGTTGCTGTCAACGGTACCACTTCTTCGGCGACGATGAGTGTTAGACCTCCGATGCTGTTACGATGGCTTACAAGGATGATGTTGTGAAGAAGGATACTCGGCTAGATACAGTTGATTGCAAGAGGAATCAAAAAGACACACAGTGGCTATAATAAAAACCGATCAATGCTTCTTCATAAACAAAAGTCAGAGAAGTCCGCTAGAGATCTGGAAAGAATGTCTGCAGCTTGCAAATGAGGAGGGGAAGAGAAGAAAAGAAACCAACTGTTGGTATACTCTTGGACATTCTTGTACTGGATCATATGCGTCGTTTCTATGTATACATATTGGAAGCCTGATACATCCTTCCCAGTGGTCAGTGAGAGATGTCATCGACAGAGAAAGTACCAGAGCTATATGCTTCTGGCTTTCGCAAAGACGAAGCAATCGCCCTTCACAACCCCTCCCTCTCGAACCGTTTGCCCCCACCTCTTACCTCGCAGAAAAGATCTTGAAAGTCTGCACATCCCTCTTCATCCTGTACAAATCTCCCAACTTGAGACCCCACGAATCCGCCCATCTGTTCTCCGAAATCTCTCTGATGTCTTCGATGTCGAATCTGTGATGTTGTAACCATGCTTCTATGGCGTCTAGATCTTCCGGTCTGTTTTGCCATGCCATTGCACCTCGCTCATAGTCTATGAAGCTGTGGAGACGTTGGTCTGGGTCCGCGATGGGAGGAGGGAGGGTTGATGGGCGTGACGACGGAGGCTGTGGTGGTTGAGGGTGTCGCTGTGGGAAGGTGGGGGTGGTTGTGTAGTCGGTTGTTCCGCCGACAGATTGGGAGGGCGTGTGGAGGTTGTGGTGGTTCTGTTGTTGTGGACGTGGCTGGGGTTGTGGTTGTGGTTCTGCGTCTTCTACGCCGTCTGCTTGATGTTGATCCTCCCCCGCCCTGCCATCGGTATTGTTGCTGGTCGGTGGTCTTGCAGTGACCATTCCGCCATCCCATTGGAACATGCCGGTGGGTCCGACTCGCACATTACGGCTCGTAAGGTCTAAACCATTACTCTGCAATTGTTGGGGAGACGGCTGTTGCGATTGCGGTTGATTCGGCGATCTACCCTCACCAGGTCTTTCAATCCGCCACGGTCGCGTATATTTCTGCCGTTTGGAAGGCGTGTATTGAGCGCATTTGTCCAGGTGCTTGACCAGCTCGGTCGTGTGCCAGCTGCGTTCTTTGGCGCAATGCTTGCATACTGCGCGTTCGGTCCTGTCGCCGGGTCCTGGCGGAAGTCGCGTGAAGTTCTCTTCGACCTCTGGTAGTGGCGCGCGACCGCCTTTGCGTTTCTGGCTGTTAGGCTGGGGAGTGATGTTTACTGCTGAAGACATGGTGCTGTGGGTTGCATGATGGTCAAGGGAGCGGCCGCAGAGTAGCTCATCTAATCAGGAAAATCATGATGCTCCCCTGACGCACGCCAAGTCGCTGTCAACTCCGGAGGACGAGGGGACGAGCCACGAAACTAACAGGCTTGAAAGAGAGAAGATGGAACGATATTGTTGGGTAGGTAGCTAAACCCGGTGTCAATATGAAGTTGTTGCCTAATCTATGGATCCATTGGCTTTTAAGTGTCCTCAAGTCATCCTTGAGAGCCTGGCTATAATTTTGCATCATTATCATGTCATCATCTCATGTACCGATGTCGTCCGCAGTACCGATGAATACTGGCCAGTTGCGCCCCTGGTTGGAAGATATTACTACGAGCTACTGCCTGTAAGCGAGGGCGTGTCGCGTGCATCATGGTGAGGAAGGCATCCATGCTCGCCTGTACTGATAGTATTGGTGCATTCATATTGGTGTGATTGCAGGCGATTCTGGTGTGCGTGTTGAGATTTGACGCTAATGAGGGCAGATGTTGCCTCCTGGTTGCATGTCGTGAGAGAAGCACCCGGGCTCAGACGCCAGTACCAGGGAAAGCACCCTTTTTGTTCAGCACGACCATTCCGTGAGTGCGAGAAATGTAGCCCTTCATCATGCCCTTGTAGATCAAGTTGGCGAGCAGACACTCCACTTCGTCACCCTCAAGCTCAGTCTCGCCTCCAATCTTCAGTGCCGCTGTGAACTCCTTGAGAGGTATACGACTTCTTCGGACCGGCTCTGCGCCTTCTTCCTTTGGAGCTTCAAGTTCACCAGAAAGGTAGACTTTCCGGACGAGATTGCGAAGGCAGATATCACGGCCACGCTCGAGTGTAAGATAGACTCTACGTTTGACAAACTCCTCCTCACCTGCTTGTAGAGCAGCGTCAAACCCGGCCAGGTCACCCTTCTTGATGCAAGCGCAGAGAGGAGCGAAGAGTCGTTGAAGGCCAGGATAGGGCGCCAACATTGCTTGTGTTGGTAGGACGTGGGCAGTGATGAGTCTGGTCGGAATCAAATACGTCAGAATCAATCTGATGTTGCGAGAAGATCCTGCCAATGCTTTGTTGTAAGCTATGGTCAAGTGTTCCTCTGCTTTCGCATAATCCTCGTGTAAGAATTTGAGGACTCCGAGATAGTAATTGTAGGTGACTTGCTGAGACCGAGGGAAGCGATCAAGAGGTGGTAAGTCTGTGTTCGTCGCTGAGAGCGATCTGATGACGTTTTGTGACAGAGCAATCGAGTTCAGCTGTCATGCATAGTTAGTACATCCAGCCTTGGGGTCATGAGGCATTATGCTCACCTTGAAGTATGTCTTGAACTGCAGATTGGCGATGTAGTAAGCGCCCCACTTACGAGATTCTTCGATGGGAGACCTGTCGCCGACACAAAGACTGAAGACTCTGTTGATCTGGCGTGCAGCATCCTCAAGCTTGTCATTTCCTCCCTCTGCGTCGCCGACATCCTCCTCAAAAGCATTGAACGCAGTTTGACCCTTCTGAAAAGCAGCCTCGTCTGCCTTGATAGCGAATACACGCAAGTACTTGCCCACCATATAAAGACAAGGAATTGTCCAGGCGTCGAAGACTTCAAGCTGGTAGCCTCTCAACAGTGCATTGAGCAGGTCCTTCCAGGCATTATAGACCTTATCCCAGTTGGCGACCTTACCCTGAGGCTTGGATGCATTCTTTCCCAGATTGAGTGATTCTTCGGCAATGAGTATCTCGCCAACGGCTTTCCAGTATGCGACAAAGACATCGGCCCAGGCATTGACTTCGTTCCTGGCTAGTTTGCATGACGAGATGTGCGAGAGAGCATGGCGAAAGTCGGACTGAACACTGAAGGCATTCGTTTCTCTGTGCAGAGCATATAGGCGGCCACTGTCATACTTGGGTGCAACTGGCGACAGCGTGCTAGCGAGCTCGTAGCCTCCCTTTGCCATCATCGCCTGTCCGAACTCGGTGGTGACACTGTTCATCTTGCCGTTGAGTCCACGCGACTAGGATACAATGAAGGAAATGACCTAAAGGCAAAGTTTCACGAAGAACCTACACAGAGTGTCAGTCGACAACAGGCACTTGCCTTGCATGTGATGTTGATGATGATGGATGGATTGAATGGCCAAAGCTTCAAGACGCCGGCGAAAAGTAAGACCGCGCCGAGCAGAACACAGCCGCCAAGGAAAGCGCGCTCCAGTGACGGCTTGTTCCGCTAAACGAGGAGTCTGGCGCGCTGGAACTCCACCGACTGTGCGCAGGAATTTCTCTCCTCAAGCGACTTGACAATTTACGTTGTACTAACCTTCCAGCAAACGCAACAGTGAGTCTACATACCAGCTACATATTCGCAACTGCAATACTGACATTTCTCCAGATGAGTAAGTAAATTTTCCATCACGCACGTCGTCCTACCGCCGAGTTCGATCCACCGCCGATTATCCCACTCCATCTGGCCTGCGCACACTCGCATCTTCGCTCGCATCGTCTGCAATCCTGAATATGGTCCAATTTGGCTACGACTGTTCCTGATGCAAATCATTCGATACGACTGAAGAATTCGACCGAGGTCATGGAGGAAACGAAAATTGCGCATTCAAGAGGAGGGTTTGAAAGGATCGAATCGGCTGGCTTGGTCGACTGTCAGCATCAAAGAGCAAGGAACAATTGGGCTAATACCATACTGCCGTACAGGTCGCCTTCAGGAATACCAGGTCGTTGGCCGTCTGTTGCCCACCGATGCCAACCCCACCCCCAAGCTCTACCGCATGCGCGTCTTCGCTCCCAACGAGGTCGTCGCCAAGAGCAGATTCTGGTACTTCTTGTCTCAGCTGAGAAAGGTCAAGAAGGCAAACGGCGAGATCGTTACCCTCAACAAGGTACGACTTATCTCAAACCTATACAATGCTATCTCCCGGAAATGGGCTGCAGCGTTTGGCGTTAAGTGACGCGATTAACACGCGCCTGCAGATTCATGAGAAGCGCCCCCAGAAGGTCAAGAACTTCGGTATCTGGATCCGTTACGACTCTCGCTCTGGTACCCACAACATGTACAAGGAGTACCGCGAGATGTCCCGCTGCGAGGCTGTCCAGGCCCTCTACCAGGACATGGCCGCCCGCCACCGTGCCCGCTTCCGATCGATCCACGTAGGTTTCCCTCCTCATCGCTGGCCTCGTGTTGCCCGCTGGCTGACACGCATCACAGATCATCAAGGTCGTCGAGGTCGAGAAGGCCGAGGATATCCGCCGCCCCTACATCAAGCAGCTCCTCACCAAGAACCTCAAGTTCCCCCTTCCTCACCGTATCCCCAAGACCGCCGGCAAGAAGGTCTTCGCCGCTCACCGCCCCGCCACCTTCTTCTAAGCGTCTCGTCCCACACATTGCTTGCGTACTGCTGGTTGGGATGGCGTGAGAAAGGACTCGGAGGGCTTCATTCGACCGTGGGAAAGAATAACCCCCTACTCGCAAAGAGTAGATGTTCTACGGCTCAGAAAGAAGAATCAAAAAATCTTTTTTTCCGCAAGTCTTTTACGACTAATTTCATGACCTTCCATTCTAACTCTGCAGTCCCCATTCTCCCCTCTCTTTTATCCCTTTTCCCCCTTCCTTGTGCCAGTGATGATCCCGCTGTACTTTTCCGTACACACCCCAGCGATGCAGCTCGTAGGAGTTGCCCGAGCTACTTGCTTTTCAACGCAAGAAGCTCGGAACGGAGCGTTGGTAGATTGAACGTCTGCACTGGAGAAGATGGAGGTGCCTTACGTCGCTTTTGTCTTTTTCAGTCAGCAGGGGAACGAAGAGATTTGGCCTAGACTTCCGTGGGTCCACGTCTAAGAGAACCCCCTAACATCACGTTGTCAAGGTGACATACTTTTAAGAAATTCAAATTTCATGCTTCAAACTACTCCTCTTGTGCTTGTTGGCCTTTGTCTGTGTTTCTTGGTGCTTGTGAGCTTTGCATGTGTTTGATGATATGTGCTTTTTCTTCATCAAGTGTTAGGCCTGCGATACAAAATTCACCAGGTCACTCGGTTTGATCGCTTTTCTGTTCTAGTACATTGATCACAAGCGCATCCTTGAATCATTGACATTCGTGTCTGCAAGATAGATTGTGCAAGACAGCTATCTCGCACAATCTATATTCTACTCTACTCATCAGGATTCAAATCCTGGTCCTCTCCAAACTCCACAACAACCCACTGACAGAACTTTTCAAAGTCCTTTGCCCACTGCTGCATCCTCATAGCCCTCTCGCCTTTGCCATATGCACCTTCCTTCAACTCTTGAGACCATTGCTGTGCATTCATGTCCTCGAAGGAAGCCCATCTGACACTGTTTTCCGCCAAAGAAGCCAGACCTTCTAGACCCAGGTTCTCCCATCCTTGCAGCGCTTGCCAGAAATCGTGGGTCATGCCACTATGTCCGTGACCTAGGATGGCTGGATCGTCGTTACAGAGGGAAACGGGTACGCCTCTTGCGAGCAGAGCTGGCAGAGGATGTGACATGATACTGCCGGTGAGACGAAGGACTTCGTTACTGATAGGACAGCTCTCGATGAGGATTTTCTTCTCCTTGACCATGTCGCACAGAAGAGGGTGTTTGTAGAGCGAGAAGGCGTGACCGATGCGTCGGGTACCCAGTAAAATCGCATCGAACAGGTTTTCATCTGTTTCGTCACCATCACCTAGGGTCTCGCCAGCGTGGAAGAAGAAGGGAATATCCACTTTGTTCTGCGCGCATGCTTTCTTGAACCAGAAGAGTTCTGGCGTCAGATCTGCCAATGAGCGACCTAGATCTTCTTGACCCACGAGATCGAACCCACAGATCAGCTCTGGATACAGGAGTTTCATGTCAATGCATTCTTGCATGCTCTCGATGATTTTGCGGGAGTCGAAGCTGCGAAGAGTTGTGTAAATTAACCTCGCACCCCAGAAGCCTTTACCCAAGGCTTTGAAGTTTTCGATTTCTTCGTCAAGGATATCGATCATGAGTTCGTTGTCCTTTTCCGGTTCTTCTGAGCCTTCCTTGTAGAAGGGGTCGAGGAATGTGCTGCGAACATCGACGTATTGAACACCGTCTTCAATCAAGTCCTCGAACATGCGGCGGAGGAAAGTGCGGAAGGTGGGCTCGTAGTGCAGTAGACTGGAGATGATGCCGAAACACGATTGGAACTTGCGCCAGATGTCGTTGGGACCGTGCATGTGCTGGATAGATTCGTCCAGAGTGATGGTGATGCGCTCTCTGACCCACTTTTCGAAGCCTTTGCGGCCACCGCGTGGGAAGGCATCAGCAGCGGTGTCAATTGGGATCCATTGGCCAACAGTATAAGAGTTTTCCCAGATCGAAGAGCTTTCAGAAGAGCGGTTCTTTAGCCACTTGAAGAGGAAAGGGGCGGAGGATTGAGCATCTTCAGAGTCGAGAGGCTGGTCAGCCTTGATATGAATACCCTTTGTGTTGAAAGCTTCTTCGATGAGCCAATCCATGTTGACCATTGCTTCGAGATGACAATGCAGAAGAGCACCCTTTGGCATCTTCTTGACAATCTTCCAGAGTTTTGACTGTTCGATCTTGGGACGCGCCAGCGTGAACATCATTCCAGGGTAGATATCCTTTGAGTCTGAGGCCAGGCTGTCTTCATAGTCCTTGGTCCAGAGTGTTTGTTGTTCCTCGAATCTGATGGCAGAAACAATAGCACAAGCCTCGCGAGCCATTGGTGACAGGGTCTCCCGGAAGGCATGGTCTTGAAGAAGTCAGTAATGTCTATATCTCTGCTATGATGGTCCTCGACTGACCACTTCGCTGCTTCTTCTCTTGATCGATCAAGGCATCACGGCCCTGGAGATATTTTTGAAGGAATGGCTCTTCAAAAGACGGAACACCTCTTTCCTTTAGCCATTGAGCATCGGCATCGTCTTGAATACTGAGCTGATCCATATTTTGTGAAACAGAACCACCTATTACAGGCCAAACAACTACACAGATACAAATCAAGACAAAAGTTGCCTACAATGCTTGCGACTGGTATGAGGTGGATATGTTGCACGAATGGTATATTGCTTCGCGGATGATCGAGAGAGAAATATGGAAGGACTGCAGGCACGCCATTGACTAGGCGATGGGTGCACGGACGACAACGATCCAGTCAGGCAGCGATCGACAAGCCAAATGACGGTGGACCCCTCGGTGATAACGGAGTCGATTGTGACATGCGGAGAGTCACCAACTCTAACGCGAATGGTTTGAACAGTCAGGTGGACACCACAAATCAAGCGGCGACAAAGACATGCCTATCTGCCTGCCTTTTCTTTGAATCGTGTGAGAGTGAGCGGCCAACCCAGGACGAAACGGTAGCCAAGTGACGCATAACACCTTCTGTCTTCATGTGCCCCGCTAGTTGTCGTTCGTGTACCGTAACATGAATATACGTCAACTGCAGTCGACATATCACCGCTTGAGGAGCATGCTTGGATGAGCGCGACTTTTTGTTTTTTGTTTGCACTTTAGCACCTCCGCCACCATGGCTTCGTGGATGCCAGCCTACTTCCAGAAGCGCCTGCTTCGTGCTGCCTTATCACGTATTGCATTGCTGGACGTAGACTCTTTAGATCTCGACTCTTTGGGCGTTAAGATCGGCAGGACCAGCACTGTTGAGCTCAAGAACGTCGGTCTTCATGTCGAAGTATACACTCTGCTGTTCTTTCCTTTCGAAGGCTGGCTAACATAACCCAGGAACTCACGGCCTTGTTACAGCTCCCACCGAACCTTCGCCTCCTGGTCGCTCGTGTGCTGTCGCTGCGCCTGACCATTCCCGCCAACTTCTTCCAGCAAAGCATCATCGCTGAGTTAGATGGAATCGATGTACAGGTCGCCGCCGATGTGCCTGCCGAGCCTCGCGACAATGCCGACGACTCGAAGACCCCCGAGCATCGCAAGACGAACAGACGAATACACTCTCCCTCGCCTCCTTTTCACGATACCAGTGGCCTTCCCTCAACACAGCGTCTGGCGCGGTCCATCTTGTTGGAAGAACCGCTAGAAGAGAAGCAAGAGTTGGAGGCTCGCTACATGGCCAAGTCGTCTTTGAGTGACACAAGCGACGACTTGGGTACTGGTACAAGCTTGGGTTTGCCTGCTATGGTCGCTAGCTTTCTACAAGGAATCGTGGATCGTGTCCAGGTAAGGATAAAAGACGTCAACTTCAGGCTGTCATACCAGGACTCCACCCCTGAGACAACTCCTACCATCATTATTGCACACGTCGCAAGCATTGATGTTCGCGCTGCGGCTGCTTATGTCGATGCTGATGGTGGAAACACAACTGCACCCACGGGAAAGCGAAGACAGATCAACCTGCAAGGACTTGGTGTTCACTTGCTGCATGAAGAACAAGTCTCCCGTACACGCACCTCGGTAGCTGATCTGTTCGCTTCCTATGCAACGGAAACCTCACGTGGCAGAGAAGAACACACGGGAGACACACCTATGGAGCACGAACCATCTCTGGCAGAGTCTGGTGTTTTACCACACATTCAGTTTCCAGCTCATGCATATCTGTCGGACTCCGATCAGGAGAGTTTGCCTGACGAGATGCTTCAAAGCACTGCTTCTTTTGATATACGTCCCGGTGAAGACAACATCTCCTGGGCATCCAGACGTAGCCAGAACTCGTCTGGTCATGATCAGATTTGGTCTTCGTTCGCACCTGAACATGATCCGACAGCATCAGACATACTCCAAGATCTGTCATCATCTGTCTTTCTGAGTACGATTGACGCTAGAGGATCGCCTAGCACAATGTCACAATCTCCAGGTGGACAATCTTTCATCAGTGCGCAGGACCCACAGACCGCCTCGAGTTCAAGATTTTTGCATCGGGAAATTCAGTCTACGGGAAGCATTCGTGGTGCCAGACATGTTGGAGACGACAACATTATTGACAGCCCGCCAGCTTTGTCTCCCGAAGAACCAGAGGCCGAGACCGATCTAGCGGAGTCTGTGGTTTACAGCCACGCTGAGGCTGAGAGCATGTACATGAGCGCTGTAGGTCAGGAGCCAGGATCTCCAAATCTGAAGATGCTCCCAGGTGGATGGAACTCTGTACTAGACGACGACGAAGATCTGGACCCGCCGTTTTTGTCGCAGCACTTGACCGAACAACCTGGCTATGAGTCTGAGGATAGAGCTCCTACACCCAGATTGCAGAGCTATTCACCTGTCTCTGAACGACAAGCTGGAGTTGAGCCACAAGAAGGAAAAGCCACATCGCTGAACTACGTTTCAAAAGAGATTTTGATTTTACGTGATCTCGATATTGGTATTCGACAAACCTCCGGAGCTAGTACACGTATGCAAGACGCTGGAGATGTAAATTCCCAGAGTTTGATGGCTACTTCCGCCTTTCATCAGGCTCCAGGTGCATTCTCAATTTACGCTGAAGGAGGTCGCTCTTCCCTGCGTTTCAACGCACCTGCTAGATCTGACCAAACATCTGATGGTCTTGAAGAGGACGACATTATTGATACAACTATTGAAGTTGCTGCCAGTCCGATCATGTTGCAACTAGATGCCGACACAATCCGTTCGTTCATTGCACTGATGGATGTCGCGAAAGGACCGGCTGCGACACGGCGGGCTACCGAATCTCGTCCGGCTCCCGACCAGAGACTACCAAGTCTTCAGTTGCAGATCGAACAGTTCCGTGTCGCTCTTCTTGAAGATTTACCTGAAAAATCGGTCGAACTTGCTGATCTGTCTTCGTGGCGACCGAGTCCACCTTCCGATCACGAGAAGAAAGCGTTGTTGAAGCTCGAACTACAACGCGTCGACCTTGAAGTCAGTGGTCATTTCTCACCTGCAGACATAAATTTGCATATCGGAAACTTCACGTTCACTGCCGGTACCAACGATGTTATCTCTTTTGACCTGTCTGGAAGGCAAACAGATCAAAAGACTCCCCAACGTGTGGTCTCAATTGCTACCCACACAAACACAACGCTACAAGGGCAAGTCGAAAGGAGGATAGACGCCCGGATACTGCCTATTCGTGTTGATCTTGATCTGATGAAGTTCGATGAAGATTTCGATGCTTTGGGCGGATTGACTGGTGTTGTTGAGATGAGCTCATCACTGCTGTCAAGTGGCGTCTTTGCCAACAAGTCAGAAAGCCCAGGCCCGCCGCGTAGGGGTGTCCGATTCCAGGAGCCAGCGATCGAAGAAAGCATTTCTTCACAAACAAAGCTCAGTGCAAACCTGAAGGGGCTCGATGTGAGATTGGCATCTCGATCTTGCTCTCTGGAACTACGAGCATCGACAATCCACGTCCTCCCCCGACAAGATCGTGTGTTCGTCAGTGTTGACAGGATGTCTGTCACGATGCCCGTGGTGAACACTTCATCCGAATACTCAGACTTCGATATCGTTATTGAGAAGTTGAGTATGATCTACTCATTCTCGCCAAAAGAACAAGACCTTGCTCGATTGTTATCGCTTGTCACCCCCACCAAGAACAAGTACGAGAACGATGATGATATTATGATCCACACCCTTCTTAGACAGAGGAGGAAAGGGTCGGTATTGAACGTGCAAGTCGCAAAGTTTCAGACGCACATCAACGCATGGGAATTTGTACCCTATCTCCAGTCTCTTGTTGAAGAGCTATCTAAGCTGTCAGCCGTCACCAAGTACTTGCCAGAAGATGACACTCCTGGGGTACTTTTACTGGTTCGGGTCGACCACACAAGACTCCAAGTGCCCGTCAACGAGCAATTTGGGCCCATGGACGTTTCTTTCAAGAACATCCAGATAGCTCAGGTAGGACTGCCGGCTCTCTATGCGCTCTCCATCGGCAGTATGAATGCAGGTCCAGCTGGCAGACACGACATAATTCACGAGGTGCTCTCTGGGGCTTGCACAGAAGAATATCCTATGCTCATGGCACGTATGGTAGGAGACGAAGCGGAACCTGTCGTGAAGGCCAAGTTGTTCAACATCTGTGTCGAGTATGACATCCCTACTCTCCTGTCTCTAACCAACACAGCGACAGCCTCAGAGGTAGAGCATAAAGTACACGACCTTGCGACCTCTGTTCTTGACCCCTCGGCTTTTGGGCTTCCGAACAAGTCACATCCGGGTGTTGATTCAGTCAAGTCTTCGAGCAGCTCCAGCAAAACGCTTGATATTGATGTTCTGCTCCACGACTGCGCCCTTGGTCTACAACCCAGAGACTTGGAATCGAAAGCCGTCTTACTACTTACGAACACAAAGTTTACCACTTCAGTCCCACCAACCGAATCATTCGAGGCTACGTTGAACATGCGAACAGCAACACTCTATATTGTAGACCAGACTACTGCTTCACCTCCTGACAATACAATTTCCCCCGGTATATCTTCTCAGCCAAACCACTCTCTTCGTCTGCAAAGCTATCTCTTGCAAAAAGGCTATGTTACTGTCACTACTATTGGATCCGCACAAGCGACCGTATGCATCACGGAAGACAAGTCCAATTCCGAGAAGTTTATCGATGTTGAGTTGCGCGATGAATTCTTCTTATTGGAGACCTGTGCCGACTCTACACAGACCCTAATTGCAGTACTCAATGGCCTATCACCACCAGCAATCGCGAACGATGATCCAAAATTCCGCACTCAGCTCGATCCCGGGCTTATGACACTCGATGACATGGTCAACTCCTTCTCGGGCGAGGCTTTTGTCAAACCCGGCCCTGCGCCCTCTGCTCTGTTCGATGCCGAGACGGACTTCCCATCACCTGATGAAGAAGATCTCATGATCGGATCGGACATCGACGAGGAAGGAGCCATGGCTTTTGAAGACGAAGATTTCTACGGCGAAGGAGGTCTCCAGTCTGACACTGTCGAGAGTCTTCTGGAGCAGGATCCATTCGAGATCACAAGCTCGCCGCAATTCAGCGATGATGCTTTGTTGCGCAGCCTGAGAAAAGAGCTCGGCACTTCAGACCTGACGACTCCTGCAGTGATCAGACCATTTTACCAGGATGATCGACAACTCGACAAGATCTATGGGGGCTCGAGAACGCTAGGAGAAGCTCACGAGCAGCAGAAACAGTTCCCAATCCAGGTACGGGTACGAGGCGTTAACATCATCTGGAACCTGTACGATGGCTTTGACTGGCGACGAACCCGCGAAACTATCACGCAGGCAGTCGAGGAAGTGGAGTTGAAGCTGGAAGAACGCAAGTCGAGCCGACGCAGGTCTAACACCTTTGAGGAAGAAACAGAGACAGTGATCGGCGACTGCTTGTTCAACTCCATTTACATTGGCGTACCTTCAGCACGTGAAGCTTCAGACCTTCGCCATTCGATCAGCAATCTGATAAACCAGGGTAATGAAGTCGCGAGTGAGACAGAGAGCTATGCCACGACTGGCATCTCAAGACCGAGTCAAGCTGACATTAACCGCCAAAAGAAACTTCGAAAGAAGCGACTTCGACTCCAGCGTGGTGCGTCCAACAAGCTTGGATTCGAACTCAGAGGTCTCGCTCTCGATTTTCTGGTGCACCCCCCTGGTAGTGGTGAGGTGCAAAACTCTGTCGATATCAGGGTGACAAATTTCGAGATTTTTGACCACGTACCGACCTCTACTTGGAAGAAATTCCTGACGCTCCACAACGACAAGAAGAACATGCGCGAGATGATGAAGCCCATGATCCATCTAGAGCTCCTGAACGTTCGACCAGTGCCAGAATTAGTAGCCACGGAGATGACCATTCGTGTAAGTAACGATACACTCGTAGACCGTTCTTTCGACTAACACCTTTTAGGCTTCCGTTCTCCCACTACGCTTGCATGTCGACCAAGACGCATTGGAGTTTATGACCCGCTTCTTCGACTTCAAAGACGACTCTTCCAAGCCTACCGATGCAAATGCCGAGCCTCCATTCATACAACGGTTGGAAGTCAATACTGTCAACTTGTGTCTTGACTACAAGCCAAAGAAGGTCGACTATGTCGGTCTACGAAGCGGCCGTATGTCTGAATTCAAGAACTTTGTGACTCTTGAGAAAGCCAACATCAAGCTCAAGCACGCGATAATCTACGGTCTAAAAGGATTTGACACACTACATGACACCTTGAGCGACATATGGACACCCGACGTCATACACAACCAGCTTCGCGGTGTCCTTGCTGGTATTGGAATGACAAGACCTCTTGTCGAACTTGGCATAGGCATCCGTGACATTGTCGCTGTCCCTGTCGCCGAGATCAGGAAGGATGGCTTCAAGGTTCGCAGTGTTCAGAAAGGCGCTTTTAAAGCACTGAGTACGACCTCATCCGGGTTCGCGCGTCTAGTTGCAAAGGTTGCGATCGGCACGGGGACCAGACTGCAAGAAGTCGAAGACATGCTGTCCCCGGCTCAGCGCACACTTAGTAATCAGAGCCAGCAGGATGTTGAGGGAGAATACGAGGAGTCCCAACAACGCCAGGTCAGCAACTATGCAGATCAGCCCCTGGGCGTGATCCAAGGCCTGCGTTCCGCGCGTCTTTATCTCGAGCGAGACCTGACAACGGCACGCGATGCTATTATCGCTGTTCAGGGAGACTTCCTGGCCAGCGGGACCGCCGCAGGGGCAGCCCGGGCGGTGGCTCGACATGCGCCAACCATATTGCTCCAACCTGTCATTGGCGTCAGCCGCGCGGTGGGTCAAACCTTCAAAGGTGTCGGCAACCAAGTCGACCGCGAGTATATCAAGAAGTCGGAAGATGTAAGTTTTGAGCCTCTTTAAACAATTCGCAATCATGAAGCTTCCAAGCTAACGTATTCCCACAAATAGAAGTACAAACATCATTGAGAGCCGGCCGTTAGCTACAAGGGGAGATCACGACGATATAATATCAGCTTTCCATATGCAGCTCTTCGTGACGATATACAACGGAAATACAAGGAGAAGGGGAGGGAGAAACCGGGGAGGGCGTTTGGTGATTCATTATACAGATCGGTGACTCGTATTCGCACAGCGCTGGCGTCTTTTGACTTTCACTGTCCGTAAACAGATATCTACCGTCAATTCGCGAGAGTCTGATTGGACTTCTTCCTCTCAGCTGATTTTCCACGTGCTTGTTTGCAGCGTGAGTATCGATGGCAGAAAAATACGGACGGTTGTAGGGCACATATCGAGGCTCGGGCTCCCGAGATTTCCTTCTCGATCGTCCTTTCGTCTGTAGCAACTTGTAGCGCGTTTCAACTGAGCCCCCCATCCTCTCCACAACGTGGTCTGACAGGTGGATTCGGAGATGGTCTCTCAGATCAATTGCTTGCTTCGACCTCATTGCCGAGTCCTAGCGAGTGACCGGCAGAAAAAAAACCAAATTTCTGCCTGGGCTATTATGCTTATTACGATTTGTGGTGGAGTCAAGTCAGGGTACCTAAGATGAAAGGATATATCACCAACAACATCAATAATCGGTCATGTCCGAGAGAGTGTTTCTATTGTAGGAGCTCGTGAGGTCCAGCAGCTGAGCAGAAAATCCAAACCATGGATCTCGAGAGCAGCGAGACATTGTCGTTATGGCGCGTCGAACGTCTTTGCCGGCTGCTGCCCTTTCCGACGATATGGCTTTCGGCAAATATACTTGTTAGGGTTTACTGTTGCCAGCCGGCGCACATGGTGAGTATCCCGAGCTGTTACCTTCAAAGCCCGAAACATAAAAGACATCATGCAGACGGGCATCATCGTGTTCTCCGAATATGACCGAGGTGTTTGCAGGAGGCGGTGGGCGAGAAGCCGTCTAAGGTCGATAAGCGGCGAGACACAAAGCAAAAAATCACGATTGCCAACGTGCTGGTGGATGTGCTCTCTTCGATAAACCCCATCCATCCAGCGCCCTGCTAAAAATAGACAAGAGAAATAAACTTGAGATTTTGACTTCAGTCAGAGCCATGACACGTTCGACCTTTGGCTTTTACACCAAAATGCGCCTTTTGCTGGCCGGACTACCCCTCACCGCGAACTCACACGGCACCACCACGCAAAGGAGGAACCTGAGGTTTCAATCTTGCTTTCGAACTGGAAACGCCTTGGGAAATAAGAGGACCGGGAATTGGGCGTGTACCCAAGCAGAATTTATCCCTGACAATTCCTCTTTCTGGACAACTGAGCCGATGGAAAGTCCAGAGCATGACGGCCTGCTTGAGAGGCAGAAAAACAGTGGAAGTATGCCCACCGGAACCGAGCGAAAGCAGAGCACAATAGCGGGTGGACTTGCTATATAAAGAAAGCGACTTTGTCGATGAAGCGACTCATGGCGACTGAAGCGATGACTAAACAGCCCAAAAGACCAGAGCGCGATTCGCGAAAGGCAGAAAAAAAAAACCAGGGTCCTTTTTGGACCTGCCTTCTTCGACCACAGACATCATGCCGTCCGCGCCGGGACCGCCGCCAAAGAAAGATTTGCGGGGCATACGCGAGGAAGAACTAACCGATGCGTGTTTCGATATTGCAGCTGCCCGAAGATGCGGCGCGGTGCATGTGTGAGGAAGGATTCAAACCGAGGTGTTCGGCGTAAACTGTTGAAGATTATGCTAAAGGAGCAATATCTTTAGGCAGGATCCACGCAGGTTGCCAAAGCCAACCGCATCTGTGTGGACGTTTGGTTTCGAAGTTTGAACTCAGAAAGTGCCAATGCTCTCGCCAAGGGGAGAACACATGGACGGCGCCGAGGCCGAGAAAGATAGGTGCACCTTCTTTTAGCTGGCTATGCGCTCATGCATTTGATCCAGCTTTCTTGAAGCCAGGGAAAAGATCGAGGGCTGAGATTGTAGTGACGAACCGGTCTGTCGGCCGAAACGACCTACAATTGGTCCTTGACTCGATATCTGGATCCGCTGGCGAGATTTGATTGTTCTGCTCTATTTCCATGCCCCTGACTATTAGCTATGCTGCCAAAATTGGAACAGACACTCGTCTCGCGGACAGCGTGTAGATACGAGGTGGCCAGATCAACTGCTAGACATCCTGAGGTCTGAGTGATACCCATGCCGTTGGTAAAGGAAGTTGCACTTTTATAAAATCTGATCTCAAGAGGCCAAGAGCTCTCAAGGAAATGCACGTTCCTGCAACGTTGAGAGATCAGGGATCTGAGATAGGGCACGGATGAGTGCACTGGGTAGCTGCCTGCTGGTCACAGTGAATGGTCCGATGGATACAGACGATTTCTGCATGTTGCACGTTGAACTTGGAGACCGTTTCTTTGCTTGAAAAGCATAGACTTCTCTCGCTGCGCGCGGGCCGCCGACGCCATCAGAGCCCTTTCTCGAGACCAGACAACCTCTTCTACCGACCGTGAGTGACAGCTCACCTACAAGGTTGAAGACATGCTTCCACGAATAGATAGAGCCGCAAGCCCACGACTGGAGAGTGTCAGACTCTATGTCGTTTATGCGCCGTAACACAAAGTCTGTCGGGCTGCCGGCTGATGTTCTGCGTGAAAGACGGCGACGTTCAGCAAAATGGCCGGTGGGGGGGATGCAACTGTAGATCTTGCGGCATCTCGGTCCGTCCAGGACACTCGAAGGATCTCGGTTTGCAGAAAAATATTACTGTATGCAGGTCAGAGCGCTCGACGAGAGAACGCTACGGTGCCATGCGAATTGATTGTCTACGGCAAGCAGCATTCTACTAAAGCAGAGGGCATCTGCATGACACCTCAAAAATTGAAGGGCTATCGATAGCGTCACATTCTTCTGGATCTGATATGACAGCAGGATGCAGGGCCTGATCGTAGCCATATTACTGCACTGCTAGCGCAGCCGGTGCGTGCCAGAGTAATCGCAGGGACAGCGAGCCATTGTCATCGAAATCATGACAAACAAGAAATGATGGGCGTCGGATGGCGGAGAATTCAAGACCCCGCCACGTGAGCTCCTTCACGCTTCAGCATCGAAAGAGAGAGGCTGGAGCTCAGGGAAAGATCGATGGCACTACGGCGTAGGGCGCAACGGCAGCGCAGGCTTCGGCGGAACCAATTGAAGTGTGAAGAAAACACTGTCGCGCGAATAATTGGAGAGTTTCTGGGACAGGTCGACTGTGAATCTAATCAACGCCCATAAACTCCAAAGTGGCAACGTCCAACGATTGGCGGAGAGTGACTTGTCTCGCTGCTAAAAATAAACACAAGCGAAGAATATCTACCGTTCTTTCACTCTCTCGGATGGAGCCTAGGGCAGCACGTGTGATCAGCAAATCATGGTTCGCCCGGCCTAAGAGAATACCAGACACATGAAGAGCCAAAGGCGGTGACTTGGCTGGACGCCGCTCAACCTACGCGACCGAGAGGCAGGAGATAGGCAAGCCCCCTCTCGACGTTGCACAGCGAGGTGATGGAATGGACGACCAGCTCGGTGAGCCCGGGCGGAAGGGTGTGCCTGTCAGCGGGCGTTGGAACACCAGACTGGACTGTGCTGGACGTGAAAACAAAAAGATCTGGGATGCTTTTTGCCTCGAGTCTAAACTGTTTTGGTATGTACCATGCCCTGAACAAGCTCATCCTCCGGTTTGGGTAGCAGCTCGCGCAGGCCCTCCTCCTCCCCAGAAGAGCTATGTCATGCGACGTTTTGACCCGTTGGCAGGTCCCTCTCGGTAAAAATAGTACTCTTCGACGGGTTCCCGTCGAACACTATGTATACCGCCTTTGCGTTCTTGACCAGTTCGTCCTGAACCATCAAAGAAAAGCATTCGGGGTCCCACTTAATACCGGGCCCATTCACTCGCTTCCCTGCACATCATCAAGCACGCTCGCTGCCTAGTTGTTTCTTATCACTTTCCCACTTTCCGTATTCTGCCTTTTTGCAAACCTCACGCGTCTGCTGGCCCTTCTAGACTTTCCTTTCTCCCTTCCACTTATTCGCCGAACCTCCCACCGGTTTGGGATACCAATTGCTACCAAGGAGCCAGTCTCTTCACATTCCAGAATCGGTGCATACTCAATCGCACAATTGAAGCCTAAAGATCATCATGGCCGGTCAAGGCGCAGGTCCCTCTCGGCGCAGCCACACCAAGAGTAGAACAGGATGCAAGACGTGCAAGCGTAGACATATCAGATGTGATGAGACGTTCCCCCAATGGTGAGCAACTGATTCTCTGTAGCCCTCCGTGGTCAATTGCTAACCACCTTCGCAGTCGTAATTGCACAAAGCATCAGGTCCGTTGTGACTACATGGACCAACAACGACCCGAAGCAGAGGTACAGCCACCGCGAGATCAATTCCCTCTACCCTCATCGCCAGGTGTTGAGCACATGCTTGATGTTTGGCAACAGACAGGCAGCTTCCCCTACCCGGAGCTCCAAGTGTTCCCTCAGCCCAGGCCACAAAGCCATTCAAGGATCGAGCTGCGTCTCATTCAACATCTCTCATCCATCTCGAGGTCACTGCTCATGAACAGCACCAGCGACATGACAGTATGGACCTCAAAAGTGCCAAAGTGCGTGTTACCCCTCTTCACTGTGATCATCCACCCCTAATTAGCCCGTTTAGGTATCTCAGTGTAGCGACCTCGTATTCGTACGTCATGCACGCATTCTTGGCATTCTCTGCCAGCCATCTGGCATGGATCTCTCCCTCTCCAGACACACGCAAGATTCAGATCCAGCACGGCGGCATTGCTCTACGTGGACTCCATGATGCTCTCAGCTCCTTCTCAAAGTCCAATGCGGACGCTATCTTGGCGACTTCTATCCTTCTTATGACTCAAGCAAACGACTGGCGCACATGGTCTTCTCTCGAGACTGGTATTCGTACTGTTGCAAGTGCTATGGCCGGATGGAAGCATGAATCGGTCTTTGCAGATTTGATTAATCTGAGCCCTTACAAGCCTTCAGAAGATCCGCGTCCGCTCCCTAGCATGCAAGAGCGCCATAGCATACTCACCAACGTACTTGCTTCCCTCCAACGCCTACAGCCTCTCCTTGTCACCAACAGTCCCGAGGCATACTGGATCGAACAGCTCCTGGGTTACATCTCATTCCTTTTGGCCACTCAGCCTGCACACACGGCTGCTGAGCAGTTTGATCAATTGTATAGCCTACGGAAATGGGTTCTCTTCGTTCCTTGTCTGCTCCTTGAGAAGCCAATGGTTGATGGTCCTTCGACACTTGTGGTAGCCCACTTGTATGCCACTGCGCTCTCCCTGGAACCTTTGTTCCCTGCCCTCGGTGCCTCCTTCTGTGCCGCCATCAGCTTACCTCCCCTCGAAAGAATTATCCAGATGACTGCCCCTATGCAAACAGACGGCCAATTCGGCCAGCATGCACTGGAAATCAGCTCCCTTATGCACTTCCCTCAACAAGCAGTCTCCGCCTACCGCGCCCGTCTGGCATGGACACAGCAACACCTGGAGCAGATTCAACTCCAACAGACACCCCAACAATCTCCCTATGCGCCTGTCTTCAACCTTGACGGTGTGAACACGCCTTTCATGAACTTCGGAAACCTCAGCCCTGGCTTTGTTCCTTCATCCATCAGCCACGTTCGCGAGCAGAACCGCATGTCCTCAAGTTCATTGTCGGGCTCACCTTACCTTGGAGTCCCCACTCCGACACCTTCGTACGAGAGTGGATTTACCGACGGCACAAGCCATTGGGGCACTGCACATTCACCGGCCTTTCCACCAAACCAATACACCACCGGCGACCAAGAGCATGGATACGACTCATACGATTTTGAGCAACTAGAAGCACCCCACGGGGGCTTTCGAGGCGGGTTCGTAGTTCCCCCGACCGTCTGGGCATGACCGACGCACCCCACGGAGTAAAAACAAAAACTAAATTACGCTGCGCGATCCAGGACTCCCACTACCCGGCACGGCTACCACACACCAAGTTCTCAGGGCCATAGCCAAGGATGAGAGACAGCCTTGTCTCTAGATGTCGAGCCCTCTTCCCTTCGTTTCATTCTCGCTACGCGAGCGGTGTCTGTTAAGACGCCTTTTTCAACACTTTTTTTTTTCTTTTCTCTAGTTCGACTTCGTTACTTCATTGCACCGCGAGCGCGCATGATACCCTCCAATTTCTCGATACCGACAGTCCCCCCAATCGACACGCAAGAACCACCACCACCACCACCACTATACCACCACAACAAAACAACTACAACTCTCGACTTCCTTTTTTTACTCGACACGAATCTCCTACCACTTTTGTTGGACGCGTCTCGACTTTTCCGAACGAAACATTATACCTCTTTTCCCGTTTTCTGTATGCATTGGCCGACCAAAAAGGAGTTTTGAAGCATTTGAGCATTTTATGTCTGGAAGATTTGACATGAGGCAAGAAACAATGTATGGGTGTATGTGTCCGTTTTCCTTCTTCGCAATCCTCGCCGCACATTTAGAAGGCCTCTCTTGTTCTTGCTCGCTTTCCAGAGCTTTTCAGTATACTACATATCTTCTGAAATGAAAAAACGGCAGTCACGAAGCTGACCATGAATCAAACCACAACGCTCCTTCCTACCATGATTGCACTTTTCCTGATCTAGTCATGCCGCTATTTAGCTCCACCATCAAGATGTCTGACTCGTCGTCGTGGCCTTGCAGCATCTCCTCGGTTGCCGGCTTCTACCACAAGACGGTCTCGGGCTCCGAGGAAAGCGGCTATCCCGGGTCGGGTGACCCTGACATGGTACATAAGCCAGCGTACCTGCACACGCGGCCAGACCAAGACCAAGACCAAAGTATCTCGCCGAAGCCATCAAAAGCCCACTGAGCAAGTATTATATCACTAGTTTCGCTCCTACCACAAGGCTACTACATAGATGACTCCACCGGCGTAAAAACCGTAAGCTCCAGCAGGTTTTTGTTGCCATCGCATCCTTCCAAGCCCGGATGAACCGGCAACTCGACAACGCCATGAGAGGTTCCACAACATCACTGTCATTTCTGTCAAAAGCGGGAGTGGGCAACAGTGAAAAGAGGGCTTGAGGTCAATTGTAGATAAGCGAGTGAGCGTATTTATAGCTCTCTGTTGACACGCGTGGTGTCCACAATACCTAATATCTACATCACCACGGAACAAGATCCCATGAGTTTTCGATTAGATGGCAGTCCTATGGTCTGAACTTAGGCAAGACCCAGAGCATGCTCATGCTAGAGATGCGACAGTGATTCTGTGATGCGATACATGTCTCGAATTCAGAGTTCGACGATACGTGAATATGGAAGGCGCGTCCGAGATGTTGGCCGGGCCACCCGGACTCAATAGTTCTTCACAACATCCGATTTCAGTGATCACCAGTTTGTATTCACATCTCGCTATAAACATATCCATCCTGTCTGATACTCATAAGAACCACTTGACCTGCGCTGTTCGTCTCAATTGGCTGCGTTGGTGGTTTGTGGTGAAAGTCAACATTTTTTCTGGTTCTGCTTCAACGTTCACAAACTGCCACTCTCAGCCACGACAAGATGTGTGTAAAGGTCAACGATGCCCTTGAGATTGGTGCAGTCGTCCACGAAGAAGGAACGCTAAGTACACTCCCAGTGGATCCGGCCTCGACGTGGAATTGTACATGTACAGAACGACATGCGTGACAGACCACAGCACTCAGAGAGCAATTATTAGTGGTCACATTCAAGCTGATTTGGGATTACGCGTAGCATGGCTCGGTACAACGTTCACCGAGTAAGAAGGTGTGAGTTTATGGTGTCCTTTCAACATGCTTGATTATTCTATCGGGGTATATAAAAGTCTATCTATGTACAAGCATGTCATCCCAAAACGTCGAATGGTCGTGTGAGGAGCGAGTCGGGTGCGACGCCGACAGCCTCACCACAAGCCTCTTTCGATAATTGCCCGTCCAGGCGCTCCTTCCACAAATGGTTGTCGGTCGTCAGTCCGAGTGTCCTCGTCTATTGATTTTTTCCATGTATTGCCCGACACCCAGCCGTCTGGTTGAGGCAGGAGCGATTCGATGCAAGGAATGTCCGATTTGCAGCCTGCGCGTGCATAGGACGCCAATGTAACACCAAAGTGCAGCAAACAGTGACATTCGTCCAAATATAGCCGAGATCTTAAGCGTAGCTGTCATGCGACCTAATCGTGGTAGGATCCAAATTTTTGCTCAAAACTTGTTCGACGATCCAAAGGCCAAGAAACAGGGTTACCCCTCGAAGATTCGTTTCAACGAAACACCATGGTGTGAATCGCTTAAGCAGAGAGCTTAGGGGCCCAGCGTCCGACGACCTCGTCGAGGCGAGCCAGCATCTCGTCCTTTCTGGCCTGAGAGCACCAACTGCCCTCGATACCGGCACGGCAGATGCTAGTCCACTCTGCGACCGACAGGTTGAAGGCTTCGTGAACAGCGCAGTAGTTGTCGAGAATGTAGCCACCGAAGTAAGCCGGGTCGTCACTGTTGATGCTGAACTTGACGCCAGCATCCAAAAACTTGCGAATGGGGACTTCGCTGATCTCCTTGACGCAGCACAACACCTTGTTGCTGAGAGGGCACACAGAAAGCATGGTGCCATCCTTGGCGATCTTCTGGAGCAGAGCCTCGTCTTCGACCAGACGGATACCGTGGTCAATACGCTCGACCTTGAGAACATCCAGAGCATCAGAGATGAAGGTAGCAGGACCCTCCTCACCGGCGTGAGCAGTACGGCGGAGACCGAGCTCCTTCGCACCTGCGTAGATCTCCTCGAACAAAGCAGGAGGGAAAGGCTTCTCGCTAGAGTCAAGGCCAATACCGGTGACTGAGCCGTTCTTGAAACTGGCCTGAACATCGGCATCCTTGAACATGGACATACAGTTGGGGACGGGCAAGTGACGCAAGAAACAGCAGATCAGCTCGCTGGTAATACCGAACTCCTTCTCAGCACGAGCACGGGCGGCACTGAATCCAGCGAGAACGGTGTTGTAAGTAATACCGCGCTCGATGTGTGCTTGAGGGTCGAAGAAAACTTCAGCGTGGGCCAGACCATCTGCTGCGGCGTGACGGAAGTAGTCCATAGCCAAGTCCTCAAAATCAGACTCTGAGATCAAGACGGACATGCCGATGTAGTAATAGTGCAAGAAGTCATCCAGAGAAGTGAAGCGGCTGTAACGAGCCAGGAGAGTCTCAGGGGATTGGAAGGCATCGTCGTCCTGGGGCAGGGTGATGTTGTTGCGCTTGGCCAATGTGAACAGAACCTCAGGGGAGAGAGAGCCCTCCAGGTGCATGTGATGCTCGCACTTGGGGAGCTCCTGAAGGAAAGAGTGGAATGTGGATTTGCACATGTTGTCGTTGTTGTTGTCGATGATGATGATATGAGGAGAACGAGATTATGGTCGGATGAAATTGCGATTAGAGATACCGATGGCACGAGAATTAGGATCAAAGGATTGTAAAAAGTTTTGAAAGTCTTCTATTCGAGAGAGCAGTACGACCTTTTATTACTCGAGATCGATTCAATGGTTTGCACAGTAAGAGAAATCTCTACTAATTTTTTTCTCGCCTGTTGCGAAGCACGGCCGAGGAGGGTCTGGAGGTTCGAAAACGTTTCGGCCGGCTCCGACGACGCTGGCTACGATAGGACTCAACAAGATTCGACAACAAATGGCAGTCTGTCAAAAGACACTCAGGGAACAGCGCCTCGCACTTGTACTCAGGATAGTTACGTTTGAAACCTGAGAATTCAGGGATGAGAGGGTCCTTGAATAATGAGGTCAACAACGGACTTGAACACGTGAGACTGTTGACTGTCGAAACGGCACAGAAGTGGAAGTGGATCTAAGCGGTCTGACTAGTGCCATGTCTAGGCAGTTGTTGGTCTACGACGAACGAACTCTACGAGCCGTTTGACGGGGAGTTCAGGGTTTTGGTGCAGCGGTGAGCTTGAAGGTTGAAGCTGTATGATGATGCCACCAGGGTCTGAAGAGACAGAGGGCTCTGGGGCTTGACCTTGTTGCTTCAGCAAGCGAGAAATAAGACACAGCCTCAATGGGAATACAGGGTGGGGGTGCCAGAGAGAACCCCTTTTTCTACGGCACGTGGACTGTAATTTGGTGGCCGATGGAAGACTGAAGGAACAACAAATGCTTCTCTTCCATGGTATCGAGATCATCTCGGATCGGATCTCCCCAGTCGCAGCGTTTCGGACACAGCTCTTGTCCGAAACATGCAAGTCGTGTCCGAATGCAAGACCGGCGGGCCGGCGGTGGTCTTCAAAATTTCCCGATACAAGCGAGACAGACACGTTCCGGAAGGCCCGATTCGCTCGGTTCACTCAGCCGTGCTCAACCGCATACTTCCGCTGTGCATCCGCAAGTTGTCTTGTACTTAGGGCTGTCGACTTGAAGGGAACTCTTTAACAGTTTCTACAGTTGGGCATCCTTGAGATTTCTGGCTTGATTAGTGACCAGAGTCCACAAAAGAGGTGCACCCCTGTTCGCAGTACAGTTGTCCGGCGCGGACCAGAGCTTATCATCGAAAGATCATGCAGGCGACCTGCTTAACTGGGAGAATGCAGTTACGCATGTCATTGACCAATCTCTGAAAATTGCAGGAAGCGCATGTCCAAATCAATTATGGCGCGAGTAGAAGAAACAGGAAATCTAGAACACGCCAGAAGCTTTGCTGTAGCGGCCATAGCGTCGTGACATATGGCAAGGTTCTGATGATACAAATACCAAATCTCTGATTCTTCAGCACCATGGACCTCGATGTAAAGCTGACTCTGTTCCTGCGGTGAAGCCAGCGAGCAGTCGTTCCGAGTTGGGACTGGGAAGAGCAAGACACGTGTGGTTCTGGAACCATGGATGGGAAGGGTGCCATGTGCTCTACGAAGCACTGTTGCTCGCAGTTCGGCAAGAAAGCTTCTACGAAAGTGCCGTGACCAACGTTCGGTTGCGGGGCCCCCAGCCTTTGAGTTTAACAACTGAAATCTGGTCGTCGCTCCGCACTTTTACTTCTTCGGATGGTCGACCGATGGTGTGAACAAACAATGCTTTGCGTGGTGTCGTGGCCGTTGGAGGCACGGATGAATGGCGCTGTCACACACCCTCGGCTCACAGAAGCGACAACTGGCCAAGTGAACAAGCGAGTCGAAGTTGCAGATGGCGCACGGGTGAAACTACCGACCGCCTACGAAGCAACCTCTCTCCTGTTGAGAAGTGGACTGCGCTTTTTAGATGAGGTGCAGAGGTAGCGGGATACAAGTGGTACGTTCCGATCCCAGACTATGACGCTGATCACGGCGGATAGATCCATAGCCTCCCAAAGAACGGCTGTGTGTACCGACGCAAGGTGCCGCACGAGGTCATCTCCACGGCGGTAGGGCTTTTTACGGTGACTCGTAAGACGGGACAGAGCCAAAACGCTGGGATATACCTTTTAGCGGCTGAACATTGTGGCTTCAAGGAAAGCCACTGCAGTCATACTGAACAGGCCGGAACGAGAGCGACTAGAAGTCAATGGTAACGGGACGAGGTGACGAATACAAGGCTGCAAGAAACGAGTGGACCGATCGGAAGAGAGCGAGGACGTAAAAGTGAAATGTAAGCTTACTGAGATGGCAGAATTGCGACGATCATGTCGCTCGAGCATAGCAAGCCGTTGATTCGTGAAACAATGGATTATTCTCCTGAAAAGTTTACAGGCCCCGCCGGCAGTGTCGTGAGAAGTTCACGGCAAAGTGGTGCATCGTGATGGGGCGCTCTGCCCTTGTATTGGTCAGCTGTGCAAATAGGTAGGCAGGGTTTTTTGTAGGCCCGAGTTGATCGGGTAGGCCACGGGAGGGCCAAGGTGACATTCGGCAACGCTAGGCAAATTCCAAGCGTGTTCTTTACCTATTGTCATGCCGTCGAGTCTTGGAAAGGCAAGCAATCTTATAGCGCCATGTCAGGAGGATTTGAGCAAGCTGACTCGACGCCAGGCCGTCGAAAAGGAGGCTGATCGACCTGCAATGCATGCAACACACACAGCTGCTTCTGCTGCAAGGGCACAGGGCAGTAAGGAGCAACGCTGCCTCTCTCTGCCCTTTTGGTGGTCGATTCAAGAATGTCATCACCCACGCCAAGTCTGCACTACGAGACGGGAAGCATGGTAGCGGCAGTTGTCAATGAGCAAACGGTACGAATCTAGGGTTTAGACTTTTGAGTGATTCTAGTGGTAGAAGCTGTGCCACCGTGCCGGTAAGACCAAAAGACGGTCTCTGACATGGACGCGAAAGACAGGGGCATGTAGGGAACAAGAGCGACGGCGGGAACAGTCGTCAAAGGCCGGGGACGGGTTGGTGGTATGGGACAGCAAGCAGGAGAGCGAGACAACAATAGCCAGGCTATCCATGTGCACAAGTGCTGAAGCAGCCGAACGATGCAGGCAGAAGGAACTACAGCAAGGCGAGATTAGCCGCCGCTGTGCACGTTTGGCGGCGGCCGCATGGCCATGCGAAAGGGAGAGCGGGAGGGCCTGTGCTGAACCTGCCTCTGAATAATAATAATAATCTTTTGAGGTTCGTCGAGCAACCCAATTCTCATATTTATGCCTTGTTCGGCTGTCGCGCTGACGTCTTGAGTCTGTTTCTGCTGTGGCTTTTTCCTTTCGACGGCTTGTTGTGCATCTTTGGACGAAGCCTCCTTCTCTCCTCTTCACACATATTCCGCAGTTCGCTCCGCGTGTTGCGCACTTTCCTCCTCTCCGCCTTTCCCTGACACCTCTGCCTCTCTCAAAGCTTCCTCCCGCCTCGTCAATCGCGAAACTTGGCAGCAAATCGCGTCGTGTAATACGCCCTACCCTCGCCTCTTATCGAACCCTGCCGACTGGCGGTGTGTTCTGTAATAATCTAATCGCTGTTGGGACGTGATCGCGCCTTCTGTGCTGCGTTGTCTTAGAGTTGGGCTTCCTGCCACACGTCACTTCTTGGCCATTTCTCGAGTCTAGGATGAGATTGGCCTGTCTTTGACGTTTTACGCACTCTCAGAAAACACCTGACTTTTCCGTCACCGGCCAACGCGTCTGATGAACGACCAAAAACAACATCTCGCACCCGAGGCCGTCATGGCTAATGATGGTCGAAGACCGCTCAGCCAGCAACCCGATCACTATCCTCCACAACCTCAGTATGTTGGCAACGGAGCTTCACCAACTGTTTCTCACCACAATGGTCCGGTACAGCCTTCTCCGATGAGCTACGCCATGCCTGGTCCTCCTCACTCTGGCCCTCCCGGACCGTACCATCCTGCTGTAACGACTGGTCCACCTCCTCAGATGTCTATGCAGACGTCTCTTCCGCCAGCACCTTACCCTCCTGCTTACGCGATGCCACCGAATCCCAATCCTGCCGGACCTGGTGCTATGCCGGAGGGGATGATGATGCACGATCCTAACATGGGTGCACCCGGCATGTCGCCAAGACACCACTCCGCTGCTATGCTGTCTGCCCACAAGCGCGCATACCGCCAGCGCCGCAAGGATCCCAGTTGCGACGCGTGTCGCGAACGAAAAGTCAAAGTGGGTTTCCAGAGCTAGAGCACGTGGCACAGAGAGCTTAAGACTAACATGACGGCAGTGTGATGCTACCGACACGTCGAGCTGCACAGAGTGCTCAAGCAGGAGCGTCAAGTGCCAATTTACAAAAGAGACTAACCGACGCATGTCTTCAATGAAGTGAGACATTTGCATCCGGCAGATCGAGGTCAAGCTAACATGTGTCAGGCACGCCCAAGACCTCGAACGCCAGTTAGAAGAGACTAGACAGGAGAACCGACAGCTTCGCAACATGCTCAGCGATCAAGGCGGCGCAACTGCAGGTGCACCAATGCCACCCCCAGCAACAAGCGTGTCGGGGCCACCCGAAGTCACGCCTAGCAAGCAAAGAAATAACCGTCCCATTGTCATGAACAGCTTCGACAGTGTTAGGGCCAACCTTCGCAAGTTTAGCCAGGGCATCTTCAAGCCACCGCATCCGTACAGTCAGCCTACCGTGCAGGTCCTCTGCGCCGACTCGTCGACACCGCTGCCACCGAAGCAGCTGGTTGACAATTTCCTGCAGAACTACCACACCGTCCTACAGCCTCTATGTCCTTTCCTCCACTGGCCTACTTTCATCGACGAATGCGATCAGCTATACAGAAGAGGTACCTTCCAAGGACTGCGCCAGATCTGGAAGGCTCTCTTTTTCGCAGTCCTGGCATGTGGCTGCAGCATACAAGACGCGAGAGGATCAGCGCACCCAGATTCCGAGTGTATCAAGTTCGCCGAGATTGCTAAGTACTGTACAAAGTCAGTCGACGATGACATCTCGCCTGACCACGTGCGCACGTCGCTACTCCTCAGCATCTGCTTTTCAAACATGAATCGTAAGGCAGCCAGTTGGTTCTGGCTTGGATCGGGTGTCAGATTCGCTCAGTTATTGGGTCTGCACCGAGAGCACGGCCAGCTTCCCCAGTTCGAGGCTGAGATGCAAACCCGCCTTTGGTGGTCTGTCTACAATTGGGATAGAATCTTGTCTCTAGAGCTTGGCCAAGTGCCCATCATCGACGATGGCGATGTCGACGTGAGCGAGCCAACTCCAGTTGACGATGCGAGTATAGGACCCAATGGACTTGGCAGCCAAGGTGCACGCCCGAACTCGCTCATTGTCTTTGTTCCAGTCGTCCGCATCATCTACCCGCTCAAGAAGACACTCAAGTCACGCACCATAACCGCCTCGACCCTGAACGCCTACGACGAACATTTCCGCTCCATCATGGGTTCTTGGCCTGACCCGTACCCGATCCACTCGAACGCTCCTCTCGACCCCGTCTACTTTAGTGCTATATTCCTGCTCCAGATCGCCCGCTTCCACCTCTATCGCCATAACCTCGCCCCTCCCTGCCGCCCTCAGGAGCGCAAAGACGCCCTGTACCGTTGTCTTTCGGTTGCCAAAGATACGGCCGTCTATCTTCAACGCTCTATACAAACTTCTCCCGGCCCGCCTCGCTACTCTGGTCAGGCTCTGCGCCCTAGTCCGGAGTGGAACGCACGTATGGCTGACATCGCACCTTTCTTCGTTGTTTTCCACTTCTGGCGATGCACTCTGGTAGCAGCTCTATGTGGAGACTATGCGACTGCTATTACCTGCATCATGCCGCTGAGTGCAATTGGAACCCGAGTTATTGTCAACCCAGCCTGTGGACGCTACATATCATTTTTCCTAGATTGCCTTGTCGAACGTGTCCAGAGCGGCAGAGGCAGCCCGGAAATGCTCGAAGCGGACGAGGAAATGCTGGCATATGCCAGTGCTGATATGCAAGGCTCACACGAGACTTCTTGGGCCTGGACTGGTGGAGAAGTATTGCAGAGAACACTGGACCATACTACGACTGCTACCGAAGGAGCGACCAGCGCCTATGACCAGTCTATGGGAGAAGAGCCGGAATGGAATGGATGGAACCGCGTTATGGACGTTTTGACCCAACTGCAACAGGAGCAGCACCGTAGCATGCAGCACCAGGGCCCACCTCCTGCGCAGCCACATGCCCCTCAACAGCAGCAGCAACAACAGCAGCAGCAGCAGCAGCAGCAGCCACCACAACAACCTCCACCGCCGCCTCAGTACGCAGCACAGCATATGCCGCCGCAATATGCTCAGCCCCATCAACAGGCGCCATCTGCGCCATATTTCCAACCACCAAGAGCGCCTACGCCGCACATGACCCCCGCACCGATCAATGCTGGACCGTCTAATACACCCACACCGGCAGGCACCAGCTCTCGCATCAGCATCAAAGATATTATCTAGAAGATTATGGACGCTCATGACACATACGCACTTCTCATTATCGTTTTTGTCATTTTTGTCTTTAAGCACATGCATAGCCCGAGGAGAAAGGTAGAACATCACATGGAAGAAGACCGGAATGGTTTGGCGGGAGTTTTTTGTTGTTTCAGCTTGATTTGATTGGCCTGCAGGTTAAAACGCATTGTTGCTCACTACTACGAAGATCACGGTTGTCGCTTTGAATGTCCATTTGTTTTCACGCTGTAAAGCCGTTTTGTGTTTTCGGCAATGATACGACGATCTTTGTTCAGCTCCATTTGTACGGCCGCAATAATGCACGTTGGGAGGCTAGGTTTCTAGATATGTATCGATGCCGGCATTTTGAGTTTCTTACTTGCGTGTTCCGATCTCAAAGAATGTAGATCCTGTTGTCGAGTCTCTGGAAATTAGTTTTCAGTGGAGGAACGAGTTACGAGACCTCGGATATACTCCAGTAAAAAACGACGACAACAACAATAAAGACAAACAAGGTTCACACCAATTGGAAGTTACTTTGATCGCATTATAGACTTTGTGACATGCCGCTACAAGCAGACCGCGTCCTGAACATCCTTTCCCAAAGAGCTCTTTCGGATATGTTGAGCGCAAGATTTTAGGAAGTAGCATAAATATCGGATAGAGAGTACAATGCGCTTGTTGCGTCTCTTGATCGCGGACTAAGATCTGATGCTCAAGAACCTGAATATAACGACATGGCGTATATGGTCATCATACCACACACTCTGTATGCATATAACAACTGTCGTGCTGGGATCTTGCATTAATATTACTCTAGCTGCAGATGCAAACAGTACTAGCTACGTGTCGTCGGAAGCGCGGTAGAGGCAGGTTCCGACAGAGGGCGGTCATCTACGGAAGATCCCGGATTTCTCTCCAGCACAACGCGAATCTTTCAATTTTCACCTTCCTTTTCGACTCACACATCTGAAGACCAAATGATCTGCGAAACGCCTTTTCCCAGCCATCTCTACCGTTGGCTTTCGATATCAATACTAGAGTTGCAAGAAGCCAGCTGAACTCTTCGCTGCCCTGGGCGATCACTAATCTTTATTCTATTGAAACCTCAGGGCTGGGTAGGGTACGAAAAGGCGTTGTCCCAATTGGGAGCTTCGCGACGAACTTCGACGGCATCTCCGAAGAACAACGACACATGATAGGCTTGGTCAACCATGCGTCAAAGAAAACTCAACACCATACAGACTTGCACTGTCAGGTAAGGAAGCAGCAGTATGAGTTCGAGTGTCAATCTCCTTGGCCAGCAACCACAGAACGAAGACAACTCATATGAAGCTGGCCGGAAGTTTACTGTTCGCGCCATTGCCATACTTGCTGTTGGATAGATGGTGACTGCGCTTCCTTCTCCACCACTTCCCTCTGCATACCCATCATCTCCTACCATATCTTCAACAGATCAGGGTTTGCAATCACCATACACCTATCGTGCTCCCTCCCCTCTCTCTGTTACACAGAATATATACAACAATGTCCTCTGCCTCGCTCAACCTCCTGTCTTCTCCAATCAAGAAGTTTCGAGCTGGATACCCTTTTTGAACTCTCGGGTTCACAAAGTTGTAATGGACTAGAACAACATCCGAAGGTCTTTGAGTACGACTGCATTCGTCACGTCTCAGGATTGCTTTTTGGTCGTAATTTACCATTCGGGACATCACTTCACAACACACGCATTTCTGCGATTGATTGCATAGTACCACACGAGAAATACCAAACTAGATGTCAATCGATGCATGTCTCTCTTCTCTCCTATCGCTGTGTGACTGCCATACTGCCATACTGCCTGATCCACTCCTTGAGAAAACATGGCTGTAGAGATCCATGATATGTTCGTTCTGCTATTGCCGTCCATAAGGGATGAGCTATTCCACACTCTCGTTAGACGCGACTCTGATTTGAATATCATCGTGCATTTCAACAGCTACGCGTGATAACCCCAAGGTATGGACATGCCGGTCGTTCTTTCCTTCGGATGACCCGATCGTTCCTGCCCTCCTCCACGTAGCAGCTCCTTCCTCGGTCAAGAATCCGTGGTCGTTCCTTCCTAAGATTCCCTGGCAGCTTCTTTACCAGGCTTCGGCTCGTCCTTCCAGTTGGTGAATCTATGTATCTATCGGATAGGATGCAATTATCAGTCACCCTTCATGCTACTTGATCGCTCTTGCTTCTTCTTTGAGTGTATCGTTCCTTCCGATCTTGTACAGCGTTTCTCCCTAAAGACCAACCCATCGTTCCTTTTCTTTTGGATTGGATCACTTGCTTCTTTTCTTTTCTGTTGGATCGCTTCGCTTGATCTGCTAAATCGCACTCCCCTCGACGGCCAATTGAGTAGCTCCTCCGCCTGACTCTGTCTTGACTCTTTCCTTCTGTCTTCAGCCATGGATACAATACCCCATTCTACCCATGTCATCATCTACATACCCGGCCAGACACTTGTCTAAGCTAGAAAGACTAGTAATATACTCTGCACGAAACAATGCATTCGAGACTCCATGTTCAGGTTTTCCCTCCCTCTTTCCCCCCGAACCACACTCATTTTTTCTTACAGAGCAATTGACCCGTTGCCTTTTTCTCCGGTAGAGTATGGTCGTTCTTTTCCATATTGTTCCCGTGCTATCTATCGCTCCTTTCTTTTATCTTGAAGTTGACTGTTTTTTTTCCCTGTTTTTTCGGTTCATCTGCTCCGTCTCGTCATTGCGAAGCACTTTGTTTCTACAAGTGACTTTGCAATCGTGGCCATCCCTTCTTCTTCTTTTCGCTTGCACGTGTTCGCTCTCTGCCAAACTGCGAGATCTAGTCGCTCTTATATTCGCTTGCGACGGCATGTCGACAAAAAATTTATTTGCAGGCATGAGAGGAAGGAAGGGTATAAACATTGAAAAGGATTGAAGCAACGAGCCCGAAACAAAAGAAGAAAGAGCGATCTAGAGAGTGTGAAAAAAAAAGGCACGATTGACGAACGGACGTGGAAAGAGTGATGGAAGAAAAAATCATCCCTTCTTCTAAAGATGACATATCAACGGTACCACTGTAAATTTACACATATGAAGACACAAGAATTTCAGATACGATAATGCTAATCGCAATTCGCTAAACCGCAAAAAGTTATGGTATCAATTAATCTATAAGAAAAAGAAGAGAACGTCAAAACGCAAAAGGTGCAAAAGACCGTTTGCCTTGTAGCTAGCAACTCATCAGTTGCCCGCTCCAATGGAAAGAGAAATACCACACGTCAGGTTCCAGACCCCAATCGTCGTGATGTTGATCCTACCAATCTGCGCTAGAACTATCGAGTCTACCAATCTGCAGTGAGATTGCGCAGACGTTGCTCGTGCTGCTCTTCGCGTGTCAGGGCAGGTTCAGAAGCGGAAGACTGCTCTGAGCTGGAGGCTTGGGTTGTTGCTTTTCTTTCTCTGAGCTCTTGTCTTTCGGTAGATGCGTCGATGCCAGTTGCTGTGGTGATAGTCTGGTCTGCAATGGTAGTATTAGACTCGCTCGCTTCACCACCAGTGGCGTCTTGTGCGGTAGATTGATCTCCTTCCAACTGTCTCTGACGCTCTGCCTCTGCCGTTTGTCGCTCTCCTTCCTCACGTCTTTGTCTTTCTTCTGCTTCTCTTCTGGCGATGACAGTGCGTTCGCCGACTCCTGGCCACAGAGATGCAATGAGGAGAGCGAGTAGGCGTTCAGCAGGTCTCAAGGCTTGTCTGATCGCGCCTTGTTCCTGCTGCTGTGGCTGACCGGGCAGTCCAACAACAGCCTCCCACCATGAGCGGACAGCATCTCTAACTGTGTTACCGATACCTCCAGCGTTGATAGCCCAGAAGACGACACCGATAGCGAGAAGAGCCAAGGGTCTTCGCCAACCCTGACCAGTGCCTAGCAAGATCCACGCAAAGAACAAGAGACGGAGCAGCATCCAACCTTGAGCTAGAAGCGGTTGCCACGGAGCAAGAGCGTTGAATTCTTGGTTCTCTGCACCTCCTTGGTTCATTTGCTGTACTATTTGCTGTGCTATTTGCTCGGGGGGTTGTTGAGGATCCATTACAACAGGCGGTGGGTTGAAGCCAGGCGGAGGTGGACCCTGAGCAGCAGGCGTGTGAGGGCGTGTCTGGGCAAACAGTGGGTTTGATAAACTGGGCATTCCAGAAATGGGAGCATGTGGTAGACTTGCGGTGTATGTGCCTTGTGGAGAGAAAAGTAAGGCTTGTGGGCCTGCAGGCGACGACAGCAGGTAAACGGTCGGTGATGCCGGGTTGAACTGCTGCATCTGAGGTCGAGCAGCTTGGTGAAGCATGCTGTGCATTGGCGGGAAGCCAGGTAGAGGAATTTGACCCATTGGCATTCCATTAGGGCCAAAAGGCATGGGAATGGCAACAGTACTCTGATTGATTGTGATGGTAGCGTGGCGATGCTGTTGCTGCTGCTGCTGCTGCTGCTGCTGCTGTTGCTGATGTTGCTGAGGAGTTTGTGGTGGGTGTGGGTGCAGATGGCCAGGGGCATGCAAATGTGGGTGATGGTGTAGATGAGGATGAGCATGTGGATGAGCGAAAGGTGCCGGGGTCTGTGGGGCGCTCTGCGGAGGAGTCGGTCTTTGCATGCCAGGAAGCAGGTTGTGCGGAAGCTGTGGCGGAGGATTTGTTTGAGGACGGTTGTCTTGGGCTGGATGATGGGCGTGAAGTTGTCTCATCTGTTGCTGCTGTTGCTCCATAAGTCGTTGCAGTAGACCAACATGGGCCCCAGCATGTTGGATTGCCGGGACAGGAGAAGTAGGAGCGGCAGGATGTGGTGGGGTGGCAGTAGCGCCTTGAGGCTGAGGTACAAAGGTAGCACCGGGGCGCATCAAGGGATGGTTGATTGTGCCTGGTGGCAGGATGTTCGGCTGAGCAGGCTGGGCACCTGTCGCGGTGGGAGGAGCCCATGCTGCAAATGGCGGTTGACGTGTGGCAGCAGTTTCCATAGGAGTGGGAGGAGCGCGCACAACGAGATGTAGAGTGAAAGGTGTGGTCTGGGTAAGGGCAGCCTCTCCAAAGAGATGGGCCAGTGTGTCGTTCTCGTTGGCCAGTAGTCGACCGAAGTGTATGAGCCTCATGCGATCAGGCGTAGGGTGCGAGGGAAGAAGTTCCATGAGCTTTAGTTTCAAGGCGCCAATGGTGGTGTCGATAGGCACATCGGCCATGTCCATACCATCGCCTAGTTCGACGGCCGGCGAGAGAATCCGGAGCGACAATGTACGCGTTGATTGTGCCATGTTGCTGTCAAGGTGTGCGACACCAGTGACTGACGATGCTAAAGAATGGTTGACTTTGGGTCGACTGCAAACATGTGAAAGAGTAGAACACAATAGACAAATGGTCAAGCTGGCCTGTCAGCCCTACCGAGGCGTATCGATTCAGGAAGGAAGGAAATCCGGGGTCTCTATACAGCTTCGCTGATGTCACTCTTTTTTCACTTCGTACTTTCTGTACAGTCGTCCAACATGGCGTCGACTCAGATACTACGGCATAGAGCCTTGGGCGATGCTCACGCGCCCTTGCTCAGAACCTCACAACGATTGAGATATGCACCCTCGCGACCATTTTCCTCATCTCGCCCCTCGAACGCTCCGTTTGGCACGCGCCTCCGAACTGCCCTTCGCGATACGAAAGTCGTCTGGAAGCCCATTCCCATTGGTCTCGGTATCGCCTTCTTGGGTGGCTTCCAATTCTACCGTACACAAGCTCGCCATAATGAGGAGGAGAAGGCTCGCCAGCAACAAGAACAAGAAGATGGAGGAAAGGCTCCCAAGAGACAGCGCATAAGACCCTCAGGTCCCTGGCAGGTCCAGATCATGTCGACCCTCCCTCTCAAGGCCATGTCGCGTATCTGGGGTCGCTTCAACGAACTCGAAATTCCCTACTATCTCCGCGTCCCAGGCTTCAAGCTCTACGGCTGGATCTTCGGTGTCAACTTTGATGAGATCAACGAACCCGACCTCCACGTCTTCCCCAACCTGGCCTCCTTCTTCTACCGTACATTGAAGCCTGGCGCTCGTCCTCTAGACCCCAACCCCAATGCTCTCCTCAGTCCCGCAGACGGCAAAGTCATTCAATTCGGCACCATCGATAACGGCGAAGTCGAACAAGTGAAAGGCGTAACCTACTCCCTCGATGCTCTCCTCGGTTCCCAAAAGCCCACCCGCGCAACTCCGAACCCCAAGCCCAGCGCCGACCGCAGCAAGTCTGCCGACCAAGAAATTATTCGCGCAGACGAGGAATTCGCACAAGTCAATGGTATCTCATACACACTGCCTAACCTCTTCTCCGGACCAGAGAGCAAGGACACTCCCAAGACGGCAACGGAAGATCAATCCACACCCGCCCGCGCCAGCTCCGAACAAGAAGTCCGTGACTCCCTCGCTCTAGGCGACGGCGGCACACCAGACTCCTGGTGGCAACCCGTATCCACCTCCGCCCGCCCCACAGCCCTCTACTACGCAGTGATCTACCTAGCCCCCGGCGACTACCACCGCTTCCACTCCCCCTGCTCCTGGGTCGTCGAATCCCGCCGCCACTTCGCCGGCGAACTATTCTCCGTATCCCCATACCTCCAACGCACACTTCCCGGCCTCTTCACTTTGAACGAACGTGTCGTATTGCTGGGAAGATGGCGCTACGGATTCTTTTCTTACACCCCAGTCGGCGCGACAAACGTCGGCAGTATCAAAATAAACTTCGACAAAGAACTCCGCACCAATTCCCTCACTACGGATACAGCGGCCGATAGAGCTGCAGCCGCTGCAGCGGAGAACAATCAACCTTACTCTGGTTTCGCTGAAGCCACATATAATGGTGCTTCTGCGCTTCTGCACGGTCAACCACTGAAAAGAGGTGAAGAAATGGGTGGTTTCCAATTAGGTTCGACGATCGTGCTTGTGTTTGAAGCGCCGAAGGGCAGAAGACCCAGTTTCGACGAGGGATGGGGAGAAGCTAGCGGCACTGAAGAGGATAGAAGGGGTGGGTGGAGGTGGAATATTAAGCCTGGGCAGTATGTGCAGGTTGGCCAGGCTATTGGATGGGTCGGCGACGAACAGGTCAAGTCTGATGCTTGATTTGTAAGATTGAAGATATATTAGATGAGAGTACTATGTTGTATCAGTGTATGATTTGTACAAATTTTCATTTTCTGTTCAAAAAGCATCTCTTCTTGCTTTTGGATGAAGCTACTCAGCTATGCCATGCCATGCTATGCAGTAAAAAAGGCAAAATGTCTAGTCTAGCGAATATTCTCCCAAGCCACGACTCCCTGCAATGCAAATCTAACGAGCTATGCCTTCCCGAAACTCCTCAGCGATGCTCATCATGACAAGGAGCGATCCATCTCCTCGAGTCCCTACAGTAAAACACACCCATGCCCCCCTTTTCTCATGCCAATCAACCACTGGTCTTGGCAAACACAAAATCAATCCTCGAACTCTCCTCACATACCAATCCCCTCAATACCACATCCGCAATCGCATCCTCCGCCCTTTCTCTGACCCTTATGATCCCATCCTCTTCTTCTCCATCAACCTCATTGCCACCTTCTTTCAACTCACTTCTCAACTTCACAGCATCCAGATGTGAAAATTGCATCAGCGACGCCATAGCCGTTTGCTTCTTGCCGTTCTTCTTTGGGGAGAGACTGCCACGGAGGGCAGAGTTGTGTTGACGGCGGAGGCGTTCTTGAGTTTCCGGGTCGATCTGGGAGGAGCGAAGGAAGGTGGGAAGGGCAGGGAGTTCTTCGTCTGCATCACCGTCTTCATCGTTGGCTTCGTCGTCGTCTTCTGCTGAACCGGATGTGGGTGATGAGGTGGTGAGGTCTGAAGACATGGCGACAGCACCATCGCATGCACAGTCACAGCCGAGAAGATCGTGCGTTTGGCATCCCTCGCGAAGGTCCAGGGTGAACAGGTCTCTGAGCTCTTCGGGTGAGAAACTTGATGCGTTGGCCTTGTTGTCCACGATTGAGTCTGCGAGACCTTGCTTTGTGAGTTGACGTTGGAAGATCTTCTCTTCCAGTGCACCTTTCGTGAGGAAGCGGTAGATATGGACTGGGTGCTTTTGCCCATCACGGTGAACACGGCCCATGGCCTGCAAATCAGTTGCAGGATTCCAGTCAATGTCGAAGAGGACGAGTCGACTGGCACCGATGAGATTCAAACCCACACCGCCGGCTTTGGCGGAGAGTAGGAAGACGAAGCAGTTGTTAGCTGATGTGCGGTTGAACTTATCAACTAGGCCTTGACGATCCTTTGCAGGTGTTGAGCCATCGAGGCGGAGATGTGGGTATTCCATTGCTGTCAAAAGCTTGCCAATCATGTCCAGAGTGGCGGTGTAATTTGAGACGACCACAACCTTCTCTTGCGTCTTCGTGCGAACAAGATGTAAAAATTCGTCTAGAACCTGGAGTTTGGAGCTGCCGCCTGCGCTTTGGAGATCCTTCGCGGGAACCTTGGACAGCAGCGATTTAACTGTTCCTTCTTCGCCTTCTGCAGCATCCTTGATAAGTAGTTTTGGACTGTTGCACAGCTTCTTCAAGACATTGATCATCTGGAAGGCAGATTCGCTACTCTTTAGTGCAATGTTGAGGACGCCAGTGCTAACGACGGCCTCGTACACATCCTTTTGCACCTGAGTCGGACGACAGTATACAACGTATTCCGTCTTCGGTGGCAAGTATTTTGACAAGATCTCTGCAGTGCGTCGAAGGATGAATTGACCAGTAATCGATGCAAGCTCTTCACTGCAAGCCTGACCCTTTTCAATGTCCTTAGCCGTTGCGCCTGGGGTTCTGCTCTTGAGAATTGGACTTTCGTATTGCTTCTTGAATGATGAGTACGTCTTCAACAAGCCAGGATTGACAAAGTCGACCATGGTATAGAACTCGCTGAGATCATTCTGGATTGGCGTGCCTGACAGGATTATTCTTCTTTCAGTGTTCAGAGACTTGATCGCCACGGCAGATTTGTTGTTGGCAGTCTTGAGTCTGTGGCCTTCGTCGGCGATAACGATATCCACGCCTATTCCCTGTTGTAGTTCTTCTTGAACATTGCGTAGCTTCTCGTAACCAATGATCAAGATGTTATAGCTCTTTCCCTTGGTGAAGTCGCTAAGTCTGGTCTTGTTGTTCTCAGCGACCATGACTCCAACCTTCTCATTACCTAGCCATTTCTTAAATTCTTTGCGCCAGTTGTTGATGAGAGTGACTGGGCATACAATGAGAGCCTTCTTGATCACCGGTCCGTCCTCGTAGATTGGATTTTGCTTGAGCAGAGTCCACACCAGTGCAATGGTCTGTAATGTCTTTCCCAAGCCCATCTCGTCTGCCAGAATTGCACCTTCGCCTACAAAGGGTCGCATACCCATGACACATTCGTACAAGAACGACACACCGGCTCGTTGATGCTCCCGAAGATGCTTGGTCAAGTTCGGATCAACGACCACATCCACGATATGTTTTCCTGGGGGTGCCTGCTTTGGTCGTTTCATGACAAGCGCGTTCGGTTCGTTGGGATCATGTCGTGGAAGGCAAACTGTTTTGCCATCAGATTTTGTACGTGCGAGAGGTACTCCAGTTTTGTCTATCATTGGACTCTTGAAAGCAGCGGATGGTCTGCTCAACATAGTGACAGCCGTCGGTCTTTCGACCTTTGGAGTAGAGCCGAACTCAGCAGCTGCTTTGCCAAGCATGCTGACCGGCTTTTTCTGAGTTTGGACAGATTTCAGTGGTGTACGAGCGACAGGTACAGATGGTCGAGTGGCAGTACTGGGCTTGACAGCAGCTGGCTTTGGGGCCTTCTTTTGAGGTAACATTGACTTGGCTTCTTCTCTAGAGATGCGCGAGTCTATCTCAATTTCCTTACCACTCATGGTGAGCGTTGATCCTGGAAGCAAGGGAGTTTTGCAAACTGTTCTGCCGATGTCTCTACCATCAGAGTCCTTGAGGTTGGCATATCCTTGCGAGACAATGAGAATGCCATCTCCGTCCCAGATCTTGTTCTTTTTGTTGGTGATTTTACGCCATAGAACGGTGAATCGTGCATCTACAAGGTCTCCAAAAGGCCGTTCTGGTAAATCACAGACAGTATCTGAAGAGTTTCCATCTTGCTCGGGCTGCTGTGTCTCCTGTGGCGTAACCTTGAGTCGTTTGCTAGGTCGCTCCAAGATGGATTCCTGGACCGGCTGAGGAGCTGACCCAGACGGCCTCGTCAGCAGCGGCGATTTAAATGGCCTGTACATGGTGGCCTGTATGATTTCGTTGTCAAGAATCAATGGAGTTCGCCACTCTTGGCTCGAAACTTACGAAAGATGGAATTTGGCTGAGGAAGACGCGTTGTTGACGCGCGACCGTTGCCTGACGCCATCACTTTCCTAAATTTCTACAACACCATTTCACTCTCGAGTGGACCTCCGCTCCTACACAAAGACATGCCTACCCATTGGCGATCGGTCATCAATGCGCTTCCAAATTGGGCCTCCAAATGCCTCGGCATAAGATACCATCGATTTGTCGCCGAACATGACATAGTTTTTGAACATGGGTCGTCAATTTAATGAATATATCGTTTGATTGACAAGTCGTAGATCGCTAATAAGCCTCTCCTTACTGTTTACTCATCCACACGCCCTTGGGGGTCATCGTCCATGCTCCATGCTCTCACAACCACTTCAAAGTAATACTGCGACCTCCCATGTGTTTTCCACAAGCCGAAAGAAAAAAAATGCCCGGTCATGATGATATCGCCGAAAACTTGAGGAGAGATAGCCACCCGCATTCAGATCTTGAAGCCAAATAACGCCATGCTAAACTCAAAGCTCGCTTTTTTGGTTCAAAAAGCAGCCTCGCGAAGAACGCCCAGTAAATCCTTCCCAAACATCAAAATGGTCGCTTCAGATCACCACTTGAATCTGAGACTAGTGCGAAAAAAAGAAGAAAGACAATGAAGGAAATGGTTATTGCCGTAAATCGCAGTGAGTCGATTGTAATGCCGTCCGGGTAACAATATGCTGGAAACGCCTTGGAACACAAGTTGGGCTTTTTATGAAGCGGGTTGATGCACAAGCATCGTCGAAGCAATTCATCCGAAACAGACAGACAGTCTTGATTGTGTCGACGCTTTGCTGGTGGTTTGTCGAAACGAGTTTTCATCTGGCAAGTGGCCTTCTTGCGGTCCACACGTGGCTACGGAGAAGTCAATAAGGAGCTTCATTCAGCTGAAGGCAGTCATAGGAAATGCTTACATGTTGGTGTAAGCGTGGATCGAACGGTTGCGAATTTCCGCTCGCACTCCAGCAAGGAAGCCTTCAATCTCCTGTTTGCTCCAGCCAAACACTCTAGAGAATGGACCCAAGCTTAGTGCTTCCAGACCAGCACAGAGGTCCAAGGCGGTTTGGTGGAAGTTGCCAATATTGAAAGCCGTAGGATCAGTTGACCATGCTCGGTATGGTGCCTTGATGACACGTTCTGAGATGTCTGTGAATCCAGCTTGCGACAGGGCCTGGCGAGTGTTGTGCGAGTAACGGATTGTTTTTGGGGTCTGATCAGTAGCTCGCACCAAGTAGTCGTACCATTGCCTGAGGTACGAGTCCGGAGGAAGTGTGCCGTCATCGCAGCGAGGCTCGAAATCTATTTCGAGTTGTTCGATACACCCGAAACCGGGTCGGAGATGCCTGCCTATGTCAGCTTAGTAAATGGTGAGTTTTGTGTAATTCTTACGAAATGACTTTTGCGTATAGGTTTGGCCAGCTTGAGACGCTACCACAGAGCATTTGCATATGAATCAAGTCCCACGAGTCTTGACCTAAGCTCCAGTAAGGTGTTTCGAAATTGAAAGGTATCTGGAAGCGGACATTGGGCGGAATCTGAGCAGGTTGGAGGTTGGCAAGATCGAGTCCGAGGACCTGACGAGCTCTAGTCAGTAATTGACAACACAATATGATCACACAATAAGTACCTCTCCCTCTGGGTATTGCCTGTTGGTAGATACGTCAGACACATTTCAAGCTATACATTGGCGGTCAATACTCACTCGCCCATGTCAATTGCCCAGAAGCCAGTTCCGCACCCAAGATCCATAATCCGGGGACGACGGGTGACTTCAGGAATCAATCTTGCTGAATGAAGGCTTAATCCAGCTTTGTCGTAAAAGAGGTTGTGGTATACATCCATGCGATGGCGTTCCTCCTAGAATTGAACGTCAGTATGTGCGAAGGACAGGCCAATGCGTGAATGGGCGGAAGTTAAAGAGAGAGCGGCTCACCTCGTCATGCGGGTACATGTATAGACCCTTCTGCCATGCATGGTACCAACGGCCATTCTCTTCATACCATTCTTGTTGCATTGGTGCTCTGACTGAGACGGACCTGAGAGAAAGAGTAAGAAAATGCCAGACCGTTGAATGTAAGAACGACAGAGTGGATAGGCTGGCGGGAAGCGCGTTGGGACTAGAAGGGGGGTGGGAATGAGTACGCACAGCACTTCTTGAGGGGCAACGAGAGACGCGACTGCTATTCTAGACATTATCAAGAAAAGCCACAGCACATGATCTCCGATGACAGTAAGGACGGCGCGCGGGTGGCTATAAGCAAGCGCAATAAAAAGACAGGCCAAGAGAGGAGCGACGCGCCCCGGGGCGTGAGCAGGCGAAGATTTAGCAGCAGCTTAAAAGCAGCGACAGCAGGCAGTAGCAGTAGCAGCAGCAGTAGTAACGTCGACAAGGCTCGGGGGAGTGGGCGGCGGGGCGGGGCAGAGGCACTTTAAGGACACACGCAGTCGAGTTCCCAGAGAGACGGGTGCAGAGAAGTCATCAGCAGCGGCAAGCTGCGCAAGTCTCGGATGGCTCCCGGGCTAGTGCTAGTAATCTGTTTTGTGGGAAAGGGCAAGAGAGCACCTAACAGAAACAAAATAAAAGGGCGCCAGGGTTAGGTGCAGACAGGAGCCGTGGATCGAAAGGTTCTACAGCACAAGCTCGTGCATGCCGCCGGAGCGGATAGCATCCCCTTGGACGTTGTCGCATTTCGCCATTTCTTGCTGTGTATCACCCAAGCATCTGCTCATCTCTACCCAAACACCACCTGCACATGCCCCCACAGCAGACGGGGGTTTCAAGTTGGGCCGGTACGGCGTCGGAAGCTCAGGCTCGGCACGACACCGTCTCACCTCTGGCGGCTGACTGGCTGACCACGCCGTCGGTGTCGGTCCAAATGGACACATATCGCCCCAAGCGAATGAGCTAGAGGACGTGGCAGGTACACCGTTTCTCTGTGCACTGCACCAAGCCCAGATCCACGGATCATGCCTCTCGAATGGGCGAGTAAATACACGCCCTCGTGCAGCCCGAGTTTCGCACTTCCTTCATTCTGGGCCGTTCGTGTTTTTCGACGACTGCTTTGGTTTCACGGCAGCTTCACTCCTGCACACTTGCTTCTCTGCTGAGCGTACCGCTGCGAGCAGCACCGAAACACCGCAGCAGCAAGTTAATATCGCCAAAGTGTTGTTATCTCGGATCCCGGTGGTTCCAAGATCCCTGCTTGCCGCTAACAGCCCGCTGTCCCAACTGGCCGGCGCTCTGAACCAACGCAAACCTTCCAGACAGTCGGTTTTCTTCAGCGTAGCCGACTAATACATTATACACTCTCAAGTCTCCTCTTGCTTCACCTAGAGGAGTTAGAATAATTACTAGAAAGACCCCAGCAACGAGCCTCGGCCACCATGACTCTTCTCAATCTACGTACTTGACTCTCTTCATGCGAGGAGCACACCATTAACAGCACGTTGGGTCAGCCGACTCTGGGGGCTTGCGAGTGCTGACATCACAGACTTTGGTTATGGAACCAAGCTGGAAATTGCAAAACTGGAACGAGCAACACCTGCTTGCGCCCTGCCTTCTCAAGGCATGTTCTTATATACAAACCGCAGACGAGCCACAGAGTGAAGGTTTAGACGACATCAGAACTCCCTTCCGTCAGATGGCGCTCCATCAGGGTTTTTGTGCAAACGGCTGGAGACCGCCGGTGCCTGCCGCCGCTATTCCTGCAGCCGTGGTCAACAAAGTTCAGATGGCAGGAAAAATAATTGGGCCATTGCAGTTGAGAAGTGCAAACGGTGTGATGTGATGTGCTTCAAAATGGACCAAGACAGTGTTCACTTTCGCATAGAAAACTCGACCCACTCTGTCATCTCGCTGGAACATAACACTACCAGGACCTGAGTTGCCTGCATCAACGTAGCAGTACATGCAGAGAAACCGCATCGGGACCAGGAAAGACCACCTTCCACGAACGATTTTCGGACAGACACAATACATGAAGGCCATGCGCATCACGATACATAGCCAGCTGGACCTGTAAGGATATCATTGCTGATTTTTGGTGCTCCTACATTCGCTTCAACTGCACCGAAGGTGACTTGCGGCCGATGCCTGTACGAAAGAGAACGTACGAGATCGGCTCGCGCTCCATTCCTTCGGGTACCGTACTGCTGTCAAGGTCACCCAATCACACAAGTTTCGGTGCACGGCCAGGCCGACCCTGATAGCGCCTCCGAGCATTCTGCGGCGCGCGACGGGACTGCGGCCCTCTCCTTCGTGTCTTCTTGGCAGCCACACTTTATCGAGTAATTGGGGATTGACAGGGACGGGCAGTGCCACCCGGAGTGCTGGAATCTGGGTTTCACCTTGGAGTGTTCTGTTTGTGCTTACATCTTCGCCGGTTTCAGTGCCTCTTGAGAAAGACTGAATAAAGGGACCCTTTAACCGGCCAGCGACATGGCCACAACGTGGCGTTATGCATCCACAAGCGCCAATAGATGCACGCTTCTGGAAGAGCCCTATACATTGTACTACCTTCGCTACCAACCATCAAGAGTGGACACCGAGAACCTCATCTTGATTCCGGAATTTGCTACTGCTCATGCACGCGCATGATACGTTCCAAGAATCAGTAAGATGCGCGAAGTCAGGGAGCCAACCACGCCAAAGTTACCGAATAGCCCCCTCTTTTAATCATTCTCGCACGTGGCCTTCTTGCTAAGAGACAGGGCTAGGCAATTCGTCTACCCGCACGCAAGTTGCCGCTGTCAAAATGTGCTTGCTCGACATGATTGAATCCTTCAACATTCCGGATCAATCCTACCCGATGGCTCTTTGGGTGCTAATCTTGTACGGAGAGACGAACGGCCTTGCCTGCACGCTATTGCGTATCCTAAGTGTGCCCACGAATTATGTGTCTTACCAAAGTCAGAAATATGCAAGCCACAAAAGACATCGATACCGTACAGCACTATTGCAGTATATTTGGTCGGTTTCTGTCACAGCCTGCAACACGCTTCTTGAAACAGAACACTCAATGACATCCTTGTCTCTGTCCCGCTTGTCAGTCAACCCGGTTTTCTGAAAATCGTGCAACTCAACAAAGACAATATACCGTCTGACAGTCCGAGCATCTGGTGAACATCAACCACGGGGGTTCCAAAATTCCCCGTACACACAACGCTACGATGGCTTCAATGCATCAACACAACTGCTCAATAATCTGTCCTGTTGCCTTCGAGATCAAGCTCAGCTTGTAGACGGTCAGTTATACTATTTATTCACTCATTTATCGTCTTTTGTTTGAGCTCATTCTACCCATCTTGGGCTAATTCACGCGTGGTTTAGATTTGTGTGTACGGGGAATTTTGGAACCCCCGTGATCAACCAAGGGAAAGATACTCGACTTATCGCATGCCTTTCTCCGCCGCCGGGAAGTCCGAAATCCTTCAACATTCCGAACTTTCTTCTCCTCACGGGTCAAGACCAACGAGCGGCCAGTGCTGATTCCTCGTGCATCCGTGTAACATCAAGGGTCTCTTGCTCTCGAGGCGGTGACAGCGATAGCAACCCCAGTCCCGTTTCTCACGTGGGCCCTGATGCGGTTTAGGCACGAGCATCTGATGCCGCGCGTTACAACTAGCCGACCTCGTCCGTCAGAGTGTCATGGAGCGCTTAGACGAGCTTTGCAACAAGTCCGCGATCGCCTGACCTCTACCACCGGTGTTCAAAAGGCGGTGTTCATGCACTGCTTGGCTTTCAGGTTCATGTGTGCTTTACCTGGTTGTAATTCACGTTGCTCTCAGACCAAACACATGCAGGCGTGATCATGCTCGTTCTCCATGAGCTCCGCGCTCCGACGAGAGTCAAATTTCTGTTATCGTCCAAGGGAGCGCAATGTGACTTTCAGGGTGGATTTCACTACAAGATGCGGCTCAATAGTGATCTGAGACTCATACATGTATCGACTACAGTACGAACATCTATTCTCATTCTTGATTGTGGCTGCAGGTTTGGTAGTGTTAAACCAACTGAGCATGTGGAGTCCAAAGATAACTCACCCTGCAACTACATCCTGAGCTCAAATGTGGTACACCCCATAACGAGATGTTGATGATGACATGGAGCTCGACCACCAGTCGGCGCTTCTGTTTCGGACAAGAGTGAGTAGGTGACCTAACATACAGCGATGCACCTGCGCAGTCAGAAGGACTGCTTGCAACGGAAGTTCGTTCCCTGAGAAAGATGCAGGTCATGAGCATACTTATCGTGCAAGCGAACCCTCTACGGAGTGCCTTGAGTACAAACAGCTTCGACTCTATCTCAGAGCGTTTTCGTCTTTGCGCAAGCTCATACCATGGATGTTGCATTGCCAACCAGGTCTGCTTTCTGTTCCCGTATGCACGACACGCCCGACCCGTTGGTCACCGAACATTCAATGTGGCTAGTTGTTCTTACATCGTCCCTTGCGCTCGTCTACACCGTTCATCTTGGTCTGCAGACCTGCGAGATGGCAAAACTATCTTCAACACACCTGAGTTCGTCCCGAGATCTCTTCCGCTCAAACCTGCATCTGCAATACTTTCTGCCCAACTGCTGCTTTTTCGTCGAAAGTTTCCACACATGCAGACTTTGCATTCAAAAAAGGTGCCTCTCATGAACTGAATCCTTCTGGCCAACATGCCACGACAGTGCATCCTTTGTATTGTCTTCCTCGATATCTACGGAGCAACAGCGAAACCATCATCGGTACGATCGATACAAGCCACAAGTGGCTGTACGGCTCATGCATACTCACGAGCCGTCCGTGTCAATATTTTCGATGTCGCAATAATTTCTCCTACGACTACAATCAGCAGCTGGTAACGAACATTGCTAATCGACGACATACATGCTGATCTATTGCTCATCATGCTGACTGCTCAGTTGACGGTGACCACTTGCCGGTCAATTGATTTTTTTCCCAATTTCCGGGATTCAAGTCGTCTGTATATTAAGGAAATTTGTTGTCATCCCGTGGCTTGGATTCCTTCAATCTAAAACACACCTTCGAATTGCCGTTCATCAACCCACCACTTTCCAAACATGCTATCTATATCCATTGTTACCGACTATTGCGATATCGATCGATGCTTCACCTCGGCTTTTGAAAATCGAGAATATAATATCCTTTTCTCGCTTCCGGTGGCTTGGGAACGAGGAACGAGCGACCACATGAAATAGATACGTACACAGGCACTAGCTGTTCATTAACAAAGTACCCAACTAACCACATATTAAATGCGAGAAATGTCAGATACGGCAAGCGATCATCCCAAAGGATAGAAAAACCTTGAGCTTGGGAATATATTGGGTTCCCAATGAAGGTGATGATATATTGAGTTGCTTACAAAGACGGAGCAAGAGAGGTCGAATGATGTGCAATGATAGGTTGATTGCTAGAATTCAGTGCCACATGATTGGTTCGTCGACAATCATAGGTCGAAACGATGACCATTTCGAATTGAGGATGTCTGTGGGGCCACCCTGGATCATATCTTTCTGGACATGGTCGCACAATCAACGTCAGCAGGGCTATACACAGGCACCTGTTATCATCGAGGGTATATCAACATATTAGGGCTTACAGATACTCCGCAATATGGGAAGATCTCAGCAAGGATGAATTAAGTGGAAGGGCGATACTGTTCTCGTTCTCAAGCACGGCCGGTAGCGCCTTCACACTCCACGAATCAACTGGACCTATACTGTCTCAATCACCATTGTTAAACTCCTACATTGCTCGGTCCTTGTCGTCTACGCGTCTCTGTTCGGATCATACTCTCGCGCTGTCACCAGCGCATATGGAGCCCGCAAAAGCACCGAGGTATCAGCCTCCGAAGTGCTTGTCCAAGCAGGCATCAGGGTACACGATGTTTCTCATCGCAGCATCGATATCCGCAACGGATGGCACTGTGAGAAACTCCATCTGATCAATCAGACCGGCTTCGAAAGCACATTGACCCTCGATCTGTCGTATCCTTGAGTTCGTATGAGGAGGACGTACTCGGATGCGATCTATCTCCGTGTTATCACACTCTTTCTTCTACTGTTCGATACAATCTAACAGGTATACTGCTTCTTCTTTTCTAAGAAAGTCTACCACCCTCCTCTTTACCCAACACTGTGCCCTGTCTCCTACACATCTCTTGGCTATGTTGTCCTCTCATCTTCGCTTTTTGTCTTCCCGGGTCGCTCTTCCATCCTTGGTCAATTGCTCCTTCCTTCTTCATGGACCGCTCTTTCCTTTCTTCGTTGACTGTTTTTTTTTCCGTCCTTTTTTCGCAATGCTCTTTTCTCTTTTCCATGGACCACTCTTTTCCTCATGGACCTTTTCCCTTCTCTGTGAATCTTCCCATTTCTCCTACTTTTCTCTACATGTCACCTCCCTTCCTTGCTTTTGGGGTCGAATCACGCCTCTTGTCTCTCTTTCTTCTGAAACAGCTGGGGGTTTGTTTATCTCTATGAACTTTTACCCATTTATCGTGGATGATCTCTCTTTTCCATGATAAGCAAATTATGATCACTCTTTTTGGTAAATTTATGTAAAACCGCGTTTCCATGTTTTGTTGTGGGAATTTTTTTCACTTCTTACTTTCCTACTTCCCTGAAAACCAATTTCCTTCTACTACAAAAAATGATCACCGGAAAGCAAAAAAGTGGATGTGAGAGACAATGTTAATTTCCCCTTGTTTTTGACCTAAAAATGACTTATCCTATATATATATATATATATATATATACACTTGTGTGTAATGTGTTTTTTTGTTTTATTCATGTATCGAATTTTCCCCCCTTTGTATATATTCTCTCTCTCTCTCTCTCTCTACTTGGTTTTTTTTTTTTTTCTCTATACGATGGCTTTTTTATCATAAATGTGGGCACTTGATCTATATAAGGCGACACGTCTGATTTTATATGGATTGTACTCTAACTTTCTTCTTCTACAGTTGTCTGTAATTTCTTCAAGCATGATGAAAACATGATAAAAACATGATAAAAACATGATAAAAACATGATAAAAACACATAAAACCATATAAAAACATACAAAAACATGATTCTCAAAACCAAAGAAAGCAGCTGTTGGTTCTTTCCCCCATTTAACAAATAGGAGAAACTAGAGAAAAGAGATGCCGAAAAGCAGATGGATGAGGCAGATTCCCAGCTGTGAAGTTATATCAGGTGGCGCCAAAGTTCTGTATTCATCGTAGAGCATTCTCGGCCGTGAGTGACAAGAATTAGTACTCTGCAACAAGAAAGAAATGAACGAACAAGAAAAGTGGTTATCGTTGATGCTTTGTTTTTGGATTCGTCTACTTCTATATGCTTACAGCAGAACTACCAAAGCCATCTTCTTCTACTTGGTATATTGCTTCTGCAACAACTTGGCGATAGTGGTAAGTTGGATGTTGCTAGTTCCCTCATAGATAGCACCAATCTTGCTATCTCTCCAGTACTTCTCGGCCAATCCTTCTCTCACGAAGCCCATACCGCCCATCCACTCGATAGCTTGTCCAGAAACTCTACCAGCGACTTGGGAAGCGTAGAGTTTGGCCATGGCGGCATCCATGACAAAGTCCTCTCCGGCTTCCTTTTTGCGAGCGGCGTTGTAGACCATGGCGCGTGCGGCGCAGATCTCCGTCCACGCTTGTGCGAGTTGATGTTGCATACCCTGGAACTCTCCTACGAGGGTTCCGAATTGCTTGCGGTCGTTCCAGACGTAGCTGGCGGCATTTGAAAAGGCACCCATTGCAAGACCAGTCATTTGAGCGGCGATACCGATACGACCTTCGTTGAGGATGCCAATGGCGTATTTGTAGCCATGGCCTTCTTCTCCAAGCAAGTTTCCCTTGGGGATATCGCAGTCGTCAAAGTTTACGACGCAGGTGGAAGAGGCCTTGATGCCGAGTTTCTTTTCCTTTTTGGCGATGCTGAAGCCGGGGGTGTCTTTGTCTACAATGAAGGCTGTGATTCCCTTGTAGCCTTTGGAGGGGTCGAGGTTGGCGAAGACGATGAAGAAGCCGGCTTCGAGGGAGTTTGTGATCCACATCTTGGAGCCGTTGATGCGGTAGCCGTCGGCCGTCTTTTCGGCGCGGGTCTTGAGGGCGAAGGCATCGGAGCCGGAGACGGGTTCTGAGAGACAGAAGGAGCCTGGTAAATCATGTTAGCTAAGAGACCTTAAGGTGAGTGGCAGGAAAGTAAAAGAAACTCACCAACAGTGTTTGTGGCCAATTGAGGCAACCACTTGCGCTTGCTTTCGTTGGTGCCGTACTTCAGCACTGTCGTGTTGACCAGAGTGTTGTGCACATCGACCATGACACTGACACTAGGATCCACTCTAGCCAACTCTTCAATACCAACAATAGCAGCAGTGAAGTTCATGCCGGCACCGCCAAACTCTTCCGGAATCTCAATACCCATGAGACCCTGCTCGAAGCACTGCTCGATGATGTCTTGGTCCATCTTTTCAGCCTCGTCCATGCTTCGTACTTTGGGCAGGATGACATCGTTGGCGAACTTGCCGACAGACTCGGCCATCATGTGCTCGGTCTCGGAGAAATGGGTGATGGGTGTGGGTAGGGCATCTGTGAGATCGTTGGGTTCGCCGGTTGTGGTTTGTCTGCGTGACTGTGAGGTGGAAAGGCTTCTCCAGCTGTCTTGTAATCAGTATATGACACTACAGACTTCCATGATCAAAAACATACCATGGTCTCGACAGGACTTTTTGGCGGAGTGGAGACTGGAGGGATGAAGGTCGCATAAGCGGACGCATGCTTCTTGCTACCGACGCCATGTTGTGGTAGATTGATGTTATAGTAAGAGGATAGGAGATGTAAGAGATCAAAAGGTCAAAAAGATATTCAAGATCAAAAGTGACAACAGATGCATCAATGAAGCGCGGATCGAAAGTGAAAGTGAAATGCAGGAGCAACGGATGGCCGAATCACATGCGGGGACCGGGACCGAGGCAGACGATTATCTGGGGTCTCCGCTCCATGGCGCCCTGTCGCCCTATCGTTCTCGGTGCGATTGAAGTCTATTCGCGCTTTCTCTCTTCCGGTCGTATCCAAGCAATCAAGTCTATTGACTTGGTATAGTTTGTAGTTGAAGATGTGTGTTCAGGAGATGTGATGCGTTACTTCTCTACGATTCAAGCACTAAGCACTCTACACGATGTTTGCCGTTGGAAATGCCTCGGGAGCCGGGACTCGTCTCTGCCAATGCTCAAGTACAAAGATCAAGACAGAAAGAGCATTGCTTGCGAGTTACAACCTTAAACGTCTCACAGAAGCCGTGACTGTTCAATGTTCTGAAAGAGAAGGTATGCAGATTCATGCTAACTGCCTGACTTCCAGAGCGTTCAAATCATGCCTTTGATCAATTAAGAATGATGTTGCCGGATGCTGACAGTCGATATGAATGGTGACTGCATCGCTCTCGAAGCAACCATCCTAGCAACGCCATCTTGTCCTGCAAAGTGGCAATCCTAGACTTTAATTCGGTCTGAACTTATTCCTCCTCATCTTCATAGCCTCCACCTTTTTCCTGTCCTCCTCAAAGCCCTTGAGCAACTCATTAGCCTTCTCCTTGCGCTTCTCGCGCATCTGGAATCGGTAAAAGTCCTCCTTGCCCTTTGCTTTTTCCTTTTGCTTTTCCGCCTTTTCTTGCGCTTCCTCCAGACGTGCGGGTCCCATGCGTCCTCCACGGGTGACTGTGACGAATCCATCTTCGTCTGGTTCGGCGCGTTGGCGGGCGAGTGCGCGGGCACGGGTGGCTTCTTGCTCGGCGAAGGAAGTCATGTATGCGTCGACTGAAGCTTGGAGGGCGGCGGTGGAGGGGAAGCGGAGGGCGTGGTGGGATAGATATCCTATTTCGCACGCATTAGCAACAGACCCCATCACCACTCAAATCAGAAAAGGAATAAAACTCACTAGCAGCACCCAATCCAGGAACTTTGCCTTCTACTCCCTCACCCCAAATAATCTCCTCACCACCTTTTACAGCCTTCTTCACCTCTTTAACTCCCATCTCCATAGCAGCAACATCCACAAATGTGACCACACAAGTCCACCCACTACCCCCCACCCTCCTATCCCAAACCTCCGGCAATTCTACCAACTTCTCCTTTTCCTCCCCTCTCTTCCTCTTTTTGCTTTGACTCTTACTCGTCACCGGTGCCGTGACCTTTTTGCCTGTGCGCTGGCCTTCGAATTCTACTCTTTCCACGCGCGCGCCTCCTCCATGTGTGGCGAATAGCGCCCGGAGATGCGCTTCCGTGGCATCGATGGGGAGATTGACGGCGAACAATTCGCGAGGTGTGTTGTCGGTGGGTATCTTGGGCGCATTGGGTCGGAGGTAGAGGTAGTGTTTTGTGGCTTGAGGGAAAGAGGCGGTTGGCGGTATTGAGAGGGGGACGATGGTGTATTCGTTTACGCTCGCCGGTACGCGGCTGCTTGATTTTGTTGCGGGCGCCATTGTGTGTGTGTGTTGTGTTGTGGTTTGCGACAAATTATTTCATGGCAGTCCGTTGCAGAAAATTAAAGTCGAGGTCTGGCTTGCTTTGCGGAGATATTCCGCGCTTGACTTTGACCAACAGTGGAGCGTCACCCTGGTGGCTTTACTTTCATGGCCATGCTTCGATCTTTTTGCATGTACCTTTGATACAAGAGCATATGTGAACTTTGTTGCAGCTGGATAGATAACTTGCATGAGAGCAAGCGTAAACCAAGAAAACGCAATTCTTTGCCACGCTATATTATGTCTTCTAACTGCCAAACCATCATGGCCAACCATATGCCACTTCTGCCATCTCTCCTCTCCCTCTCCGCCTGATGCTCGACATCCTTTTCTCTTTCTTCCTTGCTCTGTCGTTCCCTTTCCCACGCGCTCCGCTATGCATCGCCTTGGTCCGGCTACTGCTTCCGCCCGCTCTGAAATCAAGATTTGTCCAGTCGTCCTTCAAGAAGAACTGCTGGTGTGTGGCGTGGGTGTCCCTTTGTGGGATTGAACGCCGGTCGTTGGTGAAGAAAAGAAAGGAAATGGTGAACATCGTGGTCAGGATCTCGTGATAAACTTTTGCAGGTCATTGGCAGGTCGTGAGAGCAACTTCGCTCCATCAAAATGAGAAACATAAGAAAAAGGAAACCAAAACAAGGCATCAATGTCTTGTATATGTCAAAAGTCGCTCGCGCGCACGCTTGAACGAAGATGGTGGGTAAGAAACGAAAAAAATGCTGGCGATGAACGATTATGCAAGCAAGTGGACCGGTCGTATCGACACCATGTTTCGAAGGGCCTCATGAAGCATGGTGGAGGTTCTGTGCGATTGTTCAAGCAGCGACAGAGGCAGGAACAATGGTGGTTGCAGGTTTAGGAGTTCCCTGAGCGGGAACAGGAGCAGCAGCCACAGCATCGGAAGCGGCAACAGGTGCAGACTCGCCGTTGGTTTCGGCCTGCTGGTTGCACTCGCGGGAAATGTGACCAGTCTCGCCACAGCGGTAGCAAGTCTTGCCGGCGGTGTTGAGCGGGCCACCATTGGGAGCAGTGCACTCGCGCGAGATGTGACCAAGCTTACCACAAGCGTAGCACTTCATGGCTTGAGCCTGGCAATCGCGAGCGAAGTGGTTAGGGCCACCGCACTTGTAGCAAGTGGCAGGACGAGCACCGCCAGCAGCGAAACCGCCGCGGAATCCACCGAAGCCACCACGAGGACCAGGAGCACCACGACCAAGACCAGGAGCAGCGACACCAGGAGTAGGGCAAGCACGCTGTTACATCAGTCAGTTGAGCGTGCATGAGAGTTGAAAGTCGAATAATAGACATACAGCAAGGTGACCGGGCATGCCGCAGGAGTAGCAGCGTCCGTTGGCACCACCACTCAAACGAAGAGTAGGACAGTCAGCCTGAACGTGTCCAAGACCCTGGCAGTGGTAGCATTGCTTGGCTATGGGTACAGATCAGCACACGACTCTTGATATCAAGCGAACTGCATGATTTGTTACGTACTCTCAGTGGTGCGAGGAAGAGGGCAGTTGTTCGACTCGTGGCCTGTCCAGGATATCAGCATGATAAACCAGATTTTGAATACGAAGATGGATACCAGGCTGCTTGCAGTTGTAGCACAGGCGCTCGGATGAGGAGCAGACCTCAGCGTAGTGTCCAACATTACCACACTTGTAGCAGGCGCGACGCGAAAGAGAAGACATGTTGTTTATTTTGCTGGAAAGCTGTGCCTCAGTCAGAGCGTGTTGGCTATCGTGTATGCACTGAAATGTATTTTGTGATATTCTTGTTCGCCAATGGCTTCTCCTCACACATCGAGTCACCAAGTTCAGTGTCGTGCGCATGGAGGGCATGTCGCAGTGTCCGACTTGTTCGGCAGCAATCGAATGAAAGAGCTCGGTCGAGGCATTGTTGCTGACCACAACATGGCGCAGATAAAGACAAGGATGGAGTTGACGGATACGGTAGATGTTGGTGGAACGGAAGGGTGCATATATAATGCGACCAACGAGACGACTGACCTGGTGATGCGAGTTTGTTTGACCTGTTACAGCGTCAGCGTCTACAGCTCCCACATGTTTGGGAATGACTCAAGCTCTTGTCTTACACTGAGGTTGAGAATCACTCCTACTCTTCGGCACTCTACCGAACGGATCTCCAAAGAATTGATGAACAGTAAAGCAAGATACGGGCAATGCGATACTAAGTTGAGTCGAGTAAACGAAGGTTGAGCGGTTGCGATTGCGATTGCGGCGCGAGAGGCTCGAAAAGAAGGAAACGCCGAGGGCAGACGGGCAGACCCACTCGGCAACAGCTCATGCACCTTCCTCCCGCTGCTCGGCTTTATTCTCCGACCTGCATATCATTGATCCGGTCAACCATCTCAACAATTGTCTTCGTGCAAGAACAAGTGAACATCACTCGAGTTCGCAGCAGCCATCGGGAAGTTTGGAGAGAGGCTTCTTGCTTCAGCTGCACCGTTGACAGCTTCGAGGTAGCTTGCATGTACCAAGCTTGAACCGTGCACTCTTTCATCGTACTCGAGCACATGAGCCGGGCATATGAAGAGTGCTTAGTCGGTGGCTGGGAGGCTTTTTTGTTGCATGTTCGTTCAACTTCTGCTTGTTGATTGCTTGTTACTTTAAGAGAACTCGACAGCATCAATTAATGTGACTTCCGCGTTGCCACACGCCTCGTTGCGCCTTCATGCACCTTTCGACAAATTTACTGCTTCTCCTGCTCGATCACTGCAGGTGCCTTAATTGTGCGCTCGCTCAAGAACTCGAGTCCTTCACCACCCTGGATAACTGTGTTAGCTTTGCTCTGTTTGGTAATGTGTATACTGTACTCACGTAACTGATCTTGGGTGAGATCTCAACACCGGCGTTGTCATCCTCGCTTGTCACAACAGCACCGACAGCCTCGAGCCATCTAGTGCCTTGACGGAAGATATCGCGCTTGCTGGTATCCGGGTCATCCTCTCCAGTGCCTCTTGCGTTCTTCAGAGGGGAGAACTCGTCCTCTCTCTTGACCTCCTGGCAAGCGAACTTGTCCATGGAGAGGAAGGGGAAGCAGTCAAAGACGAATTGCTCAAGCTTGATGCCATTGGGCTTCTCGGGCTTGACAGTCTCACCCTTGTCAGTGTCGACGTAAGGAATCTTCTTTCTGGCAATGTGATGAGGGAGCTTGTCTGACCACTGAGGAATGCTCTCGAGGAAGCCGAATGAGTAGTAGTGGTTGACAATGTTGGCAGCACGGAACTTGAGCAGACTTGAGTCCTTGGAGTCCTTTGCCTCCGAAGTCTCCTTGTCAATTTCAGAGTACTCGACAACGTCTGGCTTGCCGTTCTTTGACAAGATGAGTCCGACAGACTCCTTCGCATCACGCTTGCGGACGACCTTGGTGGCGATGTCCACTTCCTTGGATGCAGAGAAACCAATGAACGTGGGGTCAGCGACTCTGACGAGGCAGTTGTCGACACAGTAGGCATGAATGTGCTTGATGCCTCTCTTGGACATGTCTTGGACAACGCCCGACTTGATCAGAGCGTTGTAGAGACCACCGTTGCCGTCGGGTGCAACAGCAACCTTATGCTTAGACTCCAATAAGATCTTGCCGTCATTTGAGATGCAAGGAAGAGTGCCCTGCTCGAAGAAAATGACGTTGTTTCTGTTGAGGCCAAAGTATGCGTGCTTCTCGAAGAACTCCTCGGTAGGCTTGCGAGTAGGGCCGCTGGTCATGATATACCATGGTACGACAACCTCTTCCTTGCTGTGCTCGTGTTCAGCCAAACGCTGAATCTTCCAGATTCTCTCCGCTTGAAGCTGGAAAAGGGACTTCTGGCTAGGAAGACCAATATCGTAGCATCCCTTGGGTGCAGAGCTACCCAGGCGAGTGCCCTGTCCACCAGCCATAAGGACTACAGCAACTTGATTCTGAGCGATGAACTGCAGACCTTGTGTGTACCATACGTTGAGATCATCGGGTTTCGAGTCATAGATTGAGGAAGTGGCGGATTCGGGGAGCTGCTCAAGCTTGGGTTTGGCGTCTTCGGACTCGGTCTTGGGAGGATTCAAAGCGCGGTGGGTGACAGTGTTGACGTATTCGGGATCGATGTCAGCGAGTTGTTGGTAAAGGAGACCCTTCTCGCCCGAGTTGAGGTCATCCCAGAAAGCGAAGACCTGCTCCTGGCCGGCCTTGGTGAACTTTTCCAAGAGCTTCTGGTAGTCCTCCTGGCTAGGCTCCTCAGGGGCCTCGTGGTGACTGGTGAGATGGAGCTTCTCCAAGACGTTGTTGATCATGGCGGCAGCCATGTTGTGCGATGTGTGATATGTGGTCTAGCGGAGTAGATCGGAGGTATGTGGTGTTGTGGAGCACAAATGCGCTTTCCGTGTGTATGGGAGAGGGATGGAGTGTGAGATGAGACAGAGATGGAGGGGTTGAGATGGACGAAGACACGAAACGCTTCTTGAGGCTTTCTTTTGTGATGGACCCTGCCGACGCCTGGCCTGAATCAACAATCACCATCCATTTGCATGGAGAAGCTCCCCCCACTTGCGTCACTCTATTTTTGGCTTTCTGCAATTTTGCTTCATCTTTTTGACCGACTCCTCGTATCTCTCGAAACAATCATCTATTGCTGGAACGATCATACGAGAAGCCAGCATCTCTTAGGTGCACTGTCGACTACAACTCTTCCACAAAGGTCGATCGTTCAAGCTGATGCTCAGCAGAACCCAATGAACGGCTCGTTTCAAGGGTGGGCGGTAAATATTCAACGTCTGAAACGCTATCTCATTTGGAGCATCTCGCATGACTCCATCCCCGCTCAAAAGTATGCTCAAGGGCGGTACAGCCATTCCTGCCTGCGGAATCTCACCTCAAAATCAACCTGACCAAACATGCCAACTGCAGCCATCAAATCATGGTCGCCTTCAAGACCCACGATGCTGCCGCTGTCGTCTCCATCACGCTCCTCGTACATGTTCCAGCCTCCTTCCTTCTGACCTTCTCGGGTGAAGAAGACCTCAACGTCCCTCCTGCGGCCAGGGAATTGTGCTGGTTTGATGTTCATACCAATACCGACCGTCTCTCCATCCTTGAAATAAGTGGTAAAGTCTTGGCCGCCACCATCATCGTCAATGTAACGACGTCCATCATCGCCATGTACACCGAGGCTGGCCCTCTCCCAGCCAGGGAGTCGGAAAGGAGGATAAGGAGGTGCCACAAACCCGATCGCGATTCCAGCGTCTCCCTCATCTCCAGAGTCAGATCCCATGCGAGTCACGCGGATCTCAAAGTAGATTGTGAAAGGTCTACCCTGGTTCCTCAGAGGATCATTGAGGGCGGCAGAATAAAGAGGCGCGGATGTGGTCAGGCTACAATCTTCGCAGTTTTTACGTGTGCGAACCGACCAAGTGTTCTGCTGACGCATCGCTCTCGTCAATTCGCCTGTAAAGTTTGGTGGAGGTTGACTGAAAGTAAATCCATGGAGACGGAAATCCTCATGGACTGAGGCAGGAATCTGACCAGGTGGGTAGAGACGATTGCGATTGCACCAATCCTTTGCTTGTTCTGCCGAGTATTGTGTTGCGTTGGCTGTAGGAGAGGTATCATAGGTCATAGTAGGGGCAGGCGGTAGTAGACTCGAATCTGGCACAGATAGCCATGGTGCATATTCTGGTGGGGCCGCTTCATTGTGGTAGTCGTTAGATGGAACATGACCTGGGGGAGGGCCTGGAGGAGGAGCGAAGTGTTCACTCGAACTAGCCTTCTCGTCGTGCTTTTGGTAGCCTGGCGGTGGACCTGGAGGAGGCGCATAGCCCTGTGATGAAGCTTCTTGTTTCTTGCTCCAACCAGGAGGCGGGCCTCGAGGAGGATTGTACTTCTCGTTGGTCATGGTGAGCTTCGAGGTAATAACGATGTTAGGCAGTCCGAGGGGAGAGAGCGAGCTAGCTATTAAATGCTGTAGGGTGGTTTATCACAGTGGCTTAGTAGTGGGCGCAGAATGAGGCAGATTCCAAGTTTCAGAGAAGTGTCACAAGAGGGCAGTGTCGAGAAGGATGAGCCAAGGAAGGATGATGATGGACCATGTGTTGGCAACAGCGGCTGTCGGCCTCTCATTCGCATCCTCGATTGACTTCAGCAATAGTACATTGGATGATTGGATTTAGTTTGATTCAGAGCAACTGTGTATGTACATAATCCCTTGAGGCAATCCTAGGAACATGGAGAACATCATGCCTTTGGATAGCCGGTCGAGAAGATGCAATGACAGAGGTGTGAAGGCAGGGGTCGTGTTATTAACATGAATCCGGAAGCTTTCCCCGCGGTTCGGGAGGGGCCGAAACAACATGTGCATGTCATGAGGCGTCTCGCAAACAGCAAAAGCAAAGCAGGCGGTCAACATGTTCAAGAAAACGACATGGACGGTCCGGCAGCACAGCTGCATCAAAACTTGCAGGATGCCGTGAGTGATGCTCTTGCCATGCGCCGACCGGTTCTTCATCACCTGAGCGCCGACACAGCATGGCTGCTTATGATCCCGCGTCCAGTCGCCGCAACAAAGCGTGGAGGTCGAGTCTACTTCAACATTTTGATCGACCCATGGCTTTCCGGAACACAGACCGACTACACGAGTTGGTTGAGTAAACAGTGGCACGCCGAGAAACCTCGAGTTCCGAATATCGCCGCCGTAGAAGAACTCATCCGCGAAACAGAAACTCTGGCCAGTGGGATACGCTTTGGAAAAGGTAGAAAGAGCAACGCACACGAGACCGAGGACCATGATGGGGTTGAGACTTTCATAGATGCTGTTGCCATCAGTCATCAGTTCACCGACCATTGTCATGAACAAACAATGCGGGATGTGCACCCAAACGTGCCCGTCTTTGCTACAGAGGTGAGCAGGCTAGGTCGCCGTGAACGTACTGGCTCATACTCATGAACATGTACAGAAAGCGATACCGCTGATCGAATCGTGGAAGCACTTCCGTGTCGTGCAGACGATACCACACTTCTCCCAAGACCCTGACTGGCACGCAACCTCAGTGCCTCCCTTACCAGAATGGCTCGGCATCTCTCGACTTGTAACAAGCAGCGATATGCTCTATTTCCATTCGGCTCTTATGATCACCTTCAACAATCAACAGAGCGGACAAGCTTCTAGACGAAGCAGCTCGCATCAATACACGGAACCTGAAGAGGAGGACGAGACGGCAGAAGCTGTCATCTACACACCACATGGAATACACAGTTACAGTGAGGACTTGGATCTTGTAACAAAGGCCAACCCTCCAATAAAGACACTGGTCTTCATACATGGCCTCGAAGACATTACCTTAGGAGCAGCGCAACAGCTTAATCTGGGAGCACATAATGGCCTCAAGGCACAGCGGAAACTCAAGGCGAGCTATTGGGTTGGTACACACGACGAGGACAAGAAGGGTACAGGAATTGTCGGTTGGTTACTCAGGCGGAAGAAGATCAGTGTCAAGGATGCAGTAGAGGCTGAGAGGAAACGCATGGGAGGTTCCAAGAAGGATGAGGCTACCGATGAGGTGCTTGGATCGTTCCAAGGGGTCAACTGGGTTGATCTTGGTAACGGAGAGAGTCTAGTGTTACAGTAAAGCTGGTCTTCAACTAATTTACATGCTCCATGGACTACTCGAGTGTTGTGTTATTTGTCGAACATGTGGAGACCAAGAATGACGCGGATGTCGGAGATTAGACGGGGATTTGGAGCGGATGCGGGATGGCGGCGGTGCAATCAAGTAATGGTTGCTTGACCAGCTGGCATTTGTCTTCGCATCGACATGTCCAATATCGCACAATGAAGACAGAGTCGTGGCGAGCCGTGTCGCTGCTCTTACTATGTCTGTTCCTGGCCTTCGTCAACTGCCAGGAGGCGGTACTGAATCAACAGGATCCGTCCCATCATGACACGACGCCGCACATGTCCAAGGGCCACGGCCACGCCCACGCCCACGATGCTCCGGCACACGACAAGGCGCCGTATGAGCAGACTCCTGCTGTCAAAGACGCTCTCGCCGCTCTGCGCAAGATCCGTCCCGTCACTAGTCGCCTTGCACGTCTCAGCAAGCCTTCAGGTGTCGTAGGCAACACAATTCACTACGCCAAAGAGTTGTTTGTTCTTCTCTTCATGAACCAGCCCGACCAGAAGCATCTCCTGACTACCGATACCACTGCCCAACCTCTCACTCCCGCCCTGTCTCGCGCCGTCACCCTACTCCAAGATGCCGCCGAACAACAAGACGCCGATGCCATCTGGCTGCTGGCCGAAATGAACTTCCACGGCAACTTTACCCACCCGAGGAATTACTCGCGCGCTTTCGAATACTACCAGACTCTGGCCTACTTGAACGGCAACAGTTCTGCTCAATACATGCTGGGTTTCATGTATGCTACTGGAATAGGAAACGCCGTTCCGCAAGATCAAGCAAGAGCCCTGCTATACCATACATTCGCTGCTGAGCAAGGCGACATTCGTTCTCAGATGACCCTAGCATACCGTCATCATTCTGGGGTTGCTACGCCTAGAAACTGCGAAGAGTCCGTTCATTGGTACAGATTAGTCGCGAAGCAGGCTGTCGAGTTTTACAAGTCTGGTCCTCCTGGTGGCCACTCTCTGGTCAAGAACGCCTTCCGCCTAGTTGATGAAGAGGGTGGCATTTACGGCGAGGGTGCGAGTGTCAGCAGCTCCGGTCCCAACGCAAAGGTTGGAGGCCCTACATCGGACGCCTACGCAGATTTGGATGATGTCCTTGAATTTCTGGACTTCCAGTCAAGGAAGGGCGATCTGAAGGCCACTTTCCACCTTGGCAGACTCTACTACGATGGCTCAAGAGGACTGGCTCGTGATTTTCCTTCCGCCAAAGATCACTTCATGCAGGTCGCTAGACTGTACTGGACTCCTTCTGGCAAGGTCAAGACCGACGTTTCGTCCGCTGTCGAGAAACTCGCACCCAAAGCTGCTGGCTATCTGGGTAGAATGTTCTTGCGTGGCGAAGGCACCGAGAAGAGCTACACCAAGGCCAAGATCTGGTTCTCTCGTGGAATTGAGCACGGCGATGCCCTATCACAGTACTCTATGGGAGTCATGTACATGGAAGGCCTAGGTGTTCCCAAAAACCCAGTCAAGGCTGCTGACTACTTTTCGCCCGCTGCCGATCAGGATCTTGCCGTGGCTCAGACGAACTTGGGAATCTTGTTCATGGATCAAGGTGATATCCATACTGCAAGAAGTTACTTTGAGCTAGCTGCCCGCAATAGCCATATAGAAGCTTTCTATTACCTGGCAGAGCTAAGTAACCAAGGTGTCGGTCGCGATCGCTCGTGTGGTATGGCCTCCGTCTATTACAAGATCGCAGCCGAGAAGGCCGAAGTCATCCACTCTTCCTTCATTGAAGCCAACGAAGCTTACGAGCGTGGCGATCTTGAGACTGCAATCATCGCATACATGATGGCTGCTGAGCAAGGCTACGAGATGGCACAGGCAAACGTGGGATATCTTCTTGACCACACACGTCCGCGCTTCTCGCTTCCATCCATCTTCCCCTTCCTACGCCGTCGTGTTGATGCAGCTAGTGATGCGGCTCTCGCGCTCATCTACTGGACTCGCTCAGCTAAGCAGTCTAATACTGACTCGCTCGTCAAGATGGGTGACTATTATCTTGACGGTGTCGGCACCGCATCTTCTCCTGACAACGCAGCCATCTGCTATCAAGCCGCTGCGGAAGGAATGGCGAGCGCGCAAGCAATGTGGAACCTTGGCTGGATGCACGAGAACGGTATCGGTATCGAGCAAGACTTCCACCTAGCCAAGCGTTTCTACGATCAAGCACTCGGAACAAACGCAGAGGCATACTTGCCTGCTAAACTGAGTCTTGCAAAGTTGAGGTTGCGTAGTTGGTGGAATGGCGTCAGTGGTGGTAGCGTCAACTCCATCAGAGATGAGCCTTGTAAGTGACACCCTCATTTACACTCCCATATCTGACTAACATTATTTGACACAGCTCAAAAGCCAAGTCGCACACTAAGCCAATGGCTTAATGACTTCCTCGAAGCCGATGCAGCTTACTATGCGGACCACTTCGAAGCCGATGACTGGGACGACGCACACACGCACATGCCCGGCGGCGACGACTTCTATGACGACGGCGACATCGATGATGGTATGCTCGAAATGCTAGTCATCGTGGGCTTAGCCGCTGCACTTGCTTTCTTGGTATATTATCGTCAGCAGAGACAGCAGGAAGCAAGACGTAGAGAGGAGCAGCAGCAGGGAGTGGTGCCACAGCAACAGCAGGATCAAGGGTTCTTCCCTCCACCAGGTAATCCTGAGTTTGCGAATTGGGTTGCTGGGGGTGTGGGACATTGATGTGCCCATATCTTGATCTTCTACTTGGGTTTCGAGATAGCTCGGAACGTTGTTGCATAAGTAAAACAATCAATCAGCGAACAAATGACCTTCAATTACCCCTCATCTATAGACTTGGAAGTTCCAGAGAACGCACCTGTAAGATTGATATACAACTTAGGTTTTGCTCTCGAGACGAGCATCCAGATATGGACCCTGAAGATAGGCCAAATCCGTCCTGACAAGGAAGGTTTACCACTCCCGGCCACACGGGTAGCGGGGTAAGATAACAGACGACATATACATATCTTGCTACCTCCATCACTCAGTTTCTTGCTTACATCTTGCTTTAATCGAAGAGATATTATATTCCAACATCATCAGTCATGGCAGACTATCAAACCTACGATCTAGGCGACTTCACCCTCCAATCAGGCGAAACAATTCCCTCGGCAAAGATAGCATACAAGACTTTTGGAGACCCATCACTACCGGCGATCATCTATCCAACATGGTACAGTGGATGTGTGTCTCAACTACCCCCCTACGTTATCAACAGATACTAACTCCAAGCAAAGCAATCTCCGACAATGAATGGCTCATCTCCCCTTCAAAAACACTCTCCCCTGCCACCTACCACATCATCATTCCCGCACTCTTCGGGAACGGACAATCCAGCTCCCCCTCAAACACCTCCATCAATCCCTTTCCTGCAGTGACCTTTTACGATAATGTCAAGGCCCAACATCAATTGGTTACAAAACACCTGAAGATCGACCATGCCTTTGCAGTATTGGGATGGTCAATGGGAGCGGGACAGACTTACCAATGGGCAACTCAATATCCAGAGTTTATGGATAAAGTGGTACCGTTCTGTGGTTCTGCGAAGACGAGTTTGCACAATCAGGTTTTCTTGGAGGGGGTGAAGACGGCGTTGGTTGCCGCGAAAGGTGGATCTTCTGCTGGCATCTGCAAGGGACAAACTGCAGGATCAACAGAGTGGACGGAAGAGCAAAAGACGGTGGGATTGAAGGCTTTAGGAAGGGTTTATGCTGGTTGGGGATTCAGTCAGGCGTTTTATCGTCAACGACTCTATGAAACTGCATTGGGGTACAAGGATTTGGAAAGGTATGTTTTGCCCTCATCTACCGATTCACCCTTCTCCCCTCTTTCCTTCCTTCCCTCCTCCATCCTTCCACCTCCTTGTTTCGTATACCTAATAACATGTGATGGCATCCAGCTTCATGCTCGAATTCTGGGAAACCTGGGCCCTCTCCAAACACCCCGAAAACATGCTAACCATGCTCCAAACCTGGCAATCCGGCGACGTCTCCGCCCAACACCCTTACAATGGAAACTTCGAAGCGGCAATGGCAGCCATAAAAGCAAAAGCACTCGTACTCCCCGGAAAAACCGACCTCTACTTCCCACCAGAGGATTCGGAATATGAAGTCGAGTGTATGGAAAAGGGCGTGGGGAGATGTGTGGCTTTCCCTAGTGTTTGGGGGCATTGGGCTGGTGGACCGGGGCAGAGTGTTGAGGATGTTGAGTGGTTGGATGGGAAGTTGAGGGAATTCTTTGATGAGTAGTAGGATGGGAGGAAGATTGAAGTTGAGGAGTTATGTCGAGAAGGTAATCATCTCTCTTCATTGGTTATACTTTAAATTCTAAAGATCAGCTACAGCTATGACAATGCATGATCTTTTTCAAAGATTGACCAGGCTCAAGATCAACTCTCATCAGAGGAGGATCATGGTTTCAATGTGGCATACTCCCGCCAAAGCACGTCTTGCGGCAAGCCGAGCCACGCCGGTCCGAATTTTATTGTCTTCTGATTATAGAATACATGGTGAACCCTATCATCTTTCAATCTTCATCCCATGGACTGCTCGATGTGCGTAAGAGTGAACATAACTAGGCTTCTGAAAATCTTCTCTGACGACCCGGAATGAGAATACTATTCGCCGTTGATAGAATGAAGATAGAGGCACCGCATAAACGAATACACGCTTTGTATGACCAAGAACAGTTAGACGAATGTAGCTTCGAGAGCGAAGAAAAGAACACGAAGTAGGAATCGAAGAAGAGCGCAAGGTATCGGGGCCTAGCAGATGAAGCATTTGTGTAAGATTGTATAACCGTCTTCGTTAGTAGTACGAACGAATCGAGGTAGTATGTTTTAGTTAAGGTCGTCGTGCTATTTAAAACGAGGAACGACACCGTAATCCCGACCGGTTCCCGAACGGATGTAGATCCTTGGACGGCATTTACGTCGAGTAAGGACATGGAAGACATCTGACCCTGATGTTTGCGAAGCATCTATACTTCAAGAAGTTGGAAGCAGCGATACACACTCCTTCTTTTCGCAGAGCAATGCCGTAGCCGTGTACGATGAGCGATTTTCAATCCTTCCTAATTCCCCTTGCCATCTCTCTCCTCGACCAACTCCCAAATATACCCGTTGACAAACCACTTCTCCAATCCCTCCTTCTCCATCCCTTCCGCACCCTTTACTTCACCCACACACCCCTTCTCCCCACACAAACACTTGAACCCTCTATCCATCTTCCACTCCGTACTGGGATAAAAGAAACTCAGACTATCCCCCTCCCTCAACTCTTTCCCTCTAGCAACCCTGATCTCCATCTTCTCGGTATCAATCTCCAAACTGGGATTGCAAGAATGATTGAGATAGGTGAATGCAGAATCTAGAGAAATGTGCGAGGAGGTGGAGACTTGGAGGGTATGCCATTGTGGTGTAGGGGTGAATGTGTATGCTGTTATGGGGGCGAACAGGGAGCCGGAAGGTAGAGAGATTTTGGAGATTAAGCCGTGGCCGGATGCATGGGAGGTGTATTCTAGGAGATCTTGGAGGTTGTTTGCTGTTACTGGGAAGGCTGGCTTTTCGTGGTCGGATTTTGTGGTTGTTGTGGATGCCATTTGTGTTGGTTGATGGTGATGTTTCTTGAGTAGATTGGTGTTGAAGTTGATGTGGTGTGTATTTTATTGGTTGCGGTTTGATGTTGGATGTAAGGGAAGAGTAGAGTCATGAACTTACAGTTGTTGGAAGTGAAGTCTTACATGATGATGCTATAACCGAGTTGCCGGTTATGGAATGATGAGGCCTTGTTTCCGAGGCTGTTGTCGTGGGACATGTGTCCTCTATCATGCCACCATCGATGTCATTGTTTGGTGTCTAAGCGCCGACGCCCTGTGGGGTGGAACAATCGGTAGGACAGGGTGACGATTTGCGTTCGCGATGTGAGCAGCGGGGGAAAAAACGTGGAACCAGTTATTTACATTTGGTCGAAGGGGAAATGGTATAAGTTCTATATCATGGATGCTATGCCAACTAGTAAGAGTCGCCGCTCGTCATATCAGAAAAAGCCAGACAGACCGCCGGATGCGCCAGGTAAAACTCCTTGTCGTTATGGAACAGAAAAGACACACATTTACAGCTGGATATCGTTGTTCAACAAGCGCACCTCCTCGCCTGGCTTGAAAGCTGGAAGTCCAATATAAGGACATCCGTCACATCTGAAAGCATCTCCCAAAGCACAGTTACCGCAACTGCCAACCTTGCCCTGCACGGTGAAATCGACCTCTGCCAAATCATCGGTATCCAACTTCATAGTCTGCAAAGCACTGTCGGCAGCCTCACGCTTGGCCTTGTCCTCTGCATCAATCTTTTGCTTAAGTCCACAAGTGCAGTCTTTGCATGCGCGTCTTCGCTTGCCATTGGGCTTGCAGGCTTCGGGAATGTTGATGGGGCGTTTGCGGTCTTCCTCGCTGAGGAGGGTGTTAGGGTCGATGGAGGAGCCGGCGAGCAATTCTTCCTTCGAGGGCAATTCCATCTCTTCATCTTCGTCGTAAAACTCTACATCCAAGTCGTCGCCCATGTCAAAACCTACGCCTGCGGGCGCTGAAGGAGCTGCGGGCTGAGGTGTCTCGGTGATGGTCTTGTTGATAGCTTCGATGTTGTTCAAAGGTACAGCTGCTGCGTTTGCCTTCTTCTTCTTTCCGAAACTCAGGGTGACGGTTTGCGCGGCGGCTTGTGCTGGCTTTGACATGCCGCCACTGACATCCTGGACGAGACCAGCGAGGATAGCCTCCGTCTGCTCAGCAGATGCCGATGTACCGAATTGGCCATCCTGGCTCTTCAGCTTTCCTCCGTCCTTGAGAGAAGGCACCAACTTCTCAATAATGGCTCTGTTGAGAGGCTCGCGTGATCCATCGACATTTGTGAGTAGAAGGACGAGATCGTATGTGGATGCGGGAAGAGAGACGAGACCGAGCGCGAGACGATCGAGCATCTGGATGTCGGTGGCATTGCGGTCGTGAGCCTCGACAATGCTGTTGAGGGCGTCAGGGTGTGAGGCGATCGAAGGTGGGGCGAGGAGGAGAGTTCTGTCTTGCGACTTGGCCGATGGTGGCGCAAACGAGAAGTCGGATGTGTTGTCAATGGTGATGCCGGGCGCCATCGTGAGGGATGTGTATGTGTGATTTATTGAGGAGAAGAGTAGTCGTTCGATATTTTGACCCAAGTTTACTTTGAGCCCGAGAGAAGCGCCTCGAAGTGGATCGTCGGTGGGGCGAAGGAATCTGCTGATTGAGGGGTTTGCAGGCGGATTGGGTGATGAAAGAGGTATCCGGTGAAGCGTGATGGTATACGAAGAGTGTATAAGGGAATTTCAGAGAAGAGCGACAGAGATATGGCAAGGGCGAATATGATGAAAACAATTGCGCAAAAGATGATTATCAATGTACAGAACCCCGCGTATGACCAATCCCAAATTCTGACCAATCAAGACCATTTCTCGCCCGCCGACCTCGCTCAACACTTTCACATGCTGACGGATCAGAAGCCAAGCAATTGCGTTTTCTTTGTACGAATCTGGTCGTCCTAACCCTGCCCGCGGAAACACCCTCTCCATCTGCTTACGTTAAAGCTATCTATATGTAGGACACGACCTCTGCTGAATCTGTGGTTAGTGGAAGCGCGGGAGAACTCGCTGCTCATCAGACATTGTTATGAGAGATCGAAACTCAGCACATAGTACATGTAAACTCAACCATTGATGAAAGTAGAAGAAATGCGTATACAATAGGTACATATAAAAGCAACCCAGAAAACTCCACTGTCTCGTTACTGGATATTATGAAGATTCTCATCCGTCAATCGTGTCTGCTTGCCATCTCGTGATTTCTTATTTGACAATCTTGCAGATCAAGTCCTGTCCATCGACCGAGTCGGACTCCTTAACACTGAGCTCGCCGACCTTACCAGAGTGAGGTGCGCTGATGACCATCTCCATCTTCATGGCACTCAAGATGGCAATGGGGTCACCCTTGTTGACCTCGCTGCCCTCCTTGACTCTGAGCTCGACGACGACACCACTCATGGGTGCGCCAACCTGGCTGCTGTCACCAAGGTCGGCCTTCTTGCGAGACTTGTTCTCAACAGCGGCGTGTTGGTCGTCGACGGTCACTTGACGAACTTCACCGTTCATCTCGTAGAAGACCTCTCTTTGGCCAGTTTGCTCGGAAAGGGGACCGATCGCCAGAAGCTTGATAATGAGCACCTTGCCCTTCTCGAGCTCGACGTGGAACTCCTCACCAATCTCGGGCTTGGCCAAGAAGTACTTGGTAGGCAGGACCGACAGGTCGCCGAACTTCTGTGTCCACTTCTTGAAGTCCTCGAAGACCTTGGGGTACATGACGTATGATGCAACGTCGGACTCAGTGTAACCACCGAACTGCTCCTTGAGCTTGTTACGCACCTCGTCGAAGTTGACGGGCTCGAGGTAAAGACCAGGTCTCTTGTCCATCTTTCTGCGCTCACGTAGAGCCTGCGAACGGAGAGGCTCGGGGAAACCACCGTATGGTTGTCCCATGAGACCCTCGAAGAACTCAAGGACGGATGAGGGGAAGTCGAGCTGCTCGGCCTTCTCGAGAACGTCGTTGTAGCTCAGCTTGTTGCTGACCATGAACTGGGCAAGGTCACCAACAACCTTGGAGGTAGGAGTGACCTTGACAATGTCGCCGAGAAGATCGTTGGCTTGCTCGTAAGCCTTTTTGGTCTGTGCCCATTGCTCACCAAGACCTTGCTGGGAGGCCTGGAAAATGAGGTTGGTCAGTTGACCACCAGGAATCTCGTGCTCGTAAACCTCAGGGTCAGGACCAGTGAGACCAGCCTCGAAAGGCGAGTAGAGCAGACGGAGCTGAGCCCAGTAGTGGTCAATCATTCTCAAGTGGTGAGGGTTGAGACCAGGGTCGAAGTCGCTACCCTCGAGAGATGCGACGATGGCACCAATGCTGGGCTGAGAAGTCATACCGGACATGCTGTCAGTGGCGGCATCAACAGCGTCAGCGCCAGCCTGAGCACAGGCTACCATGGAGGCAACACCAGTACCAGCCGAGTCGTGAGTGTGGACGTGGATGGGAAGGTCGGGGTACTTCTTTCTGATCGAGCCAATCAGCATGGTGGCGGCCTTGGGCTTCAAGACACCGGCCATATCCTTGATACCAAGAATGTGAGCACCCATGTTGACAATCTTCTCAACAACACCCATGTAGTACTCGAGGTTGTACTTCTTGCTGGGGTTCAGCATGTCACCTGAGTAACAAACGGTTCCCTCAGCAACACCACCAGCCTTGAGGACAGCCTTAACACCGACCTCGAGCTGCTCAACATCGTTCAAAGCGTCAAAGACACGGAAGATGTCGACACCGTTCTTCTTTGCCTGTTCGCAGAAGTGGAAGATGGCGTTGTCGGGAAGCGATGAGTATGCGACACCGTTGGCACCACGGAGGAGCATCTGGAACGGAATGTTGGGTACGAGCTTTCTCATCTTGCGGAGTCTGTCCCAAGGGTCTTCGTACAGGAAGCGCATGGCAACATCGAAAGTAGCACCACCCCAGCACTCAAGAGCCCAGGCGTTGCTGAGAGCATAGCTGGTCTCCTTGGCGATGTTGAGGAAGTCGACAGTACGAACTCTGGTGGCAAGAAGAGACTGGTGAGCGTCTCTCCAGGTTGTGTCCATGATCAAGCAGCCCTTGTTGGCTCTTACAGCCTTGGCAAAGGCATCAGGGCCTTGGTCCACGATAATGCTTCTCCAGCCCTGCTTGCAGGGCTCTGAGACATCAAGAACATTCTTCTGCTCGTCGTGAAGAGTAGGGATAATGATGTCGCCCTTGAACTTGGGCTCACCGATTTGGCCCTTGATCTGACTGCCGTTCACGGCAAGGTCACCAAGGTAACTGAGTAGCTTCTGGGCACGGTTTTGACTGTTGACAAGAGCGAACAGCTCAGGGGTATCATCGATGAAGGTAGTCCAGCAGCCGCCGGAAACGAATGTAGGGTGGGTGAGGAGAGACGCCAAGAAGGGAATGTTGGTCTTGACACCGCGAATTCTGAACTCTACCAGGGCACGAAGCATCTTTCTGCGAACAATCTCGTAGGTAGAGCCACGGACTGAGCACTTGACCAACATGCTGTCGTAATGAGGAGTAATGACAGCTCCTGCGAACCCGTTCCCGCCGTCGAGACGTACTTTAAGGGCACAGTTAGCATGTTGAACAAGTCAAAAAGTAATACTCTCCCGAAGATCATCGGCCACCGGCACCCACCTGTCGCGTTGCAGAACAGTTTTCAAAATCAGCCCACGACCACAGAGAGTAACATCGAAGCGCACTCTCAATGGCCGCAGCCGAGTTTGGAAACACTTCGTGCAATGCGACAGCTGCAAAGACTCAGGGGCTCGGGCTCGAAACACCGCTCTTGGTGGCTGATGGCCGATGATTCCTGGAGCTTCAATGTACATACCTCCATTTCCACCAGCTGAGCGGTATACCTCAATTCTGCCGGTGTCGGGCTGGAAGCCCTTGGTGGGATCCTCGGTAGTGATACGGCACTGACAGGCGAAACCACGGACTGAGATGCGGTCCTGGGTCAGACCGAGCTGCTCAAGCGAAGCACCTGCAGCGATCTGGATCTGAGCAGCGACGATGTCGATACCAGTAATCTCCTCGGTGATGGTGTGCTCGACCTGGATTCTAGGGTTGATCTCGATGAAGTAGTGGCGGTTCTCCTGATCAACCAAGAACTCAGCAGTACCAGCGTTGCGGTAGTTGACCGACTTGGCGAGTGCAACTGCATCGTTCAGGATGGCCTGACGCGTCTCCTCGGGCAAGTCCTTTGCAGGAGCAAGCTCAACGACCTTCTGGTGACGTCTCTGGACACTGCAGTCACGCTCGAACAAGTGGACAACGTTACCGTGGCTGTCACCGAGCAGTTGGACTTCAATGTGCTTGGGGCGGTACAAGAAGCGCTCGACGAAAACGGTACCGTTACCGAATGCAGACTTGGCCTCTGATGTGGCACGCTCGAAGGCCTCCTTGAGCTCCTCTTGCTTCCAGACGACTCTCATACCACGGCCACCACCACCAAAGGCTGCCTTGATGATGATGGGGAATCCGTGCTTGTCGGTAAAGCTCTTGACCTCCTCGAATTTCTCGACAGGGCCGTCGGTACCGGGAACGACAGGAACCTTGCACTTGATGGCAAGCTCACGAGCCGAGACCTTGTCACCGAGTGCATCAATGGTATCGGGGGTGGGACCAACGAACTATTGCATGTCAGTGCGACTGTTAGACGAACTTCCAGGACATTGCAAAACTCACGATCATGCCAGCAGCTTCGACCTTGCGAGCGAAGTCGGCGTTCTCACTCAAGAAGCCATAACCAGGGTGAATGAGGTTAACATTGTGTTCCTTTGCGATCTTGACGATCTCGTCACTGGCAAGGTAGGCAGCGACGGGTGTGTATTCTCCTCTCTTGCCAATGACATAGGCCTCGTCGGCCTTTTGTCTGTGCATAGACAGGCGGTCCTCATGACTGTAGACGGCTACTGTCTGGAGCGAAAGCTCGTGTGCGGTACGGAAAATACGGATGGGGATTTCACCACGGTTGGCGACTGTGTCACAGTTAGCAATTGTTGAGAATGTCGGTTCCAGGAGGCATCGTACCTAGGATCTTCTTGGCCTTCATGATGGAAGAGTTGGCGCGCAGACGCGAGTGAACAGTGTTCTGGGTGTGCGTGTCGACGCCGTCCTCAATGGCCTCCTCGTTGGAGTCCGAGGTCTGGACATTATGGGTAGCTGCAAAGTCCGACATGTTGACGGGTCAATGCCTCACACAGCTGCAATCTGAGAGCAGCTGCTTGCCGGAGCTCGGTGGAGAGGAATTGAGGGGTTGGAGGGGGTTGAGAAAGCGGTATGCAGGGAGTGAAGGAAGGAAGGAAGAAGTGTTGATAGCTAAACAGACTTTCGAGTCACAAGCGGTGGACCTCAGCAAAAAAGCGATGACGGTGAGCTTATTCCAACTTGCTATCTCGGCCTCTGCTTGGGAGCTTGGTGTTGCTTCGGCTGAACGTGCCCCGCCAATCGGAAAAGCTGGCAAGGATCGCGAGATAAGGCCGGATTCACTGCTTACTAGAAGCAATTATGAACGCAAAACTGCCTTGAAGCCGCCCAGGAATTGTTGGTTTCCATCATGAACATTTCTATACCATTCAATGACCTATATAGCTCCATGAAATCATCCTCGGGACATCATTAACCCCACTTGACGAACCTGGAGAAACATTGTCAGTGCACTTGGGGTCATCCCGAGTGCTTCTCGTGAACTGTCGGGTAGAAACGGAGGGAGCTGTTCCTGCAGGGTCCCCGAACTCCTTCGGCCATCACCACCGAGGACGGCTTCTCTATCCGCTGCCACTCACCACTGCCTTGGGTCTCTCTCCGCTTTGCTCCCCACATGCATCTCTGTTCTTTTGTATCCCTCGGGTCATCGTTGTGACTTTCCTATTGATCCCCACCGAGCTCCTCGAAGATACAAACTCTAGCCTTGAAGCCAACTCACTCGGGTTGTTTGACCGGCTACTGTGATGGCTCAAATATCTTACATGATCGATTTGAAGCACCGTTCAAGATTACGACTCAGCATTGCTGGAACTGCATCCACAATTCTTCCGACGAAATTATCCTTCGTCTCTCTCTTTAAACAGTCCTAGCCTCGGTCGACAATAGACGTCCTCGGTCGTAGGGAGGTACTTTGAAAAAGGTCCCTCACTTTGTTTCGATTACCAAATTAGCGCGAGAGCGATGGAACAGATGCCTGACAGTGTGTACGCAATACTGTGACTGACTAGTCGCTCATATCTCGTCCTCCTGAGATTTCGCGAGCACTTTCGGACCTTCGATGATCTTGATCTTTCTTCCTTCCCACCACGACATGACACCCGCGATCATACTAACACCACAACCTAATCCGATGAAAAGGCCAGCTCCCCATGTCGGACGGTCGATTCGATTGTAGTGCCACATCATGAACGCCATACCGACCTGAAACAAGGTATTGAACACTATTAGCCCTGTCGAGTACGATCAGCATCTGTTTGGCGACCAGCGACTTTCGTTAAACTTACAAACAACAAAGTCAAGCTTCCAAGGACTCGTCGGGGGCGCATGCTTGCCGGTAAAGGTGAGTCGCTCGTCTTCAAGATGTTCTTCACCATGCCGAGCTCCCATGCGGAACCAGTCGTCGTTTCGTTTTGCCAATTTCTTGAGAGCAGCATGACCGTTCTCAGGCCCCCATCCAGCTCGCCAGCACGCACACCACCACAGGTCTCTGAATCGCCATGGAGCCAGACCAAATGCCGTCAAGCAGAAGAGAGCATTGAGAATTTGCGAGTCGATCTCGAGCCAGATTTTGCGAGGGGAGGAGTCCGCATCTCCATTATCCGGATGGTTCATAGCAGGTGCTGCTTTGAGGATCAAGAAGAACAACATGGCACCCCAAGCCACGACATTGAGACCGTAGACCGTGATCAGGAAGCCAGTGGGCGTGAGAATGAATTTTCGAGCTGCAGTCAGACCATGCTTCGCAGCCGTGGTCCAGGGCACTTTGACATGCTCTACTTCTTGAACAGGCGGCTGATATGTAGAGCTTTGTGTTTTGACCACCTCAGGCAGTGCATTCTTCTCATTCGACTGGCTAGATTCCGAGGGCGATATAGATGACTTGGTGTCCTTTCGTTCCTGCTGAGTCTTGGTCCTGACAAGGAAGCCTTGCTTCAGATCATCGGCGTGGGCTACCCGAGCACTGTGACCATTCTCGTCGAACACAATGTTTTCTCCACCAACGACCGGAGACCTCAAGTCCTTGAGGTTTGGCGCATGGGCAATTGCTGTGCCTGTTGCTTTCCACATGCCCAGCTGGGGATTCAGATTGATGACCTTGGAAGCAGCGCTGACGGACATGTTGCGCAGACGACCTACGGTACCCTGACTGGGCCCATCGTCCGAAGGAGGGTCGACGTTATCTGCCATCGCAGTAAAGTGCGATGTTACTAGTTCAGAAAACTGATTGTGTGATGTTCAAGAAGATGGGAGTAGGGTTCTCTAAACATCTTGACATTCATCTGTTACTTCCCGTTATGTTTTCTTGTTCTTTTGACAGCTGGAACGCCGTTCGCCTGCTTATAGACGTTTTGGCTTTCGATAGCAGAACGAAAGTATCCTTCTGATAGGTCAAGTTAGAGCGTTTTGTTGATCGTCTCGTTCGCGATGGCAAGTCGAACCTGTCTGTCGGGACTGCGGTCTCTTGGAGGTCCGGTGGTCGGTGACAGACTGATACCGAGGTCGAGCTGAGGGAACAGAAGGTTCCTGCGCTCGAAACGGCGTCTCAAACCACTTGGCATCTGGCGATGAATCAAGACTACTACAATAGAAACATCGCAGTGAGGGATGCAACAGAACATCAGCCGCATAATCAAGGTATTGGCCTCATGGACAGCTCGAGGCTGTATGGACGCCATCAAGGGTCTTCCCAAGCTCTTCAAAGATGCCTCGGTACCGATTGCAGACCGAGGAAATTGATAAGTCATCAAGCACATGAAGCTTGCTCGTTCATCGCCAGCAAAGTCTTTTCGGGCTGCAGCAGCAATTCTCTTACTCGCGTTCTAGATCAACCAGCTTGGCCAGACAAATCATCTGCTTCTGTTAAGTTCTTCGCTCATGTGACGGCCGAGGTTGGGGTTTTACCGTGAAGCGTTTAGATGAACCGGCTATACACATAAGATCAACGGTGCTAAGAGGTACCTCTATCTATTTCTCGTTGATACGAACGTTGATTGGCTGGTCTTTCGCAAATGTTTCTGCATCTGACACCTGCAGTATTCCAAGTCCATTTGAGCTTGGGACGTCCCGCCTGAACGACTCAGATCCTCATGCGCATACAGCTGGCATTGAGTGTCGCCGAGGGACAAGGTAAAGGTTGTCTGGTGTGGCAGTCTTCTGCTCGCCAGACTTGAATAACATCGTCATTGTTACGGATTGCAGCGGATATAAAGACCATTCAATTCTAGAAACGCCGGGTATTGATGCTAAAATTTAAGGTTTGCCTGACCGTTGCGCATCAGGGCCGCCGCCTTCCGAAGTCGACATCACACCCAAGACGCCCATCAAGATTCCTCGTTCAATGGCGGCGCCTTCTCGTTCAGGTGCGGTTGGAATAGCTACCGGTAAGCGTGACAGATAAGCAACATGTTGTTCGCAGCTGGCCAGTTCGAAGCGTTGCAGCGCTTATGTGCATTCGTCTAAACTAGACAAGAACTACAAAATCGTTGCCGATGACTACAAGGCTACCAGCCATAAAAGGTCCGCGATGAACCCTGTTCTAGCTCTATTTGCTTTACGATGTCATAGTGTACCTCATGGTCAATTTTTCGCGCCAGCGGCGTATGACCTTCATCATCCTTGGCCATCTTGTAACTTCGCATCACAACTCTTACCACTTCTAACATACACATACTAGAACGCGTTCGATACGCAAACATACTCGCAGGCATTAGCCATGTCGTCCTGCTTCTCTGGATCAGATTACAAGCTCCAAAGGAACAACTCAAAGGTCGCGGAGGATGGCAGAGCTGATGTCTCCATTGACAAGAGGCTGCAGGCCAAGCTTCTTCGCCAATTCCACCGCGACGACAAGAAAGCAAAGAAGAGTCCCGATGAAGCTGAGAGCCGAGAGCCGAAGAAGGCAACATTACACTGGCGCACTCGCAAGGACGACTTCCAGCCAGATCTCCATGGATTCGAAGGCGTACCACGAATGAACATTGCGATTCTTATTACCGGCAGCAGAGGAGATGTCCAGCCATTTATCGCTTTGGGAAACGTTCTACAAAAATCTCCATACAATCACCGCGTCAGGATCTGTACACACCCAAATTTCAAGGACTTCGTTACAGACAATGGACTCGAGTTCTACTCAATTGGTGGTGATCCTGAGAAGCTCATGTCTTACATGGTTCGCAATCCTGGTGTGATACCCAGTTTCGAGTCTATGAAGGCTGGTGACGTTGGCGATCGCCGCGAAGAAATTGCAGAGATGCTGGAAGGCTGCTGGCGAGCATGTACACAGGCTGGCAATGGCATGGATCCAATCAAGTTGCCAGAAACGAGCAAGATTAGCTCGGAAACAATCATGAAATTACCGGATCCTTTCGTCGCGGATGCTATCATAAGCAACCCCCCTGCCTATGCCAATATTCATATCGCAGAGAAGCTCGCCGTGCCCCTCCATATGGTTTTTACGATGCCGTGGAGTCCTACTACTGCCTTCGCTCATCCTCTGGCAAATTTGGACACTAATAAAGGAGACCGAAAACTCGCAAATTACCTTTCGTACTACAGTATGGAACTACTCACATCCGAGGGCTTAATCGACCTGATTAACGACTTCCGAGAGAACACACTGGCACTGGATCCTCTGCATGCTGCGTGGGCGCATCAATTGCTGCCTCAACTCAAGGTGCCATTCACATACTGCTGGTCACCCGCACTTATTCCTAAACCAGAAGACTGGGGTTCACACATCACCATTAGCGGCTTCTTATTTATGGATCCCAAGAAGGACTTTGAGTTCGACGCTGATTTGAAGGAGTTCTTGGATGCTGGCGAACCACCGGTTTACATCGGTTTCGGCTCAATTGTCGTTGATGATCCAGAGGCTATGACAAAGATGATTCTAGACGCTGTTAAGCAGCTTGGAAGTAAGTCTTCATAGTGTTTTTTTGCATGTGCTAGTCTGACACACATTTTAGTAAGAGCGTTAGTCTCCAAAGGCTGGGGTGGCATCGGAGGTGAAGATGTACCGGATAACGTGTTCCTCCTCGGCAATGTACCACACGACCAACTCTTCCCGCACTGTTCTGCAGTAGTACATCATGGAGGTGCCGGAACAAACGCCATTGGTATATCGCTAGGATGCCCGACTGTCGTAGTGGTGAGTAAAACATGAAAACTCCATAAGAAAAGAATGCTAACAACTGATGCAGCCTTTCTTCGGCGACCAACCATGGTGGGGAGAGATGATCCACAGAGCCGGCGCGGGCCCTTCACCCATACCTTACAAGGATCTGGATGCCGACAAATTGGCGAATCAAATCAGAGAAGCACTCAAACCTGAGACAAAGGAGCGTGCCAAAGAGCTCGCCGCTCGGATCAAGGAGGAAACTGGTGCGAAGACCGCCGCCAAATTCTTCCATGAGACGCAACAGATGCAAGATACCGGATGTTTCTTGTGTCCAGACCAAGTAGCGGTATACCGTGTCAGAAGGACCAACATCAGACTCAGCGCTCTGGCAACTGGAATCTTGGTCGACCATGGTATCCTTCACCCTCAGCATCTTAAGCTCATAAGGAAGAAGCGTTGGTATGTCGAAAAGGGTGCTCAAGAGCCTGTAATCGGTATCCTTGGTGCTATTGGTACAACCGGAGTCGGCTACAAGAACTGTTTCAGCCGTCTGGGCAAAGACCTACACGCCAACAAAGCAGAAAAATCACCATCTCACGTCATGGTCGGCGATGCAGAAGCCGCTGGCGAGGTTCCAGGTGCTCTGAAGGCTGTTGCAAAGTTCACTGGATCTATGGGCTTGAATACTCTCAGATTTCCCGTGGATTTGCTCTACAATGTCGCGAACGGATGTCATAACCTTCCGTGGCACTTTTTCAACGACGACACCGTCCGCGTTCGTGGTGAGATCAGTGGTGTGATGTCGGGAACAAAGGTTGGATTCCAAGAGCTGGTCTTTGGCTTCTACGACGCCTTCACTGGCGTAGTAACCCAACCCGTCCGTGGTTACAAGAAGCACAGCAGCGAAGGAGTCGGAGCAGGAGCATGGGGAGCCACAAAGGGAGTCGGCAAAGGCCTAGTCGGCCTGGTCAGCAAAAGCTCAGCCGCCGCTCTAGGCGTCCCCGGCTACGGCTTCAAAGGACTCGAGCGCTCCGTACGCAACGGCTGGAAAACAAACGACACACCCAACGAGAACAGTTTGGCTTTACTCAACGCACTCAGAGGACAAGGCCAACGCTCAGGAGACGAACAACTCGGCAACGCAGCATTATCCATGGTCAGCCAAGCCCAAGGCAACAGTATCAGAAAACAACTCAGAGGCAGAAGAGGATGGCAATGCTTCATGGATCTACAACATCTTCGTCAGAACCCCGACAAAGCTGCCGCTCAGGAGGAAGAAGTGCTGCGTCGCTGGGACGAACTCAAAGTCCCGAAAGAATTTACTCGACTTGAGGAGTAAGACTTCATAGACGGATGAGTGTATGAGTATAGTAGTAATTTGTAATTATAGTGACGCTCTAATGGATAACGTATTTTCACACGCATGCATGCCGATTTGTTCAGTTGTACTTTGTCTTTGTGAAGGCATATTGATGCAATTCATTAAATTGTACAGGATCTGGGTTGGTCACGACTTGTGGCCATCTCTCAGTACGTTGATCTTTGAAAGCATAGCTGTCAAGATTGCAAACAACCACAACTCGAATGTCATTGATCTACTAAACATGAAGGCATTGTATGGTATGTGTATTACAACCTCATCGATGCATACATGTCGAGGGATAATGTTCGTCGCCTGAATCATAAGCACTTTCATCTCATGTTCTTAAAAACGCTTTGTGAGCTCTTTCTGTATTGCTCACAGTGAATACAGCGTGCGCCTGAGATGATGTCTGCCGACTTCTTTGAGGCCTCTGTAGGTTGTTTTCGAGGAACTCATCAAGTGCCTAGATGCTGTGGTATAGACTTGGGATAGAACTCTATCACGAGTCAGGGTCACCCCAACGGCTATTTTCGCTGGTACTAACGGAAGTCGCGATGGATATTGACCAACGAAGAGAGAAGATGTGCGATTGGATGCAAGTACGCGTACGGGAAGGGAAGATGGTGATGAAGATGTCGTATCTGCCACAGATAGACAAAGCAGGCACGTTTCGTTTCATAACCAATCAGATTTATGAACAATCAATCGCGACTTGTGATGATTTTTACCCACATACCTCTTTCCCTTCTCCATCAATCACTAAATTACAATATCAAATCCTACCATGACAATCTAAATCTTCAGACTTCCACCACCTAACACCTCCCCAACAGCACCGATCAACTCACCCAACACCTCCTCCACAAACCCGCCCTCTCTCTCAGCACCAACAACACCAACATGTGTCTCCCCACCTTTGACAAAACTAACAACCTTGAACGGAGCAGGACTATCTCCATGCGGCTTGATCAAATCAACATTACACACTCCACCAGCGAAAGGCATGGTATCCACATCATCTTCGTCATCCTGATGATGCACCAGACTTTGGAAACCGGTGGTGTTTTCCCAACCCACGGCTGCGGCGATGCGGGAGAAGCCGAGGAAGTCGTGGGAGCTGGATTCGGCGACTTGGGTGGCGATGTTGCGAAGGAGGCTCGGGATGTCTGGGGATTTGTCGAGGGACACGCGGACGGATGTGAATTGGTAGCAGGGGCCCATTATGTTGTCGACATTGGCGAGTGAGGGGACGTTGCGGCCAGATGTCACTGCGCCGAAGACAACATCGGAGGTGTGTAGGCGACGAGCCAATACCAGAGACCATGCTGCTGTGAGGATGTTTGCTGTTGTCACATCGGAAGGCTTGTTTGCAATGTCGACGGCTGCAGACTTGAAAAGGCCCTTTTCACTTTCTTGAACAGTGGTTCCCAGAGAAGACAGCGAAGAGCCGGAAAGGAGGTCTCTCCAGTAGGCCGTTGACTTTTGTTGAATAGATGGCTCCAATGTGGCAGCGATGTAGCTAGTAAAGGGCTCGCTGGTAATCTTGCCACCAGTGTAGAGGGTCTCAAGATCGGTGAGCAGAGCAGGCAGAGACATACCGTCATACTGAGCATGCGAGAGACGGAAAACGAGGCCTTCTTTTCCGTCATCACCTTGGACGTGGTAGATTTTGGTGAAAGAATCACCCAGAGCGAACTCTTGCTCAACATCGGCCGCGCAGAGCTCAGCGACCTGCTGCTTGATATCACCTTCGACTCGTTTGCTGACAACCGCGTTGTCTAAGCTTTGCAGCACGACCTGGTAGAAGGTCGAACCATGCTCGATAAAGACAGTACGAAGGATATCGTGAGTCTGAACGAGCTGCTTGCAAGCATCAATCAACTTCTCGCTGTTGACGCCATGTTCGAAAATCAGCGTGGTGTATTGCAGCGATGTTCGTGGTGCTGAAACGGTCTGTGCGATATCAAGTGCCTGTGTATCAGTCACTGGAAGGACGTCGCGGACAGGCCAGCTCGACTCAGCAAGTTTGGGTCTGACTGTTTCGGATAAGAAAGCCTCGATATTTGCATGACCCAACGTTGAGAATGGCTTGTAAGCTTGTGTCTGTTTTTTGGCTTTCGTTACAGCATCCAATTTCATGACCTTGGCCGCGTCACCCAAGCGCATGTGCTGGAATATGTCGGCCACTGACAAAGCATGACCTTGAGAACGGAGGCTTGAGACCAGCTTCATTGCGAGTACAGAATCACCACCGAGACGGAAGAAGTTGTCATCCACGTCAATCTTGTCTGTGCCAATGCGAAGAATGCTGGCCCAAGCTGTTCTGAGAATCTCTTCTGGAACTGTCAATTGAGTCTGAGCAGCGCCGGTCGACCATGCTTGCTCAAGCCCTTGGCGAAGCTGAATGAGTACCTCAGAGGAGATATTCGAAGCCAGCTGGTTGAGTCTATCATGATCAATCTGTCCTGCTTTGTTGGTAGGCAAAATGTCAATCACAATGTATGCGGAGGGTGCGACATAAGAAGGCAGTGAGTCGTGGATGTACTTGTCAAGCTTCTTCAGCGCGACAGCAAGTTCGACTGGTATGCTGGCACAAATTGTGGTCTCGCTTCCTTGCACCCGATGGTCCTCAGTCAAGACATTGACACTGTCCTCAAGAGAGGGTCGCTGATCAATGAAGACAACAATCTCTTGATTGCTCTCTGGTGACGACTGCATCACTGCAGTAGCACCACGAGTGGCAGGTGGCAGATATCTCGCCACGTGTGCCTCGAGATCAGCGAAGTCTACAGCATGGCCTTGGATGGGCAAAAAGTTGTCCTTACGAGCGATGAAGGCTAAGCTTCCATCAGCACGCAACTCGACCAAGTCCCCTGTGGCTTGAGCCTTTCCAACACGGCCAGGATAGGATGAGCTTCCAGCAAGAAGCCAAGCCGGTGACTCGACAACATCGCCCGGAAGGAAGTTGCTCTCGAGCCAAAGCTCACCTACGGAGCCGATGGGCGTCAGGTAAGATGAGTTACGGGAATCGCACACCCACGACACGGCCGCACTAGGATAGACAGAACCTTGCTTCGTGTTGGCGGTTGCTCCCAATCGCTTGGTAGACTCATCAAATGCCAACGGCGGAGTCTGGTTCCATTTCCAGATCTGGTTCAGCTCTGACTCAGGCAGACAGCTCACCTCACCGACTGTTCTTGAGAGATCTTTGGTCAATTGTGAGCAAGCCACTTCAAGCTGTGCAAGGATACGCTCCATTTGAGGAATCTCAATCAGACTGCTGTCAAAGTTGGCACAAACTCTGAAGCCATCCCTTCGAATACCACAACCCACCATGAGTGGGTAAGGATTGAAGTGGAGCGCTTCACGAACGACATCGCCTAGCTCAAAACCGAGGTCGTTGCCTACATATTCAGGTTCAGGTTGAATGACGAGGCCGGTCGGAGCCTCAGAAGCATGTTGAGCATCCTGGCTGACCTTTCTGATATTCTGCCATCCCATATGCTGATACGGGGTGCGTGCTAGGATACTCTGTTGGATAGACTGCAAGAATGACTCGAGCGTGCTTGTGCGGTTGATGCGAATGCGGATAGGCACCGTAGCGATCAGTGGACCAACGATACCCTCGACTCCAGCGAGGGAGATGTCACGTCCGGTGAGTGTTTCACCAAACAGTACATCATCGCTTCCGGAGTACTGCGAAGCAACAAGCGCCCAAGCACCGCGAATCAACGTCGCCAGCGTGAATGGTGAGCCAGAACCAGTCTCAATAGGAATTATACGCTCGACCATTGCATCAGGAGTCGGGACAAAGTCTCGGGATGGCATGCGTGGGAACTGAGGCCCGACTGCTCCCTTCAGCTCCTGACGCCAGAATTCTTGCATGGCCGTCTCGTCTGTCTCGCGAACATATTCGACAAAATCTCTCATACGTGCTGGAATCTCAAGAGGTTGATCAAACAAGACATCGCTGACTTGCTTGAGGATCAGAGGCTCCGACCATCCATCGTAGAGTAAATGATGAACGCTCCACACCATGTATCGCTTGCCAGACTCTGCAGAGTCAACAATAGCGTAGCGAGCCAAGTTTTCACCAAGGTCCATTCTCTCGCTCTTGTCATTCTCAAGGTACTGTTTCAAGTCGGTTGCATATCTCCAAGAGATGCCTTCCTTCAACACAACCTGCTGAAGTCCAGGCTCTTGGAGTTGTGCAGCACGAGTGCGAAGGATGGGGTTTGCGGCGACGACCTTCTCCCAGGCCTTCTTTAGTGCTTCGACATCCATGTCTTGTGGTATTGCTGCCACTCTTTGTGCAAGATACAGCTCGACCGATTTGAGCGAGAAAGTGAAGAGTGACTCTTGTGTGGGGGTGCAAGGATAGATATCCTCGATGTCAGCAGCGTTGGTCTTGCAAGCTTGTGAAGCTTCAAGACGAGCGTCTTCCACAGGACGTGTGATAGTTGAGAATGCTTGTATCTCCTTTTGTGCTTGAGCATCGCCAACCTTAACAACGCTGGCCATCGCCGAGAGGTTTGGATTGCCAAATGTGTCAATAACGGACAAAACCAGACCTTGCGCTCTGCAAGTTGACACAAGTCTCATCGCTGCTAAGGAGTCACCACCGAGAGCGAAGAAGTTATCTTCAAGACGAATGCCTGCAGCGTCCAAATTCAATACCTGACTCCAGGCCTGCTGAAGTCGTTTCTCCAAATCGTTCAGTTCACGACCTGCATCGGCAGAGCCTTGATCTAGGTCTCTCAAATCGACCGTTGTACCAAAAGCTTTGAGTTGCTTGCGGTCAGTCTTACCTGAGATCAAGACTGGAATGTGGTTGACCGGAATATAGGAAGTGGGCACCATGTAGCGGGGTAGTGTCTTCTTGACCTCCTTATCAGCTTTCGAAAGAGCTTCGCGCAGGTCATCTGGGAGTTGGATCGAGCTGATTTCTGTTTGACCATGTCCCTTTGTGGATCCAGGCGCAACAAAAGCTACAAGAGTAGCTTGACCTCCCGATCCCTGAGGGACGATCACCTCGGCGATTACGGTGGTGCCAGAAGGTAATTGTGCTCCAAGCTGACTCTCAATCTCGCCTAGCTCAACGCGTTGACCACGAAGCTTGACTTGAGTATCCTTTCGTCCAGCGAAGATGATACCACCAGAACCGTCTGGGTCATACTTTCCAAGGTCTCCAGTCTTGTATAGTCGACCACGGCGTCCAGCATACTTCTCGTGACCTTCGACGAGCCAAGAGGGATCGTTGATGAAAACCGTCGCAGTCTTCTCAGGATCATTGAGATAACCTTGTCCGACAATTGGTCCTTCAACAAGCAATTCACCAACAGCCCCAGCTGGCATCAATTGTTCGTGATCATCGGGGTTGACGATCCACATACAAGCTCCGTTGCCGGTACCGATTGAGATGTAGTCTCTGCCTGTAGCGGTGTCGCTGTTGATGGTGCATCCAATCGTGCACTCACAAGGACCGTAGCCAATGACAATCCTCGTGTCTTGACCCCAGAAGTTGACGTCTCTGGCGGACGCCGCTTCTCCGCCAAGGCCCAAGACGTCAAGTGACTTGATGACATCGGGGTCCAGGATTCGGGCCATAGAAGGTGTGATTCCTGCATAGTTGATCTTCATATCTCTGATCACCCCATTAATGTCGTTGAGACGATCTGCGTCGGAAGGAATGCAAAGACAGCCGCCATTGCCAACAGTCAAAAACATGCTATCGATACTGACATCGAATGCGTAAGAAGCGAAGTCAAGGACTCTGGACTTCTCAGTATAGCCAACTGCTTTCGCTCGAGGGATAGCACTGCTGGTATATGTCTTGTGTGAGATTGTAACACCTTTCGGGGTACCAGTGCTTCCGGACGTGAAGATAATATACATTAGAGTGTCGGTATCGACGGACGGTAGGGTTTTGGTTGAGGATTTCGAAGATGTGCTTGCAAATGCTTCTTCTTCGACAACAAAATGCTTTCCATCAGGCAAGACCGATGTCGCAAAATCGTTCTGGATGCGGGAGGAAACAATGACCTTAGCGCCAATCTGTACTGCCATGTTTTGAAGACGAGCAAGCGGAAGCGATGGGTCCATCATTGCAAAAGTTGCTCCTGCCTTCATAGCTGCCAAAACGGCAACAATTGCCCATCGTGACTTCTCGAAGCACAAAGGTACAATGTCATGTGGTTGAACGCCCTCTTCCACCAGAGTTTGAGCCATGCGTGTCGAATATTGCTCAATCTGACCAAAAGACAAAGTTCCGTCCCAGGAATCAATTGCAATCTTGTCCGGGAATTGTTGTGCTCGCTCGGAAACCATGTCTTGCATACAGAAGTTGTAAGTTGGTGGTAATTCATGGTTGTATCTCCAGATTTCGTCCAGATCACTCCGTGTTGGTCCCAAACATTCTTGAATGGTGGCTTGATCGTTCATGAGGCAGAGCTCTACTGTGTCCGCTAGGGATGTGACATATCGCATCACTTCATTATCTAGCATTTCCCTGCTGCGCAATACGGGTTTGATCTCGAGGTGGCCCCTCTCAGAGGATAAGCTATCGAACGAGACTTCCACCTGAAGCACACCCTGCAATCATTGTCAGCGGTGTCAATACAATAACGAGCTATGTACGTACTTCTGGTTCTTCCTCCTTTTGAAACATTGTACCGGTACTAAGTATCATGGGATCCTGCTTGGGAGGAACTTTGCTCGGTATTAATGGCGTAGAACATTGCCAAATCCTGTTCGAAACCGTCTCGACATTTTCATCCAGTTCTTTGATAATGTGAGACCCGTCGACCTCACGCTCCGGCCATTGGGTATCCAGGAGGTCTCGGTGAGCCCACTCATACGAGACTTGGCTTCCCTCTCTGGTGCGCATGAGAACAATCAACCATGCCAGACGTATAATATCTTCTCTCATTCCCGTTCGTGTTTTGAATTCGTCGGCCTGTAGAAATCGGACCTCACGAGAGACACCGAAATCATTAGAGAAGCCATTGACAAGGCCAGCTGAAGGATGTTGCGAGTCACGCATGCCGTCGTCCAACTTGAAGCCCTTTCTTGTGATATGTTGGACTTGTAAAAATGGTATAGATAGTCGTCACCTCAAAGGAGTTTGGTCCCTGTCAAACACTCTAACGACCAACAAAGACATCACTCGGATCAGGCTTGCCCAGAACGACCATGGTGGAAGATGCCGAGCAGGAGCAATAGCATGGATGGCCTCAAGCGACATCGGGTCATAGATCCGCTACAATGGCACGACATCTGATAAGATGAAGAGTTTTCAAGGCGCACGGAGACATGCTCAACGCGAGCAAGAGCCGGGAGCTACTCGAGACGCTACACGAGGTGTGTGCATCTGATTAGATGATTCGCGCTCCATCGACGTCGTTGGTGTCCACTTGGTCGACGTAAACTTTCACGTTGGCGGGTTGGAAGTGGGGTTGCAGCAGTTTGAGCACAGACGTATACTTCATCTGATTAGATTTTAGACGAGGTCAATCAAAGCTCAGACTAAGCGACAGAATCGGTTTCTCAGCTCTGCAAAATCATGCCATCTCTCGGATCAGATTAGATTCTGTTTGTCAGACAAACTCTCGTGTCCGGCCATAGCACTGATTGCCTCTCCACACACACTTCCGTGCTCTTGATGGAGTTGGCATGTTGAAGCAGAGGTCTGATCGAAGGAGTCGATCGGCAGGGCGCGTGGACACAGGTCCGTTCGCACGAGCTAAGTGGCTTGGCTTGCAGCGTAACCTTTTCCCTTGGAGACGGCCAACGCATCGTCGTTGATGAGGCCACACCATGTTTCTTGTTGCGACGCTACGGCTTCGACGGCGCTACCGCTTCATGGCATTACGCAGATCATAGCAGGACTAAACGATGCTCTCCCTCGGGACTGACAACCGTGTTTCGGAACAGAGTGTTTGAGCCATGTGCCGAGGAAGTCCATCAGGGTGTCCGAAATATACTTGTTGCTCGTTGTAGGTCCTTGACTCTTTGTGATTGACAGATCAACATTGAACATGGTCACAATGGCCTCGATGACAGCACCCCCCCATCAGTACCCTCTGGTCAAGCTACCTCATCCTTTTTTGACTGCATACAAAGTCAACATTGTGTCTTCAAGCTTCCCAGCCAGACGAGTGTTGCATCTGGAAGAGCAGCCCTCCAATGGAAAGGCACCCACCGAGGCATTGCACTCAGACTCGCTGACATGGCTGGACCTGCACACCACACTCAAGGAGTCTCACCCTCCGCTCAATGATAACAGCGACTGGGCTCGCGCTGTTCGCGGCCCACAAACCACCTTCAAGTGGCCTGAGAGCACTGCACCAACCCTCGGTCAAGTGTGGAATGCCGTCCACGCCATCTACCTCGCATACCCCAACACCGAGCACTTCCGCCTGACGCTCCAAGGAGCTCAGAAACAATCTCTCCACGACGAGCTACTAGCCACCGGCCTCGCCATCGAACACCCCAAAGCCTGGCACCTCCCCAACGACTCCATCCCTCGCACCACCGAACTCCTCATCCTCCGCAGCGCCTTCTGGCAAGGCGCCGCATCCCCAACTGGTCCCCGCCCCATCTGGGTCCTCGGCGACGGTATCGACAAGCAAATGCGCACGCCTCTTTCCAACTATCCTGTCATGCCCGAGAACCACCACTTCACCATGAAGTTCCCGTCCGAACGCGTTTACGCCCGCCATCCCATCCGCCGCCCCAAGCCCGCTCCCCAAAGCATCTGCTACTCGCGCTACATCCCCGAAGTAAACCAACACTTCTCCCTCGAAGTCGTAGACTGGCAATCCCCCGAACACCTGCAACTCTTCCACGAATGGCAAAACTCCCCTCGTGTAGCCAAAGGCTGGAACGAAACCGGAGACTTGGAACACCATCGCAATTACCTCAGAAACTTGCACTATGATCCTCATGTGCTGTGTCTCTTTGGCCGCTTCGACGACACAAGATTCTCCTACTATGAGCTTTATTGGGCGAAAGAAGATCACTACGGCGCTCACTTTGACGCTGGCAACTACGATCGTGGCCGCCATTCTCTCGTCGGCGATGCATCGTTCCGCGGCGCCAAGAGGGTGAACGCGTGGTACTCCTCTTGCATTCATTATTGTTTCCTCGACGACCCTCGCACTGCAAATGTAGTTGGCGAGCCCAAAGCTTCTGGAAGTATCATCTTGAGCTATGAGCAGAGTCAAGGGTTGGCGATTGGAAAGTTTGTGGATCTGGGGCACAAGAGGAGTGTGCATAGTGTGGCTAGTAGGGAGAAATGGTTCCAGCTGTGTCCGGTGTTTTGGGATGGGAGAGAGAGGCCTTTGGAGAGTGCCGATAGAGCTGCTTGGGCTGCCAAGTTGTAGTTCTGTTTATGCGAAAAGCTGTGAATTTTGATGTATGGAATGAACTGTATCTTGTATTCATCTTTTCTATGTATGCACCTTGTTGATCAAACTCAACACATTCGCCTCGGTGACATCGATTTCCTTCTTTTCCTCCTTTGCCACGACAGTCTCTGTGAATGAATCAACCATACTGGTCACACTATTCCCATCCAAGCTGCTATCCTCACTTTCGACTACCTGCTGTTTAACACCCACACCCCTCAACACCTCCACCACGAATTCACCCTTTGTATCCTTGACAATCCTCGCACGATCGCCAGTCTTGCATAACCGTCCATACACACCACTGTGCAAGAAATACTCAGCGTCCAGATCAGGTCTATTCAAGAACCCGGAAGACAGTTGAGGGCCACCGATGTAGAGGTCACCTGCACAGCCTAGCGGTACTGGGGCTTTGGTACGTGGGTTCAGAAGTAGGATAGTGGTTGTTGGGAAGGGGTTGCCTATGATGGTATCTCTGGTTGTGGAGGAGAGGGCGGGGAGGATGGTAGAGGATATAGAGCAACCGGGGGTGCTGTAGGTGCGGAGGAGGGTGAGGGCTGTGTAGGGTGTGTATGATGTTTCTTGTTCTAGATGTTTGATGAGGGAAGGTGTGAAGCTGTTGCCTATGCACCATAGTCGTCGTAGAGAAGGTGTCTTTGTGGGTTGGAGCGTGGATACCATTTTTGCAGTTGCTGAGGTGATGGTTGCGGATACTTTGTTGATTGCGGTCGTCATATTGAGGAGATATGTTGATGGTACACTGCAGAGTGTTCCGCCTGTTGACCATGTGGTGAACATCTCCATAGTCGACGTGTCCGAGGTAGGAGGTGCAGATTGCAGCCATCGGAATCCTCGCTTGCTCATGTATGCAGGTATCTGCTTGCAGTGTGATGATATCGCATAGTTTGCCGCCAGATGTGTGATCTTGACACCTTTGGGCACGCCTGAGGAGCCACTGCTGTACATGACATATGCAAGATCTGTCTCTGCAATACCAGGTAGTGGTATATCATCTGCCACGTATGGTGTCCGCATCCAGTTGAGGATAAAGTCGTTGACGTCCAAGCAGGCGGATAACTCATCGTCGTCGCAATACCATGCATCCCAAGGACATCCACATACCATGGGTCCATCGGTCAAGACCAGCGCCGCACATACATCCTCGACTATGTTCTGTAGTTCGATGGCTGGTGCATTGACGGGCAATGGACAGAGCGCAAAGCCGGCTTTGAGGACTGCTAACCACGAGACGTAGAAGGCAGGGGAGGCAGTCATGTATACTGGCACGATTGTTTGAGTTTGGTGGGAGGCGTGAGGTATATTGCTTCGCAGCTTGTGAGCTAGCTTGGTTGTGAGGGCGTCTAGTTGCCCGTATGTCAATGTGAATTGTGTTGTTTCTGAGCGGTAGTCCAGAGCGTGCCGACCAGGATGTTTTTCGACTGTTTTTGAGAAACCGGAATGGAGCAATGATGGTAAGGCCTCATCTCCGAGTAGTGGTGATTTCATGAGCGGTGGATGACTGAGGACGGATGGCCGTGTTTCATGGTCGGCGTACACTTTTGTTCTTGATATGTGGTTCACGAGCATCTTGAAAGCTGCATCCGCGTAGTCATTGTCCATCAACTTTCTGTCGTATATCATGGTCAAAGTCATCTCCATGGCATGGTATTGGACCAGGAAAGGCTATTTCAATGCATCAGTAAGTTGATTGACAGTTTCAGTGAGACAGGGAGCACTCACACAATCAAGCAATGTTGGTGCCTTTGCCGAATCAAAATTGTCGACATCGGCGAGAATCTCAAGACCAAAGTCAAACGTCCCTGTACCATCTTCATGAGGTTGGACAACATCAAGGACACAATCATCCGTCTGCTCAATTTTTGATACAGTTTGTCCATTCAGTATCTTGGCTTGAATGATCTGCGATTCCAAAGGCTTGTCCAGTCTTGTCCGCAGAGCATATTGGAAGGTAACTTCAGACTCTCCAGTATAAGATGTGATGAACTGAGTATAGCTCTGTAGAAGAGCATCTCTGCTTTTTGGACGAGCTACAGGATTGGTCGCATAATAAAAAGCTCGTCTGCTGCATTGCCTTTTGTCGTTTCGTTCACGTCGTGCGAATGTAGCCATTGTATCAAATCTTGGAAACACAGTCGGCCGACTGTCCAACGATGAATCTGCCATTATTTCGAGCAGGTCGTGAAATCAGATGTGTGATGGATAAGATAAGAAAAAGTTCTGTGATTGCCATTCTTGCATCCTTTACTAGCTACATACTTGCCTGTGCATCAGTTCGTGACCCTGTCCTTCTCTGACTTGTCGAGACGAGAACTGAGGGGACATCCCGGAAGCCTCGGCCATGGCATTACAGCTCTGTCAGGTAGCAGCGACATAGGGACATGGCCAAAGCGATTGGTGACTGCTAGGGCAAGACGAGTCGCAACACCATGGCAAATCCGAGCAGATTCCGCGAAGACGATGATCGTCGCGACGGAGAGATAATTTTCTGACGGTTGAACGAGGTGCATAGACGGTGGATTTAGGGTTATCAATCTGATAATCGACCCGCCCTGCTACAGAAGCTCGGGCCAGCTTGGCGAGAATGACTGCCGCGTGGTTTGGCTTGCTCTTCCCGAGCTTCCGCTTCTTGTTACACCACCTTCGTGTCAGACCTGTCTCGCCATTGACAAGCTTTCCATGGCTTGCCTTGCGGCCTTGTTTTTCTTCTCTCACTCACTTCCAAGTGGATGATTCAGGGTCCGGATTGATGCCGTTGATCGATACTGGTGGATGAAGGATGCGAAGATCATTCGCTCGATCCGAATCACGTCCCATGTCCGAAATCCCCTACCGAGGTGCAACAGCACGGTCCCTTCGTGTCGGACGCGAGCACTTGCGCATGTCAAGAGCCGCCGTTGGTTTGGATCCCACATCATCAATTTGAAATGACGTTGGGCAGTAAGTTTTTCTCGTCGTCAGGACCGCTCAGCCGGTGTCGGGATGGGTCGATGGACATGGAGACATGGCGGGGCATGCATTGGTACATTTTTTATCAGATCCGCGCTGGATGATGAAGACATTGGTGTAAGGAATCAGTCACGATGCAGACAATCAACAACATCTACGAGGTGAACACACCGAAAGCACAACTGTCAGTGTTTCATGGACCGGCAGATCCTCCTTTGGTGACGGTAGCATTGGGAGAGTTTCTCGACATCCAATGCGAACGATATGGAGAGCGTGAAGCTCTTGTCTTTCCATGGACCGGAACACGATGGACATACAATGACTTGAAAGAGGAGAGCTCAAAGCTTGCAAGATATCTCTACTCGAGGGGCATTCGTCCTGGGGATAGAGTAGCGATTCTTGCTGGCAACAGAGTTGAATATGCTTCAGTCTTCTTTGCGTGTATGCGTATTGGTGCCGTGCTGGTCATCCTGAACAATACCTACACCATTCCTGAAGCACAGTATGCTCTGCAATATACAGGTAGGCTCTCAAGATTGTCCCATACCAAATGCCACCGATTTGACCATATTCTAGACTGCAAGGTTCTCTTTGCGACACCGACGATTGGCAAACACATCGACAACTCGAACATGCTCAGACACTTCTCGAACAGCGACGAGTTACCGGCATTGCAACAGATTATCATCCTCGCAGACAACCTCGACAACCTACTACATTACCAAGATGCCATCAAGATCGGATCACGGCTACCCAATGAGCCCGTCAAGCAAGTGCAAGACAGTCTTTCACCCTACGAGACATGCAACCTACAATTCACAAGCGGTTCGACCGGCCACCCCAAGGCAGCCATGCTTACACATCACGGTCTGCTGAACAACTCGCGATTCATCGGCGATCGCATGAGCTTGACAGCAGAAGATGTGCTTTGCTGCCCACCTCCTATGTTCCACTGCTTTGGTCTGGTACTGGGCATGCTGTCATGTCTCACACACGGCGCAAAGATTGTATACCCCTCAGAGATCTTCGACGGACCATCAGTATTGCAGGCAATCACCGACGAAAGATGTACTGCTATCCATGGTGTACCAGCCATGTTCGATACTCTGTTCAGCCTGCCTCGTCCCGCAGGCTTCAACTGCGATAGACTGCGCACCGGCATCATTGCGGGTGCTCCTGTACCACGCCATTTGATGGAGCTTCTTGTCAACGAGTTCGGCATGACCGAATTCACCAGCAGCTACGGTCTCACCGAGGCCTCACCAACCTGCTTCAACGCCTTCGTCGACGACTCCATCGACCGCCGTCTCACAACCGTAGGCACCCTGATGCCCCACGCCCACGCCAAAATCGTCGACAAGAACAACCGCATCGTCCCCGTCGGCACCCGTGGCGAACTCTGCATAGCCGGCTACCAGCTCCAACAAGGCTATTTCCGCAATGCCGAGAAGACAGCCGAAGCTATGGAGCGCGATGCAGATGGTGTATTATGGTTGCACACAGGCGACGAAGCAGTTTTCGACCGTCACGGCTACTGCTCCATCACCGGCCGCTTCAAAGACATCATCATCCGCGGCGGCGAAAACATTTACCCCCTCGAAATCGAAGAACGCCTTATCAAGCACGATGCCGTCGAGCGCGCCATTGTTGTCGGTCTGCCTCATACCAAGTATGGCGAAGTAGTCGCTGCATTCTTGCAACGCGCATCTGGTGCTTCCAAGCCTAGTGATGAGGAAGTTCGCGAGTGGACCAGACAGACTTTGGGCAGACACAAGGCACCCGCTCATGTATTCTGGCTCGGCGAGAACGGAGTCACGGATCAAATCCCCATCACCGGTAGTGGCAAGATCAAGAAGTTTGAGATGAGGAAGATTGGACAGGATTTACTTGCTTCCATGCCCAAGGCTAAGCTTTGAGTGTGCTGCTGCTGTCGCTGTATGGTTGTTTCCTATTATGACTGGCGTTTCTTTTGTTGTTTTCTGTAGTAGTTTAGGTTGTGGTTTGAGCAAGGCAAAAGTAATGGTTTGTTCTCCTCATGTTTGATGTTCGATGTTCTTGATCTGCGTTCTGCGGCCTTGCCCTGTTGTCATTGTGCCGCGTGGCTCTGTGATTGCCATATGCATGGCTATCTGATCTCCACCGCCAGATCTGTTCTTCTCCATGCAGTCTCCGACCTCGCATAGTTGGTAGATAGGGCTTCAATTATCAAATCCGCTTCCATGGCCGCGGTCTCACTGCCCTTGATGATCCATATCATGATCGTCTTCATCTGCTCATCCTCCACACTCATCGATGTACCTGATATGTTGCATATCTACTCTGCCTAGGGCATTCTGTTATCAAGTGCCACGTGGGAATATCTTGTCTCTTATCTATCAGTCCCGTGAGATTGGTATGCGGCCGGCTGTCATGTGAGATAGTGTACCAGAGTTGATGATGTACCGAAGTGGCGGTTCAGCCACGTGGGAAGGAACTTGCGACGACGTTCGAAGGGACGGAAGGAGCAACAGGTATAAAAATCAATGTAGATAGCTGACGTGATAACAATATCGCTCAATACGCAAGAAATTAAACTACACTTTTCCAAACGGCACGTACAGTATGCCATAACATGTATCCAAAACATCCACAACTCCAACATGTATCGAAGTAAAAAAGACAGAGCTGCTTACAACATGGCAACTTCGCCCTTCATCTCCTCACCACCAGCCACACTATCGATCAATGAACTCAAAAGCCTGTTTCCCCTCTCGACAGCAAAACCCATATCCTCATCTCTGAGTTCACCTTGCTCGAGCGATCCCAACACCCACACACCAGCATCCTTAGCGACGACATTCTTTCTGAATGAAAGTTTATACTCTGCATCCACCTGTGCCTTTTTATCTTGCAGCACACCCGCAGCTTCGATATCTTGGAGCAATGAAGTCGAGTGCGTGTACCCGCCAGCAGCAATGACGATGTCGAAAGCGCCGTCTGTCTTTTTGGTTTCGTTTGTGCGAGGGTTCTTGGTCATGAGACGAAGTTTGTTGTTTTCTTGGGCGATAGATGTGACTTCGGAGAGGGGGCAGATGTTGAAGCGGCGGGCGGATGGGTTGGGAGTGGTGATGCGTTGGGCGTAGAGGTTTTCGTACAGTGCTTCGATGGTTGAGAGGGCGATCTTGGGGCCGCGGGGGGTGGAGGTTGTAGTTAGGAGGCGAGGACGGAGCTCAGGAGGGATGGAGTTGGTTGAGGCACCGGGGAGGACGTCGTCGATGATGTCTTGAGTGCTGTGTATGTTGTTAGTTGTGCTATATGTAGAAGTGAGAAGAGGGAGAAGCTTACAAAGAAGTGTTGTCCTCTGGTCGCAATGCAGAGTCCGAGATGAACATGGTTGCTCGTACACGGTGCAAAGCACCCGCACTCTGCAAATGCTCGAATATCTCAGCGGCCTCTTGATCCGCACCCACAATAGCGATATCCTGATCCTTCAAATTGTGCAACAAAGGAGCAACTTGAGAAGTATGCAACACCTTGTCCTTTCCACCCATCAAGGTAGCAGGAATTCTAGGTTGAGATCCAGTAGCCAGAACAACACGCTTGGAAGAAATGGTGCTGTTGTTTCCTGAAGCATCGCGAACGTTGATCTTCCAGCTGCTGATTTGGGAAGAGTTGTTCTTGACAGGAGTGACGCGGGTAGCAGTGCTAGAATAGCGAACCCAATTTCTCTCTGCCATCTTGGAAGCGACCCAACCGAGATAGTTGCCCATGACCAATCTTGAAGGAGTCATGTGCGAGGAGTTGACGAATTGAACAAGCTGGTTGCTCTCAAACAGATAGTTGACAAAAGTAAACTCGCTGCGAGGATTGCGTGTGGTGATCAAGTCACGCAAGAAGGAAGTGCGTACTGCATTCTCAGGAAGCACTGAAGCAGGAGCCCAGTCGAATGCATCCTTTGATTCCAAGAAGAGGACTTTGAGGTCGGTTTCCGAGTCCGCGAGGGCAGTTGCGAGGGAGAGAGCTGTGGTGCCAAAGCCAACGACAACAAGGTCATAGGATTGAGTTGTAGATGATGCATTGGCACGAGCTGCCTGAGGCGTAGATTCCTGGACTTGGAAAGACATCTTCGTAACTGCCTTTTTGTGGTATATAACAAGTACAAAGACAACGAGTAAGATTGATAAGATAAAGAATGCAAGAGCAGATACAAGACAAAAGATCAGATTGTAAAACAGCTACAAGAAATGTCCTTGGTGTGCAATCAGATCATCTTCCTGGACGCACCAAAAACTTACTTCTCGGCAATGAGTTGCCTTGCCCTTTCCCTGCACGCATGCCTCCGTTCATCGGCCACGCAAACATCGCATGATTGACATCGCTCTTCGCATCACATCGAATGTTGAGAAAAAGCTCGTGCAACACCGGACTCAAGCATCCACACCACGTTGCATGTTGCATCTGATAAAAAATTTGAATTTAGCCTTTCCACCAAGGTGACCCACAAACAAAGTGCATCATGTCATGCAGGGTTCATCTCGAGCACGAGCGCCAACCGTTTGCCAAGGCGCATCGGACAGGCTGTCGAGTCAAGCCACTTGCGCTGGCACAGAAAAAATCAAGGCGTGCAGCATCCCGAGCTCGTTCGTTGCAAGCGAAGGAGAAGCGGGCTCGGAAGGTGTGGAAGCAAGGAAAAGGACGGTGAAACACAAATGTACAAGGGTCCAAGCTCGAAGCAAGCCACGCAGATCCATGGATTATCGGCCCATCTGATTAGATTTCCCCTGCCGAGGTCTTGTGACACCTCTACCGTGCTACCTCGTAACCGTTTGTCACTGTACATTTCCACCACCGGTTAGGAAATCTGTTGCGAGAACGAACACTCCGAAGCCGCCCGACGGTGAAAAGTTTGATCTGATTAGATGGCTCTGGATTGAAGCATGTGTCAGAGACAGGGCTTGGGGATATGGCGTGCATGGATGTTCATTGACTGACACGTGGTGAGCTCGGAGACGTGGAGGCAGCGGTTGATTGATTTACGGTCATTGCCGTTTCGTTTCGTGATGATGATCGATCTGGGGGATGGGTGTGATGATGGACCCAGGTCCGGAGACGGGCTATGAAGATGGTGGTGATTGATAAGATGGGATCAGAATAATGGAGGCAAGATAGACGAGAAGCGTACAGTGGCTGTTTTCACCATTCTGGATATGGATACTGGCATGAGAAAAAAAACGGATATCAGGACAAATAGATGGCAGAGCGTGTACATTCGTCGTTATTCTTTTGCGTGTCTAATCTATGCACCTGTAGACTTGTTCAGGTATCCAAGCACCTTCTCAACCAGAAACTTTCTAGCCGGGCCTTGATCGTCGTTACTCAAGGCATGCGAAGCATTGGGTACAACAGCAGTGTGCTCCTCATCCCAAATCTCCTTGTCTCCACCAGCGTTGGCTGCCTTTGCCCATCTCTTCATCAGACCTGCCTTGTCCACCCACTCGGGCACTGCTTGGTCTGCACCCGAGTAGAAGGCAGCCATCTTGTTCTTCAACAATCCTTGCTTTTGAATCATGCCGAAAGACTTGGCCAGTTGCTCATCGCTGAGATCTGAACTGAAGACATCGTCTTCTGAAGGGTTGTGAGGACTTTCCGGGCTCACGAGACTCAAGAAACGGCGTGCAGATAGCGGTGTGTTGGCAGGGTAGCCAATCTGATATGTCAAGTGGATAGGAAGTAGCGCATCGAAAGTTTGGTCTTCCTTGCTCGCAAACTCTTTTGCCATCTTCTCCAACTGCTCGTAGTAGGCCTGGCATTGGTCGGGGGTGTTACCGCGGAAGCCATGCTGGCAGACGAGTTTGATGCACTCTCTGTCGCTGATAGGAGCCTGCATGATGGCTCCGTCCAGCGCCAATCGCTTCAAATGCTTGAGATCGGAGTCGAACGAGGGGTTGGTGGTGTGGGGGTTTGACCGCGACAGATAGTGCAGCACCATCTGACTGCCGGTAGAGTGTCCCATGAGCACAATCTTGCCGTCATCGCCGAACTTTGACGTCTTGTAATCCTTGATGTATCTTATTGCTTGTGCAAGCTCATCCGTATCTCTGTCAAGGTGTCCGAGGCCCCACGATTGGTATGAGGATGTGAGGGTGAGCGAGAAGAGCGACCACTCTGTTTGTGATAGGGCGTGAACCAGATCGGCTGTGTAGGACGTCGTTCCCATACCATCGCCGAGGCCTCCTACGAACAGGATACTGTGAGGCTTGCGGGCAGCGCTTGCCGTGTATTCAAAAGTGGTCAATGTTTCTGTCTACAAGTCACTAATCAGCAGCTGTCATTGAGCTTTGCAACCGCGAGAACGTACGAAGTGGTGCAGGATGCCCTGCATACCACCCTTGGGCCAGAATTGCGAGTATTTGCTCATCATAATGTGGTGTGCGGGGTACAGTGCGAAAGCTCTATGTCACAATATCCAGATGCTGTAAGATTGAAGCCAACGGTATACACAATCGTGATTGCGGTCGATCCAGACAGTCGATGTGACAGAGGAACAAGACACAACGCAAGCACGACCCCTCGTGTCAGACTCAATTCACGGCGATAATCCGCTTCGCTCATGGTTTCCTCCGAGCCCACGAAATACCCGGCATCGGGCTCGAGCTTCTGAACTCCATGGAATGTGTGCGGCAGGAACTGTCACAGAAACAGAGAGCTTGAGGTAGGACCCACCACGGGTCTGATAACCCTGAACGCTAACACCCAACAAAAAAATCTGATAAAACGCATCAGGCCAGTTTTGCTTGGCAACCAGCCCTCCGGATCAGATAGTCCCTTAGCCCGGGCCCGAACGCCAAGCAAAGAAAATCAAAGCTTCACGGCCTCCAGCTTTTTCGCTAAGCCTCGGATCAGATAATCTTGTTTCGACACCAAGAAGCAAAGTCAATTTCGACCCCCTGCAGCTGGTCACTTTAGCCAATGCTTTTTGATTTCGTGCCCCATATCGGTGACGAGGATGCCCACTCTATCCCATGCCGATTATCTGATCCGAGTCAAAGTCTATGATCACTGTCTCAAGAAGCAAGCAAGTCGCGGTGAGGGGAAACGGCAAAGAGGATGTGCAGTGAAATGCTATGTTTATTGTGCAAGCAAGTGTAAATTGACAATATGCTGCGAAGGTGTGATGATGCTGTAAAACCGCTGGAATAACTTTTGCAGAGGTGATTAAAAACAAGGTATAATTCGTACAAGATCGTTCGTGCACTTCATGATCTGTGAAACTGTACATGATTGAGAAGATGGGAGAGCCGCTTAGAACAAGACACCCTTGGTCTGGGTCTTGGTGAGCTTGACGTCCTTGATGATGAACATCCAGATGAGAGAAGTTGCCATGATACAAGTACCAGCGATCAACATTCTGCTCTGAGCCACTGCATAAGCCTTGATGATGGCCTCACGAACGGGGTCGCCCATTGGGTAGCTGAGTTGAGTAGCAAGATCCTCGTAGATGGTCTCCCAATCGGCGAGTGCCTCAGCAGGAAGGTACTTCTGGAGGGCGTCGGGCATGGTGTGAGTCCAGACGGCACCAGAGATAGAGCCACCGATACCACCACCAATGTTACCGAAAACGTTCAAGAAAGCGAGGGCGGCAGCAGCGTTGTTGTGGTCGGATGCGGACAGAACAGCAACCTGCTGGCAGATGATCATGGTACCGCCGGCAAATGCGATGAAGATCTGGCACATGATTGTGTAGCCGACAGAGAAATGAGGTCTACGGAAGTAGATCATCAGACCAATTCCGAGAATGTAGAGAGGGACGGCAATCCAGAGGAGCCAGCGGAAGCGACGGGAGCCCTTGATGGCGAAGCCAACACAGAAGAGCCAAACACCAGAGACAACGTCGAAAATACTGGCAATGTAACCAGCAGTGGCAAGGCTAGTACCGAAAACGACCTGGAGGTACGAGGTGAAGTAATCATACCAGCAGTAGTAGGAGATCTGGTAGGTGGCATCGATTAAACAGGCGCCGATGACAGTTCTGTTGGCGAGAAGCTCCCAGGGAAGGAAAGGCACGGGTGCAAGGAAGCGTTCGGCCAGAGCAAAGGCAATCAGACAGCAGAAACCAATGACAAGCATGACAATGATGTGAGCAGACTTCCAGTCATCTTCGGCGGAGCCAGCAATAGTGAAGGGGAGAAGGAAGAGAGCAAGACCAGCTGTGAGAAGGAAAACGCCAAGAACATCGAACTCGATGATGTAGTACCATACATTTTCCTTGAAGGTTCTGCCACTCTTGGGCTTGTCCTTGAGAAGGCCGTTTTTCTTGGCCTTGGACTTGAAGTAGCGCAGCAGACCGAAGAAGGGAAGAACAACGGCAGGCAGGACGATACAGAAGGTTCCGTATCCCCAGCGCCAGTTGGTGTCGTAGAACTGCTCAGCAGCGGCGGGACCAGCGTAGGCGGTGATGATAAACGGAGATGAAGTCAAAGCGTAGGCGAGACCTCTGCTGCGAAGTGTAGAAGTATCGATGGTGACAACGTCAACACAGAAGATAAGACCGGCTGAACCAATGGCGTAGAAGACCTGAGAAGCACAGTAGGTTCCAATGTCGTTGCAAGTTGCGGCCAGAATCAATCCAAGAAGGAAAAAGACGAGCATGATGATGAGACCGACGGTACGATCCCACAAGTTCAATACTTTGGCAAGGGGCATGTAGGTTGCAGCTCCCATGATGGAAGAGATGATCGAGATGACCGGAAGCAGGGAATGCGCCTCGAATCCAGATGTGATATAGGCACTAAGGTTGCCAGTAATGTTGGACTGGAAAGCGTTCACGCAGTAAATGGACCACATCCTGTTCTAGATGTCAGCTGGCGTCCATCATCGTCGCACACCTGTCTCAGTGCTTACAAGGCATAAGTTGCGATCATGGAGGTCTTGTTCCATGACAGTGTGATGGCCTCGGCCTGTGTGACACCGTCTTGGGCTGCCTCGTTAGGAACATCCTCGCTGGACTGGTCCTGATCGATCACCTCGTTCTGAGGGTGCTTGGAGATGCCTTGAGCACCATATCTTTCCGGATCTTGGAGATGCATCTCGGTGGTTCCGACATCCGAAGCAGAGCTGGAGCTGCCCTCTTGAGGGTCGTTGGAAGAGAAGAACTTCCTCCTCAATGCTGAAGGCATCTTGGCTGTTCTCTAGATGAAAGAGAGATATGGATTGGAATGAGAACTTCGGAATAGAGGGCCCCTCGTAGGGAGACAAGACTTTAACCTTTTTATCTGGAAGGAATGCAGCTGAAGGAAAAATGGGACCACACCTCACATTCGGGGTCTCGTTGAGGTTTAACGGTACTGGGGACTCCTAGCGCGGGAGGCCAAGGATCAGGGCGGATCAGATTGTATTGATCGATTTTACGGGGGTCGCGAAACGTATTCAGTGCCGCCAGCAAGTCATGCGATTTCGGTAAATTTGAGCGCGCTCATACAAAGCTGAATCAGTGCCCTAGGCTTCACCTTCCGTCGTGCCCTCTCACAACACACCCGGTCCGCTACGAAGAACCGCCGGGCCATCTTTGATCAGATAAGATTCGACCAAGGATCAGTGGCAAGGGCATGTACCCGCCGGTGATGGCTGGCACCAACGTAATTTCGGCGTGTCTGGAATATTTGGCGGAGGGAAACGAGGCTTTTTCGGGCGTTGTGTTGCGATTTTATGGAGTTGCTCCGGCGTCGGGGCCCACGCGGTGCCTTCCACGACGCCCAACACGCCCGTGACGGATGAGTTCATCAAGATCATCAGATTATCTTATCTAGCGCGGCAGCAATGCGCAAACGATGTCGCATTAGCCCGCCGGTCGGGATTTTCTCTTGTGATTGACAGCACAAGCTTTCGTAATAGCTTCATTGCTTCATTGCTTGCCCAGCATGCGTCGGCTAACTCGTATGACTTTATGACTCTCGTTGAGTTAAGGCGTGTGAGCAAAATGTACCCAGACCCACCGCCTTTTCCACGGTGGCTACTCGCTTTTTGGTACTGTGCATCCTTCGTTTCCTTGTAGCATCTTTATCAGATCAAATATTTCGAGGTCCAGGCGCACTCTTTTTGCCTATTGAAGGATCCCGCGGACGTATTTCGATTCCTAGCACTGTACTACAGCGGCATTGAGTTGCCCTTTGTCGGTGAAATTGATGGTCGCGATTGCATACTAGCAATTTGATCATAGGGCATAACGATATCTGCCAGATCTTACTTCCAATTCTCCAGGTTGAGTCCATCATGGGAGGCTTCATTCAGAAACTCGGAGGCTACCCACGCCTATTGCTTGCAGGCAATCCTACAGCACGCGACATTGGGACATTATTACTCGGTATCATAAGCTCAATCGCAGCTGGTGTTCCATTCCCTATCATTGGTATCTTGTTCGGTCAACTTCTGGATGATTTCAACGCGGCGACTTGCGATCAAGCCACAGATGCTGGAGACGGTGACCAAGGAAGCATCAACAGCACGATTCTGATTATCTTCTACCTGGCCATCGCCCAATTTGTCTGCATCTACGTTCATCTTACTTGCTGGACTCTCAATGGTGCTCGTCTTGCACAAAGACTCCGCGAGAGCTACCTCCAAAATTTGCTCAGACAGGAGCCATCATTCTTCGACAACCTGCCTCCAGGAGAAGTTGCATCCAGACTTCATGGAGATATCCAAACTATTCGTTCCGGAACCGCCGAAAAGGTCGGCATTTGTCTTTCCAGTGCATCTTTCTTTGTCACTGCATATATTGTCGCATTCATCAAGGACTGGAAACTGGCGGCAGAATTGCTTTCTCTGATCCCCGCTTACTTCATCATGTCCATTGTTGGAAGCCACTATATCGAGAAATACTCTGGCATGGTTTCTGATTACGCCGCATCCGCTGCATCAATTGCTTCCGAAGCTCTCAACAACATTATGGTCGTCCAAGCCTTCGGCGCCAACGCTCGTCTGGAGAAGAAGTTCTCCGATGCTCTCAGAGCTTCTGAACACGAGGGTATCAAGAAGGCCACTGCCGTTGGTATTCAAAGTGGTGTTCTGTACTTCGTTGCCTACGCTGCCAATGGTCTGGCTTTCTGGCAAGGAAGCAAGCGTATTGCAGACTCGGTAGAAGGAAAGTCTGGAGGCACCACCGTCGGTGCTACTTTCACTGTCATTTTCATCTTGATCGAGGCTACATTGCTTCTCAGTCAGGTTGCGCCATTTGTCCACCTATTCTCAGCCGCCGTAGGCTCTTTCAACAAGCTTCGCGAAGACATCGACCGCGAGCCCTTGATCGACGGACACACCAAGTCAGGCCTCGCACTTCCCCAAGCAGGAGTTGGATTCGAGTTCAAGGACGTTTCATTCAAGTACCCTTCAAGACCTGAAATCACTGTTCTGGACAAGATCAGTCTCTCCATTCCTGCCATTAAGCACACAGCACTGGTCGGTCTATCCGGTAGTGGCAAGTCCACTATTGCTGGTCTAGTCAGCAGGCTCTACGACCCTACTGAAGGACAAATCACTTTCGATGGACAAGACGTTCGCACACTCAACGCCCGCGACTTGAGAAGTTTTATGAGTTTGGTGCAGCAAGAACCTTCGCTTCTCGATCGTTCTCTTCTTGAAAACATCGCACATGGTCTTATCAACTCCAGCGATCCCGAACATGCTCAATTCAAGGATATCCTGCTTGGCTCTGACCTTGCAGAAGTAGCTGCGGACATCCGTACAGGTACCGATCTGATGGCTGCTGCAGAGAAGCGCGGTCCCATTGTCGTCGAAATTGCTATCCTCGCCAAGAGAGCTGCCACACTAGCAGATGCCGACCAATTCATCGTTGCACTGCAGCAGGGCTATGGCACCATTGTCGGTTCAAGTGGTCGTCTTATCAGTGGTGGTCAAAAACAGCGTATTGCTCTTGCTAGAGCTCTCGTTAAGAATCCTGCCGTACTTATCCTCGACGAAGCCACTGCCTCCCTCGACTCGAGAAGTGAGCAACGTATCCAGCGTGCTATCAACAGTATCACCAGCGGAAGAACAGTCATCACTATTGCCCATCGTTTGGCTACTATTACTGCTGCTGATAACATCATTTGTATGCACAAAGGACATATTCTCGAACAAGGCACTCACTCAGAGTTGATGGCCCTCAGCGGTACTTACGCCAACATGGTCAAGATGCAGACTCTTGGAAACATGTCTGAGACGAATAACGCACCTGCTGGTACTGACAGCATCAGTGTTTCCGATCGTACATCATCCGACGACATCGAGAAGAAGAGCTTGTACGAAGACAACATCAACGCTGAGAAGGACGAACTATCAGCGACGGAGACACCCGTAAGAGCATCCGGGGAGGAAGAAGAGGAAGAGGAAGAACTCCCTGTTCCTCCCAAGTCTCTTTGGGACCTGGCAAAGGGCTATGGACCTGCATTGAGGCCACACCTTCTCTACATCCTCGTCGCTTTCATTGGTTCTGTCTGTGTCGGCGGTGCTTTCTCAGGTGAAGCCGTCATCTTCGGTAACACCGTCGGTAGTCTAAACCCTTGCCACAGTCCTAGCAGAATCCGCAACCGTGGTGACTTCTACGGTCTTATGTTCTTCATCCTCGCCATCATCGAGTTCTTTGCCAATCTGGTCAGTTGGACTGGATTTGGATGGGTCTCGGAGAAGGTTGTATACACTGTCAGAGTTCTGTCATTCAGATCTTTGTTCGAGCAAGACCTACAGTGGCATCAGTCCGAGGGTCGCACACCTGCTCTGCTTCTCTCATACATTACCAGAGATGGAAATGCTTTGGCTGGCTTCAGCGGCTCTGTGGTCGGCACGCTGTTCTCCATCACTGTTAATCTAATCGCCGCCATTATCCTCACTCACATTATCGCTTGGAGAATTGCCTTGGTCTGCTTGTCTCTGGTACCACTGCTTCTTGGTGCTGGTCTAATGGAGCTCCGCATCCTCGGCAAGTTCGAAGAGAAATACGAGACGGCATACACCAAGTCAGTCGACATCGGTGTGGAAGCCATCACATCTATCAAGACCATTGCATCTTTCTCTCTTGAGGACGAGATTTTGCGAACATACAGACGCTCTCTCAAGGGTCCTCGCAAAGATACTCTCAGCGTAACACTGCAAGCCAGTCTTTGCCAGGCCATAACCTACTTCCTGGGTAACTGCGTCAATGCCCTTGCCTACTGGTGGGGCTCCAAGCAGATTCTCAACGGCAACTACACCCAGACTCAATTCCTGATTGTTGTCTTCTCTCTTCTTGTCGGTGCATTGCTGTGGTCGCAAATGTTTGCACTGGCTCCTGAAATCTCGGCAGCTCGCAATGCGATGGCAAGAATCCTGAGCTTGATACAGATCGGCAAGGACAAGATGGCCGGTCATGTTCGCCCTCTTGACATGTCTTTGGAAGGCAACAATATCGAGGCTATGGCTGAGACCAAGACTTCGCACATGTCTAACAACAAGGCCTCCAGCGTCCAGATGCGTGATGTCCACTTCTCATACCCAGCTCGACCTGATGTCAAGGTCATGAACGGTCTCAACATTGACATCAAGCCTGGACAATTTGCTGCCCTTGTTGGTCCTAGTGGTGCTGGCAAGTCGACTGTCATCTCTCTTGTTGAGCGTCTCTACGTACCTCAATCAGGATCGGTGATTATTGACGGCCTTGACGTAACGAAGACTCGCGATACATCTTTCCGTGACAGTATTGCGTTGGTACCTCAAGAGAGTGTGTTGTTCGAGGGAAGTGTCGAATTCAACATCGGTCTTGGTGCTCGTCCTGGCCACACTGTTAGCAAGGAGGAGATTATCGAGGCTTGCAAGCTTGCCAATGTTCACGAGGTCATTGCTGCCTTGCCTGAAGGCTACGATACACTTTGTGGACCTAACGGCAGTCAGTTCTCTGGCGGCCAGAAGCAGCGTCTGTCCATCGCACGCGCTTTGGTCAGAAACCCGAAGCTGCTAATCTTAGATGAGAGCACCAGTGCTCTTGACGCCGAGAGCGAGCGACTGTTGCAGGAAGGCTTGGACAAGACAAAGGCAAAGGGCATCACAGTCATTGCCATTGCCCATCGTCTGCACACCATCAAGAAGGCGAACGTCATCTTCTTGATCGAGGCCGGAAGATGTGTTGACAGTGGCTCCCATGAAGAGTTGTTGGAGAGAAGTCTAGATTACCGCGAGTCGGTTATGCATCAGACAGTCGCGACTGATTAGATAGATACCCCGAGATAGATCTCAAAAAGTTTGTACATATTTGTTCCCAAATCTTTCTCCAGCCTCAGGTGATCTTGTGTGATTGATGCGACGCGGCGCATGCGAGAGTGCAGACACACAAAAGCTTGTACTTGTGAGATGGCAGCGATAGCATGGATGGGGAGCCGATGAGGGCCGGAGACCGGTGGTACATGAGCGAGTGGGCGGTGGTATTGCAGTCGACGGTATACGCTTCGTGATGCCGATGATTTGCTTCGTGGACGATCAAGAAAGTAGATGAGGCTGCGAGATTCGCGAGACATGTTTGAGCAGAGTTGACCATGTGATCAACGAAATTGGCTGTAGCGGAAAGAGCGATGCAGCATCTGCTTCCGCTCAAGCCATCCGTTGGCAGATCTGAGACTTTTGACGGAAGCTTCACAACAGAGTCACCAAGCTAATCATCATACCTTTTGACTCCAATCGAATTCAATACGTGCTTTGAATATGCATTATCTATTATGTCTATCTGCTAATGTAAATCTATGTCTGAATTCTATAAACTACTACGCCAAAGAATAATCATATCCATTTCTAATGACAAAGGAAATAAATCACACAACTTGCCATCAAGGCTTGAACAACTGTTCGTTGCGGAAAAACATAAGGAAACCAATCGGCAGAACCAACTGGAAAAGAAGAGCCACCCAGAACTCCCAAGCGCCCAGTCCAGCCAGACTGACTGCCAGGTTAGGGAACACGGCGCCAGGACCGGTAGCATCGGGTGAAGAAGCGCGAGCTGCGATGGTGGCGATTGAACCCAATACTTGGGCAGCAGTCAATGTGACAGCAACGTGGTGACGAGTGAGTGTTTGGAGAAGCATGGTACCAATACCGACACCACTAAGGGCATCTAAGGTACCAAGCCACAGCCACAAAGACCTTCCAGCAATCGCACTACCCAGGGTTGAGCCCCAGGGTAGGTAAAGACCCATACCAGAAGTGCTCCAGAGCATCTGACACCAACGTGGGGCACCGAGACCAGCACCAAAGATAGGCAAGAACCATGAATGATGCCCACTAAATCTGGAAAGGGTGTAAAGAGCAACACACCAGATGACGATGAAGAAGAGAAGTAGCAGAAGAACAATACTCCAGACTGGAGCTTGGGTACTGCTGAATAGATACTGCCAATTGCGTCCAGTGGGTGCGGAAAGCCAGTAGTTTTGAGCGATGATGGCGACAAAGAACCACAGCACAATCTTGCGCTTCCACACACTGGTGTAAAAACTGGGTGCTTTTCCAGGAGAATTGTGGTAATACTCTGGGAGGCCGAAGAGAAGGATGACGCCGACAGAAACGAATAAGAGGGCAATTGGTGCCATAATGGCAAGAAGGACCTTTGAGTTCATGATTGTGTTGGTGAATTGGGAGGTGTGATTGGCCGACATGGCACTTCCCCATGCCCATAGGGCGGCGACCCAGAGTTGTTGGACGCCTTGGACGGCAGTCGCTCTGAATATCATTGTCTGAATGGGCACACCACCTTCACTTGCGAAGTTCAAGGCGAAGTAAAGAGAACCAGAGGCAGAAGCGAATGAATAGAGACCGGCTCCAACGTTCTGGATCCAACCGCGACTGTCGAGGGTAGTGCCAAAGGGAGCCAGGCCGACAAAAACGAATGCTAGACCGTATAGAACAAAGGGCAGGGAGAGTGCCCATTTGCTCGCGAGTCTACGGATCATCAACCACCAAAAGAGTGATCCGGCCAAGTAGATGGAAGCGATGGTGTAAAGTTTGTTTGCGTTCTCGCCCTGTGCTCCAGTGATGATCGTGATCTGATGACTGTTTACGGCAATGATTTGTCCAAAAGCCATGAGGTAAGCGTACAATGGCCAATCCGGTGCCAGGTAAGGTATCTTCGACATCATCAACTTCGAGATACCAGTTGGCGCCTTGTAGTTGGCGGTCGTGAAGAACTGTTCAGCGCTCGTATGAGACATAGCACCAACACTGGCAGTACGTTCGCTCTCGCTGATGGAGGATGCCTCACGAACTGTGACCGAGACACCCTTCGCACCGAACTTCTTGCTACCCACCTCTGGAGGAGAGACCACAGTTCGGCCAAGTTTGGCTTCACCAAATCTACGGTACCAGTTCTTCTCGGCTGAATGCAGGAAAGTCTCAATGCAGAGTTTGCCTTCGGAGTTCTTGGCCGTTAGAGATCCAAGCATTGTTTCGTATATGCGGTAGTAGTCCAGCTGGCTGTCGGTGAAGCTCTGATCAACTTTTTGGAGGGAGTAGTCAGTCTTCTCTCCTACAACTTCGTCGACACTGAGTGTGGAAGAACGTCTGTAGTGAGCGAGTGTAGGTCTTGTGAGTTCGCCTGGTAGATTCTGCTCCTCTGCAAACCCAAATCCAGGTGTGAACAAGGCATGAGCGGCACTCATGCTTCCAGCTGTTCCAGGACGGAATGTTGGAGAAGAAGGAGGGAGCGAACCGACTTCGTCTCTAGATTCTTCGAGTTCGGAAATGTCTGCACCAGCCTCTGAGTGCTGGAATGGCGAACGACGTGACATTGGGAAGAGCGACGAAAGTCTGCGGCGGAACGGCATGTATTGCTCCGCTGTCGGATGAACAGGGTACAATAACGAGGAAAGTCGACGTCTGAATTGAGGGGCTGGTGTCTCCGGGGTAGGCGAGGAAGATCTTGAGGCTGCAGGAGATGCAACACGAGACTGGGCGCGTGATCTCGGAGGCGAGCTGTTGGGTGTGCTGTTAGGCGTGCTCAGAGCAGACACTGAACCATCCTGAACCTTTGTGTTGATTTTGATGGCCTTAGTTTGCAAGATCTCGAGGTCTTCTACCCATTGCGCAACGGGGAATCTCTGCTCCTTAGATCTTGCTCTCATGAGAGCTCGAGTCTCTTGGTCCGAGGATAACGCGGCTTGAATACATTTCTTGAATTGACTGAGCATGTGACGAGTCATTGATGACTCGATCTGGAACCACCAACCTGGGTGTCAATGTTAGCATATTTGCTTAAAGTTGTCACGATAAAAAACTTACCTGGCATCTGTCCCAGACCTCCAACCTTTGCTCCGACTCCAAGAGCTCCCTTGCGTCCAAATTCGACAGAGACCAAGCCGAAAGGCTCGTCGCGTGAAGGAATAAGAGCAAATTCGGCTCCAGCATGGACAAATGGTGGCACATAGACGAACATTGGCTTCGAGTACACTCTGCCAGGATACTTCTTCATCAGGTAGTCGAGCTTCAGAGCTGCGAACTTTCCATAAAGGTCGATGACGGGGCCCACACAAATCAACTGTGCTTTTGGGTTCTCTTCCAGGACTTTCGGGAAGACGTCTGCGATAAGGTCAATTCCTTTTTGCATGCTCCATCTTCCAACAAAGACGAAGAGCTCAGCTGATTCGTCAATGTTCAGATTGGCCCATTGCTGTGCTTGCTTGCGAGTGGCCCCACGAGAAGCCTCGTATTCTCTGTCAATGGCGACGTCCGGGTTAGGAAGACATTTGTCGAAATGCTCGATATCAGCCGGGTCGGGGTTTGGTAGAATACCAATTTTGGGCAGACCCTGGGCGATATTAGCAACCTCGTGGTCTTCGAAACATGCATCAGCAAAGGAGAACTCACCCAGAAGATGGGATAGCGAGCGAATGAACGTGCACCATACTTCTTCGACACACCGACGGCTCCAAAGCCCTTCTGGTGAATGCGTAGATAGCTGGCTCCGGCGTGCAAGAGGTTGAAGTTGTCGCCCCACTGGACGTATCGTCGTATGATCGATTTATCCAGGTTGAACACATCGCTCATTTCTTGCATCTTCTTCGGTGTGTTGATGGACCACAAGCCTTGGAATTCGGCGTTATGTAATCTGAAATACTGTGATCAGCTCAAGCTTGTGGTAGAAAAGCAGGGGAACAGTAGAGAAGGAAAAAGGAAGGGAAGAAAAACGAGGGGGATGTCGGATAGGGTGTACTTACGACAAGCAGACAGGGATGACGCGAGGAAGAAGGTGCAGAGGTGCGACAGCTCCGTGGTAGTCGTTGATGTGGTAGATATCAATTTCAGGGTGTCTCCTCATGACTTCGGCGATACAAGCGTTCCATGCTGAGTAGTAAATCGCACTGTCAAGGTCATCCATTCTGGCTGGATATGGCTCCTAGAAGATGAGGTTAGATATGATTTCCAAGGTACGCTGAGTCGTTGAACAACAATAATCTTACCTTCTTGGTTTGTTGGCGGAAAAGTGGTGCATCAAGCAAGACATATGTAATTCTGCCGACAACATGGATTTGACAATCGATCAAGTATGGCTTACCCATAACAGTGATCTTAATAGGTTCCATCACACGGTCAATTGGGTAGACTACGTCTCCGACGCAGGGTACCACCCAAATGAGATTGTGATGAGTAAGATGCTTAGCCTAGATTTTGTTCGATTAGCATTCTTTTTCCTTTTTGTTTGGATCGTGATTTTGAAAATTACCATCAAACCAGCCATAACTCCCAAACCACCAATCTTGATGGAGATGTTCCATTCGTCGGCAATAGCGTACTCCATAGTGGCGATGAGGATGGTTCTGGAAGTCTCAGTTGTGATAACAGCTCCGTCGCTGGCTTCGGGAGCATCAGTGGCATCTTGCTTTTCTGAGATCTTAGTGAACGATAAAGGCAGAATGTCCGACACGCTTCTCTTCTTTTGGAACTGGTTGAAAGGATAACTTCGCTTCGTTAGACCGATCGAGTTGTATTTCAAGCGATAGAATGAGCCATGGTAGATTGCGACAGCCAGGCAGGCGGTTATGAGAGGGAGAGTTGCCAAAAGGATGTACAATGCGAGCTGTCTGTTTGCAGAGCCAGTTGGAGTGATGGTGTAGCGCATAGATCCATCGTTCACTGCAATTTTGTAGGCAGTATGGGGCCAGCTTGGTGGTGTTATGTTGAGCTGGTTAAAAGACAAACTGTCTGGTGGAACCCAATCGAGTACATTGTCACCATCGACGTCGCCATAGGCAGCGGATTTGTCAGGGGCCCCATCAGGGTTCATTCCCCAGACATTCAAAATCACTGAGGTTGGCCATTCGGAAGACAAATCGAAGTTCCATATGCCTTCAGAATCTTGCTTCATCTGGTCATTAAGACCAGCATCGTACCCATACTGGTTCCAAGGTCCTTGAACGTGAACTTTAGGCCATCTTCTAGGAACTTCGGCATCAAGATCGGAGTGTTGAACATGGTCAGTCGATCCTATCAAAGGACTGTAGTATTGTGTCACAATGTGCACGCCCGACCACTGCTGAGCGCTGGTGCCAGACCAGGCCTGCTCTTCGATGGTCGTTGTCTCGCCAGTGTACGAAGTCCAGTCGGACCAGCTCGAGCCATAGTTTGTCGAGAATCGCCATTGAGTAGACCCGGCGGCTTTCGGTGTTACTCGGAGCTCGCCTGTAGTCGCATCCCGATGAACAAGGCCAGTAGTATAGTTGGCAGAACTGGGGAAAACAACTGGATTATCCTTAAGACCGACGCGGAGCATGAATTTGTCTTTTGTGTTCGTGAAGGAGATTCCGTCAGCGCTGGATGCATTGGCTACTGTGTAGGTGTGTACACCATGGCTGAGATTTACGAGGTTTGCAGACCACTGGAAGGTTGAAAGTGCCTCTCCTACAAAGCGCTGAGAGTTGTCTACTGTGATGTTGCGACAGACAACACTTGACGCCTCGAAGTGCGGAACAATGCCTGTTTGTGTCGTCGACTCGAAGCTGATGGACTTCAGAATTGAAGAGCAGTCCATTGCTTGGGTGAACGAGAGCGTGACTGGAACGGCGATCACATCATTAAAATCCGCAGTGGTTTCGATTCTGGCATCGTGGCGAGGAATGGCTCCAGAAATTACAGGAGTCGCTGCCACGAATTTGTCGATAGGGACAAATGCGCGGAAGCCCCATGCTTCTAGTTCAATTCCGGGCAGACAGCCGTTGATCTCGTCTGAACCTTCGATACCAAGCTTTGTAGTGGAAGAGTTCAACGTATACTCCTGGTATGGGTAGAACAGATTCTTGATAGTGGTGCCTTCAGGAAATGGTGCGACGAGAGATCCAGATGAGTTGGAGCAGTCATATGAGTAGTGAACGGTCTCGTTCTGATTGGAATAAAGCAGCCAGATACCTTGGTTACCCATACCTTCTCCAGTGAAGTCCTGGACCCCGGGAGTCCGGCCACGATAAACCGACCAAATACCAAGAGGCGTCGGGAGTTGTCCGCTGTGAGGTAAGAACACATCGTGTGTCTCGAAGAAGAGCGTCTGGAGGGTGAAGCCGTCGTTTAGGACAGGATAGTGGGTTCTCAATTGGAACATTCTTTTGATCAAATTACGCAAGCTGTGCGCTGGGTTTCTCTGATCAAGACTGACTGAGTCGTCCTGACAAGCAAGCAGAGCATCTCCGAACGGCATGTCGTAGTAGCCATTGCCAGCAGCTCCGACCTTGTAGCACCCGTGCATTTGCCATGCTCGAGTTGACGCCATCGGTTGGCGACCAAACATGTAATCGGCAGCCAAATTCTCCAGGACTTTGAACTCCACTTCGTCGCCCCAGATGAGTTCGGGGATTCCAGGCATTTCTAAGAAAGTGATGAAAAAGCCAAGAACTTGTCGTTGTGTTCCATTGACAAGTGCTGGCCATCTGAACACATCCTGGTTTGTAGTGCCGAACATATGACGTGGGTCGAACAGGCCAGTGTTGACGTTTACGAAGTCGTCGGTGAGTAGGTATGCGTTCCAGTGCTGAGCGAAGTCAACGCCCTCAAAACCAATGTCTCCGTCGAGGCCCAGAAACCTCGTCAACGCACCATAAGTAGGGTAATGGAAGTTGCTACCGTCAAGTGCGTTGTTTCCGGACTCGCGGATATATCCCTCTGTAGCATTGGTGGCGAGTTGTGCCTCCGTTTGGTTGTCGAAGTATGTATTGGGAGACTTGCCTCTACCAAAGAAAACGGAAGAATATTTCAGCTCTCCGACAACTTCACCGGTAACAAGGAAATTGTCTTTTCCATATTGGCGGGCGCATTCACGTTGATACGTAGCCCACTCGGCGAGGGCATCAGCGGGAGTTTGGAGTGCTCTATTTTAATGGTGTTAGCGATACACACATCAACCTAACCGACTTGGGGGTTAACCAACTTATCAACTCGAAATCCATCAATATCAAGCATGGCAATTTGCATGCAACTGAAATGCTTCACTTTCTCCAGGACATCATGCTTCCACAATCTGAGACGATCCTGCACACTGGCAAATTTTGAAAGTTGACTCTGGTAGGGAGGTACGTAGCCAACTCCCTTCATGTCGCCATACTGATCGAAATCGGATTTGCGGCATTGGTTGTCGAAAGTAGCCATGATCGAGGCGTTGACTGGAAATCCATCATCTCCGTAGAAGACAGGGTATTCACAGTCTTGAAGAACGTCGTTACTGATCTCAAAGTCGTGGTATCTGCGGCTGCTCTTCCAGAGGGCATCGTATTCGTGTGCATTAAAGGGTGTTGTTTCATTCTCCCAGCCCTCAAATGCGAGGAGATCTCCCATTGTACCTATGGTGTTCTCCATGATCGCGTACATTCCACGAGTATGCAGCTCCTGAATCAATTGGCGCCATTCGTCAATCGTTCCATGGTGTGCGTCAAGCAATGTGAAATCGAGAGGTCCGAAGCCGTCAGAAGCCCAGGGCATGTTGATGAATGGACTGCCGGAGAAGTAGATAGCCTTGATTGTTAATTGTACATCCTTACATAGTAAGAAGAGAGATAAGCTTACCTTAATACCGAGGTCCTGGATCCAGTCCAGATTATCCATCAAGCCTTTTGCATCTCCGCCAAAACGGAACTGGTTTGTAGTCCAGTCGTTCTCGAATACTGTACCGTTGGCGTCGTTGTTCGAAGGTTTTCCATCTACAAAACGATCCAGCGTTAACATGTAGAAAGGCATTCTCCAGTTGGAAGGTGAAGGTGTTTTGGGGTGATTTTCCCATTCGCCCCAGTATTCAAGAGGTCCAGTGGCGTTTTCATTCTGATTGAGATTCCACTCGACCTGGTCAGCAGACCAGTCGAGAGCTTGTGTCTGGGAATTGTGAAGCGTAAGACAAAGGTTGAGTAGCGAGATGGTCTTGAAAATAACAGACGCCATGATGAGAGACGTTGTCAAGACCAGAAATCAGTCAAATAGAGTACGTAGAAAATCAAACAAGGGACTTTGGCCGCAAGTGCCACAGGTTGCTAAGGCGAACTGCAGATGGGTGCATCTTCCGCATATATACCTATCCCCACGCCTCTTCCATAACCACTAAAGCATCAGAAGAGTTCATGTGTTCGATAAGCACTATTGCCATCGAGATTCTGTTGGGCTTCTCTAGCATACTGGCGGTTCCCATTAGCAGCATGTCCTGATGTGCACGTTTTTGAGCCTGTCTGCCCAGCACTCTGGTATCAAATAGTTCCATGTCACCGGATGCCTTTCCGGGAGTCAAGCTCCATGACCTTTGCCATGAGCACCTCGAACGGCTGCCGAAAAGAGTAGAGAATCCTGATTAAGCTTCTACAAGTATCAACGAGAACTTGCAACCAGCTCGGTATTCTCAGAGAGTCCTATAGGCCCGAGTCAGTATTTCATTTGATGCTCGCTTCTCTTCATGCCAAGCAGGCAAGACTAGACAAACGATCCATCAATCAACCGAATTTTCTCTCGTAGGCAGGGCTAGCCGGCGGCAGAGTCCTCAAGATGGCAGTGCCAGTCGCAACCGCCACTGTTGCATGGCAGGATTCGGGTCTCAGTGAATGCCATGCGGCATGAACTGATGGCAGTGGCGAGGCTCGCACAAATTCGCGTGGGTACGGTGTAACGTCTACAGCGGTTTGTCTATCATTAAGTAGCATTTTGCTACTCGGTAATGCTCCATTACTCGTATCACGCGATGTCAAGCCGACTGACACTGTTGGTTTTCTCGTGTAAAGGGATTAGAGTTTCGTGTAAGAGAGGAAAACGAGTCGTATCTCGCAACGCCTGGAAAGGTGAAGTTCGAGGCAGCTCGGTAATAATTATGCTTGGCATGTTTGTTGATTTGGTCGCACTTTGACAAATTCGAGTCTTTTGAACTCCCTGTCGCCAATATACATATCATATTGGAGTGTCTATAGAGGTTATACACTACACTACCAGCATTCGTCGAGTTAAGCTTCTCTTACGTTTTGGAGCCTCATAACTCTAATGGACTGCATTGTATACGCGTCCTTCAAGATCATTGAACAAACAGCGAGGGTGGGCGTTTCGGAAGCGCCCCTCGGTTAAGCTTTCCACACCAGATCTGTCCGTTGTTTATCTCACTGCTGGCCATTTTCACTGCAACCGTTAGGTCTTCGAAATACCGTCGCGGCATCAAATTGATTAGGACCGACTGCTAAATGAGACATGTATACGGGAAGAAAAACGTTGATTTTTCTGCATGGCAAGTCTTGCAGCTTTCGGCGTTTAGAGTCGGTAAACAGAGGCTGATTCCAATACAGCTCTCTATCTCCTGGGATAATTATCACCACCGTTTGATGATCTGCACAAGACGTCGACGCAGGACCCGAAATGTACTTCCAAGGAACAAAAGCAATTCAGCGGTTGCGTAGGCCTTCAATGTTGACAGATATCGTCTACGTAGTTCCGGTGGACGACTTCTGATGTGTTCTCTCACCAACCTCGTTGTATTCACCTTCACATCATACACTTATACCCTTCCACGCTTGCTTTCGGGAGCACCGGACCGCGCCGCTCGCAGAACAGGCTAATCTGCAATATAAGAGATGTGGGGAATCTTGAATACCGGGATCCTTCTCGCTGGTATCGCAGGCGCTACTTCCAATAGCAACAACACCGTCAACAATTCTAAGCTTCAGACTTGGTGGCACGACTCCGGCGAAATCACCAGATCACCTGTGCAGCCAAGTTCCGTTCGCCAGAGCCATCTCTACTCTATTCAAGTTAGCAACTCTGTCGATCAGACCTATTACGACTCTTTCGCTTATCAGACTATACCACGCAACGGTCAGGGCAACATTCTGATACCGAATGACCTGACCTCAACAACGACCGCGAGCGATGGTATCACTATAGAAGCTGCCATTGGCATGACAATGTCTTGGACCTCGTTCCTGTACTCAGCAGACGTTTGGGTGAAGGTGCATCGTCTCGATGGCTTTGGCATTGAGTCTGACACTTTTGTTATCAGACCCACCACTCTCAACCTCACCACTTCAGTCGCAGGCGGTGATTTGTTCATCCAAGTGCCCTACAGCGAACGTGGCAGCAAGTTTTCGGTTGAGTTCAACGATAATCTCTTTGATTTTCGCGATGGATGTAGCAACCCTACATGCTCCTATGTCCAGGACACTTCGGCAAGTGGGCCGTACTACGTTGACGAGTACGATGACTCTATGCCTTTGATGGGGGTAGAGCCTCTCGACTCCCTGCTTATCTTTGCGAGCCCCTTTGAGGATGAGTCCTTGATACCGAACGAAACGTCTGATGATGTTTTGGTCGTCCCTGAAGGTCGCATATCCGGACTGAACACCACAGAGGCGAGAATCGTCATTTTTAAGCCCGGTGTGTATTACGCTACTGCCACAGACTATTTGAACCTCAGTTCAACAGTAGACTGGCTCTACTTTGCGCCTGGCTCCTACGTAAAAGGTAGGACTTTTGCTGCTCAAATCAGTCAGGTAGTTCTTGCACTAACAAAGGTTTAGGCGCTGTGGAGTTTCACACAAACTCCGCACTCATCCAAGCTACGGGACATGGTGTATTGTCCGGTGAGCAGTATGTCTATCAAGCAGACCCTACCTACGGATTCCAAAATCACAATGTAGATGCCTCACCTTTGCGCATGTGGAAGGGCACGGTCCCCAATGGACAGAAAACTACCTGGGTTGTGAACGGTCCGACGGTGAACAGTCCTCCCTTCAACAGTATGGACTTTTATGGTGATACCTCAGCATTCTCTGTCGCATGTACCGACTACAAGCAAGTCGGTGGTTACTTTGGACAAACAGATGGCATGCAAGCGTATCCTGGTAGTGTGTTCCAAGACATCTTTTACCATACGTGAGTGCTACACTGATCACCACAAATATTGATTCGGCTAATGCGACATAGCAACGATGACACCATAAAGCTTTACCATTCAGACGTCACTGTATCGAATGTTGTCGTACAGAAGGGTTCAACAGCACCCATCATCCAATTCGGCTGGGCAGCTAGAAACATAAGCGACATCAGAGTCAGCGACATCAATATCATCCACAGTCGCTGGAATAGTAATGGCTCAAATCCAGGTATCATCGGGAGTAACAACTTGTACGACCCTTCCACTGCATCGACATCTGCGACAAACACAAGCACAGCCGATACCTATTCCTCGGCTAGTAATATCGTGTTCTCCAACATCCGTAGTGAGGGTATCTCTGGACCTTTGATGCGTATCTATGCTCTGGAGAACTTGCATAACATCACTGTATCAAACGTCTGGGTCGAGGAGTTTGGAAGTTGCGATGGATATGAGAACATAGGCATCTCTGAGAGCTTTATGCCTGCTATGACCGATGGCAACGGCAACAACATCACTGTGGAAGGTTTCATCATCGAGGACTTTATGGTCGGTGATAAGAAAGTCACTCTCGACACGGCAAGCACAGTGGGCAACTTGTACTGGAATCCTGACTTTGATGTCACTATCCAGTGAAAGGGCAAGGCTTCTGCATGCTTCAGTTTCACATGTATCAGTTGGATGCAAACAACGAATCGATTCGTTGGCGTCTGATGATTCGACCAAAAATTCAAGCAGCACGAAGATTGAATTGTCAGCACGGGAAATTTGTTTTTGCAAGAGTTTCCCGACGGAAGGTGCGATGTCGTCGATGGAAGGGCGTAAAATGCGGGGCGGAAAGTCAATATGTCGCCCTGGTGGGGTTTAACAGTTGGTGCCCATCACCTTTTTTGTGCTGAACCTTTTTTCCATCAACTTCTTATCTCAACTTTGAATTGATCATGGGTGTCGACGACCGAACACGAGATGTTGAGTTGTCGGTGGTGATGGACAGGCCAGCTGGCGATGAAACACCACGAGAACTTGAACTTTCGAATGCGTTCGAGAGAGCCGATGATGGCGAGATCTTCTCACTTCCAGATGCTGATCGTGGACAAGCATGGCTATTTCTTGCCAGCGCTGTTGTTTTCGAAGCTGTGACTTGGGGTGTGTTCGGCATGGGACTATGATGACAATCTCTTCTGACAATCAATCTAGGATTTCCTTTCAGCTTTGGTGTCTTCCAACCATACTACACTCAGCATTTCGCAGATAACGGCTCAAGCATCGCTGCCATTGGTACTACCGCAACAGGCCTGCTATACGTTTCCGCTCCTTTCTGGTTCACCGTCCTGAAGTTGAACCCTCGCTACCGAAGACCCAGCGTATTCGTCGGCTTCGCTGTCATCGTAGCTGCCCTGATCGGCGCATCTTTCGCACAGTCGGTCTCCCAGTTGATCGCAACTCAAGGCGTCCTGTACGCAGTCGGCGGAGCTCTGCACTACTATCCTGTACTGCTCTACCTGGATGAATGGTTCGTCGCAAAACGTGGACTGGCATTCGGCGTCATTTGTGCATCCTGCGGAGCTGGCGGCGTTGTGATACCTTTCGCTCTGGACTGGGTACTTCGCAACTACGGTTTCCGCACTGCACTGAGAACATGGACCGTCGTCTTCGTCGTCCTCACTACGCCTGCACTCTTCTACATGAAACCACGACTGCCCATCCGACACCATGCCAATACTGGACCACAGCGTCTCGAGCTCGGCTATCTCAAAAGCAAGACTTTCTGGATCTTGCAGGGCGCCAGTATCATTCAAGGACTTGGTTTCTTTTTGCCTAGCATTTACTTGTCGTCTTTCGCCCAGAAGGTCGGCTTCTCGGCTGTGGATGGTACACTGGCAATTGCTCTCATCAACGCCGCACAAATCGTTGGAGCTCTGTTCATCGGCTTCCTCTGTGACCGGTGTCACGTCACCACTGGCATTCTGGTCTGCAGTATCGGTACTGTAGTCGCAGTATTTGTGTTCTGGACCTTCGCTACATTGAAGCCGATGTTGTTCGTATTCGCAATCCTTTACGGCGTATATGCGGGAGGCTACTCGACAACATGGTCTGGCGTGGCAAAGACGGTGCGTGAGAATGGATACCCGGGTGCAGAGACCGGCATGATTATCAGTCTGTTCAGCTGCGGGAAAGGCATCGGAGCTGTGGTCTCAGGACCCCTGTCAGAAGCTCTGGTAGACAAGGATCCCTGGAATTCGAGTGCGCCATATGCTTTCGGCACTGGTTACGGAGCACTTTTGCTCATGACGGGCATCACAGCATTTGTGGGTGGTTTTGCTTTCTACGCGAAGCAGCTTAAGATGATCCACTAGAATATGTATGCTTAGCAAAAGACTTGTCAGTTGTTTTCTTCACCCACCACCCATTGCCCAAATATCGTCGTCGCACCTTCATTACGAGACTCGCGTAATTATCTTCCTACCAGACGAGGCCATTTAATCATTCGGTGACATCCACAAAATCGTATCGCAACAAACGGCGCTGAAGGTTTTGGGCGATCCCAGTCACTCAGCGGCGGACGCGAGCAGACGCAACTACAAGAAGGTGCGAGTGGTGTCTGGAGGATTGTCCTGCCAGTAGTATAATATCATGTCGCTCGCTAGCCATGGAGCGATGAAGTCAGGTAGGGTGAAGATGTCCGGTCGCGTGTCACGTCGCGACAAGATGCACTGCTGTTGCAAACGAGATCTGCATGGCGTAGGCAACGCGTGTACAACAGATCAAAACGCGAAAATCAAATCACATCGACACCGGAAAAACACAACTTGATCTGATAAAAATGACAACTTTTGTGGCTCTGTGGTTTTTCTCTCTAGATGTATAGCGAGCGGATGTTAGGTGATGATGTAGCAATGAGCCATATAAGCAAGGTATCATGATATACATGCCGATCTTCTTCGACTTCGAAAATGAGCCCGGCTCCATTGCAATTCAGAGCTTGTGTCTTTTTACACAACAACACCCTTAATCTGCTTTTTATTCGCAAGATTGATATCACGCCAGATCCACACGGCGATGAACGTCAGAGCTGTGATTGAACTAGCCGCAATGCACATATCCCTCTGCGCGATGCCGAAAGCAACTCCAATGGCATCTCTGGTCTCGCTGCCAACAGGGTAGGTAAGAGCATTGGTGTAACTCGTGTACACCGATGTCGCAACATCGGCAGGGAGGCGTTTGGCGAGTTCGCCAGGGTAGACATTCGTCCAGATGCCTCCGGCGATGGAGTCACCGATGGCGCCGCCGACGGAGGAGGCGAGGTAGAGGAGGGCGAGGGTGGTGGCGAATTCGCCGTGGGTGCCGGCGGCGAGAGCTGCGACTTGATGGCACGGGACCAGAGTTCCGCCCTGCAGGGAAGATATTAGCGAAATGTCGAAAATCTTGGTCGAAATTGCAAAACTTACGGCAAAGGCGATGAAGATCTGGCACATGACGACGTAACCGACAGCAGTTCCTGGTTGTCTGAAGTGGATCAAAAGACCCGTTCCCATGATGTAGAGAGGTCTAAAACTGCACGTTAGCATGTGTGTTTAAGGTAGGGGTGCTGTGTTGCATCTGGACAGCAAGCCACTAGATCTCACTTACACAGATGCGAGAGCAATCCACTTGTAGCGCTTAGTCCATTTGACGAGGAGACTGAAGAAACAGTTAGCTGTCTGGTATTTTTTAAACCGGAAATGGAAAGTGCTTGCCCTGTGATCACACCGAAGAAGCAAGAGCCTACGGTGTAGATCTCGCCCATGTATGTGGCATCGCGAGTGCCAAGACCGAGGACAACCTATAACTCTGGTCAATATGTGGTTAACATGTGGCGTGATCGATCTCCTTACCTGGTTAAAGGTGTAGTAATAAAGGTTCCAGCAGTAGAAAGCAGCGTACAGACTGGAGATGCAAAGCACCGAACCAAAGACAGTGCGATCCTTGAGCTTGTCCCAGGGCAGGAAAGGCTTGCTGGCACCGAAGCGCTCCCATACTGGAAACAGACACAAAATAACGAATCCGATGACCAGCATAGAGATGATGCTAGCACTCTTCCACTGTCCAGCAACAGAGGTAGCAAGGGAGAAAGGCAGTAGGAAGAGGACGAATCCTGCACAGAGCAAGAAGACACCGACCATGTCGAATTCAATCCAGTAGTGCACAACGGTTTGGTACCAGCCACGAACAGGGGATTCTGTGCGCTTGTAAAGGCCCATCTTTTCGGCCTTTCGTTGGTAGTAGAGGAAAATACCGCAAAGAGGAAGGCAAGCCACCGGTGTAACAATGGCAAAGGTGCCATATCCCCATCTCCAGCCAGCTCCGCTGACGAAGCTTGAGACTGCATAAGGTGTGGTGAAAGCTGTGCAGATGAAAGGCGTTTGCGAGATGGCCAGCATGAGGATACGGTGCTTCAGTCTGGTCGTGTCGGCGATGAAAACAGTCATGACATAGTACATGCCATCGTAACCAATGTAGTAGATGACTGAGGCGGCGGCGTAAGTCTGAACGTTATTCGAAGCGGCGAAGATGATCAATCCGATAATACAGATACACATCATGACAAAGAAACCTTCGGCACGACCCCAGATATCGATGATTTTGGCAGTCGGTAGACGCAATACACCGCCAATGATGGAGCTCATCACAGAACTGACTGACAGTAGCTGTGATGTGCTAAAGTCTGCGTTGGCATAATTTCCGAGGTAACCAGTGATTGTACTCATGAGAGCGATTTCGAAATACACGACATAGATCCTGTTTTCCATTAGCAAAATATTGCTCAATCTCGGATAAAGGCAAATCACCAGATGTAAGTTATCCATAGCGCTCTCTTGTTCCAAGCAAGTGTGACACCTTCTGCTTTTTGCACACCAGCTTGATAGTCCGGATCGACTTGTTCACCAGCATACGCAGCTCCAGATCCAGGCACGGGGGTTTTCATATGTCCATAGGCTTCCTGGTATGGGGGTGAGTGATCACTCGGGCTGCTTGACGAAGTCAATCCGCTCTCCTCCTTGACGACGTCATCGGGCTCTTCATCCTCTTGAGAATGATAAAAAGGGTTTATGTAGGGTCGGTCGAGGGCGCTCAAGAAACCCATATTGTCGGATGGGCTCAATTGAACATTAAAAATATAAAGACGGGGCGGGAACACAAAGATGAAGATTGATAAGATGGAGGGGTCCTCATATATATACAAAAAGTGGCTCTACGTCTGCCGAAATCACGTTGATCAACGATTCTTTTTGCGGGTACCAAAAAGTCGAGATACGAAAATCCGGCACGGTGTGGAAGCGAAGGATGAGGAGGATCGACCGCAGGGTCTTTTTCTTCTCTTGTCGGGTCGAGAAAAAGGTGTTCCGATCTTTCTCAGCTCAACACGTCTCAGGCCCCCCCACAATTGATGGTTTTCACCAAACTTTGACATGCTCACTGGCTGTGACAACAAGCTGCACTGCATCCAAGAAAACGAGCAACAGCTCGTCTTCATCACCCGCGGCAGATGGAGAGATACGCAATCGACGAAAGTCAAACACGAGAAGGGTCGGTAATGCGGCGACACTAGTAATCTTATCAGATTTGGTGGCAAGCCACCCGTGACTTGGCGGAGATAGAAGCTCTGACTCGCAGTCTTTTTTTGAAGGCAAAATCGATCAAGCAACAACGAGACTTGCTTGTTGTACTTGAGTACAATTGGGCGCGCTGACCGCTACATGATGCTATGCTCCTGACTAATGAGACTTCCAAGGACGATGAACATCTGATTAGGGCTGAAGGTAGGCGGCATCGATGACTTGGTGGCAATGACGTGCAGTCGCAAACGCCATTTCTCAGAAGAAAGAAGTACGCCGGGCGCCGGGCGCTGGACCGAGTGGCCAAAAGTCTTGGTCAAAGCTGCTCATGTCATGCCTGTGACCCTGGCTTTTTTACGAAACTGCTACAACAAGCTCAAAACAACAGAACGTGATAACCTGAGCCGAAGGAGAAGCACATGTTGGGGTCCACTTAGATTAAGTCCCATCAAATTGGTCGTGAAAGTTCTTGCAGGCTAGTTTGGGCTAGAAATCTCCGATGACAATCATCAAGGTGGAATCCATTGCGGCACCCACGCATATTCTACCATAAAGTGTAGACTGCGTTGATTTATGTAGTAAGATTAGGCACTAAGGGCTAGTATAGTCGGTCCTAATTAAATTAGGATACATAGTAATTTGTTAAAAAGAATATGCTTCGATATTTAGATTGTTATATTGAATCATTCAAGGGTTTGTTCATCCTCGGTAAAGAAGCTACGCAATTTCAACGCGAAGGAGCCTCCACGCATCTCACGAACACCACGTCAGCTTGACAACATGGCGACCCTATTATTGAAACCGTGAAAAGATACAGATCAAGATGCGACACTGTTCCTTCGCACTCAGCGCTATGGTTCGTCCTTCAATCGCTTGATCATCGACGCGTCAAGACCGACCTTCGACATCATCTTGATGTGATGAGGCTATCCTCGATGCGTTGGGACTGACCCTCGAGATATCACCCCCACGCTAGTAGAGTTTTAGCATCGAAGGAGTACCACATCCTGTCGGCGCAATGCATAGACAACAGACGACACAACCTGGACACGAGCATGATGGACCGAAAGAGCTTGGGAAACACATACTGGGTCGCGGGCTCATAACTCTCAGGACGAGAGGAACTTGTTCTTTTGCGCCCTGGCATCAGAGTGTCGAGATTCACACGATTCTCGTTGGACTGCTGCCATCGTGCTTGCCCCCTCTTGGACGTTCTGACCATTGGAAGGCACGATGCTTTTCGATTCCACAAACAAATCCAGGGAGAGCTTGGTTCCTGCCACTCTTCGTTGTCAAATACGCTGCATAGTGACAGCTTCTTGCGGTCTTTATCCCGGGTACCCTCCCGCGGCATTGGAATCACATTGGCCTCCCTGATCATTATCATGGAGTACAGCTTCAAGGAATTTGGAAGCATTATATCATTATCGCATTTTAACATCACTTGGACATCAGCGCTCTTCAAACTTTGCTCTCCTTCCCTTCGGCAATGTAATGTGGAGTAGAGACGTTGTCGGCGTCTTCCCCTTCCAGCACACCGGTGATGGTGCCCACGTTCTCATGGTCAAAGAAACCTTCATTTGCAGCAAGCTCCTCGAATGCGAGCGCTCTGTCCGCTCCATGAGGCAAGATTTGTACAGGCCAAATCAGGCACAGGACGTAATAGACCAAGCCGCCCATGGTGAATGACAGGATGAAGCCTAGCTTGTACATGTTGGAACTCGCCATTCCCACCGAACCTGGATGCAGGGAATTGGCTATGCCGTGAACGACGAAGGCCACGCCAGCGACCCAAGCGGCTAGCATCCGCAAGTTCCATCCCTTGTAATATGTGTACGGGCTTTCGGGCGTGTACACATACAACGAGGGGACATGTATGTTGCCTCTCCTCACGATCCAGTAATCAACCACCATGCAAGCGCAGATTGGCATGAGGAACACTGTATAGGACCCGAGGAAGGTGAGAAAAGACGTTGCCGATGCAATGATCTTCCACGGTACAAGCAGGGGTGCCAGTAATGCGCAAATCACCTGGCCTCGGACGATCGTCAACCAGCGGGGCCAGATACCGGTCAGATCGGCGCCGACGGGCAGTGAGTTGCTACCAGCATTTGTGACTAGCACGGCAAGCATCATGCCAAAGCTTGCGAACACCATGCCGGCACGTGCGCCAGGACTCCAGTATTGGTCGAGAATAGCGCCGTCTACGACAACATGGTCAGCTTGGCTACTCAGAGCCTGGTCATTGATGGAGCTTACAAAGATCCCAAACGTTCCAGAAAGATTTTCCCAGGACGTTGGTTGCAGCAGCGGTAGTGGCTGTGCTAATGAACATAACCAAGACTTTCGAGATCAAGATACCGACACCCTGGCTCCAAGTAACGTCGCTGTACGAATGACCATAGCGGGCGATGTCAGGCTGGTTGATCAGAACAGGCGCGAGAGCACCCATCACGGAGTTGATGGCAGATATCATGGGCCAGATAAGCTCATGACCGGACAGTTGAGTCTGTTTGGTGGTGTACTTGAAGTCGCCAAGCTTTCCTCCGTTCGCGCTGATAGTCCAGCCGAGCACGCCCAGGAGGGAAATCGTTGTGTAGACTGCTTTGACGACGAACAGGTGACGGAGAACCTTGGGATGAATGAACATGACGGGCATTTGGATCTATGCTGGTCAGTATCTTGTTCTTGAACAACACGACGAAGCACTTACCATCCAGAATATGAAGAAGCTGAGCAGGTCACGAGATGTGATACCAGCACTTGCAGGTAGGTGATTTGGGATATTGTTGTATCCATTACCAAATATCCCACGCATGAACACGGTCGTGATTCGTCCGCCGTAGTATGTTTGTGTGGCGAAATAGATGATCGCAACAACTGCTCTGACGAGGATGTACAACGAGGAGCCTCTGACACCGGCGGCGACGCGGACATAGACTGGAAACCCGACGAAGTACTTGATGGCACCACGGCTGTTGAGGACGACTAGGACGGTCAAGATTCCAGATCCGATGACAGCAGCTATCATTCCATGCCACCAGAGCAAGCCGATGGACACGAGCGAGGCTCCGAGGTTGTAACTGCTTGGACTGAACGTCATCGTCAGGTAGTAGGCAAAGTAATGTTGCCATCGCCATCTCCTGTCCTCTGCAAAGAGTCAACACCATCATCTTGAGAGAACCGAATGACATACCTGGAGGGCTTGGAAGCAGATCCTTGTTGTAGCGGACTGTACCATCGCTATCAGAAGTTTGGACCAGTTCCTTCAAAGACTTGGGTGATCGAGAAGCAGCTTTTAGCTGCTGCACAGATTGTAGCATGTTCGCTTGGTGGAGAAGGCTGTCGCAAATGAAAGAATATGCCGACTAGAATACGGGCGATCATCTCGAGGCATATATGCACATTTCACTCGCATGAGATAGCCCATCTTGGTCAGTATGAGACAATTTCAGCTAGCAACTGATGTTGAGGTGATAACAATGTGCCAACGAGCAAGGCGCGGACGAGACTGGGCGCAGATAAGCTGATAAGGGAAGGAGTGCATCGGACGAGCCCCACAAGTTCGTCGGATCTCCGAAATCTACTGTGAACTTCGATAGGCAACGGCGATCATAGCTTCCTTCCTCTACAGATTGCCCGAGCATAGATAATGTTATTGATAGGACCTCCGAAGACCTTGGAGGCTGTAGAATACAGCCCATAGTCCTCAATTCGGCCTTTGACCATTCCACCACCGATGCAATACATCGGTCATCCGAAGATGATGAAAGAATGGCTGAATGCTCCCTTTCAATCGCTCATGATCATTGCATTTGTTTTTTGTTGTAGTTGATCGAGTTCTGGTTTAGTCTTTTGTTTGTCGCCAACCCGACCATCATGAAGGAAAATCAAGTCGCTGCCGAGGCGTCAATCGTCGACCAAACCAACCTCCTACCAAAAAAGGAATTGCTCATAGTCTTCAGCGTACTAGCAATTTCATTGTTTATCTGTTTTATTGACCAGAACGGCATTGGAGTTATACTGCCAACCATCTCACGAGATCTAGACGCAGCCGACACCATTTCTTGGGCTGGTACCTCCGCTCTTATTGCGAACACAGTCTTCCAGGTTCTTTTCGGACGGCTGTCTGATCTTTTCGGTCAGTAATATACATCTCAGCATGGAAGAAATGCTAACAAATGACTCCAGGAAGAAAGGTTGTTTTTCTGTCGGCGTTGGTTCTACTCGCAGTCTGTGACCTGCTTTGCGGGTTCTCTCAGAATGCTACCATGCTCTATGTCTTCCGCGGCCTTGCTGGTGTTGCCAACGGCGGTATCACAAGTCTATCGATGATGATAGTGAGCGACATCGTCACCTTGAAGGAGAGAGGCAGATACCAAGGTATCCTTGGTGCTTGCGTAGGCATGGGCAACATGGTAGGGCCCTTCATTGCGGCAGTGTTCGCTCAGCACTCCACCTGGAGAGGTCTGTTCTGGCTAGTCAGTCCACTTGCAGCTCTATGCTGTGTGAGTTGCTTTTTCATACTGCCTGCGTCCAACGACTCCTCGAAGCTGGATTTTCGAACCGTCTCAAAAAAGATAGATTACTGGGGCATTCTTTTCGGCTCGGCGGCAATCATACTCATACTGATACCTGTCTCTGGAGGTGGCAGTTACTTCCGCTGGGACTCTACTATGGTCATCGCAATGTTAGCAGTTGGAGGCAGCTGTGCTCTTGCATTCTTATTTGTCGAACACAAGGTCGCGTTGCTCCCTATGATGCCTTGTAAGCAAAATAAACACCATCTTCTGATACTGGTAAGATACTGACTCAAGTAGTGTCACTCTTCAGAAATTTACCGGTCTGCATTCTGCTCTTGCAAAATTTCCTCTTCGGAATCGTATACTACTCACAGCTCTACTACCTGCCGCTTTTCTTCCAAAATGCGCGACGCATGTCACCGATCACTTCAGCCGCTCTCGTACTGCCTATCACCGCAGCACAGATGACTTTGTCAATAGTCTCGGGCCAGTACATCTCTAGGCGAGAGCGTTACGGTGAAGTCATCTGGCTAGGCTTCTTTCTCTGGACGCTGGGCGTTGGCCTTACATGTATATTCGACCAAAACACGCCCATCGCCGCGATCGTAGTCATCTTGCTTGTACAAGGTGCCGGTGTGGGCTTAATTTTTCAGCCAACACTAGTCGCATTACAGGCTCATTGTTCCAAAGCTCAACGTGCAATCGTCATCTCCAACCGCAATTTTCTACGCAGTCTGGGTGGTGCAGTTGGGCTTGCCATCTCTGCTGCTGCGCTACAAAATTCTCTCAAGAAAGCCATGCCTCAAGAGTTTGCTTCTGCCTTTTCTTCTTACGACACTCCGGACTTTGCGGCCCTCGGAGCCTCACCGGAGCAGATACAGGAAGTCCTAGATGCCTATGCAAAAGCTAGCAGAACTGTATTCATCATGAATGTGCCATTTATGGGTCTCTGCTTACTTGGCTGCCTTCTGATCAAGGATCGTGGGCTACAGCGTCCCGATGAGCTGAGAGTGGCCCAATCGAGCGACACTATCAATGGTGTCGAAGTCGAGAAGGGAAATGGCGACGAGATTGCCAACGTTCAGCGGCCCCCTAAGTCTGATCTGAATGAGGAAGCAAAAGGGGCTTTGGTACAAGAGCACCGATAGAGTCAGTCGAGATATGTGTGTAAACCACAAAAAGAGTATCATCGTTTGCAAGACCGTCTAGTTGTATTGCCAAAGAATACTCTCAAGAGTAGCGCTAGTGCGTGTATGCATTCGAGGATAGATCGTCTGTCGGACATGAAGGCATTCAGTGGTTCAACAAAATTTAACAACACGTGCAGGAGATTAGTTTCCAGGAGACTAATCAACAGCGTCAACCGATTGGATTGTGCAGAAACGATTGACGTATATGTGAGGGCATGTAAATTGTACCAGAACCGAGCTCTCGCCTGGCAAGGCACCTTACCAACTGGCCGTCAGAAGGCACCATGTTTTCAGTCTCCGTTTAATTGTCCACAGAGATCGTGAAGCGAGCACCGCTCCCAGTGGATAAGGAGCTGATTGTCAAGAGCATCCTGCAATCTGATAGCGAGTTCGATAAGCAGTCTGTGTTCGGGGATCCCGGTTCTGGTGCGATTTCTGTTCCTCCACGTCTACGTCATTGAAGCAAGACAGTGAATCGTTGTCCATTTGGGTACGCTGTTACATTGTCTTCCAGTCGTTCGCTCTTTCCCAAGCATGTGCAACTTCATACACGGTCATCTCATTCCACCACTTTCCTATCACCTGCATACTGACAGGAAGTTTCACCTTAGCTTCCACACTTGGGCCCTCCACAACTTCCAACATTCCAATGGGCATAGCAAGCACAGGATGACCGCTTTGATTGAAAGGTGCAGTGTTGGTTGTCAATCCGATTTGCTTGGTGATCTGCTCAATCGGAGTAGCGTCTGGTGCAGCATGGCTCGTTGCGACGTAAGGAAGTGTCGGCGTGAGTAGGATGTCGTAGATCTCGAGTGCTGCATCATACGCATCTCGCAACTGACGCGACAAGTTTGTCGCCTTGGCCAGAAGAAGCGGGAAGTTTTGTACAGCATAGAGTCCGTTGAGATAAATGTTCTTTGTCGAGACATACGCGTTATCCCAGTTCTCTTGACCCATCGGATGAAGTTTCGAGTTTAGGCTGAGCATTTGATGGCCACGTCTACCAAATGGACCTGATGTTTTGGCGAGATATCCTCCTACTTTCGAGACACCGGTCCAGATTGCTGCGCCTTTAGAGTGGATTGGAATAGAAACTTCTTCGACGGTTGCACCGAGTTCCTCAAACTTGGAAACGGCGGACCTAAATGTTTCGATGACGCGAGGGTCCAGAGCTGGCAAAGAAAGAGATTCTGTAATGATACCGAGTTTCTTTCCCAACAGCGGTTTGTCGGTGGGAAGATCTGATATTGAACTGTATGTTGGAACCCTGGAAGGGTGTGGGGCAGCGAATGAGCGATCATCAATGTTGTCGGTACCTGCAATTGCCTCCAGGAAGATGGCATTCTCGAGAACAGTGCGAGTCATCGGACCAAGGTGATCGTTGGTAGGCTCGTTTGAACCGCTACCAGTGTAAGGTACGAGACCGAACGTTGGCTTCAGACCGACGATGCCACAATTGGCCGCTGGGACACGAATGCTACCGCCTTGATCTGCTCCAATAGCTCCATCACATTCGCCGAGCGCAACAAGAACGCCTGATCCGCTTGAGCTTCCGCCTGAACTGTAGCCTTTGGCAAATGGATTTTCGACTACTCCAGTTCCAGAAGAGTGACTTGTAGCGCTATGGCACATATTCTCGCAGACGGCTTTTCCGAGAATTGTACCCCCAGCTTCCAAGATTCGCGTCGCAACAGTGGCATCGCAATCAGGTACGTAGTCTTTGATGAAGTTGGTGCCCAGAAGCATCGGCACCCCTTTCAGAGCGACGTTGTCCTTCAAAGCGAACGTCTTGCCTTGGAGTTTGCCACCTTTGGGCTGCTTATCTGTGACTGTGCACTTCCATGCCCAAGCGCCATGTTGATTCTCTGTCTTCTTAGGAAAGTGGATGTTCTCCCTGGAGAATCTCTCCTCGTCCACTGGAGGAACATAGTCTGCCTGAGTCAGCTTGAGAAGTTCGTGCATGTTCCACATGTGTCTCACCATCCATCGCCATCAACTGTTCACTCGCATCATGAAAGACAGCCAGTAGACGACGATAATCTTCCTTCTCGGTTCCATATATTTTCACTCCTAGCTGAGAGCACAGGTCCTCGAGTGTCTCCGTGGTCACAGGGTTCCCCTGCTTGGCATCGAGGGAGAAGACTGACATCGTGAGTTTGCTCAAGAAGACCCTCGAAGCTGTGGTGAGTGAATCTGAACGCTCTATGTGGTCCGAACCAGAGCTGACATAGTGGCCTTATACACGATGATGATAAGACACGCCGGCCACAGAGGATTGCCCAGCAGATCACCTCACTATTCGGTAACAGTTAATACGATAGCTCCATATCAGTGTCTCCAGTCAGTAGTATTTCTCGGATACGAGCACAGGCAAAGAGACAGACAATCGGAGGTCCGAACTTCGATAGGCGGAGGTGGGGCGCAGACAGCGGGGTCAGAGGGGTCCGATAAGCACCCGATAAGAACATCACACCTTCCTCGCACCAGTTATGAGACATCTCTCGATAGGCCAAATTACGATCTGAACGAGAAGGAGCAAACCGACTCCCAACGTGCCGCTTCGGCAAATGGCCGATACTGTGTTGATTGTCAGAAGTGCTGACTTGAGAATGAGCAACCAAACAATTTAAGACGTACCACTAGCCAGTATAGATAAGTTCAAGGAACATCTTCAACTCTAGATAGACTAGAGTTTTTCGAGCTCTCATCGATACTTCGACCAAAACTTGTACCGAGATTGAGGAAGATTCGCCACATTCCCTGTCATGGTCCACGTCGAAGATTCCTTGCAATTGCCTCGAGACTTCGAAGGTAAGAGAAACTAGCCTGATGCTTATGGACGCAGTAGCTGACGGTAATCAAAGGCTTCGGAGAAGAAGGACACGATCCCCAGTGGCCAAATGGTGCTCGCATAGCCGTATCGTTCGTTCTGAACTACGAAGAAGGCGGCGAGCGTAATGTTCTAGATGGAGACGGAACCAGCGAGCCATACCTCTGGGAGAAAGGCCCGTCTGGTGGTGGTAGAGAGCACCGCCATCTCAACGGAGAGCAGGACTTCGAGTATGGAAGTCGATGCGGAGCTTGGCGCATTCACCGTCTGATGAAAGAATTTGGCTGGAAGATGACTCTATGGGCTATTTCTGTGGCCATGGAGAGGAACCCTTCTTTCGCAAAGGCGTGCGTACGCGATGGTCATGAGATCGGCGCACATGGCTACCGATGGCTCGATATTTGGGATTACTCTTTCGAGGACGACAAAGCTTATATCAAGAAGTCCTGCCAGACTCTTGAACAAGCTACCGGCGAGTTCCCAAGCGGCGCTTACTTCGGACGAGGAACACCAAACACTGCGAGTCTGTTGCCTCTCATGTGGAAGGAGATGGGCCACAAGTTGCTCTACACGTCTGAGGTCTACAATGAGGACTCTCCGTACTGGATTGACCTTCCATGGGAGAAGGAGCTCCCAGACAGTGAGAAAGAGGGCATGTTGATGGTTCCATACAACTACGATTGTGAGTGTTGCGTGATCAGATCTGTCTGTGTATACTAATAGCTTTCTTAGGTAATGATGGAAAGTTCCATATGAGTCCTGGCTTTGTCAGTTCGAGCGGAGCAACCTACGAGCAGTATCTCAAGGATGCATTCGATTGCTTGTACCGTGAAGGCGGCAAGATGATGACTATCCCGATGCACAGTAGAATTGTAGGCAAGCCTGGCAGATCAGAGAGTCTCCGGAGGTTCATGAAATACATCTCCGAGAAGGAGGGTGTCTGGGTCACCACTCGCAAGGAAATAGCGAACCACTATCGGGAGAAGTTCCCCTATAGGCCAGGCTCGAAGACTGGTGGTGATTCGTAGTAGCCGATATAACACGATGCTCTTTCTCCCAACTTCCTTTCTGACAGCATTTGAACAGAACAGAATGGCTGCTCGTCGCGGCGCTTCGTGACCTTGATGAACAATCCAACAAGGCTCCGCTGTACTTGTCTATCCGGTTTGCCGCCTGAGTGCCATGCTCTTGATATCCTGACGAATCTTGCGCTCGACGCGAGCCGCGTCATAAGTAGCCACCCACAGGTACTATATTTGGCGGTGATGCTGTCGACTGTACGAGAAGAGACGGGTCGGAGTTCTTAAGCAGGAGGAATATCATGGTCGGTATAGCTCGGGCAGGCCATTAAACATGTGAAGACAACAAAGCGCTTTCGAAGCTTGAAAATCATCTACGATGATGAGATGCGTTGTCGCTGTTGCTAGAGTTGTTCGTTCTTTACTCAGAGCTCTCATCGTCATGGCTTCTTTTGGCCAGAAGTCATTGCGACGTCATCCCGCCAGCATTTTTGGCCACGGTTTGTCTTATCAAGTCGCGAGGTGCTGCTTCCTTCCCAGACAAACACAGATAACGAATTGGCCGCTGGTGCTAATACTTTCGGAACGTGATGAGTTTACCTTTAAAAAACCTCCACGTCGATTCAATGGCATACATATCACCTCGTTGCCAAATCACATGGCTCAACGTCCTACATCCATGAGCTTCACCAGCCCTGATCCTGTCTCGCCTAACATCGACGATGGCACGAACCCTAGAAAAAGGCAGCGAACTGCGTGCGATAGGTGCAAAGGCAGGAAACAGAAGGTAATCAAATTCGTTGAGCTCACGTCTGCTTCATCTCTGGTGGCTCATATCTCCATGATAGTGTGACAATGCATATCCGCAATGCTCGAATTGCGCGAAGGCTGGCAAAGAGTGTAACAAACCATTAGACACAGAGATCTTGAGTAACTCGTATACACGTGCTCTGGAAGATCAAGTCGCGTATCTGGAGAAGCGCCTAATGGCCATGGAGCAGCAGCAGCCGCGACAATCTCAAACTCAGGCCAACCCGAGATCGGCGGTGAACAGCTCGTCCTTTTCTACTGGTGTTGAGCACACATCGACCCAGAACCTTGGAAACAACGGAGTTGATACCACCGAGGGACTTGGATCTCCATTTCGACAGGAAGTCAACGTTGCAGACGTTGTTGGCATCTTGTCTCTGGGCAATGGCAACAGCGAAACGTACATCGGATCTTCTTCAGGCTATGCACTGGCAACTGATCTCGGACGTATGGTACAAGCGACTGTCTGGAACAAAGCTCTATGGTTGCCTACGACTTCCAATCCTGGACCCGAGAGGCGTCCATCCAGCTCAGATACCAGACCAATTACATTGCAAGAGCTGCAATCCAAGAAGACAAAGCCCGTGTCTGATGCTCTGGGTGCGAGGCTGATCAACGCGTACCTTGTGCGCATACATCCGAGATTTCCGTTCTTATTTCCAGCCGACCTTTGGGAGATGCAGCGGCATACCGCGCATGAGTCGGTCGGAGCTAGATCTAATAGCGACACCAATGATGGCCAGCACAGCTTTGCTTCTCCGGCTTACAATCAGACCGGCTTTGCGCTTTTTGTGCTGAACATGGTATATTCAATAGGTGCTCTGAACCTGCGACTCACCGATCAGAGCTACAGAGACACACCGCCGGAGCAGTTCTACCTCTCTGCAATGCAACATGTCGCGAGCGTCAGGGAAGCATCGCCGATTGACAATCTACAAGCATTGGTGCTTCTTATCTTGTATCACTTACGGTCGGAGTCTCGCAACGGGCTCTGGCACTTGACAGGTCTAGCAATGCGCACAGTCACTGACATTGGTCTTCACCGAGAGGCTTCCACACGAAATCTACCCCCACTGGAAACACAGCTTCGACGTCGCTTATTTTGGTCGGTGTATGCTCTGGAAAGCATTCTCGCTGGTGCTTTGGGAAGACCTATAAGCCTTTCCGATTGCGATATAGACCAGCCGTTGCCCTTGAGCGTCAATGACAGCGATCGTATGCGGGAGCCGAACACGAGCTTCATGTCTCATGGTTCAACACCAGGGCAAGAAGCTAACCCAACTACCAATCTGAGCCAATTCATTTAGCTATCACAGCTTCGGACTTTCGAGGCTCGCATACAGCGCACGATCTACCGTGTCGACCGAACGACAAGTGCCTTGCAGCCAAAAATGCATCGTCTTATATCAGAGCTCGACGCATGGCGGCAGAATATACCCTCAAGTTTGCAGTCAAGCGAGCATGAGCGCCTTATGCTTCACTACCATCGCGATGTGCGGCTACTTCTACAACCATTCCTGGCTATGCTAGAGCCAAATTCAGACCTCTTCCGTAGATGCGTGGATGCGGCTGGGCAAATCTGCCAGATACACAAGCGTTTCCATCAGACTCCTGAGTATGGCCACAGCTTCGTCGCAGTGCATACTGTCTTTGTATCTGGTATAACCCTTCTTTATGCACTTTGGCGCGGGAAGAGTAACATCTGGTCCTTCGGCATCAGTAATGATATCCGTGCAGCCAGTTGTGTATTGGCGATAATGGGCGAGCGGGCGCCTTGGATAAGACGGTTCCGCGACGAGTTCGATGCTTTGACTGAAGCTACTATGGCAGCTTTGCAAAACGCAAGTTCCGAACCAGGAGTTGAGACAAGGCTTGGAGATGAAATGCCAGCCTACGACTTTACTGTGTTCGATGGTCTAGAGATCACGGATGCTGCAGCTTTAGACATGGTTAGAGAATTGTCGCAATGGTTTCAATCTTAGGGTCAACCAGCAATAATATTCATGGAATATGATTGTCTTTACAGCCTCCCCGTGTGCTAAACTTTGTCACCTCGACTCTCAAGTCGCGGCGATGCGTATAAACCACCCATCAAAATGCACGATAAGTTTGGGAAAGAGCACGCCGTCCACAGAGAGCGACTATTTAACGCCCTCTCCTTGGGCCTAGCTCTCCTCTCTGAAATCATCGTGCATTTTGACAGCAGTGTCAGTGACAAACTCTAGCACACGCAGAGGAGCTTTGAGAACAGAAAGTTGTACTCGAGTATTCACGCGCATTGTTGACTAATATTTCTTCTTTTCTCTCTGCGGAATTAAATGCACCGAGGCCCGCGTTTTAGTTTTGCCGAGGTTTGACAGAACCATTCAGCTGAAGTCCCCTTTATTTACATATGACTTTTCCATCAAGGATCAGCATCAACCATCAAACATGACGACTCTCAAAGAGATACTGGCTCTTGAGCAAGTTGAGCCCAATCGTAAGTAAAGCGACCGAGTACAGCCGCGAATACATCGTGTACCTGTCAACCAATAATTCGCTTATTTCTGTGCTGACATTGCCTCCACCGTAGGCTTCAAAAGCGTGAATCTTCCTGTTCGGATGGGAAACATTCTTCCCATAGCTTTCGGAGGATACACCATTGGTGTGGCTGTAGCCGCTGCACACTACGATGTCCCAGAGAAACACAGACTCTACGCCGTCAATGGAAACTTCCTGGGCCCAGCATTAACGGATAGACCGGTCTTTGTCAACACCAAGGTCTATCGCTCAACGAAAAGCTTTACGACCAAATTCGTGGAAGTGCTGCAGAAGCAGGATGATGGCAAAGAGAGAGTCTGCCTAGTAGCCCTAGTGGACTTCCATGTCATCGAGGCGGATTCATTCATGATTTACTCTGCACCGCCAAGCAAAGAGTACACTTCTGTCGAGGACTCCTGGACACCAGCCGAGCGCAAGAAAATGATGGTTGACGAGAAGATCTTAACACAAGCCCAAGTGGATACACACGACAAGCTGTTCCATCTCATGGGCACGTTGATTGATATGCGATTCACCAAGCAAAGCATTCACGGACAAACTCTGCAAGGCTTTGCCAAAGGACACAAGACGACGCAGGAGCATCTGCCTCTCACAGAGCGCTCATCAGCAGATTGGCTCAAAGTCCGCGAAAAGGTCGAAACACCTGCTGAGAACGTCACACGTCTCGCTTTCTTGTTGGATGCATCAATCTCCTTCCAACCTCTTGTTCTATCGAGCATACCTCTGACTGAATCAAGTGCATGCTCGACTCTGGAATTCTCACTTCGCTTCTTAACGCCAGAAATCAACATCAACGATTTCCATCTCCGAGAGTGGAAGACATATGCTGGTGATGCGGCAAGGACATTTTCGGAAGCTCGATTGTGGGACAAGGATGGCAAGATGGTTGCCAGCATGTCTCAAACATCCATATTGAGACCCCCTAAGAAGGCAGCGGCTAAGAAATCAAAGATATAGACATAGAGGGCATCAGATGTGGAAGAAACGATGATAGCATTAGAGGAATGGTTGAACGGCTCGCAGGTATATAGATCTTGTAGACCGCCAATCTAGCACGTACGGCCACAGTCAGCTGAAAACTGGGCATCCCGTCCGCTCTGCCATACATAAGCAGTTGAACGGCAGATTAGTACTACGGTGGGTGACCACGTGGGAATCCCTGCTGCTGTACGTTTTGTTTTGTCATCTCTCTTTTGCTAAACATGCCTTCGACATACTGTGATTGTTTTGATTGACAAGTTGCCATCTGGTCAAGCAGCCACGCCCATCCATGGTCTAGTCACCATCTGCTTGAATCCACTCCTACAGTTTTTCCTTACTTTGATACGACTTGCATTTGTGAAGACTAAAGGCCTTGTTACAAGCAAAATCGGCATCTTACTTCTCGTGTCACTGTGGACCTTTTGTGCATATGTATCAAGATCCTTTCCAGGGTTATCATACATGTTTTTTCTATGTTTTCTAATTACAACGCCAATCCTGCTCCTCCATTACCAACCCTCAGAGAAGAAAAAGAAAAAGAAAAATCAAGAAAAATGCGCTCGCTTATCGCTTTGCGTTGGAAGAGATAGAGCAGGGCCCAATGCTTAAAGTCAGCATGGAAGATCTCTGAAGGACTATTCGGCTCTGCATAGCAATTGTCGAGTTCGAAAGTCCACACTGCCCAAATTTCTCGATGTCTGCCTCGAAGACTTGAACATGATCTAGTTGCAGTTCTGAGGCAACTGGATGGTGATTCCGATGGTGATATTAAGGGGATCAACGTTGGGGTTGTAAGCCTCAATCTGGCCGACGGTAGTGTGATAGGTCTGGGCCAGATCGTAGTAAAGATCACCCTGCTTGATCTGGTAGGGGGCAACAATGCAGCTGCTACCCTCGCAGACAGGAATGTTGATAACTTGACCGGGGAAGATGAGATCGGGGTTGGTGATCTGAGGGTTGGCTTGCTCAAGAGCTGCGAGAGTGATTTCGAAGTTTTCGGCGATCTTGCTCAGGAAGTCGCCACTGCGGACGGTGTATTTGGCTGGGACGCCCTTGACGCAGGTGTTGTTAGTTGCGGGTGCAGCTGTGGGTTGGCAGCTGGTGTTGTCGGGGGTGGTGCAGAAGGAAGGAATCTTGAGGACCTCGCCGGGGATGACGAGGTTGATGTTGCTGATGCAGTTGACTTTGGCAATGTCGCAGACGCCGGACTTGAGGTCCGGGTTGGCGGCAATAGTGGTCAAAGTGTCACCAGACTTGACGGTGTAGTCGATGTACGAAGTAGCACCACAAGGTGGGGTGGTGGTGTTGCTAAAAGTGCAAGCTATGATGACCTATCAGTATGATTCTAAAGCAATCTGCAGTCGCAACTTGACAAGACGTACAGGATGTCTGGCGAGCGAAGATGGGGCTAGCCCAGGCACAACCAAAAGTGGCGGCGGCGGCAATAATGACAGACTTCATGATGGCTAGGAGAGTTGAAGTAATGAGTGTATAAGTGAATGTAGTGCAAAGTGATCGAATTGGTGGCCCGGTGAGATTTGGATGATAGGGAAGACGGGTCTCTAGAGGGTGATATATATATGCCAACCCAGTGTCGCTTGTCTCTACCACATATTCCTGACAAGAGTAACAAGAGGTAGTTACTGATCAGTCGTCTCTCAATTATACTTTGTTTGGCCTTGCTCTCAATTTCACAAGATTGCTCCGCCGACATAACCAAACCTTACATCAGAAGTATGCGCAGAATTCCGGTTTCATGTCCATGTCGTCGCATTTCTCGGCCAATTTTCCCTCACTTGATACGAGAGGAGGAGTTTGCAAGCAAGTAGCTACAGGTAGCTGTCAGGAAAGGTCCGAGTCGTGCAGTGCCAGAGTAGGCGGCGGATTCCAAGGACTGCTCCAAATAGTCAGTACACACATGCTAGCTCCGGCTGACTGTATGGCTGGTATGCGTCAACAGGTAGACTCAATCGCCGAATGCATGGGTTGACCACTAGCAAGATTGGTATACCACCCGGCGAGCGTCTACTCGTGTAGGAGTGAGTCGCCTTCCTGGCAGGGACCAAGAATCAACAGAAACCAAGACCTAGGCGCCCGACCACCAGGAATCTTCCGGTTTATGGTAAGAGTACGCGTCGCAGGATCTTTTGAGTTGACAGGGGAAGTGAATGAGGTTCTTCCGGGTGACTGCGGGCCAAGGCTCAGGCACTGCACGGTCTGGTTTGCACCTGTCAAACTCAATACAGCATGGAGCATGTTGAACCCAATCGTTCCTTCTCAAACCAGATGTTTGACTCTTTCCACTCGATGCAAGGATAAAACAGCGGTCAGAAAGCTTGCCAGTAGCTCACTACGTGTCGTCCAAATTTGGGTCCCATGCGCCGCCTTCTCTGGCGCTTTCGGCGCCGCGATGAGCAATACGTCGATCTTGTTGGCGTAGCCATGGCGAAGAGCATAGACGGTCATGTCGTCTTGGTATAACTGACAACCCAAGAAGCCCGAAGTGATCGACTGTGTCGAAACAATCATGTCGGCGACCTTAATTTCCAAGAAGGAAAGTTCGCAATTGTGGTCGGTCTTTTTGACCACTCCGTATTCTTGAGATACGAAGTGCGGGCTTCCGGAACTCCATCGCTGGCTTTTGCGCCATACAGCAGCGTAACTTGATCTTCATGAGTAGCAAATCCACATGGATATATTTTCAACGTAGAAAACATCATAGCACATGGTTTGTAGTAGGCTTTTGTAATAGGCCTTTGCAGAGTCTACGCCGGACATCGAAAGTGTAGGAAGGGGTGCGTGTGTCCAAGTAGGGCAACTTTAGCCTAGGTGCGCACTGGCTAAAGGAGACCCCCTACTGCTTGTTGTCCTCTCCAAAATATTTCAAGGGTGCAGTTTGTAGTTTATCAACATATGAAATTAGGTATGTACAATACTGCAATTAAAAAAACCAGACAGCAGATGCTCTAAAGGGTATCTAAACAAAAGACTACAGAATAAAGTGTGACAAGAAGGAAAGATCATTCACCATCGGCCTACGATGATCCGTTCAGAATATCCCACGTCGTTTCAGAACCACGGGTGTTGGCAATCTCTGCCACTGTGTGACCCAACTCGTCCTTAGCCTCGACGTCAACCACGCAGCGGTCGACGATGAACTTGAGAATATGATCATCGCCGTTCTCCAAGGCCTGGATGATGGCGTTATGTCCGCGGTAGACCTTGTTGGGGTCGGCACCTCTTTCCAACAGCAGACCGAGAATCTCAGTGTCGTGGCCCTCCATACGTCTGAGCGCCTTGATGATGGGCAAGTGCTCACCAGGTGAGTTAGGGTCTGCACCGCCCTCGTCAAGAAGGTAGTAGACGATTTCCTTGTGGCGTTCGCGGATGGCTGTGGTCAGCGGGCTGAAGACACCGCCGTTGCGGTCCTCGACGCTGACGCCGGCTGCGAGAAGCATCTTGATGCTTTCGAGTTGGTTGGCTACGACGGCCATCTCCATGATACCCTTGAAGGCGCGAGGCTCTGCGATGCAAGGCAGTAGTCTCTTGAGCATCTGCGGGTGTTTGACGGCAACAATGATAGGCCAGTCCTCGCCACGACCATTGGGGTCGGCGCCGCTTGCCAATAGCAAATTGAGAAGATCAACATTGTCGTTCTTGATGGCGGTGGTGAGTGCCGTCGCACCGGTCACAGGGACTCTGTCGTTGGGGTTGACACCGGCAGCAATCAGCCACTTGACGGCGTCGACGTTGTTGAATTGCACAGCCGTCTCAAGAATACCCTTGGGTTGGGATAGTTTGGCACCGGCATCTACGAGAGGCTGTAGGTATTGCAGTCTGTTATGCGTGACGCACTTAAACGCGGGAAACTCTGCTGATGAAAGGTTTGGATCAGCTCCATTGTTAAGAAGCAAGTGGAAAATATCAGATCGGTTATCACGAATCGATGTGCAGAGCGGTGTCCAGACACCATCCTTCTTGCAATTCGGGTCCGCTCCGGCCTTGAGAAGCATGGTGACGGACTTGATGTTGTTGATCGATGTCGACAACTCCACAATTCCAGGGGTCTTCTTGTGATCAGCGCCACGGTCAAGCAGCAGCTGGAGAATTTCGGGCTTGTGAACTGCTGGCCAAAGCATGTGTTTAGGGCCAGGGAGGTTGGGGTTGGCACCGTGGTCAAGCAAAGACAGGACGACTTCTATGCGGTTTGAGTTAATGGCGCCGAACAGAGGGGTGGCACCTTCGCTGTCCTTGCCGTTGGCGTCGGCTCCGTAATCGAGTAGCACATCGATGAGCTTCTTGGAACGTTTCTTGATGATAGCCCTGATCAAGATGGTCTCACCGTCAACCATTGTGTGGTTAGCGTCTCCGCCATACTTCAAGAGCAGTAGAGTGAGGTTGGGTCTATCATCCATGATCGATTTCGCGATCGGTGACTCCGGAACGGGACCAGTGACCGAGTTAGGGTTTGCGCCGTACTTCAGCAGGGTAGTGGCACCATCGTAGAAGCCAGCTGCCACTGCTGCATAGAGCGGTGTCACACCAAGATGTCCCGGACCGTTGGGATCCGCTCCAAAGAGCAGAAGCAAGCGAACCGACTCGCCATCATGACGGCGGACTGCTTCTCTGAGGCACTGGTTGTCGTTGGGACCGTCTGGAGGAACACCGCGATCTAGCAACTCTTCGACCATTCTATGGTTTTGATCCTCAACAGCAACAAGGAGGGCAGCGAGCATAGCGGGAGTGTCGCATCCTCGAGTGCTGCGTGGGGCCCAGCGAGGCATGGTCGCGGGATCAGCCTTGATGCGAACGACTGGTACAGGACCATCTTCCCACAAGTCTGTCTCGGAGACACCGTTACTCGTCCCGGGGCGGATTTGCTTCGAGTAGTCATTGGCATGGTCTGAGTGAATGGAACCAGCAGCGACACTGGTTGCCATCGTGGATGGGGTACCGGCGTGCGAATGCATGGCATTGTGTGAGATTGAGTGGTCGGAACCATACATTGAGCTCGACGACCGGTGGATGTTCACTGGCAATGGGGGCAGAGGTGGGTGGAAGTCGTGAGACGGGTGGCCTCTGAATGAAGAGGCGCCGTCGCGAAGGGATGTGACTTCGGCACGGTGGGAGGACGCAGCATAGGCAGACGCTCCATCTCCACGGTGAGATGTAGCATGTCCGCGGTGAGATTCAGCGTTCCCACGGTGGCTCGAAGCTACGGGCTCGCGCCCCGAGTCTTTCCGTTCAAATCCAACGTCCCCTCGGTGGTATGCCGCCGGCTTGTCCAGATTGAGGGTTGACATGTGCTCTATCTGTGCCATGACAGGGTCTTCTGAGAAGTTGGCTTTTGACGAAGAGTGTGTGCTGCGAGATGCTCCGTGTGATCCAGATGTTCCAGGAGGTCTTTGCCTAGCCTTGTCCATGCGCTCTAGGACGGCAGCCAGACCAGTGTATCCGATGCCAACAGAGTCGTCGATCTTGGTATCATCTCCCAGGGACCACTGGAAGGCAAGAGCGGCCATCTCAAGGGCTTCCTTGGTCTTGGAAAGAGCATCCCTCATCTTGCCCACGTCGTTGCTCTCGAACATACTGCGCCATCCTTTCTGAATCTTTCCCATAGTACCACGTCTCTCGTACTCCAGATACCTCAGCAGCATCTGGTCAAGGTGTTGCATGTCGTTTTGTGTTGTCTTGAACTTCTTGTCAAGCTCATTCATCATCTTGGGGGGAAGGTGTTGACGTGTGCGGGAGCACTCCTTCAATCCCGCTTCGATTGCCCACATGTTGCGGCACACATCCAGGAAGTCGTGTGCCAGGTCTTCGAATCCTTGAGGTGGATGCTCTGACGTGCTCAGAAACTCGAGCATTCGGATTGAAATCTTGTTTCCCTGGACGGTTGCCTTGTGGCAATGATCGAGGACCGTCATAGTGGGAGGGTCTATGATCGAACAGCCCTATCTGTGTCGGTTATGTAGAACAAGGATCGATATCAGGGAATGAATGAGTGTGAAGGTTAGCTTCGATCTTGGTGTTCAAAAGAGTGAAATGCTGCTAGGTTCAGAGATCGGAGGAGGGCCCCTAAGGATCTTTATACCTATCCAACCGCCTGATTTGGATTTGGAGATAAGGTTTCGGTACAGTAGGCGGAGTAGATACCTAGACCAGTATTGTCCACGAACAGCCTAGGCCGTTTCAAATGGTCGTCGGTATTATTGCTACAGGTCAACGTAGAAGATAGTCTTGCAACGTCCCAGTCTCTGCCGACCCTTGGCTTTCAGCCCTGCTTTGAATAACCTTTGTGTGGCGGAATGACTGTTTTCTGCTGTATTTGTTGTCGCAATAATGATTGTAAAAGGCGACTCCGCTTGAGACATTGTGTGGCCTGGGGCTCCAAAAGACAAGTCACTGATGGAACCAACGGCCTAGATGGAGAACGTGATAAACCTCATCAGGGTCCTAAGCCTACATCTTGTTGCTCGCAGATGTTCGAAAATACACAGCCTGGATACTGCTTGTGTCGGACTCGGTAAGTTACGGCCATTGATCCATTCTTAACCTTTGTCTATGCAACAATTCTTCACCGTCGCTACTCGCTATCCAACGGCTGTGGAAGCAGTCTGTATTTGTGCGTGTGGAATCCAGCCCTCGACCAGCCCTACACTCGCCGTTAAGACCACACCGAACGATAGATCTAACCTAATTCTTTGACTGTGGTTCTGCCTGTTCGATTTTTCATGCAAAATTTGAAGCATTGAATTGAGCGAACGGAGCGAGCTGTACCAATCTCTTGCGCAATGGTTTGCGCTATCACGAGGGCTGAAACTGGGTGCGTGAGAAAGATGCATGAAAAGGGAGAACAAAGTTGGGCAGGATCTGGTACGGGGAAGCCACAGAGGACATGAACCAAAGATTCTGGAGCAATGTGGAGAACGGTCAAAACGCTTGGAGCCTCGTTGTCATCCATGTTCCATTCAGTACCAATTCCTCCTGCCCTGTTGCTCGCCCGTTCCATTTATCAAGCCGCGGTCAAATAGCCAAAGCATAATGAACCTTGATCGACGATCAACTGAATACACGATTCTTATCTTGTTCCCTTCGGTACTCGGAGCATACCGACCAGAACGCCTCTGCCACTTGCCGAGTCATTCAATCTCCCACACCCACAAGTCTCTCCTAGAAAGACTCATGATCTGGAGAACCGCATCAGGTAATTCGCTTCCGCCGCCATAATCATGGCTAGTGTGGTAAGTCTTGCGCAAGCACTAGGAACACATACCACCTTCGCCAAAAACGCTCCTCGGCTGGATGCACCCTCATTACTGTCTCGAATCATGATCACCTTTAAGCTTTACCGAGTCGGTGAACCCGAACACGTGAACATCAGGGCGGAATTTATCAAGTCCGGGATGCTAGTCCGTGGAAAGGACCTTCCAATTGGAGCAGACAGTATTGCGACGTGATTGTTTGTTGGTATCCGCTAGCCGGGATGAATCATCAGGGTGTACATTATGGTTATCCCAAGCTTTAGATAAGTAGAGTTTGTAGATGCAGATGAGGAACAGATTAAGTTAGAGATTGTAGGTAAGGATATTTACGGATTGAGAACGGATAACATGTGGCGGGGATGAATGGTAGCGACGGTAGATACAATGGATAAGATAAAGGTTTAACATCAGGAACGAAGTTGGAGGGGGTGGTTATGTGGCTTGTGAAGATCAAAATGCTAATGTTGTGATGGCGGATCTCAGTGATTACGGCCGTGTTGGCCGCAACTTTGTGCGACGGATGTGGTATCTTGTCCGGCCTCTTGCTCGAGTGATTGCTGGTACGGCGGGTGGTGCAATTGTATCGTCAATTCTTCCTGAGCCCTACCTAATCCAAAAATGGCAACCCTCAAGCTCAAAAAAACAAGATGTGTTCCAGCGAGTGAGACTCGAACTCATGATCATGTCTCATACCATGATCCATGATCTATGATCTATTTCATACCAGCGGCAAAGCTGTAAAGAGAATAGTTTACACTTCTGTTTGCAAGGCCTCATTGTCAAAATGCACAATGATTTTCAAACCATCGCACTGTGAACAGTGAGAGAGCATCAAAGAACCCATCCCTCCAGACGGCTACAGTGCAACAAAAGCCTCGTACGCCTGTGCAGTCATGATGACTTGATGGAGTAGTCGCAGGATGATGAAACCTCCCGACAACCTCCAACTACCCCTCCATTCCCCGTCTGATTGATCCCGACTCTAATCAAATTCACCAGATCAAAAGTTCCCGCCCACAACATTCCATCACCGTTTTCATCACTCCACAAGCAAAAAGAGGATGCAGCGAGCGAGATTCGGACTCACGATCTTCTCATTCCATGATTCCCTTAGTACCACGGGAAACCCGCCGATACAGAATCATGAACGTTTGTGTTTACAAGGCCATGGGAGTGAGACGTCTTGACCACTAGACCATCGCTGCTGTGTTTGGAAGAGAGCAGATCTGAATGGTTATGAGGGTTGAGGAAGCTTTATCGTGGCTGGAAGGAACTGGTCAGGAAGTTGCGGCTTACTAGTCACATGCACGCATCGTGTTTATGACAAGTCCTAATTATCGCGCGTTATTCATAGCTCGTCTCTCGATCTTCCATTCGTGTGTATCGAATGGTTTGTATCACTGCCGCAGAAAACCACTTCCCATCGTCATCATCAATCTGAGTTGAGCAAAAAGAAAATAGAATGCAGCAAGTGTGATTCGAACACACGATCTCCTCAGCCCCTAGAACCGTCAGGTAGTACGTAGAACATACAGCCGTCTGTAGGTTGTCGGTGCGCTTGTGTTTGCAAGGCCGTAAAGGTGAGGTGTCTTGACCACTAGACCATCGCTGTGATTGTTGATGGAAGGTAGAATTAGTGAGATGATATGCTGATGAGAAGGCTGAGAGAGAAGGTGGGAAGTGCTGGCGTTGACGTCTCCTTTCTCATCTGGGAAGCTGGGTTGAGTTGGGCTGTCTGCACCTTCCGTCGATTCATGAGGCTTCCTTCCAAGTTCTGATAGGCTTCCTTGCTATTGTGACATCCACACCCGAGGACTGGATTGTTGTTGACTGAAAACCATGTTGAGACGAAGTGTATATTCTGAACGATGACCGAAAAACATAAAAGAACTTTTGTGTATTGCTCTCGTCCTGTAAAACCGTACTGACTTCTTCCTTTTTTCGCCCTACTCCTAAGCTCTGTCAACAAGAAAAGAATCAAACAAAGGAACGACCGAAAAGATGACATAAGAAGAGGACTCCAACTCCAGGCATTTTACGTCGTATCGTTTATCCAGTACCGCCGTTGACTTCCACAACACTGCCATTCATGTATCTGCTCTCATCACCCATGAGGAAAGCTACAACATCAGCAACCTCGCCAGCCTTGCCCATACGACCAAGAGCGACCTGCTCAACCGTCTTCTTTAGCGCCTCCTCTCCAGCAACAACACTCGCATTCGTCGGTGTCTCGATATATCCCGGAGCCACAACATTGATACGAATGCCCTTTGGTCCCAACTCCAACGCCATCGATTTCGAAAATCCAATAATGGCGTATTTGGTCGCGCAGTAAATAGCCATCTGCTTGTGCGGATGAATACCACATATCGACGAAACATTGACAATAGCACTCCCACTCCTCAAATACGGAATAGTGGCCTTTGTAACGTTATACACACCCTTCAAATTCACCGCGACCAATTTGTCAAAGTAATCTTCTGAGCAATCCACCAAGTCTCTGGCCGTGGGGTTGATACCCGCACAATTGAATACGTGGTCGATTCTGCCGAAATAGCCAATGGCATCTTTGATGGTTTCGATGCAGCGTTTGTATTCGCTGACGTTGAGGAGTGTTACTTGGTGAGGGCCTCCGGCGCATTGCTTGGCGGTTTCTCGACATGATTCGATGTTGAGGTCGCTGAGGGCCAGGCGTGCTCCGAGTTTGCTGAGCTTGAGTGCTGTTGCGCGTCCAATACCGGAACCGGCTCCAGTCAGGAAAATGACTTTTCCCTCGATGGCGTTCTTGTTCATCACTGCGACGGTGCTGGTGATGGTTTTATTGCAGATGCTGTCGATCCGGGATAAGGACCCTAGTGGCTGGGTGGAGGAGGGGAGCTTGCGCGATATAGCTTGGCGGGATTGGAGGCACAGAAGTCGGCGATCGCGCGAAAGGTTGTTGTTGTGTTGATGGTATAGGGAAGAAAAGTAGAAGGATGAAAGTTTTCGTGTCGCGTCAGATCGCAATCGCAATAGAATGGCCTAGATAAAACCAATTCGAATCACACATGGCAACTCCCAGCAATCTGTATGGTTGTTGGGCGCTTGTCAACACAAAAGAAAGTGGGGCCACGCCGATAAGGCCGTGAAAGCCTCATGGCGTTATCGGGCCGTCTGGGCAGGGTTTTGTATGCAGCAGTCACGCATTTTGTCAAACATATGTTTCAGAGACGATAGGATGAGCTGGTGATGCTTGATGAGGTATTTGCATTGGGGGTATCATGAGTTATTTTTGGGAGTGTCGTTACAGGAGATGATCACGATATGTATATCATCATCGCCTGGCCTTCTTCTTATCTGGACCATCTTCTTCATCGTCACTAAGGTCGGCGTATATCGTCTTTGGCTGTGTCTCGGCCCAGGCATTGGTGAACAGAGGATCGTTCTTGGCTTTGTCGGCATACTTGAGAAGAGCCTCTCTTGGGTCTTCCTCGCGCATACCACTGAGAGGAATGTGTTCCTTGATGTAAGCTGCATCTGCGTTGCTCTTTGCGAAAGGTGTAGTGTTGGGAATGTGTGGTCTTCTTGGATCTCTAGATTTTCCAGAAGCCGTTAGACCAATTGTGGGATGTCTTGATGCGAAGGAAGCGGCCGTCGGAGCAGAGCCTCCTGGCAAGATGACAGCATCACCGCCGATTCCATGAGACAGATCCATGGTCAAGTTCGGGTCGTCATCAATATGACGACGCTTGGGAGCCTTGAGCATGACAGTCTTTGCGCCTCCTTCTGAGATATTGGGATTGTAGAGGACATGGGTCTCTCCATTGGCTGAACCGGTTATAATTTGGTTCAGCTCTTTGTGCCAGTAGACGCTGATCAAAGCAGAGCCTGGTGTCACTGGAGTTACGAGTTCCGATGTGAGGGTAGCAGGGTTGAGGATGTGGAGGTCGCCGTTTGCAGAGCCAGTGAGCACTTCAGTGCCTCTTGGCGACCAGCAAATGTTGGAGGTAGGGTATTGGCCAGAGATTGATGGGAAGGAGACAGTTCTTAGGGGTTGCTTGAACTTCCTGGTATCCCATAGTTTGATAGTGTCATCACCTCCACGAGTCATGACAAGCTGGCCAGTAGAGCTGACCTGCAGGCCACTAGTCCAAGTATCTTTTGTGTGAGCGTCGCGGATCTCTGCAGCAGGCCTGGTGTATGGACCATTGCCATCCCACATGACCAAGCTTCCATCAAGAGCGGCGGCGACAAGGAGATTGTTCTGAGCTGGAGCGACCCAGGACAAAGCAGTGATTCGCGTCCTTCCAGCAGAACCAGCGGCTCTCGACTTGTGGACAATGACGTTTTTCTGTTGTCTGGGGTTATTCACATCCCAGATGCGGACGGTACTGTCTGTTCCTCCAGTCGCGCAAATGTTGCGATGTTGTGGATGCCAGACGCCGCAAGTGACCTCTGAGATGTGACCCTTTGTGTGGTGCATGTCGCGTAGGTACATGTCACCCTTGGCGAACTCTGCGATAGTTTCGCCATTGCGATCGAGGATGCGCGGTTGTGGGAGAGCGGTGATGGCGAGGATTGTGCTCGGCGAGATGGGATTGAACGAGACGTGGTTGATGGGGTGAGTTTCGGACGAGGCGGAGCCTTTGACAGATGACGGGTCGACGGATTTGAAGGCGCGGATTGTCGAGGGAGTGAGGGCGGCAAAGTCGTGGAACTTGAGGGTGCAGTCGTTCGAGCCTGTCACCATCCGTCCTCCTGAGGCGTCCAGCGTGATGCATGTGACGGCGCGGTCGTGTGTCTTGAAGACCATTTCATGCGACACGGGGTATTCATCTTCATCATCTGCATCGTCCGAGTCGTCATCATCCGAGTCGGATTCCTCGCCTTCTGGGTCGTTGGCCTTCGCTTCAGGTCGCGAGATGATTGGCTGTGATCTCTTGCTTTGGTCGAATCTGTTGTCGTGGTCGGTGGCTTTTGATTGTTTGCCAAACGATGTCGTTCCGAGAAACTTCTGAAGAGCCTCCTCCTCTTCATCAGGTACTTCTGAAGGTACCGGTATATCTGACATGGCGACGATGCTTGGTTGGTCTAAGTCATCACTTTTGGATAGCGTCGAAGCTATGCCGGACCCGCGCCAGTCACCAAGCCTTTTGTCCTTCGGGACCAAGCTTTCGCTGTCACCAACGCCGCACTCTTCCCTTCCCTACCAACAATACATCCACCATCTCAAGCCCCATCGTGCAATCCGATCGTGCTTTGGTGTGCAATGAGGATTACGGAGTATTGTACATATCAAGACTAGTCTGCACCGCTGGGCTTGTTTTTACAACAGGTCGATATCAGCGCCCTCACTAGTTATCTTTCCTTCTACAGTAAATGGTACTCCGCCGCGATAGGCAGGCAGCTATCCATGCGATTAACCGAATAATTAGATTGTTTTACCGGATCGACTCCTATTTTGCATCTCTCAACCAGATCTTGTCGTAAGGACTTCTTAAGCATCAATAGGTCGTCGCACTCTGAGGTCAATTATGGCCATTGATTGCGGACACTGTACCGCGTAGCAACCATGCAATCCAATGTCGCCGCTTGGTCGATAGAGATCCTAATCGATACATCCCAATGGCTCTATATTCTGCCTCTCGGGGCATCGGTGTACGTTACAATCGCTGTGTTTTCCAGATGGCGCGAATTGCAAAAGTCTTGCATCAAAGTCAATGTGAGCCATCGAGGAAATACCAAAGTCGTGAGTCTTTTGCCATCTGCCAACAATATCATCGGGTACTTACCGTCTACAAGCTTCTCAATCTAGCCCTACTCATATTTCAGTCGTGTGTAGTAGGCTGGTCTTTGAATGTGTCATTGCAGCATGGTAATACTATATCGGAAGTAATTCACCTTGTCGCAATTGCCAGTATTACCTTCCTGTCACCGCGAGAACACTACCGTTCCTTGAGGCCGTCAAAACTAATGGCCGTCTATTTATCTATAAGGACAATTGCAGACGCCTTTACATTGCTTTTCACTCTCGGCACATGGTCTGCTCTAGCTCTGGCGCTGAAGACATTCCTAGAGGCTGCGAATCTCATTGCGGAATCTCAAAGCAAGGAAAGCATCTTGCTTGACAACTTTCGGGATGTCTCACCTGAGGAAAAAGCCGGACCATGGAGTCAAGGTGTCTTCTGGTGGATCAACTCTGCTCTGTTTGCGCGACAGAAAGCCGGCTTCTCGCTGGAGACGCTGCCTAAAAATCCTCGTCAGCTTGATCCATCGAGATTGCGTCAAAGGTTATCATTGGCATGGGATCAGAGGAGTAAGATCCCCAAACAAATCTCATCTACTAAGACTTACAATTGTCTGACAGAAACGCCAACAACTCAATTTACGCTGCCTCTTGCTTTGCTGCAATGCCTCATGCCAGAATTTGTCACCATCGTGCCTACCAGATTACTGCTGATTGTGTTACGCTATGCTCAGCCTCTGCTCATTAGTAAGATACTGCAACTGCTTGCAGCTAATAGTTTAGGCGGACGATCCTATCAACTCTCATGCTCTATCATCATGGTCTCCACTATAGTATACATTGGACAAGCTGTAAGACTGATACTTGTTAAGAAAATTGTTTCAATAAGCTAATTCATCCCAAAGATCGTTTCTTCGAGGTATGAGCATCAGCTAAACCGTCTCAATGTCATGACTCGGGCTGCACTTATCGGACTCATTTACGAAAAGACTCTCAACACGCCTTACACTACCTACAAAGACTTTAGTGCTGTCACTCTTATGAGTACTGATGCAGACTCACTTGGGAACGTCAGCGATATGTTCCATGAGGCATGGTCTCAAGTATTGGAGGTCGGCGTAGGCGTGACGTTGCTGGCTCAACAGATAGGATGGTTCTGCCTCGTCCCATTGTTACTGATTTCTGGTAAGTCAGAGCTCGTTGGTGACTGATGAGATGTGCAATTGACACAATTAGGGTGCTCCAACATGACTCGATATGTGGCAAAGAACCTGCGACCGAAACAGCATGCATGGAACAAGGCAACTCAGGATCGCATCAACAAAGTTGTCTCTATCCTCAGCTCAATCAAGATCGTCAAGATGCTTGGAATGACAGAAGTCGTCAAAAGTCAGATCAGTGATTCGAGGCGTGTTGAGATTGACGCTTCAAAAGATATGCGGTGGGTATCTGTGCTCGCGAACGCCAGTGGTATGTTTCTTGAACGACATCTCATTCGCTTTTACACACGTCCTGACTGGAACAGCAAATGCGCTCGGGCTCTTCACGCCTCCAATTACCGTCATCCTCTTTGCTGCATTTGGCAAATCAAAACTCGACGCAGAGACAGCATACACGACTCTGGCCATCCTTGTAATGGTCACACATCCTGCTAACATGGTCATGACGATCGTGCCTAGAGCGATTGCTTCTCTTGCCAGTTTTCAGAGAATACAAGATTTCATCAGTAAACCGCATTACCAAGATCTTCGCCTTCGTCTCAGACAAGGGGAAGGAGCGACCTTGGACGATTGTAGTCGTGCACCCCAGCCCGCAATCGAGCTCAAGAACGTCGATTTCAGGCTGGCGGATGCTACCAATGCGGTCTTGGAGAACATCAGCTTGCGAATCGATCAAGGGTCTATCGTCATCTGCACTGGACCCACGGGAGTAGGAAAGAGCGTGCTGGCTCTAGCAGTTGCTGGAGAAGTCACTCCCTCGAAAGGTTCCATCTCCGTCATCACCAAATTCACAGCACTATGTGTCCAATCAGCATGGCTCTCTGGACAAAGCGTCTCCGACATGGTTCGAGGATTCTCATCTTCTTCTGTTTCACATGATGAAGGTTGGTATAGACAAGTCCTCGAGGCATGCTGCATAGACCGGGAAATCTTGTTAGACTCGTCAACGAGTTCTGGAAGTGGTCATGCAAGACTTTCAGGAGGGCAGAAACAAAGAATAGTAAGTCATCAGGTCCTCAAGACCGTTCACATCGCTGATACTTGAAGGCACTGGCTCGCGCTGTATATCAACGGTGCGATAATCTCGTTCTTGATGATCCTTTCTCGGCTCTTGATCAACGTACACAGGATCGTGTGATTGTCAACCTCCTCAGTCCAGATGGTCTTCTGAGGCACATGCACACAACTGTATTCCTCATTACTAACGCCGGTAAGAGAGGAATTTCGGCAAACGCGGATCAAAAGAGCTAATATAATATCTTCGAAGCCCGAGCATATCCTCTCGCTGATAGAATTCTTCTTCTGGAGCAGCGAAGCATCAAGTTTGATGGTGACTGGAGCGAATACCTTGCACAGTCTGGCTCACTGACATCTTACACTCATAAACACGATGGCATCCAAGCCGAAGTCGACGAGAATAAGCAACCAGCAGTTGTTCGCAATCAGAAGCAGCAAGTCATTAAAGACGATGAGTTCGATCTGGACAGAAGGCCTGGCGATGCCGCTGTGTACGGTTTGTAGTGTCCCAAACTCGATCAAGTTCTCATGGGCTATGATTACTGACAAAGATATAGGATACTATCTAAGATCAGTTGGTGCTTTCAACATGATCGCACTCTTGAGTTGCACGGCACTGTACTCATTCTTTTCAATCTTTCCCCAATACTGGCTCAAGTGGTGGACAGAATCGAAAACTGCAAGTGATACATTCTACATGCTCGGCTACTTGGTGTTATCCATGGTTGCTTGGGCTTCGACCAGCACAATGCTTTGGTATGTTGATTACCTTGGGTGATTGTAGAACTCCACATTGACAATTGGTAGGGTCAACTTCATGAAGCTTGCGCCTAGATCAGGAGCGGTATTACATGCTCGTCTTCTGGGTACAGTTCTGGGGTATATTCTTCCCTGATTCCAGACTCGGAGCAGTACTGACCAACTGTAGAGCTCCAATGTCTTACTTCCTCAACAACGACATCGGAACAATCGTCAACAGGTAGACTCGCAACATCTCCGCCTTTCTTCAGGTGTGAAGCTCGACTGACATCATCCTAGATTCAGTCAAGACATACAGCTGATAGACCGGGATTTGCCATCCGCATTAGCTGCACTCTGCACACGTAAGTATTTCATGGAGCTGCACAACTCTTACTTAATCTAATGCTGTGACACAGAAATCTTCAAACTGGTCATGCAGTGTTCTCTCCTCCTGACAAGTCAAAAGCTTCTAGTGTTCGCCTTACCCATCTACGCCATCTTCATCTACATCGTCCAAAAAGTATACCTTCGCACTTCCCGACAAATCAGATACCTAGAGCTAGAATCCAGGTCTGCCGTCTACTCTAGATTTCTGGAGACTGTAAGTTCCCACCTACCGCTTGTCACTCATTTCTTCCAACATCAACACTAACACACACCGCAAAAGGTCGAAGGCATAACCACAATCAGATCTTCTAACCAGCAGCAAACCTACCTCTCCCGCACCACCCAAAACCTCGACCTCTCCCAACGCGCCTTTTACCTTTTCCTCTGCCTCCAACGCTGGCTAAACATCATCCTCGATCTCGCCATCGCCATCGTCGCAATACTCGTCATCACCCTCGCCGTCTTCTTCACTTCCGAAACCTCCAGCGCTGATGTGGGAATTGCGTTGAATATGGTTTTGGTGGCTAATACCACTTTACTGCGGTTGGTGGAAAATTGGACGAGGATGGAGACGAGCGTGGGTGCTGCGGCGAGGTTGAAGGAGTTGGAGGATTTTGTGCCGAGGGAGGAAGATTGTGCTGTTGAGACTTTCGTGCCAAAGGATTGGCCATCTGCTGGAGCGCTTGTGTTGAGGGATTTGAGAGTGGGTTATGGGTATGTTTGCTTCCAGCATATTGTTGGAGGAAGTTTTGACTAACCCTCATTTCTCCAGTTCTCGAGCCGTCCTCTCAAATATCAATCTCACCATTCACGCTGGTCAAAAGGTTTTCATCTGTGGAGAAACGGGAAGGTATGCCATACCCATCTATGAGGCTTTTCCTTCCAAACCTTTCCCCCCCCGCCCATCTTCCTTCAGTCCTTTTCCTTTGCTAACTCTTAACGCAAAACAGTGGCAAAAGCACCCTCCTAACGGCGTTCCTACGCTTGAGTACCATCCACCACGGTTCCATCATCCTCGACAACATCGACATCACCCACTTATCTCCCTCCCTCCTCCGCTCCCGCTGTTTCATCACAATACCCCAAGATGCTTTTTTCCAGCCGGATATAAGTCTGCGTGATAACCTCGACCCCGGCAACCATCATTCGGATATTGAAATCATGACGGCGTTGGAGAAATTGCAACTTTGGTCTCACTTCCTCGACACTGTTTCCTCCTCCTTCCATGATGATGAAGGAGCAGGTCAAGTCCTCGTACTTCCACTATCCTCCTTCCCACCTCTATCGGTCGGACACTCGCAACTGCTCTCCCTAACCCGGGCCCTCCTGCACTCTTCCCACCACGCCCGCCTCAACAGAAAACCGATGATCCTCCTTGACGAGCCAGCAGCAAACCTAGATGCAGAGTTTGAAGATTTGTGTTCCAAGATTATACAGGAAGAGTTTACAGAGAAGGGGTTTACGGTTTGCATGATTACGCATAGTGTCAAGGATTTGAGGCAGAGGGTTAGGAGGGGCAAAGATGTGGTTGTTAGGGTGAGGGATGGAGGGGTGGAAGTTGTGGAATTTGAGATGGGGAAAGAGGCTGTGATGGTCGGGTAATGGAAAAAGTAGATTTGATGTTGGATAAATGATACACTATCTGCTTGAAGCTCGTTTGCTCAAGATTGATTGGAAGGTTGGGGAAGCGCTCCCTGAACGCCTTGCAAAATGCGAAATCGCCGTGCCAAAAGAGGCAAAAAACAACCCCGGAAGTCGTGCTGCTTGATGCGAGCAAGAGAAATCTAGATGGAAGCGAAAGACTCAAGTGGGTCGCGTCTTCTGGATATAGTCAGCGAAACCTCCAAACGCTGTGAACGATTGTGCTTACCAAAAGAGTGTGTCTGACGGATGTGCCATAGGTGCTCAGAAACGACCAGCGTTCAGAGCAAAGAGATCAAGCGGCAGAAGAACCGCATGTCTAGGTCTTGCATGAAACCCATGACATGACACAACCTCCAAGGCTCTTCTCAACCAATGGAAAACTGCTCCAAGATGACCATCTGGGCAGGAGTCGGAAGCACATTTGCTGTCATGCTTGAATAAGCCCCATGTTCATCTTCCAAGGCCGACAAACACAAGCTGCCCTCTTACCCAACATTCCAGTCAATGCCAGGAACCTCTTTCCCTTGACCTCCTTTTCCGGATCTTTGGCGCCTTCGTACCAGCTCGCGGTCTTCTCTTTGCCGGCGATGAGCCAGATGTCCTCGTTGACTGGGAATGACCAGCTGAGCAGGAATCTAGGCATTTGGAGTCTGCGGAGTGCATCTCTTTGTTGGAGACTCAGACCGTGGAGAAGGAAGCATAGTGCATCTGCTGCGGTCAAGTTGATGACGAGCGATTTGTGGCTCCAGATATGTTTGAAGGCGAGATTGGAGATCAGACGGTTGGTCAAGAGAAGAGCGTATGGGTAGTTGGTGACAGTGTAGCGCTTTCGGCGAGAGACGAACGGGAACAGACTGCGCGTCAAAGATGTAGATGTAGGAGCCAGGCAGATGGTCATTGGCTGCGTGCCGACGCAGTAGAAGATGATCTGGTCGAGAAGCTCGACGGGTAGATCGAGGAGGCCGGTTTTCGACACTAGTGTAGAGTGTTGCATGATTGAGCTGTGAAGGACAGCGGCTGACATGTCAAGTGTCGTATGTGGCGAGTATCACAATGAAGTGTTTATGTCGTGTAAGTCGCGTCCAAGTATCCTTTGGTAGTGAGCGATTGCAAGGCGGAATCGTAGAGAGTGAACGATTGAGACAGAAGAAGACAAGACGAGGAGGTGAAGAGCCATTTCAAATAGGCAAGCGCAATTGACTCGAGAGTCACAAAATCAAGAATCAAATCAGGCAAGTGCCAGTAGACTGGAGGTTGAAGAATATACCATAAAGATTCTACACTAGCCCCACAATTCGACGGTACCTTCTCGATGACGGTCGGCTGGTGCGACTTTGGGCCTGGCACTTACCTAGGTCTAAATGGATGGAAGAGTGTCAGAATAGACATGGCGTTCCATGGCACATGGTCTTCTGATGTCGCCAGAGCATGTTGTTATGTGCCACGAATGCGACTACGACCTCGGCGCAAAAAGGATGACGCTTTGTACAGCAAGGAAACATCATCAACAAACCTTGGATATACACAGGTAGGTGACGTTGAGTATGATTAAGGTGTAATGTCTAACTTCCAAATCTCATCTGGGCCTGAGCATACTTGTACAGGCCACGCAAGAAGACTTGGTATCCAACACCGTTGTTGTCCGGGACGTGGCTGGTGATCAGAACATGTCAGCGTTGTGGAGCAATGGAAGCCTCATTCCAGAGGGTGTGACTTACAAAATCTCGGTGAGTCTTAACTGCCACGGAGGGTAGCCTTTTAAGTGGACACTATCAGCGAATAACATGAGAAGATCCGGCTCGCCCATGACGCTCTCGGTGAGCTCGGCGTCAACCAGGTCCATAGAAATGTCTTTGGGGGCCAGCTTTCCCTTCTGGCTCATCTCAGCCAACGTCTTTGTCAAATCAACGAGGGTTCCACGGCCGTCAGAAGCTGACAAAAGCAGGATGGAAAGATGGGGAGGCGACTTTGAAGAGTTGGCACTGCTGTTTGATTTGGGCGAGGCAGGCGGCGAGAAAGATTGCATGTGAGGAGCGCCCAGCGAAAGGGTTGGCTTGTTTGGGTTATCATGGCCGAAATAAGCAGCCAAGGTACGGGAGATGCGGCGGTGTACGAGTGGTAGGGATTGTTTGAGTACACCTAGAAGGGTTAGACAGAGAACATGGTCAGGGAGGGCGGGCCGCGGTACCGGATGGTTCATAGATGCTCAGTAATGGCACACCTGCGCAAGCCGACCAGGCGGCAACCTCGCAGACGTCGTGAATCAGAGACTCCAGACTTGCGTTGTCGTGTCTGTCATCGTCGAGTTCAAGTATGACCGACAAGTGCTTGGGCAACTTCTTCAGGCGGTGGACATCTTTCTGTATGTACTCTGGGGTACGGTGGTGGTAGTACAGGACAGCGAAAACGCGGTCAATGAGATTGTTGTATGCGACGCGGAAGCGATGGTAGACGGAGAAGGCGAAATGGATCAGGTTGTACAGGAAGAGGTGCAAGGCAGCCTTGATCAGCTGGCGGAGAGGTTGCGTTCGCTGGTGCTTTCGAGGTGAAGCATCGGGAAGATACGGTTGTAACAGTCGTTCGCGTTCGTGTGCTGAGAGAGGGCGTCCATCGGGGCCGATATTGCTACGAAAGGCCTCTTGTTTTACTGGTCCAACCATTGCGACGGCATTGGACTTCAATTGGAAGGTGGGAGGAAAGTCGAATGCCGCCAGAATAATATTAGGCAGGAGCAACGTCAGCTCTCCGCGCTTGCTTCGCCCAGCCCACGCGTCTCCACCACCCCCTCGTGCTTTCCCGCCCCGCTACCACGCCCATGTTATGACTTGACATTGACAAGCACATGATAATTTGACAACCTGACATGATTTCGTCGAGGCTCAGGTAGCGCGACAATCACGACCGCAATGCCTTCCGCTGCCGACAACGCGTCCATCTTCTCGGGCATCTCGGCCGCTCCTTCTCGATTTGGCGCTTCGCGACAGCCACAATTCACCCTCGACACCTTCTCTAGTCAGGACTTCATAGTAAAGGACTTTATCGAAGCTCTCTCTGATGCTGCAATCCCTCCGAGTCGTCGTACTGGCCCGCAAGCCGTCGCCTTTGATCCCAAACCCTTGATCCGTACTTTCGAACTGGCTTTGAACAAACTCAAGCTACTGAGCGAGGACCTTGAGCTGCAAGAGAATGAACTGTCTGGAGGTGTCAGAAGAGCGGAAGCTATACACAACCAGAATGTCCAAGCTAGGGAGAGGGAGCTTGAGCGTGCCGTCGACTCCTTCCACCGGCTAGAAAGAAGCTTGGACAATGACAAAGATCAAGGTGGAAATGCTGCTGTAAGAATTGGAGAAAGACTCGACGAGTTGGACCGTCAAAGCCAACGCGCTCAGGATGCAAAATTCATCCTACAATGCTGGATCGACGTGAGTGAGCGTCGCGACTTGTCAAGTCTGGATGATGTCAGGAGACTACAAGGTGGTGAGGGAAAGTTGCGCTGTGCTCATATCGCTCGCCAATTGCTCAAGATCAGCCAGCGTCTTGACACGCCAAACTCGCACACTAACGGTGATGCTATGAATGGCCACGATACAACTACTGAGCTGATTGAGAAGTTCCTCGAATCCTTGGAGAAGGACCTCCTAAAACAATTCGACGATTTCTACAGACGCCAGAATTTTGACGGTATGAGAGAATGCGCCATCGCATTGAAGGACTTTGGTGATGGCGCTAGTGTTATGGGTCTCTTTGTCAACCAACATCAATTCTTCATTGATCGTAGTCAGCTCATTACAGAGGACTTGGCCGCAGATCCAGAGACATGGGAACGTCTTGCCGACCCAGATACAGAGCCACCAGGTGTCGAACCTAGTCTGCAGAGCTTGGTAGACGAGGTGAAACTTGTAGTGCAGGAAGAATCCTTCATCATCAAGAAGGCATTTCCCTTCCACGAAGAAGTGCTGGTACGCTTCTTGCAAAGAATTTTCCAGCAATCTATCCAACAAAAACTCGAAATGGTGCTCGACAAAGCAGACTCTATCTCCTCTCTCGCTTTCCTGCGCTCATTACAAGCCAGCAGGAGCTACATTTCCGCTTTAGTTGAAGACCTGAAAGCACATGGCTTGACAGAACACCCAGAACCTGCTTCTGCACAGACTGCTGCAGTGCTCGATCAACAACTTGAGGATCTCTTCGTGCCATACTTTTCTGGCTCGTCATATATTGAGCGAGAGAAGAGGAGTCTGGAAGAACTCTATTCGTCCCTTCTGTTCAAATTCACAACCTACCACACTCGCCGACGAAAGATGCCAACATCATATCTTGGCTCCCTATCAGCACGAAGCAGAGAACTCATCTCGTCAACACGCGACACTTATCTCGATAGACTCGAAAACTCCGACATCCCAGCATCTCAGAAATCCACATTACTACGAATTGCTGGCCTCAATCCCAACGCCAGTCACACTCACAACAGGAACGATGTTGATGTATCAGAAGAAGACGGCGCATTGAGTCTACCATTCATCAAACGCATGCTCAAATGGCTAGCCGAAAGCGTAGGCCGCGGTCTCGAACTAGCAAATGGTCACGAAACTCCAAAGGACATACGCGAACTCCTCGGTCTGTTGATCGCAAACATGGGTGAAATCTACCTCGAAACCGCTCTCGACGCCATAACAGAATCCGCCACCACCGCGGAAAGCAGCACGAAGAACGAACCCGATTTCAACCACCTCACCTCCCTACGCAGCGCAATCTCCATCCTCCATCTCCTGCTCGCCACAATACAAACCCTCCTCCTCCCTCTAGCGTCAACAAACCTCACAATCCGCCGCGACCTGGACAAAACAACCACCGCCTTCATCGACCGCAGCGAACAAAAAATCGACACAATCCTCCAAAAAACAATCGATGCCTCCCTAACCTATTCCTCCCGCCTCCTCTCGCAACAGAAGAAGACAGATTTCCGCCCTAGAGACGACGCACTGTTGCAGCTAGACCAACTCCAAACACCCACCTGTCTCGCCCTCTTCACCTTCCTCACAAAAGTCCACGCGAGAGCAGAAACGGCACTAAGTGGCAAAGTCCTAGAAAGCTTTTTGCTAGAATTGGCTCTGGGCATCCGCGCACTCCTCCTCATCCATTTCCGCAGTTATCCAGTCTCTCTGACCGGTGGATTGATCGTCTCGAAAGATATGGCAAAATACATCGAGCTTCTGAAATCTTGGAAATTACCTCAAGGGTTCAAGGAAAGTCTTGAAGTGTTGACGGAAATTGCGAATTTGTTTGTTATTGGTCCTGATGCTTTGAGGGATAGGGTTAGAGGATTAGATGGTGTGGATGGTGTGGGAGGAGGACAGGGACAGGGACAGGGACAGGGACAGGGACAAGCACAAGGGCAAGCGGGACAAGGTGCGAAATTGGAAAAAGCGGATTTGAAACCGTACATTTTGATGAGGGAGGATGCTAGGAGTATTGGTGTGCAGAGTGTTTTGGGCTTGTGAGATGGATGGGATGGATAGAAGCCATGGCATGGCGTTTTTGATATTCTCATTTTCTCATTTTCCTTGGTTCTTCTCAATCTGGAGGTTTCTTCATGTCCTGCTAGGGTATCAAAAGGCTGCTTGTTGTGGATGTGAATCAAGAAGTTAACTGGATCCATGCTCTAATGCTTACTCGTATGTATATGGCTATTGTCTACATCTGGAAAACAACGAGGATAGAAGATGAATATTCGAATTCAAGTCAAAAAATTGCAATTTGGTATTTCCGGGGGGTATCTCTTGCTTATATACGATAGACCTTTTTTCAAAACACAACAAGCAACACCCTATACAGCATAACACAGATTAGTAGAAGAGTGGCAGAAACAGCAAAGAATAACCCAACACACGCGACCTAAGCAATAAACGAATGTGTACCGACCCAAACCCAAACCAACTCCAAAATCATTAGCGAGCGTTTGTGAGGTAGAAAAAAAAAAGGAAACATCACTCAGCATCAGGCATCTCCTCGATAGGCTCTGGTTCGTTCTCCTCAACCCTTCTCTCCATTCTAGCCCAGATGTCTTCCCAATTCGTCTTTGTGACTGATGCGTCTTCCTCGAAGTCTTCAAACATGAGAGCGTTGCCTGTCTGACATCTGATGACTCTATCTGTCCAAGCAAGGAATCGAACGAGGTTCATCGAATCAACATCAGCTTTACCGACCATTGCTGTCAACCCGCCACGCTGGTTGACCATCTTGCGCAACATGGGTTGATGTGTCTTACGGGCCAACTTGGCATTACCGGAGATGGAGTCAAAGAGGGCGACGAGGTTGAGAGACAGTATTGTTGCGTTGCTGTAGGCGCGTTTTGGGTCCTCGAAAGCTTTGTTCATACATTCGACCGTGCGGTTTTGTAGCCATCTTGGGATCGCAGGAGAGATAAGACCGGGTGGCATCATGATGGCCGCGTTGGAGAGGAGGGCGTAGAAGAGGGAGGGTTCGGAGCCGGCGAGACGGAGAGGCATCGAGTTGAATTCTATCTTTTCGTTGACTGTCCAGCCGGTCAGAATTTCATCGAGTTGGACGAGCATGTTTGAGCGGTCTGTTTCACGGTCAGCCTAATGGTTGTTGAATGCATTGCGAGTGCTGTATTCACAGTTATGGAGTAGTCTGCCATAGAAGGGCTGCCACTTGACGGGAAAGACGCCAAAAGAGTCACTGCCAGAGTCCACGGACTTCCACATTGGATAGTCCTCATTCAGGACCAACTCGAGGAAGGCAGGGGTGGATGACTTTTTCGGCGAAGGCTCAGGTGAATGTAGAGCTCTTTCTGCGGCAACATGGTTGCTTTCATCGTGCGTTCTCGAATCACGCAGGGTTGGCGTAGATGGCTGCGAGGTTGAAGCGGTCATGTCTTGAACAGTACTATACTGTCTCCAACTGGTACCTAGCGACGAAGGTGGAGCAGTGAGCATGTTGGATAGAGATGGCAGACGTGGAGAAGGAAGCGGGCTGATGGGTGGTACAGGGCGAAGAATGTCGGCTCCTGGCATGGCCTGCCGCGACTGAATCGAGAGAGGTGATGCAGCAGCCCGGAATTGAGACGCCACGACCTGTTGTGCTACCGTATCATGCTGGGGGTAGGCAGGTCTTGATTGCCATGAGGAGTGACCTTCATTGGAAGGGTAGCTCGAGGCGGCAGCTCGGCTCGAAGTATTTGTTTCGACCTCTTGAACTCGCACATGTCCTTGTTGGCCGTGACGCTGGGGTTGATGAAGAGGTGACGACGATGGACACGGCGCGGAAGTATAGGAATGAGCTCGACTAGCAGAAATGGGGGGGCGTGAGGCAGAGTAGGCAGTAAATTGAGCTTCTCGGCTCGGAACATGATGTTGTGGCGGCTCTCGTGTGGCTAGAGATGAGGGGCTCCTAGACTGTCTTGAAGCTCCAGCTTCAGCATGATACTGAGTCGGTCTATTCACCGAAGGTTGTGCGACTGGCGAGTATATAAGTGGTTGTTGTTGCGATGATGATTGAGCTCCAGGCGCGGGGTCGACATGTGTCGTTTTGCGACGCTTCTTGGGAGTCGAGTCCTGGTTGGCGGCCTTGTCGTCCTTGGAGGCAGCTACGGCTTTGTTGCGACTTCTTTGCGACCAACCGACTTTTGCTGCATGCGATCGAACATATTTCTTGTTCTCGCGTCCAGAAGAGCCAGACTCAAAGACAAAATTGAGCCCGCCACTTTCCTTGTTGGATGACTGCATTGGTTAATTAGGGCAAACAGTCCAGCGCAAAGAGTTTTCTGCCCAAACTCCACCACCGCGCGCGCATCAGACGTTCATACGAGGCCGCAATCAAGTCGTTCGGTCTGTACAAGAAGAACAGAAGAGTCGTGTCTAAGTGGTTGTAAAGGTTTCGCGGACCGGTCGAGATTGCTACACGTGTGGTAGATTTATCAGCATCCGCGTGTCATAGCGGCCGTGTCACTTTGAGGTTACAGTTGCATACTCTTGATTGGGAAAGCCCAAGTCCGCCTTCCTCGGCAATTCTTGTTTGCCTCTGCTCGCGGCAACGGGCGACATGCCGTAGAAGGTGCGTTCTGGCGACGCCCAGTCCCTCAAACTCTATGAGTGCGACGATGCCATTTTGACATTCCCATCCTCCAAATCTGCATTGTCCTCGTATGCCAATTTGCGAAACATAATCCTTCCGATACCATGTCGAGCTCAATTGAAGAAGATACTGTCGCAAGCATACCTCAAGTGTCGCGACAGGGATTACAAGCATCTAATTGCGGAGATCTTTCGCTCCGCGCTCGCATCCAGAACAAATTAGGCAAGATGTGCATAACTGATGATTCAGCCAATCCTGTAACCACTGCGTTGGGTGTTGCGTTGTCCCGATCCGATCAATGCAAGTCCAGACATAACAGCGACAAGACTCTGGCTAAGGCAAGCAACGTTGGTTAAGCCATTGGTATAAATTAATTATTACTATATTCGTAAAAGTCATGATATGTTCCGCAACCCACACAACCATTGGCCTGTTTCCATACCCTTCGGAGGACACTTCTTTGTGTATCTCCAACGCCTTCCACATGCAAAGTTGTTGCCTATGCTCAACTACTCAGTGCCCAGAATGACATCTCAGGCTTCAATACGCCTCTGCTGCCTTAGGCGGCCACCATATCCTGGCCTCTGCTCACAGCTCTGAAAGATCGAGGCACCGACGACCTGCGTCTAAGTGTTCCAGGTCTTGCAGTAGCCTCAACACGCTCATTGAAACTACGCTGTAGCTGACCATGCTGACTCTCCAAGAACTTTTTGACAAAGTATGCAAAAGTCTTGCTGCACTTTGCATCACTTGTGATAGAGATGAATCTCTGCCCATCTGCCTTCTTCACCAATCTCCACTTATTCGTCGATGTAAAGCCACCGGGCGCTTGAATAGTGATGTCACAGCCATCGTCCACAGGCTTGAAGAATGCAGTGTACCAGACTCCTCCACTCCAGAGTTTCTTGGGTACGAAAGCGAGGCTGTCTTCGATTTTGTATTCTTGAGGGTTTGCTGATGGATCCGAAACGAGTTTGATTCCTTTGCAGTCGGGATTGAGATGCATGATGACATCGATGTCGTGCATAAGTTTGATAGCGACGCTGTCGGAAGCGTTTCTTGACAGCGGTTGCTCGGAGGAGTATGAGAAGGATGAATCAAACATTTCGATGTTGTTGTAGCGTGTATGTCGGTGTTTTTTCGTGTCCCGGCTGCTGAGTTGAGTGAAATTGGGCTCTGCTTTCGGAGATGAGGGAATTGACGACCACGCAGTGTAAAAGATTAGATGAATAAAGAATTGAACAAAAGGAGACGACTTCAACATATCATCTTTTGACCAATTCGTAATTACAGCAACCAAATAATGACTTACGTCACTATCGAAGTGAAACGCTGATGGTGTGGCCGAGACTTCCGAACGAGCCATACCAGAGTTCCACGGATCGTAAATCGAGTGGTTAGAGACTGAGTCTATTGAAACAAGCGTTGCCCTGAAAGGAAGCCAATTCTGTTATAACTCTGTGCCTGCGTGACAGCCTGTTGTCAGACTCACAAAGCTTCGCAAAGTCCATCAAAAGATGCGCCGGGTTGAGCGGTATGCATATTGAGTAGTGGCATGATTCAACAGGACGAAGGTAGCGTTGCCATGATGCAAAGAAAGATCCGGGCTCATGCCGGGAGTGCCAGTCTCACAATTAATGTTGATAGGATGCAAACGGTCCGATCCAGACTTTATGCACACAGCACCATCCACCATGGGACATTACAATGATGATTACGGTGCTACCCCTGTCGAGATCGAAAAGAGAAGGATCAAGGTCAAACAAATCAGTTTCTACCAGAATGATATCAACTAATATCTGTCCAGACAGAAGAGATATGCTCCAGGCTCGATATCGGCCATGCCGTTGACTACACCATACCCACCGAAGGCAGTCTCGGGCAGCTCGGAACACTCCCGCGAGAAATCAGGAACATGGTGTCAGTGATGCCAATGAGTTGTGAGCACTCACTCACATAACTCATAACTCATTTAACTCATGCTATATGAGTCATGAGTTAGAAAAGTCATGAGTACTCATAACTCATGAGTGCTCATGAACAGAACAGGGTCACCCCCCGCGGCGGACCCCTAAAATTTTTGAATCCTCGAAATCCGGGGTCGGCCCAAGGGGCCGCAACCAATTTATAACTCATGAGTGAGCTTACTCATGAGTTATAGAGTTGTGAGTTATCCCAAAATCCATGAGTGAGCACTCATTGGCATCACTGCATGGTGTACGTCTTCTTCGGACGCACAGTGCGAGCCGATGCACATTACGATGAACCTCTGTCAGAACAACTACGAAGCATCCTTGTTCAACATTGATCAAGTCCTCGCTGAACAAAGGTCGACCACATCCTTTCCATCCTCTTCATACCCGTACGCTCCAGTAACCCTAGGTACCTAACATGCATAGGACACACAACTGGTCGTTGGTTAGAACTTTGGTAGTGCCACGAAATCAATGTCAGCACAAATTACTGCAGACCGACGTACAGCCGTAGTCCGAATACAGCAAAGATCATGTCACGGGCAGGATCACATTTCAGACCGCTATGACCGATCGATCTGTAGTTCTGGATAACTAAGGAGGAGTTACGGTACAAAGAGCATTATCTCTTTGACCTTGCTCAGCTTGCTGAATCATGGCTCGACGTTGAAAGACTGGAGTCTTGTGAATGAGATCAAAACCTTTGTATTTCAAAGGTCGAGGGTGCTCCGAGAAGTGAACGGCGGCTTTTTGATACCATGGAGACTGCGAGATATCGAGATGTGACTTATGACGAAGTTCTTCGAAGAACACCGCGCATTGAGATAGGGCTTGGATTGAGCCAGGTTGAGTTGCTCTCTCTGACTTGCATCTGCCCTTCGTTACATTTCACTTGAATCAAAAGTTTCTTCACTTTTTGCGATACGCGTTTGTGTTGCCGTTTTTGTTTGGCGCCTTCCTGTTGTTGTGCTTTGGCCCCTGACCAAGAACCATCACTCAGCTCTGTCGACTTTTGCAACACGACAGCACCTTGCCGCCTTCACAATCATAACAAAGCTGGATCTGTCAATCCTTCACACCGAGAAGACGTCTTTTACTACTGGCAGTCGGTCACATTGTCTTTGGTGGCACTTCGACGTGTTTCAATCCGCCCTTCACAACAACATCTCAGAAGCATATTCACTTTGGCATCTGGGTCGTTGTAAATCGATCTCTGCCGAACGGTTGACTCTCACTAGTCATCTTCCACACGCCAAACAACTTTCTCCATCCACTCGTCAGAGTCGATCAGCATCTCCCACTATCAATCTTGCTCGTCCTTGTCTCGCTTGCCTCATCAAACACCAGACAGACATCGTGGGTCACCGAGTAGCACGACATCGCGTACACTGCCCCTCTACTTTCGCGAATATGAGGGAGGCAAGTGTCCAGCTCTTTCTGTCACAAGAGCGCCTGACTGACATCTGTCTAGAACCAGAAGACCCATCCACCCGCAGGCCAAGTCACCGAAAAGAAGTTCGTCGACTTCAGTTTCAAATCTGATGACGGTCTCGGCTCGCTCTATCATTTTCCAAAAGAGATACGCAACATCATCTACGGTTTTGTGGTCCCTTTGGTGACGGCATCGACACACGACGACAATCCCGCAATCGACGATGACCTCGTACGTGCGCTGATGGCATTCCCACTGCTGAAGACAAGCAAGCAACTCTGCGTCGAGTTCCTCGAAGTTTTTATTCGAAGCATCGAACTTGAGGAGGTAACTCAGCTTGTCTATTCATGCCAGGCACGCCACAGCCTCGAGGCACTTCTGGCGTACGTTGGCAGGCGCATTCACGTCATCCCTCATCTAAAACAGCTGGGCTGCAAGATTGAAACAGACTACTTCGATGTGTGGTTTTGCACTGTAGAGTTGGAGGTTGATCTTGTGTTCCTGCTGCCCAGACAAATTAAGCGACTGTGGATGTTGCACGAGAAGTACAGCGTTACATCAGACAAACTGTATATCGAAATGACCTACTCTGAGCCAGCAGAACTCATCGCGAGCCTGGCTTGCACCAGCCGAACAATTAGGAGCTCCACATTGACCCATCTTTTCTGCACAAACCATTGGCTTCACAAATTCGACATCAGTACTGCCAAAATTTCCTTATCCAACCGAAGCGCTTCTACTCAAGCAATGAATGACATGGTGAGTTCCGCAGGCGCTCAAATCGACGAGTATCGCGTCTCCAAGATGCGCGACCTTCAACGCAATTGCACTCCCGCCGAGTCTATCTTGCTTGAAAGCGTGTTGAACGATGAAGTCGCTCCGTTCTGGGATCAGCGTTGTGTACCAAGGCTGTTACGATTCCACACTACCCTTATCGATACCGCTGCAGAACTTTGGGTGGCCATGGAAGAGCAGTACAATGTTCATCACCTGTTCGACCTCGCAGAGTCGTGGCTCGATGTCAACTGAAATATCGAAGCTTGGAAAGATTGGTGACTTGGTCGGACAACAATGACGAGCTCTTCATCGTGTACATTAGCCAATGTGTTCAGCTTCGAAAAGCTTGCTTTCAGTGCAAAGGCAGTTTCTCACAAGCTGCAGCAAAATACGTACTCAACTATAATAATGAGCCAAGATATTCTCAACCTTTGTGTGCTCTGAATGATCAAGCTTGAAGGATACATACTGGCATGCGTTGACAAGATTACTTTAACATCTCCTTTCTTTGTAATTTTTCTTGTTTTTCACTGTCACTAATGTCCCTGTACAGAAAGCTTGGACGAAGAAGATGAGTAGAGAAGTCACTTGAGTTCATGCAGAGAAATACTTGCTAATCAATCGTGTTGATGGGTTATTGAATTAGCTCAAAGTCTGAAGAGCAAGATATGCTTCCAAAGAAGATTTCTTCAAATCCATTCAGTAATCGATTGGCCCAGAAGCGGTATGTGATGTTGCGGACTTCAGTCGAAAGCCTGGTAAAGATCCTAGTCCGCTTAACTCATCTTGAAGCACCGGGGTATCTTCGAAGGGATTGGGTTGCGTGAGAAGCGAAGCCTATGCCTACAAAGTGGTAAATTGAAGAGTTTATGATGGGAAAAATGATGGTACTCACCTTGAGTTTACTGCCTCATTCTGACATTGTGTGGAGACCAAAGCTGGAGGTCGATGGTGAAAGACAGCCATGTGTTGGAGATCTTGATGGCAGTCATATCAATCGGTAGAACAAAGAAACCAAAAAAAGAAGACCAGAGCAATGTGTACCAAGATTACGGAGCTACTAGAAGACGTGATCTGATTCGTGAAGGCGACAAGGACAAGTAAGAGATGACACTAAAAGACCACCGCGAAACAAGGCGCAGGATCACCTCAAGATCAATGGCAGGAAAGACTGAGAATCTTTCGTATGATCTGGATCGTTTAGAGAAGTTACCAGTATTGTGGACATCTTCATAACGAAACTATCAACGGACTAGCACTCATCGTCAGAGCTGAAGCTCGTGGCGTGTTTCCATAACGGCAAAAGTATCTCTCTCACGACTGAACGCACGAGAAGGAAGGTGATAACTTGTAGCCTAGTCTTCTCCGGCACTGCCCAATCCCGACTCCATGAGGCTGAAGAAGTCTCCAACACTGTACTGATTTTCCATAGCCTCCCAGAATTGGTGTGATTGATCCATGAACTCTTGATGAATTGCCTCGAGTCTGGGAATACCGGCGTTCTTTAGATCGAGCAAAGCTGCACAGATGTTTGCAGTTCGTAGCCGCTCGTTTGGATAGGTGTGGCTGATGGAAGCGGCGTAGCAGTCGTCTGTTTGGCTTCCAAGTCGGCGCATTGCTTGTTGAAGTGACTTGATCGAAGCTGGCTTGTCTCTTGGATAGATCTGAACGCGCATATCGTCGAATTTACAGTCGGAGGTCAAGTCCCCACGCTGCCGTCTTGAATTCATGTGATGGATCATGTAGTCTCTTGCCCAACCGTAATGGATGTCGAGGAAGAAGTTGGGAGTTTCCAATTTGTAGTCATCGCGGAGATTCCACAACTTTCTCAGACCGTCTCTCAGTTCACGGGTCGGAGCCTTCAGGTATGTCGGAAGTGGTCGGCCATAGTTCAAACAGAACGGAAGAACAGAGACTGGGAGGCCCAGGTCTCCGATGGGAAAGCCAACTCCTAGACGGGTGCTGACGAACTTGACGAATCCTCCAAGAACGAAAACACCACCAGATGATTGCCAAAAAGATCGCGCCCTGGTGCTCGCGGCCAGAAGTTCGACAAAAAATTCCTTGTTGGTAAGCCTGGTCGGATACATCTGCAGCTGCTGGAATGCGCGGGAGACATGGGTGGCCTTGGTCTGAGGGTCACGATATCTGTTCAGCTGGAGATCCGCCCAGAAGCCGTAAATCATATCACGGACTTCACGCGGCAGCTTATCGAATAATCCGAGATTGGGTGGGCCAGTGGGCAGGCTACTGAAGCGGATGGAAGGCGTAGTAGCTGGCATTGCGTTCTTGATGAAAATCAGTATCAAGACACTTTCATACGTATAGAGACTATTTCTTACTACCTGGTTTGTTTCTGTGTCTGGAGTTGGGTACATCTGAATGTGAATTTGGTTGAGGACAGCTAAATCTGCCGCCTGATCAGTCTGGGAATGGCAGTGTTATATATTGACCAGCGGAAGAAAGAGGATAGCGCTGTTGTTGATTGGCCTTTATAGAATGCATGACAAGATTCTGCAACGTTAGCTGATGGAAGGAAGTGGTTGAAAGCGATGTGAAATCCAAGCGTGAGACTAAAAAAGGCGAACAGAAACAGCCAGAGTCTTTTGCGCGAGGAAAGCACTGTTGTCGTTCGCGATTGCCACCATGAATCCGAGATCGAGACAAGCGTGGACAAAGAACGAACGGAGAAAACACATTGAACAAGCGTACGAATATGCGGCCCAGACTCGTACAAACCAACATGATTAGGACTTGACTGGCGGAAAGACTTCTTTGAGCTCTCTATAACTCTTTTCTCTTGGAAAGTAGAGCCCACGTACTTTTGAGATACACAGAGTTTGCTCTTGGACAGATCCCCCATTTGCCATACCGCTAATATGAGAAGAATTATATGTTTTTCCCGTCCTGTTTGGATGTCAATGTTTCGGGGGCTGCAGCCTACGTTTTTCTTGTCTTGCTGACAGTACGCGGATAACGCATAGATGAGATTGGACCAGGTTGACGACGAGATTGAGTATCATGTTGCGAGTTTCGCGTGGCAGTCTGCCCAGTGTACCGAGTTTAGGGTTGTCCATGCTGAATACTGGTGAGTGTTTCCAGATGTTGAGGTGGAAGTCAGGGGTTGGGGGATTTGGATGACGACTGCGAGTTTGAAAGCTTGAGAAGCGTTCAGCACGAGGGGCGGGAATTGCGAAATGCATGGCTACTGAGTCATTATTGAGTGGTTTTGCGTTCGTACTTTCGTCAGTGATACTACCCTTTGATGGCCAATCTGATCGCTCCCTCTTGTTATTTTCCTTGCACCAGAGTGCCACGGCTTGCTCGATATAGGAAGGCATGAAATTTTGAGATCTTGGAAGAATGCACTGCCTAGGGTTGTGTCTTCTTTCTTTGATCTCGAGTTGACCAACAGTGAGAACGGTAGTAGCGAAACCCTCTGATGTAAGATTAGAAGCTGTGTCATATGGGCGGCTCTGGCTTGACTTGAGTGGATGAAGAGCAACGTACCTGCTTCGAGCCGAGAGTTGTTGATGCCTACATAGTTTCTTGTATGGCTTCCCAGTCGTCTGAGTTTTATCTCCAAAGGATAGAGGTTGTTGATCTTTCGTTTCGGGCTCTTTGTCGTCTTCCACTTGCCAGCAGAGTATCGCTTGCTCGATGAGCGGTAAGTGACGCGCCTTGATGATGGCCAACTCTCCGACTGCTTGAGAAATAGCCTCTTCGTACACAGCTCTCAATCTGTGATCCTTTCGAACGGTTTCAGGGATTCGTGGATCATTGGCCAGGTCCTTGAAAAGCTCGCGAATTTTTCTTTCATTCCTTTCACACGCTTGGTGCATGTTTCTGATTGACTTCTCTCTGTCACCCATGGCGATATCAATGTCAACATATTGACCTCGGTTGACCGTACCGAAGTAGTGATTGAAATTTTCGTTGAGAAGAGCGCCGAGCGTTTGCTCAAAAGGTCGAAACACACGGTAGTAGAACCTTTCATATCTGACGAAGTAGCAAAACCTGCTTGCTAGGATGCCGTATTGTTTTGGACAACCTCTCAGACTGTCAAAAATTCTCGGAAAAGATCTCGCGACTTGATATCTGTTGTCGAGAGAAACTAAGCTAGAAGGGTGGACCACACGGATGATTCTTGTATGCTTCGTGATGTCGGCAACTAGATCCAGGCCGCTCAAAATCTGCTCCAAACGCTCGACGTTGTAAGGGTGCACTTCGATGGGAGTTGTCCGGAGAAAAGCTTCGAGGAGCTCTCGATAAAGTTGACGGCTACCCTGCGTACGGATTCTAGGGCTGATCACTTCACTAATTCTGGACTTTGCATGCTGAATGGATTGAAGAGGTAGTTCGTAGCGAGGGTAATCTTCTGGAGGCGAGGTGGCAAGCTCGAATATCATGTCTCGAATCTCGAGCGGCAATCTGCCTAAAGTACCGAGTCCAGGGTTTGGTGATTTGGAGTTGCGAACTGCTGTGTGCATACGTAAACGGAGACATAACTCGGTTCCAACTCTTCGCAAAAATGCATCAGGTGGTATTAGCTTTCCCATCTCGATGCGATAGGTGTACACTGCAAAGGCTAGGATAAAAAAGTCGAGGACAGCGAGCTGTGAAGTATGGGTGTAGATATTATTTCAGCTTCGTCATCGAGCAAGTTTACGTTAACATCAAGGGTCGAAGTACCCCTTTTCCTGCTCAATCTGCCTCCACCTTACTATCGTCTTCAGACCAGAAGTTCATCGCTTCCGCGATAAGCGGAAGTTGTCGCTTTCTGAGGTATGCAGATACATTTTCCACCTTGTTTATTCCATCGTTGATGATACTCCTCAGGTGTGCCATCCTCTGTTCTTCTCCTCTGATCCTGATAGGGGTACGCTTTGGATATCTTACTTCGCAGGAGCTCAGAGCCTTTGTAAGACTTTGACGCAGCAGAGCCTCCGTTGTTGCGCAGGCTCTGTCCAAGTTCTCCACAGAACCTGCTCTGTCACCCATGATGATTTCGATGCTTAGTGGCGCGCCGTGTGCGTTTTTGGGGACACGGCGGCGAATATCGAGCCAGGAGGGTCCGTCGAACAAAATTCCACAACCAAATGGATCTCGATACCGGACATCCCTGTATGCGACAACCACACATAACCTTTTTGCAGGTATCCCAAGATTTTTGTGACATTGTCTTAATGCTTTGAAACATTTGGAGCAATCGGTATCTGAATATTCTGGATAGGCCGTGTGAACTGCACCGATGTTTCTTGAACAACGTGCCAAATCACATTCACGTCTGAGATACTGCTCCAGATCCTGGATATGTCGAGCAGCCACCCTGATGACTGAGACTCTGGACCAGGCTGCCTGCAGTTCTCTGTATAGTTGACTGCTAGCATTGTCCTGGAGTCCGGGTTTGATCAAGTTCCTACGTTTATCTTCGATCTCACTGATCGAATTTCCGTACGTGTCGTCGCTGCTCCAGGTGACGGCAAACTCGAATATCATGGCCCGAACTTCCGGTGGTAGGTTTTCCAGCACGCCCAAGCCGGAGTAATTCATGTCGAAGGTTGTGGGATGGATAGAAGTGTGACTGGGCTGCGGGTTTGGCGAGATCTGCTCAGATACATATAAGGCGATGAGATAGGCCGATAGTTTGGCAGCCTTGAACCCATGAAAAATCAGAGCATATGTTGAAGACTCATCGATGAGCAAGTTTACAAAGAGATCTGTCATACATGCTTTCCTTGGCATCAGACTTTCAACGATGGAACGGGACCAAGACTCACTACAGTGACATTGGCCAGTCCTCAGTGATTCGGGTTTGGACCAATCTAAGCACCTGCCCTGTGGTTCTGGCACATTTATCTCCTACCAAGCATAGCATCAGTAAATCAGGTTGGACTTTATCTTGTGCATTGTAATAGGTACTTACTGTACTCGCTTTAGTCTTCCCATGTCTCTGCCAACGCGAAGAATTCAGCTAGACAGTACTTCTCGAATCCATCCTTCTCATGTCAGTATCATAAAGTTGTTCTTCTTCCGTCTCTGGTCAGTCCCGCTCAATTTGTAGTGCACGCATACTTGACCTCGATTTCTGGGAAGAGGGGATAAGTGTTACAACATCGTGTCGCCGCACGACTTTTGATTTTGATCTGGGTATCTTTGTGTGTATGATGAGCAGAGGCCTCATAGCCTTTCCCTTCTTCTAGAATCAACAATGAAAAAGGGCGACAGACCCATCGACTTCTTGCCGGCTTCCATCTTCTGCCGTGAATGTCGTGGTCTGATGTTTCTCCCTCCGTCCTTTTTTCGCGCAACGCCTGAACTCCGTCCTTCATGCTAAGCGCATCACAGCGCTTTCCTTATCTTGTGATTCATCTCCACTCTTGTAAAGCCAGTATTTCTGTCCTTGTGTGAAGCCAACCTTTCCTTCTCTTTCAGAAAGTCGCTCAAGTCGCTTAAAGACCATCACGACCCTGACCAGCGATCTTCTTAAGTTCCCACTCCTTGGTGAACTCCTGATCAAGACGCTGCAGCTCCTGAATCAAGTCTCCACAAGCGCGAATGACGGCATCCTTGGGTGTCAAACTTCCGTCGGTCTGCACACGCAACTCAAAGGTTGCGAACAGAGGGTGAGGGACTTTGTAGGCCGAGAACAAGATGTTGGGCGATTTTGCGAGTTTGGCGCGGAGCAGGTTACCCAGGGTGTGGTCTTCCTTGTTGAAGGTGAAGACAGCGGCGTCAGGAACACCTGTGAAAGGTGTGTTAAAAGAGATGATGTACGAGGTGGTGGAGCAGAGGATAGATCTTACGGGTCTCGGGAGCCCAGGTTACTTTCTTCTCGCCATCGCCGAGGAGAAAGAGCTCGAATCTTGGAGGGACATCGTTAGCAACGTCGCCATGGTCTGCCTTGTGTTGCGTGAGGTGAGTGACAGGAGTGCCGTGGAAGTGGTAATCGGTAGGAGCCATGTTGAGTGTGTGTGTGTGCGTGTGTGTGAAAGGAAGTAGAATGTGATGAAGTGCTTATGAAAGGCAATCGAGTCTCTTTGGCTGGTAGAAAACTAGATCGTAGTCGCGATTGGGAGCAGAAGGGAATGTGTGTGAAAGAGCCATTTTATGGGCATGCGACGAGGCAGCGGGACTGGAAGCAGCAATGTGAAGTTGGGAAGGAGTGAAGCAGTGAGAGCGTCACTGGAAGGAAGTTGCGAGTAAAGAGCGGGCCCAAGGAAACAGCGAACGACGAGAGCGGATCTTCGACCAGGGAAAGAGCGAATGACAAGGAATGGCGCATACCTGTCTGGTGCGTTCATGTTTGCAGTAACACAGGAAAGCTGCTAATCGGGAGTAGGATGTGTCGGTTCTTCGAGAAGGAGTCGTCGCGTATTCGTTAAGTATGCCCTGGTTAAGTATGCAGACGCGTTTGTCGCGGGCGATGGCAGTAAGAGGTCGTTGGTATTGATACTTTGTGTTACTGTCCAGTCGCAAGTAGGCAAGTGAAGCTCGGCGTTGACATCGCGAAAGATACTGCCGGGCGGTCGGAGCTCTAGGGCGGGTCTTGCGGGTACAACCTTCCCGACGACATCATCAGTGTTCTGCGGAGAAGCAACGACATTCCCGAGGCACGGTCGAGAGGCAGTTTCCTAGATTCTATAACCACAAGATAAGTAGTCGATGCTATCTCTTCGTAGTCTGTCTTAGAACATCCTCAATTACAATGGCATCCTCTCTGACAGCTGCATACCCATGGACCACAAGTCCACTCATCAGTTGTGCACCAATGCGCCTGATAGCCAATGCATCTCTCGCGGCCGCAGTCTCCATGGCCGGTGGCCTCGGCTTCATAGGCGCCGGCAGCGACATCAGCACTCTTTCCTCCGAACTCTCCAAGTCCCGTGAAATATTCTCAAAGTCCAATTTCACAACATCGAAATCTGGCATCTTGCCTGTTGGCGTTGGGTTTCTCCTCTGGGGAGCACCTCTAAAAGACACCTTGGCAATCCTCAGTAAACCTGAAAACATCCCTGCTGCAGTTTGGCTCTTTGCGCCGAGAGACCAAACACAGCTTAGGGATTGGGCAGATGGTGTACGCAAAGCCACTGCCAACAAGACGAAAATCTGGATCCAAGTGACCAGCGTGCGTGAAGCTCTTGACGCAGTCAAAATCGCAAAACCAGACGTTTTAGTCGTCCAAGGCACAGACGCTGGAGGTCATGGAGCAGCTCAAGGCGCAGGCATCGTTTCCTTGGTCCCAGAAACAATCGACGCCGTTACCGAACACTGCAAGACAGCATCCACGACCTTGCCATTCTTCGTAGCGACGGGTGGGATAAGCGACGGACGAGGTGTAGCAGCAGCCATTTGCTTAGGAGCTCAAGGCGTATGTCTAGGAACCCGCTACCTCGCCGCCACTGAAGCGACCATTGCACCAGGCTATCAAGATGCCGTTCTTCGTGCTTCCGATGGCGGTACAACTACGATCAGATCCTCAGTATACGATCAACTGCGTGGAACCACAGAATGGCCCGCTGGATACGGAGGTCGCGGTGTCTTGAATGCAAGTTTTCGAGATCACGAATCCGGTGTCAGTTTCGAGGATAACAAGAAGCTGTATGAAGAAGCAGTGGCATCGGGAGATAAAGGATGGGAAGGCGATAGAGCGAGATTGACGACGTATGCCGGCACTGGTGTTGGTCTTGTCAAAGGAGTCGAACCTGCAGAGGCCATCACGCGGAAAGTACAGAGTGATGCTGCGAAGATTTTGAATGAGACCCGGGCCAGACTGTGATAGAGATTTGACAACTATGGCCTCGCTGAACCGAATTGCACGTCGCTTCGTCTCAAAGTGTGAGTCTTGACAAAGTTTCGCCGAAGAAGGAAGGCACTACCGCCATCTCTCCGCAATTTATACAGAACTGTCACTTCATCAAAAAAATTAACGAATTTGATCAGAAAGAATATTCTCAATCGTCTTTGCAGACAAGAAAAAGCTATACACCATTCTTCCTTCGAGATCTGCCTTCGCACCTTCCCATTACAAGTTATCAGCAACGGAGAAACCCGCAGAAATCCCATCCTCCTTTCGGATCCCCACCCACACACAAACCCTTTATGATGATAAACAGACAAAGCAAAAAGCAAACAAGGATGCATGCCTGCGGTAGTGATGATGATTGATGATGATGAGTGAACAAAGGAAAAAAGTCAAGCCATAGCAGGTTGTTGGTCTGTTTCCTCCAAGAAAAGGAAGGAGAGACAGGAAAGAATAAACAAGAAGTTTGAGTAGAAAGAACAGCAACGCAAAGAGAACAACATAACAGTAAAAACACAACAACCACCCTTTTGCAATTCATAAACACATTACCGTAATGTTGATAGAACCAGTTTCATCTTTCTAAAAAATCTCCGTTTCTTGAATGAGGCTTCGGCGCACTATCGCTTGTTGCCGTTGAGATCGGGGCTGGAACTGTGGGGAGAGATTTTGCCGGCTTCGCGAATGGCGACAATGACTTGTTCTTCTTCGAACTCCAGGGGGCGGGCGCCCCAGCCGATGAGAGACAGAAGTTCTTCTCTGGGTCCGTATAGTCTGCTCTCGAGCAATGCCAGCACACCGACTGCAGCGCGTACGAATGTCTTATCGCCTTCGAAAACAGCGATGTCCCAGAGACGACTGCAGGAGTCAGGGCTGAGAAGTTGTGTGCCGAGTGTAGCGAGGAAAGGATGCAGCCACTCTTCAGGTCCCTTGAAACCAGTCTCAGGACTGGTCAGATGTTCGTGCAAGCGAGGCATCTTATACTTGAGAGTTGAAAGTACAGTTGAGTAGATGCGCGAAACAGTTGCCTGATCATTGATCAAAAAGGCAAGAGCCAGAGGTCGGTTCAGCATGTTAGCAAGAGTGATGAACGCGGATGACGCACTCATGTTGAGTACGAGTAGGCCAGCAATTGTGTGCACTCCATAAACGTAGCCAACATCGCTGCGATAGGCGGAGTAGGCGAGCAATACATCTTCCAGAGTAGCGTGGAGCGGTGCACCAGGACCGAAGATACCGAGTTCAGGGAAGACAGTGGGGACGTCGCGCGAAATGGCAGCCAGCCAACCTGCGTCGACGTGCTTGGAGCGTTCCTCTTCAGGAAGGTTGTTGACGGAGGATTGCAATGCGCGAGCCCGCTTGAGAGCGTTGGCATACGAGGCTTCGGTCAAAGACAGCTCATTGCCAACGGCCTTGCTCCAAACGGTGCCTCTGTCTCTTGGAGTGACACCGCGCCACCAAAGCTCGCGAGTCCTGGGCTCCTTGACCACGTCGTCCCAGTTGGGAATGACGTGCTGCTCCCAGATGCGGGCAATGTTGCTCTCAACATGCTTGCGCTGCTGTTGTTGCTCTGCTTCTTTGGCGAGGCGTTTCTTCTCGGCTGCTTCAGCTGCAGCCATCATCCTCTCCCACTCCTTTATATGCTTCTTCTCTTCTTTCTGACTTTTGGGTGGTAACCACGATGGACGTGTCCTTGTGAGCACAGCCTCTTTCTCTTTGCTGATTGGAAGGGGATCAATCATGACATTTCCTTTTTGCAGCGGAGGCAATTCCATAACACTGGTTTTTGTTCTGAGCTTCATGGTAGGCCGAGGAGGGCTGCCATTGGTGCTGTTGCGCGTGGAACGGCGTCTTTCTTCCGAGACGCGTTCGGCGTGTTCTTCGAGAGCGGCCGCAACCTCGCGAGCCTCCTCGCTGAGGTCTTCATTCCAAGTCCTGCCGCGTTGAAGTCTGGGCGAGGCAGGCTCCGGAGGGAAGGCGCTCACAGTAGCGCTGTGATGCAGGCTTGGCCGCATGGCAGATCGGGGAGCCTCCTCTTTCAGTGTTGTGCTTTCATCTGTCGGCTTCATTTCTGGGGTAAGACTGGTGGAAACGGCCCTCGTGGGACTCGCGGGAGTTGAATGCATCGGTGGGCGTGGAGAGATGGGGACATTCCAGATGACGGCATCTTCGGGCACATCCTCGTCGGAATCGTGATATTCGGCTTCGAGCTCTTTGACTGATTTTCTAGGCTTCAATGGCGGTCTGGGAGCCAACGTCCTTGGTGCTGCAGACGAAGGAGAGCGGCCGCCATCACTAAGGGCCTGGCCATGAGGAGAGACTGATCTCGAAGGGCGAGGCTTTGCTCCCATGACGAGCGACGGCGTTGAGGGACTAGTAAAGCCTCGACGGACAGGGCGAGCATTGAAATTTGCAGCATTGACATGAGACTTCAGACTGGGATAGCGTGGACGATGGGTGTTGGTCGCATCGCGCAAGACTTCAGGAGCAACTGAAGGACTGTGGCCATTGTGAGCAGAAGCAGAGACGGCTCGACGTGGGGGAGCACGCGTGTTCGAAAGCTTTCTCTGTGTGATTCGAACGTGTAGGTCGTCTGCGTCGTCTCTGCCAGAGTCGGCCAGAGCGATGTCCTCGAAGTGCGACAGATTGTCGTGACTCGGTTGGCTGGTCAAGCAGGTGGAACGGAACGAGCCCGACGACTTGGACGACTTGGAGCCAGTCAATTCAGGTGGGGAGCCGGGGCTGATGTCTCGGTCGGTATGGATGGCGGTGGTTGTGGTGGGTTTCGTATGTACATGGGTCGTCATTGTCTGTATGTCGCTGGCGCAAGGGAGAAAAGAGCGGACGCAAGGCCGGGGCTTTGCTATTGTTGATGGAATCTGGCTATGCTTCAAAAAGGCCCAATAATCATGCTTGGCCTCTGCAAAGTCGAAGTCGGAAGAATGCAGAGAGGAATTGGAAGTCAAAGATGCGAATGCGGGCGAGGAAGGGAAAACAGAATAGAGATGTTGATGATGCGGGATGTTGAAAAGAAAGACGTCTGGTTCGGAGGCTTCGAGGGCTTCCAGACGGCGGCGTGGATCATCGTCAACAAAATATGTCAAAGCGCTAGCCATCTTCGAGCCGTTTGTTCCTGGCGCCAAAAAGGAGTTGTGTTCGCGGATCCTTTTGTGAATCTTGTGCCGAGACCGCTGCACGCCTGATGTGTGCGAATCTCCTTAGATGAAAAACGGTCACTGCTCGATGCTAGGTATGTGTGCTGCTCTATCAGGGGAGCATGGGGGCCAGATAGCTTTTGACTGCTGGCCATGCTGAGACGATAGCCTCGATAGCCTTTGCCTGGTCACGCAAATCCCGGTTTAAGCATGTTGCTGCCAAACCTGGCATGGCTGGCATGAAAACGCTGTCATTCGACACTCTATGATGCGCGCCTTCATAAGCGCCTTCCACCTCGAATAGCCAAGCTCCCGCGCCCGCCATCAACAAGGAATCCTCAACCTGCTGCTGCACTCCCGCAAAAGGCAAGCACCGCAGCACCGTTTTATCTCGTTTGACATCGCGATCGCGCGACCCGTGTCTCAAATGCGGGGTCTTTCTTTTCGAGCAACCAGTCTTGTTCCGTTGCCCTATCTTCACATCATGCACTTGTCCATCTGATCCTCGCCCAACCTCATGCAGTGATGGACCTCAACTCCGTAGGCGCGGTCGAGGTCTACACTTGCTTGTTAAACTCTACACACCCGCGTTTTGAAGCGCCTGTAACTCTCTAGCCTTCAAAGCCAATCCCGCTTCCGCCATCTCCCGCTGTAGCCAAGACATCAAGCCACCAAAGCCCGTCTGACGTCTTGCAAATGTCGTCTTGAAAGAGTGGCAGGCCAACCTGTTTGCGAGTGTTAAAAAGGTTCAGCATATGATCAAGAAATTTACAAGCCTCGAGCGATCAGTGGGATTTTCCCGCTCTTCCCGCGGAAAACAAATTGGCAAGGTGGAGAGAGGGAACTCGAGAGGACGGTGTTGTGATCAAAGCTCCTTCGTCTTTGCAACTTTGCCCTCGTCGGAGGGTCTCCTCCATCATTCACCGTGATCGCCGTTGTAGGAAAAATGGTTATCTTGACTTACCAACGTGTTTGCGCCTTGCTCAAAGCGCATGCGTATTCGACGTCACTGCTCTTCTTCTCTCTTTTGCGTTTCATGAGTCCATATGCGACGTGTATCAAGTCGTCGATGGTCTCTGCGTGGGGCTCGAGTTAGTGAATGTGTTACCGAGTCAAGAGACATAAGATCAACGATTAACTGTCGATCAACGCTTGTTTCGGAACACTCTTGACGTCCAACGTCCGGGAAACGAGCATACGAACACAACAGTTGGTGGGTTTGGAAATTACAACATGACTTACTGATAATCAAGGCCGTTGATGGCTTCTTCGTCTGGGAAAGACATCTGATGTAGTTGAAGCACCTCTCCGCTGTGTCTGCAAACATGCGGGACACATTGGCGATCACAGTTTCGACGTCGTTGTGCCGGGTACACAAATGCATGGTGTGCATATGCAGTTTCAGCATGCTATTACACAAACGTCAATAACGGTTCATTCCTTCTTGCCGCCTGTGCGACTTTGCTGCATGCATGATAAACTTACTTGAACGTCTTGCGGTAGAAGTTCTGGCCTGGTGATCTTGAAAAGTCTACCGTCAGTGCTGCTGCTGTATCTAGGATGTAATCAGTACAGGAAAGTTTTCTCACGTCGCGCAAGCGCTTACTGTTCTGCTGTCGTCGAATCTCATCTCGCGTGATGTTCAGATTAATCGTATTGATGGCATTACCGCAGTATGGGAAATTCGTGGCTGCTGGCAATCTGGACACGTCTCTACCATCGACCTGGACGTCAAAATTGACCTTGGATTTGTCCTCTTTGACTCTGAGTCCGTACTCTGGAAGTCCTCTATGCATGACCTGGACGAACCGAGTCGCGGTGTCGCGATTGGTACTGATGAGCAGAAAGTCGTCAATCAATCGAAGAAGCAAGCTCTCGCCGTCTTGCAGGAAAGCCAGCACCTTGCTCTCGAGCTCTGCGTAAAAGAAGTTGCACAGCAAGCTCGACACAATTGATCCTTGCGGTATACCAGTAGTCTGCTGGTAGAATTTCTTCCCAATCTGGACAATGTTGCGCTCAATGTGTTCTCGAAGTAATGCAAGGATTCCAGCACGGCTCCTATGTGTCTTGCCCTCAAGATCCACAAATACGGTGCCCAGACTAGCCTCGGCTTCTTTCTGAGCATGCTCGGAGAACAACTTTTTTTGGTCAGTGACTCTTGCTTTACCCTTCCACTTCCATGAAGCTTTAGGAACAATTTTGGGCTGATCTTCAGATTGATCGCACTCTCCTAAAGCCTTTGCTTGAGCATATCGTGTGATGGTATATCCCTCTGCAGATATCAAGTCGTTCAATAACTTCAGCAGCGGTTTTTGAGGTATACTGTCGAAACAGGATTGCACATCAACCTTGGCAAAGTACAGTGGCTTATCGGCATTTTCTGACTGTTGCAATTGCGTCCTGAATCGATGCAACCGCTGATACATCTCATCGGAAGAGAACATCGAAGATCCAAGTTTTGCAGGAGTGATTGCCTATGACAAATCAGCAATGATGCATCCACAGCGCGGAAAGATGATCTACCTTTTCCAAGTTCAGTACGTGGAAGGCTGGCTCCAGGATTTTGTTGACACTCTTGCCGAGTACCAGCCTACCATTTCTCTTGGTCTGTACCCTGCGCTTCAGATTTATAATAGGTCGTAAGCCTGACTCTTTCGGTAGCAGACGCACTCGGCCGGCGCCGATTGACATGTTGGACAGCGTCTTCTTGACTGTACTCTTCCCGACTTCCTCAAACATGGTGGTTCCCAGACTCTTCAATGCTGGCTCGGACAGTTTTTGCCATACATCATGACGGAAGTACAATAGCCTGTTTCGGTAGATAGACGACTCTGTAACATAGAAATTGCTGCTGATCAGCGGGACGAGGAAAGAGTCGAACAGGTAGTAGAGAAGTTCGGCAAATATATCCTTGCGCTTGTTGAAGTCGGATGCTGCCAACTTGCAGCCTTGCAGCTCACCTGGTGGTCTCAGCCAAGAAATCTTGGAGATCTATCAACCAGTCAGCGCATACCTCAGTCGCATGCTTGATGTTCATACTTTGATGTTTTGTGCAACTTCGTGGAGCATCAAGCTCTCGTATCGACCCAACCTGACGAAACGATCTATTTGATGCATAACATGTGTTTTATTCACAGCTCCAACCTCACCCTCGCCCCATAAATTTCCTGGGAAGACTTTGGCAATCACTGATCTGCAGTATGCCGATACCTGAGAAGATGATGTTGCCAATCCCATGATGTTGTCACCGCCATCTTGTGTACTGTTCCGCTTTGCGAACGATTCGGGGCAGTAGTATTGCAGTAATGCCGAATATGCGCATCTCTCATGTCGCGTGCGTAATTTACTGATCAGAGTCTCGCATTTTCCACGAAGACGTTTAGGCAAAGATCGTTGCTTGAGGTTTTTATTCGCCAATTTGATCTCCTGTTCGCGAAGTGTGTAGTCTTTGAATGGTTGAGCCGAGTTCTTCATGTCAACGTCGTTGGTGAAGACGTTGTGCAGTCCAAAATGGCGTGGAAATATGTATTTGAGCATATGGGCATTCTTGTCGAGCTCTTCATCTCTTCCGATTCGGTTCAGAATATCTAGCGAAAATTAGTTTGGCGCTCGAATGGAAAGGGGAAGGCCTACGGATGTGGGGGAGGCCGAAACACGGCTCTCCTTTGGCATTCAGGTCCGGTTTTCGGTATAGTATACGATGCCGTACAAATCGAATCGTGTTGAGTGTGTTCTTGACCTGTGGACGTTTGTTCTTTCCGGGCAGTGGAACTACTGCATTCGTACTGCCGTTCGGCTTCAGCCCACCTGTTGGATTGTGTTTGTCGAGGGAGCGCAGCTCGGAGAGATCAGTGCCTATCGAAATTCAGACAAAGCCATTAGATGTCAATGAGAGCACTTACCACTGATCTGCAAGTAGTTGTTCTTTCCACCGTCCAGCGGTATAAACATGCCACAATTTTGCAGAAGCTGAACAAGGATCAAAGCACTTCCTGCACCGACTAGACTGGGAAGAGCAGCCCAAGCCTCGCCTTTGAGTCTATCGACATGCTCATTCCGATCTGGCAAAGTAGCTTCAGCTCCATGGTTATTCTCCACCTTTTCTCGATCTGCTATCTTGACTTCACCGAGACCAGTATGCCAATATCCATGGCAAAGCACATGAGGCGGTCGATGTCCTGAAGTATGTTTACGGAACAACTGCCAGATAGCAAACTCCACGATCTCAGCGAAGGGCAGCACAGGTTGCGAACCACTGGACTTAGCCTCAGATCCAGTCACTTGTGTTGAGAAAATGCTGAGCTCATTCTGATAGTCGACGAGATCACTTTCCTCCTTCTTCACGGTATGAAATCCCACAAGCACGGTATCCAGAAGATTAACGAATCCGGCATCTGCATCTTGAGAGCTGCTCCCAGTACCAGAGCCATAGTTGGTGATTCGTCGCTTCTTGTGTTTTGACGTGGTGGCTTGTAGAAGGTATTCTCGTAAGGTAAGAACTTGGGGATAGTATAGCCGAAGAATACTAGGTGCGGATTGATGGTCGTGATCTGGTCCTTGCTGGGCGCTCGCTTTTGTACGTTTGATACTGTCAGAGGTATCCTTGCTGTCTCTCTTGCGTTTCATTTTGCATGATTTCAGAAGGCTAAAGTGTTCGATATGAAAATATTCTAGATGGTTGTTGATGCGAGGACGCGATGTTGCGCGAACACGCGCTTCGCTTCGAGTTGCCGTTTCTGGAGCCACTGCTCCAGCTCATCAACCTCTCTCCATCCCATCGCTCCCACCAAAGCAGCTATAAGAATGCACGATGCTATTCGTTTCTCAATGAGGATCCAGTGAAAGCAAAAAGGAAGCCTCCGATCAGTCGAATGATGCATCGCTCCCACCGGACGCTGACCATCGAAAAATCCTTGCAAAAATACACGGTGTTATTTAGACCTGGTGCGTTGTCCAGTGAGAGATATGATGCTGTCGGCTCTCACTGGCCAAACGCTGAATTCCCAAAAATGTTCTGCCTTTTCACCGGTAGAATAGAGGGATGAATTGATGCTGGGAGAGTATGTTTCCATGTATAATACTAGCTAATTGCTATTGTTCAGGGATTTACAGTAACCACAGTTCGTATCTCAAGCCTTGGCGCTCTTCTGAGCCTCCTGAATCATCTCCTCGAGACCGTCGTAGACATACTTGTGCTCCGAGCCAACCTCAGGCACTTCTTTGATCTCACCCATCTCCAACTCAGCGTCTTCCACCTTGACGGTGGGCTCTTGGACGGATTTCATGACCAGGTCCTCAGGACGAGGGGGTGTAAGGACGCCAGATTTGAAGCGCTTGTTGCTGATACAGTCGTTTGGCACCTCCTCAGGGTCGTCGTAGTCGAGGAGCACAACGTCTCTCTGTTGCTCTATGGCACGCCTGGGCAGACCCGCGTGAGGCGACCAGGCAGGCAGAGGCGTAGCGGTGCGGCTGCCGTGCGAACTCTGCATGGCAGAGTCGTAACGCCTCTTTATGGGACCAAGAGGTGCTCTGTTTGCTCCCGAAGACAACGGGCCGACATCGAATATGCCGTCCTCAGGCTTGACGTTTGGCACCTGAAAGTTGCTGACAGGAGGGTTGACCGATATCAACATCTGCAGACGCGCAGGATTGAAGGCGTTGTGTTCGGAGAAGCCATTGAAAGTGAGGGACGCGTGGTTCTCGGGAATACCGCCAAAAGCATCCTCTGGGAGCTTGTTACTGTCAGACGTGTACACTGTGAATTGATGGAGACACATACCTTTGGGCTAGGGGCACGCGGTGCGCGTACGGTGCGTGCGATGCGCGGAGCACGCGAGCTGCGAGGAGCACGAGGCACTGCAATACTCTTGGGCTTTGTCTCAGACAAGGTATTGCAGAGCGTCGATATTCTGGCGCTGGCCTTCTGAACCTGCTTCTCAAGGAGAGAAATAGTATCGTCTTTGTCCTTCTGGTGAGCGGTGAACTGCAGCTGGACCTTGCGTTGTGCAGCGAGTTGGGCGCGCAGCTTCTCAATAGTCTCGTTCTTCTCCTGCACCAGGCCAGACTGCATCTTGACAGTGGTGGCAAGGCTGTTGAGGCGCTTCTCGGTCAAGCCAGGGTCAGAAGCAGCAGCAGCAGTGGGTGCTGCTGGAGACAATATGAACTCCGGATCGACGGCATTGATGTAGTCGTATGCGGCCAATTGGTGAAAGAGGCCCTGCATGTACGGATTCTCGCTGTAAGCTGGCTCGGCGCGCTGCTCGGCATGGCGCTGCACGACGACATTGTTGCTCAGGACGTCGCCGACACGGCCATATGGATCGAGACGACGCCACATCTTAGCCAGCAAGTTGTTGCTGTCACTCAGGCGACGCTCGTGCTTTTGGATGAGCAGACCACGGTTCTCCCACTTCTGGTAAGCGGCCTCCGGGCTCTCATTGGAGGCAGCGACCGAAGTGGATCCACTCGTGCCTTGCGGCAGGCCGAACTGGCGCATAGCGGATTCGTGAAGCTGTACGCTGGTGCGGTCGCGCGAGTCCTCCCATGAGTAGGAGGGGCGCACCGGCAAAGTGAACGGATTGGTGGTGAAGCGCTGAGGCTTGTAACTATCGCGTGACATGGCGATGGTTGGGTTGATGAAAGTGAAGGAAGATTTGCATTCTACGCAGAAGAGTTGTTGGTGCCTGAAGTTGAGGTCAGGCGCGTTGTTGTGGTTGTTGTGGTTGTTTTGGTTGGAAAGAACCACACACGCCGAGACTGTGTTGCGCTTGCCGGTTGAGTCGGCGAGTACCCTTTCGGCGCAAACAAATCCCGTTTGACGTGCAAGCATCCCCCAGCGAGTGGGCTCGGGAAAGAGCTGCTGCAAAATGCACGATGGATTTTGGAATTGCCACTCTGTCCACGGAGAGCATCAGGATGGTTGGGACTGTACGCCAGCAAAGATCATGCGTGAGAAGTTGACATCACGATAAGAACACAAGTGAAAAGAAGATGAGAAGGTAGAAAAGAGGACGCTTTTATGAGACAATATACTCCCCTACAATGCATGATATTCCTTGACATGATCCTTGAACTCCAAAACACCTTGCAGAAGATAAAGCCACAACAAATCATCATGAATCCATCTGCTGCAGAGTCCAGAGCAAGACCCATCTCTCTTCCGCCATCTTTTCCAGACGTCCATAGTGTCGTTCTGTGTATGCTTTCAGACCTTCCAACACATCCTTGACGTTCTCATTCTTCTGCATCTTCTCCTTGACCTCAAGGGCACCCATACCCTGAGCAAGTTCGTCTTCGTCAGCTACTTGAGGCTTAGGAGCTCTCTTTCGCCTTAGTTGGACAAACTTCTCCTTGGGGTATAAGCGGAAGAGTGTGTGGAGGATGCGCTGACTGACTTGGGCGGTACGGGCATTGGCATTCCAGTCACGGCATCTGAGCAGAAGTTTCCAAAGCTGCTCTTCTGACAATGTGGCCAAGACCTCGTCGACACCCTTAACACCGGTCAGGCTGCCTTCATCCTTGTCTTCAGACTCGAGAACGCGGGTGAAAAGGTCGAGTAGTCGCTTAGGATGGTTGAGCTGAAGGGCTAGTACAATGGCTTCGCGGTAGTTCTTGGCGTGGATGTGGTTCTGCAATTCTTGGTCTTGTTCCACACGAGCGGTTGCGCGAGATGCTGAAGCTTGAGAGGTCATCAATGTGGTATCGGTCCAGAACGTGAGAGTGGCATCTGCAGAACCAGAGATGAGCTCGACAGGGGGCTCTGGCGCTTCCTCTTCCTCTTCAGTCGAAGCAGCCTTGACTGTTCCGGTCCTGTTAGACTTGACGGCCAGTGCCCAAACTCTGTCGATGTGATTGTCAAGAGTAGCAGCGCACTCGCCACTTTGAGCATCCCAGACTTTGACAAGACCATCACCTGCTGCGCTGGCGACTTGCAGATTGCGTTCGCCACGCTTTCCAGGGTTCTTGGAGATGGGAAGCCAGATGACCTTCAAGATACTGTTTGTGTGGCCTTCGAATGTGCGCAGACAAGTGTAGTCGTTCAGACTCCAGATCTTGACAGTCTTGTCACCACTTCCGGTAACAGCCATGCCTCTGGTGCCGCTGCTAGATCCTGAATCGCCTGCAATGGCCGGTGTACCAGGAGGAGCAAAGGCGACGGACCAGACACCACGCTTGTGGCCACGGAGTACACCGACAGACTCACCAGTTTCCAGATCCCAGATCTTTACTGTGCGGTCCTGAGATGCGGAGGCGAAAAGAGTACCTTGTTGAGAGTAAGAAGTGTCGATGGCGTTGATGTCCTTGTCGTGAGCTTTGCGAGTGTATGATGCACGCACTGCCTTGGCTTCAGAGCTAGACTTGGCGGAGCTGATATCCCAGCGCTTGATAGTCTTGTCTTGACTTCCAGTAATCAAATATGTAGGGGGATGTTCGAGAGGCTTGCTATGTGCGTTTGAGCCGACAACGGGGATGGCGTGAGGGAGAGCTACTGCACTGATAGACTCTGCGTGACCAGTAAAGGTAGCGTAGCAAGTGTATGAGCTGTTTGCAGGATCCAGGCGCCAGAGTTTTGCGGTGTTGTCCTTGGCTCCAGTTGCGAGCCAGTGCCCTGACCAGTCGGTGTCGATGGTGATGATAATGTCAGTATGGCCCTTGAGGAGGGCTACGTCGGCACCGAAGTATGCAGCATCTGCAATACTGGATCCTTCGTTCTTGCTCTCAGTGTTCAAGGTAATCAAACGGATGTCCTCCAAGTTGGTGGCAAGCGCGAGCATAGAGTTGTCGGTGCCTACATAAGCCATGTCGATGATTTCATCATGGGTACCAGAAATGCGACGGATGATGGGGAGCGGAGGAATAGTGACATCTACAGTCGTCTGGATCAATGGCTCCAGCGAGTGCAGAACCAATGTTTGATCGACGTGGATGGACAATAAAAAGGGTAGATCCGAGTGGTGGATGACGTCCAGAATAGCCTCAGTCTCAACTCCAGCCTCTTGTTCCTCGGTTCTCTCGTTACCAGCCATGTCCCAAATACGGATTCTTGCATTCTCTCCACCAGTAAAGAAAAAGTCACCATTTGCGACAAATCCAGCTCTTTCAACAGTCTCCAGAATAGGGGCGGTCAATTTCGACTGCCACGTCTTCGCGTCCCAGGTGATAACAGTCTTGTCTCTGCTGGCCGAAAGAAGAAGTTGCTGCTCAGAAGAAAAGTCCAAACTGCGAACAACCGAGACGTGCGAGTCCAGAGTGGCGACCGGCTTGCGCTTGTGGAGATCCCAAACTCTGACCTTTCCATCTTCGCCTCCTGAAGCCAGTCTGTAGCCAGTGGTACCATCTGGGGCGTCCTCGTCATCGCCCGACCTGCTCTTTCTCTTGCGCGACTTGTGCTGGCTGTCCGAGCTGGAAGAATCAACCTGGAAGAAATGAAGGGCCGAGATGATGCCACTGTGGCCGTGGAAAGTGTGCGTTGTGAAGCCTCCCTTGATGTCCCAGACTTTGACAATGCCATCAGCGCCACCAGTGGCCAGAAGAGTAGAGGTAGGATCGACGGCTGCGACAACGACGGGAGCGGTATGCGGCTTGAGAGTTCTGAGCAGAGTGGCGTCTATGCTGTTGTCGGCAGTGGGAGATGTCGATAAGGAGAAGATCCTCATAGAGAGGTTGCGACTACACAGGACCAGGTACTTTGCGTCGGGGGTCATGGCCAGAGTGGTAATGGTCTCACCGTCCTGCAGAAATCTTGTGTCAACTCGTCAGTGCCACGCTGAGAGGGCCCGGCAATATCACTTACACCTTCGATTCTAGCTAGATGTTCACCAGTAGCCAGATCACTCAAAAGCGCATCCTCTCCCAAGCATGAAGCAAGAATGCGACCATCTTGACTGAGGGCGACACTTCCTCCAGTATAGATGGGCTGGATTACCCTCCCAGGCTCGAAAGTCGTCTTGTATTCGGCCTTGTAAGCCATGTTTGATCCGGGCAAGAGTCTGGCAGACTCTGATATGAAACGCGATGGAACAAAAAATAATTGACCTTGATCGTAAAAAAGTGATAATGCGGAGAGCTGCAAACCAAAAAGATGGTCGTGCCAAGCAAATTGTCGGCATGTGAAGCACCGACTGCGCATCATCGCCGGCCGCCAACTGAGAGAGAGCTCGACCTGGCGGGAAGCTTGCACCAATACAACAATCATTCCATCAAATCAACACATCACAGACAGCCATCATGTAAGTCTGCTCAGCTACTGCTATCTACTCAACACTAACAAGATGGCAGGGACGTGCTTTTGGGTATCACTGGCAAGGACTTCACCATCATCGCCGCTTCCAAGGCGGCCATGCGCGGCGCAACCATCTTGAAGGCATCAGACGACAAGACTCGCCCGCTGAGCAAGCACATCCTGATGGGACTCACCGGAGAGGCTGGTGACACCAGTACGTCCATCCACCGGCTACCAATCTCTCCTTCCTCCAGACTAACCCATCGCCTGCAGTCCAATTCGCCGAATACGTCCAGGCAAACGTCCAGCTTTACGGTATGCGCAACGACATTGAGCTCAACCCAGCAGCCACCGCCTCCTTCATCCGCACAGAGCTCGCGAAGGCCCTGAGATCGAAACGCCCCTACACTGTCAACCTTCTGCTCGGCGGCTACGACACCATCAACGACAAGCCCACCCTGCATTGGATCGACTACCTGGCTTCGTCAGCCGCCGTCCCATACGCCGCTCACGGCTACGCACAGTACTACTGCCTGTCAACACTCGACAAGCACCACCACCCCGACATTTCATTCGAGCAAGGCATGAAGATTCTCAGAATGTGCACAGATGAGCTGAAGAGAAGATTGCCCATCGACTTCAAGGGCATGATTGTCAAGGTCGTTACCAAGGACGGTATCCGCGAGGAGGAGTACAAGGACGACGAGCCAGTCGCTTGCCCGTAAAAGGTCAACCGTCAAGCATGGATGGCGTTTGGGCGTTGAGCACTAAAGCTCTGCTGGCATGGGGCTGTACAGGTAGCATAACCTTTTCAATTCAACCTTTGATGATGACATGATAACTCTTTTCCAAATACCCTCTTCTGTAATTCATCAAGCGCCTCGCATTCCCAAGCACTCATCCACTCTGACTTCAAAAGCACCGTCAAAGTGAATCAACTGCCTTCCCAATCTAGAAGTCGAAACTCTGCGCATCCTACCCAAAGTTGTTTCAAGACAGTTTATCTTTCTCTTCAGCCAAACCTGCTTCTAACAAGCGTTGTCAACCTCTAGTAAGTAAACACAACCACATCATTTACCACTCCAGTTCCAATCGCTTACTCTGCTCTAAGCTGCGCACCTCACTCCACGCTCGTAGTTCAAGCCGTTCGGTGATTTGAACTTCTCGTCTCTGTTTTGGCAGCAACCACTCAAGCTCGTCACTTTTGCAGGCAACCATCCTGCGCCTGTCACACCGCAACCTTTTCTTCACATCGACCTCTCGTGTCATCTTCTCTTCGTGCAACGTGCGCCTCTTCTTCTCAAACATCAGATTGTTTGCGCGTCACTCAGTCTCTTTGACCTCGATACATTGCGCCTAAACACATCACAGCTTGGTAAGTCTTCTCACTTCTCTCATCCCTTCCTTCTTCTTTTCCTCGACACATCTTTGCTACTTCCCTTCCTCCGTAACTCTTCCCCAACGTCCCTTCTTTCCCGACTTATTTGTTCAACCCTGACTGTTAGAAGCCGTCATGGCATCTAGTACCAAGTCGCCCCCCGACGCGATTGTCCCCAACCTTGTTGTCATCACGGATGATGCAGATGTGACACTGCGTGTTATCAAGTACACTCAGCGACTCAAGCCTGGCGATGATGGTAACGACAAGGTCAAATCCATCACTGACTTCAATGTCAACACTCAAGTCATGATCAGAAACTCAGAGTTCTTCAAGACTCTTCTGACAGGCAACTTCGCCGAAGCTAGTCAGAGCGTAGTTACGCTCAAGGAACACGACCCTTCGGCCATGCAAGCAATCTTTTGCGCTCTCCACAGTCAGTACGAAGACTGGTCCGCCTCTTCGTGTGGTCTGTCGATCACAAAGCAGACTCTCGGCCTTTCGGTCCACAGTCTATGCGATGTGATTTCCTCCGCCAGACACTTTCTCATCGAAATGGTAGAGCTTGACTCTTGGTTCAAGCTGTGGTATGAACACGGAGACAACTCAAAGACTGACCCGAAGTCGATGTTGTACCCTACCTACCAGCTGAACCACGCGGAAGGGTTCGCTGCGGCCACCAAGAAGATGGTGTACCACCATACTCGCATCGAAGAGACCAAGAACCAGCAACACAAAGATCTTCATCTACCTCCTCGTGTGATTCGTAGGTTTAATCTCTCCAGTCACGAGCCACTTTGCTAACTCTCCACAGAGCAGCTGTGCGCAGCCAGAGGTCGCCTGAAGACCATTCTTTCCAACCAGATCTGGAACCACATCAGCGGCTTGTTAGATGGTTCCTGCAACTGCAAGGAAAAGACGCTCTTCGCCTTCCTACATGCACTCAAGGAAACCGGCGGATTTCCTGTCGATCAAGCTGCTCAGCGTAATCCGATTGCCTACGTCCTTCACCAACTCGCCGACTTCGACGACTACTTTGAAGCCCCTGCGGAAGCTAAGGGTTGCTCGAGATGCAGTACTGACTGGAGCAGTGCTATGAAAACTGCATGTGCTGTAGTCTGGAAGTACTTTGACGGTCTCTGCTTGGACTGTATGGACCACACTCAGCCCAAGTTCGCAGACGAGCATGAGGATTACTGGGGTCATCTTGAAAGAGACATGGAGTGGGACAATGCCTGCCGCATAGACCATGGTCAAGCTACATGGTACTATTCCTTCAGTATGTTTCTATCTACAATATACGTTCGTGCAACAGAAGCTGACATAGAGTAGTGGGCCGTGCTGATGCCCGTGATAAGATTCTCAAGCGTGTCAGACTCGCTAACCCTCGTACCAAGTTCTTGTGAAGAATGGTTCAAGAGACATGGAGGTAGTCTGAACGGTATCGATTATTGAGAGTGGAGCTCTCACAAGAAAAAGTGTGTTCATCGTTGCTTTTTCATTGTTTTTCGCTCGCATGGGTTGTTACGAGGAAGTTTATATCTTTGCTTTCCGTCTTTTCTCCCATAACTAGCTATCGCGTACAAGTTGTTTCTTCTGATGTGCGTGGCAGTTTCTCATTCGGCGTGCGTTTGCAGTATCGGCGTTTGAGGAAGGAGCTCCCTCATGCTTTCTGGTTTTGACTGCTTCTGAAAGGTATCAAGCAATTATGTGCATTGCGCCTCCCTCCCCTACTTTCCAGCTGCACATCACCTCCTTTCCTCGCAACATCATCTCTCTGCTGGCTTCTTGCCTTGACGCCGCTTTGTGCACTTTACTTTCTGTCTTTCATCACGTCTCTTCCAGACCGACACGTCCACGAGGAAGGCTCGGCATACCAACGACACAAACTCGGATCATCGCAATCGCTCAGACACGTCAGTACTAGATCACGAACACTTCACTGTTCAGCGTCCGTAACATTCTTTGAACTTCGCACACGCAAACGCACGACACGTTAACACAATCCGCACTCCATCATGGACAACATGGAAAGGATCCAGGAGGAGAACCAGAAGATCAAGGTCATACACCTGCGTCAGGAATCCAGAATCAGTCAACTTGGTGGTGAGATCAACGCCATTACGATCCAGAACGATATCCTCCAAGACAACCTCACCGCTCTGAATGCCAACGTCGATCAGTGGGAGAAATACGCAGCCGAAGAGACAGCAAAGGTGAAGGAGCACAACGTGTATATCGACTACCAGGAGAAAGTCTTGGAAAGAAAAAAGACCAAGATCGGACAGCTCAGAGGCCGCCTGACGAGAAGCAAAGGTATAAACCAAGATCTCCAAGAGCGCAACGACTACCTCGAGGAACGTCTGGCGACCAAGAAGATCAAGTCGCAGGCTTTCAAGGCCGAGCAAAAGGAGCTCAAGCGAAGCAAGAAGGATCTAGAGCGATCCATTCGTTGTCTTGACGAACAGCTCGAAGAAGATCAAACCGAGATACTGGGTCTGCTCAAGAAGAATATCAAGTACAAGAAGCTCATCAAGTTGCATGAACAACAGCTGTTCGATGCCGGTCTGAGATGACGCGCCGGACACCAGTGCATCTTTTGCGAGCCGTATAGGTCGGTCTACAGCCTAACCAAAATGTCGAGAACATGGACTCGGAGCAGGAGCCTGTGGTGTCATTGGACAAGTTGACCGTGAGATCTTTCATGGAGGACCATTCCATGGACGCCGGAATTCGGTGCGTAGGTCTACTATCCCCTGCTATCTTTGCTGTACAGTTTTTCTAACATGATTTGCAGCTCTCGTATACTCTCCGCAAGGCACCAGGCAATCCGACGACTCGGACCCATCTTCTGAGAATGTCTCGGCAAGGTTAGGATAACCGAGAGTTCCAGGGTCTGCTTCTGGGTAAGCCAATCGTTCTCTCTGACTGACTTGGCTGCGAATCGAGACAGCCTTGCACTGAGTCATGAAGCAAGAGCATGGAAGCAAGAGATGAGAAAGATCGGAAGAAGCAAGAAAGAGATAGGGACTTCTAATCGTTACGTCAGTCTGCTATGTTCACCCGGGTAATCAAGAAGGAAGACAATCAAGAAGGAAGAAAACGAACAAGGGAATGCTCAAGAGAGAACGAAGGAAAGGGGGTATCTCGTTCTTTGCTCTACGCACCAAGTCTATAGCTTTGCCAAAAAATCACCAATTCTGCGTCACTCTTTTCTCTTTCCATCTACAAGACACGCTTGACAATCAGCTCTCCCTCGCTACCATCAGTCAAAGCAGTATAAGTCTTTGCTTCAATCCTCTTCAACCACTTATTACTCTCATATCTTCCTGTGAATATGCTCATTCTCAGCACAGGCTCTTCCTTGGCTTCAGTCTGGTCCAATGTCCACATCCAGCGACCGAAGCTCCAGTTGAGGATATATCTTCTTGGTGTTGTTGAGTCAGAGTTGTCATCTGCGGGTGTGCCATCGCTGTTGGCAGGTGTTTGTGTTGTGCGAAGAACGGCCTTGATGCGGTAGACTTCGTCCTTTGGCGCTGACTTGAGGAGAGTCGCGAGTTTGGTCGTGTCCAGAGATGCGGATGGGGAGGCAGAGGTGAAAGTGATGCTCAAAGCTTCCATCTCTTCGTTATGGTCGTGCTTGTGTCCATCTTCATGTTTGTGGTCATGGTCGTGATCATGTTGCTGCTGGCTTAACGCAACCCAATCTCTAGCCATCCTCTCGTCGATACCAAACAACAAGTCCTTACTAATCCAACCCTTGTCACTCTTGATATGCGGTGTATCCACATCCATATCTCCCAACTTGTCAAGCGTCTTATCAAACGCCATCTCGGATAGATTTTCCCATTTGTTCAACACGATGAGATCGGTTTGCTGCGCTTGCAGTTTTGCAGTGTACGAGGTACTGGCGTATCCATCCCAATTCTCCACATCGATGACCGAGACGACACCATCAAGTGCATATCTCCCTGTTTCTTGTGATAGTCTCTTCAACTCCACCATCAACTTAATCGGCTCCGCTGACCCAGACGTCTCGATAATGACTCTGTTCGGCGCATATGTTTCATCCAACTCTTTCAATGCATCTCCTATCTGTCCGACGTTTGTGCAGCAGATACATGCGCCTAGAAGTTCAGAGACGCCGGTCATTTCGGCGGCGGCTGCGAGTTGGGAGTCGACGTTTAAATCGCCGATTTCGTTTTTGATCAGGGCGAGTTTGTAAGATGGGTTTTGGGCGCGGAGTTGGGGCAGGAGGTTTAGGATCATGGTGGTTTTGCCGGAGCCGACGAAGCCGGTTATCACTGTGATTGGGATCTTTGGTGTGGCCATGGTTGAGGTTGTGGTGCTTGAGTGGTTCAGAGGTGGGCGTTTGTTTTATCGGATTGGAGATGGACCGTAGGCGTTGCAGTCTCAGGACGAGAAGAAGTCGAGAATGGTCAATCGGACAGATGTGTCGTGTATATTGCGACCTCTGAGAAATTAATACACTGTGGTTCTATCTCTCACCAAACTTGAAGATTGATGTTGAATGTTTTTGTGTTTGTCTTGTTTGTCAACTGCGTCATGGAACATCACATGTTAACATCGTCCTTTCTTTTACACTGCCAACTACCTAGAACTCCAGCAACAATCGACAGCAAGGCCTCATGCTTGTACTACAATGCTGATATCGCTCGTGTGAGAAAGACAGCTCCCAGTTGTGGTGGTATACAAACAGAAGTCGGTCTGATGTGACATGTGGCTGTGCCCGCTTTGACAGCTCTAGAACTGTCTGTCCAAGTTCGATGCCCAAAACCAAGGAAATAGACTTTCTGTGCTTTCCTTTGCTTCGGAGTGAGCTCCCCATGGTGATTAAGGGCTTTGCATAGCCTGTCGCAATGCACCATTCTTTTACCCCAAGTAAGCGTGATCATTGAAAGCACTCGATGCCGTGTCTCTCACTGGAGGGCGGCAGCATTGAGCCCAACTCTGCATTGTAACAAGCAGCGTCTCGGCGTCTAGGAGCTGCGCCAAGTTTATCAGGTGAAACGACACAGCACTGCCACAATCCCACGATCATAGCGGGGTCCCCGAGCTGGCTCATAGCTCCTCGATACGTCACTAAACACAAGCGCCATTGCTCCTTCCCTCGCCTCTTTATAAACCACACCGACCTTTCTTCAATCTCGTACCTGAAGATCTTACTTTCTAACATCAACCTCATCACTCCTACAAAACACTTTACACACCACCAAAACCACTTCACAATCATGGACTTTGTCAAGAAATTCGCCGGCGGTAACAGCGAGCAGTCTGCTCAGCAAGGTAGCGCCCAGCAAGTCCCCAACCAGCAGGGCCAGTCCAGCCAAGGTGGTGGCTTCCTCGGCGGCATCGGCAACAAGCTCAACTCTGCCGCTGGCGGTGGTGTCGAGAGCGAGAAGAACGAGGACTACCTTGACAAGGGTAAGCTCCAACAACCACACCTCACACGACATGTCTCCATACTAACCCTCAAAACACAGGTGTCGACTTCGTCCAAGAGAAATTCATGGGCCAGGGCCCCCAGAACAACGAATCCGCCATCGAGCAGGCCAAGGACGAGCAAATCTCCGACTTCATCCGCAAGCAGTGGAAGAGCACCACCGGCTCCGACATCCCCATCAAGGACAAGGAGACCAAGTTCTAGAAGAAGGGCGATCACCACGACAAGGATGACAAGAAGGATGCGGTCAACCCCAGAGGCATGTGCCGCACCATCCCATGATACCACCCCCAGATCACGATGAGATTATGACAAACAAACACAAGCATTCATTATGCTATGAAATGAAAAATAATTGCTCCTCATCTCCCTTTGACTGAACATCCTCGCAGTGACCTCCCGTGATACATGATACCTTTCAGAACACTAATGCCAACCCCCATCTCTGTACCTGCTCAAGTGACGATGAAGCCGTCATGGGCACGGTCATGATTGGACACTTCCAATGGAATGATGATCACCCCCTGTTATAGGTGGACTGTGCAGATATATGGAGAAAATCAAGACCAAGATCACCAATCTGCACTTTTCAACTGTCCAGAAGTTCATCACTGAATTGGAAATTGCATTGACCATTGAAGTCCTCGATTTGGTATCAGTTATCAATCTTTATGAAGAGCAACCCCTATTGTTCCCTTCCCTCCCAGACCGCAGCCACATCCGTTGAAGCAACTAACTTGGTGCAAGATTCTATTTGGATTTCAAAGTCGCCCAAAGAGAGCCTGCGTTATTTACAGCTCCTCACTCTCACCCTCATCTGAAGCCCAAGAGGGGTTCCAGCTCGACTGAGACCAGTCAGAGTCCTCACCGTCATCCTCATCCTCAACATCCATCTTTCCCACGGGCGGCAAGGCCTTCTCCAGAGCCTTGATGAGCTTTCTGGCCTTCTTGGCTGCCTTCTTTGCCTTCTTCAACTCCTTTGCAGCTTCCTCAGAGCCGATGCTATCATCAGAATCGTCGAAGGGCTCCACGAATCTCTTTGTTTCGGTCTCGCAATGATCGTCTCCGTGGGCAGCCTGGGTAATGTCGTGGGTGATTTCTCCCTTGATTTGTTTGCCAGGAACACGAGGAGGAACATGACGATCGTGGGCACTAGTCGACTTGGGAACCGAAATGGGAACGCTCTCCTCGGACTTGGGCCTCTCATGCATGAACTTTTGAGGAAGAGCAGAACCGCCAAACCAGAAGTGAGTGACGACAGGGGTGACGCGCTTGACGGGGTGACGCTGCTGGTAGATGACAACGTCTTTCGCATCCACGTCTCTGTACGAAAGGTAAGTCAGTAAGGTATATCAATGAGCTTAGCAGATCAACATGACTTACTCTAGGATGAACAGCTCTTCCAAGACTTTTGGAGCCAGCATCTTGACGGCCTGGTTAGAGAGACCGATGTTCAGAGCGCGCATCCATGCCTTCACAAGTCCAAGGTCGAGATCTTTGGCGGCAGGGAAGTGCTTCTCGGAATTGAGATGGGTGACGATGTTTAGGACAGTGACGGGTTTGGTCTCGGAGTTGGAGATTGATGGAACCATGATTTTGATCTGTGTTTGTTGATGAGGTTGCGTGGATTTGTGGCTGGGAGGAGAAGTAGATACAAGAGCTGTGGCGTGTTGGTGGTTCTCGCCTGAGTGAGAGGCACAGCTTCCAGCACTTTGATGTGTTTGGTCAGTTGAGCCAGAAGGAACGACTCAATACGGTAACATGTGATCGAGACAACAAGCGTTTGCCATGTCGTTTGCTCCTGCCTTCTATCCTAATGGTTTGGGGGAGACAATGCGCAGCTCCTTCTTCACTACCTACCAAAGAAGCACCTAAATTTGGTCAGAGTTCGCTTCTGAGAACTGTGAACCAGTGAAGGAAGAATCTGACTATATAGCATCACGAAATTGACCTCCTTCTACACCCCTCATCTAAATCCACACGGTAGTCTGGTCTGAGGGGGACCGCCGATCCTCTGTACAGGAAGTAAATTACCGCCATTTACGATGATTGTATACGCCGGGAGTAGTAGACAGCGGGTCTATTGCTTTTGCTCCATAAGGTTGCGGATTCGATCCTTTGCGTTGCCTCTTTCCTTTTTTTCCTTCTTTTGCTCGAATGAGGGAGATAGTCTGCACTCCCAGTAGTCGTAATAATGAAGTTCTATGCTTGCCATTAACTCATGTTGGACTGCAAAGTTCTACTCAGCCTTCTCATCAACAACTTCATTACCGCCCGGTTCCTCATTTGCTCCCTTGATACCTCCAACAGTCTTCTTCCCGCCAGCAGGCGCAGGGCGCACCATACACATGAACCTATGATCTTCTCCCTCAGCAGCCGGCGCATACTTAGCCACATCAAAATCCATATAATCTCTATCCTCAAATCCTTTCCTCTTGTACAGCGGCCTTCCCACCTCCGTGGCCTCAAGATACGCCTGCAAACCAATGCGATCCGCAATGTTCAACCCCTCATCCAGCAACAAACTCCCTACGCCCTTGCGCTGGTACGCAGGGTCGATAGCAAGTACCTTGAGATATAGATTTGCTTCCAATCCAATCCATCGGTCTCTAGCCGCTGTGAGTGCTTCCGCAAACCCGTCAAGAAGTGCGGCATTGGCGGAAGGTGCATGGCTGGAATCACCATCTGCACTTTCCTTCTCCTTATCCACATCTTCCTGCCTCCTCGCAAGTGGCTGAAGCTGCCAAAGCGCCAAACCGACAATCCTCTTTTCCTCCTCCCTCGCCTTTCCAGTCAATTCCACTTCTGTCTTCTTCTCCCAAGTTTCTGGAAACTCTAGATCAGAGGGTAGAGCAGGGACTTCGGAGTCATAAGCCACGAAGAGACGGGAGCCGGGTTGATCGGCGGACTGAGAGGTTTTGGATTGCATGGACGAGAGCGTGTCGGTGAACATGCGGATTGTATCCTCTGGTGTGGTACCGTTGGGATAGATGTGGGGGCGGAGACCTGCACTGAAAGCGGCGGCCATGATGCGTTCGCGTGCTGGGAGGTCCGAGGGACGCATGGGGCGGACGAGGATGGGCATCGTTACGGTTAGTCCTTTTGGTGTTCTAACTTGATGGATGGAGTTGTTACAGCTAAGATAATGGTTGATTGGACTCAAGAATCGGAGGGTCTGATTCTTGGTTGAGCGTTGAGGTCCTTGGTGATTGTTGTGTTTCCTTTGATGACACAAGTCAACGTATCAGTATCTCGGTGTTGTAAGATGAGTCAGTCCAGTATTTCAAATCAACGAATCACTTTGACGTCTTCCTCTAAGTTTTGAGTCATCCAGTATTCCATATTTGCAGATCAAAAAATAAGTGACAGGGTCACAGATCCGGAAACCAGGAGATGGCCGACAACCAGTAAAAGCACGAGTCCAGAGCCTTGATATATCTTTAGTTACAGTCAATTGGATCAACATGAGTATGAGTCACGGAAGAAGAGTAATGTCGTTGCCTTGAGATAGATGTAACACAAGGGTAGATAGCGGAATGAAGTTGCCTCGCAGTCACAAAGGATTTATACTTTACCCGGCTCTTCCCTCGCCTGGACATGCCGTATGTGGTCGCCCGCCATGTAGCATAGACACCTTCCTGTTTTGTGTACCTATCATAAAGTGCTGCAAGTTAGCTCTCCCATCAGTCAGTAGCAGGGTCACATTTCAAGCAAAAGATAAAACACGTTCATGATGGAGACATGAAATTCGTCATCGCTGGTTTAATTTCAACTGTATGATACAAAAACTGTTTATCAGAGCTCAATGGGTACGATGCCAAAGAAAAGAAGACGGAAACGTCGCGCCATGATATGAAGGGAAGAGGACGAGAAACAGACGTCCTCTTCAAGAAACGGAAAGGAAAGACCAGTTGTTTACACTTTAAAATGCCACCAAAAGGAAACCATCAGGAAAAAGAAAGAAACAAACTCCTCGCCAATAGAATGAAATATTCGTCAAGAACGACAAATGCCGCTTTTCAATGAAAATAGAAAGACCACAAAGCGCTCATGTGAATGCCTTATTTCCCATTCAAACAGGATATGAAGGCGAAGAAGATACTTCTCGGAAAAGACAATGCTCCGAGAATCAGAAGGAAATGGGGAAGCCGGTCCGGTGTGATTTATGGTGACAAAAGGTGAATAGAATTCGTATGTTGTGAAAGCGCTGATGATGCGAAAGGGAAAAATAGTGTAAAGGGGACGTTGTTTCAGTAGTATACGCGAGTGTCCTTCAAACAACGATGCGGCGCAACTCGTCCAATGTATCCAGGTTTAGGCTTGGTTGGTGTCTTGAGTGGCTGCTGGTCGTCAGAAAAATGTGGGTGGAAGCATTCAACATCATGCGTCGACCAAATGATGCGCCAGCCTCCAAGGTGTGCTTGCTGGTGCAACCATGAAGGAATCCAGATTGGTCTCGATCCACAAGAATCTACCTAAGATTCCTGGGAGAGGATGACAAAGTGCTGTTCCCAAATCCATCCAAGCGAGTTGGTCGGGTCATCTTGGTTCTTTGCAAGCCAAAGTTCACCCTTCTGTGCGACAACATCGAATACCTCACCCTCAACATAGGTCAAGTATGGATAACCAGCTTCACGTCTGGCTCGGTCGATATTGAATTCAAACAGACTGGCGGCCACGAACATAACAGGTGTGTCGATTGGCGCATACTGCGGTGACATTGGACCAGGGCTGACGGGAACATCAGACATGGGCATGGCCGAGTTGAACATGCCAGAGAAGCGCGGTTCTTGTGCTGTATTCTGCGAACTCACGGCAGAGCCGGGACGCACACTGGGACTGCGCTTTGCTGTATCCAAGCTGATACGCGAAGACATGCTCTTGAGATCCGCGGGACGCTGAGCGGTAGAAGGTCTGTTGGCTGAGAACGAAGCTTTGGGTACAACGCTGGGCATGCGAGATGGTGGAAGACTGCTATTCTGGTTCGCGCCCACACTAGGAGCACGGCCACGAGCAGACAATGATGAGCTTGACCGCATTCGGCCATAATAGCCAGGTTGACCAGAGTCAGGCAATGCTGGAGAAGCCATAGCTGAATTGAAGGACTTGTTGAAATCGCTAGGAGTAAACAGCGGTTGGTTTTCACTGCCGATAGACATGGTTCTGTGACCGTTGGGCAGAATTGAGGGACGTCTTGTGGAAGCTTGGGAGGAGATGGTCTCATCACCAACCAAAGTAGTCTGAGGTGAGAGGAAGTTGGCAGCATCAGCCAGTATTGATCCGTTACAGATGCCAAGCGACAGTGCCTGCGAATGTACGAACTCGTACTCATCAGCGAACGCAGGCTCAATCTCAGCATACTGTGCGTACGCGAAGTCGACAACTGGTGCAAGCTTCTCCTTCCACAACCACCACCATTGAGATTGAAGGTAGACGTGCGTATGCAAGCAACTTCTAACCAACTCCGACTGCAAAGCGTAGAGTCGAGGTAGATCAAGTTTGAGTTGTTCGTTGAGCGCTTCGTAGATTTCTGCGGCATCGACGGTTTTGGCATCAGGTTTCTGACCTTTTTGCTGCATCGCCTGAAGTCTGGCATAATCTGCGACACGCTTCTTGCGCTTAGCGATCAAGTGTTGAGGGCCGGCGTAGAGCTTGAGGCATTCAAGCATGGGGTTGATGACGTGTGTTTGAATACGATTCCTCTTCAAAAGGTGTTAGCGGGCATATTTAGCAAGGGAGTGGTTGATATACTTACGTGGTCTGGTAAAGCGACTGTACAAAGCTCGCTGATAGCAAGAATGAACTTGCGAAATTTGCTCTCTATCTCGGGGCAGTTGTTTGGCTCACACTCAATGTACTTTTGCAAAGCGTCTGCAAATCTCATAAAGTGAGCAATGGGCTTTTCGAGCTCTTCCAATGTATGCTGAATATCTCTCATACAGATCTGCAGCTTGAGGTAGTGCCCGTTAAGCGCTTGGACTGCTTGATCAAACTCGGGATCCTTGTGGGCCTCTTCTGCACCCACACGATCCTTGACAGTGTCCTTCTTTGCGAGGAAAACTGCGAGAGCACTGCGAGCGTTGGACTTGGCACGCTTTCGGTGCACTTCTTGCACGTACTCTGAACGCTTCTTGGAGTCGTTGATTCTCTTGCAGACAGCGAGAATGCCCTCAAGAGAGTGATTCAACGCCTTACGATCAGGGTGACTTTCAGGTGTGCGGCCGACCAAATCTCCGAGCAAGAGACCGTATTTAAGAATACGCTGCGTAGGCTTCACCAACAATGAATCCAGGTTCCAGGCACCAGTGATGTCGCTGGCCATACTTTGACACTCGGTAAGCCAGCATTGTACCGTAGAGTCTGTCTGAATTCTCTTGAGACAGTTGTTGGCGTTTTCATGGTTCTTCAGATAGACCTCGTAGACGTGCTCCATGCGACCCATGTGCTTGGCGAAGACTGCACCTATTGTCGTCAATCGATCCTTCTCATCATCGATGATCAAGCCCGACGAAGCGCCATCACTGTTCGAAGTCGAGAAGCTGCCCCTCTTAGGTTGCCAGCGCGAAGACTTGGGTGGAACATAGATGGGTGCAGCAGCCTTGCGCAACGCATCGTAAAACTCAAGCGAGAATTTCTCAACTTGATCGACATTGCCAAACAGCGTCTTTCTATCCTCCACAGAGATGATGTCGCCAACAGTCGCCTTATAGATATCTTCAATGATCTTCATGTCTTGATGATGAGAGTACTCGGTATCTATGACTTCTTGAACGATATGTCTACGCTTGGTAAGACGTTCTGTCTCGGGGTTTGGAGTAGGAGGCATGGTTGAAGGTGGAGGTCCAAAATCGACAGATGGTCTGACAGAAGATGATTGGAATGAAGACATTGATTGCGAAGGAGGCAGAGGCACCATCTCAGGCTTCATCGACTCCATTGAAGGGCGTGCGGGCGTCGAAAAGTTCCTGTGGCGTTCGACTAATGTGCTCGAGCGAGTTGACACTGGACTAGCTGGATGACTGGCAAAGGTGGGACCGGGAGAAGCGTCCGTGAGAACAACCTCGAAGGGTAACTCTGATCTGGTTGCAGGCGGCGGAGGGGGAGGCGCATGCTGTGGAAATGGTGGCTGTGGGTGAAGCTTTGCAGTGTCATCAGAAGAGTTGGACATGGTGAGCCCTAGCCCGGTTCCCATAGGAATCTCTGGTAGTCTAAGTCTGTCTGAAGATCTGCTGTTGCGAGATGAGGGCAAAGCCTGGCTAAACGATCGTACTGATAGCTGACCCGTGCTTGACCGAGGCGAGTAACCAAAGTCTTTCGGGGGAGGCGGAGGTCGGTAGTCGTCATCCTCATCGACTGCTCCAGATGTAGTATCCGGTAGAGCTGGTGTAGTGATGCCGGAATATTCTGAAGCAGGTGTGCCAAGATCATACTGAGACGCAGGTGTATTGACCATGATGCTGGAAGGGGAGAAAGCTTGCAGGTAGGAATCGTCGTTGAGAGCGTCCTGAGAAGCTCTGGGCAAGCTTGCGGCAGAGCGTCTGTACGTGGTGCTGTATACAATCGCGGTGCCTCTGATTTCTTCCTCTGGCGTTTCCATGTTCATGCGATCAGATGGGTTGTACGAAGTGGGGGACAGATAATCAGTCGTTGATTTTCTTGGCTGAGGTGAGCCGGCCTGTTCGCGCAATATGCTGTCAAGGAGAAATGCGACCGAGTCTGCATCGTTGGCTTCGGCTCTGGAAAGACTGGGAGACAATGGCACGACATGCTGCTGGAAGTCGTGAAGCATCTGGGGCGAGACTGAGCCGACCTCTTGATACTGGTTGGTGATGCGATTCACAGCCTCGCGAGCCTGGCCATCCTCGTTCCAGTCAGGCATGATGGCCAATGCTGAAGCTCGACCTGCACGCTTCGACTGGCGAGGAGTTTTGTCTTCGTCCGGAACATGGTTGCTTGTTGCCACGGACCTGACAAAGTCCGACTTTTTCGGTGTTTCGGGATCCATTTCTTCTAGGTGTGGCACATGAGGGAGTTGACCAATCCAGGGAGAGGAGAGGCCAACTTGGGCAGCATCGCTGGCAAAGCTGTCTTCGTCCGAGTCAGGAATGCGGTAAGGCGCCGTCTCATGCTGGCTGGGTGGCGACGAGGAAGCTTCTGGCTGTCCAGAGGCATGGTAAGGTGCCGGAGAAGAAGGTAAATCTGAAGACCAGTCCTCCTGTTTCTGGTCGGGCTCAGCTTCGTCCTGGAGCATGATATGGATCGATTGGCGGTCCCCGTTTTCCGAGGGAGCGAATGAAGAGCCTTCTTCAAAGTCCGTATGTGAAGCGCTTGACACACTTCTTTCACGCATCTTCATGACCTGACTGAGAAGTGTCCCAGGTGCCATCTCTTCTGCTGCCTCTTCGCCAGCCGACAATTCATCACAGCTGTTCACCGCGACCTCTTCCTCATCCTCGTAGATGGCCTCCTGGGCGCCTTCGTTTGGCGGGCTTGAGTCCAATCCAGGATATGCTGAACGTTCAGGGGTGCTGATTTGTTTACCTCGAACCGGTGAATCATCGTAGTCGATGAAAGCGCCAGGGATGTTTCGCGGAGTAATGGGAGAAAGCGGGCCTGAAGCCTCCAGGAAGTCGGTGTTGGTGTGGTCGGCGTCCGTCTGTTCGGTATCGGTATATTCGGCATCTGTGTGCTCAAACGACGAGTCCATGTCGTGCTCTTCGCCATTCTGGTCTCCTCGGTCGTCGCTCGCTGTGTCGTTGACATTGCTGCCTCGTCTGGAGTCGCTTCCACTCAAACTGTTTCGACCCACTGCGTCTACAGAGTTGTCGCTAAAGGCACGCTGGATCTTCTCCTTTCGCGCGGCAAGGTTGATGTTGTCCAGCTCGGGGATCTTCTTCTTGCGGAATCTGTTCGGGTCGTTCTTCTGCGTAGCGAGTGAAGATTCGAAACGCTGGCCAGATCGAGCACGTGTGGCGGCTGTCGAGGCGGCAGAAACAGGAGGCCTAGGTCGTGAACTTCTTAGCGGGGGAGACTTTAGGGGAGGGGGTGCATGAATGAAGGCTTTCAGACTATGGCCTGGAGGGGCGTGTCGCTGATGTGACATGAAATCGTACCGTGTGTTGCCAAGAGTGGGTAGACCCAGAGGACTTGAGCCGAAAGAAGGGGCGCGTTGAGACGAAGTTTGACGAGAACGGGGCGATGTAGGAGCGGGAAAGTGATTGATCGACTGGCCCATCTGCGAGATGTGGCGCGAGGTTTTTGGAGAGAGTGGCTCGACGCTGACGGCACGTCTGGAACTGCTGACAGGAATCCGCGAAGGGCTGACCAAAGATGCCGAGGAATTACGAGGGAGCGAGGTGTAAGAGACGGGATTGATGCTCAGAGCAGCATTGGCTTCGGGGCCGACAAAGTCACTGCGCACGCGTCTATGACTTGTGCTAGGACGAGAGCGATTCGAATGGAGCGGCATAGGCAAGTCATATTCGGCATTGGAGCGCGATCGCTTGTGGAGGTTTGGAGAGTGTGCCGAAGAGGAGCTCAGGCTGCCGTCGGAACCTCGACGAGGCGCCAAAGAGAAGAAGCTGTCGTGGGCTGGGTCGTGGGGCACATGGTTTCGAGGACGGAGTGGATCGGCGGACAGCGAGGCTGGTGCGCGGATTTTGCTACGGCGTGTAGGACTTTTGAGCGGGGAGATGGTGTCTTGGGGCGTGGTAGAGCGGGCGTGAGGTGAGGAGGAAGTACGGATCCTGGTGGGCGAGCGTGGAGGACGCTGGAGACGAGATCGTGGAGCGACTCTCGGCGGATGGCTGTCTTTGGAGGATTGCTGATTGAAGCGATTGACCAAGTCTTTGATAGATCGTTGGGATGTGGCAGTCGAGAGCGAACGCGGTGTATCTAGGCGACTTGAAGTCGTCGCAGCTGCGACGGGGTTGGATGCCGAACGTGTAGTGTCGGACGACGGCGGCTCCATGATGTCGTAGTTCGGCGTGGTTGGCCAGGACGGTAGCGGAAACGAAGACGGAGCAGTTGCTATAGCGGCGCCGGGTGCATTGCTTTCTGCTCAGCGGATGCTCATGGCAAGATCGCAGCACAAGAAGCGTGTGCAGACGTGTGCGTGGTCGGATGGAGGTGCTAATAAGAGGGCTGTTTGCTCTGGCGTTGCGTTTGTAAAGCCTTCACTGCTGCAACGTCTGGAGCGATGATGTAGTTTACCGCGTGAGCCGCGTGTTCGCGTTTGCTGAACTGATCTGTAGAAATAGTTCGGATGTTTCTTGCCCAAGTCGTTCGTGGTTGTTGTCGTCGGCGGATTGTACGAGCAGGTCGGGGGTTGCACGACGGTCGAAGTCACTTGTCCGGCGGTCGACGAATTGCAGAAGGAAAGACGGCTGCTCTTGCCAGCGCACTTGCCTTGACTCTCACTACAAACGGCTGCTTGGCCGCTCTAAAAGAAGCCTGGAATCTGCCGCCATACGAATCGCCCTCCGCCCGCGCGCCCCATGCTGTCATCTATCAAGATGCAATCAATTTTGTATTTCTGCCACCACCTAACATCGACACCGAGACATCTCAGGCACCGATTCCTGCAATCAACTCTGCATACTGCTGTTCATCTCACTCAAGCATTCCTCATCCCTCTCAAGCCTCCAACATCCACCCCGTCTGTTACAACGTCTGTGTTTCACTTCCTCTGCCCAACTCTATCCCGTTTGCTCCTTCCCCGTCTCGAGTAACCCTGGACCCCTAGGGCTTGTGACACTCAAACGACCAATCGCCTGTGCTTTGCTTGCTTTCTGGCTTCGTTTCTTGTTTTGATACATCTTGTGTTGCAAACACTTGTCTCTTTGTGCCCTGGTGGCTGCGACGAAACATTGTTTGCTGCAAGCTGGACGACTCCATGTCAATTGCCATGACTCGAAGTTAAAGCATTTAACGTTTCTATAGTGTCTGCGGCAAGCCACTAGTGACCGTGCTCGAACCTCTTGCTTGACACAAGGGAACCCTCGCCTCGGTCCGTCGGGCTTTTATTTGTCCCCAGGCTCATCTTGCTCATCTTGCACCACCACGCTTCATAACGAGACTCGCATGCTTGACCCTTTTGTCTGCGACCACATCACAGGGAAATGACTGCAGTATTTATAGTATCATATTCAAGGCTGGTTTTGTGAGTGTGTCGTTCAGAGGTGAGATAATTCTACTTGGAAGCAGTCTAGAAACGCTACTACCTTCGCCATGAGGCCTCCTGCATGCATGCATCATTTACTTCTTGCATCTATCATTTCTCTCCTGCATTGCCAGCCTCTCCCTCCTCCATCGTCTTCAACTCGTTCTCAATCTTCCTGTGCGCAAATGTGAAGCTCGGGTACAGGAATGGACGAAGATCGAAGCGGTTGTCATCAGGTGCATACTGCTCGGCGTAGTATGCTGGTGTGATTGTGGTCATCTTGTGTCTGTTGATAGCGTAGAACCACATGAAGCGTCTGACCTTTGTATACACTTCTCCAGGGGTGTATTGGTCTCTCCAGTCAACGCAGAGCTTCTCCCACATCGAGTAGAGTCCGAACTTGCGGACCTTTCTGAGGTAACCATAGACAGACAGTTCCTTGTATGTCATGCCCATGTCGACTTCATCCGACTGCACGTAGTCGTCTGTGATGGGTTCTAGCTCAGCTGTAGGGGTCGCGTCGATGAACTCCTGCAGGATTGGCAGCTCGAAGGCATGTTCCGCCCAGGCGATGAAGCTGATTAGATCCGTCTTGCTGATTCCGCCTATGGGGTTGATATCTGCACTACTGCAGTCGTATTTGGTCAGATATCCACGCAATGCTTCGTCGACGTTGGCTGATCCCAGAACCAGAAGACCACCGCGGCCCTTGGAAGTAGGCAGAAGTTGTGCGAAAGCATAGGACAAGATCATTCTTGAGCGGCTCTGGAAGTTCTGTAGCGCAATGTTCTCTCCTGGCTCTCCTCCATGTACCTTGAATCTGGGCGTGAAGTCGAGAGTGTTGGAGACAAGGTTTTTCACGGCGTTGAAGACTTCGTCAATGTTGCAGTCGATGTGTTGGGCACCGATTGCATTGGCAAGTTGTTCGGCGCGGCCACGGGTTTCCTTGCTGGATTGCTCTTTCATACCCATGAAAGCGGTGTTAAACACTCTGCCGCAGAAGTCTTGGGCGGACATTTTGGAGACATCGTCGCCAGAACAGAGGCGCGTGGCGTCTTTGATGACCTGTTCGTCGCCTTCCTTGATGGCTGCGATGACCAGTCTGCACATCGAAAAGACGATGGTGGCGGTTGCGCACGAATCAATACCACCACTGAGGGGTACGAAGTAGCCAGCAGCTGTAGATCTGCGCAGGTAATCCCAGAGCCAACAAGCAGGGCCTAGAGCAATCTCCTCTTCAGGTTTGTGGTAGCGAGGTTTGATTGCCTCTGCAATTCGGAGTTTGGGGTTCGAGCGAGTCTTGACAGTCATGGCGAAATCGATCTTGACTCTCGTAAAGTCGTGGGCCTTCATGGCTTGCATTCCTCTGCTGCGCGATTGACGAGCAGACCAGATGTCATCGAGGTCGACAGTCGATGTGATGACTTCGACGTCGCGCAGAGAGAATTGACTGCCTTGGGCGACCATCTGGCCATTGATAGCGATAAGAGAGCAACCATCGTAGTAGAGACGATCACCGTCGCAGCCTTTCTGGTTGGAGTACATGTAGACACCACCTGACTTGGAAGCATTGGTGATCAGGTTGATGCGCGTGTCAAGCTTGCGCAACTCATGGTGAGAGCCACTTGAGTTGAGGATGATTTCCGCACCGTTGAGTGAGTACTGGATATGAGGAGAATCGGGTGTCCACAGTTCCTCGCAGAGTTCGGAAGCAAAGGTAGCATCTAAGGTCTGGAAGATAATGTCTCCGATGGGCACTTCGGTCTGGCCAGTGAGTTCTTGGATCTCGTGGGGGAGGGTGTATGAATCAACACGGTATCTAGTCCATGGAGTGAAGTAACGCATCTCTCGGTAGTTGCCATCGTTGCAGAGGTCGATCTTGGGTCTGATGGCGAGGATCTTTCCATTTAGAGCAAGCACTCTGCCATTGTGAGGAACATCGTTGTGACGGATGGGGAGGCCGAGATCAATGATAATGTCTTGTGCGTCAGGAGAGCTGATGATCTCTGCGAGAACTTCCCATGAGTGGGTGAATGTATCAAGCTCCTGGAAGTGATCGAGCAAACCGTATCCTGGGATGCAAAGCTCCGGCGTGAGTATCAGTTTGGATCCGGCAGCTTTGGCCTGGCGGATAGCTTCGAGAATGCGATCTCGATTGCCATCAAAGTCAAGTGCCCACTGATCAAGTTGACAGGTTGATATGGTGGCTAGACGGCCCATGTTGAAGATTTTGTGTTGTGACGACACGAAGGACGGGAGTTGCTGAATTGGAGATTGAATTATCAGCGCTTTGGTGTTGTGACTCTTGAGGCTGTGATTGAAAGCCGCACATGCACCATGTTTGGAGCGCAAATTTCACGTCATGGCTTCATAAAACACCAATCACTTCACAGCAGGCTCAGACTAAGGGAACGTCCTCGTTGTCGGTTGATAAGAATTTGTATTGAAAGCTCTACAACTACATGACAAGAGCGTTCTACAATTGTCGATATATGCTCCTCTTGCTCTTTACGAGACGAGTGTCACTTGAGAAGGTCGTCCCTGCCGGATGTATGCGCATGGTGCTCCGGCTTGGCCCCCAGAACCTCCGACAGATGAATGCAGATCTCGATGCCAAAAGAGGTATCACCGTGTATCCTCCACGGAGCAACATCCTAATCTTATGCCAAGAGCCTCGCGGCAAGACGTCTACCGGTGGCAAGATGGTTGGTATTTGCGGCAAGAATTGCAGCTTCGTAAACGTCCTCGCTTCCTCGGCCGTCGTCGCGTCAAGGCTGGGAGTTTAAAGCGGCTAGAGTGGTCGGCGCAAGTGTTGCTTGCATACTTCAAACCTTGCCTATGCACCAAGTAAACTGAGCCGTTTCAGCCTACAGTTTTCGACAGCGATGTGGAAGTTGGCTTGGAGCATTGCATAAAAGTGACACCTGTACGACACTGTCCGCGATCGAGCTTTGGGTTGTGTACATCTCGTCAAAGGTCGCGCAACAGAAGAATCGAATGAGTCGAATCGATCAAAAAAGTAGAGCTCAGAGCCATGAGCCGCAGAGACCAGCAACTGCCCCGCGTGTGTAAAGTTGGACAGCTAGCTCTGCGCGATAAAGGCCGCCAAGTCCAAGACCGAGATGCGGATCCATTGGCAAAGAAACAGGATAGAGTTCATGCAAAGATAGAGATGGCCGGGAGTGTCACATCTTTGAAATTGGGAGACACATGTCCTTGACATCTTGCAGAACTGGGTTATTGCGAGACAGAGAAAAGGAGAGGCCGGTAGCAGCAAACAATTTCATGGGCACGATTAGAGGCAGAAAGACAGGTACGGATAGATGAGAGCGGAGATGAGAATAGATGAATTTTGGGTTAGCGTGATGGTTGGTTGCCACGGTCCGGCGGCGCGGCATCCACGCTGTTTCCTGCCCTCAGCACGTATTTATGCCTGTTGTCCCCATCGACCGTTCTCCTTCTCCCTCCGTCCAAAATATCATCCTCTTGCCTTCTTGCTTCAATCAAAACTCGACTACACGAGACGACAGCAGATCATTGACTCTTAATTCACAAGTAAGTGCCTCCCTGATCCGAGCGCCATGTTCGCCTTGTCCACCATGACTTGCATGAACGCGCAATCCTCCATGTTCATCATTCCCAGAGCCGTCGCATCTAACGCTTGAGCCCGTAGATCTTTGTTGCAAACATGCTCTACTCTTCCATCTTCCTCGCCGCATCGGCCCTCTCTGGCCTTGCCGTTGCTCAGGTCCAGTCCGGCAACTACACCATCGACCCTAACTCGGTCGAGGCCACCACCAGAGCTGCTTGGTGCCGCTCCGAGTTCAACACCTGCAACACTCTGTGTGCTAACTCCTACAAGTCCAACTCTTGTGACCAGGTAAGCAACCACGTTTGTACATTATTTTGAGCATCACGCTAACGCAACTGTAGAATGCTCTGACCTACGTCTGCACTTGCAACAACGGACAGTCGCCCGACATGTCCAAGTACGACGGTTCTCTCAGCACCTTCATCTGCAACGAGTACAAGGGCCAATGTCTTGCAACCAACGCCGGAAACTCCACTGCTCAGGACCAGTGCTCAGATATCACCTGTGGTGGTGAAACCGCCGCCAGCATTGTCACCTCCTCTGCCGCTTCCTCGTCCAGCTCTGCTGCTGCCTCGAGTGGCTCCAGCGCTGCCGCCAGCGCTACCAGCGCCGTGGCCAGTGGTGCCTCGTCTGCCTCCGCCAGTGCTGCTTCTGCCAGCTCTACCGGTGCCGCCAGCGCTATTACCGTCGGCAACGGTGCTCTTGTTGCTTCTCTGTTCGGTCTCTTCGCCTACGTCCTGTAAATGGAGTCAGAAGACTATCTTGACGTGGACTGTTTAATACAGAGGGACATTATTGGAAGAAGTAATCACGGCACATTATACGAATGGTACCGGTCATGAGAGCAGGCGTTTTTATTCACCACATTACCAGCGACGGAGTTGTTCTTTTTGGGTCGAAAAGGGCTTTCTATTCTACGCATCCATAGCGATGCCTTTTGTTTCTCAGTAGTTAATGACTCAATGGACATCATTGGTTGACCATATCTACGTTCTCGGTTGTTGTGATGAAAACAATTGACCTGCGATAATACATGTTCGAGCCAATCAAATCTAAGCTGGAAGCACAGGGCAGCATGGAGCCGGGGGAGTGTCTGGGCAATGTCGCACATAATCTTGGAGAAACGAGATAACGGTGTACTGTACCTGGCACGTAGGTAGATAGCACAAGAATGATATCAGTTGAGCTCTGTAGACTTTGTTCATGGAGGGCGGTTGATAAGGAGTGGCTTGGGTGGACTCGCACGATGAAGTCAGAATAAAGGAATCTAGATGTCTTCTCTGATGAGCCCTGCGGCGGCGATCTTGACCAGCAGGTCGGCACGCTTCATTAACAACGAGTGACGTCTTGTGGAGAACGGATCAAAAAAGTTCATGGGCCAGTGACGAGCTCTGTGCTACTCAGTCAATTACCGTGTCTAGTCCCAACGAACAGCTGTAAGATCCACCCTTGTGGGAATGCCAGAGATACTTATTGCAAGAGCCCGGTCCTGCTTGCGTCGCTCCTTCCTCACCAAATCTAATCACCGCTTCTTCCCCAGCAATCTCCCCCTCCCTTTCACCCACAAGTCGCCAATCCGAATCTCTAGACTGTCATTCCTAGGACAACAACGAACCATGGCAACCCTCGGAGCATATCAGAAGAAGCACAAGGTGGCCATTGTTGGCTCCGGCAACTGGTACGTGACTAGCAGCCTCCCCAAGGACGATCGAGCTTGGAAGCAGGGCTGTCGCAAGGCGCAATGCTTTTGGAAAGCACCTTGCCCCGCGACAAGCACATTGCAGTAGTTCTGAGAGTCGGAGAGACTGACAGCTTCTAGGGGCACTACCATCGCCAAAGTTGTCGCCGAGAACACGCAAGCCAACAGCGACCTGTTCGAGCAGGATGTCCAGATGTGGGTCTTTGAAGAGGAGGTCCCTATTCCGAAAGAGTCGAAGCACTACAAGGGCGACGACAAGGCCCAGAAGTTGACCCACATCATCAACGACATCCACGAGAACGTCAAATACCTACCCAACGTTGCTCTGCCCAAGAACATCATCGCCAATGCCTCGCTCGAAGATACCGTCAAGGACGCTAGCATCCTGATCTTCAACCTGCCTCATCAGTTCATCGAGAAGACATGCAACACGCTTCAGGGCAAGATTCTGCCTTATGCTCGCGGTATCTCTTGTATCAAGGGTGTCGAGGTGTCGGACAAGGGCATTGAGCTCTTCTCGGAATGGATCGGTCGCAAGTTGAACATCTACTGCGGCGCCCTATCCGGTGCCAATATCGCTACCGAGGTCGCCCTTGAGAAGTTTTCAGAAACTACCGTCGCATACGACCCTCCGTCCATGGATAGCCAGCAGCCCACTCCTAAAGGCTCGCCTCGTTCTTCCGAGATTGACCTCTCTCAGCTGAGCGGCAAGCAAGATCAACACCAGAAGATCAAGCTCTTCCCTTTGCCTACCGAGTATCCCCCTCTTAGCCACGACAACGTCAAGAAGATCTTCCACAGACCCTACTTCCACGTTCGCATGGTTTCGGATGTTGCAGGCGTATCGCTTGGCGGTGCTCTGAAGAATATCGTCGCTCTGGGCGCTGGTTTTGTTGATGGCCTCGGCTGGGGTGACAATGCTAAGGCAGCCGTCATGCGTGTCGGTATCCTGGAACAAGTGAAGTTCGGCAAAATGTTCTTTGCCGACTCCGTCCGCACTGAGACCTTTACCGAGGAGAGCTGCGGTGTAGCAGACTTGATCACTAGCTGCAGTGGTGGCCGTAACTTCCGCTGCGCAAAGATGAGCGTCGAGCGCGGCATGACCATTGATGAGGTTGAGAAGCAAGAGCTCAACGGCCAAAAGTTGCAAGGTACCAGTACCGCCGTCGACGTCAACAACTTCTTGAAGAAGCAAGGCCTTGAGGATGAATTCCCTCTATTCACTGCCATCTACAGTAAGTCAACCGGGACAACTATTGTCCTATGTGAAACCACATGCTAACTCATTACCCAGACATCCTCGAGGGCAAGGACAAGGCCGAAAACATTCCCGAGCGCATCGAATCGAAAAAGTACCCATGAATCAAACGAACCTTTTCACGTTATATCACGACCTAGGTTGACTGGCTATTAGGAGTTATTCGGGGCAAGCCAGGCCAAGATTATAAAGCGGAACCAGGTGTTTCTGCATGGCATTCCAAGAACAGAGTATGTAATAGATGGTGTGTTTTCGTGTATAACTAGCAGGTATATATGACCAGGATACCTATTCACTCCTACCTCATCTTTCACGCCGAATATACCTGTTGCAAGACACGATGGTTCTGGGATCAGGGGCGGCGGTCAGTAAGAGTGGGGGATTTCCTGGCTCTCACTGGACGTGTCGTTGATTTCTAAAATTATTGGTGCCTTTCGACAGGGTGCTTATGGACTGCAAAAAAAGTATGTTATTGGACAATTATGTCAAGCCTGACTAGGAGAAGGGAGTTCGGCTTCAATGCTATTTCTATATATACAAATACGTCCTCGTTACTCCACCGCTCGTCTTCACCATTCCCCCTCAAAACCTCGAGATATCTCTTCCAAACACCCAATTAACAAACCAATACGTCGGGATCAAAATCCTGTTTCTCCAACTAACACTCTTTGCCAGATAGGCACCGCGCCAGATCAACCATGCCACTCTTCCACTCACATCTCCGCCTGAAGATTGCATGATCGCGTTCCAATTACCTACATATGCCATGACGCCTAGATCTTTGTAGGTGAATGCGTTGGCGTCGATGGTATTGCGGTTCAGTTGTTTGGCTAACCAGCTAGCTTTTTGGTTGGCTACTTGAGCTGTGGCTGGGTAGGCTGAGTTCTCCATGATGGCGCAGTCGCCTAGAGCGTACACGTCGTTGATGATGGCTCTGCCTGTGTCTTTGTCGTCGGCCTTTTGGTCTGAGGGTTGCATGATTACTCTCAATCGATCATTTGTCATGATGCCACCACTGCGGGGGTGAGTAGAGATGTTCCAGCTTTTGGCATCCGAGGGTGTTTCCACTGCGGCGCTGGATATGGGAATGGTGTAGGGTTTTGCGAGGGATTTGCTGATGAAGGGGTTCATCATTAGACCCGTGGACCAGACTACCATGCCAACGCCTACTTCGCCTTCTTCTTTGAGGTCGAGGGTGTAGCAGCTTGCTTCGTCCTTGATGACTTCATCACCACTAGCTGTTTCTTTGAGCTTCTTGGGTGCACCACGGCGTAGGCTTTTGACGTGGTGGGAGGTCTTGACGTCGATGCCTTCGCGGGTGAAGCGTTCGATGGCGAATTTTGCTAGTTTGTCGTCGAACATGCTGAGCACCTTTTCGGCGACATCATAGACGGTAATCTTGTAGTATTGCATCAGCTCGGGATAGAGTTTGGCCATGTCTTCGCTGATCAGGTCGTGGAGTTCGGCGGAGAACTCGATTCCAGTCGGGCCTCCTCCTACAACAGCGAAATTGAGGAGTTGCTTCTTCATTTCGTCGCTAGTTGTTGGAAGAGAGGCTGTCTCGAAGCCTAGCGTAATGTTAGTGATATTGAGAATTGAGAACGCCATCAGTGGAGACCACAACTCACAAGACAACATCCTGTTGCGAATCTTTCTGGCATCACCAACGTCCTTGAGGAAATAGGCATTTTCCTTGACACCAGGTGTTCCAAAGGTTTGCGAGTAGCAACCCACAGCCACTACCAACTTGTCGTAACTCATCTCAAACATCTTGCCCTTCTTCGCCTTGACACCCTTCTCTTTTTCCAATTGATTCGCATCTTGATTTTCACTACCATCGCCCGCCAACGCAACACCTTGCCATGGACTCTCGACTGCTTCCTCTATGCTCAATGTCTTGGCTGCGAAGTCGACCGAGTCGGCCCAGCCTTGGAAGAACTCGACCTTGGTACGGCGAGAGCGGACAGGTTCGAGTGCTGTACGGAACTCGAGGGTACCGGTTGATGTTGATGCGAGCAGGGGGGTGAAGACGAAGTAGGAACGAGGTGATACGACGACGACTTGGTATTTCTTAGGGTCGAGGTCGCGAGCAAGTGTATAGCCAGCCCAGCCTAGCACATAGGTTAGACATGGAACTGGTGAGCGGGAAATCGAGGAGCAACATACCTGAGCCGAGGACGACAACGCGTTCGCGATCTGGTCAAGGTTGTTAGAAGGCTTCAAAGATGAAATGTTGGAAATGTGGATGTTACTCACCTCCCTTGTTGCTCTCGATACTCCTCGTCACGAAACGTGCTTGCGTTCTCGAAGTCAATTGACCAGCATTAGTCCTCGACGCAGTATCCCGATTATGTCCTCTCAACACAGCAGCTGCAGCAGTCGACTCGTACTGTCGCGAAACACCAGAAGCCAGCGTCCGCGGCAGAGTCGCGTTCCTCAATGCGAGCATGATTCACTCTTACGATTTCAAGTACGACAGGTAGACAAGCAACAGATGGAATAGATGAAGGAAGCTGTACGATCTATCTTGTCGGACTCAGAGCTATCCGGGACGTTCCTTCCCCTCTTGGCTGGACTTTTTGCTTTATCATCGTTTTATTGTTTTGGATATCCGGGATGATGTAACTACCAAGATGGTTCGGAAGTCGCAGCCCGGCGATGCCGGAGGACTTCCCGGTGCACTCCGCACGCTGGACTTCTCTCATCGACTGTGCACGACCAAAAATACCGAGGTTGTTGATTACTTATTCATCTATACAACATGAACCTGCTTGTGATTACAGAATCATAGCTTGCTCGATAAGTTCATTGGATTCACAAAGGATGGAAGAATAAATGATTTAAAATGATCCTCTATGCGAGGTATTGTATTTGTACAGTTGATCCATCTAAGGAAGTGTTTCGTAAAATATGCTAGGTAATAGAATAATTACATTATAAATGCGTGCTTTTTGTTCTTTCGTTATGCTGGATGAGGAAAAGAAGTATCCAACAATAAGCCTTCTAATTACTATTGATCAGAGACGATGCGCTTAGCAAGCACGGACGTAAAGACCCAGAGGAGAGGGGTTGTAGTCCTGGAAGAACTCGAGGTCCAGGCCACCAGTGGAGGTAACCTCGAACGAGACTCTGGTGCCAGCGGGGCAGGCATCCATGCTAAGGGTGTGGGAAGAGCCACGCTTGAGCTGGTCGACGGAGCCGATCTGCTTGGCGACAGCGGGGGCGTTCGAGTAGGTGGTCGACTCGTCAGCAACACCGTTCAGGACAGCGATGGTGAAACCACCCTGGTCGTTGAAGGAGTAGCTGGAGGTCTCGAGCTGGTTAAGCTGAGGGAAGAGGAAGACGGTCGAGCAAGTCTTGCCAGCGTAAGAGGCAGGGATGTCGAAGTTGAAGATGGTCGAAACCTTGGGGCTGATGGTACCGTTGTACTGAGTACCGTAGGCCTTGCTGGGGTTGCTGGAGTCAACAGGGACGATCAGGTGGGGGTACTGGTAAGCACCGTTGATGTCTGCAGGGCAGCCGGATGCGGCGGGAGTACCGCTGGGAACGACGGTCGAGGCAGCAGCGGATGTGACGCTGGGCTTGGCAGAGATGGCGGTCGACATGCCGGTGGTGGTGCACTCAGAAACAGTGGAACCGCAGTTGGTGACGGTGATCAAGGTGGTGGAGAAGACGGTGACGGTCTCGCCATCGTCAGCAACCGAGGTGGCAGCCTTGGTGGTGACGGGAATGACTGTGGTACCAGCGGCAGAGCTACCGGCAGAGCCAACGGGAAGCGAAGATGCAATGACGGAGCTTGCGGCAGATGCGGCGGAAGAAACAGCGGACGAAACCGAGGGGGCAACGGAGGCAACTGATGAAGCGACTGAAGAGGCAGCGGCCTGGCTAGTGGCTCCAGATGAAGAGACGTAACCAGCAGAGGGAACGGCGTTGCTGATGTTCAGAGTGGTGCTGGCGGCGGCAGAGGTGGGCATGGTAGCGCTGGCAACAGAGCTAGTAGGGGCGGCAGAGCTGCTGGTGGCAACGCTGGGGCAAGAGAGGTCGTACTTGGGCTGCTCGCCGGAAGCAACAACACCGAAGCTGGGGGTAGCCTGGTCCTGGAGGATGTACCACCAGGTAGGGATGTTGCGGTTGATCAACTCGCAAGCCACGGCCTTCCAGTAAGTCTCGGCGTTCTCAGTGCTGGGAACAGCGAGGTTCTCAGTGGGGCCAGTGGTGGGCCAACCGCTCTCAGTGATCCAGATAGGCTTGCCCTGGGCTGAACCCTCAACAGCATTGTATGCGTTGAAGAAGAGAGTAGCGGCGTTAGAAACAGAGTTCTCGTTGGTGTTCTCGTAGTAAGGGTACTCGTCAAGACCAAGGAAGTCAGAGGCAGCAATGACGGCAGCGTTGGAAGTGTTGGTGTAGACGTTCCAGGTGTCGACGTGACCAACGGGCTTGCTGGAGAGGACGGTGCCAGAGATGGCGGATCTGACTTGACCAATGTAGTTGACGAGAACGTCAGGAGACTGACCGTAACCAGAGTTGGCAGCAATACCAGTGGGCGAGATACGGTAAAGGTCCTCGCTACCGACTGAGATACCAACAACGAGGTCTGAGAAGGCAGATCCGTACTGGTTGATGGCATTTCTAAGAGCAGTAAGCTCGTTGTTGAAAACGGCCTGGTCCGAAGAGGCCCAGAGACCAAGGAGAAGGGTAGTGTTGGTAGCAATAGCAGCGGGGATGGCGCTAATGACAGTGTTGGCAGTACCCTCCTGAATCATAGTGTAAAGACGGGCGCTGTTCCAGCCGCTGGTGGTCTCAAGACCTTGTGCGGTGCGGAACTGGGCCTCGAAAGTCTCCAGAGTGTTGCCCTGCGAGCCATAGTTGAAACCACGAGCAGCAGCCAGGACGGTCGAGGCACCGCCGACGAGAGAAAGAATAGAGGATCTCATGATTGATATCCTAAGGAAGAATAACGAAGGACTTCCTAGATGAGTTTGTTGGTGGTGATAGAAAAAGACACAAGCTTGAGAAAAGGAAATCGACTTGGAGAAGGAACCGAGCTGTTTTGTACCTTGTGGGCCATCGTGACGACAACATAGGAAAGTCTACCATGTACATCGGTCCTGCCGCCTTCCGGCAAAGAGCATGAAGTTTCTTGTGGGGAAAATAATGGGTTAGTCGCATGACGAACCAAGACGGTGCAAACTATGGCGGTCGTGGGCGACGGATGGGCACCGAAAATAGCACCATGACGCCCACCTCTGCAGGTACGGCATCATCGCGTGGAGGGCTCAGTCAACAAAGTTGAGAAAAGACTCAGGTCCGCGCGGCCAAGAGCCAAAGGAAAAGGCAGAAAAGCCTTTGTTGGGCCGCCGCTGTTCGCCAAATGTTGGGGTGTCCAGACGTTCAACCCCAAGTCGGACAAGTCGGGACAGTGGTCCCCAAGAGAAGGATGTCAAGTGGGCGATCGCATGTAATAGCGTGACGGTAAGGATCGTATTCGCATCGAGGGCTGTCTCTCATAGTCTCATGGGGCTATATGTGGACATTGTCCTCCTGACATGGCGCCAGCACATCGCTTGTGAATGTTGACATTCGTGCCATACCGCAGTGGAAGGCGGCGAACACGCTCTGCTGTGCGACGACAAGGTTAATCCACGTTCTCGTAGCCTTCGATGACGATGCAGCTCAGCCGATGTGTGGCGGCGGCATGCTTCTGCCGGTTGATGTTGCAGCAGCAGCGTTCGACATCGATCCGCCCCGTTTGCTGATCAGGAACGCCTTGCCGTATTGAGCAAAGGCGGGGCAGCAATATTTGCTTGGCGACAAAAAGTCTTGTCACCAGGAATCCTGTCACCACGAAGCGATGGTGACAAAGAAAAGCTGTTTGTACTGGAAGCAGTGATTTGTTGCTATTCATGGCGAATCACTATGAGGCGCTAGGTTTAGGTCATCGCCAATTCGATGGGAGCCTGACCGCCCAGGACATCAAGCAAGCATATCGAAGAGCTTTGCTTGAACATCACCCGGACAAGGCGCAGACTGGAGGCGCATCACAAACCGTGGATTCCATCACAGTCGCTTACAAAACTTTGTCTGACCCCGACACCAAAGTAGACTATGATCGTGAAATCCGGCTCCAGCAGGCGCGCAACAAGGGCGATGACAAAATCTTCCATACCGGACTCGACATTGTAGATCTGGATGATTTAGACTACGACGATGAGACTGGCGAATGGTGGAGAGGTTGCAGGTGTGGCCAAGATCGTGGTTTTGTCATTACCGAGGACGAATTGGAGAAAGAATCGCGCTACGGAGAACTCATCACCGGCTGCAAGGGATGCAGTCTCTGGCTCAAGGTTCTGTTCGGAATTGAGGAAGACGAAGAGGAAGACTTCAAGACTGCTGCTGAATGAGCTTGTCAAGTTGTCATCATAAGCTTCTATATTTCCAAGGCTTGTGTTTGTCGCACGACATTGTGGTGCCTTGCATGATGTGGCTGCAAGTTGCAGCAAATTCGCCGTCTCGATAGACTCTCCGCGAGAACAGCTGCGTGTAACCCTGCGACATGGATTCATCAGGTTCGGAAGTACTGGTGGTCTAGTAACATCCAACGTGGACGTATGCGCCATAAACGCACGCCTTGACGACGGCCCAAACTCCGAGCACTACAAACACCGATCCACCGGCCAACTACATCTCTTTGCATTGCCACGAGTCTCATACACTGCCCAGCTCACGAGGACTGCACTGTGCAAAAACTGCCTTTGTTGTCATCCGTCTTGATCTAGTTGATTCTTTGATGGAACAAAGAAATCAAAGACCAGTCGAGTCGCTTGTTCTTCGGTGTTGCCAGGATTCTAGAATAGCAGGGCTCTTTGTGACATCAGTTTCCGCATCCGGTCCAGAGTCATTGTCAAACAGTGAACAGTTGTCCTTGCTCCAGTTATCTGAAAGCCATGGATATGTCTACCGGCGGCGTAGAGAATCTCAGCTTTCCGCATGTCAACTGGCGGATACGTAACTACCGGCAACAATGTCACCTCGATTGATTCCAGATCCACCGGCTCTGGCTCCTCCAGGGGTTCACCAAAGTGACTATATTGCCAGACTGAACCGCGCGGCTAACAGGTTCGACGTGCATCCTTACCAGCCTGGGAAATATACACAGCTCGAACTCGATTCGGAGGATCCTATCGCTTCAGGCAGGGACTTGAAGATTGGCCCTCCAAGTCAAGTTCCAGATTGGCATCCTCTTTTACATAAATGGGGACTTCAGGTCATGGCAGCGGCTGGTTTTGTCAACAGCACAGCTTATTCTGCTCCTGGACAATTTTACTTGCCATTAGGCCGCCTTGCGAAAATTACGGACGATCAACCAATACATCCTGTTTTGAGGGAAGACATGTGGCACAACCTGTTGCCCGACGAATACAAACTCATGGAACCGGCACTACGTCTAGCGTCTGCCATTCTAGATGATCCCGAAACTTTACACTTCTTTGCTGGACTCACAATTCCGACACGTCAGATGCCATGTCGTATGATCCCACATATTGGTATTTGTCCCGTCTTTAATGTCAGCGATCCACTCAGCGCAGCTGGACTGAGAAACACTTATAACCGACTAGTCGATATGCGTAATTCTATGAGATGGTGTTTGCAGCCTCAGGAAATGATGATGCAAAGATTCGGCGCTTTCGGTGTCACACAGGCAATGGTAGACGATGATGATAACACGATAGAAGGTGCGAGAGGGCCAGCGTACGTTTCGTCAGCGTTCTCTGCTGAATTTGGCTAATACTCCCGTCTAGCACTCGGTGCAGCGTATGTCATGTAAGCAGAGGATACACCGACGCTTTGAGAATGTATCTGGGCAGTCATCCCTCGAAGATTGGGCTTGGAAGGTTCATCAACGACACACAATTCCTTGCGGAAATACCTCTCCAAGACACCATCATTATTGATGAGGAAAGCGCGATAATCCGCAGTACACTTCTTATGGCAGATACCATCGTTCACGAATTCACGCATGCAGTCAACGCTGCCTACTTTGATTATACCGCAGTAATGTCTCCTGTTGCAGGTTCCACACCTCAAGTCTGGGAACCCTATTTCGCCGGCGATAGAGCCAATGAGGTGGGACACGTAGTTAGTTCTTTTGTCTTTCGCGGAAACCCTCAGGCCATCACCCAGTTCTCCATACCGCAAACTCAACTCTCCCATAACCAGCAACAACACATTGGCACATTGGGGATGTTTTGGACCAACAAGTGGGACCGCTGGCGGCGTGATGATGGCGGCATCGGCGGCCTTGGTGCGTCAAGAATCATCGATGATATCGATTTTAGCACTCCAGGACTCTACTATCCAGTTCCTCAAGCGCACACCCAGAAGTTATTCTCTACGAGACTGTGGCAGGATGAGATTCATCGTTTCGGGCTGAATGCTCTTCGATTCCCTATATTGGACAAGTGGGCGGCTGAATGGACTCCACCAATGTACGAGCAGGGAAATTGGGGTACAGGTAGTTTCAATGTTGGGCCTGCTCCATCTTCTCCTTGATGAATGGCATAGTGTGAGGTGCTACACACGATAATATATCTCATCGTCGCTCTTTCTAACCTCATTGTGTCTAAAATTGCATAAGTGATGCTCACGCGTTTGCAACATCGGGTGTGTAGATAACGTTTTGTGCATTCAGATCATGATAGCCAGGGTTGTACTCTCAACAGGCGCTGCTGATATCACAAATGGCATAAACTACAACACGGTTGATTGTTTTCGTCTTAAACCTACTCAAAGTATCTGAATGTGTCTAAATATGTGATAAGATACGCATTGGGCTCCTAAAGTGCTTTGTTATTGGTTTTTACCAAAATGATACTTTTTTACAATCACTTGGAGAGAACACACCAGAAAACAAAACGGAAGCACACCTCCATCCAACGTAAACAATTGGGAAGATTTGGGACATTGAGATGATAGAGATTGGAGCGGATGAGTAGCTCTGATAAAAAGAGTTCGTGTTCCAATGTTGCATCCGATTCCAGATGTGCCCAGAAACATACAATTCTCGAATGTTGGACAGGGTGACATCAAGTCGCCTTGGAACGCTGCATCAACCTGGTCCACAATTCAAGATTGGTGGAAATTTTATTTGTATATGATTACGAACCCGACTACTGAGAGTAGTAGTATAATAGTGCTCACTCTACAAGCATACGGACCTTTAGCAAATCCTTCTTCACAATCTCATCCTTCTTCTCCAAAAACTCCTTCATGTCCCAAGTGACGCTGACGTATCTGCCGGCAAGCCATTCCCTCTTCTCGTTGACAAGCCAAGCAACCGTGTCAGCAGCCAGCTGTGGTTGATCGCAAAGCACGTGGTGGCTTTCCTTGGGCATCCTGCTAGCCAGCTCGGTCATAACGCCTCCGGGGTGAATACCGTAGCAGAGGATACCCTGATCAGCATACTCTGCCTGGATGAACTCGCCGAGTCTGAGAAGGGAGAGCTTGGTGGATTGGTAAGAGCTAGCACCGGGCATGATGACGTGAGCACCGATGGAGCTGGTGTTGATGATAGTCTTGTCGCCATCCTTTGTGTCCAGCAGAACGGGAATGAACGCACGAGCGACCAAGTAGGGGCCCTTGATGTTGACCTCCTGTGTCTTCCACCACTCATCAGGGTCACTCTCAGTAATCTTCTTGAAGTCCTCGAGATATCCGGCATTGTTGAAAAGGAAGTCAAGACCGCGGAACTCGCTCTTGATAGTCCTGGCTGCCTCCTCGGTGCTTGATACGTCCGTGACGTCTAGCTTGATGCTGATGACCTTGGGCGCGCCATGTCCAGCATCCTTTGCTGCTTTCTCTACCTCAGAAGCGAGGTCCGAGAGAGAGCTACGGGCACCCAGTGCGATGCTAGAGGCACCAGCCCGAGCGAAGGATAGAGCCGTTTCCTTACCAATGCCTTTGGAAGCACCAGTCAAGAACACACGCTTGCCTTTCAGGTTCTGTGTTTTAGTAGAGATGAAGTCGTAGGTATCATTGTGGATAGTAGGAGTGAACTTGAAGCCTACAGGAATCTCATGTTAGATTTGCCTCTATGTTGATCTCGATCATTGGGTGTTTGATACCAGCGTGATGAAGTTGAGATTCCGACATTGTAATTGTTGTGTTTGTGTTCAAATATGAGTGTGTGTACTTCGGGGTTGATTGAGGAGGTCAAGGTGAAGTTACAGGCGCAAAGATATGTACTGTGAAGAGAGGTGAGTACTTTAAAAGTTGATTAAGCAGTCGGTGTTATGTCTCTCTAAGCTCCATAACTCCGCTGAGGGGTGACATCATAGTTTCACAATGTGACTTTACAAGACTCGCGAGTCATGAGCTGGCTGCACGAAAAGTCGACAATTGAATTGCCTACAGTAAATAATCTATCCAATCCTCTCTTGCGAGTGTTTTACATGACCCTAAGTCTTGGTGTACTCAACCTACCTAAACAAGTCTCCGCTGAAAGTACTATCGGATATCAACATGTCCACTCGCAACTCCTTACAGCAGTCTCAGCTGCTGCTCCCGTGTATCGTGTATATCGTGACTTCATCACTCCATCTCTTGTATGAATTCAGCAGCCGAACATCTTCGTCGTGCTGACATTGATTCGGCTCCATCTGAAATCTGTCACAAGGCTCTTAGCGAACTGGAATGGCCAGTAGACGTGGTACAGCCACCAAGCGGGAAGGGGGTCCCAGATCTCGTAGGTGCCATCTCTCCAGAGAAATAGATGCTCGAGGAAGGTTCCAAAATGCTCGAAGGCTTCACCGAAGCTATTGCCATGGATCTTGAGGAGCGAAAGAACAGGCAGTATAACACATGTTGTCAAGTCGTGGCCGATCCAGTAATATTTTCCTGGTTGGTGGGGATACACTGGCGGAGTGTAAGATGCTCCGTTGGTCCCTTCTTCCTTGGGTGTGGTCGGCTCCTCTAAGAGAGACATATAACCCTTCTCGATCATCTCGGGTGTACTGTTGAACAAGGCAACGGCAGTATGCGCACGCGGATTGCACTCGATGGGATACAGCGTGACGACCATGTTGGGGTCTCTTCGTGCACACTCTGCCTCTTTGCGGTCAACTAAGAAATCGAATGACAAATGACCCGTAAAGTTCTCAGGATCACTTGCTGCATATTCTTGTGTGAAGCGTAGCATGTTGCGGCTCAAAGATGAATCTGGGGGAAGTGCTTCGTAGTGCATCAACAACTCTGCAGAGGGACAAGCTGTGAAAGCCTTGACTTCTCCACGAACAACCAATGCATGAGTGCAGTACTCGGGGCCGTCGATAAACTGTTGTAGGATCCAAGGACGACTCTCAGAGATCTGAAGGCGGGAAATGTGAGCCTTTGTTGCGGAAGCGGAGTCGAATGGCAACAAAGTCATATCGCCGCGGACAGAATCGTCTGTGCCAATGAACTTCATGATGAACTTCTTGCCTGAAGGTCGCACATCTTCGAGGACTCTCAGAGCAGCAGTTTTGGATGTAATCGTGTGGGTCTCGGGGACGGTGAGTCCGAGCGACTTGGTGTACTCAGTGAAGGAGTGTTTCTCGTGTAGCTTCTGTGTCGTGGCTACGTTGTACTGCACTGCCTTGCACTTTGTGAGCAGCTCGATCATCTCCTTGGCTTGACCATCTTCGACAGCGCTCGCTACACCAGAACAGCTGACCCACAAGTCGGCTTTTTCCTTTCGGACAATGTCCAGAATACTCTGACAGTATCTGGCCGAGCCTTCTCTGGTGCCGTCAGGTTTGGCAAGACGGTGGAAAGCCTTTATCGAACGAGACATGTGTCCGCAGGTGATTGGTAAGAACGGCGGCTCGAAATCAGCCCCAATAACATTATGGCCAGCGATAAAGAATAGGCGAGCCAGGACGAGGCCCTTGGTCATGCCTACGCCAGTCACCAAGACGGTGCGGGGCTCGAAGTAGCGCGTGTAGGTCGACCGCACTCTGGCGCGATGCGAAGTCGCTGGAAACGCGACGAGAATGCGGATCGCATAGCTGAAAAAGAGGATAAAGGTATCAAGTGGTAGGAAGAAGAAGCTCAATGCCAGCAGCTTGAGGTTCTGCAATGCATGCGCAAAGCGAGACGACTCAGCAGTAAGCATGGTGGCTGCACGAGAGTAAGAACGAGGGACACCTCGAGGAAGGAGCAGCTCCAGGTAGTGTGCAGCACTCGCAGGAGGTTAGCGAAAGGATTGCGAGCCTACGTGTCACTGTCACAACTAGATCATGGAATTTGAGGATCCATGTTTGTTGATCACGATAGCTCCGCGATAGCTCGGTGGATAGCTCCTCCCGTTTTCACATGCTTTCCGCTAGACAAACGTCATCGATCTGAGACCTCGGATTGCCTCGAGATGCGGCTAAACCCTAGAAGCGATATTGTACACGAAATCTTGGTTGGAAGTAGTTGAGTTCGATCGCGTCAGTGCTTCCTTCAGGAAGATGAATTGGACGGTCAACAGATCCGATCGTTGAGAGGAGTCGAAGGGAGAAGAAACGGCAGTGCAACAAAGCCCAGAGAAGTTTTCGAGGGGCAGAGGGGTAGAGCTCCAGCTTCTGTGCCCTGCATATTTTCACAATTCTGTGTTTACAGCTTGTGCAGATCTGCATGTGAAATTTGAAAATGAAGCAACTTTTTACTCGGGGTACATTTGGGTATCTCTTGTAGTCTGCTGAGCCAGTTCTGTGTGATCGATATTCTTCATATTCGTTTCCTCCCCCAGAATCGTGTACTAAGATGTATGGCGCATGTATACATTAAATCGTGGTCGCCCCCGGAGGCTCTGCTCCCGCGAGATCGGTTGCTCTGAAGCACGGGCTCTCTTTAAGAGGACTCTTCTCCAGTGCAGCGAGTAATTTCGACGCCGTCCTGTGAACACGTCAATGGCTGTTTGTCTGGACTCTGCAAATGACGTTCAACTTACTGGGACTCCCGAAGGCTCGTAGCTGTTGACCAGCTTGCTGTCGTAGACCAGGTTGGGGTTGCCCTTGGACTGCTGCAGCTTCTCCTCTGTTTGTCTGTTGGCGTACTGTTTGGCGGTTCTGTCGGCGAATCTGGCATCGGGGTTGCTCTCGTCCGAAGAAGCTTCCGCGGCCTTGCGCTTCTCGGCGACAGTGCTGCGGACATATTCAAGGTACGGTGGGTTTCCAGGTTTAATGACGTTGTCGGCCGCCAGCACTGATCCAGGAGTTACGAGCTTGAGCTCTTCGCAAAGCTTGAGGTCGGTCTTGTATGCGGGCTTGTAGTGGTCGAGGAACATCATGTCAATGTGCTTGAGAGTACCTTCGGTGTGCAGTCTCTTGATTGAGACAGCGCTGGAGCCAATGATGACCTTGACTAGATCTCCCAGACCAGCCAGGTCGACCAGGGAGGAAATAACGGCACCGAAGACAGGATCTCTTTCGAGACTGAAGTAACGCTTACCACCAGCCTTGCGCACAGCGTCTGCGTAGAGAATGCAAGAGTAACCGATGTAGCCTCCCAGCTCGACCTGCGTATTTTGTAAGCTTCCCATATCTTTCATAGTTGGTTCTCGAGGGATAGTACCATGGTCTCGGGCTTGACCTCTGAGATCAACTCGGTGACAATCTTGCCCTTGTCTTCTCCCACGTTCATGAGGTACTTCTTCGTCCGCGCAAACTCATCAATGGCAGCCAGGACCTTCTGAGGGTTACCACGAATCTCCTCAATCTCTGGCTTTCCGTAGATGTAGTGCAGGAGTTCGAGCTCGCGGCCATCATCAAAGAAGACTTCCTCCTGCTCGGCGTAGGCCTTGCTCTGGTCAAATTCTGCCATTGTAATGTTTCTTGTGTGGATTTTGAGGTTTGCGTGTTTCTAGTATCGAGTCGACGAGTTTCCAAAGCGATTGCACAAAACGATTGATTCCAGTTCACTCGGGTTCCAAGCGAAGCACTACGTGGCAGGAGCTCCAAGAGCTGAGCTATCGGGGTGACGCGACGAGCCCCACTATGTGTTGACGACCCAAAGAAGATCGCTCGCGAAGACGCGATCTTTGGAGCTAAGAGGAGGGGTAAACCTGCAAGAAGCTGCTAGACTCTCAAACGGGAGAGTCCAATCATCATGCAAGCGTCACTGAAAACGGAAGCACTGACGCAAAAGCCAGATCTGCCCCTCACCTGAGCCCCGCATCAACACTCGAGCATGATCGTTTTAATTTCAAAACAACTCGACTTTGCTGGCAAGATAGATTCGGTTTCGGCTGATCCACTCTAGCCCTGCATGCTCACGAGTTTCATCAATGTGTTATCATATGATTTCGAACCATTGATGAGCCTTACATGTGTTTCCAAGGATCAGTGCTTCTTGGAACCAAACGACGACATTCTTTGAGCCGCAGAGACGGGAACCCCAGAAAACGTCTCACGAAAAGCTCCGAGTCTAAAGAGCTGATGTCAGGAACTCATCAGATCTGTGTGGGTCACTAAACTGAACATGGTTTAGACGGATCTCTTACCCACGACATGAACCCCACGGCCAAGCCTAACAGGGAAGCTCAGCTGTTGGTCTCCGATCCTCATTGGACGTTTCCCATGGCCGCTGTGTTCCAAATCCATGGCAGCAGAAGCCTCATGGGCTTGCATCTTGCAGCGATTGACAGGTTTACGAACCAGGCCGGTGCAGGCGGTGCAAGTTCGTAGTGGCTAGTTTCTGTGCCGGCCAAACGGGGTTGGCCATGGACGCACGCCCATGACAGCAGGTGCATCGGAGCGATTCGCCTGGAGACTTCGTACCTGGATCAGAGTTAGCGTGAGTCTGTCGAGAAGCTGTTGACGTGATGCACTTGAGGCTCGAGTGCCGTGCTCCAAGATATCCGCCGATCTCGTGGCTGGCGAGAATATATGAAAACCCCTCTTCCTCCACCGTCAGCTCTTCCCATCCACCTTTCTTCTTTCAATCCCAACACCTCTCATCCTCTTTTCAACTTTTCCCTGCGTCTGTTCAACACGCATACAAACACCGCAATCATGTCTGATATGAACGCTACTGTCCAGGAGACCAAGGCTGGTTTCCATGTCTCTGGCTATGAGAAGATCGAGTACGACTTCGAGTTCATGGATGGTGTCTTCGACCCCAAGAACAGCCAGTTGGCCGACTGCTACCAGCGTTGGGGCAGAGCCCTGGCAGTCATGGATGCCAACATCTTTGATGTTTACGGAGACGAGATCCAGAAGTACTTCGACCACTACAAGCTCGAGCTTTCCATCCACAAGACCATGATCGGCGAGAAGGCCAAGTCTATTGACACCCTCTTGAGCATCGTTGACTCGATGAACAAGTTCGGTGTCTACCGCAAGGAGCCCGTTCTGGTCGTTGGTGGTGGATTGGTCACCGACGTTGCCGGGTAATACACACACAATGATCCACCGCCATAGATCTATAAGGCACTCTGGCCAATATCTCCTAAGCGGTCAATCCCTACTTTTGAGCACATTACTAACCGTTTACAGATTCGCTTGTGCGGCTTACCGCAGAAACACCAACTTCATCCGTGTGCCCACCACTGTCATTGGTCTGATTGATGCTTCCGTCTCCATCAAGGTTGGCGTCAACTACGACAACTACAAGAACCGTCTTGGTGCCTACCACGCTCCCATGAACACCTTCCTTGACTTTGCCTTCCTCCGCACTCTCCCCGATGCCCAGATCCGCAACGGTTTCGCAGAGTTGATCAAGATCTCCACCTGTGCCCACCTCGACACCTTCAACTTGCTGGACAAGTACGGTGAGCAGCTCATCTCCACTGGCTTCGGTCGTCGTGATGGTGCTCCCCAGGAGGTTCGCGATGCTGCCGACAAGATCAACCGCGCTGGTATCCACGAGATGTTGAAGCTTGAGACCCCCAACCTCCACGAAATTGGTCTTGACAGAGTCATTGCCTACGGCCACACGTAAGTTGACCTTCGTCTTGTACCAAACATACCTTTACTGACGGCACTCAGCTGGTCTCCTCTCCACGAGCTGATCCCTGACCCGCCTCTCCGTCACGGTCACGCCATCTCCATTGACATGGCTTACTCTGCCACTCTTGCCAACCTGAGAGGTATCCTCAGCGACGACGAGCACAAGAGACTTCTCAACCTCTTCTCGCGTGTTGGTCTTTCTATGGATGACGACCACTTCACCGAGGACATCCTCGACAAGGCCACCAAGGCTATCCTTAAGGTAAGATGATTTGATCCCTAGCTTTTTTTCCCACCCCATCTGACAACTCTTTTCCAGACCCGTGATGGCAAGCTCCGTGCTGCAGTTCCCAGCCCTCTCGGCTCTTGCGTCTTCCTCAACGATGTCGAGGCATCCGAGATGAACGCCGCTCTCAAGAAGCACAAGGAGATTATGAAGTCCTACCCTCGCGAGGGTAAGGGTCTGGAAGCCCATGTCGATTCTTCCGACACTGGTTACACCACCAACAACAAGGGTGTCGAGAACAAGGCTTCAAACTCTGCCAGCAAGTCTGTCATCAACGACGATGTCAAGGATGGTGTCAAGCCCGAGGGCAAGAAGACCGCCGAGAACATGGCCAGCGGCCCCGAGGGTGTCAACGGTGTCTCGAACCCCACCACCAACGGAGCCAACTCTCTCGGTCAGGGCGAGTGCTGCTAGATCCATCTCTTTCGTTGATTGATTTGGATTGTTCTTTGATGAAAAAAAGCCTTTTGATACCACCGGTCCTTGGATGTGCCGGAACAAAAAAACATCACCTTTAGGGGCGCAAAGCAGGCGCCTTTCATGTAATAATACTTGCATAGATGACACCTCCCTGCACAAGGGATGGTACAGCTAGAGATAGCTACGAATATTCAATTATTGATGATTTACCAATAGTCTTTTTTCTTCGTTGCCGATCCCGTCAAGTGAGATTTGAAAAGTTCCATGATGTGGAGTGCACGAGCTCCTTTGTTCCCATCACATGCCAATCATTTTTCCACTGTGCAATTATCTATGCAAATGTACGCAGTACATACTGAGCATACAAATGAAGCAGAGCAATGTTTTATGAATTTGTTCCCTGAACGTCGTTTCTCTAGTGGTCCATAAATGCGCATTGTGATGGCTGCAGTCTCATTGTATGCATCGAGGGCACGGCATGCTGGCGCTGGTGTACTCGAGTGAGTAGAGGAAGGAAACTACATGCACTCTATTCCTCCTTTCTATCGACGCTATGATCGATTGATTGCAACAACAAGCGATGTCCTACTTGCGATAAAGATTCGAGGAGTGATTGGTGTGACGAGATGGTCTGCAAATTGATGATCGACGTGCTCTGTTTACGAGGCTTGGAAATCAACACGTGCAACTCGACCAAGTTCATGGCTTCATTGTCCGGATGCGACAATGGTTTAGGGCTATGATTGACCGCCAGAGACCTTGAGCTGAACTTTGTTAGATGTATCGTCCTTGAATAGCATTGATCAGTCGCAGCGTCCAATCTGCATTCATATCAATCAGACGCTGGATCTTCTGCTGTGTTGCATCTCTGATCTGCCCCCCGCGACGACAGCTCACGGGCCATGAAGAGAAGCGTATATTGGCGGGTCAATATAGAGAGATGGGCAATCTGATCCCTTAGCCGCGTGTCGCATTGCGGCGCTGGTCGTAAGAGAATCTCGTAGAGTTTTGTTCGCTCAAAGACTGTGGTTTTCGCAGACGCAAGGACACTGTTAGGAAAGGAATGCTGCAGGCTGGCTCCACGCTCAACGAAAAGATCCGGCTTGGCAAAGATTTGAGAGCTGAGTTAAGAGCAGATTTGGAGTGTTACGAGAGTACCGAAGAATGACAGCTCCACGGATGACGAGGTTGCTGACAGGACGGCGACCAGTGCGGTCTACGCAAAAGAAGGTTGTCCTCCAGAACAGTTCAAGCGGCACGGCTACTGACGATGAACGCCCGATGAACGCCAACCGCGCGGTACTCGGGAACTTGGCTTTCTTACGGCAAGCGGGCGAGTGCGGATTACCGTTGCAAGTACTTTTATTGCCGTGGATGAAATGACTCGGTCGTCACACAGTCACGCAGGACGCAGAAGATGTGATGAGAGGGCCAATGGCATCTGTATACTGGGGTCCGGTCGGCGGAGCGGAGAAGTCGACTGCGGAGGGGTGATGGACAAGTTGGTAGAGATTCATATAAGTAGATTGAGCGTAAACAGAGACAAAGCTCGGAGTGACGAAGATCTTTGCCTGTTCCTGGGGGCAGCATGGCTCTTTATGGGTGGCGCATGGGTCGCGCGCTGCTCAAATTGCACATAAGGCTCGACCATGGCAAAGCCAGGGTGGTTTTAGCAAGGGCATTGGACCAAGTTGGCGACGGGAAGGAATGCTCGTGACGGAGGTGCTACTATTTGTTGATCCAAGGGAGAAGGGCGACTAAAATTTTGATAGATAGGCAATCGAGCCTCCATGTCTTCCATCTACGGAGGGACTGCCAAAAGAGAAAACCCTTGTGTACCTGCCATGTGCCGCGAGCGTTGTCGTTGTCGTTGTCGTTATTCGTGAGAGTCGAATTATCAACGGCGTGCAGATTGGCCTCAGGATATAGGAGCAGGGGGATTTGCGCAGCATGCCTGGAGGAGGGGTGCAATTGCTCCTGCAGCTCGAGCAGGAGAAGAAAGAGAAAGAACAACGGCACTCTCAGCATTACTTGTACCCGCGCCCTCAATCCTCTCAACCACAGTTACGACAGCCCCAGCATCATTATCAACACCAGCAGTATCTCAGCCCGCAGTCGCATCCGCCGCCGTCGATTCCGCTGCCGCCGTTGCCGGGCATGAGAAAGACACGCAGCGCCGCCCAGGCAGAGCGAGCCGACGCGGCTGAAGATGGCTCGGACAAGGAGCGGGACACTGCAGCTGCCTCTGCAGCAGCAACAACAATCGGAGTTTCAGGCGACCCACGGGCGCGTGCAGCTACGGGAATCCCTCGATCCGTCACCTCATCGCCATCGATTCCTACTCTGCGCACTCAAGCATCCTCACCGTCGCCGTCGCTGTCCCCGTCGCGAGTGCCGACCCCGAACTTGCGCAAGACGGTCAGCATCGAAGCCTTCCCACGACCCCCTGGCAGCGGCAGTGGAAGTCCCCTTGCGCAATTGGGCTCCCCAAGTCCTCGAAACACGCCGCAATCCTCGAGTCCTCTTGTCTCCAATTCCTATTCTTCCTCGAGTCCACGACCACCGCTGTCGCCATTACAACCTCCTACCGGACTGCGCCGACCCCAGTCCAAGCCATCCCTGCGCAACCTACGCTCCAAAACATCTACTGCCTCGCTCAGTACGACCGCAGTTAGCGCTGTCCGAACCTCAAAGAGCGAGAGCCTGCTCAGCATACCCTCTCCGCCTGGAAGTCGCTCGTCGTCCGCCCCCGTTTCTCCTGCCACGCCACTCACCCCCATTGCCGATGAGACCATGCTAGAAGTCATGGATTCTGACAAGGATAAAGAAGCAAAGGGAAACATCACTGTCAGTGTACGCGTGCGCCCTGATGCTGCTGCAGATACTCAGCCAGATGGAGAATGGTTGGTTGATGGAAGACGATCCCTGATAAGTTATGAAAGTGGAGAATATCGCTATGGTGTGTCAACCACGTGGTCCTTGTTCAATCAAGATGATGCTGACCCTGTCCTTCGCAGACAATGTATTCTCACCACACGACCAAAATGCCCGAGTATACGAATCAGCCGCCAAACGCCTTGTACGACGTGTCATGGAGGGTTACCATGGTACCGTATTTGCTTACGGTATGACGGGCACCGGCAAGACCTTTTCCATGCAAGGTACTGCCATGTCTCCCGGTGTCATCCCCCTCGCCATTACCGACATCTTCTCCTACATTCGCCAGAACCCAGCTCGTGAGTTTTTGCTGCGCGTCAGCTATCTCGAAATCTACAACGAAAAGATCTACGACCTGCTCAATCCGGATTCGAACGAAGAGATCAAGCTACGCGAAGATCCTCGCCGTGGAGTTTATGCTACGCCCCTGAAGGAGGAAATTGTGCAAAGTCCGAACCAGCTGCTGAGGGTTATTGCGCGCGGTGACCAGCAAAGGCGTGTGGCAGGCACACAATTTAATGCTCGCTCTTCACGCTCGCATGCTGTCGTGCAAATCGTTGTTGAGTCGCGTGAACGCTCTGCCGCCCCTGTCGACGACCACAGGCGCGACAAGTTATTACCCGGCAGTGTTCTTGTATCGACTCTTTCATTGATTGATCTTGCTGGATCCGAAAAGGCTGCCGAGAGCAAGGAGCGACGTACCGAGGGTGGCCATATCAACAAGTCCCTACTCACACTAGGCACTGTTATTGCTCGCCTGTCTGGCGACAAGGAGCTCTCTGAAAAGGACCAAAAACACCTTCCTTACCGCGACAGTAAACTCACTAGGCTCTTGCAACCTGCCCTTTCCGGAAACTCACTGGTCTCCATTCTCTGCACTGTTCAGCTGTCTTCGGCATCTACCAGTGCCGCTGCAACCTCCTCGCATACAAGCGAGACACTCAACACGCTCAAATTCGCAAGCAGGGCTAAGAACAACCTTGTCAGCCACGCGAAGCGAAACGAGTCAAACCCTGCCGATGGCGCCGACCCACGAAGCCGAGCTCTGCTTGACAGATACAAGCTGGAAATCATTGAACTGCGAACACAGCTGGAGGAGCAGAGCAAAATAAAAAACGAGGCGGAAAAAGCCGAAAAGGCAGAGGTCGAAGAGGAGCGATGGCGGGAAAGAGAGCGTGAGAGTGCCGAGCGCCATGAAGAGCAGATGCTGGAAATGCAGCTCGCCAGGACTGCCCTCAAAGAGCGTATCGCCCACTTGAACCGGCTGATATTGAGCTCGAAGTCACTAGGTGTGAATTCGGGGCGATTTTCCAACGCTAGCTCAAGCATGCCAGTCCTTCAAAGGACGAGCACACACAGCACTTTGGAACGGCCGAAGAGCCGGAGACCGGGCAGCAGTGGGAGTCAGACCACCTCGAGTCGCATTCAATCCGGTTCCACTGTAGCGGGCATGCTTCCAATAGCACGGACCTCCCAAATCGAATTGGCTTCCGGATCGGAAGATGAAAATGACGAAGAAGACATGGCAGCTGATGAGGACGCCTTAGAACCCGGGAGTGCCTCCTCGGCCCGTCGAATCAGTGCTTTACAGGCTGACCTCGCAGACAAGGACCGCTACATTTCTACTCTGGAGAAACGCTTGTTGCAGACTAGGAACAATTCTTATAGCAGGGCGAGCAGTGCAAAATCTCCTCTGCCCAGCAGTCCTGTACCATCCCGAGATGGACAAAACTCAGACACCGTCATCAAAGAGAAGGATCAAGAGATTGAGCGACTCCGGCAAAAGTTAGAAGATCAGACACGAATGGTGTCGGCCCTAAGGAACGCAGCCAGGAAGCGCGACATGCTCGACACTTCTGGGGCTCTATCTCAGCACCCAGCTTTCAGGCAGAGTCCAACCACCGCGTCGCCGGAGAAAAGGGAGCCACGCACACCTTATCGCAGCATGAGTCGCCCAGAGCTATTTCGAAGCGCCAGTGGGCCGATCGGTCCTGTCAGCCAGATGTCACCGCCTGGCTCACAACCTGGCTCGCCGCCTCCTGGGGTGCAGAATTTCTCTCGATTGTCAAAGCATCCCGCTACCTCTCTCTTCCCACCAGATATGGAGGGAGGTGAAGTCAGTGGAAACACCGGATCTCCCGTCGACCCGTCGAACCACGTGGGCAGAGTTCGGAGCGCTAACAATGTGCCCGGTACCCGCAAGACCGTGGACGAGATGACAAAGCTCTTGGATGAAATGATTCAAGACAAGGTCGACACTGGCCATGTGATCCGCGGTGACAGAGGCAGCTTGCGGGTAAAGCGCGACACGGTGATGAGTCGTGCGGGCAATGAAGACTCCTCTCGTGACGCTCAAGCAGGCGCAGCAGATCCGTACTACGAGAAGGCGCAGTTCATCTGAGTGTCAGTGGCTTGGTCAAGGTACCTTTCTCTTCTTGACTCCATTGGCTGAGCTGGGGGAAAGACGAGAGTCCGCGGAGGGAGCAGACTATCTTTATGTTTACGCGTCGACGGAGGAGATTAATGGCTCCAAGGGATATGTACTAATTGGAAAAGGAAGGATCATCTGGGTGCCAGGATAAAGGCCTGATGGTGGAGGGTCTGTGATATTTTAGCGATTCATGTTGCGGGTTTTCCTTCTTTTGATACCCAATTAACAGAGCATGCAAACTGGTCGAAAGCCTTTTTGCCTTTTCCTTTTTCATTCATGCATTTCAGGCTTCTGTTGGTGGTGGGTGGCCCTGAGCATCACCGCTGGGGAACAAAATCTCCGAGCAGTCATCTGGACGGAGGGCCTTGAAGGTAGTTTTGTACCTCTAGAACAACCAAGGCAGAATAGACACGGGGATAATCTCAGAAGGGGAAAGAGCACACCTACTACTAGAGTATTCATCCACTGACTCCTCCCCAAAACAAGAAGTTGTTTCCGAGCAATGTCGTCAAACCTTGACAAGAAGGAGATTATCACGATTCTTGGTTCACAGGCGGGAGCATCGTTGATCCTGAGAGGTCACGGTGCTCTTTGGGTTGGTAAGCCTGAAAACGAGGGCTGGGTCTACTCGGGTTGCGCTGTTGCCAGTGTAACATTGCAGGGCCGACCGTATGATGTTATGGCTGTGACGGTAGGCTTTCACGGCACGATGCTTTTCCTTCTAGAAGCTCCAGTGATCAGGCCTGCCAGCAAGAATGAAGACATCATTGCCTCCGCATTGATGTGCGGGTTGGGTAAATGTGAACGGTGTCTTGATCAGAGCGTTGTGCGGACATTGTGGTGTGCCTGATCGCGCAATGTGATCTTTCATCTTCATTTCGGATATAGTCTGGATCAATCACGAAGACGTCAGTTGGTATTGTATAGGATGTGCATCTATCTATCCTCAATTGAATTGAAGTTTGACCGGATTGCTGGAAATCTTCAGGGAGTGAGACATTGCTGCAAACCTCCCGTGTCTGTGTTGATGCGGGTTGTCGTTTTGGATTGCAAGAGAGATCGCTTAGCGCGCTTCGACTTTGCCGAGGCCAGTGAGCATTTTTGTTTGGAAGTGCTGGCTTGCTGTCATGTTTGGGAAAGTCGACTGGCTTTTGCCGGCGGCAGTCTTGCTCTTGCCGCAAAAGTTCCCCCTTCTAGAAGCCTTGTGGAACGTCGATGCCCCTCCTTGTCAATTTCGCGAACAGACCCACGCCGCACGCGGCTACAAGAGCAAAGGGCTGCTCGACAGCAGGGGCCTCTCTACCTCGTGGCTTCTTGCCCTGGATGCTTGTGGCATCACGGCAACATTGCACAATGGTGTAAGCAGTGTGCGGATGCTGCCCAATGGGTTCCTCTCTATCGGTGAAGCAGGACAAGGTAGAAAGGTAAGTTAGAGTGGAAATAATGTCGGCCGGCTGGTTTGACCGTTTCGTGGTTTGGGAATGCTCAGCGACCAAAAGAGGGGTCCAGTTTTTCCACAGTTTCGCTCTTGCTGCCCAATCACGCTTGAACGATACCCAGCAACAGATCTTCCTTTCAAGATGACTTGGAGATCGTGGAGCGCCAACAACCTTGATAGATTAGCAACGGGGACACGAGGACATGTTCAATCACCGATCTACACGCGTTCAACTCGAAACCAGACTGCCCGTTGCTAACTCGACACACTTGGAAGCTATCATTATGGTAGAAAAGAGCTTCGGTCAGCATGGTCAGGAACATGAGTTCTAACAGTGTCCGGGCGCCGTTTACTGTCTTCACGACTCTTCTCTGCCACCTCGTCAAGCCTCCCGGCGCCGCCGTCAGCCTTGCCCGCACCATCCGTTACGCATGGGAAACTCGACCCTCGAGTCATGATGAAACAACCTTGTCCACCGAGGCTTCTCCCCCTTCCTTTTACCATACAGCGGCGCCGTGTCAGCGCCACGGTGCGGTCTCGTCTGCCCGAGATTGCCGAGTTTCGACTTGAACAAGAGACCCGAAGGCGTGGTGATTGGAAGAAAAGTAAAGGCCGGATACAGCGCGTGGATGTACGTGTTCAGGGATCGACGTTGGACGTTGCGAAAAGAAAATCAACGCTCGGTCCGCTACCTGCCACATTTTGGCTTTTGCTCCAGCAGAACTGGTTGTTGCCAAAATCACACACAGCATTGCGCAGTGACCGGCAGCGGGGCTGTCGTATTTGGACTGGCGGTGGACATGAGTTTCGACGAGTTGACTGGGTGCTACTGGGCATCTCTCGGCCTGGTCCGCGACCCGGTGTAGCCCATGTGTTCGTCGGGCATCACCAAGCATCCAAAACATGGAACCTGCGTTTTTGATCCTAGACCGTCTTGTGCGAAGCTTTTCGGCTTTGCCCTCTCTGGCAGATGTGTGGTGCCTGCTCGCGCTTTTGGTGCACTGCGACGCTGACGCCCATCTCTGAGGCGTGCCTGGAGTTGTGCACACACCACTCCCGTCCCCTGCTCATTTCAGTGCGTAGTGAACCGTAACAAGACAGATCCCTCTGCTTTCCTTCGCATGTTGTGATGACGAAGGTGTCCGCAATTGCTGCGATTGGCACTTTTGGGAGGGGCTGCTGTTCTGTTTATATCAGCTAAGCACTTTCCTCCACTGCCGCAAAAACACTTTTTTCTTCCAACAAGCGATTGATCCACAATCTGACTCCCCACTGCCTCGACCCCCCCTTTGCAACACAAAAAGTGGCGGTATGTCATCGGTTATGATTGCTCGGCTTTGTTCAGAACCCTCTCTCAATCCTGCATTCCGACTGCCCGACTCTTCTTCCTCTCAACCCGGTGCTTCGGTTACTACAACCAAAAAGTACTCCCCTACATCGACTCCCATCATGTACTCTGCTCGCAGTCCGCTGGAGGACTCTTTCAATATCCAGCAGCATTCACAGCCCACTTCTCGGCCGGCTCTAAGCAGACGCCCTACTCTGCTTCAACAATCTGGCTTGTACGTGTCCAGTGACAATCGTCTCCACTCACCGCCCCAAGCAAAAAGCTAATCTTATCATATCAGGTATACGCCTGCATCACCAGAAGCCAATCGCTCTTCTAGGTCATACTTCTCCTCTGGTTTGCAAAATGACCGCTCATGGCCGTCATCACCATGGCCCACGACCAACCCCAGAGATTCGGGCTCTTCAGTCGGCTCGACCAGATTGTCTTCAGCTGGAGGTCTGGCAGTCGGCTCTCAGAGATCGCCTAACTTGCCTGTGTTTCCTCCATCACCAGACTACTACAGCTCATCCATCTCATCAAACCCTTACACGACAGCACCACCCCCAGGATTTAACACAGTAGACATGAATATTCCCAATAACGCTCAACAGCTGCAGCAACTTCAGCAGTTGCAGCAACAGCAAATCCAGCAGCAACTCCAACAGCAACAACAGCAGCAGCAGCAGTCGGGTATGCTTCATCCCAACTACAACTCCGCCGCCATGGGCAACGACGGGGGTGCAATGCTGCCTGGCAGCTCTCACCGCCGCTCTTCAGGTCGTGACGAGTTCGACGGGCCTCACCAACTACTAGCCAAGCCTACCAACTCGCACCTCGAGACTGCCGAGGCCGAGTTGATCCAGCTTCCCGTATCTCTGTACGCCGAGGAGCAAGATTCGATACTGACACGCGTCAACGACCGTCTCTCCCAATGCGCATACGACTTTGTTGCGAAATACCAATTCCCCATTCCTCTGGAGCCTGACAAGAGACCCGTTCGCGTTCCCGCCGACCGTGAGTGGACAGAATGGTGCTACCTGCTCAAGCGCCTCGCAACCAAACGCCGCATCCCAGCCCGCGTTCTCTACAACGGACAGATCAAGCAGCTTGTAACCGTACTGGAAAACTCACTCGAGATGAGACACGCAGCCAAGCACCAAAGCAGACCTCTCAAGGATGACCGCAACGTACTGCAGCTTATTTCCGCCGGCTTGCAGGTTTCGAAGATGCTCAAGGATCCCGACGCCATGAGGTACCTGGACGAGCTGTACGTTGCTGCCGAACGCTTGATCGAGAGCAGACGTGGTACCCCGTCATCGACCTAACGTGGCCAACATTTGTTCTCTCCGGATGCGCCAGGCCGCAAGCCTTCTTCAGGGATCTTTTGGCTGTTGTAATGTATAACATATCGCAAAAGGCTTGAACGGCGAGCAGGACTACAATGGTCGAGTGCAGGATGCATGTCTTTGTTCTGCCTTCGGATGCATTGGAGACGTCTCCGTCACACAACGGCCGGACGTTGGCCCTACGTTTCAGCCATGGAAGCCACCAACATGCCGGCATTGGACCGGCAGTTTCTTTATGATCGACCTTTCTCCTCTCTCAGCAGGGCTGATCATCTTGTTTCACTTCTGTACCAACCCTTTTCTGACGACAAAAGAATGATGGGTCATTTCTTCACTTCTCCTCTCTTGTGCTTTTCTTGACGATGGCTTGATTCGTTTGACAGGGAATAGAGCGGTACACATGACATGGTGGCGATGTCTATTATCTTGTTTTGCATTTACCGGTAGTTGGTTCTCGTTTTGGTCTGTACTTTTTATTTGGTGTTTTGGGCTAGGTGCATGCATTGCAAAAGGGGACGATCTTTGAACGAAAAGAGAAAAAGAAGGACATTGGAACCTTTGTGTGTTCGGTATACCCTAGTATTGCGACAGTGGAGAGTCAGATAGTTCACATGTAGATCAATACAGAGGTGCATCTTCTTTTCTCTCGCCGATTGGGTTACGGTACTGCTGGATATTTGTAACCTTTTTCCACCATGCTCGATCTCACCTAGCCCTGTTCTGACGATCCTTGTGTCTCCACGGAGTCAATTGTGCCTTCTGCTTCAGCTCAGTTGCGTCTAGATATGTGTCAACCAATCACTCCTTGACAAGGTCGATCCATCGTCGTTCTTTTCTTGACTAGTCATGTCTATCATTCCTTCTCGACATGCAAAGTCGATCGTGTTTTCCTTGTTCAGAAAAGTCAGTCGTTTCTTGTTCGTTTGTCGAGTCAGTCGAGCCTTCCAACTTCGTAGAGAGTCTATCGCTCCTTCCTCTTTGTCGGCTCACTCACAATCTTTCCTCCGTCCAATCAAGCCGATTGTTCATTCTTCATCTGACAACTTAATCTCACTTCCATCTTTGGTCATGTCTTTTGTGTTTTGATCTTCGATCATGCTTTCCTATCTTACCACTTTCGATCGTTCCTTCCTCTATCTTTCAATTCGATTTGCTTTTCTTCTTCGTCGGTTCCGCCCTTTCCTTTTTTTGCCATGTCCATAATTTTCTCCCTTGATCGTGCGAGCAAATCATCCGCTCTGGTCAACGAATTGTCGCTTTCCTTGCCTTCAGATTGATCATTGTTTTTCTATCTGTCAATGCAGTGATTGTTTATTGTTTTTGATAGTGGGTGTTTACAGCACCAGATAGATATGCCTTGTCATCAATCGGTACACTGTCTCTAATCGCTGTCACTTGTCTTGCTGATGGAAAGCGAGCTTATCATTCTTCACCATCGCATGTTATGGATATGGCTTCTTGAATATCCGTGGAAGGTTGCATTTCAGAAGTATCTAACTAGAACACAGTCCAACAGAATCTAGTAGAAGTTAAGCACAGCTTACATGGAAGCGAAAACCAATGGTATAGACAGAAGCCCAGAAGCCAAAGGAAATGACTTGTAGAGTAGAAGGAGGGAGGAGCGTTCGAATCTCAAAGGAAGGAGCACACGGTGTTTAAAGGATGTTACTTCCATCTTTGATAAAAGTCATATGAACATAGTATGAGTGAGAAGGAACGAACGAATCAGTAGGAACTCAAGCAGAAATTCAAGTCAAATAACCGAAAGAAGGTCACTGTACGACATGAGCGAAGGAACACCAACAAGACGGCCAATACACTGCAAGAACAAAATTACATTTACCACTAGAATAGTCACAGAGTGAAGGCAATTGCCACGGTGGATACCAAAGCTATAGCTTATAGACTATATATGAGAAAGAAGCTCAATCTTCATCCATGTCTTCATCCATGTCTTCATCCACTGGCGGCGATGCTTTCTGTGGTAATGCTGTCGCCTTCTTTGGGAGATGTTTCCCCGCTACTTTGCCCGCCTCTGAGGGCGTCATGGGCTTTTTCACTGTGCCTTCATCTCCATCATCTCCATCATCTCCATCATCTCCACTGCCCTTCTTGTCCTCCTCCTCCTCCTCCTCCTCCTCCTTCTTCTTCTTATCCTCTGCCCTCTTTCTTACATCGTCCGCAATCCTCTTGAGTCTCTTAGCCTCTCTTGCCCGGAAATCCTCAGAACGCTCAGGATTTTCAAATACTGTTCCAATTCCCCATTTCCCATCCCCCTCCCTCCAATGCAACCACAGGTTGGACGTTTCGAAATTACGCGCTACGTTCGGATCGGCCATTTCTAGCCATACTTCTCTGTTCTCGACGTAAGCGTTCATGATATCCTGACAGTTTGCGCGGGAATCTGGGTCCGGGTGTAACATTTCGGCCAAAAGGTTGACGAGTTCATTGGAGTACTCGTTGCCGCTTCTGAGGTCGCCGAGGGTTGGGTGTGCCGGCTCCCTCTTTTGGTTGTATTCTATCACATCCGGTAAATTACCCCTCATCATTTGCACTGCTGTCGTTGCAATCTGCCAGACCTTTTCAAGGGTACACGTTAGCTTTCTAGATTCTGTCTTCCATGCTTTCTTCCACTGATTGGTCACTGAGAACGTACGTTTGTTGCAGAGCCGAGTCTTGTCCACGTATTCCTTCTTTGCATCGCGCTGGACATCTCCGGAGCTATATAGCCTAGAGTTCTGGCGTCACCCCGATAACCTCTCGGATTCCTGTTATCGAGTTCCGATGTGAGGCGTGCGGAGCCGAAATCGGCCAACTTTCGAACACAGTCAGAATGCTTTCGTTACACGTAGACACAGCTTCTACTTGCCTTCATGATGGGGTAAAGTGGGAATTCGTTGGGGTCACAGCGACCTAGGAAGACTGAGACTGTATTAGATGGTAAGGATAAAAGACAACGACGTCCTTGACTTACTGTTCGCCGGCTTGATATCTCTGGAGTACACGTTAGCTACACCCTCCAAATCCTAGTCTGGGAAACTTACTGATGAACCACGTGATACTCTCTGTATGCTCGTAGAGGAATATTGTTCATTCGATGCATTGCGGTAGCCATCTGTCTCAAAAAGTACCAGACAAATGCTTCGGGGACACCTTCAGCCCCATCCGTATCCCTCCTGGGAGTCCCATCTCCGTCATGCTTGTTGATGTGAGTGCTGTTTTCTATGTCAGCTCTGCATATTTGAGGTTGATACACCGCGATGGAACTTACTACTTTTTGTTCTGTGCTCTGAACAATTTATGGAGGTCGCCTCCATCAACGTATTCCATGTAAGTTCTGTGACTCTTGTTCTTATGATTTATGGAGTGACCTCTGTAGTCGATGATATGGCGCTCCCACTTCTGTTCGGTCTCTAGACTCAACAAGCGATGGATCATCGCCTCTCGAGGATCTTTCCCCTCTCTGTATTCATGCCAGAAACCAGTGCTGAGCCACGTTGCGGCACTTTCGTATGTCTCTTTGACTGCAATTCGGTCGACGATTTTGCCTTCTTTGTCGAGTTTGACGAAGAGACGAGCACACCCTTGGCCACCTTCTCCAAGAGCTTCGTTGACGCCTATCCATCCTTGCTCAGCGTTCCCGTGTGTCTCTTTGTCCAGGTTGTCCACGCGTTTGAATTTCTTCAAGAGCATGTCTTTATCTGGTTCGCTCTCTTTGTAAAAAGGTATATATATTTTGAGGTCGAAGGGATTTATTTGACCACTCTTTGACATCCATGAGACTGATCTTTTGATTTTGCTGATGACCTCTGCTGCCCCTGATACAGTGGGCGGTGAGCTGCCAGGGATTGGACTGTTCTGATCGGCACTCTCGTCTTTAGAGTGTTCAACAAATGGAATATCGAATGGAAGATTAGGATCTGTGTAGTCGATGTCCTCGAGAGTCATCGCTGGATCGGGCTCATCTGGCACGTCAGCATAGTCTGTTGGGAATGGAGGGTCCGTTGAGGTCGTTGGGTCTGTGGAGAATTCCTCATATTCATCGAGCCATGGGATTGGGTCAAGAGCCTCGGGGTCTACGGAAGGGTCGAAGAGCCCGGCGCCTGGTGTCCGGAGCACTTCATCTTCGGCGTCAGGCATTTCCACATCTTCGTCGTTGCCTAGTTTGGCCTTCTTCGCGGGACCTCCCGTCGGCAGTCCACCCTGCTCAAGGGGGTGTTTCGGTGCCATTCTTGCTTTTAGATGGCAATAGTGCTAATGGTCAAATAAACGAGAAACAATGAAGGCATCAGATACTATGATGAGGGATTCAACACCCCCTTCCTACCCGTAAACTGTATGTCGTGAATGCACCTCGGAGAGCCGGAACCGGCTGGCTTTGTTGTTTCTCGACATGATGTTTTCTTTGATCGCTCGAGTCGTAGAACTGAGCTGCTTTCGGCGACAACGATGTGATGGCGGCAAACAAAGGAAGTGCATCCGTAATCTGTACTTTTTGAAGGACGTCCATTGTTGTTGAAAACATGGTATCTACATAGAGGAAGATTTTGGAATAGTAACAGAGCGGTTATGTTATTCCGGAAGAGGGAGTCAAGTCGAAGGAAAGAGCGATTGTCGGCGGACTTTGAACAAAGATCCGATGGTCAACAACATTCCTCGGCACATTCGCCGATACTCGTGATCTCTGTATACAGATTAGATCATAAACTGTACAGTATTTGTTTTTAACGTGTTCTAGATCATGGTCAGAATCATCGTCTCATAGTATACAAATGCCAAAGGTGTATACATGACAACCAACTACAGCTTGGCTTTCTGTCCCTTCTCGGCCTCTTCTTCAGCTTGCACCTTCAACACTCGTCGCAAGATCTTTCCACTGATACTCTTCGGGATTTGATCTACAAATCTGACACCACCTCTCAATTTCTTGTGATTTGCGACCTTTGCGCCGATCCAGCTGACAATGTCGTCCTCGAGAGCCTTGCCGGCTTCCACGCCCTTGCGTGGTACGACATATGCCCGAGGGACTTCAGTCGCAAGATCCTCTCTGTAGATGCCAATGACGGCAACATCATCGATCTTTTCGTGTGCGACGAGGTATCCTTCCAATTCTGCTGGCGGTACTTGAAAGCCCTGTGGAAGTTTACGTTAGTTTGAGTCTTTTCATAGATTGTGTGGTGAGGCTTACCTTGTACTTGATCAACTCCTTGACTCTATCGGTGATGAAGAAGTTGTTATCCTTGTCTTGATAGCCGACATCACCAGTTTTGAAGTAGCCGTCTGAGGTCAATGCATTCGCTGTACCCTCAGCGTTATTCAGATAGCCCTTGAAAATGTTAGGTCCTTTCAGCCACAGCTCGCCAACCTCTCCGACCGGTACTTCGGTCTCTTCTGGCGACATGTATTTGGCAGTCATATTAGGCAGTAAGATACCGACACTGCCAACAGTACTGTGCCAGACATCCCATTGCTGAGTGTGTGTAGTGGGAGAAGTTTCACTTAAACCATAACCCTGCTTGACCTTCAGTTTGGTGCGTTCGTAAACTGCATTCACAAGCTCTTTGGTCAAAGGTGCAGCACCCGAGTTCATCATGCGTATTGTGCTCAAATCATACTTTTCAACAACAGGGTGCTTGCTCAAAAGCAGGACTACTGGTGGAGCAACGTAACTGAATGTGATCTTCTCCTCCTGGGTAATGCGACAGAAGTCCTCAATGTCGAACTTTGGCATAACGACTGTCCTGCAGCCCTTGTGAAAGCTCATGTGCAAGATGACAGTCAAACCATAGATGTGGAAGAATGGAAGGAAGGCGAGAATTCTGTCTTTCGGAGACAAGGGACCTTCGGCTGTGCCAACTTGAAGCGTGTTGGCAACAATGTTACGATGGCACAACATGACACCCTTGGGCAGGCCAGTAGTGCCGCTGGAGTATACCAAGAAAGCCAGGTCTTTCTCAGGGTCGACCTTTGTGCGGCGGAAGCGATTGGTACCCGAGGTATTACGGATGCTGGTGAAGTGTTTGACCTTCATTTCGGGATCTCTTTGGTCGCCGATCAGAATGATTCGATCTTCCGGTAGACCGACCTTCTTTGCGGCTGCCCGTGCGGTTGCGATAACGGGCCACTGTGTGACAAGAGCCTTTGCGCCCGAATCTTTCAATTGGAAGGCCAGCTCGTCGACACTGTATCCAGGATTGGCTGGAGAAACAGTTGCTCCTGCCCAATGGGCACCCCACATGACAATTGGGGTGTCAATCGAATTGGGTGTGAACATGGCAATGACATCGCCCTTCTGCCAATCCCATGCACCCTTGAGGCCTTTGCCGAAGTCAATGGCGGTACTGCGTGTCTGGGCGTAGGTGTAGGAGCGTTTGGAGTATGCATCTTGGAATACGACTGCATGTGTGTTAGTCAATGGCGACGATTGATGTGGTATATAGCATACCATGGTCATCTGGGTAGGGCTTGTCTTTTCGCTCAAACAAAAAGTCCCACAGGCCGACCTCTGGGACCTGAATGCGCGGGTATGGAGATTCGGTAGGCATGTTGATGGCGAGCAACAGTAAAGAGAGGTTGACGGAGGAATATGAGGACAAGGAGGTTGGGAGAGAAGACGGTAAAGGAGAAAAGTATTAGAGATGCTTACCAAGTCAGCGAATGTATCGTGTGCCGATATCCAGCACGATCCACACGGTCTGGTGGCTTGATGAAAAGCATCGTCACCGTCACGGACAGAATGATCAGCCCCGCAAATAACAACCGGGGTTCATGGTTTTGCGGAGGACATTGGTGGAGAGTTTGACACTTTGCCGCGGTATACTGCTTTTGCAAGCCTGATTCGGGCCGAGGAAGCCGATGGCCCAAAGGGGCAAGTCGCCAAGTATAGCATCTTTATGCTTTGGAGGAGGGTGTTTCCAAGAAATACTTGAGAAAAGGAATATTCAGACTCAAACATGGCATCATTAGTATCACCGACTCGACACATCGCCAGGGCTTTTGCGCCCACAACTCGCCTCACGCAGCGACGATGGGCGCAGGTGCACGACATCCGCTTTTTGGCCACCCACCAGAAGCCCGACCAGAGAGTCTTTGACAAGTACAAGGCCAAGCTGGAACAAAAGGCAAAGCAGTAAGAGACATTTGCTTAGTATGAAGTTCTCGGGACAGACTCTGACTTCCTTTCTAGGGAAGGACATGGCGACGTTGACAAGCTCAAGTCGGCCTACAAGGAGAAGATTGTAGAGCTGCGCCAGCAGGCAATCGTCCCCGGCGCAAACGCTCCTCTGGACGCTGTCGCAAATACTCCCAAGACGCCCAACGCCCCTTTCCAACCACCTCCGCCGCCTCAGCCGCAGTCGCAACAATCACAGGCGAAGAAGCCTTCGCCCTCGGCCGAGGAGAAGGCGGGAATCAAGACGCTATCATCTTTCATCGACGTCGCAAAGACAAAAGAGCTGCCTCAGAAAGAGATTGAATACATCTGGAGACTGCGCCACGCCAGCTCCCCCAGCTCCTTGTGCGCCGTCGTCCCGACTCCTACCTACCAGCAGATTGTTGAGACTGCCCGCAAGCACCCGCAATTCGTCCTTCCTCTACCCAAGGAGGGTCAGGGTGCCGAGATTCACTTCTTGCAATGGACCTTCCCTTCGCCCACCACATGTACTGTGCTTTTCACCGCCCTGGCTGAGTTCAAGCTGAAGGGCGAGTTCGCCCAGCCCCACACAACCATCACCCACCATCTGGATCTGGCCCATGACAAGGGCCTCGTTCTTCTCGAGGGTACCGTTATCGAGGACAAGCAGGTCACTGTCGAAGAGGGCAAGTGGTTGTTGATGTGCCTGCAAAAGTTCTACGGCAAGGCTGCCGAACAGAGCCCTAGAAGAAAGCTCATGGAGCAATTCAGTCAAGGAGACAGCAGCTTCAAGATTGATGAGCTCTTGGAGGAGGCTGAGAAGTTCTAGATTGCTGCTTTGAGCACTAGCCCTACACTGGCCACGCTGCCCTCCCTACTGCATCGACACAACATAAACAATGTCGACAGAGCGTAGAATGTATAGTATCAATGTAACAACATCAACATGACTTTTATCAAATTGTATACAGGCCCGAATTCACGAATCGATCGTATGAAGCACGCCATCATGGAGCTGTCATTCTGAAGCGGGGTACCGGAGTACAAGACATGAACTCGTCCTTTCACCTTCCCAACATTTCGATTCAAGCTATCCTGCATTCGTTTCAAAGCATTCCAATATGAGACCGGCACTGATAGCTGCTGCATGCGCCGCGATCGGTAGCGTCACAGGCCAGCAACAATTACTCGGTCAAGAATCACAAACGACTAAACCGCCGAATATAGTCTTCATCTTGACCGACGATCAAGATGTTCACCTCCAATCGCTTGATTATATGCCCTTGGTGCGAAAAAACCTGCTGGAAAAAGGAACTTACTATGATAAACACTATTGCACGACTGCAGTGTGCTGTCCAGCCAGAGTTACTCTTTTTACTGGTAAAGCTGCACACAACACCAACATCACTGATGTCAATCCACCATATGGCGGCTATCCCAAATTCGTCAAGCAAGGTTTCAATTCGAAATATCTGCCTGTCTGGTTGCAGGAAGCCGGGTACAATGTTTACTATACTGGCAAGCTTTTCAATGCTCATAATGTGGACAACTACGATTCACCTTATCCTGCTGGATTCACAAGTTCAGTAAGAGCATCGATCACGAACTTAGGGAAGGAGCTAATGTCTGCAGGACTTCCTTCTCGATCCGTTTACATACAACTATCTCAACAGCTCTTTCCAACGCAACCAAGAACCACCCGTAAGCCACGAGGGCGAATACGTCACTGATGTGATGGCTCAAAAAGCTTATGGCCTTCTCGATGAAGCTGTAGAAGCAAAGAAGCCTTTTTTCCTTATGGTTGCGCCAAGTTCACCTCATGCCGATATCCAGAACAACAGCGGTTCACTTACCTTTGATGCCCCAGTATCAGCTCCTCGCCACCGGGATCTATTCAAACACGTCAAAGTACCAAGAACAGTAAACTTCAATCCAAACGTACCTTCGGGTGCCAATTGGATACGAGCACTCGATCAACAAAATACCACAAATGTAGACTGGAACGATCACTTCTACCGCCAGCGACTTCGCTCCCTCCAAGCCGTCGACGAGATGGTAGATGGACTTTTCGAGCGGCTAAAATCACACGACTTACTCGACAACACATACATCTTCTACAGCAGTGACAACGGCTTCCATATAGGCCAACACCGAATGCAACCAGGAAAATCCACCGGCTGCGAAGAAGACATCAACATCCCCCTCATCGTCCGTGGCCCGAACGTCCCGATCAACGAGACCACTCAATTAGTCTCCAGCCACACAGACATTGCAGCGACCATCTTCTCCATCGCCAACATTCCCCTCCGTGACGATTTTGACGGCTTGCCAATCCCTCTCACTGCACCTGCCATCGAATCAGCAATTTCCAAACGTCGCGAACACGTTCAGGTCGAATACTGGGGATTCGCTGGTGGTGAAGGGATTTACGACCGCCGTTTACACATCAACAATACATTCAAAGGTATCAGAATCGTTGGGGAAGGGTATAACCTGTACTATCAGATTTGGTGTACAAACGAGCATGAGCTTTACGACATGTCCAAAGATCCAGGACAGATGAAGAATTTGCTGTTAGATGATAGTAGGGTAGATGTTGTGGCAGGTCATCCGATTGAGAGAGTGGTGGAGAGATTGGACGCATTGCTCATGGTGCAGAAATCTTGCACGGGCGAAGTCTGCAGAGAACCGTGGAGATCTCTGCATCCCGATGGAAAAGTGATGACTTTAGAGGATGCGATGGCTAGTAGATACGACAAGTTCTACGAAAAGCAAGTCAAGGTAGAGTGGGATTTCTGTCACAATGGCTATGTGCCCGAGGCCGAAGGACCAATGTTTGAGGATCGAGGTGTAGAGTTTAGAGACGATGGATTCATGTGGCCGGATTGGGTTTGAGATGGATGTCGCGGCATATCATTGTGTTACTGCAGTCAGCCGAAATCCGGAGGAGGTGTGAGGCATGCTGACTGGCTGATCATCATGAAGGATTCGTGGTTCATGTAAGCTGCATAACTAGCGAATGCACGTGCGATGCTTGACCGTAAATAAGATTGGATATTCATGCATGCGAGAGAACCGAAGATACGTCTTATGGTTTGATCCGGATAATGGTGACACAAATTACTAGGCCCTTGCCAATATCAAGGTTAAAGGAAGGTCTGGACAAAGTTTGCGATAGTGAGATGTTAGACTGTTATGCTACCCCTCATCAGCCACCCTCACCGGTGACACGAAGATCTTCGTCGCGACTTGATTCAGATGCTTGTCGAACTATTCCACAGCATGTCATCACATCAGCAATTACCATCAGAGTCTAGGCCGACAAGACATATATAAACAGTCGAGACATGTCTCACAAACCCACCTCAAACATCCAACTGCTGACTTGCACATCATCATGAACGGCAACATGAATCTTTATGCCAAATTGGACGGTGGAGATGCAATCCCCATTAAGAAATCTATCTGGACGACGTTCACAACCGTAGCAAAGGAGAAACCGGACCACGTCGCCGTTGTGTCGCGCAGCCAGCCATCTGATCTTCTTGCCTCTGTAGTTGGCAAGACTTCCAACAACCCCAAGGTCGGCCTGGAGTGGACGTACGCGCAGCTTGCCCAGGGCGCCCTCAACATTGCCTCTGTGATGAAGAGCTATGGTGTCAGGCAGAACTCGGTACTCCTCGCATTCCTTCCTCCAGTATGTGCGGAATGGTCACTGCTCTGGTGGATGGCGAACTGCCTCGGGGTCACTCTTGTGACTATCGACAAGCGAGCTCTGGAGCCAGCAAGAGTAGACGAATTGACCTTCTATATTCGTTCGCTCCAGCCGGAGTCTGTGGTTGTTTATGAGAGCCAAGATGCTGCGGCGGTGGATGATATTTGTGCTGAGCTGCAGCATTCAATCAAGAGCAAGGTGACTCTCGATGCCGGTGATGGTACTGCAGGTTGGACTGGACTCGCAACCTTCGACTCATCAGTCAACAGTAATGACCACGCTGTCGATACCAACGACACGGACTACGATCGCACAGCCGTCATCCTTTACACTTCTGGCACATCAACGGGACAGCCCAAAGGCTGTCCCTTGACAGAGAAGAATCTCGTCTTCGGTTGGTTGATTAGCAAACCTTTTTCCTCCAAGGTAACAGGTGTCGCCACAAGGATCATCATGATGTTCGCCAACTCGAGAGCCATCAACTTGCAGATGTGTAGTAAGTGCTGGCTTATCGGTGGCACAGTCGTATATCTCTCCACGGGCTTCACACCAGAAGGCGTGCTGTCGACCACCAAGCAAGAAGCAATCACTGATTCCATAATAATCCCCCCGATGTTGGGAGCGATTGTCAGCCATCCCACATTCTCTAAAGAAAGTGTGAAGAGTGTTGACAGGGTGTTCGTGGGAGGTGATATGGCAATGGCAGAGCTTCAGGACGTGGTTACGGAGAATTTTGTCAACGCACAGATTGTCTCTGTATACGGCATGACCGAAGGCCTCGGGGTAGTCGGATGGCCTGACACCCGGGTCCCAACACGCATCCCTGTATCAATGGGTCTGCTCGCACAAGGCTCCATTCTTCCCGGTAGTGTTCTCAAGATTGTCGACGACGATGGTGCTGTCACCAAAAGGGAAGAGACTGGAGATATACACATCATGAGTCCTGTGATGATCGAATCATACCGCGACAACATGGCTGCGGACACCTTTTACGAGGATGAAGAGGGTCGATGGTTCAAGACTGGCGATGTCGGCTTCATCGACAAGAAAGACCATTTCTACGTCTTGGGAAGAAAGAAGGACATCATCAAAAGACTCGGTGTGCCTGTTCCTCCAATCTTGCTAGAAAACGTCCTTGCCAGCTTCGGAGGTGTACAAGTAAGTCTGAATGAGCGTGCCACTCAGGAGCTTCGCTAACGTATGGTAAAGGCATCGGTCATTGGTCTGCCAAACCAAAGACTAGGAACGGAGATAGTGGCTGTGGTATCGAACGTACCCAAAGCAACTCCTCAGGAGTTGAAGAATCTGGTAGTGGAGCATCTGGGTCCAGATTATGCACTTAGCAAAGTGTTCGCGCTGCAAGAGCTCGGGATGCAAGAATTTCCGGTGAATGTTACTGGCAAGGTGATGAAAATTGAATTGCGCAAGGCTGTTGAGGGTGTTCTGTCAAGAGAGTCGTGACGATGTAGCTAAGTGGTCAGGGTCGAGGTCAGATAGAGCTGTTACCCAAGATTGATATTATTCCTCTACGTCAATTGAACATCAATAGGTTCTCGATTGATGTCCCATTGCGATGAATAAGGTAGGCTGGATAGTGGAAGTTTCCAGACAAAATTTTGTATCGGGCGGGAAATCCAGTGGTGGTCGAAAATTCGTCTCCAACTGTTTTGTTGTGCGTCGTTTGTTCTGCGCTTCTCGCAAACAATTCATTCATAACAACGCGCATCAAATCCATTCGCAACTGGTCTTACGCAGAAGCAAGGTACCTTTTCAATCACACGGCTTCCCCGTTCAAAGCTGACCACATCCTATAGCAACCAAGTGTCTAAGATGTCGGACACCTCTGGCGATAGCGAGAGCTCAGTCGAGTATGATGGTCTGAAACCTTTTCTTTCCAGGCACAAGAGCGCGCACTCAGTAGCTCAAAGTATGAGCCGCGACGACAATGACAGCGAGTCCGACACCGACTCCTCAAGCGAGGAAGAGGGCGAAGGCGACGAACTTGTTGGCCAAACTGCCATGTCCAAGAAGCTGGGCTACCCGTATGTCTTTGGCATGAAGAGCGAAATCCATCTCGTCAAGACTTGGTTGAAAGGGCTTGCCAACGAGTCTATACATGAACAAGTCTGCATCACCAAGCAGCACATCCGCCATGACAAGAGAATCATGGACAACTTGGGACATTGTCTGAAAGACGCTGCCCCCATGGCCGACAAGTATGTTGCGCACCGACGAGCCATACCAATAGTAAGTGCTGACGTTCTCTCACAGGGTATCGCAATTTATGTCCGCCTCAGTCCAGAAGTCTGTTGCATCGTACTTCGACAAGGCCACCAAGAAGATACTCGCAGCCGAAGGAACCGGAAGTGCTCTCCTGAAGGATCTTCTGGCCATAAACTCTTTCAGATCTGAGATGTTGGAGGCGATTGAGCAGGAAGTGATCCTGAACGACGATTTCCCTCACGCCAAGATGGGCGCACTCAACACGGAGATCAGCAAGGTCGTCAACTCTCACCTCAAGACCGTATTGCTCACAGAAGCAAAAAAGAAGTCCGAGGTCAGACTGCAGAAGAAGCTTGATGCAGACAGGATGAAGGCCAACGAAGCACTCGAGAAGGAGCTCAAGGAGATTGGTTTGACAAACTGAAGGGCCTGACAATATGTTATGATGGCCAGTCGTCAATCACACTGGTACTTACTTCATAGCACACTTTTTAACACGGCTTCGGCCAATATGGATTACCGATCGCTTGATCCAGACTCAAGATCCTTCCATGTGCTCATAGGTTTCACTCTGATGGCCGGTTCTTTCACTGCAGTTAGAACTGTCCTCACATCATCCCAGGTGCCCGACCTCTGCCACGCGCGTAGCGGTAACGGTGCACGATAATTTCTCAAATAGAGTCGTATCCTGTGAGAGCATGTCAAACAGTTCATCTCTGTGAACAACTCGAGAAAGATTGAACATAGGATTACGCTTGGACTCTCACTGGAGGCTGTTCCATTCTCGAAATGCAAGAGGATCTTCGAGATTGTTTGTTTGTCCGGTGAGAGAGGCTGATCATGTATTGCTACAGCTTCAACATCTCTTGAGACGGTGACGGTGACGGAACTTTGCACTTGGGAAGGATTGAAGGACGGACCAAGAGTACCCGAGATGCACAGACCATTTGTGATGTCATTTCGATCACGCTGGAAATCTGACGGATATTTTCCAAGGATGCGACTGCCATTTGCAAGGCTGACGATGTTAACTTCATCAAGGAAGGACTCACGAGCGACATGGCAAAAATAGCCTTGAATTGTCCGGTGGCGCAGAGCCAAGCTTTGTCAAGCCTCGAGTCACGAAGTCTTTCTGGACGAGAACTGACAATAGTACACAAAAATACAGATATATCTTGCGGATACAAAGTGTTTGATGAGGCCATTTCGCCGTTGATGCTGCCTTCGCAACACTGCAGTCTCCGGTGGGCTTTGCATCAAGGCTTCTCGTGTTTCTTAATATCTTCCGGACCGGATGGTCGCGGCCAGGTTCTCAGGGCTTCTCAGACTGCGAACCCAGTATGCAAGGCAGTTCGAGACTCCACGTCATTTATAGGCGAACACCGACTGAGTGGTTTGTCTCGCCAATTGTGAACAGTCGCGATGGGCGGCAGAATGATTGAAGACGCTCGGGCAAGAACCAAACGCCTCCGCACCAAGGCCTTCGCGTCGTCTGGGGGCTCCGCGTTGGAGTTCCCCAATGTTTTGTCGATCTGATTGGTGGCATTCATCCTGCTCGTACAACTCCTAGATCTTACATACCTAGGGCGTGGTCAAGACCTTGATGCTCCGGCGGGCTTGGCTCCACCACAAGCATTAGTGAGGTCTTAGCGGGTTTCGACAAGCATCGAAATGACTTGACTCGGTTGCTTTGTCTTGCTTGGGGAGCTTAGCGGGCTGGGGGCCAACGGGGAAACAGAGTTTCGGTGAGTCTTTCCTTCCTTTTCTACATCCAACTTCCGCGCTTGTAGGCTGTTTGAAGGCGCAGACGTGGCTTGAATATTGCAGGCGTCTATCAAGAGTCCGTATAAGAGCCATGAGTACTCTCTACATACTTCATGAAGAACACATCATGTTATGATGGCTCATGATTATTTACTGATAGTGAGCCCATCCGTGCCCATAGATCCACTTCCGGGAAAATGCGTTCCCGCGTGTCATGCCGTATCATCGCCGTCGCTAACCAACGACCCCAACTTTCACCATGGTATCCACATGAGCAACATTGACCACTTCCTGGTAGCTAGGGTTTGTTGATACGGTTGATTGCAATCTGGATTATGGAGAGCTTCCCCATGGGCCTTGTGGGGACGTCCGCATCTCTATAAGACCTCTCTGCCCATCCAGAATTTGTTCTATTCTCATCTCTCCACATCGACACGGACAAATATCAACCAGAGCAACATGTCGTCGTTACACGATGAGAAGGTCAACGACCTCAAGGACTCCTCCGCTTTCCACGCCGAAGTTTTGGGCGACAAGGAAGTCTTGGGCAATGCATACGAAGCCGAAACTCGCGAGCATGAGATGGGCATGTGGGAGGCTGTCAAAAGTTATCCTTGGGCCTGTCTCTGGGCATTCATCATGTGCTTTACTATTGTAAGTTGAGGATATCGACGATTGTCGAGAACGGTCACTGACTCTCTGAAGGTCATGGAATCATTCGACATGTTCCTGAACGGTAACTTCGTTGCCCTCGGTGCTTTCCAGCAAAAGTACGGTGTTATGGTTGCGGCTGGAGAGTTCTCAATCCCTACCAAGTGGCAGAGCGCCCTTTTCCAAGCCGGTCAATGTGGTGCCTTTGTTGGTGTCTTCCTCGCTGGACCTATCACCAACCGTATCGGTTACCGATGGACTACCATCCTGGGTCTGATTCTCATGATTCTCACCATCTTTGTCTCGTTCTTCGTAAGTGAAATGAACACTACACCACAGCTATCGACTAAACGTATCTCAGGCCAACTCGCTCGCACTTCTTGTAGTCGGCCAAGCACTGGAGGGTATTCCATGGGGCTTCTTCATCGCCAACTCTCCTGCATATGCGTCCGAAATTGTACCCCTAGCGCTCCGTGGTGCCTGCACGGCTACTCTGCAGATGTCATGGTCAATTGGTTCCATCATCGTCGCTGCCGCAACATACTCTTACAACAAACGTAACGACGAGTGGGCTTGGAGAGTTCCTATCGCCCTCCAATGGATCTTCCCTGTTCCTCTTTTGGTTCTCGTTTGGCTTTCACCTGAATCTCCGTGGTGGCTTATCAGACGCGGACGCAAGGAGGAAGCTCTTCGCTCAATCAAGCGCCTTGGAAGCAAACGCGAGGGCAACAACGAGGAGACTCTTGCCATGATGGAGCGAACTGTTGAGATCGAGGCTCAAGCTGGAGGCGCTCCCAAGCTCACTGACTTGTTTAAGGGCAACGATCTCAGACGTACACTCATCACCTGTTTCATCTACATGTCTCAGAACTTTGCTGGTAACCACTTGAATAAGTGGAAGAGTAACAGAGTGCTTAATTCTCTGTGATCTATGGGACTAGCTACGGCTATATAACTAGCTATCAAACAAAGAACTGTAGCTGTAGGCAAACAGCAAAGCTCTAGATCAAAGATATNCCTTTGTGTTAACATACCGAGTACTGATGACTCCGGCAAGATTCAGCTCGCGAAGGTAGTGAAATTTGATGTTAATGTGCTTAGAGCGGTCATGAAACTCCGGATTACGAGTGAGCTTTAAAGCAGCCTCATTATCTATGTGCAGAGGAACATTTGAGGTGGCGATATCATGCATTCTAAGTTCTTGCAGAAGACCGGTTAGCCATACGAGTTCCTGAGCAGCTTTGTGAGCTGCAATGTATTCCGATTCGTAGGTTGAGAGGGCAACTGCCTTTTGACGCTTCGACGACCATAAAATTAGAGCTCCTAAGAGCATCACAACCTAGCCGCTAGTGGAGCGAGCGGTATCCTTGCAACCACCCCAATCTGCATCAGAGTATGCATGCAGGTTGCTCTAGTTCCCCGACGCGTAGTGAAGACCCAGGGTTAGGGTGGCTTTTATGTAGGCTAATATGTGATTAATAGCGGCCATGTGAGGGTCACTAGGATTGGAGTTGAACCTAGAAACGACTCCCACAGCCTCGGCGATATCTGGACGTGCAATGCAGGACAGATAGAGTAGTGACCCAACTTTGCTTTGGTAAAGCGTAATGAATGCCTTTGATTTTGGAGCATCAAGATTCTTAGTCAACTTGCAGTCAGTCCTTATAGGGATATGGCATGGGTGAATATCGAGCATGCCGAAACGCTCAAGGACCTGGTGGATGTATGCAGCTTGATGTAGATGAATATCACCGTTATCACGCTGCTCAACATGTAGACCTAAGTAGTAAGAGCAAGAGCCCAGATCTGTCATGGAGAACTTGCTGTTCAATAGAGCCTTCGTTGATTCAATTTCCGCATCTGTCTTAGCGAAGATCTTGATGTCATCGACGTAGGCGTCAATAAACATAGGGCGAGGTCCTTGGTGAATGAAGATGTAAGGGTCGTATTTGGAGGGGACCTAGCCATTGTCAGTCAAGAAATTTGACAAGTGGATCGCCCATTGTCTTAGCGATTGTTTCAGTCCATAGAGAGCCTTGTTGAGATGAAGGACATAATCTACGGGGTGTAGAAAACCTTTAGGGGGTTGGATGTAAAGGTCATGTTCAATGTCGCCATGTAGGAAAGCCGTCTTAACATCCATTTAGTGACACTTCTAGCCGTATCTTGCTTGAAGAGCGAACAAAAGACGATACGATGTGGCTTTAACAACCGAAGCATAGGTCTCGTCGTAATCTTGGCCTTCCACTTAAGTAAAACCACGAACAACGAACCGAGCTTTGTACTTAGCTACTAATCCATCAGGCGCCAGCTTCTTCTTAAAGACCCATCGAGTAGACAAGATCTTCTTTCCATGAGGACGTAAAACAACGTTCCATATGTTGTTTTGGAGCAGACTTATATACTCATCTTCTATGGCCAGTTTCCATTGGTGTGCATCAGGCATAGACAATGCTTGTTTATGTGTGCGTGGTTCGGAAGATGTGGTTAAGGACGGTAAGGTAAGAAGAAACATCTTTGTCGCCGATGTTTGAGACAGCCGAGTGAGAAATAGGTCAGGGTGATGTTCTTAGGTTAGTCTCACGGCAAGTGCTATGATGTGACGAAAAGATCGAATCTTCTCAATTGCAGACAATTTTTCGTCAGAGTCGGCTTCGTCTCCAGATTGACTGTCATGACCCTCAGTGTTTGTAGGCGCAGTAGGAGATTTAGGCGTTTCTGAATGCGTGGTGGAATCGTGCGCCCACTGTTAGAGACGCTTAGATGATTTCAACGCAGCGTCCTTAATGAACTCCTTAGTAATGGGAGCACCTAAATTAAGATCCAAATCCAGATCTCCAGCGTCGCTGTCTTCTTCTTCTTTAGAGTCCGAAGTGGAGTCACTGTACTTAGATGACTCCTCCTTATCTAGGTTAGCATGTAGAGCAGCTTTACGCTCTGCGCGCTTTGTCTTTCTTAACTGACTGCTGTACTCGGTATTTGTAGAAGCAACAAGATAGCCTCCGTCCGGCAATGGTCGCGTACAGTTCGGAGATGTTTCGGAATACTTCTTAGCTTGTTTGATGCACTCGTTGCAAGGGGAGCCCCCGTCTCCGTAATAGGTTTTTCTTCCCTAACGTGACAGGCGATCGCAATTGTAGCAACACTCCGGATTAGGCAAATTCGTCCACTTAGGTTTAATATCGTCCGGGTAGTAGCGATGAAAGACGTTCTCTGCAATGTCGAAGGTGTAAGGCCTACCGGTTTGGACACAATATATGCAGGGCTTCCCGATACATGCCATATTTGCATGTTTGCATGAATTGCACTTCTGAAGGACAGGTTTCCTATTCGGAACTTCAGTCCCCGGAATGTACTTGTGAAGCGCTGTAGAGTCTTTGATGTCCTAGAGTACCAACCGGCGTAAAGCTTGTTCTTCATTTGGCTTGAAAGTAAGGTTGACTTTGGCAGCATTAAACCTGCGGGTGTAAGGAGCCATACGAAGTTTGTCGCCACTAGCAAAGAGATCTGAGAAGATATCGTTGTAGAGATCTAGAGACGCGACTTTGTTATAGTTTCCTGCGACTTCGTCGAAAAACATAAGCTCCTTCGGAGAGAATGTATGCAATTCGGTATTGGACAAGGACTGAGTGGCCACAAGGCCATCGATGAGACCGTTAACTTCCTGTCGGAGTTTCTTTAAGGAAAAAGATCTGTTCACTCTCTTGCCCGCGACTTTCATCTAGCGAAACTTATTACCAAGGTGGATCAATTTCTCATCACTGTGTGTCACAGTAGGGAACATAGCACGGAAGATCTTAAGACGAAAGGAGTTGCTGCGACTGTAGTCTTTTCGTGACTAGATCAGCTAGAAGGCGATAGCCATCCGGGCAGAGTACCATGCCTGGTCTGCAAAGGCTTCGTCCGGATCACGAAAAACCATGTTCACGACTTTCTTCTTTCCTTTGCCGAAGAAGTAATGTGAAGTAACTGGCGCTTCTGTAGCAGAGGGGTGTTCAGACTCGGATGAAGCGCTTAGTAGAACGAAAGGTGATTCCTCAGTGAGATCTATGTTTGCGTTGTTATGCACATGACCATCAATACGAGGAGAAGCAGGGGATTGTTGACGGATAGGGGTGGCTCCGTAGAGATCATCTTCATTAAATTGATCTTGCGCATGACGGTCAGCGGTGTTATCCATTCCCTAGTCAGAGATACTAGAAGAAATGTCTCCGCCGACCTGATCGTACCCGTCAGATGCAAGGGAGGGGTCTAGGACGTCGTCAGGGACACTGAAATCGCTATCGAGAGCTTGTTGAGCCTGTGTAGTACGATCATGGAACGAGGGCTGATCGTGAACGTCGTGTGTACCGACACCATCATCAACTCGGACGGACGAGACTCTCTCGATTTTCTTTGCATCCGAGTTGTAGGCAACAACGACAGCCTCTGATTCGTAGCTAACGAAGTAAAGCAAGCGGCCACGAGGCAATAGAAGGGTCTTTTGGCGGAGCTCAGGAGGAGATGTAAGATACAGTCTACTCCCGAAGATTTTCTCTTTGGAGAGATCAGGTTTTGAGCCATACAAGGCTTCCCATAGTGTGATTTTTCCTTTAAGAGCCCTAGATGGAGCCCTGTTCTTTAACTACACAGCAAGCTCAAAAGCTTGAGGCCAAAGTTCTTTAGGAATGGAGGAATTGGCCAGTGTTTCTTGCGTTCTTCGGCCAATGATGTCTGCAATGCGGCCTGCTAAGTGAGTTTCTCTTAGCATAGCGGAGGAACGTTCACGTCCTGTCCGGAAACCACGTTCTACCACACCATTCATGTAGTGCTGATACGGAACGGCTTTTTCTATGGTAACACTATGCTTCTCAACCCAGCGAACGACCTTATTGTATTTAGGAAGCTCGTTGTCGAACCGATAAGTAGCAATAGTGACAGAGTGTCTACGTTCAATGCGTTTGTGCAATTTCTTGAGGGCTGCAGGTAGTTGATGTTTTGTAGACAGACGCTCGGTCCACGTAAAGCGTGTGGCATCGTCGATAAGTGCGAGAATGTAGTAGGTGCCATCAAGTGCACGTACAGGGTACGGGCCCCACATATCAATGTAGACGAGTTCTCCAAGATTCTGGCGTCGATGAGTTGCAGGATCCCTAGGGACCCGATTGACTGCCTTTGTCGTAGCGCAGACCGGACATATCATCTTGATTCTGGCTTTAATCTGTTGTTCCGTAAGATCAATTCCTTCTGCAACTTTGAGAAGTTTGATCATATTGTCGAAACTAAGGTGACTAAGTCGACGATGCCATGTCTAGACAGGATCGTCATAGTCGATATCGACTTCGGGAGTTGGAAATGGCGGAGGAGATGGTGGAGGATTGTCGGTTTCAGGAACAGAGCCAGGGTTTGATGATTCATCCTCAAGGTCAGAAGAGGTAGACACGTCCTGTGTTTCAGCACCGTCAGGCAAGTTAACATCCTGAGTGGTTTGACTTCGAGCGTTATTGCCCTGTTCGGACGTGCTGTCGTCATCAGCATCTCCCCCATCGTGAGAATCTCCCCCATTGTGAGAATCTCCCCTATCCCTAGATTCTCCCCCGTCGTTAGACTCGTTACCGTGGATTTGTTGATCATCCACGTGAGTTAACATAGCCCGAGGAGGTAGAACGGGATAGGAGTGGGGTGCAAGCTATAGGTGATAGAGACCTTCGACCGCTGGTGCAATTCCAATAAGGATATCATGCGCAGTAGTAATGGTGAGTTCGTCTCGTGACCAAGATCCGCGAAGTCTAGCCTTCTATGCAATGTACGAAAGAGAAAGGATATTGCAGCGTGCTGTAGGTGCGTATGCAACGTTACGAAGTTCAAGTGCAACTAGTTCACCATCACCAATGTCAAGTTGCAGTGTGACTGTACCACCGCCTTCAATGAGGAGGTTTTTATCACCTGCTGCGGTACCCATAGGAAAAGAGAAGGGACGAAACTTGTCAAACCAAGCTTTGTCATTTGTAAGGGAGATGCTTGCTCCTAAATCTGCTATCCACGCGTTTCCTTCAAGGTTCACACCTTCTAACACCATCATAGATGCTAGTACCCTCTTCCCCTTCTCCTGATAACACTAATCCGTCTATGCCTCATCCGTCCTAGAAGAGGCGATTGAGGACGCCTCCGACCCAGAAGGTGTAGTCTGGAACAGTGAATCAGTGAATGTTGCAGGAAGAAGAGAGGAAGAGGTAGGTGTACCTTCGGATTCGTCGTGTGCGATTGATTGTTGCAGTTCGCGCTGCAGCTAAAGCTAAGCCTCGTCATCGTCGCGGCTTATGACATATATATCCATGGCCTCGGTAAGAGCGACCTCCTCGGAGGAAGTGAGAGACACGAAGGACGATGTGTTAGAGGCAGGGGTGTCGTGTTTGAGCGACAGAGCTTAGAGCAAAGACGAGGGAGCCAGATTAATGCCGAAAGGTGAGTGGGTAAGATGAAGATCACATGTAGCCTTCGGAGAATCTTCAAAAGGGACCATGATGAAAGCTGAAGCCGCAGGAGCATCCAAGTTTGAGGTAACAGCAGGGGCATCGACAATTTGAGGATTGTTAGAGGCAATGCGCTCAAGAGTGAGTACGTAAGAGTTAGAGGAGTCAGCAAGCGAAGCCAACTCGCTGTCAATAAGATCCTGCCACATGTTAGAGGAAGACACAGTAGAATCTAAAGAGATACTCTCAGGATAAGCACCAGGGATGCGAACGAGGTCGAAATCATCGTCACTGAAAGGAAGCGGTGTGTTGATTACAAGAGTAAGAGTCAGATCAAGATCTGTCTCAAACGCCTTAGAGCAAAGGGCTTCAAACAACTTACGGTTGCCGACGAGTGCCTGTACGGTGACCTTTAAAGGCTTCTTGTTCTTTTCCTTATCCTTGTCTTTCTTCTTATCAGGTTTGTTGTCTAGACTGATTACCGCGTTGGCGCGAGGCTTAGGCGGAGATTTGGAGGCGTCGTTGCGTAGCTCCGGATGGAGACTCTAGCAGTCCTCTTCCTTATGAGTGCCGTACTTGTTGCAACAGGACAGAAGACGATTAGCGGGCTTGTCGGATGCGTTACGTGCATTCTTAGGGCGAGGTTCGGTAGCGCGAGTAGGCTTCTAAGGTTGTTGAGCCTCGGCGCTCAAGAGCTAAGAGTAGAGCTCTTTTACGGTGTTAGGCAGTGAGGGAGTTCCCGCGAACATGTTCTAGTGGGAGACGGTGAGCGAGAAGGTTAAGGGAAGACTGCGAATAACTTTGGCGATGATCTGGTAATCGGAGTAGCTGCCGTCTAATTCGTTGATGTCGTTTTGTAGGAGAATGACGTTATTCATAAAGGTCGATACGGTGTCGTTCCTAGTGAATTTAAGGTCCTCGAGCTTGGAGAGGGCGATTCCTAGAGCGCGAGCATCTGACATCTAGCAAACAGATTTGATTTCTATGAGAGCGTCGTGAGGGTTGTCAATCTCGGCGATAGTACTGCGGATAGCCGGGTCGACAGACATGGATAGCAGACCTTTAGCGAGACGAAGGCGAGCATCCTGCTTCTTAAACTCGTCCAGATCGAGACGATACTCCTGGATGGAGAGCTTGTAGTCTTCAACTGCCTCCTTATAGCTATCGGAGACGATGTTGGTAGGGAGAGTGACTCCATCCTTGCTATCTTCGGGGATAGCATCGGTCGTCGCGGCCTTGGCCTTGCTGCGAGTAGTGCGAACGGATACGGAGACTAATTGTAGCTTGACAGGACGCTTAGGACGTTCCAGTACGTCCTCCTCACTAGAGATGAGAGACTAGAGGTTCCTAGTCTGAGCGATGGCCTTCAGGTCTCTGTACTAGCGAACGTAGTTGGTTTGTCCGGATAAAGTTTCTACACGGCCGTGGCCGAAAAGCTCGGAAGCGTTAGTGGATGTAGGGGTGGATGACGCCATGGCTATCATCGGGCACTGGCGGTTACACCACTTAAGATGATATTGAAGAAGGATAAAATAGCTAAGTGACTGCGAGGCGGTTACTCAGCACGAGCTCATAACCACTTGAATAAGTGGAAGAGTAACAGAGTGCTTAATTCTCTGTGATCTATGGGACTAGCTACGGCTATATAACTAGCTATCAAACAAAGAACTGTAGCTGTAGGCAAACAGCAAAGCTCTAGATCAAAGATATNGTCGCCGTACAATTTACCTCTACGGCACTGCATTCAACGCTACCATGCTATTCATCCTCGGTGTCTGCGCTACTGTTAAGCAAACCAACGGTACCAACTATGCTCAGGCCTGTCTCGGTATTATCATCTCCTTCGTTTACGCTGGTACTCTCGGACCCATCTCGTACTCTATCATCGCCGAGACTTCGTCCGTTCGTCTTCGTGCCCTGTCCACGGGTGTCGGTCGTGCCGCGTACTATGTTGCTGAGATTCCTATGATCTACCTGGCCTCAAAGCTCCTCAACCCTACCGGATGGAACCTTGCTGGCAAGTGTGGCTACGTTTGGGGTTCCACTGCCGTCATCTGCTGGCTGTCGGCCTACTTCTTCCTTCCCGAGCTCAAGGGTCGCTCGTACCGTGAGCTTGATATCTTGTTCAACCGCAAGACTCCTGCCAGACAATTCAAGAAGACCATCATCGATGTCAAGGATAACGATTAGACAGACGATTTTCTGAGATCTTAGAACAATAAATGTATATATGAATTGACTCTTTTCGACCATACCAGCCGTCTATCTTAACGAAGTCGCGCATGTACATCTGAAAGCGAGGATTCCAAGCCTTCCATGTGTCGAGCTACAACTTGTTGACTTGTCTATTACTTCCAACCTGTGAAACTCATCAAGCATCTATCTAGTGTTTGACTCGTTCGATTCAGCGTTCTCATCGCAAAGGAGAGAGTAAAAGTCGCGATGGCGCGGGAAAGAAGAATAACAGGGTCCGACAGCCAACGAGCTAGCCGAAACACATCCTGGAGGTCGCGATTGATCAGTAAGTATACAGACATCTACTCTACAGAAAGTCCGAGTCATTTTGAGCGGACCGTAAAACCAGGTTACACTGGAAACAATCCAATACTGATGAGCCAATCATATTTTTGTAGGGAAGAAGACTGGCACGAGTCTTTTCTCACATCTCTCATGATCTGATAGGTACGCGGCCAGCAATTTGGGCATTATAAACGATGAACTTGCCTGCTCTTTCACGTACGGCCACAGTCAGCTGAAAACTGGGCATCCCGTCCGCTCTGCCATACATAAGCAGTTGAACGGCAGATTAGTACTACGGTGGGTGACCACGTGGGAATCCCTGCTGCTGTACGTTTTGCTTCGGTACACAGCGATACTTTTTTGGTCCTCCATCACGAATTTGCTCCTTTCCCTCTGAAATTCAGGCATCTCGATATTCAATCTGAAGCTGTGCCTTGAGTTGAGATATCAACGTGCGTTCCGAACATCGACAGTTTGATGTCCGCACGTCCTCTCATAATCCACTGACCCGACAAGAAACAAGTAAATCGCGTCACAGGAGACCTGACTTGTACGCGTTGAATGTTGTCCACCTATCTTTGGCCCACAATCCTCGCTCATCACCCTTGTTGATCAACCTCAGTTTGGCTCTAGCAGCATGCGCCTTTGCGAGGTCGGACTTGATGGCCTTTGGCACTTCCGCATACAGCAAATGGACTGGAGGCTGAAGTTCTAACGGCCGACTTCACATCCGCGTCATGAGCGAAACTCTAAACCAATATCGTGTATAACAACTGCAGGTACTCCTTAATATGTGTAGGCATTTCACCAATCTCTTCGGTGGGACACGAGGGGAAAATGGCGGGACAGATCGATGTTGAGAAAAACATCGAGTCCAAAGGTTTGGAGAAGACGCTCACTTTCGACGATGACCCGTCACTCAATCCACAAAATTTCTCACAGGCGCGCAAGATCCTCATCCTCAGCATAGCAGTACTGCTCACGACGAGTAGTACATGCGGCACATCATTAGCATCTGGAGGTGCCAAGGCAACTCTCCGGGATTTTGGCCTACCTGAAGCATACGGTTGGGAGGTTCTTCCAGTTTCAATCTATCTGGTGGGCTATTTTATCGGTAATACCGCACTGGCACCATTGAGCGAGAACTATGGCAGGAGACCGGTCAATCTCTCGACGATAGTCTTTTATATGATCTGGATGATGGCTTGTGCACTTGCACCGAATTGGGCGGCCTTCAATGTCTTTAGGTTATTGAACGGGTTCTTCTCCGCAGGCGCGCCGGCCACAGTTAGTGGGTGAGATAAAGTAACAATCCTGGCAGCTTCATCGAACTTGCCATGATGGAAATTGTTCTAAGACCTATCTCTCTTTCTAGGATTTGCGCTGATCTCTACTCTGATGACATGCGCCGTGGCCGCGCACTCCTTTGGTACAACATGGCTACCACTCTAGGATCCACCCTCGGTCCTTTGATCTCTGGCTTTGCTGTTTTCGACAACTGGCGGCTGTCTTACTGGATCGGACTCGGTTATGGTGGAATATGTTTCTTGGGTGTACTTTTCCTAATCCCAGAGACCAATTCCAGAACCATACTAGACAAGCGAGCAAAAAAGATCCGCAAAACAGAGGAAACTGATTTACCACGTGGACCTCACGAAGATGATACATTCATCTGGCAAAATCTTCTCACCAAAGTTCTCATTCGTCCTGTCAGGATGCTGTGCAGAGAGCCACTTGTTCTCGGATCTTGTTTGTACCTGGCTTTTCAGTATTCTATCCTGTACATCTACTTACAGTCTTACTCCATTATCTTCCAAGGTATAACCAACCTCAAGGTGCTTTTCACCATAGTGGATACTGACATAAGTAAATTAGACATATACGGCTTCAACACGGGTGAGAAAGGTCTTGCTTTCATCCCAATCGCTGTCGGCACCCTCTCCGCCTTCCCGGTCAACATTCTCATCGAACACGTCTACCTCAACGCCTGCTCTCAAGATTCACCGTGGACAAAACATCACGGTGCCAGAAGACTCCCGGCTGCTTGCATCTCTGGCCCATTAATCGTGACATCCCTCTTCTGGAGCGCATGGACGTCACGGCCTTCAGTCCACTGGTCTAGCTCTGTACTATCAGGAGTTCTCTATGGTTTGGGATATACGTTGAACTTCAATGCATTGTTGAACTATTTGGTCGATGGGTATGCGAGTTATACATCCTCGGCGAATGCAGCGTCAAGCTTAACAAGACAGATCATGGGTGCGGCATTGCCTTTTGCCGCAGTGCCCATGTATGATGCTCTAGGAGTCGGTTGGGCGAGCAGTAAGTAGAATTAAAGTACTCGGCCTCTGATCGCCGAGTTGGGCCGATTTCTCGTATTCGACACCGTTCTATGCTAATTCTTAATCCCAGGTCTATTGGGTTTCGTGGCTGCAATAATGAGTATTATACCTTTTCTTTTCTGGATGTATGGTAAAAAGCTGCTGGAAAAAAGTATCCTAGCACAGGAGCTGGCAAGGGAAAAAGAGCGAGGGTGCAGATAACATTTGGATAATCTGCAATTTTCTTTGACCAGCTCTTGCTTCTGAGCAGTATGTTGTATACATAACAAGTCTCATTTTCATGATCACAACTTGAACGAGGACCAAGTTCTAGATACTGCGTCAACTAAAGCCATCCTTCTCGCAGGTAACACTCCAGAGATTTTCATCAGCCACACTCGACTCATCGATAGCACAACCGAAACGTGACGGCTTCGCCCCTCAAGCTGCGCAGAGCCAGAAGTTTGAGTATGTCAACAACGTTAAGCATCTTATATGGAATGGCTGCGTTGTACGCTATCTTACGTTCTCAGCTGTGTTTCGCGAGAAACTTGTTAGCATCAAGGATCTACAAGTCGCGCTGGCAGGCTAGGGATGTGTTGTCTGCTTAGGTAGAGACGATGGTGCATGCAATACTACCGTTAGCACAATCTGATGCCTCTCATTATATGGTGAAAAGTTGACATCCGACAGACCGGTGTGAACCTCAGCTCAGCCTTGGTCAATAAAGATCCTTGGCGACAACTTATGTGCTCGATGCGGAGTATCAAGTTATAAGCGAGATGTGTAGTTTGTAATCTCAACCTCGCAAAGTTTGGTACCGTTGAAAGAAGACGATGTCTTCAGCTGTGAGTCAAAGGGAAGATTGACGCTCTTGTTCTCGGAGGACCTTGGTCCGCAGTACTATTCGGTGCTATGTGTAAGTTCAGTCTTGCCGTTAAGAGTTTGTAGCAGCATAAGGGTATGCTTCGAAGGAAATCGGCAGCTCCGGGTCCCCAGGCCGGTATGGCGCACCTGTATAACGATACGCCTCTCTTGTGAGGAGGATCAGGGTAGGAGAACATGTTCAGGTGAAGGACCCAACGCACACATCCGTCCCGAGATGTCGTTCGTCCGATATAGGTAGACGTTCACCGTCGGTAAGAACAGCCGTCTGTCAGCATCGAATGTCGGGGATGAATTTGATAGCGCCTGCATGATGCATTACAGTTGAGTGGAAGTGATTCCTCGGCTTATTCGGACAACATTTGAAGACTTATTTTCTTCCAGATCAGCATTGTACCCAGGTAGATGTCGTTGTGGAGGGGCAATCATGGCATGGAAAGAGGAACAGAGTTTATGGCCACTACCGGTTGAGGCTTGTGTGTTCTCAGCTGAGGGCTGAACATGTCGGTGCCCCATGGGTCGTTTTTTTTTTTCGCGGCGGCTTCCAAAGGTAGACCTGGCAGTACACTTTATCGCGAAACTACTTTTCCAAGCCGAATGCACCTTCAGTCGAGTGCAGAGATCAGATTTGAGCAGAGGCAATTTGGAACAAGGAGAGTGTGAGCCAAGCGTCGATGGCATGTGCATCGTTCAGTCATGTTTCAACACTAGAAGCCAGGCCTCAATCGCGACTGCCGGCTAATGTGTTCTGGTCAATATTGACACACAAGGAGTTGCGAACCAAAGCACGAGCAAGTCGCATGTAAGTCGGAACTCTGGGGTACATGTACAGGTCAACTGTCGCAACTCCCTTGGACAATTTCCACCGGATGGTGACTTGCAGAGGATGCGGATTGCCACTGCCACGTTGAGTTAGGTGAACTGACGAGGCCAGCCGTGGGCGATGACGAATACCACACCTGTGTCGGCAAACAGGGGCAGTAGTAACAACATATCGTTGCGACTACTTACCCACGAGGTGGTCGTTACAACGGCGCTTCGAGCCAGATGTTGATGCAGAAAAGAAGTTGAGGTCCGCTTCCATGTTGTCAACCGTTGCAGGGGCCAGCCAATCGGAATCGTTTGAAACTGACAGACGTGAATGTTACTAACACCCACATGGTTTCTTGCCGAATCTTCAAGCTCGACTTGGGGAAAATCGAGTCTCACATCTTGCACCATTCAGCAGCTCAACTTTAACTTGAGTCGGAAGCGATTGTTAGATCAAGATTTGACTTCAATATAGATGGTTCGAATTTTCTTCTCGAAGCCTGTCGCAACCTCCTACTTGCCCTGGCTACTGATGTTCTGAGCATTGCAATGCATCCGAGATCGCGACACCGTGGGAATGGATCGGCTCCAGACGCTTTCGGTATTGTACCTGTAGAAACGGAAAGAGCTCCTGGCTACAGCTTCCCGAGTCCTCGTTTGTGTTCGATGGCTGGCCAGCTCTTCCTGATTCCTCATCCTTGTTCCATCCATCAACCGACTTTCTGTACTTCAACGTCCAACCGTTGTAGATTTCTTCAGCCTACCTACGCTTCAACACAACGGCACGATGACACGGACTCAGCGGCGACCAAAGTCATGCTTCCAGAGGCAGAGAATCATCTCAGAACCGTTGTGACATTCGACGACGATTCATGGCACCCATACACAACTGTACACACGGCTTGGACTATTGCACGCTGGTGGTCAAGACCAGGCAGATGAGTGGCTTCATGACAGTTTGTTGTTGGCCGGGTTAGTCCATCGATGGATATGTCAATGCTATTATGACTTCTCTCGCTGACTCAAGCCTGACATAAGTACAATCATCATGCCATCTCCAGCCCTCAAAGCCAACTCACTCGTTTCGTTCATTCCCCTACAGGTCTAACACCAACTCAGGCCCATCTATACAAGATGCGTGCCGTCACTCTCGTTTCGGCCTTCGCCGCCCTTCCGGTAGCTTTTGCCTCCCCAATCGACTTTGAGCTCAATGCTCGCGCCAGTAAGACTCTTGCAAAAGAATATATGCACAATCGGAATGCTAACCGGAACCTAGCTTGCAAGGCCAGCGACATCGCAGCTGTCAAATCTGCCATCAAAACCAACACTGCCTACTTCTGCGAATTCTACAATGTCGTTGGCGTGGGTTCGTCTTCTCCAATCACCACACTCAGTGCTAGTGCCGTGTCCCAGGCCTGCAAGTGTATTATCACCGCCTCTAGTGATAAATCAGCACCCAAGCGGGATGTTGCAGCCAATGCAAGTTCGAAGACTTGTGATGCTGCCGACCTCAAGGCTGTCAACGCTCAGTTCTCCAACCCCAAGGCATTCTGTACCTACTATGGCACAACCTCTAAAAACCTCTCTGCCGTCTCTGGTCTTACTCCTCAAGAACTCTTTAATGCCTGTCAGTGTGTTCTGGGCAAGGCGACTGTAGCCAAGGCTACAATCAGCAGCAACAAAGCGACGTCGGCATCAAGCACCAAGAAGGTCACCTCGTCCTCTTCGACCAAGAAGGCCACCTCGTCGACAGTCAAGCCCGTTACTTCATCAAAGTCATCATCATCCAAGAGTTCATCAAAGTCCAGCAGTTCTGCCAGAACTTCGTCGTCATCAAAGATTACCAGCAGTACGATCAAGCCTGTCTCCAAGTCTTCATCATCAAGCAAGGTCGTGAGCAGCTCAGTCAAACCTGTCTCCAAGACTTCGTCGTCCAGCAAGATCAGCAGCAGCTCGGTCAAACCTGTCTCGAAAAGCTCATCATCGTCGAAGATTTTCAGCAGCTCGGTCAAGCCCATCTCTAAGACGTCTTCGTCGTCGAGCCACACGGTTACCAGTTCTGCCAAACCTGTCTCAAAGAGCTCTTCCTCGAGTAAGGTTCTCACTAGCTCTGCCAAGCCCGTCACATCTTCTGGCAAGATTAGCAGCAGTTCTATCAAGCCTATCATGACCTCGTCGAGCAAGGTCATCACCAGCTCTACCAAGCCCATAGTCGCTACTTCATCCAACAAGGTGAGCAGCTCATTCGGTTCATCCGGCAAGGTCAGCAGCAGTTCTGCAAAGTCAATCATCAGTAGCAGTTCCTCCAAGGCTATCGTGAGCAGCAGTTCTTCCAAGGCTGTTGTCAGCAGTAGCTCACCCGTAGCGATTACCTCCAGCTCCTCTAAGATCATCAGTTCTAGCACGTCAAAAGCTGCAGTACCTAGCTCCTCGGCCGTTGTTGCTCCCGTCGGTACCAGCAGAAGTAGCAGCAGCTTCGGTACTACCACCGTTGTCGAAACTTCTACTATTGTCCCAGTCGCTTCTTCTTCATCTTCGTCGTCTTCTAGCGTGGATGACCAGTCAAAGTCGAGCTCCATCGCCCAAGAGACAGATGCCGCTGCCAACACCTCTGCTATTGAGACGGATGCTCCTACCACTAGCGCAACAAGCGGAGCAGAGGCCACGAGCACTGTTGACGATGCTGCTACAAGTTCATCCGTAGAGCCAGAAGTTACGAGCACTTCCGTTCAGGCCGAGACCACAAGCTCTGCTGTCGATGCCGGAGTCCCAACCACAAGCTCATCTGTTGTGCCCGAGGTCACGACCGCCGAGTCCATAATCTCAACAGCCACCAGCTCTGCCCTCGAAACTGATGCTCCCGTTAGCAGCTCTACTGAACAGACTCTGGTTGCCCCCGAAGCCACATCGACTGATGCCTCTATCAGTACCAATTCTGTTGTCGAGAACGAGGCTACCAGCACCGGCTTGTCTGCACAAGCTGAGGCTACCAGCAGCTCTGCTGTTGATAGTGAGGTCAGCAGCACTACCTCCACTGCTCAGACTGAGGTTACAAGTTCGTCTGAGCAGAGCGCTGTTGCGCCTGAAACAACCAGCTCCACAGAGTCTTCTGCAAGCTCAGCAATGACCAGCCAGGCTAGTTCTACCGAATCGTCTGCTGTCGCTGCCGAAATGACCAGTTCCACCGATATCGTTGCTCCCGAAACCACCTCATCGGCCACACCCGAGACAGCCAGTTCTGATGTATCGTCTGTCGTTTCTAGAACAGCCAGTACTACAGACTCGGCCTCCTCGTCTTCGGCATCTCCTGATATGACTAGCTCCATCGAGTCTTCTGACTTCGCATCAGTCACTTCTACCGCTACTTCAGAAGTTTCCTCTGACGCCGTTATCCCGACAACATCTTCGTCGGCTGCCTCTGAGGTGTCATCATCTGTTTCATCCGACGAGCTTCCTTCCACAACTGTTCCTGAAGCCACTTCATCGTCTGCGTCAAGCAGTGATGTCTCGTTCTCTGTGTCTCCCGAGGCCACTTCATCTGCATCTCCCTCGGAATCTGCTTCCAGCTTCGTTGCACCTTCTCCGGCGATCGGAGTGGTTTCTACCTCTAGCGCAGTGTCTTCTGATCCTACTTCTGAGTCTACATCATCAAGTATATCAAGCAGCGATGTCTCATCCCCCGCAGCAACTCCCGAGATTACTTTGTCAGCGTCCTCGAGCAGCGAGGTGTCGTCTACATCGGCTCCTGAGGTTACGTCGTCAGCTGTCTCGAGCAACGATGTCTCTTCGTCTGCTAGTGACATTTCGTCTGCACCCACTTCCCAGGCCTCTTCCTCCGTGTTCTCAAGCAGCGAAACCTTCACTTCGTCGTCAGAGACTACCCTACCGGCTTCGTCTTCTTCTGAGTCTAGTTCCAGCTCTTCTGCTTCTCCTACAGCAGTTGAGACTTCATCAGCCAACAGCGGATCATCCTCAATCGTCTCAGCCACCAGCACCGAGATCTCGCAGACAGCATCTACTTCAAGCAGTGAAGTGTCCTCCGCCACCGCCGCTTCTTCAAGCACTGGAGCGTCCTCAAGCGTACCTACCTCAAGCATTGAGACATCTTCAAGTGCCACTCCTTCAAGCAATGGCTCCTCATCAACAAGCGTTTCACCAACAGAGTCTTCGTCGATCCAGAGCGCGACCTCTGCCAGCGCTCAAGTATCATCAACTCAGCCATCTTCGATGGGAAGCAGCACTCCTTCCAGCACTGGAGTATCAAGCTCATCAGACGCTCAGTCGATGTCTACTCAAAGCGTCGTCTCGTCAAGCAGTGTGGTTTCGTCCACTCAGGCCGCTGTTTCTACACCTTCGAGCACCGGAGCCTCCTCGACAGGATTATCTCCAAGTGAGAGCGCCACCAGCTCTTCTGCAACCCAATCTTCGTCTGGGCCAACAATTCCTACAGCTAGCTCCACTTTGTCTTCGAGCAGCGCATCAGTATCCGAGTCTTCATCAGCTCAGAGCGTTGCTCCTTCCGCAACTCAATCATCATTTACCCAAAGCGCATCGTCTACAGCTAGTGTCTCGTCATCCCAGTCTTCCGCAAGCCAGAGTAGCTCGGTTTCAAGCACCCAATCCTCGTCGACGCAGTCGAGCACTGAAGTATCTTCGACTCAATCATCTTCAGTCACGAGCACCGCACCTTCAAGCAGTAATGCATCTTCGGCTCAGTCTTCGTCGACACAAAGCGCCGCACCTTCAAGCAGTAATGCATCTTCGGCTCAGTCTTCGNCACGACCTCTTCGATAACTCAGAATCGACATGAACCACCATTCCTGAGAAGGGTCTCCACTGAGAGAAATATATCTTTGCGCAGCATGTTTTATAGTCTTAATTTGCTTGTTGCGTGTTGGCATTATCTAATATGTAATTCCCGTATACATTTCCTTTGTTTCAACCGATATACTTGATAATTAATATCTCCCTAGCACTCTTGACATGTAAATCTCTTTGCGCAAAGTGAACGCGAGAAGCCAAGCTTGGATTCACTGAGCGTCGAACTTGACACAACAACAACGCCTCTTCTTCTCTATTCACAACAACTACACTTTTTGAACGCGCCTCATAAAATCAGGTATCTAAATATTCTCAAGATGTCTACTCACTACAAGATCACAGAGGCAATCGAGAACAAGAAGCACGAGCGGATCGTGAAATATCTAATCAATCAGAGAAACTTCCCTCCGATTGAGGAAATTGGCCTGGTCACCATCAGCAAGTGGCTCAAGGCCATAGATACCGGGTCTTCTGACAACAAGCTGGCCAGGATGAGAGGCCCTCTGCTCGGACATTTGCGCGCCGCAGCCAATACTCCCATCACCCTGGAGCAACAAAAGGCTCACACAGCAAAGCATGGTGAGAACACGGCCGAGCCAGTCCTCGACTTCCCATTCGCCAAGGGTCGTGGGCTTTCCAAGGAGCAGGAAAAGACGCGCCGCACGCAGCAGAGAAATGCGGAGAAGAGAAAGGCTGCTGAGGCTGCCGAGAAGAGTAAGTTGTCTGGCGTAGGCGTCAAGGACCCTCCTGCCCAGGACTATTTCAATGGCGCACAACCCCCCGGACATGAGCTCTCGCATCATGAGATACTTCTCCTGTTCGATCCCGCCAAAGCCAAAGCCGAGGCCAATGACGAGGAGTTCATGGGCTTCTCTGACGGCGACGACGACGACGACAATGCCCGCCCTGGGCAAGGAACTGGACCTTTGTCGACAGGATTTGGCGCCACTCCTCTCGCCGACCCCGAGAAGGCAGCCATAAAGGAGGAGAAGAGAAAAGCAAAGGCGGCCAAGAAGGAAAAGAAGGCAGCAGAGGCAGCCGAGGAGGAGGAGAAGAGAAAGGCGACCAAGGCGGCCAAGAAGGAGGCTAAGGCTTCCAGAAAGGCGGAGAATGAGAAGGAGGCAGCCGAGGAGGAGGAGAAGAGAAAGGCGGCCAAGGCGGCCAAGAAGGAGGCTAAGGCTTCCAGAAAGGCAGAGAAGGAGAAGGAGAAGAAGGCAGCCGTCATTGCTGCAGTCTACCAGGTCCTGGAGAACATACTCAACAAGGACGAGTCTTTCCAGCCACCATCACCTCCTCTCTTCAAGAACGGGGATGGAAGAATCGTCGAGGTTTTCTCGTCGGATGAAGAGCCCACATTATCCGAATCTCTACCGACGATAAAGTCTCTTGCATCGACTCTCCCCACGTCGTCAGTCAAATCACCAAGCTTGCCATCCTTGCCGGCGAAGAAGGAATCGAAGAAGAGAAAGGCATCAGATGCCTTGAACGATGAGGTCGAGGAGATCGAGAAGTCGAAGAAGAAGGCCAAGGTTTCGAAGAAGGAAAAGGCCAAGAGATAACAAGCCTCGGAATGGGATGGTGGTGTTCCGGTGAAGATGGAGGCAGAGAGCCTCGAGTTTTCGAAGGAGACAAAGAGAGCCGATGCTGTTGCTGTTGAAGTTGTTGGTGGGGATGGTTGTCAGGATGGGAGCGAGAGTGAGAGCGAGAAGGAGTCTTAAGGACGAGGGCGAGAACGACGAGTAGAGGTCACTCTCGCAGGTTCTCCGTCGCTTCTTTGGCACTGTGACATTCCGAAGGTCATCTGCCACTTGATTCTTTTTTTGTTGCCTCTCCAAAGGCTCATCGATTCTTTTTCACACTAACCTCGCGCAGATTTTCATCGTTGATGCTTTTCAGACTGTCCTCTCTAAGACCGTTATCGTACACAGCTTCGCTGAGGTGGTTTTGCAGATTTTCCATAGCCTTTCTATCAAGTTTTTGATCCTCGTTACTGGCCATTGTACATCTGGCCCGAGTTTGCCAGACCTTTCCTCGCACGCTCGCAGGTGTTTGCGTTTCCTCTAATCCAATGTCAAATCATACTACCCTCCGTATATACAAAGATTGGATGATTCCACATATGAGAGAGGTTTGCTTCTCTTACCCTCCACGCTGGATCTCGTCTTCCCTTGACTTGCGTCGGCAGTGTGTTGGTGTTCGAAGGAAGTTTCTACGAATACTAGTGCTCGTGCAAGGTGATGTATTTGCAGGCAATGCGGGGAATTTGTACAGAGCAAGTGCAGAACCAGAAAGATTGACCTGGCACCGAACTCCCCCTCTCCTGTAAGGCTTTTAATCTGGCTGTAAAAAGGCAGGATGCTTTTTGGGGATAAGATGTCTGTCCATTGAGAGCTGCATTTCTCGTTGATCTCTTTGGACAACCACATCGAAACCGAAAAACATCATGCCTTTTGACACGCTGTTTTGTAAGGCGTCTCGCCAGGCTGCAGAGCTCGGTTCTGATGCTGTTTCTGTGAACGGACCCCTGAACGATGATGGAACCCACGACAATGACGGTAGAGAAACGGGTAATCATAGAAGAGAACACACAGCAGAGATTTCTCGAAAAGGAGAGTTAGTATCGTATATTGTGTAGAAACGGAACGAAATACGACTGTACGTGGAAAAAAAAATGGAAAAAAAACTCCACGAATCGAGATGTCGTCAAGCAAGTCGTCGAGCTTTATGGTCAGAAAGCTCAATTGTTGGGACAAATCCCTAAAGCATGATCGAAACCATGACAATGACAATATAGAGAAATAGGCATTCATAGAAGAGAACAGACAACGGAGAGTCATCGTCGTGTATTATGTAGAGATGAAACAAAATCTGACAGAATGTGAAAGAAAAAAAAACCAGAAATCAAAATGTCGTCGAGCAAGTCATCGAGTAAGTCATCGAGCTCAATTATTGAAGCGTGACCTCACACTTGTGTCCCTTGGGCACAATGACAAAGTAGTTTTCCAGATCCATGCAATCTGCAGACATACTGGGAGCGATACGCATGCCTCTGCATTCACGGAAGAGGAAGGCGGTGGCATATCTCAATTCCATCCAAGCGAGATTGATGCCGAGACAGCTATAGGCGCCAGCACCAAAGGCACAGAATGTGCTCTTGGCTGCTGCGCTTTGTTCTTTGCCGTCGAGCCAGCGCGAGGGGTCATATCTGATCATGTTAGGGAGGTTTGCCAGAAAGGAGAGCGGTTCACACTTACACGAGCGCATTCGGCCAGAGGTTTTCATCTCTATGCATGGTGTATGCTTGTGTGCTGACTGTTGTTCCTTGAGGGACGAAGTATCCGTTGAGTGTAGCACCACTCTCAGGGACAACACGAGGAAGACTGCCAGGTACAGCACAATACAAACGTAGGGTCTCATGTATAACTGCGTTCAGCAGGGGCAACTGTTCGAGGTCAGCATCGGTGAAGTTATCATGCAGCTTGGCAACCTCCTCTTCCAACGCTGCGCGCAGCTGAGGTCGAGAAACGACAGCCCATGAGAGGAAGGTCATGGTGTTGGCAGTCGTGCCCGAGCCAGCGAAAATAAGACTGGTCGACTCGGTGCGGACGTCCATGTCGTCAACGTGTGTTTCGCCCTTCTCGGCCTCGGCCATGATGGTAGCCATGAGGTTGGAGTCTTGACCGCCCTTGCGAGCATTCTCGACAGCTATAGTGCCATAACCGAGAATGTAAGCGCTCGAGTTGAAGGCTTCTTTCAATGGCTTGAAGGGTATGCGGCTTCCAACAGCGCGAAGCCATGGCATCTCGGCACCGATGCCATTACCGATGAGAGCTGCCTCGAGGACCCGGATGTACTCGGTTTTCTGGACATCAAGGTCAGCCTGCTGGATGATTCTAAGGGTGACTTCTGTTTACCTTTCCAAGCTCTAGCATTCCAAAAGATTGACCAAAGCCGAGGATACCAACGATATCAGTAGCCATGAACGTCCACCACTTGAGAAGATCTGCGACGCCGGTTTGCGCATCAACTTTGATCTTCTCAACGGCAAGCAGAGTCTTTCGACGAACGGTAGGCTCCCAATGCTCTCTGAGATAAGACTTGCTGAAACCACGCGCGAACAGCTTTCTGCGCTGACCATGTTCGCGAGGATTGCGCATGGTAAAGACGCTTAGCCGTGGGAAGTTGGTCAGCTTCTCATACCAGATGTCCTTGCTGAACTTGGATGAGACAGCATGGATTTGTTTGAATGCGGCAGGGTCGGATACAGCAACTTCCGTGGGTGAGATACGAACAATTGGGCCGTATTTCTTGTGCAGATTGTCAATGTAGAAGATGCGACGTCCTCCAGTGACGGCAAACTTCAGTTGCAGGTTGGTGTACCTACTGATCCAGGGACCTGGTATGTCTCTGAGTGGTGAGGTGAGCGATATGTATATGGTCTGATGGTGAGATATGGTGTTAGTAGGGGTGTATTTTCAGCGAGCCTCTGGCTTTTGACATACCTGTACCACCCAGAAGAGGACCGTGAAGCCTAGTCCCAGGAGTATGAGCGAACCAGATAAAGCAATCATCTTCGAATGTGTTGAAGGAGAAACATCAAGCTCTGATTCAAGGGCCGCACAAGACTGCTTATGAAGACTCGAAGAACATACCTCTTACCTACGCCATCACCAGCCGTGCACACTCAGCACTGCTGGTGATTCGCACAGAGCCACAGACACCACGCTTGCAAGTGGCCGAGCAATGAGCTGCAACTCGTTATCGTGAGAGCGACCTAGAAGAAAGCTAAGTGCCTGGTAAGCAGCCTGTATGTATCAGATACATCGTCACGCAATCCTTGCTTGCAGAGTATTGGGAAAGGATGTCGGGCAGTTTCACGACAGAAGAGGCATGTCTTGCAACGATCTGCATTCGAGTTGAGCGTGTGATCAGTGTTGCGTATACCAAGGCGAGAAACTATTGGCGACAGGTATAGAGGGGGTGGTGTTTGTTCTTTCGGACATTGGTGGGGGATTGCGAGATGGGGTCCATTTCACGGGTGGTGTCGAAGGGGTGGTTGAGCTGAAGGCTAGAGAAACAAGATAACGCAACATTAGGTTCTGTCAATCATCTCCAAGCTTTCGGCCAAGCAACTGATGTGTAACCTGTTGCGGGGGTTGGAGTGGTTAGAAACTGTCCGCAGCGCAGCCTATCGTCCAGGGTGTTGACCAGGATCCATGGGTATATTTACGCTCGGATATGCTTGATTGATACGTGTTTTGACTGCCTGTAGTCGTACAAGTGAGCGAGTCTTGCTGTTTGTGTAACCAGGCGAGAGTATAGGCGGTGAGGTAGAGGATCATCTTGTTCATGGTTTCAACAGGCTGAATAGAAGAGGCGGCGTCAGGAGCTGCAGCCAGGAAGCATTTCGTGAGGGGAAGACAGGCTGCTATCTCGCATCTGCTATTTTTGTCCCCGCTCGCGTTGATCTGCGTCTGTGTCTGCGAGATGCGGAGTGACTTTCATTTTTGCAGCTGGAGGTTTGCGAGAGTTGACGAAACAGGAAGGGTATTGCAAGTCGTGGTTGGCGCCGTCGCTCGGCTCGACTTTCCGCCGAACGTCAGACTCTCCAACCTCCTTCGTGCCTGCCAACGTTACAGTAGAGTATCACTGTTCGAGCACTCAGATCTCCGCTTGTTTGTATAGAAAGGGGGGTTGCTAGTCCAGAGGGCTGGGAAACTCGTGATGACGAGTGGATGAGGCGTCAGCGACGAGCTGCTCCTTCCGCAAACTTGTGACTCCCGCCAAATCGTACCTCTGACTGTGTCACGTACTCGAGATGTGGCTGTAGGTCGTTAAGACATTTTTCGGCTGTTTTGTTACAGCTGTCGTAGACATGAGAAATGAGTGTCGAAATCAATCACAATCCGGCCAGGTGCTGGACAGGGAAGCCTGAGAACGTGGACAACTAGTCCCTCGTTCTTGCCATGTTGGCGAAATAGTAGAACCAGCCTTCCAGCGATCCATCTCAACCTCAGTTCAACCCCTGTGCACCTTGGCTAAGGGTTTCGTTCACTCGCAACACCCAGCATTTAACTATCCCATTTGCCTTACGCCTCACCTAAAGTCAATACATCACATCGCTACATCATCTGGACGCACCAAGCGCGACTCCAATGGCTGGTTCAAATATAATCCCCCCTCATGGCGCAGGCGGACCACTGTAAGCCAATGAATACTCCCATCTGACATGGTGTCATCCGTGGTGACATCCGTTGACTCCTTCTATTCAAGTCGCCAGAATGCCGGCCTCCTTTCGTTCCTTGCCGTCACAGGGGGGGTTGCTGTGGGTACTCAGAGCCCGGTCCATGGCTCGGAAGCCTTTCGAAGAGAAGCAGAAGACCATGGAAGACAAGATTGACCGCCATCCCGGTTCCACCATGGGACGAAGCATATCAGAGCGAGATCCTACCACGCGCTGAGGAGATTGTTGAGAAGACCTGAGCTCAGAAACACATCGACAACCCCTGAGAAAGGAAATGGAATAAAAAGAATGAATTATGAATAAATGCATTATGTTCGTATGAGTTAAAGTGGCTGCTGAGCAAGCCTTGAAACAGTCGATTAGACCGAATGATGCAGAAGCATATCTCCCTTGCCTCCCATGGCTCCGAGCCCTGTATAGTCATCGACGCCTATGTTTTCCAATTGTGATCTAACCAGGATATCGTGCAGAAAACAGAAAACCAGCCTTGTAACGCCCCATCTAATATTTCCCACAACATGCTGACTATTATGACTCCTCTTTGAGACCGTGCTTCTGGTATTCCTTGGTGAACATCTGGTCTCTGGCTTCGTAGTGACCTTCCATTCTCCAGCGCCAGCTCTCCATGTAAGGCTTGAGGTCTTCGACTTCGGGAGACCACCACTTCTCGTGCAGACTCTTAACTCCACCAAGAAGGTCATCGACCTTGGGGTAGTGAATGTTCCACTCGTTGCCGAGCTGGGTCCAAGGCATGTTACCATCCTTGCGGTGAGCGTAGTTCAAGAGGTTTTGTTCAGGGAATTGAGGGTCGAAGCGGCCGTTCAGCTTCAGCAGCGACATGTAGTAGTCGAACAACTCGAGCGAAGGCTGGAAAACGAAGAAACCAGCGTTGAGATAGTTGATGTTGGGGAAATCGTGGTGCTGGTCGGTGGGAGGGTAACCGTGGTCGCGCTCCATCTCAGGCACACCGGCAAAATTGTACTCGAGAGGCAGATGTCCCTCATCCGACTTGATCATGGCGGGCTGGGTCAAGGTGCCGCGGGTGTGAACAGCAGGATCGGCGAAAATGCCGTCCAAAGGCTCGACCAGGACAGTGTCGCCGTCGAGGAAGCAGATGCGCTCGAACTGAGTGAGTTCCCACAGGCGCAGCTTTGTCATGACGTCCTGCCACGTGCTGGTCTCGGTCTTGACCCAGTCGGCCTTGATGTAGTCTGCCACAACAACAATCGCACCATCTTTGCGCAATCTCTGTCTCTTTTCCTCCGAAACGTTTTCAGTAACCAGCACAACGAAGGGGATTGACTTGTCGCGAGAAGAGGTTTCGGGAGCGTGCAGCAATTGGTATGCAAGGATGCGCGTAGCAACGAAGTAGTGGTCGTTCTCCCAGTTCTCGTCGAGGTCGGCATTTCCGGCGAGGAAGGTGGCGAAGGCGAACTTGGCCTTTACATTGTCGAGATCGGTGGGGTGCCAGTTGTCATGCGAGAGCACCGGAGGCAAAACGTCCTTGATGTCCTTGGCCGTGTCGGTGATGGTCTGGATGACGGCATCGCGGTGCTCGTCGTATGTGCGGGGCAGAGGCGTGAAGAAGATGGACAGGAAAATGATGATTGTGACAAGCGGGATCCAGAAAGTCTTTGTGTTGCGAAACGTCGGTCTGCGGCGGAATTGGGGGAGAGGCGAAGGCGGCGGGAGAAGGTGTTGCTGCGCCATCGTATTTCGAGGGGAAAGTGAGCAACGAGTGTCGAGAGTTGAGAGTTGATAGTGCTTTCACCGCCGCAGCAGGCTACTTGAGCGAATGTGGGTAGAACGAGAGTCGGGTCGGAAAACAAGAGTCAAAGATGATGCGAGGAAATCCGATATTATTATGGCCGCCGAAGGAAATTGACAAACGGCTGGGAAAGGGACAAGGTTGCAGGGCTAAATTATGACATAGCGGCCATGGCCGACCTAGATAGTATTTTGCTGCGCCGTTATGTGTCTCAATGCTCGATACGATCCCCAACTCCCAAGACCAATTCAAGGACCGCCTCTCAATCTCACTGTATTGCGCAAGGCGTGATGGGCGCTCGTAAGCCGAGCCGATGAGGAAAGGTCGTGAATGCCAGGAGTTACCTGCCAAGCGGATACGAGTGATACAGAGTGACAGAGGCACAATCCCTTGCTGAAGCTGACCCTTTTCAGCTGGTGTTGGTCTTTACAAACCCGTTTTTCTTTCACGAGCTCCTAGACAGAAGAAGGGGAGGGTGTGTAAAGACATTAGACCGTGCGCTCCACTGCTCCATCGTCAATCCCTGTCACCACGAGCCAACTGTGCCTGTGCACCGCTTGATGATCGCGCAATCTGCTTGTGATTGTGACAATCAAATGCTTTGCTTACGACTTCATCTTTCTTGAAACCAAAGTCGTTTCCTGTCATTTCTTCAGATAGGAAACCCAAAAGCTGTTACGTTTGATCTCTCATTTGACATGTGCTTCTCGCATGTTGTTTTCTGGACGCCACGCAGAAGGATTTTGGAGTTATTTTTGTTCGGCTCTTGGCCCCGCCATCAAAGCTAATACCATTTTGACTCTGCCTATTTTGAGGCTGTAAACGGTTGGGGTCTTCCTGGAGGCTGTGAGGACTTCGTCTTGAGCTGAAAACAAAATCCTGCTTGTGTTGGTTTCAATAAACAAACATCAAAGGTGTTCGCGATGCCACATTGCGCAACAACGATTTCGTCCTCAAGATGCCCGTCGGTCGGTGGCAGGAAACTCGCCGAGCATTGCATCATCCGCTCCGGATGGCTGGCCTTCCAGCACATCCGAGACCACCATGCTGACCACTATGCTGCTGCCTTTAGATAAGAACAATGACCTTCTGTCGCTCTGAGGGGTAACGACTCTGGTTTGTAAGCTCCATGAAAGCAATCGCTTACCAATGTATGTGATGGAAACCAGAGGAATGATGGAAGTACATTCTCTAGCTGTTAACCGTCCACGGCGCATAGGACGGAGAGATTGTTGACACCGTCTCTGTCGTGATCAGTACCACCGAAGGGTTAAACGACAGGACCAGAGCAGATCGCCGGTCCAAGGCTCGATGTATTAAAAGGTGCGGGTGAGCTCTTTCCTCAACTAACAACACAATTTCCTACCATCATCATCACCATCTTCGAAGTCAATCATAATGTCCGGATCAGGAATCAAGACTGTATTTGGTGGAGCTAGTGTTGGCTTTGGTACCTTCAAGACTGTTGAGCAGTGTGATGAGGTGTTCAAGATTCTCAAGGCCCACGGTGTCGACACCATCGACACAGCACAATTGTACGGTTCAAGTGAGCAGATCCTAGGAGAAGCCAAAGCTGGTGAGCAGTTCATCATCGACTCCAAGACTCCCGGAGGTTTAAACCCACCTACCAACACCAAGGCTCTGATCCTCGAGAATGGCCACGAGAGCACAAAGAAACTAGGAACGTCTATCAACGTCTTCTACATCCACGCACCATCTGCAAGCGAGCCGAATGCCGACGTCCTTTCAGCTATCAATGAGCTCTACAAAGCCGGCGTCTTCAAGAAGTTCGGTCTCTCCAACTTTGCAGCCGGTGACGTCCAGGCCGTGTACGACTACTGTGAGAAGAATGGATTCGTCTTGCCCACTGTCTATCAAGGTAACTACTCTCCTGTCGCCCGTCGCCAGGATACTGAGCTCCTTCCCACACTTCGCAAGTTGGGTATCTCCTTCTACGCCTACAGCCCGCTCGCCGGCGGATTCTTGACCAAGTCCAAGCAAGAAGTCCTGGATGGCAAGGGAAGATTCGGTCTCGAGGGCATCGGAGCCATCTACAACAACATGTACTCGAGACCTCTCCTCTTGGACGCGCTTGCACGATGGGAGAGGATTGCCAGCGAGGCAGGTGTTCCTCGTGCTGAATTGGCATACCGTTGGGTCAAATACAACTCCGCCTTGAAGCCTGAACACGGAGATGCAGTCATTGTTGGTTCTAGCAGTACCGAGCAGTTGGAGCAGACTCTAGAAGGTCTCGATCATGGTCCTCTGCCTGCTGAGGTGGTGGAGAAGATCGACAGTGTCTGGGAGACGATTAAGCATGTCGCACCTCTGGACAACTTTGCCGATGGCATGAAGCCTTCTTAGACTGGCAGTTGTCGTTAGTTTTGTGATAATACAGTAATGATTCGCTCTCACTTAGAGAACAAAGTGTCAAAATCCGAAGACTGCTGCGCTGACGATTCCGAGAGTGGGACAAATTGAGCTGGCGCAGTGCACAGTGTCGAAACGCTTCATTTTGTCTCTGGGGCGCTAGTGTTAACGAGTAAAGCAGCAAACCTTCCAGTTGACTCGAGCCAAGTTGAGAAAGTTCGTGCATTCCAAGAACCATCTTTACTGAAGCTGGTCTTTGGAGGAAGGTGCACACTGCTCATAGAACAAGCAAGCGCGACCGCTCAGTCCAGTCCACACTCGCATCACTTCCTCAAACCCACCATCCAAGACTCAGCAAAGCCTTCAACTTCACAACATCACAACGCGCGGCTTCTCATCACGCAAGAAGAAGCGAGCTCAAGGTAGGTGAAACCTTGTCCGCGCCTCTTATATTCCATCGACCCAGCTAACTTTTCCATCCTCGCAGCATCGATCGAGTCATCACGTTCACTGGCCATGGCGCGCAATTCCAATCTCGAAAACATGAGCACACCGTATTCACTGGCCATGACCGCGCCCCCTTCGCCTCTCGGCGTTTTGGACATTCTACCATCCGAAGTTCGAGACACAATCTACAGCTTTGCCTTGGTTATCAATGATGGCTGGTGGAACGATACCAGCGTGTACATCAACCGTTACAAAACATATCCAGAGTTCGGTTTCGAACGAGATGACATCGATGCGAGAGTCTTCCTTGAATGCCTGCCCCTAATGCAAACCTCGAAGCTCGTTCGCAGAGAATGTTTCGCGACTCTTCTCAGAGATCAGGATATACAGAAGCCTGACGGTTTACGCTTGTGGAGCCTTCTCGCAGAACTCTCGAAACAGGGAAATCTCGCCAGACACACAAGAGCTGTGGGTGTTGCCATGGCTCACTTATCCATTCCTATTGAACGATTCCGGTACAATGACCTCTTCTACCATGACCGATGCCTGTATAACGACCTTCTTGCAAGCTGGATTCCAAAGCAAGTTTGCGAGCTGAAACGTTGTCTACACGACTTCGAAGTTCCTGCACACAGGTATTTCCTCGAAATCTTCTACGGAGCCGTTTCAGTCGACTACGACAGCCAAGGACGGGGAATTGGTCTTCTAGACAGAGATTTTGGACTGTCCAAGCGTGTCGCAAACAGTTACTACCGAATGTGGAACGTACGAAGCGTGACCATTAAGCTATGGTTGAACGACCTCGATGCTTCGATCAGAGCCTTGGACAAACTGTGTGACGACAGGGACAAGCTACTACAGGAAGAACATGGAATCTGTACCAGCTGGGTGAACAGGCTCGTCGCAACAGAGAAGGAGAAGATGGAGGTGAGGGCAGAGATTGACAGTGCAATTCCATGGGTCCGCAAGCAAATGGACGACTTGAGAACATATCACATTTCTCGAATCGAACACGTCGACAAGCTCTGGAAGAGCAATCACATCGACGAGCTTGACTTTTAGTCGATTGAAATCGAAGCACCATCCATCTTGAAGCCTTTCACCCTCATGATTGCTCGCCGACTGCGGTCTCGAATGAAGGCCGATATTGTTGTTCCCGGTCAAATTTCTATGGACCAATAGCTATGATGACACGACAAGGACAAAGAACAAGGACAAAGAACAAGGACGAAGCCCTAGCGGGCCTTGCAGAATCACAGTAGCTGATTATCCAACTCATTGACACCATTCTACGTGCTATATCAGCGCTCTTGCTCCTCAACCCCGTCTATAGCTAGCGCATCTCTAAACGATCACGACTGCTCTCTCTTTCCGTTCCTGTCTCGCTTGTGTGATCTTGCGTGTAAACTTAATTCACTTCTGGGAGTTCTCAAAATCTAGAAAGTGCCAATGGAACTTGTGTCGAGCAGGGTCATACCATTGACAACCTCATCCGAGGTCATCAACGATATATCTTCCTCCCACATGACTTTTCTATTCTAAGATATCCCTCATCTGTGCCTCTCGAGTGGTAAATATGGTGTGTCCTAGTTTGGTATGTTTGGAAACACGTTTGATGTTGTCACTGCATATTTCGGCTTCCTGATATCACTCGATCGAAAAATCCGACCACCTTGGAGTGCAATCGTGTCACCATCTCGTTCCACAGTACAACAAGTGCAAGCAGATTGCAGAGCAGGCTTTGATGATTTATTCGAGCATATTGCAAGTCTACGAAATCCAATCGTCGCAACATACTGACCGAAATAGACACCTGCTGTTGATGGTGATTCAATCCACAATGTTGATCCGAGATCGGTTCGTCAGATGCCAGCATTACCCATCCGCACTTTTCTTACCTTGCAGAATATACTCTCAAGATCTCGCAGTGCCTCTGATAACGATCGGATGTTAGCATCAGATAAGAAGGCTTGGTTATGGGTTATCACGCAGCAAGTAACTCTGCGACACGACCACTCGCAACACCGACGGTCCGCGAGAACCATCTCTCGACCTTGTAGATCGTGCTCGGAAAAGATTTGCAGTGCCTCTGATAACGATCGGACGTCAGCATCAAATAAGAAGGCTTGGTGATGGGTTATCACGCAGCAAGTAAATCTGCGACACGACTACTCCTAACACTGACGGCTTGCGAGAACCATCTCTCGACCTTGTAGATTGCTCTCGGAAGGACCTTATGGTACCTCGGAGCATGCTCGGTACTCTGGCATGAGTTTTTGGTGGAAGATCACCTCGCATAACATATCTTAAAGAGGCGACCACTCGCAACACGAGCAGTTTGCGACAACCATCTTTCGCCATCGTAGATCATGCTCGGATGGGTCCCGCAGCACCTCGGAGCGTGGTCGGTACTCTTAGCATGCTATCTGGATTTTTGGTGCACCCTGGCCTCGTTCGGATGTAGAAGCACTCGCAGCACCGGGACTTTCAGGTCACACTTTGCAGACATGATAGATCGCACTCGCAAAGTTTTGAGACCATAGCTGAAGTACTCGCTAATTTCACACCGCGGTGGTTAGCTTGTGTGCATACAAAACTCAATTCTTCCACGGTCGAGCCTGCTACTTTTTGACCGGCTCTTTCTCAGAGGCCGTCAGAATATGGATGATCTTGTCTGGCTCCCCGGTTGTATGAACCTCGATGTATTCTGTCGCGCAGCACGAGATTTTGATAGTCACATGTGGGATGGAGACATATTCGGGCTGGCAAAATGATTTAATTTCATAGCCATAGCGTTCTATGGCAAGCCCTTTCTACAAGGACTTGCATGCCGAAAAAAGCTACATGTAAGAGTAGCTAAAACAGGAAAGTGGTATCGTGCCCATGAGAAAAAAGTGTAAAAACGCCAATTGTGCTGTGTAAAGGGGGGACAATGCATAATCGCTCGCTTTCTGTGAACAGCCATGAGAATATGATCTGAATGTATCAAATACAGTTCAGTGATAAAGCAATAACTCCGGGTGTTGATGCGAGGGTGCAGTGCTATGCATAAAAGCAATGACAATGATAATGAAAAAAGGGGTGACGAGAGCAATATATGGGCAGCTCGTGGAATATGGTACAGAAGAATCGAAGGTTGTTCATCTCGAACAAACAGTCAGGCAACTAGCCTCTGTTGTAGAAGGAGGTGGGCGGGAGTTGTGGATGCTGGGTTTGCGAGTACCACTGATTGGAAGAAGGATTTCCTTCGAACCACTGACTCTCGATGTAAGGAAGGCGGCCTTGTTGGCGCTCCTGTGGACGTCCGAGTGGCTGATAATGCATCTGCTCGCGCTGAACGTTCTGAGGCTGTTGCAAGGCACGAGAAGGAGGAGGAACAAGCAAAGTCGAGACACCACGGACTGGTCGATAAGGGCTGTTACGCTGAGCCAGGAAGAAGGAAGGCGACAGTTGAGAGACGTGAGCCTGACCTGCAGGTTGGTAATGTCCATCGGTGGGAGAGACAGCGGCAGAGGAAGGGTAGGGACTCTGATGTCTCGAGTGAACAACAGATTGAGGGACCGAAGTGATAGCGGCAGGGGTACCAGCATGCGAGATGGGAGCGGGAATGGAGGTGGCCGGGGTCCACGAAGTAGGGGGCTGGGTCACCTGGTTCATGGGTCGGTGCGAGTAGTTCAGTGGAGGCAGCTGAGGCAGTTGAGGTAGCTGAGGCGGCAAGTGCTGGGATGAATGAGACGTCGGCTGGGGGAGAGGGAGGCTTGGCAGAGTGACTCTCGGAGTATAGTTGTGAGCCGGAGTAGGGTAAGCAGCCATGCGCTTGGCAGGAGGCTCAATGTAGGTATCAAGGCTTCTCTTTCGTGAGAACTGAGAGGTCAGATCAGGAAGCGGGCCGAGCGAGGACGGGTACTGAGGGAAGGAGTGAGTGACGGGGTTGGTGGCACCGTAATGAGGAGGCGAGGCGTAATTTGAAGTAGGCGGCGAGGGAAGCGTGTGAGGCAGCTGAGGCATGGGTCTTGAAGCGCGATCGAAGAAGCTGGCAAAGCGGCCAAGTCTGTTCTGCCACTGACCCCATTCTTCTGCTGACGTGAAGAGGGCGTACTTCATGTTGCTCAAGAACTCGACCTCCATAATGTGCACCTCGGCCACCGAAATACCCGAAACCTCAGCCCATGTCTTGTTTGTGTAAGTGTTATCGTCCAAAAACTTGTTGCCGAGCATCAGTGCGACTGTCAGGAGACGGTACTCGCTACCGGGCTTTCCCTTGACACTCGGGTTCAGCTTTTTCAGGCGGTAGACAAACAAGAGGGCGAGGATGATGACATTTTGTGTGACTTGGGTGGTCGAGAGAATGGTTGTCACCCACTTGCGAAAGCCTGTTGTAGGGATAGCCTCGGGTACCAGTGATTGTACGTTGTACGTGGTTGCAGGGTCGTCAGCCCGGTCTAATGTGCTGGAACTCTCGAACCAGAAGAGACATGTGATCTGATCTTAGTCAGCAATCCGCTGAGACTACGTGAGTACAAAGATCAACGCACCTGTGCTGCTAGCTCAGCAATACTTCCCTGACTGTTGTTGACGGATCGTGGGATTTGTAGCGACGGGGCAATGGCGCTCATGTGAGAGTCCCGCTTCTGGTTTGGAGGGTCGATGAAGTGTACGGGGTGTGGTTGGTAGACTGGACTCGGTGGTCTTGCGGCGCTGACATCGGGCTTTGGCAGGTGGAGCTGGTTCTGGTTGTGGCTCTGACTTTGACTCTGATCGTAGGCGGGCTGGTCGTAGGTGCGGTGCTCGTACTTGACAGGAGCGGCAGAAGATCTCTCTCCATAATAGCTGCTGTGCTGAGGCTGCACATGCGAGGCAATACTGTTCATGTCCGGCGGCGGCGTCAAGGGCTTCTTGCTGGGGAATGAGACCTTGGCCGAGCCAGAGGGAGATTGGATGTCGAGGTCGAGCTTGTATTGAGAGTTGGCAAAGGTCTGAGATGTCGAGGGCCTGGAGTCGACGAAAGGGTTGCGGAAGTGAATGCCTGGCGGCGGATACATGGACAGCATGAGGCAGACGGGAAGATGTGACGGAGAAGAGTGAATTGGTGTCAGTGGCAGACGACGACAGATGTCATGGACTTTGATGAGCAGAAATTATTGCATAGCCCAGGTGCGTGAGTTGACAACAGGGCACGGTCGAGGCTCGTGGGGAAGGTGTGCACAGTGAAGCAAGGAGCGACTGGTGTGAGTGAGGGTAGGTATGTAGGGTAATAGGCAGAGGCAGGAGGTATGACAGCAACGACGGACGGCAGATCTGGCAAGACGAAGACAAGTCTGACCAAACGTTATTCCATGATGGCTATGACACTGCGGAGTTTAGTGGAGGCCACCTCGTCAAGCACCAGCAGCACAGGGTACATAACGGATGCACGCAGGCAGCCAGCAATAACGAAGAGCCTTCCGATGATCATGGCGGAAAGCCCGGCGGACCTGGCAAACCACAACGTTCATGAGGATTGCCCGGCGTGAAGTGTGAATCAGTGGTCGGTAGGTTCCAGACATGGACCCAAGACCTTGACCGCAAAGAGGCGCAGATGCGAAAGGGAAAAAGAGGGTCAGTCAGGCCAAAACGTTGACATCAACTGCGGTCCAAGCACTGCTAGCCCGGCGGATACTGTATTATTGGCTAGCAATTCATCAAGCCAAAGCTGCCCCCCCTCCGGCTGCCTGCGCTCCGCTGGCCAGGGCATTCCGCATTAGGCCGTCTCTACCTAACTACTGTATCATCGTCGTGTCTCGTCAAATGTGCACACACGCTGCGTAGCTCGTAGCCCCTGGGTCCAAGAGAGATTGCCAGTTGCCATCATCATTCCCTGACGAAGCCCGGCCCGACCAACACGAATCCCTCGCAAGAGAGAGGAAAATTGTGATACGATGAACCGTCAATCATCACCCTTGCCATGCCGCTGCTCCTTGCGGGAGTTGATGCCGGTCGATTGGTCGTGTTGCGACTCCTGCCTGCTGCTGCTGCTACTGCTGCGATGCGCGACGACGGATGTCGGCCTGACCAAGCAACGTAACGAACGCACGCAGCCCATCATCGATAATTATCACCCATCACCCGAATCAAGTATTGGTTGTGCCAGATCCTACGTTTATCCACCGCTCACGCGTCAAATTTAAGTTCAAGGATAAAACCATGTATGCAACAACTTATCAGTGACCTTCCTTCCTTCGCGCTCCCGATCCATACAAAATCGGCGTATATATGCTCGAACACGGGTGTGCATGACCTCCGCGGCTTGTGCGGCTCGAGAATCTCGTTCATCATGATCAAAGACAAGGGCACACTTGCACCGCCTTTGATTCGCCAAACCGTACGCCAACCTTGGCAGCCACAAAAGGGCCGGCAAATAGCAATCAAAAATAAGAGTCCTCTGACAGAAGAAAAAACCTTGCAAAGGAAGAATCACGGCCCCAAGCCAACGTAACGATGGCTGCGACTGGCGATGCAAACCGACCACGACGCTTGGCTGGCTCAGGTCCGTCTCACACACGGTCTTGGTGCCACCACCTGCGCGCCCGCAACAGCCAGCAAAATTATACTCAAGACTCCAAAACTGCTGCCGGCTGGCGGGCTAATTTAATCGGACCAGTCCGTATCTCAAAACCCTCCCCGCGCTTCGTCTTGCATGTTCATCGACCCACACACAGCCTGGGCGACTAAGCGATACGATATCCGACTTGCCCGGCAGCGTGCTATGCACACTTGTCTCTGGGTCCTGATGCCTTGACGATTTAATAGGTATCATCATGCCGATGACAATTGGCGTTTCTCCCCCTAATGATTATTACCGCCGGCGTTAGACTTCCGCCCTTTGCTTCTAACCATGACCCACCTTGTCTAATTTGAAAAAGAGAAGAGGTCTCGAGTGAGCAGCCAAGTTGCAACATCATCTCATTCTGGAATTCGTCTCCTAAAGCCGAGGACGTGGCACTCGTCCGTAGCAGGAGATCAGCTCTTGCCTATTCGTAACTGCCGCGAGCCGTGGCTCAGTCGCGGTCGCCTCGATTCACTTTATCAGATGGTGCACTGGCTGGTACTGGTGTGCTTCAAGCAAGCGAACGCTATCTTTGTCTTGTCACGCATGGTGCAGATGGCACAGCACAGCACCGCGAATATTGCAATTCTACTTTCCTCCAAACCGTTCGCTGGCTGTACCACACGCCAGGGCTTGGATGCTAATCATTGCCTTTCTCAATCAAGCGAGGAATCTGGATCCATCTCCCGGGACCACACCTCGTTCTCATCTGCCTTACCAAGCATGCTGCTCTAGAGGAATACACAAAGCCTATTAAGCGGTGACGAGTCAAATATCATTTGATCGTTGTCCGTATTCCAGCCCGAGGGCGTCTCATCATGTCTTAGTACACATACCAGCTGGCTCGAGCAGCATTGAACGGCTGCTTGCGAGATCGCATTGACTTGCCGGAGTGCATCCTTGATACCAAGCAAGCAAGAGCATCGTACACACGCGCGGCATGTTCAAAACTTTAGGCGCCTTGCGTGACTCCCCTCTGGATCTTCAATATCAGGATCAGCAGGCTCTAACATTCAGAAAGCCGTTGGAACTTGTTTGCATGTCACAACTGGTGGTCGCATCAGCCTTGACGGGCGGATGGACTAAACAAGGTATGTCCCTGATCAAATTGTTGGATTGTCGCCACCTCCCGACGTGAATCGCATGTTTGGTTCATGAATGGCGCACCGGAAATCGTTGCAGCAGGTATCTGCGTAGTAACCATCAGCAGTACAGGTACTGTTGTTGTGAACATGCCTGTCTGTACCCACATCGGCGGAATGTCCGAGACAGCAGCTGACACGACTGTCCTTGTATGTGAACAAGCCACGGAGCCCAGGAGCGGGACCACATCATCAAAAGATAATAACATCTACCCATGCCGCCCGTTTCGCGTTCCATGCTTGATATCGAGTAACGAGGCGAGGCAGCTTCATATCGCGATTCATGAGCAACGAACATGAGCGAGCCCCGAGACCGTATATCCGAAGGGCTAGTGAAAAGCACAGGTGCTTCTCAGCCTGGGCGGGCAGCTGTGTGGAAACATGTGTGGGGTCAGGAGGAGCTATTCCAAATGGGTAACTTTGATTGATCTGGATAGACGCCCTCGCGAAACGCGTTCGCATCATCTCGGCGAGTCGTTTGATGACCTTTCGGTGTATCGTACATGCTTTTCCTGAATGTGGTTTGGACGTTGACGAGAGGCGGTGCGCAAAAGGAAGCCTGTGCTTCCGACTATTCTTGTTGTATTATGCACGATTGGTGACTCCTGTTTCGTAACTGGGGTGGGAAAGTAAGATCAGATGCAGAGACAAGGAGGTCTCTTCATCATCAAATTCGTCATCAAAAGGTGAAGCGACAGCTGTGCATCAAAGTGCAAGCGTTACCGAGCAAAATGCGGATCAGGCGAATGGTCGAACAAATCAACTATCGATCTCATCCTTTTTGTTTGCAACCTCGTGATAGCAACTGTTTTTCTTTCCTTGCTGCTTCTGGCATAGCCGCCGTCGCCTGCGTTTGACCATGTCCAACAACTTCAGCTGTGACTCCATACGATTCAATCCAAGGGAACAGAGACACGCACGGGCAAGCGCAGCGGGACGGATTGACGGGGAGCGGTGGTGGAGCGCACCAGGCAAGGTCCCAAAAGGCAAAATAGTCACCACCTAAAATCCTGAAATCATGCTCTCCTTGTTTCCCGAGGGCGGCCGCGAGTCGTCCATAACACAAAAACCAATCAACGCTTGTCGCTGCCCGTTGGTTTTGCTCTTCGCTAGTGCATTTGTGAGCAAGACGAAGTTCGTACTCTTGTCTGGGCTTCTGCTGTCCACCGCTTTGCTGTACTTTCTTTTGCGCATCACATCAGATCATGTGGGCTAGTAGCTAATCATCAGCGACACGCTTGTTCCATTCCTGCATCTCATTATTGCTCTCTCCACCTTGCCTATGTTGCCTTCCCCTTTCCGTGCCGCACATGTCCCTTTGAAGATGGGGCCTAGAGAAAAAAACTTTGGCATCGTTCGTATGCGAAGGTGTGGATTCGGCGATTTTCCTTTGATAGATGATCATCTTGCACCGCGTGTGGTGTCCACAAGGGTTGCAAAAAGGATTTTACGAAAACGACTTTCTTGGATTTCTTCGTTTAGCGTCAAGCGCCTCGTAAGCCAGCCAGCCTTCGAGCTGTGAGTTTCAAACAAGTCACCAGCTAGCTGTTCGGATTCGCATCAGGATGGAGTACGATCTTGAGCGCACAAGGACATGTTGCCATCGATAGACCAGATCCCAAACTACTGACTCTCCATCATGCGTAGACTTGGACGAGGGTCGGTCGACCGGCCGGCATTACCGTAGGATCAGCGAAGCCCAGCCACAAATTTTTCTTGTCCTTGTTGGTGATAGACCGACAGTGCGGGAAAGAGGTCCTGCTGTGAGTGGAGCAGGGAACTTTGTTTGCCGGGCGGGCGTCGTCGAGAAGGAAGGAAGCTTGCACTTCTTCGAATCTCAAACCACCGCGCATGTCTCATCGTCTGATTTCACGGTTGCAGCTCTAGGCGGCGGCCGCCGGCCGTGGGCAATAACGCAGCAGGGCAGAGACAAAAACTGACCCCTTGCTTGTAACCTTGCATTTGACACACATCTTCGCTCCGAGGCACCTTCTAGTTGACAAGAACTCGAACAAAGTCAAAACCATTGACACAACATCACCGCATCGTCGCGGAAGTCACAGAGGTATGCAAGCCAACCGTGTCAACCGGGGTCCGGTAGCAAGCATAGCCCGTCCACCCTTGTCAATACAAAAGAATCTCCGCGAAGATGCCAATCCTTCTGCCTACCTTCTCGCTCCCGTAACCCGGCTCGTTGGGTTGCCGGCCGCGCATCCCGATGTGTAATGCGATGCTTTGGGAAAATTATATCGAGAACCACAAATTAGGACAAGACCACGTATGTTCATCAACGTATCATGTCGCCGCCGGACTCAGACCTTGTTTGTGCCTTGTGTCGTGGCTTCTTCTTTCGCAGCTCGTCGTCGCAGCCTCGCTCCCGCTTTCCTCGGTCCACGAACCCTGCATGACCGCAGCCACTGCACCGGCGAACGGGTGGGAAGTGATTTTTTGGAAAATGCTTTCAGCCTTCAGCCTTCAACCTTCAAGGGCAAAGCCGCAAGGGAAAGGAAGAAATGAGGCGTTTGCGTTTGAGTCGTCTGAACCTCTCTACTGTCCTGCATGACCAACATCCTCAACTGTGCTAAACAAGAAAAGTCATAAATCCCAAAGACCCAGACTCTGGTAACGGGCCCTGATAATTGAGGGCTGAAGATGATTAGAATAAGAGAAAGCAAAAACGACCAAAAAGCCAATCAAGCGAGAAGGCGTTTTTTGCTCTTCTCTTTCGGCAACGAACCTTTGATGGTTCGATATGCGGCGTAGTGGAGATGCAGAACAGTAATAAGATGGACGATGGGCATGACGCATAGTGTTCCAAGATCGTGTAGATACACATGTTTCTCCATTCGACAACGGATGCAAGCAAAGACGTGGTCACCAGGAGATTAATCGATTTTTCGTTTGCGAATCACGATGCCGAGGGCTGATCAGATTCCTCAAGCATCATCCTTCGTCGCCTATCCATTCAGCAAGCAGGGGAGACGATGCGGTGCGGTTCGATAACAACCGTTCGTTTAGATCAACATGAAAAGTACCTGGCTGGTACAGTATGTAGGCGAAATGTGTGCATGAATGAAAGCGGTAGCCATGTCTCGTGACGTTTGTTCCAATCAATCTCGAAAGGAATCCTCGGCCATATCAGAAGAATCCTTTCGTCGTATCACAGAAACGGAAAGACGAAAACCACAAACCCGAAATACTTTGCCACGATCCATCCATCCCAAGCCGTGTTTGCGGCAACGACATCTCGTCTGATCTTCTTTCGATATTGTAGTCAGATGAGCCACCTGTTGGGCGAGCCAACCTCGCGCGGGTTCGACTAATATCCCACCAACATCTAATCTACCTACCCAGCTCGTGCCACACTACAGCTTGTCCGGTCCCCAAGTCACAGGTCACACATGGACAAAACCCAACGAGTCGCGAGAAAGAGTCAGCAAAGCAGAGCAAGGCTACGGTAGGGCGCAGCTCTGGAATCTCTCTTGTTCTCCCGTCTCCTGCTGCCAACTAATTCTGGCGGTGTGTAAGCGCATGGTAAGTCTCTTTTCTCTCTGTCTTTCATCTAAACCTCAACATGGGACAGCAAGCGTGGTTCGCCTTCAGGGCACCGCCGTCAGCCAGCTAGCCCAGGTCCGCCCAGCTGGACTTTTCTGCGTGGTCCCTCTTTGGCATGGTTAGGGGATAGGCAAACAGCGCAAGTCTCAAGTCATTCATGCATGCATGCAAGCGCATGTTCCATCTCACATTCCCGCAAGCGATCGATGCTTGCTCTCCGCTCTCGCATCCTTTTTCTCACCCTGACCATGCAGCAGTTGATGATGGCCAGCTGGATGCGCACTGCAAGACAAAGAGAGCGATTGATGCTCGTCGCACTCTCTGGGTAGCGTGCACGTCCACGTATGCATGCAAGTAGTCTGCTGCATACAACAAACGGGGTATGTTAGATGCGATGCGTAGGGATTAATGTCACCGCCAGAATATCTTTGATGCTGTTTGCTACATGTCATTTACATTTTCTTGACCCCCTTGTCGAATCAACCAAGTATGCAGCTTACCAAGTGTCACCGCCAGATAGATTTCTCTACATGACATGTCATTCCGTCACATAGAATGAGTGCGCATCTAGATCAGAGAGAGCCAAGAGGACATCTTGTTTGCTGTTGCTGCATTGACGTGAGAGACAAGGTGCCTTGCATTTTCCATTCCGCTCTTGCTGCTTGCATCCCGCTGCTGTTCTGTCGTCCTTCCATCAGTGTACGAGTGGGTGCTGATTCATGCTAACCAGCACCATGGTCCGTCGCTTACATAGTGTGAGAGCATGGTAACACGCAATCCATCACGTCGCACGAGCATAGTAGAGGTTTGTGTTGCGTGAATAGCAGCGGAGTAACCACATGGCCATACCACAAAGCGGAACTCGTGTTCAACCGCGACAAACAAGACTTTTATGCCCGTTCGCCGTGTCCCTCTCACGAGAAAGAAGCCGACGGAAAGAAGGCGACAGTAAAAAGAGAAGGTAGAAAGATATTGATACACTGATTTTTCCTTATCATTACACAAATCACCAAACCCTGTTTTCGCCCTTGATGGCAGATTTGGCACCCTTGGAAGTAACCTTCTTGTGATCGACACGACCCTGCCCAGGAGTCTTGAAGAACAAACTGGGACCCTGGCCCTCTTGCAACATGTGGCTCAAGTAACCTCTATGCGCAGGATCTCTGTAGTATTCGATGTCCTTTCTGCTGGCAGGGTCGGGAAGTCTGTACTTGAACTCGGGACGGGGTGTGGTAGGTTCAGCGCTCTGGATGCTGTAAATGGGGTCGGTTTCGCCTCTTCGCACGCGCGAGATGGAGGGCTTGGTGTAGTAGCGAGTGGTGACCTTTCCGCCGGCGGCTTCGATGGCGGCGATTGCGGAGGCAGAGGCGCGGCTGACGACGATGTCGACGGGGGTGGTGAGCTTTTCGGAGCTACGGGCGAGGAGCTTGATACCGTCCTTGATGCCGTGGATGCAGCGGGACTTTGCGAGCTCTCTGAGGGTGATGGGTTGGTTAGGGTCCAGACGGCCTGCGTCGATCCATGCTTGGAGGCGGTTGATGTTGAGCGGAGTCATTTCGATCGAGTGTCTGGAAGTCTGGTATAAGCCTTCTGTTCAATGTGCTGCGAATAGCAGGACGAGGGCTCACTGGTTCTCGAAACCTCTGACACCGTGGACAACCTCCTCAGGTGTTTGACCACCATTGAAGTTGCGCGGGACCTTTCCATGTGCCTTTTGACCCTTGTGACCACGTCCTGATGTCTTTCCCTTGCCCGATGAGGGGCCTCTTCCTCTTCTAATCTTCTTGTTGTAGGCGCCAGAGTTGTCCGAAAGCGATGAGAGAATCGAGGCGTTTCTTTGCTGTTGGGGTTGTTGTGCGCTTTTGAGGAATGGTTGCAGCAGCGAGGCTACGCTCGAGTGTGGTGCTGTGGGCCGGCATAGCGATGCCCGTGAGAGGAGATTGAGTCGTGGCGGCATGGTTGATGTGTGTATTGTGTTGTGTCGAATAATCTTCTTTCCGACGGTCTCGACGCCGCCAACTTCGCGACGCCTGTCGGACGTGTGGCTCCGACCAATCACGTGCGTTTCCTTCCAGCAGACATTCGAACCATCAATGTCACCAACAATTGGTTTTTCATTTTCCAGAGGCTCTGAGATTGAACTGAGTAGGAAATCTTGGAGAGAGTGATACGACAAGCGGAAGAAGACGATTAATGCAAACTTTTCAGAAGAAACGAACACATCGATTACTCGGTCTACGCTGTGCATACCATCCTGGAGCCAGCCAGCCGTTACCAAACCCATTTCCCTAGCCATTCCCTATCCCTGATATATACAAGATCCTATCCATTAACTTTACTCAAGAACCAAACATCCTCCAGTGATCAAAACGAGACATAATACCACTGCTGTCAGGATTCCAGCTCCGGCCTTGTCTCCAGTAGTGATTTTGTCTGTGTTCACCGCAGGCATGCCATTGCTGCCCGTCGTCCCACTAGTGCCTGTACCTGCACTGGGATCACCTTTACTCGTTCCTCCGGTCGTTGCTCCCACGGGTGCTGCCAATTCGGTAGTGTCCAGCATCATAGCCTGAATGATTGCGAGTGCCGACATCTGTTCACCGACTCCCGATGTTCCATCCCATACCGTCGAGTTCCATTCACGACCGCAGTGTCTTCCAAGTTCACCTCCAGAGCATTGTCCTGCTGCACCAGCTGCCGACTTGCGCAAGTATTCGAAAATACGGTCATAAACCTCGGGGACCAGTTGTGCTGTCAGTACGAGCCATCGTGTAAGGAATGCCTTGAACGCCGGTTGGTCGTTGTTGCAGTTTCCTAGGGGTTCGCAGGTAACCTCAACCATGACACCTCCCATCTTGTCAGGGAAGAATCTCTCCAATGTAGAGTTAAGAAGACCATCAATGCGATCCATGTACTTTGCATCACCAGTCTGTATTACTAGTTAGTATTTGTCGCTCTCAGGTCACGCAGAAAAACCTACGTAGTTGTAGAGGTATGCATTCCCAGCAAGGAAGACACCGTAGTTGTAGGTCCACTGCAGCTGACTGGCATCCGAGCAATTCTTCTGCGTACTGGATCCATCGTTGACCTGCCAGTTGTCTGTCTCAAGCAGGGGTGTTCCCGCATACCACTCCCATGTCTTTTCTGCCCAGTCGACGTATGTTTGGTTTTGTGTGTAACGTGCGAGACGTGCGGCCAGCTGGAAGAAGCCTCCGTTCGAGACGGCATTTTTGTAATCATATCCAGCGTTGAAGGTGAAAATCTGCCAGCGCAATCCTCCCCCACAGGTTGCATCGTCCCATCTTGATGCCTGTTCGTTGAATACAGCCTGTGCGAGTGACAGCCACGACGGTTGGCCGTCTCCGGGATCTTCGAATTTCAGTTCGGCTGCCGTCATGGCACTGAAAGCCCAAAAGACTTGGTCATCATTACCCTGTTCACAATCGTGTTAGCCAGACGCTTGCAAAGTGCTGTGCCGAAAGATGCATACCAATGATTTGGACTGGTTTCTCGGCATGTAATCCTTGTCGTCTCCAACTTGATGCAACAGAGCCTGTTTGACTTCGTCATTGTACGTCGTGTCACGAGTGTAGTACCAGTATTCGACCATCTCGCCAAACATGGCGCCGGCCTCCCACCAGTAGTATGGCGAAGGCAAGTTTCCGGGAACATCTCCAGTCCGGTTTCCGGTATAGTACGACATCAAGTCATATGCGACGACACTAGCCGTTGACCTGATCGAGTCTGCATCCGAGACTGTAAGCTGCAATGCTGACCCGAACTGTGCTGTTGCAACGAGTGTGCTGACGAGCCATGACGAATGGAAAGGTTTCATGTTGGAGAATTCGCGATCATGCAAGAGTTTGAGAAGGCGATTGTACACAGCGGAAACCCAGATTTAGGTAGACAACGGAAGAGTACCAGCCTCGCAATAAGATGAGAGATAGACGAGTAGTGGTGGCGTCGAAGAGAGAGACCAGTCAGGCCAGCCTTCGAGTTTGTCGGAGTGTACGGATACGCGACAGAGGGCAGCGAGATCAAGGTGTGATGACGAAGTGTGTGTGCACCAAGGAGTTGAAACATCAACCTGGTGCTTCCTTTGCACAGCCCTTTGATGAATGTCCGACTATTGTTCATCATTAATCCGAGGCCCGCTTTTTCGTCTACCCTTGTTGAGAAGCGCTGACGGGAATCACGTCGCCGTGTGTACCTTGACTCCAGACCAGTGAAACATTTCTATTGGCCGAGTTGCGATTCAATCGAGTGGGATGTGGATTTTCTGTTGATCTTGATTTGTCGACACACGCAAGCGACAGCGACCAACCCGTCTTGCCCGCCTTCGGCTCCGATTCATCCTCCTTCTTTTCGTCGGTCCGACCTTTAACTTTGTACCTTCCACCACTGCAAACCAAAGAATCAACAAGCCGAGAGTCGCTCTTGCAACGCGACGCTGGAGGACATGACAATCTGCAAAGGTCGTTGCTGGAAGAAAACAAACATGCACATGACAACTTCTTCTTAACAGTCAAGATGTTGATCGCACCGTTGCTTAGCACCTTAGCGAGCCTTAGCATGCTTGTATTTTCCTTGGTCCTGCTTTCTTCCATGCATCACGACCGAACCTTGAAAAAGAAGCCCTAGCTCGTCATGGCTAGGGACTACCGACGCGCCATTAAACACTTGCTGATTTGGTGGCTGGTGGCCGCACCAGGGCACACAACGATGGCCATCCGCCCGTGTCCACCATCTGGAAAGCAACTGGATGTCCTGCTCAAAACGTAGGGTGATATACTGACAAAAAGAGCTTTTCTAGCACATACGGCCACAGTCAGCTGAAAACTGGGCATCCCGTCCGCTCTGCCATACATAAGCAGTTGAACGGCAGATTAGTACTACGGTGGGTGACCACGTGGGAATCCCTGCTGCTGTATGTTTTGGATCTTCTTTTGCTTCGGCTGCATCGCTTTCGCTCCTGTATCTTCGATCTCTGATTTTGCTCTTTTAGCATTGTGCCCTGCTCATCGGATGACCGTAGCTACGTTCATAAGGAACATTTCATGATATTGTTGACATTGTAGCAGGAGACTGTATATACCAATCTACATGACCATCAATCCTTCGATACAAATGACATAGACCTTCGCTAAATGGAATCTTACCCCCCACAGGCTCTAACACCGAACTCCTACGATAAACCAATCAGCGCCGCAGAGAACCATGTTAAAAGAAATTCTGGCAGTTCAAGCGTATGAGGTGTGGAAAATAACACAAGAGTGACTAGATAACGTAAGCGTTATCCCTTGGTCTAGCCCATGGACTGATTCAAAACACCTGGTTGCTGTCGCCCCAGGCACTAGATTCAAAGCCAGGGAGGAAGTGACCGGGTCGAATGGCACTCAGCAGGTCATGGATCATGCCGTCGTTTTTAATGCCATCGATGCATTGCCAGCTGTCGCAGGACAAAGACGGATCAGGAGCGTTCGCGATGTCGCTGGAAGAGAACGGATCATTGTTCATTGGGTCTTGGCTGTGACGCTGTTGCTCGTCCTTCCAGAAGAACTGAGATTGTGGGCTGTCTTTGCCAGAGTCCTTGAAAGGTTTCCTGATCAAGTCGTGCAAAGTACGCGCTGCGTCGTAAACAGCAGACTGGCTTACGGGTTGACCGATTACCGTTGCGGTGAGGGTCTCGTAAAGAGGCATCAGTGTGCTGTAGAATTGTCCGGCGGCTATGTCTTTTTCGCGACAGATGTTGAGAATTTGAAGGCAAGAAAGTGTAAGGTCCAAATCAGCTTGCGGATCTGCCCCTTGTTCTCGTGAGTGTTGCTCGTAAAGTACCACCTCCGCTACATGGTGAAGGATGAGCACACAGCTAGAATATGATTGGAATCTGAACATATGTCAGCACTATTATTTGGAAAATCTTACTTTTGTGAACTCACATGCAGATCCAGCATCTCTGGATAACGCCACCCTCGACATAAAGGCGGCCGAACAGTTTAGCGGACTCTCTGGCAGCGGCCTTTGCCTGCGAAATCAATTCCTCAACTGCAGTCTCGCTGCCAGTGAGCAAATTGCTTCGTTCGTGCAGACTCTGGAGTACTCGACGTAAGAGCATGATCTGAGCTCCAGAGTAGAGGAAATTGACGTAGTAGATGGTTCTCCGTAGTTCGTCTGATATCTTGGGATTGTTGTCGAGTTCGGAGAGACGCATCTCACTCGGTAGATTTTGGTGCCAGTATTGCAAGTCCTTGGTGATTGTTCCGACCATCAGTGCGCTAAGGCCCTTGAAAGACAAGCTGAGTCGTAGCATATCGAACTTAATCACCGCGATTTTGATCATCTCGGTTGTCACCTTTTCCTCGAGATCAGACTCGCCTTCAATCTCAAGATTTTTCACATTCAGAAGCTCTTTCGAAATTTGTAATCCTGAGACATAGCCGAGAGTGGAGGATAGCCAGGTTTCGAGGAAAATCAAAACTCGCCATGTTTTTCGAAGCTCCGTCCATTCGCTCCGTTCCATATTGGGAGGGCAAGTTTGTGCGATTTGTGGTCGTGATAGAAGATTCAACCCCATTTCTGGAAGAGTGTTGTGAGTAAAATGATCGATACGGCCTCAAGAAGTACTTACCCACAAAAGTCATGGCGACTTTCTCTTTACTCATGATATTGAACAATCCAAGCATCGCACATACTTTAGCGGCCCTAGTGGCATCTACACTGACGACATCTTCAAGAAGATGCTTCGCTACGCTGTACATCTTTTGTGCTGTACCTTCAGGCTGAGACTCCCTGATGTATTGCGAGCCGAGTGCGCCCACAGCAGAGAGCTCGCAAGCAGCCACACGCTGTGCTTGCTTATCTCCTTGACCATACATGACGGAGAATTGCGATTCGATATGGTTGAGCGAGAAGACATGGAACAACTTGCCAGCTTCTTTGTGGAAGGAATTGATACATTCCTGTAGAGTGCCTCGGCTTGGTAACTGTCTTTCGAAGTCGGAGAACGGCTGGTAAGTTGCTTCGGTTGATGAAGGAGATTCGTTCTCGAAACCGTTTGAGGAGAGCTGAGAAAGCAAGGGGTTCAGTTTCCCATCCGAATTTGCACTCCGTGATCGAGAGGTTTGAGGTGTCAGAATTGTATCGGTGGTCATGGAAGGAGGAGATGGATTGTTGGAAGAAACAGATGAGTCGGAATCTCGGTGACGCAACTCATGAGGCTGAGATTGGGACAGGGTCAGTGTAGACAGAAGGTCTTTGGCGCCATCGCAAGTCCGGAGATCCTGGAGCATGTTCTGGGCTTGAGCCGGGGAGGCGGAACGCAGTGCCTCGATGAATTTGTGCATGCGATCGGACTCCGTAACCAGAGTGGCATTCTTTCTTTTCAGAGCAGTAAACCGAGTCTCTCCAGGATTTACGGTATACTCGCAGACGTCGTGACCCTTGTCTTGACAACGTCGACATCTTGGGCGGGTGCCATCGCACTGCCAGAAACTCAGCACCAGGTCGCGACCGGATGAAAAACATCAGAAAGGGACGATACCTTTAATTTCTTGATGCGACACTCATGGCACGCAGCGTTGATGGTGCCACGCCTCGATCTCGTAGACTTGAGTGGATAAGTGTTTTGCAGAGGTTGCAGGACGGCAGCGTCAGCAGACCTGACAGGCTGAGGCGCAAGCGGACGCGCGACTCCCAGTACAGGCGGCGACATCACTTCCAGCGTGAATGTTGGAGCAAGCGAGTAAGCATGAAGAGATCAGAAGTGGACTATGGCGCTCAATCAAAAAGGGCCAGAAACAAAGACGCGGAGACCCCTCCGTGCCCCGACGGATAGATTTGTAAATCGAGGGTCTTGGTCTCGACGCCACCAGGGTTCGGCACTGCCCAGGCTCAAGTACTTCTCGTGCCGAGAATCAACAAAGGGATGCTGAGACGATTCGTAAACAGGAAGGAGCTAGATGCTGAGCTCCCCTCTGCCCCGCAATTTCTGTAGAGCAATAGAGCAAATTTTGCTAAGTGGCAACAAGGGCCAAGCAACATGAGAGCGACTCGGAAAGTCACACGGTCGCGGACTCGCGGTGACCTGTTGCGGCTTTGCGCCCGCTTCGAGAGTGCGGTCAGGGTCACGGTGAGGCTATGACTCTATGATTTGTGTGGGGAAGTCGAGCTCCAAGCACCTTGATATTTGCCCGCCTCGTCTGCCATTTCCTGCAAACAGTCGCACTTGATCATCCTTCCTCGACTTTCCAATTGTTATAGCTCGAGACAATGGCATCACGGACGGACAGGTACCAGAAGCTATCGCCACAGGAGCGCCGGGCTGGCGAATCGGTATGCGCACCACCGCCACGCCACCTTGATGCCGTATAGCTCTAACGTTCTATCGAAACAGGCTCTTAGTGATTTCGCCGATTATGTGCAGAAGCAGCAAGCTCGTCGCCGTCACCCGCAGGACCAGGACTCTGCATATGGCACTCAGTCTGTCGTTACCACCGAAGAACACGCCGAACTGGACATCCTCGATTCGCTCAACCTCAGTGACGAGCCTACCAATGTACGACTAAAACACCTCTTTCTCGACAAGTCAGATGATTCGGATGAGAGTATAAGCCTCCTCACCGGTGTTGTGAATGGTCGCTTAGAGGAGGGTCATGGTGAAGCCATGTTCGACCTTGGTCTGGAGGACAATGGCGACTCGATGGCTTTTGACAAAAGTGATTGGGACTTTGCCCTCGCAAGGCTTCACTCTGTCACCGAGTCACTTGGCGCCGATTACCGTGTGCTCATGACCAAGAATGTAGGTGGTGACACCGAGGTCGATGTGAACCCCAAGGACAAGGCGTGCAGCGGCAAGCTTATCATCCGGCGGCGGCCGCACTCGGTCGACCATGTCATCGAGACTCGAATAGCTGTCGTTGGCAATGTCGATGCTGGCAAGAGCACTTTGCTCGGCGTTCTAGTCAAGGGCGGTCTCGATGATGGCCGTGGAAAGGCTCGTGTCAACCTGTTCCGCCACAAGCACGAGATTGAAAGTGGAAGGACGAGCTCGGTGGGTATGGAGATCATGGGCTTCGACAGCAAAGGCGAAGTCGTCATGGCCTCGACTGCCGGTCGCAAGCTTTCGTGGGAGGAGATCGGCAACAGATCGGTATGTGAAGAAGATCGTATCAGCTACCTCAGCCCCTCTATTGGAGCTGAGATAGATGGGAGATGCATGATTCTACCATTCAGGGTCATTCAGGGGCTAATGCGATCCACAGGCCAAAGTCATCAGCTTCACTGACTTAGCTGGACACGAACGATATCTGCGCACCACCGTCTTTGGCATGCTCAGCAGTGAACCGAATTACTGTCTACTGATGGTCGCTGCCAACAACGGCCTGATTGGCATGAGCAAAGAGCATCTTGGTATCGCCCTCGCGCTTAATGTGCCTGTCATGGTCTGCATAACCAAAATTGATATTTGCCCGCCGCATATCCTCCAGCAAACCATCACCCAATTGACCAAGATTTTGAAGTCGCCTGGTGCAAGAAAGATACCCATCTTCATCAAGAACAAGGAGGAATGCATAAACACCGCCACCCAGTTCATCAGTCAGCGCATCTGCCCTGTGTTCCAGGTCTCGAACGTGACAGGTGACTCGCTCGACCTGGTACGGACCTTCCTCAACATCATTCCACACCACGGCCATTACGACGCCGAGGCACCCTTCGAGTTCCACATCAACGACACTTTCTCAGTACCCTTCGTCGGTACAGTAGTATCTGGCGTCGTCAAATCCGGCGTGGTTCACGCTGGTGACACTATCCTTGTTGGTCCAGATGGCCTTGGAAATTTCACGACAACGACTATCAGGAGCATTGAGAGGAAGCGAATAGGTGTGCCAGCTTGCAGCGCCGGCCAAAGCGCCAGTTTCGCATTGAAGAAGGTTCGCAGAAAGGACGTCCGCAAAGGAATGGTCTGTCTTCTTAAGAATGATGAGCAGCCACCCAAGGTTCATCGCGAGTTTATCGCCGAAGTGCTCATCCTCAGTCATGCGACGACCATCAAGACAAAGTACCAAGCCATGCTGCACGTCGGCCCTATATCTCAGACCTGCGCTATCATCGACATCGACAGAGCATACATCCGAACTGGCGACCGCGCGACTGTGGCCTTCCGCTTTGTACAACGGCCCGAGTTTTTAGCTGTGGGTGATCGGATACTCTTCAGAGAGGGTAGGACGAAAGGTCTTGGTATCGTGAAGGCTGTGGGCTACGACCCTAGCAAGCCCCTAAACCCTGACGCGGGCAAGCAGAAGGCGGTCGCCACTGAATCTGCAGACACCGATAGCGCCGTTCCTACCACTGCCACTGTGTAAAGGCAGAGTCTTTTCTGCAAATCAAGCTCAAACCACTGAGAGCTAGAGGACGAGTTCTCTCGCTGAAGTTGGACTCGCGCAATGGCAACACTGTGCGTCGCTATTGTATACGAATCGCTAGTTTGAAGTCTTGAGATCATTGTTACAAGGGGCTCAGGGGAGTCATCGATCGTTTGCAAGGCGCAAGGGGGTCACCATCTTTATTCTTGTTATTACTCCCATAGACGAAACTGTGGATATGAAATTACATGACTAAATGCCAGAAATCTTTTATTTTACAATTCTTCTCTTGACCGGAGTATCATGATTGTGAGTGGATTGTGAAGCAGGAGTGCACATGAAGGGAGGGTTGAGTGAAACCTCTTGCAATTTGTTGGACTCCCCTTATGTTGATGTGTTCAAATTTGTTTCTGCATTTCGACAGTTGTTCTCGAAGCTCGATGGAATGCAGGAGACGCGGCCGAATTGAAGTGTCTTCGTGACTTCTCTCTGGACGCGTCGCCGTCTCATGAAGGCTAGCTAAGTTCTGGCAGCTAAGTACGGTATTTCTGGAGCGTGGCGACTGGTTGGAGAAAGAGATGTCGATATTGATATCATGACCAATCTCGCGTTGTTCAAAACGTATAGTAATGGCGTATGAGAAAAATGATAAAACGGTAATCCACAAGGAGGAAGAGGAATCGGTTGATTGCTCCTCGCATCATCTAATAAAAAGAAATCAGTAAGTGCTACCAAGATATACTCACAGACATCCTTCAAGCAAGTGTCGATGACCCCGTACCACCCGAACCAAATATCAAAACGAAAAACGACAACTTACAAGGTAGACATGGACAAAAAGAAAAAGAAGTCAAGCACCATGAGCAGGAATCGAACCCGCGACCTCCTCGGATCTAGACTGACACGGCGTTGAGTAACAACGAATGACTGCGCACGTGTTAAGACCACGGGTGTGTTAAACCACTACACTACCACGGCTGTTTTTGACTTGTTAAAAGGATCCTAATAAAGGTGCCATATAAAGGTTGCATTAGAGAGGTTGGATGACGGCGTATAAGCGGGAAAGAAGCTTGCTTGAGTTAGTTTTGGTAGGCGGGTGACCCTAATGATGACTCGGCTTGCTAAGTCTGAGCGACGAGGTGTTATGATGAACGCGTTACCCTGGTGCGGCGAGCTAAACTATTTAGAACAAGGATTGGATAGACTGTGTCCTCGAAATGACTTCATGTCACTAGAGGACATTCAATAAATGAGCGTGCGAGAAGGTGGGAAAGAAAAGGCAGCCTGCGCCGAATGAAAGTTAAGTACACGTACAGAAAGTGATCCGCAGAAAGAAAGAGCGACTCAAAAATAAGGGAGTAATTAAGACAGAAGGGGAGACCGAGTACAGGGATGGGGTACGATTAGAGCAACTGAGAAAACATACAACGGCGAAAATTACGACAAGAAGAAATGCAAGCGGCAAAAAGGGAAGGTATGATCAGGCACAGCGTTGAAAATGACGAGGAATAGCAGATATAGGAAAAGTTGATGTGGTTTTTATTGACATCTCAGCTCAAAAAAAGGAGAAGCATTGTAGAAAGATGTCGAACTTCTAGTTCTTTTGAATAGTTGGTTAAGAACAAAGGACTAGAAGATCACACGGGTCATAAAAAGGCCAACGATGACAAGCTGTCTGTAGAACTGTACCTACAGCAACATGGGAGTATAGCAAAAAGCGAAATACGCAGAACCATACTTAACCATGAACTTAAGTAACACAGAGCAAAAGAGCAAAAGGTTTATGATACTCGGTATTGTTTTTGAAATAGAAATTCATCCACACCAAACCCAGCACCGAGTATCATAATCACCGTGGGCGGGAATCGAATCCGCGACCTCCTGGTTTATCGGGACCACATGTAAAGAGACCACGTGCCCAAACTTCACCAGGTGTGCTACCACTACACCACCACAGCTTTATTGTTGCAAGGGACCAGAAATATTTAGTATATAAGTGTTGAGAGCGTATGCTGGTCGGCGGCGAGGTCAGTGGCGGGAGGAGAGCTTGGATGAGGGAGTTTGGCAGGCAGTCAGGATCCCGGATACATGAAGCCAGATCGCCGAGTTTCAGCTTGCTCGCCATGCTGATTGGTGGTCACTGTTCCTTTGTCCATGTGAAATGCCTACGGAGCGACGGCCAAGAACAAAGACTGACCATTATGGGAGCCATCAGGCATATGATAGTAGATGGCGTGCTCGTGGTATGAATGTTCAGTCTTCTTTGGCTTGCTCTTCGAAGATATCTTGCGCCGCTGGTGGCATCGGTTGCTGCGCAGTACTGTTCAGGGCACGTTTCCTCTGACTTGACATAGCCTTCTTATGTCTTTTACTGTTGATGTGGACGGCCCAGTCACTCTCCGTGACGGATGTGGTGTTGCAAACTTCACAGTGCTTGCGGCTCCAGAGATCTGCGCGAGCGCTTGTGTCGGGTTTTGAGGCCGTCAGCATCTCGGCCGCAAGGGGCGACAAACTCGAAGGGTCTGGCAGCGTCTCTTCCTTGAGGAACGCATCCACCAGCTTGAGCCCGATCTCTGATACGTCTTGCTCCCAATTCGGCAGATCCGAGCCATCAAGCATGAAAAACGAGCCCTTGGCTCCAGCGGTATCGATGGCATTATTAAGCTTGATGCGAATCCATCGGATTTGACGTTTTGCGTACTGTCGGGTACCGGCTTTAGTTTTCTCGATAGCCAGTGCGAGTAGCTTGTTGAGTTGTGCTGGGCTCGAGTCGCCTTTTCGGAGAGCGGCTTGGTAGTCGAGGAACTCTTTGTAACCGATGGCGACCCAAATACCTCGAGTCGTGTCGATCGACTCACCATCAGCGATCCTACCATCGTAAAAGTCGGACAGCGTGTTGACCTCGTTTAAGAGGCCTTGTGTTACCATCTTGTCGACACGGGCATCAAGACGCTTAGAGAGCACGTCCGACTGCGCGCCGACCCATAGCACAAGTGTCCTCATGCGGAGGCGAGATGCTTCCTCTGCGCCCTCCGGAGTCGTGTCCTGGTCGGGAGCTTCACGACGTGTTCTCTGTTCCTCATAGATATCCGAGGCCTTGCGACCAGTTTGAAGCCAGATCTCAAGACTTCTTTGGATCTTCCTGCGGTCGTTAGGATGCCACCTGTCAGCCATGACTGAATCAACTTCTCTAAGTTTCTCGAGGAGCACTTCAGTAGGCTCTTCGAGAATGGCTGGCCTATCTGCGTTCTTCACCGGCTCTTCAGTCTGAGGTTTGTTGGCGAGTGCATCATGGAAGAGTAAAGATTGTGTGTAGTAATGTGTGCCACCGACCAGGATGGGGAGTCGACCTCGTGCTCGGATTTCGCTGATTTTGGCAAGCGCGTTCGAGACAAAATTGCCGACAGTCCAAGTCTCTTCGTTCAAGCCTATACAGCCAAGAAGATGGTGAGGAATTCCACTCCGTTCATCTTCAGGCATCTTGTTTGTGATGATTGGCAATCCTTCGTAGAGCTGCATAGCATCACCGTTGATGATTTCACCATTGTATTTACGAGCAATGTTTACCGCCAACTATTCCAAGAAATGAGCTATTCGCTCCTTCTCTTTTGGTTAATTTCTTGGTGCTACCAAAAAATGTCCAGACTCACCTCGGATTTTCCTGTGCCAGTAGCACCGACTACTGCGACAAGCGGCGTGCGCCCTGTCGTGTTAACCATGCTAGAAAATCGACAAACGGTTCTTCTCAACATCAAACCGATGTTGACATGTTGATTTGCGCTGTGAATCGAGGTCAGAGATTTGAACGCGCCATGAAACTGTAAAATCACGTGATCTTCAATGCCTGGCCCATTACTTTCTTCCATTCCTCTTTCTGTTAATGATTCATCATACATCTTTGATATTTCGATTCTCGCAAAAATGGCCCCTAACGAACCTCTCTCACCAAAGGTCGATGTCAACAACCTGACGTTCGCGTTCCCGGATGGAAGCACTGGTCTGCAAAAGGTCGCGTTGGAGCTGCCCGCGAACAGCAGGACCCTGTTGATCGGCGGTATGTGATATTGCCCATGACATGTGTTGTCGCGATGTCCTAATAGAGTCCGCAGCCAATGGAGCTGGAAAGACTACTCTGCTTAGACTTCTGTCTGGAAAGCGCATGGCACCAAAGGGAACTGTTAGCATTGCAGGAATCGATCCCTTTGCTGAAGGTCTCGAGGGTGTGACGTATTTGGGCATGGAATGGACTTTGAACTCTATCACCCGTACTGATATCGATGTACCGACACTCCTGGCATCAGTAGGTGGCGATGCCTACCCTGAGCGAAGGGACGAACTGGTCAAGATTCTGGACGTGGACTTGAAATGGCGCCTCCATGCAGTTTCCGACGGCGAGAGAAGACGTGTTCAGCTGTGTATGGGTCTGATCAGACCATGGACTGTCCTTTTGCTGGATGAAATTACCGTTGATCTGGATCTGCTCTCTCGCTACAACTTCTTGCAGTTCCTCAAGAGAGAGACCGAGGCTCGTCCTTGTACCATTGTTTACGCAACACATATTTTGGACAACCTGGCTGACTGGCCTACGCATTTGGTCCACATGTCTCTCGGAAAGGTCAGACAATGGGGACCCATGGAGTCTTTCGATGTTCAAGGTGTCCAAGGTGGCCGTACCGGTAACAGTCTTTTGGGAGAGCTTGTACTCGAGTGGCTGCGTGAGGACCTTGCAGAACGTGGCCCTCGTAACGGCCAAAAATCAGAAGGCGCGACATACGATTCACACGAAGGAAAAGGTGGATACGGTCAACTCAAGGCTCCTCCCCGCGATGCTTAGACCGTGTATACCGGTCATGTAAGACGAGCGGAAAATTGCGTACGTGAAGTAGGATATCCCATAATGATATAGGGAGCCAATTCAACATAGAGGCACAGAATACTAGATGTGGCATACACGTTGACGAACAATTTTGAAGAGTTGAAAGTACTTTTGATTATCACTGCGCTGTTGATGCAATGAATGTGAGAAGGTCCCGAAATCTAGTTGATAGTCCCTGATGCTCCATGTCTGTAATCCTGGTCGTCAAACGCCTCGCTCGACAACCTTTTAACCCAAACGCCAGTTTCGCTTGCTAAATCAAAGCTATGACCATAAACTCGTGCAGTTGGGTATAATGTGCAGAAGAATAAAAGAGAGAAGAAAATGAAACATGCGTCGTGCATGAAGAAGGAAGAATGGCGAATTGCTCATGAGAGGTGCAATTGGTCAACATCCTCGTTCAGTTCAGAACCGTCGTAATTGTCGATCTCGTTACGGTAGCCAGGGGGACTAGCCGGTACATCTTCGTAGAGAGGAGGCTGCTCGTCCTCCCAGGCAATGCCCATACCACTGCGCTCGGTGACATTGATGTTGAATTGCGTGCGCAGGACTCTGGCGGCGCCAGTAGGGGTTGCTTGGTTGGGCTTCTTGTTGGGGGCCCATTCTTCGGCAATGACCAGCTCCAAGACCATGACGTGGTTGATCTTGAGGCCGGAGGGACTGTCCACGTCGCACTGAGGCTTTAAGCCGCTGTCGATGGATGCGGTGAACTCGCCCTCAAGCTGACCGTCGGCGAAATCGGTCTTCCAGCCTGACTTGAGATCATCGCTGCCAATGTCTCTGGTGTGCTCGTGCTGAATGCCTCTGCCCTCGCCACCAACCTTGCCCATGTGCTTGGGGCATGCTGGCGAAATGAATTTTTCTTGTTCTTCGATGCGCCACGTCAACTTTCTCAAGCGCCATCTGATCTGGGTATCTTCTTTCTTGGTTGTAATGCCGGACATGCGGGCGTACACGGGGAAGTCGCCGATGGGGTGAATGACTGAGGGTAGAGTGACGTTGAGAGTCAAGTTGGTAGGAGGGAAAATTCTGACCGAGTTCTTGTCGTTTCCGGGACGAATGGCGCGGTTGATGACAACAGGGCGGATGTATTCTGCGATTTCACCATTGACTGTCTCGGCGCGGGCGAATAGCTTGTAGTCGATGCTGCCAATGTGACCGTGGGTGGTAGTGGGGAGGTGGCCGGGAATGAGGTAGCTGAAAGGGAAGTCGTGGTTGCCGGTTGCGATTTCGGCATTGTCGCCCAAGAATTTCCACTCCTTGAGGTCTGTCGATTTCGAGGAGCAGTCTTTGCAGTGGTCTCCTACAGGACGCTTGGTAGAGGTGATGGCTCTGAATGTGAGGGTGAAGGATTTGATGGCAGCTGTTGTTGTGCCGGTTACAATGAGTTGCATGCGACCAGAGAAGAGCGAGCCTGAAGAATGTTGGGGGCTATCCAAGAACAAGACCGGAGGAGACTCGACGACCATGTCGAGCTTGATGTGTCTCGCGGCTTGACGTCCCAAACTCGACTCTCGTCTGCCATCCTTGTCCTTCTTGTCGTGCGAGTGAGACTTGCCAAAGTGGGGGCGTCTGAGATGTTCCATGCTGTCGTGACGAGAGGGGTCTGATCGTACTGAAGAGGAGCTGCGCTTCTTTTCGGGGACGGGTCTAAGAAGAGGTGATGGAAAGTCGAATCCCAGGATACGACCGGGCATGATTATTGACCAGGTGACTGGCTAGCAATGTCCTTCTTTCGTAAAAACGAAATCCTATTCCGGGGTAGCTGATCGGCGTTCTGTAGATCCTGCAAGGAAGGAGCTCCGTTGTGAACAAAGAGTGAAGGACGGAAAGAAGTGATCGAGGGAAACAAAGAGCAGATTCTCCTTTGGTCGTCAGGACTCTCGACACTTATAAAAACCGTAAATAGTCGGGGTCGAAAACTCTGTTGGTCCTTGGAAGCACGTATGAATGACACATATTTTACCTTTGGCAATGCACTAGCCAACTTAGATCTTCAGCGCCCACCTGATCGAAAAAGCCAAGCATCTCAGGATATCGCTTCCCCTTTCTTAAATCGCACAATTGATCGGCTGACCTAGACTGCCTCGAGAGCACTGCACAACGGTCCCTATCGCCTACCAAAGAACGTCTCACACAGCAATTGTCCTCTTCAGTGAAACACTCTGGTCTAAAGCTGCTTCCAACGGCCTTCTATGGACTTTTCGAAGAATGTTTATACCCGGGCTGCCGTTAGAAAGTCGCCCCGAAAGGGCATCAGACCGATCTGGAGTGCTTCCGCTTCGGACGGGCTAAAGAATTAAGGTGTTTAGCTCAGGAGCAACCGTCAACTACACGTTTCGCACCTGGCCATGGGGATCATTGCCGCTTTCCAGGCAATGTATCATCCAAGACACTTTAACGAATCTTCTGCATCTCCGGCGACATCACCCAGATGACCTGTTACAGACGACCAGCTTATGCTTGTACAGTACGACACCATGATGGCTGCCAGCGGCCATTGACCATTATTACCGCATCCCCGCGATGAGGCGCTCTACCACCGGACGCGGAGCCGCGCGCTTGCATTGCATGTGCATGGTGACATGATTCAGAAATCAAGCCGAACTCGCTCTCCTAGGAAACGACTTCGGCACACCGTAGTGGTCAACCATCAATGTCGCAATATCATCATGTACACACGGCTTGATGAGTCGATTTAAGGCTTCAGTTGTGTGAGCTGACGTGGAAATACCATTGAATGACGCGACACCTGAGATGCATACAGTGGAACACGAAACACACAATCCTGCTGTCCATGGGGGCCTGACGCGAATTGCTTGCCGTACACGAGTCGAAGGACGGCTTGACTTTGCTACACCGGCCGCACGTTCCCCTTGGTGAAAAGAGAATTCCACGTGGAAACAGAATTTTCTTCCAACCAAGATGCAATTTTCAAGAGATCACCGATCTGACGAACTTCTTCAGGGTAAAGAAACCGTTTGCGCCCTAGGAAAGGAGCTTCTCTTCACCGCTCATTTCCACTTCTTTGGTATGCTTCGAAGCCGACTCGCATCTTTGAATTGCAGGGCGTGCCTGGAAACTCTGGCGTGATTTGCGCAAACATCTACACAATCTAGAAGCTGGAAGCTCAAAATCAGGAGAGAGCGGAGTCTCACTCCCGAAGGACCAAGCATCACAGAGTTTGAAGATCCGGTTCATGTCGCCATGGACACTATTACATAAAAATTAGCCAAAAGGTCTGCAAACAAGCAGGCCAAGCAACCACCAGGGTGGATTTTGGGGACAACCGAACACTGCTCTGGAGTCAACGGAAAAGAAAAGCACGCCATGAGGAAGCAGTTGGGGCAACACGACAAAGAAAAATGTCGCCATGTCGCGATGCTTGTGGTGTTGCACTGCGCATAACCATACGAGAAGTAGTATCCGGATTAGGAACCTCAATGCGACGCTTGTGGGTCGAAAATGCTTGACTCGGGCCCCGGCGGCCTCCACGTTCTTCGCAATGCAAACGCCATTCGAGGAAGGTCACAACATCAAAGACGAAAAATGCTGTCAATTGACCGAAACTCATACCACGGCTGCTGGCAGCACGCCTTGATGTGACAATAGGGCGCGATGTCTCCAGAAATTCTGCTGTGGCTTCTACAGGCGTAGGGCGTCACAGCTACACGTGTTATGGTACGGATAATTTCAGGACGTTGTAACGAGCTTGAGAGCACAGCAAAGCGACACGTGGATTGTTATAACCGCTCAGCTCTCGACGGCACGGTCTTTCCATTGAAGGATCCTCCCAAATTGCTTCGTCGTCAGGAGCGAACATAGGAGCAGAAGAAAGCAACACGTGGGCTATTCGCATCAGAAATACGCCAGATGCTACTCAACCTACATCACTACACTAAGAGCGTGAATGTAGACTGTTATCGACATCCCTGGTCACGGCCAACAGAACAGTCGTTCTAGTAAAATGGCAGGGCCATTGCGTGTCACGACCAACGCTACGTTACCAGAGCAAAATGTAGCTACAGCTACTGCTTCTGAATATCCCGATACTGTGTATGGAGAAGAACCACAGCAGAGTCCGGCCAGTAACTTCAGGATCGATCGTGAGCTGCTTCGATGCCGGCCGGATGTTACCCAAAGAACGAACCTCTTCTTCAATTGTCGAACAGGATCATTTCAGAGTACCGCCAGGACAAACAGAGATACCGTGTCACCGATCCATCCACGGTTCTCGAAGTCATCAACGACGAGTCTCCCTACCGAGTTTCCATGATATGATCTGTCAATTCACCGCGAACAAAACCTCTGTCTCTTAAGAAATGGTGCCGGTAAGCATACGGCCAATTCTATTGTCTCAATTTCTCTGCAAACCAAAGAGTCGAGAGTGACGATATGCTATAATGATTGTAACTAACAAATTCTCCCGGTAATCTGCTTCCCTTTTTTGCTATTCTGAAGCTCCTATGGATATGTTCTTTTCTCATTGAGTTGGGCCAGTCTTCTTGGTTGATCTGATCGTCCGTTCCTAGCTTTGTATGTTCTGCTGTTTTCAGTTCATCAGTTTATGGCTCCGGGTTGGTCTTTGTTTTGCTTCGTGGCCCCTTTCTTGAACAGCACGTTGCTAGTTTCCATGGGAGTGTTGACTGTTTACCCTGACATCAAGCCCTGTTGTCTGAACTTTCAACCCAGAGTTTTTTTTTTTTTGTAGATTTTTATGTGACATTGAGTCAGGTGCGAGGCCATATTCCATCCAGCACAGCATGAACAGATGTTGTGCCAGATGTGCACCTCTCACTGTCCTGTACGAGGATGCTGAATGTAGTTGCGTGATATCACTTCTGTATCGAACAGCACAATGGCGTGGCTATCAAAGGGGCATGAGAAGGGTTTTTGAGAACTTTTTGTGATTTCGTTCATAGCAGTAAGATGGAAAACAAACGCCATGGCGCCCGCCATAATGCTAGTAGTGTACATACAACATCCAAGTTGGGGGTCTAGGTATAGATATACAGATTGGTGGTCTCTTGACCACACAAGAAGAGAGAGCTTGGAAAGTCGGAAAGAGAAATGTAAGGTTGAGAGACAGAGGAGTTTACGCGCGAAGCTCGGCAGCAGACTTGCCAGTCAAACGCTCGTACTCGGCATCATCAATCTCCTCTTCGTATTGCTCCTCGGTTGCCTCGGAGCGGGCAGCACGGGCGTCGCGCAGTGCCTGGTACTTGTAGCTGGTGTTGCGCATGGTCAAGTCTTGGGCGTAGAAAACGGGCTCCTCGTCGACGGGGGCGGCGGTGTGACGAGTGAGACCGGCAAAGTCGTGCTTGACGGCAGCGGGCCACTCTGCAGCGAACTCGGCGTCCAAAGGGTTGGTCCATCGGATGGTGACACCGTCGGCTGTGTATAACGGTACCTGTTGTCCAGAGCTGCGCTTCTTGTGCTGGGGTTTGCCAATAGGCGGGTGGTAGAAGATCTCCGGGGGCTCAATGGTCAGATCAACTGAATCGGGCGAGGCGGTACCACGAGCTTCTTGGGCTTCGGATTGTTTGAGAGCGCTGGTCTTTGCAAGGTTGATGGCTTCGTGGGCGGCAAGCATCTTCTGGTATCTGAGGCGCATTGCCTTGAGGGCCAACAAGCCCTCACCGATCTGCTTGCGCGACGGGGCATCTTCACCTCCTTGCTGCTGCTCCTTCTTCATCTTCTCCACGGCGGCCTCCTGGTCCTTGAGCGACTGCTCGAGCAAGGGTACACCACCCTCCTCGGCCTCTTTTGCCAAAGCCAACAGCTCCTCGCGAATGCGATTCTGATCATCCTGATGTTGCTGTTGCTTCTTCAAGCCCAGCTGGTCTTGGTGGCGCAAAACCCAGGCCAGATCAGCAATGGAATTGGCCTTTTGATCCATAATGAGGTGTCCACGTTGCTTCTTTTCGGGCATCTTGCGGGCTTCCGGGTCCGGGTGTTCCCAGTTGTGTTCGTGCAGCATACGGAGCTCGCGCAGTTTACGGAAGGCGGCCAGACCTTGGGATGGCGAGGGGAAGGTAGCTGTAAGCAGTGGGCGCCACATATCCTTGCGCAGAGCTGATGGGAGAGTCTTCTTTCCAGCAAAGGTAAGTTGCTTGAGGACTTGGTTATTCTGAGCATTGTTAGATGTTGGTGGTATGGAGATCGAGAGAGAACAGAAACGCACGTTCATGGAGCGCTCCAATGAGTAAATGACCTGGTTGGTCCATATTTGGTGGTATACAAAGAGATGGCGACCGTGGTCGGCTATCCGCTTGGCCAGTCGCTCCGACTTTGACGAAGACATTGTGATATGCGATGGACGGGCAACAAAATGTCGGCGCTGGTCGCTTTCATGAATTCGAGATGCGAAATCGTCCCCCGGCCTTGGCAGCGATTCCGACGCTTCGATGCTCCTTCTCCGCTTCCCGCTGCAGCTGTCCATCATCATCACATGTCGAAACGTCCTATGAAGCATACCAATTGCATGTATCTTTCTCAATGGGATCGTGTAATGTGTAGTGCGCCGAGTTGAGATTATACAATGCCAGATGCCGACCACAATGCTCGTAGGGAGCGACCGTGGCTCATTCCAAGTGTATGCCTACACCCCCGCACCTGCTACCTGCTGCAACACGTACCTTCCCAGCTTCTGACTCTTGTAAACACAGAACAGAAAGATCCGCCATCTGCAGGCTATAACTCTCCGCAATCTCGCTCTATCCCATGAATCCAATCGTCCTCGTCGAGGCACAATTGACGATGAAGGTCTTCCTGCCACCAAGAAGTCCCCAGCTAAGATGCTTGCCTTGCGCGATGCCCATAACATGAACCATTCAAAATCCTCCGATGACTTGAGACCCATCCATGAGACCAACATCTCCCTGTCACCCAGCCCGACCAAGCCACGCACCCCTCCACGCCCTTCGTTCGCCAAGTTACGTAGAAGAAGCACGTTAGAATGGGCCGCTTCGACGTCGCAACAACGACAGAGACGTCTTCAAGATGTCTCCGCCCAGCGAATGGCCGATTTGTTTTACTCTATACACATCCCGAATCAACAAGGTCGGTCAGTGCTGCCGTCCATACTCTTCGTATGCTCCAATTGACACGCGAGCAGATCCCATCTATGTCAGCGAGGTGGCTGAAAAGGTCATGAACCCGAACTTTAGGAACATCCATTTTGACTCTCATGACCCTCAGCTTATGAGACTTGACGAGTTGACTCTCAAGTTCTGGGCCAAGAGTGAGGCCATGTCAAACTATTCTCTATTGATAGACATGACATTAAGCATGCGCTCACTGCAATTCATTGGCAAAAGCGTAAGTTTCCTCTCCAGCGTCTTAGACACTTCCGCTAATCGTCTTGCCACAGCTATCGAGCTTCCATCATCCGTTCCCACCAAACTGCGTCGTGTTTCATCTGACCGATGGCTTCTACACTGCATTCACTGATGCTCGAGTCGATGAACCTGTGGATCCTTTCCGTGATGGGCCTGCAAAGACGACCAGCTCTCGGACGTTAACAACCTCTTCGTTTGACGCTCTTCTGCGTCTTTCAAAGCTTGATGACAGCGTTCAAGACGCTTTGGCCTTGCGGAAACAGCTTGCCTCAGAGCTGGAACGAACTTTACAGGAGAACCAGACATCCTTGAGCGAAAAGACACAGCTCGCAGAAACCACCGACTTCCTGAAGACCATTGACTTCGCTACTGTGACTGTAAAGAAGCAGCTCAAAGTCCTGCAACAGAAACGCGACCAGAAACGCAAGGCTCTTCAAAGCCGGAGAGACCTGCTCACCCGTGACTCGACCTTACGAAAGGAAGTCTTGATGCAAGTCGAGGAGGAGGAGCCAGCACATTCAGATCTTACCTCCCGACACAACACCGTGAAGGCATCCATCACCCAACAACGCCGCCGCGTAACCAATGACCTCTCCAAAATCTACCCCATAACACCTCTACCAGACCAAAGTCTCGCCTTTACAATCCGCGGCGTGCATCTGCCTAATTCAGAAGCTCTGGATGCCGCAACTCCCGAGTCTCTAGCCGCAGCTCTAGGTCACGTCGGCCACGTAATCCAGCTCCTCTCCCTATACCTAGGAGCCGTCCTCCCATACCCCTGCCGCCCACGCAGCAGTACATCCACAATCATCGACCCCATCTCCATCCTCACCTCTACCACCCCCTCGAAGTCCCTCTCCACTGCCGAAAATGAATTGGCCGCTCGGACCTTTCCGCTCTTCTCGAAAGGCGCTGTGCGTTTCCGCTTCGAATATGGCGTCTTCTTGCTGAATAAGAACATCGAGATTTTGCTGAGTACGCATTTCGGGGTCAGGGTGTTGGACATCAGACAAACGTTGCCGAATCTGCTGTATGTTTTCTATTGCGCTACGGCTGGTGATGAAGAGTTGCCGGCGAGAAAAGCTGGTGGTGTCAGGGGATTGATGAGGATGAGACAGGGATGAGAGATAGCATACATGAAGCATAAGCATTGACCTTGATGAGCATAGCGCGATGTCTTGACTTGGTTTTCCCTATGTTACATGGATGTATTTTGAAGACTTTGGTCCCGAGCGGAGGCAGTGATGCATTGTTAACAAGTCAGATTTTGTATCATGGTAACGACTATTTCAGAGTGATGTTGACCTGGTAGCGGTCATCACAGAGTCATCAACAGCGCGGCAATTGAATTGGGCATCATTTACAGAGTGTGAGTAGTCGACAAGAACGATTTGCAGTATGAGAAAGTATTTCAGATACCATGGATAAAAGATAGAAAAAGATTCAGACATCCATAACCTTCGCCTTTTTTCCGTCATCTCCCATCCCAATGCAAGCGAGTGTGTGATGTGTCAAACTCTTTTTTTCAAGATGCTTCCCTTTTTCTTGTCTTTCTTCGTCTTCGAACCACTCCTTCCAAGCAAAGGTTAAACACAATAACAATGAATATTCACAAAGCTTCCTCTCTCTCTCGTGTTCTTTTTTTGATCTTCCTGAAAAAACGCCGGGTTTCCTTTACACAGACTGATCCCTGTTTGATTACAGTTGTTGTTCCCAAAATGATGATGATGTTGAGCGATTGAATAGAAGATGATGTCGTCGCTTCGTGGGTCTGGTTCGTAAATTCCTCCGGAAAAAGTTGACTTGATACAAGCACATAAACAGGTCGATCGTCAGTGTTTTGAATTGGTTGTGTGAGTAGGCTATGACAGGTTGTTGATGGAATTCTCGGCGCGTTGATCGGCGTGCAATGCCTGTGTCTCGAGAGCGCTGGCCATAACGTGGGTGACTAGTAAATCTGTTAGTTGTCGTCCTGACACGTCAAAGGGCTGTTTTGGCTGCTTACCTGGCCATACAGCTGCCTTCTCAAGCATCTGCGCAGTCATGCGCAAAATCCTGCTGCCAAGCCCACATTTGGATAGTCCGTTGAGCCTCTCAAGCGGTGAAGGAAGACCCATAGTTCCATTAGGGTCCAACGAGTCCATCTCGTGGGCCAACATCTTGGCTTGCAAGGCCATCTTCTCCTCCATGACAGTGCAGATGCTCTCCATCTTGTTTAGTAGCTCAACGTCCTCTGTGTCGAGCAACATCACAGCGGGCACCTGACCATAGTCAACATCGACTTGGCCCAGTACGCCCACGTATCGACCAATACGCTCCTGGACAGTGGTTTCCCATTCTGCCAAAACTTGGGCGCAGTCAAGGAAGCAGATGGCTGACTGAATTGGAAGTTCATGTGCCGAAGAGTCCGCAAACGTCAGGTTGCACTTTGACGAGATTACAAGTGAGTCGGCTGCATAGAAGGCTGCCTTTCGCAAGTGACGTTCACGCTTCGAGCTGTGTCCCGAGGACTGTGTTTGTCCCTGACCATATGCGCTTTGCATGAAATCGGGGGAGTCTCCAGATGAGCCATTGGATGAGTGATCAGGAGAACCAGTTTGCGCGATGTCGATCCCACAGGCCAATTCCTCCGACATAGCTTCGAAGTCGCGTTGCCAGAATGCCTCTTTTGATCTTCCAAGATTGACAAAAAGTCTCACAAATGCCAGATCCAACAAAGGAATGCTATCAGCTGCAAGAGGGCCCAAGCCGAAGGGGTTTGGTCGCTGCAGCTTGTGACGGTCGTTGGCTTTCCACGCGGCTTGCCAGGCGTTCAAGGCTGGCTCAATATGCGCGACCATGGATTCGGTCTCCTGGGCTGTCCACTGGCGTCCGATGTGTCTGCTTCGTGTCTCCCAAATATAGTTGTGAAGAGCATTGATCAAAACTAGACATCCGAAAGTGCTTGGTCGCAGTTGATTGCTAGCTCCGTGAGAGTCACCATTAGGGCTATATCTGTTGTAGCCATACATGCTTTGTTGTCTCTGATTAGCCGTCAAAAGGTTGCTCAATGCTGCGGCAAATGGCGTAGCACTGGCCTCAGCGGCCTGGGCACCTCCTCTGGACGCCCATTCTCTAGCGCTGTCTGCCGTCCACAGCTCCTCGTCACAAGGTAGTGAAAGGAGTATTTCTGAGTTCGTGATTGCAGGTGTCTGGTTGTATGCGATGACAAGCAAACTGGAAAGAATGAAGATAGCGAAGAGAGTTCGCTTACGCTCTTCTGCCTCCTTCCACTTCAGCCAATTCATGTGGACATTAGTGTGACCTTGGAATGGGGAAGAGCCGTCATCCATGTGAACGTCTTGCTTTTCCTCTTTGATGTCGCTGGAGTGTTCTTGGTCCGTGGACGGCTGTGCCAGTTCTGCGGCACGAGCAAGGCTGACCAGTGCTGCACAGTGGTTGCTCGCGATATCCGCCGCAGTCTTGTCACCACAGTAGTGGCCATAGATGACATTCAGCAACATTGCTTGGACCAGCCACAGCGGTGTGTTGTGGGAGGAGTTTTCAGTGTTGAAGTATTGCCCTCCATTGACAGCCGCGGACATGTCGGCCTTGCGACGCTCTTCGAGATAGAGCTGGATCATCTTCTTTGCGGAGTCAAATAGTTCCTTTGAGGCTAGATGGTCGTACTCGTAAAGAGCACCGATGGCAGCCATGGCCAGGATCAGACAGCCTCCACCACCGACAACACCGCTGTGGTTAGCCGAAGCCTGCGCTCCTGCGCTCCGCAAATTGGTCATGTATTCGGGCGAGTCAAAGGATAGTGTAGGTATGTGGAGGAATGGCAGATGAGGGTGGAAGTACTGAATGTATGCATTGATGTAACGTTGCAGATCAGCAGTTGGAGGGAGATTCGGTCCTTGTGGTCTAGGCGACAGGGGCGAGCTGATGGAAGGCTGGGAGAACTTTCTGTGACTGAAGGCAGATTGTTGCGAAAGGCTGATGAGCAAGGCCTGGCGAGTGGCGTCTGTGATGGAATCTGTGGAGATGGAGGTTACAGAGCTTTGTCTCGCGCTGTCTGGTACGGATGACGAGGAGATGCTAGGGCTGTCCGAATCAAAGTTGGGAAGAGACGATTGCTGAAATTGGTTGAAATGCATACCACTTAGAGAGTCGTGCACGCCAGAGTGCATCATGAGGGTATCCATCTTGCTATCGGTAGTGGAAGAAGGGTCATGTAGGTTTTGCGGCGAGATTGTGTTCATTGGAGGATCAATTGATGGCAATCCAGTGCCGAGGATATCCAAATTCAAAGCTCCGGGGGTCATCAGAGCCTGCATATCATTGGGATTCCAACCGGCCTGGGAGACATTGATGTGGAAGGGTCCGTCTGTCACAGTCTCGGAATAACCACTCTGGCTGGCAGTGCTGAATTGGGAAGGAGAAGACTGATCAATGACCTCGTTGTTGGCATGTGCCTGGAGTTGCGGCTCCCATTCTCGCATCCATGCAAAGTCGTCACCTTGACCGAATAGATCAAATTGGTTCATGTGGAAGTTTTGAAGGTGCACAGATTGCGGCGCTGCCGAGGCTGCGAAATGCAACTGAGCAGGGTTTACAGTGTTTCCTCCTGGAGTGAAGAGCTGTTCCAACTCGGAGGGCTGCATGCCTGTGTATGCGGGCGCCGTATGGACATGTGTCAAAGGCTCACCAAAGTCTATGTGAGAAGTATGAGTGTCTACGCGAGACAGGTCGAAGCCATCGTGCTGACTCATACCAGAGTGCGTCATGCTATTGATGCCATTGAGGTCCAGGTTTGTTGGGCGCTGCTGGGTATTGCTCATGCTCATCCGGTGATGGGCCATGCTAGCATGGGTCGGCCTTTGTGCGTCAACAGGAGACACAACTCCCATCAGTCCTAGGGATCCCAGGTCCAGATGACCAAGTGTGTTTGCTCTAGGTCTTCCTCCTGCAGCGCCAGTGGCAGTGGTGGTGGCTATTGAGCCTTTTCTTACACGGCCACCATTGACAGGTCCACTTGTGCTCTCGCGTCTGTTGTTCTTCGGCCGGCTGGATGGGTTGTTGGTGAAATGTAGCTTTTGCTGATGGCGCAGGAGCAAGTCTCGACGGGCGAAACATCTCTTGCATTCCTGGCATTCGAAGGGTTTCTCTTTTGTGTGCGAACGCTCATGTCTCTTGAGATGCTCCAGTCGGGCAAACGATCTGCCGCAGGTTCCACAGACGTGTGGTCGAGGTTTGTCCGTCTTCGGGGGAGGGAATTTAGCCTGTGCTTTGGCGGGCTGATTCGAAGCTACCCTCATGTTAGCTAATATGGATCGGAGTACGGCAGACGGTCATACCATCAGCGACAGCAGGGTCGACGCCTGTTGGGGAGATTCCCTCGGGCGATTGATTCATTGTCGATATGTCGTTGAGCATTGAGTAGCTGTTGTCGATGAAGTTCCGGATGTGCTTTCTTGGACGAAGGACGCAGGTCCGGAAGAGGGCGGTACTGGAAACGCGCAATAGAAAGAGGAAACAAGCGACAGGTAATGAAAGCGGTGTGGGGGTCCGGTGTGTCCGGCAAGGAGCGTGGTTCAATAGGTAATACTTGATCGGATTGCGAGCAGAAGCTGGCAGGCAGGAAGAAGGAGGCCTATGTTTGGAATTCAAGCGTGGGGCGTGCCGGGACTTTGGAAGGACAGCGGATCCGGACGTAGGAAGAATAGATTGGTAGATTCGAGCCTGACGCTGGTAGAGTTCGACCGGCGTAACGGGGGAACGCCTTGCTCAGGGACCTTCCAGAGGTCGGAATAGATCCTCGTTGGCTTCTGCCTGGGAGCAGCAGAGATTGGCCTAGATGGTCCGGGTCAATGCAAAACTCACTGGAGGAAATTGCGAGGTTGGTGGTGGGCAACAGGAAGAGAAGGTGCGGTTAAGGTGGGATGCTCCTCGAACGAGCAGTAAATTGGGGAAAGCGCGACGGGATGCGGCGGGCGTTGCGCAAGACCTGGGGTCGGCAAGTTTGGGGAAAGACAAGGAGGTCGCCGGTAATATTGGACAATGCGCTCGGTCCTTGCAATGTCTTGAGCCACAGGAATCACTGCACATATGACGGACGAAGCTGTCTGGCAATTGCTCACGGTAGAACAGGAGCCCTGACGACAACTGACAGCAGTAGCAGCAGCAGCCATGTACAGTAAGTAGCCAACGAGCTCAGCGGCGTAGCATGATGTGCAAGCGCTTGGACGTCTTGGCGACTTGTGCCGCCGTGCGAACCGCCATCCCTGTCCGTCCTAATACTTCCTAACCTCATACCGGTCTAGTGCGCACGAACAGATCCGCTGGCGGAGCCTGGCGTTCGACGACCTCAATGTTGCCGTAATTCTCTCCTCTGTTTTCCCGCGGGGCCTGCATCTTGATTATCACTCTCGTTCGCAAACCGCTGCTCCTACTTGCAAATTCCGCATAACCGAATCCTGCATGCCCATTGATTTCCAGTACATCAGAGGCACGGTCCGACTCTCATCACGCCGATCCGGCTCACTGTCAACGACATTTGGATCATGGTGATGCTAGTGAGTGCTGACGATGATGCTGTAGGAGCCACCGTGAACCAGCCCTTTTGTGCTCAATGCCCGGAGCAGCTGACCGCTTTACCACGTTATATGGCTCGCAGACTAAAATACTAGACCCCTTGTATCACCTCTACTCTATCTCCTACCTCGACGCCAGGCTCGCATTCGGGCTGCCCGAGTTGCTTACCAAAGCATAAATACGTGGTCAAGGGGAATCCCCAGACCATTCGATTCAGCCGTTACCATTCTGGCCGAGGCCAGCAAAACCCTGAAGGGTCCTTATGCAGGTGCAAAATACTTGGAGACATTCTGTATGTTTATCGGGATTTGTCTGAGGCCATGCTGTGGGCGATCTGTGCCCGTGTACTGAGGTACAACTGGACAACGTGTACGAACCTCCACGCTTCCCAATAGGCCGCTCGAACCAGGTCAAGGCGAGCTCCATAACTTGCGCCAAGTTCACGGCCTGTCTCTTACACAAACGCAGGTGATCCCAAGCCACGACTAGTAGCAAGCGCGAGTTCTTGAAACGTCATCCAACCACGGAGACGTAACCGAATACATACCAATTGCGGGATGCCGCTCGGCAGCTTCCGGACCTATGTCTCTTAACCTGATGACAAGACTTTGTGTTTTTCGTTAAACCATGGTTCAGGCGCTTCTGTCAGTCTTCGTTGAAGATCGGCTCTCAGCTCAGCCTCAAATACATCATGAGTAGCCATGTGTGAGTCTTCAAGGGGGATGTCAGCAAGCTAAGCGGAGCCAATTCAGCGCCAAAACATGGAGAATATGGGGCCGTCTGGGGGCGCAATGTCACGCGCACGGTTTGCACGATTCATGCGTTTACACTTGCATTGAATGGGCAAGGAGCGAGCACTATCTAGCCACGCGATGCTCCGTGTGCCTCGTCATCCCAAGGCAACACCTTCCTTGTTTACTCTGTTTTCTAGCTGCCAGTAGGCCCTGCCCTTGAATGCATAAGCCTGGGTTAGGAGAACGCATGTCATTGGCCCATCGAATTGTCATTGCACAGATCTGTTGCCAATGTTTCTAGCATGCTGTTGATCCGATCTGTGTGGAGGTGGCTGAACGCCTGCTTGATCTCGAGTCCTCCGAGCAATTCTGACACCTGCGAGTGCAGCATGAGAACGATGCGGTTCGCGGCTAACAAACTCTCGCACGGCTCGTGGGTCATGTACATCGCTATTCCTCACTTTCGTGCGTTCGTTTCCAAAAACTATCCTTGTAATAGCCAAGTGCTATTGCCATCTATATTGATGTTTTATAGTTGGGACCTGCGCGAGCTCTTCTTCTATATTCCGCGAGGCCGCTGTCCCTGCATTATGCTCAGGATATCAGACATGATAGAAGGTGATTTGACGGATACGTGAAAGACGAAGACATATTCGGCTTAGCGAACGTGCATCTAATTAACTCCATACTGCTCATACGCTTGGGAGTGTGAGCGGCTCAGGGTGTTCTACATCGCATTACCTTCGCACGGAATCGAGATCCACTCTTACATTGACTCGGCAAAAATGGCTCCTAGGTTCTCAATACAGTTTTGGGGGTTGTCATTCTTGCTCTATTCTCTCCGTGGTCCAATCGCAATTGTCCAGATATATTGAGGAGACAAATTGTTGCACGGTCAGCAAATGGCTGGCTCAATACCATGTGCATGATCAGGACCCCCAGGAAATAACGCACGAAACCAGCTGCTTCACTACTGCAATGCATCCCACTTCGCGTTGTGCGACAAGTGGACAGGCTGGCAGATCACCGCCCCACTAGCTCTGCAAAGCATCGTCTTCTACACCTTCATCGGCTTTCCTATTTCAGGCCCGACCATGCACATATTGTTTGAAATGTTGCGTTGAGAAATATCGCAAGGGCGACCCATGCTGCCACCAGGCACAGTCGACCCCCAAGAAGGTAGCCTGACATGATCTCTCAGCAATGAGCATACACCTTGGTGCTCGCAACATCGTACGCCCGACTCGGATTCCATCATCCGACGACAACCTTGGCGCATGATCTTGAGTACAAGCGGTTGAGAATGCCAGTTTCGCACCTGCAGGGCGTAAAACTGCTGGCGTCCCCTAAATCGTGAGGCAGCGTGGTGGAGTTATACGCTCGCAAAATCGTATCGGGAACTATTAATCGAGGTTCCAGCCAAGTGCATGCTGTTGTCCAAGCCCCCCAAGCGACCGGTCTCTGCCTGCACGCGCGAAATATACGACCTCAGGCAACATCTGGTCCCACAGTATGACCGACATGGCTACGAATTTGGTTCCGAAAGAAGTGCCAGCCAATTGCTCCCAGCCCCAGCGAAGTAGCACTCTCGCAAAGAGGCCCGCGGTTATCGGTAGGTCGGTCTTTGAGTCGAATAGCTGCAGGCGCCTCTCGCGTACCAGAGGCGAGCCTTCCCATTACTGGGTGTGCGACCTGCCTCGGTCAGCACTACTTGCAGTAATTGGATGCGCCGACGGCCATTCTGTCGTGTAATTTTGTGAGGCGCTCGTTGCACGCGTGTAAGAAATTTCAAGAAGGTCTGCCGGGGAGCGAGACATTGGGATTTCGGAGAATCCCTCAAGCGTTCACAAAGTCATCCGGATCGATTCAGAAGACCGGACGAACGTGATTTCTTCTTCGATCGACAGAGCGACACTTCAGAAGCTTCATCGAATCTCACGATGTAAAATCGTCGTTCTTGCAAAAGGGACGATGCCGAGCACTGACGGATTGAACACCACGTGAAGAGCAAAAAGGAAGCTGCTACGCTGGGTCGAACAACGGACCTTAGGATAATTGCAGAGACTGCAATCCCACGCTCTACCACTGAGCTACAGCAGCTTTCATTGGAGTTTCAGCGAGGTGCAATCACATATAATTTACCATGATCATGAGCAGTAGAGCCGACTACCGTTTTCCTGGCCTGTCTTCCATGAGACCAATTGTGTCCCACGCCAAATCTCAAAAAAAAAAAAACAGAAGCAGCATTAATAGCATCTACGCAGCGCTGCAAATTTCCGTGCTCTCCGCGGACACGGCAGCATGGCGCAGCACTCAGGAAGATCGACCATCCACGAAAGACAACGGAGCTGCTGGTTTGTCCAGGATAGCAATAATACGGAACGCTTGCCGGAATCGGTCAGGGCTTCATGACCGTCAGTATTCTGGTCACTCCGTAGCTCGCTTCGTGACTGAGATTAGCCGGTTACGGTGACGCAGAATGGACGAGAGTCTCGTGGTATGCATAGAAAATCCGCCATCCATGTGATATGTTTCTGAGCCTCTTAAGTCAGAGGCAACAGAGTCCACGCACGAGCGGCTGGTCTTTGGGTGGCATCAAGCACTTGATCCACTCCTACTGCTACCACGGAAACCTTTCCGCATACTGTGAACCGCCCACGGCATACCTGCCTGTGCTGGACATATCGTATGCGTTATGACAGTGATGGAAGCAGCAGGAATATACGACCAGATCAGTCAAGGCGTTCCTGCAATTTGACCGAGGCAAGTTTGAGATTCGAGCGGTGTCTAAAAATGTACACAAAGATCATCGCGCGGGGAGAAGAGCGCGGGGGGCGGAGAAAACACTTTGACGAAGCAGTTTGTCAATCGCCAGACGAACCCTGCGTTACTCTGTTCCGACGACATTTGACTGTACATGCACTTTTATATGAGCAACAGCGACGGCAAGACCTTTCACTGTTAAATGGCTATGGTTGAGGAAAAAGAAGCAACCAGAATATCCACACGCGGAGATGTGCGCACGAATGATGAGGCCGAATGACGCTTATCTCTATCTTCAGGACGCCTTATCGCGGCCAACAGCAGCAAGTCTGGCCATGTGATGCGCTCCTCTGCTGGGCATCGAGACCGTCTTTGCCCATTATCAGCAGGTAGCGTTGAGCTATGGGTTCGTTTTGGTTGTTTTTGATGTGTCGGTCTCCAACGGATCCGTCTTGTGAGCGTCTATCATCCGTATCTTGTGGTTTCGTTATGGATTCGTATCAAGTCATCTCCCACACGTCTATCACCTATCTTACAACTTCTCGTGACCCCTCTTCTTCTATCTTACACCTACTCTCTTTCCTACATCCTCCATTACTTGACCATTCACCTAGCTACCTAACACATATTTCGTCGCGGCGTCGAATCCCCCCCTCCGACCATGTCATGGCAGGTACTCACCTTCCAGCCGGAGCTACCGCCTCACTGCACACCGACAAATGATTTCTTATCTCGATTCTCGTCTACGTTCCACACCTGCGTACCGACACCACTAGCCTTCATCTCAACACTACTGGGTGTCCTCTCGATCGTATCATGGCTGTTTGCGCAAATGCCACAAATATACAAAAACTACACTATCAAGAGCACATCAGGCTTATCTATCTTTTTCCTGGTGGAGTGGTGTGCCGGAGACGTTAGCAACTTACTCGGGGCCATCTTCACGAAGCAAGCAACATGGCAAATGATAGTAGCGGGCTATTACTGTCTCGTGGATTTCATGCTCGTTGCCCAGTGGGTCTGGTACGAGCGTCTTCGACATGGCTATAGAATCCGCCAAGTATGGCCCAGTAGGAATGGCGACAACCACACAGGCAGGGATCAAGAGATGGTCATCGAGGGCGTACCCGCTATGAGCCGCGAGAGCACTTTCGAGAGAGACAACAGCCCCGAACGGAAGAGCTCGGCCAAGGATATCAAAGGCAAAGCAGCCATGTGGCGTATGCCCGTCTTCGGAGACGTCAATGAGAAATACGCCTCGTCCAGGAGCCCGCGTACCATCAACCGCGTCCAGGCTTCTTCCTCGATTCCTTCACCGTCGCCCCGCACTATCCTGATGTTGGCCTGCTTGATCTCTCTCGCTCAAGCATCACCACTGAAGTCTGCCATTCACCATCCTGGTCACCATCAGCCCGTCAACAAGATTACAGATCTGGAAGCCGCCGGTACTGTTCTCTCCTGGCTGTCAACCCTTCTGTACCTCGGCAGCCGCCTACCCCAACTCTACAAGAACTGGGCCAGAAAATCAACGGCAGGACTCAGCGCTCACCTCTTCATCGCCGCCTTTTTCGGAAACCTGTTCTACAGCAGTAGCATGTTGACGAACCCGAATCTTTGGGCTGACGCACCCGCTCATGGCCTTCACGGCTGGGTCGAAAACACACCCAATGTACGATACGACTGGCTGATGCGTGCCTTGCCATTCTGGCTTGGTGCTGCTGGTGTTCTAATCATGGACGCAGCTGTTGGTGTACAATTCCTCATGTACGGCGAGAGTGAAGACTCGAAAGTCGTCGTGCTTGAGGAGTCTGGCCGTGAAAATTGGCGCTGGCGTAGAGTCAGTGGCTGGATGCGTGGTTGGGTCCCCAGTTTCGGCGAGCCAGTTGGGAGATCCGAAGATGGCGGTGAGCGTGATACTTTGCTTCCTCACACAGCGACTCGGGATTATGGCGCTGCTTCTCGACCATGATAAATGATGAGTGTTTGTTTTGGTTTTGACCTCAATACATGATGATATACATGAGAGCTTATACGTAGCGGCCGCATTGCGGCTGGCTCGTTCTGCTTGGGCATTTTTATGGCGTTATTGGGGATGTTTCTTTTTGGTTTTGAGACGGAGGCAGATTCGATGACATTGGTTTTGATGACCTGCATATGATATGACCTATATAGCATTAATGAAGCATGCATGATTCCTACTCTTCAACAACCACCTCACTCTGTTTCTGCTTCGAGACACGAGCTACCGTGATGAGTCGAGACGATGCTGTGTATAACGTACAACGTTCATTCTTCTTGGGTGCTGACTATCGTCATTCATACAGCCGTGTCAATACACAATGCTTTTCGAAACTCGAACTAGATTCGAAGCGAGCGTTAGATAGTGGTCTCCGTGGGTGACGTGGTCTTATTCAAACCCATCGTGTATTTTGACGGGGTTATCCTTGCTTGTCACTGCAACAGAAAGTTGCCGTGACAAACGATGATTGTGTGTAGCCAAGAGGACGACCCTGGCCAAGTTTGAATGGGGTTTCCTATCGCACTCTATGTCGGCCACATACATGTCCATGGGCTCTTTTCACGCCCATGAGCATATGTGCGTTCACTTGACCCTCAACATGCCAGGATCAGCCACTGCAAACTGGCTTGTCAGGAATCAAGTGTATGTTGGCCAACTTGACGATGATTTGAAAACAAGTTGAACGGTGGTAAGATTTTAGGCGATCGACTTTGCCTTCCAAGCATCGCAGGCACATAACCTCGAGGTTTTGGCTCTATCAAGACCATCGGCACACCTCTCCACTCTCTCCAGTCCTTGTTGGATTTCAACGTCTTCGCTCGTTGGCTCGTCCGACACGAAAGGTTGTTCGCCCGCAGCTGTAAATGTTATCCGACCTGGTAGTTCCTTGTCACCGGCAGCATGAAGATTCTGGCCACCAAGATGCTTCCAGCCGGAGTCATCAATATTGACTCTGTTTCTGAGACACATATGTCCACTAGAGCCAGGATGCCAGTGCTGGCCTGCTGCAGGGTCATTTGCTAGATGTCCAAACGTAAGGCAATGGTATCCTGAGTTACAGCACACTCCGAACAGATAGCACGAGAATCGAAGTCGAGGGTAGCGGGAATTCCTGATGTTTTGAAGAATCCACCTTTGTCGCGTAGTCCTGCAAGGTAACACTGCCTCATTCTACTTCTCTGTCGAAGATCTTCCTGTGCCATTCAAGCTTCTTAATAAATGGGTTCATGACAACCTTCATGGAGATTCCTCGCAAAGCAAGCGGTCTTCCATACCAACTCGCGAAGGAACCTGGACGGACAACGCTCCATGTTAGCAACAATTTGCCATGTGAACGATGTAAATCTTGGTTGCGAGAGTCGTCGTTGTTTCTTCAAAGAGAGCTCGATTGTATCCAGTTCGGGAAAATTGCTCCTCGACATGTGAAACTGTCACATGAATATCCCATGGTTCCCTTAGCCTGGTTCTAGCCCTGCTGTCAGGCAGCAGCGACGTCGGCGAAGACAAAGACAGGAGACATCATCACATGACTACCACCAGGTATGATGAACAACAAAGGAAGAACGAGAGTTTTCTGTTGTCCGCAGTGAATCGATAAACTCTCCAAAGCAGAACGAATGAAGGCAGGAAAGATGGGCGACGCAAAGTCGCAAGCAGGACACTCATGCCATGGTGGTGGCCGTCGTCGTAAAAGCAAGTCGAGGCTAGACTTGCAAATGGACACAGGCTTATCTATGAGCAAGCTTATCTCCCCAAGCTCCGGCGCGCCGAGTTGGTGACAACATCAAGTATTCGCGCGTAACCCGTTGTGATAGCGGTGACTCAGTACTTGTAGTTCATCAGACAGAAGGGAGACGGTGGGGATAAAGGACAAAGCAAAAAAGGAGTGAAAGGCATCATCAGCAGCACAGTCAAGGTGTTGCGGTCGTGACCAAAGTCGTGATCTTGTGCTAAAGCGGGTCGCAGCGTCGATCAAGGTGCTTTGCTCGCGCTTCAGTCAGAAGTCTGCCAGCTGCAACTCGTCCTACTTTCCCTACAACTCGCCCAACTCGCACCCAACTTGTGAATATCCACTATTACATCCGTCGCCTCGCCGCTTGCTGTTTCTTTCCATTCTTTCCCAGCCTGTCCACTCCGCGTCGACTCAGAGCGCCCCGTTTGCGAGGTCACAACTCGGCACCGTTCGAGACAAGCTTCGCTGCCGACTGACTCGACTGCCATCTGACCCATCCAACCATCGCCCTCGTCTCTGCCTGTTCCGCTTCTGTTATCAGGCTACCTCGTCTCTGCTCCTCGACTCCTGTTGAAGTGCTCCTTTCACAAGTCTCCAGTACACACCGCCCCCCGAGACACCCATTCGCCAGCCTTTGCCCCTCCATCGAAGACCGCTTCCCCTCCCGCAGCGACCCCTCGAACTATACGCCCCGGGATTCACAAATGCATTGCTAGCCGCCGTGCTCTAGGCCTCACAGTCCAAACACTGCCCTGCCGAGCCACTTCACCATGGCGACACATCGCACCTCGTCCGGCCATAGTCGCCGTGAGACGGCTCCCGTTGTCGAGATTCCCGTCGGAGACTTCATTCGCAAGAACGAGATTGGCAAGGGCAGCTTCGCTACTGTCTATCTCGCCTCACACAGGGTATGCAACACACGTCTTGCTTCTTCGAACTTTTACTCTGACTGACCCTCGTTACAGAAGCGCAAGTCGTACGCTGCCATCAAATCCGTCGTCACAGGAAAGCTTACCGGAAAGCTGAGGGAGAATCTCAACTCCGAGATCAACATCCTGAGAAAGCTGCAGCACCCTCACATTGTTGCCTTGTTTGAGTGTGTTGACACCCCACAGCACATCCATCTTGTCATGGAATACTGTCAAATGTCGGATCTGGCTGCGTTCATGAAGGGTAGAGCCCGGATTGCTGGTCTGCCAGAGACACACGACATCTTTGACAGATACCCAAACGCGACCAATGGTGGACTGAACGAAGTCCTGGCTCGCCACTTCCTCAAGCAAATCGCAAGCGCTCTCCAGTACCTGCGCAAATACAACCTCATTCATCGTGACATCAAACCGCAGAACTTGTTGCTTAATCCGCCTCCAACGTACATGCAGCAACAAAGAACAGAGGATGTGCCCTTGGCAGCAAGCGAGAACTCTCTGATTCCCGCCGTTGGCCTGGCTTCTTTGCCGATGCTGAAGCTTGCCGACTTTGGCTTTGCCCGTCACCTTGCTAGTACTTCTCTGGCCGAGACTCTTTGTGGATCGCCCTTGTATATGGCTCCGGAAATTTTGGCATACCAGAAGTACGATGCCAAGGCAGACCTGTGGTCTGTAGGCACTGTGGCGTACGAGATGGTCGCCGGAAGACCCCCTTTCAAGGCGACCAACCATGTTGAGCTACTACGCAAGATTGACCAAGCCCAGGATGTGATTCAGTTTCCCGCGGGCTTACTTGTATCTCGGGAGTTCAAAGATACCATCAAATCTTTGTTGAAGAGACAGCCTACCCAACGCGTCAGCTTTGATCGTTTCTTTGGAAGCTCTACGATAGTTGGCGACATCCCGGGCCTTGTCGACGATGACAAACCTCGTGTCGCTGATTCATCCGAGCCTGACATTGCTATGTCTGCATTGAGTCTCCGTCTGCAGCAACAGTCCATCAACAGCCCCGAGCAAGAGATCGATGCTGCTGGCACTGGTAGAGCTGTTCGTGATTCCCCTCTAGCTGTGACCAGAAGACCACCACCTGCGACTACCTCTCCAAGCGTCGAGCCTATCAAGAGACCCCAGATGCCAATTCAACGTTGTCAAACCACGGCAGCCATTACTTCAGCGAACCCGGCGGACACGAAACGTTACGCCACTCCAGTGGAACAAAAGAGACCGCCCTTGATTCCAACCGCAACGGCTCCCCCACGTCAAGAACTACAGCATGCGACACCTCTCAACCAAGGTAGGCCTAGTAACCCACGTTACGTTCCGTCACCCAGTTCTTCGGCTCCCCAAGCATCGCCCATGCATGACAGACCTGCGCGAGATTCGCGCGATACTAACACAGCTCATGACCTGACATTCGAGAAAGAGTATGTGATGGTTGAAAAGAAGGCCGTCGAGGTGAATGCCTTCGCCGATGAGCTGGCCGATCGCAACAGGCCGTCCGAAAACTACACCGGTGGTTTGATACGACGTGCAACAGCTCAAGGCGTGCCTGGCTCTAACGTCGTATCGAATGCGTTGCAGGCGGTATCTTCCAAGCAACCTGGCGCTCTACACGGTCGTCGTACGTCTTTCGATCAACGTCGCCAGGCTCCAGCACCCACAGACTATCTATCGAGAGTCTTGAATGCAGCCAACACACGCATCCGTCAAGTTATCAGCGGTGGCTCTCCGACCTTCCCACAAGGAATTTCGCCACCTCAAGGATATGCCGGCTTCCCTACATCTTCTGCACCTCCTCTTCCTCTGATGATCAGTGATGGAAGAAGCTCGCCAGGCAGCTTTGATGAAGACACACGTATGCTCCAGCTCGTAGAAGAGGGTGCAACCCGAAGTGATGTGGTGTACGGCTTCGCAGAGGTGAAATATCGACAGCTGCTTCCTGCGACGCCATCTGCAGAGGACAGAACCGCGATTCGCCAGATCAGTGCTTTGGAGCAACCTCTCAAGACCGGCGATGACATTGATGATCAAGATCTTACACAAATTGCCATTGTAGCAGTGGCCGAAGAGGCCTTTGTCCTATACGTCAAAGCTTTGGCCATCCTGGTCAAGACCATCAACGTTGTCAAGTACTGGTGGGACCGCCAACGCAGAGCCGAAACCCCGCCTGGATCACTTCCATCAAGACTCGGTGAGACCAAACAAAGCTCGTCAGAGATGAGCAAAAAGATGAACAACGTTGTCCAATGGGCTCGCAATCGATTCAACGAGAGTCTTGAGAAGTCAGAAGTCGTCGGACGTCGTTTGATCGAGGCACAGAAGCAGCTCCCAGCTGGTCACCCAGGACATCCTGACAATCACGGTCAGCTACAGTCATCTGGCTCTGGCAACACCTTGAGCGCTGCCGTTGACCAGATTCAATTAACCAGTGGCGTCACAGCAGAGAAACTAATGTTCGACCGCGCTGTTGAAATGAGTCGTGCTGCCGCTGTCAACGAGCTTGTGGGAGTTGACTTTGGCGGCTGCGAGCTCAGCTATATCACATCAGTCATGCTATTGGAGGCTGTCCTGGAGAACGACGATGAGCCTTTGCTTTCGAAGCCTAGCGGAAACAAGACCAAGGCAGGCAACACAGTTATCAATGGCATGGAGTCGGAAGATCGTGACGCAGTTCTCAAGTGTAAGTGGTAGGAAAAACTGTTCAACTTTGTCGTGTACTGACTTTCTTCGTATAGTGATTGAAGGTACCCGAGGCAGACTCGATGGTCTTCGTCGCAAGCTCAAGCAACAAATGTTGCCGAGGCAGCCTACCCCTTCAACATCCAGACCTATGGCAAGAACATCTTCATCACCAGGCACAGCAATGGGTACACCACCGAGATGAACATGGCGGGGCATAAACATTCAGTCTCTTGCCCAAGACAAGCTTTATGAACGCAAGCTATGAATTACGGGAGTATATTTTGTGTCTTTACTTTCTTTTTCCTTTTTTTTCTTTTTTGTTTTTGAGGATTTACATATATCTGGGACAGGGCGCAAGAGGAATATCGGGTTCGTGAATGCGCAATATGGAGTTGCTTCTCTCGGGCATGGAGTCCACGTATCGTTTTCATCGTGCTGGTTTTCATGGTGACGCGGAAGGGACGCGGGTCGGGAGCACATGGAGCAAATATCTAATAACGACGGGGCGCCTCACACAACAGATGGCATGGGCACTTCCTTCGTTTCATGGGCAGATTCGCATAGGAGGAGGAGGACTTTTGGATTATAACGGCACAAGGCACTCGGATTATCATACTTTAGCAAAAGACCTAAACACGAATTTGTTACAATACATGATGCTTGTTCGCGAAGCTTGTGTCGCTGCTGTGCACGGAGAAGTTGAAGTACGCGGCCAATGCGTGGTTTCTCGTATACAAATTGCGGGCGCAAGCTGTTTGGCTCGTGCCCTCAACCTTGCGGTGGATGGAAGGGACAGATTCCGTAGCGATCAACGGAATGCAAAGCAGAAGGTGTGAAGGAGGGTGGATAAAGTTGGTAGATGGCTAAAAATGGTGGTGAGCTGCAGGCGCGTTGGAAGAAGGAGGCACGATCAGGGTTCTGCCTGCCAAGGGTATGATACGGTGTTTCAACTTGGACTCTTCGTCGCTCGAGCCTCAACCGAGCCCAATCTCTTGCTCGTCAACACAATAAACTCGCTCCGTGACAGCCTTGTCACTTCTCTTCAGCAGGCCTCTTACCCCGTTCTTTCCTTCGCCTCGCCGGTGCAACTCGCTGAACATTGTACATCCACCGTGATCGCTGCCACCACGACCGTTTCTGGGGAAGGCCCTTGATTTCTACAGCACGATTGTCTGTCTCGTCCAAGTTGACTGGCAGCTGGTCGACACACGTCTACCATGACGAGTTTCGCAAATTCATTCTGGTCGTCGGACCAGAGTTATGCAGGAGGCATGCTCGTTCAACCTGTTTGTCTGCTCGCGCTAACTCGGCGGCAGGTTTGGGAGTCCTCTTTGGCAAGCTCCAGCAGGGCGTGCAAGAGAACCAGCAGGTCCTGACGATTGCGCGCATGCGAGCTGAAGCTGAGGATCTCTATGGTCAACGTCTGGGCGACATCGATGCAGCTACCATGAAGGTTGAAGGAGGCTTCCAGAAAGACGATGGCGCCAGTGTTAAGAAGGTGTGTCTGGAGAGCTATGTTTTGAACCGCCGGCCCAGCAGCAGCTAACCAGACGTAGGCCTTCGAAGGAATGCGCTCCGAGATGAGTGAAGCGGCCAAAAACCACCGCAAGATAGCATCGAACATTCGCGAGCTCGTCGTGAGCCCTTTCGCTCGTTGGTGTGACGCCCACGCTGCCCGAGTTCAGAACTCTCAGGACGACCTACAAGCCCGTATCAAAGCCCACGATCGCCAGGCCGACCACGTTCGTACATACCGCAGCCAGTACTACAACAAATGCCGTCGTGTCGAGGATCTGGACGAAGAAGAGAAGCTGGCCTTCCAAGACCCTCAGAGCGAGGCTGCTCAAAGCCCCAAGCCCGCATCGCAAATCCCAGTCGTCAAGCTCTCGGAGCCCGAGGAAGAAGATGAACCTGAACCCATCGACATTGGTGATGTTACGTACACTCCCGAACAAGTCAAGAAGATTCTCAACCACATGCTCGAGACCATCAAGCTCGGCGAAGCCAAGGTCCCAATCCTCGGCACATATCACAACGTCTCGACAGGAGCCGACATCACCGACTACATCCAAAAGCACATGAATGGCACCAGCGTCAGTTATGCCGAGCGCATTGGTCAGGACATGGTCGGTCATGGCTTTTTGCGACTGGTTGGCAATGTTGGAAGCACTTTCGCAAACAGCAGTCGTATGAACTACCAGTGGCGTCCCAAGGTATTCCAGATCACTGGTCTCCCCGAAAGACGAGGCATGGGCAGATCTGCCACCGTTTCCTCGGTTAGCTCGATCCCAGACTCACCTGTTGGTGCCGTCGGCGAACTCTTCTCCGGGTGGAACCCTCTGAGCAATGCTCACCCTGGAGAGACTCCCGCGGCCAAGTTGCGCAGAGAAGCTCGCGAGGCTGATGAACGCTACAAGGGAGCTGTGAGAAAGCTCGATACCCTTCGTTGCAACCTCGAGGAGGCTATGGTCGACCACCTCAAGTTCATGGAGCGTTGCGAGCTCGATCGTCTTAAGGCCATCAAGAGTGTAATCCTGGACTTTTCTGGCGCCATCAGCAACGTCATTCCTAGCTTGCAAAGCACCGTCGACAACATGATGCTTTTCCAGGAAACAGTTCAACCGCTGGGCGATTTGCGCTATCTCTTGGAGAACTACAGGACTGGCCCGTTCGTGCCCAAGGTTACCATTTACGAGAACTACTACAACAATGTAGATGAGCAAACCTTTGGTATTGATATCGAAGCTCGCGCTCGTGCTGACAGGAAGCGCGTCCCTCTCATTGTCACCACATTGCTTACTTTCCTGGATAACCACTATCCTGAACTCGAAGGAGACGAGGCTCGTCGCAGCATTTGGCTTGTCGACGTTCCTTTGGCTGCCACTCACCATCTGCGAAACATTCTCAACACTGGCAAAGATACAGTTTCTCAGGATACTCTGGACCGCTACGAGATACCGATCGTCGCCTCTGTTTTGAAACTCTACCTGCTCGAGCTTCCCGATTCTCTGGTCTCAGCACATGTCTATGAGATTATCAAGACAATTTATACGAGCACCGCACCAAACACCTCTGAGAGCGCCCGTATCTCCGTTATTCAGAGCACGCTCGGTCAACTCAGACTCGCCAATATTGCCACTTTGGATGCCATCACAACACACTTTACACGTTTGATTGAGTTGACATCGGCCGAAGAAGGATACATTTCTGCTCTTTCGACCACGCTTGCTCCCTGCATTCTTCGTCCCAAACAAGGAAATACCTTGTCATTGAACGAGAAGTTCAACTACAGACTCGTGCGCGATCTTTTTGCTCACAAGGATACTATCTTTGGAGAGCTTAAACGCCAATCTTCATTGACGCATACCAACTCTGGCGCATCGAGGCCTCGCGCTATCAGTACCGACGAGAGCAGGCGTCGTGAACATATGGAAGAACGCCAAAGAGCCATCATTGCTGCTGCTGAAACCCGTGGCCGTGCATCCAGTCCTTTCAAGTCCACCTTTGGTGGCCCTCTTGGGTCCATGCACAAGAGAGAGCGCAGCACAGGTGCAGCAGAGACACGATTCCCTGTAACTCCTTCCGCGGCAAGCACTCCCACCGATGCGCGTAACCTGAACCGTGGCAGTCTAGAGGTGCCCAGCTCGCCAACCCGCGCTCCCGTCTTGCTGCAGTCGCCACCAAAAGGCAACGGAAGAACCGACTCATTGCCATCCTCTTCCGACTCGGCAGCTGCAGGGGATTTCGCAGCTCCGGTGACTCGTCAACGTAGCGACACTACAAACTCTGTGATTATGACCCCTGGTGCTCAGACCGAAGCTCCTGACTATCTCGCCCATGCTCAAGAGCAGCAGCAAGAAGAAGACGCTGGTAGCGAAGCTGAGTCTGCTGCACACGAGTCAAACTCTGCTATCCCTGCCAGCCGCCAATCCGTGGAGGTTGAGAAGCGCAATTCTCTGAACCGATCGATGGGACGGGTTGCTCGTAAGGGCACTGCAAGTAGCCTGTCGCGACACAGTCTGATTGGCAAGCGAGAGAGTGTCGGTAGTGTAGGCACTTCATCGTCTGGTGCCGCTGCCGCACCTTCCACCGACTTTGTTGACAGCCCTGTTGATGTCGCTGAGCGCGCAGAAGAAGAGGCACTGGCTCACCGCGGCGTCGAACTCGTTGACAAGCCGATGGATGATGATTAGGAATGATCTTCAAGAAACTTGAAACGAACCGAAACGTGCACATGAGCGTGCTGCTGGACTTCTTTTGTTGTCCTTTGTTACAAATGTTGTCTATTCTTTCTTATCTACCTTTCATGGGTTTCGTTACTTTTCTCTTCTATTTTCATCGCAGGATATCCAGAGCGAGTCTTCTCACAATCATGGTTAGACTGCTCTCTTGAGTAGTCAATTAGAAATGATATTCCCCATCTTGATTATACCGCTCAAACATTTTACAGCCATATAGGCAATGACGTAACAGACGCGCGAATTCACCAAGCTTTGAGTTCCACGTTCTCTTCGACTTTCTTGACATCTGTACTCGAGTATACAACCACTTACCAGTGCTCTGATCATTCTCCGCCCGTCTGCATATCAGCCAAAATGACATCCCAAGCAGCATTGCCATTCACCTTGACGCCGCCAACACCAGAATGCAATGTCGAAGTCCGCCCATCCCCAACTGCGGGTAATGGACTTTTCGCGACCAAGGACATACCAGCTGGCTCTACGGTCCTACTCAAAGCGCGTCCCTTGATCGGTGAACTAGATTTGCCGCGTCTGCAGGATAGTTGCCAAAACTGTTTCATGTGGGCATATAAGGCCGCCAAAGGATGTGCTGTACACGCCACGCAGGGCAATAAGGAGCCTGGATGTCATGGTTGTGAAAATGAGGGAGGCAATCCTGGTGTCAAGGCTTGCACCGGCTGTAAGAAGGTGAAATATTGCAGTAAAGTATGTTTTTATGTTCTTTATGTTTCTCCCAGTCCAGAGCCGTAGGATTTCCTTTTCTTGCGTCCTAAGAGTCATGCTCATGCAAATCGCCTCCCATGTAGACTTGCCAGAAGCAGGCTTGGACAAGATATCACAAACACGAATGCAAGCTCTTGAAGGACCCGAATCTTCCACCCCTTCCCAGCTCTGTACGAGCGGCACTGCAGTTGGCATGCCTCATGAAGAGCGACGCTGTATCCGAGGAAGAAAAGGTAGGTATACGCCGACTCCAAGCTCATAGTGCATCGACAATCAAGCAACTCCAAGCACTTGAGCAATACAAAGTGACAGTGGCCTCGGCAAGAGATCTTTTTGCACGCATCAGCCCTGACAACTCGAGTGCTTCTGAGATACAGGAATTTGTTGGAAAGGTACGTTTGTCGTCGAGTCAATGAAAACCACACGCTAAAACAATCAGATCCTCCGCAACTCGTTGACACTCACTACACCTACGTTGGATCCTTTGGGTATTGCTCTAGATCCGATAGCATGCTCAGCGAACCATTCCTGCGAGCCAAACGCAAGTGTCCTCTTCGATGTCCCCAGACTTATGATGCGCTCTTTAGCACCTATCAAGAAAGGCGAGGAGGTTTTCATCTCCTACATCGATCACACCGAGTCCTTCTATCGCCGACGAGCTCAATTGCAATTGCGATACTGCTTCAAGTGCGAATGCTCGAAATGCCGACTTGGCTCTGATCAAAGAGAAGACCAATGGGCACAGCCGCCAGAAAATCTCGCCGACAAATGGTCCACTCTTGCTAAGCCCATGGACCGTGTTGAAAAGTTCTCCAAAGACCCTGCGAATTATGTTGGTGAAGGCCAAGCTGAATGGAACTTGTCCGTCATACAAGGCAAGGCCTATCAAGACTACGAAAAAGCACGAAGCTACACGAACAGCGCGCTTGCCATTCCAGCTCTTGAGACTGTCATGCGCACCTGTCATCAAACCGGGATGTGGCCAATCACTAGACAACCATATGCAAACTCACGCGTGGACATCTCCTCGCATATGCTAGACGAAGGTCGAGTTGGCCTTGCGCTTTTTCAGATGGCCAAAACATACTTTCTCATCGACCCTGTCCTGTACCCACAAGACTTCCATCCTGTCAGAGTGGTCCACACCTGGGGTCTAGCAAAGACTCTAGTAATGGCTTATTCCTCGCCCAACGATCCTACTCAAGCTGTAGATCCAGGTGTAGAAGAGCTCTTCGAAAGAGGCTTCGACTTCGTGGTCCCCATCTGGAGAATTCTGAAGAAGTTGAGCCAGGATGTGCTTAAAAGTCACGGATCAGGAAGTAACATGACGTTCATGGTGCACGCAATTACTCAACAGGTCAGAGATGGGATTGGCATGGACAATCTACATCAAATTGAACAGGATCCACTGAAAATGTGGAAGGAGTTTGAAAAGTGGGCTTATTTCTTGCAGTATTAGTTGCAAGGAAGGTGGGAAGAGCGTTCATTCATCTTCGATGATGCCAAATTTGGATTGAGAAACAGTGTTGAACAGCTTCCTGTTTGGAAAGTGCCAGTCCACGAGCTTCCAGCTTCCACGTGCTACCGTTGACAATACTCACGAGGAAGCCGCGACCTCCTCTTCAGTCCAAACAACTTTGCGTCTCCGTCTCACTTGCCACCAACTCCTCCTTCGCACTTCATACTACACTCCATACTCGACTTTCACCATCGTCTACATTCCTCTCATCCTCTTCTGCATATTACAAACCCCAATACCAGAACCGCTATCACGTCAACCATTGCGCCAACATTCTTCTTCACAACACTTACGCCTCTCTATCCACTCTCACTACTACTGCTCTTATCCACCATCATCTTCCTTCACGCCGTTCATCATGGCAAAGCGCAAGGCCAAAGCCAAGGCTGCTCCAAGTGTGTCTTGGCCTTCTCATCTGCAGCCAGTACATCTTGTTAATTTGTTTTCAGTTGCAAAGTCACAAGCCAAGACCGCTGGCGAAATCACTCCTGTCGACAACACCAATGATATTGACAACACCAATGATATTGACAACACCAATGCTGTCGACATCGTTCAGCAGCATGATGAAGAAACACCCAAATCACCACCGAAGATCCTCCTTACCGATCTACCCTTGGAACTCCTCTTCATGATCCTCGACTGCCTCATTCCCGATCCTTCATACCCGTATGCGGGCTACCCTCTCCTGCGCGAAAATCAAACAGGCATTCGTAGAGCTCTCGTCGCCCTCCAACATCCACTACTGTTCACATGCTCATCACTTCGTCTCTCTCTACTTCCCTACTTCTACTCGACTTCTCAGTTCTACGCAATGATCGATATGAGACTGAAAGGTAGCAAGAGCGTTGCCGATGTCTTGACACTGCGACGACTCCAAGAGCGGCTTCCATGCAACCTAAGCACTGTGAGAGTGACCTTCAGACTCCACCATCTGACAACCAAGGGACTCAACTGGTCAGCCTTCACCGAATTAGGCTTAATACTGTACGAAGGGTATCAGAGCGAAAAGTGCAAGTCTGAGAAGAAGATCGAGATTGTGTCTCCACGATGGCAGCTACAGTGTGCTGACTCCATCAACTACTACTCTCGACCTCCGTCTAATTTCAGGCTCAACACAGATCTGCAAGCGCTACTAGATGGCATAAACCGCCAGGCTTTTGCAGCACTCGATTCTGCAAAAGACTCACAGGCTTTCAACACCCGACTGGAGAAGTGGTTGAAGGAGGATCAGGACACAGAAGATCCTACATACCGCATCAGAAACACACTAAGACGTTGTATGGGCAAAAGTGGAAATGGTGTCACAATTGAGATCAGAGGGGTCTACCGTGGTTTGTGAGGCAGCCAAAACGGGACTTCGTCAGAGCATACAGCTTACGAGGGCGCTCTCCTTTCTAAACGAGGTTGGCAGTATCGAGAATGCGCGGGGGAGAGATGGAACATGCGTGACTCTCATTTACTTCTCCATAGCTTTTGCTCATAGCCCTCCCAATATCACTCACTTCACACTTGCGGAACGTCGTCACTTGGGTAGCTCTAAAAATGCACAATCATTTTCCACATCAAAGCTTGGTCCAAAAAGACAACTTCAAATATTCGCCAAGTAGTTGCCTCCTGTGGACAACTTGCTCATGGTCAAAGTATCGTGCATTTCGTTGCGTGGAAGTTGTTTGCCAACAATGCATAGAAAACAAGAAGCAAAATTGAATTTCGGAACATCTGGAAGAATAGTGAACATATGTGCCCCATCGATTGAGGCAATTAAACTAGCTTCTTCCTTCGTAGCACTTCTGCTATTCTCGTGATATGGAAGTATTTTCAATGACCTGTGATTTCCATGAGTTAGCTCCTGCAGGTGAGTTTGCCATGATGCAGAGCTGAAAGAGCTTGAAGATATGATAAAAAGCAAAAGTCGTGTGTCGTGAATTCGTTATTATTGCATCATTTCGTCGTTGCCTCATGAACAGGCGACTAGAATGACTAGTATTTACCGTTGATAATCGAGTCTTCCATAGCCTTCTTGGTAAGCATTTCGAGCAAGTCGTCGTTGGCTTTCTTCTGAGCCTTCTTCTTGACGGCAGGGCTTTCTTCCTCTTCGTCGTCGTTGTCGTTGCTGGTCTGGGCTTTGAGACCTTTGGCCATGTTTAGGACTTGGTTCAGTCCTTTGTTTACGTTGTCTTCGTCTTCGTCGTCGGACTCTGGAGCCTTTTCTGGCAAAGGTGGAGACGGGACCTTCTTGACGAGCTTCTTCTTCGGGGCTGTCTTCTTTGGAGCGGTCTTCTTTTGCTTCGGTGGCTCTGGGGCTTCGTCATCTGTGATGGAGTTGTGCTTGCCGTCTTCGTCGTCACTGTCGAGGGTTTCCGGCAAGGGCGAAGGTTTGAGCCTCTTGGCAGTAGTCTTCTTCAGGACTGCCTTCTTGGGCTTTGGTTTATCCTCGACTTCCTCGGCTGTGGAGGAGTTGCGCTTGCGCTTTTTGTTTGTAGGCTTTTTGATGGCAGGAGGGCTTTCAGAGCGATCTTCAGCTTCTTCGTCAGCGGTCTGCTCGATAGACTCCTTGATGGTATCAGGCTGGATATCTTCTTCTTCATCCTGCTCTTCTTCTGCCTCTTCGGCTCTGATCTTCCTTCTTGCATACATCAAGGCAATACCGAGGAGATTCTGACCCCATCTATCTCTTGATGTCCTCTTTGCTGCTGCTGCACTGTAGCCAATCCCCCAGATGCGGTCTTTGGGAGAAGCCTCAACCAGATCTCTGTCTCCAGTCTCGAGCAGCACCTTCTTGAGCTTCTCGTTTTGGGAGAACTTGAGGTAGCTGCCACGCTTCACGACGCCGAGTCGAGCTGGGTTCCAGACGGCATCAGAGAATCCCTCGATCTCACGGCCTATATCCTTCTGAGTCTTTGGAGAAGTTGCGCTCAAGATCTTGGCCGCGATATGAGGGCTGTCGAACACCTGGGCTTTGCCGTACCTGGAACCAGTTAGCACTTGAGTCAAACACCATCCCGTGGCTTTTATTGTGTCGTACGGACTTTTTACTTACATCATGTATTGCTCTGCGCAGTCGAACGTCACGTCCGGATACTTGGGATCGGTAAAGTCGCACTTGTGCCATTGCGAGAAGATTCCATAAGGACGTGCCTTGTCGCCGTGGAAGAAGACTGGCTCATCGTCGTTGGCAACATGGTTCTGTTTGGAGGGTGCCATGATACCGACTCAACGATGCTACTCTGTGGTAAGATGGCGTAGCTGGATGCGTTCGTTCGCTGGGAACGTAGGTTGAGCTGATGTCGGTTGAGCTGCGAAGGGAAGGTAGTCGTGAGCGGAGGAGGAAGTTATAGTCGTGGGATCGGGTAGATGAAAGTGGAATTGATAGATACGTAAGCAAAAAAACCAATGGGTGTTACTTGAGTAGAAGAGCCTGAGCACTTCACTGCTTTTGAGGTGTGGTAGCAAACAAGGAACAACTTGAGCTGAGGTAAGAGTACGGATGAACGGACGGAAGGAAGGAAGGAAGGAGTGCATGCCAATGGTCGCACACGGGAACAACTCTCATCATTTCCAGTAGGTTATATGATCTTCACATGTAAGATTTTGATTGCGTCGATGGGTACTTCACGCTCACTCCACAGAGGCATGGCATGGCCGGGCCGTCAAATATGCAATGCATTTTTACAGGATAATTACCTCCCTCGACGAGTATGATGACAGAATCCGACAACTGAGCGATGACGAGCGCTGAGACTGATTATGATTTATGTTGTGTGACGGGCACAGATGCAGTGAGCAGCGTGTGGAGGAAGTCGCAATGGTATTGTGGCCCGTGCACCGTCCTGAAGATGTAGCTCGAGATTCATCCATCGTTTTCGCGCTCTCGTATATCATACATCAACCTTCTCGAATCGCGTACCACTCGACTCCTCATCTAGACGTATCACTGCAGCGATTCGGTCTCTCTGCTCAAACAATCCTTCCGACACCGCGACACACATAGCGCTACACCCACATCTGCATCTCGCAGCCACAAACCATGGACTACCAAGTACGTCGCCATCCCTTCCACCCTTAAAACCACCACTAACATACCTCCCAGAACCGCGCAGGCTCCAAATTCGGAGGCGGTGGTGTCGCCTCAGCCAGCGCAACAAACGCCGACCGTCGCGAACGTCTCCGCAAACTCGCCCTCGAAACCATCGACCTGGACAAAGACCCCTACATTTTCAAAAACCACGTCGGCAGCTTCGAATGTCGACTCTGTTTGACCGTACACCAAAACGACGGCTCCTATCTCGCACATACCCAAGGACGCAAGCATCAGACAAACTTGGCCAGACGTGCGGCCAGAGAAGCGCAGTTGGGTAAAGATAGAGATCAGAATTTGAGTGGGTTGAGTCAGGTGCAGGTCAAGAGGAATGTTGTCAAGATTGGTAGACCGGGGTACAAAATCACAAAGACCAGGGATCCCTTGACGAGGCAGTTGGGTTTGCTGTTTCAGCTGCAGTACCCGGAGATCTCGCAAGATGTCCAGCCCAGAGTCAGATTCATGTCGGCCTTTGAGCAAAAGGTGGAAGACCCCGACAAGCAGTTCCAGTACCTGTTGGTCGCTGCGGAACCCTACGAGACATGTTCTTTCAAGCTCCAGGCTCGTGAGATCGATCGTTCAGAGGGCAAGTACTGGACTTGGTTTGACGAGGACAACAAGGAGTTCTGGGTCCAAGTCACTTTCAAGACCGAGAGAGAGGAGAGATACAGCGGCGTCCCTGGTCTAGCTCCCAGACGCTAATGCATTCATGCCACAAATCACACAATTGATCATTTCACATAGCGATGGAGTTTGGGCGTATTGGAGAGATCGAAAGAAGGGATATCACGCGTAAAGGGGGTATTACGACTGGCTGAGCTGGAAAACTTGTATCATCATGAGAAACAGCACAAAAAAGGAACAAGAAAAGAAATAAAAAGAATCCCTCCCCAAAACAATGACATCGTGTTGCCTCCCCTATTTCCCTTCCTAGCAATCATTCTTTCCGCGTCGGCGATGTGGATGCCCGAGGCGTCGGATCAGGATCGGGGTCGCTCGTGTAATGCGGCCGTGGCGTCCTGTCCTTGTCGACAACGTTGTGACCACCTCGCGGCACGAAAAATTCTGGCGGAGTCAATGTGGCTCCCTCCTCTTCAATCGCCGCTTCCTCGTTTCCTGTAAGTGATGCTGTCGCTTTGAGGTTCTGCGTCGCCATGACCTCCTCGTTCGACACCACGCTCCCCTGGCTGTTTGTGCGCAACATCTCAGTTCCTAGCTTTGATGCTCCTCGTGTCTTAGACTTGGGCGATCGTGCTCTGATCTGAGCGTTGCCCAGCTCTTCGTCTTCGTCATCTCCAGATTCGGCACACTCGTGCCTTCCCATTTCGATGGACTTCTTCCTCGCCTCTATCGACTCTGACGATGGTTGTTTCCGTGGCGACACCTCACGCCCGCTCTCTAGTTTAGCTGGCGCAGAGGTCTGTTCTGTCAACGCCGGCATCCTAATTTCTGGCGATGGTTTCGTTCTTGCATGCACCACTTCCTCTGGGCTTATACCTAGTCCGCCAAATTGGCGTTCAAGATCTGCTTCTTGCCAATCATTGGTATGTCTGCTGATAATGACAGGTATTGAGTCGTATGGACTGTCCGTTTCGGGTATTGAACTTGATCCTATCGAGTCTTCTCTGCTTGATCCCCGGAAGCTGTTGCTGAGCATGCCATAACCAGATATCGAACTTGTGGTCGGGCTTTCTTCGGTCAGAGGCGACTCTCTGCGCAGACTCGAGGACGGCATCAAGGGTAGCTGAGCCGGTGTCCATCCTGGCGGAGGAGGCTTCCATTGGCACAGTCGACTCATGACTTCGGTCAGCTTGGCTGTGTCGGGAGGCTTCTCGATCAGTGCATCAAAGTAGTGCGGTGCTTGCAAATCCTTGAGATACCCAGTCACCGCAACAATTGGTGTATGCGAGTTTGCGTTCTTTGTGTCTCGGATCATGCGTGCTACGTCTGCTCCATTGATTTGTGGTAACTTGAACTCCATCATGATGATGTCGAACTTGACTTCACTCATAGCATAACGCATCGCTTCAGAACCATCCTGTACCGAAATGGTGCGGCAGCGGAGCTTTTCAAGGAGCCGCTCCATCACGAGTCGTGACACGGGGTGATCCTCACAGATCAGGACGTCTAGTGGTCGGAACGCAGGTCCTTCGGCCAAAGTGATTTGAGAAAGTCTGCGCGTGCTCTGTCTCCTGCGCTGTACTCGCAATAAAGCCTTTGCCCGTTGATCTTCATTGTCCGAAGAGGATGGCGAGGCATCGAATGCCATACTTCTCCGCTTGTGCTGAGAGAGCGGTCCAGGAGGCATGTCATCATCTTGAGATCCTATCGTGTGTGAGCGTTGTCGCGGAGACGAGATGCTGCTACGTCTTCCGTTTGGCAGAGAAGACTTCTCTGGCATGTAGCTTTGTTGGCCATTCAGGCTCTTCGGTATTTTGATGGGAGACGAAGCTGCAGACAAGGATTTGAAACCGGCTGGTAAGTTAGGAGCATCCAGTAGATTACTGCTCGTTTGCAGACTGCTGATTTGCTGAGCCAACGATGAAGATGTTGAAGTTTTCCTCCGTTCATGGTGGCCACCCGCACTAAAGGATACCAGCAATGGTGACGAGGGTTGGGAACCTCTGCTTGGTGATGAATTGGTCTTGCTCAATAGCGAAGGTGAAGCGGGTCTATTGTTCCCCTTGTTCGATGATAGCGTGCGCTTCAACGGTGCGGGTCCTACTGGACTTGATTCCACAGAAGCAGAGGGCGAGACGACAACCGGCGAGGGAGATATGAGACCTTGAGCAATCTTGCTCTGAGCTTGCATTGCCTCGGCACGTAGCTTCTGGATAACATCTTTGTTCGCTTTTTCCAGGACGGGGAGGTTCTTGAACTGGAAATTTCCGAAGTCATCCGCGGCAACTGGCTCGCTGAGTCTTCGGCTGCGACCGTCTCTAACGTGGGGAGGTATGTGTAGCGGCATGAGTCCTCGTTTGATCGAGTTGACCTGGTTTCTAACCCTGGACAAGGCATCGTGTGGCCGTTCAGGATAGTCAGCACCAGGCGTGTTAGCTGGTGATGAAACTTGATCCTCAAACTCGGCTCTAAAATTCTGCAACGTCGCTCCTCTGGAGTCGAAGTATTCAGTGTCTTCCGGGTTTGCTGGTGCGGGGATGAAAGACGCCTCCTCTTCCCGAAGCGTGTCCCACTCAACGTCCGCAAACCATGGGTGTGCTCTGATCTCGTCTCCACCATTGGCGAACTTCTCGTCATTGTTGGACCCCAATCTATCCTTAGGGTCCAAGCACATGAGTCTGTTCATAAGATCCTTGGCTTCTGGAGTCACGGGACAATCCTCATCATCAGGCCAGTGAATGTTGCGATCCAAGATATTCTGGAATACCTGCTCGGGAGAGTCGGCATGGAAAGGCGGGTAGCCGTACAGGCACTCGAAGAGGATACAGCCCAAGGACCACCAATCACTCATCTCGTCTTGTCCACTGCCGTTGATAGTCTCCGGTGCGAGGTAGTCTGGTGTACCGACAAATCTTCGCGAGCTGTCGTCTGGGTCAAACAAAGCCATCGGTGGGGGCAGCATGCCGGATTGTCCAGGAGGAGTGCCTAGACCACTCATATGGCTCATAACAGGTTGCAATGCATAAGGTTCTGGTGACTCTCCCTCGCTAGCGGTTTCCTCTTCGATCGGGGTTCGTCTTTGATAGCTAGAAGGTTCATCAACGATAGAAAAGCGACGGAACATATTGGCCAGGGCATCGCTTTCCCCGCTGTCGCTACGATGACCAGACGTTCGCCTCGAAGGCTCACGAGAATCACCTTTTGTCAAGCTGAAGTAAGATGGCTGACCAAGCTCTCCGGCCAAGGCAGGAGTCAGGCCTGGAGTCGGTGCTGGAGACTGGCTACCATTGAAGTCGAATGAGGTAGAGCGAGATGATGCGATTGATGGCGCGCGCTTTCCCAGCTTGAGCAGATCGGGTGCATCGCTGGACTTGCTGTTTTGCATTCTCTTTTGGCGACCGATCAGTCCCATTCTGGAGAGGCCAAAGTCGGTCAGCTTCAAGTGGCCTTTCTGATCGATGAGCAGGTTGTCTGGCTTCAAGTCACGATGCACAATCTGCCTGTCGTGTAAGTGTTGAACTCCCAAAACAACTTCCGCCAGGTACTTCTTTGCCCAGTCCTCAGGCAATCCGCCCAAGGTCTTGACCAATGAAGCACAATCGCCTCCATTTAGATACTCCATGACGAGGTACAAGTAGTCTTTGCTGGCAAAAGTCCAGTAGAGTTTCGCGACGAAGTCACTCTCACCCTGCCACATCATGATTGCTCTTTCGGCTTTGACATTGGTGACTTGGTTCTTGGCAACCATGTCGGCCTTTTTAAGCACTTTGATGGCGTAATAGTCTCCTGTGACCTTCTTCTTGGCCAGATAGACACTGCCAAAAGCACCTTTGCTGATAGGCTTGATGATCTCGAAATCCTTGATGGATGTCTGCACCGCCCGGGGCTGCGGGTTGCTGTTTACAGCACTCAATCTTGGCGAAGACGGAGGTCGATATGATTCTGAGTACTGAGTCGCAGAAGATTGACGGCGATGATGGTGGTGGTGTAGTGACTGAGCTCGGATGATCGGAGATGTGAAATGATGATCATGTGAGAGTATCGGAGAGGTAAGTGGTGAGGGAACAGGCTCTCCGCCACTTGGTACCCGTGGCTTTGCTACTCGTAAAGGCGAAGAAGGTGCAATGCTTCGGGTTGGCGACTGCTGTCTGCTCGTGTTGGCCAAGCTGGGAAGCACAAGACTCCTTCGTTTGTGTTCACGCGTACTAGTGACCCGGCTGAGGCTTAGCTCGGGAGCTGGCGAGTCCGTCCGTACAGGCATAGATGCCAGTGAGGAACGAACGCTGCTATCGCTCTCTGCGCCTGCGTCGCTTTCCGGAGCTAGCATCGATGCCCTTTTCTGGTGAATCAAAGTACTGAGTGCACTACCATAGGAGCGTGGTGTTCTCGCACCGTGGGGGCTGTTCGAACGCGAGGATCCTCCTGTTGATGAAGCTCGTCGGTATGAGGAGGCTTCTGGAATATTTCTCAATGCCATAGTCATGGGTGATGGTGCGAGGGGTGATCCATACGGGTTGATCGTAAAGTCCTCCTGCATGCCTTCGGGCAAGCGCGGCATTGGTCCGTCTATGTCAGACATGGCATCTCCAATATTGCTGAATTTGTCTTGATCCTCAAGATCATCTTCCTCCTCGATCTCCGCATCAGTGGAGGAGGATTCGCTTGAGTCACTAATCTCTCCATTGGCAATACGCGTAGCTTTAGCCAAAGCCTCATCAATGCATTCTTGTACCAAAATGTGGAACTCAATGCGGAGGCGTTCGGAGTATTCCAGGATACGTCGATGGCGGAAGATGGCTTCGACTTTGGCTTTGCAGAAGCCTGAAGTATCTTCGGCAAGTAGTGCAAGGCCATGCTCGTTGTCCACGGTACTGGTGTTTGGAGGTTGCCATTGCAACACCTGTGATATTCTACCTTCAGATTGAGGAGACTGGGTTCTGATCTCGCCATCCTGAGAATTGTCTTTGACGGCTGGCGGACTGATCTCTAGAGCAGTATCGCAGAGATCCAGAACTAGCTCAACGATCCGAGCCAATGGACGCCGAACAGCAAAGGAGCGAGCTCGTTGATGATTCAAGCCTGATCTAGAAGAGCTCCTGGGCTTGAGTTGAGGACCAGCTGGTGATGCACGGCCAGATGATGGGCCAGAAGAAGGCTGGGAAGCAGGACCAATGGGATGTCCTTTGTAATCGCATAGTGGAGTGGGTAATGGAGAGCCTGAATCGTTTGCTCCAGGGCGAGAATGGCGTGTCTGGGCTTCCAAAGCATCTAAAACCTTGACAATGGCAGCACGGTGCTCGGTCAGGTTCTCTTGGGAGATCTGCACATCCATCTCAGCCTTGTGCTCCTGCATGCATAACTCGGTGTGCTTCTCAAACCACCAGGGGGTGATCTGACGTTCGCAAATGCGGCACAGTACTGGAGGCGGGGGAGGGTGATCAGCTGGGTCGTCACTGCCGATCTCGGCCAAATGGGTTAAGTACTGCGCCAAAACGTGAGCACCGATTCCCAGAGATTCAGCAAGAACGTCAGGGAGGTCTATGGTTATCTCACGATGGATTGCAGGCTTGACCATCCACATCGTCTGCGATATAGTCAGTGATGCTCTTGTATGTTCGTGGGCTTCGGCTCATACATGACTCTCTTCTCCGGTGGCTCTCTCGTATACCATTATACCTTGGGCTTCAAGGTTCACAAGATGCTCGTGATTGTCTTGGTCTTCAGAGCAGAAGTTGAGAGCTACAGGTTCGGCGTGGGGGCTCTCGATGGTGACTTCCGGACTTCCTCCAACGGGTAGTTGGTATGCAATTGCGAAGCGGATGATACGACTCTTTGTGTCATCCTTGCGCATAAGGGCAATTGCGTCAGTGAAAATATTCTTGTGGTCGACAATGATTTCAGACATGGTCTTGCCGACCATCGATTCGGGCTCGACTCCGCTGAGTTCCTTCCATGAGGGACTTGCCCAGCGAATGGATCCATCCAGATTCAGATCCATGATGGCGTTGAGAGACTGTTCGGCGGCTCTCTTGAGGTCTTCGCGTTCCTCTCTGATGTCCATGCTGACTGTTCTCTCCATTGTACCTCTGTACCCAGTGTCCTTTGTTCCAACGGCCTCCTCTTTCAAAGCCATGACGGCCGGGGGAGCCAGCATTGCAGGGTTTGGCGAATCGGCCATGATGTCGCTGTATGTGTGTGTGTAGTGAATTGAATTGAATCGTTGCAGAGCACCTGCCCGCCAGGGCAGCCCAGTTGAGGCTTCGCTAGATGTGCGATTCGACCATGACCATCGTGACCAGGGTCAAGATGGGGGCTCTTGCGCTTTTTGGTGGCTCTTCCACCAGCTGAAAGTCGCTATCGGGTCGATAAGAGAAGGTTCACAATATTCGGCGGCTGAAGTGAGAGCTGCGAAGAGCAAGTGCGAATTGAAGGCGGCCAGAAGAGGAATCCTTGGCTGCAAATCGATTGGTCGACGATGGCGTATATGGCCGACGAGGGCGATTGATCGAGGCGACGAATGTGTACGGCACAGTGAAATTGTTTTGGACGCTGCTGCAAGTTGGGAATGGCAATGGCGTGGACAACGAGGTCGAGTGATAATGACCAACCATTCACCTCATTCACCCTGCCCCGCTCCTCCCGTCCTGCTAGGCCCTTTTGGGCCGCTAAGCCTTTGTTTTATTCCGTAACTCCCTATCTCGTGACTCGTGACTTGCTACAGAATACGGCCATTTCACTCTTACGTAGCAGATAATAATAGTCGTCAAGCTGTATTTTCCTGTAGTAGTTCTTGTACAGTTGACAAGACTTCGCTCGCTCAACTCATGAAATCGCTGACACCCACTTTGCGACATTCAACAGTACTTCTTCTCGCTATCGATCAGCTTACCGACCCCAATCACGAATTCAAGGGTCTCCTGTGTACCGCTCCAAGGCATGTGCTGGTGCCGCACATCCTGTCCGCCGTTTGCAAGCCCATCAACTGCGTGCTTCGCAATGGAAATTGCAGCAAATCACTTACCGCTGCAAATCTCGTAACCTACAGCCGCACCTTGCAGCAGGCTGGACGCATGATTATGCAGCAACGCTTTCGGTTGCCCCGTCGAATACGCCGAGGCGCGAGGCGGCATCGGAAGGCAAGTAGTCCCGCGCCATGTATCCATGTCACCCTATCACCGGGTGGTGCGGCAGGATGCGTGGTACGCGTGCTACTGAAGTTACCTGGACGTCGGTGGCATGGAATCCGAGAATTTTCGTGGCCATGACTTTTTGCTGAGGGTATAACCCTGGCTGTGAACCTACTCACCACGCACACCTGTTCCTCTTGCTGAATTCTTCCATTCTATACATCATTGAACCATGAGTAGCCATGTTAAAATACTTCATGCTCAAACGTGGTAAATGTCTCATGCCGTCGTGGTCCTGGACAGCTAACAAGATAATCACTTGATTCGCTTCAACACATCCACTAAATGCAACCCTTTCCCGGTGCTGGATCTTGTCACATCAACTCTCGTGCTGCAGCGATACACACCGAATAATCTGTCCGAATGCACGGTACTTTTTGGTAGGACAGCTTCGTCCACAGAAAGCGACTCTCTAAAGCTCTTTCTTCGTACCTAGCACTGACTTCAAGAATCATTGTGCATCTCTACAGCCTCACGTGTAAGGAAGTTTAGCGCTCGGGGAGGTCGCACCTGTCACCATTTATGCTCGGATGCGACAAACCCATTCATACTGGACCAAGATTTGAACACTGCAGTGTAGGCTCATACTTCTAGCGCATGTATTATCCATCTTCATCACACAAAAGGCAACACAGAACAAAAGACATCGAAAGGAACACATTCAAGCCACGAGCCAAGCTTCCATCGCCAAGGATCTGTCAGATCGATCAGGGACCCTTTCGCAGATCCACCCAACCTCCTCCCAAGAAAACCATCACGGTCGAAAACCAACTGCATGATGTCACTATATCGAAACCCTCGCATCGATGCTCCAAATAAATCGATGACGATAGACGCGACTGAACAATGGGCTGGGCTGACCGAACCTTGCGTCCCATGCCTTCATCATATATAACCAGGTAAAAGAACATGCCATTGACCAGAGCAACACCAATTGTCAAACATTTCTTGTATATAACTCGTTCGCGAACTTCCACACTTCTGATTAGAACTTTCATACCTTCAATTGTCGCAAACATGCCTCCCAAGGACAAGTACACTGACCCTGAGCTTCGCGATGAAGTCAAGGAGGAGATTCACCAAGGCGACAAGGGCGGTGCACCAGGCCAATGGTCAGCTCGCAAGGCTCAGATGATGGCTTCCGAGTACAAGAAGCGCGGTGGTGGTGTAAGACTTCCAATTGAGTACTACATCGTCCTTGATTGACTTTACTGACAATCGTGACAGTACACAACCGACAAGAAAGACCAAGACGAGTCCCAAGAGCACCTCTCCAAATGGGGTGAAGAGGAATGGCAAACCAAGGACGGCTCAGCCAACGCCAAAAACGAGGACGGCACACAACAACGCTACCTCCCCAAGAAGGCCTGGGAAAATATGAGCGAGCAAGAGAAGAAGGAAACCGACGACAAGAAGCAAGCCGAGAGCAAAGAAGGCAAGCAACACGTCGAAAACACCGACAAGGCCAAGGAGAGCAGAAAGCAAGCCAACGAGGAAGAGGACGAAAGCTACGCAAAGAAGAAGGCCGAGGAGAAGAAGGAAGACGGAGAGGAGGAAGAGGCACAGGCCGGTGACAAGCGCACTCGCTCATCCCAGTCTGCATCACCTTCCAAGAAGCAAAAGCAAAATGACGGTGCCGCAAAGGACACATCTTCACCCTCAAAATCAAAGTCCGATGCAAAGAAGGACGACTCCAAGGACACAAAATCTCCCAGCAAGGATCAACAATCCACCTCCGACTCCAAGTCCAAAGACCCACCAGGCAAACCCGCTTCCACCGACCGCCTGCCAGAGAAGGATCAAGAAGTCTACTGGAAGACCCTAGGCAACTGGACCAAAGGCACCGTCGTCGAAGTCGCCTACTCCGAAAAAGAGGTGGATGGCAAGAAAGTCAAGGCATCAGAGGAAGATCCCAGAATCGTGCTGAAGAGTGACTCTTCGGGCAAGATTGCTGTGCACAAGCCTGATGCTGTTTACTTTGAGTAAGAGGAGGAAATTAAAAGGCATGGTGGTTTTGGAGGCTTTCTGTCGAGGTGGCCTGAAAACTTTATGAGAATTGAGTTACGTCGAGGCTGAGTCTGTACCATACCCTAAATACAATAACATAATTTGTTCTCCTCAAACCCTCCTTGCGAGGCCATCGTCCGGTTCAGTGCTCCTGCAGCAACATTCCTATCCAAAGCTTATGCTCATGCCCAATAACAAACCATGCAGGTCCGCCTCCACGAGTCAAACGACACTAGGAGCTCTAACAGGGATATTTGACTTGTCTGGAGTTCTGACAGGGAATGTATCTCGACAACAATGGGCATGATTTATTCAGGATCTATCTATCGGAACCGACATGATTGTAGAAGCCATAATGGGACAACAGATGCGGTGCTACTCAGCACAGCACAACTATAGTACATCTGGACTCGGATTTGCCTGAGGAACACTCTTCACCAACAGCCAGGATGACCCTTCTGCTTTGCCTCGCACTCCCATGCCTCCAGCTCTTGCATGTCCTTCTCATCACCACGTCTTCCCTTGTTCTTCGCACCAACACCGTCCATACGAGTAACCACATTGTCAATGATGTTCTGGACATCACACATCGTCTTGTCGTCAAGCACCTCCTTGGCTGTCCAAGCAGCATCATCACCTGTGCTCGTCTCCAGGTTCTGTTCGAAGAAAGACTCGGCTGAGATGGAGAGCTTTGCTTCAAACCAGAGGCGGTGGTCTTCAACCATTTCAGATCTCTTTCCAGAGGCCACTTGGTGAATTGAGGTGTCAGTCTTCATCCGGCCCCTGATCAGCTCCTGCACTTCCGTTATGTGTAGCTTGATACGATCGTTTTGAAGATAGGTGAACGAGAGACGCTTTTTTGCGTAAGCGGTGTGAATCTTCAAGTCGTTGTTTACACGAAAGCGCACATCAACAAGTTGGTCGTCCTTGGAACCACGAACATTTGCGGAAAGCTGCTCCACGAAATCTGACACTGCCTTTCGGTGAGTGTACTGTCTGCGGCCTTCGACAGCGAAGCGAGCGTCCCATTTGCGCTTGGGATAATGAAAAAACGCCTGGCCGATGGTAAGAGAAGCGAAGACGGTCTCGGCCTTACCCATACCTTTCACCTTGACTATGAGGTCGTTGTGGTATTTGTCCTCGCAGTCAAACTCATACCAAGAATCTTCCTCTGTCTCTGTGGGGTCCTGTTTGAAGAGATGCGCAGCCGGGATCTGACACGCCTCCTCAGTGTCCGAAGTAAGTCTCTCCACGAAGTGCAGGTATGTCTTTGTATCTGAGAGGAGGTACTTCTCGATACCCTCAACCATACGGTAAGACGACATTGCTTTGGCCTCAGCGAACTCCTTTGCTTCGGGTCCAACCAAGCCCTCGAGTAATATGCGACCGATAGAGACCTCCATGTCTAGATGGCCCCTGAAGGCCCTAGCGGAGTCCAAGATCTTCAAAAGATCATTGCTGCAGTCGGGAAGGATGCGAGGCTTTGGTTGGGGTGCCTGCGATACTTGAGGTGCGCTTGCTCGACTTTGCGAAGGTTTATCAATTCGCTGATTTGCTCTGGGGTCCCACTCGGGTACCTCGAGCTGTGCTTTGATCGTTGAGCTTGCGCCACTCTTACCCTTCGACTTGGGCTTGGGCTTTCGGTGAGCTGTGGTCTGGAAGTATCTCCGGCTCGAGACTTCATCCTCAAGCTGTATTGTCTCTACGACATCAGTAGCTTCCTCAGGCGTAGCCTGGGTCACTTGTGAGTACTGTCCTGACGTGTCAGCTGGGAGAGGTAATCCCTGAGGCCTGACGAGGGTAAAACCGGGAGATGGACGAAGTGCCGGAGGGACCTGCTGCACTCTTGGTCGTTGCCCCCGTGATTCAAGAGAAGGAAACGGCTCTAGGTGGGAGTCGCCAGCATAATCTGGAAGGGGACTAGGGCAATACTCGACTGGCTCCGGTAGAGCGGGAGTAATGTCCCATGATGCTTTAGGCAATTTGGCCGTGAACTTTATCCCGGAAGGATTGGAGGATTGCAGTGGCTCGGCAAGGATCGACGAAGTGGTGATTCTGCCATCGACAGAATCAGGAGCCGGTGTAGAAACAGGTTGCGAAGGTGGGATAGCACCTGCGTTTGCTTGTTGTGATCTTTCAAACATGCGGCCCTCATAATCGATAAGTAGGCTTGAGTTTGAGCGGCTTTCAGAATCAGTCTCTTCCGGAAAACCGAGATCTTGCACAGGATATTCTGCCTGCTTTCTAGATGGTGCTGCTGCAGGCAGAAGCGCATTGTAATTCGTAGCTCCGGTGTCGCCGCCCATCAGGTCGTCTCCTTCTCCCTCAGGCACATAATCATGAGTGTCTTTCAGCCAGACTTCAACGGGATTCTCATCCAGTTCCAACAGAGATTCATGCATGCCCTCTCGGAGAAAGTGCGGAAGCTGGATGGAAGTCCATCTAAGGACCAAGCCTTCATCATGGGCAACCTTGGTGGGGTTTTGAGTGAAGACTTCGAGAACACCTTTGTCGTTGTGGCGCATCAGGCGAACGACACGTTGACGGGGCAGCATGTCTTTCATCTTCAAAGGAGCCAGGGTCTGCAACAATGTGCCATCACCCAAATGTTGGAGGCGGTGGAGCCGAAGCCTGCTATCAGACTCTTTTTCCGTTCGCATGAAGTGAGTGTCGATTCTAAGGCGGTGCTGAGCAAGTCGGTCAGTCGAGATGGCTTTGGGAGATTACGGCAAACGAGAGACGTTGAGGTTACGCCAGGGAAGGAATGCATGAGGACTTACCCAGTTTCTCTCGACATTGTCCAGTTTCTTGACGACGGCCTGGATCTTGCTCTGAGTTGCGTTGGTGATGAAGACACATGCCTTTTCGACGTTCAAGTCCAATGAGCACGCAGTGTCCTGAGCAATGTCCTGCAGGACACGGCCAGGCAGAGCGACAGCGATGTTCGTATTGGGGTCTTTGGGGTTCCAGAAAGCCTTGTCTTCGTCTTCGTCGCGTCCAGAGGATTTGTCGTCATTGACATCAATGAGATGTTCGCCGTCAACAGAATCGTCTTCTCTCAGAAGCTTCTCGAGTTCGTCTTCGGCATTGGCTGTTCCACCAGTCTCGGCCATGCGGAGGATCTTTGGATCGCTCATGGCGTCTGCGGGACCGTCTTGGTGCTTGTCGACATAGGCGTTGCACATGTCGACGAATTTGAAGTAGCTGCTTTCATGTCCCGGTTCGGGGAACTCAATTCGGAACATCTGCATCTGGTCAGACGCGCCAGAATGGCTTGTTGCAAGTCAAAAGACTTACATGCGTATCGAACATGTAGGTACACCTGACATTGGCGTCGCGAACCATGTTGTCGAACATGATGATCAATTCTTCGGGCTCCTGGAAGTTCCACACCATGCTATGCAAGAAAGTGCTCGCCATGTTGGATGTAAGCAAAACTTGGTAAGGGGAGATGCCAGTGAGTTGACAGCCCTTGCTCGATGAATAGAGGTAAAAGATCTTGGAGTGATGCGGTGAAGATGTTGATGCACTGAAAGGATTTGGATTGGCGCTTTTGCGCGGCAGATGAATGCAATGCCGGATACCGTTCGTCGTTTTTCTGTGTTGATCAGGAAGCTGCGAAAACCCGCGCGCGTGCATGTGCCTTGCATGAAAGAACCGGTCGCTTGCTCGTGCTGTTGGTAAGATGGTATGTCTTGATTACTCAATTGGCAGGCACGATCTAACACTCTGAACGCCTTCATCAGACTCCCTGACTTCGAAATCAGCTTCTTCACATCGATCTCAAACGCGGCTAGTGTCATTTCGTCTTGTTATACCATAGGTAAGAATATGGTGCCACCTGTATTATACTCCTTGTCTCCTCCCATGACGCCTCGCTATGCAGCCCTTTGAAAGCCATAAGATATCTGCTTCTCAGTACGCCTATTCAGAAGCAAACCCGTGAACGCCTTCGTAAAACCCCTGTATAGTCAGATTTCCCGCTATACAACATCAACAATGCCAAAGAAAACTCCCTCTCTCTCTCCTACCCCAAACAAAACTCACTTTTCGGTCAACCCCTGAGATGATCGTAGTACTCAGGAAGGCGGCGAAGGCGGAGGTGAGCTGACACCATTCTCATTGTTCACTTTCTGCATGTTCATGAGCCACTTCATGCGGTTCATGACCTTGTGCATCTCCTCAAGCGTCGTCTCAAGTTCTCCTTCGCGTTTGCTGATGCCTCCCTTGAGTTGCCTCACATCCCCGAGGACACCGTCCACTTCCGTGTCTTTTTCTGCTTTGTACTTGTCCGAAGCTGCCAGCAGTTCGTTGTACAGTTTTCGTGCCTTCTCCGACTCTTGACGCATTTGGTGGTTAACGACATCCAATTTGGTCAGGCGTTTTCGGTCTTCCTCCCTATCGTCGCTCAATTCTCGTAGTTGCTTGCTAGCCGCTGCTATGCGCTGCCGGTACTCAGACGATAGTTGACGGTGTGATGTCTCGAGGATGGAGGCGTGTGTGGTAGCGTGCTTGGCTTCTTCGACTGCTTGCTGGACTTCCTTGTTGCTGTGCTCTTGGTATTCGCCCATCTTGCGTTCGGCGTCCTGTACTCGGTGCTCCAAAGACTCTCTCTTTTGCCGCTCAACATCCAGCTCGGCCTTGAGATCTTCGATCTTGCGATCGCGGCGCTTGATCACGCTCTCGTCCACGGCTTTGCAGTGCGAGAGACGGGCGTTTTCTGCTTGGAGAGCTTCCAGCCTGGGCTTTTGTGCATTGGCAGTGCGTTGCAGCTCTTCTCTTTTGGCGGCCTCTGCCTTTATTTCTCTTTTCAATTTGTCGTTCTCAGCCATGAGCTTCTCAATAACACGGCCTGACTTTCCCAGGTTCGCATTTCCAAGACCAGTGCCGCCAACCCAGGGAGTACTGTCCGAGAGGATTGGCGATGATTCTACCAATGTCGTGGTGGAACTCATGTCGTTGTTCGAGGGCTTGGGTGAGAGTAGTCGTTCTTGTGTGCCGTCGAGGGCGTTTGTTGACACTGGCGGCTGGGCTGTTCGAGGCGACGACGATGCGACTTCGATCTCTGGAGCTCGTGGCTGGGTTGCAGTGTCGGTAGTGGAGTTTGTGACAAAGGGAGCAAAGTCGGGCATCTTCAGTTGAGGGGGAATCGAAAATTGACCATCTGGGATTGGTAAAATGAGCGCTGGACGTTGCGCAGTGACGGGCACGAAAACAAAGGACCCTGCATTTGGAGCTGCAAGCAATCGCAGGAACAGCGCCAACTGGAACGTGCTTACCGCCAATAATCTCTCTTTCCTCCTCGACGCTGTCTGAAGGTTTGCGTCCGGCATGCTTGAATCTTTGCGACAGCTCTCTGAGCGTATTAAGCGATGATTTCCTCCGTCCAAGACTAGGTTTTGGCGTGTAGTCGTCGGCCATGCTGCGTCTCCAGGCTCTCCGGCAACGACAAAGGTCGGTGTCAAAGGGTCCGTGGGCACGGAAGAGCAAGACGGCGTGAACGGCTTCCTGTGGTTCCTGCGCTTCTTGTGGAGCAAAGCCAAAAGCATCGCGCGCAAAAGGTGGGATGGTTGCAGACCTTATGCACGTCGCCGAGTGCCCATCTTAAAGTCTAAATTAAAAAGGACATTGCGCCGGCAGGTAAGAGATACAGTACGTTAGGCTTCAACGGGCCTTAGATACGACGACTGTCAGAGCAAACCACACACGTTCGACGCTGAACGACTCCTCCTATCCTAGCACTGCCTCGCAGGACTATGTATAGAAGCAATTCCAGCGGGCCGTTGTCTCTATCGATACATGTTTAGGAGGTAGTAGTTCAATGATGTGTTTGCTGTGCTCAGCCATGATGCTACTTTTCGATTGTTGTCTCTGCCTAATTTCTATTCATGGTTCTCCTGATGTCCTAGCAAGCGTCATTTGACATGCTTTGATGCAACGTGATTTCTGTTTCTTCGGTGATATGCGGCTTGCGATTTGAGCAACAAGACTTGAGACTTTCAGATTCTCCGTGTCTAAGTTGTAACTGCTCCTTGGAGTCTTTCGAGTGCTTCTGGTCGGAATTTGGGCATGATCTTTGTCACTAGTGGTCTCGATTCGTCGTCTGTTCGAAATAACGGTCAGCATATGTCGAAGCAAAAATCAACCTTGGGTACGTACAGTTTTTATATAGCTCTTCCAACGCATCAAGAGCCATTTCTCTAGCCGGAGGTCGAAGAAGAATTAAGTAGTGTAGAGCTTGAACTGCAAGCTGAACTCTCTCAGGGTCCTTGGCCAGTCTGACCACCCGCTTAAGGACATCCTGATTAATACTGGGAATTTCTGAGAGGAACCGGATAAGAAGTTTGTCCTTGGCGTCTAAGAAAGGCACAATCCCATCAAGTATCTTGAGCATCCATTTCTCGTAATGCTCTTGAATATACTCTGCCTCCTTGTTCTGCTGTTTCTGTATGCGGTCGTTGTACCATTCTTCGGCAAGCCATGAGATGCCGACGTCGATGCGCTTTCTAAAATCTTCAATGATGTAGAGATACAACGAGTCCCGTACAGCATCGTTTAGTAGACCGCCCCTTGACAAGCTGCTTCCCTCGGATTTGAGCTTGCCTTCGTCGAGTCCAGCTGGAGCACGTGTAGCAAGGCGAGTGACGAGCGTGATCCAAGCATCTCGGTCATGGTTGGTAGCTGCAAGACGATTGAAACCGGCTCTCTGTGATTTGCTTGGCGCAGACTGCTCGAGTGTAGTCAGGGTGCTGAACACGCGGTTCACTGTTCCTTTGCTGTACTCTGCGACCTGATCTGTAGTCAATGGAGGTGGTGGAGGTAGGTTGAAAGGCCCCAGAGACACCGGCGCTCTATCGGCATCTGGAGGGGCTTGATCGAGATTGTTGGTAATTTGATCGGTACTTTCGACGCCAGGCTCATAGTCTTCGTCTTCGTCGGCCGGAGCAGGACCAGTACCCGTGGCCACTCGAGCAGCCGTGGCAGCTGTGGCAGGTCTCGCAGCTAACGACAAGTACCTCGCCTGAACAGCGTTGATGGCAGCATCCATTTTGGCCTTGTCTATTGACTTTAAAAGTGGTGCCACGATGCTCAGAACGACATTGGAAGGAATCACGTTCACATCGAAGTTTCTCAGGCCCTGGTCTTGAGTAAGAGTGAAGAGCTGAGCAAGGCTTACAGGACCTTGTGGCAGCGGTGGTATTTGTGGTGTCTGGGCAGGCGCTTGTGGCATTTGCGCATTCAGACGCTGGCGCTTTGCCTCAGACAGACCGTCAGTTGGCTCGGAGGGTGCGGCCCTCTTGCGACTAGACTCGTCGAACACATCTACGAGCGTGTGTCTGAGTCTTTCAATGCACTGTTGGATACGGCCGGCGAGGGGGTGGTTAGGGTTCTTCTTGATGATGTTGATCAAGAAGGTGGTTGTGGTGCGTGTCATGGATCTGATCATAACTTTGTGGGTTGGCGAGACGGGGGTGGTGGTTGCGAGTTTGAAAGGGTTGTAGTTGAGGACAGTTGAGATGATCTTGTTGGCGACTGAGGGACGGTTCTTGACCAACGAGCCAAGACTGTTCAAGGTAGCTGTCACAAGCAACGCATCGGTACTGTTGTCTTGCAAGACGCCAAGTAGTCTGTCAAGCAAGCCCAGGGCTTCGGCTTCAAGCGTTGAGGGAGAGACAATGGGATGGTCACGAGGTACCAAAGCAAGAGAGATCTCATTCTGCTCAGGACGCCTTGGATCCGCTATCAGACCTGGGGTTTGGACCTGGACGACCCTCTGAATGAACTTGACCGAGCATATGTGGATACCGGGAGGAGCATTGGCCATTCTACGAAGAATGCTCGACTTGATGGCGGCCATCTTCTGCCATGGCGAGGCATCCTGGGGGTTTGCGACGATATGGCGGAAGATGAAGGGGTAGATGCTCGCAGCTGTCTGAACAACGCTCTTGATGACAGCGGTGTCTTCATTGGGACGCTCGAGGAAAGCTTTGAGCGTGTCTAGAACCTGCAGCCCCAAGTTCTGCTTGTGTTCCTGGGCGAGGACGGGGGATGCGAAGGTTTCGGCGAAGAAGTCGGCGCCCCATCTTCTAAGCTCGAGTATGGCCTCGGCGCCCACAATTCTAAGAAGACCAGGGACGACTTGAGGATAGAGAGCTGGATCGGCGAGAGCAAGGTTTCGAGCAGCATTGAGCTGCTTTATCGTGTCGGCGACATTGCCCTGGGCGGCCATTGTGGACGGCGGAGGGACGCGCCGAAGACGTCACGCAGCGCAGACGAGGTTGGATTCAACTCGGTGACAGCTACGCTATTGTGACATGAGGCACACGTAGAGTGTCTTGCACAGCTTTCTGGACAAGTGCGATGATGCACGATCTTGACAAAGTGTCAAGAAAGGCGACGGTGAAATGCGCAATGCGATGGGTCGAATTGATGAAGCTCTCTTGCTCTGTCGAGTTGAACGCGCGGGAAAGCAGCAGGTGCAGCAGCGTCGCCGGTCGCTCTTGGCATCACCGTTTCTCGAACATGTGAATTGCACCTTCTGTTCTGGTCTGAATAATACTTGATCATATCACGACTCAAGCAGATATGCCTATTGGAAAGTATGCAGAACAAACACTCTTCTATACCAATTCTCGAATTGACGCCATCGCAGGATCCCCCAGTCGTCGTACTACGACAAATACAACCGGCCCACCGCCGCTCTCTACCGTGCCCGCCAACCGTACATTGTCAAGAATGCCCTGACCGGTCTGGCTATCTTTGGCTTCGCTATTGGTGTTTGTCCGTCGCATCTGCCTTTGTTCGTTCTATGCGACCACCACCACTAACCCGCCACCGCAGACTCCTTCACCATCCGCGCTGTCGCCCAGGACGAATTCGAAGATGTCGTTGTTCCCGATGCGCCCGCCACTCCCGGTCACGCTCCTCACACCAGTAACGTGAGGCAGGTGGCTTCCAAGTGAAGAGGCTCCGGATTCCACCCCACATCTGTATCACCACATGTACATTCTATACGGCATGGTTAAGGCGCAATGGAGTTATGGGAAGCATGTCTCAAATGACAGCGGCACTTTTGTTCACATACGAGCCACGAATGAAAAATATACAAAAGAAGAAAGATGAATTCGCTATTGGCTTGGTATATCTACATCAACACAGTCTGGACGCCAGTGGGAAGGTTGCCCTTGAAAGGATGCTCGCTGGGAACGGCGTTGTCCTTGATCTGCTGCAGCTTCTTTGCGTTGGCCTCGTAGGACTCCTTTTCGTACTTTGCGATGACCTGTGACATGTCGGCGTAGTGGCCGGCGGGCACGTTGTGAGGGGCTCCAGTGTTGAGGATCCTGTTGACAAAACTTGGTTAGCCTTTCAATGCTCTCGTGATGTGTCCTTAGTATCATCCATTCTTGCATGGCCACCTTCTCTTTCTTTGGTGCACGTAATTCCCCATGCCATACGGGTGGGGTATATAAGGACGGTCGGACGTACTCGGGGAACTTCAATTGGACATTCTGGGTGCGCTGGGTGTTGGCAAACAGGTTGCGGTCAGCAGCAGCCTGCTCGAGCGCATCGGTGTGAAGAGCGTTGATGTGGGCTGCATCCTTGCGGTAATGGTCGTAGCTGTTGATGACGCGGGTGAAGTACTTGTGCTCGTAGTTGCCGGGGCCGGTGAACTGGTACATGAGGTAGCCGATCGGGATGAGGGAGATGGTCATGAAGAATCCTTTCTGTCGCATCCATCAGTCTATGCTCTCCTGCGCTTGATCTGGCTCTTGCTGTGTCCCAATGGCACGTACTCCGAGCTTCTCCTCTTCCGGGTATTTGATGCTGCCAGCGGCTGGTGCTTCGTGGTGGGCGTAACGTTTCGTTTGCTGACGGCTGACTGCGCGCGCAGTTTGCGCAGCGCTTCTTCTGAAGGCCTGCATGTTGTGTGTGATGTGTACGAACTCAATCGCTATACCGTCAATCGTCCTCTTGATCTGGCAGAGTGATGTCGAATCGTGCTTGGCGTTGTTCACGCTCGGACCCACAATTCGAAGCACCTCATATATAAATGTACCCTTGGAGTACCTTATAGATGCCGATGTCGATTGAATAAGAATCTATCGCAAGACTCACTGAAATATAGGTAGATGCCCAATTACAACTGATCACATTACGAACATTTACTGAAATTTTCATGAATATCTACGCTTAGATCGAATCGAATACCCAGGTGGGATATAGACAGGCTGACACTGCATTGGCCTGACCATGTATTTCACGAGAAGCGACAGATAACAAGGACAACAATTAAGTTTGAGAAAAGTTTGGCTCGAGGAGGTCAGATTACAAACTTAGTTGCATTGATCGAAACTCGTCAGTCGTTTTTTTCAGAAAAGGACGCTATGAAGGAGTTTTGTTCGAGAAAAAGGGGTGCCGATGCTGTGCGTTTAGTCTCTCTTTCGACGTACAAGCAACTGCAGTGCCGTGAGCTTCCGTCAGAAGACAGTTTCCCGATGCTCGCGAAGCAAACTTGACCACTAATGCATGGCAATTGTCTTGTGGTGAAACCCGAGCAGCCCATCATGAGCTCGTCCTGTAGGTAACATAGACATCATGATCTCCCAAGGGATATGCCGGTGTCGTTTTGCTTTTTTGTATCAAATCCAAACGCCGCGCTTCGAATAACAAGAGTGGACTATGCGTGTCCAACGCCAGTAAGATGCGTCCGTTCGAGCAAACTCCATGAATTTCAGAAACAGCTTTGGGTGGTATTGTTGTTTTTGCCAGGGTGTAAGAACTTGGCGGATGTGTTGGGATAACAGCAGATCGAAATAAGTCGTGTCTCATTGCACAAAGTTTCTCAGCTTCATCATCTCATCGAGCAGCTCCTGCAGATCGTCATCGGAGATCTTGCCTTCGAGCGAGGGTACAAGAGTCTTTGCTTCTTCGGCAGTGTCAGGGCACAGACTTCCTTTGAGAAGGTCAGTAGATGAACGTGTACTGCAAAGATCAAGTAAACTGACCGAGCTGGCTGCGCTCAAAGCGCTCGAGCTCGGTGCGAGTTGTGAGCAACTGCTCGACGGCAGTGACGTGTTCTTGTTGCTTGAAGCGCGCGAATAGCTCGAGGTATTCCTGGGTCTTGAGGAGGGTTTCGGACTCAGAGACCTTCTGCTTGATGTTGCGCCGGCGTGTGGTGACAGCGTTGATGATGGTACGCGCTTCGGACAAGTTCAGTGCTGGAACTTGCTGGAACTCTCCCAGACGCAGGATCGCTGTGGCCTCTTCATCTCCAGTGGGTGCTCTCTTTGGGCGCGAGATCATGTGAGGCGCAGGAGCGGGACCACCGGGGTTGGCCATGTTGTGTGGAGCGAGTCGCGCGGGGAGATGCGACCGGTTGCAAAGGGCGATAGAGCGTAAGGATAAGATGACCGGCGACAATGGTTTGCGCGATAGATTCGACGCCGTCGTAAGTTGTTGATGTCGAACTCTGGCTTGGCCTTGGCGCTGGTGCTCCGGACTCCAAGGCTCCAGAGTGAACGAGCTTTTCGAATTCAAGCGGCTGGCGTCCCTCATCAACATGACTGTCGGACTGCAGTTCATGTCAGACTTACATCTGGAGCGCTTCGAATACAAATACGATATATCTCCCGCTGCCTCTCATCTAGCTCTGGTAGGAGATATTGGACGATTTTGCGACTATGACGATTATGCTGGTTTCCTGAAGAAACAGTGCCAGACCTTCGACCAGGTGCTTTTAGTTGCAGGGAACAACGAGTTCTACCGGTTCGTCACGGCACGGAGGACTGGATGCTGCAGAAAGGCTAGCCCAGGATCCAACTTTGCAAGGGAAGCTGGTCTTCTTGAATCGGACTAGGATTGATCTTACGGGATCCAACATCACTGTACTAGGCTGCACCTTGCATTCTCACATCGAGCCTGGTCATGACCAGCTGAACAAGGATTTCGAACGCATCAGAAACTGGACTGTCAAGGATCACAATATGGAGCACGAGCTGGATGTCGAATGGTTGCGGTATTCTCTTGAACAGATTGCCGAGACAGAGCCTCAACGACAAGTTGTGATACTCACTCACCATGCGCCATCCTTTCAGGATACATGCCATCCTAGTCATGAAAACAATGCCGTAAGCCAGTGCTTCTGTAGCAACACTCTTGAGGCTTTCAAAGCGTGGAAAGGCAAGGATCAAGTAAGCAACTGGGTATTTGGTCATACTCATTGGAACGCTTGGTTCATGTGTGGGAGTACCGTAGTGCAGAGTAATTGTCTACCTAATCGACCTCGTGATCTGACTTGGTGGCGGAGACATACGATATATAGACCATTCGACCCACAAGCAGTCATTCATAGCCGTATGTTACGGTCTTGGACAGATTGGTTATTCAATATATAACACTTAGCCCCACATCAACAACCCATCTTATCCCAAATCACACATGAGATGTGCACGGCAACAAACAGTTTCAAGCAGCAACAAAGTGAAGTGTTGACACGTGGAACCGCAAAAGTGCAGACATAAAAAGGGCAAGCGGAGAGATTAGATCGTCGGTGACAGGGTGGAGGAATTCGGGGATTTTTAAGCGCTAGCGGGCAACTGCCATTTGCGTGTGTAACATGCTCAACAAGCAACTCAAGCACTCAACGCCAAAGGGACGAGCTAGTGCGAGAACAAGTGATTGCTGAGATAGGGCACAATGGACGGCTGATTTAGGAATCTACATCGAGTCTGGACTGGATCCCTGGGTATCTCTGGAATCCTCATCTCTTCATCCGCATAAACATCATAGCGTCTACGCGAGTCACGACTCTTGGCGTCTTCTGGGGGCTTTCGAGCTGGGCTGGACATTGCGCATCGAAGCACATTGAATCGAGCGTATCCACCTACGTTAAACCTGCGACTGCACTGCCGACCGCTCAACGCAGGCGCCGTCTATCTCGACTCCTGGAACGACATCCCATGCCGCCGCCACCCAGTCCTCCACTGGATGTTATTGCGCATGGAAGCACCTTAACAATACCTACCGCCTCCTGACTGCCCGCATCTGGCTGTCCTTGTTTTGGCACGCGTCGGATGCTACCCTATTGAACACCATCTCGCTCGACGATTTTATCCCAGTAGCCGCTGCTACCTTACACTCGCTTTGTTTCCTCTGTCCACAATCTCTCCTCATACATCATGGGTTTACCGACGGACCCCTCTACCCAGCACGACGCTGATGACCATCCCTATCCTTCCAACATCGCTCTACCTCCGTCTCGTACCAACACCTTTGAGTCTCCCGGGGAGTCTCCCTCTCGTCCCTCCACGGACGCTGAGTCACAGCTTGAATTGGCGACCCGTCACCGACCTAAGCGCAGCCTGGACGTCAAGGACGACCGTCCTGCCGATACCCAAGTCTCACCTTCACGGGACCGCTCTCGACCCAATGGCAAGCAGTCTAATAGGATGTGCGCAAAGTGCGGCGGTCATCTGACTGGCCAGTTCGTACGCGCTCTGGGCGGCACCTACCATCTTGAGTGCTTCACCTGCCATGTCCGTCCATTGAAACACGAAGCCTTGAACATTTCGCTGACACTCTGTAGGACTGCGGTAAAGTCGTCGCATCCAAATTCTTCCCTGTCCCCGAACAGCCGCCGAATCAATATCCTCTTTGCGAAACGGACTATTTCCGCAGATTGGACCTACTCTGCCATGCTTGTGGAGGCGCCCTGCGCGGCTCATACATCACCGCCTTGGATCGCAAATACCATATAGAGCATTTCACCTGCTCTGTATGTCCGACCGTATTCGGCGCTCAGGACAGCTATTACGAACACGAAGGAAATGTATACTGCCATTATCACTACTCCACAAAATTCGCCCAGCGCTGCAACGGCTGTCAGACGGCCATTCTCAAACAATTTGTCGAAATCTTCCGCAATGGCCAGAACCAGCATTGGCATCCAGAATGTTATATGATACACAAATACTGGAATGTCCGGCTGCACCAAGGAGGGTCTTCAGAAGAACCCCTGAATTCGGAAGAAAATGCTACAGAAGAGATGCGCAAGATGGTCAAGGAAGGCGAGGAGAGTGTTGAGGAGAAGGTGCTCTGGATATGGCGCACACTCTCGTCTTTTGAAGAAAAATCAGCAACATGCATCTCCGACATGCTGTTACATGTCAGCAACGGCGCCTATGTTGACGGAGTCATGACTGCCAAGAGGTTCATTACCCACGTCGATCTCCTTTTCTCTGCAGCCGATCATTTGGACCAAGTTCTGCAGTCTCACACAGCGAAGGGTACGTCAAATCTCAAGTCGTGATGTGTTCATTTGCTAACCTTTCCAGGCTTGTCCTACTCTAGAGAAGCCAAATTGCTCTGCAAGAAAGTTGTCGCCTTCTTCCAACTGCTTGCTGAATCTCAGGAGACCGGTGTCAGGCGACTGGGTGTTACCCAAGAGCTTTTGTCCCTTGTCACAGGTCTAGCACACTACCTCAAGCTTTTGATCCGCATTTGTTTGCAGGGCGCGCTCAAACTAGAGCGTGAGACCGGCAGCCACGAGGGGCTTACAAACTTTTTGGACGAAATTGGCGCGCTTGACGACAGACTCGAGGCTGAAGACGACAAAGACCCAAGGAGCGAGACCGAAAACTTTGTTGCGCGATCTGCTGACAACTGCGCGGTTTGCGATAAGTCCGTTGAGGACAAGTGCTTTGCACGCAGAGACAGGAGATTCCATGCCCAGTGTCTTACATGCAGCAAATGTTCAAGACCTCTCGCTGATGATCATGCGATAGCAAGATGGGACGAGTCGTCTCAGAAACTCCTCTGCGACCGCCATGCTGGAAACTCGGCCGAAGGAGATGTCGTTTTCATCAGTCGTCTACAACAATATGTCCACCTACTCCGCGTCGCCCACGCCAGGTTACTAGCTACACTTCGTACGAGCGGCGCTCTACCTCACACTTCAGGTTTGTTTAGAAACTCTGTTACGTTGACCAATATCATTACTCACAAAGACTCTAGATGACCCGAATCTCACAGACTATGATTCCAACAGAGGACATCGTGTCTCGCCGAAGGGTTCCATGGATCCACCGTTACTTCGATCAAACACTCGCTCCAAGTCATATGCCGGTTCGACCAAGCGTGAACATTCACCATCTTACGAGCAAACACTTGGAGACATCCGAAGGCTACGATCAACCCGCATGGAGAAGAACATTTCAACGACGAATCGCAGAGCCCGCACATCCAGAATCATTGACGGTCCAGAAGGTATGCATGGCGACACCGAAGACAAGCTTGAGCGTCGTCAAACGGGCAACTTCCAGATTGTGGACGATGGTGAAGCTGGTGGATCACGCATGTCACAGCTTCAGTTTGGCAATCATGAATCCATGACCCTAGACGATATTCCAAGAATCGTTCAGGCACAGCAAACAAGAGAGCAAAGACCTAATGCCTCCAAGTTCCACCGCGGACCTATGATACCTCAGGAACCAAGGCCAAAGCTCGTCAACAATGGTCACACCCGACATGTTTCGCTCGGCAACGAAGAAAAGCCAGCTCTCGTCGAAGGTGGAGCTTTCAGGACGAAGAAGTACTTCTCTGAGCTGTCCGCCCTTGAATACTTTATCGTTCGACATGTGGCTGTTCTCTCGATGGAGCCTCTTCTTGAGGGCCACTTCAATCAAGAAGAGTTGCTTGACCTTATCGAGACAAAGAGACCTACATTCTGGGGTAAGTTCGGCAAGGCCTTCAAGCCCGAAGCAACCAAGAAGCACAAGGGGAACAAACGAGGCATCTTTGGAGTCTCTCTTGAGCAACTGGTAGAGAAAGACTATGCAGAATCCACAGACGGTATTGGGCCGGGTGCATTGCGGATACCAGTCCTTATTCAAGATGCCATATCTGCGATGCGGACAATGGACATGTCTGTCGAGGGTGTGTTCCGCAAGAATGGCAACATCAAGCGACTGAACGACGTCAAAGAAGAGATTGACTCCAAGGAGATGGTCGACGTTGATCTCACAAAGGAGAATCCAGTGCAAGTCGCTGCACTCCTCAAGAAGTTCCTACGAGAGCTACCCGATCCTCTCATGACATTCAAATTGCACAAATTGTGGATAACGTCACAGAGTAAGTTTGTAGTCTGGCTAGATACCTGGGAACAAATCACTGACCATTTCACAGGGATCACGGATGAGGAAACACGACGACGAGTGCTCCACCTCACATGTTGTCTTCTTCCGAAGGCACATAGAGATACGATGGAAGTATTGTTCAACTTTATGCAGTGGGTGTCTTCATTCTCTCACATCGATGAGGAGTCTGGTAGCAAGATGGATGTCCACAACCTTGCTACTGTGATGGCGCCCAATATTTTGCATCTAGGTAAACGCGATGTGCCCTTAGATGACAACTTGCTTGCCATCGAGGCGGTTCATTCACTCATCGAGTTCAATGAGTATATGTGTGAGGTAAGTTCATGGTTCACGTCATATTTGCTGGCTACAAAACACTGACAAAAAAACTTTCAGGTGCCCGAGGATCTAGCACTCATTCTCAACGACTCTACTCTGTTCTCTGCCAGCGCCGACATCACAACAAAAGAAATATTGAAACGTTACGGCGACCGCACCAAAGGACCTTCAAGCACACAAGGCGACGTAGCACCACCACCGCAATCTACAACGCCGAAGTCCCGCGAAAGCAGGGGTAGTGCGCCTGTCGTCACTCGCGTTGATACAGATGCCGAACAAGCCAACGCATGGGGGAACGAAGCGAGCGTACGCCATGTCGCAGCAGACATGCCACCACAGCCACCATTTGCGATGCATCCTAATAAGAGTTCCGAGAGTCAAGGAAGTCCTACCAGAAACGGCAACCGAAACAGCGGATACACATCAAGACCTATGGTGACATAGATCGAGGGGCCTGTTCAAACCCGCGACGGATTTAACAAACTTGGAACGGTGGCATTTTCATTGTTTGCGTTTGTGCTCTGCCGCTGATTAGGATAAGGTCTTTTTCATCTGCTTTTCGTCCATGGGATAGTATCAGCACTGGAGTTGAGGGGTGAAATGTTTCTTAATCGCAAAGAGTTCTTGTGGAGGGCTACCTGTTTTCTTTTTCTATTCTCTTCTCACACCACTTTTTTTTCTACCTGTTTTGTCTCGACAGATCTTTCTTCCTCTCCTTGTTATTTTCGCCCTTCGTCTCATTCCATCATCCGTTTTGAGTATTCGCTTTTTCTCTTCATCATCATCATCATAGCTTTTGGGCAGTTTGGTACGAGTAGTCGTAAAGTTTTCCTTTCTTGAATCGAAAGATGAGCATTGGTCATCAGGACAGATCCGCAGCTGGGTCGAACAAAATGCATTTTATTCATCATGGTACATCATTTCACCCTTCCTCTGCAGTCATTTTGAGAACAGTCGACATGATGATTGAGAATGCCTGAGCAGCGGATCTTATGCCATCACAGGGCTGAGTATGGATGAGTGCTATTAGTGCTCCATTTGGTGGATGAGCGGGACACCCTGACTTTTGAGCCGATGCTCGGACCTTGATGGTATCGCGTAGCAACAGAGCTGTCGTGGCGGTTTGGTTGTCTGAGGGAGATGGCATAGGATAGAAGCTAGACTATTATGTGACATGGCTTGTGCCTCTCATGTCTTGGACAAGCAAGCATGTGATGTTGGGTGGTCGCTGGTGGTAGAACAATGGAGCACTCCCGAGTTCGGAGGCTGACAAACGCGGTGGCCGATGGCGTCAGATTGTCGACCATGACTTTTCCGAAGGCATTGCAATACTCGGGGAACTTTTCATTCCTCTTTACTCGCAAGTCACAGCGACAGAGAGACAGCATGTCGGCACCTCGAGCAGCAAGGCAACTCGCCAATGGCCTGTTCCGACGAACAAACCCCCGAACGCGATTCCTACCCATCCAACGCAGCATGCACAGCACGAGCAGACTAGCTTCACAAGCAGCCGCCGGTCAACCAATTGTCGAAGCCGAAAGACCTCACGAAACACCGGCAGTGAACCCACCACTCAGCTTCCCCTGTCTGGATGCTCTGGACAAGAAGACGCAAACTTTGACCAAGAAGCGATCGCTATCTGGTCCCGAGCCCTCATACGCTCCAGGCGCGACCGAAACCTTCCACTGCCCTTCGCCCCTCTTGCTGGACTGGGGCGGTGTTCTGCCATCCTTCGACATCGCCTACGAGACCTGGGGCAACCTCAACGCCGACAAGAGCAATGCCATCCTGCTCCACACCGGTCTGAGTGCCAGCAGTCACGCGAAGAGCACTCCTGCCAACTCAAAGCCCGGCTGGTGGGAAAAGTTCATTGGACCTGGCGCACCCATCGACACAGACAAGTACTTTGTCATCTGCACCAATGTGCTGGGAGGTTGCTATGGCAGTACCGGGCCCGGCTCCAAGGATCCTCTGGCAAACGACCAACACTACGCTACACGCTTCCCTATCCTCACCATGCAGGACATGGTGCGTGCTCAATTCCGTCTTCTCGACTGGATGGGTATTGATAAGCTGTATGCCTCTGTCGGCTCCAGTATGGGTGGTATGCAGAGTCTTGCCGCATCAGTCCTACACCCTGAGCGTGTAGGCAAGCTCGTCAGCATCTCTGGCTGCGCAAGAAGTCACCCTTACAGCATAGCCATGCGCCATACCCAACGTCAAGGTTTGTATTCTACCTTCCCGCCCTCTATAACCGCCACTGACCTTCTCTGCCAGTCCTCATGAACGACCCCGCCTGGTCCTCCACCCGCGGAAACTACTACTCCGCCATTCCTCCTCACGCCGGCATGAAGCTCGCACGCGAAATCGCAACTGTGACCTACCGCAGCGGTCCAGAATGGGAACAGCGCTTTGGCCGTCGACGAGCCGACCCCTCCAAACCCCCAGCCCTCTGCCCCGACTTCCTCATCGAAACCTACCTCGACCACGCCGGCGAAAAATGGTGTCTCGAATACGACGCAAACAGTCTGCTCTACGTGAGTAAAGCCATGGACTTGTTCGACTTGGGCAAAGAACACATGGATATGCTGGAGGGTGTGAGAGCGTCGAATGTGCATAAGCTTGATCAGTTTGGCGCTGATAAGCCGACACCGAAACCAGAGGCTGGAGCGGCGGATTTGTGTAATTTGACCTTGCCGGATACGCCGTATGAGGAGCAAGAGTCGACTGCCGAGATTATGAACAAGGATACGGAGATCAAGGCTGCTACTCAGGATAATGAGCCCCCTGCTGATTTGGTCAAGGGTATGCAAGGACTCAGGGATATCCCGGCTTTGGTCATGGGTGTTGCCTCTGATATCCTGTTCCCGGCCTGGCAGCAGAGAGAGATCGCTGCTGCTTTGAGAAAGGTTGGAAACAGAAAGGTTACCCATGTTGAGCTTGGCGAGGACAGGAGTTTGTTCGGCCACGACACCTTCTTGCTTGATCTTGAGGGTGTTGGTGGTGAGCTCAAGAGATTCCTCGGATAGGAGTTGGGATGAGCCGCAAATGTATGTATGATAGACGTTTTGAGCAAAAAGCATAGCGAATTTGACTTCACCATCACACACTAGTACAATGCCATTGTGATCATACTTGAGCATCCTTTGTAATATGTGCATGATTTGACTTCATTTTCATGGTCTATGGGTATCGTAGTATACTTCTGAGTGTCTCTTAGACATCCTCAAACTCCATGTCGTCCTCATCGGACTCTGCATTGGCATCGGCAGCAGGAGCAACATTAGCCAAAGGCTTAGCATCAACTTCTTCCTCCACCTTGACACGTTTGGCGTTAGGGCCTTCAGCATCCTCGACCTTGATGTCTGGCACACCAACCATTGTTGGTACGTCCTCGAATTCATCTTCTTCCTCGTCTTCTTCTTCGTCTTGCTCTTCCTGTAACCTCGCTCTTTCTTGCTCTGCTGCGTAGGCAGCCCAGTAGTCGTCCATGACTGCATCGTCTCTGCCAGGTGTACCACCCAGTTTCTTCTCGTCTGCGGCATCGTCCACGGATAGGCCTCCTGCGTGTGCGTCTCTTTCTCTCTGCTCTCTCAACTCCTTTGCGCCTGCCGTGGTAACCTCGCCCGACACCGTACTCTTCGTGAGCCATTCTGGCAGCGCGTTTTGTTTGGCCTCCTTCTCGCGCTTGATCCTTGCAGCCTCTGGATCCGGCTTTGCGGTTGTGTCGTCTTCCAGTTGTACCTTGACTGTCTCTGGCGCCAGTGCCAAACCCTTTGATCCGGCAATACTGGGCTTGACTTCCTCTGCAATCCTCGACGGGCGATCTGGATGTGCATCTCCACGGTTAATGGGTAGATGCAGCGATAATGCTGTGTCGAAGTCATTCTCCGGTACATTCGCCTGATCGATTTCGCGGAGCAGCGCTTCAATAGCCGCGACTTGTGTGTTGAGTCTCATCTTACTTTCATTCTCTCCCTTTTGCAATTCCTCATCCACAGGATCCAGGGGGTGTTCGCAGAGATGGCAGAGGAAACTACCACTCATCGGGTCGATGTTGTCCATGACTTCCAAATCCGTATACTGGCTCTTACACCTCGGACATTCCAAATCCTTCTTCTCCGTCGTCGGCGCCCCCATACTGTCGATATGCTTGGACAACCTCGACAATCGATATTTGATCGCATCAATCGCCGGGTGGAAATGCAACCAGTACCAATCCTGATGTTTGACATAATCCCTATTCTTGAAGTTGGGATTTGTAGACGGTGGGGGAGCATCTTCCTTTTTCTCTGCGCGCGATTGGACGGATACCAGACCGTGGTCTTTGAGCTTGCCGCATTGTTTGCGGAGTTCCTTGCGGTTTGTGCCTAGGCAGTGGGCTAGATCGGCGTCTGTGAGGGTGCTGTGGATGCCGAGGGCGTCGATGATGAGGACTTCTTCTGTCGTGTAGAAGGCGCGCGCGGTTGTGCGGAGGAGGTTTTTGGCGAGATCCATGGTGGGTGGTGTTCGCTGTCTGTGACCTGACAGTGGAGGAGATGGGTGCCTCTTGGGCTTGCGCTTCGAATGTTTTGTTGATTATTTATCGAGTGTGCATCAAGAGATGACCGGCTTCAGTTGTGTATCGTCGATGTGTGTGAATGCGAGGTGAGGTTGTGAAGTCGTGTATGAAGTGGATGGTTCAAGTCAACTTCTTTGTCGAAGCTCTCACAAGCATGTGCAGATCGGGTCCAGGCTCCAGCTGGGTCAAGCTGCCAGAGTGAGCGAGTGATATATACGACTCAAACGAAACACACTTCACCTTCCAATCACAAGTCGCAGTGGTTTAGTGGTAAAATTCGTGCTTGCCATGCACGAGCCCCGTGTTCGATTCACGGCTGCGACATCTGTTTTGTCTTTTGTCGACCCAAATGCGACTCGACATTGCTTCATCGTTTTGCCGGGCAGTGTTCGCTTGGGTAAAGGTCACCTCGTCTTCGATTTTGATCGGTCGCTTGGTTGAGGGAGACGTCGGTTTGCTCTTAAATCTGTTTACATGGTCAGGAAGTTTATCAGCCTTTGTCAATACTCGAAACAGATTCCTTGTATTCGAGTACTTATAGTGCATTAGAACAGTATGTGAAGAAGGCTTCTCGAAAATCCTCTAGTTTAGAGAAAGCAGTCGTTGATTGATCGTCACTACAACCCAGCATATCCCTTATCAACATCCTCAGCCTTGACCTCCTTCTCGACACCCTCTCCCGGTCCCTTCTTCTCACCCCAAACAATCATCTTCTTCCCATCCCACTTCAGCACATCTCCATCCCCGACATTGTACCTATAGTAATTCTCCGTCCCTCCCGCAACCATTGCCCTCCTGAATGTGATGTTGATCCTCCCGTTTCCACTTTCTCCTCCCTTTCTCTTCGGTATACTGTGTAGCCATTTACTTTGTGTGGTCCCTCGCATCAACACCATATCTCCGCTTCCAAGCGGGAGCTTCAAGGGCTTGGTCTCGGAATTCATGGCCGCGGTAGACTTGTCGTCGGAGGGCGGTGTGGGTTTATGTTTCATCAGGAAATCGCGCTTTGCGCCTAGGGAGAAGGATGCGATTGCTGGGTCCACGCCTAGGAAGCGTTCATCGTCGCTATGGTAGGATATACTGTCATCACCAGAGGCGTAATAGTTCACCAAGCAGAAATTGTATTGTTGGTCTGTTGCTGCTTCTGTGAGCTTGCGTAGGAGATCCAGGCATGCAGGTATGGGTCGCGGTTTGCATGTCTTGTAGCGGTCCTTGGGGATTGGTTTATTTGACGTTGCATCCAGGAGGTCGCCTTGGGGTGTGAAAGTGGAGGTTTCATCCACACCGAAGACTGTCGTGAAGCGTGGTGTATTGATATCCGTCTCAATTGGCCCTCGCTTGATCTTGTACTTTACACGATAGAAGAACAATTCGCCGCGTAGAAACTCAAATAGTGGCGTTGATATCGAGCTGGGTATGTATGGTTGGAAGTACAAGAGATCCAAATCCGGTTGATCGTTTATTACTTTGCCTTCTGCTTCTGGAGCGAAGTTCAAGATGTCCGTGATCTCTGGTGGCAATTGTGGTATAGCGAATGGATAGGTATGGTGGTTTGACGGCGCATCCTTGGATCCTGATAGAGATATCTTGGTCTTCTTTTGGACTGGGTTGAAGAAACTATCCAATGTTCTTTTCGACATTTTGGGTTTGGCAATGTGGTGTGGTATTGAGCAGAGAGGACGATTGTGCAGGAAGACGCGACGTGAACGCGCCAACATTTAGGCTATGACGTCGACGAACGATAAAATAACACCAAAATGAACTCGATGATGTTCAAGGATTATGAAACAACATGGGATAGCTCTGTTGGTAGGAGAGTTTAAGGTAAGACCATAATGGTATGAAATTCGCAGTCGGGGTATCTACACGTCCTCCCAGTTTTCGCCCTGACGCCATTGAAGCTCTGTTAGAGCAAAATATGCCCAATTCCAAAAAAGACATAAGAAAAGTCCGCTGCGCCGAAGCTAAGTACTACTCGAAATGCGCCGTGCCCATCGTTAATGCCATGTATCCAAGCTAGACATCCTGTGAAAATGTCTCTAAGCTTTGCTCCTGTGTGCGTATTGTTTGAACAGCCCTTTCGACTTCAGCAGAAGCCACTTCCTGCCACTTCTCACGTCCATTCTGATCGGCCAGACCCTCAGCATCGCCGACCTTCTCATACAGCATGCGAGAGACATCTCTGTTGATGTCGGTGTATTGATCCTTGTTGATCTCGCCTCCGCGATATCTAGGGCCAAGCACGGCTTTGACCATTCTTTGAATTTCGGTTTTGGTCGAGTACGACATGTTACGAGATGGAGAACCAGGTGAAATGTCTCTCGGTGGACTGCTGACTTGGTGTTGAGGTCGTCGATGTGAGCGACCTCGCTCGTCCCTACCGTTCATCGCAGGAGAGAAGGTGGGCGAAGCGAGAGGTCGGACGATAGACGTCAGAGGCATGGGTGAGGTCGGCCTGGGACGTATTTGAGGGGGAGGAGTTACTGACAACGCACGGGGAGACACCTGTCCTGAGTGGATGGGAGATGCTGCGGGAGACGCCAAGTTGAGCGGTCCTGGTTGCTCATCGCCGGAGGTGGCTTCGACATCCGGAGAGCCTGCTTCTTCTGGCGCGGGTTGTTTCTCGACCTCTTGAAGGAGCGATTTGAGAAAGCTAGGTCCTTCGACGGGCTTCTGTACAGGGCGTACTGGGACCTCGATGGTTGATGGGCCTGGTTCTGTAGCTGCTACAAGTGTCATATTTCTCTTGGTCCTCGGTCGTTTGAGCTTGCGTGGTGGTTCCACTTGCTCTCGCTCAGCTGTATTGTCTCGAGGCGAAGCGGGAGATGCTGTAGCTGATTTACGTTTCCTGCTGGGTGGCCTTTGTGCTTCGGGATCGAGTGCCCGGGCCTTGTCGAGAGCATTCCAGGCGCGCAACTCTTCTTGCGACTCGGGTGAATGGGCGGCTGCGAGGTTCCTTCTGTCCAGCAAGGTCGGAGCAGTATCTCTGAAGCGGTTTGCGCCACCTTGGCGACTTGCAACTTGGAGTCTCCGAGTCCATGCTGCGAGCTCCCGTCGTTGAGCTGGTGTACGATGGATGGTGGTAAGATCCTCATCATCGTGAGGGAAGTCGAGGTCCAGATTTAGACGACGCCAAACACTTGCCCAGACCCTGTCCCATGCCTCTGTGCCAGGTCTTCTGGCTGCTGCTCGTCTATTTCTTGTAGTTCTTGTCCTTGGAGCTCTTCTTCCAGCAGAGTCACTGCCTAGTTCCCGATGACAGGATTCACAGTACCAGACGTCCGGCGCGGTAGCGTCGCTAAAGCCAGCGCAGAAGATATGGACGGTGCCATCGCAGCCATCGCAATACATGGTTGCATGTGCGCTGTCGATGTGACGGCAGACGAGGCATGGGGCTTCTTCCTCGTAAAGGAAATCGTCGATGATCAAGGTGGGGTCCACATCGGCCTGTTGTTGTTTCTCCTCAACGATGTAAGAAGAGTGGGCGGGACCATCGAGGTAGTCGCGAAGTTCGACAAGATTGAAGCTTGCACGACAAATAGGGCAACTGTTGGCTCGTTCTACCCATGGTCGCAAGCAAGAGTCGTGGAGGTTGTGGCCGCATGGAAGGAGGTGAGCGACAATTTCGTCGTCTATGGTGTTCTTACTGTGGGAGAGTCAGCACTGGTCTTGTTCAAAGGTGAAGATGATTCCCCCGGGAGGTCTTCGAAGGCGGGGGAGACGTCACCATCCAAGCTTATTCGGCGGCACATGAAAGTGTGGTCAAGCCGATGAAAGCGGTTAAGGAATCGACGGGACCGATGAAGAGGCTCCGAGGGATCATGGAGCTCGGTGTGGACAGGATCTGAATACCTTTGTTCAGAAGAAAGCACGGGAAGCGGCGCGCTAGGATGGCTATCGACAGGGTTGAGATCGGTCTCGGCATCCTGAGGGCGAAGGCGAAAGTCGCCCAAGCAGACGATGCACACGTCTGTCATTATCACGGGGCCCGAAGCAGTGTAGTGTCGAGTCGAAAGAACATGCGAAAGTGGATGAGGTAAAGAAAGAAGGAAGGGGCGGGCTTTATGTACTCAGGTATGGCGGATTGCGGAGTGAGGGCGGCGTTGCCTTCCTGCCTTCACGTGTGACGAATGACTGGGCGTCTGCTTAATTCGCGTCCAAAATCAACACAAAACGCTCAAAATGACTATTGTATATTTGGACCCTGGATCTGATGCTTGACAATTAACTGAGCGCTTTCACTTTGGTTGCAGTGGGGAGAACAAAGATTCACTTAAGGCGGTTGTGCGCGAGAGAACAAAGAGCAGGCTGGCCTTTCCGAAGGCGGGCACAAATTGCGCAATGCTGCCACATCGGAAATGGCATCCATAACGAATGCGACAGCCCTTGTGGGGTTTACGCGGCCAGTTGTTTAGGTAGACCGATGGACGGCTAAAGATACGAGTTCGTGGAATAAGTGTTTGGGCAGGATGACTGAGTTTCATTTGATTCGTTCCCAGGATCCCAGCATATCGAAGAAGCCAGCGTGGATGGGTATTTCCTTCTTAGCTACATCATCCCTTCGTCAAAAAGTCCTTGCTGATTTTTTACGCCGCGATTGCCCAATGGAAAAAGAACCTCGAAACGAGAAAACCGTGGATGGATTGCTGTAATGACTTGGATATCATGGCTTAAACCTCAGCGATCTCGCGCAGACGACGGATGGTCGAGCGGGTGGCAGCGGCGGCAGGGGTGCTGTGAAGGACCTTGTGTTAGTCGAGTTGTCCAGAGTGCGAAGAGGATGCGTCGTCCTGGCGGTCGAAAGGGGAGAAACGTACGAGACGGTGTAAGCGCCACCGGCAACAGTCTTCTTGCAAGACTTGCAGTCCCAGATGCCGACAGAGTGTCTCTTGACAGTAACCTTGCCGCAGAAGGTGCAAGTGTAGCGGGCATGCTGGGTCACCTCCATCTTCTTGACCTGTGGGAGGGGTTAAATCCTTGCTCTCGACTGTCGCATTATTGGATCCTGGTCGAAACGCACCTGCTTTCTGAGGGAAGCACCATAGCGGGTACCGTACTTTCCGGTGATGCCGACCTTCTTAGTTCTCTTGGTCATTTTGGCGGTTGGTTGAAGACTGGATTGTTGACGGGACAGACTTGGACTTCACAAAAGTGTGGGAGTCGGCATCAATTTTGACGAGTGTGTGACGGAAGGTACCGACCGCCAAGACCGCTTCAGTCGTCACTTCCTCCACCCAAAATGTGTGGACTTCGACCAACTCGCACCGCAAAGGAACGTGCTGGAACTGTCTGTCTTAATTTTGAATAATGCACATCTCCTCACTCTCACCTCCATGACTTGAGCATCTTGATCTCCATCAGAGAATTACTCCGTCTTCTGTTGTGCTGAGATAAGGCACGAATTCCGTTTCTCGAAGACGCTCGGGACCGGTCTCGCCTAATTATCACCCTTAGTTAGATCAATCGTCTACAAGAAGCCATCCATTCCCCTGTCCCGAGTCTTCAAGTGTGACCAACTATGTCTTCCCGCCCTTACGAACTTGTCGTCTTTGGAGCCACTGGCTTCACAGGAAAATACACCTGCGAGCACATCGTCTCGCAGCTGCCGACCAATCTGAAATGGGCTGTCGCCGGCCGCTCAGAGGGCAAGCTTCAAAGTCTTGTTGAAGAGCTCAAGTCGCTCAACCCTGACCGCGTTGCTCCAGGTAGTTTATACACATTTACGGATTATCATGATACAGCAGCTTACGCCAGACAGAAATCGTAACATCTGGACTTGACAAGCAAAGTGTGAACGAGCTAGTGAAGAAGACCAAAGTCCTGATCAACACTGTTGGTCCTTACATGCTGTATGCAGAGCCTGTTGTTGAGGCTTGCGCTCAAAATGGTACCCATTATCTCGATGTGTAAGTGGGTGTTTTTGTGTGTCTAGTTACATCACTCACACCTCGCAGCACTGGCGAGACCCCTTGGGTTCGCGAGATGATCAAGAAGTACCACGCTACTGCCAAAGCCAACAAGGCTATCATCATTCACCAGATTGGTGTCGAGTCTGCACCTGCCGACCTTCTTTCATGGTCAATGGTGAACCATGCTAGACGTACACTCTCTGCTGGCGTCTCGGAACTGGTGTACTCTGTTTACGACTTGAAAGGTAAGCCCAGCGGCGGAACCCTTGCTACAGTCATGGGTCTGTTCGACAAGTACAGCCTTTCCGAGACGACTGAGGCCATGAAGCCCTGGTCCCTCTGCCCGACCACTCCTCCTCGCAGCAGTCTTGAAGGTCCTACTCTATTCCAAAAACTCTTTGGTGTTCGCCAGGTCCGCGATCTTGGAACCCTGACCACTAGCATCCAAGGTGCCGCCGATACTACCATCGTTCACAGAAGTTGGGGTTTGTTCGAGGACGGCAATTTCTACGGGCCCAAGTTCAGATTCAGCCCTTACATGCACGTTCGTAACGTCTTCACGGGCATTATGATGCACTTCGCACTTGCTTTCGGCATGCTCGCACTTCTGCTGTCACCTATACGCTCAATTCTGAAGCGTGTTATTTTCCAACCTGGCGAGGGACCCTCGAGAGAGTCGTCCCGTGGCGACAGGATCGAGTATCGTGCTCTTGCAACTGTCGACTCAGCCGACCCTAACGATCCCAAGCGCATTACTGGTCGCATGGCATGGGACGGCTCTATGTACGCTCTTACTGGTGTATTCTTGGCCGAGGCCGCAATCACGATCCTCAGAGACGATACTCCGGCTGTTGGCATGGGAGGTGGCTCTCTGACTCCCGCAACTCTCGGCGCACCCTTCCTCGAGCGCCTCCAGAAGGCTGGATTGAGAACCGATGTAAGAGTCAAGCCTTGATTCAAATCGATCATCGAACGAAACACAGGAGATGGACGCGATTCTGTAAAGACTATATTGTGCAATGTTCATATCTCATGATTACTAGCATCGTTCGAATCCCAACTTGCGTCAAGCTGATTGTTACCAAGCCATGACTTGACCATCTCCCTTGTCCGAGATGCCAGGGTTGGCCCAATACCTGCCGGTCGTACCAGAAATGTCACCAAAGCCCAACTTGACAGGGATTTTGGCACCGTCAACTAGATTTTGGTCAGCACATCTAAACCCCACTCGAACAATACTAGACGAAACTTACTTGGCTCCTTGGGTGGCTTTCCCATGATCCCGCCCATGTCAGTGTCTACCCAACCCGGACAGCATGCATTGATGGTAAGATCTTGGTTTTCACGCGCAAGGACAGCTGTGATGGCGTTGACGCATGCTTTGCTGACACTGTAGCCTTGACCCTTGTCGCCAAAACCCGAGGCCAGCTCCTTCTTTGTCTTGACGGCTTCCTGATTCGTAGTTAGCTACACCCGTAGATTACTGGCGTAGGATCAATTATGGCTTACCATGTAGTCCTCAACGATCTTCTCGACATCTTCATATGACTGCGTGTTTCTGAAGCGAGCTGCGTTGTGCTGGCTGTAGATCTTCAATTGCGAACCAACAGACGACATGTTGACAATACGCCCTGTCTTCGACAACAAAGGGATGAATGCCTTGCACATGTTATACGTGCCGCGGTAATTTACATCGAGCATCTGCTTAACGCTCTCAGGAGAGTGTTCGGGGTAGGTGTTCACTCCAGCGTTGTTGATGAGTACATCGATGTGGCCATCTTCGTTTTTGACTTCTTCGGCCAGCCTCTTGATATCTTGGTCCTTGGTTACATCCAGTTGAGGGTACTTGATCGATCCAGAACCAGCGCTCTTGAGACCAAGGTCGGCACCTGCTCGCGATGCTGCGTACAGCTTGACATGCTGGTTTGTCTTCAAAATGAGTTCGCAAATAGCGAGACCAATGCCTCGATTCTGTTTTCAATTCTTATCAGATAAAGTCACTCGATAATTGCAGGGCCGACTAACCGCTCCAGTTACAATGACGACCATGTTCTCTGACATTGTTTTTCTTCAGCCAAGACAGTAGAAGGTGAAAAAGGTATAGACCGCGGAGAATGTAGGTCGAGAAAATCAAGTTCACAGCATCATGTTGGATAGCTGCATCCACCGGCGTTTTGATGCACATGAGCATTCAGGTACCATACAAATCTCTTGCGTCATGATCGAAGCGCGTCACAGCGAACCAAAAAACCTAAAGGCTTACAGTAGAACATTTGCCTGCAGGAGTCTTGTGCTGTTCAAGGCAAAAAGCTACTTGTTGAGCCTCACAGCAAAACATCGACGTGACTAACCAATTTTTGGAATCGCGACACGATGCAAAGCATGATGGCGAGCTTTCGGGAGATTGTGCCTGGGTCAGATCGATCTGCGTTGACCGAGAGATCTTCTGGGGTGCAGCGCTGCAGCCGTTCAGCCGCGGACTGCCCAATATCGTTGCTTTCACTACGTCAATGCCGACGAAACATGCCATCACGAGTACCTAAAACAAAATGCACGTACTTAACATGAGCTCGGTATATAGACCGTTGGGTGCTACTCCAGCTCCGCTTTGCATCTCCATAAGCCGCATACCTTGACTGTACACCAACTGAACTCTTACCTTGCAACATGCCAGTCAAAGATAATCTCAAAGGATGGCATTGGAGGGAGAGAATTGCGAATTTTGAACCGTCATGGTTCACCATTGTCATGAGTATGTCGCATGATAAACAATTGACTCGAGGGGCATCGCTGACTGGATTAAAGGCACTGGTACTTTGCAGCAATGTTTTGTCAACTTCCCATACCCCATTAGTGGAGCGAATCGATGGCTTCGCGACATTGGATACTGCCTTTGGATCTTGGAAATCGTGCTCTTTGGTTTCTTCACCGGAATGCTAGCCTGGCGTTACATTACCCACCCGGTACTGTTCAAGAAGAACATGATGGAGTTCCCGCTGAGTTCGTTCTTGGGAGCCGTTCCGATCTCGTTTAATACCATCATTCAAGGCATCATATCATACTACGACTACCGGACTTCTGCTCGATGGGCGGTGTTCGCTCTGTACTGGATTGCGCTTGTCATGTCCCTTGGGGTATCGTTTGGTCTCGTCATCTATCAGATGAGCAAGGCGAAGCCTCAGAAGTTGTCTGATGTTGCCGGAATTTGGGTAATGACTACTGTGCCTCTCTTCCTCACAGCTTCGACCGCTGGTACGATTTTACCATTCGTATACATGGAAAGCACGAAATGCGCGGTAGCCTTGCTGGTCACAGGCTTCTTGGCATGGTCCTTTGCCATTGCTGAGGCCACTATCATCATCACCATCTACTTCTTCCGATTGATTGCCGACAAGACGCCCGCAGCACCTCTCATGGTTGGATCTTTCCTACCAGTGGCCGCTATGAGCCAAGGAGCATTTGCTATCCATAGATTCGGTATCTTCTTGGCGACATACATCAAGAATGGATATGCTCCCACACAGGTGTCTCCACCTCCGCTTCCGATGTCTACACTTCAGGCAACATCTGAGGTGATTCACTGGATTGGAATCATTATGGACCTCTTCCTCTTGGCTCATGCTACATTCTGGGTGGTTCAAGGTACGACGAGTGTCTTGATGTCACTGCCAAAACTGCAATTCAACATCGCGTATTGGAGTTCTGTCTTCCCAATGGCATCCTACGCAAATGCATGGTGCTTCCTCTCTCGTGATCTGCGCGATGATGGTATGAGGGGCTGGGCAGCGACGATGGTCATGACTGCAACATTACTGTGGCTCTTCTGTGCATTGGAGACGGTTTACAGAGGATTCTGGCAGGGCAGTCTGTTCTCGGCGCCCGGATTGGAAGACTGGTTAGGTGACAAGGAGCAAGACGAGAAGAGCAGAGGTGGACGAAAGGACGAATGGAACGGTACCTACTCAATGCCTCAGCCAGGCTCCCAAGATGAAGAGAGTGGGCAGGCGAACGGCCACCAGAGCAATGACAACGAGGGAGACTCAAGGAGGAGGAACTGACCTTTGATCTGAAATCGGGTTGTGCAAAAAGTATATATGTATGATTAGGCACGGGCTGATGTTAATAATAATCACTTGAGTTTCAACGATTAATAACTTTATATGGTTGAAATTGAACGCAAGGTGAAGCCTTGAAGCTGTGTGTTGACTTGGAGATGAAACGCGTCATTGCTTTGGACTTGTGCTTGAGCTTTGAGGGGCAGTCCACCGCCATCTCTCTTGATCACAAAAACACACCACCACCACAATGCAGTCAGGAATCTCAGGTACGTGGTCCGCGTATAGATAACACAGTGCAAGTCTGACAATAAACCATACAGCATCCAAAGAATTGCAGGATGCATTCAACAACCTCGTGTCTTCATCATCACAACGAGGCCTCCTGGCAACGATAAAGAACGAGACCCTCGTACCCCTCGAAACGATCCAAGCCAATGGAGACTTCCGCAGCGACCTTTCCGGCCTCTCGCAACACCTCACAAAGGACGAAGCAAGATACATTCTGCTCAAGCAAGATGGCTCGGCAGCCGACGGCTACGTCGCCGTAACATACGTACCCGACACAGCCAATGTACGCCAAAAGATGCTGTTTGCCTCGACACGCCTGACACTGGTGCGCGAATTGGGAGTCGAGCGTTTCCGCGAGACTGTCTTCTGCACTACTGCTGAGGAGCTCACGCCCGAGGGCTGGGATCGCCATGAGAAGCACAACCGTTTGGATGCTCCTTTGACTGAGGAAGAGGCTGGTCTGAAACACATCAAAGATGCCGAGGCACAGGAGAGCGGTGGTACCGGTGGTAGAAGTCTGCCCAGCGCGGGTATTGCACTCAACCTTGGAGACGAGGTCAGCAATGCCCTCGAGAGCCTCAAGGATTCTCGTGAGGGCTCGCTGGTCATGATTGTAAGCATTCGAGAACAGAGACAAGACTTGGAGGAAGCTAACGACCTCGACAGAAAATCGACGTGGCTACCGAGACACTACACCTCGACGCCTCGAAGCAGGACATCCAACCCGCCGACCTCAGCTCCGAGATCAGCTCGTCCGAACCTCGTTACTCCTTCTACAACTACCCTGGACAGCAGGGTGTCGTATTCATGTACAGCTGCCCCAGCAAGAGCAAGATCAAGGAACGCATGGTTTACGCTTCGTCTCGCTCGCAGCTTGTCACTCTGGCCTCGAACGTTGGTCTGAACATCACAAAGAGACTCGAAGCCAGCTCGCCTGATGAATGGTCAGCAGCCACTTTGGCATCTGAATTCCAGGAGCAAAAGGTGGAGAGTAAAGGCTTCGCCAGACCCAAGAGACCTGGAAGAAGATAGAGTGTTGCATATAAATCACCTTGATCGACCGAAGGATGCATTGAATGAAAGCACCTGACAAGACCATTTTCCAGATCAGAAGCTTTGAAAGAACATCGGTGTGAATTGAGACGACTGTCGCAATGGTAGGTGAATTCGTCTATCTCTTCACTCTTCGTAACTTCCTCCTGGAGCCATTTCTCTTCCTCTCTCCATGATCTCCTTCAAGTACTCATACACGGCAAATGTGACAGCCTGACCAGGAGCGACACGCATGACACGTGGTGTAATGCCCATCCAGAACGCCCTGATGCCCTCCTGCTTCCACATCTGGCTACCAATGGTAACGATTCTGCCAATAGCAGTCTCACCAGCTTGTGCTGGGTTCCTTTGCAACCTCGTCTTGATAGTGTCAATCGGAGCATTACTGAACGGACCCACAGCACCAGAGATCAATCCAATGAAAGCAGTCTGCCAACCAGGCAACCCAGCCTCGGGATGTCCAGATCGTTCCTGCAACCAAGCTTTCAACTCGGTATAAGCGGTAAAGTTGGCAGCCTGGTTGGTTCCCTGCCTCAACGCGGTGAGAGAAACACCTCTGTACAACGCACCTACACCCTCCTCCTTCACCACAGTATACAAGGCATGCGCCGCATTCCTGTATTTGGGAATGTCCAACGGATCAGCCATACTGTGATGTTGAGCCTGCAATCTGATCTTTACGACTTCCATGGGCGTAACCACACACACGGCTTCTGTAACTCCTGCTGCTAGGCCAGCTAGGAAAGTAGCTTTTGAAGTGATCTCGCCGGATTTGGAAGCTAGGGCTTGCTTGTACCATTCGTAGGAGGTGAAGCGAATGGCCATTTTGGGAACGATACCGGTGAGCACGGCGCCGAGGCCTTTGTAGAGGGCGAGTGGGGTTTCACGTTTTACGATTTGGACGCCGGTTTGAATGAATCCGCGACGGGAACCCTTTGATTACTATCAGTTCTGGGAAAGGGGAAGGTAAAAAGCAAAGGAAGGGGTGGAAGAAGATTGAGAAACTTACACCACGTTGCGATCTTTTTGAGAGTTGCATGCGAACTTTGATCGTGTCTAGAGGATGACAGGCGAGTGCTTCCATCATGCCTGCTCCTCCGCCAGCCACGAGGTTCGTAGCCGCCGAAGCTGGCTTCTTGCCGCCTGGACCTTTTGTTGATTTTGCCGACATGATTGTTTCTAATACAAATGGGGTAGCTGCGAATAAGGATAGATCGTTGTTTCCTTAGGAGTGTGTCCTAGTAATGTGGTCGCTCTTTTGTTGTGCTCGTGGTGGACAAGGTATTCGCTTCTCGAAGTGGCTGCGTAATTCGAGTCCAGTGGCTGGGCTGGGAGACCAGATATTCGACGTGTAGTTTCACAGGCTGATGGTATACGAAGCGAAGCAACAGAATCGGTGTTTGATCGCAAGAGCAGGGAAGAGAGAAAACACAAGAGGTCAGGTACGAAAAGAGGAGATCCCAAACACTACATCTTATTTATTTCTCTCATCTCCTTACGACATGCTTTTCCTATGATTTGAGTCATCAGACCCTTACCGGTTACCTCTTGGGTTGGCAAGGACGAATGGATCACCTCGGTATTGGACAGAGCAACAGCTTCTAGAGGCTCAAACTGCCATGTTTAAACTTCTCGTTCCAAAGAATGCCGAACAGCTTGGTTCCTCTCCCTCTTTCTCGATTCATAGATGATACTTTACTTGATCTGTCCAGCTGCTCGTTTCTCTTCTGGCTCAAGCACACATAACTCTCTCAATCGCATTGGCAAACACGCCCTCGCCGTGACAATTATTTGCGAGCATGACGTCGCGGGGCAGCGGCTTTGACATTTGCATGTGCGCGCCTCTTCTTCTCCGCAAAACGCCGATCTGGGGAAAGGCACCGCTGCGAGTCTGCCACAACCGAGGCTTGTCCCTCTGGCCCGAGAGAGACACACACACATGAACGTTGCTCTGACTCGAAAAAAGTGTTTTGTTTCTTGTGACATGCCGAGTTTGGACCGCGGTATCATCGAGGTCGCCGATTTGTGCCGTGGATTTGTTTGTGATTGGATTTGAGGAGGAAATCGGAAGAGATGGGAAGAGTACGCGTAGGGGCAGGGTCACCTACTGTTGTTGGATGTTGAGCATAACCGAACATCTCCGATGTGAGTAGCAGGTGTCGATGAGCGCTTTGCCGAAACATACACGGTTCGAGACAATTCAGTAGACTGAAGCCATGGACATGATAAGTAGAATCTCCGAAGAGCAGAAAACTACTGCTTTAATTATCTCGAAATGATCCTGCCATTCGTGTGTCCGGCAATCCTCTGCTTCACCGTGTAGCACTTCCGAGAGAAGACAAGAACAACACTCAGTTCTCGACTTTGATGGTGTTGTCCTCCTGACTGCCACCAACAAGAACGGCCAACATCTCAGCGACCTCTTTAGCATCTCCATCGATACGTCCCTGGATGTCGCTCGCGTCCAAGGTCTTAAGCTGGCCGAACAACCACAGTTCTTGCATTTGGCGTGTGAGGGTTAGGATGTCTTCGCTTGTGCGTATCTAGCAACGTGTAAGCAACCATACTTGTACTCAATTCTTCTATCATTCCAAGTGCACTTTGCAGATGAATTGAGAGGTAAGATAGCAAGGACATGCCACTTTAGAGGACTGCAAGAGAGAAGACAGTAGAAGAGCATGGATAAAGAGAATGAAAAGAAAAGAAAAGAAGAAGAACATTCAAGGAAAACAAGCGACTCACCAAGGCAGCAGTCTCAATCTGCGACTGATATTGGCTCAGAGCAGTGGAATTGCGATCATTCTTTTCAATCTGCATTCTCATGCTCATCAGCCATCGCATCCCGTATTGCGTCTTGACTTCTCATCATGTAAAGATGCTCAACTTCACCCTTATTGATTTTCACTCACCGCTGCTTGCTCGACTAAGTTTTCGAAGCGTTTGATCAGGCTGTTGCGGAGTTGGTCGATTCGCGCTGTATACGGTTTTCAGTCTCGGAGATGCCTGTCTGATGCGAGCAGCATACCCAATAGCGCAGGTGTGTTGCGCGGAATGTTGTTGTCCATAGTGGCAGAGTTTTGTTCAAATCAGTGTTCTGGCAAGTCACTGAAAGATGATGATATGTTATGTCATTATTGATAAGTTTTGTGATTGTTGGAAAAAGGTGAAAGGTGCGCGTTGAACTTCGTGGTTCGGACGCAAAGCCTGGAGACGAGTTTCACGACATTGACAGAGGGCGACAAACAACAATCACTTCATGACTTGAGCACAAACAACAGTCACAGATCAGGAGAATTAGATGTTTGAGATGAGATAGGGCGTTCATTAGGTGCCTCAAAACAGACGAGCAAGTACTGAAAGCTAATTATAATGCCACACAAAGCAAGACACGATACCTTGATTGTGCTAAACCAATAATCGTAGTGGGTGATCATGAACTCCCAATAGCTTCTGTCTGTAATGGTCTTGTAGCAACTTCTTCGAAAGAAAAATATGCTTACTCCTCGTCCGAAGACTCATCGTCCTCCTCATCACTCTCAGCAGTCTCGAGCCACTCGATGAACTTCTGGGCGCTCTGGCGAACCTTCTTGCTGGTAGCCAGATCGACGTACTTCTTGCTGGCCTTGGAGCCCCAAGCCTTGAGGGTCTCCTCGGAGACAAGGTCGTTCTGGTAGTACTGGAGGAGGATGGCAGAAACTTGGGGGATGAGCTCAGGCTTCTCCATGCCGACGAAACGCTCAAAACCACCGAGGAAAGCCTTTTCGTGCTTCTCGGAAGAGATCATGCGCTTGAGCATGCTGCTGCGAGCCTCGACCTGCTTGACAATGTTCTCGTCGAAGATGGTCTGAGCCATAACTGCGACGGTCTTGTGCTTGGTCTCAATACCGAGATCCTTAGCCTTGAGATAGACCTCGACGTCGTCAAGCTTGGAAACACCACCCTTGGCCTCGCCCTCGGAGAGGATCCACTTGCCGAACTGGTCGTAAGGGTTGCCCTCACCATCCTCGTCCTCGGCGCCCTCAATGACAAGAGCGCGCTTGAGGTCGTCGGGCAGATCTCTGGCACGAGCCTTGATGGCCTCCTCGGACATGTCGACAGTCCACTCAACCTCCTTCTCCTCTTCAGGCTCGTCAAGCTCTTGGGCCTCAGCGTTAATGCGGCGGGTGAGCTCGTCGTCGCTACCGGCATCCATGCCGAGATCAGCGTCGTCATCATCCTGGTCGGAGCTACCGTTGGGGCTGCCATTTCCATCCTCGTTGACAGCAGTGCCGTTACGCTCAGCCTCCTTTCTAGCTCTGCGCTCGGCCTTCTTGGTGGACTTGTCCTTCTTGCCCTTGGCAGGGAGCTGCTTCAAGATGAAGGAAGACAGCTTCTGGCGAGGGTCGGCCTCGGTGATGGTACCGCAAGCCTTGCAGTCCATGAGAATGCGCTGGTCCTTGATGCTAATAACAGTCTCGGGGTTCTTGCAGCTTCTGCAGAGGACAAACTTGTTGATGAAGCCGTCGAGGTAGTCCTGCAGCTTAGAGGCTTCGTGGGCACCGTTGATGATCCAGCGATCATCCTTGGGGTCGTTGGTGGTCTGGGCACCGAGTTCGAAACCGAAGTACTTGATGACGTCTACATGTGGTTAGTGGGTGCAAATTTGAGGAGAGTTGGAGGCAGCTTACAAGTAGGGGGACGTGCGAGTTGCTGAGCGACGTTGCTCAGGTTGACGACGACGGTCTTGATACCGTTACCCTTGCCTTCAATCTTGGACTGAAGACGCTCCATCTTGTAGCGGTAGAAGGGGTCGCTGATGTCCTGCAGAAGGGTTAGTATAATGTGTGTGTGTGGGACTGGCAAGGGGTAGACGTACGCGACGGATGTTGACAGAACCTCCAGCCATGTTTGCGGTTGTTGGTGGTTATTGGTATAGAATGTTTTAGGGTGATTTGATATTATAGGTGGTTGACGAAGAGTCGGCGATGTCAATGGATAACATGCAATTGTTCAGTCGTTGGTAAGTTGGTTGCTACAAGGTCTTCGCAATATACGAAAGGGCTGCAGCTTGGGAGGGTCCGGAACTGCGAGTCGTTGAGAGCGGCGGGACGAATACATAAACTGCCTGCGTGGTCTGAATGTCGCGGGTTTTGGTGGATTTGAACTCGGATCCGGGGTGCGGGCGAGTGTAGATGGAGGCGGGCTGTCTGTTGTCTCAGGAAAGTTTGCGAAGGTCTGAGGCCAGGCAAACACAATGCGTGGTAGGTGTTGGTGATGGCAACTCTTGCGTGTTGTGTAAAAGAAAGAGAGGAAGAAGAGGGAAGAAGCGTCGAAGTCCTGCCTTGAGTGCGAGCGACTCACGGGAAAGTCAAAGGCACAAAATTCTGCCGCCCCCACCGCCGCCTGCCGAGACGCTCGAGCACCGGCCGCTTTTGCGAACGCGTGACATGTCCGAGTGTCCCTTGTCTGTCAATAATGTCCATTTCTTTGACACCTTTGTTCACAAGCAATGCCTCTGTTTGCTGCTTGTGGACTTCTCACTTCGCTTGTGATTGTCGCTGCTGAGCCTGTGCTTGCCATGTAGAACAAGTGACTGTCTTGCTGCTTCATAGTCTGTGATGCTTGTGCTCGTGCGGCACGCATGGGAGCTTGATCGTGATCTCAAATGAAAGCTCCGTCAGGGCACATCTTCTGCGCTGTGCAGGCAGCAGCTTCTCACTCGTTCGCTCCTGCCCTCAGATACAGCTTTGTGAATTCGATACAGTTAGATACATCAATTCATTCTAACAGACGAGTGTCACTTGAAGGTATTCACTCATCATGGCAGCGACCATCGGCGTCTGCAATACCAACTATGAGCCTCTGTCGTGACTCGGCGCCGGGATCGGTTGATCTCTTTCTTTCTTCCTTCCCAACCAACAAAACCGCATCTTGATTTGTTGAACAACACACAATAAATCAACATGCACGTAGATTACTCTGTCTACCTCGTGACTGACAATACTCCCGCCATTCTCGGCGACAAGGACATTGTCGAAGTTGTTCGCGCTGCCGTAGAAGGAGGTCCGAGAACATCAGCCGTAAACATCTTGCAGCTCCCGACCTGACTTCTTTGTAGGCGTCACAATTGTACAATTGCGTGACAAGACCAGCGACACTGCTGAGCAGATCCGCGTTGCTAAGGCTCTCCATGCTATAACAAAGCCTGCGAATGTTCCCCTTCTCATCAACGACCGAGTAGATGTAGCTCTGGCTGCTGGTGTTGAAGGTGTTCACATTGGCCAGGATGACATCGGTAAGCGTGCCATCCCAAATATCATCCATTTCTCAGATGCAATCTGTGAAGCAAGGACAACCTTCCGAGATGTGTGATGCTTCTCTAGTAAGACTCGTAAATCTGACTGTGCATGTCAGACCTCGCATCTGCTCGCAGACTACTTGGAAAGGATGCCATCATTGGTGTAACTGCAAACTCACTCGAGGAAGCCGAGATTGCAGCCAAAGGAGGAGCTGACTACCTGGGTGTGGGAACTGTCTTCGCTACACCCACCAAGGAGAACACAAAATCGATTATTGGCACCTCTGGAGTCCAGCACATCCTCTCGGTCCTGTCCCGGTCTGCACCGGAGATCAAGACTGTCTGTATTGGTGGCATCAATGCAAAGAACTGCCAGCGTGTGCTTTACCAGACTGCTGCTGCAGAGAAGAGCCTCGATGGTGTCGCTGTCGTTAGTGCCATCATGGCTGCTCAGGACCCGAAGAAGGCCGCTTCCGACCTTCGTGAGCTTGTTGCAACCCCTCCTCCGTTCGCTACTTCTATCTCTGCCCCGGCGCTCTCTCACGAAGATATTGTGCGTAGAATTCCTGAGCTCGTCAAGCGTTTGGCAGGCAAGAAGCCTCTATGCCACAACATGACGAACCTGGTCGTGCAGAACTTTGCTGCAAACGTGGCTCTTGCTGTCGGCGCAAGTCCCATCATGTCAAACAACAGCCTCGAAGCCAACGACCTTGCATCTTTTGGTGGCAGCCTGGTCATCAATATGGGCACCACCACTCCGGAAATGCGCTCTAACCATCTCAACACCATCGCTGCCTACAACAGTGTTGGCGGACCAGTTTTGCTCGATCCTGTCGGCGCAGGAGCCACCCAGCAGCGTCGCGAAGGCGTTGCAGCACTCATGCGTGGCGGCTACTTCGATGTCATCAAAGGAAACGAAGGCGAGATCCGCACTGTATCTGGAGCCACTGGCTTCAAGCAGCACGGTGTAGACAGCGGTGCGTCTACCTTGACTCTCGACGGCCGCGTCAAGCTGGTCAAGTCGGTCGCTGCCAAAGAACATAACGTGGTCTTGATGACTGGTGAGATCGATGTCGTTTCTGATGGTAAACGTACGTTCAAGATTGGCAATGGACATGCATTCTTGGGTGAAATTACTGGGAGTGGGTGCACTTTGGGTACTACTATCGCGAGTTTCTTGGCCATCGAAAGGGAGGACAAGTTGCTCGCTGCTGTCACTGGTATCTTGATGTATGAAATTGCTGCTGAGAGGGCTGCGAAGAGAGACACTGTCAGGGGTCCTGGTACCTTTGTGCCTGCTTTCATCGACGAACTGTACGCTATTCGTCAGGAAAGTGCAGCTGGAAATGGAGAGTGGGCGAAGGCGGCCAAGATTGAGGTCGTTGAGGCCTAGATACAACTCGGGAAAAGTACAAGAAATCGACGTGTGGGACAACTTGTTGAATCTTTATTATTTCAAGCTAACTAGCGACCGAGAAGAGGGGCCTTGCTGGCATTGTTCAACACTCGTTCTTGTCCATCCGTGCCAATACTTCTGAAGGCATCTACCTATGCATCTCCAGCAGCGATCTTTGCATGTCCAGGGACTAATCCCATCTTCTTTGCCTGGAACAAGACTGTAGCATCGATCTCATCCTTCAGGCTGGGAGAGCTGGCGGACCATCCCAACAGCTTCTTGGCCCTGATAGCACGGCATCGGGAGTTGCATCCCCACAGCGCAGGTCCCCATGCGGCCAGCTTTTTGACCTCTTCGGGTGAGTACTCCTTGACCTGATCTTCCCTCATGAACCCTTGCTTGTGAGCAGATTTCGCAACTTGATGGGCAACTTCTCCCCAAACAAGATCACCAGACTCGCAGAAGTAGTAGCCCTCGTCATTCCAGGTTGCAGAACCTCCGTCAGCTGCGGCTGCTTCTACAAGCTTGAGATAGAGGTCCGACAGGTCGTGGACGTGGATCTGAGTCCAGAAGGTCTTGCCAGCACCAACTTGGATGCCATGGCCTTGTTTCAAGGTGTTTTGAGCAAGCAAAGGCACCTGAACACTGGTTTGATTTCCTGTACCCCTTCCGGCGCCGTAGATACATGGAGGGCAGACGATGGCGCTCTTCACGGCTTTGCCATCGCGCACAGACTGGACCACCTTGTCAACGTTCCTGTGGGGTGCATGGTCTGGGATGCCTGTAATCATCTCCTGAATGTTGTCCCAGTCATCGTGAATCTTGGTGGCATCTTCACCAAATATCTTCTGATCGAGATCTGTATACATGAGAATACCAGTTCCCGATGTATGGATGAGGTAACCAGGTGTTTCGGACTGTCTAGCTGAGAGGCCTTTGATGATGGCTTTGGCAGCTGCTTCATGGTCCGCGTCGGCCCAATCTGACATAATGTCAGTCGAGCCATCGCTACGGCGAAAACAACACTGATTGCTTACTGCAGACGATATCTGCCTTCTGAGACTCTTCTACGATGAGGTCGCATGAGTCCAAATCGCCGTAGACTAGCTTCACTTTGGGATAGTCCACTGCGACCTGTGCGCCTTTGTCGGGGTTTCGGACCAGAGCAGTAATATCGTACTCCGGGTGGACCTTGACGATGGCGTCAAGTGCATCACCACCGATGTATCCAGTGGCTCCTAATCTATACGTCCTCGTCAGCAGTGAATCGGAATGCTGGTAGGGAGCTTCAAGGAGCATGAACTTACACGAAGAGTTTCATGATTGTGATGAGATTTTTGGCTTGATGGCTGAACGAGCTTGAGATCTGAATAGTGCTTATGAATGAAAAGAGGGGGTTGTATGGCAGATGACGAAATACACGTTTCACTGTCAATTACCAAGCAATCATGCAACGAGTTAAACACTGCTTATGAAGGAAGGCGCCACCTGATCGGTAACGTCCATATTGAGCTCGAATCGACCACGACTTGTCACTATCAAATGCTGCCTTCCGGTGCAACTGGTATGTCCATGGTTTGTAAGGAAGGGAATGGAGAAGCAGCATCGTTTCACCTTGATGATAGTAAATATTGATGTCGGTGGGGCAGCCCTGACTTTGTCTCGGGTTGTCTTTCGCGCGAGTAAGGTGGACCTTGCGCACGTCACCCTGCACAATTCCCAACCTCTGTCTGAGGATTGTCCAACACCAGCTCTGGAAGTATCTTGACATAGCGCGAAATGATTTGGACAAGGTGATCTTTAGGAACGCAACAACACCAGCATTCGATATGTGGTCGGGTCTCTTCATGCTGCTCGTCTTGAGCATTATCATGGCAGTCGCGTAAGAAAGCATCCCTTTGGTTGCGATCAACGATGATTACTGACCAGATGCCCATCTAGTTCTTTCCTTGCCGGATCTTTACCACTATCTTTTTCTCTTTCCCAACGCCAACTACGATTGATCACGGCAATTGGCACTGGTGTGCTCGTGGGAACTGCGCTTATCGTTATCATACCCGAGGGTGTCGAAACATTGTACAGCGCTCGCGAAGTCGGTCATGCGCACGCAGCGAGGTCGATATTACCTAGGGGTCTGACTGGCCTACCCGAGCTGCCAACCCTCGCATTGGCGCATCACGAATACTCGACTTCCTCGAACGTGTACACCAGAGACACCGACTTGACTGGACCCGATGACGGACGCCCGGAGGACACACAAAGTCCCCCTGCAACAGAGCCTGAGCAGAAAGAGGAGGATCATGACCATGAGGACTGGGAGCCCCACGCCTGGGTCGGAGCGTCCCTAGTCATGGGCTTCGTCTTGATGTACTTGATTGATCAGCTACCTCGTCATGCCGCGGCATCGTCGCAACCACAGAGATTCCACATAGCGCTGGATCGCTTCAATCTCCAAAGGTCTACGAATCAAGCTTCTGAATCAGAGGATCCCGATGCTATACCACCATCAGATCCCATGCAACAATCGCGTCCTTCTTCGACAACTGTAGGGCTGGTCATACATGCTGCAGCAGACGGCATAGCTTTAGGAGCCTCCTCAACCGCCTCTTCAAGAAGACTAGGATTCATTGTCTTTGTAGCTTTGATGATACATAAAGCCCCTGCAGCATTTGGCTTGACTTCCGCATTGCTCAAACAAGGACTCTCGAAGCGAAGAGCGCGAAACCATCTCATAGTTTTCAGCCTGGCCGCGCCAATAGGTGCACTGTTGACATGGGCTCTGGTAAATATCTTCGAGGGAGGCACTGGTCAGAGCGAGCATGGCACTCGATTTTTCACTGGACTTCTACTCTTGTTTTCAGGAGGCACTTTCTTGTAAGCCAAAAGAATTGTCTCTGGTGATCTTACCTCAATACTGATAGTCTGACAGATACGTGGCAATGCATGCTATGCAAGATACCAGACACGGCCATGATATGGGAACTGCTAGTCCGAATGGCTATGGCGACCCTAACGTGTATGATGGGTATCAGCCATCTTCTAACAAGCAAGAGAGTCCTGTGCTCAGCGACACGTTAGCAGTAGTAGGAGGGATGTTACTCCCATTGTTGACTCAAGTTTTTGGACATGGCCATTGATGTGGGCACATTTAATTAGATTACGGCCTGATATTCGAATCTCACGATCTTTTGATTAATCAGGCATGTTTATGGGCACCTGGATGATGTTTTACCGAGATCTGTGTGTGAGGCCTGACCTAGATCTGATTGTCTCAGACAATGTTGCCAGTGAAGTTGGCATCGCAACGGTTGACTCGAGTCTTGATCTCGACCAACGACAAACTTCACAGAACAGTACATGCAAGCAACATGCATTGTACGCGTATAAGCACCCACAGCTCTTGTCGTTGCGCGAACTAAACGGTATGGGCAGGCGGTATCGAAGATAGTTGCATTGGTTTGCTGCATGCATGGCCGGTGAAGTTCAGTAGAAGTTGTAAAGAGCTAACGGCTGTGCACATTCTAGACATGTGGACGGAAGCGGAATGCAGGTATGATCACGAGCAATGCCACGCTTCCAAAGGCAGCAACAGCACCTATGTTCGATCTGATGAGGCAACCTGCCGGTCAAATATATGATCACAACTAGCAGACTCGTGATTCTGGTCCCTGACGATATCAAAGTAGAAAAGGCCCTTCACGTCATCACAAAGGCGCGATTGGAGAGGCACCCTTGGCGTCCGTCGATGGTCGACCGTTCACACTGGTTTACAGTATTGTCTCTACCGACCTACGGACATCGATTTCTCTCACTCGAAGACGGAAATACCAAAGGCCCGCGTGAATCTCGTCTCTCTCTATATCAATATAGGAGTTGATGTGCCTGGCGTGGAGGCAGAGATTATAGCCAGCCTTAGAGTGTTTCAGTTACAATCACCTTCTGGCCCGACTGCTCTAGTCTGCATTGCGCAACCGCAGTCCATTTTTCCCAAAGACATCAACCAACCCAAGCCACCCTTTCGACACACGAAACCGCAGTCATTCTTTTCTGGTCCCGCTGTCCCACTTCTAACGGAGACTGAGACCGTGCCGTCGTTGATCGCCATCCTCCCCAGCCCGCCGCCCGCCCGATCGCGAATCCGCCGAACCACAAGGGTGCGCCCGAACGACGACGACGAGACCGACGCAAACAATTCAACCCAACCATGGAGGACTCTTCCGACTGGCATCCCTCGTACCCGCAAACCCAGCGACCCTTATCCATGCCTGTCGAATACGATGCCGAAGCCGCGTCGGGCAGCGAAGCGCGCATCTTTGGTCAGCGTCATCACAAGCCCCAGACTTCAGCATCGCGACCCTCAGCACGCTCCATATCATCCTCCACCACCAGCGTGCCCATACCGATCCCGTCAAATCCAAATGTCATTCCCGGCAACCTTCTCCCGTCAGCGCCGGCTTCTCCACCGACCCCGGCTCCGTCTCCAACACCCGGTCGCCGTCTTCCTAGCTGGGCCTCTACCGCTGCACCTTCTCTCGACCTGAACATGGCAGAAGATGGAGATTCGGACGATGCTGGCAGCGAAAACACTTTCACCGTAGACAAGGGATTGAGATTTAGACACATGAAGACAATGTTCTCTGACATGGACAATGACGAACGCAAACGCATCCTGACGGAGCTGTTGATGGACTGTGATGGCAAGCTGCTGGGCTATGTTGCCAATTTTGTTGCACCACGATTGAAAAGAGATCCGTTCGGTGTATTGCCTAATGAGCTTTGCCTGAGGGTAGGCATATTATTTCGGTTCCGAGCCAACTCAATGCTAACCTGATAACAGATACTTACATTTATCGATGATGCCAAAACACTTGCTCGCTCATCCCAGGTATCAAAACGATGGCACGAGTTGGTTAGCGACGACATGGCCTGGAAGAGCCTCTGCGAGAAACACGCTTATCGCCGCATGTCGGACGATGCTCCTTCGACCAACACCAGGCAGCAACATTCGTCACCATACGAGCCGTCTCACACAGGGTCATCCCTAAGCTTCGCCACGCATGCTTTGCGCATACACAACCCCGCACTTGCCAGCTTCAGCACTTCGACCCCTGATCTGAGTCGTGTCAAGAGTCTTGATAGAACAACTTCAGCCCCGGTTCTGCCATCTTCAGCTATTCGCCGACGACCGCAGGCCATGACTTACCGCTCGCACTTCAAGCAAAAGTATCAGGTCGAGACGGCCTGGCGCATGGGCGGTAAGGTTGACCAAAGACAGATCACTCCTGATCAAGGTGTTGTGACAAGTTTACACCTTACCGACAAGTACATCATCGTTGCTCTGGACAATGCCAAAATACACGTTTTCGACACCGAGGGCAAGCATTTGAGATGTCTTCAGGGTCATGTCATGGGTGTTTGGGCTATGGTTCCTTGGGGTGACACCTTGGTTTCAGGCGGCTGTGACAGAGATGTCCGCGTCTGGAACATGGCTACCGGGTGAGTTCCATACGTTCACATCGAGTCGCTTTTCAATACTAACGAGACTTAACAGGCAACCTATTCATATGCTGCGCGGGCATACTTCTACTGTCCGTTGTCTTAAGATGTCGAATGCCACCACGGCGATTTCTGGTTCGCGTGACACGACTCTTCGCATCTGGGATATCGAGAAGGGCCAATGTAAGCACGTCCTCATGGGCCACCAAGCAAGTGTTCGCTGCCTCGAGATTCATGGAGACCTGGTCGTTTCTGGAAGTTACGATACCACTGCAAGAATCTGGAGTATTAGTGAGGGAAGATGTCTCAGGACTTTGCAAGGCCACTTCAGTCAAATCTATGCGGTCGCTTTCGACGGCAAGCGCGTTGCCACTGGCAGTTTAGACACTAGCGTCCGTGTCTGGAATGTTGCGGATGGGTAAGCACCCCTTTAATCACCTCCTCGAAACATGCACTAACTCATTACAGTAAATGTCTTGCAATCTTGCAAGGTCACACATCCCTAGTCGGCCAACTACAGCTCCGCGGTGACACCTTGGTAACTGGTGGTAGTGATGGCAGTGTCAGAGTCTGGTCATTGCAATCCTACACGCCCATCCATCGTCTTGCGGCGCACGATAACAGCGTGACGTCGCTGCAGTTCGATGAGTCGCGTATTGTTTCTGGTGGATCTGACGGCCGTGTCAAGGTTTGGGACCTCCAGCGCGGATGTCTCGTACGAGAACTCGGCCAACCCGCCGAAGCAGTCTGGCGTGTCGTCTTTGAGGAAGAGAAAGCAGTCGTCCTTGCATCTAGACAAGGAAAGACAGTCATGGAGGTCTGGAGTTTTGCACCGCCAGAAGATGGAGATGTAAGCAGTGCGGCATCAAGTCCTGCTGTCATTTCTAAGCCGGCACTACCTGCTAGCGAGCCTTCACCAATGCACATATCAGATGCACCGGCATCTGAGGATCAGGTCGAGGATACGATCATGACAGATGAAACGAATCACGAGGTTTCTTCGCCAGTCATTTCGTCATGACATTCCGAGTTGGCATGAAACATGATATAGCATCGAGAGGCATCATCATCCGACTGTTTTTAAGGATAGCGTAGGCGCAGGGAGACTAATCACATTTGGGAGTGGTAGGGAGGTTCAAGAACTGAGGTATGGACGAAGACTGGATCTCCTTTCATCTCGTTCACGGCGTTTTTGTGATTATATTCAAGGCATGGCGATGTTAACATGGCGAATTGGCAGACAATCATTTTGGGGATCAAGAAGGGAAAAAGGGAATTACCTTCGGAGTTTTTTTTTTTTGATCAGATTTTGCTCTTTCGACTTCCACAGCAGTAGACTCATCAGCGAAAGCATTCATTATCTATACACGCACCAACATTGACTTTTAGAAGCATTCTACCAAAAACCCAACGACACGCCCGATTTCGTGTGTTGCAACATACACTCTTTTGACCAAGACTTGCCAAAGAGACGAACGCGTTGAGAGACTCGGTGCGAGCCTCGGTATGTTCAGATAAGAAAGTCGCATCTTTCCCTAAAGGTGGCTAGGAAGGAGCGGCACTGAGCGGGTTGGGAAACTGTTACAGGGCGGTGGTCGGTAGAAACGGCAGAGCACTCCGAAGAGCTCGCCCTGACATCATCAGCCGTGGCATCCGGGGGAGGAACAGGTTGGAGAGCAACCGTTCAGTTAAGTTTACTTTTGCTTCCAGGTCTGTTTCTTTTCCTACTTGCTATCAGTCAATCTCTTCTCTTGTCGCGTGCTTGGGTCTCTTGTCATTGTCGTCGCTTCGATTCTCTTCAACCTCTCCAAAACCTCCAGCTTCAGCATTACATCATAGCTCTATAGCTTTGTTCACAAGACACGACGACAATGGTTCAAAACAAGCCCGAAGCGCCTGGCGCAGTCACACCTCAGAAGAAGATTGAGTTGTTCTCTGGAACTTACTTTGCTGCATGTACATTGGGTGGTATCATTGGTAAGTGACGTTCTCAGTCTTATCCGACAGACAGCTCCTGACCACCACCCCGAATAGCTTGCGGACCTACTCACACTGCCGTCACACCCTTGGATCTTGTAAAATGCCGTCGTCAAGTAGACAGCAAGCTCTACTCCTCCAACATGCAAGCCTGGCGCACTATTTTCCGTAAAGAAGGTCTCCGCGGTGTCTTCTTCGGCTGGTCTCCCACTTTCGTCGGATACTCATTCCAAGGTGCCGGCAAGTACGGTGCCTACGAGTTCTTCAAGTACACCTATGGCGAGAAGCTGTTCCCCAACACCAACAAGACTGTCGTCTACCTTGGAGCTTCTGCCACCGCCGAAGCCATTGCCGATCTTTTCCTCTGCCCCCTCGAGGCCATCAAGGTTAGAATGCAGACTACACTGCCACCTTTCGCTTCCACCCTTCGCGAGGGCTGGAGCAAGGTTGTCGCTCAGGAAGGTGTTGCTGGTCTCTACAAGGGTCTTTATCCCCTTTGGGCTCGTCAAATCCCTTACACCATGGTCAAATTCGCAACCTTCGAATCCGCTGTCGCTCAAATCTACAAGCAACTCGGCAAGCCCAAGGAGAGCTATGGCACTCTTGCCCAAACTGGTGTTTCCTTCCTCGGTGGTTACATTGCTGGTATCGGCTGTGCCGTTATTTCTCACCCTGCTGATGTCATGGTCAGCAAGTTGAACAGCGACCGCAAGTCTGGTGAGGGTGCAGGCCAGGCCGTCAGCAGAATCTACAGCCAGATTGGCTTCAGAGGCCTGTGGTCTGGTGTCGTGTTGAGAATTGGCATGATCGGTACTCTTACCGCCTTCCAGTGGTTGATCTACGATTCATTCAAGGTCTCTGTTGGTCTGCCTACTACTGGCGGTCACTAAGCCTGATCTTCCAGTCTTGTTCTTTTCTTCCGTTTATATAATGCTAATGATTTTGGACCTTGAGCGGTAGGCGTTGTTTTGGCATTCGGGCGTTTTGATAGAAATAAAAGAAATGCAATCTACTACACAACATGTCGTTTCCCACTCCCGTCATCCAAGGCAACAATGCAAGACGCTTTTCAACCTTCACTATCCCATCACCAACCCGACCATTTCATAAGACAGACAGGACTCACATATTGTTACACACAGACGAGACATAAAAAGCCTCCCCACCTCGCCACCAATCCACCTTCCATCCTCAACTTCACTCACCCCGAGTATTGTGTGCTTGTGTGCCGCTATGTACAGTATATACTTTTCGAGATCTCGACAGCTGGGTTAGAGACGATGGGGATGAAGCATCACGTCTGTGAATCCCGACACTGGAGCCCATTGTTTCCGTCTACAAACCGTCTATACAGTTGTTCCCACTGAAAAGATGCCAAGTTGTCATATCAGGGGGTGCATGTGAGACGGAGAGGAGAGGAAGGATGATTGCATAAAGGGGATCGGAATGTACTTCCCCCCCTGGTTCCATCGATAGAGTAGGAGTCATTCGTGTGCGTGATTGTCTTTCAAGGTGCTGTTTGTGCATTGTGATGGGATGTAAATGGCAGGGCCTGGGATGGCAGGAGCGGTGGTCAGTAAGGAAAAGCGACCAGGTACATGAAGAAAGAACGACTAGGCACATGCGAAGGAAGTGGAAACCAGGGCATTTTCTTGTGCTCCTCCTTGTAGGTCATCATGTCTGCCGTCTGGCAGGATTGTAAATGTCAGAGATGTCACGCAAGACGGATAATGAACATGAAAATGGTTTGAAAGATGTGGAAAGAATTGCTTTTTGTTGCATTTATGCTCTTCTCTCTCGATGGAGGCAGAAGCATGATATTACTGAGGGCCGTCCTTATTCAAAAAGGTACTCGCGCCTCGCTCGAAATTGTGAGGGAAAAAAGTCTATAGATGAGATGTGAAGGAATGCAGAAGAAGGCGGTATAGGAGGAGTATTCTCGACGCCTAATGCCAATGCCATGTTTGAAGAAGGAAGGAAGAATCCAGAAAGTAGTAGCGCCAGCCCAAAAGTGTCGTGAAAAAGAAGTAAGAAGTCAAATCTACTTGAGCTTCTTGGTCTCGGGCTCGTAGCTTCTATCATCGTCGCCCTCGACTTCCTTGACAATGTTCTCCATCTCCTTGACCTGGCGTTGCCACTCGGCTTGGCCCATCTTGGTTTCGCGACGGAACAGCTCGTCGTTGGGCTTGCGGTAACTGCCGCCGAGACGGTCCCAGAGGGTGGTGAATTGACCGTAGTTGTAGTTGAAGTACAGATGGTGCATGGTGTGGCAGGCGGCGCCGTTGATGATGGGGCTGTTGGCCACGTACTCGCCATCGTGGATCATGACAGTCCAGACGTTGATGAACATGAAAAGAGCAATGTAGGCGAATTTTTGAAGAGGGAAGATGAATGGGAAAACGTGGTAGGGTAGCGATTGAGCGTAGCCGTCGAGAGGGTGGAAAGCGTGCGAGGCGAAGGGCGAGGGCATAATCCACTTGTGGTGGGGCTTGTGCAGCTTCTTGTAGACCATAGGGTGGTGCAGACCGCGGTGAATCCAGTAGACGAAGAAGTCGGTGAAGCAGACGAAGAAGGGGAACTGGAGAAGCAAGTACCAGCCACCAAGGTTCCACGATGAGCCTTCAGGCAGTACGTCGTAGATGTTGGAGTAACCGCGGACCTCACCGAGGAACCAAGGAACGGTGAGGGCGGACATGACGGGCATGGCTGAAAGAGCCTGACGGATCTCGAGGCTCATCTGGTTCTTCAAGAACTTGGGGTGGTGGATTGTCGTCTTGTCGAAAACGAAAATGTATGAGAGGCCGGCACAGATGAAGTAGTTCAGCAGACCGAAGATCCTGGGAAGAGATTTAGTTTTGGTTGAGGCTCAAGGCACACAAGAGGTTCGAGCATACCATGTGATAAGGAACAAGCTGACAGCCTGTCTCGCCATGTTGTCTCGCGGCAAACGGCTCATGTATGCATATGAGCTAGGTTCCACCGAGAAGTACTGGCTTGCAGGTTCGAATTTGTAGGGGCTAACACCACCACGGGCCATGGTCGACCAGGTGGCATTGGGGGATGCAGCAAAGTCGCCGACTGTGCTCATGGCGAGCATTGACGACGTCAAGGGCAGAACGGTCGCATATAGTCGATCGAACGCGTATGTGTCGAGAACCTCCAAAATAACGTCCATAGTTGCGGTGTTGCTCTGTGGCGCGGCGGTGGTCTAAAGTTTTGATATCTTGTTGATACGCGAGCAGAGTAGTGAAAAAGGGTCCAGGAGATGTTTATAGTGGGAAAGAGTCAATTGCAAGGGCAAAGAAATCCAGAAGGCGCAATAGCCGGTAAAGAGTGACAGGCGCGTGAAGCAATTGAAAAGAACGACTTGTTTATCTATCAAAAGTGGCAGAGGAGAGCGAGCGCGCTGCGGAGCTCGGAATCAGCCCACAAAAAATCGAACCACAATCAGAGGCAAATGAGGGATCAGTGGGCCTAGCCGTCGGGTGAGGTTAAGGAGCAGAGCTTTCACATGCAAGCTTCAGCCAAACTTGCTTCCCGCTCCTGCCCGAACGAGCAACAATCGTCAGGGCGTCCTTCTCCCGCTGTCAAGTTCCGTCCTCGACCTCTCCTCCCTAGTTTCAGCAGAACGCCTCTTACTGAACCCTTTCCGAACCCCTGCGCTCAACTTTAACCCGATATGCTGGGCACCCAGCTGCACAATCATGCTTTTCTTCACGCGATTCCCACATCATAACCCCATGGCGCCAGCCGGACTAACAGCGCGTACGACTTCTACGAGAAGTGGTCTGTTTTCCAGCCACTGTGCCGTGAAACCTGTAGCCAAGCCCTGTCAGACCTGATCATCTTCCCCTGTGTTGTCTCATCTCTCTGAACACAACGCTCATATCTCGGATCCGGAGATTATCTGCATCCGAGGCTGTAGCAACCTCGAAGGCCTTGTTTCCTTTGTTGTTGCCATCAATCGTGTGCAACAATCAACACCGATCTGCTTTCGTTCCTGATCACTGCTCAGAGGCTAGCTAAAATGGATCAACTGAATCATGTAGCTGAAATCTTGTTCATTCGCAGCTTTCAAGCGGATAGACCGCCGAGGACGCTCCTCTTAAAGCAAAGGGCCGTAAAGCTAATATTGGCGTATGGTATCATCGTCTTTCCCCAATCACGCCGTGCTGTTAAAAACAAAGAACCCGAAATCCGTAAATGAATAGAGTACGCCCCCATGGGATGCAGCCGCACCCCAGCTTTTGCTCCCCATTGTCGCCAGAAGATGCCATGCTCGCCATATATCATTAGCCGCTGTCGTTAAATCAATCAAGAAAACTTTCGAGCTCCGTCTCAGTACTAGGATGGACTGTTGCTGTAGCTTTGCGAATCTCTGTAGGAATTGGACCAGAGGGGCGCCCCGACTGGCCACGGTAGTCGTTGACCTTGTGGTAATCCTCCATTTGGCTGGGGTGCTGTAATTGGTGGTAATGCAAGAGTGTCGCCGGGATTCATTGGTGGTAAGCCAGATCCATTTATACCAGACGGTCTGTTGGCCAAGTCAGCAAACCTGCCGTCTTGGAGACTCGCCGGAGTATTATAGGAAGTGTTCTGACTCGTGTTGGTGCGTTTAGCTGGCCGTGGGGGTTCATCCTCATCGTCCGATAGGGTCAAGTCGATGACCGCAGAAGGGCGTTTGGCACTTGGTCGAGGTGCAACTGTCGATGCTTCGCGTGATACTGGAGGTGTTTGCTGCGCGAGTGCTGGTGTGGCTGAGCCGCCTTCAGTCTTGATCTGTTCCACTTTGTCGGACTTCTTGGGAGTGTCTTGGATCTCGATGATGTCGTCGTCGTCCTCACTGTCATTGTCGTAAGCTGCGCGGGGCTGCGACTTTTGACGACTGTTGGCGTCATCTCCATGTTCGATTGCTTTCCATTGGCCATCAGACTCGATCGTGACCTGATCGACAGAGTTTGAAGTGTTCTGTAGGATGTCTTGCACATAGTTGTCGACACAAAGACTCTGGTAGGAGATGGTCTTGTTGCAGACTGGACACGTCCACGTTGGAGCCTGTTCTTGAAGCTGCAGAAAGTAAGAGCCATCAAAGCACTGGTTGTGCGAACAGACGTTGGATCTGCAAGGAAGGTTGATGCGCATTGTTGAGATAGGATCTTTCAAAGACATGACAGTAGAAGTGGTGACGATATCCGGATCCGAGGCCTTGGCCGCCACTGGAAGGAGTTAGTCGAGCATAAGGGACGGCAGAGGACTCGAAACGCACTTTCTCTGAGAACAGTGTCCTTGGGAATTCTACTCCCGGTTTTTTGGAGTTGAGTTGCGAGGTGGGTCGCAGATGTCACCTTGACAAGGTTGACCATGAGGGAAAATTTCTATAGATCAAGTCAGCGAACATGGCCGAAAGGTCCAGGTGGAAGCGATGCGACGTACTTCCTTCGTGAGCGCGTAAGTCACGAGGATGTCATTCTGATATCCTGGGGCCTTTCTAATGAGATCTGTGATGTCAACCGGTTTGGTGGTACCGGGCTTGTTCTTCAAACCCTTAAAGCTCTTGCGCACTTCATCACCATTAACCTTGACCTCGATTTGACTCGGGAATGCAATGTCGATATTGAAGGCATACGGACCGAGGGTCGAAGTAGCGGCGCAGTAGAGCATGATGCGCAGAGTGGGGTCGGCTTTGATGGCTGCGCAAGTGGGTTCGCTGAGCTTGACCGTCTCGTGTAAAGAGTGTCGGTTGTGTGGCATCTCTACTACTGTGTCAGCCTCGTATGATGGCCAAAATCAATGGAATATGGGCGAAATAGCTACCTGAGAGGTCTCGTGTGGGTGTAATTGCTTCTTTGATTTCATAGAAGGGACTCGATCTGAACTTGACCGACGGACGAGACGATGCGGCAGGACGCGGCGGAGGTTGGTGATAATGAGACAAGCCGGCGGCAGGCCTTGTGTAGCTGGGAGGCATACCAGTGGTGGTGCGCGGGGCTGGAGAGATGGGAGTGATGGTGTCGCGGGCCAGTGAGGATTGCAGACTTGGGGCCGGAGGGGAACGGCCTTGGTGGTTGACTCGGTATCGGTATCGCTCGATTGCGTCTGCGTCGCCTCGACGGAGATGGCCAGATATGGCTGGAAGGGGTTTTGTCAGCGACGTGTTGTGCGAGTGAAACTTGTCGTCCCGTCGATACCTTCCGAGATGCGCTTCTGCAGGGCAGCCTTCACTCCGGATACTTGGAGACCCTCGTTGCGGCAAATCTCCTTTAGGTCATTGTTGACCAATGTCTTTGCTTTTAGGTCGACGCCTTCTGCGATCTTTCGAAGGTCGTCTTGAGCGCTCGCCATCTCTTCAAATCGTGCCTGCTCGCTTTCATGCAGTATCTTGTGCCTGGGGAGCCAACCAGAGGAAGTCGCAATGCAGTCGAAGATTTGGAACCCGTCTTAGAACTTCGACCTATTATGGAACGATGACTCCAGCTTATGTGCTCCGTCGTTGGTACAAAAGTGTGAAAGCAGAGTGCTCATCACCGAGTGACAGTTGAAGGTTGAAGGCGATTAGGGCGGAAGGCTTCTAGAAGTGAATTGGGCAGAACGCACGCGCAAGGATATGCACGGTATCTACAAAGGCGACATGCACACAAGTACCCTATGTGCTAAGAGAAGAACATTCAAGGTGCGACTATTGGGTCCATTGTCCTCGAGGAGCAGGCCTCAGTACGAGTAGGCAAACATCTTTCGGCCTTCTGGAAGAACGTGACCGTGCGTGAAGAAGTGACGACCAAGACGAGCCAGGCGTCTGTGCTGGTCCGGACCGCCATTGCCAAATCCGTCGAACATCAGCGTGGCGCTGCTGAGCAAGAGCAACAGGCTTGGAAGCCGCTGCATCTCACACCGTCAAGAAGAGTCATCCTTCCTTACTAACGTCCAGAACATCAAAACAACCTCCTTTGTCTGAATCCCCCTGCCTTTCCTCGTACCACAACCCCCTCAAATCAGAAGAGTCATTTGCTCGTGGTTTCACGCGTCGGCAGAATCACCAGACCCTGTCCGCCGCACGCTTCAGCTGCCTTTCAACAGTCGCCCGATCGACTTCTCCGCACGTTTAAGCGACTGTCCGCCGACCCGCTTTCTTGTTCCATCCCAAGAGAATTTATCTCTTTCTTTCACCGCAATCTTCCACACAACAACCCCCTCGACACACGCAAAAATGGGCAAAGGTCTACGATCAAGTGTCAACAAGACGAACAACAGAAAGCTCAAGAAAAATGTCTTCGGCCCCGTCGAGACTGCCCGCACCGAGCGTCTTTCGCAAAAGCTCATGGAGTTAGCCTCGCAACCAAAGCCCCCGAAATCCGAGATGGAGGTCGAGGAATCTGGTGGTAAGAATTTTTGCCCTCGCGATACGCCATCACTGAAGCTGACACCGCCATGCGCAGACTCAAAGCAGGCCGAGTCGGAGGCGAAGGCTGCCAACGCAAATGGTGCGTTAAATGCTCTTGCAATCCCGGTGCCCAAGTCGCTCGCCCACCAATGTCCCGCTACTGCTGCTGCCTCGATGAACATGCTCACTCCTCCGCCCACCCCTCCGCTTGACATATCCGACTTCAGCAAACCCTCGATCAGATCTGCCCATAGGCATTACGCCGATGAACAGCTCTTCTTCCACCTCCTGGGTGTATCCACCGACATCCACGGCTTCGACACTTTTGGCAACATCTGTTTAGGTTTCGGATCCGATTCTGAGAGTGACAATGAAAGCAGCAGCAGTAGCAGCAGCGTTGGCAGCGGCTATGAGTGAGCCAGTTGACTGTCTGAACGAGGCTAACCCGCCTTTTTCATCATCAGACACCGCAATGGACGTCGACTTGACCAACGAACCCAGATCGAGCTGGATCAAGGCCGAGAAGAGAGCCAAGGAAGACAAGCGCAACCGCATCGCCAAGAAGCAAAAGCGCAAGGTCATCAACCAAATGACTTTCAAGAAGAACCCTCGCACCGGAAAGAAGTGAGAGGCTCGAGTCCTAGTATTTCCACGCTTCGAGGTATAGAGACGAGAGCGGCGCGATCGCTCTCAGGGAAGGACAGGCGGAAGAGGAAAGAAGCAAGCATCAAGGGCGCGAACTCATCACCGCAGCCTCACGGAGTTCTGGAAAGGGTAGAAGGTCTGTCTTGGGTTCCAAAAAGGGATGTCAACTTTACCGGCGTCAAATAAATACCAAAGGTTGGCTGCACTGTCGGAACAAAATGGATGTTTCAAGGGTGTACATGAAGCCTACTTTAGCATACGCGATCATCATATCCATGCGAAGAATCAAGGTTGCATGTTCCTGTTCTGAAGTCAAATTCGATGTTCGTTGACCGGTGATAAAAACAATACGTATATGGGTATCCTTCTCAAACTCCTAGCTATGATCAGAATGGATGCAAAAACACCATCCCCTAATTACAATATAATCAGCGACAACCCTCATCACTACCATTAAACGCTCTCACTCTCACACACACACACACACACCCTCTCTCTCTATCTCACGTGCTTGAATGAAGAATGAGCAGCGCTCACATTGACATGACATCGCCATCGCCAACATCAACATGAGGATCCGGAATCTGAATATCCAGACTCAAGAAACCCGTCCTTCTCAGATCAATCAATCTCACCTCCCTGCCTTCCCTCTCGGCCTCGGTGTTCCAACCTTCGACCCACTTCTCCATATCTCTGACTCCCCTCTTCACTCCGGTCCAACCAAAGTTGTCCCACAAGAAGCCTGTCGCAACACCCATCAAGGCATCAAACCAACTACCCCAAGTATTTGGTTCAAACGCCTGCTTGAGCATCGGATTCAACGTTTCGACTACCGTTCTGAAGTCCGATTCCGACAACCATTGATCCAGGATCTCTGGGTATAGATTCTGTAGTGCCGGGTAGAGGTCTCCCGCTACCAGCCAATCTCGCTGAACTCTGATGACGCGAGTACTCGAATACAAAGGCGAAGCAATAGCAACATGAGGGTTCAAGTGTGGGAAACAAGGGTGAGACGGACCCCAAGGTAATTCATCTTCCAATTGTGTATCGTGGCTGTGTGCACTGGCTGTGTAGTCGCCATTAGGTATGCCTTGCCATCCTGCGCTTGGAGGAAGCAAGCTGGGGTGTAGACTTGGTGGTCGGAGAGAATTGCGGCTGGATTGCTCGTGTAGAGTTCGTCGACTCGGTTTGCGATTTACGGGCAAAGAGGCTCGTGAGGGTCGGGAGTGGAGACTGTGTGTTGCTTGTGATTCGAGGTCGGGAATTGGAGGAGGTGGTGGGTGGTTCTGGATGTTTGTGGCTTCTTCTACGCCGGCGAGTTTGTTGAAGGGCTGCATTGTGTTGGGTGTCGCGGCGTGTCTGCCTTGTCGTTGTGTCGAGGAATAGACTCAGATGTAGTGATGGTATCGAGGTGCTTTGCGCCGGGTCTTTTGATGGCTGATCGTGGCGTGGTGGTGTGAGACGTATGGTCGGATTCCGAAGGTTAAGGTAGTGTCACTTAGGTCACGACTTCCCTCAAGAGATCAAAATGTCGTTCATGGTCTTTCTACAATTGAGCAGTCGCAATTTCCGAGTGCCTTGATGGGCGCATCGTCGTGCACGTCCCTCCAACATCTCGAGCCGTTGATCTCTAATTATTCTCTTTCTTCTAGAAGCACTCGACTCGACAATATACTCTGAGTGACATCGGTCGGCTTTGGTGCTCCTCGGACCAACCAAACATAGTCTCGAGTCTCCGATGCTTTATATTTTGCCGCCATGCATCTTCAAGCACTATGACCCTGCTTGACATCACGCTTACACTGCTGAACGCAAAAGGCCACGGCTATGTCCCATCCTACGCCTCCTTCTCTTGATACATAACCATACAGAGATCTTTTCATGCTTCCTTCTCCATGTCTAGAGTCCCTTTATTTGCTCGTCAACTTCTTTTCAACCTCCGAAACAACATCGCAAATATGTCCAAGCCAATGACCAATAACGCTTCCCTTTCCGTTACCACTCAAATCTCTCAAAAGGACCATCCAGCGAAATTATCGCAGTACTCTGGCCTCGAACACACAATAGCTGCTGTCAAATTCCCATCCATTGTCAAGCCGTTCAACCTCAAAGTCCAGGATGGCATTGATGGCACAGTCCCAGCATTCCTACACTTGCCTGAGAACTATCAAAATCAACAAAGTACAGCAGCAATCCTTCTCTCTGGAGCCGGCGGCGGTGTAGTAGGCCCTTCAAGCATCTACCTCAGTATGGCACATAAGCTAGCCTCTTTACAACAAGGTCTTCCTGTTCTTCGCATGGACTATCGTTTCCCAGCTCGAAACAAGTACTGTGTTCCCGATGTACTGGCAGCCATGAATTATCTACAGACTGAGCATAACATCAGTCGCTTTGTACTAGTTGGCTGGTCCTTTGGCGGCGCTCCCGTGTTCACAGTCGGTGGTCAAGACTCGAGAGTCGTGGGCTGTGCCACTGTAGCGTCTCAGACTGCCGAGACAGAAGGCATCAGAGCAGTAGGAAGGAGAGGTGTTCCGGTACTGTTGTTACATGGCACTGGTGATCGTACACTGAGCCATCAGTGCAGTGAAAGGCTGTACAGCATGTATGGGTCAAAGGGCGACAGAAAGGTGCACTACTTCGAAGGCGATGATCATGCTCTCACCATGAATAGTGCAAATGCCGAGAGAATGATGTGTGAGTTCATTGCAAGCATCGCTGGTGTCAAGATGGGAAATGCAGAGAAGGAGATTGTTGGTAAGACTTTGGTTGATGACAGTGACAAGATCGAGAAGATGAGAAGCGGCGGCGATCTGAGAGGTCTGGAAAGCGTCGAGTGAAATTGGAATCCGGCTATATTTTACGTGGATACAAAGACTTAGCAATAGATATAGACCAAGCCCTCACAGTCTGAATGTCTCTGCAAAAAATAATAAAGTTGCGGGACGATTTTGTCAGAGGCGTATGTCTGGAGAGAGCACGAAGGGGTATCCGCTCCCTGAACATGTACTCAATCATTGAAAACGTGTCGTCTTTTGATAGCCGGCTACAAGTATCTAGTCATTGATACAGTCTAGGGAGTATAAGAATCGCCACGCCACAGGCGGGCTTCATTATATACAACGGCGCGGAATTTTGACGTTTCACACACTGCTAGTCGGACGGTTGAGTTGGAGACTCGGAGAACGCTGGCCGTTGAACCAAGCATCTACGGAGTCTGATGAAATTGGTATCATGGATGGTATGATCGAGCGACAAAGTCCTCCGCGTGTGGAGACTTTGCGCTCAGCTCACCAATCATTCGCTTGAATAGAATCAAAACCCTGCTTATATCGAACCTAAGACTAATAGGAACTAAGTTACTCTTTTCGGCAGATGTTTCGACGTGGTATCGCAATGTGTATCATTCAAGCGACAGGTTATGAGCAAAACTCGATGGTCTTGCTCACACCCGAAGACCGGTAGACATCAGTCGAGGCAATCGCCGTGCAAACACTCGTTTGATCCATTCGACATTCGAAGCTTTTATGACTTGTCGTTGTTCACAGCGCACGTGCCAGAGAACTGCATGTCTGACAGGAAGGGCTGAGCGTTCCGACCCTGCGGCGAGTAACCGAGTTTGCAGCACCAATATAACGGCCGGTGATCTGGAGAGAAGCCAATGTCGTCTTCGCCACTAACCTGCTGTAGATGCACAACCATGACCGGTACCTGCAAGTTAGCTCGGCGGTGAAACATACAGCGCATATGTCTCTGCAGCCGCTCGGTGCATGTTCTCAGACTGTTTCCAACAAACGAAGAGCATCGGGTACATCCAGTCAAACGTGGAGAGATTTATGTCCGATCCAGGAAAGGCGTCCGGGCACACGCGGGAGGCTGAACTAGACCCACACTAATAGAGTTTCTTCTTAGCAACCGTGCCGAGTGTGGTCGAAGACAGAGTTGCTTGGGGGGGCTTGAGGTTCGTTCCCATTCGGAGTGACCCACGGTTTGTGCTTTGCCAGGCGTTTTCTTTGCAGCATCACCTCCTTGACACGTCTCCGATTTCCATCTCCGTCCACGCAAACACCCACCTCCATCCGCGCATCCACTACCTCGAGTCCTTCGGCGAGATCCGAATTTCGGAGCGTAGTACGATTAGGGCCACCTAAACAGTGTGTGCCTTTCGCGACGCCGAGACAAAGTCGCGACGGACGCGCTGCGATCACCAACCATCCAAACTCACCACTAGTCGACACCACCCATACCAATTCCGCCATGTACAACGCGCATCGTGGTATAGCCGGGGCACCGGCACCACCAAACAACCGCCTTGTCGAGCTGCTCGAGCAGGTGCGCGCCGAGTTCGAGGCTCAGGGCGGACGTGCAAACGAGTATGAGCATCAGCGTGAGTCGTCCCCGTTTGTCGTGACAAACACCTGCCGCTGGTTGTGTAAATACAGACGCGATGCCTGATGTATTCTCACGACTTGCTGTCGTTTCCCCATCGCTCCTTCCGAGTTGTCGCCATGGCGTTTCCCAATCCCGATGTTGTTTTTGCCGACTATAACTTATACGATCTAGTCGCAAACCAAATCCAAGAGATGGAGCTTGTACGCAGCAAGATATTCCAACTCGAGCAGACGCACATGCAGATGAAGCAAAAGTACGTTCCTACATCCTGTAGCTGCGCGACGACCATCAATTGACCTCTCGTTACAGGTACGAAGAAGATATTTCCCGTTTGCGCCGCGACCTTGAGGCTCGTGGAGGTCCCAGCCAGTCTTCGCACACTGGCCCTTCGCAGCCTCCACCACCCTCAATCGGCCATGGCCCTGCCAACCTCTTCCAGGGCATCATGGCTGGCGCTACCGCTCAAGGTGGCCCAGGTCTCGCCCCTCCCCCTTCGGATGGCCCACCTCAGGGTGTACCTGCCCATCTCCAGGGCCCACCCGGCCTGAATCCTCCTCCTGGTCCTCCTCAACACGCACCCTTCGGCGGCTACGGTCAGCCCCCAGCTGGTGTCAACGGTAAGATTTGGATCGTGAAACAATCCATGTCGACAGATCACCCTACTAACACAGCTTCACAGGATATGGTCCCGCACCACCCCAGCCCACAGCCTCCCCTGGCCCTGGCAAGCCCAGAACCAACGCTCGCGGCCCCCCTGGTATTCCAGGAACTCCTCAGCAGAACAACGCCAACCCTTACCCTGGTTCTCCCGCTATGGCGCGTCCTACTCCTCCCCCAGCCCTTGCTCAACAACAGCAGGCCCTTTCTCTGCCTCAGCACCAACAATATGCTCAAGAGCTCGGTGGTAGCGGTAATCAGCTGGTGGATTTGGCTGTCGAGACACTGCCCGGAAACCTCAAGCGTGAGGGCGAAGACTGGTACGCCGTCTTCAACCCCCGCGTCCGTCGCACGTTGGATGTTGAACTTGTCCACAACCTGGCCCACCAGAGCGTAGTCTGCTGTGTTCGCTTCAGCCGTGATGGAAGATTTGTTGCCACCGGTTGCAACCGTTCGGCTCAGATCTTCGATGTTGAGAGTGGTCAACAGGTCAAGCACCTGCAGGACACCAGTCTGCCTCAGGATGGCGATCTTTACATCAGAAGTGTCTGCTTCAGCCCTGATGGCCAATACTTGGCCACTGGTGCTGAGGACAAGATCATTCGCGTTAGTGATCCTTTTCGTTTATGTTAATCTTTGCTGACTCGGTTTTCAGATTTGGGAAATTGCCGCTGGTCAAATTCGTCACCAGTTCGCCGGTCACGAGCAAGACATTTACTCCCTCGACTACTCCTCAGATGGTCGTTACATTGCCTCTGGTTCTGGCGATCGCACTGTTCGCGTTTGGGATATTCCTAACAACCAATGTGTATTGTGCCTCACTATCGAAGACGGCGTGACTACCGTCGCCATCTCGCCAGACAACCGTTTCCTGGCTGCTGGTAGTTTGGACAAGAGTGTCAGAGTGTGGGAGCTGGCTAGTGGAAACCTTCTCGAGAGACTCGAGGAAGCTGGCGGTAACCCTGGCCACAAGGATAGCGTCTACTCTGTCGCATTCTCGCCCACTAGCAGAGAGCTTGTTTCCGGCAGTCTGGACAGAACCATCAGAATGTGGGAGCTTCAAAGCCACTATGGCAACCAGCCCATGCCACCGAGAAACCCGCGCGGCGGAAAGTGTATCCGCACGTTCGAGGGTCACAAGGTAAGTTTGCCGAATCAGAGTGTAGACGACAATTACTGACAGCTATCTAGGACTTTGTCCTTAGTGTTGCACTTTCACCTGATGGCGAATGGGTTCTTTCCGGTTCTAAAGACAGAGGTGTTCAGTTCTGGAACCCTCAGACTGGTGATGCACAACTCATGCTTCAGGGACATAAGAACTCCGTCATCTCAGTCGCTCCCAGCCCGGTCCAAGGTGGTCTGTTCGCCACTGGAAGTGGAGATATGCGCGCGAGAATTTGGAGGTTCGTACTGTCCGAACACTATATCGTATTTCGATCGACTAACCATATTCTAGGTTCTCGAGATATGACCCCGCTCGTGGATGATTGTTTGCGACCAAGTGATATGTCCAAGGACATGTTGCTCAGATGTTTACGTACATTGTTTTCTATTCCGCTTTCTCTTGCTAATTCTCTCATTGTTCTTCATTGGTACCCCTGTCTAGCTTCTGTTTGACAGGTATGAGTATGAAGAGTTTACATCAAGATGGAACAGTTGAAGGGTACTGAAGAAAAGAGTAAAGTCAAGGAAAGTCAAAAGACAGCAAAGAGGTGTTTGTGGGTAACATGACTGCTCACACAAATGGTTCATGAATTGTAGCATTCCGAGGTTAAGGGCGCGTCTCATGTTGAGGATATCGCTCAATGTTCGGAGAGCGAGTTGGCTTAGTACCTCGTTTGTAGTTTTCTCGGATCCTGTATCTGATCATTATAGTTTATATTTCTGCTTTCGCTCCCTCTCAACCTTCTACCTATTGGCCTCGGAGAGCCCGGCCATAAGCGGAGTTTTGGCAGTCGGAGTTACCATAACCGCGAGGAAGACTTCAAGAATGGCTATGTATATTGTGTCAAAGCCAGAGGCCACAATGAATCAGTAGTAAGAAGCGACCATGGAGAGCAAAATGCTAAAGCAAAAAAGGACGAGGGTTTGTGAGGAAGGCGCACTCGAATGCCAAGACAGTTCGATGCCCGCTCCAAAAACGCGGGTGGTCATGGTCGACGTGCGGGATGCTTCTCTTGCTCGGGACCTTCTTACTTTGTCAAGCAGCAAAACGACCAACTCGAGCGCTCCTTCCCAGCGCGAATCGAAAGTCGACTCGAGACTCTTCCTACCATCTGCCGAGCCCTCATCGAGAAGATACCCAGAACTCCTAGACCGATCGCAAAAGTTCTCGTCCGATAAGTCCGTCGGACCTGCCTCATTGTCGCATAATTCTCGAGTGGTCGGCAGGACGTCGCACAACTCTGAGGTCTCCGTCATGACACCTACACCACCGACAACCAACTCGTCCACTGGCGCTTCACCCGACAATGGCCAGTTCCGCGTGGTGCGCAAGAGGAACCGAATCCCTCTGTCATGCGCGCCTTGTCGTCACAGAAAGCTGAAGTGCAACCGAGGACACCCCTGCGACAACTGCACGAAGCGCGGCGACACTACCTCCTGCGTCTATGCCTCTCCTAGCGCGCGTAAGAAGCCAGGCATACATCATGTACCGACTGGTACACCAGACGACATGCAGAACCGTATCGATCGACTCGAGAGTCTGGTTCTGTCGCTCATGACCAATGGCTCTCAGGCTGCTGGTCCCTCAGCTGCTCACGCCGCGATCAATTCGAGTAGAAGCAACAGTCTCGGCACCTCGATCAGCATGCCCCTGGATCCTCACAGGGACAGCATCAGGGAAGTCGAAGGAGAAGACAGCGATATCAATGATGTTGCTCAGGACATTGGAATCATGAAGATCGATGGTGCAAAAGCCTTCTTCGTACCAGATGCGCATTGGTTCGCCATCTTGTCAGATATTGCCGAGGTCAAGAATTACTTCGCCAGCCACAAGGAGCAGTACCAAGAACAATTCAGAAAAGTCCAGGCCTCGAAGCAAGACGATGTATCAGGTTCATTCCTGTTCAAGGGTCCAAGGCTGAACAACAAGACCGAAGTCCTTGTTACCTTGCCAGACAAGAATGCTGTCGATGATCTTGTCAAGCGTTATTTCCAATCATACGATCCAGCTGTCCGTACGTAAATCCTGAAGAGACGTGTTCTATGACACACATACTAACTCAATCAGACATTATCCATGGCCCGACTTTTCAGGGGCAGTATGACAGACACTGGCAAAACCCTAACGAGACGCCAGTCACATTCCTTGCCTTGTTATACGGCATGATGACTTTGGCCTTACAGTCATACACCAGAGCAGGTGATGAGCCTCCGGAATACCAGGGTAGAACGCGAGATCTGTCTATCTCCTTCAAGCGTCTCACGGCCCAATGCATCGTGCTTGCGGACGTCACACAGCCAATGCCACAATTGGTCGAGGCTCTGATACTGCACATTCAGGCTGAGCACAGCAGTAGTAGTGACGCCGAGACTGGAATTCTCTTGCTCGTTAACCTATGCACTCGTCTGGCTATGCGTATGGGCTACCACCGTGATTCCGGCCCGTATCCTAGTGTATCGCCTTTCACCGCTGAAATGAGGAGACGAGTGTGGACTTTTGTTCGCCAGGCTGACTTGTTGTTCTCCTGCCAATTTGGTCTACCTCCTATGGTCCGCTCTGACAACACGGACTCCGAATTGCCTCACAACATCTTCGACGACGAGTTCACCGAAGACATGAAGTCGCTACCTCAGTCTCGATCAGAATCGGAGGTTACTCCAGCTTCGTACATGATCGCCAAGGCTAGACTGATATCTTGTTTCGGCAAGATAGTTGATCGCATTCAATCCGTGTCATCACCTCCAGCCTACGAGGAGATAATGAGGCTGGATGCTCAGCTTCGTGAAGCTCGTACCCAGATTCCTCCCCATCTTCAGATGAAGTCTCCCTCGGAGCTTGCCACGGTTGCACCCAATTTGATCATGCAGGCGTATGCGTTGGAACTGATCTATCTCAAGTCGCAATGTATGCTGCACCGCAAGTTCATTGCTAGAGGACGTGACTCGCCGCGTTATGCATACTCTCGACGAACCTGCATTGACGCTTCAATGGAGATGCTCGCACATCAGGCTACCCTATACATGGAGTCACAAGATGGTGGCAAGTTGCGATCGGTCAAGTGGAACATTTCTTCCCTTACAACCCATGACTTTTTGCTTGCAGCTATGATTGTGTGCCTCGATCTCTATCACACTTCCGAGTCAGATAGGAGCGCAGTCAAGACCTCCTCGTCAAGTCCTTCGTCCCCTTTGACAGGAGATGTGTGGACGCAAGACCGCAGAGAGCACATGATAACAGCGCTGCAGACCTGCGCTCAGATTTGGGAAAGTCTACGGGACAAGAGTATGGAAGCCTACAAAGCATCTACACAGCTTCGTGTAATGCTTGGCAAACTCAAATCACAAGAGCAACAGCAGACAGCGATGATTGGTGGCAGAGAGCAGCAATTGCGCAGTGCTAACCAATATGGCGTGCGTGGTCACTCTTTCGGGGCCTTCCCTAACGGCCAAGTTTCTGACATTGTCGATGATGAGGTTCCGCCTGAACATTCTGCTGCTATGACCTTGGGCCTCTTATCATCTGGCGGAGTCAGTCCTAACGCTGGCTTTGCTTCGAACAATCCTACTTCTCTAGGCATGGAGACACGCGGATACCCAGCTAGTATGGCCGGTTTGCTTAATGAGCCAATGTCGGAACGCACGGGACTGACACCTCAATACGGCGGCGTGGACGTCAATGGTCCACAAACCGTTCAAGGTGCTGCCTCTCCATTCACCCAGCTTTTTGGTGCCACCGCACCGGAAGTTGATTGGGTAAGTATTGACCTTTGCCACAGACTATCACGATCAGACTGCTAACTCGAGACAGGGTGCTTGGGATTCATACGTCCAGGGTGATCCAATGCAGATGTGGTCAATGAATCTTGAAACGAACCCTCTGGACGCGCAGCAGACTCAACAACAGCAAGTCCAACAAGCGCAGCAACAGCAATTAGCACAGCAAGCCCAGCAAGCCAGTATGAACAACATGTTCATGGGACCAGGCGCAGCCAACATGATGTGAAAGAGGACCAATGAGGGGGACTGACGTGATGAACGAATTAAGGAGGCAAAACGCGGGAAGGAATCATGCGAGCATTTGGCGTTCAAGCGAAGGCTGGCTAGCTATGTTCACAAAAGGGAAGGTATGCGTTATCATTCAGATGGCTAAACGACAGGGGAATTAATTCGTATAAATTCGTGGCTATGGCTATTGCAACAAGATATTTTGCTTCTCATCAGTCCAAACAAATTGAAGCCTACTTGTAATCAGAGTTGGGGTATCCCTCCTTGTCGACAGGGTTTGCAGGGCCTCCTCTTTGACCCAGTACACCAGCAACATCGACATCCTCCTTCTTCTGTGCCTTGATCTCTTCTCTAGCCTCCTTTTGCTCCTCCTTCTTGCGATCCAGATCGGAGGCCAAGTCAGGCTGAGCTCCCGTGGCTCCCGGCTTTTGGTCCACAGCGTCTGCGACCTTTCCCTCTCCAGGTGCGGCCATCTGCTGTCCATCAAGCTCTTGGTTCCTGCCCACGGACTCGTGGGTCTCACCCTTGGCCTCTTCGCCAGGGGGAGCACCACGGATACCGCGCGCTACTGAAGTGGGGGTGGCTTCGGATTGGGAGTGTGCTTGCTCGGAGGGGATGCGCTTGTCGCTGTGCTGTGCTTTAGTGGTGGGAGGATGTCAATCAGAGGACACGACGTACATTGGTGCTGAGTCATCTTTTTGGCTTGCTTGGGCCTTCTCTGCGGGCTCTTTTGTGGCTGGGTTGCCGGCAGTAGTGTATGCTGCGTCCAAGTTGGGCTGGGAAGGTCCCTTGGGGTCGAGGCCGGATGACATGATGATCGTATTGGTGATTACTTTTGTGGTATGTTTTGGGTATGTGTTTATGGAAGGACAATTGAGAAGGAGTAGTCTCAGAATATGTCAGGGATCGTGATATAGAAGGTACTTTTCCAGATAAGACACGAACTTGTTGGAGGAGCAGCTGCACGCTGTTTCTGCCGTCCGCATCGTCATGCTTTCCCCACAAAACACCCTCAGCGACGTCATGCCTCATCATGAGCTCGAGATTGTCTACCGCGTACAAAGAGTCCTCTTCATCATCCATTTTTCACTTTGCTTTCCATCTTATCGGCATTCTACACAATCCCATAATCTTCTAAGCCAAACACACCTTCACAATGGCATCTCGCAAGGAAATCATCAACAAGATCTACAAGATCATCCCTCCCATGCTCGAGAGCTTCCACAAGGGTAATTTGAGCCTCTTCGAAAACTCTATACAGGAGCCTCAAACTGACTTTTTCGTGTAACAGGACAGCTCGGACGTGTGGCCGTTATTGGCGGTAGTGAGGATTACACTGGTGCCCCTTACTTCTCCGGTATGGCTTCTGCAAAGCTCGGTGCCGACATGTCCCACGTCATTTGCGAGCCTGGCGCCGGCCAGGTCATCAAGACATACTCCCCCAATCTGATGGTTCACCCCTACATGCGCCAGAGCAAGAACATGAAGGAGGGCGAGAACATTGACAACATCTCCAAGACCGTCACCGATATGCTGTCTCGTCTTCACGTCGTTGTCATCGGTCCCGGTCTTGGTCGCGATGAGGCTATGCAAGAGACTTGTGCCCGTGTCATCCAGGAGGCTCGCAAGCAGGGTATTCCTTTCATCGTCGACGCCGACGGTCTCTTCATCATCCAGAACAGACCCGAGTTGGTCCAGGGCTGCACCGAGTGTATCCTCACACCCAACATCGTCGAGTTTGGTCGTTTGGCAAAGGCACAGGGCATCGACGCCGACGGTGACCCTTCAAAGCTGTGCGAGGAGCTGGCCAAGAAGTTCGGTGGTCCTACCATCATCCAGAAGGGTGCTAAGGACTACATCTCCAACGGCAAGCACACCTTCGTCAACGACAATGAGGGTGGTCTTAAGCGCTCAGGAGGTCAGGGCGATACCCTTACCGGCTCTCTCGCTACTCTTCTCGCTTACAGAAAGGCCTACCACGACAGAATCTGGGACCACGAGAACGATCTTTCCGAGTCAGAGACCCTTGCTCTCGTCGCTTTCGGTGGCAGTGCCATCACCAGAGAGTGCTCGCGTCTCGCATATAAGGAGAAGGGTCGTTCGCTGCAGGCCGCTGACTTGACCGAGCACGTCCACACTGCTTTCCTCAACACCATTGGCGAGAAGACTAAGATCTAAACGTCTCGCCTCTAATGACTTTGACGGCTTTTTTTTTTTGAACAAAAAGAACTTTACCCTTTATTGTAATATAGCGTTTGCAAACAGTTAGCATCATGAAGAGAAATGACCATGACCTTTTCTTATGAGAATTACACTCTTGATCTTGTCCTGACTCGTTCATGTCTATCGCTCTCTCCAGTGGGAGTATATCGAGATACTGTAAAAAAGCACAGTACCTTTCACTTCAACAGGATTGTCGTGCTGTAGCTGCGGTGGATTACTGAGATCGTACCGGGCAACGATCACTGTCGTTGGTTATAATATTACCAACCTTGGAGCATGCTGTGCGATGGATCGATTCCGAATCCATGCCCAACAGTAAGACCACCACAACCATGGCCACTGCAGTATTCTTCCACTCACGAGCTTGTAAGGAGCTTTCCGACCTTTGTGAGCTATTTATAAGTATGCCAGATGTGTGTTTCCGAGGTCGTGGCTAGACATGAGAAGGCTTGAGTTTGGGGTCAGGGTTACCCAGGTTGCGAGGCGACATGATCGTGCGAGCACCTAACAGCTCATCGAAGCACCACCAGCGTTTTGCTCCGCGTCTGAGGTGTGACCTTTGGTACTCGTTCTGTTTGAAACAATAACAGCTGTTATATCACCGCCTTTGATCTTCGGAGACGGTCCGAACGGCCTATTTCACGCTCTGGGATGCGACCACGTCGTGCTTTGACCTGATTAGGATGTAGAGGCTCAAATCGCGACGCTCGACGTTAGAAAACGACATACCAGATGCGTCACTCTGCAGACGGACTTGCCAACAGTAGGAAATAAGGCCAAGAGGTTCAATTCGGAGCCGCAGATCGTGGAGAAAGGTCCTTAAACACGTTGATCCAAAAGAAGAGTGGAACCGTAGGTACGGTCCGTCAACTCACCATCGAACATATTAAGACGTTTTCGGGCCCTGGACCTTGGAGCTTGAGCTCGAAAGCAACAATGATCAGCAGTAACCTACTGGGCTTGGGGGCAGTAACTTAGGAGGAGACAACGCGCTGCATCATCCTAGTTTGATGACGCCTCAGCTGTTCGCATGCTGTAATCGACGATCAGCTGCCCGGCGTCTGGGATAAAAGGTGACCCATGTAAGCGGTCTCGCTCGGGTATCAGCACAACAAAGTCACCTTTCCCACTACACATCAATCCACATCAGCACAGCTGAAAGCGTTGTCAAAATTGCTAAGAACAAGAATAAAAAGAAGAACCAAACCATGGCAGACAATGTGTAAGTGAAACCGGCATCCACAGCGCTGCAGAGCACGTCGCTGACAGCAGAGTCACAGTACCCAAGACGCACCCGACGTCGCAAAGAACACATTGGGAGGCCGCAACCTTCCCAAAAATCCTGGCACGGAATTGAGCAAGCGCGACCCTGAAGACAAGAAGACCACCACCGAAACCAAGGATGGCGAAGAGAAGCAGAGCTTGAGAATCAACATCAAGCTGGATCTGGATGTAGAAGTTCACCTGACTGCCAGAATCAAGGGAGATATCACTATCGGGTTACTGTAGAATATGATATAGAAGAAGCGATTGACAGCAATCTGGAATTGTACATCGCCGGGAAACACCTGTATATATTCATTGAACAATTAATCCGAAGACATCAGACATCTGTACACAGGCCTCCTGTAAAACTAACACTAGTGACTACGTGCGACCATACCGTGCGGCGCGTAGCGTGAACAGAACCAAGTGGCATCGCAAACGCGATCGGGTCTAAGAAAATGACATCACGGAGATTTTTCCCCGGCGACCAAGAACCGTAACTTTGATTGTCAGGTACATAAGCAAACCTCGAGAACCTCCGGTGTGACACTTGTACCTTCCGGATCAAACATAAGCAAATCTTATATAACCCATGGTCTTTGGAATTCTCACAGCTGTGGCAGCTTGCCCAGCCATCATCGGAACAACAGAAGCCGTCAGACAAGGACAGCAACAAAATGCTCGCGAAGAGCATCGAGGCCGAAAATCGAATTTGACAATCAACCTGCCAAAGAGGAACGCGTACAGCAAGCAATTTGATGGTGCGATGGTTGTGTTGAAAGACAACAAGCTGTACATCGACACGGAGCACAGCAGACTCGGTGCGAATCTCGCCCACCCATTTTCTGGTTATTATCTACCGGTCCCCTGGATAGGAGAGAAGTGGAAGAAACAAGGCTTCAAAAATGGCGAAGGGATGGTCACTACTATCAGCGACGATCCGCCATTTCTGAACTGGGTGTACCTAGATCGGAATACGCATGAGGTCAAATACGGCATACGTGTCGAAGCGGAGCCGCATCATGTCGGACCTTGGGACTGCACTCCCATCGACCGAAGACTCACATTTGAAGGCTGGGAAGGCTTCATCATCGTCCAGGAAGACGAAGACAGCGATTTATGGGCGTTGTACTTCGACCGTGATGATGACGGTTTGCGGAGCGAAGGAAGAGTAGGCACCCGAGACAAACGAATGCTAGAAGTTGAAGTTTCGAGGAAGGAGATGCGGAGAACAAAATTGACTTCGGACGAGGAGAGAATTGACCGCATACGAGACCAAATGGAGAAAGAGAAGGAACAAGCACAGGCAGAGCTTGAGGTCACTCCAATTGCACCTGCCGAGGAAAAGTCATCATCACAAGGCACAAACGCACACTCAGCAACTGATATCGAGATTGAGATTGAGAGAAAGCCAGAGACCGAGACTGAGAAGAACCCAGGAACGACTTCAGAACACGACGATGACACTCTTAGGAAATCCGTTGACCAAGGCCTTTCAAAATCGCTGGATTCGTTCCACATAAGCAACAATATAACCTCGGATGTCAACGACGCGAAAGAGGAACAAGATGCGGAAGCCGGAGCAGAGCTAGCGACACATCACGCCAATGACTCGAGAGAGTCTTTCTATCAACAGTCATCACACTCGGCGAGCTCGTTCCACACCGCTAGCTTCGAGATGTCATCTGAAAATCAGACATCCACCACAACATGGTGAGCCATGATTCGAACGCAGGCTCCAATATGCCCTTGGTCAGAAGACGCCTCTACAGTAAGGCACAGATGAGGTTCGACCCGGATAGTGTCTGCAGCGTGCTTCTTTCCGGACTGCTCGCTCTGGACTCTCTTCGCATCAGGACAAGACAACCTCGTGCATTCCTGCAGCTAGCCCCACCTAGCTGGTATGCTCGAAACACTTTTCGCGCGCTCGTATCAGCCCATGTGACTTTCGAAGCACGCATTTGCAAGGCGAACTCCGACAATTGCACATTTGCGGCACATACAAGCCATACGATGAGGAAGTCCGTTCTCCAAATTCGCTTGTGACTCTCTGGCATTTTTATACTGGTTGCGGGTGAGGCGTCGTCCGAGCGTATACATCCAAGCTTCGCACCTTCCCGATATGCCTCCAGAGGTATTATACCGTACGTAAAAATGCGATAAGATCTCGAGACCTTTTACTGCTCGTAGACTCTTGCCAGATGGAATAGCCACAAATCTCCACCGTAAGCGGTCACCAAGCTTCATCAGGTGCTCGACCAAATTTATACAAGGCTAACCTTGGCTTCGGTATAAGCTTTTATAGTAGTCTAGACCGCCAATTGCGATAAGAAACATTTACCATCCATACATCTACAACCTTGTTAGCCTCGAAGAATCGATTCTAACTCTGCTTCCTACCACATACACCATTGCAACCACTAAACAATTCTTGAACACAACAAACATGAACACCACATACATGAACACCACCTCAAAATGCCCCGACTTCCTTGAAGCACCGCCCAACGTCACATTTCCCACCTGTGCTCTGGGCTCCTGTGCCAATAACTCAGCCGTCATGGCAAGATGCTGTACCGACACTCCTATCATTCCTTACTACTACGACTCTGGCTTCCCAGGAGCCAAGAACGAGACTTCTGGCTGGGGGTCATATTGCCAGATGAAAGACAACGTCTCTGCTGCGGTATGGGAGAACTGTGTCAGCTTCAATGGTGCAAACGGTGGTATGTGCGGCCCTTTCGATGTGAAGACTAGTGCAGGAAGGGTATCGAGTGAGGTCGGGGGGTTGATGGGGCTGATGGGACTTGTTATGTTGATGCGGGTCATGCTGTGAGGAGGTTGAGGGGAATGCCCATATGGAAACGCTGACGACTCACGGATCATGAGAATGAATTCTCGTTCCAAAGAAAGCAAGTATCTTTGATCTACAATTTAGAAAAGTGCTAACTCCTTGCCACAGTCTCAGTTTGGCCAACCAGGTACCACCACATCAAGTGGCTGAATACCGGGTGTAATGATTGATGCGTGACTCAACAAAGCCACCATACTTGTCACAGTCTTCGGACTGCTATGACGCTTGTTTTCTGAGGCACATGAATGTGTACGCCTCCCAAGCACCTGGTACAGAGTCGCTGAGGCCACTTCTGAAGAGATCTATATATATGTACACCACTTCGCTTCCCATCTTTCTCAATTCGTAATCATCGACTTTCTCAGTATGCCTTCGTCGCTTCTACTTCGCAAGAGCTTCGACAGAAGTGGATTTTCCCTCGGTAATGCCCCTCAGGTAACTCTATCAATATCTTCTGTGCAAAAAGGCTGACCTCAACCAGCTATTCGATGGCTGAGCGAGGAAATCGCAAACTCACCCGTCCTTGCACCATTTCGACCATTGGAGCTGGTTGCTTGCGGTGGGTTCGTCGCAGTGACGTGCCTCCGTAACAGATCAGAATCCCACGATCTCGACTACTTTCTCAACAAACGCACCTTTGGTCGACAGTACGATGCTGTCAAAACAGAAATGAAACGTCTCATCAGAAAGATTGCTGACAATCTGCATTTCGTGCCTGACTGGGCCAACGATGAAATCACCACCTTTCTGTCTCTTCTCAACAATCCGGAAGCCCTATTCATTGAATCTAAACAGCAGGGGGATGTTCTTCATAGCGACAACAACCTGGTTATATACGCAGCAAAGTGGGAATGGGTACTTGCGCGCAAGTTGAAACGATTGCAGAGAATAAACCGAGCTCAGAGTCCCGATGACTGGCTGGATTGCATCTCGATCGCCACTCTCCTCTACATCAAGAACGGCCGTTCCAAGCTGAGCCCTCGTATCCTACAAAGGTACGATGACACTAACAGAGAGTTATCTGTACTGCCAGAGACGGTGAAAGAGCTGACAAGACGTGCACGGGAATCTACTAATGTGAGCCTCTTCCCTTATTCTGTCTGGTTCTACACCCACCACGCTTTTCGTTATCAGTGGGAAACAGGAGAAAGTATTGCACATGATCTGTGGCCACAAAGAAGAGGTCAGATCCAAGTTTATGATGTCGCCCGCTCGAAGTGGAGATATTATGACTGCGAGAAACAGAAATGGGTATGATCCATAGATTAATCACAGGCAACAAAAGTGTTGTAATGGATGGATGTTGGACAGACTGAGCAGGGGGCGAATGTGCTCCCAGACTAGCTCAGTGACACTGTTTTTATGGCGAAGAACGAGCATAGAATGAAATGTCAACACGTACACATCCACGTTTCCGTGAAGGCCAAAGAGGTCAAACGTGTACAATGATATCGCTTGTTGACACAAACTGTACGTGAGAGGCACCGCGTCGGGTGAAACTTCTCCCGCGGTTTGCTGCTAGGATTTTCGGTAGCATTGACTTACCGATGTAAAAGAGCAAGCAGCTAGCTCAACCGGCGATCTCTGGAAAATAATTGAACTCCAGGAATGGAGATAGGAATCGAGCGAGGGAAAGACCCGTCAGAGGACAACCGTGGTTCGGCCCAGCGAATGATCTGTGTTCACAAGCAAAAAGCATGTTGATTCTCAGTGCTTGCGCTGGAAAGAAAAGACAGGCAAGCAAAAGAACATGCAAAACATACAGCAGCAGGGATTCCCACGTGGTCACCCACCGTAGTACTAATCTGCCGTTCAACTGCTTATGTATGGCAGAGCGGACGGGATGCCCAGTTTTCAGCTGACTGTGGCCGTATGTGCTTGAAACGCAATTTAGTTACAATATATTCATTTCATGATTTCTGTACAGTCCGAGCTTTACATCTTGCGCTTTATGAGTTGTCCGACCGCACCGGTCTCAAATTTGCTGTTTTCTATCGTGTCTCTCGGGGGAAGTTGTTGTTTGGCACCGAGAATATTGTCGGGACTCGGGACAAAGTGACTCTGCTTCGATGGTCGCGACGGGGTCCCGACGGGGCAGGGTCGACTGAGGGGTAGCTCGAGTTAGAGGGGCACACATGTTTACCGTGCAGATGTTTACCCAGCAGCCTGAGAATGTGAACGAGCACAGCAGGAGGGGCTCCGTTATCTTGCAACTTCTGGAGTATTGCATCATGTCCTACTTATATCACTCGGGACTCCGAGAACTTGACAAACATCGCCTCTCGATCCTTCCACAAGCAGTACATCATGTTCGCCAAACAGGATAACCGCCTTATCTTCAGCTACGATGCCGACAAACTCTGGATCGAGCCTTGGGGCAAGAATGCTCTTCGCATTCGCGCGACTCAGCTGAATCAGATGCCTCCGGAGAATTGGGCCCTCGATGAAGTATCAGGCTCTAGCGCTGCGGTCGAGATCGGCGAGAAGTCAAGCTCCTTGACCAACGGCGAAATCAAAGCCGTGGTCACCGCAAAGGGCAAATTGACAGTATACGGTCACGGCGGCAAGATCATCCTCGACGAAGCTGTTCGCAACCGTCGTGACGTCCTGGACCCCAAGTGCAGCGCCATCGACAGAGAAGCCCGAGAATTCCAGGCTATTCCATCCACCAACGATTACCATATTGTCTGGCGGTTAGAGTCGCTCGACAAGGATGAGAAGATTTACGGCATGGGACAATACCAGCAACCCTACCTCGACCTCAAAGGTCTCGATCTCGAGCTTGCCCACCGAAACTCGCAAGCCAGTGTTCCCTTCGCTGTGTCTTCGCTCGGATATGGACTGCTGTGGAACAACCCCGGAATTGGAAGAGCTGTCTTTGGCAAGAACATCATGTCTTTCGAAGCTTTGAGCTCCACCGTTCTTGACTGTTGGCTGGTTGCAGGTGAGACACCTGCAGAGATTGTTCAGGCTTATGCGGGAGTCACTGGAAAAGTGCCCATGATGCCAGAGGTATGCCGAATGTGAAATACAAGATGATCTTCTACCTCTCATGCTGACTTGCTTTGGCTCTAGTATGGTCTTGGATTCTGGCAGTGTAAGCTCCGTTACCAGACCCAGGAGGAGCTACTTGGGGTTGCAAGAGAATATAAAGCTCGCCAACTGCCAATCGATCTCATCGTCATCGATTTCTTCCATTGGCCCTTACAAGGAGAATGGAAGTTCGACCCGACATATTGGCCCGATCCTGGTTTGTTTGCATCTGTCCTACCAGATGACCAATGCTGACATAGTTTTCCAGATGCTATGGTCCAAGAGTTGAAGGACATGAACATCGAGCTCATGGTCTCAATCTGGCCCACCGTCGACCGAAGATGCGAGAACTACGAAGAGATGGTAGAGAAAGGGCTGTTGATTCGGTGCGATCGTGGTACAAGAATTTCTTTGGACTTCGAGGGCAACACCGTTCACTTCGACGCTACCAACCCCGAGTCAAGAGCATACGTCTGGAACAAGGCCAAGCAAAACTACTTCTCGAAGGGTATCAAGACGTTTTGGCTGGACGAAGCAGAGCCGGAATACTCGATCTACCACTTCGACAACTGGAGATACTGGCAGGGTTCAAACGTCAGCATTGGCAACATCTATCCAAAGGAATACGCCCGTGCATTTTATGAGGGCCAAGAAGCGGAGGGTCAGAAGAACATCGTCAACCTGTTACGGTGCGCATGGGCTGGTAGCCAGAAGTACGGTGCCTTGGTGTGGAGTGGAGATATTGCATCTTCCTGGTACAGTCTGAAGAACCAATTTGCTGCTGGACTCAACATGGGTATGGCAGGCATCAGCTGGTGGACCACAGACATTGGCGGTTTTCATGGCGGGAACCCAGATGATGAAGCCTTCCGAGAGCTGTTCACCAGGTGGTTCCAATATGGTGCATTTTGTCCTGTAATGCGCTTGCATGGTGATCGAGAGCCTCACCAACCTCAACAAGGCACCACCGGTGGTGCGACCTGCTTGTCTGGAGCTCCGAATGAGGTCTGGTCGTATGGCCCAGAAGTCTATGAGATCTGCAAGAAATACATGAAGATCAGAGAGGATATGAGAGACTACACACGCAGCCTCATGAAGGAGGCTCATGAGAATGGCTCCCCAGTCATCCGACCCATCTTCTACGACTTCCCCAAGGATAAGAAGGCCTGGTCGATCGAAGACCAGCACATGTACGGACCCAAGTACCTGGTGTCGCCAATCCTCAACCCTGGTCAGCGAAAGCGTACAGTTTACCTTCCTGCTGGTGCGACCTGGAAAGCTCTTGATGGCGATGGGGTTTTCAATGGTGGTCGCGAGATTGAGGTCGATTGCCCTATGGAGACCATGCCTGTTTTCGTCAAGCAATAGATCATCGCACTCGATTTTTAGTGTAGATAGAATCTGGTGTTAGAGCAGCATACCTTAGATCGAGTTTGTAATTTGCGAAGCTGGGTTGAATGAAATCATGTTTTAGGGTTGGATCTAGTATTTGTGTGGACAGAGTGACCTAGAAAAACGCGTCCACTTGCTTACTCGGCAAAAGACTCAGGTATCGTTACTGCCTCAATCTTCTGAAACAGACGGCTCATGATTTCTCCATGCGCGTCAATAACTGAAGCAGCTTCCATCATTTTTGGTGTTGAAGATGTTGTTGGAAGGTACAAACTCCAACGCAACTTCCTTGGTTTTGCACTAGATTAGCCGCAGGTTTAGCCGCAGCAGTGACGCCTCTGAGCTCGGCCGAATGGTGTCACCTCCACCTGCACCACCCACTAACTTACCATCGCTATATATACAGGCAGTGTTCGTTATGTCCGAGAACGAACCCAACACACCTCGGGATGATGCGCAACGAAAATGTTCGACCTGCCATATCGTCTTTCAAAGAACGACACATCTGCGCCGCCATATGTAAACGAACAGATCATCCTTACACTCTCAACATTGTAACTGACTCGCTAGGTTGACGCATACTCAAGATAAGCGATTTGTGTGCTCGCAGTGCGGCAAAAGTTTTGTTAGAAGGTGTGTGCTCCCCAATTTCAGGTCGAAGTTTTGTTCACTACTCCTCCCATCTTCGGTTTTACGTGTTTTCCAAGTCACCGAATTTGCCTCTGTGTAAGCATTGCACTACTGACTTTGGTCATAGAGACACACTTCATCGCCATCAGATAACACATCGCACTAATTCTATCGGAACTCGATCAGGATCGGCTGATGCTCTCTCCTCTCGAGCATGTAGGACCTGTGCCAATGCCCGTGTGAGATGCACAAGACAGATCCCGTGCGAGAGGTGCCATTCGAGACGAATTCAATGTGTGTACGAGGAGTCGGACCAGAGACCTGAACTAGCGCCAGAAAGACCGACAAGCATGGCGTCTGTCACTACCATTGAAGATGCACCTGGCAATCATCAGGATGTCACCACCATGGATCATGGCACAGTGAACAGTAATCCGCAAGCTTCTGCGCCTGCAGCCGGCACAACTGACCCGTCGTTTTTATTGCCTCAACACTCACAAGCGGTCGGCGAGCAGACCAGCTCTCTACTGGGTCCTGGCTGGGCACCGCAGAACCAGACGCCAAATCCAGCTTACAACTTCCAGGATCAGGGAATGGGCGCGCCTTTTACCGAGCGGGACACGGTCACAGTACCGGCGACAAATTGGCTACCTTATACCAATAGCATGGACTGGGACTTCGATTTCTACATGACGCAGGCTTTGAACAACTTCTCTCCGGCTGTTGGAATGGATCAATCTAGTATCTGGTCTCCCAGCGCAGGTCCCCTAGAAAGAATTACCACCAATCTTGGGACAAGCCCTGGAAACATAAGTAAGTCTTCTATGACCGGAGAGTCCCCAGCGTCTATGTCTGTTACTGCATCAGTGGCTCATGGGACATTCTACGCGGATGGGGAAGTGTCCAGACTGTCAAGACGCCGCAACATAGCCGAGAGTCTGTCAAACCAAGAGCATGTTGGTAGTGTAGGAAGTGGGTATGACTATGATACTACCGAAGCAGCAGTAACTTCCAGAGACGCTCACTCCTCATTCCTAATCCCGACACATACATATGGTCGAATGGTTGAAAAGTTCGGAGAATTGTGTGTCGCTGAGAACCCACTCTTTCCATTCGAGAGGCTTCAGTCAGACCGACTTCCGTCTCACCAAGCGATGGAGATGTGTATTAACTCCTACTTCGAGAACTCAAGTTCGAGTTTCCCAGTGGTCCATAGGTCAACAACGAAGCTGGAAGGCGACAATGACTGGATACTTTGCTTGGCTATGGCAGCTATGGGTGCCGTCGCGTCTTCATCAACTTCGCTGATCTCCAATGCCGAAGCCCTGAGGACCTTTCTGCAACGGACCGTCACTATACAGACCGTATTTTCAAGACGCGGTAAAAACTCACCAGAACTATCTCTTATGCAGGCCTGCATCATCTACGATATTCTGGAGCTCCATCTACAAGATAACGACAACAACGAAGAGGCCTTGGCAGGGACCGAATCGTTCTCAAATATTTGTGCGGACATTAAGAGACATCGCTGGTTGAGCATAGATGAGCCAAATTGGGACGGTACATGGACGGAAGACAGCTGGAGAGCATGGATCCATCGCGAGAGCCAGCGGAGAGTGGCGTACTGTGCTTGGCTGCTCGACACTTGGAACCTTCTGACTTCCGGCAAAATCCTGTCGGCAAACTTCTCTCTGGCGGATGTGCAAACAAATCTGCCTGTTCACGAAGCCTTGTGGGCTGCGGGATCTCTGGGAGCATGGCTAAACCTCAAGGCTGTACACAAAGAGCCGGCAGGGTTGATACCGTTGCTCCGAACACTCTATCAGCAACAGCCGCTCAACCATGATCTTGGAGAGTTCTCACAGACGATTGCCGTCCACGCAGTCTGCCGAAGAACGCGCGAAGTCGGCTTGCGCATCCTAGACCCATTGCGCGGTATCGATGCGGGGCAGCATCCGTCTGGTGAGTCGGTCAGAGACATCTATTGGCTCCCTTCGGATCCCGAATACCAAAAATGGCGCAACAAAACCCTGGACTGCCTGGACTCTCTACACTGGGCAACCCATGCCGTCATCGCTCGTCTGCAAGGCCTTGAACCACCAGTGGTTCTCCATCTGCACATATCACGATTAGTTCTACTGGTTCCATATCAGGATATCTACGATCTCATCTGTGAAGTCGTGTCATCTCACGGCAACGATCCATCTTTTGCCCACGTTGGGAGTTCCCGCATCCGCCGAGAAGACCTCGTGGCCAAGATCTGGTTATGGATATCTAAAGATCACTACAAATCCAGACTAGCTATTGTGCATGCTGGTGCAATGTTCTGGTTCATTCGGCACCACGGAACAGGTAACATATATGAGCCGAGATCTCTCTTTATGTCCAGCATCATATTGTGGGCTTATGGTTCGTTTGTTCCCCTTCTGCAGGCCACGAATGATGAGGATCATCCTGTAGTCCCCCGCACGGAGGCCGATGAGGAATACGATCCTACCATGATACAGATTGATCGACCGTGCGACGACGAACTTATCCAGATATTCATCCGCCGAGGCAATGCTATGCAACCGCATATGCTGGGTGTAGGCAATATCTGTCAGCCCGGTGGAGCACTTGGCGTACTGAAGATTGGTGCGAAGCTAATCAAGAATCGATGCTCAGCATGGCCAATATCAAAGACCTATGAGAATCTTTTGCTCCACTGCGCTCAGGTATCGGCAAGAGGTTCATGAAGTCCCGTTGAAAATAGGAGATAGGCAAAATGAACTCTCAATTCTATGGCACGATTGCACAATGAAGCGTGCCGTTCTCCCTGGCAACGTGTGGACACGGGGTTCTCAAGATACTGTGATAATTCTCCAAAGACATACTAGATCATGACGAGGTACGATACTGTTAATCTTAGAGCGAGCGATGAATGCGGAGGTTTACTAAGTTTGAGCCATCTCACATGTCGCTACTTGTCACCACTGTTGATGAGTGACGACCACATTCGCATGAATACAGATGTTTCTAGCCCTGTCGTTCTGTATGCTCCGTCAACATAGCATGCAGCATTATTCAAGTCGCTAATAGTGGGAGTCAAGCGTTCTTCTGAGTTTGGAGACACGCGCAACGGCTGCGGTGGAGGAAATGCAAGACTGCCCCGGCGGGGCGCGACGGATTGCGGAGGGGCAGGACGAAAACGCTGCGACCGGGAAGCCCGACGAATGAACCTCACCTTCCTGCGCACCGTCCGGCGGTGGCACAAAGGCCTCACGTGGTACTTTCATACTCAGATGCTGAAGGTTTGACAGTTACGCTTCTCCACGTTTCCCCATCCATTCTTCCCCATGGGGCCCGTCGCTCGGTAGGGCTAGAACATGTATATATACATCGGCCATGATCAGCAAGCAGTGATATAGGACTCCCCCAGACTCACAACCATTCGAACAAGGCCAGACCAGTCACTACACATCGCATCAACCATACTGCACTTTACTTTCCAATTATACTCGAAATGACAGACGAGAAGTCAGATATGGTTCACATCGAGGATCGGGCTGGGTCCTTTGTAGGAGACGAGAAGGTCGATCGTGGCCTGGCTGCTGCTGCGACTGACGACGAACACAATATCACCCTAATGAAAGCCTTGAAGAAATATCCTCAGGCTTGTTTCTGGTCAATCGCCATCTCCACTGCAATCATCATGGAAGGATATGACATTGTGCTGATCTACTCCTTCTTTGGCCAACCAGCCTTCGTCAAGAAATACGGCGAATATGACGCCGCGAGTGGAGAGTACTCTCTATCTGCAGCCTGGCAAGCAGGCCTGGGTAACGGCACTCAGATTGGAACAGTGATCGGAGCCTTTCTCAACGGATACCTCACTCACAAATTTGGCTACCGCAAAGTCATGATTGCATCTCTTATGTCTCTACTGGCATTCATCTTCATCCCCTTCTTCGCACCAACTGTTGAGGTTATCCTTGTCGGCCAGATTCTTTGCGGGTGGGTAGACAGATCCTCTTACTAGTTTGCTCACAGTGCTGACCTGAATCTCAGTATCCCTTGGGGCGTCTTCGCTACCATGGCACCCGCGTACGCATCAGAAGTCTGCCCGACCGCTCTCCGTGGATACCTTACAGTCTATGTCAACCTAACTTGGGCCTTCGGTCAGCTAGTCGGCGCAGGCGTACAATCAGGAGTCTCCGGCATCACTACCGAATGGGCATACAGAATTCCTTTTGCGATACAATGGGTTTGGCCGATCCCGATCGCTCTCCTGGCTTATTTCGCTCCAGAAAGTCCTTGGCATCTCATTCGTACCGGCAACCACGAGGAGGCACTACACTCAATCAAGAGGCTGTCTTCTTCCAAGGACGATGGTCAACACAGAGCCCAACTCGCCATGATGCAACACACAAACCAGCTGGAGATGGATATCAGTGCTGGAACCAGCTACTTTGACTGCTTCAAGGGCATCGATCGTCGTCGCACTGAGATTGTCTGCATGGTGCGTTGCGGATGGGTTACACGGACATCATAAACACCATGACTAACACCTCGCAGGTCTTCGCTGCTCAACCGTTCTGCGGCAGTGCCATGGGTGGAACACCTACTTACTTCTTCATCCAAGCCGGTCTCCCTACCTCTATATCCTTCAAGATGACTGTAGGTGGTCTGGCCATGGCATCCGTTGGCACTATTATCTCCTGGAAACTACTCCACGCTTTCGGTCGCCGCACCTTGTATCTTTGGGGCCTAGGTCTTCTGGCTCTCGTCCTCACCACAACCGGTGCCATCAGTGCCGCAGACGCCAAAAGTGTAGGCGGCAATTACGCACAAGCCGTCATGATGCTCATGTGGCTCTTCATCTACTACCTCACCGTCGGACCCATCTGCTATGCCATTGTTGGTGAGACCTCGGCAACTCGACTCCGAAACAAAAGTGTTTGTCTGGCCAGAATCTCATATTATATCGCGAACATTATTTGCGGCGCTATCAATCCATACATGCTCAACCCCACAGCAGGTAACTGGAGAGGCAAGACAGCATTTTTCTGGGCTGGAACATCGCTTGTCTTTTTCGTGTGGACATTCTTCCGCCTACCTGAGTGCAAGGGCAGGACTTACGAAGAATTGGATGTGCTTTTCGCGAACAAGGTCAAGACTCGCGAGTTCCGCAAGTTTGACGTCAATGTGTATGCCGAGAACGGAGAAACTCTTGTCAAGCAGGAGTAGAGTACGGTAGCTCTTTTCCAGTATCTGAGGGAACATGTTATGTATTTATGATGATTCGATGGCCGCGGTATGGTGACTGGAAGTCTTTGGCCTTTCTTGTACATAGTTCTATTATGATCACACTTTTCCGCCTCTTTGGGCGAATCTTTTCACGGCTACCGCTGGGTACTGTGCTCCAGATCTATATGTTCAGTGCATTATGTACCTTCATATCGTGTCATCATGATACATGACCCCTTTCTCCTCTCCCATCAGCTCATCACCCAGCCCGCAAACATGCCGTCTAATCTAAAGCTCGTCCCAGTAATGATAGTACTGAGGGGCAGGCGCATCCGAAACCTTCAACACCATCTCAAAATCATAACACTCCAACCCATACTCAATCCTCTTACCAGCCTCAACCTCAAGAAAATCGCCAACAACACAAGCACTCCACTCATTCGTCGAGGGTGTTGTCAAAGCACCTCCATATCTGCCATTGTTGACAAGCTTAGTCTGTCCATCACTGGTCTGACCAAGCTCAAAGTCCAAAGCACCAGTACCGTAAACAGGCAGCCAACCACCGTCTACATCTTTGCTTCCCAAAGCCCACTTCGCATACGACAGGAAGGGACTCCATTTTGAGAGGAAGATAGCTTGGCCACCGGTGCCGGTGATGCCCATCCAGAAGCGGTCGCCCTCTGTGGGGCCAGTGATGATGGTGGTATTCCAGAGATCTGGGTTCTCACCATAAGGTGGAACAGCGGTGGTGTCCTTGTTGATGTAGAAGCGACCATCATTGGCGGAGATGGGCTTGTTGTGGATGAGTGCATTATCGGGAGCCCAAGCGTAAGGGATATATGCCTGAGCCGCCATGGCTACAGGTGCGATTGCAGGGAGAGTGTAGAGAGTAGTACTGAACTTCATGGTGATAGATAAAACGAGCGTGGTATGGAAACCTGAAGCAATGATATTTGTAGTGAGAGTCTCTGTACTGTAGTGGACTAGAGGCCAACTTTTATACCCATCTCCTCCGGTCATGGCGGATCTACATACGTTTTCTACACGAGCAGGATTTCTAGAAGTGGATGCTTACCCGCATATCGAAGCATGTTTTCGTAAAAGCATCAGATATTGTGGATGCGGTATAGCTATTTTTGTCGCGCTTGGCGTAGATGTCGTTAGGACAGTCGGACGCAAGCAGGAATCGTAAGCATCAGGCGTGCACCCCAAGTGAACGCGAGTTCCTCGAATACGACGTGCAGAATCAAGGTTGAGATGTCTTTTTTGGTCAGAAAATCATTTCTGTACCGTACTGGTATGGTCAGGACAGAAGAAAGGAAGGAGCGAAGCTTGAATCGTCGTCAATTCCTTCAACCAAAGAGGGCGAAAAGGTCTGTCCGCCGCTTGTCTAGCATACAAGCCTCGATTTAACCGAGATTCTGGCGCAGCTATAACACCGCTATTACTTGCTCAACTACTATACATAGTGTCAAATTTCTGGACATGGTCATTGATCATGGTCTTTCGAGATGCGTCACTAGCCCTCTTAGGAGTAGCGGCGATGTGTTGACGTCGATAGGTCTTGCAGACTAACGGAACAGATCATGTTTATGCTGTTTTTTCATTTGTCTTCGTATTTACAAAATCCGAACGTGTGTATTTGTGCAAAAATAGGCAAGAAGCGAAGGTAAAGAAGTTGTTGAGAAAGGTAGAAGGGTTAGTAGAAGAAAAGGCGCATGAGAAGAGGGACATCTTGTCAACACTTGCGCAAGAGCCCTCGAGAAGAGAAATGAATGTTTAACGAAGGAGAATACGGAGACTAGTAGATAGTGCATTGACTGTCTGCTCTGCGGAAGGCGTCTGCAAAGAAGCTTTGCATAGCGCTGTAGTGGAATAAAATACCACCAAGTACAGCGAAATGCCAGATGTTGTGACTGCCGCCGAAGTAGTCGAAGAAACCTGGAGCGAAGCGCTCAGGCACCTTTGCAGCATAGAGGAGTGCGCCTGTGAAGTAGACGAACAAGCTCTTGAAGATGGGAGCGTAGAAGTAGAGGGCCCAGTTTGCACCACGAGTGTAGATGAGTTGAGTGACAGGCAGAGCACCGGTACCAGCAAGGGTCACGTAGAAAGCAACTCGGGCCCATGCGAGATCGTTGCGGTTAAAGGTAGGGTGCCACGGGAGAATGACACCTCCAACACCAAGAGCAGCAGTCAAGCCCATATAGATCCAGCGACTGATGGGCTCGCAATAGAAGGCCGTGTATTCGGTAGTCATGATGGATGCAGCCACCAGCAGAGAAATGCCAGTGTAATCGATGCAAGCAAATCTCTCCATAAGAGTTTGATTAGAAATAGAGTTCATAGTGTGCCATACGGTGCTGCAGACCAGGCACTTGGATGCCGCAAAGAAGAAGACGGCAGCAATAAAGATGTCAGACTTTGTCGACAAGGAGAAATGGACCGAAGTAGGGTAAAAATAGAAGGCGATGGAAAGGACGATCAGCAGTCCGACGAAATGGGAATGAATGTTGACTGTCTCGTTGGAAATGGAAAAGGCGGAGCGCAAACAGTCGACCTTTGTTTCGCAAAAGCGGTAACCTCGAGTGATATGTGGGTTGATCCTCCACGGGTCCGGCAAATCGTGGTAGGTGATGAGGCCTTGCTCCTTTGCACGCTTGACAGCTTCGTCTATTTTGGTTTTGACAGCTTCCTTTGCGCGCCGAGCCTTGTCAATACCTTCGTCCACGAGCTCAGTGGCCTTGTGCATTCCCTCGTCCATCTTCCTCCTTCCAGAGTCCATGAGGTCCGATGCGACGGCTCCCAGTCCGGCATCGCGCATAGCATAAGCGCGGGTCTCGAAGTCAACCAGAGTCTTCTCCATCAGGCGTACGCCTTCGCGTACCTTGTGTTCTAACGTCTCTTTCTTTGCCAAAGCGTCCCGATATCGGTCCTCGAGAAGATCGACCATGATTTTGGCACGCCGTCTACCAGCGTCGATGACCTCGTCCGAGACATAACTACAGGATTCATGCACGGCGTGAAGAGTGCTGTATGCGCGATCGATACTAGAGTCGAACTTTAGCTGGCCGTAGGAGTCCAGAAACTCGAGACGACGGCCAAGTTCTTTGAGGAAGCGATCGACCAGTAATTGAATGTCGTCGGTGTCCGCAGACCAGGATTGAGGTTCGTAGGAAGAATGACGGCGCTTCTTAAGTCCGTCTCTGACTGGGCGTAGTCGAGCGCTCGAGGTAGTGCCAAGGGCGGGCTCTTCGTAAGAGTCGGTCATGGTAGTTGTGCAAGTGGCCGTAGCCATTGTTGAATAGGGAATGTGACAGAGCAAAGGACTGGATCCGGTGCTTGAGGTACTGCGATGAGGGGTGGAAGAAGAGATTGAGGTTGGTAATCTTGACCTTTGGCGGGCGATTCAGTCAAATCAGACTTTCGCCGGGGCAACCGAGTTGAGGAGAAATGAAATGTCAATCGTGGCAAACGGGAGCGGGTGGGGAAAGGTTCGTGAAAGACGGGGAAGGTGCATGAGAAAGGAACAGAGAGTAGGAGAGAGCGACACCTAGTAGGTCATACATGCACGAAGACGAGGCACGGCAGCATTCAATCATGGGTAGCGAGGACCCCTCCACGTAGGTGGAAAGCGAAAGATTGAGCATTCGTCCCGATGGCTGGGCGGATGTCACGATGCCGCGCTTGGCTCGTTAAAGGCGCATCGCTAGCCCTTGATCACAGTTGAAGACTTGCTTAGCGAACGTACACCCAAACACGCAGGTACTCTTGGATCAATTCAACGCGTAAGATTGTCCAGATATGAGCAGTGCTTAACAAGAGCTTTGTTCAGAACTCACGCAGCTGGGTAACTCTCTCATTGTCAGCTCATATGACTTCCAGGCTTTGTAGCAGGAAATTGCTTGTTGGATCAGGCATTCTCGAAAGCAAGGGCTTGGCTTGCGCCGGATAAGAAAGCTCGTGCGCCTGATAATCTGTCAAGATCGATTCACATGCCGACAAGCGCGGCGCAGCGAACCATCTCCGACCAGCGACCCTGTCTTTTCATGTGACCAGAGGACCAACTCTCCACGTTCGCAAATCACATTCTACAATCCACAACACGCGCACAAGTCATCCACAATGACCGACCAATCACCCATGGACGCCGGCGCATTCGTGACAGACGCCTTCCTCCAGTCCGTCTTGCAGGCCGCGGCCGAGGCTCGCCAACAATGCCTGCAGATGCTCGACTTTATCGATCAGAACCGCGCCGCTCAGCCATCGCCCGAAGCTGAGATGCAGCTCAGTCGCCAGCAGAAGATCCTCCACACCAATCTGGCCAAGCTACGTGGACTCAACCGTCGCGCCGTTCTCGACACGCGAAACACCAAGCAGCAAACTCAGGAAGCAAAGTCCGAGATTGACTCTCTGCATCTCCACCTGCAAAACCTCTACTACGAACAGCGCCATCTCATCGGCGATATCGCTGCATGCCAGGGCTACAAGTATGTTTGAAACATCAAGCACTCTGCTGCGCTCACTGACAAGCCTTCCACAGCCACAAGTACCAGTCCCTACCTTTGATCTCCGTAGACGAAATCCTCGCTACCAACCCTGAACTCGCTGGCGCAGATGAACACGACCTAATGGTGGCCCGCATCAATCACGAACACGCCGAACGTCAAGCGCTAGAAGAGCAACGCCAGGGCCTACTTAAGAAGAAACAAAGCTTGATCGCCGAAAACAACAAGAAGAAGGACCATCTGGCCGCTCTTGACAAGGAGGTTGAGAAGTTCCTCGGCTCTGCCACTGCAGTCCAGCAAAAGTTCGAACAGCACGATCAACAAAACAAGGCCGCCGCTGCAGCTTCCGCATGAGAAGATGATTGTCATTTCATTCGTCTAGTTTATTAAGATACCCCCCACAGTTTTATTTATGCCAGGTGCTTGTTGAAGAAGTCAATGCCCTGCTTGCACGACTCGTCCATGGCTTTCTTGTCCTTTTCTGAGTTCCAGTCTCCGCGAAGTGCGAATCCATGAACCTGGTCCTCGTAGACGCGAACCTCGGTGTCGATACCCTCGCTCTTCTTCTTGGACATGAGCTCCTTGATCTGGTCAACCTCCTTGTTCCCGAGCAAGCTGTCAGAGTCGCCGAGCGCAAAGGATGCAGGGACGGCGAGACCTTCGAAATCTCCAGGGATGGCCACGAGCGAAGGGTGACAGCTGTAGACGGCGTCCACACCCATACCCTCGGCACCACTGAAGTCCTTGTCTCCAGCGAGAATGGCATATCTGCCACCCCAGCAGAAGCCAATCGCACCGACCTTGTTGGTTCCGGGAATCAAGCGAACCTGCTTGATGAAGCTCTCGATCAAGGGGCGAGCGACGCTCTCGCGGTGCTTAAGGAGCCAAGGGCCAAGAGTTGCGCCAGTCTTTGCAGTAGCAGCGGCCTTCTCAGTAATGCTGCGAGAGTCGCGCTCGGTCTTTTGAGGCTCGACGGTCTGCAAGAACTCAATGTCAAGCGAATCACCCTCGTGAACGTCGGGGATGTAAGCGGTGAAGCCCTGTGCGGCGTACTGGTCGGCGAGCAAGCGGGTGTTCTTGAACTCCCAGCCGAAGACTTTGATTAATGTTAGTCGGGATCGGAGGCTGTGGATTCGAGGAAGCTTACTGTCGACGAGGAAGATGACGGTCTTCCACTTTGAGCCGTCCTTGGGCTCGGCGACGTAGGTCTGAAGACCAGCGATGGTCTCGATGTGGCCCTTGGGGGTACCTTCCTGGACCTTGCCGGTCAAGCAGCATGAGGACATTCCAACTCCGGTAGACATCTTGAATTGATCGATCGTGTGCTTGAATTGGTTGTTTTATGTAAGTGCAATGGAGTAGAAGCAGTGAAGTCGAGCAATAGATATGAGATGTTTTAGCACAGTATCCGTCTGCCCGTCGCGTATTACAAAAGTGAGGAGCTTAGGTATTTGTCGATGCGGGGCTTTGGTGACGTCGTGGTTGAGCTACAATGACAAATTTCCCTTTTGGTCAACCACTGGAGTTAAAAATGCCATGCTAACAAATCAGATCATGCATCTGGCTCTACCAGTGTACGTTTCTCCTCGGAACAGATGCCTTGGTTCTATGAGCGTGATTGAACGAGGTCGGCATAGATATCCTCGACTAAAACGTGAGGAAGGTATGCACATCAACAATGTCTGCACAGACCACGACGAACTGTCTTCCTGACGACTCGGCGCATTTCTTTGGCCATCAACCATCACCATGTGAAGATTAACATTTCCTCGCTGCATCACGCACGCTATACTACCACTTTTCATACCTTAGAGAGCATCACCATGTCGCTCTCGTTCGGACTCAATACCAAATCAAAGGCTCCGGCCTCGCCGCCAAAGACCAAGAGGCGCCCCGTCGCTATGAATGTGCTGGGTGACGACTCGGACGACGATGCTCCTGCAGCAGCAGCCCCAAAGTCAAATGTCTTCGAGGAGGAGCTCACCGAATTCGATTCCTCGAAGCCTTCGCGACAATCCGCGCCCGTCCCGGCACTCAAGAAAGCTCCGAGCAAGCTAAAACCTGGCTCTGTACCGACGAAACCTCCGACAAGGAAACCTCAGGGCAGAGACCCAGACGAATATGGCGACCTCTCAGCCCAACGCGAAAGCGCAGCCTACGCAGCGAAAGCTACAGAACTAGACTCTACCATCTACGACTACGACTCTTTTCACTCGGCCGCAACTCATGCAGCCTCTGCCCGCAAGGCAGCCGCCAAGCAAGAATCGGTTGCCCAAGGTCCAAAATACATGAATGCGCTTCTCACAGCAGCTGCGCAACGAAAACAAGACCAGCAAGTCGCCCGCGAAAAATTCTTGCAGAAAGAACGTGAAAACGAGGGTGAAGAGTTCGCAGATAAGGAAAGTTTCGTCACCGGAGCGTACAAAGCACAACAAGAAGAAAATCAGCGGCTTCGCGAGGAAGAAGAGAAAAAGGCAGCTGAAGAGGAGGAGAGGAAAAGAAAGATGGGTGGAGGTATGCAAGGTTTCTATCGTAATGTCATGGCAGACAGCGATCGTAGACATCAGGAAGCCATGGAGGCAGCCGCCGAAATGGAGAAGCGAAAACTTGCTGGCGACAACGTTGCAGAGGATCCAGAGGCCAAGGAGGAGAAAGACAAGATTGCAGAGATGGCGGCAAAGGGCGTCAATGTCACATTGAACGACGAAGGTCAGGTGGCGGATAAACGCCAACTTCTGTCCGCTGGTCTGAACGTCCTGGCCTCTCCAGCTCCACCACCGAAACCATCTGCTACCATCCAAAAACAAGACGACACCGCTCAATGGAACAAGAGACGCGACAATGGTGTTCGCGAACGTCAAACTCGCATGATGGAGCAACAACTCGAAGAAAGCAGAAAACGTGCCTTGGAACAAGACAAAGAAGAACAAGAGCGCTTGGAAAAGGCTAGTAAGAGTAAAAAGACTGATACAGATATCAGTAGTGCGAGAGAGAGATTCTTGGCCAGAAAGAGAGAGAAAGAAGAGGCTGCGAAGAAAAAGGCTGGCTAGATTTCCATTTCTGATTGACGTGATTTGGAGACATACCAAAACATAATCATCAACGTCTGTGCACTTCTTGATCTCGCTCCACCTGTCGTCCACCATGTGGGTTAGTCGCTATTTCAGATACTGCAGTCCTCTCTCCGTTGACTGTTTGGCTACTTGGGCAATTATATTTGCCGTCGTCATCTTGCCAAAATACATGGACACAAGTATCTGCACGAATCCTTGCGGTAGGCACTCAATCTCAGGATTTATAATCATTGCATACCTGAATTATCATTTACTCGTCACGTAAGTGTGCTATGTTTTTGAGCCTCTCACTCACATATCCTGTATAGATTGAGAGTACCCAGAGATGAAAAGAATGGGGCAAGTATACATAGTCCTTTCGTTACGCATAATTTTCGTCGCAAAGTGCTTGCTAAGGTTATGACCCTGTCCGAAGTGAAAAGCCTCGGCATTCTTCTGCGCGATCAATGATCGGAAGGTATCGATTCAGCATGTATGAGTCGAAGCAAGTTTGACTCTGAATGCCGGGAGTTTCCACATGTGAATACATACTGCGAAAGTTGTGTACGAAGACCACGGTATGCGTGAGAAAGCGAGCAAAAAAACCAAAAATACCGGCTGTGACCAGACGGAACCACCGATGACTTCAAATTCTGCAGTGAATTTCTAGCAACCTAACATCTTCCAACGCGTTCGACAAAATCTAAGCCATCTTTACAAGAACACATTCTTCCAAGAGATTGATTATGGCTACCGAGTTCATCGTATTAGACCACACACGGATCCCAGGCTTCCCTGACGCGCCTATCCATCTCGACAGAGCGCCCATCCAGATAATCGACGATGATGATTTCACCGAAGAAACAGACACCAGCAACTTGACCATCGCTGTTGGAATCACCACTGTGTTATTTCGCTGGTCACCGGATGCTTTGTACGCGTTTCTCGATATCGATGCCTGGTTTTCCTTCACCTGGACGGTCACCATCGAAGATGAGATGAAGATCGAAATCGGCCGCGTGGAGAACCAAATCACCATCGGCACCTTGGATAAAGGCGGCAATAAATGGACATTGATGCTCACCTACAATATTGAGGAGGATGGACCAAACAGAGGTGCTTGGGTTCCTAACCCTCGTGAAAGCATGCTTGGCGACGACGACCTCACTGATCCCGCACAAATCGACACTCTGGGAAGAGAATTTGTCAGAGATCTGTGTTTGAAGGAACGTTGGTTCACGGGCAAGAAGATCAAGCATCAATTGTACGTCGAGTACGCACCTATGGATATCTGGGGCGACGGCATAGCAATAAACCCACACTGGCTCTACGACTCGTTGAATCTATCTGCATGCACGACATGTGATGAGAGCAACAGACCTCTGAAACGATGTGGTAGATGTGGTACCGCTGCCTACTGCTCCCCTATGCATCAAAAACTTGATTGGCCTGTTCACAAGAGCATTTGCACTATGGATTTGGAGCAGAGAGGGCAGATCTTGAGGATCACTCAGCATGGTGGTTTGATTGGATGGGATTTATCAAAAACAGTTGGTGATCATGAGACTAAGATGTCGAAGAACCCCAACTTCGTCACGCCCCAATCATTGAGACAGGTCGACACTGATCATGAAGACCACGTACACACTGTTCGTGTGTAGAAAGAATTGTATGAACATACTCAATGACGAAGCTCGGCTATTGCCAACTTCGAAAACCATGAAGGTTATAAGACAGACTACTTCGCTCAACATCCTCATCATCTTCAGAATCCTCGTAAAAATAGACATTACTACCACCAAGCTCACTCAAAGTTTCGTCGAACCATGCTGGCCAGCTGCCAAAGAAACATCTCCCACACGGAGAGTCCTCACAAACCCTATCCTTCCAATCTGTCATCTTTATTTGCCGCGCCAACAGCTTTCTGAATTTTTCATATCGCTGCCACGACGAGCGACATTTCAGGGCTACAAAGTCGCTCCTGTAGTGCGAGCAGAATTTTGCCAGCTTCTTCATTAGAACACCATCGTCCGCAGAACGGTTGTCGATGATGAGATCGAAGAGGCAGGAAAATCTCTTTTGATCGCTTTCCCATGTTTGTAATAACATATGTGCGATTGTTTTATCCAGTTTCTTGACGAGAAGGGGTAGTTGAAAGTGTAACCCCAAACGCCATACATCTAGATAGAAAGCTCCTTGTTGGTATTGGCTGTGGTCTTGATCAAGGTCCCAGTCATACCCATAGATCCACTTTACCATCGAGTGGATGGCTTCTGAGCCATATCCCGTCAATGGGTATTCGGATTCAGTATTTGTTCGCGTGTTGAAGAGGGTGCGAAACGTTTTGGATGCGCAGGCGAGTATGAATCTGTGTGCGTGTAATCTTTGGCCGTTGAAGGAGATGGTGACATCTGAATACTGTGGGTCATGATAAAAGCTTCGAAGTACCGATCTTTCAATATGCCGAACAGGTGATGAAGAGCGTGCTGGTTGCACCATGATGTGTTTTGTTGAGCTGAGATTTGGAGATTTTGATGCGAGTACCTCGGAGTAGGACAGAGGAAATCATATCCGGATTCCACGTATGTGATCTTTTTACACAGTTATGACTCCTGGTATATGTGCGATAAGCCATTTGGTTTCATGCAGTGGTAGAGAGCACATATTTTCGGCACGTTAGAGATATTGAGCAAAATATAGCACATGACTCTAGACAGAGAGTCAAGCGACTTCCGATTTTCGTCAAGTCAACGTCTTTCGACTTCCAAGATCGTACCTTCCTCTCCCAGGACTCTCTCAGGTAATGAACTCGTGCACGGTAACAAGTGGTCTCCCAATCTGGCGCAGTCATGGAACTTGAAGTATCGTATATCAGTGCGGAAGCCATCGAATTCATCGGCTTCGAACCTGAGGCAGCACTCGGATGAGCTGTTGGACGACTAAACGGTGCTGTCAAAGGCAATATATTTGTGAAGACCTTGGAGCCGGGGGGAGTGATCGGGAAGGAGGGAAACGTCTAGAAGCTGTCGAATCCATCAAAAGCGAGGACGAAGGTCAACTGTCGTAAACAATTGTCGCTTCAAATCACAATACTTATCTCACCTCCGTACTACTACATCAATAGCTTTACTCAAACATGTTGCTGCCTGATGTATCATTTCGACGTTCTTTTCTTGGTCGCTTAGAACCCGAAATCGTTGCCTTAAGGCAGCCGCACTTTGGTACGAGACTCATGCGGGCATAAAAGCATTCGACGTCGTCAATTCGTGATGCATTAAGGATAACAGACATTCGCCATGCCTTCTCAGATCATACTATTCGACCAGTCCAGGAGTGCAAGTAAGTTGATGTTCGCTCCAACAACTCCCCGAGTTCGAAGCTGATCACAGCAAAAAGGCCACCTCCTCGCAAAAGTCTTGAGCAAACAACCAAAGCTAGAAAAACTTCACAGTCTCTACTCTGCTTGTCGTGGGAAGCAGGTTGAATGGTTGACCAGCGATGATTGGGAAAACGGCATGGCTGAAGCAGACTATTCTGCATTCAAAGCCTCAGCCAGAACAGCAACTGCTGTATGGCAAGAGGCTTTGGTGCAGAGTAAGAGAGATGCGAGTACTCTCAAGCTCCAAGGTAACGACTAGAGCTTCTGACGAACTGTTCACAGGATAAGATCCTTCTGATCCACGACCATCCATTCAGCTCTGCGCACCCAGAACACGTGCAGAGTTTCATCAACTCTTCTTCGACCATCCCACCAATACCCGAGAACTTCACGAGCATACCAGACACCCTTTTGCTCCATACAAACACAATCCCTGTGCTTACGATTCGTGACCCACGTCTTGCGGTTTCATCAGCCTACCGCGTTCTTACCTCCTTCGGCTTCTCCCACGGTAGTGGACGACCAAACTTCCTCATAAGCACAACTCTTGTTTGGCAGCGCAGACTCTACAATTTCTTTTGTTCCCACGGAGTGCAGCCTATGGTCATCGATGCCGATGATATAATGACCGACCCCGGATACTGTCGCTTTGTTTGCGAGAAATTAGACTTGGAGCCAGAGTTGGCTTGTATAGAATGGGAGAAAATCACAGAAGAGGAAAAGGCGAATATCCATCCGATGTTGTATGCTAGTCAAATGGGATTGTTGGAGTCGACTGGCTTGGACGCGAGTAGAGCGGCGAAAAATTTGGATTTTGTCGTTGAGGAGAAGAAGTGGGATGATGAGTTTGGAGATGATGTTCCGATGGTGAGGGAGATGGTTGAGTCGGGTATACCGCATTATCAGTATTTGCGCGAGCGAAGACTGAGGATGTGAACCAAATGAGAAGACCATACAAGAAGTACAGGCAGAAATGATTTAGCATGAAGCAGTTGTCCTCTGATATGGAAGAAATGTTGCAAAAACACAACATCTCGACATGCGAAAAGGTAAGAACGACGTCGAGGGACACCAAAAAGATAAGCACCATGGGAAGGAATCGAACCCCCGACCTCCTCGGATCTAGACTGACACGGCGTTGAGTAACAACGAATGACTGCGCACGTGTTAAGACCACGGGTATGTTAACCACTACACTACCACGGCTGAGAACTTGTAAGGGCACAGAATCCATAGAATATATAGGCTGCGTATGAAATAGGCAGTAGCGGGTCAGATTGGCGGAAGAGAAGCTTGGATGAGTCAGTTCTTGAGCGCGGTGGCCTGCAACTGTCTGAGGCGATATGCTTCTGCGCTTGCGCCTCCCAACGGAGTCATACTGCCGCTTGCGATTTTGAAGAGTGGTCGGGTTAGATTCATGAAGATAGGTGAGAGTGACGTTATCCAATCATCACATTCATGCCCCTCGACTCGTATTGCATGTGGTATGAAACACTTCATGAAGTAGTGTTATAGGTCTTCTCAAGACCACCACCGTTTATGTTGCTTTTCCGAGACGTCCTTGTCCATCCAGTCTCGGCGTTGTTCGTCCCACACGCGCGTAGATATGTATTCCTGATGCGCCTGAACTTGCATAGCAACAGCTCTGGAGCCAGCAAAAATCGGTAGATGCACGTCTGCTCGCTTGTCACTTGCGGCTTTGAGGGCGGTGTAATCCCTCCTAAGGACTTCCTCAAGTATTTCGTGGAGCATCGCATTGTCGGCAGATTCGCCGAGCAAGACCAATTCGGAGATTTCGGAGGGATATGTGGAGCCAAGATTGTCGAGCAAAAGCAGCTCGGATAGTTCGGAGGGATACGTGTAGCCAAGGTCGTCGAAAGGTCGGCGGGTAAGATCTTCCAGGGAGCGACTCAATTGATTGCGCATACCAGCGAAATTAGCATCTGCGCCCAGACTCGTGTTGTAGAACTTTCATAATATCTCGGTGACACTGCATTCTTCAGACACCAGGAAGGCTGATATACCCGCACGGCTATAGTCAATAGCAAGGTAGATGCGCTCTGGATCATCTACAGTCGTCTTATGGTCTGGTGTCGGATATATGTTGAGGTCGCATTCTCCTTCGAGATCATAAATTGATGTTATGGCTGTTGAACCCACCCTAGCGCCCATGTAATCCAAGCCAAGAGACTCGACAGCCGTTCTCATAGTGCTATCGAAGGAGCTTCCACGGGAGATTGTAAACGGGATGCTAATGCGGACCGCGGTCATGGGTTCTTCCACATATGCTTCTGTAGCGGCCTTCAGACCTTTGATCATCCATGTTATTGCATCGGCATTGGGGTCTACAGGTTTTGCAGTAGCCCATGTTGGCAGATAGTCCTGGAAGGACATGACACCCAGCTTCTGCTGGCCCCAGTCGTTTTCTGGCACGTCCAACCTGCACTCCGCGGTCACCGAGTGCATAAAATGTTTGTAGGCTGGCCCTCCCTCGATCTTGACAATGTCGACAGCTGTCCCGTTGGCATACCAGACGCTTGCGGTGCTGAAAGTGTAATGTGTCAGTCGCTGCTTTGGTTGTTTCGTCACTGGTCTGCGATGCTTACCCGTAGTCGAGCGCTAGGTTGAACCCGGCACCAGGGTCGGCAGCACTCGAGATTACCCTAGGACATATGAAGAGGAGGACAAAGAGCCCGCTGCAAAGAGTCGGGCGACCTGTCTTGATACCTCGACGCGAATTCTTACACACCAACATGACTGTAAATAGAAGAAGCGCCAAAAGGACAAGTGCTTTCCGAGGGGTGAATTCAATGTACATTGCTGCAGGGTGTTTTCAAGCGACTCGGCTTGTCTGTGAGAGCAAATCGGTGGCAGATGTTGCACTGGCGAAGAAGGCGAAGAATGCTGTACTAAAGGATTAGGCCACCTGTCCCTCGAGTCATTCGATGTAGGCTGTGCAGTTTTACAAGACCAGTGCCGTAGCATAGTACAGAGATACATAGTTGTATCGAAGCGTGATCTGAGCACATCAATAAGAAGAAGATACTGTATGTCCTCTTCCAATTACATAAGCGAATAAACATGTACTTGCCAATGGACTCCTCGTAAAGCTTCGATCAAGGTAGCGGCGGAGATAGCAACCAGCGGCTACTATGTAACCAACACATTACAATCCATAAGTTCCAGTCAGCTTGAAAGTCTTCTCCTCTTGATCCCAGTGGACTTTGACACCGTCGCCTGTGATCCTCAGATTGTTGTATCGGATCTGTCTTGTGTTAGAAGCTGCTCAATGTCAGTAACGATAAACAGAACTCACCGAGTTACTGATATAACCGATCTTCTCCTCGAAGTCGGCCATGTCGATTTTCTTCTGCTTCCACGCCTTCTTCGGCTTCTCGAAACCAAAGAGCTTGTAGAAGACGTCCTCATGCGGCACGATACCAGTATAGCTCCACTTTGTGGTTCCAGTCTTACAGCTAGGCTGCCACTTCATCTGTTTCTTGATCTCTGCTGCACACACATCTCTGGTCTTCTTTGCACGCTCTGCGACCTTGTCATCGCTCCATACCTCTCCTCCGCTGCCGCCGCTTTGTTGAAGTGTCGACAGCTGTGTTTGAAGGTCGTAGGCATACTTTGCGAGCTCGTCGTGTGGAAGCGTGAGCAGAGACTCGAGTGTGTGCGATGCTGGAGCCGATGCTGTTGTACCGGAGCTCTTGCGGACGCGTTTTGCTGGAGCCGGTGCCGGTGCTGAGAAGTCAGAGCCCGCGTCTGATCCGGACGCGTCATCGTCGTGAGTTCGGCCTGCAACTATCCGTCAACAAAAGTCGCAACCAACGTGTGAAGAGTACACTTACGCTTGGGAGGCATCTTGATATTGATTCGATAGATTTCAGATGAGAATTGAGACACTTTTGAATATATGCCCAGATCGGAGTATTTCAGGTAGAAGCGACGCATCGGCGCGTCTCACGCGTACCACTTTAAGGAAGCTTGGACCTATGGTATACCACTTGGTATACCACTCAGTTGGACTTCAAAAAGTCTGTTTCTCCCACAACTTCGAAAACTCGAGGTAGGACTACGCACACTTTTGAGTCCAATACTTTGAGTACTCTCTAGCCTAGATACTGCTTGAGCACTATTTCAATAATATTTGAACATTTTTTCGAGTACGTCTCAACTCCACCTTGATCGATCAATCTCAATCAGTATTCGATCAAGATTCAATCATGGTCCAACCAAGGTTCTTAGCCAATAATTCTTCACAGAACTTCTACTTCCAATAACAGGTTTCGGATCAGACCAAGCATCCTTTCCAACATTGCACCGTCCGTTCTCGAGAACAACTGCTTCAACAAATTCATTACTGTCTCGACTGTTTGATCAGAATTTGATTAAGCAGATTAATCAGAATCTGATTAATCAGGCAACCCTTAAGAAGCTTAGACATTCTCTCACTAAGTGCAACGACATAGTCAACCATATACTACACGAGTCCTGGTTCTTTCTCCCCGTCCTGAGAGGAAAAGCTCAGCTATTTCTCCGCTATTTCACAGCTATTACTCTACTATATCTCTGCTTTTACTCAGAAATAGCTCAGAAATATCTCTGCTTTATCTCGCCGACCCCGCTTTCTCTTGACCGAGGAAAATTTTTCGTTTCCATCTTTCCTTCCGCCATCTTCCTTACATTCAACAACGACAACCATGAGTGCCGGAAAGTGCGAAGTCTGCCTCGAAGAGAAGCCCAAGCTCGTCAATTGTGGCCGTTGTGGCAATCGCAAATACTGCGGTAAGTACTGTCGACTGGCCACGTCGCGGGAGTGGTCAAGCTGACTGGATCACAGGTGCCGCCTGCCAGAGAAAGGACTGGTCTACCCACAAACATCAATGCCAGCCCAAGAAACAGCCCTCTTGGATCCTGAAAATCACTATCCCCGACTCCAGAGACCCTCAAATCTATCGCACCTTGGTCTGCCCCGACGGCGCCACCTTCGAGCAGCTGCACTACGCCATCCAGATTGCTTTTGGCTGGGCAGCCAGTCACAGCTATGACTTTGTAGCTCGTGACCCTACCGCCGAAGAGCGTCCCGTCGAGGACATCATGGCTTTGATCCAACGTCGTATGGCTCAAGACAAAGGCGAGCAGAGAGATTTCGGCCCTCGCCAGAACTTCATCAGAATCGTCAATCCCAACGACAATAAGATGATTGACTCAATGCATTCTTACGACCGCAAGCACTCCCAGACCCCCGAAAAGAAGGCAGACAAGGTCTACGTCGGCGAACAATTCAACAAGAAGGAATGGAAGAACGCTGAGTGGGAGTACATGTATGACTTTGGTGACAATTGGGGTCACGAAATCGAGATCATTGGACGCGGTAAAGTTGACGATACTTTCCGCTGCACTGAAGGAAATGGTCACGGTATTGCCGAGGATGCTGGAAGCATGCCTGGCTGGGAGGAACTCAAGAACGCTTACAGGGCTGTGAACCCGACTGATGAGCAAAAGGAGAAAATGCATTGGTTTGAGAATCAGGCCAGTAACTTTGACCCTGAGGGCTTGAAGGGTAGGGAAAGCTATGTTGACTTGAGTGTCATTAATGCTCTTCTTGATAGCAACATTGAGTAGTCGCCATATCTGAGATCATCTCTTTGGCCTGGCCGGAGTCAGTCAAAACCTTCGTGCATTTTGATAGGTGGTTTACTGACCGTGTATGGAGGTTGGGATGGGGTGGTCGTGTCGTGTCTCATATCTTTATATCGCGCGCAAAGGTTCCTAAAACCGCAACATGTCAGATCACGTAAAACACCTGATAGCAGAACCACCCCTGAGAAGGCGACGTTGTGTGAAACCTACTGCGTTGCTTCATGTATGCTGTCGGTGTGACAGGAGTGGTAGAGGTGCGATATCAAGAGAACGAGGAGCGATGGAGGGCAGGTCTCGTAGGATTACGAGGCTTAACAGGCTGCTCGATGCTGTCGCGCTCGCCGAAGCACGAGCGGAAGAGATCTCTGATTTGTTGCCACATCTTGGTGATGTGTTGGTCGCGTGTGTTGTTGATGAAATGGAAGAAGATAGGTGAGAAGGGGACCCGTGTTTTGAACTATAGTGTCGTCGTCGGACGACAAACAAACCTGAGTGATGGTCGGGGTGAGCCCGTAGTTCGTCGGTTGTGGTACCCGCCATCGACTGTGAACGACTATCCCACGAATCGTGAGGAAGCGGAAACGAAGGCACGCAGCGTAAGCGAGTAACCGTCGACCACGGCACATGAGATGCTCGAGATGCTCCCCCTTGAACTGAAAGGAGGTCCTAGGTGAGAGTGATAGCAGATACTGTCGACAACGACCAGCATCGACGAACCCGAGCTAGCGGGCTCACATCGTGCCGTGATGCAACCGAATTGTCCGGAAGGTCGTGCTGGCGACGAGCGACCCCGTGAAGGAGTATAACTTCGCTGGGCGGCCTGCGCTCTCTCCTTCTCTTCCAGAAACCACACCACAACGCAACCACGACCAGTATGAAAATCACGACTACCCCTTGTTGTTCAAAGACTTACAGACTCAGAAAACACAACATGCTCGCTCCAACCACTCTCCAATACATCCGCGACCTGGTCAACGAGACCATTAACCAAGCCCTCCACTTGGCCAGAGGCGCATCGGGTTACCACCTGCAAAGTTTGATCGAGGAGGACCTCCTCAAGGGAATCAACTTCCGCAAGGAATTGGAAGACGAGGTTGCCTTTAAGGTAACCAGAGAGGGCGAGCGCACCCTCGTCAACAACCTTCGTGAGGTAAAGCACACCATCACCGAGGCCCTCGCCGCCAAGGTCAAGGACAAGATCGATGAGGACCTCGCAGCCCCTCTTCGCGCCTGGGCTAGCAAATAAGAAGTCAATCGTGATTTGAGCCTTGACAGGAGACATGGATCGTACCCTTCTCCTTGATCGCCTATCACCCATGCTTCGAGACCTCCTTGTCGACAGGATCTCACCCCCTCGGTCTATTTTGACAAGACCCGAATCTTGTCTCTGACTACACTAGAATCAAAATCAATTCTGCTGCACTGCAACTATTCCCCAATGCTCTTGTGAACGTGAAGTGACCAAAGTTCTCCTATGCAGTGTCCCGGGTCCGGTGGGTGGCTGTGGCATCCCCAGTGTCCGTGATGAGCCAGAAGAATGCCCATAAAGATGCACAGTTATTTGTGACTTGATGGCTTGGTCCAAAGAGAGTGCGTACCCTTATAGCTCTCAGTGAAGGCTGATGTAGTATACAAAATCTTGCAATTTGATAGCATGATGCATGGATGCGGAGGACTGTTGGAGATTCTTTTCGAATTGTGCTGCAATAGAGGCTTACAAGGATGTACCTGGTTGGCAATTCATTGCACCGCACAGATGGTGATGTCTTTCTCTCGCAGTCGATGATAGTGGTCAAAGTAGACGATAGGGCCGTTGAACGGCTGCGATACCAAGCTTGAACTGCGAGCAGATGTTGTTGAACGCGATCCGGACGTCTCCGCCTCCATTTTTCTCGATCTCCTCTCTCTCCACAGCAAATGACTGGCGCTTCTTCGGTCCTCCATGTGTTCGGATACAGACAGCACGCAGCACCGGCAGCTAGCCGCTCGGGTCAAATGAGGTCCCCAGTGTTGAGGGCGTGGCCGCGGAGAGCGTGGAGAGACCTGTCAAAGGAAGCCTTGTCTGAACCGGTTCGCAGGGCCTCAGCAACACTGCTTCACCATAGACAGTCGATTTCACGAGTACACGGAACAATATAAACGGAGTCGCTAACGGGAGAGTGGATGAGCAAGCGAAATATCTTCATGGTGGATGAGCCGCTGAAGCACAGGTGATGGTTGAGGATGCAAGTGTCGAAATAGCGTTAGCTCGAAATGCGGGATAGGACGATGACGTTGGCGGCTTTTTGTGGGCAGCGCTGGCAGCAGAAGCTATCGAGTCCCGGATGGGAAAGTAGGCAACTGGTCGATTGACGATCGCCGAGATCATCAGGTACCGAGTAACAGTCTAGCAAACTTCTGCCACGCGCCTGCGCTTTCTCCTCTGTGTACATACAACTCGAGTCGCTCCTGCCTATCCTTCCTCGACGCAAGCCCGGTCAAGCTGTAAACATCTGCTGGCTTGTCTGTCGTCGCTTGCTCTTAATTCACTTCCACCCAACATCACTTTCGCTGCTCGCCCGAGTCCTTCAGCATCGACTTTCATCTTGCATTCATCACCACGCATTCATCCCCTCGCATTCACCCTCTCAGCTATTCACTAGCACTATCCATTGCCCTTCATCCTCTAGCACTTGAGTCTCTGACTGCGCGAACATCACCTTTGGCTTTTCTCTCATCACCTAATCACCGTGCCAATGGCTCCGACTCTGCAACAGACGCAGGCCATCTACCTTCTGCCGCTCAGAGATGACGGCTCTCCGGACGTGAGTGGCGAGTACATCTACTTGCCACCGCCCAACGATCCTGCCTACAAGATCCGCTTCGTTATTGAAGGCACCAGCTCCATCTGCCGTGAAGGCAGTCTCTGGGTGAACATCCCGACCAAGGGCCAGAAGTTCGTGCGCAAGAACTACACCGAGTACAAGTAAGTCTTTCGACGTCCCCTGCTCGTCCTCGTCACTAACCATCTACCCAGATTGACTCCCGACTTCAATCGCAACATCGAGATTGACATCGAGATTCCTCACGCCGGTCCCTTCTCCTACTACATCACTTACACTCCTCTGCCCAAGCTCACAACAAGCAAGAGCGATGTGCCCAAGCCTACACAGACAAAGGTCTGGTACCTCGATGTCAGCCCTCGCTTGACCGTCCAAGGCTCCACCCTGCCGCTGAAGAGTTTGTCCATCATCTCATGCTTGTCCAAGTTCATGGGCGAGTACACGTCAGACTGGGACAAGCACTTGCACGGCATGAGCGAGAGAGGTTACAACATGGTACATTTCACTCCGCTTATGATGCGTGGTGACTCAAACTCGCCCTACAGCATCTACGACCAGCACACCTTCGACAAGACCATCTTCGTCAATGGTGAGAAGGACATCGAGGCATTGACTGCCAAGATGGAGAAGGATTACGGCCTTCTGTCCCTGACCGATGTCGTCTGGAACCACACGGCCAACAACAGCAAGTGGCTAGAAGAACATCCCGACGCCGGTTACAACATGAAGACTGCCCCTTGGCTGCAGGCCGCCTTCGAGCTGGATACCCAGCTTCTCAAGTTCAGCTCCGAGCTCGAGGGCCGTGGTCTACCTACCCACCTGAACAACAACGAAGACCTCCTCCGTGTTATGGCCAACTTCAAGCAAGATGTCATTGACCCCATCAAGCTATGGGAGTTCTACGTTATCGACGTCAAGCGTGACGCCCAGGCCGCTGTCTCTGCGTGGATGGAGAACCAGGTCGAGTTCCCGGAAAAGACTCCTGACCTCCTTGGCACTGATAGCTGGCCTTCAAAGCAGAAGACTGATTGGCTCAAGCAGTACGCTCTCACTGGTGCTGACCGTCTGGGTGAGAGATTCCGTCGCAGAATCAACCCTCAACACGCTGCCGCCCTTCTTCAATCACTGTTCGGCAAGTACGACACCAAGACTGGCAGCACCAGAGACGAGCGTAGCGCCATGGGCACCATGACCCACTTCCTTGACGAGCTCAACTCTGCCTTCTACGACGAATACAACCTGGATACTGCCACCATCAAAGAGCAGGTCTACAGCCGCACCAAATACATGCGTATCGACGGCGGTCCTCAGCAGGGCAAGCCCATCACCCCTGAGAACCCCATGATCGAGTCGTACTTCACCAGACTTCCCACCAATGAGACAACCAAGAAGCACGATCAAGGCGAACTGGCGCTGGCCAACAACGGCTGGGTCTGGGCAGCTGATGTGCTCAAGGACAATGCCGGCCCCAAGTCCAAGGCATACCTCTGCAGAGAGATTATCCCTTGGGGTGACTGCGTCAAGCTGCGCTACGGTGACTCCCCCAAGGACAGCCCTTTCCTTTGGGACTTCATGGCCGAGTACACTCGTCTCATGGCCAAGCACTTCCACGGTTTCCGCATCGACAACTGCCACTCTACTCCCCTGCACCTTGCCGAGTACATGCTTGACGAGGCGAGAAGTGTCCGCCCCAATCTCGTCGTCATGGCCGAGCTCTTCTCAGGTGACGAGAAGATGGACTACGTCTACGTCGAGCGTCTTGGATTGTCTTGCCTGATCCGTGAGGCCATGCAATCGTGGAGCACCGCAGAACTGAGCAAGCTTATTCACGAGAATTGCGGTCGCCCGATCGGCAGCTTCGAGCTTGATGAGATTTCGGATGCTCAGAAGCGCAATTCTGGCACAGAGCCTGCTCCTTCTGTCAAGGAGGTCGTTCACAAGATCCGCCCCGCCACAGTCCACGGTCTTTTGATGGACTGCACTCACGACAACGAGCTCCCCGCCCAGCGCAGAGACGCCAGAGATACCCTGTCCAATTCTGCTCTCGTCGCCATGTGCGCCGCTTCTATTGGAAGTGTTTTCGGATATGACGAAGTCTACCCTGAATTGATCGAGCTCGTTCATGAGAAGCGTCAATACAGCTCGCCTTACTCTTCCATGTCGAACCTCAAGGTTGGAGAAGGTCCCGGAATTGGAAACGTCAAGCGCCTTCTGAACCAGCTTCACACGATCATGGGCAAGGACCATTACGACGAGACCCACGTCCACCATGATGGCGAGTACATTACTGTCCACCGCATGCACCCGAAGTCACGCAAGGGCTACTATTTGATCGCTCATACTGCATTCCCTGGCTACGGCAATGGCAACGCTGGCTTCCAGCCTGTACACCTCACTGGATCCAAGGCATCTTTGCTTGGTGCCTGGAACCTCGAGGTCGATCAGAGTCACGAAGCTAAGCAAGCCGCTCTCAAGGACAAGGTATTGAGAGGTCTCAACGCAAACACCAAGGACATCCGCGGCGTCAAGGTTGACAACCAGGGTGACACTGCTGTCATTACCGTGCCAGAGAAGTTCCCTCCTGGCAGTATCGCAGTCTTCGAGACTTGGATCCCTAGCGCAGAGCACTCCGAAGGCCTTGACAAGTACGTCACCTCCGGTGGCAGAGACGCATTCAAGGACTGTGACCTCAACGACCTGAACGCCATTCTTTACCGTGCTGACGCCGAGGAACGTGCAACTTCTGGAGGCTCCGACGGTGTTTACACCATCCCCAACCTGGACTCCATGGTATACTGCGGTCTCCAAGGTTGGTGGAGCGTGTTGAGAGACGTTATCAAGAGCAACAACCTTGGTCATCCTATCTGTGACCATCTGAGACAGGGTCAATGGGCTCTTGACTTCATTGTCGGCCGCCTGGAGAAGCTTGCTTCGCGTGACGGCTACACTCGTCTCACTGCACCCGCAGGATGGCTCAAAGACCGATTCGAGGCCATCCGCAAGCTCCCCAGCTTCTTGTTGCCTCGTTACTTCGCACTCGTCGTCCAGACCGCATACAAGGCTGCCACTGAGCGCGCCATCGAGCAGATGAGCCCCAACATTCGCCACGGACAGCGCTTCCTCAAGAGTATGGCTCTTGTCAGCGTCCAGTGCGAAGGTTTCATGAAGAACGCCTCCCTGTGGCCTGACAAGCTCGTTCCTTCGCTGGCAGCTGGTCTGCCTCACTTTGCTCAGGACTGGGCCAGATGCTGGGGACGTGATGTTTTCATCTCGCTTCGTGGTCTTTTGCTTGCCACTGGACGTTTCGAAGACGCCAAGGAGCACATCAAGGCCTTTGCCAGCGTTGTCAAGCATGGTATGATTCCCAACCTGCTCGGCTCCGGAAAGATTCCCAGATACAACTCTCGCGACTCTGTCTGGTTCTTCTTGCAGAACATCCAAGACTACTGCAACATGGTCCCCAATGGCGTTGACATCCTCAAGGAGAAGGTGAGCAGACGTTTCTTGCCTTACGACGACACTTGGTTCTCGTGGGAAGACCCTCGCGCCTACTCGCAGACATCGACCATCGAGGACGTTGTCCAGGAATGTCTCCAGCGCCACGCTACTGGCATGCACTTCCGTGAGGCCAATGCTGGTCCGGGCATTGACGACCAGATGAAGGATGCTGGTTTCAACATCGACATCGAGACCGACTGGAACACCGGTATCATCTTCGGTGGTAACGAGTGGAACTGCGGTACTTGGATGGACAAGATGGGCTCAAGCGAACACGCCGGCAACAAGGGTGTCCCTGGCACCTCGCGTGACGGTGCCCCTGTCGAAATCACCGGTCTCCTTTACAGCTGTCTCAAGTGGGTCGACGAACTGAACAAGAACAAGCAGTTCAAATACTCCGGTGTCAGCACCAAGGGCGACAAAGTCATCACCTTCAAGGAGTGGGCACAGAAGATTCGCGACAACTTCGAACACTGCTACTACATTCCCACCGATGCTGCACAGGATTCCAAGTACGATGTTAACAGCAAGGTTGTCAACCGCCGTGGTATTTACAAGGACGTCTACAAGTGCAACAAGGAGTACCGCGATTACCAACTCCGTCCCAACTTCCCCATCGCAATGACAGTTGCACCTGATCTTTTTGACCCCAAGCACGCACTTGGAGCTCTGATCGTTGCCGACGAGGCTCTCGTTGGTCCCACTGGCATGGCTACTCTGGACCCCTCTGACATGGAATACCGTCCCAACTACATCAACAGCGACGACTCCAACGACTTCCACACTGCCAGAGGACGCAACTACCACCAAGGACCCGAATGGGTCTGGCCTCGTGGTTTCTTCTTGCGTGCGCTGCTGAAGTTCGACTTGAAGCGCCGTGAGTCGAAGGAGGACAAGGTCGAGGCATTCCAGCAAGTGACGACCAGACTTGCAGACTGCAGACGTGCGATCCACGACTCTCCTTGGGCTGGACTTACTGAGCTCACCAACGAGAAGGGATCCATGTGCCACGATTCGGTAAGTTTCCATCAATATGACGTGCAGAAGACAAACAAGGCTAACATGATTGACAGTGCCCCACTCAAGCCTGGTCTGCTAGTTGCCTGATCGACTTGTACCAGGATGCCAGCGAGTACAACGCCTTGTAAAGTGGCAGAAGCGGAAGCGCGAGCGTTTGCATACCGGTTGCGTTGATCAAAGAGTTGGGAAAAAAGGCGTAGGACGGTGGATTTTGGAGCACTGGCAACGGTCACCTAATTGTTTATACCCTTTCCCTAGATACAGATAAGAATGCTGATGAACTCATGACCTATGGCGGATCGAAGATTGCAACGGTGATGCAGTTCCCACAATAGTTGATGTGCTGTGCATGTGTGCCCGATAACTGGGTGAGAGAAGATCCAAGGATAGCCAACGATACTAGCACGGTTACTCAACCCATAAGACCGGTATTGCGGGCTTGACATGTGGCGGTGAATGCATGCGACGTTTGGTATCGGAGTTGATGATGAAGCACATGAAAGGTACAAGTATGAACACACCAATCCTTCCCAACTCCCAAACCTTGACAGATGACGATTGGCACAATGCTTGCAAGCAGCAAGCGAGCAGGAGGAAAACGAAAGACAAAAAAGAGCGATCAGACGTATCGGAATCAAGAAACAAGCGAACGCGTCACCGACGACAAGGAACACAAAGAAACCATGAGTCCAGCATTGAATCTGTAACACGAGAACGGCGGACATGAGGATTGTCAGACGGGCTGGGAAGCAAGTTGAGTTTCGCGTCCGAGGGTTTGGGAACGCCTCGTTCGGAACAACGGACCGAGCCGCAAGCTCGAGAGTCCGTGCCCTCTTTGCTCGCTCGACGCCAAGAACTCGACATCGATTGTGAAGGTGTGAAGCTGAGTGGTTGCGCATCATCAAACAATTAAACAGACAGACATTCGCGACGATTAGACTGTTATCACGAACGCCAACGACTGGACGAGATATCGTTACGCGCATCTACCTACACGATACAAGAGATCATAACACACAACACAATGAGCGCATCACCAGACAACGCCGCCAATGGCGCAAACGCATCCTCCGTCAACGAAGCCCGCGACCCCTCTGGTTTCTTGAGTCAAATCATCGGCGCACCCGTCACTGTCAAGTTGAACTCTGGAGTCGTTTACAGAGGTGTGTTGCGCCTATCCGCAAGAAGACATGGAGATCCGGAAGAGAGAGAGAGAGAGAGAGAGAGAGAGAGAGGACATGAACACTGATGCGGTGTTGGAACAGGTGAACTGCAATCAGTCGATGGATACATGAACATCGCCCTCGAACAAACAAAAGAGATTGTCGACGGCAAGATGAGAAGGAATTATGGAGATGCCTTTGTGCGCGGTAACAACGGTATGCTGGATCTTGAGCATGGGACGGTGAATGATGCTAATGAGTTGTCGCAGTCATGTACATCTCAGCCGACTCATAGAAAGAGCCACCATGCGACACCCCCCGCTATCGTAGAGCAAGTCTTCAAGATATCGGTGCATACCGAATCAATAGGCGCGTTGAAGGCTGGATCCGAAAGAGTGCCCAGCCTGCAAACAAGAACATGAGCTGGTCTAACGGGACGAAGGCAACGGGCCTTCCTGGAATCGACAGATCTGATATCAAATGGGAGAAAGCTCAGCAAGCGTACAAGTATGAGGCACAAACGGAGGCTCATGCTATTCACGCAGCGCAAGAGAGGTTGAGAATGCGGCAGCGTGGTGCTCGGTGGATGTGATATGGGCTTGCGCCTGTTGCTTTTGTCCGTACTGCTACAAACAACACCCTCACTTCGATTCTCTCTTTTCATAATAAGCATATCCTCATCCTCTCATCTTCTCAAGTTCTGCCGGCCAAAGCATCTTTGACAGTAGTCAACAGACTCTCAGCGCCCTTTTGAGGGATCTTGGTCGTCCATGCTGATACAGTCATTCCATGTAACTTGACCTCACCCTTTTCATTCTTCTCTACATCTTCCATCTTCAATGCTTCTTCAAAAGTGCTCTTGACCTTTTCTTTCTCCTCACTCTCCAAGACAGCGATTTGCGACAGTGTGCTGAAGCGTTGCCAAATAGCCTCTTTGGTCAACCAGACACTCCACTCTTCGGTGTTCTCTGCTAGCGGGAGAGCAAAGAGGGGCTCAGCAGATGTAGTGATCGAGAAAGGGTTAGAGGATAGCTGGCTATCAAAGACGGAACGCCACTTCTCATGGCGGAAGCGAGGTTGATTGTCATCAAAAGTGTGAATCAAGTCTTGAAGCTTTTGCTCCCAGCCTGTGGATGCTGCGTGTGCTTTCGGTGCGTTGTCTAGAGGTAAGGATTAGAGTTGAGGCTTTGAGAGAAAGATGGCTGAGTGTGGCTGGTGGTTCAGAGTATGCATGTTGAACTTTGGAAAGTTTGCGGTATGCATGCACTCCGTACCGAGGGTCTTGAAAGGGTCCTCGGAGGATACATCATGTGCATGGGATAGCAAAATGTGCAGTGCTGACAGCGACAAGGTTTGACACTTACAGTCTTCAATGTTCCAAATCATACCAAAGGCGCCATGAGGTTGTAGCACACGATTGATCTCTTCCAAGGATTCGAGATTGGCGAACCAGTGGAATGCCTAACGGGTAAGGATGTCACAGTCAGCCTACCTGATAAAACGTGCATCTCATGACTACAGTGAGGCGTCAAGTCTTGTCATTGACCTTGATTAAGGTTTCTTGATATAAAAGACAATGGAGAGTGACATGGGGAACCGGAAGAGGAAATGTAGGCAGGAAGAGAGTGGGGTCGATCATCTCCTACCTGGGCAGCTATAACGGCGTCGACACTCTCATCCTTCAGCGACTTCATGTCGGTGGAGAGGCCATGTCGGACGCTGACGCCTTTGAGGTGCTTGTCCTCGAGCACCTTGCGCATGTCGGCATGCGGCTCAATGGCGATGATCTCGTACCCCTCATCTCTGGCGGCCAAGAGCTCGGTGAACTTTCCAGTGCCCGCCGCCAGATCCACGACTGTGGCTTGGGGGCTGTCGGCGACGCGTACGCCGTCGAGCAAGACAGAGACGCTGTGAGCGGGGAACGAAGGGCGATGCTTGTCATACAGAGCGGCATTGCTAAAGCCGCTCTGCGCCGATGGGTTGAGTTGACCGGATGGAGCGGACGTCATGATGATTCTCTGAAAATACAAGAAACAATACTCCGAAGATGTGCAAGGAGAGCACAGGGATTAATGTGATGAACCGGGGCTTTTCTCGTGAAACGGACAAGCGAAGGGAGCAAATGGTCGAAAAGATGGTTGGGACAAACAAGGTCGAGAGATGGTTCGACGTCAAGCAAAGCAAAGTATCATGATGCGGGTTGGAAGTGGAGCGCATCAAAACAAGTGGGCAGTGCGGGAGATGTGCGGCGGGGAGTGGGTTCAAATGGTTGCATAAAAGTCACAGCCACACCAACCACCTGATCGAGCAATCGAACGTGCTGGGGTCGATTCTCTTTTGAAGGTGTGATTAGATGCAACAACGCATCCACGGCATTTCTCTTCTGCTGGAGCGGCGTCGTAACATGTACATAGGGCAAGTACCTAGTATTTTCATGCGCGATTGTCCCCTGCAGTAGGGAAGTCCGAAATGTGAGACCTCTTTCTCGGGATCGCTGCAACATCTGGCGAACACGGTTGACGAGATGAGACATTGTTCAGATGAAGCGTTGACAAAGTGGATATCAGATTCAAAGGTAGAAAAAGGAAAAAGGAAAAGAAGAACAGCGCCCCCTTGTTGTTACAGAATTAGGAACGGGCATCTGCGGGAGACGGGCGGGAAATTTCTTCACACGAAGCTTCTGTTTGCTTCGACTCGTGGAGTGTGTTGCAGATGCAGATCCAAATTGTGGTCAATGTGCACCAGGATGGCGCCACAGCCGGGTGGGAAGGATGGCAAGCGCATCGCGAGTGTTTTCAATGCATCATTGATCACACATCTGAAAGAGGTACAGCACAATTGCAGAAACAAAAGATGGCAGCGGCACATGAAGTGGAGGTTCTGCGATGTAGGTAGACAATGGACAAAGGCGAAAACACATGTCGAGACCGATTGGCTGAGCGAGAGCCCTGGTTGCTATTTTGGAAATGGCGCTTGGCAAATAAATGGACAGGGAGTCAGTCGGTCGAGCGAGGAGGAGATTGATGCAGAAGAAGTGTGGAGTGCGTGTTGACTCTTTTGAGATTTGTACAGGCAGCAGCGATTCATTTGCGAAAAGGACAATTGAAGCTTCTCATTCAATCTATTTAAGACAGCAGTTGAGAGGATGTCGAGAGAGAGTTGACAATAGACTCGGAAGCCAAATCGGCTGTGTAGGTGACAGTAATGTGTTAGGGTCAGACAACACGCGTTCGGCGGGCGGGATTGGGACGGTGGACGGACAGAGACGACATCATCTTGCACGTCTTGTTCTCATGTTTTTCATCTCGCCGACAAAGCCACACAGCAGGTTGAATTGGGCCGGATGAGCAAGTGCGGGAAGTAGCTATTAGCGTCAGACCTTGCCCGTGCCTGGACCACAGCAACCACTCTACGATCTCCTGAAGCGAAATACGAGCACCAACCTCCAGGAAGCGCGACCTCGTCCCTTTTTTCCCACTTGCACTCTGTCATTGTGAATTGCGCCAAAGCAATCTCTTCTCTGTCGCAGTTCCTCAGAATATCCTCCCCTCGCTCGTTCGCCCAATTAATATCAGAAACAACGACAGTGCGACTACTTTTGCCCAATCAATCGGTCAGTGACGTTCCGACGCTTTTCTTAGTAGCAGCAAGCCAGGAAGGCGCAACGGCTTCTCTCAATCGAAACGTGAACGCTCAGCGGTTGTGCCTGTTGTGCCTGCCCCGAGCCTTCACCATCCGGAGAGTCTTCACAACATCACTGCAGCGAACGACTTTGTCCCTCCTTTCCTGAAAGTCTCAGCGACTTGGCGCTTGTTGTTGCTGCTGCTGATCCCGTTCCCCTGGAGAACGCCTTCCTGTTCTTTCCCTCTGTTCGACGAATCACCTTCCACCACTCTTTCGCTACCAGGAACCGCCGAGCCCAGCCTCATTGCTAACCTCGAGCCAGATAATTTTGTTGATACCCATTACATACTTTCGTACATATCGGCTTTCGAGGCGTTCCGTTCTGCACTTTCGCTATCTCGACAGTCCATCAACAAGACTCTAATTCGCTCGCTCCACCTACTCGACGTCGTTCGTTCATCCAACCACCTCGCGGGCATTGTCGGAGACGACAACAGCACCTGCTTCGACACGCACATCACACAGCACAACCTTCTATATGCCTAAGAATCCGCTCAAGAACTTTGCCCGTCGCAAGTCCTCCGGAAACATCCTCGACCTTCCCTCGGAATCCACATCACCCGCACCCGCCTCATCCAGCTTCCGCGTCCTCGAGAGACCAGACAAGGCAGCTACACCGGGCAGCGGCGGATACCCTGGGGGTCCTGTGAAGCGGACAAGCGGCGGGCGACCAGGATCAAGCATCCTCTTGAACAGGAAGTCGGGCAAGTCGCAGGAGGACTTGGTACAAAGCGCAAACAGGTCGGTCGCCCAAAAGAGCCAGAGTCGGCCACACACAGTCTACGGGGTGCTAAATCGGGGCAGGGGCAGTGGCGGAACAGCCCTCTCGGGTTCTTCGGGCTACTTTGACAACTCGTCTTCCTCTGCACGCTACAGCTCTTCGTCCACTCTTCCCTCATCAATCGAGGCAGAACACGAAGCAGAGAACGAAGACCTTTTCCCACGCAAAAACGGCGCCAACAACAGCAGTAACCTTAGCAGCAACCGCTCATCAGCCGCATCGAACGCGCTTCCCGAACCTCCATCATTCTCAGCCCGCGCAGGCAGGGCTATGTCCTTTGGTTTAAGAAGCAAGCAGAACGCTAGTCCCGGCACAATGACTGCTGCAACAGCTCACATGCCCGACCTGCCCGAGAACAGCCTCATCCGTGATCGCGCAACAACTATGAGCAGCAATGCCAGCACAGCCGTACCACCGCGGCTTGACGCCAACCTGGGCTCCATGTCCGATTTTGGCAGCGACTTTGGCATGAACATGTTCGAAGGACTGAGCTCACCTAGACAAGCTAAGAACAACGTAGCAGCCCCTCAACCTGCTCATGACAACTATGGTAGATCGGTACGTCGACAACAATCACCAGGCTTCAACAACTACAACAACGCTTACCAACAACGTCCTCCCCAACAGGCATCTCAGCCATTACCTGCTCCTCCTGCCCACCGCTATGATCCCACGCCCTCGCCTGAAGCCGCTGTCGAACCCGAAACGCGTCACAGACCAGCAAATTTGTCTGCCGCCTCCGCAAACCGCTATTCTTGGGCCAGTAGAACCTCCAACGATGGGCTCATGTCTCCAGCCATTGGTTCCGACATCTCCTCGCCTCCTATGAACCCTCCCTCGACTTTTGCTCGTTTCAGACCAGGATATCAACCAGTACCCGACCGTTATGGCTCGCCCGCTAATGAGACCGAGCCTGAACACGAAAGGGCAGATAGCTATTCCAGCGAAGAAGACGCCTCACGCCCGATCTCGCGCGCCAGATCCCCTCTTGTCGAGTCTTACACTGCGCCCACATCCCCGCAAAGAGTCGTCCCAGCTGCCAGAAACCCCACAATCGCTACCGTCACCAGAGACGACCTTAGCTCATCTGAATCGCTAGGCGAGTCTCAACACACCACCCCTCGTGCCAACAATCTGCGTCCTACGAGCAACACCTCCGATGGCATGTTCGATCACTCTCCTTCTGGACCTACCAGCCGTGCTGTGCACGTCGCAGCACCTCCGGTCACCTCCAGAACTCAGTCTCAACAGTTCTCGCCTACCAAGAGGATGACAAGGAAGGAGTTCGAAGCACAGCGCAGAGAAGCTAGCCCCGAAGAGAGTGAGGAGTCCGAGGAGTCCGAGGAAGAAGGTTACGATGATGACGACGAGGCTGAACGTCAGGCAGAGCTTGCCAGACAAAGGCGCAAGCAAGAGGCCAATCTCTCTGTCTACAGACAACAGATGAAGAAGGTCTCTGGAGGAAACCCTTCGGAGCTTCCATCGCAAAACGGTCGCCCAAGCTTAGATCGTGCTTCCTATAGCGCTCCTGGACTCACTAGAGACTTCTCGAATGTCAGTCTCGGTGCTGAGCAAGAGGAGGAGGATGATGAGGTTCCTCTAGGTATCCTCCAAGCACACGGCTTCCCTAGCAAGGGCCGTCCCCCGACTCGTCTTGCTAGTGCTCCTCCTACTCCTGGCTCGGTCGTCAATGGCGGAATGGGAGGGGGCAGCCTTCCAGTCTTCGCCCGCAATCTCCCTGCGGACCCCTACTTCGGCGCTGGTCTCGTCAATCCTTCCAACCGAGAGTCACTTGCTTTCGGTTCTGGCGGCTCAGTGTATGGCGGAGCTTCTCCTTCCATGCACCAATTGCCTCAAATGCCCCAGATGATGCCGCCTCAGCAGATGCCCGGCATGCCCCAGGCAGGCGGTGGCCTCGTTGGCGTCATTGCTGGCGAGGAACGTGCCCGCGCTGCCAGACGTGTTAACCATAATGGCGGTGCCACCTTCAACGCTAACGGATTGCCTTTGCCCGGCAATATGCATAGCAACATGCCTCCCCAACTGATGCCGCGATCTAATTCGATGATGAACGTGGCTCCACCACAGATGGGCCCGCAGATGGGTATGGGTGGCTTCATGCCGCAGATGCCTCAAATGCCCCAGATGATGGGTGCCGAGCAGCAAAACACACAGCAGATGATGCAGTTGATGTTCCAGCAAACTCAAATGATGCAACAGATGATGGCCATGCAGGGCGGTCAAATGCAGCAGATGCCTCAGATGCCTCAGATGAATTCGCCGCAGATGCAAAACGGCGGATTTCCCAACATGCTTCCGAACGGCATGCAGCGACCTATGTCTATGGGTGGCCCTAACGGACAGCAACAACCTGGAATGCTCGGCCCTCAGGGCGGTATGCATCAGCAAAGGTCCAGTACAATGACCAACCTGAAGCCTCCAGGCTACGCAGGATCGATGTATGATTACAGTCTTAGTGCGCCTCGCGGTGGCTACACCCCATCAATCGCCCCGAGCGAGCGCAGCAATGTTGGCATGCCTTCTCGCTATCGTCCTGTGACCGTGGAAGGTTCTACCAGCCGCACAGCAAGCATGACTTCGCAATCCGGTGTCCAGAACTTCGCGAAGAAGAACGCCTCGACTGGCTCTTTCTTGAACCCCAACAACATTCCCGCAACCAACGGCAGCAATGTACCGCGAACTACAATCAAAGTCATTGACAAGCCAAAGGGCTCGCCGAGATCCCCCCAACCCAGAGCCGACGAAGAGGACGATGATGAAGGCTGGGCACAACTGCGCAAGAAGAGAGAGGAGCGTAAGAAGCGCGGCACCGGCAGCAAGTCCCAAGAACAGACTCTGGAAGAGCTGTACCAGGGCTTCAACTAGAATTTCGAAGCTCTCTGTGTGCATGATTCCCGAGTTCTGTCTCTTTCACCCCATTTTTATCACGGACGTTGAGGACACTTTCTCGACAACCTTGTCTATAGACTTCCCTTCTCCTTCCCATTCCCCATTTTTCTTCTCTTCCATCACCCTAGTACTTCTTGTCTTTTTTTATTCTTCCAAATTTTCACCGCAACGGCTTTCTTGGAAACCACCTATTTCTTACCCTCTCCACCACTCTTGTCATTTTCTTTTGTCTCATCACAACGGCGTTTTGGTCTCAATCAGTTCTTTGCATTTACACACCACCAAAAAGGAGCAGCAAGTTCGAAGGAAGAGGAAATGAATGTATGGGTGTTTAGGGATTCGTTCTTTGGAAGGAGAATTGCCAAAGACACTGAAAGAACGAATGTGAAAGTGCAATTGAGTCAATGTGGAACAAACAAACAATAATAAGAGAGCTCCTCATTTTTTTCGATTTCATGATTTTGTGTTAATGCTTCTTGTGATTTTGACTGTTGTTACGAAGAGCCAGCTAGTTGTGTTTGTGTGCTTCAGGGGATGAGGAGTGTGCAGCAAGGTATGTTTTCTTGAGCCATCCCGTCTTCGATCCCATGTTCTGACCACCAGTTCGTACGTTCAGTCAAGCTCAACCCGGACCTTCTTGAGCTGCTTGAGTGCGTCTTGTTTTGCCTCGGCCGCAATAGTGTTTGCAACCACCTCGTCGAAGTGGCCCTTGACTTTTTCCTCGAACCTGTAAAGCACATCGGACTCTTTATTCATGGCTCTCTTGACAGCAGTCATGATAGCATCTCTCGAATTTGTAACCGCGTTTGCAAGAACAACGTCGGAGCCCGATCGAACTTCCTTGAGGATGGTGTCGACGATTGTTCCAATGCCATTGCGGGTCAGGAAGTCGAGGGACTTGGAACGCCTGATAGCAAGAGACGGCGAGTATCAGTATTGATGTTTTCAAATGGTCAGGTTGGACAGGTGTGAGTAGACTTACTTGGCACTGTCTGAATCTAGACTCTTCACCTTTGCGGAGATCGAACCTAGAGCTGCTGCACTTTTGTGGATCACATCTTGTGCGCAATCTTCATCAGATTCGGAGGAGTCTGAGTCCGAGGAGTCTGAGTCTGAGTCTGAGTCTGAGTCTGAGTCTGAGTCTGANGTGAAGAAAGGCGATGGGCGGGGCAAGACTGGTCCTTGAAGAAGGGTAGGAACGCGGTGTACGAAGTGGAAAGAGCCGTGTAGGTTGGTGGGTTTTCGTCAATTATCCTTCTCTGACATGACGCTTCTCTGGCAACTGAGCTATTGATTCAGGCAGTTGCGATCATCGTTCGCTCTGTCCTCGGAGAGCACAACTCAACCACCATCATCAAACTCCAAACTCCAAACTCCTTCATTATTTCTGTCTCAAGTCTCTTTGCCGCGACATCAGCAAGAGCTCTTCTCAAGTGCTCAGTGAACTTCTTCTCGAAGCCCAGGAGCATATCCGGATCCTGGAGCAGACTTTCCCTGATGGCAGTTCTGGTGCTGTTGGAGCCGCCGAGTTTTCTGAGGCCATCCTTGATCAGGTTTTGGTTTGAGATACTGAGCTTTTGCATCTCTTCTGCAAATCGACGGCCGAAGATCTTGTCAATAGTCTCTCCAACCGTAGAGTTAAGAGATTTGGAGTGGCTGTAGAAATGCACGTTCAGCTTTCGGCGTTTTGGGGACAAGAACGAGGGAAAGTGTTTCTCACTCAGTGCTCAGAGCTTCCATCTGCTTCAGAGATTGTGAGCCCATCGACATCGTGTTTGCAGTCAAGAATCTTGTCTTTGCCTGGTCCGCCCCAAGTCTGGGAGGTGAGGCCGCCGAGGTCACTTTGGAGCTTCTTCACTTTGTTGGACAGAACCTCGAGGTCAACATGAGAAATGTAGGAGTGAGTGTTTATGGTTGAGCTTGAGGGTATCATTGCGGTAGGGGAGATGAGCAAGTGAGGTGAAGAGTTGGTGGGGTTCGATTTGTCAGATGTTCTTGCACGTTTGTTGGGTGGTTCGTCGGAGATTGGACGTGAATGCGAGAGTGACGAAGGGACAGGCACTTTGGGCTGAGATCAAATGGATGTACAAGTGTTGCAAGTCTTGAGAGGTGTTGCAAGGACGAAAATGATGTTGGGGTGAAACATGGTCGCAGAAGCTAAGTCATATTCATGTGTATGGCTGCATGAGGTAGCAATAACTGTCACTTCTTGCCTCGATGTCTTCCTGACAATGCCGACATCTCATATTTGATAGCAGGCCAGCGTTCTCGAGCATCGTCCTCGCTCAAAAGCCTCACCAGCAACATTAGCCCAGCAAACAATATGATCCTCGTTGCAAATGAGCCGTCCGCTTGTCCCTGATTCACTCATTCACTGGTCTTGCCGCAGACTCTCAAGTCCTTCCACTGTGTTTCCAACTGAAGTTCAAAGTCCTTCGTCGCCTTCTGAACCATGTCGCGCCTGAAGTACTGCCTGATTTTGGCTTCGAGGTCCTCGAGTGGCGTCGGATCCTCCTCCATAGCTTTTTTGATCGGCACCACAAAGCTGTCCGGGTCATCAAGTCGACTGTACCATTTCTTGTATGTCAGGTCGAGATATGTTCCATCCAAGCTAGCGAGGCATGACAACTCGTTATCGACAATCCTTTCAATTGCGGTCTTGATCAAGAAGTCCATCGTTGCTGTGGATCTTTGGACATATTCAGCATGGTAACACGATGCAAGAATGTTGCAATGCTCTTACCTCGTTGCCTTTTTGATCAAGCTCTCCATGTTGGCTTCGTTGCTGATATATTCATCCATCTCCGTCGAGGATCTATTGGGACATCAGCAATAGCTCCAGCTCCATCGGTGCAGTAAACACCAACTTGGTTGCTCTAGCCTCCAGGTCTTCGAGTGTACTGCGGAGACTGCTGGCTGTCTCCTCGCAAGACTTGAAGACTCTCTTCATGTCACCCTCGGTACCGTTGTTGAAGAGGTATGACCCGAACGTGTTGGTCACTCGCTGCAAATCTTCGGTGCGGAAGATCATACTTTCGAGATCATCAGAAGAAACATAGCACGCGAATTGCTTTGTTTCCACAAAGCTGGGGAGTACGTCTTGAAGCGTCGATACGGATGTAGCACTGGTCGATTCATTGCTGCTCATCCTCAAGCGCTTTGCCGGTGGCTCGGCAGAGTTTGTGGACATGGCTGGTGTCGGTATCAGTGGAACTTTCATGGCTTGACGAATTGTCGGTGGAAGTAGGTCCAGATCCAAATCCAGGTTTGGATCCAGGTGCATCTTGAACGAAAGTTGGTAAGAACTGCGAGAAAGTGGGATGGATTTGCAGAGGATGCGGCGTGTCAACAAATCAATTGAAGTTCACGTTCTTGAAGGTTGATAGGGAAGGTGCGACTTCATGTTGAAAGCGTCCTTGGCTTTGAGGACATGTGATTCAGGCCGTAAGGGGAAGAAGTCTTAACGCCTTGGAAGTCAGGCACTCGCTTAACACCTGCCTCGTGACTCAAGTCAAAGTGACGATGTGTACAGTTGGGCGAAGAAAGTTTGCCATGCGCACTTATTTCTGGTGTGCCGACACGACTTCCTCACGTTCAAAAATGGTGAGATCTTCTACTTTTTGAAGGCTGCCATCTTGTCTAATACATCTCACAGAGGCAAGAAATAAACAACTCCGTCGGCGTCAGCTCTCACCAGATCTTTCCGAACGAGCTTAGAGACACCATGGCTTCTATCGATGATCTACGCACAGTGATTCATCACCTCAGCAACCCAAAGTCGGTCGAAAGACTTGATCCCGAAAAGATCCACCACTTCATGATGACAAAACTCGACCAGATCGAGCAGTTTCTGTCACAAGTACAGGGCGGGTAAGTCTGTCCTCTTATAGTGTATTGCAATGTGCTAACGCCAGTCTGCAGCCCTCCCGAACAACCCAAAGCCGTCCCTCCGCCATGCATGGACTTCCTCATCTACAGCGGTATTGATAAAGTCATGCAGAACACGGTCAAGGAACTTATCGCCTTCGATGGACCCGAAGCCCCGCTTGTCCACGAACACATCGGAGATCCAGCCTTTGGTCGCTATCTCGAACAGTTCCTCATCTCCACGAAAGAGATGATCGCTCGCGATCCATCCCTTCTGGATAACTTCGAGGTCACTGTCAGAAAGCGCTTCCTTGATCTGTTGATCAAAAAGATACAAAAGTCGATGAACTACAAATTGAGAACACACTTTGAGTTGCTCTAATTATGTGGAGTCTACTCTCGTCCATGTCTTTTTCATCATCCGGCGTAAATAAGTATGTGGGCCGCAGTCTTGATAGAAGGGAGTCAAGGTGTGCTTGATTGGAATTGCTGTACATCTTCTAGATCAAGCGTTGAGCCACAGTGGTTTCCCTCGCCATCTTCTGTCCCTTCTTAAGTGATCATTGCGATGTATGAAGCCAAGCCTAGCTGGACATTCTTGAGCTAAAACCACCACTTGATCAGAGTCATGTCACAGATTATCGTCGAGGGCTCGACTGTACTCATAGACATGGTCACAAGAGTCAACTTCTGTACGAGATTTCACACAAAACTTGACAGACTCAGCTCGGCTATGTCTGAGTCAGTGAACATGAGGCCAAAGGCCGCTAGAACCAGCTCCTCAAATAAACATCTTCGGTACCCTTTCGAGAGTAAGCCTCCCACTGCAACAAGTGCTCATCTCACGCAAAGGTGATGTGTATGTGAGAGGACAGGGATTGCATCCGAACAAAAATGGCCCCACGCATACACATCGGAGGAGCTATCAAAAATCAAGACGTTAGCAACAATCTTCACTGAATGTGTTCGTTGGGGGAATTTGCAACTCCTTGGACTCACTCTGGAGAGGGTTGCGATAGGTCCAAAAGCAGCTCCTTGTCTTCGCCAAGCCGGTAGAGATGTCCAGCTCTGGTATGACGTTCCAACACAAGTGAATCGCAGACGGAAGTGAACTCGACAGGAAGAAAAGTCGTGCATCAGATTCTTCCTGAAACTCTTCTCGCTCTTCTGCCTCCTGCTTTCGAATTCGCACAACTGTCATTTTGCTCTCTCGACGAACCTCATCACATACAAGACAAGGTACATTAGTGTCTTCTTTCCCACGCTGTTGGTGTCAATTTAACCAGTGAATTAGATGGATGGTACCGCTTCAGTCGCATCAGTCGTCTCTCTCGACGAGAGCGAACCTCACTTCTACAAAATCTCACCCGACGAGATGAACAAACTCAAGCACAGTCTCACCCTCATGGAAGATCGTATGAGAAGTCTGTGGATCTTGATGGGGCGCGCACACATTGATCCTATCCTCAATGAGCTCTCTACTGTGAACGTCACTCTCGCAAAGGCCGAGAAAGTTCCTGAGGACCTGTAAGTCTGGCGGACACCAAGTTTTGCAAGACTCTATTATTGACACTGAATAGGACACCCGATCCTTCCGAGTCTGGAGACTACTATACCGAACTGGATGATCCTGAGCCTAAGCCCGAGCCTCAGCACGTCAGGCCCGGCATAGACGGATTTCTCATCCGAACTGGCATGGCCGCGATTCTCGGCGACATGATTGATGAACTCAAGGATCTCAAATCAGCCGATGCCACCGCCATGATGGAATGCATTGAGGAACTAGAATATGACATGGCGCAGGAGCTTCATGTTGTTATTCAGGAGGCTGCTGAGAGAACCCCCGAATTCATCAAAAGATTCGAGGCCAATGCCCGAAAGCTTACAATTGAGTTCTTTACCAAGAAGTGGCAAGAAAATGCGCTTGAAAGGATAACAAATACATTCAAGCAGATCTGAGAGTGCGGTCTGAAGCTTGAAAGGTGAAAGTAGAAGCTTACTACCGTTTCCTACAAACATGAAGAAGTGGCACAAGAATAGCAAGTAAGAGACAATGAAAGACACATGGCTGGAGAATACGGATATCAGATGCACAAAAGGAGCTGCCATAGAGCTTTTTTCGCTGTCTCAAAAGAATGCAGATGTTGTAGCGATCAGTACAAAGCAAAGCAATGTTCATTGATGGTTTCTGATCCCGAGATGCTGAGCGGACTCTCTATTGGCCTCTAAAACATTCTGGTCACAATCTTGCCTTCCACATCTTATTCCGATCCTCATCAAGAATTGTTCTCATACTCTCAGTGATTTGTTCGATTTCTTCGACCGATCAAAATGTATAAACACAATCTCAAAGTTGTTGATGAATACCGGGAGCAAGGCGGTTTTCGTTTTGTGCCAGAACTGGTATGTTTCGAGCGTGCCCCTCCACTGAAGAGTTGGATGACAGGAGCGACAGGCGATTGACCTCCTCGTATATCTCAGAAAGACTGAGCTTTGGCAATAGCTTCCTTGTCCAGAAACTTCCTGGCCACCTCCTTGTCTTTGAACTTACACACGAACGTCTCCAATATATTCTCGCTAGGCAAAACTCAATTGCACCATTTTGTCGTTCCTGATCGAGTACAAGTCCTTATTCAAGGTGATGTTGAGGTCGAGAAGGGCCTTGTCAGAATATTCGGCGCGCACGAGGATGCGTGGCTGGGAGGTGTCCCTGCTGACGAGGATACAAATGGGACCGCGACCTTTGCGGACTCACTGGATTCTCAGTTTCCATAATCCATTTGGTCACTCTAGTACGAGCTTCGTGAACAAGAGTAGAGGCGGCGAGATCTTCAGCGGTCGGAGCAGTCAGGTCTTTCGTTGTATCGACAATGATATCTTCGACAGTCACTTGGATAGGAGTATCGTTGCGATCAGGCTGGGAGCTACTTCTCAATATTAGAGGTTATTTCCGAGACGTTCCATCATTTATCTGGACATACGGAGTGGCAGGTTTGAGGTTGCTGATCATAGTCTTGATTCGTTCGATTTGGTGGGCGTGGATGACTGCGCCGCTGACTGTAGACTTCGCCTGTCCGACGATCTCTTCCAGGAGCTTTATGTCGGCAGTAAAGATCTTGCCAAAGACGACTTCGTCTTCATCAGCCATGTTGGCGTGAGCGTTTGATCTGGTGAATGGCGGAAGGGTGGTTTGGACAGAGCTGATAATTTCATGGAGCAGTGTCGAAGGGGGATCAAGACAATGTTCCAAGTGCGGCCGAAAACTTTAGAGCGAAGAAAGGCATGCGCTTTTGCAAGGTGGACAGCTCTTGCTGGTTCCGCTCCTGCTCGGCGATGAACAGCGCCTGCTGTTTGTTAACAACCGCAAAGACAAGGAAGATGAGACAGGTTCAAAAGTGAGATCATGGAAGTCACCTCATTGGCATCTCCCTTCTTCACCTTGCAGAAGCAAACTATATAGTCTCACAAAATTGACCTCCTTGTACACCCCTCATCTAAATCCACACGGTAGTCTGGTCTGAGGGGGACCGCCGATCCTCTGTACAGGAAGTAAATTACCGCCATTTACGATGATTGTATACGCCGGGAGTAGTAGACAACGCGTCTATTGCTTTTGCTCCCCAAAGGTGGTGTGTTCGACCCTTCGGCTTACCCCTTTTTTCTTTTTGTTTTGCATTTTTTCTTTCACATTCGAGATGTACTGTTCCTGATTGTGTGACTGATGCGCTACTCTGTCCAGGCATAATTTCATGGCATCTCACTGTGAAAGCTTTTACAGTGACCTTACTTGGATGGAGTAACCATACTCTGACCAATATTTTCCATGAACTTGATTTTCGATTCTCTTCAGCCTACCGTTTCTTAGGAAAATCTTGATGTTGGTCTTGGACGCGAACACCGATAGTTATCAATCTCATCCAACACCACAAGCTCAGTCCCCAAATCTTCTATGCTACCGCCTTCTCTTCTCGCGAAGCCGTATTACCTGATGTTATTCCCACCAACAACACCATCAGAGAAGACGCCCTTGCCAAGTTTCATTCGGCACTCTGGACAATACCATTTGGAGCGTGGTGGAGGAATTCTGGTTAGTCGGACGCATTTGGGATGAAACCATTCCTTTGCGCACTTTACATGCTTTGTTTAGTGCATTCCGGGAATTGGGAGTATTGAGAAGCTGGACTTACTTTGTTGTCACAAGCAATCATTTTGCCGTATGATTCTTTGCCACAGACGCAGTAAGTTTTTCCTTCGGAATTGGTTGAGTCTTCGGAGGCAGGATCGTCTTCGTCTTCGTCTTCGTCTTCGTCTCCGTCTCCGTCTCTATCTTCATCCTCGTCCTCGTCCTCGTCCTCGTCTTCAGACTTTGTTGAAGATTTGGTTTCATCGTCCATCTCCGCGGCACTTTTGGTATCCTCTTCCTTGTCGCCAACCTCAGTATCTGCCTTCTCTTCGGTATCTTTGATCGTAGCTCTTTCTGCGTCGGAGATGCCTTCCACAACGTCCTCTTTGGAGCCAGGCAAATCGTAGTAGCGAACCCACTTGTTTGCAACGACAGGCGGATCGTAGCGGAAAAGACCTTTCTTCCAATTCTCTCTGGCCTGTTCAAGTGTAGCTGGCCTATTGACCCTCAATCAGTCATTGTACTCTAGAAAATGAAAAGCGACTTACGTGTGAGTAACCATCTGACACATGACGATGGGAGCCAAGAATCTGATCTCCTTGTTTGGGATGCCGGTATCCAGAGCACCGAGCCAGCGCTGTAGTGTGCTGGAGCAGAGATCGCCGTTGCGCGGACGGTGGGGTTCGTTGTTGAGATGGATCGCTAGGTTTTCGACGAGTATCATCGTGTCAGCGACAGAGGAGATTGTGTTTCGAGACATATCGAGATACTGCCTGATCGACCACACGATTCTTGTAGAAGTCAGAAGGCTGATGGCATGATTTATGTGTCTCTACACTGTTTGCTACTGCTGTGATGCTAAGAAAGAACAGCATTTGTAAGCTTTGTTGAGACAGGAGAAAGAAAGCTTATCAATCTATCTGCGTTCAGATAGAATGATGAAAAGAGTATGCTACAACTGACGTCTTCTAGGATAGCAAGGGGCGACTCAGATGGGTAAGTCTAATGCATCAGTCGAGCCTTTCATACATTCTCTTTCTGATCATTCTCTTCCACCTTGACGGCCGCCCAGACTCATAGATCCATCTCTTTGCCATACACAAGAAGTAGTGTTTGACCTTTCAGGCCAGAGCAATCACTCCTCCCAGCTGCTCAACCCACGATACCATTGGTGTACAAGCCACGATTGCGCTTCTTGCGACAATCTCTACAATACCAGTCCGATTTCTCGGGAGGGACTCTTGATAGGCCGGCACATGAAATGTGGTACCACTTGCCCTTGCACTGTATAGGGTTTGTTAGCGACATCAGTGAAAACATAGACACTTTTACGCACATCGACATCTTTGTGGTTGTTGCACTCGACCATGGAACGTTCGTCTTGAGGCATGTTGCAATGACACCAGAGCTCGCGGTCGGGATAGTCATCGTCGGATTCCTCGGCAGTGGATGACGAGTCGGCGTTTTCAGGGTCTTGAGGTTCGGGCTCTTGCTGCATGGATATTTCGGCCGGGTCTTCAGCTTCGTCGATGGCGGTTTCCCCATCTAGGTCTTCATCATCGCCCTCGTCATCATCGATTTCATCCTGGCGTGAGTTGGTCTGGCGACGGTTGCGCTCAGGTTTCTTGAGTGCATGGTAGGCCTTTTCAGCACTTCCACGTACGGTGATTTCTCCCTCGGTGTCCTCCGGCCCGCTGTTGCCATCATCATTGATGTTCTGCTCTGAAACTTCTGCCTCGGCAGCATCTCTGATACTGGTTCTGGCAGTTTCTCCAGGGTTGAAGTCTGTCATGGACTCATCATCACTGTCATCTTCGGAAGCATCATCCTCGATGGTAATGATTTCTACACCGGCCGCCACAGATGCATCCAATGGGGAACCACCACTCTTAACAACGTGATCGATGTAAAAAGTGGCATCAGGGTTCCAAGGGTTTACGGCAACGGGGTTAAAGTTAGCGATAGGAGCGCGCGCCAAACATCTAGGGTTGTCCCAAATGCCGAGATTTCTATGGCACGTCAGTTGAGGACTACAAAACTTCAGGGCGGTACCTACTGTTTGTGCAGCAAGAGTTCCAAGACAGGAACACTCAAGAAGTCGACTGCTCTAGGCTCGATATCGACATCCAAGGCTCTGATCCAAGCGTCGACTTCACCACGAGTAAGCTCTCTCACGCTCGGAAGGTTTGGTTCAGCTGCGAGATGGCTGGCCAGATGTCTAACCAAGTTCATGGTGTCGTTGAGAGACTCGGTGGACATGATTGCGGTGGGCGAAGATTGAAGGCGTCGAAAGTGTGTGCAGAATGAAAGATACTCGCGCCGCGATGTGTGATGAAAATTGCAGCGTGTTGTTTGCTCTCGGGTCTTGATGGAATGATCCTCAGTTCTCCGGCACGAATTCTCACGTCCAGTAGAGAAGGTGCTGTGTGAAAGTGCAATCGTGTTGGTCCCGGTGAGGCGGTTCGGAGACGATCAGGAACCGCAGCAGAACAGAACCCGGAGACTTGGTTATGCTTTGTCGAGTCTTTAAGTTGGGCTTGTGTTAATGGTTCTTGCTTGTAGCCGAATTAGAGCGAGCAACAGTACAGCGGGAGTATCTTCCAAAGCGAACCGATCGACACGCACCTAAACAGCCGAACGTAGACGCAAGAATGATGGATTTGACTGGGTGCCTCGCAAAACATAAAGACGGTCCTCTTCAGATCTTGGTCATAGAGACCAGACCACACAACGAGGACAAAATGGAAACAAAGGAAAAGAACAGACGCAAGCAAGCAAAACAGTGTCATAACAACGCAACAGAAATAGTCTATGCAAATAGCTTTGGCCACTGCCGCCAGAACCACCTCTGGAGCTTCCATGCCAACCTGGAAACATCTCTTGAAGGTATTGATGCATTTTCTCGATATCGTCCAACTGATATTCCAACAAGGCTGGACAACGATTTCTGCACATGTCCTAGCTCCGCCACCAAATATACTCATAGAATCTACTTCCATCAAAGGTCCTAGACAATACGGTAATCGCAGGGAGATCCATCTGTAGGTTTGTCCGCTGGATTTTGTTGTCGAAGCATGCGATGACACATTCTGGTTCTTTTCTTAGTAGTCTCTTGCCTCTTCAAGAAACATCTTCCAAGCGGAAGGCTGTGCTGAGCACGGCTCTGATCGTGTCTATCTCCGACTCGGTATGCTGCGTGATTCTGCACAACTCAAGTAGCTTCTGCCACATGTCCAATCTCTGCTCTGTAGGCGCGTCACGGACTGCTTCCAGAAAAAGACAGGCAGCAGCAACACCCCAGGTAGAGTTAGGAATTGGGGGGTTGATAACGGCCGCTATCCTGTGCGATAGCAACTCCGACTCTATGATATTGCCATAACAGTCTCCGAGCTCAGGACTGGCCACAAGGTGTACGAATACAGCCTTGTTGCCTTTGACAGAATAAAACCTGCGCACTCGCCGTTCGATATCGTCGAGGTCATGCAGGAAGAGAGGTGCGATTTCTGACTTGACTGTTGCGATGATTTTGCAGTGCTCGTACACCTCCTGTGTGATTTGGAGGCGTGTACGTAGGAAAGCAGGCACCTCTCCATGGAAGAAGCGTTGCTCATCTTGTACGATATCCTCGTAGACCTGAATGCGTATCTCCAAAGGCATATCGAAGAACCTCATGACTGCTGGCGACCGGCTTACGTCTTCGGTATTCAAGAGATTTTCCAAGGTCTTGGCTAGCGCTTTGTGAATCCTTCGACTGGATCTGAGAACTTGCGATGGCACACTTGAACTTTGGCCGACGTTCGTCTGTGGTCTTTTACTCTCCTTCATTCGCTTTTGCACAGTGAACTTCTTCTTTGTCGATGATTTGACGGGAGTGGCCGATTCACGCAGCAAGGCTTCGGGATTATGTAAAGAGCCTCAAAGCCACGCGCTGTATGACGTCCGGCAGCTTTTCGAGCTCAACAGTCGCTACATGACCTTGCGAAGCGATGATCCAGATGAGTAAGCAGAGTAGTGATCATGAGCGCATCTGGGCAGCTATGAACTTGAACATTGCTTTGCTCTTCTCTCTTCCCCTTTCCCACCATACTTCGTCCTACCCACGGAGACCAGGTGTCTTGTAGGTGCACCTGGCGATTGCTTTCCTTGCTGACATCCTTCAGGGCCCGGCACAATCAGCTTGTATCTCTTCGTGGTGTGCCAGATTATTAGCCTTCGTATGAAGCCAGATCAAGCTGCCGGAAACAACAACTCGACAACCTACCTCGACACCGACCGAACGATCACAGAAGACCGAGCGATACCGATCGATGGAGCGTTGCGACGTGATGAAGGGTGTCCCTAGGAGAGAGAGGATAGGTGATGCAAGCGCAGACAGGCTGTTCGGCCACGAAGGGGCGAAGATTTATGCATCTGACGTAGCCCCAAGAGGCGGATGTTCCGAAACAAGCTCAATGTTGTTCTCGTTGGTCTTGTTGTCCTGTGGCCTACCTAGCGATTGAAGGAGAAAGTATGATGTCCAAGCACGTTTTGGTCGGGTCGAATACGGTACGAATAGATGGGTTTAATGTCAGGCGTGGTAGTCGTATCGCTTACAATTAGTCCTTGCCGGCAGAGGGTTCGATTGCCGTGTGTTCAGAGTCCAGCTTGTCCAACTGATTCTTCCGTGCAATAAGCTCTTTGAAGCTAGTGACGTTTTCATAGCCTTTGGGCATGCATCCCTCGGGTCGTTTCACATAACATGCGTGGCAGCTGTAAGAAGCCGGTCGAGCGATGTTTTGCCAGTATAGAAGCATGCCTCCAGGTCTTGTGAGGCCACAATACTCGCAGCAATGCTTTAAGGGAGCTGAATGTAGGACAGGACGGTGCGACCCCCATGGGAGATTTTCTCGTACCCACGAAAATCTTCGTACCCAAATGCTCAATCTTTTCATCAACCTCATAGTCTGGTCCTCAGCATATCTCTGAGCATGGATTTCGCGAAACCGCCGATGTTGATTTGCGACCCAGTCGGGATCCTCAGCTGCTTGACGACGCCAGTACCCCGCCCGTTCGTGACATGATTTCATCTGCCAATCCGGATCTGTCCGTCTGAGTATCTTTCTTCGTTCGTTCCATACATCTAGTTGTCGTCTGTGTATAAAGGGATCTTTTGACCATGTAGGATTGACGTGAGAGGAAGACAACAATCTCAGACCAATGGAAGGATACGGTAGCTCGACAAGGAAACGCCTCGCATCGAACAGAACTGTTGACATGTTGTCAGAACTTGTGAGGACTTGGCAATGGTCAAAGGTGGCTCCAAGGCGTGAAAGAGAGCTCGTGACGAGGATGGGAAGTCCGGCTCCGACATCATCATGCTGACGCACGGACGTTCGCGACTTTTTTGGTCCCTGTAACTTTCTGCTCTGCTACGCAGCACCATCATCACCATAACTCACTCCCCCTCGACACCAGTGTATTCCTGTTCTTCAACCCAGAGTAATCGGATCGCATATCACTTTCCAGCCGTACACACCCAATTTTGCCCACAAAACCTTCCTCCATCGAAACGAAAATCACCATGGCACCGCGTCAAGCACCCCGAGCACCGCCAGCAAAACGCCGCAAGACTACTACTCAAGTCGACGAGTTGAAATTTGACCCAGAGGCACGCAATGAATGGCTCACCGGCTTCCGCAAGAGAAAGCAACAGCGCATCAAGCACGCCCAAGAACAGTCGGCCAAGATTGAAAAGGAAGAGAAGGTCAAGGCGAGGAAAGAGGTACATATCAAGCCCCGCTCTGCACTCCTACGATTTCCTGGACGATTGACTGATACCATCCATAGATGCGCGATCAACGAAAAGTAGACCTAGAACGCCATGTTGCCGAAGTAAACGACCTGCTCAGAAAAGCGAACAAGGATTCAGACGACGAAGACTCCGCCGCAGAAGACGACGAGGAATGGGATGGCATTGCTTCGCCGCCTAGACCTTCCATCGACGGTGTAGACGAGTACGTTGACGAGGACAAATACACAACCGTGACCATCGAGGCCATGGAAGACGCAAAGGCTTTCACAAAAGACTCGGACGACGAAGCGGAGACCGCTGTGGTCAAAGAGGACGCTGATGCCAAGGATGAAGCTGTGGTCAAGAAGAAGACGATGTGGTCAAAAGGCAAGAAGGTGGATTTCAAGGACAAGCCCAAGAAGAAGAAGTTCAGATATGAGAGCAAGGGTGAGAGAAAGGAGACTCGCAACAAGCAAAGGTCAAAGAACGCCGCTGCGAAGAAGGCCAGGACGGAAAAGTGATGTGGATGGCATACGATTCATTTCAAGAGCACGCATGATACCCAAATAAGCATTTTGTTTTTTCATGTCAACGAGACAAAGAAGCTTCCATTCTATCGGTTGAAGCGGTGGTATCGTTCTGGGGAGGGAGATGATGATTTCTTTAAAGGAGTAACAAGTTCTGAAAAAACGCTCGGAGAATGCTCTCATTCTCTACGCAGCGATGATGACGCCCATGCTGAGAACCCAAGATGAAGAAACGGCGATGAAGAAGACGATGGGAGATACGAGAAAAGGCCGTGACGAACGGATGCAAAGGTGGTGAAGAGAAGACGTGGCTTAGATGTTGCCAATCTCGGCGACAAAGTCGTCGAGCTCCTTCTTGGTGGCATTGTACTTGGCGGCCATCTCCTCGTACTTGGCCTCCCATTGATCGCGGGCGGCCTCCAGGGCTTGCACCTTGCGCTCGTAGTGGCCGGCCTTGACGTCGGTCTGGCGAAGCCTGTGAATGGCATGTCAGCAAGTTGTTCAAGCTGAATGGGAGGAGTGTAAACGTACTTGTCGTTGGTCTCTCTCAAGTTTCTGTCAGCCTCCTCGGCCTCCTCCTCGAGGAGTTGCAGTCTTCTCTGCAAGCTCTCGTTCTGGGTGCCGTGCTGGGCGCTCTCGTCGGCGGCGGCCTTTGCGTCCTTGAGACCAGACTCAATCTTCTCGAGCTCGCCCTCAAGGAGCTGGTTCTTGTGTGCGAGCGAGGTAATCTCTTGTTCCTTTGCGAGGTTCTCCTGCTCCAGCGACTTGACCTTTGCCTTGAGCTCCTCGTTCTTGGCTGCGGACTCGTCGGCCTCGAGGCGGAGAGCGTTCATGCGCTGTTGTTGGGAAACTTGTCAGCTTGGCTGGAAGAAGCGGTGGGGGTGAGGGGTAATTGAAGCGGGCAGCAGCATCGTGATCAGATATAGACTGTAATTGGACGATTTCGAATCATGCACCTTGCGGTGTATTAAGGGGAATCGTTGAGTTTCATCATGTAGATGTGGCATGGAGGGAGGGTGTTGTTGGAGCTTGTGTTGATGACACGCACCTGCTTGATGGCATCCATCTTGTATGTTTGTTGTGATTACTGAGAAGGTGAGTTGTGGAGAATGGTGTACGAAGCTGAAAAGCTGAAGCGGAGAGTGAAGTATGAGGTCGAGAAAGCGGTCTTGAAGGATTGCAGTATTATGTGTATATGCAGAGGAAGATCGGAGGTTCAGGGGGAGGGGGGATGTTTCTCGAAGTTTGGTGTGATAGACGTTTGGACCACGCGGAGGCTGCCATCAACAGCCCCGACGCCCGACCTCCGGCCGCCAAGGCCAGGCGACCTGATTGGCCTGTGAGAGCTTGTTGCCGCGTCGACCGAGCATCAACAGACGGACGGCCAGTGGACATTTACGGCCTCCTTCCCCAACCGTGGTAGGACGTGTAGTTCGTAGCAGTTGCCCTGTCACGCGTCTTGAAACATAAGACACGGCCGCAATTTGCTCATCGAGTCAACCGTCATGCGACTAGGATAGCTGCCATAAACAAAGAGCTTGACGACGACCGTCTGCACTACAATTACCTATCACGCACTTCCTGGAATCCTTCGACAACTTCCCCACCTGGATGCAATACAACTAAACGACATACGACACTTACCATGTTCGCCGCACGCGCTGATCAAGAAAATCTGGCTTATGCCCACCAAGCTGCCGCTGCTGCCAAACCACTAAATCAACAAGCAAAGACTCCTGCCAACAAGGCTCCCAAGACACCCTTCCGCCGCAACCAGAATGACGAGAACGATGCCTTCCAATCCGGCTTCAAGACTGGGAAGACAACCAAGAAGGCTAACCTGGACCACAATGCCTTCATCACTCCGGCCGGCCCACGCAACCGCGCCCCACTGGGAATGAAGACGACCAACGCCAAAGCAAAGACTCCGGCTCCGTTGACCATCAAGGCATCCGCTCAGAAGACTCTCAGTCCTCGACTACGCAGACAGAAGGTCAAGATTCACCAAGCCGAGCCCATTCAGCAGGAGCAAGATGATGGTGTTCCAGACATTGAGTACATGCCTCCGAGATCAATTCGTGAGTCCATCTTAAGCTGTTTCTGTGAGACATTGACTTACCCGTCTCAGCACTACCTGACCATCCAGACACAATTCACGAACGCGACTACTCGATGCTGGATCCCCAGTATGCTACCAATGGCTTCTGGGGCGTCTTTGAGAACGCTCCCGATGAGCACGGCGTCCGTCCAACTGAGCGCAAGAACCGCGAGATGATGGCCCGTACCGACAAAATTCAGCAAGACATCATTCGCCGTGCTCTCGAGGCCGATGACTTCCTTAACCTCGATCTCACAAAGGTCCGCAAGGGTTTCGAGGAGAAAGAACAACAGTCCAGGGCTCCTTCCAGTCTGTCGGCTAGGCGTGCCGTCAGTGCTCTCTCCAGATCATCGTCGACTACGGCACTTGGTCCTCGCTTTGCTGCCCCAACAGCAACAGCCGCTGCTCGTTCACGCACTACCAACACCGTTCGTCCCCTCCCTCGCAAGCCCATCTCTTCCTTGACTGCTCCGACTGCTTCATCATCGGCTCGCCACGCCTCTGCCACTGCCGCTTCACGCAACACACTTGGCTACGCTAGAGGTCGTGCCGTTTCCGCTGCCTCCAGACGCCCTCTCTCGACTCTCCACGATAAGCCTGCTACCCCTACCGAGAAGAAAACTAGGACCGTCTTGGAAAACCTGATGGCTGACGATGCCGAAGTCGAGGAGCTCCTCCGTGAACGCAACGCTCGCATGGAAGATCATGATGCTCCTTCTGAACACATGCGCAAGCTTTCGATCCTTCCAGACGAGGATGACGAATTCAAGGACTTCCAGCTCACCATGCCTGAGTAAGCAAGCAATTGCTAATGGAAGGTACTTGAGCAACGTTCTTTGTCTCAGTCTTTATCATGGAACACATACCTCAACTATTCGTTCTCTCATGTCGCTGATGATTCTTACGCCCGCTTTATGTTTCAGATGCACTACGTCCTACGTCCATCTCCTTGTGGTCATGATCCAGATCACATTTCTGTCTAATTGTTTTACTTTGGTGGCTCCTTGTCTGGGCTTTGGTATTAGCTCAAAATACCGAGTGTAACTGGTGTTTCTTGGTCAGGGTCGGGTATACTGGTTGCATTGGAGATGTGGTCACAGGGAGCCACACACCTTATGGAAAGGTGTTTCCGGAATAACACAATCGTTTGTTTACTCAACATTCCTCTCCTACCTTGTGAAATCAATCATGTGCATGCTCCTAGTTGTCTCTCATCTTTCTCATCTTTGCAGGTTCTCATCCCGCCCCGTCGACGCAGAACGTGTCATGATGCACTTCCCCCTTGTATTTCCTGCCTTGTGCGCACTGGTCAAGATGCACGACGAATTCCAATTCGCTGGAATGATATTCGGAGTGGAGTGGGTAGTTTTTCTTGCTCTCACTGGACATGCGTCCGCTTTTGAGAAGTATCTTGCATCTTGACTGCTACGGCAAGAGGACTGTAGGGAGGGTGAGATGTGGGCAGCGAGTTGAGTTGGTTATGTTGTTTTGTAGGTGCGCAGAACCATGCGTCGAGAGCAACTGATATCAGCGCTCTCACTAAACACGACTTCGATATCGACAAAGAAAGTTGCATTGTGATGGTGACAGCGTGGAGGATGTAGGCGATTAGGAAGCAAAAATGCGAAGAGATGGAGGATCAAGAGAAAAAAAAAAACAGATGACGAAAGTCTATATCTCCCTTCACTTGCCATTGTGACTATATAGGCATCAACAATTCGCTACCTTTCACCCACTCAGGAGCACCAGAATCCAAAGGATGTCTGGCCTGAGGGGAATAGCCTGTGCTAATGCATCGGGAGTAGTAGCGTCGGCGCTCCTCCTTTTGCTGGTTGTGTGTTCGATCCTTGGTGTGATCTTTTAGACTTTGTTTTGTTTTTGAATATTGAGCTGAATACGGAGCTGATGTATGAGAAGGAACAACAGTAAGACTGTGTATGAGATCAAGGAAGAAGAGACGATCGTATGCGATGCTTTTATTTTGCAGCTCACGCATCAAAATCCGTAACGATCCATATCGTGCTGCGGTCCAAACTCGTCACTGCCGTATCCTGTTCTTCCGTACCCTCCAGACGCGTACCCACCTTCAGGCAGTTGGTGCCTAGCCCCGTACGCCTTCGAATTTGCTGCAGCATACTCTTCGCTCTCTGTCGGCGAAGGCTTAGCGGGATTGAGTCCTCTCTTCTCAACCCAGACAACGTATTGAGTACCCTCCGGATCCCTCATACCGAAGCGCAGCCCCCCATCATGGCGTAATCTCACGCAGCCAAGTTCATCGTTGTCCTCCTCGCCCTCATCCTCTGACATGTCGCGATATCTGCCGTTTCGCATCTTCGGTTGCTCCGGTTTGGGCCGCTCCACTTCTGCCAGTGGTCCCCAAGAAGAGTGCTTGTTGTAGAAGCTCCGTGCTGCTGCATTGGCAGTTGCGAGATCAGTGTAAACACCACGAACATCCTGCTCCAGTGGGCGGTATGGATCTCCATCCAGGCTTTGTACAACGTAAACGTGCGTCAGGCTAGACTTTGTCGAATTGGCTGGATCGGTGGTTGAAGATGTGGTGGCCTTGCGTTTTTCATTGGACGAAATGTCTTCAGTAGCCTTGCGTTTTCCATTGGATGACATGCTGAAATTTTCTGGGCCTTTTCAAAGGTTTCGATCGAATCTGTGTCCGTTTACTAGTCTAATTGACAGCAAAGATGAAAGAAGGATGGAAGTGAAGTTGCGAGTATTAGAGTTTGGCGAAGTACTTGGTTGTGCTTGCATATACCTTACATAAAGTCGACAATGAAGACATGTTGAGACGGAGGTTGTATCTTCAGCTCAAGGATAGCTGCATTGATGCACGGAACGAACCAGATCCTCGAAGTGTCCACTGAGAGCTCCATCTGTTCAATGCTCCCTTCGATCTGGTAGCATTCGACACGCTTTATGCATTTCTACAGCTGGCTTCCTCCAGCGTTTATGCTGGAGATCTGCAAAGCACAAGTTTTGCTTGGCGTCTGTTTGTTTGGTCCAACAGCGCGGTAAAACAGACTGCCGCGCTTTTCGGTGCATCAACACCCGAAACACACGCCAACCACAACGGCGCGCCTTTTCCAACCCACCAGGCATTTGCGATGGATGCAGCGTCACCGGCTCATAGAGTGGGCGGTCGCCTTGCGCTTTCTGATCCTGCAGTGAAGAAGATTGCTCAAGCAAGCTCCTCGCACAACTACTTCGATGAATTACCTGAGCTGCAAGGTGAGGATGATTGGCATAAATGGAGTGATGCTTTACAGGACGCTGCCTTGATGGCCGGTGCCGATGCCATACTCAATGGTGAATCAACACACCCGCTTTCTTTGGACGACAAGCTATGCACTACAGCAGAATGGAACGACAATATTAAACGGACTGCCGTCTGGCGACGCCGTAATGAAAGTTTACTGAAAGCCATGCGCGATACCATGGAGTCAGATGCCGACATCGATATGTTCGGCTCCTTGAACGCCCACAAGGCCTACATTGGCCTCAAGTCCAGATACTACGTCTCTGATAATCAAAAGGTGATCAATTTGTACAACGACGAACTCATGCTTGCAGAAATCGACCTTGACGACTCGCCTAAAGAAATCGCCGATGACTTTCAAGCCGCGTTTGAAAAATACAACCACTTATTTGACCACAACGAATCACAGCGTCTTCCGGAAAATTTCTTGAAACTGGAGTTCCTCAACTCACTTGGCATCGTGTATGCGGACTGGGTCAGGACTTTGTTGAAAGAGCATGACGTTCTGGGACTGGATCAAGGTCCGACTCTGACATTTAACGAGCTTGTTGATATGGCTGTCGTGGAGCACAATCGATTGTTGCAAGAAAACACAAGCGAAGGCGTCTCTGCACACGTAAGTGCAAAACACCAGCCAGCAAAGCGCAACATCTCCGAAGTCGAGGAAGACTCGCATTCGTCTTGCCGCGTAATATGCAGTCTGTCCCATCATCAGAACTACAAACAAACACATACCAATCAGGAATGCTACACACAAAATCCTCGTCTCCGTCCGGAGGGCTGGGAACCTAGCGCCAATGACAAGAAATATCTCGCCAAGCATTCAGAGATCGAAGCTCATCAAGAACCCAGCGTGTCTAATAGTCTGTTGCCAGCTAATCGAGAAGCCGAAGCGAGGCAGGAGGTCTTTGACGAGGAAGAAGAGGAAGAAGACGCGCCAGGAGCAGGGCATATCAGTGATGAGACTCGCAAGCTCACTTCGATGCATGAGCAAAACTGGAAACAGCTGGCTGCATCCCGTTTCGCCGAAGTACAAGCTCAGAGAGATTTCGTCACCCGCACTCTGGAAGACAAACAAACAAAGAAGCTTCGCAAACACGCACCATCTCAAGATCTCCTGTCCGGGATGTGGCTGCTTTTCGCGCAGGATCTCAATATCGAAAAGTTCGGTCATTGTCACATGCGGCTTTTGGAGTCAACTACGATCAAACAAAAGCAACAACAGATCCAACAGTATCGAGGGACCTTGACCATCGGACCATACAAAAACCCAGAAACCTTCGAAGTTCTTACCTTCAAACCTTCACCACGAATCACTGGCCGCCCGTTGCAAATCCACTTCAGACAGTCTAACGGTATGTCGCATTCAGGCGAAGCGACATTCTGGGGCAACGGGAAGATGTCTTGCAAGGTTCCAGCACCTTGTAGCAATGGGCAACAGGGTATCTTTTCCTTCGTCGAAGTCGTGGGTATCTACTCAGAGTCTGTTACTCAAGAATCTCGCGATGGGAACCATGATGATGATAGTGACGACGGGAGTAGTAGTGATGTTGAAGATGAAGAAAGGCAGAACGCCGGAAACAGCGGAACTGATGCCGAGAGCGATCGAGCCAATTCCAAAAGAATGAATCAGAGTCGTCAGGAGAACTCGCGGAACCTGAAGGTCCTAAGAACATAGCTAACGAACAAGACTGGGTGCAGTTGGCTGGAGCTCGCATGGCCGAGGTGGAGACTCAGAAGACAATCGCTCTTCGCTCCATCACAAAACCCAAAGGAGTGGTACCATGTGGGCCTATATCTGGTCTATGGCGGCTCTATACGCCTGAGTACAATCCTGGTCCCACTGGCCATCATCATATCGGCTTTTGGGAACACATAGCTCAGCGCAATGGTAACCATCATAATTACCATTGTCAGCTGTCAATTGGGCCGCGCGAAAATCCTATTGTTTATCGAACCAACCAACTCTCGCCTTCCCATGTAGTTAAAGGCAATGCCTTGCAACTCAACTTCCCCGGGAAGAGTCTTCCGCGAGGATATGTCACACTGTGGGGCGCCGGAAAGATCTTTGTGGTATTGCCTGCAGCTGTTCTCCAAGGCTACAAAGGAACTTCGAAGCACCTCACTTTCGCAGGTATCTGGAGCGGATCATCAGAGTATGTGCCTCGCAAAGTATCCAAGAAAAAGCGTGTGAAAACCCAGGAGGTTAGGCACGATCTGGTTATGAGAGCAGAAGAAACCACTGATGTAGCTGTCAAACTCGAAGATGAGGACACGGACATGATCATCAAGAACGAGCCTTCTGATTCCGACTCCAATGACTCCCACGAAGAATGGGCCGACGATGTCGCAACCACCAGGGTAGCCGTACAGAAACAAAGGGATGCCCTTCGCGGAGGTCTCGTATCCCCTCTTCATTCTCTGTCCGGTAAATGGTACCTACACTCTGCGGATTACAATCCAGGACTTGACAAAGAAGTCGCCATCTCCTTTTACTCTCGTCAAGAGCATGACAACTCTGAGAGAATGTGTGCTCCCGGTCATTGCAAGTCCACTTCTGATCAAATTCGTTACTGTGGCGAGCTGCGCTTCAAGGCGCCTGTTGGAGAACGTGACATCCACTGTCTCATCAAGCAGTTCGACGTACCAAAGGAGGCCTCACTTGTCCCTGTTAGGATCGAGATGTGGGATCCTCTCAAGAAGCGAACTGTCTTCATGAGTGCATGGTTCTTTGGTGATGGCAAGATGCGCATGAGTATACCGACTCTATGTATTCGAGACTACCTTGGTCAAAACACTATGATCACCTTTGACGGACTCAAGTATGGATGGACAAGCCATGCTGAATGAGCGGGTTTCTGGCTGGTGAGGATCTCAAAGGTCGAGGAGGCCAAGATACGGTACGTGGAATACGCAATGTTTTAACATATGAAGTCATACCCGGTGAGGGCTCGCTCAAGGCGTCCCCTTGGTGGATTGTCTCGGCTGGTTTGTAAAAGTCCTGCCTTTCTACAGTAATCATAGGAGCGATACACGAAATACGGGAGTTCATTCTCTGATATACCTCTACTGATGTTGATGCGCTACTTCGATGTCCCTGGTTGATCCCTGCTGCAGTAATGTCCTAAATTCCTTTCTATGAGCTCCATGCGCATACCTCCCCCGAATGTCCTCCGTGCCTAACAACTATAGTCAAACTTTCTGTGCCCTTCTCGTCCACTTCATGTTCGGCAGAGCAGATCTGATGTTATCTCTTCCTTTGAATTCGAACTCACCCTTGAACTCCCCGGCGCCATCGTCAGAGCTTGTAAGGTTGTAGAGGTGACAGAATTCAAGGTGGTCGCATGACGCGATGCTGTCCAGGAGCTTCTCGCGTGCCCAATCCGAGCGAGCAGAAGCATTCTGGATGGTCAGGCGTCTGAGGCACTTTGACTGCCGTGCGATAATCGAGTGTAGTGAGGTATCGCTGTCTGGTGCCGGGAACTCGCATTGAGAGAAGTTGATCTCTGCGAGACTGTTCTCGCCAGTAAGTGCCTTGGCCAAAGAAAGGATGCGGTGCGTGTCGATGCATTTGAGCGTGTGGCTAGTCTGAGTGTCAAATCTCACTGTGACTTGAGATGACGGACCGTTCCTTGCATGCTCATGCAAGAAGCGGACCAGGAACTTGCAGCTGTGATCGCATTTGTCTTTCAACATAAGAAGGCGGTGTCCCAGCGTAGCGTCCACTCTTTTGATGTCGTCCGACTGCTGCACGTCTGTTTCCATGGCCTTCGAGTATCGCACATCGACCGTGAATTGGCTCGGGTCGCAGAGTTCGAAAATCTTCAATCCGTATTGTACGGCTGCCTCGTTCCGCCGGCGCTTGTTTCTGTCATCGATCAAAAGTATGCCAAAATTGCGAGCTCCCATGGGGACCGCAACTTTCTGAAATGCTTCGTGCAATAGATTACCGTCTATACGGGGACCCCAATGAGAAAGCTCTCCGACATATGGCTTTCTGCTTTCGATATCGTCCTCACAAATGCCGATACAGTTTTGGATGTTTGCTGAGCCGTCGTCATGGTCGGCAATCTCGATGAGGCGTTCCAGTCCCAAGTTTGACGCGGGATAGTAGTAGTCGGTGGACTTGCGCTCGAGTAATCGAGGTCTGACAATATACTCGAAAGCAGCGGACGTTCCGCGTAGATTTGGCAGGTCTTCGTCACTGGTGTGGTCCGCAATCACCATGAGTCTCTCCGGGGCTAGGCGAGTTGAACCCTCGATGTTTGGTCGTAAGTGAGGTGATGATTTGGCGGAGTCGCTGGACTGAGATGTATCGATCGGACGAAGAGTACTTGTTGATCTCCATCCTAGGCACCTCAAGCATTCAGAAGAGTAATTGTGCATCTGGAACGCTGTGTGGCAGGTTGCCGAAAGATGATGAATGGTCAAAAGATGATGGATCGATGGATGATGGTCGATGGTGGGTGGTCAATAACGAAGAAGATGGATGTTTCGCGGTGAGTGTTTCAAGGAGTTTCTCCGGTATGCACTTTCCCTCCTCGTTGGTGGCGTGCCAACATTCGCGCTGAAATTTGGAGATGCTTGAGGAAGCTTCGAACGAGAAACGTAGCTGCGGAATCTTGTCACCGCATCGTCCGTCTCTTACAACCATACTGAATGGTACAAAGCTGAAGAGATACTAGATGCTGTCGAGATTGGTGCGACCCCCGTAGAGAGAAGTTCACTGATGAGCTCTCACTGAGAACGAAACCAATCTCGAAAAATATCATGCATTCTATAGCCATGAGCATGACAAAGTTCAGTGTTGGGGGATGGAGGAACACGGCAAATCGTGGGATACGTTCATCTCATCTTGTAAGCAGGGTGACCCTGGTTTAATTTCATGCAGCAATATCAATCGCTCTTTCGGAACCACAATCGTAGATCAAAAGCCTCGACGGCTCACTGTTAAGCTTTGTTACCTTTATCTTTCGTTCCTACAGAACTAGTGGCTGTGAATGCATGGAGCTATCCCGTTTGTTGCAAAACGCAAATCACGGGTTGGGAGTTCTTGTTCTGCGAATGACATCCAGTTGCAAGGTGATAATGCCCACAGCCAACACTCACCGCATAAAGTCCTCTCACAGACTGATCCTAGTGTATATGAACTGACGACAGCAACTCCCGTATCACGGTTATCGCAAACAAAGCTCACGTATCTGCTCCTTCTCCAATCTCGATAGTCACTGCCAAATCACGTGAAATGGTCGAACTTTATGTTTTGGATAAACGAGTCTAGAACGTTTGATCAACCAACTCCCCTCCGGACATCCGTTTATGAATTTGGAATTCCCATCATCACAGTTTATATATCCACCGAATAGTGACAGTTTGGCATTCTCTGATATTACAAAGATCTTTGATAATACAAAAACATCTATAACCCCAGTTCATCTCTCTGTCAAAAGCACCAGACAGTTTGTCATCGAACACCGAGCAACCTCCATACAAGCACCGATATATCAAAGCAACCGCAAAAAGCACGCAACCATGGGAAAGGGAAGCTGCTACTGTGGTAAAGTCTCCTTCACATACGAAGGCGAACCTCTAAACAAGGTAATTGCAATTCTTCGCCACCATGCCATCTAGAAAAAAAGAAATACTCAAACTCCTCAACCCAGGCAATCTGCCACTGCACCGACTGTCAAAAGATCTCCGGCTCTGCCTATTCGACCAACATAATCGTTTCATCAAAAAACTTTTCCGTTCAAGGAACGCCCAAGAAATACTCCGCCAAGGCCGATTCTGGAAGAACGGTCACTACGGTGTTCTGTGGTGAATGCGGAAGTCCGTTGTGGAGAGAAGGTGATATGAGTGAGGCGGACGGGATATTGGTCGTGAGAGTGGGGTGTTTGGATGATAAAGATGCGGTGACGGAATCAAAGCCGTTGAATGAGCTGTATACGTCTGGAAGAGCTGGTTGGTTGGGTGAGATGGAAGGAACGAAACAGCTTCATCATTTCTTCTAGAATGCGCTTGATTGTTATTGTGTTGTTTAGGTACCGCTGGGGATAGCATGTCGGCGCTGGGTGCGGCTGTCAAGCATGATTGCGACCGCTGTTTTCTTTTCCAAAATCTCCATATTTCGACCTCCTTTTGTCTTCGGTGTTTCTTTCTCTAGACTGACTTTGGTAAAATGTCTGCATCAGGTCCGCATTAATCGCGATGCTCACATTAGACTTCAGGCAGGGCGAGGTTAATCGGTCACATCGAGAGCCAGAGTATTTGAACAACAAGATATACATGTCATTGACGTATGTGCTGTCTAATCAATCTTGCGATCTTGAACATCATCCCTTATCAACGCATCCTGCGAACCGCTGGGCGAATCATCTTGCGTACTAACAACGTGGAAAGAGAAATCAAGTTCACCTACCAACTCCTTGATATCCGCCAGTAACGCCTTAATATCGTCACCGATGCACTTTGTCGAGATCTGCATGACTGCGAATGCTGCAAAGCCTGGTTCGGCCATGTGTCTCACTGACAAAATACTCGCGTCTAGACTTTCGAGCTTTGCGCTGAGACGATATGGCTCAGGGTGTTGGAGGTAGGGTGGCAGCGGTTGCCCACTAGCCACTGATGCCGAGAGCAGTGACAGCAGCGTCGTGGACTCTTTGCTCGTGATATCAGCTTCCTTGACAAGACGGCGGAAGTCATTCAGCCATTGTGATTTTGAACCGTCCTTTTCTGCATTTCGCATGTCACTAAAGGTTTGCGACGCATAGCTGAGCAGGGAAGCAAAGTTCAAGATATCTTGAATGCGAGCGATGATTCTGTCGTAGTTTTGGCGAGGGAAGCGACCTCCGATAGGTACATCGTATTTGATAAAACCAGAATGTGTGCGTAGTCCTTGAAGCAGCAGTACAGACTTTGAGAAGACAGTTTGTCTGATCTTCTCGAGCTTCTTGGCTGGATGTTCTTTCTCGTCGAAGTGCAGGTTCTGGAAGTCGCCTCTAACGCGGAACTTGACTGTTTCGATCACGACAGAGTAGTAGTTTGCGAGGAGGTATAGTGATGAGCCGAGGTTGCGGCGAAGTTCCGAGTGCTCGGAAATCGGGTATGGGAAGACGGTCCTATACGACATGATTAGCAATGACACTAGGTCGCGCTGTTTCGGGTTGACTTACCATATAAACGCCACAAAAATACCAGCTGCAACTGTGGCAAGACGATAAGGAGCCAGCTCATAGATTGGGTAGTAAGCCTGGCCATTCGATTCGGAGACTGTGACACCAATCTTTCTGACCTGAAGTTCGTATCCGATGATCAGGGTATTTGTGACTGAGTAAATCATGCCAACAGGGATGAAGCGAGGGAACTTCAGAACAATGAAGAAGCCCCAAGCAACGAAGAACCAGAAGAAGACAAGTACACCAGCTGTGTGTCCGTCGACGATGTACCAAATGATGAAACTCGTCACCATCGCTGCGAAAGTACCGACGAGACGGAGTGCGAAGCTGAACAGACTTTGTCCAGCAGATGGAGACATACTCATACCGACCATGATTTGGGCCCAGAACAATCTCTGTCTGACGTAGAAAGTCTGTGTGTCGTGTAGGTATGCGACGATGGCGAGGCACATGGTGGCACAAGCGGCCCTGAAACCGAACGATGATGCTGGCGAGCGAAGGAAATGCGCGATACCACGGAGTCTATCTCCAAATTTCTCCCAGGCGGTGCTAGGGGGCAAGTGCTCCGGATCTTTTCGCTTGTTGTAAGCGTCACCAAGGTACACGTTGGAAGCTCGGTTGCCGTCTTCATTCATGCCATGCTGCTCGTCAGTGTATGCGTCTTGCTTGCGACTGTAGGACGACTTGATCCATTTTCTCAGACGCTTGACACCAGGTACAATCAGTCTCTTGCGGCCCAGCTTCCCGCTTTCGACTTTGGCATCTGCGTACTTGACGAAATCATGGACTGTCAAAGCTATTGAATCCAGCAGGAAGTCGACGTATAGAACAATGAAAAGTCTGGCTCTGTACTTCTGGCGCTCATCATTGTTCTTAACGTTGTGATACCAGTCTGGTGCTTTGAAGTCGGCTTTCTGGGTGTTCTCGAAAAAGTCGTCAGGTAGCGAGAAACCTCTGAGTTCACACCAACGTCTCAGGAGGTTACGCTTCTGACTATGATATTCATCGACTCGCTTGTAATGGTAACTTTGGAAGTCCTTCTCACCTGGGTGAGGACGATCGCCTTCGGATTCAGCGTCGGCCTCACGCTTTGGTGGCTTGATCAATTGCAGAGTAATCAATACGTGCTCGAAGCCTTCGTCGATGTCGCCGACGATCCGCGCAAATGGCTCCCGCATCGTCTTGAAGATGGCGTGCCAATCTTGAACAGCTTCCATCCTGCTTCTCTCATTGGGGTCATCAAGTTCTTCGAACGGCTTTTTCGGAGCCGGATGGTTCCAATCTCTGTCTTCGGCGATTCTTTCGAAAACGTCGATAACACTGCTTAGGCCAATGATGGGAAGCATCAATCCTCGCAACTGCTTGAAGATTTCCTGTAGATCATCTGGACCAAGTCGTCCAATAGCGACCTCTCTCTTGGCGAATGTCAAGTCGATAGAAAGTTTACCGTGCAAAGCGGCAAGTCCAGCGAGCGTATCCTTGATAGCCTGGGCTTCTGAGGTTCTCTTCGGCTTCTCTGGAACGTTGGTATCGCTTCTTCCGAAAAACATATCGCCTTCCTCCAGACTCTGGAGATATGTGAGATTCGCCTTGGTCATCTTACGCAAAAGCATGATGTATCCTGTGAATTCTTTGAAAACGACGCCACGCATTGTCATCGGGAAGATAAGCAGAGATACTGCACCACCGATTGCGAATCCTGTAAAGAATGACTCCAGCAACCTTTTAACGAAGGATATACCTGTGGCCATTGAGGCGAATTGTGGTGCATACACCATGCTTACGTTTGCGAAGATAGTCGCGATGATACCAGGAATCATAAGCTGAGGGTTCCTGGCTCGCATTGTGTTGATGATCCAAATCTCAAAGAACAGCCAGATGCCACTGACGGCTGCCGCTGAGGAATTGTAGGTGGATGTGGTGGCGCCTGGTGAAGGAGTTCCACTTGTGCCAGGTCCTCCTGTCCGTACCGTAGTCTCGGTATGCAGTCTCGCCTGAACTGCGCAGTATATGGCTAGTAGTGCTACGCAAGCCGCCAGGCACGAAGATAGCATATTGAGGAACCAGGTTTGTAGGAATTTTGATCTTGGCATAATTGCAAAACTCAAGATAGAGACGACTCCCACGAGATAACCTAGAGTTGTATAGGTTTCAGCAAAGTTGGTAGCCTGATATGCGGCCAGACTTATGGTCGGCGCCAGAGCACCCCTGGGACACAGTCAGAGACATGTTCACGACGCCCTCTTGACATGGCGGCACTCACTTTGCCATAATCTTCATTGTTGTGACATCCAATTGTGTTTTGGCCCATAGCTTCTCTGCTCTTTCTTTCAAACTAGGCTTCTTGGCCTTTTCTGCCTCCGCCGTCCCTTCAGTATCTCGATTGTTGTTGTGCTTTTCTGGATCGGCGTTGGGACTGGGTGCAGCGGTTTGCGACGATGCATTCGAGGCAGGCGAAGTTGCCGAGGACGTCGAGGCGGACGTCATGTTTGGTGTCGGCACAGCTCAAGTCAATGGCTCTGCGGTGATGTGTTATGGGTTTATAGGCGCATGTTCTTGTCACACGAGTATAAGCAGAACAAGGTAGTTTACATGGCGGCGCCGGTTGGGTCAAAATAATAATAGAGATTGCGAAGGGTAGCCCGCCTATTACGTCGTTGGGCGTGGTCAGAGCGTGCCGCCGCGTCGTCCGGGGTCGTTCTCCGGCAAGTCCGAGTACCCGGATGGCGGCACGCCCTTGCTTCGTGTTCGGCACTCTTTACTGGCACTTGCACTTGCACATCTCAGCACCACATTCAAGATACGTAGAAGAACAGTCATCTCAATTGAGTCCTCTATTCTGCAAAAGAATCTCAACACTTGACTACATTGAGATGGGGTATCGGAACGGAAAATAGATGAGAGGCTCGGTCGGTTAGACTTGCCATTGCACCAAAACGTGCTGAGTACTCGTATAGGTATTCATGGCATGACCATGTTGACGCAGCATTATACAGCACTTCTCAGTGATACTCGAGCACAGTGAGTCCCAGCCGCTGCGACCGTGCTTCAGCCATGCAATTGTGTATTGACTCGATTGGCACAGGATGCAGACACGGCGTTTTTCGTGACTTCAGAGACCTAGTCTGTCCAAGACTGATTCCGCGCAACGAGTGGAGAGATCATCACTCTTCAACTGAGCCCGCAGGTTGGCTGAATATGGGAATGTCGTAAGAGAGAGAGTTTGGCTCTCTACAGGATCTCATCATCATCATCGTTGGCAGCGACGTTATTGACGGGGTCGGCTGTGTTTGGTGCCTCCTCATGCTGCTCTACTTCGTCATCCTCTTCGTCGCCGGGCATGGCGAATACGGATGGCCTGCCTGGGTGTTCTTCGTCGCTTGAATTGGCATCGAAGTCTACGGCTTTCGAGCCCTTGGCGGCCTTGGGTTGAACAAAGCGATTGGTCTTGTCGTTCAAAGTCTCCCAGTTCGCCTGCGCATGGTTAGTACGGTTTCGCGGTTGATTCAATCGGAACAGTATACGAACTCTTCGGTCATCGATTCTTCTGGCTCTAACGAAGCTCTTGGCCTTCTTTGTGTGCAGAACATCCATATTCGCTTCGGCGCGTTCCAAGCCCTTTTCCTTGCGCACGCGCTGAGCACGGGTCATGTTCTTCTGCTTCTTCTTCTTTGAGATGCCAGCATCGTGTGCTCCAGAAGTCCATTCAGAGGGCTCCTTGGTCGTCTTCTCCGAGGTGATGGACTTGTCGAGGTCGATTCCAGGCGATGCTTCACGGCGTGCGGCACGCGAGCGAGTAGATACGGCTGTCTGTCTGTTAGTTTATGGAACCTGAAGAGATGTTGTATGATACTCACGACGAGCCTTTGCTTTTGTTGCTTTTGCCATTATGTGATATGTGGTTGTCTGGACAGTGTTATCGTAAATCAGAAAATACAAGAAAATAAAAAGATGGGCGTTTAACGCCGGGCTAGCTCCGCTGCGGACAGGGTCAGCAACGTCAAGGACGGATTTGTTCTGGACCCTTGCGACTGGTGCACCGGTGCTTGTCGCATGCAAACAAAGCCTTTTGCTGAGTTAAATCGAAGCCGTCCGAATCCTGTCAAGCTTGACTTGTCGCCGCTGCCTTTCTTCCTGCTTGGACAGCATCCGATGGTTCACCTCCTTCTCCGGCCGTCTCTCCCTTTGCCATCCATACCGATTCGCGACTCAAGCGCATCATGAGCGCCTCTTACAGATATCCGCACGCCTACCCGCAACACCAACCCTCATCGCCATTTGATCGTATTTTCACTTCTTCCAAAGGTGCCTGGGTCGCTGCTGGAATCGCCATACTCTACCTTGCCTACACATCTGCACTACCTACCATACTCGCTGGTCTTGTCTGGAATGTCTTGGTCTTACTCACTCCTACCACTCTCGTCCGTGCTGTCGACAAGAGAAGAAATCCAACTTTGTACGACGGCCGCAACACACCTCAATCGAGTAGCGACAACTACGCATACAAGAGTGAAGCCATGAGAAGAGTCTTTGGTCTTGGTTCTGGTTCGATTGTTGCACTGCCGGGCGCAAGCTCTTTGAGAAGAGCCAGTTGGCTTGGAGGTCTGACTTCTCCATCCGACGCCCCACCGGGTCTGGGAAACTGGGACAACTCATGCTATCAGAACAGCGTACTGCAAGGCCTATCCGCTTTCCAATCTCTTACCGCTTTCTTGGAACAGTCAGACGTAATCAACTCCGACGACACAACCACAACGCTTGGCTCGATGCGCGAACTCATGGCGAAACTGAACGACTTGTCGAACAACGGCTGTCGTATCTGGACTCCGGCCAAGCTCAAGTCCATGAGCAGCTGGCAACAACAGGATGCCCAAGAATACTTCTCCAAAATTATGGATGACATGGAGAAAGAGACGATGAAGGCTTTCAAGACTTCCCCGGGTACAGCAGGACTTCAGGAAGTCAATTCGTTAGACACGGTCAAGGCCTCGAATCCTAGGAGTGAGAGCGTAAACAGCACTTCCGACGCCATTGACTCTCAAAGACGTAATCCCCTGGATGGCTTCCTTGCTCAACGAGTTGCTTGTACCAGCTGTGGATTTTCTGAAGGCCTCTCCATGATCCCTTTCAACTGTGTTACGGTTCCGCTTGGCAGAAACAACAGCTACCAGATTGAGGACTGCTTGAACGAATATACAAGTCTGGAAGAAATTACTGGTGTCGAATGCGCAAGATGTACCTTATTGCGAACAAAGTCGCAGCTTCAGCACATGACAGCCGAATCTACCGACATCACCGACCACTCTGTTCCTTCTTCGGTGTCATTGCCTCCAGAACTTCGATCGATGGTCCTTCAAAGGTTGCAAGCCGTGGAGCAAGCGCTCGAAGAAGGAGATGTATCTGACGACACCCTGAATAAAAAGTGCCAGATACCCAAGAAGGCGCGGGTGTCCAGCACCAAAACCCGTCAAGCCGTGCTCGCTAGAGCGCCGCAATGCTTGGTGATCCACGTAAACCGAAGCGTTTTCGACGAGTACACAGGTGCTCAAAGCAAGAATCTTGCAGAGGTGACATATCCCAAAGTTCTTAATCTAGGTCCATGGTGTTTGGGTACCACGCAGAATGCCGGAGACCAAGAAGAATGGCGTATGAATCCCTCGAGGTCAATGATTGGACGTTCTGGTGATGATACGAGGTCTGAATATGTGCTACGAGCTGCCGTAACTCACTATGGTCGGCACGAAAATGGTCACTACATCTGCTACCGCGAGCACCCCGAACACATCCAAGCTAGTGAGAGCGACGACCAGCCGAAGCACACTTCCATGAAGTGGTGGCGGCTCAGCGATGATGATGTATCTGCAGTCAGTGAGAACCACGTTCTTGGACAAGGTGGAGTATTCATGCTTTTCTATGAGCGTATGGACAGGTCCGACAGGACCACTTCTGCCTTTGCGCCAACACCTGTACAAACGGTACACCAAGAAGAGTCTACTACCAACATTCCAATCGCTGTTGAACTTGAAGAACGAAATGAGCAGCAGGACTCGACCGCGGAAGGAACGAGAGCTACACCGCAAGACATCGTCGAGCCAGCGCCAGAGTCTGAAGTAGACCAAGCGCCACCATTACTACTACCGAGTGTTAGAAAGACATCAACACCCCAGAAGATGCGCACCGCTGGTAACAAGAGTCGGCGAAGGTCATCTGGGTTCTCTTCATCATTGCAAGCAGTTGCTGCGACATGATGCGGCATTGGATGCGAGTATGTTCTTTTCTAGCATGGCGTTGGGGTGCACATTGCGAGATCGTAGGACGCATACGATCATGGTTGACCGGACCACAGACACTCGAACAAACGTTTTCTACGGTCGCTACATAGCTTAATGACATTAATGAAGACTGGATGCAATTGCGTCAGTAACTTGACCTAATCAAACTGTCATATGTCGACGTCTATCGTGTGTTATTGACTTCTCTCATACATAAATGCAGTACCAAGTCGATGTTGCTTCGAGCAAGTAACCCTGTCCAGAATTTTTGAATCGATGGAATCGATCTTACCGGTGAACATGGGAATTCAGAGCCACAGGATTATTCAAGCGAGCATCGTACTCTTCAAGAATGTGCATGCAAATTAAATGGTCGAATGTCGAGCATTTCAAAAGTCAAGCGAGTGAAGAGCAGAAGGGTTCTTGCCGAAAGCGGGAAGAAGTGGGGCGTGCCACAACGCTAAGCGAGGAAAGTGCGATGTGGAAAATTCACACACTTTGAGACCGAACGACGACTCCGACCAGCGACCAACGACAACTCGCCCAACCGACACAGTACGATAATACCTCCCGCTCGCTCTACCGTCTGAACAGCATCACTGACATCAATTTCTCGTAAAGATGCCCGCCTCAAAGAAGCATGTCCCTATCGTCAAGAAGCGTACGTTCGCCCATCCAAGGATCCACGACAGCAGCACCACCACCACCCTACATCCAGAGAGCGCCGCCACGACAGAAACGATGAAGAAAGAGAAACAAGGAGCCCGTCGCTGACAGTGATGGATTTGCAGGCACTGCGCAATTCAAGCGCCACCAGTCGGACCGCTTCATGCGCGTAGACCCCAGCTGGAGAAAGCCCAAGGGTATCGACAATGCCATGCGCCGTCGCTTCAAGGGCCAGGCCGTCATGCCCAAGATCGGTTACGGATCCAACAAGAAGACCCGTCACATGATGCCCTCCGGCCACAAGGCTTTCCTCGTCAACAACGTCCGCGAGCTCGACCTTCTCCTCATGCACAACCGCACCTACGCCGCTGAGTACGCCACTTCCCTCCTACCGAGCCATTGAGCCTCTTCTCGCACAGCAAGCAACCATCGTTTCTAACATATACACTACAGGATCTCTCACGCCGTCTCTGCCCGCAAGCGCATCGACATTGTCGCCCGCGCTAAGCAGCTCGGTGTCAAGGTCACCAACGCCAAGGCCAAGATCACCACCGAGTCATAAGCGCTTTCGTTGTAGTGGTTTATCGGACTTTTCTTCTTTCAAGCAGAACCCGGCGCAGAGAGGAGGGGAAACTTTTAGTAGCATTTGATCCTGCTCAATACGGAACGGCCCTCGGACGATAAAAGATCTGGCTTCTTGGGTGGTGGTCAATAGGCGAAACATTTTTCATCACAACAAAAAAAACTTGCAATGAAAAACGCTTCGAGGCTACGTTGTGTCGCGAATTACAAATGAGGGAATCAAAAAGACATGGCTTTATGATCATACTCGGTGTCCCGGTTTCGTCTTTGAACATGTGCCCTTACAGCGTCACCCTTCTCATACACTGGACAGCGAGACTCGCCAGCAATCAACATCTAGTCAACCCCTTTCGGTACCTTTCGATTGAACAAATGCCTCAATGAACTCGTAACAGCATTCTGCTGCCGAGAAACACATGTTTCGACATTCAGAATAGTAGTCGACATGTTTTCATGTAGAATGCTCAGGTCACTTTGAACATGCCCATGTGAAATTACATCAGATACGACTTGTCTTTTTGGTCATGATATCAATCTACCTCTCACATGCCAGAACCAAGACAATTTGGTTTCCACAATGTATAGAAATTTCGGACCACTTTTCTCCAGAGTAGATGCCAGTACAGAAAATGAAAAAAACAACACACCCGACCGTATAAACGCCAGAGCGCCTCGCTCATGCAAGCTTGCCAGCCATAACCCATATTTGCCGGCTTTTGTCTCTTGGATCCCTTCCTCCATTTTTCGTGTCTTCCTTGTTACTTTCAATGCTTTACTCCTCCATGGCGTTGGGGTCCTCGACGGGAGTGACCTCTGTCGAAGCCTGGCTCCAGTAGGCCTTGACTTGGATTCTGAACTCGGCCATGGCGACACCGAAGAGCTTCAGCAGAGCGGTCTGGTGGCTGTTGAGGGTGCGGCCCTCCTTGCAGAGCTCGTAGTCGCCATCGAGTACAACCTTGCCCTTGTCAAGCTTGGTGGGCATGCCCCATTTCCTGACGGTGACTTCCAAGCTGTGAGGCATGGCGACATCCTCCTCGACGGGGATGTCACCACCACGCGAGTAGACGACACCGGCAGGGATGGTGAAGTCTCTGGTGGCCTTGACACCGGCACGGGCGTAGTCGATCTCGGAGTAGTTCTCAAAGTACTCGAGGACCTCGGTGGGCTCGCGGTTGCTGAGGAGAAGACCGACGCTGCCCTCGATGTAGGGGGTGAGCTTGGAGAGACCGGGTTGGTATTCCTCGGCGTCGGTCATGCCGAGGGCCTTTGCCATGACCTTTGTCTTGCCGAAGAAGATGCGCGAGTCTGAGAAGTGGGTGCGGACGTCCTTGAGGTAGGTGTTGCGCATGTTCTCGACGCCGAAGACGTAGATGTGGGAGAAGTTGTCGGCGGCCTCGCGGACATTGTCGAAGAGCTTTGTGCGGAGTTCCTTGTCCTTCTTCTGGACCTGAGTGAGGTGGACGACCTTTGATCTCTTTGACTTGGGCATGTTGGGTGAATTGGTATTGATGCGGTCGAGATTTGTGTTTTGCGACTGGGATCAAACCTCGCTCGCGACTGGTACAAAAAAAATTGGATGGAGGAGCTGCTTTTTGCGGGGAAGCAACCTCCGACTGCCGACACGCGATTCATCAACCGCAGCAATCAATCAACCCGCATCGCTGCTTTTATCTTGAAGCAATTGTTCCATTGCGCAGTCATGATATAGAGGAGATGATCGAGTTCATGGACTATGTCCAAAACGCCTTTTATTCCGCGTCATTGTGGGACCATGACAACTCATATAGCACCTTGACGGCCACGGCCAATGGTAATCACACTCGTTGCTTCCTGCTCTCTCTTTCCTTGGGCTGACTGTTGTTGAAGCCTTGCTTGACTTCCAAACTCCCCATGGCCTTCGTCTTCGCATCTCGTCACTCTCAGCACCCAGCTTTGCGACATCGTACACGCTCTCCAACAGAGGCTTCGTCGATGGCTCCATCTCCTTCCTCTACTCTTCCCTGCCCATGCGCATTCCTTCTCAGAGTAGCATCATAGACTTGCGCAACCTGGTCAGAGGCTATAGACACCTTCCCGAGCTTCGCCGACCGGACGAGACGTATCTATGGGAAATCTGGCAGGCTGGAAGAAGAATTGACAAGAAGGACACTTTGCTGTACGGTCGTTTGTACTTACCCACTTCGACCCTCGAAGCTCTGTATCTCAGACGTATATCGCCTTCGCGTCTTCTTCGCCTGTCATGTGTTTCCGACTCGGCTCTTCCAAATGGTGGTTCCATTCTGGCTCAGCTGCAGAACGACCATGCCAAATACTCGACTGAGTATCTCTTCTCGACAGACAGCTGCTTGATGGGCCTTCGCGGCCTGTACAACTTCGGTCTCGATCCTCGCACTATTCCCAGGACCACGACACCCAGGGGCAATGTCATACCAACCGATCCTCAGTTCGGCCGTCTGAGTGCTGGTGCCGAGCTGTACTTTTCACCTTTGAACAAGTCTGGTGGTGTCTCTACTGCTATTCGCTTCACCACGCTTCCTTCGCATACTGGCTTCCCGTACACCATGGCCTTGACCCTGAATCCTCTCATGGGCAACATCTCCTCAAGCTATGCCGTCAAGGCTGGCTCTGATGTCGCTTTAAGTTCGCGCTTCGACTTCAACATCTACAGCTACGAGTCCGACGTACAACTTGGTCTCGAGCTTTGGAGAAGAAAGCCGCTGGAATCAGGAGACACTCTGCCAGTTGAGGACACAGAGCCGCCTGCACTTCAAGAGTCTGTGTTGGAGAACAAGTTGACCAAGGATCTGTTGCAACAAAACAACTTCCAAGAAGTTGACAGCGTTTTCAAGGCAAGAGTGAACCAGCATGGAAAGATTGGTGTTTTGTGGGAAGGTCGCATCAAAGATCTGCTGGTCAGCATAGGTGCGGATCTCAACTTGAAGAGAAGAGACAATATAATTGGCTCGGTCGGTCTAGAGGTTTCGTATTCTTCATGATGATACCCTTCTATTTTGAAAATCGGGTGCCAATTCGGGCTCAAAATTTTGGCAGTGTGAACATGTATCTTCTACTCTTTCCTCTCGATATCATGTTTTAGGATGCAGCGAAATGGTGACCGCTCTTTCGTCTAGTTGGGCATCAATCTCCGGCAGCCTGGACTTCCATCGAGAAACATGTTTCGGATCGTCAGCGCAGCCATCCGAGCCTCAGCTGCATGTCTCGACACCCAGCCAACCGCAGATAAACCTCGCGACTGCCGTGTCTCAAGACACTCTGGTAGTACTATGAACAAAGAAAGCGTGGTGAAGCCTATCCCAACAGCTATCAGCTGAAGACGATCATAAATGATGTTCAACTCCTGGTCGTCTCTTTCTCAGCAGCAATTCCCCAACACGCCAGATCAACAATCATGTCTACCCCGATGGAAGAAACCTTCTTCTCCTCCGACATGGACAGCTACACCATAAATCACTACGCCGAACCATCCTACAACAACGCCAACATGAACAATAACAACAACAGCTTGGACCCACGTCTCCTCTCCTCACCCCAAAACACCGCCATCATGAGCAACGAAAGCCCTCACGAACACTACCCTCAACCACACCTCCTCTCCCCTTCCTACAACTTCAACATGCCTCCCCAGCAACAGCAATTCTACGACCCTGCTTCCGATCTATCGCTGCAGAACTACGAACCTATGCGCCATCAAATGCTGGGTCATCGTAGAAGTGTTTCTGTACCACCTGAGGATTTGATGTTGGAGACTGTGCAACAAGCTGCACCTCTAGCTCCAGCTATGGTATTCCATCGCGGCGGCACACCACTGGGAGACAGTATGGGTGGTGGAAAAGCAGGCGGCGGCGATGGAGTAGTAGGAGGAGGAGGAGGCAAGAAATTCCTGAAGAAAGCTACGGCTGCGCAAAAGAGGCAGATGCAGAGACATGTGCCTTATCCTTCTCCTGGGATTGATAGGATGGGTGGGGTGAGGAGAGTGCAGTATGCTTTGCAGAACCAAGGGCCGACGTCAGCGCCCCAGCAACAACATCATCATCAACAACAACAACAGCAACAGATGGCTTATCTGAGAGAAGAAGACGTGGCTGGTGTGATGCAAGAGTTTCATAGCTCTACTCCGTCACCGCAATTTGGAGGTTTCGACAATGTCGTTAGTCCTAGACATAGGAGTTCGCCTGCTCAGATGTCGATGGAGGTTACTGATGTCGACGCTTTGACCTTTGGCAGTGGCTCAGATGTCGATACTGCTGTATTAGGTATGCTTGGTTTCACAGAACGCTTGAGCAAAGACTGTGAAGCCATGAGAGAGTTTCTGGCCAGGGGTTTCAAGAGCAGTGAGGAGGATGAAATCGAACGGTATGCTTTCCCTCTCCCCACTGTCAGCAGAGCAATGTTAACTGACATGATTTTACAGTGTTCGTCAGGAAAAGCGCGCTCTCAATCACAAAGCATCCACTCTCGAAGACGGTCTTGAGATGCTACCGCTTCCAGATGGAAAGGACGAGGAAGAGATAAACGTGCCCGTCACTGGGCAAGAAGTCAGGGAGCTAGGTGGTAAGTCGTGCTTTCCTTTTGTCATTTTTCGAACCCTAGCACTAATATCTTTGTCGCAGTCGAGAAAACGGATGAGCTGTTGGACGTCTACGGTATCCCGTTTACTGCGGATACGTTCTTGCACGAGAAGAAGATGGCATACTTACGGTTCGTGGGTGTCAGTCGTGCGCTCATGCATCTTGTGCTGGATTGAATCGGGTTATTGTGAAGGGGGAAGAAGATTTGACAGGAAGGATCGATCATAGTTTAGAGCTTACGAGGACATGACGTGGAAACGATTCGGTTGCACATTCGTTGATGGTTGTGGGCCAAACTCAAGGGCAAAAGGCCAACATTAGAAAATGCGTTCTCCTTCACCGTATCCATCTTGGAAAAAAATCTGCCTTGAAACAAGTATTCATCACGATCGGAACGGAAAGATTGCTCGCATCTTTTCGAGCGTGCTTCTTCCTCAAGGAAGGCGCGACTGTAGTCGTCTCTTAACTGTAATTGCCCCTGTTGCAATGGAAACAATGTTGACAGGGTGATGCCCTCGACAACCCCTGAGTTGCACCTAGAGACCTGAGCGAGTGCATAAGCAATCGATTTTCGAGCCGCGTCATATACTCGTGAGCCCCATACCGCAGCGATTGGACAAGACGACGAATCAACGAACGTTGGCGCGGATTGATGGGAGATTGGCCGAAGCTATGGACGAGGAGAGGATAGTGAGCCCTTTCAACTTTTGGTTGGAACGAGGGAAGCATGGGCTGTAGTCTGGAGAGACCTCTACTGGTATTAAAAGTCTGCCGTCCAGGAATTGGTACTCGAGAGCTCAGCTGCAGGATCTCTCAAGGCAAAGGCGTCCGACCTCCTGGTGATCACGAGCCGGCAAGTCCGGCTTGAGATGAGAAGCCTGCAAGCTCAATTAGTTGAGAGCATGACAGTGAACACGAAACGAAAAGGTGAACATTGTCGAACAGGACATGTCACATGCAAAGAGAACAGAAAAATTTCCAGTAGACTTTTTATCATTTGTAAAAACCCCCAAACAACCTTCAATGCGAAGTATACAGGAGTGTCGCAGCCCTGATTATGTGCTTGCTGTGTGCAAAAAAACATCGGATCCTCAAAAAGCTGTGACAAAGGAGAAAACCAGAGAGAATCGCTCGATGCCGTGAAGCCGAGTCGTATGTTCCCCCATATGCAGATAAGAAAGAAGAAAGCCGTATCTCTAAGATGAAGTGGGAATCATTGCGTGCGCTAAAAATACATCAAAAGCTGAAAGTGAATTCGCTTAGATGAGGAGAGCAGCGAAACCAGCAACACCGGCAAGGGCGATGCCAGCGTTAAGCTTGCCAGCAGCACCGGTGTAAGAGGAGGGCATGGACTGGGTGGCGGAAGCACCGAATCCAGTGGAGGCAGCAGTGCCCTGGGGAGCGGTCATGGTGGAGTTGACCATGGCGAAGGGAGCAGAGCTGGGGACCTGGACGGCAACGGGGACGGTGGTGTAGCCAGTAGGGATCAAAGAAGAGCTGACTCTAGCGGGGCAGTTTGTAACTTCAGGACCGCAGGAGGTGATGGTAACAGCCTGGGTGGAGTAGAGGGTGACGGTCGAAGGACCGGCAGCAGGGGCAGTGGTGTTCTGGACAGCAGCAACGACGGGAGCCGAAGTAGGAACAACGGGAGCCGAGGTAGCGGCAGATGCTGAGCGGGCCGGGCAGTTTGTGACCTCAGGCTAGAAGAAAGTTAGTATGAGATCTTGTGGTTGCAATATATCAGGTAAAACTTACGCCGCAGGAGGTGATGGTCTCAACAGCGGTGGAGTGGACGGTCTCAGTGATGGCAGGGGCAGCAGCAACGAGGCCGGCGAAAAGAGCAGAGGCGACAACAGCGAAACGCATTTTGATTGATGTTGGTGGGTTTGGTTAAAAAGTCGGGGTGGTTGGAAAAAAGGTGGTGAGTTGGTTATTAAAGAATGTAGTGATAGTTGGTTTGGTTAAAGAGTGTAACGACCGAAGTCTGATTATTGTAATGTGAGTTGGATGGTGAGAACGAAGAGAGCAGTGAAGGTCGAGCAAGGCCGTGGTTTATAAATGAGATAGTGGTTGATCGACGTCGGCCGGGGAATTGTTTGGGAAATTGCGCCCTCCTGTCTCCAACACCCTAATGCAGGTCCAGCGATCCGAGCTCATGGCCACGATGCAAGGGATACCGACCACGACCGTTGGCTGGAAGCTTCCAAATGATGTTCATATCTCTAGATTGCCGTCTTCTCACTATGGTGAACATCATTGGTGCAAAGCCGAATTGAGCCTTCGCTTTTCCACGCTGACCCAAAGGAAACAGCCACCGCCCTCCCCCTTGTAGAGTAGATTGTCAATAACAATCCCAAACCCGCCAACTCTTTGCTTTTATGCCAAGTTGTAGCACATTATGCGACACACGCGTCTTTTCTCCGCCGAGTCATGAAGTGGCTTATACTAGTGCCTTCACATGTTGAGGGCATCTTCATTTCGGCACACAGATCCAGGCATGCTGTGTGGGTGAGCATCGTGTGCACCGTGTGCACAGGCCTGAAGCGACAGTCACAATCAATGCAATCCGCACATCCTATCGCCCGCAATCGATAGTCTGCTTATTTTATAGCACGTTAGGGAGAGTCAACGCATTGCTCTGCTCCTCAGGCAACAAGAGAGCATCTGACGTCGTTTTCGAGGCTTTGGTAACTCGAATTTGACCGGTACAAGGGGGCACATGGCACTGGGGTATAGCTTTCTGGTGAAACTTTGCCTGCAAGTTTAAGAGAAGCGACCGTTGACTGATATATATCACGGCAATCCATCTACCCAATCTACCGCCCGAAAGTACAACCGTCCTACATAATCGTCCGGGAGTCTTGTATCGACAACACATATCAACGTCTTTTTTCCAACGTCGACGTCCATGAACCTTTGCCGCGAAATCCTTCCAAAACATGTGACACGCCTTCAAGACTCAGGAGGTGAAACTATGGGGATGGCCGAACGCCACGCGGAGGATGGTGTGTTTGTTGTGTCAACAGCATTCTTCAAGTTGCCTTGTTTACTCTTGGGCCTAATCCGAGGTCGTAATCGACTCGACCATCTGGAACGCAGTCGTCAATGCAAAGGAACAGACAAGCATTTGTGCAACTCTTGTATTCATTTCTAACAAGTAAGGTATAACGACAATGCAGCTTTCCCGCAATGCCCGGGCATTTTCTTTCTTGATTTCTCGTAATATCGAGTACTTCTAGAGGCAGAGATTATTTTCCAACCAACACATTTGGCGGATTGGATTATGATTGCATCGCGTCGCTGTAGCTCTTTGCTGCTTGGCTTGCGAAGAAGCGCACGTCGACATCGTCATCAGTCATGAGTTTTTCCAGGTTGGGCATGATTTCTTCCCGGATGAGCTGGTCACCTTGAGGGCTTCCAGAACCAGTCTTGCCAGTCTTCTCGAGCGACAGAACCGTTGACTCAGTGTCGGGCAGACGCTTCAGAACATCAATCAACACAGCATATGACTTTGCAACGTTGAATCTGATGTTGGGGATCTGGTCAGACACGAGGTTTGACAGGATAGGGAAGATAGACTCTTGGATGACGGGAAGAGACAATGCGGGGGCAAGGGTCTGGAAACTGTTAGTATACGTTCAACGTGGAGATGTCAGTATGAACTTACAGAGACGGCGAAACATGTGGTCATGCGGTACAGGTAGTTAGGGTGGCCGCCCATAGCAACAACCTTGGGCACGATAGCCTCGTTGGCCCACTGTACACCGAAGACATCTGTAAGCTTCTTCAAGTTCTGAGTGCTGGCCTCGCGAATGCTGAAGACGGTGTCACCGAGCCAAGACATGCAAAGGCTGGAAAGCTTCTCGTCGAAGAACTTGACACCAAGCTGGGAAGCAAGGAGAGGGAGATGTTGGATGATGGCCAGTCTCACACGCCACTGCTTGTCTTCTGCGAGCTGAACGATGGCGGGGAGGAGAGACTGTGAGAGAAGCTCAATTCCGATGACGTCGTTGACAAGCTCGAGCTTGGAAATGATGTTCAAGCGGACATCGGGGAACTCATCCTTGAGCATCTGGAGGAACATGGGGAGCAGGTGCTCGGTAGTCTCCTGCTTGCCGAGAATAGGAGCCAGACCACTAATCTGGGTACCGAACGAGGCACGCACTTGCTGCGACGAATCCGAGACGAGCTCCTCGACTGCGGGCATGACCTCTTGGAGGAGAGTGTCTCTCTCGATGAGGGCACAGAATCCAGGTATTTGTCCAGCAATGGCAGTTCGCACTTCGGCCTCGGTGTCTTTGAGGAGCTTGATGAAAGCGGGTACAAGATCGCGGCTGACAACCTCGTCGTCGACAGCCTTGGCAATCTACAAATTCGTTAGTACGGCCGGTTGCGAAAGACTGGACTTTGTGTAAACACACCTTCTCGAACTTATCTGCGACCATGTAGCGTACTCTCCAGCTCTTGTCCTCGAAAAGGCTTCTTAGTGCGGTGAGAAGAACGCCGTGGCTCGACTGTTGCTCCTTGGGGACGGTCTCGGCAATGGCAACCAGAATCTCTACGGTCAAGAGACGAACGCTGTCCTGGTCGTCGCTAGCGAGGTGCTGGAAGAGAGGGATCATCTCGTCGATAACAACATTCGGGGGCATGACGCGCAAGAACTTTGCCAAGTTGATGGCAGCCTGTCTGCGGACCATGGGGGTATCATCGTGAACGAGCTGTGCGAAGCCTTGTCTCAAGGACTCTTGTGTCTGGGGATCGGTCTTGGTGTAGGCGACCTTGTAGACGCCGGTTGAGGAGATCTTTGCGGTGAACCAGTCTGCTTTTGAAAGTCTGCCAATCAGAGGAATGAAGTACTGGTCAATCTGCTCGGTGGATAATTGTTCGCAAATCTTGTTGAGTGACTCGACGGCCTGCAATTTGTTAGCGAGCTGGGTTCGACGAAATGCGATTTGGCAAGCTGACTTTGTCTCTGACGAGGAGCTCCTCGATAGCAGCGAGGTTCTCGAGAGGGGAGAGCAGCACGTGAGCGTACTCTGGACCACCAACGTACTCGACGAAACCACCGAGCTCGTCGCTCAGGGCGGTCAAGACCTCATCTTCGTCCTCGACAGATTCTTTTGCGAAGTTAGTGATTGTTTCTGTAGGCGAACAGGGCATAGGCGAAGGGGGGTCGTACCGTCAAGGAAGGGTATGAGCTCATCTCTGGTGCGCTCAGGGCCCAGGGCAAGAGCGATGGTAGACAGGCGGCGGATGGCGTTCAGTCTGAGCAGGACATCATCGTGCTGGAAGGCGCGTCAGAAGTGGACATATGAGGATGGTAAAACCAGGGTTGGCGGACCTTGAGCTCGTCAATGAGGACGGCGATGGGGTAGAGCTCGTCGTTCTGTTGCGCATCCATGGTGGGCGATTGAAGCTTGTAGTAAAGAGAAAGAGCGTCGTGGGCAGACGTGCAGCCCGCGGGAGAACAGCTTTGGATGTGTCAGTAGGTGTTGGCGGAGTTTATGGAGAAGCGCTCGATGTTGGTGTGCGGCGTTGATGGTGTAATTAGAGAGGGGGGGCCAGCAGACGTGTCGGAGGATCGTCTAGCGGTGGACGAGCGTACCTGTTTACAGGGGCGACAGCTGGATCGACGTGTAGTGCGAGGAGATGCTTGTCGAATTGACAAAGGCGGGTTTAGGTGAAGATGTGTTAGATTGGGGTATTGCGTGACGGAGGAGGCTGTTTGCTGGTCGTCGGCGGCCGGTGGTGCTTGACGCTTGCCAATGCCAGTGCCAGTCTGGAGTTTCTGGCGGTGCCAAGTCTCGACTTTGTCCCACATGTCGCTCAAGCATATGATTATGATTCACCCGCATACCAGCAGTTCGAGAAAACTGTAACACACCCAACTGCTCTCTACACAAAATGCCTACCATTTCCGTTGACAAGGCCGAGCTCTTCAAGGCTCTGGGCAAGAAGTATGCCATTCTTGACCTACAGCGACTCCCCAAAATACAAGACTGACTCTCTCTAGCTACACTACCCAAGAGTTTGACGAGCTGTGTTTCGAGTTCGGTATACTTTTTGTCCTTCTCGTATTGTCGAAGACTTTCGCTGACCTTTCGTCTTCCAGGTATCGAACTCGATGAAGACGTACGCCTCTACTCCACGCATACTCACACCTTCTTGGACCCTTCCTGATGCCATTCACAGACTACCGACTCCAAGCGCCCAATTGTCGATGGCGTCGAGGAGCCTCCGCAACTCAAGATCGAGATCCCCGCCAATCGCTATGATATGCTCTGCTTCGAGGGTATTGCCATGAACCTCAATGTCTTCCTCGGAAACTGCCCTCCTCCCAACTACCGTCTCGTCGCTCCCAAGGACGGCGAACTCCAGACCGTCACAGTCAAGGAAGAGACATCACAAATAAGACCCTACTTCTCATGCGCCGTCCTCAGAAATATCAAGTTCACAAAGGCCCGCTACGAGTCCTTCATCGCTCTCCAGGACAAGCTCCACTCAAACCTCGCCAGACAACGTACCCTTGTCGCTATCGGCACCCATGATTTGGACACTATCAAGGGCCCCTTCACCTACGAGGCTCAAAAGCCCGAAGACATCAAATTCGCACCCCTGAACCAGACTAAGGAGATGACCGGAAAGGAGATGATGGAGTTCTACGAGAAGGACAAGCACCTTGGACGTTACCTGCACATCATTCGCGACTCGCCCGTCTACCCTATCATCTACGACAGCAACCGCACTGTCCTCTCCATGCCTCCCATTATCAACTCGAACCACTCCAAGATTACCCTCGACACAAAGAACGTCTTCATCGACATCACGGCCACTGACAAGACCAAGCTGGAAATTGTTAACCACATGATCGTTGCCATGTTCTCAGAATACTGCGAGGAGCCCTTCACCATTGAGCCCGTCAAGATCGTCTCCGAGCACAATGGCGAGTCTCGCGAGGCTCCCAACCTCACCCCTCGAACTACCCAGGCCGAGGTCAGCTACATCAACTCTATTTGCGGCCTGAAGCTCCAGCCTCAGGAGATTTGCGACATGCTCAAGAAGATGTGCTACCACGCAAAGCCCTCGTCAACACCGGACATCCTCGACGTTGATGTCCCAATCACCCGTGCCGATGTCCTGCACCAGGCCGATATTATGGAGGACGCTGCTATCGCCTACGGATTCAACAATCTCGAGCGCCGCTTCGTCTCAGCAACCACCTCAGTCGGTGCAGCTCTGCCTATCAACCGCCTTGCTGACATCGTCCGTTTCGAGACCGCCATGGCCGGCTGGTCAGAAGTCATGCCCCTGATCCTCTGCTCATACGACGAAAACTACACATGGCTCAATCGCAAAGACGACAACCTCGCCGTCCGCCTCCAAAATCCCAAGACCCAGGAGTACCAAATCGTCCGCACTAGCTTGCTACCGGGTCTGCTCAAGACCATCCGCGAGAACAAGCATCACTCTGTGCCCATGAAGATTTTCGAGGTCAGCGATGTCGGTCTCAAGGACGAGTCTTGTGAGAGAAAGAGCAGAAACGAACGCCGTTTCGCTGCTTGTTGGTATGGCAAGAGCTCTGGTTTCGAGGTTGTGCATGGTCTGCTTGATCGTATCATGTTGATGTTGAAGAGTGCTTTCATTACCAAGGAGGAGGGTCTTAGCAACCCTGCTGTCAAGGGTTACTGGATTGAGGAGGTTGATGGTGAGTTTACTTCTGGACTGCGTTACAATCGAGCAAAGAACTGACATAATTACAGACCCGACCTTCTTCGCCGGCCACTCGGCAGCCATTTACGTCAAGATCGGCGACAAGCCGCAAAGAGTCGGTACTTTCGGTGTCATGCACCCGACAGTACTCAAGAACTTCGAGCTGCCATTCCCCGTCTCTGCCATGGAGATTGAGCTCGAGTGGTTCTTGTAGAGTGCGAAGTCGCGCGGTTCCTGTAGGGTGCAAAAGTCGAGTAACGTTAGATATCCAGGTGCAAAAAAGGAGATTATTACATAGAATTGAAAAATGTTCTGCTAGAGATACCAAGGATCATGCCCTTCTTGTCGCTCGTGCTGAGGAACTTTGTGGTGGACGTGAAAACGGATGGTTTCTTGTGATGGTTTCTTGTGATGGTGTTATGCTATGGTATGCTATGCTATGCTTTGTTCGCTCGAATGATTTGTCCTCCCTGTGGGTATAACTCGGGTTTTCCCTTTCCTGATAAACGCCAATCCATGCAATGTAGTAATCAGACCTTTCAGACAGTAGCCGCAATGGCATCAACCATGTCGACTTCATTGTCATCGTCGTCATCATCGTCCTCCACTACTTCCGTCTTGACTTCCTTGGCCTCCTGCTCTTCTGAGCCCTGGGAAGCTTCGACCTTGACGTCCTTCTCCTCATCCATCTTGATATCCTTGGGATGTTCGACCACAGGCTCAATTCCCATGGCCTTGTCCTCTTTACTCTCTTTGGGAACCTCATCATGAAACTCGACTGTGCCGCCTACACCTCCAGCCTTGATTTCTCTAGCTCTCAGTCTAGCTCTTTCGATGATTTCCTTTTCTTCTTTCTCCAGACCCTTCATCACTTCTGAATTCTGCTGGATTTCAAAGCGTGTGTCCTCGGTGGCCAGTTTGGACCAGTCGAAGTGTTTGGCGCATTTCCTCTTGGTGCAGACGGGCTCAATTTCTGCACCACCACTTGACATGTTGACATCGCCGTCTCCATCTTCGATTGAAGGTGGCGGCAGGGCCTTTGTTCTTAGAACTTCCTTGCCGGCGGGGGAGTCTTGCCAGACGGCGAACTCATCTTCGGTCCACGCAAGGCGGGAGTCGTAACCGCAGAGGTCTTTGGGCTTGACGCCTCTGTGCTCGGCCAGACTTACGGCAGCGTCTTTGAGGATGCCGACGAAGATGTAGCGGTCCTTGAGAAGGGCGTGGCGGGTGCGAGAGGCCGAGCGGAGTTGGTATAGTTGCTGGATGCGTTCGCGTTCAATGTCGTTGAGCGCCGATTCGTGGGTCGTGTCTTCTTCTTGTGTTGCTGCGGCGGTGGGAGAGGAAGCGGATAGAGGAGATACGGAGCCATCGCCGAGGGCTTTGAATTGTTCGAAGGTGGGTGCTGCCACGGCTACGGCTTTGAGTTCGCCTGCGCTGATGACACCGCCGCGGGCTCCTAGGTCTTCGGTCGTTTCCTTGTTCTTCTTTGATATGCCTTCTTCGGCCGCCTGGCGTGTCCTTTCCGCTACCAACTCTTTCATGAACAGTTTGCCGCATCTCTCCGAGCAGTATTTTGTGCCTTTTGATACCATGGCTGGCTTGTTGCAACCTGTACGGCGACACATTCTCTTCCAAGTCGTCTCGCCTACTCCCTTCTCTTCGCAGAAGGGACAGATGTATTTGTCGATCAGAGCCTTCCACTCCTCATCGATATTTACACATTTTCCGTGGAACCAGTCGTCGCAGCCTCCGTCGCAGCCTATCATAAAAGTACCCGTGTCCGGCCTATGGCAGATACAGTAGAGTTCGCTGTCGGAGATGTTGCCGCCCTCCTCCTCTTCTCCCTCATCTCCAGAGAAAGGACCCTCGCCATCTGCATCGACGTCGGGTGACGATCTTGGTGGTGTAGAGGCTGTGCGTACGGAGCGAGGGGCTGGTGAAGACTGAGCCGGTGTGGCGGAGGTAGAGACGATCTTCTTCTTGTGACTGCGCTTAGCAGGGGCAGGGGCACTACGCTTAGTAGTGGCAACTGCTGCGACGCCTTTCTTCTTGTGGTGACTCCTCTTAGGAGGCGCTGCAGGAGCGGCGGCGGCGACGGCCATTTCGGTTGAAGGCACAGGAACCGATGATTCGCGCAGAGGAGATTGTGTGCGCGAGCTGTGTTCGTGTTTTAGAGATGCGATGGCCGAGATCTCTGGGACTTGACGGATTTGGGAGGTGGTGGGTTCCTGCCGTGTGTACGAGGGCTCGCGATTATCTGAGAGTTGCTGTGTTGCAGCGGTAGGGTCCAGAGTGCCAGTGTTGTCGGGGTCTTGTAACAAATGAGAACTATCGTGGCCGACGGCATCCTCCTGTGCTGCCACTTTGACTTGGTTGGACGGCGACCGCGCTCGCAGAGCGACCTCGCTGGTCGTGTCTGAGACTTTGGTCGCATCACTGTTTTGGTCTACCGAACGAGCATCCGGTTCAACATCCATAGTTTCTCCAGCCGACGACATGACAGGCGATTCAGCTCCGACTTTCGGCAGAGGTCGAGTTCACATGGTGCATGTGAAATAGAGAGTCCTCGACGCTCGAGCTTATATATTTAGGGCGCTTTGGGCCTAGTCTTGTGTGGGGTTGCATAATTGCATTTGAGATGCATATTCTGTCATAACTCATGATATCTTCAAGAAGCGATTTGTTTACTGCTGCTTCCATCCACTGTCAAGCGAGAACATCAGCTTGTTCCTCAGTTCGAGCCGCTGCTTTCATCGCTACTATCTCCTCCATCTCGAGCCGCTGTCCTGCGACGTCTACCCTTCTTTTGCGATTGTGCTGCTTCCTCTCGTCTCTTTGGCGCTTCGTTAGCACCCAGACTGCGTTCCAGCATTCTTTCCAGTTCGACTGGATCATCCACCTCTCCGTAGACTTGTCTGACCATTCCTCTGACTCCAGTATCACCAATCTCCGTCTTGCCACGAGGTCCGACTATCCATTCGACCGCCTCTTCTCCACTCGAGTTGTCCTTGATTTTGATAATGTATGCATCCTTCTCCATACGCCTGAGCAGTTTTTCCGTCTTGTCTTGTCCGCTAACCATGATGTTGACACTGTTCTGAGCCGCTGTGTCTTCCACATTTGCTCTCTTGAGGTATCGCTCTAGCTTGGCGTCTGGCAGCATGCCTCCGTTCAGGAAAATGAGGGATACCACGAATGTGTATAATCCAGTGTATTGTGACTCCAAATCATGTGTAGGTGCTTGTGGTGGAGGCAGGATCTCAGGCTGGCGAAATCGTTGAGGTAGCACGGAAGTCAGGACCCAGGATCCGCTGCTCTTTTGTGTAGTCTGTGATTTCTGCGCCGCTCTGCGTTGTGCAAGGGTGACCTTTTCTCGGAGCGGTAGCTCGGTCATTTCCATGCCAAAAGTTCCGCGAAGTTGGGTTTGAGCTTCGGTAAAGACTGCTTTGAATTGCCGAGCATTTGTTCCCAGAATTTTGGCAGTGATATCGGCACGTCTTATCGGTGTCCTGGAGTATTCGCATGCGAGAGCTAGGCGGACCATGTTCTTGACCATGGCATCAAAGTTGCCATCGCCTTGGATGATGCTGGCGTCTCCACCAGCAAAGTCATCCTCTTCGAGATCCGAAACTCTACGTCGTTGTGGTTGTCTGACTTCTGCATCGGAGTCCTCTGGATCCTCGTTGGCTGGCTGTGGATAGGATATTAGGATTGACGGTAATTGCAGTGACAAACACGCGACTCACAGCGCGACGCTTTCGAGTAGGAGGCATTACGACTCGTCGAACGAAACTTGTCGGAAGTAGAGTGACCTCGAAGAAGTGACAATTGGTAAGGCACACGCGCGGGTCGCGACTTCTGCAAGTGACGCGATCGACATGCGAGCTAAATTGCGATTGCGGAGATGTCACGGAAATAAGACAAGCCTTCTTGGCACTGCGACAACTGAGGAAGGAACCATCCATCGTTCAAGAAAGTCAGTAATCATTCACGCATAACTACACAAAATGGCAGACAAGCTCCGTACCACCCAGCAGCTCGAGGCTCTCCAGAACAAATATGTCGGAACCGGACACGCAGACACTACCAGATTCGAGTGGACCTCCAACATTCAGCGCGACAGTCTGGCCTCATATGTCGGTCATCCGCCACTGCTCTCATACATGACCTTGGCCATGGGCGAGGGTACTCGTGAAGAGATGCGTGTTAAGCTCATCGAGAAGATGGTCAGACCAGTTGGTCCTCCACCGGAGGTTTGTTCATAACTTTTCTACTCGCGTCGGCTAGTGACTGACTTTGTGACAGACGAGAGACCAGGAGTGATTTGCGACCAGACTCTAGAACAACAAGGTTCAGCACCACAAATACATCATATCGCCGGCTGTCTTTACCAGCATCCAGCGCCGCTATTATAGCACCACCACGACTGTCACGATACAAGCCGACCACCCACGGGACTAAAAGGACAATTCGAATTTCACAAGCATTGTCCATCCTACCTGGGCTCGAACGAGATGATGGTGGAACACAACACCAGAGAGTTTCGAAAGGCATCGAGCCGTAGTCTTGTCCTTCTATAGGCTTCTTATGCACAGATCAAATAGAGAAAGATCAGCCTCCCAAAACGCCTTGCCATGCTCGTAGTGTACCCGTCCTGATGCTCCTATGCTCCAGTCCTATGATTGTTGATGGTGTGAGAAGGTATGCCGTTACTCGCTGTCACTGGCACTGCCAGCACCAGCGTCGTCATCGTCTTCTTGTACGACGTCGTCACCAGCCAACATGGTGAACTCGGCCTTTTGCAAGACACTCCTGAGCTCTGTGTTGCGAGGGTCGGTAAGGTCGATGGGGCGCAGCTTGGCCTTGTTGCGTATTCTGGATAGACTTGTCAGCCCTTCGCTCTGACTGTCTTGTACTTGTGCGACATACCTGGGATCGCAGCCAGCGTCGATCAAGATGTCGACGATAGCCTGGCCCTCTTCCCACTCGTCCTTGGTCAAGCTGTTGACATATCTGACCGCTTTGTGCAAGCATGTGTCTCCCTCTCTTCTCTCCACGCCGTCGATTTCTACACCCTCTTGATCCAAAAGCATGTCTAGAACCTCGTAGGCGCCATACTGTGCGCCAATGTGCAAGGCACCACAGCCCAAGGCGTCGGTTGCCGTGTTGAGGAAATTGGCGAGTTCGTCAGTGGACTTGAAGTCCGACAAGACAGTGGAAAGGAGATCGGTGTTGTTACGACGGCATGCTTCGAGCAAAAGTTCGCGGGATGAGGCACCCTTGAGATATATTAGCGATTGCTCGGTGCTGACTATCTGGTCTTTCATTACTTCGTCTGCCATGGTGTTTTGACGCTGCGGTTTTGCCGGAACTGACGATCAGGCGAGTCGGGATGATCGCTAGTATGATATTAGAGCGGTAGCGAATATCAGATGAGGCACACGAGGTTGTAAAGTAAAAGTAGTGGGGTGCTCCTTGTCTCTCTGGTTGCTGTTCGGGCATCTGCACGGGCCTTCAGTTCGACTCCGAGGCTCCGGCTTCTGACACGCTCCAGCACTCAACGACATGTTCTCACGTTCCAGTCATCGCTATCATACGTTTTCGGCCAGTTTGGTAGTTCAAAGCAATACTCGAAGTATGACCACGCCTACCCGTAGTCAGAGGATTATCGTAGTCTGTCTTCACACCGCGTTCACCAATCAATGTTACCCAACTATGAATGCTATGGTCTGGAAACATTGGCCAGATGGGCTCCTCTTACAACGACTCGTGACTCCTACCGAGAGTATGTCTTTCACTGGCTGTACCAGTGACTAAACTATCACATGATGGAAGGAGGGGGATCACATCGACAAAAGAATTTCTTAGATTGAGAGAGAGTCGGATTCCGAGGAAGAAACAGAAGGTTCGTCCGACGAAGAATTAGGAGGATGGAACAGAATGCTGGGTCATGGTAGGGTGAGTCGCTCTAAAGCAAGAAAGCTTCTCGGATCCTGGGACCTGGAAAGAGTGACTCAGGTTGCAGTAGCCGCGACTAATGGGTTCGACGCCAGCGTGCTCAAACAAACTCTCCACGGTGTATCGCACTTTCCGTTCTCAAATGTCCATGATCAGATATAGATCCTTGGCTGTCCGGACTTGCTCGCTTTGGACATCTTCTCCGTCCTCAATCGGCTCCCTTCCTTGGACAGACCTCTGAATACTTCGCCGCCTTCTGTCTCGCTTCAGCTTGAGGACATCCCAAACTCAAGTCTATTGTTCCACAACCACCAATATGCCTATTTCCTGGGAACCGGATCAAGGTCCGATGCTCGTCGTCGTCAACGGTGTACCCACACTCTACGAGAAAAGAGCCTGGTCCTATCGCATCCCACTCCGCGAAGGAGACACAGAACAAATGTACCAAATCATGATAGAAGCCACACCAGAAAGTATCCTCAGCCACAGCAGAATGATGGAGCTTAGCCAAGCTTTCAACGACATGTTCGGTCTGGGCGAATACGATATCGAAGAATGCATCGTTGAAGGCGATCCTGAGGAGTTTATGATCGCAAAGGGCTATAAGATCAGGAAGCAAGAACCAAGAGCCAAGCAAGAGGCAACGGTGAAGAATGATAAGAAAGAGCAGTACATCGAATGGGATGGCACGATAGATCCTAGAGTGGATGATGACACCGACTGGTCGGAAGTGAGCGAAGACGACGTACCGGAGGTGAAGGAGGTGAAGGAGAAGAAGAAGAGATTGGAGGGAGGAGAGGAGGAGGAAGGTAAGGAAGTCGACCAAGAGCGAAATGTGGAAGTCAACTCGGCCGCAACAGAACAAAGCTTGAACCGGTATGATTACTCTGACCTACTGAGCGCTCTTTCGGGTGCTTCCCCCAGCGATGCGAAGACGATGCTCGAGGAAAGGCTTTATTCAAAGGTCATGGGCCTCGACATTTCTGCACATGTGGCTGGTGTAATCACTCGTCGCATGATGGTCGAATTCGACAGTTACTACATCGCCTTTATGATCGCAGTTCCGAATGAGATTCAGCTCCGGAAGGAGGTCTCCATCACCAAATCGACAGTCGAACAAACCACGCGCGAAGAGGCCTTGTCAAAGCGGGAAATCGAGCTTCCAATCAACACCCGACTAAACGAATTCTATCCGCCTCAACATGAAAACGAAAATCAACAACCCTCCGTAGAATAAGAGTGGCTACAACGAGACGTTCGAGGATGTCTTTCAAAGCCCAGATACCAGGCCTTGATCAGGGTTATTCAATCATCGAATCAAATGATCTCTCGCTCTCTTTATGATTTGGATTGAATGAAGTAGATATGATGTGATCTCGCCCAAAGTCGCTGAGATAATGCACAGTGATTCTGGGTTTGACGCAATTGTCCGGTAAGAGTACATTTCAGAACTGTATGCACAGGATACTGTAGGTTCAAAGAGCCGATCTCATCACCAGCACAAGGTAATCCAGATTGTGACAGCTATCCAGTGAAAGTGATCGCTCCAAATAGTCCAGGCAATCTGTCAATATTCCAGGCTTGAACTGATCTTTTACTCGACATCCTCAGGGTTGATGTCAATCTCATCCACAATCTGTACTTTGATGCTGCCTTGACTCAGGTCGGCACATATGTGCATAGCATCCACCGCCTTCTCAAGTGGGAACACATGCGACACCAACGGCTTCAGATCCAACAATTTGCCCTTCACAGCTGCAATACCAGCAGGCCAAGTATCGGTATACCTGTTAATGAACTTGAGGTTGATCTGTTCGTTCGTCAGCGCACGTCCAAATCACAACGAGACAAGAAGGTAGCAATGCAAGCAAACTTACCTCACCAAGACTCAAATGCATGAAAGGGATATTGTTCACAATGGGCCGTCCAACACCAATAACCATCACCGTGCCTCCTCTTCTGACGGCAAACGCACCAGTGATGATACTGCTCTCCACACCCGTACATTCCAATACCGTCTCAGGGGCTCCATACTCTGAATCGCCAAACAGCTTTCTGATCGACTTTGCATTCTCCTCTGCGCTGAGGTTACGTTGGACCTGATAAGTCTCGCATTCAGGGACTAGTTTCTTCGCAAAGGCCAGACGAGAGGCTTCAAGGTCGGTGATGACGAGGGGATGGGCACCAGATGCTCGAGAGGAGAGAAGGGCGATCAAGCCAATGGGACCGGCACCGCAGATCACAGCGCCACGTCCTAGAGTAAGTCCTGCACGACGAATGCCGTGCAGTACGACTGACAAAGGTTCCAGTAGCGCTCCTTCTGCATAAGTAACATCATCTGGAATCCTTTGTTGTCGATAAGTACGGGTATCAAAGGGAAAGGAAGGAGATCCGATACATACTTGTGCAACCATTTTGCAGGATGGACCTTGAAGCGCTGCAGAGTGCCATGATAAGGGTAAACACCAGCAAACTTTACATCTTCGCAGAGATTGTATCTTCCCTCCCTGCAGAGCCAGCATTTCTCACAAGGAACGCCCGGTTCCACTGCCACTCTGTCGCCTGTGATCATCAGTCAGCACTGTCTTCTACCTCGTTTCTCTCTTCCTTTGATCTCTCTTCCTGGTGTACTGCGAGGAGGAAGCAATATGTAAGAAAACGACAAGACTTACCAACTACCAATTCATCAACACCTTCGCCAACCTTTAGCACGATACCGGAAGCTTCATGTCCCAAACAACAATCACCCTCGACTTTCAAAGGACCAATAGCTCCAGTTTTCCAAAAGTGTATGTCTGATCTGCACATCACAACTCATCAGCTCTGATCATTCTTCATCTTACAATCTCTTCTCTCATCTCTGATACTATTCAATCCAAGTGACTCCAGAGGTATAAAGGATGAACGGATGGAAGGTAGTGAGAAGATCAAGACTCACCCGCAAATTCCAGTACATTTGATGTGCAACAAAACTTCTCCATTCCCCGGTTTGTGAATTGGTGATTCGGCCATTTTGATCTGCTGGTCTGCAGTCACCTGCAAGGAAGGATTGTTGTGTTTCATGATTAGATGTGTGACCCTGGTCGGTGTTTATGTTTTATGTCTGGTGTCTTCAAAGTCCAACTATTGTTTAATCTGTTGATGAGAGCAACTATGAGTATGGTAAGAAAGAGGACAGGAGCTCCCTCATTTATCTCATGACCTTTGCCAGTTTTATATGTCGTCGTCAGAGTGGTACCTTCGGATCGCTCATTGGCGCTTCGGTTTACCGAGTTGGGAATGACGACGGTTCACCAAGTGCGGGGGTCTCGACGGCAGCATGAATACCTTATTTTCTGATACCGGCTATTTGGCAAAGGAGACAACGATACTTCTGCATGAACCGTGATCTACTTGAGCTTGTTTGAGTGTAAAAGCATGATGTGTCTTATTTGCTGCGATCGAGAAGCGTGTAATGACTTCCTCCGAATAAACCCCGTTTCTCCTCCATGTACTGAAGGACATTCGAACCAGAACCCAAGCAACGAGAAATAGCTGAACCATTGCAACAACCGAAACCTCTTTCCATCATGCGCCAGTTCCTGACCCTGTTCGCCCGTGAAGGCGTTGTAAGTCGAGATCTTCTAAAACGCCAGAGTGTAAACCTACCCCTTGAAACACCAGTGCAAGCATGCTGCTATTACACGCGAGGTGAATTGAGCTTCTCGTCAGCGACCTTGGGCTGCTTGGGACTCTTGCTGCCCTTGACGGGATCAGCATTCGACGAAGGAGCCTTCGACTTCGGTTGAACGACAGTCTTGACGGTGACCTTGACCTTGCTAGAAGTAGTGGTCGTCTTGCTGCGCTGCTCATGAAGATACGCCTTCTTAAGAAGAGCATCAAGATCTGAGGAGAGTTGCTGTCTGAGCTTTGTGAGAGATGCAATTCTGTCTGTCAAGGACATTGCCTTCAGGGACAAACCTCCCGACTTGGGCTTGCCAAGGTTCTTCTCAGATGTAGAAGGTCCACGAGGCTTGCCAAAGGCCTTCTCAGATGTAGAAGGTCCACGAAGAAGTCTTGTTCTGATCTTCAGGGCGTTGTTGCGAGCTCTGACAAAGTGACGCTTCTGAGGGACGGTACTCTTGACGAAAGAGCCCAAGGCGGAGGTTTTGTTGTAAGTCAGACCACCCATGTAGGACAAACCATGAGAAGTGCGGTTGGATGCAGAACCAATGATGTTTCCGGTTGACTTCACACCACTTCGAATGTTGCCACCCAGAGACTTAACACAATACACCGACGTGTTGAAGACGGAGTGGACGTCAGAGATGACCTTAGCTTGAGCAAGCTTGGCAGCGTGGTGGACTTCAGTCACGTCTTGTTGAACACCTTTGGCGGCATTCTCGTAGGTGACACGCTGGAGGAGACGGTTTCCAAGGTCAATCTTGATCGTCTCGTTGCGAAGAGGTGCGTTGGTGGAAAGTACGCTGATCTGGATTTGACCATGAGCGTCAGTGGTAGGCAGCGAGACCGAGAGGACTCCATCAATGACACGAGTGTTGTTGACGTTGCTCAAGGCCTTGCCGTTTCTGAAAAGTCCAATCTGAGCAGAATTCCAGTAGCTCTTGGGAAGGGAGACAAGGAGTTGGTCAGACTTAGCGACGTGAACGTTGACAGCTGTAGGGAAGGCAACGGCGGTCGAGGTGGTGTTAGCCACGATGCTTGTCACGGTAGGATAGCGAAGGACCTCGCTAGCGTTGATGCTGCCAAGACCAGATTTGTTCAAAGCGGCTTGGAGCAGAGGTGCACGAGTTGCCAGATCGGAAGCAGCGTTCTGCTGCTGTTGCAGGAAGTAGGTAGGCACACCAGCGGCGAACAAGATCATGAGAAGCGTGAAGACGCTCTGCATGGTGCTCAGGGCGAAAGGGAATTCACCGAGGAGTGACGAGAGCTTGAACTTCTTACCCTTCTTTGTGGGGACGATGGCCTCCTTATCCAGAGCTTCGTTGGATCTGTTGGCGAGGAAAGCCAGGTGGCGGCTCAGAACATCGTCGTCCAGAGCATAGAAGGCACTGTGCGACAGAGCCACCTCCTTGTTCGAGGTCTTCTGAGATTCACCACCGCTACTTGAGACGATAGACAAACGAAGACAGTGTTCGCCTTGGGCAGTCTGAGGGATGATACATGACGAGTCGACATCACCCATGCTAGGGTCTTCGGATTCGTCCTCGACTTCAAGCATGGGAATGTTGTGGAAAGCCAACTTCTGAGCGAGTTCGACATAGACATCGTCGCAGTCTTGGCGATGGAACACGACCAAGTCGGGCTTGGTAACATCGAGTTCGACTTCGGAGTTGTCATGCAGAAAGATCAGCGGGCCGACGGCGGGACCGGCAGCGATTACTGCAGCGCGCATCACCGTGACGGGGATAGATGAGTCGTTCGAGGAGCTCAAAGTAGCACCGTGAGGTTCAACCTGAGAAGCTGCATCCATGAAAGCCTCCTTGTCAGCCAGTCGACCTGTCATAGCACCGATGATCTTGGACATCAAGCAGGCAACGTCCATGTTGGTGACTGTGCTGTCGCCTCCGATATAAAGCAAGCGCAAGGGACGGTCTGGCAGCTGATAGGGCTTCTCTGCCAGAGACATTCCGATGAGACGAGCATCCTCGTGGGCCATGGCAGGGCGGATGGTGCGCTCCGAAGAGAGTTGTGGCATACGTTGAGCCATGGTAGGCGTGTCGGGGATGATGGTTCTGTCACTCATCATGACATGCTCCATGTCTTCTTCAGATGGCTCTGCCTCTTGCAAGCGAGCACGAGCACGGGTAGCGAGAGCAGGGATCTCATCGTAGCAGATCTCGTCATAGTCGGCGTCGCTAGCATCGCTGACAGTATCGCCGTTGGAGATGGAGTCGACATCGCTAACGCTCTGAGCGTCAGTGTCGGCCTCAGGAGCGCGGTTGGTCAAGGTGGGGAGGGAAGGTGTAAAGCCATCAGTCGACACGCAGTCGTCTGAGTAGTCGTCGACCTCGTCGTGGTGAGCGAGGGGCTCGGCGTGTGCTGTCATGTTATCGAGGCGTCAGTTCTGTGGAACTTTGCTTTAGCAATGTCAGAATATGATGCGAAAGTGTCAAGAGGAAGAGGTTGATACAGAAAGCAAGTTGCAGGATATGTGATGATGAAGACACAAGCGTGTTGGCCGTCGTGTTTGGGACAAAAGAGTCTGCGTCTCGGTAGCAGCTTCCAGCTTTCACTGTGTTGCGTGTGTTGGAGTCCGTATATCGCGCCCGAACGAAGAAGTTACGGTCCGAGCAGCTGACGACCGGGTTAGAGACGAATGGGCCAAGTTGCAGTGAGTTGAGGAAAGAGTAGAGGAAAGAAACCTTTGTAGACCACGCAGCCTTATCTGCAACTTCTGTCGTGTGGTAGAAGTAACAGCTTACCAGACAGATTATTGGGCGCTGCAGCCTGCGAGGAGGGGTAGCGAATCGGGTGGGCCTTTCGAGCTCCTTGTCTTAGCCTAGAGGGGGGCAGCCGAGTGGGAATGAGTTTGTTCTGCTTTTCTTAAAAACAGTGCCTCGAAGACGCCCGCAGCAAGCTTGCAATATGGATCTGTGGAGTCTCGACGACAGGATGGAGGGTAGAATGTACTGTATCACCCGGATAGAAGTAGAAATCAAGGTGGTGCAAACACCCCGCAGTCGATGATAAGACAAGCTTTCAGAGCTGCACCGTGATGGTTGCCGCCTTGCATGTGACGACGACGCCTACTCGCAGATACGGCTTTTTATCGCAGCAAACACGGCATCAATCTGTTGAGTGACCTTTTGTAACTTTGAACCATGGTTCGGACTATAGGCTCTCTCACAAGATTAATTCACTATTTGCCTTGACTTCTGCTTCTCGACTTTCCAATAGCATGTGAGATAACAGGTGCTGAATCTTGAAAAAAAAACCGTTGATTCGTATCTGCATCGTTACTATATCATGTACGATCAAGAATCAAAAAAGCTGTTGATAACACCAGAGGTCAGCGGAGGCACAATACAACCGAGAGTGTGGGAACAAGATGGGGTCCAGGTCCTGTATCCATATGTATTCAAACCGATCAAATAACTCCGTCCCAGTGCATGATCGCTGCAAAAACGACGCGCGCCTCTCATGCGTATAGAACAGCCAATATTACATCCTCGATCATGCTGGAGGTCCTGGAGTAATCCAGCCTCCCGCCACGTCGACCCAGTTGGGCAGACAACTGCCTTCCTTGAGCTCGACTTCTGGGACTTCGGGGTCACATCTGCATCTGCAGCCGACGCCGTTCTCCTTCTCTTCATCCCACTCCTCCCAGTATGCATCTTCCTCAATCCTTTTCTTTTCGTCCAAGGTAGTCGTCTCAAGGTACGGTGGGCGATTTTGCTGGCGAGCCTTTGCGTTTGCCGGACAATGGGCGATGGTTGTGTGACGATAGCCGATGTCACGGAAGTAATGGACCTGGGAGACGTTCAAAAGAACGCCTGCTGCTAACGAGTGAATAGGTGCATCACCCCACTGTTCGAGTCAGCAATCTGTCGAGTATCTCACAGAAGGGTATATCTTACTCTCTCCATCCAGAAACCACCGCTGCGGTCCATCATTTGGAAGAAGTCCTCGTACTCCTTGCTTCGGAACCAGTCAAGTCGGGCAATCTCAAAGTTACTCCAGTAATGACACATGTTGTATGTTTCGCCCTCCATGGACTCGGGGTCCACATCAGGAATAGTACCCGCGCCAGGTTCCGTGCGAAGAATGTCTTCGGGGAGCGGCTTCTTGTACTTGGGGTCGTCTTTTGGCAGCTCATCGGCGGGCTTCTCTGGCTTGGGCTCGAGGAACATATCCCAGAGATTAGTCGAGGTGATGTTGTTGACTCGCTTGTAGGCCGAGGCGTATCTAAAAATGTTGGGCACCGTCTCCTTGAGTTCCTTGACAGCAATGGTAAATCCGTAGACTTTATTGTTGCGCTCCATGTGAATGAAAGGATCGCTGCATCATGTCAGCAAGCGGCAGTCAGAGCCAGGTAGCTGTCAAACTTACTAGGTGATATCGCAGAAGTACTTGATCTCGGGCTCAACGCGCCAGTACCAGTCGTACTTCTGGAGGAGTTCGTGCTTGTAGAAGAAACTGCAATTGTCAGCACAAGTTCACCCACGCAGACGGGCAGAAAGCATACCCAGAGTAGAATCTGCACATGTGGTGGTAACTCTCCATACCACCGTACATGATTGCAGCATCGCCCTGTTTTCTGATGCCCTCCTTGGCTACATTGTGGTCAACCCAGTCAGGGAAACCCCACATGCTGGAGTCGATCTTGCCAAACTCGACATTGGAGCTGACGTGTTTGCGGACCTCATCTTTAAAGGTGGAGTTGAAGTCGCCGTCGTTCAGGAAGACGTATGGGTAGTGGAACCATCTGTTGAAGTGTCTCTCGACCGACTTCAGCGATTGCAGCACACCTTCGAGCTCCTTGTTACGGGCGAGAACGACGAAAGCGGCATTGGCGCGTGGCTGATTGGTCTCGAGGGCCGGGTCTTGACAGCCTGTAACGAAGACCTTGTCGTGCTTTTCGCTAATTTTCCTGGGGCTTTGTGTTAGTACGAGTACAAGAGGCCCAAGGGGATAGCGGCATACCTGATGGAAGGCGGTGCACCGGCAGGCATGAGTATCCTGCCTGCCTCTGTTGGGTGCCGCACGAAGAGGAGGATTATTAATATTACGATCAAGCACGGAAAAAGCAAGACCAGGCCCAGAGGTATCGAGATGCGCGAGTTCTCTCTAAGACGTATGCGTCGGCGGAAGAAGGCTAACCTCGGCGTCATCTTCTCTGCACTTTTGGACAGGTCATCGTAGGAGGGTAATTTTTGCGCCGAGGGTAGTCGCTTGCGAACATCCTGCAGGAAGTTCATGTTGCGAATAGGCGACAGCGGGTGCCACGCAAATGCGAAGCTATATCGAAGAGCGGGAAAGGATTTCGAGTCGAGGATTGAGTTGGCGATGAGGTATGCGGCGTTGCAAAGCTGTTCCGGAGGAGTAATGAGCGACCGGGAACAGAGTCGAGGCGAAGCGGACGTCGCAGTTCAGGGAGTCGTCAACAGGTACGCATCGACTGGACGCATAAGAAAGACGGTCGCTGCTTGAAGCTCGAGGCCGGACGAGTTTTCGGCGGGTCGTTGGTCGTAGACGTTCCAGCAGAGAGTGTGATGACACGCAAGGATGTTAGGGGGCTGGCTGGCGGCGCCGAAAGGGTCTCGCTAGAACTAGGCTGAGCTGTTCGCGTGCTATCGGTGTTCCTGGCCTATACCGATGCCAATTGTTTGACAAGAACTTCGGGTTGTGTCTTGTTCCGAGCTGCTCGAGAACAGCTATCCAATTTTGAACTTACTTCCAAGTTCCAACGCTTCTCTTGCTGCCACCTGTGTCCTGTCTGCCGACGGCTGGTTGCTTCTTCCTTCTTACGCAAGCCGCACCCTTGGCATCCCACGTCTCGCCCGGGTGTTTTGTCCCATCGCTGATCCACGCTTCACCCACTCCGTGAAATGAGCTCTTCTCCACCATCTCGATTCTTGCCATCCAAGCTTCTACTCTTGAGTCAGGCGATTGAGCTCTTCTTGTGTGATTGAGTTGTTGCAAAGAGCCGCAACCTCGAGCAATTGTGATCTGAAGAGAAAGCCATATTGTGCATTGAAGAATCAAAACTTTGCTTCGATTGTCCTTTCCATCTGAACTAAGAACAGTAAAACATTATTCTCAACAACCCATCAATCCTGGAGGCTGCCCGTTCAATTCTCGACGGACCACGAGGAATACCTCTCGGAAAACCAACTCTCCATTCTCCGGACCTATATCGCATCGAATAATCAGACAGCTCTTGTGGCTTCGAAGAAAAATATCGAAGGCCAGGGTCATCCCAGCTCACTTGAATTGAGCCGCTTTCCAACATCTCAGAGAACACATCCAAGATCATCGGAAGAAAAGCGTCAACACTATCTACCTCGTCAAACCCATAGCGACCATGAGCAACATCAAATCCAAAGATCTAAGCTACGACAAATCAGCGTCCCAACCAGCTTTCCTCCAACGCCTCAGAGACCAAAACAGCGCAATCACCGCCTCAGGCCGTCAAGAACAACCCATCGCTCGCGCTCAACGAGCAAAGAAAGCTGGCGATGATGACGACGACGCACCGACCTATGTTGTAGAAGGAAGCTCCGAGACATTGACCAAAGCGGAGTATGAGAAATTGACCTCTGGCGATGGAGATGTAGAAGCAGGTGTCAAATCAAAATTCGGGGATGTCAAGGATATGGTGACGGGAGAATTGACGGGGGATTCACCAAAGGCTTCGGGTGCTTTGCCAGAGGAGGATGATGTGCCGGTTCGTACATCTGCAACAATCGATGCAGGAAAGGCGACCAAGAAACGTAAAGTGGCCAAAGTTGTAGGCGGTGAAGACGAAGACGAGACATCGACTAGAGACGAGACAAAAGGCGAGAGCAAACCCAAAAAGCCCAAGAAAAAGGGCAAGCCGATCAAACTCTCCTTCGGCGATGAGGAATGAAGATGATGAGAAACGATTCAATGGTATTGACCTATGTACACAATATCTACAACGGCGGCAACTCCTCCCTATCAATCGGACACACGAGTCTAAACTTCATCCAGCCTTCCAAACAAGAAGAGTGGAAGATATGCCTACAAGGCGTAACCATATACTTCCTGCGCTCCAGGACCAACGAGCCAGTAGTAAGACCTTCGCCAGCAGAGCCTTCGTTCAATACCGGCACCTCGATCTCATGCATACAGATAGCGCAGTCGAAAACACGCTTGCCCTTATCCTTGGCTTCTTTTTCTTGTTCAGGTGATGGCATAGAGGTGGTTGCTCCAATGGGTAGATTGTTGGCTTCCTCGTCGTCGCGGAGGATAGGATGGTAGTCATAAGCTGGTGGAACCCAAGTGCCGCGGACGAACCAGCGAGGTCCGATGATCTCTTGACTCAACAGCAACAAAACTTGTATCCACACCCAAGCAGCAAGAATTCCTAGATCGATCAGATCCACAGCTGCGAAAAGGACATTGTTCTCATAGCCGTAGAAGTATGCAAAGGGCAAGAGTCGCAGTAATGATTGACCAGCGACGAAGTCCCAACGTAATGCGTGTCGACAATTACGCATGCAATTGCGGTGGATCTGCGGAATCCAGAAGGACAGATAGGAGAATGCCAGAAGTGTAAAGTAACCCCGTCTAAGACCTGATGGCCATGAAGTTGCGTTGAGTGAGAGAAATAGTGTTATAAGGAGAAGGAAGTAGAAGCGTGTGTAGAGGGATCCAAACCCAGGAGCACGCTGTCCAGCTTCTACACCTGTGGCTGCAGCATTTGGAGCATCCTCCTCAGCTTGCGTGTCTTGATCTGATGGTATGAATACGGGTGTGGCTCCTGTGTCAACCGGCCGCGCTGCTGTCACGGGCGCAGGTAACGTCTCAGCTCCTGCAGCAGTGATAATTGGTGCCTGAGGTGGTGGAGGCGGTTGAGCAGGAGCACCATCAGCTGTACTCGCTGGCACTGTAGTGGCAGCTGCTGGTGGACCGGCGGCTTGCTGCCGCTGTTGTCTTTCCCGTCTCTCCCTGCGTTCTCGCTCTGGCGCTTGTACGGCCCAGATATCCATCAAGAACCTCATGCCAAAGAAGCTGACACTCATGAAGGCGAGGAAGCCAGTAGCGATCAAAGGAACCCAAAGCGTCTGGATGAACAGACTAATCAAGCAAAAGACCATGGTGGTGAATCCGTCGCCTAGAGACAGCATGCTGATAGTATAGAAGCTGATCCTACTTCTAGTGGAAGGAGTACTTGCATCACGCATCTGGCGAAGGAAGAAGAAAAGCTGTCCGCTGACGACAGCGGCAAAGAGAAGTAGATGTCTTCTGGCGCGCTGATATCCGACTTCGAGTTTGAGACCACGCAAGTGATTGGCTTCCTGCGGCGCAAACTCTGGAGGGCCTTTAGACTCGATTACGAAACCACAATCCGGCGAGAAAGCGACCATAGAGAAAGCCATCTGCTGAGCAGGCGGAATAGATGCACCGGTTGGAAAACGGATTTCTTGCTCGATGAACGATAAAAGAGACTCCTGATCCGGTCCAGGTTCAACACCGGGCACTGGAACGATGTGCTGTTGCAGGTAGACGATCATGTCACATGTAGGAGCCATGGAAGAGTCCGAAGTCCCATCGGGCGTTGGAGCCCAGGGACTGAAGCTGCGAAGGAGACCATCCTCTTGCTCGCTGATGGACAAGCCAAGTGTGCGGTTGAGCAGTTCTTGTGAGGATTGGTAGTGGTACTCTGATAGAGCCATATGCGGCAGACCGAATATACCAGCAAACTTATCCGTGGTTGTAGCGAGCATGATGTTGCCTGTCTCGAGGAAATGTACACCGAACAGCCTTGTGTCCCAGGAATCACCAGCTTCCTCGTCTCCTACAGAGATCTGGGCCTTCACTTCCCTAGCCACCCTCTTGCCTTCGTGCCACAGCAGCGTCTCTTGTGTATCCGCCTCTTCGAACCAGACTTCTAGCGAGCCAGCTTTCGCAGTGACATTCTTGCTGAAGGAGCGGAGTGGGATGGGTCCAAAGGGGCCGACGGGGGAGTATTCGGTCATGTTTAGCTTCGGCGACGCAACCGATGGCTGGATGGGCGAGCGGACCCACTCGCCATACATGGTTCCAGTCACATTGCGGTATAGTGGTAGCGGCGGTCGATCTCCGTCCCCTCCGTCGAGACGCACTAAGTTGTCATGGCCCAAGGCATGCGCTGACTGATGCCTGGCTCGTTCTTTGACAAGCGGAAGTGCTTGCCACGCAAAGGTATCGTTGGCTCGGAAGCCACTGATATTGAGCCATCTTTCTTGTGCTGGGTCGAAGTCTCCCAGTCGTGTCTGGTTCAGGATGGTCAAGTCATGGCGTTCGGCAGCGACGATGTGTTCGAGACGCGAGCGGGCGTGCACCAGAGGTTCCTGTCCAGGTGGGGGCGAGAAGAAGATGAAGAGAAGAATAACCAGTGCGACAATGGCTCGTGGATCAGCCATTACTTAGTTATGCTGAAGTCGCCCGCCATTTGTACCTTGGTGAAATGGTGGTTTCATGTGACGATGTTGTCATCGTCCAGACTCCAGATGCCATCAGCTTGGCGGTGACCCTGCTCGCGTGCCTCGGATATAACTACAGTATAAGAACACCATCACATTATACAACAGATTACGAAGGATCGCATGATCATAGGGTAGAATAGCATTACTGTTTCATGTAAGAGGGGTATTGAACTATAGAAGAGAAGAGAAGTGCAAGATGCCCGAAGCTACCCTCAAGAGCTGAACGGTACAATCGAATTCCTTTTTGGGCCCAGAAACGAAAGATGAACGGATGCCTGCTCCTTGCGCCGTTTCGCGCCTTTCCCAATTGCTTTTGCCCATTGAAACGGCAACTAGACGCCATGGCCGCCGAGATGACCAGGCGCGGGTCCTTCCAAGTCGACCCGCATGACTCTGCTTCGGATGTCACCACTCTCTCTGACGAGGTTGCTGAAGTACTTTTTGGCAACCTCGCTCTCGCTCTGGAGCTTAATCTTCTCCTTGCGCTCGTCGAGTAACTGCTCCACACTTCGCTGAAGTCCCTCACGAAGCTTGTCTGCGGGGAACTTGAGTGCTCTTCTGACCTCAGATGAGATACGTGTAGCGTTGGCGTGTGTGTAGTCCAGCTCCGCAAGCTGAGCTGAAAGCTTCTGTGACAATCGTCGGGGTAGCGAGTGGGGAATTGAACTCAAGGCGTACGAAGCTCCAAGGGCAAGTGCAAGAATGACTCCAGGAATCATCAGTCTGCGCAGGTTGCTGGGTCCGATAACCTTTGCAGCACCAAGAGCACCATCAACCCAGCCGACACCGCCGAACATACGGCCACCCACAACACCGGCGATGGTGACTGCCATACTCGCTCCTGCAACCTTCTCTTGACGCTCCCAGAGGCTTGCTAGGTCGAAGAAGTCGGACATCTCGACATCAACGTCGACCTGTCGTGTCAAAGCGTCTCTGCGGGTTCGGAACATGTACTCAGACTTGAAAGTCAAATCCTCATAGTCATCGCCGAGGTGGAGGACTCCCAAATTCTTGATACCGTCAACTCCCTTGGATGTGTGTTCTCTAGCTGCTTCTTCGCAGTCGTGAACCGAACGTGTGATCTGTTCCAGCATGGCTGTCTTAAGCTCATCTGCGTATTGGTAGACGCTGAAAAGGCCGGGATAGTCGACTCCGAGATTCTGCTCTCCGACACGAGCAATAGTATTGTTGATGGTGTCGCGAGATGCTTTGTAAATATCGGATGCAGTCTCGTCGATTGTGAAGTCGACACCTTCTCCAGCCTCTGAACGAGCTTTCTTGGACTTCTCATATACGGGCTCAAGGTCCTTGAGCTCTTTAGTGACACGATCAAGCTCATTCTGTGCGACTTCCTTGTTTACGCCAGCAAGGTTTCCGAGATCACCGAGTACGTTGAGAAGGTACGTCTTTGCAGGGGCCAGCTTGGAACGTGCTCTCTTCTCGAGCACGAATCGGCGCAAAGAAGCTTCAAGCTCATTGAAGTCGTCAATCTTCTCCTGCTCCTTGCCCTTGCCCTTGTCTTTCTTGTCTGAGTCGTCGTCGTTAGTAGGATCGCCGCTAGGGCCACCACTACTTGATCCGGAGCCGCCTCCAGAGCCACCGGGGCCGTCTGGGCCACCGGGTCCACCAGCAGGAGCGACAGGGATGGCGTTGCTCGAGACGAAATGTACGAGTTCTGAAGATTCCTTGAAAGTAGCAGGACTCAGGTGGTTGACTTGCTTTAGAATCATCTCCTGACATCTCTTTTTGTCGCGAATGTTATCGTAACCATTGACGACCATAAACATGTATGCCTTTTCACGAGCGGCGTTGAAGATGAATTCCTTGGCCGACAGAGTAAAGTGGTTAGCAGCAGAAACAACGAACACAACCACATCAATCTCTTCTTGTCGAGCAAAGACAGCGGTTGTCTTGAGAGAGTCATTGTTGAGTCCAGGGGCGTCAATCAAGGCAATATCCACGACACCGTTGTTGAGTAGTGACTGGTCCACCGAACGGACATCCTTGATATAGACCTTGCACTGCGACCACTTCTCATTATCAATCACAATGTCTTCGAGCTGTTCCAGGCTGAAGACAGCATAAGTGCTTTCATCGTGGCGGTTGTAATCGACACCATTCGGGATGGCATGTACTTCTTCGATACCTCCGTTTTCGCGGCAGTCCAGGACCTCGCAGAAAATGCTTGTGCAAGGCTGTTGGTCCTCGGGCAAGACCTTGCGTCTGAGAAGAGCGTTGCAGAAAGTCGATTTTCCAGCGTTGAGATCACCGGTGATCAAGACTTTACTGGATGTGTCCTCGATACGGTCCCTGAGCGAAAACAGGTGTCGAACACTGTTGTTGATCTGACCATCGAGAAGCGAAGCTATTGATTGTTTTTCCAGCGAGTGGACCAGCTCGGTCTGATGTACGCCCTCCATCTTGAGTTCGATTTTGAGCACCGAGAATTGCTGAGAAAGCTGAGGGGTAACCAATCTGGGTTCCGGAGCTGGAGCACGCGCAGCTGCATCGCTAGACTCGGCCACAGCCATATCCTCGCCTATGGAGGTACCAGCACGGCGAGGGGCGGGCCGTCTGAATGGCTCTGGGTTTGCATGGTGATTGTCGAAACCAGACTGAGTGTGAACGAGACCCGGTCGGGGGTCTGGGTGAATGCGGGGCGCGGGTGTAGGACGCTGGACAGTAGGATAATGAGCAGGCCATTTCGAGTTCATCTCCTGCAGCTTCTTGAGAGTGTCGACGGTCTCGGAGATGGCACGACCGAGAGCGGTACGATTTTGATTGTATTGGAGTTGGTGTACATGACTGGCAATGGCGCGTCTTTCGTTGTCGGCTACATGGTTGTCAGAAGTGATCGGAGTCGTTAGGGGTGTAGAGCTTCGCTCACAGGTAGCACCTTGGGCTGTAGCCAGGTGTGTCATGGGGTCTTGGTCAAAGGTGGGATCGAAGGTAGTGCCGTCAGCGATGCTTCCACCGTAGCCAGAATCGTTGTCGAGCATAGCGGCAAGACGAGCGGCGTGCTCAGATGTCGAACCGTTGCCGACAGTCATGTACTGGGGACGACCCGGGTGGCGGCGCATGGATGAAGGTGAACTGTTCGAGGGCGAGGCGTAGCCACTGCCGGAGGGAGAGCCTGAGCTCATGTTGTGCTGGAGTTGTGCAGTATGGCGCTCAGAGCATTCCAGGTGTCGAGTTCGGTGAGTGGCACGCGTGATATATGTGAGAGTCGAGGGTCGTAGGTGTGTGATGCAGCAGCAGAGAGAAAGTGACAAAAGTTGAGCGTCCTTCCAGAAAGTCGTGACGGAAGGTTTGACTTGCCGTTTCTTGATTGATCGATCCGTTTGGCGGCGAGGCACGGGCCGCCATTGTTCGAAGTTCGAATGTGGAGAGGGCGCCCGAAGTCCCCCGCTACTGCAACCAGCGCGCCCGACTGACATCAACCTTGTTTCTGGGTGCCTAGCCAATCTCCCTTCCTATCTCCTACCACAACGTCACCATGAATGTGAGCTCCCCATGCGCCAAACCTCGTCCCAACCTCCGTGTCAATGGCTGATGGCCTGTCTCTAGATTGTAGAATGGGCCTTCGGCAAGCGCATGACGCCCGCCGAGCGCCTGCGCAAGCATCAACGCGCCCTCGAGAAGACCCAACGCGAACTTGATCGCGAACGCACAAAGCTCGAGAATCAGGAGAAAAAGCTAGTCCAGGACATTAAGAAGAATGCAAAGAATGGTCAAATGGGCGCAGTCAAGATCCAGGCCAAGGACCTTGTCAGGACGAGACGATACATTCAGAAGTTCTACCAGATGCGCACTCAGCTGCAGGCCATCTCATTGCGTATCCAGGTACGCCTGACCCGTTCTTTGATGCTCTGCCGCAGGCTGACCCTGTTCTAGACTGTGCGCAGTAACGAGCAGATGATGCAATCCATGAAGGGTGCTACAAAGCTTCTCAGCGGCATGAACAGGCAGATGAACCTCCCCGCTCTCCAACGCATCGCCATGGAATTCGAACGAGAGAACGATATTATGGACCAACGGCAAGAGATGATGGACGACGCCATCGACGATGTGACGGGCTTGGAGGACGAAGAGGAGGGCGAGGAAGTCGTCAACCAAGTCCTGGATGAGATTGGTATCGATCTTGGCCAAGCTGTGTGTTACACCTACTACAACCCCTCCAGACGTACGCTGACACATACTTAGATGGGCGAGACCCCGACCGGCTTGCAAAGCACCACTGTTGAGCAAGGCAAAGTGGCCCAAGCCATTGGTGGTGATCCTGGCGATGACGATCTCCAAGCCAGACTGGATAGTTTGCGACGATAAGCTCTACTAGGGAATGGCGTTGGTTATAACTGTTTGCATGGCAAGCGTACGGCGTTCCGGACAGTGATATCGGAGGCTTCGTCTCTATACGGCGACAAGAGGACATCATACAATCTTGAGACTCTTCACCTCCATTGCTATATACTTTCTGGGAGAAGGACATAGAGAAGCTGCACAACAAGACATGCATGGCTCACGATCTCACGATACGTAAATACGAACGTTTGGTCCAGTTCGCCCAGTTTGCGGGGAACCTGCCTGGGATTGATGACTTGATCCGCATCCCTGAACGCTAAGAATGTGCGACCGAGCACAAGTAAATTAAGAGGATGAATGATATAAGGCGATAGCTCTCGCGAATGTTCAGGACTGAACGGGATGTTCTTGTCAGGCATCTACAACTACTCGACGGCAGTAACAAGATCCGGCTACCGATCTCAGCGCCAAGAGCTCCTTCCAGAAGCGTCCGAGTTTCCGGTGACGTCGAGAGCCCCATCCACACGAACCGCACCCCTCACGTTCTCCAATTGACAACCTAAGAATCTCCATCATCCCTGACACGGCGCACCATAAGACCTACATTTGAAACAAGTGAGTCTCTCCATGATATCGGCTGTTCGGAACCCCACGCCACGGCTTCCTGCTGCCTCACATGGAGCTGCATGGCGGCTGAACGAAGCCTCCACGTGCTTGTCCGACACTTTGCTGATGCTCTGGTGCAGGAAAAGGCTCACAAACGATACTCTCTGCCCGACGCGCCCGATCTTGCCTCTGAAGCTTTCTATTCTCGACCTTCGTGTGGCATCAGTCACGTCCCCGCTTTCAATCTGGCATCCGGCAAGACACGCAGAAGCTTCTCCACTCAGGGAGGCCTGCTGAACAGAATGTTTGGATCGTCACCAAAAGAAGGTGAATCACTACCCAAGACCGCCGAGCCGAGCTCTCTGCCCTCCGCCGAGCCATCCTCGATGGACGCCGGCACCAGTGCAGACCGCAAAGATGTCAGTCCCTCGGGCAAGAGGAGAAGCAGCGGATTTGCCGGCGCAAGAAATGTCTTTTCGAATGCCAAGCAGTCATTCAAAGACCAATTCCACAGCTCTTCCCCTGAGGCCCGCGAGAAGCCTCAGACCCCCATGCAGAAGCTTGGTAGAACCGACCCTGCTCTGAGCGTCCCCCAAGGTGCACTCAACAACTCGGCTGGTGAATCCGAACCTGGCCCGCGGTCTACTTTCAGAGTCGGCGTTACTGAGGATAAGAACAAGAAATGCCGAAGAACTATGGAAGACACGCATGCCTATCTCTACAATTTCCTCTGCACCCCGGCCCCGGCCCTTGGCTCCGACACAGCTCAAAAGAGCATATCTTCCACCAATTCATCCACATCTCAAGATGTCGTCGAAACTGACAACGGCTACTTTGCTATCTTCGACGGGCATGCCGGTAACTTCGCAGCCGATTGGTGTGGCAAGAAGATCCACTGCCTTCTCGAAGACATCATTCGCAAGAACCCGAACACTCCTATTCCCGAGCTTCTTGATCAAACTTTCACTACTGCTGATCAGCAGCTCGAGAAACTGCCTTTGAAAAACAGTGGTTGCACTGCAATCACTGCTGTCCTTCGCTGGGAGGATAGAATACCGAACTCTCAGTCCGCCACTGGCTCCACCGCAATTGCACCCGCTACTGCTGCAGCTATCAAGGGCAACTCAGAATCAACACCGATCAGCGTAGATTCGACACAATCGCCCGCAGCAAAGCTGCGCGAGGCAGCTTCGCGTCAGCGTGTCCTGTACACTGCCAATGTTGGAGATGCTCGCATTGTTCTCTGCAGAAATGGCAAGGCTTTGCGTCTCTCCTACGATCACAAGGGCAGTGACGAGAATGAGGGCAAGAGAATCGCAGGTGCTGGAGGTCTCATCCTCAACAACCGTGTCAATGGTGTCCTTGCCGTCACTCGTGCACTCGGTGATGCATACATGAAGGATTTGATTACCGGTCATCCCTACACCACTGAGACAGTCATTCAACCCGATATCGACGAGTTTCTGATCTTGGCTTGTGATGGCGTAAGTCTCTTTCCTCTATACACCTCGAATACTGCTAACGTTTTCTTCAACAGCTGTGGGATGTTTGCTCAGACCAAGAGGCTGTTGATCTCGTCCGTAACATCAAGGATCCTCAGGCTGCTTCAAAGGCACTTGTCGAGTATGCACTCAATCGCTTCTCGACCGACAACTTGACTATCATGATCGTTCGCTTTGACAACCAGGCATTGCAGCAGACGGTCGAGCGCAAGGTCGAGCCTATCGGCGTTGATGGTGATCCGGCCGCACAAAAGGGTGGCGTCAGTGAAGCCGACGCCATTGTGTCAGAACAACGCAAAAAGCTTGACGAGAGCGGTGAGCTTCTCGATCGCGTGCCTAGCGACATCAACGAAGAACAAGAAGAGAAAGTAGACCCGGGTCCGGAGCTCAACATTGAAGCAGTCGAAGCTGCACGCAAAGACCGTAAGCCTCAACCGCAAGCTGAGGAGGTCGCCCGCGCGCAACAAACGCAGTAACGAGGCCAATCACGACAAACAGATAGAACTTGGGGACATAGCTTAATTTGAGCAGCCTTTCTTTGACATTTACCTTGTTGTAACCTATCTGGTGCTGGTCATGGTGGATAGGCAGGCGGACAAGATGGTTGGGTTGATGTATTTGACTACGCGTGCATGAGGCGAAAAGGCAGTGGGGCAGTCCACAAGTTAGTGAGGGTATTTAATTCTCTTCCAGGTGTGTCTACAAGAATAATGGTCTGATGTTCAATCCGAGCCCAGTACTTGTCTCCACCTATAAGGCTTGCCTATAAGAAATAGGCAGCATGATGGTCCCTTAGTCGCTGTGCCTCGGCTCGCAGCGGAGGACGGAAGGCGGAGGTGGTTATGAATTCTTCTTGGCGGTGTTTCTCGAACTTTTGTGACTTGCGACAGACTCGATCTCGATTGACAGGCTCAAAGCTCGTTCTTCTTCTCGACACATTCTTGCAACAGCTGTTGACTCCCTCGTCCTGACAAGCTTAAGACTGCGTTTCGACCAGCGCGCAGCCATTCAACATGCTTCTCTGTAAGACGCCAAACTCGATTGTTTTCCAGCAAAGTACTGACTTCATATCTAGTCTGCCCGAGTTGCTCAAACCTTTTGACCATTACACCTATTCCCGCGGATCACCTTCCTCTGAACGAGCAGCACTTTGCAAACGTCAACCGGTTCGAGTGCCGAACATGCCCCTACCAAATGATCCTGGACAAGCGCTACTTTGAGCGCAAGATGATGAAGAGCAAGGAAGTCGAAGATGTCTTGGGAGGTGCCGACAGCTGGAAGAACGTCGACAAGACAGAAGTCAACTGCAGAGAAGAGAAGTGCGACAACCGCGAAGCATACTTCAGACAGGTTCAGATCAGAAGTGCGGACGAGCCTATGACTACTTTCTATAAGGTATGTGTATTCACCACCCTTCATACCCGAGCGCGCCTTGGCTAACCCGAGCACAGTGTACAAAATGTGCTTCCGAATGGCGTGAGAACTGAGCTTCTCATCACCAAGAATGGACGCGCAATCGTCCACGCCGCATCTTGCAGCAACATTCCTCTTTAGCGATCTTTCAGCGCGGCGTTTGTGGATACAGGCTCGGCATCAACATGTCGGTCGGCCTTGGCTGGTATTGAGACACGGTTATCCAGGTAGATACCCTTTGCATCAGGAGTTTATGTGCTTCGTCAGGAAAGGAAAAAGCAAGTCCGTTTTCATTAATGGGTATCATGGTTATCGTGTGAAAACAAGAATAGGAAGCATGCCGTTGCGACGCCGTTTCTCCATCAGTCGCGGCGGAGACCATCAGCGCTGGCTTGAAGGCCTTCTTCTGCCATCCTAGCAACTGTCTCGGGAATTAGGATGTCTTTTCTGAACCTCTCTTGTTGGAGAAGCTCGAGTGCTCGGATGGTGGGACCTGGGTAGCTGAGGAAAGCATGAATATAAGGGTCACGTGGTATGGAATAAGATAGACTCACGACAAGTACTTGATGTACTTCGGCTCCGCAAAGTACTGGAGATAGGCAAGGTATGCAACAAACTCTGGATCATCCAACAGCTTTTGGGTTGCCAGGTGATTGAGATAGAGAGGGTTGGACAAGCACTGGACGAACTGCAGACGGGCCGTCAACGATGAGAACGGTGATCCAAATCACACACACCCTGAGCCGACATGATGATGCCCAATCGCTTAGGTCCGGGTGTTGACGCCTTTTCATTTCGACTTACCTCGAGTTCAAGCTCGAAGCGTGTATAGCCTCCGTAGTGAGAGTCGGCCATGTTGTGAAGCGTCACGCGCACGGCGCAGGTGACTAGTGGGCAAAGTGGGATGTACTTGTGGGAAGGCTGGTGAAATTCCCCGCCAGTCGGTCCTCCTGCGATTTTCGGAAAAACGTGGTTTGATTCAGATGCTTGTTAGAGTTAGAGCACAGGCTTAAAGTTACCAGCCCCTGATGGACATACGGCGATGCGATGACGGGCTCTTGCTCGATCGATAGGGGAAAGACAATCGATAGCAACGAAAGTGCGCACCTGTGTTCGCAGGACAGGTCAACAGCAGGAGCTGATGGGTGAAACTTCGAGTTGCATAGCCAACGGCAGTTTATCGAAAGAATACGAAGAAAGCGAAGATCAACACGGCGTGCCAATGCGGAGTACAGGCAATAAGCGCAGAGAGCAGCGTAAAGCGGTAGACCCTGGGAGGCTCGAGCCCCCCCTCTCATCTTAGTAAACAGCCTAGGTACTACCGTTCTACTCGTACTCTTTTCCTGAACAACCCATCACCAGCATCTCTCCTGTCCCCAGCAGTTACTAAACCACAGTGCGCCATCACCCTCAGCTCTGCACGCCCACCACCGCGCCTTGATAGCGGGACGATATCCGACGCAGATAGGCTGATTCTCGACAAACAACCTCGCCGATCCATTCCTCATTCTTGGGCTCGCTTACATAGCACACTGCATCTCCTCGTCGACGCCTACGTCTCCCCTCGAGCGATCCCCGTTTGAACTGAGCAATCATGTCGCTTGCTCCAGCGGCAATGCCAGGTAAGCGCCCCTTGTTGTTGCGTTTCAACCCTGTTTCAATATCAAAATATCCCGCCCCTGTGGGCTGCCTACCGTCATCCTCGCTCGTCATCCTGTCAAGAAAGTCGTTGCTAATGTCGCATCTTACTCAACCAGGCCAGCGCGCACCTTCACCTGGTGCCAACGCCAACTTTGCTTCCAACAACCCCTTCCGCCGCGCTGCCTCTCCTCTGCCATCTCCCGACCATAGAATGTCTAACAACCCATTTCTTGACCCTCCAGCCTCGTCACAGCAGCGACAGGGAGGCCCGAACCCTTTCACGGAGGACATCTTTGTACGTGTCGCCCAAGTCATCTGCACCCAGCCCCGCCATCTGTCAGACCTGCAGCAGCTCTTGTTGCACAAGCCCCAGCACTTCATCTCTCGACCGTCCACTTTACTTTTTTCCCTTATACGAGGAAATTTGGTCACAGCGGACTTGCTTCATTCCAGAAGAAAATGACTAACAAGCTGTCGCAGAAGGACCTGTCATTGCTCGACAAGCCCACTTCAGGAGGTAAACACAAATCACACATCATTCAGCAGCATCCAGCTAATTCTCGGATCAGCGGCTCCTGCACCCCGTAGCAATGGGCCTCCTCGCTCTGGCACCGTTTCAACTTCACACAGACCCGCACGTTCACAGGAAGAAGAGTCCCGCCGCCGCGGCCCAGCTCCCCCACGCGGGCCACCACGCCCTTCTAAGGACATAAACGGACTAGACATCTTCGCCAGCCCACCCAAGACTGAAAGCAGACGCCCTCGTCGCAACTCCGAATCCTCAATCCTAGACAGCAAAGACGAAGACAGAAGGAGAAGAGAGCGTCGCAAGGAACGTGAAGAACGTCGTGAGAAGGAGGGCAAATCCAAGGACGGGAAATCGAGAACGACCAGAAAACCTCAAGGACTTGATCTTATTGACAAGCTCGACGTCACAGGCATCTACGGCCAAGGACGTAAGTGCTATGTTCTCAAGCTACAGCTCCTCAATTTGAAACTAACCGATAATCAACAGTTTTCCATCACGACGGACCTTTCGACGCATGCAACCCCCACCGCAACCGTAAGAAGGATGTTCGTGCCCCCATGCAAGCATTCCCCGCGGACTCGGCCAACAACGCTCTCGGTGGCTCTGGTCCTCTGAACAAGAACATCGATCTCGACAGATTCCACGGACGCGGTGAAGATGCTTTCAACGATTACTCCCAGTCGCGCGCCCAGCAGCTGCCTGCCAAGCATGTTCAATCTTTCAATCCTGCCGACCGCGTTGAGCAGATTCACACTTCCGAATCTTATGGCCTTGGAACTTCGACTTTCCTTGAAGGTGCTCCAGCTTCCAGAAAGGACCTTCAACGCCGTGAATCCGAAACCGAACCTGCTGCATTCCCAGGAGGTGGTTTGACTCGCAAGAAGTCGCTGGCCGTACGTCTTCGAGGACTCTCACAAAACAGGAACAATGTAGCCTCACCCGACGGAAACTACGGCCCCATATCTCCGAACAGCCCTGGCCAGGTGCAAAGCGCAGGCGGTAGAACTCGCATCGCAGCCACAACCAAGGAGAGCAACCCATTCTTCTCCGACTACAACGATGCATACGAGAAGAAGGGTGCTTCCATCCGCTACGCCGAAGAGACCAAGGGTGGTCGCGCAAGAGCACCCAGCTCGCCTCACAGAAACGGTCTTACTAGGAGTATCACCGCAGACAGCGTGTCACCCGCCGTGAACGACATGCCCGAGAAGAGCAGTGGAGGTGGCTTCCTCAACCGCATGAAGAGTTTGAAGGGCGGTCGCAGAGCCAGACCCGAGAGAAGAGGGTCTTGAGGTGACTGATACAAGACTGCCATTGTTTTGGATACCAGCATTCTCTCTTTTACCCTGGGCTATTAATCGTTTTTGGAGCAGAACTATGCCAGGCCTGAAATCTTCGAGGTGTCTTTCTTCTCTTCTTTCTCCTTTTTCTGTTACCTTATCGACAGCCCATCAGATACCAAAGCAGCTGGTCGATTCTTTTCTTTTAGGTCTTTTTCTCTTCTTATCTGAAGGATGGAAATGCTGGACACGGGAGCCAAAGGGCAATCTATGGATTGTTCTTCTTTGAAAAAAGTCTCCAGGGGTTTTATGGGCAATGGCAGGTGGTGGTGGATAGAGGCGTTTTATTCGGGGGTTATGCTTGAAAAGGGCTAGCAAATATCAAACCTCTTCTTTTTGGAAATGAACCATGCGAAGAAAAGAAAAACACCATCAAGTCGTGCCTTCTCTTTCTTTCCTAACCGTACGATAATATCTTTCAGCTGTGTTGGCGGTCGAGCGCGTCACTCGACCCAACCAACCTCCCAGTTTCAGTCGGAATTTCAAATCCTCAAACAACCCAAACCAGCCTTTGCCAACCTCCCACGCAATAATCACTTGCATCACCACAAAACATTCCCGCCGATCAAACGCCAATAACAACTGCCGAACAATGGCTGTAAAACCGATTTTGGCATCAAGTTTGATTGCAAAGGAAGAAATAGGTCTATTTGAGGAAAGAGCTCGGAAACGATTGAGAGTGGGGACCGGATGTGCTGCTGTTGATGATGCATTGGATGGCGGATTCGTGTATGGGCGAGATGGGATTTACAACATTAGCGGGGCGACGGGGAGTCAGGGTGCTGAAACGGTGAGTGTCTTCCTGTCTTTCTGTTTTCCTTGTCGATGGTATTTGGCGATTGGAGGGGTGGTTGAAGGGGAAGAGAGGTGGAAGGTTGTGGTGGTCAGGGTTATACCATTTACATTGCGATGTGTTTATGATGGTATTGATACTGATTGTTTTGGTGTAGATATCACTGCAACTTCTGATCACACATCTTTTGGCCTCTACCTCACATACGGCAACGCTCATTGATGCAACTGGCAACTTGGACGTCTTGAAACTCTACCGAAGCATCATAACCCGACTTTCAAACAGCAACCACGATCATGAAGCCAACGTCACACTTGCAACTTCAACACTGGACAGAGTAAAAATCATGCGAGTGTTTGATTTTGAAGGTGTGGTTGAAGGTCTGAACGAATTGATCGATGACTTGGAAGGGAGAAATGTGCCCAAGAACACAATTGGAGATAGCCAGGAAGAAGCAGAGGACGAGATGCTGGACGTGGGTTCTGAGGAGAAAGTAGAGGAAGAGAAGAAGGAACAGGCAGGTATGGTTCTGATTAACAATCTGAGTCAAGTGCTGGGTTTGCTTCTGAAGAACAATTATGCGCAGGGTATGCATGTCCTTTACTATTGACACGAGACAAACAGCTGATATAAGAAACAGGACAAGCCACTCTCACCACTCTCGTTCGCCGTCTTCGAAACACGGCAAAAGAACACAACCTCTGCATAATCCTACTAAGCTGGAGTGTCACCTACGGAAGCGATCAAGAAAGAGTATCGATCTTTGAATCCATCAAAGCAAGACCTGGGCTAGGCAAATCATTGGGTTATCTCGTCGACACTCAACTCCTCATCGACGCCATCCCCAGAACAGCAAAAGGAAAGGGAGCTGCAAGCGACATGGTCAATGTGATTGAAGTGATATACAGCGGAGGAAACCACCAAGCAGGGAAATTCGGCGTATTCGATATCACTGTCGATGGAGAAATCAACCCCATGTAGCTTCAGACTCCCCAGGAAGACGAACATAACGTATATGAACAGAACAGAAAACGTGTATTGAAAGGCTGAAGAAAACGTGGTATAATTGTGTAATGTTCAAGGACCAACATTGGTCTTGACGTGAGGGAGCAGAGCAGCGGCCTTCATGTCCTTTTCCTCGAGCGAGCCTTCGATCAAGCCCAGACTCCTTATTTGACCGGCCGAGGGCGCGTCGTCTCTGGGGTTTGCGGCGAGGTGCTTGCGGTATGCGGATTGGAGGGCGTGGACACGAGCGGCCTGTCATTTCCTTGTGTGTTAGGTCGTTGCTGGGTTTGGGTAGGTGGGGGATTCGTAGGAAGGCAGATCTGTACCTCTTTGCGGTGGTGTAGGCACTCGTAGTAGTCCTCGAGCATGGGGGCGCACTTTTTCTTGCCCGAACCGTCCTCGGAGTTTGTGTTGACGACGTAGCAGGCGAGCATCTCCTGCCAGAAAGGAAAGCAGCGGCCGGGGCCTGTGTCGCAAGAGTCCATTGTCAGCATTCAATTCCTCTCATTCGTAGCAGTGATGGGGTAGATGTATACCTCCAGTCAAGCCGTAACCAGACGACATGTTGTGTGATGTGTGAGATGTAAATTGATTGCGGATCGGGACTTCCTATACAACGCGACCACCACTTGACGCTGCTTCCCGCGGTTCGCTGACCAGTCTATGCCAAGACCACTTCACCAGCGGAACGGAGAGTGGGAAATTGTGCAAACGATGATGCTGTCGGTGCGTGTGCATAAACTCTACTCCCACACTCCACATCCTCGGCTTCCATCATTTCCGCATCCTCGAGATTCAGCGGTCGCATGCTTCTGCATCATCATCAACACTCAAAACACAAACAACACAAAATGTCTTCCATCAGCCCTCGAGGGCCCAATTCCGAGATCGCGCATCATCACCATCAGATCCCTTACTCGGCGCATTTCGAAAACTCACTACACCATATCCTCGAATACCCACCCCGCTCCTCTCGCGACGGCATCACCATCATCCCGAATACTTCGTCGCAACAACCACAGCAAGGAGTGTCCATCCGCGAAAGAGATGTCGATGCTAGAAATCTACCGCACATCACGTTACAGCAATTACCGCTCAGTGTACACGATCCCCGTCGGATATTCGCGAGTCCAGTACCTGGGATACGATTGACGCATCCGGGAGGTTGGTTGGAAGGAGGAGAAGGGCCGAGTGGTGAAGAGCAAAGAGCTTGGGCTAGGGAGTTTGTGGAAGCGAACAACATCTCTGGAGAGCAAGAGTTGGGCATGGCGGTGCAACATCACATGCAGCAGAATGTTGAGTTGGCGAAAGAGAGGATGCGCGCGAGATATGAAGCTCAACAACAGAATGCACGTGTGGAAAAGGAGATCAAGACGTTGATGGATCAGAGGGAGATGGAGGTCAAGATTGAAACACGCATGAAGGAGGATGCGAGGATACGGAGGGAGAATCGCGAACATAAGAGGAGGGTTCCTGCTGTGTGAGGATGATTCACGGTTCATTGCTATTTGAACTACGCTATGCTACATAACTTTTGACGGCCTGAATCCGAGGATCGGAATTTTGGTGCGCAGCAGGAGACTGCTGGATACCACCGAAACCGAGCTCAGTGCCATGGCCAAACTCGCCCATACCGGATCCAGTCGGACGTGCTTTCCTCCGCTGGTAATCGCATACAACGCTCCTGCAGCAACTGGCAGAGCAACAAGATTGTACACCAACGCCCAAGCAAAGTTGAGCACAACTCGGCGAAACACGACTCGCGACAGCTCCAATAGTCGGACCAAAGCACGCAAGTCAGATGTTACCAGGACGAATGATGCCGTCGACAGAGCCACATCGGATCCCGATCCGATTGCAATGCTCAAATCTGCCGTCGCAAGAGCTGGAGCGTCATTGATACCATCACCGCACATGGCCACAGTAGCCCTTTGCTTGCGTGAACCGATTAAACCTCGAGAATGCCTTGGTACAAGCGTCTGCTGCAGATACTTGATCTTATCTGCTTTTTGCTCAGGCAAAACTCCAGCCATGATGTTGGAGGACGGTATGCCGACTGCTGCGCCCACGCTGTTCGCAGTCGTCGTGTTGTCTCCAGAGACCATCCATACTTCAAGACCTTGGTCTTGCAGCCACTTGACAATTGTGGCTGCCTCGGGTCGTAGAGGATCCGCGATGGCGAAGGCTGCTGCTAGAGTGAAGCCTGTATTCGAGGAGGACGAAGAAGTTGATAGAAGAGCGATAGACTTGCCCTGCTGTTTCCAGCTCTCAATCAACTTCTTGCTTTCTAAGTCGATTCGTACATCGAAGTCTGCCATGAGCGCTTCGTTGCCGATGATTGCTGTGATCTGTGTCTCCGAGTCGATGTCGAAAGTGCCTTTGAGACCCTTGCCAGGCAACTCCTCAACATTGAGAGCCTGCGTGCCTTCAGTCTCTTGAATCTTAGCTTTACTATGCTCGACGACAGCTCTTGCGACCGGATGACTACTGTTTTCCTCAAGCGCTTTCGCCATCATCATAATCTTCTCGTCATTATTGCCGAAGGTCTTGCAATCTGTGACAGCAGGCGCAGTGCCTTGTGTCAAAGTGCCGGTCTTATCAAAGACAACACAATCAAGCATACTAGCCTCTTGGAAAGCCTCGCCACCTCCCTTGACTAGTATACCATATTTGGCTGCCAGACCACCACCCACGAAAAGAGCAGTGGGAGCAGCAAGACCAATACCGCAAGGACATGCCACCACGAACACAGCTATGGAAAACTGTAGGGACCAAAATGGCCACCCGCCGATCTCTGAATCCAGGTATTCGACTGGCAAGGCCCCAGAAAGACCGAGTGAGAGCCAGATAATCCAGGTAGCAATGCCGATGAGAACTATGAATGGCACGAAGCGTGAGGTTATGATATCAGCTACTCTCTCTACCGGAGCACGCTTTGTCTGTCCTTCGCGAACCACTTTGATGATCTGGTCTAGCATCGAAGTGCCAGAGATGCTGGTCAAGCGTATGTCGATGGGTGAGCCTTTGTTGATCGTGCCCGAGAAGACCTGGTCTCCTGCATGTTTGGCGACAAGCCTTGCCTCTCCAGTCAGACTGGCTTCGTCGAATTTGGTTTCGCCATCTATAATGGTGCCGTCAAAGGGCGGAGAACTGCCGTGGAGAACTCTGACCACATCTCCGACCTCCAGCAGTTCTGTAGCCGTCTTTTCCAAAGTCGTAGTGTCGGGAGAAGGTACGACATGGGTGACGAGGAGTGCGGTATCAGGCCTCAAAGACCCCAGAGCAGCAACAGCGTCTCCAGTCTTTGCTTTGCTCCAGGCCTCCAAGCCTCTGCCCCCAAGCAGGAACAAAGTCAGGAAAACCACGCTGTCGAAGTAATAAGCTTGACCCTCGCCCATCGCCTTCGCACTCGTAGCATTGATAGCAAGGGCCGCGATGGAAGCGAAGTATGCAATTGAAGTTCCAAGACTAATCAGCATATTCATGTTGCCAAATCTCAACAGTCGATGACTAAGAGGAGTTTTGGATGAAGGTTTCCACATGAGATAGATGCCTTGAAGGCTGCGAATGTGAAAGATATCAGCGGCAAAGAAGTAGATGACTGTGCCCATTATGAAGAGAGCCCAATCTGCTCTGCTGACTGTGCCGGCCCAGATGTGTTGCATGAGGTATCTGCGACCTCCATTTTCATGATTGACAAGAGTCATGTAGACAATGCCAATTATGAAGGTGGGGACTGCGGTAACGAGGGAGAGGGTGAAGCGAAGGAGTATCTTCCTGCGTTCAGCAGCATGAATCTCTCTTGATCTCTGTTCAAGTGTTGGAGGGTTGAAAATGCTAACTTGGACTTCGTCATCAACTGCATTGATAGTATCGATGATGTGTCGAAGGGTCAAGGTTGGTGGCTGAGGTTGATATCTGAGTTTTAGAAGCGGACTCGTTACACTGCATTCTTCGTCGATTGTTACGTCTTTGCCAAATCTGTCCGAGAGAGCCTGTAGTATCCGTGGCGGGCAGTGATGACAGTACATGCCTGTCACTCGTAGGGCGATATTTCGTTCTGTGGACGAACTCTGCGTTGCGTCAACGCCTTGCAAATCCTCGACCGAGGCGTCGAAGCCGAGCTCTTCGATGATTACCACGATGTCCTTGGCCTTATCTTTGGTTCCTTCGAAGGCTACCGTCGCACTGTTGGAGATCAGATTTACTTGAACGTTTGTAATCCATGCTGGTTCCTCAAGTCCAGCTGTCAAAGATCTCACACAAGCAGCACAAGTCATACCAGTGACTGAGAATGTTGCTTTCCATGTGTGTTCATCCGGACTTTGCTTCTGCTTGTTACCCAACTTCTCAATCTCATTCAAAGAAATGTCATATCCAGCATCGTCAATCGACTCAAGGATTACCTTGTCGTTGTCGCGACCTGAAAAGGTGACTGTAGCGGAATTGCTGAGTAGGTTGACATTGATGTCCTGTGCAAAGGAATGCTGAGAGATGGCCTGAGAGACATTGGTGACGCAAGCACTGCATGTCATACCATCGATCGAGAAAGTGGCACGGAAGAGCTCAGGTGTTGCAGTCGTTACAGAACCAAGCTCTTCGGTGTCCTTCGCAGCGTCTCCCTCTTCTGTAGAGATAGAGACCCCTCTCTCGATATCAGATGCATCTGAGAACGGCTGTGCCTTGTCCATCAGAGCTTCCGAAGAACCAAGACTTCGAAGTTCTTTGAGACATTGAGCACATTGCTCCACATGTCTCTTTCTCTTTCTGCTGTTCTCCACCTCGACATCTTTGTCCTTCCATGCAGTCTTCCATCGCTGGACAGCTTGCTCTAGGCCCCAGTCTTCATTGATGCCGGTATCCTCAGGTTGCCAAGGTCTGAATGTGGGTTCCCGATCTGCTTGTGCAACACTGAAGACCTCAAAGCCTGCTTGTTCTAAGCTAGAGGTGATGGTGTTGGGTGATGTTTCAGGATAGTGGCGGATGGTGACAGAGTGGTGAATAATTGAATGAGAGATAGAAGTCGGTTGGATGCCCAAATCTTCCAAGCAGAACTGGATACTGGTGATACAACTAGGGCAGTGCAGATTTGATATGAAGAAGGTGGTTGTTGTTGTGACCGCCTCTTCGTTCGTGTGTGACTGTGCCATGGTGGTGGAAGGAAGGAATGATAGAAAATCAAAGATGGGACATATGGTCGTTTGTTTCTAGCAGGGGACTTCCTACCTTTTTGAATAGTCAAGTCACTTTTATATTTGCCATGTTATGGTTTCCCGCACAAAACGCGCAACCACGATGGAGGCAACGCACAAAGCGCGCAAGCCAAAAAGTCGCAACCTTTCCCTTTTGGGCGAATCTCGGATCTATCGGACTATCATCACCACCACGGTGATGCACATCAATCGCGACGACCGAAACGTTCGAGATAACACTAATACCCATCGAAATTGCAGCTACCTGATTAGCTATCAAAAAGCAAGGCGAGTTATATGTTTGTACCATGGCGGCCTATAGAGGCCAAGCCAAAGTACCGCTCTTAGTGGACATGTACCGGATCCTCGTTACTATCTTGCATCTAGAGTAGATGGTTGTTCCAAACCCCTTGCAAGGGCTCGTTTCAAGCGAAAACGATTCGAGTCAAACTAGAGACTGAACAAGTGGTACATAAGAAATTACTGGACAACTAAGAAAGTAGAGTATGTACTCGTCAGATCTAAACTACGACAACACAAGAAAAATTCATCAACTACACCTCAGCCTCGCTGTCGGACTCGGCATCAAACATACTGCTCCATCGCAACAACTCGGCTGGAATATCCTGACCAACTAGAGGAGCTTCTCTTAGCTTCAGGTTGATAGATGTGCCAACAAAAGCCAACACGGCCAGTAGTGCCCACAGAGTGGCGTTTATGGCAACGACTGAGTATGCATCGGAGAGGAAATAGCTCAATCCGCTGACACCGACTGCCAATGCTTTGAAGAGATTCGAGAGTCCGAGCAATCCAATACTGGTTCCAGCAGACGTTGCGTTCGGACTGGCAGAGAAAGCGAGCAATATGGCCAGCACATGTGCTATCTCTGCGAAAAGTTCCTTTGCCAAAACTGCAAAAGTACTGAATACGCCCCACGATGTTGGCGGTGCTCCGGAGATAGTTGCTAACATAGCAAAAAATGGGATTAACGTATAGATGCAAGGAAATGCAATTGAGATTTTGCGATAGACGGAGAGAATGTCCAATTGAGCTGAGAATTTCGGCAAGGCATAGAAGACACCGACAGCGGCGACTGCCTTGACGATGGTGATGATCGTGTTCAAGAGGCCACAAGGAAGATCCATGCCGCCCACATTGGAGGGTGAGTCGGCCAGGTGAGGCAGCAGCACCTCGAATGTAGAGGAGTGTAGGGAGAGGATGGAGAAAGATGCCAGGAGCGTGACAAAGGAGGGCGCTTGCAGAAAGTCATCCATGGAAATGATTGATGATTGCTCGTCAATGTCCACAACAGAGACCATCAACAGGGCTTCATTGTCTTCGGATTTGTGTCCAAGCAGAGTCGCTTCTTCGCCGTTCGAGTTGACTGCAGCCTGAGGATCCAAAGTCTACAAACCCCACTGTGAGCATGTGTATACGTGTAAAGACACCAGTAGTACTGACCTCTCGCAAGCAGATAACTTCAAGTAAGAATATGACAAGAATCAAACTGGCACAGGCAATCTGACCATTCAATGCGGGCCACTGAGACCAGATCCCAGCTGGTGCATACTCGCCAAGCTGCCTGACGATTGATTGCAGAAGTGGCCCAATACCACCGCACACGGATATGAGAGGCAATCGTGATAAAGTTCGCAGAGCCTTCGCGGAAGGCATACTTAGGTCGGCAAGCATCGCAAGAGCAGAAGTGAAAACTGCTGAGCCCATGCATCCCGCCAGGAATCGCAATGCGACCCAACCAGGCAGAGTTGTTGCAAAGCCCATGGAAAGGCAACAAGCCAGGGTTCCGGTTAGACCAAGCAGAGAGACTATCCTCCGTCCAGCTCTATCTGCAGCGTAACCCCAGAAGATACTGAACGTACTTCCAAAAAAGTAGGCGCACTCAAGCAGACTTCGAAGATAAGCCGAGCTGTAGTCCGAGCATGAAGACGAGGTGGCCGTAACGAGGAGCGGAATCTGTGCCGAAAGCGATGCAGACATTATTGCCTCAGCGAGAAGAAGCATGTATACTAAGAATCTTTGTCGCGAGGTGCTTTGTCTCAATGACTGGTAACCCTCCTCCATAATCCAACCTGTTTTCTCATCGTACTGAGTAATGTCAGAAATAGAAATTGCGGACTGTGTCCTACAGTGAGATCTAAGCATATTGAAGGACGGAATCTAGTCGGAAGAGAAGGAATAAGAAATGATAGCAGATGCAATGATTGGCGGAGGTTAGTGAAATGAGTGTCTAAACGATCATGGTCCAGCCACAGATCAAACAAAGGAGTGAATAGGCAGAGGTAAGGGAAGAAAAAGGACAAAAGACGAGGAAGACGTCGGTCGGTCGTCGCGAAAGTGCCTTTCACGCTGATACGACGGCGCGTACCACTACCAAGTAATTGGGCCCACAGTATCGCACCCATGGTGACTCAAGAAACTGGCTATTTATAAACTGGCCAGAGTAAACAATTAATTGCCAGACACAAGACTGAAGCCAAAAGTCACAGTGCGATGCGACAGCGACTTCTTCGAGGGGTGTCGCTGCTTAGTTGGATCAAGTTCGGTAATTGATGGTGAGCTTGGTTGATGACTGCCGCTAGGAAGGTGCCACCCTAGCGAGCGAGTTGCACATTCGTCAAGCCTCGGCGATGGCCTCCGAAGCATTTGATTGATTCGATTGAACGTAGCCGAGTGCAGTACGATACCATCTCTTTGTTTTCTGCAAGTCGGCAGTCTCGTGTGCTTGGATACGCAATCCGAAGGGGTGTCTCGAAACAGGGCGTCATACCGTTACGGCAAGCGAGGCAGCGCATCATCATCTCGAAGGCCAAGCTTCCAAAGCCAATGCCACCACCGTCGAACACACCTTCCGGAGATAGACCAAGTAGGTGAAGGGAAAGCGGGCTTGGAAGATGGACCCATTTCTGATACGACCCAGACGTCAACGCAGAAGACGCTGATGTCTGGAACAACACTGCGACGGCAGAAGAAGACATAGCAGACATGTCCTACTCGACCCGCGACCGCGAACTTCTTAGAGACCTGAACCGCCTTGACCGCCGACGAGAAGCGGAAGCCACCGATCGCACTTCCGAAGATGAAACGAGGAGACAAAGGTTGCAGAGAGTGCTTGCTAGGCTCAGCAGGCTCGAAGACTCGAGGCCGACCTATGGGACCCCGCCGGTACAGCAGCAGAGCCTCTATGATTGGGCCCCTACTCGTACGAACGAAGGAGAGGACGAATCTGAACAAGCTGCCGCACGTCGTCGTGCTCTATACCGTCGACATGACCTGAGAAGCGCTGCCATTATGCAGAATGCCCGTACCACTCTGCCCTCGTCTAGTGGAAGCCGGCGGCATAACGAAGATACGAACGAAACTCAAGACGCTAGGAGTGCATATCGCCGGACATATCTGGCTGACACTCCTGCCCAAGACTCGACTCCCTCGACGTCGCCGTCACGGCCTTCTCCTCTACTCGAGTCCGCTTTGAAATACCTTGATAGTTTACGGGAGTGCTCTACATATGATGAATCTCTTTGTTCGGCCTTGGATCATGGCCTCTTCGCCCCTGAAAGCTATGATGACTTGATAACCGACACTAGACGCTGTCTTTGTCCACAACCTTCCTCGTGGCTAGCCCCTGGCTCTCTCTTCAAAGGTACCCAACATACAACGACGGCTGGGAAAGGCTCCTCTCTTCGCTCACCCACCGCTTCTGATGCTACCCGTCCATGGCTGGGCCACGTTCCAATACCTTACTCAAGGTCCATCCCTCCGTCCTTCTCAGGCAATCCTTTCACCTACCTGTCGCTGCCACCTCGAGAGATTCAAGACCGATGGCCTGTGAAGGTCACAATACAAGCTGTCAATCTGCAGAATATGACTATTGCTGGGGTTATGGAGGCATTTGATGTTCCGAATACAACACATCCATCTCCCGAAACACCGCCCACTCCCATTACGACATACCTGGAAGGGCAAATTATCGACATGAACATCCACAGCTTTCTCACGCCCGCCAATTCGCCGGACTCAGGAGGCATCGCTTTTCCACAGACTTCAGCCTTGACAGACGCGGCTTATTGGCGAAATCTACCACCTTTCAGTAACATGAAATCCGATCACGATGTTGCGCGAGCAATACTTAGCCGAACGCAGATGGAAGAAATCATGTCGGACTGGATCTTTATGCGCTGGAAGGAGCGATGTTTCATACACTCTGATTCAGATCCTTGTCACAGGCATAGCGAGCATTCGACGACTACAGGAGAGGGAGATGATAATGACTTCAACCACGGCTTAACGATAAGCGGCTTCTACTATGTTAGTTTGCGGAGGGGTGATGGAAACATTGACGGACTTTACTTTGACACCAAGACGAGCCCATACCAACAGTTGAGACTTGCAGCGAAGAGCCGCGGGACACTTGGGTCGTGGCAGTTCAAATGAAGTTGTTGTTACGAGATGGCTTAATGAAACTCATTGCATTGAATATTGAATGATACTGAATGCGCTTGTGCCTGTGTGACGAGCTTTCAAAACCTTGATGGCATGACATGAACGGACATGAGTTTTGTACAGCATCATGGTACTCAACCCTTATACAAGGTAAGGTCTCCATGACCATTTGAGCAGATCCGTGCTTCACATTGATTCACGTTGCAGCACGGTGGGACGGTACATGTATGTGTGTTTTGGAGAGTTTTCTCATTCCATTTTGAACTTGTATGCCATTGCCATTCCCAACTGAAAATAACACCTTTGCCCGACCCTCCGCGCTATGCTTTTAAGTGTAGCAAATTGACGTGATTGATGATTGTTGTTCGGGGAGCTCGGTGGTTGGTAAGAAGACGCGGCGTAAAGCGCAATGAAGCGTTTACTGCTCGGTCTGGAAGTAGTTGAGGAGGATGGAGCGCTCCTGCGACTCCTCACCCCAGTCCTTGACGACAACGCAAGAGCAGTTGACGACCTTGCGGGCGTTACCCTCACGGTCAATCTGGCCTGTGGAAAGTGTGTTAGAAAGGATAATTGACTAGAAGCGACAGGCGCATGAAGAAACTTACAGAGACCGGCCCACTCGCCGAGCTGCTTGCCATCAGGGACCTTGATGAGAGGGATCTTGTGCTCTCCGCAGAGGGCGACGATGAGCTTCTTGTAAGCCTCCTCCTCGCAAGCCTCGTTCAGGACACACATGTGAGCCTGGCGGCGGTCGAGGGCCTTGGAAGCCTCACGGAGACCGCGGGCGAGACCGTCGTGGATGAGGGAGATCTTGAGAACACCCTTGAGGGCGTCAAGAACGGACATGCTGCCAGACTGGTTGGAGTCATCGGCGCCAACTTCGACCTCCTCGGCGGCGGCGACGGGGCTGGTGGGCTCTTCTACATCCGACTAGATGGTTGCGCATGTTAGTGGATTTTGTCTCTCTGCGAATGTCCACGGAGTGTGTGCGCGCATGTATAGGCAGCATAACGTCTCCGCTTCCTTCAATCGGTGAGGCATACCATTTTGAAAAGATATAACGACGCTGTCGGGTGATCCTCGAAGAGTCGATATGTGTGTTTTGGAGATTGAGAGTCTTGTTCGAACTTTCTCTTGATTTTCGGTGGTGCGGCCTGCGCTCGGCTGCCGTCGACGCCAAGAGTTTGTGTATCACGTGCGCGTTCGACTTTCCTATTCACTTGAGAGTGAAGCGACGACAACGCAGTAGATTAATTACGGATCTCAATTATTTTCATTTTCAGGTCCCTAATTTACGTGACTGGACAGATGTCTGATTCTCAGTGTGCAGACTGAAGAGACTGAGGCTACACATAGTGGCTGAAGTATGAATCTTGAAAGAGGACGGATTGTATGGATCAAAGCAGAATTGCAACAGTAGCATGATTGGAGCCGAATGCAGCGACAGACGACTTCCAGGATATCGACAGTAAAAGACTCGCCACGCTTCGAAGAGAAAGTAGAACGCCACTCGCTTGCTAGTACGCTAGGAAACAGAGAAAGGTGAAAAACGAAAGAAACACTGCAAAGAACGTAGGAAAGCGAAACATTCTCAGTATCCCACAAAAGAAACACAAGAAACTAGAACAAAGGAGCGATTCTCATCTTGCTCCTCTGTACGATATGCGCGTGGTTGGGTATATGCATGACTAAACTCTACATGACAACACAGCATGCGAGCTTCTTCTTTTTCTTGCCATCTTCTTTCTCGTCAAGGTCAGGTACTCTTTGTACAGCTGGATTTGTTGGACGAGTGGCTTCCGATTGATTTGTCTGTGGTTTGGGTGACTTCGGGGGTGCAATTGGAGGTGCGATCCTTGGAGTAATCGTATACCCGCCGTTGGGAGCCCTTGCACTTCCAGTCTGGCTCTTTGCATCGCTTTTGGTACTTGCCAGTGGCCACGGTGGCTGTGTAGGATTTTGGGCTTGCTGGATAGAGGGGGTCGTATCCGGCTGTTTGTTCGAGCCAGGGGGTGGCAGAGCTCCCATTCTAGCCAATTCTTCGTCACTCAACGAGTCGATGTTCACAGGGAAAGATTTTTCCTTCTCATCATCCGATCCGCCCTGCATTGTGCGTTTTGCGTGAGTGGGAAGTATTTGCTGATCCGGTGGTAGCATTGGATCGGGTTTGTACATGGTTGCGATCCAAGGCGCTTCTCCCTCTGGTCGGTTATGAATCGAAGTTGGTCGGGACCTGGTGGATCCAGATGTGGGCCTCCTAGCTGGGCTGTCTTTGGGAGAATTGGATGGATTCCTGGCCTTCGAAGTTGTTCGAGGGACTGTCTTTCTACCCACAGAACCTGTTGCGGCCTTGTTCATCGCCTTCGCCCTCGATACCGCTGTCAATGATTGCGTCGTACGCTGACTTAGTGAGGGCGAGTCGGTGGCACTGGGCGAGTCCTGCATATGGGAGCTGCGCGGCCTAGGCTTAGATGGTATCGCAGATCGTGTACTCGAGGGTTCAGCCATCATGGCGGGATTGCCCAAACTTCGGCTGCGAGTTCTGCTGCTTGCGCTATCTCCAAGAGGACTACTCATGCTGCGAGGCAGAGGAGAATCGCGCTCGACGACACTTTGAGAAACGGGTGCAGGACTGGCCCTTGCAACCGGTATACGAGACATGGCCGACCTTGGAAGGCTTCGACCGTACATACTGCGGTCCATACGAGGCTCTTCTTGTAGTCGTTCCTCGTAATCATCAGAGTCCTGGTCCTGGTTTGCGCCTTCACCACTCTGTTCCTCGAACTTAGGAACTCTGGGAGTGGCAGCATCCTCGGTAAAGGCGAGCTGATTTGTATGACGGTCAGTTGATTGGCCGCGTGCGTTGGGATTCCGACTGGCTGAGCGACTCGCAGAACGACTGTCAGATCGACTCTGTCGACGCTGAGTTGTTCGAGGCATACCAAAGCCCGCAGCAGCCATTTCCTGACTTTCTATCCGAGCAAGTTTGTCGCGGTGGATCCAGGCTGATCTTTCTGGGTCCGGGTCGATGGTAGGTACAGATTCGGCGCGAGGTATAGCGATTGGTGCTGAAGGTCGACTGTGTGATGTCGAGGGTCGGCGTATGTGTGACATCGTGGCTTTCTGAGGACTCGAGCCACGCGAGGCACTGCTTCCTTTCCTCACACTCCTCCCACTGTCGCGCTTGATCTGATCCAGTTGGTATGTGTCGACATCGAGAGTAGCGGCGTGTTGAGAGGGTCGACGAGGCGTGTAGTTCGAGGAGTCGCGAGGAGTTTGGCTAGGATCGAATGCATACGAAGGGTCGAATAAAGCCTGGTTGGCCAGAGGGAGGTTCTGTGGGCGAGAGTGAGTCGACTGGTCAAGCGCATATCGCGTCGATGTATGCTTACCTCATGGCCCATGGGAACCGATTGCTCCCAACGCGGGGTAGGCTGGTATGCAGTTGCCATGCTGCGTGGTGGATTGTTGTTATCTTCGTCGTTACTATGAAAGGCCGCAGAAACGGTTAATGCACAACAGGTCCAGCCCGTTCATGACCTTCGAAGCAGTACAGCCAGCGCCTGCTAAACACCTGTTCCACCGAACTAAGTCTTATGTGATGCGACGCCTTCTGTTGAGAGATGGTCCTGGAATTATGTAGAGTTGGCAAGAGCGACTGGCAGCTGACGACTTCTTGGACTCGGTTTGTTTAGACAGAAAACGGTTCCAAACAAGGAGATCGGTATGGAAGGAACGGATCGTTGCGATTAAGGGGACGAGGGGTGATCGCCAGAAACGGCTGTATGCACAAGATCGCCGTGAGGGGTCGTTACACAGGTCGAAAGAATATCTGCAGGTATCGAAGACAAGACATGTCAAGACACAAAATGTGTCTTTCCTGGAAGAAATTGAGCGACACTCGTTCTCTTGTTGTCATGGTCAATGACCGACAGGCCGCCCGGCACGTGCGCAGCCATCACCGTCTTGACATCCGAGGGTCTCATCTTTTTCCTGCAGCACCAGCCACATCAGGGCCAGTCTCCGCCTTGATTCATAAATCGCCCTGCCAACATCATGACCGCTATGAGTTTTGCTTCTTCTGCTGAGCCTAGACATCATCCGGATTGCTGTATGGCCATCTCGCAACCCCTGCTCCACACCCTGTCCAACCTCCTGCCGAATGGCCCAGCCATCTCTGTGCTTAGCATCGGTAGCGGTACCGGCCTCCTCGAGAGTCTGCTGTCTGAAATGCTTGACGACTCGTACGACGTTTGCGGTGTGGAGGTATCTCCTAACGTCAACAAATATCTGCCAGAGGAGAATATGTTCTTCGTTGGCGGCACCTGGGACCTCTGTACACAGGCAGGTAGATCCAAGGTTTGGATGTTTACCTATCCTCGCGATCCCAAACTGATCGTGCGATATCTTGACATATATGATCATGCTGGACTTTCCAAACTTATCTGGCTTGGCCCGAAAATGGATTGGCAGGATTATGAAGGCGTCTTCGCTTCTTCGAGATTCAGCAACCTCACTATTCTAGAAGACTGTGGTATGGCATCATACGAAATGGTTGTCGTTGCAGAGCTTTCTGGTTCACCATGAAGAGTTATCCCAGATCCATCTGGCTTCAGAGGGCTCATCGTTTCCTCACTGGCCTCAGAACATGTCTGCTGTCTGCTCCCCTGTATTGAGGTTTAAAACCTTGTCAGCCCTGAATTTGATCAAGCCAGCATCTGAGCATCCTGCTGGTTCCGCGAGGAGCATGCTCAAACTCTGCTTCAAGGATCAATGATTTGCATCACGATCGAAACTTTTGAAGACCTGCCATCTCAGCGCTCTACTGTATGACACGACTTCTCCAAGAATCTGTCAATTCAAGCCAGCGTCAAAGTAAGGCAATGAAAACACATGTCAAGTGCACGCAGGTAATATACCACGTCGACAAACATCACGAGATGCTCATGATCTGTCAATTGTATAAAGTCGGTATCGACTCGCTGGTTTCTTTGGCGGACTCAGACATATCCTTCAAACAATCCCAGTGATTCATTCAACATTGACAAGAATCTGCTTGATACTATCCGTGATGGAGATTCCACTCATGCAGCAATCTCCCTCGAGCCCTCAGCACACAAAAGTCCGAGATGTATGGAATCACGCGTCTTTCCTTGTCAAAGTTGCCTATGACTTGGAATGGGCCGCGAGACAGTTTGAGTTGTTAGAGAGCGAGGCTCCAAACCGTCAGATCAAGGCGATATTGCTGCTCAACATTGGCATAACATACACACTCCTGGCGGATTACCAACGCGCTGAGAAAGCTTTCCGAAAAGTCCTTCCGTTACATCCATTCACAGCCCCACTTGCCCACTTCTTCCTTGGTTTGGTACGGTTCGAGCTGACCGACTACGAACAGGCGCAGATCAGCTTCAAGCTATGCGCTTGCGTTCTCCGACAGACCGATTGGAACCGCGATTATCGATGCCTTGGGCTTGATTTCACCTTATCACATCTCTTGGTCGTGGAGAACGAAGAAATCGCCGCGTACGAATGGACGCTCAAGCAGAAGGGACGATACGGTTATCGACTGCTGAACAGACTGCCTGCACCATCAACATTTGGCACTACTGTTCTGAACGACTTGCCTGAATTTTACTACAAGAGGGTCTCAAGGTCAACTACGGATTGCTCAGCAACTTCTTTGAGCAGTGCTTCGAGCTCGTACTCAAGGAACGTTTCGTCTATAATGATGGCCCCCGACAGACAGATTCTGGAGCTAGTTTCAAGTCTCAGGACGCCTACTCCCCCCTTGATTCCTCGAAGACCCGTTCCACGAAGACCCATGGTACCTCGTACAGCACAGGCAGAAAGATCAGACTTGAGCTCGTTGGCGCAGTTCCTAAAGTACACTGGACCGGACACGGCTCGAGTAGAGAGGACGAACAATCCTTCAGTGCCACTCATGTCTGCTGCTAGGCCAAACAATGCTTCACGTATGGGCAGCCGCTTCAGTTCATCTTCCGAGGATCTTAATCAAGATCCGACCCCTTCAGATCGTAATGCGAGTCGAGTAGAAAGCAGCGGACTTTTTCGCAAATTCTCATCCCGCACGCTAAAGAAGTAAGCTTCCCCAACTGAGTGCTAACATGAGAAGTAGTTGACTGATGTTTATTGCAGAACTGCTTCGATCCGACAATTGACAAGGACCGTTTTCAGTACGCCTTTGGAACGTTTAGGGGCAACAAGCACTGCTCAGGGTCGTATAGTGGGTGGAAGAGTGATGCACAGGCCGGGTCCACAACATCGACCAACAATCGTACATACACATCTTCCTACGATCGAAGCTCAGAGAGTCCTGCCCAGTGTAACTGCGGAGGGCAGCAAAGGATTGGTTGTCCCGCAACAGAGCAGAGAAAGAATCAGTATGGACTCACATTTGATCTTCAGTCATGGAGGTCTGATGATGTAAAGGGAGACTCATTCTTGGACTGTGGTCGGACGAGTACGTTCGCTTTGTCGGAACTTTGATGCATGTTATGTTACTTCCGAAAGTTTCCTCATTTCCCGTCAAGATAATGAATCAAATCTTGTACCTTTCAAGAGATTTTTACCACAATCAAGCTCCTCGTGAAAGCACCAGAGTAGTTGAACACTGTGGCGATCAGTGGAGTCATTCCTATATCGTGACTATTCCAGGTATGCCTACGACATGCTTTCGATTGCATAAGCTGTTGTCATGTCTCTCTATAACGTACTGCTAGAACTTGGTCCTTGCAGAAAGGGTGTTGGAGTTGCCTGGGTGGCTAACATAATTATACATGTGCTGCATAATCTGTCCAAATTGGGTCTAGTCAGATAGCATAAAGCGCGCGTTGCTCCGCGTCCTCGATCAAAGCATCTTCAACTTCCTCATGAAACGATGGTCTTTGAGAATCAAAACCATGCAGCAATTTCTAGTTGAGCCTGTACAGCAGTTTGCTGGAGCCAATACCAGGATCAAGAAACCTACTGTGTGTATCACGCGAAAATGACACAGAAAGACGGAAGTTGATGAGGAATCAATTAGGAAATCGCTTTCTTCTCATACGACAACGATCACAAACTCAAGCCTCTTGACAATGAGTCTTTGAGATACTACTATCCGCCATTTTTCAATGTCCCTGGTCATCAAGACAGCAGATTTCCAGTTGACCTGTCGAAAGGATATGATTCGTTTCGGCAGCGGGACGACAGCGGCGATGAGCATCTAGACGGTCTACTGGATACTCTTGTCGAGGCTGAGAAGCGCAGTGGCAGGAAGACTGAAGTAGATCTCGTCACGTGGAGAGGCATGATGACAAGAGTGTGTCTCACATGCAGATCTCTTGTGCCAGAGCACGTACTAACCATGGATACAGATCTTGACAGCACCTTATGAATTGGAAGACGGATTCGAGATGAACGCAACATGCTTCCAAGTGCGCATATCTTCTACCTCGCGAAAACTGACGAATGACTCGGCTAACACGCTATGAAGGGCACAATGTAGGCAATATCACCACAAGACACCAACAGCACAGCTGAGACTAATCACTCCGTGTACCAGATATATCGAAGAGAACCACGCATACAAAGCCGCATCAAAAGAAGCACAAAAGGCCCGCTTCTCTCGAAATCGAGGTCCTCCGCAAGACATGGCCATGTACTGGGGTAAGTTTTGTCCTGTTCTTCGGTTGGACTGATGATGACCTGATGGACAGGCTACAAATTTGAGACATTGTCGCTTCTAAACAAGCCATGGGGAGAAACGACAAGAGAAGAGATCGAAGGACGTGAAGATGAAGTCGTCGATAACTATGCTCAATATTGCAGTATCTGCAGAACAGAGATTGGTGGCGCTTCAATGGTCATCGGAGGAGAAGTTGATGGAGGTAAGGAGCATCCTGCCTTCCTTCTCGTGCAGAGCTAACATGATATAGTACTGGGCTACAAGCCTGATGATCCTCAGGCACCAGCCAGATGGGTCGAACTCAAGACATCAAAGCAGCCGGAGCACGAACGTGATCGTTGGGTCTTGGACAAAAAGCTCCTCAAATTCTGGGCTCAGTCCTTCCTACTGAAGTATGTCTTCTCCAGAATCGATCGGAAACTACACGGAATTGACCAGCTGTAGCGTACCAACAATCGTGATCGGTTTCCGCTCACGCGACGGACGATTGTTGAACATTGACGAAATAAGCACGCAGCAGATCCCATCCAGAATCCAGCAGCAAGGCACTTACAAATGGAATGGCAATATCTGCATCAACTTCACAGGTCAATTCCTTGACTTCCTCAAGCAGACCATCGTCGGCGACGGAGTATGGAGAATCCGAAGAGAAGCGAAGAGTGCAGCTATTGAAGTGTTCAAGGTCGAGGAGAAGGGTACAGGGAACATTCTCACGCAGAACTTCATTGACCACCGGAACAGTCTCCTTGCGGGAGAAATCGCTGCTGCGTTGAACAGCCGTGGACCGGCGTGAGCTAACAATAATATTGCTATCTTGTACTTGTATAACATGACTTGGCTGTGAAAGCAAGATTTCGATGTTCATTTCAGGCTGTGGAAGGTGATGGCAGAGTGTGGGGTCGCATCGGCATGTGAAGAAGGAGAGAGCATTCGAGAAGTTTCCCCGGACGTGCACCTGATGTCACACGATTGAAGCCCTTCATACCTAGCAACCGGAAACAATCAAAGAATGGAAGTTTGCTTTATCCCCTACTCGTGCAAGACACACTCAATTGTTCACACACTACTACACTAATTCATCACACTTCTTCGCACATTTCAAACACCAACAATGGTCGCCGAGACAAAGCTATACGATTCGCTAGGCATTGCGCCAACTGCGACACCCGAAGAGATCAAAAAGGCTTATCGCAAAGCCGCCTTGAAGTACCACCCCGACAAGAACCAAGACAACCCGCAAGCGTCTGAAAAGTTCAAAGAAGTCTCACAAGCCTACGAAATCCTCTCCGATGCCGACAAACGCAAGACCTATGACCAATTCGGTCTCGAGTTCCTTCTAAGAGGTGGTGCCCCTCCACCAGAGGATGCTGGCGGCGCTGGAGGCTTCGGTGGTATGCCTGGAGGCTTCGGAGGCTTCCCTGGAGGAGCTGGAGGTCCTGGTGGTGCAAAGTTCCACTTCTCCACTGGAGGAGGTGGTGGCATGCCTGGTGGCTTCTCCTTCAGCAACCCCGAAAGCATCTTCTCCGAATTTCTCAGGAATGGTGCTGGTGGTGGAGGTATGGGCGGTGGCATGGGAGACGATGACGACTTCTTCTCATCCTTTACTGGTGGCATGCCTGGTGGTTTTGGTGGACGCCCTGGTGCAGGTGCTCGAGCACGTCCTAGTATGAATGGCGGCATGCCCAGACGCCAGCAAACACCCGAAGTCACAGTGGTCGAGAAGCCCTTACCAGTCACCCTCGAAGATCTGTTCGCCGGCTGCACCAAGAAGATGAAGATCAAGAGAAAGACATTCGACGAGCGCACTGGCAAGCAGTCGGTACAAGATCGCATCCTTGAGGTTCCGATTAAGAAGGGTCTCAAGCCCGGCAGCAAGATCAAGTTTGCAGGAGTCGGAGATCAGGTCGAGGGAGGCGTCCAAGACTTGCATTTCGTTGTAGAAGAGGTAAGCAATTCCCAAATCCATGTCTCTGAAAACAATACTGATCTCTTTTACAGAAAGAGCACCCCCTATACAAGCGCGAAGGCGACGACCTCGTCCACAACGTCGAGATCACTTTGAAAGAGGCACTCACTGGCTGGTCCAGAACTGTCAAGACCATCGATGGCAAGCAAATTGGTGTCAGCTCTGGCGGCCCTACACCACCAACATACAAAGATCGCTACCCCAACCTGGGTATGCCCAAGAGTAAGAAGCCAGACGAAAGAGGCGATTTCGTCGTTGGTGTCAAGATCCAGTTCCCTGCCAGTTTGACACCCGCACAAAAGAACCAGCTCAAGGATGTTTTGTGAGCAGAGCGATTGGAGAAAAACTAGCGATGGCGTTCTTGAACTCTTTCTATTCTTCTGTACCTTTCTTCTTTTCTCGAACGAGCGTTTTTAATTGGAGCGAGGCATTTGGCGATGATGAGGGCCTCGGAGAGGGCCTGTTTATTAGATGAATTAATGAAACTTTATGCAAGCAATCCATCAAATGTGCAAAGATATGCTATCCACCTGTTATCTCTAACTTGGACTCAACAATCCCGACCACCGACCTTGTCAAAGCAGTCCACGAAAAGGTATAATCATTCTCGATTAACAGTGACTCGCCATTGAACAGTCGAGTCAATTATTCTCATTGGACAACGCGATTCTGTAAAGCATCTTGCATTCTTCCAAAGACACCACGGTCCCTACTGAATAGCAGGAGCTGGATACCTGGAACAACCTCATCGCATACTATAACCGGGCATTGTGATTCTCACTTACTATACAACACGGTCATTTGTCGATCGTGCATCTTCAATTCCGACGAGCGGCCTTTAGACGATCATTTCGGCGGACCCTTTGACTCAATCTCACTGGATAATTCGTCAGCTTCAAAGAAGATTGTACATTTTGACAGGACATACAACAAGTGTCTACTCGGGGTTTGAAAGCACAACCTCCAATCAACTTTTTCCTTATCCCCATAGACAACTGGATAGGTCTCTTTCCTCAATCTCACTCACCGGCCAACCTACCTGTCAGCTCTCAAAGACATTCAGCATTTCAACCTCTTCCTGATCCGAACATCCAACAATGGCGGCACCATCCCTCCACTTCCTCCTCCTCCTCTCCGACTCCGCTCTCCCCTTGGGCTCTTTCGCCTTCTCCTCCGGTCTAGAATCCTACCTCGCCCACCATAAACCCCCCTTCACCACTTCCCCCTCTCCACCTCCTCCTCTAGATTTCGATTATTTCTTACACCTTTCCATTCGAAATCTAGCAAGCACGAATCTTCCATACGTGCTTGAAGCTTTCAATCAACCTGGGGAACTGAGGAATCTGGACAATGATATCGACGCCAGCACCGCATGTACAGTTGCCCGTCGCGCATCAGTGGCGCAAGGGAAAGCCCTGCTAGGTCTTTGGGAGCGCGCCTTCAAAGCTTCTTGTTCTGCTTCTCCTTCAACCACCCCCTCCATCTCCGCCCTTTCCTCCTTCTCTGCAGATTTCAAACTCGCAAAACCGGATATCTTCGGATTACAACTGAATGCGCATTTCGCACCTCTGTTCGGTGTATTGTGTAAATGTTTGGGATTGTCTGCAGAGGAAGCGAGTTATCTGTTCTTGTGCAATCATGCGAAAAGTGTGCTTTCTGCTGCCGTGAGGGCGGGAGTTATGGGACCGTATTTGAGTCATGGGTTTTTGGCGTCGGAGAAATTGCAGGGGGTTATTAGGGGATGTGTGGATAAGGAGAAGGGGACTGAGGTGCAGGAGGCTGGACTGACTGTGCCGGTTATGGATTTGTGGGTGGGGAGGCATGAATTGTTGTATTCTAGAATCTTCAATTCTTAAGAGATGTGACGATGGGTGTATTGGACATGGACGTAGAAGAGATTGTTATGAGACACAAAAAACTTCAAGGATCGTTGCAAGAAATGATGAGAGTGATGATGATTTATTCTTCAACTATCCAGCTGATCTCGAAATTATGCTAGTGATGAGAGTTAAAACTCAGGAGAAGAAGCGGATGTGTACTTCCTAATCCTTAAAATCGATCAGGTCGACTTCTTCTTCTTGGGCCGCGATACCTGTCATAGCATCGTCATTTCCCGTCTTTGCAGTCTTCGAGCCATCGTTGCCGAACCTGTACAATGTAGAAGGCACCTCGTGTGTCTTTTCAATCATCTCCACTCCTCCTTTGTCTCCTCCTGATGAGTGCTGAACATCTTCGTTGTCAAGTCTTATCTCATGTGCTGGAGGGCTTTCTCCCCCTCCATTCATGGTGATGTCCTTGCCATCGTCGATAGGGATGCGGCCATATTCCACGTCTCCATCCTCGTAGGCAGGAGGTAGATCTTCGTCGTTACCAAAGTTGGCAATAGTACTGTCTGCAGAGCCACGACGTTGGCCAACATTGGCAGGATACACATTGACATGTCCATATCCATTCATCTGCATCTCAGAATCAAAGTTTTCGTCGTCATGGCGGATGAACTCTTTGAGGGCACGAGTGAGCTCGATGTGGTGTTCAGGAGAGAGTGCGGCATCACTGGCGTAGACGAGCAGAGCTTGGTTGTGTTCGAGCTCTACGGCGCGGATTACATCGTCTTGGCTGGATTTTGACTTGTTGACCTTGGCACCGTTGACTTGGACATCATATTCGATGCGCCACCACTGTGTGCCTGCTGGTGCGTCTTCGTCGTCGACCATGGAGGTGTCGGAGGGATCGCGTGGGCGGAGGAGGTAGGTGACTTGTGATTTGGTAGAAACACCTCTGAGCGAGTATCTGTGCTGGAGAGATTCTTGTGCCAGTCCAGTCTCTTGCGAGAGTTCTGCGAGTGCTTTGCGTGCCTTTTCCTTTTCTTGTTCAAGGGCTAGGACATGTTAGCCTGTGGTTCACTACTACGAGTTCGTTATGCATACCTTTGAGCTTCGAATCAATCTCTACACAAACTGCGTGTAGCTGCTCAGCTATTACGCTGTGGTGCTCAAGCGGTAGAGGGATATCAGTATCTCCACCTGCACCAGCACCTTCTCTCTCCTCAATCAAGTTCTTTCTACTCTCGCCCGAGAAGTAATTTTGAGCATGCTGCAACATCGACTCGGTGTCCAAGTCTCCTTTCTGAGCATGTCTGTAGTTCTTCAACTTGAACTCAGCCAACTCAATCTTCTCGATCTTCTTCTTGCCGTGGGCAATCTGCTTGCGAACTTCCCTCGTCGCATCAGCATTCTTCTTAAGATACTTGTCGACGTAGAAGGCTGGCGGGATGATGACATTGAGTGTTTCCTTGGAGGTGTCGTTTTGTGTCAGGCGAATGGGTAGAACTTGTGCACAACTATCAATAAAGTTGTCGTAGAAGTTGACATCGTCGACATCGGTATCCCAGAGAGTATCGTCCATGATGGAAGCCAGATCAACACTTGCATTTCCAGGACCGGAGGTGACGAATAGCGGTAGTGAGTACAGATCCGAGGTGTTCATGCCTTCAGGATTCGTTGTTCCTATCAACGAATGGAAGACGAAGAACTTATTCTCGTTGTAGTACTGCTCCATCGTATCCAAGTAGGCATTCTCCCACTTCTGCAAGACTCTGTCAAGAATGCATCCGCTGTTGTTCTCGGCAAGACGGACAAGTGTGTCTGCGCTGCCATATGATCTTGTACTCTCGTCCAATAATGCCATCAGACGCTGCATCTCTGCAATCATTTCGTCTTGGCTCGTAGTGGCTGGCTCCAGAGGCGCGCCACTGACAGTGCTGACAATTTTAGGCAGACGGATACCATGACCTTTCCACCATTCCGAGTCTGAGCCGTAGGAAGAATACGACTTGTGCGGTGCCAACAAAGCCTTGCGTGCGAACGGGATAGAATGCGCAATAGTGAGTAGGTTGGGTAGATAGTCTCCAGAAGGAAGCTGTTTCAAGAAACGAGGTTCTCCAGGTTCGTTCTTACGTTCATGAGGTTCCAAATCTGGAATGATTTCGCTGGCCTGCTGGTCGTCTGCAATTGTCAAGGACCACTGCCTAGGATCATAATGATTCTCTGTCGCAGGTTTGAAGTTTGTGTTGGGTAGAGTAACACCAGTCTGGCCTTGTGAAGCAGCGATAGCTTTCTGTAAATCAGCATCTTCATCGTCCCTGTTTGCAGGTTGTCTGAAGGAGTTGGCGGGTGAGTTGCCTCTTGTCGGAGCCGCGCTCTGTCCTAATGGACGCAGATTCTGTTCGTTGAATGCTTCGGTCTGTCAATCCATGGTCCATATTATCCTCCACAGCAGGACGTACCGTAGTTCTGGGGACCAAATGCTGCAGTTCCATCGCGGCCGGCACTGAAGTCATTCTCGTTCCAGGTGACGGTTGATGTTGACTGTCATGCATGTAAACATGGAATCGTTGGTTCAGCGACGAGCGCACACATACCTCTGCTTTTGAAAGATCCTCATTATCAAATATGGCGTTGAGCGCCGCGTCTGCATCGTTGTTTTTGACCTGGCGAGTGATTAGTCGGGGTCTTGTGGGTATGCATATCCACGATCTGTCAAACCTTCAACCATCGGCGGGCCACATCATCAGTGCAGCCTACAACGCCTACGATTCCAGCAATAGCTTCAGAATGTGCGTCGGTCATAATTCCTGATGTGAAAGATACTGATCGCACTCCGAAGGTGTATAAAAAGCTGGGTTGAGTAGAGGTAGCCGACTGTTTGCTTGACTGCTTGCTGGCCCGGTGAACTGACCCCGCTACGTCATCAGCGACAATGAACACCAACTTTACGCTATACCATTCTTTTACTTGGACTGTTTCCGTGCTTGCCACCCATTCCTTCAGACAAGCACATTATCTTTTCACTGATTATCACTGATTTTCAATATCACGAAGAAACTCAAGAAACCGCACGCTACAAGTGAGTGGAAGAATATCCTCTGTATATCGGTCTAATAAAACTGTATAGTAAGTGTTGTTAAAGAGAGCTCCGAGAAATGCGCCAGTACGCCAGCCAGTAGCTCCCTGCTCCATTGCCTATCGCACTAACTCCATGGGTGTGCATGTCCTTGCATGTGTGATGCCCTCCCTGAACGCCGCGCTGGTGGTATCAAAAGATGAAAAACGCCGTAGAATATGTAGTAGCCCTTGATGAATGGTCCATGTTCAATCATCGCTGTCGCTAGGCGCCTCCTGCTCATCATCATCCTCATCGTCCTCGTCAAAGGTCATCTCTGCGTCGCTGTCGTTGTCAAAGTCGTCCTCGACTTCGGAATCGCTCCAGCTGAAGAGGTTGTCCTCGACTGGGGGCTTGTAGGTGATGTGTTGAGTTGGCATGACAAAGCCCTCGGGGATGTCGGCTTTGCTAGCCTCGACGTCTTGACGGGCTCTCTGCTTGTATGCCTCGGGATCGTTGCGGATCATGACTCCAGCGTCGACGTTGGCAGGAGAGGAGGGCTCGGCATCATCGAGGAGTGAGAGGATGCTGATGAGGACGGACTCGACACGTTGAGCGGGTGACCAGCGTTCGGCAGCGAGTTCGCCTGACATTTCGTCCTCGCCAGGGGGGTGCAGGATTGAGATACAGAGTTTGCCATCAGGGTAGACGTTGGGGTGGAACATGGGACGGGTGAACTTGAACTCTGCGATCTTGGTTAGTATGAGTCGAGTAAGTGTGAGCAAAGACAATCCGACATACCAGGAGGGCTGTAGGGGTATGATGGAGGGAAGGTCATCTTGGCCTTGAAGAAAGCGCCATTGTAGACAGAGTCTTGGTTCATGACGATGAGGGCGACGTGCCAGCTGAAGATGTTCTCTTCGATCAGCTAGAGTTGCAGAGTCAGCATCGCAGTCGCATATTACTGTCGGACAAGGGCGACGTACCTCGATGTTGGTCCAAGGCTCCTTTGAGAGTTCCTTGAACTCGGACATTAGGATCTTCTCCGCCATCATGTAGAGGGGCACTGAGGGGTCGGTGGCCTCGGGTTGTGTTTGTTGGTGGTGAGTCGAGAAAGAAAGTAAGTTGTCAAGTAGTAGAGAGAGTATGTCAAGTCGAGGCGATGAGAGAAAGTGAGACAGAATTGTGTGTTGGTGAGAGTGAGATTCGAGAGTCAAAAGGAAGAAAGGGCGACTTGGTGAATCTTCCGCTTTGGGATGTTCGCGAAAGTGAAGCCGCCGCCAACACGGAACTTTGAGGAATGAGAAGACTCGGGTCTGGCCACAAAGTAGCTATGTATAATCCACTCTCCAACCTATCATTTCTTTCAGTATAGAGGGGCTTATAGTATTCTGCATGCTGAAATTACAAGTTTTATCACGACTGCCACTTCTTCGTGATCAATCCCACGTCATGCGCAACGGCCAGTTTCATGCTTTATCGAACCCGATCATTCGGCTGCTTACCATGCTCAGTCATTCATTCACATGCTCACTCAATCTGTAATAACACAATCCAAATCAAATGAATGATGATAAAACGTGATTTTTGTTCGTTGCAAAGGAGATCCGACTTTCCCGCTGGCATATGCTGCAATCGCCGTCACTGATATTCAACGCCTGAACACCATGCCCAAACGCCGCCTTTCCTGGTCCGACACGCGCCTACTATACATTGTAAAGCGCTGTAAACTTTTGCTCCATCGCTTCCACCCAGCGGTCATCCACTTTTGTAGATTTACTCGCTGTCAGAGCTGTCGGCCTTGCTCTTGCTCTTACGCTTCTCCTTCTTCTCGGCCTTCTTCTTCTTGCGCTCAGCCTTCTCCTCTGCTGACTCGCCCTCGCGCTTTCTCTTCTTGTCCTTCTTGGAGCCAGCGTCCTCCATGGTTGCGTCCTTGACATCTGAGCCATCGCCAGCAACAGCGGGAGCGGCCAAGACCTCCTCGCGAGAGGTGGTGTCCTTGGATTGACCGGTGATGCCCTCCTTGACGGGTGCGGCCTCAACAGCGGTTCTCTCGGCACCGGTGGTCGACTCGCCGTTGACAGTCAGGTTGAAGTCCTTGTACTCGGCGTTCCACTTGGCGGGGGTGGCCTCGTTGGGGCGGCCGTACTTGTCGAGCTTACCGCTCTCCTTCATCTTCTTCTTCTCGGTAGCGACAGGGCCCATGCCCCAGCGGCGGGGGTAGAGGTCACGCTCCATGATGCAGCGCTTGACCTTGGCGACGACACCGTGGTCGCAGGTGGAGAGCTCGACAGTCGACATTTGAGCAATGGCAATGGCGATGGCCTCACCCTTGGTGGTGATCAGGACAATCTCCTCGTGAACCTCAATGCCAGATTCTGTGAATTGTTAGTATGGTTGTAGTTCAGAGGTAATTCAAGAAGACATACCGTATCTCAACAGACCGGGAATCATGAGCTTGGCACCGTAGCAGACGGCGTTGACTGCAGAGTCCTTAACAACGACACGCTTGTAGGTGGTGAGAAGGGACTCGAGGGGGCTGATGACTTGACGGAGGTAGCTCTCGTCGCGCTGGTTGTCGTAAAGGTATTGGGCGTCAAGGACGTCGTGGAGGGTGACGAGGTTCTTCTGCTCGTCCATGGCACCGGATCGTACACGTCTCAGCTCCTGCATGTGAGCACCGACACCCAACAAGAGACCAAGGTGGACACAGAGTGTACGGATGTAAGTACCAGCCTCGCAAGAAACCCAGAAGACACCGAGCTGTCTCTCGTTGTCGAACTCGTAAAGGTTGCTCTCGTGGATGGTTCTGATACGGAGCTGTCTCTTGACGGCAGAGATAAGAGGAGGGCGCTGGAAGAGAGCACCAGTCAAGGTCTCGAGGGCGCGGGCGAATTGTGCCTCGCCACCGGGGAGCTTGTTGTGGAGTCTGATAACACAGACATACTCCTTACCGGCACCCTGCTGCGACTTGACGAGACGGGTGGCGCGGTCAATGCAGACAATCAAACATCCAGTGACCTTGGGATCGAGAGTACCGGAGTGACCAGTACGCTCGCAACGGAGTATACGCTTGATCCAGGCGACGACTTCGTGCGAAGAGGGGTTGGAGGGCTTGTCGAGGTTGATGACACCGCTGGAAATGTATGACTTGAGGTCGCGCTTGAGGGGAGTTGCGCCGGCGGGGATGGGGGTGAAGTGACCAGTGCGAACAAGGACTGCGCGCATGCGAGTTAGTGGTGTGCAATCACGCAGATGGTTGAAGAGCTCTACGACGTACGCTGGTCCCAGTTCTTCAGAAGCAGCGGCCAGGCACTGGTGTCGATGGTGGGAGTAATGTTCTCGGGCTTAATCGAGTAATCAGCCTCATCGGCCTTAACGAGCGCCATTTTGAATGTATAGTCTTGTTGGAAAAGATTGAAAATGCTGTCCTCCCAAGACTTTAATGTCGCTGTCGATGCGCAGATAATTTTTCGACGAAAGCTTCATAGCAAATTCGACAGCCGCGAAGTCTTGGCACCTTCTTCGCACAGGCGCATCCGGCATTCGCCGTTGCATGTCTTGATCAGCTTGTGGTGAGATCAATCAATTACAATTTTGCCAAACGATCGTGAATTTATGAAATGCTACTTGTCTTTGCGCTTCATGTCTGACGACGAGGGATGTTCGTTCCTCTTGGACATAACCCTTGAATTATTCTACATGTCACAGAAGCTGATATCTAGCGCATGATCTTGTCCAGCGGCGAGCGCGTGCATCCCATATCCAAGCAATGTCACCACTATTACCTATTAAAATGCATGGAGATATTGTGAATGTAAAGATCTGCTGGTGTGAGAAGCAAAGGCTAGACCCCCGAAGGTCCTGTCCTAGTTCGCTAAATCATCCATGCATTTTCATGGCCATAGTCGCCATGGCATCTGCTATTCGGAGCTACTCATAGCAAGCAGTCTATTGAGAGCCTCATGCAGTCTTTTTGTCAGGTAAGCGGGTCTGCTGACTCACATGCCTCTCTCGTAGCCCCATCGATACAGTGTTTCCTTCATCAAATTTCACGATGGTTTTCAGATCGTCCGACATGACCAGAGAGAGTGATCAGATGAATCCTTCTCAATTCTGCATCAAGACATGGTAAGTCGATCCAATGCAATGCACCATTTCATCACCAGGCAAGGGCGCTGTAACCGACTGTCAAAATGCACAAAAACATCCTGGATCTGAATATTGTCCAGTGAGAGGGCGATATAGCTGTACTCTCAGTGACCACGCCCTAGCTCTACAAACCCTTCGTCCCTTTACACCGCTTGAGTCGATGGTATCTGCTACTTGGAGTAAGCATATGCTTTGCAAAAAAGTAGTACACTGCTATGCTTCTCTCATGACCACGTCGATCGATATTTCCACCTGTCAAAATGCACGATGTTTTTCAGAGTGCCAGGCATGACCAGAGAGAGTATCTGCTCTCACATCATTGTGCATCTTGATAGTTAGTCGCAAGAGAGTGCGTGTCAATTGACAGCAAACACAGAGAGCTCATCATTATGTCGCTGTATCTCGAGCAGCCAGCGATGGAGTCGTCATGGCATTACTGCGTTATCTTTGAACCAAGACCGGTACTCCGTATTAGCCCACTGAAACAACAATTGCAGTACCGAGATGACGGTGTATATGCCGGTAAGCGTGCTTGAGTCGGCGATGAGGTGTCTAGACCATAGTGTCTGTCAAGGGTTAGTAGTGCTAGAGGTACCAGGAATAGATGCGATGGCTTACAGTGATTCCGTTCGAATGGGAGGCTAGAAGGAGATACCATAGTTCTCCTTTCACAATTAACAGAGGAAGCCACGGGAGAGTCAGCGGTTTTGAGTTGTGCGTCAGGAGCTCCTTCAACTTCAGATATTGTGCCGAAACCCAGATTCCCAACTGGATTTCAGCTTCAGTCATGTTCCCACTATCCGACTTCGTCTCAACATTGACACATATTGGCTCTGATCGTAGAATTCCTTCCTGGGAGTGGTTCCATGTTCTGTCAGGAATTTTTGACAGGGCAGTATATTCATTGCCGAGTCAGGCTTCAGGGTACGATGGAGTTTCCGATTTGCGCGTTGAAATGGGGTCTTATTTGTGCAATGGTCCAGGCACAACCAGCATACACAAATTGGTGTTGGTAGGTACGCCCACATGTTGTAGAGGCAAGTTTGTGATTTGTGGGTGGAGGTTTAAAGAGCCATGGTTGACCTTTGCATACCTGTTGATGTTTACAAGGGCATAAAAACGTTCCTCCCATGATTGCGTTGAGTGATGGTGAAAGACGCAAGCACAGAAACCAGCCGCCAGGCTGGCCAAAACTTCATCTATCCCCCAATAACATGCCGGTTTGGGAATCTTATACGAAGATTGCATATCTTCAACGACCCTAGCGAAGGGTCATAAGACTACGTAGGGCTTGCCGCTTTTGAGCAACGGCTTGTCTGGTTGAGGAAAAGTTAGGGCATGGCCAAAAAAGCATAAACATATCTGCCGATTGCCTGGATCGAACAAGCGACCTTTGCATGTCTCGAAGTACAAGTGCAACGCACTACCACTGTGCTAAACCGGCATGTTATATAAAAGAAATGCTAGATGAACGTTTATATAATAAACACATCGAGGTGTTGGACTTGCGGGCTGACTCGATTGTCCAGAGAAATAGATCTCCTGGTGAACAGGGGGTATGTGACTGGAACCATCAGCCATCTTGAAATCCGGTGCATGGAATATATGTGCTACCTTCAAAGACCAGAGAACAGATACGTTGAGCGTAAGGATCTGAGAATACAAAAGGACACGTAAAGGCTGTCGCTTCTACCAAGCATCTCTCAACATCGGGCTTCAGCTTCTGTGACCTTTTCAACACTTGACAGCAACGTCACATCTAGTGCATATGTCCAAAATCACTGGATTGAAACAGATGCAGGATTCAGCTTGTTCAGTTTTTCCCTGAGGTGTAATTTGAGGGGTCGTGGCTTTCTGTTTGCACGTTAGGAAATACAACTGGTTTGCCTTTAAACGCTGGCAGATAATGGACTCCTGCCGCGTCAGACCGGTTCACAATGGACATCCAAGATGTCTGAATGGGTCTTGTCATCTACTATCGGTAAGTGTGGAATCGTAATTGGTCATCTGCGTGAGTTATAGCAGTCAACCACACTGACAAGAAAGAATGCTGGAGAAACAGAATCCAAGGATACATGCAACCATGCTTTCTGCTGAAGTCAACAATTCAGCCATAGAGACACAGGAATCAAATCAAAGCGGAGCTCTCACCCCGCCGACGAATCTCTCTCAGTCTCTGTCAAAAGACATAAAGTTTTTCACAATGGTGCGACCGTCCAAAGAGAGCCCTAAAATCTAATGTTCATCGACTCCCCATTGACAGCCTGGGTCATTCCCAACCAGCTATCGAAATGCAAGATGATTTTTAGAACAGTCGCTATGTCCAGAGAGAGCACAAAGCAGTAGTCGCTCTCAGTGGACGAGTGCCTGCTATCTAAAAGCATTCTACCTTTTGATAGCCACATCAGAGAGACCCTACTGGGAGATGGAGTGCAGTTCCTGAAAGAGAGGCAAATGTCTTCTACATGGAACGTGGGTGGTGCTTTGGAAGCGTTGGATGCTTTGGTGTGGACGTCCATACAGCGGGAGCTCGCCAGCGTCTGACCACGTTGCCAAGCATATTCGCCTATCCAAAAATCGTGAGCGTAAAGTTTTTGTCCGAAAAACACGACAAATCCTGCTTTTTCTGTATGCTACGCAACCAACTACTCCTTGAAATCATGGCAGATGCCTGGGTGTCGAAGGACATCTTTTACTTGCCGATCCATGTCTGCTTTTGCAGGATGGCTTTCTTTGGCTCTGAAGATGACGAGCAGGTCGCGATTTTTCCCTTCCAGTGATAATGGACCGTGACACGTAAAACGCCGTCGTTGCTCTCGTGTTGTGCACAGCGGTCACCCAGACAGCCGAACCTGTCTTGACATTAATCGCCGAAAAAATCGATTGCCAGGCTCGGGCAACATGCTGTTGTCAGTCTCTCGAAGTTGTTCAAGGACGAGTGCAAGTCGCAGGTGCCGATGGCCTAACACATATCGGGATCTCGCTAACGTCTGACATCGTTGCCAAGCATAACTACTTAATTCCTTCCCGGCTAGCACCTCAGCTCCTGTGACTTCGTCAACACTTGAGGTGATTAGCAACACGGTCTTTACTTCATTTTCGAGTCAAAACAGAGTTCGCAAAGTCGTGAAACCAGTCAATTCTGTAGCGTCCCGAAGGCTTTTATGAAAAGTCACGCGCGTGGAGCCTTCCTCGACCACTTTGCAAACGCTAGCGGTGAGCAAGATGGTCCGTACAATCAAGTGCGGACATAGTCGATCAATCATCATCGCCTCCTGTCGCCAGCATTGATCATTTGACTGGCTATTGAAAGGCAAGATGGCTTATGAGACAGGCACAGTGTCCAAAGAGAGCACGAAGCGGTAACCACGAAGCAGTAATCTCTGAGTGGAAAGGTGTCGGTCATTGAAAATCATCTTGCCTTTTGATAGCTGCATAGCTGCATAGCTGCATAGCTGCATAGCTGCATAGCTGCAACAGAGGCTCCTATCAGGGAGATGGAATATAACTTTCAAGTCAAAAGTCAAGGGGTAATGGCATTATTATTGCTTGTTACAGTTTCAGTGTGAGGGACAGAAGTAAATAGAAGTGAGGAACAGAAGTGAACAGAAGTCACCGGTTCATGCCTCACTGTCTTTTGTTTGCGTGCTCGAGCTTAAACAGTCCGATCCGCGCTATATCTTTCTTCCTCTTTCTTTCCTCTCCTTCTCTCACCACAAAACATTTTCATCAACACACCTTCTACTTCTCTCCTCTTCTCCTCCAAATTCCGAAACTCTGCATCCCAAGCCCGATTTGATCATTGCACTAGCCGTGATCCCGCCCAGGGAGTTCAGGTGCAAGCCCAGGAATTTCCGCCCTTCTCAAGTAACTTATCATTATGTCTTTCCATCAACTCGACTGACACAGCGTCTTAGATTCTCATCACCGACAAACCCTACCTTGGCCAAGTGTTTGTCAGTTTGTGCTTCTTTCAGCGCTGCATCGCTTCACTAATGTCTCGAAGCTCTACTCACTTTAAACTAACCACCAATCTCACTCGCCAACCGCTCTCATTCGCCAACCGCTCTCACTCGCCAACCGCTCTCACTCGCCAACCGCTCTCACTCGCCAACCGCTCTCACTCGCCAACCGCTCTCACTCACCCACCACTTTCACCCACCCACCACTTTCACTCACCTGCCGCTCCGCGCATATATAACTTTGCCCCTCTTTCTCACAGCACCACCCACACTACCACCCACACCTTTTCTTCCATCATGGCTCCATCTCGCGGCAAATGTCGTGCTGTCGACGCCCAAGTTGTCCTGAACTTGATTCAGGAACAAGGTCTCGTTCAGCTCGTCACTCCTGGCGACAGTAAGTTGGTCTTCTATTTCACTTGGCCGGATTTCTGACTCTCTATCAGACCTTCGCTGTGCTCTGTACGCTGTTGCCATTGGTCTCAGGTCTGAGAACTACACCGCACCGCTCAACTTCGACGATTCTTCCACTCAGGAGAGCATGTGCTTCGACCAGCTCCTTCACTATATTGTGCCGGCTGGTGAGCAGTTGCGCTTGGCCCACAAGGGAATTGTTCCTTTGTCGATGTTGCCCGACCTTCAAGGATTCTTCAATGTCGACATGATCTCTCACATCATCGCACACTACAACAGTTCGACTTTGACCAGTCCCAAGGCCAAGGTCTTTGCTATCTCACGCGACGCCACATATGAGATCAGCTCAGCTCTCCCTCCCCATCTTGCCAAGGCTGTGAAGAGCGTGTTCATCCACAACATCGACAACATGCACTGGGAAGGCTATGGCCCACAGAGTATTGGCAAGATCTCACACCATGCCGTTGCTGCTTCTCCTGATGACAGTGCCCCTCCCCGCGACTCAGCCCCTGCCTCGACCTCACATGGCGCCACCTCCAACGACAAGTACAAGATTGCAGAGCTCAAATATCGTCAGAAGTTTGGTATCGCTGCCGATGTTGAACTCAACCGCGATGATGTCCTTCTGGTCGTCTCTATCGACGACGGTCCTGCTGGTGTCGTCGACTCAGACGATGAGGAAGAGGAAGAGTCGCCTCCTGTCAAGCCGCTTGATGACACTGCCGCTGCTGCCGATACCCCACCGATCGTAGATGGCATTCAGCTCTACCCTATGGCTGGCAAGGACGACATCCCCGAAAAGATCGCCATCGTCCGTATCCAGAATCCCAAGGACTCCTCAGATGACTGGGACAAGGTCAAATCTTCACACTCGTCCCGTTGCAAGGTCAAGATCATGAAGCCCAACCAGAAATGGTCCAACACCCCATGGTACCCCAACGAGAGATCCGCGGATCTAGGTGTGAGCTTGACGTTCAGCATTGAGTCTGCCGATGGCTGCGCTCCCAGAATTCGCCTCACTCATGATTTAAGACGCCCCGAGCACGCTCTCAATAGCAAGAGTCAGCAGGTGCCTGCACACTCCGGCTCAGTTGAATTTGCTTTCGGTCACATCTTCAAGAAGTCTGTTGATGAATCCACAACTCCCAACCAGATCTTCAACCTCAAGGTCGACTACGCACAGGAGCATTCCAACGCTATCATCTCCTTTGACACCACTGGTGCCATTGCAAACAACCTGAAGTGTTTGATCGATTTTCCCGAAGGCCACGACCGCGTTCGCAACTTGCGTCTCCGTGACTACGAAGTCGAGATGACCAAGCAGTTGTGCAGCTTGACTACCATCCCTGAAGGCAAGGTCAAGCACGTAGTCATCATGGTTCAGCCTCATCCCAAGGAGAAGGACCTTCACAAGGCTGGTCAGCACAATGCCGTTGACGACTTGCTGGACGCACTGCCTTTCGAAGGCAACGTCTCTCCATCTCTCAAGCAGCCTATGACCGTATTGCCTTACGACCAGTTGCGTAACGCTAGCCACAAGCCTCGCGTTCAGCATGGGATGATGCCTCAACCTTTCAAGGTCTTTGATAAGAACCACGCTTGCATGCCGATGCCTCCTCGCTTCTCCTGGCAGGACGCTGACGAAGCCGCTATTGTACTTGCCAACAGCGTCGCAGTTCAGCATACAGAGTCGACCATCATCCTCTCTTCTCTGGAGCATCGTCAGCAAAAGGTCAAGCTCTTGACCGTTGGTGATATGGTTTTCATCGCTATTACCTATGACAGGCGCTTGACTGCTGGTCTATCCACTGACGAGCGCATCTCCTTCCCTGTCGGCACAAAGATCGACTTCAGCATTCACAAGGCTGCCTCTCAAACCGCATCCTCTGAGACCGTCAAGCCATACTACGCCAACGGAAAGGTCGTCAGCAACATTTATAATGTTGTTTGCGATGCCATCGTTGCCGTCGAGAACAAGAAGGCTCAAGACTTTGTCGGCTTGACCTCTCCCATTGCATCTTCCAAGGTGGCTACCTCTTTCTGGGCCTCTCTGACATCGAAGATTGCTGACAACAGCTGCGCTGCTATGATCAATGCCGTGGCCTTGACCTACGCTCGCGAGTCCTGGGTTACCAAGCAGTGGCCTGCTCTCCTCAACGACGGTGCAAAGCTTGCTTCCAGAGATCTCCTTGACTCCATCACTTGCAAGCTTGAACAATACACGCAGGCACGCAACAACCTCATGACTGCTCACAAATGGAACACCGCTCAGCTTGCACACATCAATGCATTCTTGAAGGCTCCTGGCGGCATGGCGCCCCTTGTTGGCTCCAGTGGCTCGGGCAAGACCGAGGTGATGGTTCATCTGATGCGATTCTGCCTGAAAGTTGGCATCAAAGTGCTCTGTATTGGCATGAAGCACGCCACCCTCGATCTCGTTGTTGAGAGATATAAGAACAAGTTCCCCAACGAGGAGCAGCCTCTTCGCGCCTATGCGCCTTCAACGGAAAGTATCACCTCGACTACACGCAAGTTCAAGACGAATTCCATTCGACACAGAGTGATTGAGAACTCAAAGAGATCCGATCTACCATCATTGAAGAGAAGGTTCCCTTCCGGATCTGAAAACGGCTACCCGGTATACGACGACGAGACTTTGTTCGACTTCCGTCAAATCTTTAGAGACGGCCTTGTGCACTCGTCATCTGAAAAGGAGTACTGGACCGACAAACACCTCAAGCAGTTCAAGTACACGTATACCGTTCTTCGTGCTGAAGTCATCCAGAACGCCAAACTGCTAGTCACTACGATGATCAATGTCGGCAACGAAGAGATCAGCAAGCACTTCAGCCGCAGAACTCCCATCGCCAGATTCGATGTTGAGGCTCACGCATGCGCTGAACAACCATCTCTCATCGCTTCAGCCACCTGTGAGTTCTCCAAGAACATCTGCGTTTGGGCCATGTACGGCGATCTCGGAAAACGTGGTGTGTTCAACCGTACTGGACGCGGTACTGAAAACACTGTTGATGTCTTCTACAAGCAGTCTGATGTGTCTCTTTTCCTCAGACTGTACCACTCGGGCCATCCGTTCGTCCGCTTAAGTACCCGGTAAAGGATATATAGTTGAATTAGATAACACTTCAAAAGACAAAACTAATCTCTCACTGGACATCTTCTGAATTCTCAATGTATTTGTGCATCTTGATAGCTAGTAGTGATGACTTCGCTGGAGTGGGGGATGGTGCACTGTATATCAAGCCCCTGAGATGCGTTTTTACTTGGTACTTGTTTGGCCACTCCTACTCTCCTTGGTCGTGCCTAGCAACTTGAAAAACATCGTGCATTTTTGCAGTTGGAAACATGTTGTTCTGCTGTTGGAAAGTTAAGAGTTTGTTTCGTGCTAGATTGACGACTTCACTGAAGGCTAGATATCTTACCACATACGAGTTTATCAGTCACCATAGAGAAACAGAGTAATGCAAGAATGTCTATTGGTCTCATCCCTCTAGCGCATGCATCCAGACATGCCCATGGTTCTGGTCCATTGTTACGTCCGCGAAGCCATCGGAACCCAGACTGGAGCTGCCCTCTCAACCTCTGGAGCTCTCTATCTAGAGATGCAACCGATGTGTCGTAGTCAGCTACCCAGATTCGTACTTGAAGGCAGTCCAATGTGAAGGCCCGAATGTCAATATTACACAGGCTATGTCAATCTTGTCCGAAGTACTACTGTGTACTCTCTTTACACAAATCCACAACTATCAAAACCACCGTGCCTTTTAACAAACCCTTTCGCCATCATGACATAGTAGAGGAGATGAACAAGTCTAATCCGCTCATTCATTGCAAAAAACATACCATCTCTCCACTTCCACATCAACGTCCATCCCACAGCTAAGTTCCGACTATATAATCTCTTTCGCAAAACCCTCCTTCCTCTTTCAATCAACTCATGGACTTCCCGAGCCTGAAAACCAGATCCGGCATCTTCTATATGACGCGTGTGCTGCATCTGCATCCCTTCACCTTTCTAAGCAGCTAGCCTCGAAGGGAAGGAGCACACCAAAGACGACAATGGCGTCAGTGTATGCTTCCGTCAAAGACGTGTCATCTCCGCAATCGACTCGAGGTCACGGAGGGGTGTTTGAATGATAGCATGATGGAAAATGGTAGTCGAGAGCTCGGGATCCGGTGGAAGATAAGGCGGTCCCGAGTCAGATACTAAGTGTTTGATGCGGTGGTGTTGCATTAGTTTAATCGCTCGTATGAAGGAGATTTTCTAGTGGAGCTATACTTCAAGGGACCTGATGTTGGTGGTTGTGCCTCTGGAAGCCTAGCGTTGATGTCAAAACAAAACGCAAGCATAGGGGTTGAACTACGATTAGGAATATCCAATAAACCTACAACCTCGCACATTCAACAATCCAATCCAAGCCCCCTCCACAACTCATCACTCCATCATCGCCATCCTTCCGTCACCCTCTCAGCGGTTTAATCCTATAACTCCCTGATAACCTCACCAGCAACCCTCCCCACAAATCCCGCCCAACTACTAAACACGACCCCCTTCAAAATCGTTTCCCCCTCCTCCACAGTCCAATGTCCCGCATCAACCAATCTCTTCCTCCAAGTTTCCTTTTGCTGCTCGCTCAATTCATGCCAATGTTGTGCCCTCTCGTCTTGCTTTTTATACGCTTCCGCGTCACCCATGGAAACGGCCAAAGCTTTACCTTCACCGTTATCGCGGATGATTACCGCTTTGTCTTCTTCGGAGGCGCTGCCGCCGGGAAGGGCGAAGTGCATGTCGAGGAGATCGGCGATTTTGGCACTGGGTGCTGCGGCGGCTGAGCGGACGGCGGAAGCTGCTGAGGAGCCGGCTGAGGAGGCGGAGGATGCAGCGTCAGGAACGACTGAAGAGACGGAAGATGCGGCGTCGGCGATGGGTTCCCAGCCCTTTCTACCCATGCTGTCGGCAATGGAAGCAGGGTGGTTGAGTGTACGTTGCCAAGACGCTGGCAGCGGGATAATGTCTGCAAAACTGGGAGCGAAGGGGTCGGAAGAGTATAGTGATTGCAAGAGGATTGCAAATACGAGGACGGCGAATCCGATGAGGATTCCATAGGTAGTGCGTTGGCGGACTTCATCTGAAGGGTGCAGGAGCACATAACGACTCAGACGATCTGCAGGTTGAGAGGGGAGAAGAGCGAAAGTATCAACGACGACAGTGTTGCCGATACTGGTGCTGCACAATTTAATGTATTGAGGGCCAGGATGAACAGGGTTCTTAGCAGGAATCTGGTTGCCTTTTCTATCCAGTTCAGGTGCAGGGCCGCGAACGGGACTGTGGAAGGGAGAGAAGCGGAGACAGGTTATGGTTTGGGGATGTACGTCGCGGAGGGTAGTGAAGCGTTTGAACTTGCCAAAGGTGTGGGTTGCAGACTTGTAGTCGATAGTGTAGACGGGGATTGAGATGTCGTGGCTGGCGATGGCAACGACGACTTGCTTGTTGCCATCCTTATCAGCATCCAAGCTGCAGACATCAAGACCAACGGCCTGCTTGACATGACCAGGCAAGACCTTCTGCTTGACCTTCAATGCCGGACCAGATGGGTAGAAGTGGACAATGCTCAATTCGGCACCAGTACGACCAGGCAAGTTGCTCAGGAGCAGGACATCCTCAGGGCCCAACCATCTGATAGCGCGGTACTTCGGGCGAGCAGGCTTGCTAGAATCTTCGCGAAGAGGCATCGAGTAGACCTTTCGCGGGTTTGCAGGAGAGAATGTTGCCTTCTTGGTGTCGAAGTTGTACATGACGGTTTGCTCGTAGACATCGTAATCAGTGGCCCAGGTGATGGAAAAGGTATTCGTCTCGATTTCAGTAATGTCCAGATCGGCAGCCTCATCATTGTTACGCATGGGGATACGTGCAATTACATCTGCTTGGGTTGTAGGAGTCTTTGTGGCATCGAATACGACAATCTCGGATTGTTTGGCCAGTCCTGTCGCGACAGCTCCGATGCGCTTGTTAGGCGAGTCGCGCTTGTATGTAGGCGAGAGTCTGAGCAGACGTTGGTATGTCTCTGGTCTGGGTCCAGTAGCTGGTTTGAAGAGACCAGCCTTGCCAACGAACGAGATTGATCCATCCGGCTTTTCCACAATAGTCCCGATGTTTTGCTTCTCATCCGAGGGCTGCTTCTTCTGTGGGTACTTGATCTCGAAAGTGCGTAGGTGTTCGTTCATGCCAGCCTTCTGATCCTCTTCCGACGAGTTGATACCAGCTAGAGTGATGAGACCGTCCTTAGAAGCCAGCGTCCCCAGGGAGATGACATTGTCTTCGTCGCTCGAGAGCTCGATCTCAGCCGCCGTGTCCAGAGTTGCGCGTTTGCTCGTGTCCAGAAGAGTCTGCAATATGTTAATCCTATTCGCGCGACTGCTGAGGCATCGAGTGTAGCTTACAATCTTGTTTGCGACGCCATTGCGGCCCTGACCACCACCGCCGCCTACCACGAGGAAGCCACGGTTGTAAGGGTCGAACTCTGCTGTATACACCGGGTACGACAGCGTCGTCTTTGTGAAAGAAACCGGTCCGTGGCTTTGAAACACCATCTTGTCCTAGGAATGCGTATGTCGATGGTGTGGACAGAACAATACAAGAAAGATGGAAAGTGGGACGTGGAATTATTGCTGCTTTCACATGAACGATGACGACCGTTGCGACTGCCAAGCCATCTCACCGACCACCGCTTCCAGCCAGTATCACCCTCTTTGTTCCAATAATCATCTCCTTTGAAACGTAGCTCTACCAAGAATATCACTATGGACACATCTCAAACTGTCCAAGAGAAATAAAAGAGTAAAAAAAGTATTCATGTCGTAAAAAGATAACATTCGCTTTTTCTGTACTTTCCACAACAATGGCTCCATGCCCCTTTCTATCCCGGGAGCACATGTCCATTTCCCTCCAAATATCATCCTCGTAAAGAAAATGACAGAAACGCTTACTCCTCGTCGATGCCGGCCATCTCCTCTTCCTCCTCGAAGGTGTCGCGAGGGACGTTGTAGAGACGGATGGTAGGCTTGTTGGGGTCCTTGACAAGGACGAACTTGGCCTCTTGCTCCTCTTGCGACATGACCATGTCGACGAAAGTGCGGACAATGGCCCAGCCGTTGTTCAGGTTCAAGTTCATCTGGGCGGCGAACTCGCGGGGCTTGTAGCCGAGGACACCGAGGATGACGTGGTCGTTGGCAGTCTTGGGGTTGACACGCGAGACGAAACTAGAAGTATATGTTAGCACTTTGCTTTGCGCTTGTGATGATTGTAAATTCTCAAAAACTCACCCAATCTTCATCTGGTCGGCCTTTGCGAGAATGGCCTGGGTGGCCCAGCGGGCAAGCTTGCAGCTGTTGTTCTTCATCTCGGTAGCAACAACGGCACCACGCTGAGAAGCCAACTTGGTGCGCCAGTCAAGGGCACCACCGCTGCCAATAGCCTTGTTGTCAAACTCGTTGAGAGCCTTGATGATGAGGTATTGGTCCTCGCCGGAGATGGCGTTCTTGACAACGGCATCGAGCTCGGTACGGACGATGATGTGTAGCGGCTGCTCGTCGGCCTCGAGCGAAAGGTCGAACTTGCGGTACTTGTAGGCCTTGGAGGCAGGGGGGTCGGTCTCCTCCTCGGGGTTGTAGAAGGGGTGCTCGTTGGCCATGTCGCGCTTGGACGTTTGGCTCTCGGTGACGGTCTGGATGGGGAAGACGTGGTTGATGTGGGTGGCCTCCTCCATGAGGGCGCCAACATTGTTGATGATGTCCTTGGTGCCCTCGGAGGTCTCGAGGGGTGCATCGGCGGCGTTCTCGTTGACAGTGACACGGTCGACGTTGCTGCCCTCGCGCTTGTCGATGAAGACCTTGTTTCCTTGTCTGGTGATGATCAAGTCCCATGAGTAGACGGAGCGGGGAGCGCACATCAACATGGACAAGATATCGCTGGTGGTGAAGATGGAAGCGGCGTCCTTCTGGGCCAGATCCTGGATGATGGGGTCGTGAGAGGTGGTGACATTGTAGGCGGCGCGCTCGACAACGTTGAGCTTGCGGAAAGAGGTGGGTGCTCCGGGCTGCTTGTCGAACTGGCGGTCGTAGTAGTAAAGGAATCCGTAGTCTTCGACATCCTCGCCCTCTCCAGTGTCCAGGTTCAGCTTGATCAGACGGTTGAAGTCAATCTCCTCGAGCAACTTCCAGGTATCGCGAGGCTGGACCGAAGCCTCACGAGTGCGTTGCGGCTTGTCCCAGTCCTTCCAGCCTCCTCTGCGGCCACCACGGCCTCCACGCTGTGCACCACGGTTGTCGTATTGTTGTTGTCCGGGTCTGCCACCACCAACGCGCTGGAAAGTGCCACCACGGCCACCGCGCTGAGCAGCGCCACCACGAGCACCACCACGTCCACGGAAGACGGTACCACCGCCACGGCCGAAAGTGCGGCGAGCAGCAGTGCGCGAGTTGTCGACAATGGAGAAACTGGCTTCCTCGCCAATACCTTCGATGTTGAGAGCGGTCTGGAGTCCTGCGCCGGCGCCGTAGGGTTGGTCTGTTTATAGCTTGTCAATCTCGCTGCCTCTTTCTGCGCTTCTGGCTTTGAATTCCCCTCACCTCTGAAGTTGCGACCGTATTGTTGTCTGCCTCCTCTGCCTTCACGGTCCTTGCCCTCAGTGGTCCAGTCGGCCATGCGGCCAAGCTTGTCGCCCTTGGAGAAGGGGGCGTAGGGGAGACCGTCGCGAAGAGTGTCGGTGGTGACCGGAGGGCCCCATGAGTCGGTAGCAGGCAGCGCCTGTACGAGACCAAAAATAGAGTCCATTTTGGTTATGATTGATCTGCTAGGGAATCGACAACCTTTGGGGAAAAAGTCGTCGGCGTCGACATCCCGCGCAAACTTCGGTGGGCGTCGAAATCTTGGCGCCTTTCGGCTACCCTTGAGCGAGCTCTTGCACTCTCACTTCTTGAGTCGATCAATCTATCAGGCGAACAAGTTTTTGAAATTTGGAAAATGTGAATTGAATGCGTGAAAGAACTGCGCTGAAAGCCCGAAAAACAACTCTCTTTTCGACTCCATGCCTGTCCAAAGCATTCCCTGCAAACGCCGGCTGATTAAGATGGAGTCCTCCATTGTACGAGCCCAGCCTCAGCTACATGCACTTTCCCTCTCTCTCGACTTCTCATCCGTCCATCACCTATTCTGAGAAAAGAGGTAAAGAAAAAGCAACCCCAGAGAAAAAAGAAAAAAAGACAGCGAAACATTTGGCCCTTTTCATCATGCATCCAAACGTCCCGCTAAAGAAGTGTAGAAAGAAAATGGTGTAAAGCAGCCGTCTCTTCGCTCCTCGCTTCATGTTGCGAGAGACAGAATAAGAGATACCTTTTTGATGATGCGGATGTAAGGCAAACATGAAAGATCTCCCTCCTCTTCGTCATCATCATGGTCGTCGTTTGCTAGCTTTCCATATGGCTGTTCATATCCCCAAATCATTTGTGGTGTTTTTTCTTTTGTGCTTGCGAAGCGCCATCTCGCTTGGTTGACGGTTCCACAAGTGTACGCACTGACGATTGGTGTCGAGCAGTCGAGCGGTCGTGGTATCGATATAAGCAAAAGCCAGCGCTAGGGTATCATGAGTATATGCAAAGTTTGATGCGAATCGTCACGCTCAGTGGCCGCTCTGCTTTCTAAATCTCAGCAGCTCGGCGAGCATGTTGGGGTTGCATCCAGTCTTGAGGAAGTCGTGTCTACCAAGCTCCTCGGCAGTAGCACGAGACTTGACATCAACACACAAGCAGACGCTCAAGAAGCTCTTCAACTCCTTGCTAAGAGCCTCGGGCTTCTTCAGGCGTGGTGTGCCGTTGGTGGCGATCAGGTACAGTGCCTTCAAGGGCTCCTCGTTAAGGTATGGAGGCTCCGACTCGATCATCTCGATGGCCATGATACCCAAGGACCAGATATCGACCTTGCTGCCGTACTCCTTCTGCTTGACGACTTCGGGTGCCATCCAGTATGGGGTGCCGACCATGGTGGCACGCTTGCTGCGTTGCTCGGTCAACTTGGCACAGAAACCAAAGTCGGTGATCTTGACATTGCCTCGCGAGCTAAGCAAGACGTTGTCTGACTTGATATCACGGTGAATGATGTTCTGTTGGTGAAGGTGGATAAGACCCTTGCAAGTCTGGGATGTTTGTTAGCTTGTGGTTCCGATGCTGTTCGAAGGCTCAAAACTTACTTCGTGGCAGATAGTGGCGATCTGTGGTTCCGAGATGCTAGGGTTGTTGTCAATGACATCGGTAAGCGCACCACCCTCCATGAATTCCATGACAACCCAGAGCTCGTTGCTCTCTTCTTGCAAGAAGGCGTCGAGGAAGTTGACAATGTTGGGGTGCTTGCTGTCCTTCATGACAATGATTTCGTTGACAATCAACTCCTTGCGGGGCTGGTTGCGGAGATCCATCTGCTTGATAGCGACTTGAGCTCTAGGCCCGTTCTCACGCAATTGCTGGCGGGCAGTGGGCGAAGTGGCAGATTCACGAATGCGAGCAACGTAGACGGAACCAGAAGCGCCCTGACCAATCTTCTTTTGCTTGTTGTAGGAGTCCAAAGGACGCTCCTTGGAGACGACCTCGCGCAGCTTCTCCATAACCTGAGCATCAGTCATGCTTGACATGCGTACATCCTTTCTGGGCTCCTCCTTCTTGGGTGGGGCGGCAGTAAGTGCCATTTCGGCCTTCTTGATAGGGTCCATGGGAGCGCCGGTAGGCTGCTTGGCTGCGACATTGAGCGGTTTGGGAGCGGCGGGAGAATGCTCTCTCTGCTGCGACGAACCGGAGGGCATGTGAACACCAGCAATGCCTGCTTGGCCGCTGGGCTTTCTCGAGTCGCTGGGCGACTGTTGTCTCTGAGAAGAGGGGCTGGGTCTGGGAATGGAAGATGAGCCGTTGGCGGAAGGTGCTGTGGGTGCCTGGCGCTGGGCGGTCAATTGGCGGACGGGGTTGACCTTCTGGCCTGATGAAGAAGGAGCAGGAGGAGCGGGTCTGGAGGGGTTGTATCTGGATGCAGGGCTGGCATCGCGATCGCTGGCGTAGCCGCCACCGCCAATTTCTTGCTGAGCCAGGGGCAGCTTGTGCTTGGGCAGACTAGCGTTATAGTCTGCCAGCTCTTGTGCCTCTCTGCGCTGAGCATCCTCGTATGCGCGCTGCTTCTCGAGCATTCTACGTCTCTCGTCTTCCTTGCGTCTGCGCTCGTCCTCGATGCGGGGGTCGTACTGAGGCGCGGTGTTAGTGCGCGAAAGGGAGGGCTGAGAACCAGCAGGCGAGACATTGCGGGTAGAGCTGTAGCTCTCCTTTCTGGTGTATTGGGCAGGAGGTTGAGGACGGGGAGGAGCGATGCCATTGCCATGGCCCAACTGTCTGTTGCCGTGAGCGTCAATCGGAGGGGTGGGAGTCAGGCTGGGATATTGCTTGGGGTCGTCTGCTCTCTTCTGGAGCTTGCTTGTGTAGAATTCGAGAGCCTCAACAACAGCCTGGGGGTTCTTAGCCATGTCGTCCTGAGTGAGAGCCGAACTGTTAAGCAGCTTCTGCCATTCTACAGGCAGGCCGACGAAGCCGCCAGTAACAGGATCGAAGCCGACGTGGATACGGTGGGCGAACGAAGTGGGGTGGCTGACACCGCCCATGGTGGGACTCTTGTTGTAAATGACATCAATCCAGCCGTAGACGTCGTTGTCGGTCTCGAACTTGCAAATGACCATCTTCTCATTGCCGGGTGTGCCTCGAGTCAACTCGAACGAGTATGGGATGGTCTCAGATCTGGTAATGTTCAAGACATCCTTGAGAGGAATGGAGAAGGAGATTTTGGGAGTGGTGTCGCTCTTCTGGAAGTCGAGGGCTTTCTCTCTGAGGACGAGGAACTTCTCAGACCAGAAGACACCCTTCATGAAACCGCCCTCCTCCTTGACTTTAGCCCAGCCAGACTTGACGGCCGAGGATTCATTGCGAGACGAGCCAAAATCGGTCATAGATCGTTGGAGAGAAGATGTGGAGCTTCCGAGGCCAGGCGATTGCAGACTCAATTGGCTCATGTTGCCGGCGACATTGTTAACGTTGGGGGTGAGAGCTAGACGAGGACGATCGGTGGGAGGACGAGGGGCAGGTCCTGGGTTCATGAAGGAGCCCTCTGAGTAGATTCTGCACCTGTGTGTGAGCATTGTGTGCAGCGATCTCTCACGATCTCTAGACATACCCGTGTGGCTGCGACATTGTGTGTCGGTATAAGCAAGCGCTTCAGTCCTGGACTCGTCTTTTTTCTTCGGACGTGGCGCAAGACTTAGATCGGCAGCCGTTGACCAGACGTGGTGGGCTGTTGAAATGCGCGAACTTGTCGTGGTGGTGTCGTGTAACGTTGTGTTTGGGCGTGTCTTGAGTTGCAGGTGCGGAGATGGTTCGGCGACGAGTTGGCCCCTGTGCTGGCAGCGATGATGAAAGTGCGCAAACAACTGTCTCGTCCAGCGACTTCTTTGCAAGGACGGTGGACAAACAACAGGTTTTTGGCTCTGCCTGCAGACGTTGAGATAAACGAGGGAGTCGACGACGGTTGGAGAGATTGTGAAAAAGATCGAGGGGCTGTCTGAGTCTCTCACAGCAAGCCGCCATGCCTTGACTGCTGTTTCGTCCCAGCGACAAAAACGTCCGTGCACTCGTGCCTCACCGCCTTTGTCGCGCGACGGCCTCGACATGCATATCTGGCTCCTCTTCACTTTCTGCCTACTTCTGCCATGGAATGTTCATCTCATTCTCTGTCCAAACATCTTGACATTTATTTTACTCACTCATGGTGATTACTATCTCCTACAATGAAAAGTCATACATCCATTCTGCCATGCTCCGTCCAAACAACGTCACACGAACGGCCCCTGAACGGCCAACCCTTTCCCGCAGTGGCTTTCCCATGCATCGCCGCCTTACGAGCAACCCCTCCTGCTTTCCTTGACAAATGCCCTGCTTTTCTTTGTCCTTCTTAATCCGGCCAGCCTACCTCTTTACTTGGAATGATTTCCTTCTCTATGAAACACAAGCCAAGCTTATTATGGTGATAATGCCCTATATCAAGGCATATCAAGTCGCATGTGAAACACCCACTCTCTGTTCCACGCCAAAGCTTAAACTCCGCCCATCCCGTAGCCCGGCACATCCCTCTTCACTTTATTCCATTGCTTGTGTGTGATGGGAAAACATTTGTGCATCTCTTTTGACATCTCACTTTCAGAGCAGAAGTCATGGCTTTTGAAATAGAATATACAGTAGAATTTCTCGCTCGCCTTTTGTATCATGCAGACTCAAACCAAAGCCTGCCGCTATGCAAATCAATATCTCTTTCGAAAAAGCTTTCCCCTGTGAGAAAACTCCTTTCGCTGGTTATGCATTTGTGTGTATGATCGTCTTCTTTGCAGGAAATGTGTGTGTTTGTGTGCAAGTCACGATCCTGCGTTTGCATCTTTTCATCTGCACTGACGCTCTTACTCGCCATTGGCGTCGGGTTTTGCGCCGCCCATGTACTTTTGCATGAATGTGATGTAGTCGTACTTTTCCAGATCGCGGTCTTCTTGCAGGTCTGGGCCGCTGTGTTGGGGCATCGTCTTGACCAAGTCTTCGATGAGTTCATCCGGAATGAGTGAGTGTCTGAGATCGAGTTCGGTGACATAGGGCTGTCGAGTATGTTAGTCAATCACCTCCATGATGTCGACACAAGTCACGTACCTTGCCATCTGCGACCTCACGGAAACTCTCAAACACTTGCTCCGCCGTGTACTGATCTTCAGTCACTTCAACCATGAAGCGAATGAATTGCTCGAAGCTAACGGTTCCACCAGGACCATTGCTGACCTCCAGGAATCGCTCATGCATCTCATCCTCATCATACACGAGTCCCAAACTAGCAAGCGCCGCCGAGAATTCAAGTTCCTGCAAAGAGTTGCTGCCACCGCGATCGAAATGTCTAAAGACGGATTCAAACTCTTCCAACTGGATGGGCGTGAGGTTGGTCATGCTGCGCGCCACCATCTGGTTTTCCAAGAAGGCTAGCTTTTTCTGCACACTCGATTTGACCAGGCCCAATTCGTAGACGAGCTCGTCGTATGTATATGTTGTAAAGTCATTCTCCTCAATATTGGCCTCCTCGCATTGTTCATCCAAGCGTCCTATGATTGTAAGATATTCGTCGAGGGGTGGTACTGATTCCGAGATTTTGGTAATGTGCTCTCGTTGGTCTTCGACTTCGCCTTCGAGTCCTGAGATGCTCACGCTTAGTGTGTGTAGAGCGAGGGCAAAGTCGTTGGCCTTGTCGGCAAAGGTTCTTCGGAGGGTGTTCTTGATGTCGCGGATCGTCTCGTTGATGACCCTACTCCTCTCCTTTTCGGCTTGCATCAATCCAGCCCAAGCCGCCTCCAGTGCAGCGAGACTGAGCTCCGGTGGTGGTTCATATGGCCGCAAGCGGTATGTGCTGAGTTTCGTCTTGATATTGCCCAATAGACCGACCAAGTCACTCTTCTCAGCAACCCACTTTCTCTTTTGGTTCCGCTTGTATCCCATGAACTCGGAACTCTGCATCTTGGCATCGGTGTAGGAGCCCTCGAAAGTGGCCTCCTTCCATTGTTTCTGCTGGTCGGAAATCTGGCGAAGGAGCTCCCTCATACGGCGCTCAAAGCTGTTCTGCATCTCCCAGGCTCCTTGCATGTTGGAGACGAACTTCTCAACACGTCTTCCTGCATTCTCGACACGTTCCATGGCGGAAAAGGCGTGGAACCAGTAGGCAATGTATGTCATGAGCGAACGCTCGTCAGGCTTCGCAACGTCGCAAACGTCGTCGACGTCGAGCAGGTCCGGGATGCCGATTTCCTTGGAAGCAATGTCGAAGGCCAATTGCATGTTTCCACGATGGTCCTTCTTGTCGAGCTTGTCATAGTCGATGAGGTCGGGACGGTGGATATCGAGTAGTGCACAGCTGAAAGGTGGTGGTTAGTATTGTTTCAGGGGATGCTTTGTCGGCAGGGGTTCACATACAAAGCGAGACCGTCATTCCAGCTTGACGAGAAGTCTCGGACCTCGACCTCGTCGTAGCATGCCGTCTTTCTTTGACACCACAACAGTAGACCTTCTTTTGCGCTCAAGCCCTCCTCGTTGATGTCGCTGATGGTGAAGCGGAGAATAAGAGTCCAGATGAGACCGAGGATGATCTTCCGATTGCCGTCGACAATGTCTTCTGCGCCGATGTTCGTTAGTTGGATGCGCCGGCCCTTGATAAAGTCCAGCGCTCTGTTGACGTTCTCGAATCGTTGAACTCGCAGTTTCGGGCGGGATGCGTAGCGGCCTAGTGATTCTTGGGATAGGATTTCAAGGAGGTGGATGAGCATGACCTGTATACGGCGGTCAGATTGGAGCCTGTTTGTTTGAGGTACACAAGACTCACGCCATCGGAGAGGTCAGTGACCAGGTCCTTGATCTGCACATTGCGGACCTGGAGCTTGCTGTTGAGCCTGTGTCGCAATCCTCAGTCAGCTCTCTGCCCATATCGGTCGCGCAGAGGTTGGCTTATTGATACCATTTACCGAACGTCTTCTCCTGCACCTTCACCCAGCTCTGTTCCAGCAGCACAGCCATGGCTGGCGCGCCCTGTCGCAAGGGGACTGAATCAACACCCGCCGGCGGTTAACAAGCCGGGAGACGCTAGATATGCTCTTCGCGACACGTCCTCTATCCAAAGAGAGGTATAATCCTGCGCTCAATATTATGTCTCGGTCCAGAGTGCTATGTATGCAGAGTCGTCGAAAGCGGTGAGATGCAAGTGAGGAAACAAGACCCCTCGTAAGGTTAAAGGTAAATAAACCCGAAAGCCTTAAGGCCCAATGCCTCTCCACAATTCAAGAGGGGCAGGCAAGCCGGCACCTCATTTCTTCTCGACCATTGATTCTAGTATTTTAATCTTACTCTTACCAATTTTCTTCTCCTTTCTATACACTGCCCGAATTAATCTACAGCTTACGCGTCGCTTGCCTATATTGTTTCATTCTGTTCTGTGACTTGCCTCGGTATTGTGATTCTGTGAGACAAGCTTGCTCCATGCCAAACCACGACCAAGTCCTGCTTGTCAAACTCTGCACCCTGACCCGAATTCATCAAGCCCGTAGAATGATTGCTACGCGTCTGACATTGTCACAAAGTATGGAACAAGAAACTCAGACTTTTGCTCCTCCTTCGCGTGTCTGGTTTCATGTGGCCAGTGCCATGTGGTGGCCTACAATACTCAATGCCCGGTAAAGTTTCGCAGCCTGACAGCAAACCACGGAACAAAGCAGAGGCAAGCTGGTTGCTACGCCGATCTCTACATGGCAACTTTGCTCAGCTGAAAACACGACCGGCTCACACGTCACGTTACAAGGGAAGAATCAGGTTGTGACAAAGTAATTGGTATTTGCATCTTCTGTATGCATATACCCTCTCCTGACTATCCAAAAATCAAACACCCCCATGCTGCTCCGCGCTTTGGGTTGGGTATCCGCTAAAAACCAGCAAAATCATGTCCATATGACTTTTGAATATTCTTGTTCGTAGACGGCCGTGTGATCATAAACGTGAAAAAAAGAAAAAAGCGCAACTGTAAAATCCCCAAGAATTTGCTCCATTATATCCAAGCTGGGTAGTCTTGGAAACCCTGGTGTTGCTCGGGCGGAGACATTGGCGGACTGGGGTAGATTCCACCGTACTTGAAATCGGTGGCTGTCGTCTTTGGTGGCGTGGTGGGGGAGTCCATTGCCATAGAGGGAGAATTGCGGAAGGCATGTTGGACATGCGAAAGACGGCTGGGTGTGGTAGGTCTGCTGGATGCACGGCCGTTTCTGACAAAGCGACCGGCAGCTTGAAGGATTGCCCGATCCTGTGCGGAAGAAGGTCTACGCATGGTTGGGAAGGAACTAGGCCATGTCGAAGTGGGTGAAAGAGGTGGCGAGACAGGCTTTGCGGGTTGTTGTGCGGCTTGCTGTGCGGGTAAAGGTGGTAGGGCTGTCTTTGGTGGAGGCAACGGAGGTGCAGCAAACGACGCAGGTACCGACATGCGAACTGCTCGCGACTTGTACACCGGATGCGTAAAGGTAATACCGCGACGCTTAGCGTCTTCTGGAAGGCAGAGGGGTGATGCAATTGACCATCTTGCGCTTCTATCCAGAGAGTGGCCGCACTTGACATTGTCGTCCAAAGAGATAGAGCGGGTATGAGATGGCTTGGTCGGGCTGACAGTATCTGAACTGCTGTTGGTAGTGGTCACCTTGGCTGGTGATTCCAAAATAGGGCTCAAGTCGGCACGCGATACGGACATCTGAGGAGAATCATGGCGAGTTTGGTCCTTGACAAATGTCGAGCTTCCATCAAAGTCGGCAAATAGTGCTTCAACATCTGGCTGAGATTTGATGCTTGCTCTGCGCGAAGGGTCACTGTACGAGGCGCGCTGAACAGAGACACTAGTAGTTGAGTCTCTGCGAGCTGAAGAGGCGGACCCCTTACGACTCGATCTTACAGACTCCCAGTCAAAGTCACAGGACGACTCAGCCTCAACCAGATAGCAGAAGTCAATGTCATTCTCCCACGACTCGCCAGAAGTCAAGCTTGGGACATTTCCATCGACGCTGAACGAAAGGCGGCTTTCGGAAGAAGTCCTTGGCACCTCTACGCCAGTACCTCCATGTGCCTGTGCGAAAGCATTGCCGATGGGGAACGGTGTGAAGACGAGACCATTCTTTTGACGAGCAGTTGAATTGAGAGACGGCGATGATCGTGGAGAAAGCTTGGGAGATGCGAGGGGTGAGAGGTCCAGCATAGCCTTTGCTCGAGGAAGTTTCGCTGGGCTGGGACCGCAGCCTTCCATCTCCTCAGGAACAGATTCGAGACTGGTCCCAGGGAGCTCGAAGATTTGGGGCTGGCTGGAGGTGCGCTCCACTGTAGGCGGAGTCATCTGTCCACGCAGAGCAGGATGGAGCATAGTGGGAGGCTCTCTCTGCTCAGCACCCAAAGCGGCCAGCCTTTCTCTAGATGGCAGATCTAGACGTGAGAAGCTGTGCGACCTTGAGGTGAGTGATAATGAACGTGCTCTTTCATCCAGAGGAGACTCGACATCCTGTGGAGTGCGGGGAGTGCTGTCGAGCTCATGCACCGATGAAGTGAAGCTCAAGCCGCGATGTCTGGAAGCAAAAGGGTCGGAGCGAACGGAAGAGGCGGTGGAGGGTCTTCTCTCATTCGCGCGAACACGAAAGCTGCTGTCGACCGGGTCTGCTTTAATGCCACGGAGCTCGCTCTTGGGTGCTTGGAAGGCTGAAGCAGCCCAAAACTCAGACACGAGCTCGCTATCGGTTACAGACTCCAATTGCGGAAGCTGTTCTTGCTGTGTGTGTGTGACATGCTGGAAGTTGAATGGTGCCGAAATATTCTTCTTTCTCAATGTCTGGTAGACTTGTCGGCAGGCGTTAGTCTTCGCATGTCAAAAACATCCGTGCACCCAACTTACAGGCTTCTTCTGAGTCATGCTCTCTTTCGCAGTCGGTGGACTCGCGTCTCCAGCCAGGAGTTCGACTGTCAGTACGGAGCCATCGCATGAGAGGTTCATCCTTCGATTCCGAGCTCCTGGAAGATTTGGCCGAGCGCCTTCGGGAGAAAATTGATGATCGCCAGCTGTCGGTGGGGGTGGGTAGAGCAACCGCTGTTGATTTAGAATCGATGCTGAAGCGAGACTCGGGACGAGGAGAAAATTCAGGCCGACCAGATTGAACGAAAGCGGAATCTCGAGGCGAAGAATGACCCGACGAGAAGACGTCTGCTGATGAAGCGGTGGAGTTGCGTGCGCCGAACAGTGACAGCCGTTTTCTAGAAGACGATGAACTGCGGTCTGAGGAGGAGCTCATGAAATTCCAAGGTCTGGAGTCGGTGCCAAACGTTGCTGACAGGCGTGAAGCCTTCTTGGGAGTTGGTTCTGTTGTTGTCGAAGCCATGGGATCTGATTGTTGATAGGAAAGGTCATCGCTTTGCGAAAACCACTTTGGAGCCATCTAGTCCGGGAGATAATTCATGACCACATGAGCAGACTGATGTTTGAGAAGTTGTTTGCTGGCAAGGTCGAGGTCGAGGTGACGGTTGTGATTGTGATTGTTGCTCGTGATTGTGGACGGCGTGACGAGACTCGATAGCGACAGACACAAGATGGGATACACAAGAAGAGACAGGTTGTAAGAGAATGAGAGAGGGAAGAAAAAGAGAAAAGCCCAATGGTAAAATGCAAGCCAATGTTGTGCCTGCAAGACAGGTTGCACGGCGCAAAAGTACACCACTGTGGAGCGTGTACGACCAGGAAACGTCAGCCGAATGATGACAGAGGATCCGTGAGTGGTAGGCTAAATCTGGAGAGGAGTCAAAACCTGGCCCCCCCCAGTCAGCCACCCTCATCAATGCCCATCACGCTAGGTGTTCCTGCAGCCGGCGGCCGCATGGCACTATGGAGGAGGGAAGAGGGTGTTGCCGTGCCTCGTGAGCACTGAACCGATCGGTCAACTTCCAACTTCCACACGCGGGCACATCGGCGTCAACCACAGGCCCCGGCTTCGCGAAGCAAAAGGTACCTGTCTGTTGTTACCACGGCGCTTCTTGTTTACTTTGCGCTATCATGACAAGCGAAACCCGAGAGGGGAGGTGCCCAAGCACTGGCCCTGCGCAACTGCGGACTTTTTACAGAAGTGCGAAGAGGTTAAAGTTCGAAGCCACGAGTAAACGAGTGGAGTCGCGGGAGAGGTGGAGCTGACAGAGCCCTCGGCCATTGCGTCGTCAACTCGAGGGAACGCAGCTTCCTCGCACGAGAAACTTCTTCTGCTGCGATCTTCGAAATGACTTTGCATGTATCGTGTGGTAGACTCGGACGCACCTCAGCAATGGCTGTATAGCGACGGTTGCTGGCTACTTCTTACCTGGTTGTCGGGTTGTAGAGGGCTAAAAGCTAAACGAGCGGCGGTTGCTGTGTTAAGATTACGCGCACCGTTGGATGGCGCGTGGGTCCCCGATGGTATGCATGCCAGAGCGCGTTGCTGATCCCGAGACGCTGGAATCGCGCAATCATCTCAAACTCGAGACCTGGGTTAGTCGACACTATCCGACACTATCTCTCAACTACAGACGCTGTCAACAATGTCACTTGTCATGAGCAAGCGCTTACACAAGAGTGGGCAAGACACGGTAGGTGTCTACTGTGCGCAAAGTGTAGCTAGCCGAGCAAGCATCTCTCGGACGACCTGTTGCCCAGAAAAATTCAACGTCGTACATATGCAACACGACAAGAAAAGACAAGCAAAGCATATGTTGCGTTACGCGCTGCAAGTGCATTTGATGCCGTGCGACTTTTACCACCCATGTCCGAAGCTTTTCTCATCCACCTGAAGGCTGGAACAAATTTTACCTACATGCAGCTCACCTCTTTTGGGTGTATCACGGAATAGTGCCCGCGGGTCGCAGCTTTATCAAGAACTCTAAAAATTGATGTCCTCAATGCAAGGCACATGTCCTTCTAATGTTATTGTTTATGCGGCGAGAGCGGTGACAGGTCTACACATTTTTTGGCCCTGCATGCCACCCCCCGTTGTTTGATGTCCTTGACAGCGTGTATCATTGCATGGAAGGTTGGGTGTAAGTTGAGAGTATCATGCACAAGGCGGCCACCGATATCAACTCAAAACGCTTCCCGATATCTCGAATCTACAAACTGCATCGGCCCGCATCCGCCTCAGACAACCAGGATACAACAATCCGATGGTGTTCAACCCGACTATTGGCATGGTCCCCGAAACCCGCTCTGTGGTTCACGAAGGATCCAGTGTGCAAATAGTCGAGGTCCGTGGTTCAGGTCATCCACTCCAGCCTCCATCCATGGTCTTGTTTAGCACGAAGCTGGAGATCCCACATTGACGAGTGCGGTAATGCGGACAGCTTCCCCGACCGAAATGCTGTGCTTGTTCAACGACCTGAGCTTGCAGAGTTGGCGCCAAAATAACCCCAATCTAACCAAAGCGCAATAATAAAAATCTCAGATGATAACCGAGTTGCTGGGAATTGGTCCAGCCGCTCCGAATCCTTTTCAGCAATTCGTCTCAATTGCAATCCCCGTCCCATGACCTGGAAAGGAGATGATAGGTTCTCCAAGTTTCGCACGAGATTGTTACTCGGCCTATTGCGGCTCTATCTTTTACTGTACGTCAGTCCAGGTGAGAAGGCCGACTCCTGAAAAGAGGTCGTCGATCTGGCCGAAATTCACCGATCGTGGATCTGGGGATCCACAAACCAAGACTTGGACAAAACAAGTGCGTGCACCATCAGTCTCCATCCACGACGTGCAGCAGTGGACAACTCAAAACCCACAACGTTGATGATGTCAAGCAATTCATCGCACTACTTGAACTTGAGAACATCCACTCACTGAAACTAGACAGCGTCCACCGCCCTCCTAGTTGTCTAGCCAATGGACCGAGCGCCGGTGGAGGACACACGGCAGTCAACATAGGTGAGAACACGCGACGGTGTTGTTCTTATTAACAAAAGCTGTTTGCAAGAAACAACACACCGCAAATCTGCCATACTATCCGAAACCGACACTTTTGCATTCCCATGGACTTTCTCTCCTGAAGTGGATGCCACGTTTCAGTCGAAAACTTAACAACCATGACTCTATATTCTTATTCAGAGTTGTGATCTTGCATCCTTCGCCTATAACGATAGACGCTTGACTCGTTGGCGTCTCGATCCACGATTGGCTTCACATCCAGGAGAACCTCGAAATCTACAATACCCCAATACAGCGTCGCTTTAGTCATCATAGTCAGGCTCTAAGGACATATACGAACATGGTTGATGCTACGCGTACATGGCTATTCGTGCCTCTTGGTCGATTATGTCCGACATCAATTAATTAATTCCCGGCAGGCTGAGATTGATGTCTCGCGTCTCTTCTTCGGGCCATAGATAGGTTTCAACAACTACCAGTCCTGGGATACACGACAAGGTCAATCGATTTTCAATTCTGGCCTCGGGTAGGTATTTGTGTCAGGCTCTGTACGCGGCAGCCTTATTGCAAGAAACCTTCAACATCCGATAGGTCTCGAATCTCAGATACAAGCTCCCACACCTTGTCTTTGTGCTTGAGCTTGACAATCTGCAGCTGTAGAATTGCACAGTATATCCAAATACCAGAGCCAAACACAGTGTGTTCAGCAAGTATCGTGCCTCTTGACAGACACATCACCACGCGTTTCTCCTGCAGCGAGAATGGAGCTTGAGACTTTGAGCATATGGAAAAGACTGTTGTATCTATCGAACTCTAGAATCGTATCGATTATCCCATTACGTCGTCCTTCTATCCCTCCAGTACCGTGTATCCTTCCACTTTCAACATTATGTATAACCCATTAAAGCCTTTTTCTCATTATCATCCTTCTCCACATCCTCCAATTCCATATCCACAACAATTATCTTTCCGAATTTACTTGGCGGTAAATCGGCTTCTCGCTCTCAACTTGTCGCCGTAGAAGAACAGTATGAAGATACCGCCAATACACAGTGTAGTCAGTCCAGCAAGCAAACTGACACCAGGCCCAACCCCCAAATTCAAGAACATAGGTCTTGAAAACAGGATGGCGGCGGCAGCAAGCGTAGATCTAGCAGTATCGTTGCCAGCAAACAGACTACCAGCGAACATCGGATAAGAAAACGCGAGGTAAACGAACACGCATTGGAACAGAATGAAAACTCCGATCATGTTCAACACGATACCGACACAGCTGACAATCCAGTGAATGTGGCCATCTCCGGTCCAGGCGAAGATGAAAAGACCGATGGGGACGAGGAAGCTGGAGAAGAGAGCGGGGATCAGACGGCGTTCTGGAGCCCCCAGACCGTTTTGTCGGATCTCGGGTTCGACGACGTAGTAGAGGTAGGCGTAGTATGCGGCGATGGCGATGACGACGCCTACTGCGATTGAGAGGAAGATGAGGCCAGTTTCACCGGCGTTGAAGCCGTATCGCTCCCTGCGATGAAGGTTAGCATTGTTATTGTGAACCAAGTTGGCGGTTGTTGCACAGGTCATCTCCGTGAGAGATTGACTCTGTAAAACAGCGTTCAGGAGCTCGACTTACATGTAAACTAGCGGGAAGACTTCAAAGAAGCTGTAGAAGATTGCATAGCAGAGAGCAATATAGAGATCAGCGTAGGCCTGAGCAAAGCTTTAGTCAGCAAAGAGCACATGGTTGACCACGATACACCTTAAAGCTCAACTTACGATAGCAGGATCGAGCACAATAAGCTGCACAGGTCTAATCAAAGCCTCGAACACAATGTCCCTGAAGCTCCGTGAAGCCTGATTGATCTCAGACTGAGCCTTCAGGTTTTGGTTCCCTGTGAGTTTTCTGAGACGCCGGGCACGACGCAACAGGATGTTCTCTGGGTATGTTTCGGGAAGGAAGGCGAAGAGCATGAGCCAGACAGGTGCAGCAAGCCACAACATCTCCCACAGAGACCACCTCCAGTTCATAGCCGCGACACTGAAACCAGAGATGATTGGTCCAAGAGCAGGACCAATACAAGCGGCAGCTGCCCAACAACAGAGGATGTAAGGAAGCTTGATAAGCGAGAACATATCTTGAAGACTAGCACCACCTGTTGCCAAGATGGGCGAGCCGAAGAAGCCTTGCAAGAATCGCAGCACCATCAAGCCGGCGAAGTTATCAACCAGAGCTGTGGGTACACACAATATGGTGAAGATGGCAAAAGTGATGATGTATGGAGGATTTCTGCCAGTTGATGCGATCTCACTAAGTGGTGAGAAGATCAGAGGTCCAAGACCATAAGCGAAAACGAAGAGGGCTATGCCGAGAGATGCTGCGGTCGCCGAAACGCCAAAGACATGCATAACACCCTCGGCTGACGGAGTGTAGATGGCCGAGCCTGTGTAGACTGCAGTGGTGTAAATACAGATCAGAGCTGTGACCATGCCTTTCTTCGTCTTCGACCAATTTTGAGGATTTGCGGGATCGTCAGTGGTGTACCAGTCGACCAGAATGGTTCCATCTGCAGTACGGACAGGTTGGACAGGCTCAGGTGTTGAGGGATTCGACTCGGAAGCAATGGCGAAAGCTTGCTCGAGATCTGCTCTGGTTTTTGATTGCTCTAAGGCAATTCGCGATCCGACTCGCGATAGAGCAGATCTGGCGGTGTTGGTCTTGCTTAATTCGTGGCGACTTCGGTCAGTCTCTGTTCGCGTAAGGTGGAGGTTGTTGTTCAGCTCTTTCTCGAGCGAACCATCGATGAACGAAAGTGAAGGAGCTGTCGTTGATTGTCGACTAGCTGCCTTCTCAGTGCCCGGGTGTGCGTAGCAACTTGGACACTCGAATCCAGACTTCTCTTCAGGATATTGAAGCAGTCTGTTTCCTGTCAGATGACGGATGATTTGTCCGAGGGGTGCGTCTCGAATGAGATCCATGCTGGTAGACTAGATAGAGCTCTGGGATAGGATGAATGAACTGATACAAGGAAGACTTTGTTGTCTCGCTGTGATGATAATGGTACAGAGGAATGGTGGATGCTTTTATGTGTCACCTACATATATACTCACAAACTAATCTTCAACTTTACGAAGCTGTTGATTGCGTGCGAACGTATTCAGTAAGCATGCCAAGCAAGTCGGAGTCTCTGAAAATACAAGCCATGGAGTTTAGCAATAGCAGACGGAGCTTGGTACAAGGGGGTCAGAACCTTGGTGGCCGGAGAGATACCTGTGGAATGCAAGCGTTGCTGTGATTGGACAAAGCTGGGGTTTGTCAGCTGCAGGTTTGAGCCTCGCTGACAAACATTGCTTCCAGAGTGTCTCGACACCACAGATGGATGATTATTCCAGCCGCTGTTCTATAAGGACCGGACGAACATTCATGCCGATCTTACAAAGCCGCTGGTTGTCTTTTCAATGATTTTGAGGCGCACACCTGCAAGCAGGCAGAAGGACGAGAAAATCCTTGAAGCATGTACAAAAAGCAGAAACATCCTGGACTCTGTCAGCACATTAGCTCTCACCTTAGACAGAAAGTCCATAATGACGTCTATCAGGTTCATGCCGAAGTCTCTCATTTCGTGCAGCTTGCTGTAGGAGCTGTGGACGTTAGTCGGGACTTGGTGAATCAGAGCCATTTCCAGATTCCGGTCATGAAGTACGTCGGAGAGCTGCTATCAGTGCATGATGTCTTCTTCTTGCGGACAGTACTTGAATGGGTCGAGGTCATCTCATTGCGAGAAAATAATGAGAAACAAGAGTCTGTCTGGTAGAAGGTATAGCCATACCCAGGTGAAGGGAGAAGGGACAGGAGTGTAAGACGGGGGGTCTGGAGAAGGAGGGTGTTGGTAGCAACGTCTCTATGCACAGACCATCTTCAAGCGCCGTCGGAAGCACAACCAAACTCAAAATGTTTCTTATTAATCCTGACATGCGCGAAACATGTCTGCAGATAGGCGGCACATCTCTCTCAATGTTACGATGCGCATTCTTGAGAAGAGCTCTAAGGAACCCACGACATCATTATCAACAAGGCCTTCAGTATCGTCAAAGTGAATATTGGCCTCAAGTACATCCAGCACGATGGTTGGGCTTCTTGCCGCTTGCGACGAATGATGAGATAGCTGGCAAAGATCCAGCATCCAACATTGGAGACAAGACTGGAAACGTCACTGATCCCGGACAGTCTAATGGGTCGGACACAACATTGCGCCTTGCGAAACTTGATGTGAATTCGACTTCGAGCTTCTCGACAATCTCACCAACTACGACCCAGAGCTGCACAGAAACACAGGAGCCTGAGACGGAACATTTCGACGGAGGCCGACGCCGTGACCGAACATTCTTTTCGGCATCTCTCTTCGATGGAACGATAATGTTCCTCTGGGACGGTCTGATCGATCTCAATGGGTTCAAAGACTTAGTCATGATCGTCGATGGATTATGGAGAAAGGATTCTCGGGATATGTCCTCACGATTGCCTGCGCAGAACATTGGACTTGGTATCCGGGAAGGGAAATTTCGTGATGGTTTCCTCTCGGTCAATGTGTGGGACATTGGTGTTGGCACCGGCACACGGCCGCGCTTGATATACGAATTAATCGTACCTGACGAACATTCGCCTTGTAGAGCCAATGCCTGGGTACTTCGATGCTTCATACCAGACACAAAGACTTACTCCTGGAGAAAGGGAACTGGAGCAGGTCTCTTCAGAGCTTTAAAGAACTATGTGGGCGCTGTGGACCATGCCAGCTCTTTGAATCTGTTCGACCCTTCTATCATTCATCCTCTAGCTCACAAGATGGAAAGATTTGAGCAGCAGTTTGGACTTCGTGAGTGCACAACGAGGCCGCCTAATCCAATGTCGTTCGATCTGGCTACACACACCATTGTCAGTCCAAGTTCTGTCATGGTGATGACCCTCGAAGGGTTCCTGACAAAGGCCACAGTACTTTGGCAGTGGTGGCAACGAATAGACAGCCATTCTCTCCTCGCTCCTGACAACAGCGATGCTATGACTTTTGTTCAAATAAGGTATGTGCCCTCCTGCGTTTTGGTATCAATCAAGCTAATGGTTCCAGGCAAGTGGACACCAGCAACGACTCCTTTTTGGTCGACGTTTGGAGGATGAGTTTTGCTCCGGACAAAAGCCTCTCCAAAAGCGTCCATAAAATCCTCGTCTCGAACGACGGTTCCTTTGGAACATCACAGGTAGAGATGTCGGAAGTCATGTTCAGCGCCCGTAGCAAGCAAGACCAACCACTACGGGAATACTTGAAATCGTGTCTCAAAAACCACGTCGGGTTCATGGATGGGGCAGAAAATGTGGTACAGCAAAGTCAATCAAAGACTCATCCGCTCCTTCTCAAGCTTAATCGTCACAAAGACTTCTCATCGAGGATGCTACCGCCAAAAGAGGCTCGTCATACAAAACCACGAGCAAAATCCGAATCCGATAACTCCCAGCTTGTCACGGATACTACAAAGAGCAAGAACTACGCCGATGTCGTGTCGATGAACGAAGAGCAAATTCAGCCTCCCCTAAGCAAGAGGGGCCCAGAGATTGCCGACACACCTGCCACTTTGGAGGAAGATCCTAGCACCCACGTATCGGCGACACTGTACGATGGAACACTTGTTGTTCCATCCAGCGCACTCTGTTTTGGAATGTCACAAGGAAAGACCCTGAGTTTCGATAATTTCTTGCGAATTATTTCTCAGTGGTGGCCACGAGCACGCGATAATATGGTTCCCGAGTTGCGAAGCAAACCGTATTTGGTTTACATTCGTGGTAGAACAGCTGTAAGTTTCTTTCAGATCAAACTCTTCAGCAGAGATGATCAATGGTGTGATCAGACAATCATCAGCTATGAGCTACACCATTCCCAACACACTTCAGACTATTCATTTATCAGTCATGAAATTCTGGACATCCAAATCATGGGAACTAAAAAGTTTTCGCGAGAGTGGAAGACGATCAGAAGGCCTCTCGCTTACTTTCTGGAAAACTATATCGGAACTGTGGATGAGACAGGTATCCTACGGAAAGGTGACAAGCCAAAAGTCCTGAGCTGCTTTGGCAAGACGTGGGGTCCAACGGATATCAAAGCAAAGGCAAGCTCAGCTCAGCTCATCAAGATAACGATGACGAGCTTCTCTTATCGCAAGTTGAGCAAAAGCCTGCCGGAGATTTGTCCAAAAAGACAGAAGACTTCGTCGACTCGAATCCGCCAGAACCATCTCGCAAACAAACTTCCCTCAGTAACGTCAAACCTCGAACTGTCGCCTCGAATCCGGACTCAAGTAAAGACTCACGCAAAGATCCAGCGACAAAGGAAAAGTCGTGGGTACTTCGGTCAATCTTTGCGGAGAATCCCAAGTACAAACCGACCAAAGCATCACATGTCGCGTCAAGCTTAAGATCCAAGCCTACACCACGCGCAGATGTCAGAGATAAGAGACAGAGAAAGCATTACAAGCACCGGAGTGAATCTGGAGGCAACGATGGAGATGATGGAGACGATGGGTTTTCCTTGTTTGCTCTCTAGATATCCTGACGGCAGGTGACAACAACACGCTAACAATACTGCTGCTTTGGGCAGCGTCATGGCATTGTTTGATCCTATACCAGAGTGTATCTCAACTTTTGATACATGTCGATCATCTTTTTGTTCAAGTTTTGGAACTCTTCTTCAATGCTCAGAGACTGGCTCAGCGTGAAGTTCTGAGCCTTCTCGACCTTTTCGAAAAACTGTTGCATCTCCTCGAAACCCTCACGATAGCGGTGCCATATGTCCAAGATCGGCTCGATCATTTCAGCAGCATCGGATTGAGTTCAACAAAGATGGCTTTGTCCCAATCCCATTGGTGCGTGATAATGGGCTCGGAAGTCATTTCTTTGACAATTCTTTCGAAAGAATTGGACGAATCATTCGGTCGATAATACTGGGTGAAATGTCTCTGATAGGAACTTCTGGTGAGCGTTGTGCGTGGGAGGGCTGGATAATCAGTCTCGGTGAAGGCGGCGGCGTTGTATTGTGCCAGTCGCAAGCTCAATCGACGTTTCGCATTGCGGAAATTGTCTAGATCACTTTTTATTCTCCTGGGCATGGGGAAGTCAAGACTCTTGAGACATCTCTTTTGCAAATGCTTGCAAATTTCCTCTCTTAGCGAATCATTATAGGTGCCCGGTTCGCCGATTACTTGAAGGTGTTCCAAACGGATTGAGTGATCCAGAGTGCGAGCCAGAGCAGTATCCTCAAAGACCAATCTTTCTGTCGAGTGTTCCTCTCCAATGCCAGGAGGCTTGCATTCAACTATCAGTTTCTTGAGCGTCGTGCCGAGGTGCAAGGGCAGACCATCAGGCATGATTTCCCAGTTCCACATCTTGTGGGGATATAACTCGAGCAAGAGGTGCAATTGCTCCAAAGGGTATTCACTCTCTAGCATTGCTTCGAGGACACAGCGTTGGAGGTTTCGCGGCCTCGGATAACCAGGAAAGTTGAACTGTGAGACTATCACTCTGACTTGATAGTTCTGTGCGCGTTGCAACCCTTGCAGTGCGATCTTGAGCGCATCGTATATCGACTTGAGTACTGCCCTAGGCGAGCTCCGGGCAGGACTGTTTGCTTGAAATCCTGAGCTACGGTCGATACCAGCGGGTAGATGGATCTCTTCCACATGTCTCGCAGCCCAAGTTGCCGTGCAAATTTGCACCATTCGTTCTAGACTGTGCGGTGCCATGTTGAGGAAGATGCGCCAGAGAGCCATATTCGCAAATACAGGAGCGACGAGTTGTTCACACTCGAGCAAGTCAGTCGGAGTCGCTTTATGCTGTCGACATCGCTGTGTCTTGCGATGAGAGGAAATAAGTCAAGTGGAATTAGAACCCCATATTTGGTGCCGTAGCTGTTAGGTGAGACCATGATTGTAATGGTAACAAGTATGGAGCAAGGAATCTTCCACGAGATGGCAGTAAGCAATATGTAGCAACAGCTAGGCAGCGGTGACCACGGCAGGCAGAAATGCGTTTGTCTTGAACGCGCTTTCCCAGCTAGACAGCTTTATGGGCGCCTTACGAAACGTGATGCTGCATGCTGTATCGTGCATGATTGGCGCCCTTGCTTCGTCTTGATTTTGCGGCTTAGGAAGCAGATTGGAATCCACCGAGTGTGTCTATCACAATACTATCAACAAACAATATTGACCTAGTAAAGGAGTATCGACTGCTCAGTCGAATCATATAGTCGTATATTCGTAGTTTCCCTTGAATCGGGGGGTGATATCGCGTCCGATCATGAACGATCTGAGGTGCGCGGCTCCAAGGGAATCTTCGGGATGGCCACGTCATGTCTTAGTCAACCTGCTCTGGTGTGAAGCAATTCACGTAACGGGGAATTGGCTTTTTGATGGATGATATAGCATGGAGAAAAGAATTCGGGAGGTGTACGTCCGCCAAGTGTCGAGAGTTGTGAAACTCCGAGAACGGTAGATCTTATCAGATGGGGAAAACTTCTACACACCAGTCCTTCCGCTTCTGAGAAGACTCGCACGACTTCGGTCAACTGCTGGCTCTTCAGATATGATAGGGACTATCTTAGCTAGAATACAATTGAACCTTCGAACTTGGAACAGACCATTTACTGCGGTGTATTGGAAAAGAGGCTCCGCCCACTGCTGCCTAGAAGGGTGGTCCAGACTCAACGGTCACGACGCCGCAAACTTTAAACTTACGGACATCGAAAGCACTCCATGCTTGATCTCGGCATCAACTTCATCTCTCTCGAGCCTTGTTCAGACGGTATCTCATCACCGCCCATGATGGAATCACTTCGTCGTGACGCATAGTTACATTTCTCGTTTTCGGCCAATAGCTGTACTTCGTATTTTTAACCAATCACAGCATCTCGGGTTCACGACCAATGACATCGAGTACTAACTGCTCTGCAAAGATTAGGCACCTATTGAAAACTTACTATATAATGGTCAGTCCCTCCAAGATCAAAATGTCCTTCTTCGTTCATCAGCCTCTTCCTCACTGTACTTCACCATCGCCTCTTCTTCCGCGGATTCTGTATCGAACTTAGATATTATGGGCAATTCTCAGGACCAACAGACAGCTGCCTCCTCGGCAGGCTTCGACGTCTATCATAAACATGGATCCAGTGTCCGAGTCAACTCTGAAGTACTCCTCCAAACAGAGCTGAAGAGCGTTCATCCATCCGATACTGTCACCTGGGTCGAAGCCGAAGATTGTGATTTCGTTGGCTTTGCAGAGGCTGGTCACGCCAAAGCTCGCCTTCACGATGGAGAGCGTACCTACACAGCTATCCGCAAATACCAGGTCCCTTTGCGTTCTTTGGATGAGCCACAGGGGTCGGTCGCTGATAACATCCTCTTCGCTTGCTGGGACTACGAATGGAGTGGCCGATGGTTGACATGTTATAAATTCAGATGGGTCGACAATGGATGGCAGGTTCGAGAGTACTATGCCATTGTCACCGAGAAGGGTGATCTCAAGGATGGCCGCTGTTCGTTCGCCGAGGATCTCATCAAGACATGTGGAACGTGGACGCAAAAACTTCATGATGAAGTCTATGTCTACGAAGACGGCAATTGGGAGAAAAACAAGGCTCTTTTCAATGCAGTCAGCAAAGCATCCTGGGACGACGTCATCATCAATCCCGCCATGAAGAGCAACCTTATCAAGGACATTGACTCCTTCTTCAACGCAAGATCGACCTACCTGGAGTACAACATCCCCTGGAAGCGCGGTGTCATTTTCCACGGTCCGCCTGGGTGCGGCAAGACCATCTCCATCAAAGCTCTCATGAACACAGTTCGGCAAAAAGGTGTCTCAAATCTCTACGTAAAGAGTTTCAAAGCTTCAGGTTGTCAAAGCGATCAAGCCAGCATCCGCGAGATCTTCACCAAAGCCCGCGCAGTGGCACCCGCATTGCTCATCTTCGAGGATCTCGACAGCTTGATCACAGACGAGCTTCGCTCCTTCTTTCTCAATGAAGTCGATGGTGTCGAGGACAATGATGGTCTTTGTATCATTGGCTCTACCAATCATCTCGACAGGATTGACACCAGTATTACTAAACGACCTTCGAGATTTGACAGGAAGTACCATTTCAAGGCTCCTGCTGAACAGGAGCGTTTGTTGTACTGTCGATACTGGCAGAAGAAGTTGCAGTCGACTCCAGCTATCAACTTCACTGACGAAGTTTGTCAAGCTGTGGCGGAGGCGACAGAGGGCTTCACATTTGCATACCTGAAAGAACTTTTCGTGCAGACACTGTTGATGCATGTCGGTGGACACGCTGACTTGGCTGTCGACTACGAGACTACAGCTGCTCCGGAAGGTCGTGACAAGTCCGAGAAGGAGGATGAGGTGTCTACCGTGCTCTCCACAAGTCTGGAAGCAAACACCTTTTACCAGACACTCCGCAAGCAGATGGAGACTCTTGCCGAAGACCTAGAGGTAGAGAATCGTAAAGATGATGGTGATGAACATCACCCGGAAGACCAAGTGGAGAGGAAGAGTGAGCCAGGAAAGGACATGATTGGTGGAGATGACGACCAAGAGTAAGCCATAGATGTCTCCTGTCAATAGACTGACAGATGACGACAATGATATCTGCCGCGCTCGTTCTTCCTCACTTTGATCGGGTGCAGACCTTTTCGCTCAGACTGATGAGCGCAGGGCATTGAGTCGAAAAGTCCGTGAAGCCTGTTGGATTCGCTGACGGATGCGAGTAGATCAGGTAGCGCAGATGACCATTCAGTCATGCGGTGCCCTCGAGCAGGATCCACAAAAAGTTCTTCTGGTTGATAGAAACTCAAATTCGTAGCTTCAAAGACAGATCGCTGTATATCCCAAGCCAGAATCTCGTATTGATGGTCTCGACCGAATCTGAGAAATTCAACCGTGACGCAGTGATGTTTCACACTCTTTGGACTCCAAATGCAAGTTCTACAGTATGATGTGCCAGTTGCGAAGCAACCGAGGTATAGAAGAGCGGCAGTCGAGGAAGCTGTGCTCGTGTGTCGCTGCACATCTCGCTAACTGCAGCGGAATAGATCTTGATGGGTTTGACTTGTCTTGCAAAGGGAGCCGTACTATAGATTCGTATCATATTGTCAAGGCTTGATGTATCGATAGCACAGTATGCTTGGCGAGTAATTCGATTAGCGAAGATTAAAGAGACCACTCTATTGAAGGCCCTGCAAGAAAGCCGTAAAGAGTTGAGAGGTGTTACGGCTACGTGCCAGGCGTTTGAAAGTCGCAAGCTGCCAGAAGTGCCACGGCCGGGTCATAGATTGCAGACACGTGTTAGAGGGGAGACAAGTGCAACTTCGATGATTTGACAAAGCGGGTGTCGACGAGTCTCGAATATACATCTGCATGGGTCATCAGGCAACAGCGAGGGCCCAGAAAAGCCGCCCTTGCACAGTGTTCTGCTTGTCGCTGCCTTCCAAAATGCAGCACGTTCAGCACGTGAGATCAAAGCAGTAATCTTGAACGAGATCATCGACGTGAGTTACTTGAAGCCAATCTGGACAGGCTCTGTGTCATCACCCCGACAGGAAGAGTTGTAAAACTGCGTGACAAAGCTCGCGACGGCTGATATCTGCGCATACTTCGTGGACTAGATTGTCATCAGACGTGACGTCGCACTATGGCCATGATAGCGACGCGAGACCGCTCATGACAAGGTAGTCGCGATGAACATGCTGGTGTGGGACGATTGAGAGACGAGCGAGAGGTGCCGAAGTGGAGGAGACACAACATCAGTGGAAGGCAGGTGCAACCGACACTCGGTCCGACCTGCCCCTAAGACTCGCTCCGAAAGAAGCGCCAACGGCTCGGTGGCCAACCTCACTCGCCTCTGATGAAAGCTCATACCACACGTATCTGTCAACCTTGGTCTATCAGAACAGCGACAGGATTTTGCGCCGAGACCAAATCAGCTAACCAGCTCCAAGCGATCGAGAGTCGAATCACGATTGACGCCGTGAACCAGTAAAACTCTGCGAGGACTGCGCCTGCCTACAAACACAAAAACAATTTGGAGAGCACGGTGAGTAGGGTTCGGGGTCCAATAACCCGAATGCTGGGTTAAGGGATGTTGCCTATCTGAGCAGGATGATCACCAAGAGGACGGTCTTCGACCCGATGCATGGGTTGTCATGATCGACCGGCTCCAGAGTCAAACCAGACATCAAGGAAGTTTGATGGCTCGCTCCGGACACAACAACCAGTGGACTGGGACACGGTCAAAGGTGCAGCATGTGGTCACCGAGGACAGGCTAGGTACAGCCGTCACATTTCCAAACTCACGACACAAGCTGGTGTCTTGTTTAGGTATGCTCGTCTTCTTCTCATGCATCATTCACTTGTGAATATCATGTTGCATCTTAGAGACTCACAACAGGCAGTCATTACCTGTAAACGAAAGCAATTTGACTTCTGACAACTTCAACATTGACATCACTCGGAACAGAAACGTCCGCCACGCGAGCATCGCTGTTCGACCGAGTTAAAGTGGAATATAGTTGCCGCATAGTGAATGGCAAGGCTGACAAACGACTCTATCGCGGACCTTAAAATTGAGATTTGACGTCCTCCTCCACTTCCCGGCTTCGAGAATCTCAACCACCTCCACCTACCGATGCCAAGAGAACGCTTGGAGCATGTATGGAATTTTCTATGTCAGAATACCAAGAGACTGATGCAACTCAGCCTATCCCACCCGTAACTAGGTGGCACTAGCTGCTGTAATCTTTTTGATGGTCAAAATGTCCTCTTGGCCTTGATCTCACTGCATAGTCAGGAGTCTACCCTATTGTGCTCAAGTCTCTCGAAGGTCAAGTATACTCATGTCTGGTTTTCTTTTCCAGCTTCCAGATTATTGGTCTCTTGTCATAGTCTGCAGACGGTAAGTCTGTGACGAAACAGGAGCTATCTTTACGCAAGCACCGTGCATATGCATGTCTTACCTGGATCTGTACCTGAGCTAGCAACGGGCCCAGAAGTCGAGAGCCGTTTGTCGAGTACCGAACCCTTTGTTTATCCTCCTGATTAGCGAGCAAAGTAAAGCTAGAACGCCTTGTTCACGCCTACAACGCCTCGTACCTGGTGCCGCCACGGTACAGGGGAACGTTTGGTTGAAACCTTGTTTGGATATATATGGTTATTCAGATGATTCATCGAGGCGATGGCTGGTATAAGTATATTGCAGTCTCTCTCCTTTGACTCGAATCATCCAGCAAACACTTCTCATCTTCTTCGTCTGTCTCACTATGAAGATCACCATCTTCTCCGCCGGCCTCATTGGTTTGGCTGCTGCTCTCCCTCAGGCTTCCATCCAGGAGTCTTCGAGCTCGGTTGTTCAGACTTCTACGACTTCTGTCAGCTCGCCCGAGGATGTCCCTCATGCAACCAGCCTTGCTCAGGCCGCCGCAGTCAACGTCACCATTTCCGTCGAGGTCCCTTCTGAGATCATTGACACTACTTCTCTTGAGTCGAACAGTCCAGCTCTTCTCACCACCAAGCCTGTGGAGAGTAACGAATTCCTGTCCCCTGCCGACTTCCTGACTCAAGGTTTGTCTTTGGACGACATTCCTGAGGTTCCCGTCGATACCTCTGCTCTCTCCAAGAGAGACTTCTTCGGACTCTTTGGTTCTTCCAACGCCAGAGGTCCGTTCGTCAACTTCCTCAAGGTCGCTGCGCAGATCTTCGTCAAGGTTGAGAAGATCATCATCTACTGGACTTGCCCTCAATGGACCCGTCCAACTCCCAACACCTTCTCCGGATGGAGAAACTACAAGTCGAACGGTGTTAACCTCGGTGGCTGGCTCGTTCTTGAGAAGAACATTCAGCCTAGCTTCTTCAACGACAACGCACCTAGCGCCATCGACGAGGACAGCTTCTGTAAGACTTTGGGCCAGGTAAAGTGCGGTGCTCTGCTTGAGAACCGTTACAACACCTACATCACCACCAAGGACATCGACAACTTCGCCGCCTACGGTGTCAACACTCTCCGCATTCCCATCGGTTACTGGGCCTATATGCCCGCCATCGCAGGTGACAACTACTACACTGGTGGCCAGAAGTTGGCCATGCAAAAGATTGCCCAGTACGCCATCAGCAAGCACAACATGCACATCGTCGTCGACCTGCACGGTCTTCCTGGCGGTCAGAACGGTCTCGACAACCAGGGCAAGACTGGCCAGCTCACTTGGTGGAACAACCAGACAGCCTTTGATCTTTCCATCGAAATGGTCCGCAGAGCCACCGACGACATCCTTCGCCAGCCCAACAGCGGCAGTTACACTATCTCCCTCATCAACGAGCCTCTGCCTGCTCTCTACTACTTCGGTCAGACCCAGGACAGCATCGCCTACCTGAACAAGTACTACAAGGCCGCCCTCGCTGAGGTCCGCAAGAGATCCAAGACTCTGCCTGTTGCTATCTCTGATGGTTTCATTGGCCCTCAGACCTGGGACCCTTACTGGACTAACGTTGACCCTTACATCGTTATCGACACCCACATCTACTTCTTCGTCGGCGGATCATACTCTTACGACGCCGCTTACGGTGCCTGCTATCTCGCCAAATCCTACCAGAACGCTTCTAACCCTACATTCATTGGTGAATGGTCAATCCAGGCGACAGCAAGTCTCCCGAGGTGTACAAATGATATGGTATCATGCTGTGGTTCCAGTTGGGGAAGCAGATTGCCATCTTGGAAGAACTTTTGAAGTTTTCGAAATTTTGCCGGTCGGTGTGAGCATCCCACTCGCCACCCACAAAGCACTTCAACGATCCTCCAAGACGGCAATCTGTCCTCCCCAACTTGAGCTCCATGACTGAGCCATTTCAGGAGTACCAAATTCAAGTTTCAAGAAATCCGCTAACTTTTCTCCCAGAACTTCAACCACCTTGGCGACAACACCCGCCGCGACTTCTACCGCAGTCAGCTTCAGGCATACACCCAGTACCTCTCTGGTGGCATGTTCTGGAACGGCAAGCACGATGGTGATGCCATCGTCGGTGATGATGGTTCGGCCCAGAAGTACTACTGGTCTTGGGAGATTCTCGCCTCTGAGGGCATTGTCCCTCGTCCTGGTGACAAGCTCGAGTCTCTCTGTTAAATGATGGATGATTTAGAGGTACGATGCAAAAGTTTGTTATGATTTCTTTATAGCAATATAAAATCCTTATTAGACTGTCCTGTTCAAATTTTTCTCCGGACACGGGAGTCCCACTTTCTCATTGTCATTTCTATCACTAACGACACAATAATGGTTTTCTTTGCGGATCAGTATTGGTTCGTGCATCCATCCAACGCTGACATATCTCTATCAATCCTTTTGTAGTACGTATGGTAGTGACTGCATCTTGAAAAATTGTCTTACCGGTCGATGAAGGTTCAAATACAGTGTCACGGATATCAAAGAGACGACAACCATCCTCGCTGGCATCTTAGGAGCAGGTCTCTGTACGTCACGAAGAATGCTTTCGAATGGTCTGTTATCCTACTGAACAAAGTAGCCCAGAACAAAAAATACAGCACTGCGGTGCAGCTATTCTGCCAGCGTTAAAACTCGCAGAAGGTGCGATGCAAAGCACCATGCTTTCCAGGCTGGAGAACGGCTGGTTATGGAAGGAACTAGTCTCCGGCGCGCCATGATCGACCCCAGCGCGACTTCCCTGCAGCTGCTCTCTCGTCGGTTCCAACAGACCCGCTGTCACGGCATAGCTCCAGTATGACCGTCGACAAAGACAAAGAGAACCTCCCTTCAACAAAGCCCGCTGCGAGACATCTCGAACAATTCAACAATGGCTTCCACTCGAAATCTTGCTCGCTATCCGGCGCTGGAAACACATAGATACGAGCGTCCACGCCTGTTAAGATCTGCTTCCTCTACCAGACTCTTCTGCCGAGCAGCAAGTCAATCTTGCTTACAGAAAACCGCCATCGCTCTGATTATCGAGACCTATCTTTTTCCCGGTCCACAACTCCTAAAAACTTCGTCTCTTTGATTCATTCTCCCATCAAATTCTATTCTCCTCTTCCAGACTCCGCAACATTCGCACGGAAGAAAAATGGACAACACCAAGGCCGACTTCGACGCTAGACGTGAGAAGCGTGATCAAGGCAGTAGAGACCTCTGCAACTCAGGATATGTTCGCACTATGACTGCATTTGTTCAGCAGATCCAGAATAGTGGAAATTTGAGTGGTGGTAGAGGTCCTCAGAAATGAGTCGAACCATGCAGATGTCTCACCTGCGACAACACACGGTGAGTACAGTCTCGAGTCGAGAAGCGTGCCTTTTCCCAACACAAAGAAACCACAGACACTGATCTACGTCATTTGGAGTTTCAATCTCAGTGGAGTTGCACGAATAACACTTTTTCGCACCTAGCTTTGATTTGAGCGTAGTATTTGACGATCGTCTATTATCTTCTTCTTTTCCTCTTTCCATCTTTTCAGTTCAAAAACGATTATGATGGAGGACACTTCAATTCCGCACACTGGTGCCAACTCAGACATCATGCTTCACATCGGTTTCTTCAGCCTTTTTTCTGCTCTTTCCATCATTGTCGAGTACATTGTCGTTCTCGTATGGCTTCCAAAAGTTCTGCGCTATTTCGACGCTCTTTCAGCCGGTAAAAACACCACATCGGACACAAACAACTCACCTGCCTGCGAAGTCTCTACCGAAGTCGACAACGGTGCCCCTCTGACCGTTGACAACACCCTCCTCCTACTGGCTGCCACCCTGCATAATCAACTCGCACACCTCACAGAGACCGAAGTCAGTACCATGCTCACGGAGCTTCAATTTCTCAAGAACACCGTCGGCTCCCATGTCCCTCTGTTCGGAAACGACGAGCAAGATTCTGTTGCTCCTGCTCATACTTTCGACAAGGATGCTTGGCACGGAGATACTTGTTTGATCGAGGTCATGCAGTGGTGGCTCAAGAGACGCTCTTCCGAGATCGTGGACGAAGAAACCGAGAACAAAAAGATCGAGCTTACACCCTCGTCGACAGGCTTGCCCGAGAAAGGAACTCCTGAGATTATCCAGAGTCCCAGAAAGCCCACCCCAGCTACTCCAGTTCACAAGGGTAGTGAGGACATCACCAACTTCATCTCTGGTCTTGAAGATTGGTCTCCAGGATCGAGTTCCATCAACCAATATTGTCCTGATCTGACTCACACCACGAACGAAGACCAGCCATCCTCCGCATACCCGCCCACAATCAAGCCGTTCAATTCTGCCGAGCAAGTCATCTGGCACGTCAGCTACAGTCTCGATTCCGAACTTAGAGACCAGCCCACCTCCGAGATCGACGACCTGATGGCCAAACTCAGAGTCCACAGAAACAAGACCGCACGCAAGCGCGACAAAGCCATCCTCAGCGATCTCCGAAACTCTTCAATGTGCCCTGATATTCCTTTTGCGGAGAAGAGGGCATCATGGAAGAAGGTGAAGATTCATTGGGATGCAAAGGTCGCTCTGGTGGATGGTATCATGCTTATTATTCGTGAGAACTTTGCTGGTTCGGAGAATGCGGTTTATGAGGAGAGCTTCTATGGTAGCTCACCTGCTGCTTCTGTAGGCAGTTACACCAGAAGTGAACGCTGATTTGCACCTCTGACCGGAAGAACAGAGAGTATCGGGCGGAGAGCTACAAGACCCTAGCTTCGCGGAACATGATTGGGAGGAAAGGGGATGCGATTTTACAGAAATTGATGCAGGGGAAATATCTTGCTTGAGCTGCATCTAGATCACTGCGTTGCTTCAGCAATGCGTATTCACCAGATTATGTTTACTCTCTCGTGCCGGTGCCTCGTTCACGTAATTGGCGCCGTGAGATATAGAGAATGATTTCAATGCAACAGCCCCACCAAGTCGTAGATAACTTGCCTCGTAGCAGATTTGCAGTCCTTGCCTCCTATCGACTGAGTCATACTACTTTCTTCGACTACCGCGTCGGAGCCTGGTTCGCGCAGTAAGCGGCTTAGGGGCAAAACAGCCGCAGCACGGTACAAAGGAAGAAAGAGAGGCGCCTGGAACAGAGGCAGGACCCGCAAGATAGAAACTCAGGTCCAGGCGACGACCTTTTCCTATACGAGACAAGCAGACGATCTCCATCCTCGAGTCAAGGAAAAAACCATCACGAAAAAATCACAGCAAAAGCAAAACAAACCAAAGCCCCAAAAAAGCGCAAAAAACCAGAAGCGCTTCGCTTCTTGGGAAAACCCTCGTGAATCTCCTTGATCATTATCACCAGATGACGGTCATCGGGCTTGGACTTGTATTAGAACCAAATTAAGACATACACGGCGGAGATTCGAACAAGTGTTTTGATTGTTCAAATCGTGAAGTGGTTATAAGCCGTTACACCAAACAGAGGATCAATTTGCGAGATTATGAAGGGAAGGGGGAGGGAGGGTGAGGTTGTGTGTTCGATTCTGGGAGTGAGTGGGGGAAAGTTTTTACGATATGTGATGTGGAGAGGTGGATCATTGGATGAGAGATGTTTTTGAGGGAGTGTTTTGTATCGAAAGAATCGTGCTTGCGACTTTACGCGTGTCTGATCCGCGATGCGCCTTCCACTCTGTTTTCACGTCTGCCTTCTCTGTCTCTAGCCCCGACGAACGCTCTCCCTTCACTCATAATGCTCCTCCACAAACTCAGCAAGAGTTCTCTTGAGTCTGAGAATAAGCAAAGTGCATGTTTGGAGTTCATCAACCACAATATCAAGTCTCTCGTCCGTCTTCTTCATCTGCTCTTGCAACTCTTCGATCTTGGCTTTGCTTCTCTTTTCGTTGTCGGCTTTGGTGTCAGTTTGCGTGACGTATGTGGGTGTTGGATGGCATACTGAGCTTTTGGATGAGATCGGTGAAGGCGGTGATGGCTGAGTCGTCATGTTGGAGGCCGCGCTTTGGAGTCATGGTTGTGATTTGTTCTGGTTCAGATGTAGGTCAGTATTGATGATGAACTGGAAGCGACTTGTCTTTTTTACCTGTTTTTGTGGGAGTTTGCGATCTTTGGTTTGCACTTTGTGTTGATGACAAGGTAAGCACGAGGTTGCGAGGATGGCGCACTAGCATTTGTCTTGATGATTGTTGACTGGAGGCCAGAGCAAACAAGCAAAAGCAGCTTTGGTGTTGCGAGATGTGAACGGAAGGTACTAGTATGCAGACGTTGAGATTGGCACGGAAGGTTCGACCGTGGATCTGACAAAGCGAAATCAAGAAAGCTTCAAATCACAAAAAGACAGGCTACTGTCATGTCCCTCACGACTCTCTATATCTATACCATATCACCTAATGCTGCGATCTTGTTTTCAATCTCTCTTGTCTTCAACGCGACCGTGACCATAAAAAACACACAATCTCCAACCTCCAAGCACGTTGCCCGCACAAACGACAGCCTCTGTCGAAAGCTGTACCAACGTATTTTCTTCGGCAAACTAGTGTCTACCAGTGCTGACAGATCTTTTGCGCAGTCTGTCTTTCCAAGGAGACTGATACTCACCCTCAATAGCCGCGACTGGCTCTCTCGGAGTGTTTAGCCTGGCTGCTGGTGCCGTTGTCTCGCCAAACGTGCGACCACTCACATCTCCAGTCCCAAAGACCATCTCATAAACAGCCTCGAGCTCTTGAGCCATCTTTTGAAAGGGAGCAAAGATGTCCAAAGTTTCCCAGACAGAACACAGCCATGTTGCAGCAGTCTTTAGGGGAATCCAGGTGAGATTCACAAGGCCGACGGATAGTGCAGGAACGGAGATATGTGTGGTGAACCATGCTTCAGCAGTGGCAGAATACATTCCGAGGATGGCCAAGACGTTGTAGAGGAGGTCGTAAAAGTTGAAAATGTTCTTGAGGGCGAAGTTGCCAGCGCTGAGGATAATGGCGGTGAAGTCTGTGGTGGCAGCAGAATCACGGAGGTAGTTCACGATGGCATGGAGGACGATGGATATGAGCACCAGCGTAAAGCCAAGTAAAGCTCGAGCATGACCGGCCAGAGCATGAGCAGCTCCAACAGATCTTAGGACAGCTCTCTCAGTGAGAGGAATCACACTCTGAGCTCTGCGCTGGAATTCGGCATGTTGGATGGCAAGCATGACAGTTGCTTGAACAGCCTTCATCAACTTGAAGAGATGTTTCTGAGCTCCTTGGAGGACTTGATGAGTACGAGGAGAAGTAGAGAGCATCTCAACACCCGCGAGCATGTCGTCGACAAGAAGAACGGCAAGAGTGATGGCATTGTTGACGCCTCGGCGAGCTGCGGCGGCGATCCTGTCAGACTGGAGAAGAGCAATCGAGATGCAGAAGATAGCAAAAACTACAAGAAGTTTGAGAGAAGAGTCGAGCTCCAAGAATGACTTTGAAGAAGAAGCGTTCGTTGACTTTAGCATATTGGTATCGTATAGACGTGGTGAGTGATGAGATTGTAGTGTGAGAAGACGCGGTGCAGTAGCTCTGCGAGAAATGATATTTCTTCATACTGTTGTGTATAGCTGGTGAACGTCTAACACGGGAGGCTTTCACAAAAGTGTGTCAGCTTCGTAAGACACGATCGTGTCGCATCATCTTTAGACAATACACTTGACGTACCTTTGGTCAGACAGAGTGCATGTTTCAATCAAGGACCATCGTGCTGGAAGTAAGACATCGGTTGTAAGTAATGTTTCACCTTTCATTGTTTTCGGAACACTTCCGAGTCTCCGAGATCTAGAACGAAAACTCGGAAAAGAAAAATTACTACCAACTCATTGCCTCTGTCATGAACAGTCTCGTACTGCGAGTCTTTTGCTCCAGCTCCAAGCTCATCTCAAGTCTTCAGCGATACTTTCCAATAAACTCCAAAGCCTCATCAATCTCGATCTCCGCATCCTCCAAATTCTCAAAAATGTTCTGATACGCATCGATATTCCAGTCCAGCATAACGAATTTGCCCTTTTCGTCATCAGTACAGAGTTGAAGTTTCTTCATGGTTTGGCTTTGCAGGCTTTTGACTTCTTTCATCCTTCTTTTACCCATCATCTTTGCGTTCTTCAGTTGTGCTTGAAGTTCTTTAGCGACATTGTCAGACACTGTTTCCAAGTGGACGCGCTCGCGGATTTCGAGAAGCTTTGGGACCACGAAGGGGTCTGGCTCGTTGGGTGATGTTGGGGCTAGCCATCTGAGCAGTGCAAGTTGCACTGGCATCGTCAGCCTGTCCCAAGGGGCTTGTGAACGCGCATTGACAGAGCTCTCGGGACGAATGTTGTGCAGACTCGAGATCTCCATGTTGTTAGGCTTGACCTCTGGAGTTGCTATTGGAAGTTCATCAATGGTTTTCGTGGTTGTTGATGTCAGAACTGGCATTCCGGAGTGTGTGCTTCCACCAGAGTCTGATCGCTTTTGAGTGTCGTTGACTCCGGAAGACACAGCGTTGTTACCGTGGCTGTGAACAGAGGTCACGGAAAGTGGTGTGTAGATGACGGCAGATGTGGTGGTAGTTGAAGAGTTTGGAGTGTACTGAACACTGTTGGCTTCTGAGCAATCTGAAACGGCGCCTGAGCAGTCCTGAAGCACTCCATCATCGTTGGTGGCAGGTGTCAGTTGTCCTTCGGTGCACGAGTCTAAGTCGAAGCAGTCACTGGATTTCTTCGAGCTCAGGTCATCTGGGGTGATGGCTGTGTCTTGTGACAATAGTCGCGCGATCGACTTCTCCTGAATTGCCGCAGCATTCTCGAGACTCACAATACGATCCTTAAGCATCACAATGCAGTTAACAAGGTCTGTCAACATCTTGTCTGTGTCGGCACTCTTTGTATCCTTGACTACGACCTTGCACTTGACCCATTTGACACCGAAGACAAATAACGCAAGCCATGAGGTTGCAGTCCAGAACCAGAATGCTAGAATGGAAACTCTGACCGTCACTAGATGAACACTGCACTTCGACTCTACCGCAGTCAACATCATTGCGGTGAAAATCCGTCCAAGGTGTGTCCACTGAGCACCAGGGGGGTCGTCTTTGGTGAGGTCGTCGCAGAGACCTACTGGGATGTCGAAAAGTGCCTTGGTGACAATGCTGATGAAGGTGATGAGGTGGCTGAGAATATGGCGCATAGACGTAAGAATGGCGGGAGTACAGAGTTGACCCACCAATCCATCTAGACGAAAGACTTTCGCGAAGAGGTGGCAGACCATGGTGGTTCCAGCATGAACAGCAATGAGGATGACAAGACCGAGCTCCAGCAGGACAGGAATGATGAGAAACTCAGCGATATCCTCCAAGCTGCATGGTCCAGCAAGTAAGCCGACTCTCATCCTGATAGTGATTGTATTTCAAACAGAAAGACGTGATGAGAGATAAGAGGTCCAATTGAAAGATGAAAACAGTACCTAGTCGTGTTGTACTTCAGCAAATATCTGGCGCCTTCCGGAAGTGTTGGAGCAGGTTTCACTCCTGGGGCAATCATAACACTGACAAGATGTGCTCGGAGCCGTGCCGAGACATAGTTTTCTTGGATTGTCTCGAACGTATCAGAATGATCTCGTTGTTTCAGTGGCTAGTTCTCGGCGCAAATGCTATCAAAGAAGCAGATGTCGTTCGAGCTATTATCTACTCATCGAAGAGACAATGACGGTGCGCAGGCAACCTCGATTTTGCAACAAGGTCTCTGTTTCGACTCCTTCCTGCTGGCGCACCAGCCTGATTCTCGTTTGATTAGAAGTAACTTGGAGAAATGCAGAGCGCAAGAGTAAAGTTCGATTTTCTGACGAATGAAGGTGAAGATGTAAACCATGGAGATACAGAACACTGGCGTATAGTTGTAGAATGTTTGCCATTGTTTGCTGTCGATGATAGCTGAACGTACGATGAGAAAGAAATTCAGAGAGCAACAAACTAGAATAGACAAAGAATCTGTATGAAAGCTGCCGAATCATTTCATAAATCCAGGCAAGAGGCGTCGCTTCAAAAAGCGTTCTTGTCATGTCAAAATGTGAGTTTTCTCAATCTTGCGTTGACTTCAGACCATCGCGCTCGATTCTCTCCACGCCGGTTCCTCTTTTGTCGATTTTGCTTTCGCCACACACTTGCCCTCCAACCACCTTGCAAACTTCACCGAAGGCATATCCACAAGCCGCATAAACACATCCGACACCCATACCAAGAATACAGACACTATGCCCAAAGCAACACCAAACGAGACTTCCTTTTGCACATGAGTTTCGGAGCCAAATATGTTCCAAACAACCGGGAGCAGGCTGTAGTATAGTGTGTGGATCATAAATCCATGTACCAGGTATAGCGAAAATGAGATCTTGCCTAGGTACTGGGTGAAGCGGTTATTGAAGATGCGTTGAAGCATGGGTGAGTTGGAAGTCGACCAGACGAGCAATAGGGCGCCCCACCCGGTCCAGTATCGATGTCTGTCGTGGATATATGAGGGGATCAGGGACCATAGTGTCATCCACCCCGGTGCGTGCTCCCAACGTTGTTCGGGTTGACCACCAAGATATAGGCCGCCGATGAAGACCAGAGTATAGAAGACAGACCAAAGCATGCTAGGTTTTGGTGATGAGAGGGTATTGCTGAAGGTCTTTGACGCTGCGAGTGCGCTGCGCCGAATATCGAGTTCGGCCAAGAGGAAGCCACCGTAGAAGAGAAGTACAACCCAGTAATCCGCGTAGTGAGCCCAAGCCATTATACAAGGCAGGATCAACATTCGATATCTGGTCCTCAGTCGACACAATCCGAGTTGTGTGGCATACAAAACAATGGAGGCTCTCTAAAGCAGGGCCAAAGTCAGCACATAAAGAACATCGACGATTCCGCCTATGCAAGCAAGACTCACAAATTCGAGTGGAATCGTCCACAAGTGTCCATCAAGATACATCCTCTTGCCTGTGAAAGGATTCATGAAGCCAAGGAAACTGCTCCCCCAGTGCACCAGCTGCTCTGCCAAAGTGTCATATCGCCAAGCGTGTCTATCACGATACCCGGTCAATCGCTTGCCATCATTGGCAAGCTCTCTTGTCCAATCATACATCCCGAGCCTTACGATCACCACGATCGTCAAAGTAGATGCGACACAAGGCAAGTATAATCTCATAGCTCTTCTGAAGACCGACGACGACAAGCCTTTGAGCAGCGAGTCAGTCTCTCCACTCCTCATCTGTTTGACAGGTTTGTAGCTCAAGGCATATCCTGAGAGCACGAAGAAAATGCTGACCATCGCTGGACCGTGGTAAAGGAAGCGGAGTATCGGTAAACGGAGGAGACCGCGGTGTCCTTCGGTCCATGCGGTGGCGACATCGTGTGTGGCGTATGAAATGTGAAAGATGAATACCAGAAAAGCGGCGATACCACGCATGCCATCCAACCAAGCTGTTGGATGGATGGGCTTTGAAGGCTTCGGTTGGCTGGGTGGGTGCAAGCTTGTCTGAACGAAGCTCGGCAGGAGGAAAAAGGATGCCCGCTTTATGGCGTGCAGGACTGCGGTCCTGGATGGTATTGACAAGCCTCTGATGGACATTCGCGACTTGGTAGCGAGGGTCCCAAGCTGCGCGTCGTGCCTGTCGTATAGACCGCCCTCTGACATGAGTCTTTGGTCTTCGGACATGGTAGCAAATAGGACTTATACTGGTCAAAGCATGTAACGAGCGAAATGATAGAACAGGACGTGTTAAGAAAGATGACAAGACAAGAGAGAAGGACTATCAAACCAGACGATAGGAGAGTGTACCTTGTTATCTACTTAGATACCTACGGATAGTAATCTGGGAGCAATACTGAGTAGACCAGAGCTGAGGATCTGCTCTAGCTTCACGCAGGAGTTGTAAAAACGTTCATACAGGTCTCAGCTGGAGTATGCAACCAGTGCAAGAAAGGATGGCGTGGTACACAGTACTGGCTGTGTTTCATCTCCCTTGCCATGGCTGTTGGCTATTCAGCTGGTACATGGCACCAAGTACCATATAGCGTGTGTGATTGTTCCTCCCGGGCTACCGGGACCTGCATGTGGCGGACGTTGGCTTTCAGCTCTCGAGAAAGGCGAGAGGTGAAGACTTTCATCTCATCTTCGCCGACGAACACGCTGCTCTGAATAGGAGTTCGATATTCGAGAATAGAAGGAGAGCAGCGTGTTTACATGTTGTGTTTGATTCAATCGCGAAAGGGGAGTTGGAGTCTGGATTGAAGTCGTCTGTTGAAGTTGTGCGTGACAACGCCAAGCAAAAGTGGACCCCTCTCTAGATCGATGCACGACACCGTCCTTATATCTTCGCAGACTACGAACAACTCATGAATCAAGAGGACGAGAACTCTAGTATCTTGTTACTAGTCACTGTTATCACTGTTGTCACTGTAATCTTGAAACTTGCAACACTACCTACCTTAAAGGTCAATATAGTCTTAGATCCATTTTTGCATTTACGGCGAAAAGCTAACATTCGCTCAAGCAATTGGGCAAAAGCTTATCAACAAGGAGATATGATATAAATTTAACCACCATGGCACTCATCTATCCAAGAAACATTTCCCAACTCCACCCATTCTGCCAGATTCTCTAAAGTCCAAGTAAAGCTTCGTTTATGGCGATAGCAGATGGCCAGAACAAAAATACAGAGCGGTAATAACCACAACAGGGCTAATAGACATGCCTTTTCTTGATCAAGCAAAACAGCCCCATACATCGGAGCAACAATCTCGACACAAATGTTTCTCCTTAAAAGGTAATACGAGTTACGATGAGTCTTCCAAGGATGAATGTCCATAGCATCTCGGTGGAAAGGAAAGGGGAAATTTGACGCTTGGTATTCAACAGACCTATAAGTCAAATCCCAAGATAGTGAGAAAATAGTAGGAAACAGAAAAGAAAAACACAACTTCCATGCATGCATCATGTGTAATAAGGGGGAGAAACGCCATTGTGTTGGACAGAGAAAAAACAACGCAGAAAAACCACAACGCTCGCAATCCCATCCGCACTTTAATCTCGACAAACAACAACCTTTACATCAAAGACAACCTTCTAGATCCCAGCTTCTTGCTCATGATGTTGATGCCCACCCATTCCATTCTGTCCGTTCAAATGACTCCAATCTCCCATGTCACCTCCTTCTCCATCCTCTCCTGCCTCGTAGGCCTCTTTGGCCATGGCACCTCCAGCATCGAGCTGTTGTTGCATGACCGCTTGGGCTGATACAATCTCCGCTAGTCTCTTCAATCGCGGTGTTTGCAGCCATGAGGGTGTGTAGGTTTCTAATGCGGTGATGACGCGGGGTTCGGCGATTTCGTAGGGGCCACTGTCGTCCATGTCGACGGCGGGGAGGAGGAGGACGTCGGTTTTGGGGTCGGTGACGCGGGAGGCGACGGCTTTCATGATTTCGCCGTTGATGGGTTGCTCGTAGTCGGCGACGAGGTATTGGTTGAGGAGCTTTTGAATTTGGTTGGGTGAGAGCCTGTTGTAAAGTCAGTATTCTTTATCATGATAATTGTGGGGTTAGAGGAGTACTCACATCCAGCAGATATCCTGGATAATCTCAATGTCGTTGAGGGTTGCCTTCTTGAGCTGCAGAAGCTTGGTGGCTTGCATAAGATGCTCAAGTTGGAGAGTACCTTCGGGCATGTCGTGGCTCTTGCACCATTCCTCGATTCTGGTAATGTTGTAGTTGATCTGCAAACCACGCTTCCATGAGAGGAAGTTACGACGCATGAGAAGATCATTGAAGGCGGTGACACCAACAAGTTTCAAAAGCTCGGTAATAGTCTGGTTGATAATGAAGTCTTCGAGGTAGAATGCCTTCATGGCCTTGAAGACGTTGTTGAGGAGGGAAAGTAGGTTGTCCATGCTGAAGGCAGGTGTGTTATTAGATTGTAGCAGCTTGCCAAGGAAACGGTTGCTCTCATTGGTGACAAAGCCAGGAAGTGATTGCGACTCGATGATGGCAGGAACGATCATCTTCTGCAACTTCTTCTTCAACACCTTCATCCAAGTGTGGTAAATGTTAAATTCGAGACTTTCCAAGTCGTGCTTGACAATCTCGAGCAGGCGATCATATTCAAAGTTGTCGGTCTTTTGTGCCTCATACCAGTCTTCGGCGAGGAAGACGAATGACAGCATCTCGTGGACGTTCGACAACCAGAAAGCACCAGGATTCACGGCCTCGTCGCCGTCGTGCTGCATGACCTCTTGCTGAATGGACTGCATGACGTTGGCAAGGAAGCGCTCAGACTCCTTGACAAAGCCGTTGTTCCACATCTCGGAAGTAACAAGGTTGATAAGGTATGCAGGGAATAAGACTTCCTTGTCGGTAGGTGGTGGTGTGGACCCAGGAGAAGGGATCTTGAGGTTTCCGATAAGGCCCTTGGATACCTCATCATTGAGGGCATCCTCATTGGCAAGCAAGTTCTCAAGCTCCATCTCAACATTCTCCAAGTCAGGCTTGAAAGTGGATCCGGAAAGAGTTTGTTGGTGACCACTGGTAGCTCCGAAGGCCATAGATACTGGTCGAGGGTTGAATGTGCCACTGAATCTGTCGGTATTGGTTGGCTCGAATCCAGCACTGCGACGCTTGGGTTTTTTTGAAGATGATGACACAAGGTTGATGAGACCGCTGGGCTGAACAGCACCACCATTGGTCATCTCGCCGCCAACAGGAGCAGCACGCTTGGCATGCTCCAACTGGTCTTGCAACTCGGCCAATTGTTGCCTCAAGGACATCTTCTCGTTCTCGGAGACGGTGACACTCTGTCTCGAGTTCTCCAACTCTTCGCTGGTCAGGCGAAGCGACTCGCGTAATGTCTTCTCCTCTTCCTGCAATCTGCGCATGTTGGACGAGGACTCCTCGTAGTTGTGTTGCAGCTTGGCCATCTCCTCTTCGAGCTGACCAACCTTGGCAGCACTCATACCAGCCTGGTTGGCTTCCGCTTGAAGCTCCTTTGCCCTTTGTTCCAGACCCTGGGTACGGTTCTTCCAGGTGTTGAGCTGGTTCTCGTAGTTTTGCACTTGGTGCTTGAGAGCCTTGTTCTCGGTCCTGACAGCGCCGAGTGACTGAGTAAGCTCGACGACCTTATTTTCAAGCTTGTATGAGATTTGCTTGAGGTCTCTAGCCTCCTCACGCAAGCCCTTGTAAGCCTTGCGAGCTTGTTTGCCTCTCCACAATCCTTGTACGATGGTAACCTTGCGTCTGTAGTCGCGCCAGTCCTTGCGTTGCTGGCCAGACCTCCAGGCACGCTGAATAGTTCTTGCAGCATTGCCTAATCTCGTGTCCAAAATGTTCTTGCGGCAGAGATATCCCTTGGTCGCCGCTTCGAACTGGATGAGATTGTTGCGGATAAGTACGAAGTTCTTGCGCTCTTTTTGGCCTCTCCACACCCGTTGGATAGTGGTAGCGGCTTTCGTTCGCCTCGCTTCGTCGGCATTACGTCTTGCAACACACCCACGCACGAGAGACTGAAACCCACGGACAGAGCCAATGGCCTCCAGGTAACGACGGCGGTAGTACTTGGCGCGAAGGTTCTTTTGGATCATGATGGCGGCATCGTTGAGGCGGCTGGTTCTCAGGTTCTCAAGGAAGGCAAGCATACCAGCACGGAAGAAAATCTTGGTCAGACCAAGCTGGTATTTGCTTGAGCCATCGTTAGCTGATCCACCAAGGGCCTGGGTCAAAATGGCATTGGCCATGTCTCTGAGGTCGGAGGTCCATAGTGTTGATGGTACAAGCATGTAGTAGCGCAGAGCAAATTCTTCGTAAGTCCATCTTGTTGGGTAACCGGCACAACTGATTCTGACGGTCTCGAGCACACCACAAGCACGCAATTGACTCAAGACCATGGGGCCTTCGAACTTCCAAGCCTCCTTGGCCTCGTTGGGCTTGATACAACGAATGTAGTGTACGTCGGTAGAGTTGATAGTGCTCATCAGTTCGATCAAAGACGACTTGAAAATACCACCGAGAGTGGGCTTTCTGGCAGTGGCAGCACCAGGTCTCTTTCCAGGTGCGGCAACAGCAGAAGGCTTGGATTGAGCAGCTGCAGTGTCGCGCTCACGAACAGCAGAAGCAGCTTCCAGAATCTCGGTAAGGAAGGAGTTGGACGAGGCACGGAGAACTTCCATGTGCTCGTCGGGAACGGTATCTCTGTTCTTCTCGATGAAGCCATCAGACTCATATGCGACATCAACAGCGTAATGGCAGACGGTGAAGGCCGACTTTCCGAAACGAGGCTTCTTGAAGAACTTTGACTTGCTGTCACCGAAGCTGGTGTGAAGCTTGGTAACGAAAGACTCATCGGAACCCATGGGCAGTCTAGATTCTTCGTCAAGGAGAGCGAGAACACCAAGCTTGCCTTCGATCAAGTCGATGCAAGGCTGGTTGTCGGAGAAATCAATGAACTTCCAGTCAATCTCTTCCCGAAGATATTCCTCCTGCTCGAGCTTGAAGACATGCTGGTTGAACTCTTGCTGCAGCTTCTCGTTGGCATAGTTGATACAGAACTGTTCGAACGAGTTCTTGGCGAAATGCTCGAAACCGTAGATATCCAATACACCGATGAAGGAGGTGACGTTCTCGAGAACTTCGGGGGTTGCTAGACTGCTGTTGAGAATTTCGACGAGCCAATCGAACAAGCTGGAGTAGATGTACTTGGCGACTGAATCACGAACGACGGTGGCTTGCTGCTGGGTCAAGTTTGACGTAATCTTCTCACCTCTAGTGACAAGCTGTTTCTTGACAGTCCATTTGGCGAAGCTTTCAGCGTCGATTCCAAGAAGTTCACAAGCCTTGACAACTGATGCGTCGGTAGCGGAGAGTTGTGAGTCGGTGCGAGTAGCTATGATCTTGATGTTTCCGATGTGCAACAGAGCGGCGAGGATTCTCCAGATGGACGACTGCTGCTCAATCGAGACACCAATTCTGCTCAGGGCCTCCTTGGTGTCGCTGAACTCCTTGGCGTCGTCCAAGCCTTCTATCTGAGCAGCATTACCTTGGTTGAGGTAATCGAACTCTTCCACAGGTATCAGACCAAGCTCTTCTTTCTCAGCATCCGAGGCACCAGCTACGAGCTGGTAGAAGATGTGGTAGTTTCTCTCCTTGAGTGGTTGGAAGACCAGTCTCGAGCGCTCGAGCAGGTAGACTCTGATCCTCGCGCCGATAATGTCCGTCTTCTTGTCAAACATGATCTCGATGTATTTTCCGAATCTTGACGAGTTGTCGTTGCGCGTTGTCTTTGCGTTACCGAAAGCCTCCATGATAGGATTAGTAGCCAGGATTTGCTCTTCGGTCTCGCTCATGCTCTCGACGCGGCCCTTTGAGCGGGAGCCAGGCTGGTCCGGTGATTCTCTTGTAGCGAAGTAGCGCATGATGTATTTTGCGGAAACCGTCTTTCCGGCACCAGACTCTCCCGAAACGACGATTGTCTGGTTGCGACCATCTCGAAGCATATCCCTGTGCTGTGTTAGCATCTGTGTACAGCGCAGCGATCAGGAGGACATACGCGAAAGCCTCCTCTGCTATAGCAAACAAATGCGGCGCTTGTGTCTGGCGCTGCTTGCCGGCATAAATCTGCACCATGCCCGGTACATAGAGCGAGTCGACGCGGGCGAAGGGGTTGGTAGCAATAAGGACAATGCCTGAGTACGTGTAGATTTCTTTCTGTGCATATCGTAGTTTGATGGCTTGCAAAACTGCAGGGCCGTGTCAGCGCTGTCGTTGGCGGCTGGAGGAGCGAGTGGAAAAGGCATGTTTACCTGCGGGCTCGTTCAAATGCGAAAGATTGGTGAGATCGTCACTGGCCTCCAACATTGTCGGGTTCATCAGCGGCGGCAGTTTGGCGTCCTTGCCCTCTGCGATGGCGGCCAGCGTCGTCTCGATCGTCTTGGTCTGCAACGATCTGTCAGCGGTGGAGCGGGTTGTTTGCTTGCGGGCTCGCATACCTCTCCATTGGCCAGCTGGAAAATCAGCGTGACCTTCTCGCCGTCGATGTTCTTCTGCTCGACCTCGGAGGCCACCCAGCCTTCGGTGACATCGGGCTGCCACGCCTTGGTGCCGACATCATACGTGGCTGCCATGTTGGACCGGATGTGCTAGTCGAGGGAGGGACGGGAGACGTGGGAGCGTGTAGCGGCCGTAGATAGTCGTGTCCGCAGGCAGGTCAAGAATGCTGCAACATTCAAAACGAACGGCTAAAAGAAGGACAAGTTCAACCCCAGGCGACTCCTTCAGCAGCAAAAGATTAGGGAGTGTGAAATAGGTATTATGGCAAGAAGTTCCTGAGCCAGATCGGTGTACGACCAAAGGGTCCCTCTGCCGGCATAACATCTGATGGGCTCGTGCTTAAAGGGGGCGCACGTGCCACCGGGACATAGGAGCCTTCCCCACAAAACCATAAACACAATTTCTGAAACACCTCTTGAACAACTTCACCTCTTGTACCACATGCTTGTCTTGCTCTATATGCTCACTTGTCGTCTACCCTTCTTGCGGAAGCACATGTCACCACCACTATATATCGCGCAAGATCAAAGTAACTGGCTTCTAGAATGTAGTTAACATGTTTTTCGTATCTTCCATTGTTAATCAGGCCGAGAGTGTGTGGGAAAGACTCGGGAACAGCTACATGGCAAAACTTAGTGCCGTGGAGCCCTAGGGTCCTCTTCCCGGTCGTACATTGTGCTTAACATATACTCGAAGATCAAGTCAGCTGTATTCGAAACACTGTAGCCGAATTGGCCTTGTCGTTGCGTCTGAAATCGCTGCCGGACATGTAGACAGGGTGTGACCCTTAGCAAACTTTTCGTGACAACTGTTCTTCGACAAAAGTCACCCTTGGTATTGTGCATGATCTTATTCAATTGAATGGCATTGATCATCGGAACTCATTTTGAACGCGTCAACATACGGTGCGTTGAGCGATCAGATCAATTGATAGTCATAACCTGGCCTTACGCCACCCCAGGCCTTCCCTTGTTCGTTGAAAGACAAGCGGTCAGCCAGCCTAGTGAACAGCCTCACAAAATCACATCATCATCAACCAGATCTCCAATGTTTGTGAACTTGTTGAATTGTTTTTCTTTTCATTCAGGCTTCCCTTTTGGTGGCCTTGGCCCTGTAGCTGCTGCACTACAAGTGTTTATACATGCTTCTGATAATCAAAATAATAACAATACTCAAAACGATTCGCGTGTTTTCATTTCCCACATGCTTGCCCCAAGTCGTGATACTCCATGTTGAATGCCCTTATTTTCTCTATCCTTTTTTGACTGATGAATTTGTTTGTCCAATAATCCAGATTGCTGTTGGACAGACAAGAAGAAAAGGTGCGGACGTCGAAGCCGAGTCTTCTAGTACAAGACTCTGGTTCTGACGCGCGAACCCAGATCCTCGAGGCTGTCGTACAGGCTGGAAATATCTCTTTGGTTGACATTGCTAATGTCAGCCATGAGGTATGCGACGTCGCCTCTTGAATCGGTCATTTGCTTGTCGACGTTATGTTCACCAAGGACCTCGTTGACGCGTCTCAACACACCGGGAACGTTCTTGTGAATGTAGATGATGCGGACGTGGTTCGGCTCGTCGGCAGTCAAGCTGCGGAGGTTGACTTCGGGCATGTTGACGGCACCGACGGTGGAGCCCTCGTTGACGTACTTGGCCAGGGCCTCGGCGACTTCGACACCGATGGCGCTCTGGGCTTCCTCGGTGCTGCCACCGATGTGGGGGGTGAGGATCAGGTTCTTGAGGGAACGGAGGTCCTCGGCCCAGGTGTTGAGCTCCTTGTTGAAGTACTCGCCGTTGCCGGCGGGCTCGTTGGGGTAGACGTCAATGGCGGCACCGGCAATCTTTCCACTTCTCATGGCCTCGACGAGGGCGGGAATGTCAACAACGGTACCTCTTGAGGCGTTGATCAGGTAGCTGCCCTTGCGCATGTAGCCAAACTGCTCAGTGCTAATCATGTTCTGGGTCTCGGGGATTTCGGGAACGTGGAGAGTGACAAAGTCGGCGCCTTCGAGAAGGGCCTTGAGGGTAGGGACCTGCTTGGCGGTACCCATGCTCATGAGGTTGACGACATCGTAGTAGATGACGCTCATACCCATAGCCTCAGCCAGGACGGAAAGCTGGTTACCAATGTGACCGTAACCGACAATACCCAGAGTCTTTCCACGGACTTCCCAGCAGCCAGCAGAGACCTTGTTCCAGATACCCTTGTGCAACTCCATGCTGCGGTCGGCCAATTGTCTGGCCAGAGCAATGATCTCGGAGATGACGAGCTCGGCGACTGAGCGCGAGTTTGAGAAGGGAGAGTTGAAGACGGCGATACCAGCATTGGCGGCATAGTTAAGGTCGACCTGGTTGGTACCGATACAGAAGCATCCAATCACGATAAGGTTCTTTGCGTGTTCGAGGACCTTGGGGGTCAGCTTGGTCTTTGAGCGGATACCAATGACATGGACGTCCCTGGAGAGAAAAGGTTAGCAGATTCAAAGGTAGGAGAGTGCTGAAAGTAATACTTGATCTTCTCAATGAGTTGATCCTCAGGTAGCGAAGACTTGAGGGCCTCAACCTGGTAACCCTGCTGTCTCAGGATGTCCTGACCAGTGACGTTGATGTTCTCGAGCAGCAAGACCTTGACATCTTGAGTGTTGAAAGGCTTGAGCTGCTTAGCGGAGGCGGCAGACTGCGAAGCGCGATGGCTGAAGCTGCTTGACGGCGAGGTGAAAGTGGCAGTAGGGCTGGTAGAGGGGTCGAAGCTGTTGGTGACAGCAGAGTCGTCGCGGTTGCGAATGGGGATGTTTTGAGCGGCAGACATGTTGTTATGAGCAATCGACGAGCAGTACGGGAAGAAGAAACCAGAACAGGTAAAAGAAAGCCAGTCGATGGGGGTGGGAATTGAGAATGAACAAGGCGAGTATTTTTGAGCGATCAAACAATGCCCACTTGAGCCCCTCTGAGTCAAGTCGCGCAACAATTTCTTGACCCTCCCGATGACGGCGTTGCCAGACGATGCGGATCGCGCCATCCCACGAGAGCCGCGCCACAAAACTCCAGCCCTCCCCAATTTCTATCGCTGTGACAAAGCGACCCCCACAGTTTCCACCATTGTCCATGTACTGACTCACTGTATCATCAGTTTGAATGAGTAATCCGCTGTAAGAGTCAATCGAGCTGTCATCGTCTATGCGCAAGGACGACGACGCTTGCACTGTTGTCAGGTAGGTACTCAAAATGTCGCTCTCTTGTAAACAATGTCTCGATTCCAGTGGTTGCTATTCTGAACAATAAACGAAACCCCCTCTGACGCGCCTCACATTGTCTGCTTGTGACGACCGTCTGTTATCCGAGAGTATGATTAACAGCTATATAGGGGAGAAAAAAAGGATGACACACGCTGCCAATCAAGTGGAAACGGACAACTGAAGAAAAAACAACGCTGCTGTAATAAAGGACATCGAGCTGCGTGGGACGAGGGAAAGGTGCTGCGTCAAGGAGCGTGACTTTTTTTGGTCCGATCAAGGCCGCGTCGGGTGTCGGTGGGCTTGCTTCGGTGGGAAGAGCAGGCAATATACACATGGCAAGACCCGTGATCCGACGGCGGCCAGTAGATCGGTGTGGTTGGAACTGTCATTGCCAGATGAACCAAGTCTAGAATGGTGATGCAAAGGAATCTTGAGCACTTCTCATCTAGCTCTGCTTGCACTCGGCAGTCTCCTGCTTGGGCTTTGAGCCGTCACCCTGGAATTGTTGTTAGCTGGCCAGTCATTTCGTGGTTGATCAAGGAATATGCTTACCTCTTCATCTGACTCCTCCTCGTCATCTTCGTCATCGCGGTCGAAATCCTCCTCATCCTCGTCATCCTCGTCCTCGAACTCGTCCTCATCGTCAAAGTCCTCGAAGCCCTGCTCGAATTGCAGAGCCTCACCAGTGAACCAGTCGATGGCACGGGGAATGAGCTTCTCCTTGATGTCCTCACCCAACTGGTAGTCAAGCTCGAGCTTGGCCTCAATGTCGTCCTCAACATCCTCGTCATCCTCGGTAGGGGGGCTGGCGGGGTTGAAGAAGTCGAAGAACGAGGGAGTGGGGATGGTCTTCTTGACAATGCGGGTTTGCTTGGTGTCTGTGAAGGAGTTGTTAGTGGCGGCTTTTCGTAAATCAGGATGAATGTCAACTCACTCTTGTTGCGCTGCTTCTTGCTCTCAACTCTAACGGTGAGGTCCTTGCCAGATTGCCAGTCGATCTTGTCACCCTCGGCGTGATCGTAGATGAAGTCACCGCCGTAGCCGTTCTCCTCTTGGTAGTAGTAGGTCTTGGAGATGGTCTTGTTGGTGAAGAACTCGTTCTCGGCGAACTCGAAGATGAGACGGAATCCGGGGCGGTCCAGGTACTCCATGCGGATGTCGGTCAAGAACTTAAGGGCACCCTCGTCACGGTCGGTGATGGTCTCGGCGAGCGACGAGTTCTTCATGGCGGACAGCCAGAACTCGGGGATACCCTTGATGTCAGCGGAAGACTCGTCGGCCTTCTCGGCCTCATCATCCTCCTCATCCTCGTCGTCCTCCTCTTCGTCTTCCTTGCCAGCCTCGACCTCCTGCTCGGTAGGCTCGGTGGAACCGTTGATGATCTTGGCACGCTTCTCGTAAAGAGGGGCGTACTTGGCGAAGAACTTCTTCTCGAGGGCAAGAACCTCCTCCTGGAACTCGGCCTCGAGCTTGGAGTGCTCCTTCTGGACACCCTTGAGACCAGCGACACGTCTGCGGACAGGGGCGGGGAGCGACTCGACGTAACCGGATGATCTACCGACGAGACCGCTGAGCTTGTTCTGCATCATGGAAACGAGGGCGGGGTTGGCAGCGAATATTGAGGCAGCGTCCTCTGCGCAGATAGGTTAGTGATTGATGGTGGTAAAGTAGAGCGGGTTGCGCGTACCTTCTTTGATGCTGGAAACGCCGGGCTGTTGTGCGCGAGACGAGATGGGAGCCTTGTCGAGAGGAGTGTTTTGGGGAGTACTGCTATGGTCAGTGACTGCTTGATCGGTGCGAACCATGACCATGTCGACAGTGGTGGGAGTGATGTGTGTATGGAGGAAGAGTCGTGACGGGCGCAGACGGATGGTATGGCCGAGGTGCAGGGGATGGAGGCAGGCGCAAGGTGTTGTTGTTGTATGTGTGTGTGGCGGACGGGCGTTGGGGTGGGACTCACGGCGCAGGCTTGCTGCCCTTCTGGGGGATCATGTTGTCGCTCATGTTGCCGATAAATCTGGTTGAAGAATGCTTCGACAAGGGTGTGGATGTGGGTGGGAGGAGGTGGTGCGGTGGTTGAGAGAAGCTTGACTCTTGAGGTTTTTGCGGACGCGGGGGAGCGAGCAAAGCAAAGGCAAACAATCCACTCGCCCCCTTTAGGAAGTAGTCATGTCCCGACGACGAAATTTTTCTACCAACAAAGCTTTCATCTGTCGGCAAGACACGGCTTCTTTCTTTGATACATTATGTCTTGCCTATCGAGTGATTATTCATAGCCACTATCCGCCCTGTTCCTGCCTGTCCGTCGCTTCCATCTCCAGCAGAACACTTGACCGACTCGCCTTGTCATGGTCTAGCCCCAGTTTCTAGAAGGCGACCCTCGAAGCAGCCACGAATCTGCAAGGCAACAATGGCCAAGGACTGCCGACTCCCATGTCAAAGCCTCTTTTGTTCCCATCTTTCAATGGCACGTCCCTTGCCTGCTTACGAGTGGTCTGATGTCCTTGCAATCATTACTTATCAAGCTTCCACTCGTACCATACGGGTGTTTGCTCAGACAAAAAGAGCGGCAAGGCGAAAGACTATGCACAGTACTGTTGACTGATCCATATCGCCTCATGGCCTTTGTATCCATTTTCTTGATGCTGTGTCACAAGTGATTATGTACAGCCATGAAGAACGTTGAAAGCGCCAGATTCTCAATCTTCAAGCCATTCCATGTGACGCGCATGGTCAACACGTGCAAAGAATTTCGCGCCGCGAGACACGAACTGCGAGTTCTCACAAAAAACGACCAAACAATCAAACATGACCATTCTACAGCAACAGAAGAGGGATTTTTCAATCTAGAGAAGGCGCGTCCTGTACAACATCACGGGTCCTTCAGGTTTTAGCGCCTATTGAACCGGCTTCAACAGCAGCTCATCATTCTGCGAACGTCCCCAACGAGCAAGCCCTTTAATCTGCGAATCGCATCAATCTGCTTTCCAAGCGTGCTGACGTGCATCGCCTTGCGATAATCAGCTGTTTCGCCGAGATAACGATGGAGTGTCCATTTCTCTGCGGTTTCCACACACCCAATGATAGTCAAGCAGAGTATCATATCACAGCTCATATCGAGCTGCAGCATACTCCAGAGTCACAATTCACAGTCGAAGATGAGGATCTAAAATTTGCCCTTGCGCTGCAAAGAGAAGAAGAGCAAGCCTTTGCTGACATCAGAAACCGTGACGTTTCATCCGGTCCGTCCCTGAAGCCTGCCAATCGTGAAAAGGAAGGAGCTGCCAATGATGACTTCCCATACGCCGAATGTCCTGAATGCGAAGAGTTCGTTCATCTCATCGAACTCGACGAACACATGAATACACATCTATCGTTAAAGTATTCTTCCGACGACATGGCTGGACCTGACTTCAACGAGCCATCCTCAGGGCGACCGTCGTTCCAAGGCTCTACCACAATCGCTCGTCACAGAGGTCGACACGATGGTCAGCCGTTTGGCAAGGAGAACGTTGGTCGCTCAGCAAAAGAGAAATCAAGAGGTATGCGCCTAGGTGTAAGTCAACTCTTCTCTCTTGCTCTTTCTCCCTTTACCTTGTGATCCCGCTGCCGATGGACTGCATCCTGGTCAAATTCTTTCTCTCTCCGAGCCATCACGATAGCGGACGTCGCGGTCTCACATATGAGAATGCACGAGAGCCATCCTTGACCGCCACATATCCGGTCGTTAAAGGTATTGTCCAATCTGTGAAACAATACCGAACAGCCTCGGAGAGAGTCGAATTTAGCTCTACAGCGCAGTCTACCTGCACCTTCATTTCAACCGCTACCAACAAAACACCACTAATCGCCATAACAGAAAACAGAACTCGGCCCTTATGCTTTCGAGGAAAGAATGCCTGAATGGATGCTCAACAAACTCCAAGAGGGTGAACCAGTGCGAAGAGTGAACCGCATCGGCAGGAACGGCCAGCTCTGTACGGATCGTATCGTCGACAACGAGGTTCCAGGACTTGTTCCGGTCATCGCGAATCTTTGTACTACACCGTCCAACAACCTTCAAGCAGTTTAGGTCTGTCACCCGAGTGTTCAGCATGTGTTCAGAGGCCAGAGACAGACACACTTCTGTGGATACAGAAACATCCAAATGCTGGTATCATATCTGCAAGGTACGAAAGCAAGGGACCATGAACGCTTCGGAAAAAACTTGCCTGGCGTACTCCGACTCCAAGAGATGATCGAAGAAGCCTGGGATGATGGAAATGATGTTCTTGCCAGACAAGAGACTGGCGGTATTCTCAACACAAGGAAGTGGATCGGGACGCCTGAGGTACGTGCTTTATTCAGCTTCATCAGCTCACCCGTTGTATGAAGCACAGCACTTCCGTCGTTCCAAGCACTTCAAGTTCCTGTCCGACTGAGTAGCCAGCCATATGATTGGTATATCTGTCAAACAAGTCGCTTACTTTTGAGTTCCAGGTAGAGTCGCTTTGCCTTCACCTGAACCTGCCCTACTTTCAACGTGCATTCTCAAAGACAAAAGGCAAGAAAGCCCACGAGGAGCTACTGGACTTCGTCGAGAATTACTTTGCCCGGGGAAGCGCAGACGAACAAACCAAGCTACACAAAACCCATCAGGCCCCAATCTACTTCCAGCAACCAGGACACTCCTTGACGATCGTTGGCCTCGAGCGCTTCAATGATGGCAGTCGTAACCTATTGGTCTTCGACCCATCATTTGGGCCTTCGCAAGCTTTGAAAAGCCTGCTCGTCAGACCGTCAAGTGCTACGGTGCCAGCAAAGACGGCAGATCACCTGCTCAAAAGCTATAGACGTACCATCGCTCAGCTGGCAAAGTATGATGAGTTCGAAGTTTTGGTGTAAGCTTCGATTTTAATTTCACATTGCGAATTAATGCTGAGATCAACCACAGTCTTCAGGCCCAGGAACATCCAATATAGCCTGTAGGTTTGCTCCGCTACTCGCTTGACCATCATCTGACGTATATAGATTATCGAACAAACGTCTCCGACTCGCTACGTGGATCTCTTTGTCCGCGGATTGTACATGGACTGTTCTCTACCACCAAGGCTTGTTCCGCGATATCAGTGGTGCGGAATACTCGACACTTGGGACGCTCGAATTATCTCCGACGATGAGTTTGAGAGCAGAATCGAATACGATTGGTTGATGTTGCCATCATCGGCCTGGACTTTCGACAACAAGTGAACACAACAGTACTATTACAACACGCCGAATCAGGGAAAACATTCACCAGTACAGTCAAGCCTTATCAAACCGGAGCTGTAAGTTGCAAGTCACCACGAGTTCAATGCATACAATCCGGTGCCTGGTGCGCCGTGCAGCTCACCAGTTGATCTGTCGGGCATGATGGAGCAGATGACTCTTTGGGCTTGACGAACTGTCGGGCTCGGTTGATGTGCAGCGACTCACGTAATCATCGGGAGCATAGGTATACATTTCATAGTCTTTGTCTATCGTATCATTCGCTTTGCCACGACCGTATGTCAACACCTAGTAAGTACCACAAAAACGTGTCATTGCGAAAAGAAAGATAAGACATCCGTAAGCATCTCTCCGACCCAGAGCAGAAAAGAGGATCTAAAGAACAACATTTCACACGAAGACGGAAAGCGGAGAGAAATGGTATGTATGCAAAAGGCATGAGCCTCTATTTGTTCGTCTTGTTTATGAAGAAAAGCCCCCTTGCGAACGCCGGCGCTCTGGAAATGTGTAGGTTTCAATTTTCTATGACGACCTGCATGTATGGTGTGCGACAAGGCACTTGCATCTTTCCATTCGATGCTGTTTCCGTTCATTCCCTTTCCGTGCTGTGCTGCGTTGTGCTGTGAAGGGAAATAACAGGGAAAAAGGGAAAGAAAGGAAAATTGGTGAAAGGGGGAAAGTGAGCAACGGTGAAGTGGGCGAAGTGGGTTGAAGAAGAAGAGGCTTTAAACCTCACCCTCATCCTCCATGTCCTCCTCCTCATCAGCGACTTCCTTCTTGACGACCTCTTCCTTCTCATCGTCATCTCTGTCGGCGCCCATGACGGCATCGTCACTGCTCTTGTTGCCAGCATTGCTGTCGTCGGTGGCGGTCTCAGCGACAGTGGCACCCTCAGTGGTCTCCACAACGACAGAAGAATCAGCAGCGTCGGCGGTCTCGATGGTGGTCTTGGGGGCAACAGCGCGCTTCAGTCTCTTGATGTTCTTCTCGTCGTCCTCGTCTTCAGAGGAAGTGGTGAAGGTGGCAGGCTTGCGCTTGTTGGTAGTGGCCTTGGGCTTAGCAGCAACCTTGGGCTTAGCAGCAGCTCTGCCCGTCTTGGCAGCGACCTTTCTCTTAGCAGCGACGGGCTTCTTGACCTCAATCTCCTCCTCGTCGCTGGCGTCCTCGGCCTCGGCGTCATTGTCCTCCTCCTTCTTGACGGCGACTTTGATCTCATCTTGATCTTCCTCGTCCTCGTCGTCAGAGTCGATCTTCTTCTTGGTCTGGGTCTTGGATTTGGCGGCGGTGCCTTTCTTGGTAGCGGCGGGTTTCTTGGTCGTCTTTGTGGTGGAGGCGCCAGTGCCGAGGATCTTCTTGCGGCGGGTCTGGTTCCAGCGGGCGCGGGCGATGGTGCCGTCCTTGTAGTTCATCTCGCCGGCAACGGCATCCCAGTCGGACTAGAGAAGAAGAAAAATGTTAGTGGTTGTGTTTGGGGAAGGAGAAGAGAAAAGAAAAGATAAAAAAAGGGGAAGAAAATATTGAGAAGGAGCGGTGGGGGAAGTGGATGAGGAAGAGAGATGGCATAAGAAACAGAAAGGACAAGGATAGGATAAGACAAAATGAAATCGGAATGTGATAAAGGAGGATCAAGATGGGTGTAAGATCGTGAGTGTGAAAGAGTGAACACGGTTGAACCGCGAGACTTGCAAAGACATGACCCAGAACGCCCACGACGAGGAACGGGAATATGCATGAGATCGTAAGATGCAGAACGGGGATGTGCGCAGAATGGCAGTGAAACTGCGGCCGTGAAAAAGTGACGGTCAAACCGCCAGATCTGTCAGGAGAAGACCCGGGATGCGCATGACAAGGAACGATATGGGCATGAGATCGTGAGGTACAAAACCGGAATGCGCGTGGAATCGTGAAGCGCAGAACCGGAATACGAGCGACATGTGAATGCGCGAAACCGAGATGCGCACGAGATCGTCGAGTGCAAGACAATGACAAGAGAATGGAAACATACCTGGAGATCGCCTTCAAGGTTCTTCATAATGCTAATCAACAGCTTGGTCTCGCCAACGGAGAAGGTGGTGTCGGCGGCGTCAGACATGATTGCTGATGTTGTGTGGTAGTGTGGTATGGTGTTTGATGTTGATTGATCAAAGAGATCGTTGTTGGTATGGATAGAAGCAAAGTATCAAAGGCGCAAAGGATGATTTGCGTTTCTGGTATGAGAAGTAGATGGATGTTGAAGAAGAAAGGATGGAGGAGACGAAGCGGTGGCAGAACTTATAGTCAATTGGAAAGGCGGTATGAAAGTAGAATCGGAATCGTCAATTGTTGTGAAGAATCGTTCGGAATCACAATAGAAGCAAGTGACGGGAATTCGGTTATTCTGCTACCAAATTTTGGTGCGGCCATGACCGGAATCGTTTCATATGATTTCGAGATATCTCGAGATATCCCGATTCACTTTCGGAATCGGCGTAGAACGATGATTAAGACCTTGTCTACATAGAAATTTGGATATTCATGCATGCAAGAATTGATGTATGTACCCAAATAGCCACCTGGCACCAGTATAGGACGTATGACCTTTACGTTGGCAGTATGGAGCACATACACGATGAAAAAATGGACGAGATGGGACGTTTATCTGGGAGTTGATCTCTTGTACCCTTCGGTTGGAAGTGAAGAGACGGTTTTAACATACATGATATGATGAATAAGCACAGCTCAAGTACAGAGGTCTGCTTTCTCTCGATGGAATACCTTCGATGAGCGGAATTACACAACGGTGGTGCCCACCGACGAGACGCATAAGAAGCCCAGACTCCATCTCAAACTCCCCATAATCAGTGGCAAACTGCAGTTGCTTCTTCGATGTCGGCAAAGCTAAGCAGATATTTGAGATACTTCAGCAAAGTACTCCTCATTGGATCATGGCCTGATTGAACAACATGTCATCGTCAGCGTCCTATTCCAGACTCATGTGCTCTCGCTTCAAGCTGGAGCCAGTGTTAGTCGATGAAGCTTCGACACGAGCTCTTTTGTTTGCGGCAGGGGTGCTCGTACTTTCAGGGCTTGGAGCGGGTTTCTTCTTGTATGGTTTAGGGTCGGTGGCCCCGGCACGAAGGCTCTTGTCTTTCTTCATCTCCTCACCACAAATCTCGACCATGCGAGCAAGGATATCGCGGCGAAACTGGAAAGGTACGATGGGGTAACAGCCAAAGGTGTTTGGCGTCCACTCCCTGCGGAAGTCTTCCAAGGTAGCGGGTTCCTTGAACAGGTGAGGGAACTCGAGAGCCACGGCAAAGACAGTGGAAGAGCGGATAAGCGAAGTTGTCTTTGACGGTGAGAGGTGCCATCCCAGTTGAGCTTGACCTTTTTTGCAGAGAAGTTCGCTTTTTTGGCCGGTCGTTGGGTAGTAAACATCGAAGGTTGATACGGTGACAGTGCGAAATCTCAACTCGTGGCGAATGCAGGACTTCAACTCAGTGACCTCATCGCAATTCAGATTGAGTAGTACTCCCACAATCTGTTCGGGCATGTCGTCCTGAAGGTAGATCTCGAGCCATCCGTCGAATGTGGGCGCTTTGAAACCAAAACGCTTAGGCTTCTCGCCATCGTCGTGGGTAGCAGTGAGAACTTTCCAAGGTGGAGGCATTGCGGAAGAGAGAAAGCTAACGACTTTGGCAACTTTGCAGAGGATGGTGCGTTGTTGTGACAGCCGAAAGAGAAAGCGAGGGTGATGAGCTCGGAAACGAGGGCAATGGAAACGGAAAACACGCTCATCCGCCAGGATGAAATGTAGTTGTGAGATCGAGTGCAGGATTCGGAAGTTGGAAAATTGCGGCGACAAAAGGCTGGCCGTCTCCAGTCACATGCGAAAGAAAGAGCTCTCATCTTGGAAAGGAAGGCACAGCCCAGCCAAGAGTAGAACTGGCGAATAGAAACAGCCATCATCTCGTGAGACAGAAACCTTTGCTGTCTGCGAACAAAACATTCTGCGCGCCAGAAGCTAGCAGTACATTGAACTTTTGAAGTGGGGGATAAATCTTGTCAAGAGTGATATTATTCCAGTAGCCGTGACAATTGAACTTTCGTGTCAGGAGTTGTCTTTATCTTCTATGGGCCTATCTTGAATTCTCGCTCTGTGAGCAGTTCAACACCTGCAAGCAGGCTCTCAAAACGACCAACTTCTCAGGTTGTTAATCCTCTCCGCGAAACACCCTGATCTCGACCAATGGCTCTTTCCACATGACCTTCCTTTTGGCCTCCCATATCGCTCCATTCTGCTTCTCCTCTTCCTTCTCTTTTCTCTCTTGCTCAATCTGGACCTTGATTCCAGCCACTCTTTCGGAAAACCGATGCTTTCAGTTCAATGGATGCGACGGTGGTGACTCCCTGTTACTCAATTGTGAGCATGTATCTTGACATGAAGTAGAGGCTGGAAAGATGCTCACCTACACGCCAGTGCCTTTGATCTCAGCTATGAATTTGTCCAGTCCGTCAGTGACAGTATCTGCTGCCAAGATAGAGAGGCGAGAGACCGCATCAGCGTATACAGCTGAGACTGTGGCCTCGGTGTAGAGGTGCGTACTTGCATACTCGCCGAAGCAGATCATGGTATTCGTGAGGCTGACTGCCATGCTGTCTCGAAGTTGTTCGAGCTGAGGGATGAAGCTTTTTACAGTTGGTGCTGGTTCGCGCATCAGATGCATGGCGAAAAGGTCCTCGAGAGCTGGAAGTCCATCCTCTTCTTGGGCAGTGTCATCACTGGCTGGCAAAACTGGAGGCGATGATGCCTGCTCAGTCGTTGTAATCGACTCGATGGTATTTCCCTCCGCTCCAGAAGCCCAGGATGACAACACATAGGCGCAGAAAACAACAAAGGTGCTGCCGTGTCTGAGAACAGTGACTAAGCAGAGCTGAGTTTCGACACTCAAGACATTGAGCAAAAGAAGCAGCGTCAAGGTAAGAGCCAGGATGCTTAGAGTGTTGGGATACATGTAGATGTCGTGTATGATGATCTGACGCAAGAGGAGCTTTGCAGTCTGGATCCTACCGATGCTGATGTCGTAGGTTGATCTGACGAAGCCAACAAGTGGAGCGATGGTCGCGCCCATGAGCTTTCGGTGAGCTCTGGCGGTACGATGGTGGAGCTTGACCAGAGCAGAGTACACGTAATGATAAGAAGTGTGGGAGAGCTTGACCATAGCCTGACCTTCACGAGATGCGCAGATATTGCCAAAACTCGTGATGATATCATGAACCACAAGAAAAGGCAGCCTAACGAAGCAAGAAACAGAATCGCGAACTCCATTGGCAATTTCGGGGACATATTCAATGAAGATCAAGAACACGAGCATGTGGAAGATGTAGAGAAAGGTGGAGATGTATGGATAGGCTTCGAGAGCGGTCCATGGAAGGTGGTTGATGGTCCAGATCATTTTTGCTGCGTTCTTTGATCGATGATGGAGAAAGTAAGGTGCAGAATGGAGAGGGAAAGAACGCATATGAATTGGTCATGATGTCTGCCTGGACATGTGTTGCGAATTGGAGTGTGAAAGTGTTGGTTTGAGACATTAATCTCAGTCTCACACCGTTCAAGGAAATACGGATTGTTAGAAGACAGCATCGATAAAGAACCTAATCGGCTCTAAGATAGTATTTTCACTGGGTTATAGTTAGGGAAAGTGCATGGGAGTTCAGAGAGACCTTTGTTTTATTTTTGACGAGAAAATCTTGGAGAATATTCCACGCTCCAACTCTCCTGGATATCCCTTTTTGCACGCATCTGTGCTTCTCTGCCTGTCTCTAGGGGCTCAATCCGAACCTTTCAGCAATCTCTGCAAGCTTTCCTTGCTTTGCTTGCTACTAATGTCGTTCGAAGCATGTAAAATGGTTCGTAGCACGAACCAATTCACCTACACATCCTCTTATTAGTACCATCTCTCCCAGGACCACAATCAACCATCAACATACCTTTCATCAACCCCTCTTCTCCCACAACTGATCAGCCAACGCATGAACATGATAGTCCACTTCTTTGCGGCAAGATCCCATCAGCTCATCAACACCTTCCTCCCACTTGTCCACCTTGCCATCTTGACCCTGAGCTCTCATCTTGTTCAGACTTTGCAGAATCACATTGCTGAGACTGATCTTGAGTTCGTCTTCCAGGGTTGAGAGATGGCTGTGGATATCGCTGATATCGATTGATGGGGTTGAAGACTTTTTGGATGAGGCAGGGGATGAGGTTTCAGAATCGGAGGAATGGGTGGTAGAGTGAGTGGGGAGGGTGGAGTATGCGTTGCTGGGCTTGCGAGAGTGATTGTGCTTGGATTTTGTCATTGTGGGATGTGATTTGGGAGATGTTGAATTGTGGATAGGAAATCTGACAGGCGGTATGGGTCGGCTTTGGCTGCTTATATATCATCAGCTTTCTGAGAAGCTGACTGGTACGAAGGAGCAGAGTTTGCTGAGGAGACTTTGGGATCAAGGAAGAATGGCAAGATATGCTTGAAAGTATTTTCTGGACGCAGGATTGGATACATTCAAATATACAAAAGCTACGTCTTTGGTAAAGAAGAAGGGCGGTGTTTCTAGCAACAAGGAATTGAGTTGACCTAACATTCCAAATTACCTTGTTCTAACACGCGTACTTGTGTCCTTCTCGTTTCTGCTTTCTCTCTGCCGAAAAACGAGAAAGATCTTGAACAAGTTATCATAGTCCCTCTCAATCGAAAAGTGAACTAAGTATTTTTCTTGCTCACATTCAATGCCGGCGTGCCATGCAGGGGCATCAAACGAGTTCTTGATGATCTCTACATCTTTTGAGGAACCTAGGCTATTCTTTAGAGTACAACTCAGTCCAGTGCGTGCATTCGTCACAATGTCGAAGAACAATGCCAGCAAAGATGGCAGAAAGCTGCAAAGAACTCCTAGAAGGCAGGAAGTGAGGTGTGACCGAGTGCACCAGTTATGCATGTACAGGATGCATACAGCTATGCATACTAGCATGACATGGCGTGTGCATCTCGGCGAAAGTAGAAGATCCACCGGTCAGGGCTAATTTTATCAGATGAAAATTTCTTATCAATCAGATCAATCTTTTCGACGCTAAGAAAGTACCGAGGTCGGCGTTACTGTTCGCAACCATCCAGGTGATTCTTCATGCGCTGCTTCGATATGTATCGCGTCCACTGGAATTGGCAGAGTGTGTTTTTTGGCGTGAGCAAACTTGACTGAGGGAATTCAAAGCTCGAAAAGTTCAGTGTGAAGATACTTGACCGCCTTTGTAGGCTGCAGGAACTTGTGATGCAGGTTTATTGTGAGGGTGGAGACACATCGAGATGCATGTCACTGCCGCTTAGCGTCGGGACCAGGAGTGGACAGAGCTTCTTTCTGTTGAGCGAGAATGCAACATATTCTTGCCTCTTGTCTGACACGCGATGAAATGACTTGTGAATTGGCGATGCTGGCATGAAAAGAAAAAGAGAATTGACATCGTTCTATACCAAGATCATAAGACTTTTGTGTATCCAGCTCTTAAACAAACACCAGAACCGATATGCCGCTGCAAGAAACACCGTTGCGCCAAACTAGAAAGTACCAACTATTATGCAAACGACTTCTTGAGATATTCGTAAATGGAAAAGATAATGGCAGAGCTCGGTGCTGAGCGAGCGACGGTAATACCGCAACCACGGTACAAGCCTTTGAGACCGTGCTGCCTCCAGAGAGCACGAGCAACAGAGCCAAATGTCTTTTGCTTCTGACCAGGGAGGAGAGCGCCCACAGCCTCAGTCTGCATGCGCGATTTAATGGTGTCGGCTGGATAGAAGAGGAAGTTGTAGCTCATGCCTGCAGCGCCTCCAGCAATCATCTGCTGGTAAAGAGGAAGGGATGTGTCTGAGGAGATATTTTTCTCTTTCTGCAGGTTCTTGAAAGCGAGAGTGACAGACTCGTATGCGCCGAACCAAGCAGCCGAACCACCCATCTCACGGATGAGGGTACCCATTTGTCCGTGCCAGAAGCCAGCGATACCATGGTGACGGTACACAGAAGAGATCAAGGCCATGGGTCTGGGACGATTGAAGACCCCTGGCGAAGTCTCGACAGGAACTTGCATCTTGCATTTGATGAGCTCAATCGGGGTGAGCAGCAACGAAGCGAAGGCGCCAGAGAAGGCACCACAGCCGAGCAGGGCGTGCAGCGGTAGGGGGTCGGTGTTCTTGTATACGGTGGCTTGAAGAGCGTCCTGAGCGACCTGGTAGCTGAAGAACAGACTACTGGTCTCGACAGCGGCTCCAAACAGAGGAGCGCTGATACCACGGTAGAGGCCGCTCAGACCGTCACGACGGAAGGACTGGCGGAAGCAATCGACAGGACCGGTATAGCGTAGGGGCATGTTGTCGGGCTGGGACTGCAGGCGGACCTTAACAGTGTCGAAAGGGTACTCAATGTACTTGCCGGCCATGCCAGCGAAGGAACCAAAGACGACATCTTTGAGGGCAGTGATGGCTTGCTGTTGAGCCTGAGTAGGCTCTATATGTTTAGCCAGCGAGTCGGCAGGGAGGACATGGTGTGCATCGCGGACGTCCATCAGCAATTCGTGCTTTCTCCGAGGAAGCGTGAGTGGATTGGAAAGAGTTGAGGAGTTTGTCGATGCTATCGAGGGAGCATGGTATGTGGAATACAACAAGTGCACACGGATCGATTTGAATGGTACGATTAGGAGAGAGAGAAGAAAAGACGGAAACAGAAAAATGTTGGCGATGGAGGGGTGAATTTTTGGGCAGCCCGCTAGGGTTGAGTCTTGACGCTCCTGCATCTTTCATGTGTCTAGCGCCCGGGCCTCGTTCCTTCCGCTGCGGCTGTGGAGAAGCCTCTGCCACCGCGACTTCGGCAGGCAGGAGCAGACGACAAGAACGAGTCGAGATTGTGCAAGGCCAAGACTTTGTGTTACCCCACATTCCCTCCCTGTGAACATTTGCGTTCTCCAGAAAAGTATTCTCTGATCAACCATAATTCTGTATACCACAATCATGTCTACCGTCACATCTGAGAGCTCTGTCGCTACCATCCCGCAGGTCACGGGTATGCGTAAGAATGGTGAGTCCTTTCCCGCTTCTTCAAATCGCGCATGCGCCTTTTGTCCGCAAACTTTATACGCCTTCGATCCGCAGAGGCGGCGCGTCTTTTACCATGTGACTGACGGATAATCAGGCAAGCAATGGCACGAAACCAAGAAGGCATTCCGCCCTACCGCCGGACAGACATCATACGCAAAGCGTCAAGCCAAAGACCAGGCCCTCGCCGTTGTCAAGGCACAGGAGAAGGAGATGAAGGAAGAGAAGGAGACAGAGCGCAAGGTCAGACAAGCTCGAAGAATACATCTTTCCATGGACAGCAACTAACACACTTGCAGAGACGTATCACAGCACTCAAGGAGAAGCGCGAGGCAAAGGAGGAGAAGGAACGCTACGAGAAAATGGCAGCCAAGATGCACCAGAAGAGAGTCGACAGACTGAAGCGCAGAGAGAAGAGAAACAAGCTTCTCAAGTCATAGAGGAGTATGAAAGAAGTGGTGAAGAAGTGGTGAAGAGGGCAAGGCAAACAAGCATTGAGAGATACCCTGATTGCATATACAAGGCGTTTTGGCGTGGAACGGGAGTTGACAAGGACAACAAATGCATACTCTTTTCTTCTGTTCTCAAGCAATTGCATCCATCTTTCATGCTCCTTCCTTTTCGAGAATCTGGTCATCCAAAATAAAGTGTGACGTAGAGCAGGAGTTTAGGCCCAAACTCCGGAGATTGCGCGACTGCGACCATGACCACAACCTTCCTGACTTGACGACGACTGTCTAATATGGCACGCAAACATGGACAAGAAAGAAAAGAAAGAGAGGAAAAACTCTAGCCATCATCGCCCACACCGTCACCATCATGCGCGCGACACAATCACATCAGCCGTTCAACTGCAACATCCTTTCTCCTTCGAGAACTACAATCCTTTGCGACGAGCTCAACACCATCATCACCACAGGTCCCGTCGTGATCGATCGCCAGAAAAGTCGGATGCAAACAAAGACGGCACCAACGACGAACAAGAGCAAGAACCCCCCAAGCCACAATGGTCGCCCGAGGTAGAATATGCCGTCGACCATCCGCCGCGTCGTCTCGTCACTCCCGACACCATTGCCCTCGAGCGCCAACTACGTGAGCGACGCCAGGACCATGTATCTTCCGCCTTGAATGCCCTGTCGCGCGACGCACACACGGCCACCCGGAAGTTGGACGACACATACTATGCTCTGCTACAAAAGGTCGGCCTGCTCAAAGCCACCATCGCTTCCTTCCAAGACCTGCACTCCTGTCTCGACGAAACCACACAAGATTTTGCCACACGATCAGACTCACTCGTCAAGGACATCACTGGTCAGATCGACGCCTTCCAAAACATGTCACAGCAGGACGAGTCCATCGACCAGCTAGTCAAGCGATTACACAAAGCTAAGGAACGAGCAGAGTCCTTCGAATCCAGATTGGAGTCCTGTCGTCTGCGTCTGGAGCAATGGGAAAAGAAAGAGCAAGAAAAGAACAAACGCAACAACCGCACCTGGGCTTTGGCCTTGACTGGCCTGACCGCCTTCGTCATTCTCATTCTCGCCATCGTGTTATGGAGGAAGGGTTCACTTGCTTCTGTCACAGAGAAGCCTTCAGAGTGGAAGGAAGCTCTGGGTCTCGAGAGAAACAAGACTGCCCCTGGTATACACCTCGCCGACCCCAAGGAAGAAAAGTTACAGGCCAAAGAAGCTGCAAAGTGGGATAGGTTGCTTGACGAACTATGAGTACAAGCTTCTGAATCCACACTATTGTTCTCCTTCTCCACGGCTCGTTTGACCACGTGAAGATGGAGCTGTCATACTCTCACTGGAACTATAGAGCTCACAGCAGAACACCTCACGAGGAACGCCCCGTAAGAATACACGATGTGTTTGAGCTTGGCACAGTCGTCCCCCGAGAATCATTGTTCCATCCGCTCTCACTGGACAACCGCCTATACTTGGAAAATATCGTGCATTTCTATGAGCTGGACTGCAGTGCGGCGCGACCATGGAGTATGCGACTACCGCTACGACCCGGGGCCGACGTCCCGACCTCACGAGGCACTTCTGTCCTACACGTCAAAGTGCAAGGAATTTTTAACAGCCAAAAGAGTGGCCAAAGAGACTCGCTAGTTTCTCCGCTCTCTTTGGACAAACTGACTGTTCTGTAAATCACTCTGTCTCTTGATGTTGCTTCGCCCGGCATACCGCGAACGGGAGATTTATAGTAACGGCCATGGCCTGGGGATGAGATCTCAACCTTACGACTGTATCTCTGTAATGCGTGTCAAACTGCAAGATGTTTATTTCTGTAATCGGAGGATGTCCGAAGAGAGCAACGGCCGCGTACGCTTTCACTAAGCAACTCGACAGACACCAAAAGCAATGTGCCTTTCCATGGTACTACAAGATGGTGGTCACGAACATTGGGATCATATTGGGTGTGCAGATTGTTCTCTCTCATTCATGGGTCCGCAAATAGCTATCTGTGTTCAGCAACGCGTACATGTGTCAAGCATCACTTTGCGGCACGTGAAGGGTTGCTGATGTGTCTCAACAAGACCTCAACGACAGTGCCTTCGGCGTCATCTTGGGGATAAATCTTCTTGGTCTTCCTTGAGTAGATGCTCAACTCCTTGAGCGAGTTGAAGTGATGGACCTTCTTGTCCATGCGGCGCGCATCCATCAGGTCGACGAGGTTGACATGGAGTTTTCTGAGTGCCTTCAATTATGCAGTCAGTAACTATCGTGGGAGTGGATCGCGCATCTGTCAAATACCTTCTTGCACTCGATGAATGTATCCAAAGGCTCGATCTCGAGTTCAACGCTCAGGTGCTTGAGGCGTTCGTGCTTGTCGTGGATGTGAAGTGAGGCATAGTGACCTTCTAGCTCTTCGTTATAGCAGGTCGCTCTCTGATGCTTCATTTCTTCCGGCTGCCAGTTCTGCGTCTTCGCAAGGCGGTTGAACTCATTTCTGATGCTGCGACGGGGGTATTGAGTGAAAGCAGGAAAGCGATCGAAGTAGCTGGCGTGGATGGAGGCGGAGGTTGAAGACATTGGTACTGATTGCGCTCGATGACAGATTGTTGAGCGAGTGTCAGAGCCTGAGGATTCGTTTGCGCAGTCGGAAGAGACTTTGGTTGCGGCGGAAGGGATGAGAAATTGTTTCCTGCACCGAGTTGTGGAAGGTGCGACCAGTACTGCCAAATCTTCAAACTCGAGGCTGGCTTGGAGTGTTGAAAATGAGATGGAAGGAGCCAAAGTCAAGCTTTTTTTGACTCGTCTTTGAAAGCTGCTGACGCCGGATCGTTGCTCAAATCGGTTTCTCTGAGCACATACTTCGCCTCCAGTACCGACAAGACGAAGGACTGCTGAAGCATTCAACACCTGACACCTCTCCACCGCCGTTCTCCTACATCATTCGATGGAAATCCCAACTCCTCGACCCTCGAAACTTCAATGTACTCGACGGCACACACGCCGACTATCCAAAACATGGTCCGAAAATCCTTTCCGTCCTCTGGACCTCTGCGCAAAGTCCTGATAATCCTTGTGCTTTCTTTCGTTTCCCATGGCGGGCTTCTACTGCCAGCTGGGCGCCGATATGACTTCTTGGAAGATTCGTACGATGATTCAAAGCAACGCTACCAATGATCAGAGGATAACGCTCTTAGTAATACACTATTCGACTACCAACAGGAATTTATCAAGATAGAAGACTCAACTCGGAAACAACAGCTCACCATCCCAATCAGCAAAGACACGAGACATCATATCACAAAAAAGAAGCGATGTTCAACACTGGCGAAAGCACACTTCAACAGAAGGTCTCTACTGCCAAACCTGGCCGAGCATAATAGCTGCGGCTTCATGTGCAACTTCACACACCAGCCATACGGCCGAGTGGTGTTGCCTTGAAAAGAAAAAGGCTGGCTAGGAGGTGGAAGAGGGAGCTTTTATAGTGTGAGAGAAGGAGCATCGCTTACATAAGCGCGCTGACTGAGCGATCTACGAATGGGAATTGGGAAGTGCTATTGGTCAAGCATTTCGAGCGACGTGGTTGGTCGAGAGGTAGGCAGCGACGACATCATGGACGGTCTGGGCTTTGCGAAGATTCATGTGAGTAGCGGAAGAGACGGGATGAATACAGGAATTGGCTAGGATGAGGGACGTTTGACATCCTGGGATCATGTTGTTTGATCACGAGGTTGAGATGAGAAAGAGTTGGTTGACCACAGTGTAAGTCCTACTCCTGCATATTGTCCATCCCCAAACATCCTGGGAATATTGTTTGAGGTCACAACAATGTCCTTCTGGAGTCACTATCCTTCTCAAACGTCTCGGACTTCACAACTGGTATCTCATCTCCAGTTCCTTCTCAAGCAGCACTTCCGAGATTGGCTTTGGGATGTCTTAGATGCTTGTGAATCTCCAAGCAGTCACTGAAAGCAGCATCCTTGGCATCGGTGTTGTACTAAGACCTAGGGTCGGGGCTAACGCAGGAGTCCAACACAGTAACATCTGTGATCATATATACATTGAGCTCCTCCATTCACGCAACTTCGATTCAATTCTTCCCCTTCATATCTTGCACCAACACAGTCAGCCCCAAAGATCAGCTACAGTTTTCGCAATCACAATGGATCCCGCCTCTTTACACCAGGTCATCATATGCCTCCTCATCCTTTTTGTCGCCATCTTCAACTCCAGAGCCATCACCAACATTATACGCCACGCCGTCGTCGACATTGTCTTTCTTCCATTCCTTATAGCCAGAGATCTCATTGCAGCTTTCGAGCTTCTATTGGCATCTCACGAGGCTAAAGCCATTGCAAGAGCTTTGTTGACCGTCGCCGTTGTCCTCGGAAAGTTCATTCTTCTTGCTTTCTGCCTCCTCTACTGGGTCATCATGTCAACTCCGAGCAAAGACGACGAAGGCCCGGTCAAGGCTGAAGAAGATGGTCATCCATCAAAGTCAAACAACGAGCCCCACCACTGCCAACCCAACAACGAGCCCACGCTTGATAAGGAGGTTCTCGACAAGGAGATTCTTGGCGATAACAACTCTGAGCTCGTCTTTCCACATGACAACTCTATCCAGCCCGATTTTCCACTTCCCGCCTGGATAGAAGACTTTAACCCTTGCGAAGTCTTTCTTCCCATGCCACCCAGTTCTACTCAAGACAATCTCCAAGCACAGATATCCTTCTCTGAGCAAAAGGCCGCCATCTTCCACGACTTGGCCGAAGCTATCGAAACGCGTGACCGATACATCAAGGAGAAGTCTGAGCTAAAATCTGCTGAAGGATTTGAGGAATTGTTTGAGGCAAAGCTTTCGTATTTCAATGACTGCATTACTGTCTGGGAGGATGTTGTGCAGGAGTGCCAAAAACAGTACAAGAAGTTTGCTGATGCGGCATGATTTCGACGGTCAAAGTCTGTCCCAGCTATGCTTGCGTGAGGTTCATGTTTCCGCTTGCCGTTCCCAAGTGCCTCCTGTTATTCCCACTCCCTATCTCGTCTTCTTTCGTCTCAGTTGGAGCCCATGCGCTTGAGAAGAACACGGATGCCTTCAGACTTGGCAGCTTGCTTGGGGCAGTACATCTTCTTCTTTCTGGTGTACTTGCTGAGAGTCTTGTACGACTCGAAGATGCGAACTTGCTTGCCCTGACGACGAGCATTCATTAAGTCGACCAAGTTGACCTTGACTTTGTTGAGGGTCTGTTTTAACTCTCATGTCAGCCTCATTTCCGTCTTGTCTTTTGCTCATAGAATCAAACCGTACCTCTTTGCACTTGTTGATGGAAGGGGGAATATCCTCCACACAGAGCTCTGCGCACAACATCTGCAGCTTCTTCAGGGGTGTAGTGAGGCCCTGGGCAACAGAGAAGTCGGCCAATTCATCTTCATAACAAACGGCGCGGAAACGCTCAGCCACCTCCTTGGGCCAGTTCTGCTGTTTGGCTAGGCGGTCGAACTCCTTTTTGATAGAGGCCCTGGGGTCGGGCTCGAAGCTCGGGAAGAGCTCGAAGAACGACATTGTCTGCGCGACTCTTCATCAATATATGCAAATTGAATGTGAATTATCACGAGAACTTACTAGAGTGTTCTGAACTTCAATGACCTCGATGAGGATCAAGCGAGGGCTGGAGATCTTTGCTGGTCGCGTGTTGGATGTGTCTGTTTGTGAGGAAAGTCGAGTTGTTCTCGACAACAAATACCTTCACCTCCATGGCTTAATCGAGGACGGCGCCTATCGATCTGTGCTCTCTATACACGCTCTTCAGTGTGGAGCCTTTGCGTCGTGTTCGTGGTCTTGCGAGCTTCCGAGGCCGAACGTGATCCAAGACAAGAATTGAAGTGTCTTACCCACCTCTCTCTTTGAGGTAGCATCTTGAAGACAGAACCACAGTGATCTGGTCTCAGACCTCTTTGTACGTCTTTTGACATGTCTCAGTGATCCGGAAATATGAAATCCAACATCAGTAGCTCTCTCCACTATAATATCACCTCCCTCTCTTCTCAGCCTTGCGTTCTTCTATCCACAATCTATCATCACCAGCCACGAGAATAACATGACTGCCTGGTCTGGCTCCTTCTTGCTCCCTATCTCTCAAGCTGCTCGTGCTTCCTCCGATTTCTGCATCACAATGGAAAACTTCGATGTCGCTATGATCTTCGGTCTCATTTTCTGCATCCTCGTCATTCATCACGATGATCTCAACAAGTCCACAGCTTTCATCACCAAACATCTTGCTTGTCTTTACCGTCTGCTGTTCAACGCTTTCGGCCACGTTCTCTCTGCTAGTCAACGCTTTGCTGTTCAAATGTCCACTACTGTCAAGGAGAGCATTGTAATTCCAGTCTGCCACAGTGCAACTGAACTCGCCCACGCTGTCCACGTTTACCTGGAAGAACTTCTCAACATGATCGTTATGCCGATCTACTACCGAGCAATTGATCTTGTCAAATCTGGTCGCGACTATGTCGTTGGTCTGGCCATTACCGCCCACGATCGTGCTGTCGACCTCCTACACAATATCAACAACTACTTCCAGGAGCTGAGAGAAGACGACGAGAGACTTCACAACATCTTCACTGTTCTGTCTCACGCCGTTTTTGCCGCCATTATCTTGTCTTCGGTCTACCAGTGGTTCTCTCTCTCCGGTCGTCTCTCCGATGGAGCTTTACGCATACTCTTTGCCGCACACCTCATCTTCTCCCACTGCATGATGGGCTTGATCTATGCTTCCGCCTCAGTCACGGAATTGATCTATTCTCGTATGCCTTCCATCGTCGACTCTATACTCGAGTACGTCAGCGGGGCACTCACAGAACACTGGACCATCCTGACCCCTGAAGACCTTCTGGAAACCCCCCTCTCATCACCCACCAACACAATCCCTCCCAGCCCGAATGACGACCAGCTTGATGCCGGAAAGCAAACTCAACCTGTTGCACAGAACACTTTGCACGATCCACTTGTATGCTTTGACTCATCTTCCACATTTGCAACACCTGCTGTGCACGCTACCGACGCGGACGACCTCAATAGACTATATGGTGATATGGAAGTGAGCTATGGTGAGGGCATTGAGTGTGATGATCGCGACAACCACGATGATTGCAACGATGCTGTCTTATCCAACTAACCCTTTCTCACCTAGGACGAAGATCAAAAAGTGCTCGAGTGTGCCTTTTTGGCATTTAAGGTCCATGATAGATTGGTGGTATGTGAGATGGAGCGATCGGGAAATTGAGTGGAAAGATAGAAAATGGTTTACAAGGAAAGGTTTGGTTTTCGGGAGTTAGGGGTTTTGATTGTAGTTTATCTTATCTCATGATTTACATGTTTTTTATCACTCGAGTATCCATTTTCTTACATTCATATCGGTTACTTTTTCGGAAAGGCAGTAATAATAATTATAGCGTGATCTTAGACAGTAGTATTCGAACCCAACACAATTGTACCAGGAAGATATGAACTCGATTCAGATGTATGGATCGCTGTTTTCGGCGGCCAGGAAATTTAGTTGTAATGTTTCATTGCTTTGCGATATCGACAGACTTTCCGCACAAATTGAAGTATTATAAACCATGTGTGCGGCAATCGCTTCACATCTCAGTCGCAGTGGTTTAGTGGTAAAATTCGTGCTTGCCATGCACGAGCCACGTGTTCGATTCACGGCTGCGACATTTGTTTTGTCCACTGCTCCAGGCACCAACTACCAATGATAGACTTTTTTTTGGATCCACGCAAAAGCAGTGCAAGCGTCAACGCACAATCAAGTTGGAGTTTTGGAAGGGCATGTTTTTTGGTTTTTATATGGACGTTTTGTTGGAATGCTGGTTCTACATGGTGTTGTTTGAGCTCGCTTGGGAAGAAGCGGAGGAAGTAGCGGTAGTTTGGAAATTTAGCTCGATGGATAGCTCGTATGCGTAGCATGAGTGTATAGCTTGGTAGATTTGCATGATAGAGAGGTGGACTTTTGGTGATCGAGGATGGTTTTGAATGTGCAGTGTTGTTATGACACCCTCAAGGCATCAGAAGGACCTCGACATTTCCACCCTCAACAAACCTTTTGAGGACCTTTGAGAGCCGCTCTTTGCGCCGGAGATCACGAGTCTCGACAGCGATAAAGTATCGACTGAGAGATTCGAAGCCACCCCGCTGATCGATGAAGCATTTCCCCCTGAGCGGAAACATTGAAGCCTTTGATCCGCAGAAAGGAAGTAGAGTCACAAAATCGCGAGCTGCTGATATTGCCCAGTATGGTACTTGGGAATAGTAGAGTGGATGCTCTTGCAGCCAATGGTCCCAGTCAAAGGTGTTGCAGAGACATGATGGCGTTTTCCAGTCGAGGAGGATGCGTAAACCTTTGTTCGACGTGATCTTTTGAAAGTTGTCTACTTTGGTGAGTTTGGGGCTGGAATGTATGCAGAGGCTAGATGTTTGGAGAGTGGTGGTGATTGTGCAATGCGAGTAGATCTCTTCGCTGATTTGCAATCTGACTTTCAGTATCGCCGGTAAGCCTTTGGTGAAGATCTGCTGGTCTTCTTGCGTGGTTTCGCGGTAGACCATTTGTCTTACTTCAAGAGGCAGCGAGAGGAAACCTGTCTTGGGTGTTCTTGAGATGGTCGGCGTAAGGATCTTCGACGGCGATGCGAGATATTGAACGCGTTGGAAGTCCACGGAGGGTTGGAATAGCTGATCCATAACGCCTTTGTATGTCCTGGATGCGCTGCTGGCGGTACGCGTAGTCTCACAAGCAACAGCAGTATGTAAGTGACCGGAACTTGTGTTTTGGTCTAGGATAAGTCTCCAACAGCGTGCTACTTTCTGGAAGTTGAAAGGTTGGATCAAAAGATTGATGTGCACAGGTGAAAGGTGATCAAGATTCGAGTCATCAGTACTCTGTGTGGATCGATGACTGGCTTCGAGACTCGTTGGACGCTGCTAGAAGATTATGGAGCCATGCATGTCAGTATGTCGCGCAAACTCCGCAAGGCAGATTTTGTATTGAGCTCGCAATGTTCATGAATGGGCGATCTTCATGTCCTGCGCGGTATCAAAAAGGCCCCGTTCTCGGCTCACGTCTTTCGTTTGAGTGGATTAATGTCGTATATTTCGTGTACCAACAAGTCTATTGTCGCTTCCAAGCAAGGCTTCATATTTTCTCAAATCTTAGCGGCCAGTCATCTTCTCTTCTCAACAGCTTCTCTGAGCTTGGCGATGACCTCTGAAGGGTCTTTTGCGCCGAAGACAGCAGATCCCGCAACGATGACATTTGCGCCAGCATCGGCAGCGACATCGATGGTCTTCTCGGACAGACCGCCGTCGACCTCGATGTTGAGTTCGGGATAACGCTTGCGCAGAGCCTCGACCTTGGGCATCATATCGGGCATGAATTTTTGACCACCGAAACCAGGCTCGACGGTCATGATGAGAACCATCTGTGTTGTACTAGTTAGTCTCTCCATCTTCTATCGTATTGGGCCGGTTTGTGCCTACATCGGGAACCTCATCCTGAGTCTTGCTATCCAGGATCGCGTACAGAACATCGACGGGAGTACCGGGCTTGAGAGCGATACCGGCTCTGAGACCTTGGTCGTGGATATACTTGATGAGCTCCTTGGGGCTGGTCTTCTTGTCGGACTTGGCCGAGGGTTCTTCGGCGGCGGTCGAGTTGATGGCGGCTTCGTAGTGGAAACAGTACAGGTCACAACCTGCGTTCTTGAACTCCTTGACCCACTTCTTTGGCTACTGGCGTCTATCAGCATTGCGTGCTTGGTGTCTGGTGTTGATGCTGGGAATAACTGACCTCGGCGATCATCATGTGGCAATCAAAGGTTCCCTTGCCGAGCTTCTCGCTAGGCCTGTCGACGTGAGGACGGATCATGGTGACGACGGGAGCGCCAAAGGTCATGTTGGGTACAAAGTGGCCATCCATAATATCGACGTGGAGCCAGTCAGCGCCGTGGCCGATGGTGTCTGAGCATGCCTTGCCTAGGGCGCCAAAGTCGGCCGAGAGGATTGAAGGTGCGATGATTGCCGGAGGTGCCATTGTATGTTTTGATGTCTGTATAGAGAGGAAGAGCAAAGTTACGAAGGCCGATCTGCTCGGTCGACACTGTGAACAAACGCCGAGTCTGCCCCGCTCACGTCACCGCCAGCTTGCCGGACGGGCCGATGTGTATCTATTGCCGGCCATAACACTTGGATCACTCAGCATCTTGCACTTAACAAGGTGATGAGACTCCACAAGAGCCAATAGTACAGCATCTGGCATCAGGACAAACACCTAAGGCCAGGGAAAGCAGGAGGTTCCTAGTCCAGAAGGAAATAGGCTCTTTTAAGAAGTTCATGGCCGCTTCTAAGATAGCGAGAACAACTCGATCATGTTTGATACATACTCAGATCTATCAGAAGCAGAGCGAACACCTCGAATAAGGTCTTGATGCCCAAATAGAGATTGTCAAGATTGTCAAGATTGTCAAGAATGACAGAATTGCTTTAGTTTGTATTGACAGGACTTGGCGGGCGTTGTCGGGTCAACAGACAGAGCCGGCTTGGATGGTTGCGACTTCCCGGGCGACTCTGGTTTATTCTTCGACACATGCGACACGAATACACAAAACATGACTTCCGGACCATAGCAATTTTGCGACAAGTAGTACTATCCAGCATCCCGCTACCAATTCATGGCGCACTATCAGTCAACTGCTTTCTCTAATTAACCACCATCCCCTCAGCGACATCACCTTTACCTTCATTGGAATACTCCCTCTACCTCAGGAAACACCGACCCTCGATCAGCCATAACAAACCTATCCCACACCAACATTGCTTCAATGAGCACCGCTTCGCGCCCATATTACCGTCACGGTTCTCCACTATCAGTATTCAACCCAGCTCAAGGCTTTGCTGCCGACGCTCCCATGATGCAGCGCATCGACGTAGGCGATTCGTCCGACGATGAGATTCCGCCGCCCATGAAGTTTAGCGCCCTGACGAGGGCTCTGCTCGAGTCTGAGGAGGGCATTGAACAATCCTCACCGAAACAGGACACGGCGCGCGACTACGAGACGCCTAGTAGAGCGCCGCAATTGAAGATTGTGCGCAAGTCCTCACCAACTCATAGCCAGACTGCCACTTCACCACGCATTGTCTCGGTCAGCAAAAGAAACTTGTCCTCGTCGCGTCATGGAGAAAGGTACGCGTCGAGCAGAGAAAACACGCCAGCCCTCGAATTCGTTACTCCTGCACCAGCATCACGTTCAATCCGCTCTTCTGCAAGTAGATCCGCCAGCAACCCTTCGCCAGCTCTCGAGCCCGTCGATAATGACGCGTCGCAAAACTTCGGAGCCTCTCAATATGATGCTTCGACAAGACACATGCCACCGTCAACACTCAACAAGACCCGACACGCGTCAGCAGAGTCGTCGGCACATCCAGGCTCAGTACGTGTGAAAAGAGCGCCTGGTGCTTTCCTACGGGGTGCGCCAGTGAGAAGAGGCTTCCGAAGACGCGAGAGCGACGACAATGTCAGCCCGCAAGACGGCAGTGCTCCTCATTCCGAATCGCAATCACAACCTGACCACGATGAAGAGCCCGCATACTCGGTCGGACGAACAAGCAGAGCAGACAGCGCCAATGCAGATTCTGCTGCTGTCTCGAGGCACGACTTTGCAAGATCCCGAAACCACAGTCGCGACATCTCGGCCCCCTTGAAACGCGATACAAGCACAGATCAAGCCAGAGTCGCATCCCGCGCATCCACTCGAGTCCCTAGTATGGAACGACCAGCGAGACGACCCAGTGTTGAGCCCCATAAACGAGAACGCAGCGATCCTCTAGCCAGATCAAACCATGGAGAGGCCGTGCAAAGGAGGCCTAGCAACGATCACATGGCTGTACGTCCTGCACCGGAATACCAAAGACAAACACGTCCCTCTTCGAGAACCCAACACGATGCGACCGAGGACCAAGAGAACATCCCCCCTCCAACCTTCAAGCGCGACAGACACCACGATTTCAAGTACCTCGGAAAGCCGGACAAGCTTGCTCTGCATGTCAAATCTCAACCCGTCGAAGAGACTCCCATTTCGCATCAATCACCTCGCAGAGCACTCACAACGATCAGCAACAACACTCCTGTCAGACCTGCTCCCCCTCCACCACCAAAGATGAGCGTTCTGGATGCTGCCACGAAGACTGCTGGAGCCAGCACCACAAAGAGCAAGAAACGACGCCAACACATTCTCATCAATGGAAAATTGTTTACCCAAATGAACAAGGTCGGAAAAGGTGGCAGCAGTGATGTTTACTGTGTCATGGCTGAAAATTACAAACTCTTTGCCTTGAAAAAGGTCAAGCTCGAAGATTGTGATGAATCAGCCATGCGCGGCTTTAAAGGCGAGATCGATCTTCTCACCAAGCTTGCAGATGTCGAGCGTGTCATTCGGCTCTTTGACTGGGAGCTGGACAATGAGAAACAAATCCTCAGCGTGCTGATGGAGAAGGGCGACCAGGATCTGAATCGCATTCTGACAATTGCACTTAACGGTACCGATCCCAAATTTGACCCTGTTTTGACCCGCTTCTACTGGAAAGAAATGCTTGAATGCGTTCAAGCTGTTCACGACTACGATATTGTTCACTCGGATCTTAAACCCGCCAACTTCCTTTCTGTACAGGGAAAACTCAAACTCATTGACTTCGGTATTGCAAATGCCATCGATATTGCGCATACAGTCAATGTTCACCGCGACTCGCACATTGGAACACCCAATTACATGTCACCAGAGAGTATCCTGGATACAAATGCTCCCACACCTGGCAGCGAACGCACTTCGAATAATGGCAGTCGGCTGATGAAGATTGGCAAGCCTTCGGATGTCTGGTCTCTTGGATGTATCTTGTATCAGATGGTGTATGGTCGCCCACCTTTCGCCCACATTGCCAACCAAATCAGTCGTATCATGGCTATTACGAATTCGAAAGTTGTGATTGAATTCCCGGACAAGGGTGTGGGTGGTGTCACAGTCCCATCAGCTTTGAAGGGCACTCTTCGGCGATGCCTGCAGCGCGACCTGCATGCTCGCCCAACAGTCAAGCAGCTCCTCAGTCTTTCTGACCCATGGCTGTATCCGGACGTTGGCAACGCCGTCGCCATGAGTGAAGATCTGCTTGCACAAATTATCGACAAAGTTGTTGAGAGATGCAAAGACCCCAAACGTGGCATTCCATCTCCTGACGAGGTCAAACAATACCCGGCCAGTTTCATGTCCAAGATCCGGGAGATGGTCGAACGTGAGGGCGTCGTTGGGTGACCTCTCTCCATCACACTCTTATTCTCGTATGTTGTTGTATTCTTGGTGTACGGTCGTCTTGGAGTCTTTATCGCATCGAAGCGTGTTGGGCGTGGAGTTGTGCTCATTCTTTCCTTGGTGTTCTGTTCCTCTTTTTCTTCCCTCTTGTTCATCCTCCCTTTCTTATCCATCTTCTTTGCGATACCACTTTGTTTTGCTTAATTGTGTTTCGGCGTTCGGAAAATGTTTCTTTTTCTCTTCCTCCTCCTGATGAATTCATGTCTTCTTTTCTTCCTTTTTTGGTCGTTTGATTGTTCTTTTCTGGATAGCAGAATTGTGAAATACAAATGCCTTACTCTACCTCACTCACATTCATTACAGCAGCTCATCAAGTGACACCATTTGACCGACAAAGTCATGCATTCGAGTTGCAAACATCGATTCACCCCAATTAATCCCTCCCCTCCCTAATTGAAAGCCTTCTTATTCGCCCACACCGTCTGCACCAACGTGAACAAACTCACCGAAAACGAAATCGCCTTGGTCCTCAAAGATAACGAAACCTTTTGCGGTGAGGGTCTCCACCAATTGATCCCCCATGCCCTCGCAGCAGCAGGCAATTTCACCCCCATCCACCCGACAAAACCCAGAAAACACAATACCAATGACGCCTGGAACCACTCCCCATGTTGCAAGAAATGAGCCAGGAGCACCACATTGGCCAAAATGTTCAAAGTGGTGATGCAAACGGTCGCTTTTGAAAAAGCGAGCATGACCATATCGTACTGACTGAACAGAGGTGTGCGGCACAAAGGACAAGCAGTCTGCAAATTCTCACCCATAAGTTGCAAGCAAGATACACAAGCCATGTGCTTGCAAGGGAGTATCGCTAGAGGTTTTTCATCATCCCAACAGATCATGCAATCTTGTTCCTTTTCGTGGGGATCAAGCGAACGCATGAATTTTTCATGGCTGGGTAGATTCAGTGAAGCGAAAGAGCCGGGGAGGGCTTGCCAGATTGTATAGCTGATTGCGAGTGTCAGGGATAGCCAGGGGTGGGGTTTGTTGTGTAAGGTTAGGCATGAGATGTAGGATAGGATATCACCAAGTCTGGACGACCAGGGTTTGTAATGCCATTGGAGGAGATTTAGAGCAATGATTCCGAGTGTGATTGTGGGGATGTGTGGTGAGATGATTTGGATAACGTGTTGATGTTTCGGCCTCGTCGGTATGACTTTGAAGGTGTAGCCGTTGTAGGTGCCTTCCATTGCTGATATGAGTTTTGTCGTTTCCTGGGTGTATAGTGATGGAGATGGTTCGAAGTTTAGGATCTCAGGCTGAGCACACGAGGAGCGTAGGAGGGATCGTTCTTTTTGGGGTCTGGATCCTCGATGAAAGATCTTTCCCTACAAGAAGTACTCTGCCTTTCTCGGCCATAAGTCTTCCTTCCATTACGGATGTCGGCTTACAAGAGTCAGATAGTGGGTTCAGAAAGTCGATCTCTACACGAATAGAAGGATGGTTGATGGATGCGGTATTCAGGATCGTCAATCACTCTTGGCATGTGTCGCCATGTTGATCATCTCCCATATTCTCGACACAGCCGCGGCCTTCTCGATGTGCATAACAGTAGTTTGTGCTTGTACTTGCAAACAAGGCACCTAGAAGTCGCTGTTCTACGCGGCAGTATTCTCGACCGCAGTCAGGCTGCCGTATAACGATAGGCTCTTACATGCATCTTGCCGTATCTCGTATCGCGTATCGATTGTGCCTGATCCTTCGAGCGGTGTGTGCTTAAAATTAGATGAGTAGAAGCACATGCCAAGCACGCGACAAACGTGTTTCCGCAACATGGCCTCCGCATTTCTCAATTGGATATTGTTTCGTCGTGCAATTCCATGAGCAACTTGCATGTGAGTCGTGAATCGACCTCTCAAGATTGACGGCCTCGTGAATGGGTTGGATTCGGGTGCTTGAGTGCGGATCACAGCTCCTGTTGAGTGCAATCGCCACGACCCCGCAAGAGCTGAACGAATCTGGGCTTGGTATGGGGTTGTTGAGAGGCTGTGTTTCATGTTCACTTGTCAGGACTCATCCGGACTGAGCCACGGAAGGACAATGAAAGACTTGGCCCTTCGTCAGCCTTGTCAATATAAAGCCGTCGTGGCAGCCTTGTGACAATTCTATAGAGCATAAACGACAAACTCTCCCACATCAGCAGCAGCATCCTTCCAGTTAACTTCGTTGGTCGGAGGTCACACGAGCAATTTGCCCGGTGGTAGCCTCCTCGTCAGCACATTCCAGATCCAACTTCGTGCTGCACTAGCCAAATTTGACAGGGACAACGGCCTCGGAAGTAAAGCGCAACCGGGAGTCCGACCGAAAGCTGCCGGAAATACCCCTAAACTTGGCTTTAAAGCTTCTCGTCTAACCAAAACAACTGTTTTCTCTTTTTTCCCTTATTCTTCGGTCGAGCAGTTTAGGAGCGAACATTGTCGGACAGCATGGCAGACAAGGGAGATGTTAACTTGGGAGGTGCGCAATTTGCGTCGCACAAATGGGCAGAGCCGGTCGTGAGTGGTTTTGTTTGCGGAAGAGATGCCGCGCGTATACTGACAATTGACCCAAGTTTGTTGTTTCGGTCATGATTGGTTCATTGATCATCAATCGTCGCAAAAACTTCAGTATTCTTCGAGGAGACACCAGCCGATCGGGAACTCTATCACCTACCAGCGAGGGACGTCCAATGTTGTCCGACGATGAGCACGCGACAGTTCGTTTCCAGAAACGCAGCTGCTTTGGAAAGGAATTCACCATCCCGGATACTTCGGCTTTTGGCAACAATTTGCATAGCAGAGTGCTGCAAAAGTTCCCCTTTTTGATCGAAATGTTCTACTGGGCATTGAATTACGCAGCCTACAGTTTCACAAAGGCAATCGCTGCTTCATTATATGCTACAAAGGACGGCGTCACGGAACTTGCTCAGGAGCATGGCATCAGCATTCTCAACTTTGAGCATGACTCTATGTTTTCAATCTTCTTTCCCATCAAGGAAGTAGATTTCCAGACCTTTTTCACCACCGGACATCCGCTTGCATTGACATTTTTCAACCGTATCTACTCATTGGTACACATTCCCGGAACTGTCACGTACGTCATTTTGGAATAATCATTCGTTGAATGTGCATGCTAATTCCCTGATAGTTTCCTCTCCTGGTATTACTATGCCGCACCGGATCACGCCGCTTTCGCTGTGGCCAGACGTACGATGACACTGGGTAACTTTGCCGCTTTCTTCGTCTTCTGTTTCTACCCCTGTATGCCACCACGTCTTTTGCCAGAATCGTTCGGGTTCCACGACACGGTCCGTCAAGAGAACGCAGAGAGTGTTTGGGTAGGTGGCAAGAATGTCAATCAGCTTGCTGCCATGCCTAGTTTGCACTTTACCTATGCTTTCGTGATCGGCTGCACATTCATCTATCACTCTGGCATCCACTGGCGTTCCGAGAACAAGGCTCTCCAGCAATCAACTTTCGGCAGATGTTTGTGGCTGCTGGCTGGACTCTGCTACCCATTGTTGGTCTTGTCTGTCATTGTTGCAACCGCCAACCACTACTACCTAGATGCCGTGGTCGCTCTTTTCACAACATCCCTTGCCTTCTTCATCAACAGAATTTGGATGCTCCTACTACCTGCCGAAGGTATGCTGCTCTGGGTCCTGCGTCTGAAGAAGCCCGTTCCCACCACCGGACAGCGCCTGCAAGGAGCCAAGAAGGTCAAGGAAGACGAGAGCGACTACCGCTATGAGGTCGTTTAAGCGATGGCCTGATAATCTGTCCTATTCACCTAATAATGCCTTTGTATATCGAACCACTATCTATAATATCTTGGATCACTTTCCAAAACTTTCCAGCTGTCTGATCAGGAGTTAACAAACTACTGATAATACTCATTTGATTGACTTTCTCGTATTTTCGCGATGTTGAACCTCCAGCAGCAATGAGCTCTCACGGGCATGCGAAAAATACTGAGTGTAGCCTATTGCTTTGGAGGACATGGGGGTTGTGCGCTTCTTCAATCGCTCTCGATATCAGAGCCACAATATCAATGGACACATTATTATTGCTTTCGGGCTGCTCAAAAGTAGAAAGCCAAGTCGTGGATCACCGCAGCAACAACAGATTCTTTCCGGGGCGATTGTGTATTCAAAATCTGAAGATTAGATTCTTGCTAGAGGTTCATCGACGTTTTTGTAATAATGGCTTGAGTAGAGGGTTCATCGTAGGGTGACTGGAGACAGGGTGACCCCAAAAGTACCCCATATGTTTCGGCTAATCGGCAGCCGAGCAAATTTGAACTCCGCATCGACCTCCGCTTTTGGGAGTTTCGATGCTTCATTTTTGCCAATGACACATTACGGGAAGACGGCACGATGTATCTATCTCATATAACGACTAATGAGCGCCCCTACTTTTCGACCGCCTTCCTCTCCTGTTCAATTGCTCAGCGTTATCCACTGAAGATTGGAAATGCATTACTTGCGAAGACGATACGCTCTTCCACTTGCGCTCTGAAATGAACCACAACAATCCCTCAACCGACCATGTCGATAAAGAAAAGGACCAAAATGGCGACTTGAGCGCCTCGGAAACGATTGTGCCTGATGAGAAACTGTCATCTCCTGTCGCGCCTCTGAATACGGAACAAGCACCCAACGATGTCGCACCCACTCCCGAACCACCAGCAGCACCAAATGGTGGCTATGGCTGGGTCTGCGTTGCCTGTGTCGCCATGATCAATGCCCATACCTGGGGTCTGAATTCATCCTACGGTGTCTTCCTCGCTTATTACCTGGCCAACAATGTCTTTCCTGGTGCCTCACGGCTTGAATTTGCCTTTGTCGGCTCTCTATCAATTGCATGTGCACTATTGGTCTCACCTGTAGCTACGATATTTACGAGAAAATTTGGTACAAAGACGACATTGTTTACTGGTGTAGCACTGGAGACTGCGAGTTTGATTGGTGCTAGTTTTGCATCGCAGATCTGGCATTTGTTCCTTAGTCAAGGTGTCTGCTTTGGCTTTGGCATGGGCTTCCTTTTCGTAGGCTCGGTGGGCATTGTTCCTCAATGGTTTACGACAAGACGGAGTCTGGCGAATGGTATTGCTACTGCTGGGTCTGGTCTAGGTGGACTGGTATACTCATTAGCCACTGGTGCCATGATCCCTAGTATCGGACTGGCGTGGGCATTCCGAGTACTTGGGATAGTCGCATTCGTGGTGAATGCTGTCTGTGCGTTGTTGGTAAAGGACAGGAACAAGGCTATCGGGTCCTCGCAATTGGCGTTCGACGTGCAGCTGTTCAAGCGCACGGAGTATCTATTGCTCCTCGGTGAGTAATTCTTTCTACAGCATCGGAATCATTCGGCAGAACTAACACGCTACTCTCAGGATATGGTTGGTTCAGTATGCTCGCATACGTGGTGTTGCTGTTCAGTCTGGCCAACTTCGCTCGCAGCATTGGTCTCACTGCATCGCAAGCCTCCACTGTCTCAGCGATCCTCAATCTGGGACAAGCAATCGGTCGACCACCCATCGGATACTTTAGTGACAATATTGGCCGCATTAACATGGCCACTCTAATGACTTTCGTGTCAGGTGTGTTTGCTCTCGTCATCTGGACAAATGCAAAATCCTACGGCGTCCTCATATTCTACGCCATCATTGGCGGCACGGTCGCAGGTACTTTTTGGACAACCATCGCACCCGTCACTGCTGAAGTCGTCGGTCTACGCAACGTGCCATCCGCCTTGAGCATATGTTGGCTAGTTCTTGTAATCCCTTGCACATTCTCAGAGCCCATCGGACTCGAGATTGTGGCATACGAAGGAGGCTATCTAGGCGCACAACTATTCACAGGCTTCATGTATGTGGGCGCAGCAGCCTGCGCACTTCTTCTCAGGAGTTGGAAGATCGCCGAGGTCGACGAAATCGAAGGGTTGCAAGATGTAGGGAATGTGGATGCCGTGACCATCGAGACAAAAGTGGCAGAGAGCGTGAAGGAAGTCGCAAGAAAAACAGCGAGGAAGAGATTGCTGGGTTGTATCTGGAGATGGAAAAAGGTGTGAGAAAGACACATCAAGACATTCGCCAACAACACCACCCTCTCTCTTTCTTTGATTTGTCATAAAGTCAACGAACATTGCGTCTCCTGAAAGCAATCATGTTCTCACCAACCGTCCGAAAAGCAATAAATTACCGCGTGACGCAGGCCCAAGCCTTTGAGCGAGCTGCTCTCCTGCATGCTAGTCTGATCGCTGCCGATGAGGAAACCAAATCTCGCCTTCGACAACGATACAAGGGAGCCGCCTAGGAACAAAGTCGCCACACCCGATCGTTTGCAAATGCCTCGCCCAGTTGACTATAATGCTCGAGGCGAAGACTGGCAGCATTCAGCAGATGTCGACACTTCTCTGAAACACCCAAGGCCTTTGAAGGATATACCTGGCCTGTCACCTTGATCTCGACGTGAGAGGAGCAGGAAGCCTAGGATAAACTTGCTGATCCTACGAATCTCGCTCAGCATCTTGACAGTATTCCCAACGCTTACTTGGAGAAAGATGGCATGCACGACTTCGATTGGGAGGTTGTGCTAAGCAAATACAACCAACATCTCAATAAAGATCTCGAGACCTACATAATTGAGATATGGTATGGTTGGTCATGCTGTATGGGAGGCTAAACGTGCCGCTCCGATCGATGATCTTCATCAATGTCTCCGAACCTATCCAGACTAATCTGGGAAACGAGATATGGCTGAATACATTGAGGATATGCGCCGGATGGTCGTGATGAGAGAGGTCGCGGACTTTACGCATGGATGGAAGCGATAGTTTGCTTAGATTTGGTAGTAAGCTAGTTCTTTGAGCAGAGTATATGTGTTTTTGAGGTCATACTACACTTCATAGACCACACGAGTTGGTTGGCTTCTAGCAGAACGCATCACCGATTCAAAACTGCTGTGTCTGATACACTAGCTAGCGTACCGTGATACGTATAGGTCCGATATAAGCGGTCTAGTTTACTGCAAATCTAGTCTTTGTCGTTCATGCGCTTTTCTGTTGCTCTTTATTCTCGCTGCTACATTGCTGTTCGCAGCTACACCTACGCAGGTCGTGGTGATCGTTTGGTGAGGAACGTAACAGCATCCTCGACTGCCATAATCTACACCGGATGAGGTGTTTTTGATCCGCTACGATGAGATGGATTGAACGTTCAACAGGTGGTGTGGAGACATCCTCTCTGTATTTGATTCTCAGGCCAGCTTCATGCTAATGAAGATTCATGTAAGAATGGAAATTTGGCATTGTAGAAGATATGGTTGAACAGACAGATCAAGGACCTGCATCTGCATGATGGGAACCACGGAGTTTTGACAGGTAGGTTGTGCTTACACAGTAGATAAGAGCCACACGCTCTACCGATTGAGCTACCCCGGCAGGTCTGATGATCAAGTTGTGTGACACAACTGGCTGCTGACATGATGGGGGCTGACCAGGAAGGTATATGAACGCTCAGAGCACAGGCAGCATGGACGTACTGGCTGGTGTGCAGGGTGTGGTTGCCTTCGGTCGGTCCTCGGTGAGATTGGTTATGGTCCGTCCAGGGATCCAGGAAGCGGAAAGGTCATGGGCCCGAGAGGCATGAGCGTCTCACCATCGAGACTCCGTATGAATGAGAAGAGGAAGAAGAAGAAGAAGAAGAAGAAGAAGAAGTAGAAGACCTACCGGGTTGGTTTCACAACCACAAGGTTGCAGGAGTTGCTCGCCTTCTCGAACATCTCGAGATTTCGTCCCTTGGAGACTCACTCGCTCGGCTGACGCCTTGCTTGCTCGCTTTCCACGGGTCTCAATCTCTCACTGTCCTTCGACCCCCTGAGAGGCAGGGGCTGTTGCGGTACCGACGTTGTCGGTTGATCAAGGTCCAGAAAATCGAGAGAAATGTGGTATCCAGCTCCAGCGAAAAACAGTTGCGCGGACCATGGATTTCAAGACCGAGATGCTAGATGTTCACAAGCGCTATGGAGCTCTAGGCAAGCTGCCTGAGTCGACATGTCCAAAGTGAGCTGGCATGTTCGAGGCGTACTGATAAACTCCGGAGCAAAGGAAGAATGGCAGAACATCAAGTCATAGCACAAGAGTACCAATATAGAGAGTAAGAGGCGTAAGACAGTCAACGGATAACATGTTTTGTCGTGCAAGAGAGGTGGACACGTTGATGCAGCGTTGATGGTGAGAGCGGAGATGCGGCGGAGGACGGAAGTTCGGCGATTGTGGTGCCAAGACGGGGGTAAAGGCGTCGTCATTCGCGGACAGCTATTCCAGTTCCAAGTTCGCGTGAAGCTGGCCCTCTCCTTGTAGATCTTGTCAACCACGCACACAATGAGGACGAGGATAGCGACATGGACAAGGCTGCTATGCCTGACCTTATCAGTAATAGCAGTCGCTGCCAAAAAAGATTCGCCCGACATCGAGCCAACATCGTTCAAATCGTTACCCGCCAACATCTTCTACTTTGACGATAGCGACACAGTTCTGGTCACCGACATCAAGCCTGGTATCGTCTATCGCTCGACCGACGCCGGTGTGAAGTGGAGGCAGATCAAGGAAATTGGGGAAGGCAAGATCGGAGAAGTCTTCTCTCACCCATACGACCCCAAGGCAGCCATTGCCATCGGAAACGACAAGACACACTGGATCACCAAGGATAGAGGAGAGTCATGGACCGAGTTCAAGACAAAGTATGAGGTTGCACCTGGACGTGCTTTGAGCTTCCACGCAGACGACCCGGACCGTATGATTATCGGCACTCTTGACTGTCACGGCTCTGTCTGGGGCGATTGCACTCCCAAGGTAATACCACTCTTATGACACTCGAGACGCGAAAAGCCTGACACGTGCATAGTCTTACTACACTCTCGACGGCTTCAAGGACATCGAACTGCTCCACGACAAGGCTGTCTCGTGCCTCTGGGCAAAGTCCACCGACCTGTTCACCACCGGCGACGACAAGCTGGACAAGGACCAAGTCCTCTGTGTAGTCGAAGGCAAATATTCGACATGGCAAAAGGACAACCGTCTGGTCATGTCCAGCGACTTCTTCGAAAAGCAAGAGGTCGAACCTACCATGTCTGAAGGCCGCACCGTCCCTGGTGTCGTCAACGTCGCCGCAGTCAAGGGCTACATCGCTGTTGCAGCAAAGTCTGAAGGAACCACCGAACTCGCCATGTACGTCACTGACGATGCGAAGACATGGCATCGCGCAGAGTTCGGCAAACACAAGCTGGAGGAGAATGCCTACACTCTCCTCGAATCCACAAATTACAGCATCCAAGTCGATCTCATGGCCTCGAGCATCACTTCGCCCATGGGTGCCCTGTTCACCAGTAACTCAAATGGTACATACTTCACCAAGAGCATCGAGCACACCAATCGCAACATTCAAGGATACGTCGACTTTGAGAAGATTCAGAACATCCAAGGCATTGTATTGGTCAATGTTGTTGACAATTGGCAAGAGTTGGAAAAAGACTTCATGGCCGACAAGAAGATCAAGTCAAAAATTAGTTTTGACGATGGAAGAGTCTGGCATGATTTGAAGGTCGGCAAGGAAGACTTACACCTCCACTCTGTCACTGATCAGCGCAACATCGGACGAGTCTTCTCCAGTCCAGCTCCCGGTATCGTTATGGGAATCGGAAACACTGGAAAGTACCTCAAGTCTTTCGAAGAGGGTGACACTTTCGTCTCGGATGATGCTGGTCTTACTTGGCGTCTTGCTTTGGAGGGCCCTCACCTTTACGAGATGGGAGATCAAGGTGCGATTCTCGTTGCCATCGAAGATACCGATACCAAAGAAATCAAGTGGAGTATCGACCACGGAAAGAAGTGGGATTCGGTCAAGCTGGACGACAAGATCAGGCCTATCGTTCTCCTGACCGTACCTGACTCCACAAGCCTGAAGTTCATTCTCGTGGCTTCCAAGGGAAGTGGCTCTAAGCTCGAGCACTTCACGTATTCTCTCGATTTCAATGGTCTGCACGAAGATAAGTGCAAAGACTCCGACTTTGAGAAATGGGCTGCACGAGTGGACGACGATGGCAAGCCCAGCTGTATCATGGGTCACAAGCAATTCTTCCGTAGACGCAAGGCCGACGCTGATTGCTTTGTCGATGTCGAGTTCAAGGACCCTCAGCCTGAGTACGAGGATTGCAAGTGCACAGACGCCGATTACGAGTGTGACTACAACTTCGAAAGATCCGAGGACGGCAAGGAGTGTGTCCCTTCCGGTTCTCTCAAGGCCCCTGAAGGTGCTTGCAAGAACCCCGAGGATGAGTACGATGGTAGCTCTGGATACCGCCTCATTCCTGGTAACACTTGCGACAAGAAGGATGGCGTGGCCAAAGACAAGCCCGTCAAGCGACCATGCAAAGATACTGCCGCAAAGCCACCCGCCTCTGGCAAGATCTCTCACGAGATCAAGAAGTTCAAGGGCGCCAAGTTCGCTGAGTACTACTACCTCGAGAAGGCCGCCTCTGCTTCTGGAGATGACGAAACAATCATTATGAGAACTGACAGACGCGAGGTATTCATTTCTCATGATGGTGGCAAGACTTGGGATGCAGTATTGCCTGATGAAGAAATTGTCTCAATCTATCCTCACCAGTACAACCAAGACACAGTCTATCTAATCACCCCGTCAAAGAAGGTGTTCTACTCTGCAAACCGCGGCTACAACATCCACCACTTTGAGGCCCCTGAAGAGCCGAACCAAGATCGTGTTCAAATTCTGAGCTTCCATCCCTCTCAGCCAGATTGGCTCATCTGGACCGGAGGGAAAGACTGCAAGGGGTTCGGTGAAGACTGCCACTCTGTCGCTCACGTCACCAAGAAGAACGGTGAAGATTGGACCACTCTACTCCGCTTTGTACGCAAGTGTCAATTCGTTGCCAGAGAAGATCGCAGTGGTAGTGACAGCATGGTTTTCTGCGAGCAGTACCAGGACGAAGACCCGTCCAAGCCTCTGCAGTTAATTTCCAGCGATGACTGGTATGAGCACAAGAAAGTCCACTTCGAAGATGTCATCAGCTTTGCAACCATGTCTGAGTTCATGGTCGTTGCTCTGAGAGACAAGGATGGCAAGACTCTGCGTGTGGACACCAGCATTGATGGCAAGACTTTCGCCAACGCTCAGTTCCCCAAGAACTTCAAGGTTCCCCACCAGCAGGCTTACACTGTACTTGACAGCTCAACTCATGCCATCTTCCTTCATGTCACTGTAAACAACAGAGAAGGTCAGGAGTACGGTTCTATCGTCAAGTCAAACAGCAACGGCACTTCGTATGTCATGAGTATCGGACAGGTCAACCGCAATACGCCTGGCTATGTCGACTTTGAAAAAATGCAAGGCCTTGAAGGTGTCGCTGTTGTCAACATTGTCTCCAATGTTGAAGAAGTTGATGGCGGCGCTTCAAAGAAGCTCAAGACTATGATCACTCACAATGATGGTGCCGAATGGGGTCTCATCACACCTCCCAAGAAGGACTCGGACAACAAGGACATTGACTGCAGTGGCGATCTCGAGAAATGCTCTCTCCACCTTCATGGATACACTGAGCGCAAAGACCCTCGCGATACGTACTCGTCACCATCTGCTGTTGGTTTGATGATGGCTGTGGGTAACGTTGGACCTAGCCTCGGCCCTTACAAGGAGGGTAATACCTTTATCACCCGTGATGGCGGTGTTGAATGGCACGAAGTCTTCAAGGGTACTTACATGTGGGAATACGGCGATCAAGGCTCGATCATCGTCATTGTTCAAGAAGGCGTACCGGTCGACACAGTCTACTATACTACCAACGAAGGTCAAAAGTGGATTGCCTACCAGTTCAGTGAATCCAAGGTTCTCGTCGACCACATCTCGACAGTCCCCTCCGATACCTCTCGCAACTTCATCCTGTGGGGCAAAGATGGCGGCTCTTCCGGCGGTCTTGTCACCGTCAACCTCGACTTCTCTGGTCTCACGGACCGCCAATGCAAACTCGACGAGAACGTTCCTGACGCTTCAGACTCGGACTACGATCTTTGGGAACCCAAACACCCTTTGTCGGACTCGAACTGCCTCTTCGGGCACATCGCCCAATACCACCGCAAGAAGCCCGAGGCTGATTGTTACAATGGTCCTGTCATCGATCGTCTGCACGCAATCTCTCAGAACTGCTCTTGCTCGCGTCAAGACTTTGAGTGTGATTACAACTATGAGCGTCAGAATGATGGTTCTTGTGCTTTGGTGCCTGGTACCCAACCCATCAATCCTCTCGAGTATTGTGCAGCAAACCCTGATCTAGACGAGTACTATGCTCCCACTGGATACCGACGCATTCCGCTCACCACTTGCTCTGGCGGCAAGGAGTTTGACAAGATCTCGGAGCCATACCCTTGCCCCAACCACGAAAAGCAATTCGAGAAGAAGCACGGCATCTCTGGAGCTGGTCTGTTCTTTGCCATCGTTATTCCCATCATGGCCGCCGCAGGAGTTGGCTACTACGTCTACAAAAACTACGACGGTCAATTCGGACGCATCCAACTTGGTGATACCGGAATGATGGGCAATGGTAACGGTGCTTTCGATTCCGAGCAAGTATGGATCAAGTATCCCGTCGCTGCACTTTCTGCCGTTGTGGCAGTCCTCGCCGCTGTACCTATGGTTATTGGTGGTCTCTTCCGCATGGCTAGCCAACGATTCGGCGGCGGTTCTGGCGGAGGATACTCAAGGCCTTATACCACCCGTAGCAGCTTCTCACGAGGCAGGGGTGACTACTCTCATGTCGATGCTGATGAGGGCGAATTGCTTGGCGATGAGAGCGACGAAGAGGTGTAGAAGATATACTATAGCTGGAGAAGGAGTTTCAGTTGGATGTAACATGAACTGTAGATTAGGTATTCAAGTGATGCATTACTATATCAATATCAATATCATATTTAGTCAGTCCTCGTATTTTCATCAGAAATTGAGCCTGTGTGAAGTTGGGTTGATTTGTTGTCGCTCTGCAAGAGCGCCTATCAGGTCTTGTGCATCTATCAAGGTCAGCATGCTGGCGAATACTATGCAATGATCAGAATTACGCATACTTATCAGTAGCCATCCGCTATCTCCACGGAAAGCTGTAGCCATGACGTTGAAGCTTGAATAAACAAAGCCAGTTGCATGCATGTGCGGTTCAACAAACACGACAAGATACGGATATCGCCCAAGATGTCGCAGCTCATTCCTCTTGAGTATTGTTCCAAGGACGACTGTACTTGGCAATATCGACCCAGACCTGAGACAAGATGAGCTCGGCTACTATTCTCAAGGAAGATGAGAGTCAGCATTTCTCGCCGTACAGAGCGGATGGAAAGTTGGTAAGCCAGAAGATTGTTGTCGCGATAGTGAAATGAGATAGCTGACAAGTCGCAGTATGGCTTCGTCTGTATCGTGACGGGCGCGACACAAGCCATTGGTAAGGCCGTCGTACATGAGTTGGCAGGTAAGCTCTCCTTCGACGTGCAGCACAAGCGATCAAGGCTAATACAACCATGGTAGCTCACGGCGCCGCCTGCATCTACGCCTGCTCCGACCTGCCTTCTGATCCATACCAAGAACTCGCCGACGAAGTCAACAAGCTCTGGCCCAACACAAAAGTCATCGGCTACCCTTACGGCCTGAAAGAGGAGGATACATTGACCCTGATCGACGATGTGTTGAACTCTTGGGGTCGGTGAGTGCATCCCATCCTCAACTATACCTCTTTCTCCAAACACGTCTCTGACTTTGCAACACCCAGTCTCGACGTCTACGTGACATCTTCCGGCCTCCTCGGCCCCGCCTCAATCACCCAAACCGCACCAGCAGACCTCTACAAGACCTTTGAAACAAACAGCATGGCTCCCTTTTTCGCCCTCAAATACGCACCTCCCGCTATGGCAAAGACGACACCTAAAGGCAATTACCCAAATGCCGCTCCCAAGGATGTCGCATATGGCAGTATCATTGTCGTTTCTTCAGTCGCAAGCACCTACGGCGGCTGTTGGGGCCCAGCATTCACCATGTCCTCGCACGCCGCCCTCGGTGTCGTGCATTCAGGTGTGGCGGTGCTGAAGGGTAGTAACGTCCGCATCAATGCCATTTCCCCTGGTCAAATCGATGTGGGTGTGAGTTTGCAAGGTATGGATATGAGAGGGTTGAGCAATCAATTGCCGCCGTCCGATTTACAGACCGAAGAAGTCAGAAGAAAGATCATTGGCTTGGAGAGGGCGGGGACTGCAAAGGAGGTTGCGAGGGTGGCGGGGTTTTTGGCCAGTGGGTTCAGTAGTTATGTTACTGGAGCAAACATGGTCGTTGATGGAGGCGCAAGCGTGATGAATCCGCTTACTGTTCCTATCTAGAGAGATTTTCTTGTTTTGAGATATCTATGAGTATAGATTTCTCAGAGAAGTAACTTTGGTTATAGGCGGGTTCTCCAGTCTTCGTCTCTAAGCGATTACACAATTGCACCATCATCCGTGCAATAAAGTGATACCAGTAAAGGTGGTACACATGTATCAATTAGCTTAGTAGCTAGTACTTAATTAGTTGAGTATAGCAGATTGTTAGACTATATAACGGAGAATTACATAAGAAATGTAAGCAAGCTATGTATCCTTATGGCTTTTATGATCTAGCTTAGCTAACGGTCGATGTCGAGGACGACACGGTAGAAGATTCGGGAGTCTCCCCGTCGGATGTAACGGGCCTTTAACAGGAATCGGGTGCGATAAAGCCAGTCAGATCCGTCACGTTGGTGCCCAAGCCCGGGCCCGAGGCTGTGAACTGGCTCTCAAAGGGCACTCCATTATTACCGAACACATTCCTTAGAGGATAGCTAAAGCCTGCCACCATCGTGATGTTCACACATGTGACTTTCCCGGTGCCAGTACCAAACCAATACTCTATGGTGTAGGCCGCATTCCTGGGTGTTGACGCATCCGAAGAATCACCGCATGGGAACGCTGACGAACTGCCGACATAGAAGTCGTCTCTGTTATCGGCATAGCGGTCGCAGAATTGGTAGCTGCCAGAAGTTTGCGGGACAAAATAACCAGTGGATACCAGGGTGAAGTTGTTAGGATCAACACTTATGCCACCTATGTTTTGCTGGTAATTCTCATAATAGTTTCGACCATTTACCTGAATAGCATCTTGTCCTTGAGGTGGGTAAACAGCAGCCAGACTGAGCGTATCAATACTTCCAGAGCCCCTTGGGATCGTGCCAAGATAGTAATCGGGACCTAAAGTGCCTTCAGGAGCCCCGAAACTGTCTGCACCGTTGAGTGGATTGGAGTAGTATCGAAGGCGAAGATTTCCAGTATCGCATGTCCCGGGCGCGAAGTAGCAGGCACCAGATGGAGGAGGCGTGAACACTGTCACGGGCACTGTGCCTCCGGCTTCGGTTGGCGTACCTGTTGATGTTGAAAGGGTAGATCCCCCATAGGGAGTTGTAGTCGTAGAATAAGCAGTGACGACAGGAGGCGTGTAGATGGTCACGGGTACTGGATCACCTGAGGATGTCGGTGTACCAGTGATCGTATATGTCTCACTGGCTGTCCCGACAGTTGTTACAGTTGTATAAACTGTACTTGACAAGGGGGTGCCGATAACCACGGTACCAGAGACGGTGCCAGACGGAGGAATTGTACTAGTAAACGCGGGCTGACCGGGCTCCAATGTTGTGGTTGAAGAGACATATCCAGTCTCAGCACTTGGGGTCCCGACGATCACGGTACCCGAGACGGTTCCAGAAGGAGATATCGTACTAGTAAAGCCGGGTTGACCAGGAGTCAATGTCGTGGTGGAAGATACGTATCCTGTTGCAGGAATAATGGGATCCGCTGCGTAGATGCACCTAGCGCCGTCGTTGTTTCCGGAGACGGCTGCATTTGTGACGCGACTGGGGGTTCCTGATGGAATAGGAAAGCTGTAAACAGCTCCCCCGTTGTTGGAGGTACCGTACAAGACATTCCCGGAAGATGCATAGAGCGCACCGAATTGATTACCATTTCCGTCGATATCTCCATAGGTCTGTAGGTAAGTCCACGTATGGTCTGCCATGCTCCATCTGACGAGCGTAGCGTTGCTACCCTTTGAGATACCAAAAAGGTAATTACCTTGGCCAGGCAAGTACGACCAATCAATTGGTCCTAGAACCGGGCCGCCTCTGAAAGCCGAAGTACCGCTTGCAACGACTTGACCATATGTCGCTGAGCCGGGACGTAGATCGATTTGTGCCCAATTGGTACCAAAGCTGTTGATCCAGAATTGACCATTTGTGTCTATGTCTCCCGAAGTCCAGACGTTTCCGTTTGAGTTGACAGGCGCCGCAATCTTAGCAATAACTGTAGAAGCTCCGGTAGAGTCAATGCGAAGAATCGTCGTCGAGTTTTGTATGGCGTACAGGTAGTTGTCAAGAACGTTATATCCCATCGAATTTATCGTGCCTGTTAAGGGTCCTACCGAATTAGAAATCAGAGTTTGAACACCAGTGGTAAGATTCAGCCGGTAGAGGGTCCTTTCCTGTATCAAGTATCCTCCAGCATCACAAGGAAGTGGGGCTGTCGCGCCAGGAGTCTCAACAACAGTCACTGGCGTCTGTCCACCTGACTCGGTGGGCGTACCAGTGATGGTATAAGGTGTTCTGACAGAGCTAGTGATTGTTGTGGTGAATGTTCCAGGCGCGCTGGTAGGTGTATAGACCGAGACCGGGGTACTTCCCCCAACAGTACTAGGACTACCGGTGACAGTATATGGAGTGCTAGCGGTTCCAGGCACCGTTGTTGTGAAAAGGCCTGGCGCAGTCACACCAACGACTATGGTACCAGAAACTGACCCTGATGGCGGGACGGTACTTGTGTACGCCGGGGACCCTGGAGGCAAGGTGGTGGATGATGTGACAAACTCGGTGNGGTGCTGCGAGAAGATGAGTGTGATTGTTCTTGAGTTCGGAGAAATAAGATCATACCTTGTAGAAGTAGTATAGATCGAGCCGCTGCATAGATACACGACAGGCTGTATATCAATGACAACTGTCTGAGCAACCGAAAAACTGCTCAGAGCTACTGCAAAAGCAACCTGCCACATCTTTGAGGCAAGCTGCATGGTGAGTAAGTTTATTGTTTGTGATTGTACTCATGTCAGGGAGCATCGAGACGATCCTTATATAATCTGATATCCTGCCGAACAAAGCTGCAGTAATACCATAGGCTTGATGCCTCAAACATCCCCAGAACCCGAATCGTTCCCAATCAATCGTGGCTGGCGGTGGATTGGGAACGCTGATATTGGAGGAGTTGATCTGCCATGGCTCTAGCGTAGGATCAGAGTGTTGTCTGAGATGTGCAGCGAGGTCTGATCCACATGAAATTCCTACTTCGGGATACAGACAGTGTCGGTCCCATGATTGGTCATGAGGTTCCTCAGCGGCCGTTTGGGAGTGGGATCTTGGAAAATTGGGTCAAGGTGATACATTTCATAGGATCAGCACAAAGTCGTAAGACCGAGGACCTCTAAGGCATTGAGTGACCCAGCGGTGTTGAAAGGGTGAGATTGGCACTCTTTCTGCATGTTGATCTGTTTCAGAAAACGTGCGGGAAGAGTGACTCGAATCTGTCTGACCTGCCAGGGCCATTCTTGCAACGGTCTTAGCAGAAGCCTGTTCTACACAGGATGCAGATCCAATGGCGAGTTTGGGAACTTGAACGTTGTAAAGGATTGTACTGCGAATCTCGTAGCGGCGCATATTTGAGCGTTTGTTCAGGACATATTAAATATCATATCACCCGTGACTTTACCACGCTGAGCTATCTTTGCCTTTCTCACACTCTCACATCATGAAGTCTACAGTTACTTCCGTGGGTATTTTGCTCTACCTCGCTCGAGCAAGTCAAGCACTTCTCAGTGGCAATGGCACAGTCACAGTCACGTCATTTTTGCCTGCGATTACTGTCTCGAGCTGTCCACCTTCTGGCATAGCGCCTTCCCAGGTTGCCCCTGTCAGTTCCTCGGGCATGGCAAACACTCCAGTCTATACCACGGTTCTCACTCAGCCATGCCCAAGTGGCTTCGTCCCTGTAACCTACACAGTCACAGGCCAGCCTACCAATGTTCCACCAGGCTTCACCACCGGTGTTGCGGTCGTGAACAGCAAAACGGAACTTGTCACCTACCCTACCGCTTCTGCATCGGAATATATGCAATCGAGCTACATCTCCACTATTAGCACTGGAGGTGGTGTTGCCAGTGGGAACTCTGGATCTGGTACGACCGCCGTAACCCCTTCTGCTGTTGGAGGGAATGCTGGGTTGGGTAGCTCTCAAGGTGGCCCACTCGGCGCCGCAAACGGCGGTCCGGGACCAGCAAGCAGTCACGGCATCGCTGCGTCCAATGCTGGTTCCCCTTCAGCTATCAGCAGTGGTGCGACCGTTCCATCTGGGGCGGCTGGCTCAGGTGTGGACGTATCGAGTGCTGGTGGCTCACCCACCACGCAACCTAAGGCATCGTCCAACAGTACTATGCCAGCGTCGACGTCAAGCATGGCAGTCTTCACTGGTGGCGCCAGCACAGGTCGTGTTTCCGTCAGCAATGTAGGGCCCATATTGGCCGTGCTATTTGCTGGAGCTGTCTTGATCTAGAGCGAAGGGCGAAGAGAAGGCGTGCGTCGCGTGGTGGAGGAGCTGAGTTTCTGGTGGCGTTTGGCGGTTATATTGTAATTAGCCCTGTAGTGTTAGTTGCAACTCCAACGAAGTCACGTTCACAGTTTTTCACTGTTGGTCCCTTACTCACATAGTCTGCTGTGGCGTTGAGAAAGCGAGACGTAATTCTTGGAGGATGTGGAAGAGAGTCTTCCTTGTCAGAAAGGTGCGAGCGGAGCGTCTCCTGGCCGTCCTGGCGGTGCCAGTGCCAACCTTGTCAGGGCAGACAGTAATAGAACGTCAATTTCCTCGGAAGGATTTCTGCTTCTTCTGAGAGCAGGATTCTCCGATGCGTTTCTGGAGCCCGCTCCGTCCTATAGGACAGCGTCTCCGGGAAAGGAACAATTGCGTTTGGCCATTAAAGTTGGCACTTACGCCATGCATCGCTGATGTCTCCGCATATTGGGTGAGCGTGTTGGGACGCGATCCCGCAAGGATACCAGGTTCACTTTCCGAGCCAAACGTTCCTCAACGACGATGATGAGTCCAAGAACTGGGAGTCCCAGTCCAGCAACATCTGCGACATGGTCCCTGAGTGCTGACTACAGTGAGCGTTCAGTATCATGACTCGCTGGGTTATATCCAGAGCGTTGGCTACATCAGGCATAGCGGCAGCTCCTCCTTGCCTCGAGTCGAGTACAGTCAGAGGGTAGACGGCGATGATCATCCTGATATCTGAAGGATGTTGGTTTAGCTTCGCCGCCACGGTCGTCAATCATCCGAAAACATCAAAAAGCTCCAGCTTGGCTCAACCTTACTATCGTAGGTGTATGTCAGGTGATCCAGATGAAGCCTAGCACGGTCGGTGACTGAACATCTCAGAACGTGGTCGTCGCTTGTACGCCAGTTCAAGATTAGAGTGTTTTCTAGGATGACGGTTGTAGGGCTTTCCCCTGCAGGCGTTGAAAAAGTTTGGAGCTCGGCGCCATCGATACCTCTGGTGGATAGGCATAGAATGAGTACGACGAGAGGTTCACTAAGTCGCGCCCGTTGCAGTGCTGTTTGGAGCAATACACTGTTAGTAGGACCGGCAACATGTTGATACCGCACGTGATGCGATTGATAAGGACCAGTTTTTCAGCTCAATATGCCATTCTCAATGAGGCCGAAGATCTTCCAAGGATTGATGACCGTTGCAGGAAAGCTTATTCCAATTAAAGTTGACTAAAGCACCAGGATCAGCGCCAGTGTTTATAAACATTGCTAACGCGCGAACATCCCTCGTCGACAGATACATGGATGTCACTTGTAGCATTACTATGATACCGAGGTTAGGCTCGAAAAGTGGCCGGTATAGGCAGGTAGGATGCTGGGGAAGCCCTACAATACTGTGCAGATTGGAGCTTGCCTTTCTAGCCCTCTCTGGTAGCGAATTGCGAGCCACAGCTGATGCACCCGCTACGCGATCCATCCTATAAGTGAGGTAATTCGTGTTGCTGGATCGGCCGTGAATAATGGCACACCCGCGAGTGTCGAACATAGCTGCAAGGGCAACGACGACCTCGACTTGAAGAGAGCTTACCCAACGCCAGTATCACTCTACGAACCCAATGCAAAACTTCCTTCACGCTCGCAGGCTAGGAACGAAGGGATTATTGCCACGATTACGTCAAACATCAGTGGAAGTTAGCAGCAGGCGTACACTACGTTGCCCTAACGAGTATACATCGCGGCGAAATTCTCGGAATAAGCAGACACATGGAGAAGCTACACTTCTTGACCCCTCGTACGCTTTGGCCATATCGGCCCGACACCGGGGTCCCCATCCATCGGTATTAGATTCTTCTTTGCAGAGTCCGTGATGTCGTGTCAGGGACTGTAGGATTCTGTAGGTTCGTAGACCGGCAACAGGTGTGACTGTCTTGAGAGTAGCAATTACCTACGAGGCTCGATAAGTCTGTCTCGCAAAGCCACCAAGCTCCGTATCGGGATCGTTCCCAACTTTCTTGACTCCTTGCATGGCAGGGATTTTCGAAGGATTCCATGGGAATTATGCCATCCAAGACATGGTGATTCCTTGTCCCGCATACAGAAGTCGAGAGCTGCCGATCTACCTCTCGAAAGGAGTGTAGATCCTGGAGACCATGGCTTATTGGCGTTGCCTCCCGGCAGCCTTGGGTCGCGAGATCTGTGCACCCCGCAGTAAACCAAGATACGCTGAACGTTGGGCTAAGTTCCCTATAAGGTGAACGCGTTCTGAGACAGTCTGCCGGTTGGTCGTCCCGAAAATCGAGGTTGGCTGCCAAACCTTCAGCGGTAAGGGCCCGGCAGCAAAATTTATCTCCCCGATCAACCTTATCCATGATGATCATATGGTGAAGTTCGATAAGCTTGTCTCTGGGAGCCCTGGATAGTCCGTAGGCGTGGTAAAGAGCCTCATAGGAAAGACCTTTAACAGATTCCCGCATTACCTCCACCGCACCGTGGACCATCAGATCACCGGTGATACACACCAAGCACAAAACATGGAAAATACCTCTCAATTCGTATCTATGGCCTGGTCAGAGACGATCCCGAGCATCATACCTGGGACAACGCAATATCAGACAATCAGTTCATCATCTGTGAATCCGTCAAATCCATATCGTAAGTTGTTGCGAAAAAATGAGTCTTTGATATTTGAAGTGTATTGCTAATATCAGACTCAGTATACTCCGGGACTTCCCAATCATCACAAGCCGAATATTCAGAAATAACCGTGGAACAACCCTTGGTATTCCCAACTTATGATCCTAACAACGAATTTGCAGTGGGGACCTCGCAGAATTCGGCAGATTGTGTGGACCATGCGATCTACTCCAGCCCACCGAGCACTGCATCAATGCAGCCATTGTTCTATGTACATGATGAAGCTGTTTTTCCCGCGGATCCAAGTCAATACAGCAATCAAGACATCACTCAGCCAACATTTAGTCGTACACGACGTGAACCAGCTTCCCGCACGCTGACCAGCCACGATCTGACCTCCGCGTCGAGTCATTGGACCATCAATACTGTCGCCAATCGAACATGCTTTGAACATGGTTGCGAAGGGCGAGTGTTCTCGTCCAGAAGCAATCTCCGGCGCCATCAACGAGAAAAGGCCCAACAAGCACGACTATTAGAATGTCCGGTATGCCACGCAAGGTTCTACAGACTCTGGACCAGAGATCAACACTTGATTTTGGGAAGGTGCCGAAGGTTCTGGTCTCAAGACCGGCAATATCAAGCACCACAACGCTACGAGAGAGCGACGGTGTCGCAGTGGCTGGGAATGGGTGTGATAGCGTGATTCTCGGTGTTTGTTCATGATAACGATTTGCATATACAATCACTGCTTCGGGGCTGAGTCGCCTCAATCAATATGCTGGAAATCTGGAATCATAGTTCTGCCTAGCTTTGCTGGTGACCACCTCGTGCTGTTTCTGGTGTATAGGGTGATCACCAGTAATCCATTCATTCGCCATGCTGATGGTCTCGTCTTGGCACAATGGGCCCACCGGATCAGCCAATTTCTTGAATGTCCATGATTTTGGTCGAGGTCTCCACCCAAGCACCCGCCACTAAACAGTGCAGTAGTTCGAACATCATTCTTGGCACCAGTCACTGGCCAGGAACTGTACCTGCAGCTGAACGATTGTCGCAGGCGTTACGGACATGGACATTTATTGCACTGTCCTGTTGGTCAGAAAACGGATCCAGTAGTCTGAGAATAGCCAAAGCACCGTCGTGATAGCTGTAGGAAATGGAAAAGGGGCGACTTGACGGGCGAAGCGTTGGGTGGAGATACTTTCTAACGTGTGCATATGCTCGGACGACACCTCGTATCCTTCTCATATCCGAGTACTTATTATGATTTATCACCTCTTCTAGGCAAAGACTCAAGAATCCTCGAGCGTTTGCTTGACGGTCGATCCGAAGAGTCAGGCAGGGCATGGATCCCAGTGGTCAAACTCAGTGGTATTGAGACCGCCGCATAGTATGCACGAGCAATGAGACATGTGTTGTCGGAGGAGTCTACAAGGCGTCGGACTCAAGGTATTGGATTGTGACGGAGTCGGTGAAGGCAGGAGAAGGGATCGGCCGAGTAGCTTTGGAATGTCGCAGAGCACTTCCACTGCAGGTTGACTAAACGCGTCTAATATGGCCATGATGCGTATTTCATACTACCACAGAGCCGATTTTGAGGGGTGTGCAGGACTCTGGATGATTTGGTCTACCATGCCGGGTGTTGCCGTCCCCTTTATGCGGCTCTATTGATGAGGCTCTGTGTGTGAGGCTCTGGCGAATGACAAATCTGTCGTCCGAGCCTTCCAGCGCGCAACTCTCATGCTGACCAGACTCCATATAGATCAGTATCGATGCTAATCGTCTTCGTCTTCACTCAAGTTGTCCGGGGCTGGCTCATCAAAAGGCAAGATTGCGCTGGTGACTGCGCCTGGCACATCTGGAGGGGCGTGGTCGCTAGGATCGGTGGGTAATAAGACTTGACTACTTTGTGTCAGTTCCCTCGGGATTCGGCATCACGACGGAGTGGATTCCAACGAGGAAGGACAAAGTTGTTACCGTAGACTATGTCATGCCACTGAGCTCACGTCTACTATGGTGCTTAGTCGTAATCCCATCCAAAGTGCGAGAAGGTTAATAGTCATTCCACGAGCAGAGCTCCTAAGGTATGCTTAGGTGGGATCGCAGCGCCACGAATTGAGCGTGCATCTGCTCACTCCTCTGAATCACATCATCCTTTGTACATCACTGATCAGGTGGCTTCGATACTCGACCCAAGTTCTTCTATAGCTGCGTGTGTCTCGACTACTCATCAAGAGTTTTGCGCAATGTCTGGTCATGCTTGATCTGAGCCCAACGACCAGTCCCATTGGTCGTCCCAGTCATGACGCTAAGTGGAGAAGAAAGCGGTACAAGTGCACGAAGTTTTCCTAAGCCATCGAGATACCTGAAGAGAGTTCGATAAGACCTCGACAGATGTCGGCAAGAACACAATGTATCTGTGCTCTCTCTTAGATAGTCCAAGTCAGTGGAAGACAAGGAGGGAAGACGTTTTCCAATGATCAATATTGCCATTAGTCACAACGTTCCAGAAACCAGAAAAGTGTCAGCAGGCACTTAGGACAGAGGTATCGATCGGGAGATGTATTTTGAGCTCGGAACCAAGACTGAGCTCGGTCGGGGTGCCGAGTTCGGTGAAGAGCCCGAGTGAGGAGGAGAAAAACTGGACTCACTTCGAGTCTGGCTTGTCGCAGCGGCTCGATGCAGACTTGCCTCTTGTCACTCCAGCCCTCTCGCATTCTTCCCTACATTTTGGACCGGTCACAGAAGTCAAACCTCTCCAACGATCGAGTGATAGCTCTGCAGATGGTCACGAGTCCTGTAGTCGACTACTCAGGTCTGAAATCTTGATTATCACGGAACAGAGCTATGGTATTGTGGCTGTGAAATTTTTTACACGATTACTTCAATGTATCCTCCAGCTCCTTACGTGATCGACCCGTCTTTATGTGCACACAGACGACTATTATTCTTGCTTTGCTCCAAGTCGACGCTTGGCACCATTGCGCCGCACAGATTCCCAAAAGCCAGAAACATCACACTGTAAATCGACTATGTTTCAGACATGGTCAACTGGTGGCATTTGAGAGTGGTAGTCTATTCGACATCATGAACAAATCCTCCGATAAGATGACTGATTCTTCTTTGTTTGACCCTCCTTGTCTCGTATGTAAACTAAGCGTGTAGTTGTGCCAGGGTTGTATCCCCACCACAGACCAAGACTAACGTCACGTTCTCTCAAAGATGACTATGCGATAGTAGATTGTAGGCTCCAGCAGATCGATCCCCACTATAACCACGACTAAAAAGTTTCTTGTATGTTCTCGCTCGCTGAACTCCTTTTCCCGGCCATGTCAAGAAGTTTCTCTATGCTAAGCCCATTACTCCTAACCAGATCTCTAATGTTGTTGTTAAATACAGATCTGAATAGCCGCATGCTTTGCTCTCTTTCGATACAACTGATGCTACTGCAGCTGACCTGGAAGGCCTTGCCAATTTCGATAGCGAAGACCACGCGCGCTCATTGCGCACTCGCAATGACGAAGGTGCTATAGGACGAAAGCTTCTGTCCATCGCCGAGGAGCTCAACGGTAAGAAGCCCTGAGTACAGGATTCATCCTGACGAAAAGGGCAAGGAATTGTATGCTTCTGAATCAAGCAATGACGTTGACGCTCATACTGCCATGCTTCCCTCCACGAAGCAGGACGTAAGATCGGCCACGATAGCGGTCGCATCGAAGTCCAGTCTACTTAGAGGTTCGAGAAAACACAGGAGATCCGCCCCAAATTTAGCTCCCAATTTGTAGTGTTCACTTGGTCACAGTGTGCTTCAACGGCACCAACAAACTTGCCATGGCGAACAGCATTAAGCTCATGTTCATTTGGTCATGACATCACAAGCTTTCAATCTACTGCGATGGCCTCAGCCTGGAAAAACATACCGCCCTGGCAAGAGTCTGTGTGTTTGATGAGGAGATGCGATATAAATCGCACGAGCCGTGCCGTGCTTGTATACAGTGCTCGGATAGGGAAGTGGGCGAAGCAAGGGCTGATGGACGAGTGGGGTTGAAGTATTGTCCTCTCAACTGATTGTCATGGTAAATGGCGCAAATGATGGTACTCTAAGCACAAAGGAGCGGGAATAATGCGCATCAAGTGTGACATAGCTGTAAGTGAGAGGCATACAAAGCGATCTCGCTTATACACTTGAGAGACATGAGCTAGAATTGAGGGCTGCCTAGGGGTATAAACACGCCTGTGACCAACACAGCTTCAAACCACTCTATGAACCTCCAGATCGGTTCTATGCAATTGTCATGGAGAGGGTTGTGGATTCTGGGGCCGTGGAGTCGGAGGTGGTGTAGTCTAGGCTTGTGGAGTCTGAGGTCTTACACCAGGTCCCAGATGCAACAGATCCTCCTCATTCGTAACTTTTCTACCATCAACACCCCTGAACTTCTGCTCCAACTCTGCAAATTTCTTATTATCAATCAAGCCCTTGTAACCTCTAACCACATCATCGACCTCTCCAGGACTGAGTTGATTGTAGTCCACGACTTCTCGTTTCGAGTTGAATGATCTGAGCACGCCATCGATGCCTAGATGGTGGAAGCCTTCGTTGGAGGGTGATTTACGGACAGAAGCCATGACTTTGTGCATGGCGGCGCGATGAGGTGCTGGCTAGTTCAAGGTTAGTTCATCGCTGATGTAGAAGGAAAGATGCAGACTTGCGTCTTACCACACAGGAAGACATATTTAGGGAAAGATACCTTTGCTAGACAAAGGAGGCTTGGAGTGGACTGAATGAAGGGTGGGAAAGCATTTGAGGTAAAGGAAATGTATATGGTCGTATGTCTCGTGAAGACCGAGGTCACGAGATGGAGTTAGCTAGACGCCTAGATCCTTCGACACACTTTTTCGCCGCATGACCTTTGAAACATGATCAACACGCACGAGAATTCCATGCTGTTGTCGAGTGTGTACTCGCGATGAAGCCATTGGCTGTCGGCGCCAGGTATATAAGATCTTAGCGCGAGCAAAAGCCAATGCGACGATTAAAGCGATATTAACGCCTTAAGCTACCTCAAGTTTTCATGTCGTGCGATCTAATCTACGTTTGTGCAGGAATGTGGCGTCATTGTTGTCTATTAAGGTCTTTTAACAATGTTAGTCCCGTAAACTTAGAAGGTCATCCTACTAGGTTTACGGGCTTGTAGGTTAGTACTAGATGTTCATTATTAATAGCATTATTATATTGCCCTTAGGTCTTGTAGGATTTTAGCTATAGCCTAGTACCCTAGACAATGCTAAATTAATCTTTCTCTTAAAGGGGGAAATTGTACTAGCAAAAGAGCGACTTAAGCGAGCTAGTTATACTTATAATATTAAGCTAGTTAGTTAGGAGATAGCGAAGAAGGTCTTCCTAGGCTAGAAACTCTAGGTTCTTATGCTCTAGAATATCTTCTTCTAGAACGCCTATCTTAATGCCTTAATAGCACTATATTTACTATAGCTTAAACTAGCATCTCTTTCTAGTTACGAGCATTACTTCTATATTCTAATTATTGTCCTCTATAAGGTTACGATATAGGTTTAGGTAGAAAATCATTAGTGCATAATATAGTAATTTATTAATAGTATAAGAAACTATAAACTACTATTAATCTATATAAAATCGAGCTAGTAAAGAAGGTAGGGATATATGCTACCTACTAAGCTTAATTATGTTAAACTATAGCGCTCGATCATTTTAGTAAAGATAACTACGTTACTAAGTATTTATCTAACGACCTTTAGGTCTATTAGAGTCTTAGGTCTTAAGAGGTAAGATAGACAATAATTAACTAAGTAACTTATCGTACCTGCTCGCTATAATATAGCTAGTCCTCTCTACAATAATAGTATAAGTAGCTACTTATATCTAATTAAGTTAGATCTACCTTAATATAAAATTCTTAACTAGTATAAAAAGCATTTGCTAGATCTTTTAGAAACTCGACATTTTATATACTATTAAGCTATACTACATTACTATAGTATAGGTATATATCTACTATTAGTTTACGAAATAGTAATCTATATAGGGTATCTCTATATACTTAGTCTACTATCGAACCTAATAGATACTAATACTTTCTAACTTTACCTAACGTATTAATTAAGTATATAATAGAATCAAGAATAGCGTCTCTAAAGTGTTTATCTTAAACTATCTCTCTATAAATGTACATATTAACTAGTAGATAAAGCTTATTATTTATATATTTAATCTCTTCTATACTTAGGTAGCTTAAGATCCTTCTTTTATATAGCTAGTAAACGTATAGGTAGATAACTATAAGATCATTATCTAGAAGAGGAATATAATACTTATGTCCTTCCTAGTAAAGGTAATACATATATATAGCTATTCTACTAAGACAAATTTAGTAGTACCTCTATACTAACTATTCTTATATATAAAAATTACTAATTAATAACTAAGTAGGGTAGCTTACTACCTCGATTCTATAGCTTTCTATTCTCTATAATACCTATTACTATAGCAATTAGAGCTCTTAATTTAGCTATATAGTTAGATCTAAGGCGTAATAATATAGTAAGCTATTAGCTAAACTTTTAAAGCCTCCTAGGTAATATCCTATGTTTTTTAGAGCTCTTAACTACCTTAGCATTATAGTAATATTAGAGTATAATAAGGACTTTATATAGGCTATATTCTATAATAACTATACTACTATAACTATCTAGAAGGTCTTCTCTTATACTCCTAAAAGTACTATTTAATAGCTTAAAGTTAACTTTAACTACTTTTAAGTTAGAACTATACGTAAACTAGACTCTATAAAGGAGTAGAGAGATAGACCTAAGAAAATTATACTATTAATATATAGATAGTTAATTAATCTACTCTCCTTCTATAATAATCTATAGGAAGAGAAACTAGTATTTAAATATAGTATAAGTTTAATCTTACTATTAATAGGTTAACTTTTAGTAAATTATATAAGGATAAGTCCTTCTTAAGTAAGGTTAATACTTATATTATAAGCTAAAGAGACGCTATCTAGGAGGGTATATATTAAGAGTAGCTAGCTAAGCTTTTATATAAGAGTATTATAACTAGTATTATTAATAATCCTATAGATATATTACTCTATCTAGATAAGTTAGTAGTATATAAAAAGGTACTATTTAGAAGGAAGTTATAGTCTAATATTAGGTTACCTACATTTATAAGGTTAGAGCTATTATATAAGACTTAATACTTAGTACTACAAGCACTTAATATTAATAGATATTTACCTAGGTCTACCCTAGTAGTTAAGGGTACTATAATATAAGAGATCTTTAAGTACCTAGTTAGAGATAGTAATCTTACCTTATATTATAGTTAGCTATCTAGTTATACCTAACTATAATCCCTAGCTACTAGGGTAACCTTAACCTTAGCTAGCTACTTACTAAGTAGCTATATAGAGTTACTAAGACTACTTACTACCTTCTAAAACTCTTCTTTATTACCTCTTTATCTCTTTATCTATGTCTTATTATATAGCTTAGATATTATAATATAGTAGTTAAAGTAATAGATATAGTAAGAGGAAGTTAGGTAATATAAAGAAGGCGTAATATAAAGACTTCTATACTATAATAGTAGTTAATGAACTTAATTATAATATACGTATTAGTTCTACCCCTTAATAACTATTCTCTCTAGAGCTCTAGCTTCTAATTACTAGGCGATACTATTTAACTAGTTATAAGCCTAGGTTTATAAGAGCTTAAAGGAATATAAGTAGTATAAAACTTATACTAGGATTGCGCCTAACCTAAAATAGTAGCTATAAATTACTCTCGCATAAGAGGACCTATAGTTAGCCTACTCTAGTATCTTTAGAAGAAGACTACTAAACCTAATAGTACTTAGACACTATTATAAGTCGACGGATAGACTTACCCTAAACCTAACGGTCAAATACGAAATAGACGACGCTAAAATATAGAGAGGTAGGCTAGTAACTACCCTTACTAGAGAAAACTAGGAACTATAGTTCCTAAATATAAAGAGATAGCTATATAGTAAGGACTACTAGAAAGCAATTAATACACCTAAAAGTAAGCATAAAGTAGCTTTTACTAAAATTAACAATATAGCTTTATACTAGATTAATAAATGTATCTTAGAAGACGATTAGATGCATTACATTAATATAGCTAATTTAAAGACACTTTAGGACTAGTTATAAGCTAGATATAAGAAGACTCTACCTATTTAGAGAAGACTACTTATAGAATCGTTCTACTCCTTCTAGAAGGACTAAAACTAGACGATTTAAGATACGTAGCTATACCTTTAATAGCTAGGACGAAAGATTATAAGCTTAGACCTAACTAATGCAAATCTAGGTAAGTGTTATAGCTAACTATCTAGGATAAGATAATAAGTTATAGGGTTAGACTCGTAAAGCGGAGTATTAAGCGAAGTAAAGTAGGTAGTATATATAGTAGTATATACTAAAGGGACTATTAGAATAACTAATTAAGTTAAACGTAGGACTACCTAAGGTTATCCTACCTACCTATATACTTAATAGATAATAAGTATATGCATATTACTCTATATACTCTATTATGCTCTATAGAATAGAGTAGTAGAGTATAGTAGAGTAGATAGCATATTATGTAGAGTGCTCTATTCCGCTAAGGTATAGGGAACAATAGAGTAGGCTACGCGACCCTATTATTAGTAGGATCGTAATAGTAAGCCTAAAGCTAGGATTTAAAAGCTACTTATAAGTCTTCTAGAGGAGTACGATATAACTATAAACGCTATCGACGTATAAAGTCATCTAGATCTAGAAGATATCCTTACACTTTTAGAGAACTTTAAAGTAAAGTTAAACTTAAAGACGACCTTATATACTTATCTTATAAGGAATAGATAGGGCCTTATTAAATGTTATCTTTATAAGAAGGATTACTTTATTAAGGACTATCTATCTCTTCTAGCTACCTAATAAGCTATAAGAGATAATTAAAGATAGAAACAGTCTTTCTAGTCCTCCTACTAAGAACCTATAATTACTATAAAAGACCTAGAAGTAGTAGTTACTAGGGTTTTTATATAGATTATAGAAGATAAGGCTAAGGTCTAAACTAAAGTTATAAGAAAAGAGAGAGCCTATAAAGTAGAGGAAACCTCTACTATTAGCTCTATAACTTTAAAGTTACCTACTTCTATCTTATTTAATAATTAAGTATCTTATAGAGTTACCTACCTTTTAAAGGATGTTATAAGTAAGAATCCCTTCTAATAGTACATAGATAGTTATACTAGTTTATATATAACTAATAAAAGCAACTATTTTAGAGGACCATTAATTTAAATTAGGAGGAGGTATATCTAGGTTAAAGGTAGGATCCTATACTTAGATTCTATAGTAATAGCTATACTAGCTAACTACATAGGAAGGGAATTAGAGTTATAATAGACGCTCTTTATACTAGGACTTAGTATAAACCTACTATTAGTAAGAAACCTCTATCTCTAGAAGAGGCTAAGTAGAAAGTTTAACTCTAACTCTATAATAATAGTTAATGCTAGTAGAAATGTAGTAGTGCATAGCAAAATATAATATAGAGTATATAGTATTTCTAACGTCTATCTAGAAAGACTATC